TCGGTGACTCGGTCGGCCACTCTCCAGCCACAGTCTCCTGAGTATTGCCTGATGCCTGGTTCTTCTCCTTGCCCTGTCTTGCCCTGCCTGCCCCTGGGGATTTGCTTCTTCTGCCTGGGCCCTCGGGCACCCGGGTGATGGTGATGGTGATGATGATGATGATGTGGCGGTACGAAGGCTGAGACGGACGGTCATCCCACCAACTGGCAGTCGCAGCCTGTCTCGCCTCGTCTTGCGTCCTGTCACGGGCAGTCCCGTTACCGCAAGGAACCAGGGATAGGTCTCATCATTGGACAGAGCCCGTAAAAGACACCGTCATTTACAGCCTAGTACTTTGGCTGATCACCTGATCGGCTATCTATTTATATATTACCGTTCTTGGAATACCGCCTTACCCTAAACCGGTTGGTTGGTTCTGGATGGCCACCTCAGGCCGGACAGAGAGTCGAGACCGAGTAGTGAGCAGCAATGACCCTGTGGGGGGGGGGGAGTACAGAGTGGAGATTGAGAATAATCGGATGGAGAGAGGGTCGTCAGCTGGCAGCTTATTCAGAAACCAAAATAGCTGTCACCTACATACATACGTACGTACTATGTATGTAGCACGGCTCCGTACGGAGTACTCTGTAGCACGGATGGAGTCGTCAACCCAGGCCAACCCTACCACTACTATCTACTACTATCTACCCCTTCCTAGGCAACTTCACCATTGTATCATCTGAGGTTGTGGGACGTGAGTTATCCCTTGACAGATCGATATTGAATTAGGCAGGCAGGCAGACGAACAGACAGAACAGGTGTGTACATAGTAGGCAGGCAGGTAACTAGGTACTATAGGTAGGTATCTACCCCGGTGCAGAAGAGAATGTGTGGATTATTGCTGACGATGATCCCCAAACGTTTGTTGCTCTTCCAGACTCCCAATAATGATACTAGTTCTAGTAGGTAGTTATCCACCTGTAACTTTCCCTAGACTCCTACCTAGTCGCAATAGCTAGATACCCCATCCATCCCCAGACCAACAATTGGGAACCCAGCAACGGTTGAAGAGAGCTAACAGCTACCTAGCTAATTAATTAGATACCTACCCCATCTGCAGTGTACCGGTTCATACCCAGATAGTAGTAGCATCTACTCACTCCGTCCCGTAGATATACTTAGATAATAGCTCCGTAGCTCGAGCTTATCCCCATTCTGATTCCCCAGACCATTTCCCAGTACGGCTACGGTCTACCCCTAGGTACGGAGTACCTACTGGATACCTATCTAGTAGCATAGCATACGGAGTAGATACCCCCATCCACTAAGGTAGGTAGATATCCAGTAACTACAAACAGCGTAGTATATCCTAGGTAATAATATGGAGTATTCCTCCCCCCCCCCCCTTCCTCCCCAATTCCAGTTCACTTCAGTTACCCGTGCCGGTACGGAGCTAGGGCATATCCAGTAAGATACGATACTAGATGGACCGACCATATCAGATGATCCTGGTACTGGTACTGACTACTAGCACATTCCCCTTCTCTTCCCTTCCATCCCCTTTCTAGGTAACTAGGATCGTAAGCCGTATCTCACCGCCAGAATCTCGGAATGGACGGATACTAGTAAGTAGATTACCTTCCTCCCGGGTCTCATTGCATCGTACGTACTTTTCCCTCCACCGCTAGATGGATGGATGGCCACGGGGCCGGGTCTGGGGCCGGGGCCAGGGCTACTGTCCGATCAGGTACATTAGATACTATACCTACCTGGTCTTGAGGACGGAGGACATCCGTCTGTCTGTCTGTCTGTCTGTCTGTCCGTCAGACACACCACCTACCTAAGGTATCTATCTACCAGTGTCTAGTCACCCAGTCAGTCAGTCATAGGTACTGACTGACTGGTACTCCGCACCGCATGTATCTGTATGGTCGGCAGCACTGGCACTTGCCAGCTGTACCTGCAGGACCACTACCACCACCGCCAATAAGATAGATGGCTTACATAAGGACTGAGTCAGGTGATGCCTGTTCGGGACTAGTGGGGGATTGTCCTAAGGGTGAGGCTAGGCTGGGTTGGGTTAGGGCGGGCGGGCTGGCTGGCTGGCTGGTGACGGGGATGCCGGGGGGGGGGGGGGGGGGGCCAAGGGAGAGAAAGTGAGGCGGACGAGGGTGGGTGGATGGGAAGTGAGGGTGATGGTGGTGGATTGGGGTGAGGATGGTGATGATGGGGTGGCTGAGGATGCAGGGTCGCTACTACATCACTTGTAGGTCATTAAGGGGGGTGTGATTATGATGAAGCTGGATGAGGGTGGACTGCAGTACCAGGGCTAATGAATGGGGTTTGGTGGTTAGTGTGTCTGGATTTGGGTGAATGCGCATTGTGAAGGTACCGAGTGGGAATTATGATACTACAGCTTTGCATTTATGTAGACTGTGGACCGGAGTGGCATTTCAAGCTGTAGTCGCTGTTTGTCTTCATAGATATCATATAGAATCATAGTACCCTGTATAACTTGCAATACTCCGGTGTGCTTCTTCACGGTATATACCCTGCAAACCGAACGCCATGCACACACACACACACTGACAACCGACATTGACTTATGACGGCCTCCCATTCTTCTCCCTTTGCATGCGCTCCTGCCATCCGTTCATGCTGACTCGGACCCCTAGCGTCCGTCGCGTCGTTGCCGGCCCTGCCTGCATCATCGACATGGTAGTAGAGTGAAACGTGGCGACGGGTCTGGCTCGCCCGACAGTCGAGCCCGGAAAGCTTTTAACACCGCCATCTCCCCCAGTCTCGCCTTTGTCCTCAACAATCGCCTTCTGTTCCTGGGTACGCTGCGAGAGTGGTTTCGCTCCTCCCGTGGGCTTCGGGGGTGCCGCCAACCAGGTGTAGCGGTTTGGGTCGGACGGTTCGAGAGCCGGCCGAGGCGGTTGCAGCTTCGGCGCTTGCGGTCGATACGCCGAATAATTCGCTGGAAGCACGCTTCTGAACCCGGAGCTCGACGATCCGTTCGGACGCGTTTGCCCTACGGCGTCTGTCCGGCTGCCCTGGGCCTGCTGGCGCCCAATCGTGCCTGATTCGCTGCTCTTCTGTCCGGACGGCTGCCCAAAAAACCCGGCGATTGTTTTCTGCGAAAGCCCGTTCGACTTGCGACCTGTGATGCTGGCTGCAATGGCGTTGGGTTTGTTCTCGGTGGGTTTGGTTGCTGGCTTTGGCTCAGGAGCTGGGTCGTTGGTCGCTATGTACTGGCGGGCCGTCGAGAATCCGAGCGAAAGGGTTGTGGGCGCGCTATAGTTGGTACTGTTCGTGGTCTGTGGTGTCCAGGACATGTATGTTGTCGTCATGGCCTCCGACTGCGCCTGGCTAACTCGCTGTCTTTTGGGATTAGGCTCGCCGTTCATGTCTCGACTGCCGTCCCACCGAATGATTGCGTCGGGCGCCTCCGAGCCATCCTCAGTCCACTGGTCGTCGAACTGGATAACGCAGTTGGCTCGTCCCTCGATTATAGTGGTGGAATCGGGCCTTGGTCGGCCTAGGATATCCGCAATACCATGGACAACTCTCTCATAGAATCGGGGCCCGAGGGTACGGAATCTTTGCTCGACTACCTTGTCTGGGAGAAAGCAGGACAGACTCGTCTGTTCACCCTCGCTGGATTGTCGAAGGGGGTAGCTCAGGTACAGCAAGGCTTGTGCTCTGGTCATGGCCACATAGAGCAGTCTTCGCTCCTCGTCTGAGTCCTCTGCCCGCGAGTGAGGTATTATACCGTTGTATACGGCGGGCACGAACACCACTGGCCACTCAAGACCTTTGGCTGCATGGATGGTGGAAATGGTGACCTTTTCATCTGATTGTTCCTCCTCTCCCTGCTGCGGAAGAACCTCCGTAGACAGCGCCACATTCGCCAGGAAGCGAGACAGCGCTTCCTCCCCGGGGTGAGCTTGCTGCTGCTCGAGGCCATCTATCTCGGGGAGATTTTCCTCATTTTGGTCTTCGTCTTCCGAGTCAAGTGTGTCATCGGCTTGACTCAGGAGCTCTTCCACGTTGGCCCATCGATTTTCCTCATTGGATCCATGCACTGACTTAAGATACTCGCGGAAGGAGAGCTTCTTGATCAAAAAGTCGAGGAGCTTTCTCGGCGATGAACTGTCAGTGCATTCACGTAGCTTCTGCCTGGCTGACTCAAGGAGGCCAACTAAAGTGCAGAGTCCATGGTCGGCGGGCTTTGACAGAGGCTTCGCGGTTGAACTGCGACCTTGAGCCACGTCCTTGATGAAATCCCAGAGGGGCTTCTTTGCTTTCTCTGCGCCATTCTTCAATAAGTTGACAGACTCATCCCCGATCTTCCTGGATGGTACGTTGATGATACGCAGGAGAGCATCGCTATTCCCCGGCTGGCTAATGACTCGGAGGTAATCCAGAAGCAGTTTGATCTCGACTCTGTCAAAGAACCTCAGGCCCCCAACCATCCGGTATGGAATGCCGTGTTTTCCCATTTGGGCTTCTATCTGTCGCGAGAGAGCGGCCGATCTGAGCAGGATAGCAAAGTCCGAATAGTTCAGGAGCTTCCCAGTCATAGCGATGGACCTCTTTATCTCGAGGACGATCCACAAAGCTTCTGACGCTGAGCTCGGCAGTTTCCGCAGCACAGGCATGGTCCCCACGCTATGTGTTGGCTGCAACTTCTTCGCCGGTCGGGACACATCTTGTTCGATGACGTCTTGTGCTGAGTTCAGGATACAGCCAGACGAGCGGTAATTGTCCTCCAGCAATACAATGGATGTATCCGTGTACAGCTGCTGCATACGCTCCAGGTTCTTGATTTCCGCGGATCGAAAGCCGTAGATGCTTTGGTCTGGATCTCCCACGATGGTGATGCGGCGGTGCTGGGACGCAAAAAGATTCATCAACTGGTACTGGATATGGTTCGTATCTTGGAATTCGTCGACCAGAACCGCCTGGACGTTAGAGACACACTCCGGGTGTTTTCGGAGCAGCTCCGTGCATCGCACAAGTAGATCATCGTAGTCCAGTAGATTCGAAGCCTCCAGATTTTCCTGGTATTCGCGATAAACCTGGACAAACTCTCTCTGCTCGAGCACCTTCGAGTTCTTACTCAACTTCGCAGCCACCTCGTCTGGACTAACACCATGCGCTTTCTGGTGAGATATGCGTGACCGAGCTGCGTTGGGCTGGATTCCGACCTGCAGTCGCTTAACGATCCTCTGCAGAAATCAGCAACGGCTACTCTCCCGCAGACCGATCGAACCAAAACCAAGATGCGTACCTTGATAATAGCCAGACTATCCCCCGAATCCGCAATACCAAACCCCTTCTTCAGCCCGATCAAATAGCCATATGTCACCAGATACCGCCGACAAATCGAATGGAACGTCCCCAGGACTAGTTTCCTTTGCAAGTCATCGCCAATCAGCTTCGCCAGCCGCTCTCGCATCTCGCGACTGGCTTTGATGGTGAACGTGCAGCAGATGACATCTTGTGGTCGGTAGCCATGGTGGGAGAGGAGATACGCGACGCGTGCCGTCAGGGTCTTGGTCTTTCCCGAGCCCGGGGGGGCGAGGACCTGAAGGACGGGGGATGGGGAGGCTACCGCAGCCGTCTGGGCGCTGTTGAGGCCCTCTAGGATAGGATCCATCGCTGGAACCCCATGGGGTGGTGGGTGGTGATGTCGAACGTGTTCTGCAGGCTGCGGTCGAGGGATTCGGGGAGACGCGGCCGATGCGCGGTGTCATGTGACCGGTGCATGTCACATTTCTGGCGTACTAACGGACAGTAGACTGTTATTCTGCAACTATTATGCCTTCGGTATGGTTTGAAGGGAGAGGCTGATGGGGGTTCATTTTTTGTTGGGCATACACTTTCAATAAGCAGAGGGTCTTTCTGGTATAGTATATAAGTGCATATTCCCAGAAACTATATATAATGATACCATGTATGATGTTTACCACACTGGTGCCAATCTCTTGAGGGAACGATACCGCTAAGTGGTCATAAAATCGCTATATCATTATATCAAATACTCAACAGCAAATCCACTGAAGTTCCTGATACGATATGTTATTACAATTAAAAAGGCTGCAGGTAAGAGTTATAGACCTCATGAGGTCCATCTCCGAACACTGCAGCAAAAAGTAAACTGGATTTATTAGGCATCGAGTAATTTACGATTAAGAGGGCTTCTTGAAAGACTTGTATGAACTCCCCTCAAGAGATCCTGGATTTTTGAAGAATAATATGTCAAGTGTTGTTGAATTTCCAATCTACAAATCCGCACGGACCAGGCGCTCTTCCGCGGGGTCGTTTCCCTCCCCCGCCTCCGCCTTGACAGCTTTCACTTCCACCCCAGACTTCACTCCCTCACACTTTTGATGAAAGTATGTTCTCCTCCAGTCTGATAAAACATAAGAACCAAAGCTCCAACTGCTACCTCTAGCTAGTCGACACAAAGATGACATTATTCGGACTAGAAGAAAATAGCAGTTCCACCTCTGCTAGCCGCGCTTCCTGCGCGCATGATATTGCAGCCAAACCTCAAAGAGCAGCCTGAGAGACTAATATACTAACAGTATACTGGTCATCCAATTGGATACTGACTCACAGAGCATACATCCGCCACCAACACGGTCAAAGCAATGTCATCCATGTCGAAAGCGCATAATGGTCAGAAGTGTATCGATACATGGACACCTTTCACAGAGGGCACATAACATCATGCCATATCTACTTATCTACACCGACAAACGGCCCAGATAGTGACCCTAAGAAGTCATCTGTGGCGAGAGTGGTTCCTCTCGATCTGTTGCCAGGCGATATTTTGATCGCAACCATGTCGGGTAACCGCGATCTGCTGAAGCAATGTAATGCGGCATCAACGGTTCAGGAGCAGGATTCAGCATGCAGACATCGCATGATTACTGCCATGAGGTGGATGGATTTCGTACATTGTGTATCACTTCGTGTGCACAGGTGTAGTAGGTAGGATACTACCGTCATGTACAGACGTATACATGCGTATGCAGTAAAAATCGAATAATATCCATCCCCGGGGTATCATCTCAACTAGATGAAACTGTTAAACAATCTAAAATCGAAAAGTCAGTATTCCATACGCAGCAAGAAAAAAACAAAAAAAAAAAAAATTGGCCTGACAATATCCCATCCCAGGAGCTTCAACAACAAGCCAAGCCCTTTCTATAACGGCCTCCTGTATAGTTAGTTAGTTGGTGAATCCCGCTCCGCAGCCGAACCAAGCTTGGCAACGCAGCTCCGGGCCGGCCGGTAACGTCACGCCTCCTTCCGCCGATCAGCCAACATCACCACCGACATCAGTCCACATCTCGCCTTAAACATCTTCTTATACTCGCATAAACCACTCAGAACCACCCGCTCAGTGCAGCCAGATTGCCAACCCGTCTACAACACCCCAGAACCCTGCCATTCCAAGTCACTCACCCGCCCCGCATGGCGCCCATTCGCCGCTACCTCCGCATCAGCAAATACACGATCCTCGAATGTCGAATCTACCTCGAGAACCCGTCCGACATCCGATGGCTCCTGAACAGTCGCGACCCCGTCCTCCCTCGGATTTTTGCCGCGATCCGACCCCTGGTGTTGCCCAAGCTCCGTGAAGAGAACGAGCGTCTATTTGCTCGGAAGAAAGGCAAACCCGTCAAGGATGTCATAGCGGAAGGTGATACCCTCCAAACTATATTCCCCTCTCCCCCGTACCCAACCCCTGGCATTATCGTTCAAGACTCCTGACCGATCATGCAATTCGCGCAGAGGAATTCGAAGTTGCCTTGTTTCTTCGGGAATCGCACACCCGCCATTCGCTCCTCACGCGCCACAAGGATTTCGAAGATGGTGCAGGAAATACCTCACATGCGCGCAATCAGGCAGCTGCGGAGATCCTGATCGAGAGTGACGACGAATCGGACTTGGCGATGCAGAACATCCCACAGGCAACTACATCCTCCACCACCACCACCACTACTACTGGAGACGGGGACAACAACGCAGGGGGGAAGCGCCAGCGAGATGCGGCCGGACAAAATGACTCACCGGATAGTCGGCGCACTTCGAAGCGGAGGAAGGATGGGGATTCGCTGTTGCAGCAGGAAGAAGCGGATACCGAGGACAAGAAGATGAGCTTCAGGACGAATTATGAGGGGTTCAACATCTACGGTTGGGTACTGTGCCTGCTTGTCACGCGGAAAGGTCATAGTAAAGCCGGGACAACAACGGCTGGGCCGGCAGAGCCGGGTCGTCAGGTCTTGATGGAGGAGTGGATATCCACTCAGGCGCAGGGCGACTTGGCTGAGGAATGAATGATCGCCGCGGCCGAGAAGGGTTCAATGACATGACAATCAACCCACCGCGGGATATCCAGATGGATTTGGATCTACCATTAGGCAGCCAGGGATGAGACTCGACTCGACTCGGGCCCGACAGGCGGAAATAAGGCCATTTGTCTTACGACGACGCTGTGTCATGGCCGGTCGTTTGGCCATTGCATGGGGACTGGGCTACATACATGATGCTGTGGCCCAACGCAACGGTGCAACGTCCCGAATCGCAGACCTCCCCTCCTTGTGCGCGTGCGCGCGCATGGCGCAGATGGAATGCCATCCATCAACATACCTACTGTGTACCATGTAGGCGAGGAGCGAAGATCGGACGATCGCCGTAAATTGCCGTGCGACCTGGTGCGATGGCAGCCCAGCCCAGCCCGTCCGGGGCAGATCAATCAGTCAGTTAGTCAGTCAGACGACACACATAGTATCCACGCACATCCGGCGAAGTCGAGACCGAAATGTCCCCGAAACAGTTCCTGAACCCATTGTCTGTCCATCCAGTAAGGGGCGAAACGGCGCATGTGCGACACTCTGACTCGAACGGTGTGTGGGTGTGTGTCGGGCCAGTCAGCCCATTGTTCGAATTGAGTTTGTGTAACACGCGGTCCCAAACGCTGTTCTGTACCCCCGACCCAGGGAACCTCAAATCGTATCCTTCGCCTTAACTTACCACAGCCACATCTACTACCCACCCCGGTAGGTCTCATTCATTGAATCTGGACCAAGATCTGCTCGAAAGCCTAGATCTCAGTCGGCTTTTTTTTCTACTCGTCACCACCTCTGGGACCCTTGTATTACGGAAATCACCCGCAGTCAGACGGTCGGTTGAATCGCACGCGCGTTCTAGGTATACTGTCGGTTAGGCCGGTAGGTAGGTGGTATTCTGCAAGTTTGTGAAGGCCAAGGGGCCCAGCCTTCTATTTCATTTAGACTTTCGGGTTGCCGCATAAGCTATGATACTCTGGCGCATAACATACCTCTAGGGTAGTTTCTGATGTGCAGCCCGCAGGGGTTGGAACTTGGTGGATGGGTGGGTTGGTGGGTGATGTTCCGTTCCTGTTTCACCTTGACTTCGGAATTATTATTGAGCATTGACAGCTACGTACGTGCTCCATATATCTGAAAACAGGGGGAACTGGAAGAGATGTTTGAGATTTAACGAACGCATATAGTACTTACGGAGTACTCCATACTTAGTATCAGCCCCCCCCCATTGTCAAGGAATAAGGGACAGGGGAGTAATCAATCAAGCACTCAATCAATCAATCAATCAATCAATCAAGCTCAATCAGTCTCATCTACCTATCTATGTCAAGCACGGTCCGAAATATTGCCGTCCGTCCGTTTCGCATATCCCCTTCCGACACGAACCACAAAAATGTAAAACACAAGGGATGGATGGATGGATGGAATGGATAAATGTATGGAATTGGATATAGTGCTCCGTAGCGGTCGCGGCGCAGAGAAAACTAAACAGTAAGCAGAGCCTGCCTAAGCAGGTTAAGCCGAAGTTTGGTAGATACAAAGTAGATGGTATCTAGATGGACTCTGGAGGTACGGGAGGGGAGGTACACCGTTTTTTTTTTTTTTTTTCCTTTTTCTTTTCCTTCACACGCTCGCCGCTCGGTTCCGACATCCGATCCAGTCCAGTTGCGGAGATGCCGTTTTCAAAGCATGTTGAAAATTTGGTTGCGATGGAGTCAGCCCAGTCAGCCCAGCCCACTAACTATCAACCGTTGAATTTGATATCTATCTACTCCGTACTGGTTGTGATGAAGGAATTGGAGCCCTGGTATTAATAATACTAGTAGGACATAAATACACCTACTAGCAGTACGGAGTACTACTACTACTACTACTACTACTATAGCAGACTAGTCGTAGTAGTAATAGTAATGAATATCAAAGCCCCGTGAAGACTGACTGCGCTTGGTGCAGACCGACAGACAGAAAAAAAAAAAAAAAAACCTCCTGTGGCCTGGGCGGAATCCGATGGAGTGACCGATTTTTTGACGTCAGTATGAAACAAAAGGTGGTAGCTAGGTAGATAGGTAAGTCAGTACGGAGTAGATAGTTACTAGATAGATAGATAGCTATGTTGGTTGGAAGAAGGAAATTTTTTCTGGAACTCTGGTGGAGTCGCTTCTTGATTTCCAAATCGGACTAAGGTAACGGGCTGGTAGTAAGTAAGTAAGTAAGTATCTAGTTAAGGTAGGTAAGGTAGCTGTGTGGATTTTGGGCGGGTATTCCGTTCGGTCTGTATTGACTATCTATGGAGTAGGATTGTTGAAGACTACTATGAGGTGCAGTAGTTGGGGACCTGAAGGATTTAGGATTTAGGATGGATGGATGGATGGATGGATGGATGGATGGATGGATGGATGGATGGATGGATGGGATATGGATTGGGCTCCGTAGTCCGTACTCCGTTGTCCGTACTACTTGACCGCAGGTTTGATGGATATCTTAGTTCTGAGGACTCCGTAGTAGTTCTGCCTGAAGCGTAAATATGATTTGGGTAGATATCTACTCTTGTTGTGAATCATTTTAGCGTAGTTGCTTCATACGGAAAGCATTGGAAAAACTGCGCTGGGATTATTATTCGAACTCGATACCGGCGGTTAACGGTACGGTCCAATCATAGTTATTTGAAAGGTGAGAGATCACTTGCCCATTGGCTGGGCTGGGTTTCCAGGTGTACTATAGTAGATAGACGTCTACCGCACTGTGTCTGGTTCGAATGACACTGATGCTCGCAAGTAACTAGTCGCAAGTGTTGACTGATCAGGTAGCGCCTGCGAGACTGCTCCGTATTCCGTAGTGGTAAGGGCGGTGGCAAGTGGAGCATCCGTTGCAAATGATGCAGTGAAACCCGCGGCACTGCTTGGCGTCGACAGTTAAGCGACAGCTGGTAAATTCCTAGTCAGTTGGAGACGACTAGCCCACCTAGCCCATCTGCACCATAATTAGTGGCCTTTTTTAGCCCGGAGCGGGCGACTTAGCGGCCAGCGATTATTGTTGAGGGTTCGAAACCAGCGGGAAACACCGAGCGACGAATCTAAGAAGCGGTGAACCACGGTTGCGAAGGGTTTCTGGAAGGACTGGTTCCATTCCACAGAGCGGAGAATTTCCACTGCTGTTGATCGTCACTTCCGCCGAGGAATTTCGATCTTGCCCACATCACATCGGCGTGGGCACTGCGAGTGGGCAGAGGCCTGCAGTCGGACTATTGCCGTATCCTGCATTCTGCATTGTGCGTTCTGCATTCTGAAGGGTCGAGGACTCGGACTCGGACTCGGACTCAGCATTGATTATCATTGTGATAGTCGAGGATGCAGCGACGTGCATAGTACCTGCATTAACTTGCGTCCAATAATGCGGAGGGACGGGAAACCGACGCTGGCACTATTACCCTGGACCTGGATATATGCGCGCGTGTGAGGGTGAGTGTGACAAGTTACCTAACCATGACTGCGAGGTGTACCACTGTACGGTGTACTCCGTACACGAGAATAGAAGCCCAACCCAACTACTCCGTAGGTAGGTACCAGACAAAGAAGCTCTCCCGCACCGACATCTACCATGATCCAGTTGTCTCAAGGCGTGTCGCCGTGTCGCGGACTTACGGTGTCTGGTTTTAAGATACACTTTACCGGGAATTGGTGATTTACACTGCCTCCGCATCCCAGGAGGCAAGGTCAGCTAGCACTAGATACTACTGGGCCATTGGCGGTGATCCAAGTTTCCACCTCACCAACGGTGCGGAATGAACTCCCCCCAACAGTGGGGATCTCATTTCGCTCTCTTGGAACAGGGCTCCACTCCGTCCAGTCCCAACCTCTTTTTTCACTTTCTCGCCATGTGTTTCTTTTACCTGCCCCAGTATCCCGAGCCGACAATCCGTGACCCGTCAAACCATGTGACGAGTGACGACTCAGACTCAGACGGGGGTGATGTGGTTCGGGTCGATCCAAGGACACCGACCGTATCTGTACGGTGTCCCTAACGAGAATCCCCGGCCGGAAGGGCGCGGGATCAATGCGACTTGCGTCTGTCGTCCATCATCCGCCATGATACCCGGACTGGAGCAGGCCTGTCTACTTACTCCGTTCCTAGTAATCGGTCATGCATGCGCCAGCGCTATCACCTGCACACTACGCCGAAAAAGTAAGTCGTTGACTGCAACTAGGGCCGTGTCGGAGGGATTAGGCGCCTACTCCGTCGCCGTAGCTAGCGGCCGTAGGCAATGAAAAACCGGCGGAGAAGCCAGCGACGGGGCCAAATCAACGAGGGGAGAACGCAACCCGCATCTCGATGGATCGACCGATGAGTCGATGCAGCAATCGATTGACGTGCAGGATCATCGTTTCTCCCTTCCTGTTTCCTTCTCCCCGGCCACTTTTCACCTGCAGATGATCCGGCGTCACGCCGGCCATCACAATGACTCGCTACTCCGTTGCACACGCCAGGGATCCCAGGGGGGAGGGGGGAAAGAGGAGGGGGATTGGCCGATCAGGAGTAGTGATCACTAATGGCTCCATTAATCAAATCAACCCGGATTGGACCGATGAGCGTTGCATCGCATAAGAGTACAGCCAGAGTACAGCCAGGCTAGCTGTCCTAGTATGAAGTAGTTCCTCAGCCTGGGAGGGACGGACGGAAACTCGATCGAGCCGAGAAACCTTGATCATACAGGTACCTGGCGGTAATTAATCACTAGTCATTGATCATTATTTTACTGAATAATGAGAACAAATAACGGACAATATAACAATGGGCGTTCTGGGCATGAAGCCACGGACAATGGCAAAGCAAGGCAGGCAAGGGGACATCAGCCACACGGCCATGGCGAGGTTATCAGCCGGGGTTCCCGTCAAATGGAAGTGCACGGAACTGCCAGGCTCCAATCGCTTCGCGGGAACCTTGGATAGAACTGGGAAGAACTGCTGGTTGACAGCCACCCCGTCGAACTCAACCAGTCACGTCACGACGACCTCACTTTTCCAGGCCGGCTTTCAGCCGCCCAGGGTCAAGATTCCGAAGCTCGGACAACAATACGAACGGAACCCAGGCACTGCGATGCGGTGGTGCAGTAGTCTGCCCACCAAGAGGGGGAGAGGAGGAAGATCTCCCCTGCAAGGAGGAGGAGAAACGGGGTTTTCGTTGGCGGGCGTAAACCCCGAGAATAATGGGATGCAGATGCCTGCCTGCCTGACTGACTGACTGCGACGACTCATTTTCTGGGAATCATCGAAGAGGGGAGGGATCAGCCCCTGAGAGGCTGAAACAGGCGGGTGAGGATTAGGCAGGTGCGCTTCTATAGGTGCGTATCTTTAGGTTACGGCTACCCCGTTGGCTGCGACACATTTGCCGCTCTGTACAGATGAAACGACCTGTCAGGCTTTGCTGGGTGACCGAACCCCTGACCCGGGCTGCAAGGATGGCAACGAAAACCTTCCAATCCCCGTGAAGCACACGCCAATTCAGCTGTTGCCGTGGTCTCACCCAGCCAGCAAATGGTCGCGACAACGGCCAGCTACACCCGAACTGGAAACCTGAAGGAATGCAGGCGTTTGGAGGGCAGGGAGAGAGTATCTAATGGTGGTGGCTTGGATGCCTCCCCTCCATACTGTATATACAATAATAGGCCCGCCGGTCCCGACACTCTGGCTGGAGCTAGGATCTTCCTCCCTCAGTTCTGGAGGTGTCTGTGTGGACGGTGGACTGTGGATTGCGGATGATGGCGATGATGATGACGGCTGATGAATCACACGCATCAGTTTCATGCAACGCAACAGCCGCGCCGTAGGAGATAGTAGTAGTATGCCTCGGATCGTCATGCTCCTGCTCCTGTTCCTTCCACCCTGTGTTCTTTACTCCTACTCCCCCTCTCCCCCCCCCCCTTCTCAAAGGATCTACGAACTGGCACGTGTCTGCATGGCGGACTAGCCCCCAAGCCTGTAAGCCTATCAAACGACAGCTGCGCGTCTTCAGGGATGAGGTGGCCTGGAAACATCCTGGTCAAGATGCGGAGTAACAGCGCTCCCACGTCCAACGGTGGCACTGATCCCCTCGATTTGAGTCATAGAGGTATGGATGGGAGATAAGTCGCAGCCTTCTTCACCTCTGTAATTTACGTAACTGCGAGAAAGTACACCAGGGCTAACCCCAATAGGCAGCAGTCATTGGTCACATGGGCGGCGTATCGCTTTGCATCTGAGGATTTTCGCTCTGGAAGATGGACTCTACCATCTTGGGAAGTTGGGACGGACACTTGGAAAATGGAGAAGGCCTTGGGGGACGGACGCACTGGGGACTGAGCTAAAAACCCCGAGAAAAACATAGGTAGGAAAAGAGAATGATAAACGCTGTGGTGGGTCGTTCAATGTCTTGCCCAGTTTCGTTGTCTTTTGACGGAGTAAATTTTATTTTTATTTTTGTTTTTCGTTTTCCGCTTTTCCTTTTCCTTTTTCCTTCTTTTTTTTTTTTTCCCCATTCTATTTTTTTTTATCTCGCTTTCACTAAGGTTTCCCCTTCACTTGTGTCGGACTGTCTGTCACCCTTGCTCCGGACAGATTGACCTTTTGTTTGGGACTGAACCACACCCCCGAGTTTAATAATAAGCTCTGGCAACGCGCATGTTGTTAATTAGACCTGCGGAACCCAGGGAAAAAAAAAGGGGGAGGCAAAAGTGCTCAGCGGTGAGGACAGACCCCGGGCAGAGTGGGACAGGAGGAGCTTCTAGAAAATTTCCCTGGGATTTCCCATTGGGGCGGCGTCTCCATCTGGCAGTCCACCGTACGGCGCTAGTGTAAGGACGCGGTCAGAATCTGACGTAGTTCGTTTCCTTTCTGCCCGGCTGTGGAGCTCAGCTCCTGTTCACGGCAGGGGGTATCCTTAATCTGGCGGGTTTAATTATTTTATTTTTATTTTTTCCCTGCACTTTTCCGGTTTGATTATGCTTCTTGTTGAGCGCCAATCGTCCCCCGTCGGTATTTTCTTCAAAACAATAAAAATAAAATACGACAAGAAAAAGAGGAGAGCCTCCAAGTATATATTAGACACCCCGCGGGCCTCGTCTGTCGCGATTTCTTTCTCTCTCCATCTCAAAGAACTTCAACCTCCTGCATCACTACTGCCATCCCTCTACCACTACCAATACTATCACGCAGACCACGTCTACAACTACTCCAACCCACAACACCCACAACACCTACATCAACCTCATCTCAACCTCATCTCATCTCACCTCACCTACAACACCACCACCACACATACATCACCATGCCTTCCATCGGTGGATCTGCTTCTCAGTTCCCTCCCTGCCCTGGTCCCCCGCCGAAGGGTCCTCTGCCTCCGCTCCCCAAGTAAACAATGGGCAATCCTCGATATGAACTTGACGACCGATAGACTCGACCCGGGTTCCGCCGCAACGCTTCGCACCCACCCCGCCAGACGTTAAGGCGGACCGGCTTGAGTCGCTCATGAAATGGGAGTTGCACCTTTCGGCATGGCTATCACGATTTCGTTTTTGGGACTCGCACTACGGCATTCCTCCGCATACAACTTTTATTCGGCATTCTACATCTCCACATCTCTTCGCTTCTGACCTTTCGGACTTTCTCCATTACCCCGACCAAACCCATTCCTCTTTGGTGCCGGTGTTTAATTCTTCCACTACCATTCTCCGGGACCCAGCGCGGGCGCTCAGCTCCCTTCGGCAATGACGCTTTGATATTGCGATATCAAACCAACACACAATCCCCGACCAGCTCACGCGGCCACACGATGATCTGCAGGCCCTATCGCAATGCAGGGGGGGGGGGGGCGCCGCATCTCCGATGATGCTATCAGTTGTCATCAGCTTCCCCACCGCGGGCCACTTATCTTCCAACCACCAGCCTTGTCCGCATCCAACCCCGCAAGGGTGATGACGACAAGACTCACTGAACGTTCGGTTTCATGTGGTCGGCCAGGTGCAGCCTTGGATCCTTCGATCCACAACAAATGTCAATGCGTCGTCCGAAACCCTGAACATCATTTGATGGACTCGCATTACTTAATCCTTTTTCTCTTTTCCACATTCTGCTTTTCTGGCTATCCCATCTTGATTGTTATCATCACATCGGGGGTCTGAGCTTTATCTGAATCAACGGCATGTATAATAGACTTAATATACCCAACGGCATCTCACAATTCTTGCCTGCGCTTTGACATCGCGAATGAGATCATCAATTCTTCTTTTACCCAATTATCTACTACTTTCATATCCAACTGTACTCGTAACCGTAAAGGTACCCATCTCCTGATAGCTAGCTACATTGTATGCATCTGCCTGCTTGAGGTCATAGATATGTGAGCCTGCCAACAAGCAAATACGCAGTCGGGCAAGGATCTACCTACTACTTCCTGGTACCGTACCGTACTTACACCCCGTTAAGCGGCGGCGCAATGCATGATTCAATAGTGAGGTGATCCCTGTCCCTGTCCCTGTCCTAGTCCCTGCCTTTCCCCTCAATTCCCCCCCTCCAGATCGAGTAATCAGATAGCGCGACATTCTGCCCAAACGATGACTCGATCATACGGTGATCCAAGCGAAACAATACTCCGCCTTTTTCTCTCCTCCCGCGCGGCCCAGACTATCTACCTTATCAGTCTGCACTTTTTTTTTTTTTTTTCTTTCGTTCGTCTATGTACGGAGTACTCCGTACAGTAGGTACTTACCCCCGCTGACCGCAAAATCAATAGTCTGGCGAGTGGCACCTCACGTATACGCTATAATCAGTCAACTATGCCTACTCATTACTAAGTATGTAAATAGCATATCCGGGCCCGTCCCGGGTGGCGCACCCTGATACGATGCTCCGGGGGGGAAAGGGGAAGAGCGCATTACTGCCACCACTGACGCCTTAGCTTGAGTGATTAGTTATCGGTCCGATTACGACACTGTAGAAATAGTTAGTTAATGGGTTGTGCCTGAGTTCCGGACAGTACGGGAAATGTGAGATGAAGTAATCTAATCTCGCAACCGGCAACGGCCACATGCACTCCCACTATCTAAGTATCTATCGGGCTGGGCTGCATAAATACTTACCGATGTGGGAGCAGCAGAACAGGACCAGACAGGACAAGGCTGGCTGGACTTGACTTTAGACCGATGCGGATATGCCTGACGATAAGGCATAGCCATCCATAGCCATGGATGGATGGGAGCAATGACTGCGAAGATAACGCAATCAAATCGTGTTTCCCCCTCTCCCCAGTTGTCAGTGTCTAGTCAAACCCTGGACCGGCCCACTCCGTCCGTGCCTTCTGTCTTGATTGCAAGCCGTGGGTTTGACGGGCAGACCCCGTATTCTGTTCCCTGTTTCCCGCTGTCTGATAAACACCACCTATCTACTGAGACTAGATCAACCACCAAGGGGGTTAGGATGGGTGTCCGATCGCAGGTCAACTGACCAGGCCCGTCCGTACCTGTACCTGTAGTTACCTGTCGGAACTCCTCCGCTCAAGAGTGAAACTCAGATGCGGTCTGCCCATGGACATGGGTCTAGCTGAGGTAGATACCGGATCCGGTGTCAGGGACCTTGTCATGCCATGAGCCATGTGCTGGATTGTATGGCCCCCGATGCTTAGAGGTTGGATGGAGGCGATGATGCTAAGGAAATTAAGGCCGACCTCGTGTGTCTAGCGTCTGCCCGTCATTCTTCCTTTCTGCAGAGACGCCCCCTCGTTTGATTCGATGAGAGCGAGGGGAATAGCGATCATCTGAGCTACGACATAGTATCTAGCATCTAGTAACTAAGTAGTATCTGGTATCTGCACGACGGAGTGTTACCGTGGGCATGCACTATGTACTCGGTGCTATCATCTCATCTCATCTCATCTCATCTCGTTGGCATGGCATGGCATGTAGGGACCCGACACGGTACTAGAAAATCGCTCATACTCCTGTCCTGTACCCTCTCCTCATCCCCTCCTTTAATGAGGGGTCGATAACCCGAACTGAAACCCCCGGCAGTGTACAGCGATTTAATTTACCTGAAAAGAGAATAGGCCCCTAAGGATGGAGCCTGCAACGTCGCTAAGGCAGATACTCCGTACAACCCCCCCTCATCCCCCAGCTCTCCTGTAACTGGCACCAGAACGTCATTCCTCCTGGTATCTACTGTATCTGTTGCACTGGCCAGTCGCACCAGCCATCTGGATCAGCAGCATCGCAAAGGTTCCCCTTCTGGTATCTCACCTGTAGGAACGAGTACTGTACGGAGTACAAGCGGTGGAGAATCATGCCTGCCTGAGGCCCCCACCGTCTCCGCCATTCCGCCCAACCAACACGTGATGGTACCCGTCGAACAACGCAACCTCCATCCGTCAGGCCATCGACAACCGCCCAGAAGATAAAAAAGATGGTTCTGGAACTCCATGTCTGGGGTCCGGCGCTTTCGTTGCCGTCCATCGATGCGCAATGTCTCGCGACCATCGCCTATCTCTCCGTGACGCTCCCCAAGGACGCGTGGGTTCTCGTCGCAAGCAGTGACCCTTCCGTGTCGCCCACTAGTATGTTGACTTACCACTGCTGCTAAGCTACTACCCCATCACCACCACCACCACTACTACTACTTCTTTTTCTCCGAATGCGAGAAGACAACCAAATGACATCGTTACATCTACATGAAACTAACTAATGCGCCCTCGTCGATAGATGAACTCCCCGCGCTCAAAAATGGCTCGACATGGGTGAGCCGGTTCCGCAACATCGCCGACTACCTGCGTCAGTACTCGAACGGCGAATGGGATCTGGACCAGAACCTCAGCGGTCTCGGAAAGGCAGACAACATCGCGTACGCTTCTTCTTTCCCCCAAACCCCGCAGAACAGCAGCACAGTAAACACCCACTGACACTCTACGCTTCGAATAAACAAACAGCTTCACCAGCTTCCTCGAATCCCGCGCCCAATCCCTCCTCGACCTCTCCCTCTACGTCACCAGCCAGAACTACTACGGCAGCACCTCCCCCTCGTACGGTGCGATCCTGCAATGGCCCCAGCAATGGATCCTCCCCCCGCAACTCCACTCCGCCGCCAAGTCCCGCACCGAACACCTGGGCCTCTCCTCGCTGGACCTGGCCGCCATCGAAGAGCAGCGTCAGCGTGACCACTCCGCCGCCGTCGCCGCCGGTCACGTCCCCAAAAACCTGGTCCCGCGGCCCCGCGACACCGTCTCCGGCCTCCTCGGTAAAACGACCCAGCAGAACCAGTTCCGCCTCGAGGCGCTGACAGGCGAGCTGTTCGACGCCCTGGAGGAGATCCTCGCCGGGAAGGACTTCTTCCTGCATACCCGGGACCAGGGCGGGCCCACGAGTCTGGACTGTCTGGCGCTGGGGTACTTGAGCTTGGCGCTGGTGCCGGAGTTGCCGAACTCGTGGCTCAGAGATGCGATGAAGAGTAAGGCGCCCGGCGTGACGGGGTACACGGAGCGATGGGTCAAGGACATCTTTGGCGTCGTGGAGTTGCAGCATGCGTTTAGTCCGGATGCAGCGTCGGGGTCGGTGTCGATTCTGCCATGGCGCGTGCCGGAACGCGCGCGTTTGGTCACCGTCGGGAATACCCTGTTCAATGCGCTGGCGGATGCGACGCCGATCTGGAAGGATATCCGGTTGAATAACCGGGTCAAGGAGGTGGTGGAGGCGGATGACTCCGGGTTGTCTGGGGTGGAGAGGACATCGTACTCCGCACTGATGAAGGGTCAGAACAAGGATGTCTGGCTGTCGGTGGGTGCTGCGGTTGGGGCTGTGGCGACGTTAGTCGGGTATGTCACGTATGCCGGGATGTTCAGTTCGAAGGAAGAGCAATATGAGGAGGAAGCGGGAGATCAGACTCAAGAGGAGAATCATGGACCCGGGCTTCCCGAGCAGCCACTGCAGGCGGCGGATTTTCTCAAAGGGTTTTAGGGGGGTTGAGGTAGTGAGCGTCACACCGAAGCCGGAGAGGATGGCAGGGTAGGGAGTTAGGTAGCTGTAAATGTACAGTAGTGTATACTATGGATTCGCTTTACTTTTATATCACTGTTAACCGTACACAATAGGATGTCTATACGACCACCGACAGACCAACCCGGACTCAGCCAGTCATGGACTAACAATATATCTACATCCAGACAACTTGCGCATTAGATCGATTGACATCTACTAGTCTCGCTACGGAGGACTCAGACCATAGAGAAAGAGCAAGCCGCGAATAATCTTCCACACGAGATACTTTGGATTCCATGCACTGGAAACTTTCTTCACTAGGCACACAGTACATATACGTCAGCCAACTTGATACCCACCTAAGAGGACTGCTAGGTTTGACGGACTAGAAAATATGTATTCACCCGGAAATTGCTATGAAAGTAGTATCTGGCTATGGGGGACTTTGAATGTCGAGGTTTTATGGTAAATGCCTCATCTACCTATCTACCTACCTATCTAGATATGTCAGTTAAGGGTTCTATGTAGACAGACTCCTTAGTTAACACTATCGAATCGAATCCGTACCTAGTATATCAATATTAGGTACGGTACTCGAGGTGTCAAGATCACGTACACTCTACCTATCATAACTACGTAGGAAGATAAGCAGGTAGGAAGGAAGGTAGGGAGGTAGATAGTTCCCACACCGTGACCCCAAAGAATCAATGATGCAACATGGTGCACCTTTCTCACCTACTAGGTAGGTAGAAGCCCAAACAATGGAAAAATGTGGCCTGATACCCAGCTTTATACTTACCCACTCACCCCATCCATCCATAACACAAACAAACAAACAAACAAACAAACAAACAAATAAATAAAGAAGCTTGAATCAGACACTAGATCGTATAATTCCCTTCCTTCCTTCCTTCCCTATCTAGTACCTACCTAACTATTCCCCTAAGCCCTCTCTCTGCCCAGTCCTCTAATTGCCCACCAGGCTACCTACCTATCTACCTACTTACCTACCAAGCTACAAACAACTTCCCTTCCCATACATAGTATAGTATATCCTATCTATATTTCACACAGATGGCGGATACGAATATACATTACATCCATCCCCCCCTCCCGCCTCAAATTAGATCATTCATTCATAACTCCGACTCCGATCATACTAGTAACTCATAAGATAAATATAGTAGTAGTAGTAGTAGTAGTAGTAGTAGTAGTAGTAGTAGTAGTAGTAGTAGTAGTAGTAGTAGTAGTAGTAGTAGTAGTAGTAGTAGTAGTCTACTTATGTGTATGGGCAGGTCGGGGGAGGGGAAGGGAAGGAAAGGCTATAAATATAGTAAATATAGTTAGACCTTGGATGGGATTGGATTGACTTGGCCTGGCTTAGGATAGCTTGATTACCCAGGTTGGCTTTTCGGATGTTCTTCTGAAATGGGAATTGGGTGAGTTGGTCCGGACTCTGTCGTTAATAGAACGAAGATGGTCCGTGGGGTGGAGGAATAGAAAGGAATGAATGAGGAAATAAGGGAGCGGGGATATTACCCGGGAGGAGGGAGGAGGGATTGGGTGGGTGGGACAGGAGGGACGAATAGTTTGGATAATGTCAAGTGATTAGTTAGTTATAGGAGCGTTGGACATGTGTAGCCTGCAGAGGTGCAGATGGATATTATAGTAGATACTAAATAGACAGAATATTGTAGACTCAAATCAAATTAAATGATCTGAGACATTAGACGGGCACTATGGGTACTCTACAATCGATGAGACTAAAAGTCCCACTACAACAGTAATAAAGTAAGTAACATATTATTTACTATGGGTGAAGGAAACAATTGGACATAAACAGCATGTGGTATATGTATGTACAGCCGAACAGACAAGCAAGTAAATCCTTAAAGTTGGACGTGCCATAGTGACTGCAAGGGCCGGACCGGCAATGTAACCCTCACTTCCGCTGCGAGGGATTGGATTTGTCCGTCTCGACTCACGAGGACCCATTACAGGCTTTGCACACAACAAACACCCCCAACCCCAAGCCAATCTTACCGAATTGAATATCCGAGAGAGAAGCAAAAGAAACAAAAAGAAATTGCCACCGCGGGCCAACGTCTAAGCGGAGTAGTCGATGCTGACCTCCAGACGGACGGGGCCGGAGCTGCAGGAGCCACCGATGCCATCGGCAGAGGCGAGGTTGGCAGTGTAGGCGTTGATCACGTCGGCCGCCGAGGTGGTGATACTGGAGCAGCCGCTGCCGGTGTGGGAGCAGATCTTCATACCCTGGACATCCTGGTTGGCATTCTGGGCCTGGATGGCAGACACATCCCAGCCGGACCAGCCGTCGTTGCTGGTGTTGGCAAAGTCGAATTCACCCCAGGTGCAGGAGTAACCGCCGTACTCGTCAGTGGGGAGCTTGTCACCCTTGGCGGCACCCCAGCCACCCTGGGAGTCGTCGTCGAAAGCAATGTACTTGGTCTCGCCGGAGGCGACGGTGAGGGTCAGAGCAGAGTTGCCGTACCAGCCGTTCAGGCCACCATCGGGACCGATCTTGTTCCAGAACACGACGGTCCAGTCGTCGGTCTCGCTGCCGTCGATACGGACGACGTTCTTGTACTCGCAAGCATTGTCGGCGGTGACCTCAATGATGTTGCTACCCCAGGGAGAACCGACGTTGCCGGTGTAGTAGATGGCGTTGGTGGTACGCTTGTCGAGGGGTGAGACGTCACGCTTGCTGACGGTGGACTTTCCGAAGCCAGCACGGGAGTAGTCACCGCTGGACTGGGTGTCGGTCCAGCTGGAGCAAGAGCCCGAAGCAGTGACCGGGGTGGAGCTGGCGGTGGGCACAGCAGAGACGGAGGCGACGACGGAGCTGGCGACAGTCGCGCCGGTAACCTCGGCCTCGAAGGATTCAGTGGTAGCGAAGGACTCGACCTTGGTCGTGGCCGCAACGCCAGACCATTCGTTGGTCCAGGAGACCTGGACGCCGTCGATGGTAGCGATGACGATGTCACCGACAGCACGCTTCTCATCGTGGTGGGTGTGGCGGCGCTCATGGCCGTGCAGGCGGGCGACGGAGGAGCCAGCCGTCAGCGCCGCAACCAGAAGCATGGAGTTCTTGAGCTGCATCGTGAAGTGTTTGTATTGATTGGGCTTTCAAAGCGGAATCTGTGACAAGGGTGCTTCAAACGGGAGGGGTATCAACGCAGTTTTATCAACAAACGGTCAACAGGCCGGGAGACACGCAGTCAATCAATAGAGAGTGTGGATTGGACTGATAAAGAGTGACAAGAGCAATGACCGCACAACAATGCTCTCAACCTGAAACGACCACAAAGGAGCGTGAGGCGTGTACCCGGGAAGGAGAGAGATGAGAGAGAGAAGGGAGGAGAAGGCGCAAGGATGGGCAGGCGAGAGCACATAAAAGGAAGTGGAAGGCCTCGCCGGGAGCGTAGGGACGGTGCCGGCCAGGCACAACACTTTGTCTCCTTTCACCTTTCACAGTATCCCGCAGGACCCGTAATTGGATTTCATTAAATTAAAAGGGGGGCGATCAGGGGAGAACCCGAGTTTTCGACGCTGCCATTGGCTGGAAGTGAGCAACGGTTCCTGAGCCTGCCGTTTGGCGCGCCGACGCCGGGCAGCCATTGGCGGACAGCCCCACCTGGGGCGGCGGTCGAGACTCACCATCCCTGGGCAGCCCCGCCGATCTTGCCTGTTCCACGGTACCGTACCGTACCAGATATCAAGGTTTGGCGACATGGTTTCCTGTGCCTGGTACCTTACAGCTGCATCTTTGGCCTACACCGTCAATTGATACAGCTATGGCCTCGAATCGGAGGGGAAGGAAGGCCCCTGGATGCAACTACCACCGCTGATGGATATTACCCGACGTCTGGGATGATTATGATCAGTGGCACACCGCACGATGAGGTGCGATTGATTAGATGCAGGGCGTCCAGCTGGAATGCTGCCCGATCGCAAGAATTCAACCACAAAGTCTATCGAGTTGCTTATTGATACGTCACGCTGGCACCGTCGTATAGATTCTCTCTATCCTGTGTATAGTTATATTTTATGTATAAACAACGGCTGAAGTGCGGCCATGAGTTCATTTCATCCTTCGGATGCCGGCCTCGATACCGTTATACAGGACTACACCCAGGCCTCGCCACGTCAGGCCCCACGTTGGACAGTGATTTCATGCGATGAATCGCCAATGGACGCAGGCCAGACGGAGAGATGGGGAAGCGAAGTGGACTGCGAGGAATTTCTCGCATCCACCTCTTCTGCGCAGGGCTGCGAGTTGCCTGGAGACTTGCCTTTAGCTTCGTGCGTGGACCAATCGATACCGTAATTTTTGGTATCCCCTCTGCCTGGCCGTCGTAAGCGCAGGACCCTCAGGGTCTTCCCCCCCCCCTCAGTCCCTGAATGCCACCACTTAATTCCAACCCTTCCGCGCCGCCGCGGACCCTGAAAACCCCCAAATCCAGGGATCGCGGGAACGACTTTGGGGGTTTGGCGTGGTGGTGGACAGAAATCGAGAACAAGAATGAATGTATTCAGGCCTGCGGGTCGCTAGAGTTTAGAACAGCGACAATCCGGTAATCTACAGCCCGTGTCCGAGTCCACCAACTGTCATTGCCTGCTGTTGGCCCGTGACTGACGAGAACTGGGTAACGATAGTCGATTCGTTATCCACCGAGCTGTGCGACCGTCCGGATCTGTGCGGCCTGACTTTGACCTGAGTTTTGACTCTTGACTGTGTGCTGGAGAGTACGGAGTACACCGTGCTGCGATTTAGTCTGCCCCGTCGGAAATTGGCCTGTACGCACCAGACGAGGGCAGCACTGTCATACTTCCCCATCACGTAAATAAACAGTGTTTCCTTGGGACTTGGTCCCATGGACGTCCTAGCCGGGGCCGAGTTCTTCAGCGGAAACGAAATTGCATCTGCCTCGGCATCACCTGACCGTTTCCCCCTGATGGCCTGATCTTGACGGACTCCTTTTCGGCCTGTGAGAGTCCAAATTTAGAGCTCTGCTGCCCTGATTGAGCGGATACTATTCCTGTCGGGGCGAGCGACTCGTAAGCTTCAATTTGTTTCGGATGATCCGCCGTGGATGGCCTGACTCAGCAGCCTCCCAGAGGGGTTAGCTCCGCTGCCCCCGGATTAAAGCGGCATCCCGGCATCGATCGAGCCTCGAGAGATCTCTCGTCGCCTCTTTCAATACTACCTAGTTACTATTGTTTCAAGACGAACTTATATTGCGTTGGATTGTTGCTGCCTGATATTTACAAATCCATCTGGATACGGTGGACAGGGCCAGTTCAAAACTACTTCAAGTCCACGCCCCCGTCAAATGCCGCCCCGCCGGCCTGCGCATCGACCTTCATACTCTCGTCCAGACCGCACTCCCGGAAGAGCATTTGTGGCGTCATCTCTTTGTCTAGCCCGGGGATCCCGTCTACTTTCAACTTTTCCATCGCCTCACGCATCGCCGCACAGGCAGGCCCCAGTGCCGCAAACGGGAAGATGATGATACGGAAGCCCATCTCCTTGGCCTCCGCCGCGGAAATGGACGGCGTCGCTCCATGCTCGACCATGTTCAGCAGCAGCGGCCACGGCGCCAGGTCCTGCACCACCTGCCGGGCCATCTCTCTGGACGTGATGCCCTCCAGGAAACCCACGTCCGCGCCAGCATCCCGTGCCGCGCGCAGTCTAGCCACACTCTCCTCATAGCCGTGGGTCTGTAGCGAGTCTGTCCGTGCAATCACTACGATGTCGCTGCCGATCCGTTGCCGAGCCTGCACTGCTGCCCGAATCCGCGTCACATATGTGTCCTTGTCAACGAGGATCTTGCCTGACAGATGTCCGCAGCGCTTCGTCTGCACCTGGTCCTCCAGGTGGAAAGCGGCCACTCCAGATCGGGAGTATTGCTCCGTTGTGCGCGCAACCATGATGGGACCGCCGTAGCCGGTGTCTGCGTCGGCAATCACGGGGGTGCTGGGGGAGATGTTGGAGATCATTTCGGCGTTGGCACGCATGTCGTTGAGGGTGCAGATTCCCAGGTCCGCTTGACCGTGGACTGAGGCAGCTGTACCGGCACCTGTCTACAAAACAAGTGAGCCGACTGACTGGTGGACGGGCTGGCTGGCGATGATCTGGTGAGTTGCCACTTACCATGTACAGAGCATCGAAGCCCACCGAAAGGGCGATTCGAGCCGAGAGTCCATCGTATACGCCCGGGGCGACGACAAAAGACTTGGGGTCTTCGAGGGCCCGTCTAAGGGTGGTGGCTGCGGTTACCATAGGCATGACAGATGGATGTAGAGGTCAGAAGCGTATAATCGTAGTCTTCTTTCGGGAGGGGTTGTCGATGACGTCTAGACAACCTTGTCGAGGGTGAGGGATGGCTTTATAGGACAGCCGCACAGTTTGAAGTTTGACAATGTCGCCTCACTCCGGCACTCAGATGTTATTCTGCTACAGGACTAGAAACCTGCTTTTGCATCTGATCCGCGCGTTATGGAGAATTTAAGGCGACTCAACCGACATCGGCGAATGTTAGGTAATCTTTCGGGATTGACTCGGGGTTTGCAGCACCCTGACTCGATGGGCGATCATGTCGGTGAAGAGTGAGAGTCAACGATCAACGATCCATTATCTGAACAATTGGGGGGGAAAGGGTCAATGTTCCATGTAGCATCGTGGGATAGATATAGTTACTACTTTGGCAGCTACTAGTACAGTGTAAGTACTCGGCAACTTGCAGGGATCCTCCCCGGCATTCCGCCGCAGGTGATCGTCGGCTTTTTCTGCCGGAGCTCCAAGCCTCACAACGTCCGAACGTCAATTCCGCTTCCGCTTCGTCTTCTCCCCGCCGCGCCATTTCGCCTCCACAGTCCACATCCGCGCAAGAATGATCTGAGAAGCCTCTCTCCTACCATCCAGTCGACCTACCTCACTCTTCTCGTCATACCTCCAGATCCATCCCCATGGCCCGCTCCGCCATCGTCCAAGAATACGCTCCTCCTCCGTCCGCCACGCCCACCTTCTCCGTCGACCGCAAAGTCACCCACGAGCGCCAACAAAATGGCATCGTTCGTCCCAAGGGCTATCGCGTCTCGTGGCACGCCAACCCGGCCGTCGAACCGCACCACTTCGGCCAGTCGCACCCCATGAAGCCCTGGCGCCTGACCCTCACGAAGCAGCTCGTGATGGCCTACGGCATGCACCACGCGATGGATCTCTACCTGGCGCGCGCAGCCACCTACGAGGAGCTGGCGGAATTCCACAAAACCGACTACCTCGACTTCCTGCAGCAGATCATGCCCGGTGACATGGAGAACCCTGAACAAACGGAGAACGTCGCGCGCTTCAACTTCGGCGACGATTGCCCCATCTTCGACGGCCTGTACAACTACTGCTCCCTCTACGCCGGCGGCACCATCGACGCCGCCCGCAAGCTCTGCAACAACCAGTCCGAGATCGCGGTCAACTGGTCCGGCGGTCTTCACCACGCCAAAAAGGCCGAGGCCAGCGGCTTCTGCTACATCAACGACATCGTCCTCGGCATCCTGCAGCTCCTGCGCCTCCACCCACGCGTCATGTACATCGACATCGACGTCCACCACGGCGACGGCGTCGAGCAAGCCTTCTGGTCCACGGACCGCGTCCTGACCGTCTCCTTCCACAAATACGACAAGGACAACTTCTTCCCCGGCACCGGCTCCCTCGACAGCACGGGGCCCACGCACCCGCTCAACCCGGGCGCGCACCACTCCGTCAACGTGCCCCTCCACGACGGCATTGACGACGAATCCTACATCCAACTCTTCCGCGAGGTCGTCGGCTCCTGCGTCGACGTCTACCGCCCCGGCGCCATCGTCCTGCAATGCGGCGCTGACTCCCTGGGCTGCGACCGTCTCGGCTGCTTCAACCTCAACGTCGCCGCCCACGGCGCCTGCGTCGCTTTCGTCAAAACCTTCAACCTCCCCCTCCTCGTCGTCGGCGGCGGCGGCTACACCCCCCGCAATGTCTCCCGCGCCTGGGCCCACGAAACCTCCATCCTCATCGACGCCCAGGACACCATCGACCCCCACATCCCGGAGACCGTCACCTTCCGCAACCACTTCGGCCCGGATTACTCCCTCTTTCCCCCGCTGTCCGAGATGCGCAAGCTCGAGAACAAAAACCCCCGCACATACCTCGCCGGCCTCGTCCAGTCCATCCACGAACAGCTTCGCTACATCCAGGGCGCCCCCAGTGTCCAGATGAGCGTCATTCCTCCGGATATCCTGGGTCTCCGCGAAGACACCGAGAAGGAGATCGAAGAGGAAGCCAACCTCGCGGACGAGGAGCGCGAAGAGCAGTCCGGTGGCGGAAGCCTGGGGAAAACCAGTCGACGGAGAGACCTGGAGCGCGGGCTGGGACAAGGCGGGGAAGCGTTCTGATTCTTGGAGTAGAGTGTGAGTGTGCATGCATGCATGCATGTCTGTCTGTCTATCTGTGTTAGCTTATTTGGGCTTGGGCTTGGGCTTGGGCTTGGGTTCGGTGTTGGGTGCGTTGGGTTGGTTTGGGTTGGCGTTCAGGTCGGTCGGACTTCTTACTTTACATTTCTTTGTTGTTGTCCTTTCTTTTTGTTTCGTCTGGTTTGCTTTTGTGGATGGGAGAAATATACTACTACTACTGCTGCTGCTGCTGCTACTACTGCTACTACTACGACTACTACACCGAGTCATTGATATCCATATCCATACGTTGTCTATCGTGTATGATAATTGGGACTGTTGTTGTCTGTCTATTCTATATTCTATTCCATCTCTGGTATGAATGTATGATCCTGAGTGCGAAGTACGCAGACGCAGTGTTGATAGCTGAATGATAGATAGTAGCCGCTGATCTGATGGCTGATCTGATGGTTGATGGCTGATGGCTGATGGCTGATGGCTGTCCGTGGATGTACCGTACCGTGTGTGGGTGCCAGGTGGGTGCGGAGAAGTGGACCTTTGAGTTGACGTTGTTTCTGCTGACTTTCTGCACATCAGTCAGTCATAATAATGGAGCGTTTCAGGATGGTGCGTATTTCTGGTGGATGAGGCTGAAGTTTGGGATTGGAGGTATTCGTACTGTAAATTCAGACTTGGTTTGGCAGGTTAAGTGGGATGGACTGGTAAGGGATGGTTATGGCATGGCATGGCTACTACTATATACCTATGGATGGATGGATGGATAGATGGATGGATGGATAGATGGATGGATGGATAGATGGATGGATGGATGGATGGATGGATGGATGGATGGATGCTATGCTATGCTATGCTATGCGATGTCTACAATTACGACTACAACTTCATCTGTAGATTACCATCAGTGATGGGGAAATTCCTCTCGTGTTTGTGTGGAGTAGTTATTCCGTTTGAATAATACATTATCCCTATGTACTCCGTACTACTCCGTAGGTGGAGATTTCTAGCAATATGATATGATATGATCTGTAGTGTAGTAGCATCACGCGCATCACGCGCATCACAGTAGCACAGCAGCACAGCACAGCACAGCTAAATGGCCTCTCTTTTCTATGCACGTTCTTCTTCCCACTCACAGCCAAGCCAAAGTCCACAGCGCCGGCAAATGCGGCCACTTGGCCTGCCAGTCCGCGAGAATCTCGGGCACCCTGGCATCGAAATTCCTCCTCGCCTCGCCAACGCCATTCTCCCAGCCATCGGAGCCACTGACCCTCCTCTCGGCAGCCGCGGCCTCGTTCAACCGATTCGCCAGCTCCAGAATCGCCTTCCCGCCCACCAGCGCCTCCTCGTGATTATCCTTGATATCGACATTAAAGACATGCACGGGCCGATTCAACGGTGACCCCTTGTTCATGAGATCGTCGACGACCGCGTCCCAGCAGCGCTCCTCGCACGTGATGATCACATCCACCACGCCGCCCTCCGTCCCCAGCGCGCCCTTGTCGCCCTTCGACACGTGCTCCACGCGCGGCATCCCCGGCACCCAGTCCTGGAACCGCTCCGGGCCCCATTTCAGGTTCCGGTTTCGTTCCAGCATGTTCAGCAGCCCGTTGTTGCGGTACAGCCGCTCGTCTTTGCCGTACAGCTCATCGTACATCTGGCTGTAGCTGGTTGTGTTGAAGTTGTACACGTTCGGTTGCGTGATGCTGGGCCCCGGGAGGCGCACTAGCGACCCCGTCCCGAATGAGATTACCGGGTACGGCGAGGAGGCGGTCGAGAGCCGCAGGTGGGCTTCCATCGACCGGTTTTGGTTCGACGCGCATACCGTGCAGAAGCGGAGTTTCGGGCTGTCGGGGTTGTTGGTGTTGTTGTTGTTGTTGGGGAGAGGGAGAGCGCTGGCTTCGCGGGAGGCCGGCTCAGTAGATGTGGAGGTGGAGTTGGAGTTGGAGGAGTGGGTGGGTTGGGGTATTGAGGGGGCATTGTTGTGGTTGTAGTGGTGGTAGTGGTGGTGGTGGCCTCGAGGGGTGGTGGGGGTGGAGGTGGAGGAGTCGCAGTGCCTGCACTGGATACCAGTCGGGGGTCGTAGGCCATGATCGCTTAGGTGGGTTGGCCGGTGTTTGTTGGGTTTGTTGGGTTTGTTAAATAGGTGGTTGGATTAGGGGGGGGGAATCAAGGAGGTTGGAAGGTGTGTTCACTGGGGCCCTGTATTAACTACTGAGGATTAGAATCCGCGGCAACAGCTTGAAATCGATCCAAACAAACAAAGGGTTGGGGTTTGAGGCAGATGTCAGAATAAAAAAGCGTATAATGAATTTATCCGCATAATGTGCTCGGACAGCTCCAATAATAGAGTTCATCATGCTGCTGCGTGGCTAGGAGCCTAGGAGGGTATCGGAGGAAGGGGATGTGATGTGCATGCATACATACCTTGCAGGAGCCTCTCATCCTCTGTGGTTCATTTACGCGGGTCTGTCTACTGATGTGGAGGATGGACGGGTCTTGTAAGAATAGTGAAGGGCCGCAGCCCTGGGTTGACAACGTGAAGAAGTTTGCCGCCGCCCGGCGATTTCGCGCCGGCTTTTGTGGTCATGTGCGCTGACTCAGCGGCACTCGTGCTACACCCGATCGGGACAGCTCGTGCGACAGCGGATGGTGGACCGTGGACGGCCTCAGGCTCAATACCGGCGGACTGGGAGCAAAGCGGATGGTACGGAGGCAGGCAAGACGTAGAGAATTACCTATTGCTGGAGTCGAGGCCTTAACCACCACTCCCCCGTGATTCACAAGTCATTCGTGTTCATTCCCTTGATAAGAATAACATGGCCGTCAATCCCTTCTGGAACGGGCAGCGGGGCCTTATAGTCTTTCTGCATCAATAACTCATCGCCACCACATTCCGCACACGGACTCCATAATAGTATCTATTGACCGACTCGACTCGACTGGACTGGACTAAACTCTACAGTTCTACGAAGCACGCGCCCTCCGCCTCATCTTTATCTTCTTACCTGTCATCACCTTCCCCGAAATATAACCCATGTCCTACGCCCAATAATCCCGTCTTCTTCCTACCCGTCCGCCCGTTCCCCCCCTCCCCCCGATCGTCATGTCCACCGCCGCAACCTTCACCACCATCGACGGGAGGCTTGAATCCCCCGACGTGAAAGCCTCCACGCTCCTCTCCTCCGAACCCCTACCCTACTGGAACGTCAATGTGCCGCTATCCCAGCGGACGGCCGACTGTCCCAGCTATCTACGCGACCTCTCGTCCAAGAATATCGAGATCCTGTCGACCCCTGACGAGGAGTACCAGACACAGGGGTGGGAGCTAGCCAAAGAGATCGTTCGTATGTGGGTGTGAAGTGTGAAGCCGTGCGTCAGGGGGCGGGTGTTCGGTCTGCTAACGGCGCGGGCAGGGACTAACCGCATTGATCGGTTCCAGCGACTGCCCAGCGAACTGCGGCGGTATCTCGAGTTCAAGGAGCGCATCGTCGCGGAGCATGGCTCGATCATGCGGTTTGTGGTCAAGGAGCGATTGCGCTGGGGGGAAGGCACGGTCGAGGATCTGAGGCCGAAGGGGAGGCCGTTTGAATGCGATGGTTCGTTTGCTTCCTTATCTCGGGGTGATGGTGGTGAGGTTTGAGATCAACGGGTGTGCTAAGGGAGGCTGTGACGGTTAGAGGACATCCGAATTCTATACAACGACTGGCCGTATGGCATCGAAGAGGATATCGTCCATCTGGTGGTGTGGACGAAATTCGAACTGGAGGATGACCCGGTCACGGATGACTTGACGCCACGCGCGCGACAGGAAATCGAGGAATATGTGCACCGGACGTTTTGCTCGCGGGTGCCGGCGGATCAGGTATGTGAAGAGGAATCCTTGGGGGGGGGTGTTGGTTTTGTGGCTGCTAATTGGGATGGGGATACAGGTCATCTGGTTTAAGAACTGGAAGTCGCTCAAGTCGGTGCATGCCGTCGAGCATTTCCATGTCATGCTGCGTCATCCCGATGCGGCATTCCTGAGGGAGATCACCGGCGGCGATGCGCCCCTGGGACGCCTGGAACTGTGACGACCGTGACGTGATGGTCACGTTGCGATGTGTACACTGGATGGTGACATACACACAGCAGTAGCATGTAGATAGAAGATCTGAAGAATAATACTCGCCATTATAGACGGCGAGATCTCCTTCGCCCTCCCTGGCCCGGCCTGGCAGGCAGGCAGGCAGGCAGGGTCGAGGGCATCTCGTCTGGCATCTGTCATCCCCACCGCCAAGGCTGCTGCCCCTCCAGGCTGTTGCACTCTGAGTCTGCGCACCACCACGGCGATCCAGAGGGGGGACGAACCCCTAGCATGAAGCAGCGAAAGGCCCCGGCCGGTATAGATAGATGATATCTGTCTAGCACCCCGTATTAGCATCCCCGGTCGCTCGCCCTCTGGGACCCCGTTTGGCCACCGTGATGATCGCTGTTTCATCCAGAAGGGCGAGCGAGGCGACGGAATCAAGGCAGTCCATCCATCAACGTCATTCACATCCCATCGGTATAAATATCCCATAGGCAACACCTCACCGTCTTTTGTGGACGTTTGTAATCTTCAGTATCCACCTCTCTCAACAATCGGGGGCCACTTTCACATGCTTGGAGTTTGGAGGGCATCCCTGACGGTTGAATTCCCTCTTCAGCGCATCGGTTGGGGCGCAGGAACCGACCGGACGCGACTATTTGCGACTATCCCATCGCTTGATTAAATTTGATTGACCCCGTTTAAATCCAGCGACAACCACCTTCCATTCGGATACGAAGATATTTGGAAGGGAAAAAAAAAAGTCACAGGGAAAAGACAGGGCTGAATCGAACAGGCCCCAAGTAATCCAACCATCATCTCCCACACCCCTTCTCTCATCCGGATAGATCCCTCGATCTCTTCCATCCTCAACCACGGATCCGACCAGAAGAATGCCCATCTCCGTCCCGCACATCCACCGGCGGTCGTCGCTCACCAGTGAGTTTCAACCCATCACTGTTCGCTGGAGGGAGTGACTAAGAGGCGTTGTTGCTGCTGTTGCTGCCGTCATCCGGGCTGGAACTGCTTCCCCTCCCACGTCATCCCCTCTGCGCTCTGCTGCTGCGTTGCTTCTGCTGCTGCCTCCAGAACAGTCCGCTTCGTTCCCCTCCTTCTCCTCTTCCCCTCCTGCTCCTCCTCTTCCTCTGCTCTCCGCCTCCTTCCTCCCACCAACTCCCCCGACCCTCTCCGCTCCCTACCATCATGTCTGCTGACTGGGGCTCGTTTTTCCATTCTTCAGGCAATCGTTCTCACGATGAGAATAAGGCTGACCCCGTGAGCGGGGACGACGAGGTCGTCGAGCCCGACCAGGGAAATGGTATGTCGCTTACTCCGAAATCTTCCAAAAAAAAAAAAAAAAAAAGAAGAAAAATAGAATGGACCAAAAAAAAATGAAACAACAAAAAAAAAGGCAGATACCACTCTGCTGCATCATGCACGCCTGCTAACCTCCTGCAAGTCCTCTCCCACATTATCTCACAGCTCCGACCGGGAGCCGACCTCAGTCGGGTCGTCTTGCCCACCTTCATCCTCGAGCCGCGGTCCATGTTGGAGCGCATCACAAAGTAGGTCTCTACCCCATATACGCTTCTCCAGAGATGCCGTGGCTAATATTCCGTCTCTTCCGCCTGCAGTTTCATGGCCCACCCCGAGACTTTGCTCCCCATGCCTGCCATCGACGACCCGCTAGAACGATTTGTCTCCGTGGTCAAGTTTTATCTGAGCGGATGGCACATCAAGCCTCCGTACGTTTTCTCCCCTCGTGACTGCTCTGCCTCCCCATCTGTCGGATCGCTGATACCTTCCGCAGAGGAGTGAAGAAGCCGTTGAACCCCATCCTCGGAGAGACCTACACCTGCTACTGGGACTATCCCGATGGCACCCGCGGATACTACATCTCCGAACAGACCTCCCACCACCCTCCCAAGTCCAGCTATTTCTTCATGGCCCCGGAGCACAACATCCGGATAGACGGCACTCTGAAGCCGCGCAGTAAGTTCCTGGGGAACTCTGCCGCCAGCATGATGGAGGGTATCGCTATTCTCCGGTTCCTGAACCGCGGTCAGGATAAGGACAAGGGTGAGCGATAGTATGTGAATCGACCCGTCGCGCGAATCCGACAGCGCTAACATCGCCTAGCATCTTGACGCAACCGAATATGTACGCCCGGGGTATCCTGTTCGGCAAGATGAAGTACGAGCTCGGCGATCACAGCTACGTGCGCTGCCCGGAGAACAACCTGGTTGCCGACATCGAGTTCAAGACCAAGGGCTATTTCTCTGGCACCTACAACGCTATCGGAGGAACGATCAGGAACGAGAAGACCGGTGAGATCTACTACGAGCTGTCCGGTCTGTGGAACGGTGAAATGCACATCAAGGACGTCCATGTATGTGCCATCCCCCGCAGGACAGACGAGTCTTCTAACAGAAACAGACTCACAAGAAGGACCTCCTCTTCAATGCGACGCACGCCAAGCACACTCCCCCATTGACCCGCCCCATGGAGCAGCAGGGCGAGCGCGAGTCGCAGCGGCTGTGGCACAACACCGTCAAGGCCATCATCGCCCGGAACCACGAGGCTGCGACGGATGAGAAGACCAAGATCGAGGACCGCCAACGAGAGGAGGCGGCGAAGCGGGTCGACGAAGGCGTCGAGTGGCACCCCCGGCTCTTCCGGCGGGTGCAGGGTGGGCCCAACGGCCCCGATGAGGGTGAAGAGGACCTGGACTGGATCATCAATGCGCACGTGTAAGTTGTCGCGGTCTCTTCGCGCCGTTCACGGAACTGACATGACACAGCGACCCGCATAACCCCGAGATCGCCGCCCAGCAGATCCTCGCCATTGCGCCGATTCTTGAAGGTCAGAAAGAGCCCTCCCAGTTCCAGATCCCCGCACACAAAGCCAAGAAAAGCGAAGCGGCCTCCATCCCAGCCAACGGCGCTGACACCACCCCGGGTCAGACCAAGAGTGAAGTCGAAGAGGCTGTCGAGCGCAAGGACTCACGCACGGCGGGTATTGACGCCTACGTGGACGCCAAGGAGTAAGGTGCGACTTTCGAAAGCACCAATCGACCGTCATGTCCTCACAATTCGACCTAGAGTGGCGTGAGAGAAAGGGCAGTAAAAATAAAAAAGAAAAAATGGAAAAAAAAAAAGAGAAACAAACACAAAAAGGATATGGTAAGGCAAGGTACGGAATGGAATCGCATCGTGGAACAAGCAGCTCGAGAGTGCATCTCCAATTACGTCACCACCATCCTGACAAATTCGACCCGCCATGCCACCCCCACCATTTCCATCAGATCTATTACACTGGATACCCGATTGATTTTATATTCGAGGCACGCGCGGGACAAAAGTTGAACTCAAGAGGCGGATAGGATAGCAAAGCGGGGAGGGACAGACATATCGAAGGATGCATGGGGTCGGATAGTGGGCTTGCCACCTGCTATCTGGATCTATGTACATCTATCTCATCATCACCATCATCGTCACCATCGTCACCATCTCAGATCAGATCACGACGTGAGTCGGAAACCGGTACAGCTAGCGTTTAGGAGACTGATTGATCGAAATGTGTCTTTAGCATTAATATAGACTAACTATGGTTGTGGATAATACACCGCGTCTTATTTTGACCATCAAACTACAATCAAGTATGGAATAATACCAATAAAAAGTGTGAAGGAATACTAGCAATCAACTAACTATTCATATTGGGGTATCATAACTCGTCACTCAAAACCATAACGAATAGGTAGAGGTAGTAAATCCGCCCAACTAAACTAACCCAACCCAACCCTACCCATAAAAGCAAATAAACCCTACTACTCCTATATAGACAGATAAAATAAATACCTTCAAATCAAGACCCATTCACATCCCCATTCTCATTGCTATTGCCATCCCCATTAGAAGTAGAAGTAGAAGTAAAACCAGAAGAAGAAGAAAAAGAAGAAGAAGAAGAAGAAGAAGAAGAAGAAGAAGAAGAAGAAGAAGAAGAAGAATTGAAAATCCCCTCCCTCCGCTCCGCATACCACCGATCCAAAAACCCCCGTCTCTGCGCCTGTGTCATGCCCTCCACGACGAGCGCAAACTCCGTCGCGTTGGGGAACCCGAACCGCCGCGCCATGCTACAGAACTGGCGTCTCATGACGTCTTCCGGGGGGTGGAATTTGTATTTGATTGATTCGGGGCCTGATGACGATAAGAATGGTATGGATGGTTTTGAGGAGTTTTCTCCCCCCCCTCCTCCTCGGGATTTGGATTTCGATTGGGACTGAGACTGGGACTGGGACTGAGAGCCCTGGAAGACCTGCATGTCGAGGAGTTTTCCGTCGTGGGCGAGTTCGGCGCGGCGACTGAGTCGTTCTTCGACTTTGGAGGAGCCGATGACTTCGTTGTTGAGGTGCGTGTATTCGACGCCGGCGCCGGCGAGGATGGCTTGGATGGGGTCGTGTTTGGGGTTGGATTTGGAGGTGGTTGTGGGGGGGTTGGGTTTCTCGTCTGGGGAAAAGGAGGAAGGGTCGCCGCTGATCATGGCCGCGAGTTGGCTCATGGCTTCGTTGGGGTCTTCTGATTTGGTGGGGAAGGTAGGGTCGGGGTCGATGTCAAGGTCGATGTCCATGACGTGGACGCCGGCTTTGCTTTCGGCGACGTTGGTCTTGTTGACGATGTCGCGGAGGAGGATGTTGTGGTTTTTGTAGCCGAACATGTTGTCGAGGCCGAAGAGCTCGCCCTTTCGGTCTTTTTTCTCCTGCACGCCTTTGAAGTAGCGGCGTTCGGAGCTGGCGTTGTAGCCGATGTTGGCTTGTTGTTGTTTGTAGATCTGGCGGGCGTAGACGATCTCTTCGATGGTGCCGGCGGAGATGAGGCGGAAGACTTCGACGTCGCGGGACTGGCCGATGCGGTAGGCGCGGTCCTGGGCCTGCAGGTCGTGCGAAGGGTTCCAGTTTGGGTCGACGATGACGACTTTGTTGGCGGAGGTGATGTTGAGGCCGACGCCGCCGGAGCGGGTGGAGATGAGGAAGACGAACTGGCGTGGGTCGGAGTTGAAGTCGTCGACGACCTTGGTGCGCTCGTCGTAGCTCATCGAGCCGTCGAGGTAGCTGACGTTGTAGCTGGTGTGGTGGAAGAGCATCTGGAGCATCTTGAGGAGGCGCACGCTGTGGCTGAAGACGAGGACTTTGTCGCCGTTGGCGTGCCACCACTTCAGCAGTCGACGGAGCACTTTCCACTTGCCGCAGAATTCGGGGTTGGCGTAGTTGACGATCGAGTCGCGCGAGCGATAGAGGCTTTCCCACTGGTCTGGGACGGCGAGCTCGAGCATCTCCTTGTCTTTCTCTTGTTTCTCGTTGGGGTCGGCGCCCTGTGGGATCAGGATGGCGAGGTGGTTGCTGAGCTTCTGTAGGACAGTGAGCATGGGGAAGACGTAGCTTCTCCAGGTGACTCCGGATGGGAGGTATTGATGGCAGCACCAGCCGGCTTTCTTGTGACCGCCGCAATCACAGGGCTCAGTGGAGTGTTTGATGTAGTGGATGTACTCGCTTGCGACGACGTTCTCGTAGGCGTCGGCCTGGGTGTCCGTCAGCGGGCAGAAGACCACCCGGTCGACCTTCTTCGGAAGCTGATCCGCTATCAAGGTCTTCATCCGGCGGAGGAAGAACTGCGGGAGTAGGTTTTCGACCAGCATCTTCGCGGTCTTTCGGGCCTTGCGTAGCTGGTCGACGGTGGCGTCGTGCGACTGACCGATTTTGAGGGGGTCCGAGATGGACTTTTTCCAGTCAGTCACTGGGCCGAGCTTTCCGGGATTGGTCCAGTTGAGGAGCGTCCATAACTCCTCATACTTGTTCTGAATGGCGGTTCCCGTCAGACCAATCCGGCAGAGTGCATTGATCTGGTTCATAGCCTTCGTCGTTTCCGACTTGCGCTCCTTGATGATGTGGCACTCATCCGCTATCACACAATCCCAGTCGACCATATTCAGCGCGTCTTTGTTGTGGAGATACGTGCTGTAGGTGGTGATTAGGATTTCCAATCTTCCAGACCTCGCAGCGTGGAGCGCAAGCTCCTTGCTACCCCCGTGGTAAGTATCGAAATGCCACCAGCCCCAGCGGGAGAGTTCGGCCATCCAGTTCGCGATCAGGGTACCGGGGCAGACGATCAGGGTCCGAGGGTACCACTGATCTTGCCCGCTCCTTCGCATCTTTCTCATTCGTTTAGCGTCTCTTTCATCCCCCGTTTTCCCGTACGCCGCCGTGAGGAAAGCAATGACCTGCACCGTCTTTCCCAGGCCCATGTCATCCCCGAGGATGCCACCCTTTTGGTATATAAATAGCTCGTGGAGAAACGCAGCTCCGTCAACCTGGTATTGACGCAGCCACTGCGCGATCGGGGCCGGTATCAGCCCTAGCGAAAAGGGAAGGGTAATATCCCTGTACTGGTTGCACGGGGCCATTTTATCAAAGGCCGGTTTCTCCTTCAAGAACTCGAGTCTTTCATCATCGGAGAACTCGACATCGTCATAGCTCGGTGGTAGTTTAAGTCCGGATTGTCGGAGTTGCTCTGTCCTCTGGTCGAAATGGGCCCGGCGTTTCTGTAGATAGTCCGGCAGGGTATACTCCATCAACTCGTCCTCAGAAGATACCTCTATCCCATATTCGCGGAGAGGCCGTCTTGGGGCAGCTCTCTCCTCGCGCTTCGGGCGTCGACCGACGAAGGAGTCCGCCGTAGCTACTCGGGTCACCTTGGTAGCTCTGGTAGCGTTCTTGAGTGTCGTAGACCTCCGTTTCCGTTTCGTGGCCTTTCGATTTCTGAACTCTTGATAGGTAGCCTCGCCATCATTGAATAGTTCATCGTCCGTGTCTGTTGCGAGCAAATCTATCGTGGGGGTCTTCGTGTCGAGAGGGGAAGAAGGTTGCTTCAGAGGTATTTCGGTCGTCCTTGACGCCTTGGGAGTTATGTCTTCTGGTTTCGGGGCGGGGCCTCTCCCTAGAATGGAAAAAAGTCAATGTCTCTCTTGATGGCAATCTGCAAGGCGGATGCGGAGATACCAGCGGAAGAGACCATAGTAGGCTGCAGGCCCAGCGGGCGCGCGCCGTCGAGGTCATCATCGTCTGAGCCGACCGTGGTCGCATCGGTGTCGTCGACCTCGCAGACTGAAGCCATCGTAGCCCAAGTGACGGCACGGAGTCGAACGCACGAGAGGGAGGGGGGAGGGAACGCAACGAGGGGAAGGCGAAGATGCGGAGAATGATGGAGTCAAGCGGGCTTCCCGATTGGGCAAGCAGCTGACCGAGCCCGCCGAAAAGTCAAACTCCGCAACCTCGTCGTCGCTTCTTCCACGACGACTTGCTCCCCGTCGCGTTGGGTCAGGATTATTCCCTCGCCTCCCTCTCTAGCCCCGTCGACAATATTTGCCAGCGCCCGGTGCGGGGAACCACCACGTCCCTTGAACCACTCTCATTCCCTCGGAACCGCCATTGAATTTCACCAAAATGCCTCTCGACACCTCCACAACATACCCCCTCACCAAGCTGCGCCTGGATGGCCGCCGCTGGAACGAGCTCCGGCTCCTCCAGGCCCAGATCTCCACGAACCCCGCCAGCTCGGGATCCTCCTACCTGGCCATGGGCAACACGGCTATCCTGTGCTCCGTTCATGGCCCCGCGGAGGGACGTCGCGGCGATGCCACCGGCGGGGCTGCTGGATCCGCGGGAGCGGTGGTCGAGGTAGATGTCAACGTTGCAGGCTTTGCGGGCGTGGATCGCAAGCGCAGGGCGGGCGGAAGTGACAAGTATGGCTGCACTACTGCGACGGCATTCAATGATACTTACTGACTGGGCTTGAACAGGCAATCCTCCCGCATTGCATCGATACTCCGCTCCGCTTTCCAGTCACACCTCCACACACACCTCTACCCGCACAGTACGATCAGCATTCACGTCTCGGTCCTGTCGTCGGATGGATCCCTGCTCGCCGCTGCGGTCAATGCTTGCACGCTGGCGCTCGTGGACGCCGGTATCCCCATGCCCGGGCTCCTCTGTGGGTGTACGGCGGGGATGAGCGGTAGCGCCTCTACGCCTCGGGACCCGGAAAATGACTTCCTCGACCCCCTGCTCGATCTGTCTCTGCCGGAAGAACAGGAGCTTCCGTTCCTGACGGTCGGGACTACTACGTCGGTGCCGGTGGGAGAGGCGGCGTTTTTGAACGAAGATGAGGATGAGATGAAGGTGGCGATGCTGACGATGGACTCGAAGGTGCACTGCTCGTATGTCGAGACGATGCTGGCGGTGGGGATCGATGGGTGCAAGCAGATCCGGGAGATCCTCGAGGGAGTGATCAAGAAGTCGGCACGCAGATGATGGGACCAGCTGGTTTATTTGTCTCTGCTGTGTCTGGTGTCTTAGGGGAGCATATAGGCGAGGTTCGATTTATACCCAGCGATGCCTTGGGAGGTGTTGGGCGTGGCGTGATTGCTTGATTTTTGAATCCTTATGATGGATTGCTTTGACGACTTGTACAATGGCCTATGATGTTTTCAATTCAAAGACTGACTCCCATAGTCCATCTATCGAATGTGTTTGGCTCAACTGAAGTTTTTTTTTTTTTTGGCACGGCTTCCTGCCTACCCTGTCGGCTCATTAACGCTCTTGAGCCCCTCTGTCCAGTGGCATCGCTGTCCGTCACCGGAACCAAAGAAAACCTGCTCAAACAGTGACTGATATCCTATATCTGGAAAGGTATATGGCCGATCACCGCTTCACTCGTTGGATATCTACTGTTCCATGGATCGTGCAGGTCAAATGATAGGCCATGTGTCTGCCCTTAATATAGCCCAGTCTCTCTCATTTCTGCTGCTCTTTCCCTGCATCTCTTCATCTGCCTTCTTCCCCATCCTTCGTACGTCTCAACATGGAGTCCATGACTCTCATGAACGAGGCCCCAACCGCCACGAACATGGCTTCATCCACCATCAACATGGCCATGTCCATGTCTACGAGCGCCACAGCGACCCCCACCGGCGATATGGCGATGGATGCCAGCGGCTGCAGGATGTCTGTACGTCAACAGAGCCCTCCACATCCCATATAAGCCTATACAACTAATAACTAATCCATACACAGATGTTCTGGAATTGGAACACCATCGACACATGTACGACACCCACATCCTCTCCATCCTCTCCATCCCACCCAACTAACCACCCCACAGGTTTCATCTCCAAAACCTGGCACATTACCTCTGTCGGCATGTTCGCAGGCTCCTGTATCGCAGTCGTTGGCCTGGTCATCCTCCTCGAGTTTCTCCGCCGCGCAGCCCGCGAGTACGACGTCTTCATCCACCACCGGGCGTGTCTGCGCGCCCAAATCCTCACACTCGACAACGTCTCCTCCACCGCAGTCGCAAGCAGCGACGGCAACGGCAACGACAACGACAATGACAACGGCAGCGATCATGGCAGCGAGCACGACAACCCCCCTTCTCCCATCCCCAACCATACCACCAGCGGTACCACCCTCACCAGCCCCATCACCCTCGCCTCGCCCATATCGCCCACCTCCTACCGCATGAAAAAGTTCGAACCCAATCCAACTACAGCACCTGCACCTGCACCTGCCCACGCAGCAGCAGCAGCACCACCCTCGTCCCCATCTTCCTCCCAACAGGCGGCATCAACCCCTACCCAAGCCGCATCCGCAGGATCAGCAGCAGTGGCAATCGCAAAGCCAGCCCCCGAACAATCCACCCGCTACGTCCACCGCCCCAGTATTCTCGAGCAGCTCATCCGCGCGGTGCTGTATACGGCGCAGTTCGCGGTGGCGTATTTCATTGTGCTCCTTGCGATCACCTTCAACGGATACATTATTATCTGTGTCTTTGTGGGCGCGTTTCTGGGCGCGTTTGTCTTTTCGTGGGAGATGGTGGGGGGAAGTGCGGGGGGGAGTGGAGGTGGATCTGCTGGGTAGGTTTTTACTTTACTTTATCCCTTCTTGTTTTTTTTTTTTTTTCCCCTTTTAGTTATTGGTTCTTGGTTATGTGCTATGTATCATGTGTTGTGAGAGTCTGTGGGGATGTGGATGACTAACTTGATTTGATGGACAGAGCGAATACCGGTAGTCGCGACGCTGTGGCTGGGACTAGATGCTGCAGTTAGATGTTGATGATATCTGCTACGCTACTGCTGTCGATTGTCTAGTACATGATTGGTATCACGCTGATACTATACCTGACTGACTGGCCGACTGAACTCACTGCAGTAACTACTCACTGATCGACTGTCTGTCTGTCTGTCTGGTACTTCCGAATATCTGTTGGACACAACCCTTTCCTGGGTCACCCTTCTGGGTCCAGGTTGGTTCCTTTTCTTTGGATATTTTGCTCTTGCCGTTGTGCTCTTTCAGGTGTGAGAAAATTGGAATGTGGGAAAGAATCATTGGAACAATCTTCTTATTACTCTCGTTATTGTTATTCAGTTATGAGAAAAGTGGAAAAGAAGTTATTGCACCCAGCTTGGCATTGTGTTATTGTTGTTGTTGTTGTTGTTGTTGTTATGATTATCATTATCTAGTAATAAGAAAATGATAAAATGGAAATGGAAATGGAATTGTTCGATCCCTCCTATTAAGTATATGATATCAGATCCGGGCTGGATGCATGGTATTTTTTCTTTGATAATGTATGATGATCATACTCGTTTATGTACTTGCCTGCCTACTTATTTTTATACATTTATTTATATTTATGATCAAGTAATATCCTCGGGGCCTTTTTAAAACAATAACCATTCTCTTCTGCTGATCGCCATGATACCCACTCTGTAGAAATATCTCTGTATAAATAGATAGGTAGATAGATAGATAGATACCTAAAGTAGATAGTAAACTTACCACCTTGCGAGGCAAGATCATATAGATAAGTAGGTAGATAGGTAGATAGATAGAGAGATAGTATCCAACATCCACCCATCCACCCATCCACCCCTAAGCCACCAAGTACCTAGACACCCCAACACACTCGAACAAAACCGAAGGCCATGTACATAATATACATAGGTACAATCCGAGTGCGCAGATGTATACGGGATACAAATCATTAATCAAACACCAGTAAATCAACGCGAGCCTCTTCAACAGGTAATAATCCAATGCCTCTCTATCTATACCTATACCTATACCTTACCCTATGTAGTGTCACAATCACCTCACCAGGTTACCTCGCCCAATCCCAACCCCTAAAGGTAAACCATATCCCTAACCCCTCTAGTCCCTAGTTAGTAGTCCTTGTACTTACTATCTAGTAGATTAAATACCCTGTGAGATACTCCGTACCGATATTCCATTTCCATTTATCTCTTCTGCATCATGCAGCATATCCTCCCCTCCGTCCATGTATGTTGTAGATGAAACGCAAACCCCCTCAAGATACTATATGCACTCTCTTTCTTTCTGTTTCTCTTTCTCTTTCTTTTTCTTTTTTCTTTTTTTTTTTTTCAAAATAGCCCATGACTTACCTACCTACCTACCTATCTATCTACCTGCAGATAAATCAGTATATAAGGACCTGGTTAGACCAAATACTACCTACTACCTACTAGGTAGGTAAAGTAGGAAAGTAGAAGTAGCCAAGTAGGTAGGTGGTAACTAGGTAACATTACTACTACTACTCTACACGGCAGCAGGCAAGACTCGTACCGGAACCGGGAAAGCCGTCCTATGAGGTTACAGATCTGGATCCAACCCCGCCATCCACTATTCATCATACATCATACCTCGTCCATGAACGGAGGAAGGGGAGGGGGGAAAGAGCGGGGTTAACAAGGTTGCCACGGTTTTATGTCGTGTCATGTCATGTCGTCGCCAGGAGAGTTGTCAATTCCGATTGTTATCCCGCTTACAATTCCAATTCCTATCTACTTTCGACTTCTACATACGTAAATCTACAGTCCTTCGCCTGGAATGTAACAATAAAAGTACAGTATTACGAACGGAATGAGAAAAGGTAGTGGACATATAGACAACTGGTATGGACACTCTAGATTACACCGTGCAAGGAGAAAGAGGATTGTCCACCGTCAACCCCGCAAGCCAGCCGCGAGGCAGCCGCCGCGGGGTATCACAATTTTGCCATCTGATATCCGTAGGACGCTTACAACTCACCAGCATCGACGATGGTGGGCTTGATGTTCGAGCGGACGGCGCCGGAGGAGCTGCCGAGGGCCTCGATCTCCTTGACGACCTTCATCGACTCCTCGTCGGCAACCTCGCCGAAGACGACGTGCTTGCCATCGAGCCAAGAGGTCACGACGGTGGTGATGAAGAACTGGGAGCCGTTGCTGCGGAGAATTAGCTATTACAGCTCTGAATAGAAACACACACAAAAAGAAAAAAAAAACACTTACGTGTTGGGACCAGCGTTGGCCATGGAAAGGATTCCGGGGCGGGTGTGGCGGTGGATGAAGTTCTCATCGGCGAACTTCTCACCGTAGATGGAGCGACCACCAGTGCCCTGCAGATGATGTCAGTGAATCCGACAGAGAAAAAAAAAAAAAAAAAAAAAAAAAAAGCCAGCAGGCAGCAGCAGCAGAGGAGAAACTCACGTTGCCACGGGTGAAGTCACCACCCTGGAGCATGAAGTTGGGGATGATACGGTGGAAGGAAGAACCCTTGTAGCCCTGGCCCTGGGGAGCCTTGCAGAGCTCACGGAAGTTCTTAGCAGTCTTGGGGACATCCTTCTCGTAGAGGTTGAACGCAACCCGCTTGGTGACGGCTAGGCAGAGGGAAAAGTGGCGTTAGCTAGAGATCCAAAGCGATTGAGGAGCTGAAGGCTGAAGGCTGAATGCTAATGCTGATGCTGGGACCGGACGGGACCTGACGCGGCCCGCGATGGGTTTGAAATTTCGAGGTCCATCCCTCCCGAGGGAAAGGAGGGGTATCTTCCGCCATCGAGAAGGATTCCGAGACACCAGACGACAATAGAGCAGACAGAGACAGCAGAGAAAGAAGAACTTACGGGCGCTAGTGCCCACGGGGGCGTACTGGATGTCGAAAAAGGCCTTGGTGTTTCCAGACATGGCTGCGGATGTTTGATGGAAGGAACGGAGAGAGAGGAAGGAGGATTGCTTGCAATTGGGGATGGAGAAGAGGGGACGAGAAGCGAAGGACGAGCAAGGTGGGGTTATTGTTGACCTCAGGCTTCGGGAGAACATTGTTGCTGGAGGGGCTCTGCCGCTAACTGCTTCGGGAACCGCTGTTCTGCATCCGTGCTCTGCGTCAGCCCATACGCGCCAATCACGCAACTGGCCTCAGGCCGCCCCATGGAACTTGGAAGAACATCGCAGTTTCCCCGTCCATTGGCTTGGAGCCTGGAGGCCTGGGGGGCGCCTGGGGGCCGCCTCATCTGCTGGCCGGACTGGCTGCTTGCTGATCGGAGAAGGTGCCATTGGCCCTCGCTCCGGGGCCCGGGGCCATGCAACGGGGAGCGTCACTTACGAATGGTAACTAATAGAAGATCGCGTCTCACGAATCACCCGGTGTGGTGCTTGTGCTGGCTGGCTGGCGGCTGGCGTGGAGTGCAAAAGAAACTGGGGGACCGCGTCGGACGGCCGAGGAAAATATTCCTGCCATCGTCCCCAAGGGGGCTAGCCTTCTATTACCTAATACGCGGTCCGCACGGAAACAGCTTTGGGGGCTGATCGTCCAGAACCGGTTCGACGGAGCTGCAGGCCACGTGATTAGCCACCCGTCGTCATAGAGACGTACCAGTTAGCTACCCAGTAGCTACACCGCAGAGGGAAGTACTAGTAGGATACATATGTCCAACGAATGCACTCTACATCTAGTCCAGACAGCCACACCATCGGGAAAAAGTCTATTTGCCCATCTGGGCTTTTAGGCCATAAATATCACAATCAATCACAGTCAAATAGATACCTCCCCAGAGAAGCCATAGAATCGAAAATCGAAAATCAAAAAGGGCCACCAACCCAACTCAAGGGTGAATAAGTCGGTAGTAAGTAAAAACCACGATCCAGAAGAAAGAAAAACCCTTTAGTACAAAGAAGAATCGAAATTAAGTCAAAACCCCTCTAGATAGTCGTCCACAAGAAACAAGACCGACAGGGACGCAAGAAGAAGATGAAGAAGAGGAGGAAAAGAGACCGCTAATCGGAAAGTAAAAGGAAGATAAAAAGCCACAGACAAGAATAAACAAGAAGAAAATAAAAAACCCCAGGAAGAATAGAATACAACCAACCACCCAAGGGAAATCGGGATAAATAGAAACGAAAAAAAAAAGGTAAGAGAAGAAAAGAAAATTAGTCGTAAAGCTCCACACCATATTTCAACACTTCGTTCCACATGGTTTCTTCGTGGGTCATGCGTGATAACTGCAAAGGAAGAAAGAAAGAAAGAAAGCCATTTTGTATGTATTGAATGGCAAGATCCAGCGGGTCAGTCGGTATCAGGTGCCAAATCAGTGTGCTGAAGGGGATGAAAGGAAATGAAAAAGGAAGGGAGAAGAAAGCAAAAGGAGAAGAGCGACTTTTGGGTCGATGTTGAAGGAGAAACAGTTAAATCATGAGATGAGGGTCTGGGTGTAGACATCGGTCTACCGGAAGTCGTCCTCCTCATCGAAATTGGCCGGGTCCAACTGATGGGCAAGCTCCTTGGTCACCCGGGGGATCTCAAAGGCGATAGGTGGAAGCCTGTTGGTAACGACGCGCAGCTGGTCGGGGTCGGACACATTCTCCCCCTCCGCCGCGGCGCCCATAAGACGGTGCTTGTGGTACTCCAGCATTTCGATAATCGGGTCAACGCGTTGCCGAAGGAGTGGGCTGGCCTCGGGGCGCTGGACGAAGTGCTGTGTCGAGGCAGTAACGTTCGTCACCACTGAACAAATAGCAGACACATGGGTGCCAATCGTGTTGATCCCGTGCTCGGCCCGAATGCTGTCAATGAGGGCCTGGATGGATTGGACAAGACCGTTGGTCTGATCCTCAACATACAGCTGTAACCATATTAGTAAACATATCACGTATACTCAAGAATGATAAACTAACCTTCATCTCCTGAAGTTCATGGTTCTCAGATTGCGAAGGGTAGTTTTGCATTGCCGGCATGCCGTTGGGGGCATCAGGCGGGACGCTCATAGCGCTGTAGATGGATTCGTTGCGGCTGTGTCGGCTCTGACTTGGCGCCACGCTAAAGTAGTCGGGAGACTTCATCTGCGGCAGTTGCATATCTTCGTCGTCCTCATGGAGATCCTCTGCCGGACTGGGCCGAACTTTCACCATGCGGATCAGGTCGATAACGGCAGTGGACAGGTGAGAAGCAGCTGCGTCCAGCAAAGAAACCGGGGAGACGCCATGGGAGCCCACAAAGTTCTTGGCGGCAGTGATCAGATTGTTTGCCGTCGCAGACATCTTACCGATGGCCTTGGTGCGCAACGCCGACAGCCCGTCGTTGGAGTCCTGGCTTTCCTGGACGTCGTGCATAACATGCCGGACAGCAATCACAACCGCGTTGATCTGCTGCGTGACGACGTGGTAATCGTCGTTCCGGGCAATGCGGAGCAGTTCGTCGATGGAGACCTGGAACTTCGTAACATGGACGTCCTTGATCAAGCCATCCTCGTGGAAGAACTCCCGGTCTTTTGCGACGCTCGCAGCATCAGGATGGGCTTCCGCTATGCCGACGGAGGAAGTACGGAGGTGCCGCAGCTGAGCCTTCGTCTTCTCATACCGAGTCTTCCACTGCATGATTTGCTCCTCTAACCGCTGCACCTCAGTAGTCAGCTGCTCCTCGTGTTCCCACCGGGACTGACTCTGCTCCGACAACGTCCGCATCTCTCTAAGCCAGCCAGCGGCCTCGCGCCTGACTTCGTCCGTCACCTGCTGTTGCTCTTGCAGCTCACTCTGGAGATTTCGATGCTTGATCTCAAGATCGTCAAACCGAGCCTGCAACTCCGGGTCCCCGACACTCTGTCGCGCGCCCCGCAGGTCCATCTCAATGGCCTCGTGTTCGGCCCGTACCTTATCTAACTCAAGCTGCAGAGAGCTGTTCAATTCTTCCGCCTGAGAAACCTTGCTTTCTAGGTCCAATTTCAAATCCTCCCATTCTTCGCGCTCCGCAATGCTGACCTATTCCATTCCGTTAGCGCGTGCAAGAAACCAGACACAGCAAACTCCAGCATACCTGTGACCTATCCTGCTCTTCCTGGTACTTCTGGAGCTCTTCATCCTTCGATTTGACCATTTCTTCTAACGTGTCCACCTTGTTCTGACCTTCCTGGTACTTAGATAGCTCGTCGTCCTTGGCTTTCAGCAACTCCTCAAGCTTGTTCACCTTGTCCTGCAAAGCCGCCGCGTGCGATTGAGTCTCCGCCAAAGCCTTTCTGTCGGCATCTGCCAGAGTCGCGCCCGTGCCCCGTCTACTTTGCAGAACCGCGTCCAAAGCAAACGCATCACTCCGCGCATCGTAATCATCCTCCGTGCCCGCCGCATCATCGTCATCCTCGACCATCGTGCTCTTGTTCGGAACAATCGTGTTACTTTGGAACGACTTCGCCGTCGGACCGCCATCGCCATTCATGCCCGGAGGCGGCCCACCCAGGGAGCCTTGACGCGGGGGAAACCCACCCATCGGACTCCCCGGGCCACCAGGCGAATAGCCCATCCGAGACGGAGGACCGCGGGACTGCGAACGCGGACCACCAGGAGTCGGGGGGTATCCATTGGGCGGGTAGCCGTTGGACGGGCGACCGCGATAGCTAGGAGCCGGGCTCAACCTGCGAGACTCCCTGGAAGGAAACTGAGGAAAGCGCCGCTCCAACTCGGTGTAGACATCCGTCGCCAGGTCCCTGAAGCGTCCGTGCTGGAGCGAAGCCAGCTTCTTGCGGGCCTGGTTGCGCTTTTCATGGAAGTCCTTTCGCGGAGGCAGGAAGGGGGGCACGTCGGGGCGAGGGGGCCGATTCGGGGGCGGCATGGCCTGTTGTCGGCGAAGGAGTTCATCGTAGACGTCGGTACTCAGCTCGTGGAATTGGGTGGACGAGAGTCTCAGCAATTTATCGCGAGCCTTGCTAGACTTGCCATTGCGGTCATCGCGATACGGCCCCTGGAGGAATCGTCTGAACGCCACGTAGTGCTGGCCCAGGACTTCCTCCATGCGCTTGTGTCGTTTGCCGCGCTGATCGCCCAATGTCCCATCGCTGGATCGCGCCGCCACGGAGCTGGGGGGCGACGGGTTGCCGGCATCGCTGACCGGACCGGGGGAATTGGGAGGCAGACCTGCGCTGTTGGAGCCGCTGGGGACGCCGGAGGTCGGGGGTGTAGCTAGGTTGCTGCGGGTCGAGAAGGTTGGAGAAAAGGGCGGATCGGAAGTCTTCTGATACTGATTGATGCCGGACCAGTCACTCCCGTCCACGGAGACAGGCGACATGGTCCCTGGATGAGCGTTCATAGGGGGTTGTGATGTCGGCAGGTCCGTGGACTCCGTAGCTGCTGACGCGGGTGTGAGATCTGGGTCGGCCCAAAGCAGTCGGGCTTGCCACTATACATTCGAGGTCGAGGGAGGGTGGGAGACGAGGGCCATCGACGGGGATCGAGGAGGAGTATAGCGAACGATATCTAGGGGGGGGGGGGATCGGAGGATTTCGCTCGTGGCCGATGACGATAAGGAATGTAGTAGGAGCGGTAGAAGTGGTGGTAAGGTTGGCGCTCGGGGCAGAATGAAAGCAGGGAAGGGGAGGAATCCGGAGCGGAATGTAGAAGAGAACGTGATGTGATGTAAAGTAAGTACCTGCGTCAAGGAACGGAGGCACGGGGGGGGGGAAGGGTAATGGGAAAGGAACAACAACCAAATGCACCAAGAATAGATACTATCTATTGGCGACAAGGGTATTGGACCCAGGCAGAAACAAGCAGCGGGAGGAGCAGCAGCCACCGCAGGAAAGGCGAGCAAAGGGTGGAGGAGGAGAAAGGGCAGTAGAAGCAGCAGCACAGCAGAGGAGACAGTCAGTCGGTCGGCAGTCGAACTGACTGGACTGGCTGGGCTGGGCTGGGCTGGGCTCTCGTTGGCTGTTTGGCTCTTTGCCTCTCTTTGCCTCAATTCAAAGACTTTGGGACTGAATGGAGCCTGGGCTGGGCAGTGGGCAGTACAATACACGCCCCGTACGTCAAATAGGGGTACTGTCAGTCTGGTCCGTACCTACTGTACAGTCCAGGTCAGTCTCGCCCGTACGAACCGGTACCGAGTACCGCGTCAATACCACCTCAACCGTAGCCGTAGCGGAGTTCTTCTCCACGATCTTCAACGTTGCAGTTGTGAGACATGAAGGAAGTCTTAGATCTGGAGATATGCCAGACGATCCATTCTATCATTGGCATCTAAACGAACAATGGGGAGATTAAGGAGATGCACAGCCATACATGGAAATAATCAAAACATCAATCCTGCTGCTGCTGCTGCCGTCATCACCAACCAACTCGGGATAAACACAGTACCGGTTACTGGCCCCCTCCCCTCCCCTGTCCATAGGTCCGTCCATCGCAGGCTGCTGGAGTGCGGTGGGTTAGGTTGTGCGTAAGGTATGAGCTGCGTACGCAGTGATACCTTACGTCGAATTGTTTTCGAATGATGATACCCGCTTTTGTCCTCCGTGTACGAGTCGGGTGTATCCACCATACCCGGACGGGGATGGCAGGCGGTGCCGGCTCCACCGCCCACCGCCATCCGCCAGGAACCGATCGAGCCTCGCCGGTGTGGCGGTGATGATGCCCTCCTGCCTGCCTTCTTCTCCCTCTCATTCCTCGCAAGTAGTCGCAACCACTCAAGTTACAACAAGCTAACCCGGCTGTCACGGGTTGAGGTCATTCCCTCTATCCCCCGCACATCTGCATGCCTGAAACGGCTTCTGTGTCCTCCGTGCTCCATCCAGAATGACCACAACGTACAACGTACGGACAGCAGGCGCCCACGCCTACCTACCTACCTTACTAACTATCTAGTAGGTAGGTATGAAGCGAGGCACGCCCATCACCCATTAACTACCATAACCCATAACCCCGACCAGCAACCAGTGAACAGCCAGCCCCCAACACAACACCAGCGCCATTGTCCACCACAATAATAATCCACCATAGCGCGCCTCCACATAGTTCCGAGGCTAGCTAGCTCAGGAGGTGCAGGAAATGAAATTACTTACTCCTTCTACAGACCAGACCAGACCAGACCAGACCAAACCAAACCAAACCCAGATACCTAGATACCTAGATACTATCTAGTAATTGTGGAGTAGATAGATACTCCGTACACTTACACACTAACTACGCACTACACAGGCTGAACTACTGCCTGCAGCGGACTGTAATGTAAGTAAGTAAGTAAGTAATGAACATCCTCCCCCAAGTTTGGGGTCCAGACCGCCCGCCCGCCTTCATTTATAGGATGCTTCCTCGCATTTCCCGTGCGTTGGGTCGAGCTCGGTTACCCTGTTGCCTTGGCTGGCGACGACGACGTAGATACATACATAGTACATACTCCGTACATCATACTCCGTAATGAGATGATACTATACTTAGTATCTAGTGTCTGTTCGAAGCACTGCGTCGTGGTGCACGGGGTATGTGCTCCGTACCTCCGTCCCTGTCGGTCTCAGGGGTCCCCGAAGTATGTGTATCCAGTGGAGGCCCCCGTGCCTTGCGGGCTGCTGCTACGCTACTTGCATAGAATAAATAATAATACGCATGCCATGCTCGTATCAGATACACCCTACGGGGTACTACGTGCTAGTAGGTCCGACAACTAACTTCAGCCACGGGGGAAGCGGAAGGGATCGACAAGCGTACGGGAAAACAAAAAACAAAAAGAAAAAAAAACAGCACCCAGAAAAGCATTCCTTGGATATCCATACTCCATACATTATCTGATTAACAATCATGTCCGAGTCTTTCCAACAGCGCATATGACCTGCCTGGGCCCGACTGCACGGGGCAGTCCCCTGGTCATTGCTGCGTTCCTTCTTCTATAGCCCCGTAGTCCAATCAGCTCGCATCCGAAGCCCATGCTCCATCCACCGGCCAGTATGGGATGCGCGGGCCACGTGAAATCCACAAAAGTATGTATAGGTTAGAAATGTACAGTACAGGATGCCGCTCTGGCTACAAAGCCCGCGGAACCACCCCGAGTAGTGACGGGCCAAGATGCCAAGAGGTATCATCATCAAGTAGAAAGGAAGGCGACGAGCAGGAGGGTCGGGGGAGGGAGTCTGCTCGCGGCAGGAGTATTGGTTGTACATGGTCTCGTCAAGTAGCGGATGGGAGAGGCGACTACAGCGCTCAATATACTCCCGTTCATTTCGAAGAGGTCATAGCGAGGCCCCGGGCAGCGCCAACGGCGGCGGACACGGGCGTCGCGGAGCGGGTGGGAGCAGCACTACGGTTGTGTGCCATGTGCGCCTGGACGAGGTGACCGGCAGCAAGGGCTGAGCACAGACTCAGCTCGCCGGCAAGGACAGCGGCGGCCACAATGCGCGCCAGCTGGCGGGCATTGTCACCGGGGTTGGTCGGGTGGGAGCCGCGCACCCCCAGGAGTTCGAGCATGGCGGATTGCCCCTCGAGGATTGTACCACCGCCAATCGTTCCAACTTCGATGGAAGGCATCGACACAGAGATCTGGAGGTTGCCATTCAGACTGCAGGAAATGATCCATTAGTACAACATTCCCAGTGCGGAGCTCGTGTGCCCCTCGCGGGGAATGAAAAAAAAAAAACTTACTTTCTCATGGTGGTAATACAGCTGCTGCTTTCCACATTCTGCGCAGGGTCCTGGCCGGTAGCCAAGAAAATGGCAGTGACAATGTTGGAAGCATGCGCATTGAAGCCACCCAAGCTGCCCGCCATGGCACTGCCAATCAAGTTCTTGCTCGTGTTCAGCTCAACAAGGGCGTCCACATTACTCTTAAGCACACTGCGGACAACATCCCCAGAGATGATAGCCTCCGCAACGACAGACTTGCCACGGCCGTCAATCCAGTTGATCGCAGCCGCTTTCTTGTCCGTGCAGAAGTTTCCGGAAACCGAGATCGTGGCCATGTCATCGAAGCCACACTCGGTGGCCATCACGCGAAGCGCCTTTTCGACTCCCTTGGAGATCATGTTCATGCCCATGGCGTCACCCGTGGTGGTCTTGAACCGAATGTACAGGTAAGTGCCAGCAAGAGCAGTCTTGATGTTCTGAAGTCTGGCGAAGCGGCTGGTAGAGTTGAACGCGGTCATCATGATACTTGTACCTTCCTGGGAGTCAAGCCAGACCTTGGCGGCGGCAGCTCGGGCGAGCGTGGGGAAACCAACACAAGGACCGCGCGTCATGCCATCGCCGGTCAGAACCGTCACAGCACCACCCCCAGCATTGATGGCCTTGGCGCCTCGACTGGCGCTAGCGACCAGAACACCTTCAGTGGTAGCCATGGGAATGAAGTAGTTTTGGCCATCAATAAGAAGAGGACCCGCGACTCCAAGGGGCAAGGGAAGATAGCCGATGACGTTCTCACAGCAGGCGCCGTGGACCAGACCGTAGTTGTAGTCTTTGTAAGGAAGCTTGGAGGTCTCCAGGGAGCCGGTGAAATCAGAGGTAGCCTTAGTCCTAGCCACGACAGCTCTGCGAATCTTGACCGCACGAGTGAAGGCATCAACACGGCTCATGAGGTCTTCGTTTTCCATCGTCTTTTCAAGAGCATATCCTGGAATCTTGCCACGGAGCGAGAGATCAATCAATTCCTCATCCGTCAGATAAGGCGCCCGCTTTTCCTTCAAGAACAGTTCACATTCCTCCGAGGTTCGCTTGGGGCCCTCTTGGTTGTTCAGGTCAATCTTCGGGTAAACCTTGGGCTTCGGCGGCTCCTCCTTGGGGGCGGCCTCAGGCTCCTTGATGCTCCACCGTGCTGCATTGAAAAGATAACCGTTCAGAATAATACTCAAGGTCAGAGCCGCAATAATCCACTTGCTGATGATCGGGTCCTCGATGCTCTTTAGCAGGCTTTCAATGACGCGTCCACCGACGGCATCCAAGAACTGGTCACTGTACTCGATGTCGAAAGACTGGCCTTCTCCAGCAGCATAGTGCACGGAGGGGTACTCAAGCTTGTACTTGATCGGAGGGATGACCGTTACAGTTGTTTCCGTCATCTGGCTCTTGGCGGAAACATAGATCGAATCGAGACCGTTCTCTGCGACCCTGAAGGGATCAATTGGCGTGGGCGCTAGCACATTCGAGATGCGGGAGAGTAGAGGAATGCCGGTGGACTTGCGGAAAGGAATGGCAGACAGATTCACGACGTTGATGAGAATGAAGCCTCCGACCATGAGAATCTTGAAGCGGCGCACATTGCTCGACTTGATCTTCTTTCCGAAGACGCTAGTCTCGCTGGCTCCATCAGTCTCCGATCCCGCATTGGGCCAGTCATTGTTCGATGCGACGCTCTCGGCGACACGGTGGGTGATTCCATCCTCCTCAAGGGCCTTGCGGAGCGCAACATGGCGCTTGATGCGAGTGATCTCGAGCTTGATGCAAAGGATAGTGGTGTAGAAGGTGAAGAGCAACAGGCAATCGAAAAAAAGGATCCAGGCTGCGAGGAAGCAGAATTGCCTCAAGCCGCCCTGCACTCCAGAGGCTGCACCAGCCACGAGAATGGCAATTTCAATGAAATAGTCTCTGACGATCTCAAATCCTTGTCTCTTGATAGCAGTCTGGATAGAATCCTGGATAGACCTCGGGGTGCTCGGAGTCGGCTGACCGCCGGTTTTGCCAGACTGGCCTTGTTTGCGATTCACTGACGCACTCAGAACAGCCCTGGTCAGAATGATCGGCTTCTCAAAGCCAATGGTTACCACGAGAAAGGGGAGACCCTCAGACAAGAGCAGCATGTTAATGGGAACGCCGAGCTTCGTGGTCACCAGAAGGCCGAACAAAAAGGCAAAGGCACCAGAGAACAGAACCGTGGTCGCCAGCCAGAAGTTTGAGCCGAGACGCCGCATCGAGAAGAAGAGGGACACGAAGCTGAGATGCATTGAAAGGTATCCAAGAGTCATAATGACAATGTCGATCGTTTCAGCATGCTGATGTTATCTGTTAGCAACGGATCAGAAAGGTTGGGTTTGGGAAAATACCTTAACCAGGTCCACGAACGAGCCCCATGCGTCTGCCACCCAAAGCTTAAGAGCACCGGCAGATCCGTAAGCCGGACCACGAGCAGCGCGCATAATCCACTTCTTCTGCTCCCCTTCATCGTCGTCGACAGAAGGCTCAGGGATCTCCTGGACTGCCTTCAGGAATTGAGAGACCTGGTCAAACGGAAGCTTGTACACGAGAGACGAGTCATGCGAGAAAGGCGAGAAGAGATTGGGCGTATGAGGCACCCGTTGCGCGGAAGCGTTTGCGGGGATTGGAACACCATCGGCGAGAGGAGCAGTGGAGACCGACTTTGACATGGAATCCGGGAAGATAAAGGTTGCGAGTGCGATGTGCTGAGTAGCCTGGTTCAATGAAGACAGTCAGACGGGATCCCACCAGGGCACGATCTAGTGAAACCTACCTCCGATTCTTCGACAGTCAAGCCATCTTCGACCTGCCACTTCCAGGCAGTACTCTCTCCCAAGCGCAGATTCCTGCTACCCTGCAGGAGGGTGTCGACGTCCACCTGACCAGCAACATTGCGAGGATTCCTGAAGGAGTCGAACAGACTACCCTCTAAGAGACCAACGTAGGTGGTGCTGGCGAGAAGGGCGAACACCACGATTGTGTGGATGGGGTGAACACAGGCACGGCGGGAGAGAAATTGTAAGCCACCAGTGACCTGACGTTTAAGCCATCCGGGCTCAGCCTCATCGTCCGCGTCCGCTGGCCGAAATTTTCTTGGGATCAACGTCGCAGCCATGGTGGTTATTGGCAGGCGAGGAATTGGAAGGAAAGGAGCGGTGTGGGCCTCGCGTTTAGGAGGGGGGTCGCTCTGATATACCGCTGGACGCGGTGAAACGCTGCAAAAGGGACTGGGCTAAACTGTCCCACGCTTCACGCAGAAGGTTTTCCCTGGATATCAGAACCGGATCGGAGCCTCCAGTAGCATCAATGGCATGAAGCGACGGGGGTAAAACAGCTGTCGCTTATCGGGACTGCAGGAATGATAACCGGCATGCGATCAGTGCTTTGAACGTTGGAGACCGCGTGGAACGGCAAAAGAGGGCGCGGAAAAAGAACCTACCTGACAGCAGAGAGTGTACAACGCGACCTCTGCTCTATATGTCGAAGCCACGTTCCCAGCAACGGTATTCCACTGGGTTACACCCCTTCTTCAAGGATTTCGAGATCGAACAGGCCCCTGAGGGAACGGAAATGTGGAAGCACTTGCACGGCAAGCCACACCGGCGGCGGGATTATCGTAAATCCGCTGGTTTCGCCCCCAGTACCGCCAATGGGGGGAGCCAATCGAACGCTGGGCGGATATGCGGACCGCTGATAGTCCGTGGTTAGTCCCAACAATCGGCTAGAGTGGTAGGTAGTAGTACCCTACAACTACTACCGGGAAGGGGAGGGAAGGGGAGGGAAGAGGAGGGAGAGGAGGGAGAGGAACGGGGGAGCGCAGATGAATAGACAGTCAACAAAGAAGGAAGAAAAGGGAAAAGAGAACAGAAGCAGGAAAGGGTGGAGAGGAGGGGCGACCGAGATAATAAAGAAAGAATTATTGAATGCTATCTTTCTTGCTTCGTAGCGAGTACCGGAACAGCCCAGGCGGGAATTACTCGAACGGTCCTAGTGCGTTGGACCCGTGGTACAGCGTAGTTACCATTCTTGTTACGACCCCGTCTGTCGCTCTCCGCTAATCGGGAAGCCGCAACTCGCAACTCTCTTCGGTTCTCTCTGGCTGTAAGCCTGTAAGCCTGCAAGCCTGCAAGCCTGCAAGTCTGCAAGAAACCCGCCGACTCGCCCCTTCACCACTGCGGCTCACGGGGTCAGGTAGGACTGTCCTGCAGCCCAGCTGCTGATAATCCTGCCCGGAGTCCGAGTGTTTGCTTGGTCTGAATGTCTTTGGATCACTCATTAACCGCCGAAGCCAGCCAGGGCAACCAACTCGACAACAAAGAAATGGCATGGATACACATCGTTACTGGGTCTTCCCGAGCGTCGCATGGGAAGCTAAGGAGTATGTATCATGTCACGGACTAAGTTGGACGGAGTTTCTGAATCATGTGTGTGTCATGGATCACAAAGGGTAGATAGTGGGTGGTATGCCGCCGCACATCGTTATGAGAAACCTCCCTCATCCACCGCCGATTCTGTGAAGCTTCTGGTAGGCGTCACGCAAGCAAGGGGTCCAAGAGCGACACCCCTTCATTACCATAGCAGGCAGCCATCCTCCTAAACAGTACACCCACATATGGAGTTATGTACAGCATCACCTGCAACGAAGCCGATGGCCCTGCTCCCACGTCGTACAGGGGTGGATGGTGCTCGCAGTAGGGGCCATTCTTGCATACAGACCAGCATATCACAAACCGCCGTGCTCGAGGTACCCAGCACACGTTCTTCCTTGCCAATCACATTGCGACGCCATCCTATCGGTGGCACATCCATGTAAGGACTCCGTATTCGACCCCCGGGGTGTATGTAACGCACGAGAATATGTTAGGTAACCAAAAGTAAATCTCCATTGTTCGGCTGCCATGGCGTCCATCTGGGCGAGGCCGCACCCACATTGGACTCAAACCTGCCGCCCAAGAAATTGAACATTATTCCCTCATTCTCTTGGGGGAGAGTGGGACGGGGCCACGGTGGGCACCGGGACAGGGAGACATGGCCACTGAAGGGTCGTGATTCACCGGAGATAACGCACGATACCCACCCTCTCCCATCTAATCAATCTCTGCATCTGTGTCGCAATTCGCAAAGGGTCCCATCCGGGTCTTTGCTGCGTCGGCTCGAGGATCCATCCCTGATCATTTCTGTATACCGGCGGGGAAAACGAAAGATTGGGGCAGAGTCGTTGACGAGTCCATGGCCCTTCGCGAGGTCGAACAAGGCCTCTCGGGTCCAGCGAGAACACCCGGGGACACACGGAGAAAATCAAGGTCGATTGCGGGTCAAGCGCGTACGCAACCCCCAGCTCCAAGGGGTGTGATATCATTGGGGGGCTCCTGGGTTTTTCGAGACTGCGAAAATCAATCGCGTATATAACCCGCACAGAAGAAAAATCCTCAGCGCTGGATGGCCTGCGCGGGATTCGAAGTCAAATCATGATTGACATACCATGCCTGATCTGGTTGAGACCGTGGACGGTCGGAGACGCTGGCTTTTACCTGATCCAGATATGGAGACGGTGGGGATTGTATAGGCGCCAAGAAAGAGGAGGAGGAGCATAAGAAAAAAAAAAAAAAAAACTGTCGAGGACGATAATCCTGCCAGTTGAATAATGCTGGGGGAGGGGGGGGGGAGATGGTTGGGAAGAAAGTGAATTAGAATTGGCAGAAAACGTGGGTCGCATGACAGTGACGTCCCCCCAATTCCCATCACCTCCTCCCTTGACTCTTCTGTGAGATTCTTTTTCTTCGGCGCCTTCTTGCCGCAAGAATAATATCGGGGATGGTCTTCAACCGCTCTGCTGCAGAGGGTTGCGGCTTGGGCTGAAAGAGCGGGGCAGCCGTGTTTCACCCATTCCTCTCATGGCGCCTGTGCATCCAATGTCTGGACCTGTTTGCAGCGGGCGACTGCATCCCGAAGCGCTGACTGAACTTCTCCAACCCCTCAAACGCACTAAAAAGTGGCACCTGTGTTGATGCTGCAGGAGGAGCGCGACTACTAGTAGTAGCAGGCTTGAAGCCCGGGCCAGTCGCCGAGCTTCTTGGTCTGCAACGGCTTCATTCCTGCAACGCGGGAGATCTGCTGCAGTGACGCCCAGTATATAGTCAAGTCACACCATGCACGATATCTCATTCCAAACCAGATTAAGCGCTGTTGCTAATTTCAGCACCTGATGCCCCAGGATGCCTGGTCACGTCAGGCCGATTCAATCAGATTCTCCATGTGGCTCAGGCTAAAACCTGCCAGTGATCATTCGGGAAGCAGAAAAGCTTGGTTGACAATCTGCAGATCGATTGGCTCTGCATTGTCCGTGACAGGTCGGCCTCAATCATATCTGGTATCACCCTTAGCGCTTGCAAAGCATGTCTCCTCGTGACGCTTGGTACTGTCGAGTTTCAAATGAACTGATCACATTGGGCATGATGATGGTCCGGTTATCTCCTTTGAGACTGGCATTGTGTACCAGCTATAGAAGGCGTCACGAGGTGGAGAGTGGGACATTCGGTTCTCTTTTCATTGTGGTTTCTGCCTGCCGTCGAGTCTATTGTCCATTTTCTATTGTTTACTGAGTCGGGACAAACACTTTGTTCGTCCGAGTTTCCTTGTTTCCCCCATTCCTGTCATTCCAATAGGAAAAGCCCCAATAACACTATTCACCAAAAGAGAAAAGCCACAAGGGGCTCTATTGTTATGAGTATATAACGTGTGCGTGTCCTCCCTGTCTCTTGGATACTGATCCTGGCCAATGCCTTCCCACTTACTGACCTTCGACAAAGAACACTCGCTAGACCCTATACGACTCCGCTGGCCGGTGTTTTATCTAAACTACATACAAAACCTCAAACCCTGGAGCTTGAACCACGACTAACCGGAATGTCGGGAAAAAATAAGGAAACTATGGAACGTCCTCGCAGCAGCGCTCTGGGCTGGTTCCTCCTGGTCCTCCTCTTCTCAGCTGTGGACGCACATTCGTGGATCGAGCAGATGACGGTCATCGCTTCTAATGGAACTTTCGTCGGAGATCCAGGCTACGCACGAGGCAACGTGCTGCGCACCGCTCCTGATTTCAGCGATCCCACCATGACCTATCTGATACCGCCGGACGATCGAGCCAACCAGAGCCTGATCCTTCCCACCGACAGGATGTGCAAGAGCACGCAACAGACATACAATGTGACTGAAGGCAGCCCCCGACTGCAGGCAAGCGCAGGCGCTGCCATCGCCCTTCGTTACCAAGAAAACGGCCATGTGACGCTGCCCTGGAATCAACCCGGCAAGCCGAAGAATCGAGGGACGATATACGTCTATGGAACGACACAGCCAAAAGAAAACGAAACGCTGCTGGGCGTGCACAAGGTCTGGAACGCGGACGGAACTGGGGGTGACCGACGCGGCGTTCTGCTGTCGACACAGAATTTCGATGACGGCCGTTGCTACCAGATCAACAACGGCAATATTTCCGAGTATCGCCAGGGCGAGTACCCTCACGTGGCCAACACGTTGATGGGAGCAGACCTGTGGTGTCAACAAGACCTCGCGCTACCGTCTGACGCGCCGTCGGGGAAGCTGTATACCCTGTATTGGGTATGGGATTGGCCCACGGCCCCTGGGGTGGATCCCGCGCTGCCAGAGGGCAAGCAGGAACTCTACACGACCTGCATGGACGTCGATGTGGTCGACGGTGGCAGTCCGACAACCGAGACCCGGGTTCAGGCCGGATACGTGGAGGATCAGTCACTGGATCGAGCAGCCATTCCGTCGGAGTTTGCAGAGGTCATGGCGTCGGATCCCGAGACGGAGGCTGGAGACAGTTCCAGCTCTGCGACCCCAGCCCCGACCCCAGCCCCAACGATCCCCTCACGGGTCGCCATTGTCACCACGTTCATCACAGTCTATACGACTGTCTAGCCAAGTGGCGGCTGGTTGGTCGGAAGCACCTGGGGTTAGGGCCTTGCGTTTCGCGCAGGATCCCTTGCATGGTCAATAGCCGGGGGCCTGGAATGTGCTTTGCATCGTCTGGTTGGATCCCGGCGGAGGGAACAAAGAACCCCCCAGCCTTTCACTCCCTTCGACCCCTCGGACTAGGCGGGCCTAGGCGGGGGCGGATGACGTCGCTCGTTTAGTTTGTATTTAGTACGGAGTACGCATCTAGGAGACAGCTCTTCTAGCCTATAGATAGACATTCCAATGCAAGATATCTGCCAGCCAAGTACTAGAGCCCCCTTCGCGGGGTGGAAATTAAGCTCTCCCTGGATGCGAACATTAGAGTTCCTGCTTGTCCTTGATGGCTGGGTGTCTCTGATATATATATAGTAGCGAGCCCGCATACCAGTGCAAGGGAAGGCATGCACGGGCTGGCCTGAGAGGGGCCTGAGGCCGCCAGGTGGCCCGTTCGGGGAAGGCCCGAGGCAGCGACATCTGAAACACGCTAGGCCGCGCGTGGACGGTCACGTGCGGGCGGGCTGGCCGGCAATCTTCAAGGACAAAACGAAACGACACGAAACGAAGGCGAGATCGAGATCGCATCGCATCGCATCGCATCGCATCACATCGCAATCCACGCTGCTTCATTGCATGGGGATGGCACCGGGCCTGGTTCGACGAGGGAGAGCTTCCACATTCACTTTCAGCTGCGACATCGATCTACTCCGAGTTGGAAACGCATCGCCGCGACGACGCTGGCCGTGACGCCGAGCCTAGCAGAACTCCACAGCACACACACCCGACTGGACTGCGCCTCGTTGATCCTTAACGCTTCAGTCGGGGCCTTCAGTGTAGGTAATCTCCGGCACGCCTCTCGCTCCCTCTCTCCCCTACCACTCGCCCTCGCTCCACCTCCCCGTCTCTTAGTTATCCAGTCCTTCTTCTTATCCTTCCTGTGTGTCATCTTCTCCTCCTCCTGCAGCTGGTGTCATCTACTGGCGCTCATCCCCTCTCATACCATACCCCCTCCCTCCCTCCCTCCCACCCCCCCCCCCCCCTCTCCCCTCCTCTCCCCTCCACGCCTCCCTCTGGCCTCCTCGGGTGTCATTGGACTCGGTAGTCGCCGTCTCTGAAGGTGGCGCTTTTTTCCTGCCCTCGTTGCTAAATTTAGCATCCCCAGTTTTACCCTCGACCACCCATCCGAACAGTCAAGCGCGGAACCTCCAAAACGCTCGCAATCACCACCTCCTGCTTCGCTGCGCCGTTCCAGACATTGGCCGTCGCTCCTCAAATCCTCTGTCTCGCCCCCGGTCGCCCGGTCGGATTCCTGATTCTAGGCCCGTGAGAGAGGGGAGCTGCCCGTCTTGAAGATCCCCGTGGGCTGCTGAGACCGATAGCCGCGCTGTACCTGTCCGTTGACCGTCGAGTACTGCTGGGGTTGTCAGACGTCCATTGCGGTCACCTCGCTTCGTCGGCGTCTAGCTGCAGACCATTTGTCGCCGTCCCTCTCGTGCTCTCAGGGTTTGAAACAAGGTTCCCTCGGCGCAGCCTCCTCTGGAACTCGATCTGCATCGTGCGTGCACGCAAGGAGTTCACCAGGCGCTCCTCCGATTCGAGTCGCATGCTGCTATACCTGGTTCCTCCGTGCGACCATTTCCTTGGAACGATCTTCGGACGGGATCTAGCAATAGAGTTGTGAAAGGGCGATCGCGATGCGAAACTAGGGCGGACCGGTTCTTCAGCTTTTCTCTCCCTCGAGCGATACATCCGACTTGACGTTACCTCACACGACATCTTTGACACGTAATCACTCATTCTTCCGTTGTGATCATCACTCGGAAGACTCATGACCACCACCATGGCTTCTACGACTTCGCCTCCTCCGTCGCAGGCGGCTCCCTCCTCGAACCTCGCGGTTTTGCCTCCTATAATCACAGACTCCCCAGTTAAACGGCCGGGCCGTCAGCGATCCTCGTCGTACGCGAAAGATCGTCTCTCCACACTCTCTAATGTTTCCCTAGCCTCTCAGAATCGGTCACGGCCGGGGTCGCATGTCTTCCCTGTGTTCCACTCCAGCCTGCCGTATGCGCTCGTCCGCGATTTTGCGTATCCTGACATCCATCCTCTCCATTATGGCCCGCTGCCCCCGCGTGCGTCGGGGGTGTCGACTCCGGCAAGTGAGCAGCGGCGTCTATCCGACCCGCCAGCGCCGTGGGACAGCTCGCGAGGCCAATGGTCCATGGGACCGTGGACCACGGACCACAGCTACGGGCACCAGCAGCTGCCCGCCATGTCGTTCGGTGACGGACCGCCGTACAGCGAGGACGAAGACCTGCACAGCCCGGTGTTTTCCGCCCCTCGTCACCGGAAGAACAAGTCCACCGGCACGGATGTCAATGGACGGAAAGCCAGGGGCACCGGTAGCCGCGAGCATCCCAGCGCGGGTGACGGGGGAGATATCGACCGGGGCACCCTGATCAGCATGAATGCGGATGGCAGCGAGACCTACTATGTCAACGATGACGATAGTATGGAAGACGGGCCAGGCGGCGAGTACGTCACGTACCCGGCAGACGAGAGCCGGTATTCACACGTAGGGCCGTACGGCGACTACCAGGGCTATGGGAACGAGGCGGACTTCGACTCGGAAGACGACTACGCGGGCACCAATCGGTACTCGCGGGACTTCCAGTTCGCCGTGGGATGCCCGGACGAAGAGATGCACGGGAAGGCGGTTGCGTTGTTCGACTTCACGAGAGAGCACGAGAACGAGCTCCCTCTGACGGAGGGACAGGTGATTTTCGTCTCGTACCGGCACGGACAGGGATGGCTGGTCGCGGAGGACCCGCGGACTGGCGAGAGCGGGCTGGTGCCGGAGGAGTTCGTCCGGCTACTTCGCGACATCGAGGGCGGATTGACGTCGTTGAACGGCGAGCCCGACGCTGACGATGAGAACCACACCCACTTGAGCCCGGAGTCCACGGACTCGCAGCAGGCCATCACACCCACGCAGGACGAGCAACTGCCCCTGGAGTCGACCTATGTCGGTGTCGAGCCCGTCTCCAACGGGGAGAAGAAGAAGAAAGGGGACGAGCTCTCCAAGCCCAAGTCCAAGTCCAGCGGTGGCAACGCCCCCTCGAACACGTCACATCGTCTGCCCGGGAATCAGGGGATCGACGCCCCGCAGGACCTGGCCGAGAAGAAGACCTCGAAGGGGGAGGAGAAGCCTTAACACTGCACTGCCAACACTGCCCGGGAGTGTCACCTCCAGTCCAGTCCTCTCATCCCTAGTTCGGTCCATACCATCAGCCATAGCCATAGCCATAGCCATACCTATCCACCCGTTATGCTATGCTATGCTATGCTATACAACACCCATCCATCTATCTCCCAGACTTACCTCCTCTGGTACATCACCTACTTACCCACCCATCCCACCCATCCTACCTATCTTACCCATACCTATCTATCCCCCGGTTGGGTTGATTTCAGCGCTTAAGCATGATTGCATCATTACCATTACCTATATTTTTCCTTCCATCTTCTTTTCCTCATTTTTCTCATTTTTCTTTCTTTTCTATTATTCATCCATCTTCCCTTCCCTTCCTGTTCTCGTTCCCCGGTTGGAACTGTTACTGTTACTGTTACTGTTATTTGTTGGATGGATGGATGCGAATACCTTACCTTACCTCCATTTGAGTCTTGAGCGGGACGGGACGGGACGGGACGGGACGGCTGTTTGTACTTGTGCTTGTGGTTGTGCTTGCATGATATGATCCATTTCATGATGAGCATGAGAGGTCACGTACTCACTAGGTTAGTGAGTGGCTGTGACTGGCTATGGTGAGATGAGATGTCATGTGATGTGATGTGATGCGATGTGATATGGTGTTATGTATGGTGGTGGTGGGGTGTGTGTGTATGGTGTGTGTGTGTGTGTGTGCGTGTTGTGGTGAAATATCTAGGGTGGGTCGGCAGGTAGGTAGGAAGGTGGGTAAGTAAGTAAGAGGGTGGATGGGAGGGCGTGAGATGATGATTGATGCGAGATACCTGACCTGACCTGACCTGACCTGCCTGTATATACCAATTGTACCCATATTGAAGCGGATCTGTTTAGAGGTGGTGTTTCTTTCTCTCTGTCCTGGTGTGTGTAAGTGAGTAAGTACTAAAGTAGTATATACCTTGGGTAATTAGGGAAGGAAGTACTAGGCACATAATCATAGACAGAGTCCTTTCATTACGAGGAGAGATATCAATATCGTAGGTAATATGGATTTGATTTGATTTGATTTGGTTTGGTTTGGTTTTACTTGCCAGTCCACTCTTTACTCTACACTCACCCTCTACACTCACCTTCTTCACTCACCCTCTACCCCAAGTCTAGATGTAGAGAGGGGAGATAGTACTCCGTATAGTTCATTAAATGAGGTGTTGATTACTACTACTAACCCACCCACTCACCCACCCTATACTCGGACAGCTAGTCAATCACAGCCAGTCAATCAGTATCCATCCATCCTGCCTAGCACTTACAACAAACCACCCTCTCTATCCAACCTACCAGTTCTTATCTTCCATGTAATGTAGCTAGATTACACACGTCCTCTCAAGAAGATGAACAAACCCCGTGCAGATAAATAGATAGATACATAGATATATAGATACATAGATACATAGATATAGTACATACTATCTAGATCAAAACACCGTGATTTATATCTACATATGTTCATCCCATCCCATCCCATCCCATCCCATCCCCATAAAGTGATCAACACTCAACAAAAAAAAAAAAAAAGAATCCCCATTAGAAATGACCTAAATTCGTATATATGTACTGTTACAGACATGGCTATAGATACAGACATCCTTCCTTCCTGACTTCCTCCCTTCACTCCTTATACATCTTCATACATTCTCCGTTCTCATTCTCACTCCCATTCTCCTCCTGCTCCTCCTCCTCCTCTCTCTTCCCTTCTCATTCATTCTTGTTCTTCTTCATTTTCGTTTCATTTCCCCCCATTTCCCTTTCCCCTTCCATTTCCACTTTCCTGTCTTCATTCTGCAGTGTGAAATCTGCAACCTGCAACCTGCAACCTGCAATCAGGCAGACAATTTCAAAGCCAAAGCCAAAGCCAAAGTCAAAGTCAAAGTCAAAGTCAAGATGTGAATGATTGAATAAGTGATGAGTAAATGGATAGGTGAGGAGGGAGAGGATGTAATGTGATATGATATGATATGATTTGTCCCGGGATCGATCTCAATTTAAGCCGTGGCTTGGTTAAGGGATTATGTATGTATGTATGTATGTATGTGACACTGGCACGATTTGATGTTAGAGGTCATGTCATTTGGTAGGTGGCAGTTTCAGTTTAGATTCAGATTAAATGGCGCGGTGTTGGATGGATGGATTGACGGTGAGTTTGATTATAGGGGATGCGGGCTGCGAGCTGCGGGCTGCAGGCTGTTTGTTCTGATGTTTGAGAGAGAGGATGTAGTTGTTGATGTTGATGTTGATGTTGATGTGTTGTGTTGTGTTGAGGTTATTGTTTGTTGGTGATACAGGGATAGGTTGTTGTTGTTGTTGTTGTTGTTGTTGTTGTTGTTGTTGCTGCTGCTGCTGCAAAGAAAGAGAGTAGGCGACGTATGCATCCCATCCCATCACGTCAAATTCAACCACGGATCCATCCCCCAATCCAACGTCTCCAACCACGCCATGAAATCCGCCCCGTTTTCTAACGGCAGCAGCATATCCGTATCTGCGTCTGCGTCCGCGTCCGCGTCCGCGTCATCCATGATCGGACCGTGGCTGCCATCCAGACCACTACCACCACCAGCGGACATGGTAGGTTGAGGATGGCCGTGAAGATGGCCGTGAGCGTGAGGCCCCAGAACCTGATTAAGAGTATGATGGATGGCTTTCCGCGCCTGCTGGGAGATCTTGTAGCTTGGTTCTCCGGGGGGCACGTACGTCTCGAGGAAGAAGACGAGGATGCTCAGTTTCTGAATGATGTCTGTGCGGGGAAATGTGGATGAGAGGGCGGGGTCGATGGCGAGTTGGGAGTGGCGGAGAAGTTCGAGGGCGAGGACGCCCGCGCAGGGGAGGGCATAGTGGCAGAGCTGGGCTTATTAGTCTGGTACTTACTAGGTTGGGTGGGTATGATATTTGGGGGTTAGGGAATTTGGATGGTTGGATTGGGTGTGATGTTCAGGAATTTGGGCAATTGGGCAGGGTTGGATGGGGGTGGTAGTTAATATTGACACATACAGGATATTCAACATGAACGATAGCATGGAAAGTGCGATTCGGCTTCGCGACGTCAGCGATACGGTCCAGGATAGTAGAGAGGATCTCGTAGGCGATATTGATGAGTTGGTCGGAGGCGATGCCGGTACGCTTGGTGAGGATGTGATGGAGGAGGAAGTCGTTGTAGAGGAAGTCGATGTGGATGAGCTGGACGGTGATTTGGTGCGGCGAGAGATGGACGGGCTCGGTGGCGTGAGTGTTGTTTTCGAAGGGTTTCATTTGCAGGAATGCGGGGAGGGATTCGCGCATCTGTCGGCTTTTGCGACATAACTCTCTGCAGGCGCTGTCAGTGGTGTCGTCGACGTTTATGTGTGATGGGAGGGAGGAATGGACAGGATGGAATGATGGGATACGCACTCGATCTGATGCGGGAGTGTATCCATTTGACGACTCAAGGTGACTTCAAGCACGTTCTCCCGGAGCATGGCGATTAGTTGTCCGACTCGTGGCCGGATGCCCTTGGACAGGAGCCCCTCGGTGTTCCATCCATGGGCGTCTAGTTTGCTGCAGGCCAGATCCCGCGTTTGCCTGTCTGCGGTCATCTCCGCGTAGCTGAGATCAAGAGGTAGCTGGAGATCGCAATGACGGCGTGATATCCGGGGCGGACGCCCAAGAATCATAGCCAGCTCCTTGTCGATGATATACCCCGCGGTCATAGTTCTTCTGCGCAGCTCGATGAGAAAGAACGGCGCACTCCGGTCCTCCGGGTCTGGCTGATGCAGTCCCAAGGCTAATGCCAGGGTGGAGGCTTCCCCCAAAGTCTTCCACGCGCGGTAGTCTATCCCTAATAAGTAATGCCCAGGACACACACACACACAGACTCACACGCACGCCGATCTGCGGTGGAAGAAGAATCAATCTTACCAGCAACCCCCCAAACAATACTCGCCAGCAGCGTCTGCTGGAACAACAACCACACCAACGTCTCACTCATAACGCCCAGATTCTCGCAAATCTGGATACATGTCCCCGCCGTAGCCGCCATAAGCGACTGCAGAGGAAGCTTCTCAAGCGCAGGCTTCCCATTACGCGGCTGAAAAAGCGGATGATCGCCCCGGATATGATGCGACGAGACGCCAGTAAGCGCGAAGAGCAGTCCGATGCCCTCCCAGCGGGAGGCGATAACAGCCACGTACTCCGCAAAGGTCATGTCGGGATGCAGCACGATGGGGGTGCGACTGTTGTTGAAGATCTCCTGGGACAGCTCGGTCAGACAAAGATGCTTGTCCTTTCGTTGGTCCTGGAGACTGCGGTGGTAGACTTGCTGGATCGAGCCGACCAGCTCCTGGATGAACTGCGCCCCGAAGACCCACGGGTCACAGAGGGAGTCATACCGCGCTTCACAGATCGCCTGGTACAGGGGGAGATCGTCGAGGAGGAGCAGCAGTTGCGCGCCCAGGTCGATCTGTCCTGGATCGATTGGTAGCGCGTTCTCCAGGGTCGGCAGGACGGTCCCCTCCTCCTCGAAGGGAACGGAGGTCAGTCCTGGGTCGTAGCCCGGGTAGACACCCTGGTGCGGCGGATGGTGCCCGTGCCCGGGTGGCAGGCCTAGCCATGCTGGGGGACTGGGATCCGTGCCGGAGCCGTTGGTCCAGTCGGCCAGATAGGGATCCGGAAAGGGGTCGGCGACGGAGGCAGCGACGGCGGCAGTAGCAGTCGCAATGGCAGTGGCGGTGGCAGTGGCAGTGGCAGCAGGCTCATGGCTGGGGGATTTGGAGGGCTCGGAGACGGAGGGCGGATTGGGGCCCAGACTCTGGCGCTTTCTAGAGCGCTTACGGGAGAGGTCATTGGGGGCCCTCTGGGCGTGGGTTTGGCTGTGCGATTTCAAGGTCGAATTGGGAAGAGAAAGAGAGTTGCTGGATGGCGGCGGTCGGGACTTGGTCATGGGCGCCGGATGATAGATGCACAGGACGGCCTGGTTGCGGCGGGCACAACGGCCGCAGATGGGGGTTTTGTGATCGCAGCGCAGCTTGCCCTTGCGGCACGGCTCGCAGGAGGATAATTGGCCATTTCGGCGATGGGTGGCCATTCTTGTGGGGGGGGGGGGTGGCGCGTGGAGGTTGGAGAGCTGAGAGCAGCGAGGCTTTCGAGCTGCGATGGAGATGGAAGAAGAAGAAGAGGAAGAGGAAGAGGAAGAAGAGGAAGAAGTGGTGGTTGCTCTGCAAGCCTTCGACAGCCGCAATGCAATCCTCGCCCCCTTTGCGGTCACATGAGCTGTCCCTGCCCTTCTCTTCTTCTTCTTCACTTCTACTTTTTTTGTCTCTCTTGATTCTTTCTTTCTTTCTTTTTTTTGACTTTTTTATTTTTAGGTTTTTTTTTTCTTTCCTGCTGTCTGTCTGTCCCTGTGAATTCTCCTCCGGCTGACATTCATACATTCGGGGTTGGGAAGAAGACCGAACAAGACATTAAGGCGCTTCCAGTCTTTCCGACTCCCCCAATCCTGAGACATAATGATGGATCCCAACTACAACTCCATCTACCACGAATAAAGTTTCGATTTTATCGTTCAAAAAAAAAAACATACTGCCACTTTCGACCCGCTTCCCTAATGATTCACTTCCTTAAACAAAAAATGCCCACACAATCCCACTCTCCCTTAGTCTCAGCAACGGTAGACCTATCACAATCGCCACGAATCCTCAATCATCCTCTTCCCTTCCCCACTCCTATCCCAGTCAGTCAGTCAGTCAGTCAGCCAGTCAGCCATACAATCGACCATCAACACCCGGAGAATTGCAGTCACTATCATATCTCGATACTCAATATATTACCACGAAAGACACAATTTCCCCAACTGCAGACTCTCAGCCGTAATAAGTGAGGAGGCAGATCCACACCCCCTCATCTCTGCCTTGATACGTAGTCGTTTCCATGCATGATGGAACCCGGATGGCACCCCAGATTTGGGTTGTTTATACTCCGGACGGAGTAGATGTCAACAATGGTCGGTACCTGCCAACTACTTACTAAAATATCTTACCCCGGACTCCGCATCGGTTGACCGATCATGCGGAGTTCGGTGTCGTGCAACTGCCAATGCCAGCTCGATGGTAGGAGTATGTACTATACCTGGTTTGTTTCGGATATTGACCTCTGCGTGGAGGAATCGGCTGTTGACGATCACACACCACAACTCGAAAAAACCACCAAAGAAACAAAAAGAGAAAAAAAAAAGAGAAAACTCCGAAGAGGTTCGTAGATAGGTAGTTGGTAGATCAGATGAATAGAATATACACAAAAGTTAGTAAGTAAGCTAAGACGTAAGTAAGTAAAGGCCTGCTATTTTAGATCTTCATCGATTCAATCAAGCACACATAAGAAAAAAAGAAAAGAAAAGGGAGAAAAGAAAAGAAAAATCTCGCACTACGGTATGACATGGCCCAAAAAAAAACACAGAGAGACACAGACAGACAAAAAGAATCGAAAAGGAACCCGTCTGTCATCCTAACCCAACAGATCATCCAGTCCCGAACTGCCCGTCTTACTCCCCGACGAGCCCTGGTGGAACGCGGACGAGGGACTGCTCGATGCCGCGGGGGCGCCCCAGATACCAGCGCTGGCCTTTTCCTTGGCCATGCTGGCGAGGTTGGGGCCCTTGTTGCCGCCCGTCGAGTTCTTTTGGATTCCGGCGCTGGCGCTGGCGCTGGACCAGAGCGAGCCGAAGACGTCGCCGGACGCCTTGGCCGCGGCCGGCTTGCTGGCCGCCGGTGTGGTGGGGGAGGTGGTGGAGGTGAAGGAGGACGTGGATGGCATGCCGGGGCGGTGGCCCAGGGAGGGCTGCTGGGCGGCGTTGGCCATGGAGACGGAGGTGAAGTAGTTGGGGGTGGCGGCCTGGAAGCCGCTGGGCTTGGGTTGCGCGGGCTTTTGGAACTGCGCCATGGAGCTCTGCGAGAGCGTCGGGGACGCCATCGTGCTGGAGGTCGGGGTCGGGGTCATCGAGGTGAAGCCGACAATGCCGTTCAGGTTCGAGCCTTGCGCGGCGGAGACGGGCTTGGGGGCGGCGAACTGCGTGCTGGAGGTCGTGCTGACGGTGGAGGCGGGGGGAGGGATTCCAAATTGGCTCGACGCCGGCGCGGGGGTCGCGGACTGGAAGTCATCGAAGTCGTCGTCGTCGTCAAGCGGCTTGGAGTCGAGGATATCTAAGCCGCTGCTGGTGGCGGGCTGCTTGGCCGCGCTGGTAGTCGTGACGGTTTCCTCCTCGCCGAAGTCGAACAGGTCCGGCTCGGGAGCTTTGGGCGCCGCGGGAGCAGCTGCGGGCTGCTTGGTCTGCCGAGTGGCGCGGGGAGGACTGGGACCGCGCCGCCGGGCAGACGGGGCGTCCGCCTCATCGTACTCGTCGTATTCCTCGAAGCGACTCGAGCGTCTCGCGGAATCATTGAAATCACTCGGGCTGCCTCCAGCACTGCCTCCGAACCCGCCGCCGTCACCAAAAACACCCCCGCTGTATCCACCGAAGGAGAGACTCTCACTGCCAAAGCCTCCATATCTGCCGGAGCCGGAGCTGGAAATGCCGCTGCTGACATTCGAGCCCCCCTCAAACCCACCAAACTTGTTGCGGTTGGCCCTGGCCTTCTTTCGTTCCGCGCGGATCTGTTCGACGTCCCCGAGCAACTTGGCCAGCTCCGAGGCCCGGTTACGCACGTTGATGCCCTGGTCCTTTCCGTTCTGGTCGATAAAGTGGAACTGGCGGAGCATCCGGATCAGGGACATGTGGGAGCGGGCGTCGTCGACGACTCGTTCGGATCCGTTCTTGACAAGGAACTCTAGCAGTTGCAGCGCCTGTCGCGCATCGTCAGCCTGGATCTACCCAGGTGGGCCGGGAGGGCAGGACAGCAGAACTCACCTTGTAAATCTGTCGCCACTCCTCCGACGTCTTGTCTGTGAACCGCTTGTAGATCATCGGCATGATCTCGTTAAGCAATTGACTGCGTGAAGTGGCCAGTCGTCAGTAACTAGTATGTCCAGGTGGCCCATGCGGCGGGGATCGGTGAGAGACTGACTAACTATGGGTTCCAGTGGAGATCTCATGCATCAGGGTATTCGAGGCACCCCAGGGTTCGTTGTTGGTAGCTTCTCGGACCTGTGAGCTGTGAGTGTGGTGCACAAAGAGTACCCGCCCGAGGTCGGGGGGGTTCAGGGAGTCGCGGGGAGGGAGGGGAGGGCAAGCGGAACTGGCGGGAGAAGCAACGGACCTTGGCCTCCATTTCCGTGTAGTTCATAACAGCTATATCAAGTCAGCAGATGGCTCACAGGCATGGCAGCCAGACTCCGAAGCCATCAAGCCCGAACGGATGGCGTGGGGCTCACGACGGGGACGTACCATTCTGGACCTTGCGGACTCCCGCCTTGAGATCATACAAGGTCAGGTTGCTGACTTGGTCTTTGAGGTTGGAGAAATCCATGGCGCACGCAACTCAAAAACGAAACCGGGCGCAGGATCAATTGGAGGAGAGGAAGGACGACGCGACCGCGGGGAGAAGGACAGGATGGCAGGAGGCGGAGGTTGAGACGGCCATCGCCTCCAGCTGGCATCGATCGCCGTTGGGCCCCAAGCCGTCACGTGGCGGGCCCCTGACTCGGCCTCGTCCCGACGTATACTTCGGCTTCAACTGTTCGACATTACATGCTTGCACTTTGGTAAATACTACATTACGGTATCATTCAAAGACTCGTCATTGCTCGCCCTTGACAGATGTTCCGGTACACACCGGTGCACATCAGGCATATACGGGATACATACATACATACAATCATTAAATCATCACAACGCAGACCCACGCAACATGACAGGGACAGGCTAGCCGCCGCAGCACCATCGGGCAAGAGCTGCAGCAACCAAAGGCAATCAAAGCCACAAAACAAAAGGGGTACTCAACGAAGCATAACAGAAAAGGGCATCACTGGCTCGTCCTCGCCACCCGGCCTGCTGGACGAGCCTTTTCATCGACATATCATCAAATGGGAAGGGATATCACAGAGAAACGAAGAGGGAAAGCCAGGGTCAAAACAAATGGAAACAAAAATAGGGGAAGGAAAATCATAAACATAAAGCGAAGAGACTGTCGAAGCAACGTGGCTCACCATAGAACCACTCAATCACTCATTATAGAACTTCCTCATGATCAGGTGCAGGAAAAGGTTGACGTTGACTCGTAGGTTCCCATCGAAGAAGTCCAGGAACTGCATGTTGTTGAATTGAGCTTGCAGCAGGTCGTCCAACGGCACTTGCGCGTTGGCACCCGGGACCATCATCGGCCCGCTACTTCCATCGATAGTGAAGACACCGACTTCATTGCTCGAAATGGTCAGGTCGACCCGGTCCCACTGCCGCTCGGTGTAGCCCTTCCAGTGGACGAGAACACCCTTGTCCGCCAGATTGCGGGCCGAGTACTTGTAGGAGCCAAACTTGAACACCTTGCCCGATTTCTGAAGCTCGCGTTGATGATCCCACTGCTTGGTGAACGGCATGAGGAACCGTTTCTTCCCCTTCTTGTTCTGCAGTGTCATCATGGCCTGCTCAATGTAGTCGTTGTACGTCTTGAGCTGCTGGTCCAGCCAGCAAGCTTGGTCGTTGAGACGAGTGAGCGTCATCCGAGCGCTATCCAACTCCCGCTCTCGCTGGATTCTTCGGCGGTGCTTCGTTCGGATATCAATGGCAATGGCGTTGAGGAGGTCCTGGTAGTGGTTGTCCCGACGGATCTTGCCGGTTTGTTCAAGCTGGAGGATGTTTTCCAGCGCGGTCCGTTTCAATTCCGAGTAGCTCATGGAGGCAATGTCAACCATGGTGTTGGCTTCTGCGTATGCGCTGCGTCGAGTGTTGGTTGCACTCAACTCGTCGCGCACCAGCATCATCCACTTGGCTTCATCCTCCTCCGTTGGGGGCTTGACCATGATCTCCATCAGGTTGGCGCCTGTCTGGACCCTGATAATGTAGAGAATGCATCGCTTCGTTTCCATGAACAATGCTTTCACATCGGCCTCCGGATCTGGTTCTTGTTAGTTACTACCGCGGCCAACTTTAAGCGAGCTTTCTCTTACCTTCAACCTGGGCAAGCTTAGGGTTCAGCGTGAGGCTGATTTCCGAGGAGTTGACGCTCATCAGCTCGTTCTCATTGGACTTGACGTTACCCAGGTCACGGATGACCTCCTTCAGAATATCGTCTGGGTTCTGGCAGATGTAGTGAATCTCACTGGCGACAAGCTGATGGATGGAGAAGATGTCGGACATCTTAATGTACAGGGTCGGCTTTGTTTTGGCATATAGATCATTGAACTCATCGATGTCGAAATAAGCCTCCGCGTCCTGGACAGATATCACTACAATGAAGTTAGCACGAACACAGAATACAGACCATGGGAAGGTACTCACTCTCGCCCCAGATCTGGCCAAGTCGCTGGATTGAATCCCCAATGTAGCTATTCAGCGGCCCAAGATAAGGGTTCTCGTTCCCGAAAAGACGACCGGAAGCCACCTGTGTGAGCACCTTTGCGATCTCCGACAGATTGCGCTTTTGCTCCTGGGTCAGCCCACGGTCAATCACTCCGTACTTCTCGGGCTCGACAATGGCAGGCTGGAAGTAGTTTCTCCACACCCAGTGGCCCGTGGTCTGGAGAATAAATCCAGGATCCTCTCGAGGGAATCGAGTGACCAGACTCTCATACATCTGCTTCGCGAGATACCGGATTCCAAAAGGCATCCGATAAAGGAGCTCCTCGAAGGCAGCCAGGAACTGATCAGAAATATCGCGAAGGTCCTGAAGGTGCTGTATGAACGTCGTTCTCGTCTCGGGATCTCTAATCGCCTGATCTCTAGGGATATCCGGACGGCGTCGGCTTCGCTTGCCAGTCCGAAGCTCTTCATTATTGATAGCTGAGCGGTAGATCTGCATGGGGTCGCTCTCCAAGTCCAGCTCTGGGTTGTCTACCACATTGTCTCTGACGATGGTACCCAGAATGTCGCGCATGAACTTTCGATCGCGAGGAGACTTCATGTAGGACGAAAAAAGCTTGTTCCAGAAAGAATTGCACCGCAAATACTCGTGGAGCGAGTCGAAGCTTTCAATATCCTCCCTAGCAGAGCGAGCGAGCAACTTGAGCAGGTAGTACTCTTCACGCCTCTTTTGGGAGTATCCAAACAGGCCCATCATCAGGTGTCTTATCCGCTCATACTCCTTCTCCGAGGTGTTCAGCTCGCGCATCCGTCGGAATAGCCTGGCCAGGTATTGGGATTGCGTCTGGAGGAGGAAGAAGAAAACTTGGTACTGTTCCAACTTTCTCCTCGAGGTTTTATTCAGAGCCTTGAGGTCGAATGGATCCTTCGACGATATCTCCCTGTTTGGCAAGAGGTTTCCAACGTGACCACCAAAATGCTTCTGATGTTTGACGACTTCGTCGAGAGTGATCTTATTCTTCACCAGAAGAGCAATCTTGATGTCCAGTTGACTGATGTACTGTTCAGCGAGTTCATTCTGTCGCACCTGTTGAACGACCAATTTCCGCGACCGTTCAAACTCAATCTCTTCATCGAAATCAAATTCACTATCATTCAATAGGTGCACGAACCCCTTGACAGTTCCTACGGGCGGGTTCTTTCCGCTCGTAAGGCTCTTGTATGCCTGTCCCTGGATTCGGCCTCGTACAAAGCTTTGCGCCTTGATCACCTTGTCCATGTTCTCTCGGTAATGGCGACGCTTTTCTTCGAACCTTGTTCGAACGAGATGTCCACGAATGTGTGACTGGAACTCCATAACATCATCCTCGGCAGCTGCAAGGTCTGATAGTGTTTGGCCAACTTCTACTCGAACAAGCATCGCCCTTATTTGAGCTTGCAGTAGGCTGACTTCATCCTCGCAATCTTCAAGATCCTCAAGGATTCCACCAACTTCGATTCTCAGGATTGCAGCGCGAGCCAGTGCCTGGAGGTTAATTATCACTGGCTCCTCCTCGTGCAAGACAGCAGCATCAGCCTCCAATTTTCTTCTCAGCAGAGCGCCCCGAATCATTGACTGTATCTCAAGGACAGTTCCCTCCTCCTCCTTGAGAGACACTCGCTGGGATTCCAGGAAGTCCCGCACAGCGTTCGCCCGGGAAATGCTTTGGAGCTCGATGAATGACGGTTCATGTTGATGTAAATTTTGACGGAGACGTTCAAGGCTTGCTCTGACAGCACCACCACGCGCCATTGACTGAAGCGAACTGCATTCGGTTTCTGTTTTTGCGAGAGCCTCAGCTTGGTGTGATTGGAGCTTTCTGACTGCAAGAGCTCGAGCGCCTGCTTGAATGAAGATAATCGATGGAACCTCCTGAGCAAGGGAGCTCTTCGTTTCCTCAACACTTTTCCGTGCCAACATTCCTCTTACTGCAGCCTGCAGAAGATTCGTGTCTACTCCAGCCTGGTCGATTTTCTTGTGCTGAGCGCTCATCTGCTGTCGTACGAAGGCACCTCTGATAAAAGCTTGAAGCTTCAAGACATCTTCCTCTGCGGATCGTGTTGCTTCAAACTGCGCCGAGACCTGGCTACGCACAAAAGCACCTCGAATGGCAGCCTGTAACAGTCGAATTTGGTCCTCTGTAGATTGGACAGCTTCATACTGTTGCGAGATCAGATTACGCAGAAAGGCGCCTCGAATAGCAGCTTGCAACAGTCGAACCTGGTCTTCTGCCGATCCAACAGCTGCATACTGTTTAGAGACCTGCTTGCGAAGGAATGCGCCCCGGATGGCTGACTGTAGCAATTGAACATGATGCTCTGTGGATCGGGTAGCTTCGTACTGCGCTGCGATCTGCTTGCGAAGAAAGGCGCCCCGAATAGCAGCCTGCAACGATTTCACGTGACCCTCTGTGGACCGGGTAGCTTCGTGCTGTTCTGAAAACTGTTTGCGCTGCAGTGCGCCTCGAATGGCGGCTTGCAACAATCGAACTTGGTCTTCCGAATCTCTCGTGTCCTCGTAAAGGTCGCAGATATTCCTTCGTTGTAACGCTCCTCTCAAGGCCGCCTGAATTTTTTTAATGCCGGATTCCTCTTTCCGCATGCGTGTTTGAATCTGGTTGACTTGAGCCCTGGCTTTAGCTCCTCGGATAAGGGTCTGTAGCCGCAGTACATCGAGCTCCTGAGCCTTGTAGCTCTGCTTATCACCCTTCTGGCGATTTCGGACAATGAAGGCTCGACAGATTGCTTGCAGGTTGACAGCGAAGGTTTTCATGTCCAGGCGATATTGGACAATCTGGCGAGCCCAGTCGCCGCGTATCCTCGACTGCAATTCAATCAGGAAAGGCTCGGAATCCCACAGGTCGTTCATCAAGTTACCCAGCTTCAGTCGCATCATCGCTCCCCTAATCTGGGCTTGGAAATCCGCAATTGAAGCCTCGTTTTCATGGAGTTCCCGATGGATTCGATCTTCTTCGGACTCAGGCTCAGGCTCAGGCTCGGGTTCCGGCTCCGCTCCAAAGTTTGCTGCCATGCCGCTGAAGCTGGGCATGCTGACTCCTGCCTTGTCGAGACCTTTCTGCATCTGCTCAAGTTCGTGGTGTTCGAACTCCAACTGACCCACCAGGTTCCCCATGCGGAAATCGAGCAGGCCTTTCTTGAACATCAACCATGACAAAGCGTGGACACAGTGGATGACCTTCGGGATGTTTTTCTTCTCGTAGAGATCGATGAGTTCGAACCTGAATAGCTCCGGCAACTCAATCTCATCCAAGAATCGGAAAAACAGTGCGATGTTGTCTGAGTGGCGATACTGGAGACGCGCGTGTCTGAAAATCCGCAAAGTACGGTTGGGGTACATTGCTTGTACTACCTCTGCGAGAGTTACACCGTCACGAAGGGCTTCTTCCAGTTGAACAATTGGCGGGATCTGTTTCTGAATCACTTCTTCGATCCATTCCTTGGCCTCTCCAATGTGGCAGAGATACTCGTACGCCTGAAGGAATTGCCGCTGCTTGTCCATCCAATTCCCAGCCGCCCATGCCGAAGCAGGCTTCTTGCGTCCGACAACGGGACCATTGTTTCCGGCCACCGAGTCGGCTCGCTTCAACCGTCGTCGTCCCTGCAGGCCGGTCACAGAGGGGCTATAAGGATTGAGAGCAAACTCTTCGGTCTCTCCCGACTTCGCGAATTTGGATAATGTTCGAAGATGTCCGGTCGATGATTTTTTGAATGTCTCGAGATCGGGAGCCGACAGGGTATGGGTGAACGGCGGCGGGTTAGACAAGCTATGAGCATGATGCGCTCTGACTTGTGATGCGGCATGAGGCGATGCAGCATGCGGGGACCAATTATGGGGTGAGTTGGCCTTTGTGGGCGTCAGATCCTTGAGCGGCGCGTTTTCCTTCGGTGTATCGACTTCCTGATGGTGCGCATGGTGGTGTTCGGGAGTTTGTGGACGGTTTTCCTTCCAATATTGCGGGTTATCAACTGTTTGGCTCCGGGTATGACGAAAGGCATGTTGCTTTGTTGTCGGTGGGGAGGAACTGGGGGCTTGGGACAGTGGTCGCAATGAGCGGCGGATGTTCTCATAAGTGGCGCCCGCATTGGCCCATGTTTTCCCTTCGGACGCGCCTCCAGGCATTTCCTCGGCGATCTTTGTGTTTACTTCGCTCTTCCCCCTTCTGTGACCGAAATTGGTTGCGGAACCCGTTGACGCGGTGGAGGAGACGGTGCTCGTGCGACTGGGGGCAAACGAGTTGGACGAGACGGTGTAAATCGATGAGTTGGTCGACGCGGTCGATCCATGGCGGAGGGGACTCGATGCTTGGTCCGTGAAATCCGTCTGCGTACGTCGGAGAGAGGCTAAGTTGCCTGACATCACGGGTGCCGATCTGAAGAGAAGAATGCGATAACCAATGGAAATGGAAGAGGCTCAACTTCAATTGGCCGCATACCTGCCTCCGGAAAGCGAAGCAGTAAGCCGGCAGGGTCGTGGACTCCGGTGGTTGCGTGGAAATCTGGGAATCACTGGGTTGGAATGTTCATCCAAGGGAGAGGCTGCATGGCCCTGTGGTAACGGGAAGAATTGGGCCGGGAAGAATCGGTTGATGTAGAAACGGGGAAAGTTTGGGCGCTGAACGTGAAAGCGGCCTGCCTGATAAGCGAAAGATCAGTCAGAGGCAAGGCACAGCAAGAGATGCCAAATCCTTGCCACACAGCGATCCTAGTTCTGCACGGTCGCAAGTTCCCGATGATGGAGAGACGGGTAGATAGTAGATTGAGGGAGGGAGGGAGGGAGGGAGTGGTGAGAGGGAGGGATGCTGTAGCAACAAGACCGGAATAAACAAGAAGAAGGGAGGGCCAAAGCGGGGACTGAAGCCGGCAAGGCAAGGCAAGGCAGGCAGGGCAGGCAGGGCAGGCAGGAAGTAAATCGGAGGCAGGAACGAACGACCCCCAGCCCCAGCCGCAGGGAAGCCAGGGCGAAAACAAATCTCCCGATCCGGCATGGCGGGCACGGACATGTGACTAGCCGATGGTTCATCGTATCCGTGTGACGTCGATCCTCCCACCAGCCACTATACACACGATGGTTGATTCCTCCGTCTCGTGCGAGATCGGTCCGATCGATCGGTGGATAGCTTATCTCTGCATCCACGGGCACGATGGAGGTGGAACTCTTGATCAGTCTTACTACTAGAAAGCTAACAGACTAACTGCTAACCAGCTGCTAGCCGCGGATCATGGGAATATATCCTCCGTGTATCGCGTTGGTAACACCGCTTCATTGTCACCTCGAAATATAAACAATCTGAGGACGGTTCGGCAGACCAGACAATAGTATTGATTACTACTCGTGAAAAGCTCGAGACAAGATCACTACTGCCATGTCAGCCTGAAGCTTTGAACGAATTATCTGGCTTACCTAACTAGCAGTTAAACCCCTACCCCCGACCACATCACCATCCATCTCACCATCATCTACTACTAACTCATACTCACCCTATCCGGAATCGCCTCTGTGACTCGCGCTCATGAGACATGCAACTCGCCTTCCGCCTTCGGAAAACCGACCCCATGAAACACCCAACTCATCGGAATGGAAGACACAGGAGTTTATATTCCAGCTTTGTTTGGGGGTTATGATAGGGCCTTTGATTCCTGTTATATTCCAGTTAGAAGCCTTTCCCGAAATCGTGACCAGTGTCTGCATGGGCTTCCGCCGTTTCTGTCCAACACTGATTGAACTATACCCCCGGTTCTTGTGATGCTGGGGAGTCCTTCGAGGAGAGAGATATCGCAACTCGTCCAGGTAGATGTTCCAGACTGTAGCCATTACGAGTGCAGAATATCGATGCCATACCGGTGCCGCACCAGTTGAAGGGTCTATGGTTCTGCCCCGGGGAATCAAGACGTGTTTCTTGACACATCTCGAGTTGAATAGCATTAGTGTAGGAGAAGCAGCTTAGCAGATCAGACATCATGGGAATCTGTCTCACAAAAACAAAGATAGTGTCCCATCATCCATGGAGCTAATTCTTCTCTCTTCTTTCAAAATAGAGTCTTTCACTCAAGAGAAATACCCTTGTTTCGCCTTGCCAGAACAGTCGTAACTCAACCTCTTAATTGAGGTTGCACGCAAACAAGATCCTAGAAAGTTTCAATCCACTAGCCATCCTCGGTGTGGTTCAGCTACCACCACTTGTCTAACACCAGTAGGTAGTCATGAATATTCCACAAAGACTAGCAGTAACATTCCCACCCGACAGACAAACCATACAATAACCAACCGTACAGAATTACGTGATCGGACCTCATCATGAGCCCTCGAGCAGCTATAAGCTCCAGAGTCCAGGGTACATTATCCTCGCCAATGATGACGACGGCGGGGCGGCGAGACGAAGAGGGGCAGCGAGATCAGTCAGACCCACCCACTCACTCATCATCACCAGAATATCGCGCCCGCCTCGTCCTTCAGATACCCATTACCGCGACACATCCAGACGAAAAAGAAATCAATCGAAAGACCCCCTCCCAAAATAAAAATAAAAATAAAAATAAAAATGACAGACTCCGAGCCCCTCTTCGTGTACAAGCTCATCCCATCGACAGCGCCGGTGCGGGAGCCGCTCCCCGAGCGGCTGCCGGTCAGCGAGATCGACGAGAAATCGGGCTTCGTGCACCTGTCGACGGCATTCCAGGTGCCGAACACACTCCAGTTCTTCTTCAAAGATGATCCGCTGGTCTACCTCCTTCGGATTCCGTACAGCAAGATAGCTGTCGACGTCAAGTGGGAGAACCCCGAGGGTACGGTATGTGGGCCGCGACCGAAGGAGGGCCTTTTTCCGGTGAGTTTTGCTCTCTCTCTCTCTCTCTCTCTCTCTCTCTCCCTCTATCTATGGGGGATTGTTGCCATGCGTGGCTATGGGCTTGGGGTTACGATCATCTATATTGTGATGGGGATGTGCGGGCTGACGATACGACTAGCACCTGTACAACGGTCTCAAGCTAGGGAAAGATGAGGTCGAGAGTGTCGCCATTTGGAAGAATGATGAGGGCTGGGAGAAGGCGCTCGCGCAGGCAAAGCCGTGGCTTTTGTACTGATTGGTTGATTGATTGCATTACGTCCAACAAACTCATGATCAATGTACATATCTCCCCTTCTGAATGTCTGAAGGGTTTGTATTAGGGCCAGCACCTCGGCACCAGGCCGGTACATATGAGGACATCATTTTTGCGACAACTTATGTGGTGTGGTTTCACGAAATAGACATTCAGCCATTCAGTCTCCCAGGGGATAACAGTGCAGGACTTGACCGTCTGTTCCGATCAGCATGAATGGCATGGAGCACAGGAAGAGCCGGGGGGTCGCTTACAAAAAAGCGCAGCATCGGTGCTGGCCAGAAAGATGAAGCTTGTCGCGACTTCGCTCGGCTGACCGGGTCGACCGATGGAAGAAGCGGACGCAAAGTCCTCCATTTCCTCGGCCTCTCGAGTGTCGACTTGGATGGGTGTATACACTGGACCAGGGCTGTCGTGGACCGCGATGAGCGTCTGTACTTGCGAATGGAATAAAGTCTCAATACTCACGCGACTGCATTAACGCGGATGCCCTTTGGCTTTAATTGCGCTGCCAAGGACCTGGTAAAGCTGACAATGGCACCTTTGGTGGCACTGTAGTCTACCATGCCGCTTGTTCCTCGGAATGCCACGGTGGAGGTGGTATTGATAATGCTGGAATCGGGTCAGTCGCGAGCAGACGGTCAGTTTGATTGATCTGATAACTCACGAGTCTCCCTTGGACAAATGCGGGAGTGCGAATTTGGTGATGGCAAACATCTGGATAATATTGCTTTCGAATGTGTCGGTGACATTGTCGAGGTCGATCTGCGCCAAATCCTTGCACATGTACTGCTTGGAGGCGTTGTTGACGAGGATGTTCAGCTTTTTGTACCTATCCCCCCATTAGAAGTAGGACTGACGGGCAAGACAACGGTCTGCCTACGTGCTCATATGCTCTTCAACCACCTTGCGACATGTCTCGCGGTTGGCGAGGTTTCCACTGAAGAGATGGCATGACTTGCCCTCGGCCTCTACCATTTTCTTGGTGTCCAGGGCATCATCTTGCTCTTCGGGCAAATAGGCAATCGTGACGTCGGCGCCCTCTCGAGCAAATAGGACCGCGACTGATCGGCCAATTCCGGAGCTATGATGGTCAACTATCTGATCTACCATGTCAGGCGCCAGAGAGTTCCTACTCGCCGCCCGTGATGAGGGCTGTTTTGCCCTTCAACTTTCCGGAACCGACATATTCAACGAAAGCGCCACTCGATTCCAGCTTGGTGGCTTCACTCGCTGGTGCCATTTTCTTCTCCAGGCTGGTATTGCGACTTAGCCAGAGGGGGTTTGATGGAGAGGAAGGAAATAATTACCCCGGCTTAGCTTGGCTCTGAGCTGCCTGTGGCGGCTTAAAGGTACCTTCCTTGCCAGTTGCCGACGACATATTATCCCGCGCGCCTTGAGTGCGTTTGTCAATAAATCCTACAATGATATTGAGGTGCAAAGGTAGATGGCAGTCCAAGGAATAATAAAACACAAGCAGCTTGTCCCATCACTATATAGTACTATGCCAACCAAACTTCTTGTCTCTTGTGTCACCCTGGCGTCATGATGTTGAACTACGTAACCGACCCATCGAATCAGCTTGGGGCTGCTTGACATTGGACCAAAAGGCATTCTCGATGGACCAAACAGGAAGATAGATGCACCGTCTAAACTCCAGTCATGGATTGAAGGATGAGATTTGGACCCTGATGGTTGATACAGCCTTATCATGCATGAACTGCCACCAGCCCGAAGCGGTTAGTCCTCGAAGTGCAGTACCCTGGATGGACAGGACAATAATCCAGATGAAGGAGATATTCGGCCCTTGAAAGTCTGGGTAAATGTTCAAGATTTGCTCTTGGGAATTCTCCAGATCGGAGACATCATTCTGATTAGATCTAAAATACCGGCACTAGTTATAGTATGTCGCGTGGTGTCGATAGGAGGAGACGTGCGTGGCCCCTGCCAGTTAGTTTATCTTATCGGGAAAATCAGCCATGACTAAGTACTCAACGATGCCGCAGTTACCGTAAAAAACATGGACTTTTCCGGCCAGGGACCTTGCTTGGAGAATTCATCCAGGAGAGTGGTAGTCATCTCGATAGTAGGAATGGCCATCGGTGCCACTCAACGAGGTAACCTCAACCGCGGGGCGTGCCAATTATAGCCACAGGGGAAGAAATCTCTGAAGGGCGTTGCCCGGCTTATCTAAGCAAGAATGTCGCCCCTCCAGCCTCACCGCCCGGTCGGGATTCGTTTAGCAGCCAATCAGCAAGCCCCGGCGATACGAAGCAACGCGAGCCAAACCCCTTACGGCAAGATTTCTGCAGGCGCTAGCGCGTGCGGCAGGAGTCAAAAGCCAATTTTTTTCTCCTCGAGTTTTTCTTCTTTTTTCTTTCTTTCTTTCCTTTGGGAAAGGAAGACTTTCTCCATCAACAGAACGTTTCTATCGTCGATCTGTTGATTATCCTCCATCTTAACTCTTTATACCCCCCTCTACGAGTTCCGATAGAAACTGTAGAGTCTTCCTCACCATGCCTATTGCCAACGGTGACTCCCTCGGCCGCGCCATGAAGGCCGAGATCCAGGACCACACCAAGGCCCTGGAGGTCCTGGAGAAGGACTACCAGACGAGAGATGGTCTTGATGTCGATACCCTGCTTGACTCCGACAAGCACGGCGCGTTGACCTACAACGACTTCCTCATCTTGCCCGGATACATCGGTAAGGCGAACTTTTTCCGCCTGTGGTGATGATTCTGTTCAAGTTCGGTTGCTCATGCCCATATGACAGGCTTCCCTGCCTCCGATGTGACTCTGGACACCCCCGTCACCAAGCGTGTCTCCCTGAAGGTCCCCCTTCTCTCCTCCCCCATGGACACCGTCACCGAGCACAACATGGCCATCCACATGGCTCTCCTCGGTGGTCTGGGTGTTATCCACCACAACTGCTCCCCCGAGGCGCAGGCCGAGATGGTCCGCAAGGTCAAGAGATACGAGAACGGTTTCATCCTCGACCCCGTTGTTCTCTCTCCCAAGGCTACCGTGGCCGAGGCCAAGGAGCTGAAGGCCAAGTGGGGATTCGGTGGCTTCCCCGTCACTGGTAGGTTCTACTTTTTTCCGTTTGATGCTATACCCACCCCATACCGTGATGATCAACATCTTTTCTATTATAACTTTCGTTCCACTGGAGCTTCGAAAGTCGCACTGTAGAGAACCAGATTACATCTGACCCTTCACTTCCATTCTTCATCGCTATTGTCTGGTTGAGGTCGAATTCGTTGATTCTAACATTTGCGATTTTGATAGAAAACGGAACTCTTCGTTCTAAGCTCGTCGGTATTGTCACTTCCCGTGACATCCAGTTCCACCCCAACGGCGAGGACTCTGTCACCGCTATCATGTCCACCGACCTGGTCACCGCCCCCGCTGGCACCACTCTTGCTGAGGCCAACGAGGTCCTCCGCTCTTCCAAGAAGGGCAAGCTCCCCATTGTCGATGAGAACGGCAACATCGTCTCTCTGCTGTCCCGCAGCGACTTGATGAAGAACCTCCACTACCCCTTGGCTTCCAAGCTTCCTCAGTCCAAGCAGCTGATCTGCGCTGCTTCTATCGGCACCCGCGAGGAGGACAAGACCAGACTTAGACTGCTGGTCGAGGCTGGTCTGGATATCGTTATCCTTGACAGCAGCCAGGGTAACAGCTTGTTCCAGATCGAGATGATCAAGTGGACCAAGCAGAACTTCCCCGAGATCGACGTTATCGGTGGTAACGTTGTCACCCGTGAGCAGGCCGCAGCTCTGATTGCCGCCGGTGTCGATGGCCTGAGAATTGGCATGGGCAGCGGCAGTGCCTGCATCACCCAGGAGGTCATGGCTGTCGGCCGTCCCCAGGCTGCTGCCGTCCGCAGCGTCTCCAGCTTCGCCGCCCGCTTCGGTGTTCCCTGCATTGCTGACGGTGGTGTTCAGAACCTTGGCCACATCGTCAAGGGTCTGGCCATGGGTGCCTCTACCGTCATGATGGGCGGTCTCCTTGCCGGTACCACCGAGTCTCCCGGTGAGTACTTCGTCAGCAAGGAGGGTCAGCTCGTCAAGGCCTACCGTGGTATGGGCAGTATCGCCGCGATGGAGGACAAGAAGGCCGGTGGTGACGGCAAGGCCAGCAACGCTGGTACCGCTCGTTATTTCTCCGAGAAGGCCAATGTCCTCGTCGCTCAGGGTGTTGCCGGTTCCGTTCTGGACCGTGGCTCCATCACCAAGTTCGTCCCCTACCTCATTGCCGGTGTCCAGCACTCTCTGCAGGACATTGGTGTGACGAGTCTCCAGGCTCTCCACGACGGCGTCAACCAGGGTGTTGTCCGCTTCGAGATGAGAAGTGCCAGTGCCATGACCGAGGGTAACGTCCACGGTCTGCACAGCTACGACAAGAAGCTCTACGCTTAAGCGGTGATAGCTTAAGGGTTGGAGTTCTTGTTGTTTCTTTTCGTTTTTACTCTTCAAGGAGCCTCTCTGTTGACACGTCTCGTTACATGACGCAATGTGACTATTACGAAAACAAAAGCTCGGGCATGGGGGACAGGAGTTCGATATGTGGTAACGCGCAGACTTTGGTATTATGATGGTTCTTCAATGCATTTATGCCTCTTTTCCATGATTTATCTAGAGAACCTAGACTTGCAATAAGTCATCAATCTATTCATATTACATGCAATCTCGAATCTTTACTGTAGTTTCCTCATGTAACCCATCCGTGGTAGTAACGGTCTTAATCCCAACACCAAACATGTCGTGCTACCTACCTGTCTATAGTGCACTGAAACATGTTGTCGTACAAAGTATATCCATACCCGAGCAACCCCGAACGCGGGGTAGAAGAACAAGGCTTAAGTTCCGCAGCCCGCGGTTGGGCGGTGGCTTTGGTTCCCTTTGGCTCCCTTTGGCTCCCCGACCCAGTAACCTTCCCCTCCTCCCCCCATTATTCTCTCCAGCAATCCATCAATCAGCATACCTGACCACCTGACGATCTGCCTGGACGGAGGGTGCCATGAACGCAATCTTGCATGTGTCTCCCGCCCGGCTCAGGTGTGACTTTCGCCCTCACCGGCTGGACCTCGTCCGAGGTACCCGGCTCTCAGCTTCTAGACCTTATAGACCACCACCACCACCACCACCCACGTTGTACAACCACAGTCCCGGAAGCACCCCGCGCAGGGCAAGCTCTTCCGTTTCCAGACCTCAGTCATCGTCGGTAGCCCAGAATATGCCGTCCCATAAGTCCAAGTCGCCGAAACCGCAGTCTACGCCGGCCGTGCCGAGGCCGAGTTCAAGGTTAGTTAGTTCGTAGTTCGTTGTTGTCGTTGTTGTCGTTGCGAATATACAGCCGAGGCATTACGGAGCACCTCAGGTTCGTTCCTGCTGTCCCTCCACGCAACAGTACACAACACCACACAACTGAAAGCCACCTGGCTCACAATACCCAGTGTACTTCTCATATCCCCACGGAACGAAGTCCTCCTCCTCCACCGCGTCAAGACTTCGACTTCCTTCGCATCGGCCCATGTCTTCCCCGGCGGAAACCTATCTGGCCAGGACGGACCCTGTCCGCCACCTGAAGATCTCGCCCGACATGACGACGGCCCCTGGTACCGCAATGCTGCGATCAGAGAGCTCTTCGAAGAAAGCGGCATTCTTCTCGCCAAAGACCGCTCCTCGGGGAAGATGCTAGCCATCCCGGAAGAGCAACGAGAGGCTGGCCGACGCGAGATCCATCAGCACAAGATCACGTTCGCGGAATGGCTACGGGAGCGGAGTTCCGCTGCGGTGCCAGATACAGGTGTGATATTTCCTAGCCATTGTCCCCTCTTGAATCACTGGTCTAACTGACGCGCAAAAAGAACAACTAATCCCCTTCACCCGGTGGATTACGCCTACGAATGTTCCGCGGCGATACACGACCCAAATGTATCTGTATTTCCTGCCCTTATCGCCGGGTTCAGGGGACCCAGTCCTGGATGAAATCCCGTCAGAGGGCCAGACGGAGGAGATCCAGATCCCGACGAGTGATGGCGGGGTGGAGATCTCCGAAGCGAGGTTCCTGCCCGCGTCGGAATGGATTCGCATGGCGCAGAGCGGCGAGATTATTCTGTTTCCGCCGCAGTTCTTGCTGTTGCATTTGGTTGCGGGGTTTCTGGATGAGGGAGCCGAGGGAGGGGGGGCAGGAGTGGGAGCGGGGTCGGTTGAGGACTTGGATAGCAGAAGGGCGGAGCTGATGCGGTTCGTGCATACGGGTCAGCCGCCCTGGACGGAGAAGTGCATCTGTCCGAAGATGCTGAAGATGTCGTCGGATGGACGGACGGTGCTGGCGCTGGACCAGCCGGGGCCGGAGCTGAAGGAGAGTGGGCGTGGAGGAGAGTCGGAGCGGGTGGTGCTTGTGAGGTTCAAGCAGGGAGCCTCGAGGGATGTGGATGTGCGATGGAAGAAGGATGTATTTGGGGGGAAGGGTCGACTGTGATAGAGGATAGAGTAGAGTATAATAACAAGTCGTGATTACGGAGTAAATGCAAGGATTTAAATGTACATAGGGTCTTTTTTTGGATCCATCTCGGTTAAAATAATTTCACTTATTCAGTTTGCTTATATCTATCTCTATACACTATAGTTCAAGTGAGAACACACAATAATCAAACGCACATACACAGACACCACCAACCCTCTAACTACTCTGTAGAATCCACACAATAAGTGGCTGGTGAGTGGACTCCATCCGCACCGCCACACCACCCAACCACACTAACCCAATCCAGATGTCCTTAGTCATCCCCAAGCCCTCGACAAACAATCACATGACCCACAACCCGCACATCGCAGAAAGTCCACGGGAATTTCACGCAACCCGTCCGCCAGTTAACCCGCCAGCGCAACCTCCGTCTTTCTCACCGTCGTCAACCTCAGACACTACCAGCCCGCCAAAATGGAGAACGAGAAGGGAGAGATCGTCGATCTGTATGTTGTCCACCGCGTTTCTGTTTTTTCTTTTTTTTTTTATCTGTGGTTTGGTCGTGGTCGTGGTCGGTGGATGGGATATGCGATTGATTGATTCTGGCCGCGGAGGTGGGAGTCAGTCATCTGTCTGTCTGTCTTTCACAAAGGGAAGAAGAAGAACAAGAAGAACCGAAATCTCAGTGTGGATGAGATATTAGAAAGAGGAGGGACACGATTATCGGGTTCAATTGAGTTGGGCTGGAGGGGAATGAATGGATGAATCACGTCCATATCCATCATCATCATCGCATATCCCGTCGTCGACTTTGACTTGGCCTTTTCCTATGACCTGGCCGAATTGCGCATTGAAATTCACCACCCACCTTCAAAACCAAAACCCCCCCGACCCCGTGCGAGAAACAGACAAGACGAGTGCTAATATTCTAATTCTCTCCAGCTACGTGCCCCGCAAGTGCAGCGCCACCAACCGCATCATCAAGGCCAACGACCACGCCTCCGTCCAGATCTCCATCGGCAAGGTTGACGAGAACGGTCGCTACACCGGCGAGAACCAGAGCTACGCTCTGTGCGGCTTCATCCGTGCCCGTGGTGAGAGCGATGACTCCCTGAACCGCCTTACCCAGCGTGACGGCTACGTCCGTAACGTCTGGTCCGCCAGCAGCCAGCGGTAAATATGGTGAAACCGTGTTTGGGTGTCTGGGGGTTATTGGTGATGGTAAGATACTTCTCCCTCCCCCAAATCTTTGGAAATTGTTTCGAGGGTTAGAAGAACGTGGGCTAATCTTTTCCCCCAATTGGGATTGGCAGGATGAGATAAGATGTACGGTGACTAAATCCAGTCACGACATCATGATATATCGAAATCTTTCTTCATGAAAAAAAGAAATCCAAAAATTTGTTCCATCAATCAATAGCCTGCATTCATCTTGCGATGCAATATTTCCTTTCATTTTTCCCCTAATGTATTCCCTCCCCAGCTCTCCCCCCCCCCTTTCTTCGCGCCCCAATTCCCCATCTCCATCTCCATCTCAAAATCTCTCCCAGTCGAGATACCGTAGTACCTACCCATTCCCATCTCATTTCTTTTCATTTCCCCTTTCCATTACCTACCATATATCTCCTACCTTCAATCCGGCACATCAAGACTTCCTCGCTCCCGGAACCGGATCGATCTGTTTAACCATAACTACTCATCCGTTCCACCCCCACGAGCGAGGAGGTACTAGAAAAGTAAATAAAATCAAAAAAAAAAAAAATGTTTACATCCGTCGCCGAATATTACGCTACCGCCTACTGAAGAGCCACTTTTGCAGTGTTGTGCACTGGGGCACAGATACGGGTGGGACATTCTCATTTCAGTTCTTTCTACTATACCTTACCTAGCTAGATAGCTAGCTCGGTACAATCAATTCAATCCTTTTTCTTTCTAGGTACATTTCTACTCCGTACAATACCATATTCTTAGTTCCTACTTTCTTCTTTCTAGTTCCTACTTTCTACTTCCTAGTTTACTTTTCTTCTTCCAGTGCAAATAGATTAACGTGATAAGTCATTCATTTGACTGACTCTGACTGTTCAATGAAATTGAAATTCTTTTGCATCTACTCATAATCGGCCCGTAATCTCGTAGTGTCTTGTCTGTCCGTCTGTCTGTCCGTCCGTCTTTTGTTGAAGTGTATGTTGGTTTGTTTGCAGCACCCTGAAAAAAGAAGAAGTGTGTCTATGTTGAATCATGATATCGAAGCTAACAAGGTCTGCCTCTGCCTCTGCCTCTGCCTCAGCGTCTGCCTACCCAATTGGTTTTTTTTTTATTGTAACCCGCACTTTATAGCACCCCGCCTGTCTAGTCTAGTATCTAGTCCTTCTCCAGACGGACGGCCGGATTGGTCTCAACGAAGTTGAGATCGACCTTGTGACCGAGCAGTTCTCGGATGTTGCTGACGCCGTACCTGGGGGAGGGGGGGATTTGTTAGTTCCTCACTCACTGCCATGTGTTGTTGATGGGTTGGGGACGGGGGAAAGGGACTTACTTGATCATGGTCGGTCTCTCCAGACTCAAACCCCAGCCGTAGACTCTCATGTTCTTGGGAAGGCCCATGGGCTCCAACATCTCCGGTCGGAACATACCGCTGTTTCCGATCTCCACCCACTTACCAAGACCAGCGTGGTAGCCGAAGATCTCCATACTAGGCTCGGTGTAGGGGTTGTAGGCGGGCTTGAAGCGGAGCTGGTGGATGCCCATCTTGGCGAAGAAGACCTCCATGAAGCCGATCAGACCACCCAGGGTGAGTCCGAAGTCGGCGATGACACCCTCGATCTGGTGGAACTCCGCCAGGTGAGTCGCGTCGACCGCCTCGTTACGGAACACCCGGTCGATACTGAAGTACCGCGCCGGACGGGGGTTGGCGGCCAGCTTGTGCAGCATGTACGTCGACACCGAGGTCGTGTGTGTGCGGAGAACCAGCCGCAGCGACTCGTCGGCGTCCCAGGGGTAGCGGTAGCCGATGGATCCGTACTTGCCGCTCTCGTGGACCTGGCGGACGTCGTCCCAGTACTGCTTGTAGTCGAGGGGCTTGGCCACCGTGGCGGCGGAGGCGGGCTGGATGGATTTCGGACGGTGGGGGTCGTTCTCGGGGTCCTCGCGGGGACGGTCGGCCACGGCCGGGTCGGCGATGTAGAAGGTATCTTGAAGGTCACGGGCGGGGTGTTGCTGGGGGACGAAGAGGGCGTCGAAGTTCCAGAAGCCCGTCTCCACGAAGCGGTTGGTGGGCATTTCCTCGAAGCCCATCTCGAAGAATATGTTGCGGAATTCCTGGCGCACCTTGTTCAGGGGGTGGAAGGCGCCGGAGGGCGTGGGGGCACCCTTGGCCTTGAAGTTGTAGGGCTTGAGCTGCGCCGTCTTCCAGGAGCCGTTCGTGAGCATCTCGGCCGTCAGGTCGGTCTCCTCCTTGACGAACTCGCGGGCAAACTTGGGGCCCTTGGAGATCTTGAAAGTGATGACCTTCTGCAGGGCGACCAGCTTGCGCCGCTTCAGGTCCGTGAGAGCCTTCTGGTCCTCCAGGCTCTGGGTGTTCTTGACCGTCAGCAACAGCTCCCGGGTCTCGTCCACGATGGTCTCGGTCGTCGCCCGCAGGAGGTCCTTGTCCTTCTTGATCCAGCCCTTCTTGAACGCATTTCCCTGTCCGATCTTGGCGTTGTCCTTTCCGACAATTCCAGGCAGTTCGCCGATCTTCAATCCGTCCAGGGCAGCGAGAACCGCCTGGAAGACCTTGGCTTCGTGGCTGCCATTCGTGGCGATCTCGTCACCTTCCGGAGTCAAGACGGCGATTTCCTTCTCAATTGTCTCGTATTCGACCATCTGCCGCGAGGCTAGACGGTCCAGCGCAGCCTTGACATTTAGTGAGGGGGTGGAGGGGAAGGCTTCGCTGGAGAGGATGGAGGCGTCGGACGCGGACAGCGTGTCCAGGATGGGGCTCGTCATATCGGTCGCCATGGTTGCGAGTCGTGAACCCCGGGGGACGGATCTGAGGAGGGTGGGGGAGTTGCAGAGGGGACCGAAGGGGAGATTGGGGGGGGGGTTCAGTCAGATACTGCTTACCTTCCGAAATTGTGACTCTTTCGGGCTCGCTCTGCGAATTCCGGCGCGCCACACCGGCCAACTGCGCCATCCCGTGACTTGGCTGCGTCGTTACCCCGCCATCCGTTTTGTCATCTCGACTCCGTACGATCGATCTATCTATATCTATCTGCTCACAGCTTAAGACTATCTATCTCCTCCGTATCTCGGAATTTAGCCCGGTCTGGTCTTTCGATTCCAGTCTCAGCCACACGTTAAGATCGGTTCCCCCCCTGATGCAGGAGATCGAGGCCGGACGCGCCATCGCCCTGGCCTTTCCAGCTAGCGGGCAGATGTTCGCATGATCTCTCCTTCAAACGATCAAGCGATCAGATCAAATGCAATGGCCAGTGTATCCGTGATGCTTTTTATACCCTGAATCAGCTCTCTTTATGGGGGGTGGAGGGGGAAATACGGAAGTGAAGGTCATAATCAACGGGGGAACAAGGCAGCCACCCGTGCAGTATATATATATATATATACCACCGCCCGCAGCATTCCAGCATCCGGAGTGCGGAGTTGAAACATACATTGGAAACCTGGAAGCCTGGAAGGAGTAAAGAATCCTGGGGTATCTTAGCTCAAGAGCTGTGGAATGAATGCTATACCATATTGACATCCAGTCAGACAGTAGGCGAGGTCTGCATTCACACTGGTCATTTCAGTTCTTAACACATGCATGGCGCCAGGTGACTGCAAATTAAGGACCCCTGACTGTCAGATGCAAAACCTGTGGCTAAGCGACTGCTGATTCGTTGCCTGTGATAACTTGGTCACAATCAAGGCCTTTCCCGGAGGGTATCCTTTTCAAGCAACAACATCCCCAGTGTGGAGGAATGTACTCCGTATAGACCATGAGTGACCACGAATAGTGACCTGACTGGACCTTGTCAGCACTAGCGAAATTTTGTCTCCCGCCCCGAGTCCCCAAGCGCAACGGCTTGGAGCACATTCCGGGGACTCCGTAAAGTGACTTTAATGAAGGTTTATCTTCTCCATGCAACTTGTTCCTCGGTTGTCCTGTCACTCGCGGTGGCTGGCAAATGGAGCGATACTGCGTCCGCTAGGCTGTCTAAGCAATTCCTAGCTCTCTCACCCAACGGTTTGGCGAGACTCAAGGTGGCTTAGTGCTGGCCATCAGTCGCGACAATAATTGGTGGCCCGGACATTTACACGTACTCCAAGCATCCGTCGATGTCACCGGGCCCGACTGTTATCTGGGAAATCTTGCTTTTGGGGGACCTTCAAGATCTCGAACATTCCGTCCCGAAGCCATACCCAGGCAGGCGAAACCATGCCAAATCTAATTTAAGGCCATTGGACAAATTCGTCACTCTCCCATCTGGCACGTCCTCCGTGGCCAATGCCGCCTGCTCTATCACTTTCGCTTGACCAAGGCTAGTCGGGATAGCCTCCATATCTGGCTACCTTCGACGGCTCTACCTGGTTACCGGCTTCCAGCTTCCAGCTGCCCGCCTACCTTGCCTCGCATGAGCGCCCCAGACAGGCCTAGCTCGACGGGGCTAGAAAAGGACGTCCGAGAATCCCTGGGCATGATTGGCCTACCCGTGGAACGGCTGGGGTCTCGCACGCGACCGTTGGGTCTGGACTAGACGCCGTCGACACCGGGCCAGTACTCCGTAGTTAACTAAGTTATGGAGCAGTAGTCAGCACGCGGTATGAAGATTACCAGCATGGCGCGTATCATCCCCCCAAATGGCCGGCATTGCGCTCGCCCGTATGTAAATCCCATACCAGCCTCCCTCTCCTCCACCCTCTCCACCATGGACGGTGAGGACCGACGCCTACGGCACGAAGCCACAACCCGAACTGGAAACAGCAGTGTGGTTATTCTAGGTTGACCCGGCAAACCGTGGGATTGGGTCCTCTAGCTGCAGTCTGCACCATCTATCTATCTAAGTAGGGGAGTCCGCGAGATCTCCGACGCCGACCAGCCGGGAAATTTCCACAGCGCACTTACTTATCCGGTAGTGCACTAAGTACTTACTTGGGGACACCGATTCATGCAGTCGACATGAAGAAAATAGGCAGCAGTTTGGTAGACTACTGGAGGTAGTCCGAAATCTACCGCGGATCTTCACGCAAACCGCGACAATACGGTTAGGCAGAACCAGCGTGGTTCTTAACTTCTTCTAGCCTGGGGGTTGATCTATTCCTTGATCATCCTCGATCAACGGCATTTGAAGTTGATGTACCGGTCACGATGGCCTGATGAGCAGCAAGCCCGTTTCCTCTTCCTGCATCCCCGGGCTGGGGCCAGGGGGGTTTTGCTTGCCCTCCGGATGCTATGCTGGCCTGCTTCCGCGAGCTGTCGCTCAAAACAGGTATTAAAGGTCGACGTGTGATAGGTAAGAATAGCCGGGGCCGACGATGCCATCTAGTTAATGATCTAACTTGCTGGAGCCACGGAAAAACGATCGCCACTAGTTCTGGAGGCGATCAGCTGGGTTCCAATCATTATTACTACACGCCGTACGGAGGAGATGGTACACCGTAGGGAAACTGGGAAGGTCAAATACGCGCGCGTGAAGGGTGCCCGTAAAAATGGAGTATCTCTGCTGCTGTCCGATACGGAGTACGTTACTATTCAGGTTGGAGTGATGCATGATCGTATTCCGGGTTGAGCTACGTCCATAGATCTCATCATTCGCAGGCTAAATGAGGCCTGTCAATTAGCGTTGACTGTCCTGGGCCAAAAACATAAGAGAAAAAAAAAAAGAAAAGAAAAGAAAAGAATAAAAAAAGGTTCGAAAAAGTTAGGGATTCAAAAAAGTACAAACCGTACCTGCCTGACTTCGATCCCAAGCAGGGATGTCTGTGCGGTACAGGAAACAAAGCCTGCAGCTCAGCAGCTCAGCAGCTCAGCAGTCGGTGGTGGGTGTGGGTGGAAGCTGTGGAAGAAAAGGGCTGAAGCGACAGCCGATCCCCGGTGTTCCCCTTATGCCCACGCACCACAGGTCTACAGTATACACGCCAAGGGCACACAAGAGTTTGGAACTGGGACATTTGGTCCCTGAGAGTGAGAACAAGGTGAGACACCACAGGGACCACTTAAACTGCTATTATTATTTCTTTGAGACATGGGTTGTTCATTAGTTCGCTCCCTCTCTGGTACAGGTAGGACCTATCTATCCAGTGGCAGTTCCCTCCAGCCAAGGAAGATGTCGCAATAAAACCAAAAAAAGCACAGCAGGAACTAACTGAAAAGACGCCAGTCTCCACCTCGAACGAGCACCGGTTCCTACTCGCTTCTCTTCTTCTCGAGACCGGAACAAAGGGTCCTATCATATGGGGGTACGTATCTGGGCGATGAAGATTGAACGCGACTTCGCATGGCGGCATCTACATCCGTACGAGATGGACGGGATATGCTGTTACAGATAGAGCCGATTGTGTATTGATATCCATTTCCCCCTTCGTAGTTCTTTTTCTTTTTTTTCGTTCTTGTCGTCAACATTGCTCTGTTTTCTTGTCCTGCGGGGTATATCAATCGGGAAATGCCCATGTCGCAGATTAAACGGCTGGAGTGAGCGGTGTCGGAGCCTGGAGGAGTCGCCAGGCACGTCCCGGCCGAGCAGCCCATTTAAACTCTACCCAGCTAGTGGTGATCCCTGGTCGGTGGTCACTGCCTCAGCCTGACCTTTGCGGCAAGCACTATTGTGTAGATAGTTCCTGGTTTCTCAGGTGTCTGTTTGAATGTTTGTCCATCATCAGGCTGATCCGTCAGCTTCTGCTCTCAAAACTCGGGTTTTGTTGCTCCCCCCTCTCCCTCCCCTCTTTAGGATGGGGTCTCAGATTGGTTTGTGACCGAGATGTTGATGTTCCCATGCAAGAAGTCAACAGAGGTATTCAAGGGGGGGGGGATAAGAATTAGAGAAGGTGTGAAATTAAAATTAAGATTTTTTTAAAGGGCAAAAAAAAAAAAAAAGAAAAAAAGAAAAAAAGGACCAGAGAGGAAGAGAGAGCCACAGATAGATAGCAGTAGCAGCAGCAGTAGGAGAGTAGCGACCGGCACAGCACCAGCACTACCAGCAGCGACCACCAACCAACAAAACCAGACCCGGATCAGAGTCCCATCCATCCAACCCCTCCCCCATCTGCCTTTCCATCCATCCTCTCCCCCGTCTCAGCTCTCACACTGCTTGCTGCTGCTGCTGCTGCTGCTGCGGGTTTCTTAGTCACCGGGATATTTATCCTTCTTCTTATTATCTAGTGCCCATTATTATTTTGACTTTGATCATTTTGGTTCTTGTTTTGACTTTCCTTCCCCCTTCACCCGGCTCCAGCTCGCTCCTGTGCAGCATCCATCTATCCATCCATCCCCCATCCACACACATCCGCCATCCACCATTCACCATCCACCCTGTCCACCGTCTCTCTTCCTCACTTTCTCGCTGACTGATCGGATCCCTCCCTGACTCTCTCCCTCTCTCTCTCCCTCGCTCGCTCGCTCGCTCTGTTTTGAGTGTTTCTAGCTCAAACAAGCAAAAGAAGACCCTTCCCCCCTTTCAGTGCTTGCTCGTCTGTCTCCTCATTCCTCCCCGCCCGACCTGGCGCTGCTCTCTTTGTCTGCTCCGAGGTCGAGTCCCATCCGTGTGGTCTCTTGGTCCTGTTCCCAAGTCCTCCTCCCCTCCCGACCACCACCACCACCCCCCCCCTGCCCACAAATCCACCGAGATCCTGGCCCTTTTTCGACCTCTCGCCCTCTCCACAAGACACCCCATGTCGTCCTAACAGAGTCGCCCCGATCATTCGTGTCAGTAACACGGCTTCCCGTCAGGTAAGTCTCGCACTCTCTCTCTCGCTCTTTCTCTCGCTGCCGGTGACCACTGCACCGCGCGGCACTATTTCCCCCCCCCCCCCCAAATCCATCCCATCCCCATCGGTTTTCTCGCTGTCCTCTGGCGCTCTCTCCTTCCGCCCTCCCTCCCCCCTCTGTGTTCGACTCTCCCGAGCCTCTCTTTCTTTTTCTTCCCTTTCCTTTTACAGCCCATCCAATCATTTCCCGACATCTGCATTTTTCCTCTTTTTCTTCCTCATTCTCCCATCTCTCCTCCGCTTACTACTACTATCGCCCCCCTCCCCCCCTTCTTCTTCCCTACCTAATCTTTCTACTCCGCTTTGATTTTACATTTTTTCTTTTTTTTTTTTTTACGCTTCTTTTTCTTCCCTTTCCTCGGCGTCCCTCTTCCCAAGTCCCATATTTTCGGAGTCGAGCCCCGTCACACCCACCCCGATAGACTTTCCCCCCTCCTATCTCCCATCCGTTTCGACGTTTTCGTCGTCCCTATCCCGCGTGTTTCTCGAATACCTGTCCTCGCCTCCACTTTTGTTTTCTCATCTTATCTTCGGCCTGGTTTCTCATGCAGCATATCGACATTTAGACCTATCTGGATCCAACAAAAATCTCTTCACGACATCCATACTTATGTCCGCTTCTGACTGAGGCGTCCTAGGGCACAATGGCTTGCGCGGACGAAACGCTCGCGGCCGCTGCTGCCATCCTGAAAGGTCTTGCGAAAGAAGCTCCTTCATCCGGCACACCTCCCTTCGAATTCGAATTCTCTCATCCCTCTGCCAATGGCTTCGACGCAAAACACACAAAACTGCCTGGAGAACCAACCTCAGCAAAGGCGGCGTTCGAACAAGAGTTGGAGGCGTTAGTCCGACGAGTCCGTCATCTGGAATTCCAAAATGTCAGTCACCACCAGTCAACCCCCAAGTCCTCTCAGTCATCTCAGTCCTCTCAGTCCTCTCTCACTCCCGACGAGAGGGGGACTGATTTCCTGTGGTCCTTTGGTCTCTCTCGTTTTTCGTCCCGTGACGGTTCTGACTCTTCTTGCCTCTCACAGCACCAAAATGCACACCTGCCCCATGGATCCAGACCTCCGGCCGTCGAACCGGAGGAGCCAGAAGCGGAGGAGGATATTGATGATGAGGACACCGACGAAGAAGATGATATAAACTCGAGGACACGTTTGGTACGCGAGGAGGACATCAGCTACCTCCGGAATCATGTTCAGAAGCAGGCGGAGGAAATAAGTTTCCAGAAGGATATCATCGCCCAAGTCCGTGATGAGTTGCTACAGCAGGAGGAGCAGACACGGCGGGCCTTGACCAAGGTGGAGAACGAGGATGTTGTCCTGCTGGAGCGGGAGTTACGCAAACACCAGCAGGCCAACGAAGCGTTCCAGAAAGCTTTACGGGAAATCGGCGGCATCATCACTCAGGTCGCGAACGGTGACCTGTCGATGAAGGTCCAGATTCACCCGCTGGAGATGGACCCCGAAATTGCCACATTCAAACGCACAATCAACACCATGATGGACCAACTGCAAGTCTTCGGTAGCGAAGTGTCGCGAGTCGCGCGAGAGGTCGGAACGGAAGGAATCCTCGGTGGCCAGGCCCAAATTACGGGGGTGCATGGTATCTGGAAGGAATTGACCGAGAACGTCAACATAATGGCCAAGAATCTTACGGATCAGGTCCGTGAGATCGCAGCGGTCACGACAGCGGTCGCCCATGGTGATCTGAGTCAGAAGATCGAAAGTCGCGCTCAGGGTGAAATCTTGGAACTTCAGCAAACCATCAACACCATGGTTGACCAACTTCGGACATTCGCAACAGAGGTCACACGTGTCGCGCGTGATGTCGGTACAGAAGGTGTTCTCGGCGGACAGGCTCAAATCGAAGGGGTACAAGGCATGTGGAACGAACTCACGGTAAATGTCAACGCTATGGCCAATAATTTGACCACGCAAGTACGGGATATCGCAACTGTCACCAAAGCGGTGGCCAAGGGTGATCTGACGCAGAAGGTGCAAGCGAACTGCAAGGGGGAGATCGCAGAGCTGAAGAATATCATCAACTCCATGGTGGACCAACTACGGCAGTTCGCCCAGGAAGTCACTAAGATTGCTAAGGAGGTCGGCACCGACGGTGTCCTCGGCGGTCAAGCTACTGTCAATGATGTGGAGGGCACATGGAAGGACCTGACTGAGAATGTCAACCGCATGGCCAACAACCTGACCACCCAGGTCCGAGAAATTGCCGATGTCACCACCGCCGTCGCAAAGGGTGATCTGACCAAGAAGGTCACCGCCAACGTTCAAGGTGAGATACTAGATCTCAAGAGCACGATCAACGGCATGGTGGACCGACTCAACACCTTCGCCTTCGAAGTCAGCAAGGTCGCTCGTGAGGTCGGCACGGATGGTACGTTGGGTGGTCAAGCCAAGGTCGACAACGTGGAAGGAAAGTGGAAGGATCTGACCGACAACGTGAACACCATGGCCCAGAACCTGACCTCGCAAGTGCGGAGTATATCAGACGTCACACAAGCCATCGCCAAGGGTGATCTTAGCAAGAAGATCGAGGTCCACGCCCAAGGAGAGATCCTGACCCTCAAGGTTACCATCAATCACATGGTGGATCGACTGGCGAAGTTTGCTACCGAGCTCAAGAAGGTCGCCCGCGACGTCGGAGTGGACGGCAAGATGGGTGGTCAGGCCAACGTCGAGGGCATTGCTGGAACATGGAAGGAGATCACGGAGGACGTGAATACGATGGCCGAGAATCTGACTTCGCAAGTACGTGCATTCGGTGAGATCACGGATGCCGCCACGGACGGTGATTTCACCAAGCTCATCACGGTCAATGCCTCCGGCGAGATGGACGAGTTGAAGCGCAAGATCAACAAGATGGTTTCGAATCTCCGAGACAGTATCCAGCGTAACACGGCTGCCAGGGAAGCCGCAGAGTTGGCGAACCGCACCAAGTCCGAGTTCCTGGCCAACATGAGTCACGAGATCCGAACGCCCATGAACGGTATCATCGGTATGACGCAGTTGACGCTGGACACGGATGATCTGAAGCCGTATACTCGCGAGATGTTGAACGTCGTGCACAACCTGGCCAACAGTCTGCTGACCATCATTGACGATATACTCGATATCTCCAAGATCGAGGCCAACCGGATGGTGATTGAGAGCATCCCCTTCACCGTGAGAGGGACTGTTTTCAACGCCCTGAAGACGCTGGCAGTGAAGGCAAACGAGAAGTTCCTGAGCCTGACCTACCAAGTCGACAACACCGTCCCTGACTATGTCATCGGTGACCCCTTCCGTCTGCGGCAGATCATCCTGAACCTGGTCGGCAACGCCATCAAGTTCACCGAACACGGAGAGGTCAAACTTACGATCTGCAAGTCTGACCGAGAGCAATGTGCCGCCGATGAATATGCGTTTGAGTTCTCTGTGTCTGATACGGGTATTGGTATCGAGGAAGACAAGCTGGACCTTATCTTTGACACCTTCCAGCAAGCGGACGGCTCGACCACGCGGCGGTTTGGTGGAACCGGTCTGGGTCTCTCCATTTCCAAACGTCTGGTGAACCTGATGGGTGGTGATGTCTGGGTCACCTCGGAGTATGGCCATGGCAGCACCTTCCATTTCACCTGTGTTGTGAAGCTGGCCGATCAATCGCTGAGCGTCATCGCATCGCAGCTGTTGCCGTACAAGAACCATCGGGTTCTCTTCATCGACAAGGGTGAGAACGGTGGCCAGGCCGAGAATGTCATGAAAATGCTCAAGCAGATCGACCTGGAGCCATTGGTCGTTCGGAATGAGGACCACGTCCCGCCCCCGGAAATCCAAGATCCCTCTGGCAAGGAGTCTGGCCATGCCTACGACGTCATAATCGTGGACTCGGTGGCCACCGCTCGACTGTTGCGGACATTCGATGATTTCAAATACGTGCCTATCGTGTTGGTCTGCCCCTTGGTCTGCGTGAGCCTGAAATCTGCTCTTGACCTCGGCATCAGCTCGTACATGACTACGCCGTGCCAGCCCATCGATCTCGGCAACGGTATGCTGCCCGCGCTCGAAGGACGTTCCACGCCCATCACCACCGACCATTCTCGCTCGTTTGACATCCTGCTTGCGGAGGACAACGATGTCAACCAGAAGCTGGCTGTCAAGATTCTTGAGAAACACAACCACAACGTGTCTGTCGTCAGTAACGGTCTCGAGGCCGTGGAAGCCGTGAAGCAGCGCCGCTACGATGTCATCCTGATGGACGTCCAGATGCCGGTGATGGGTGGTTTCGAAGCCACCGGCAAGATCCGCGAGTATGAGAGGGAGAGCGGTCTTAGTCGAACGCCGATCATCGCGCTTACGGCGCACGCCATGCTGGGTGACCGAGAGAAGTGCATCCAGGCGCAGATGGATGAGTACTTGTCGAAACCCCTGAAGCAGAACCAGATGATGCAGACAATCCTCAAATGTGCTACGTTAGGCGGTTCCCTTTTGGAGAAGAGCAAGGAGTCGCGCATCTCGAGTAGCGGTGAAATGCACCCGGTCCACCACACCAGCTCCGATGGCAAGAGCCAGCAGCGGCCGAGTCTGGAGCCGCGTGCCATCACGGCGTCAGGCAACATCAACCGCGGGAGCATCGCAAGCCCAACCGTTGAGAAGCCCGACGACCTTGCGATGGAAAGGGTAGGTTTCGTCTGGCCCCAAAGGTCTTCCCTTCATCGACTAACTAAGTTGACAGGCACTGCTGCGGTCCAATAGCTCGTGAGACGTTCTCAAGATATCCTTTCGCTTGTTTTCCTTTCATGTTTCCGAGTGGCTTCGATGCAAACCTTATACCCTATCTATTTGCGCGCCTGTAAGAAATGTTCATTGGCATGGCGACCTCTTCGTGGTCGCCGTCTCTTTTTTCACCCAATTTCTGTTCGGGGAAACGCTTCTTGCTCCTCATGTCCCACCGTACACGCCCCCCCTGACGCTGTGTTTCCCTGATTCTCGGTCGATTATCCTGCTTAGCATACGCCTGTCGCTGATAGCATTGTCGACGGCCAGCGATGGCATATCTACTTTCTCTCTTTTTTTCTCCTCATCTGCCTATATTATACGAGTGCTTGATTTCGGCTGTTACTGTCTATGCCAGTAAACCTCTGGTGTAAGTAAGGTGTTTGGCGCATGGACCACCGGCGGGGACCTTCGACATAAACCTGCGCGCAGCATGGAATGAAGACACCACTCCGAGCGAGTTCAAGCAACGCGCCGGGGAGCCAGCATCCTGCGGCCATGCTTGTGGATGGGATTCTCTTGCATATGTTGCATGCACACTTGATCTGCGTGGAATTTCTCTCTCACTTCCCTCATCATCATCATCATCATCATCATCATCATCACCACCACCATCACCATCATCTATACTCGCGTCTTCCCATCCATCAATATTCACGCATGCTTGTTGCGTCTCGAGTCAGCTTTTTTTTCATTCCGATTTGTATTGTATTTAATTTTTCCCCATTTTCCTCCAATTAGCAGATGAGTCCCTTGATTTGGGATCAGGATGCGATGCCCGAACCAGATACTACTACCACTTTTTTTTTTTTTTCCGTTTCATTTTTGACTTGACCGGTTTTCCACATATTTGGCGTGTATGAATCGACTCGACTCGGCTCGACTCGATTCCTTGACTTGACGTACCATCTGGGCGATTAGCGTCTGAGACAAAATATAAAGACTCTACCATCTACTCTACTCTACTCTACTCTACTATACTATAAGACTGTGTTAAGTGTTTGTTTTGTTTTAAAGCGATGATTTTTCTTTCTTTTTTTGATTTTAAGATATCTAGCTATACTAGCAACAAACATGTTGAACATGTGAAACCCATCCATCCATCTCCTTCCTGTATGAACCAGAATGAACCAAACAGACAAACAGACAGACAGACAGACAGACAGACAAACAAACAAATAAACAGATTTGTTCTCTTTCCAGTAGATGGATGGATAGATGGTGGGTGCCAAGACAAGACAAGACAAGACAAGACAAGACAAGACAAGACAAGCAACCAACCAAGCATCAATCAATCAATCAATCAATCATTACTCATTCCTCATGAATCATCTTCCACACACCCCGTCGCATCCACAGAGACATAAATCAGAAACAGGATCAGGAATAAGCCGCCCCAATAGACTTTTTTGGAGAAGCCAGCTGGTAAGAAAAAGGGTTGATAAATAAATCAGCCGATAAACCAACCCATCAACCAATAAACCAACCAATCAAGCAGGAAAGAAGGAAAGAAGGAAAGAAGGAAAGAAACTAGGCAGCACCAACGGTTACTAACCGCACACGCCCGGCTTGTTGCTGTTGCTGCTGCTGCTGCTGTTGCTGCAGTTGTTCACCAGCAGCAGGTAAAGTGGTGATGGCCCGCGGCACAAGCACCCTCTTGCCCTTCTTGTCTGAGAGGGTGAGGGGGGTTATTACCGCGGGCGCAGCGGTAGCAGCGGGGGCAGAAACACCTTGGGCTTGGGGTTTCTTCGTCGATGTCAAGGTGGTGAATGTCGACGGGACCTCCGATTTGGATGGCTTGGACGAAGACGAAGACGAGGATGGGAGGATGGAGATGGTGATAGAGCTCGCTTTACCATCGGCATCGCCCTGGTCATTGTTGTTGTTGTTGTTGTCGTCGTTGTCATCGATGTCATTGTCAAGACCAGCCGAGGAACTAGCTTTGGGACTGGCACTGACACTGGCACTGACACCAGCACTCGGAGACGAAGCCGTCTTCTTCCTCGTAGAAAACGAAGGAGAAGGAGAAGCCCCTCCCACTTTTCCAGAATGGATCCCGATGCTGGAGCCAGAGCCAGAGCCAGAGCCAGAGCCAGACCCAGCAGCAGCAGCAGGAGTAGCAGGAGTAGCACTAACTCCAGCAGGACCATTCCCAGTAAAAGTGACCGTGACAGCCTCAGCAAGAACCGCGTCCGTATCCCGCGGCAGAAACGGTATGTTGGCCGTGACGGTCGCCTCGACAGGTCCCCAGGTGAATTTCGCCGCGATGGGAGGGATGGTGAACCAGTCGTTTATCATGAAGGCTTTGTTGGTGGTGGTTGGGTCTGCTGCTGCTGCTTTTGCTTCGGGTTTCCCTCCTGCTGCTCCCGTTGTGGTTGCGGCTTGGTTGGGAGGGTTAGGGTTGTTGTTTGCAGCGTTGTTAAGAGGATCATTCCCCGCTGTGTTTTCTGCTGCAGTCTGCGCATTGCTTGCGGGAGGAGCAGGAGCAGGGTCAGGGACAGGGACCGGGTCACGAACAGCAATATTAATATTACCAGTGGCAGGAATGGGGAAAATGGGGAGGATGGTTACCAGACCATCGTTGTTATTGTTTTTGTTGTTGTTGGGGGCTCCTTCTCTTGCGGCGGTGGTGGCGGTGGGTTGGGTGTTGTTGCCCGGGGGTGCCGGCATGGCTGAGACGTATCTGACCAGGCTCATGAACAGGACCACGGCCATGGTCATGGTGAGGAGGGTGTTTGGGGGGTGCATTTTGAGGGTATGTGTGTGAGGGTGTGAGGGTATAGGGGGTGGATGGTGGATGGTGGATGGTGTATAATTGTTTGAGGAAAATGGATGGTTGAGACAGATAGGTTTAAGACAGATAAGTCTGAGGCAGTGATCGAGCCAAGAAAAGAAAGGTAAGAAGAGAAGGACGAAAGAAAAGTTCAGCGAGAGAATGGGGGTTGGCAAGTTTTTATAGGGCTTCGAAAAAAAAAGTGATGTGATGATTTCTCCATGTCTATGTCATTAGGGCTTTAGATAATGATAATAGCGTAACCGCTGGAAGACTATCATGATGACGCTTTTGAAAGTCTGGCAGAGGAGTCCCATAGGTACACGCCTCAAATCTTCTCGTCTTCTGACCTGGGGCGTTCTAAAGAAGAGGAATTACATTAGATGGAGAGCTTTTGAGGTAATCAACAAATGCGCGCGGGAACCGCCCCCGAAGGGGAAATGAAAACTCTGATAAGCGCGTGTCTATTAGGTATGTCCAGGCCTTGTATCGATTCGTGCATTTCATGGACCATGAGGTAATATGGTCAGCTGTCGTGCTGTAAATGTGCTCAGTATGTCGGATCGGTGTCACGTTGTAAATGGCATTTTTTTTCAGTACACCACCCATGGCTGACGCCAGCCGACGTGGATCAGCTTGGCGGACGTGACGCAGGCGAGGCCAAGCGCGTAGCAACAGGACGTGAAGGTGATCAAGCCCCAGTACTCCCCATCGCACCGCGACAGGATTTCACCTGCGATTGGGATGCCCGTTAGGGTGCTGCAGACGATTGTCAGCTATGTACATATCGGTGGCTCTGAACAAAAGCGGATGACTTACCCAAAACTGACAATCGTGTACGCGGTAGCGTAGTACCGGCCGTAGTTCTCGATCTTGCACAGCTGCGAAATGCAGACTGGCGTAAGGCTGATGTTGCTGCCGCTCGCAAACCCGAAAATAACGCAGTACACAATCATGATGGGCACGCTGTCGCCGGCAGGTAGCCACAGACAGGCGTTGCAGATGAGACATAACGCAACGGTGACGATCAGAGTGTTGAAGCGTCCGAGATAGTCGGCGACAAAACCGGGGATACCTCTGCCGAAGAACGAACCTGCGTTGAGGATCGCAAGCATCTGGTATGATAGCGTGGTGGAGACGCCGTGAGCCATGGCATACGACGATATGTAGCTGATGGGGACGAACAGGCCCCATTCGATGAAGAAGACCCCAAGCGTGGTGAGCGTGAATTTCGGGTCCCGGAAGATACGAAAATCGGGCATCATGTTCTCCTTGACGGCGGGCTTTTTGGGCAACCGCGATCTGATGAGAAGACAAGCGGCTGTGAGAGAGATGAGGCAAAGGAGAGCAATCACCCTGGTTGCCCACGCGAATCCAATCTTCGGGAACAGCGCCTCCAGGGTGAGCGGGAAGACGACACCTCCTACAGAGCCACCCGTTGCGGCCAGCCCGGTTGCAACGCCGCGTCTCTCGTTGAAGAAGTGGCCAATCGCGGCGATTGCGGGCGTGAAGATTAACGAGGCCCCAACACCCCCCGCGACGCCGATTGTTAGCATGAATTGCCAGTACTCCGAGCAGAATCCCAGGGCGATCATCATGACCATGATCAGCACGGAGCCGGCAAGGACTAAGAACCGAGGGCCTTTGGCGTCAAATACCGGTCCTATCTGGACCCCGCAGAAGAAGGTCAGACATGCATATACACCGAAAATCCACCCTGACGTTCCGGAGCTGTAGTCTGCCAGCTGATGATCCTCGATGTACGCCTGGAACGTTCCAATAGTGTTTACCAAGCCCAGGGAGCCGAAGAGACCCAGGAAACTCCCTAAGACTACTAGCCAGGCTTCGAGTCCACCTTCGGGGTAGGTGTTTCCCTCTGCATCAGTCGTTACGCGAGACATCGGGATACTGTGTGTTGAGTTGTTGGAGCTTGAAGCTCCTGATGAGGCTCTCCGAAGACCATGCTCGAGTGCTGTCTCAGGTCCCTGAGGGGGGATGGACTGTGTCCATGTATGGATGTGTTTCTCCGTGGCATCGAATGACCCCTCCCCGTGGGGTTCAGTATCACCCAGTGTATTGGACGTGGTCGTCAGTCCCTTTTCTCCGATCCCAGCAGAAATTGTATCCTGGGAACCAGTTAAGGCTGAGATGTCCTTGACTGCATGGTCTTCTCCTGCGTGGTCTATGTCTAACTTGCCAGAAGGCCTGATGTCTGTCGCCATGTTAATCGCCGTATCGGGCATGGACCGCGGTTGACTTCCCGCCAGTCTCGTCTCTCAGGCTGATCGCGGGTGATTTTTCCTTGTGTGGTCGAGGAACGGAAAGACGGAAGCCAACCAAGAAGAACGCACAAAAGCCAGAGTCCCGGGCAAAAGTTCTACATCCAAAACGAAGAGTCGACTTCAAGGCTTATGAACAACCAAAAACGAGGACACGACCACCTGACTGTACTCCGGCCTGAGAAAGGATGCAGACATGCCCGATGCAACTGTATGTGACTCAGTGACGGGGAGGAGGTGGAAGGAAAAAAAGCGAGTCTGGAACTGCAGGGTCTTTAGCGGCTGGTTAGCTCCACAGTGGAGGTTTTCCCCCTTCCTGCTCGCCTTCTTCGGTTGTCCCCTTTTTCGCCGGAATTCTTCCCATTGGACTAGCCTGCCGATGAAGTCTGCTGGCCACAGAATCAGCGTTTGTGTCTTTGGGTCTTGGGAGGAGCCTTTTCTCGGGGCCTTTGTTGAGTCCGTTCGCACCTGTTCCGTGGCGAGGTCTGGATGCGCTAAACAAGATGAGGAAGGTGGCAGGAGACGCAGTGGATAGTGGATACGTGCTCTGCAATTGGAGATGCAGGCTGGCGGGCTTGTTAGGAAATGGATTGAGTCAGAGAAACGCAAGATGGCGAGCAAGTGAAGAAGATGAGGAGTTGCAGATGCAGTTGGCAGCGAAGAACAGAAGTGGGGTCACCTGCCCGGTTTGCCTGTTCCTCCTCCAGTTCACTTCTCACTTCTCACGCCTCCTCTTCCACCAACCTTCCTTCCATCAATCCATCAGGGGATGATCAGCCATGATGCTCTAATGATTTGTCTCCGGCATGAAGCAGCTCATCTGCTACCATGCTATCCAATATCTTGGACAGCTTCTTTCCCTTCCACCTCCATAGCATTACTGGTTTAGCAATAGTCCCCTCACATCTACCACCAAGATATCTTCAAGTTCTCAACCAGCTACGATGCCGATATTGGAAACATTCTTCTGTCAGAATATATCCTGAGCTCAGACTCAAAGTCTCGAGCCAGATAGGCAAGATTCCGCATCTCCTCATCCGGTACGGCTCCCCAAAGAGATGGGAGATGGGCGATGCAATCCGTCAGAAGGTAAAGGTTTCGGATAACAGCGTTTGGTTTGCTTTCGTTGAACCCATTGTACTTATCGTGACCGTGGATCTGGGATAATGCTGATCCATGACGTCGTTCTAGTGTAACCGTGGACCCGAGAGTCCGGTGGTACCTGGAACATTTACTCAGCTCCCATGTAAAAGAATCATACGCGAGCCTTGCGATCGAGGGCGGTTCTCAACATCTCGAGCTGTGCCCCGTTGAGTGAAGTCGGAGGATTGCCCGGAAACAAAATGAGTCTGTGGTTGGTTCCACAGCGATGGAGATGTGCAATACAAGGCTGACGCTGTCGGTGTCACAGCAACCCTATTATGGATTACCTCAACACACAAAGCGATTGGAATCGCTCCTTACTCGCCGCAGCAACGCTGGAGCGACAGGAAGATTTTCTCCGACCGAAGATAATAGTAGCGAATGGCTGTCATCTATGATACTCGCCGCTGCCGGTGAGCATTCTCCGGATCGAGAGCTCATCGCCAAGTGGTAGCAGACAAATCCCAAGCATATCGAGTGCTGCGGCTCTTACTGTCATGGCTCTTATATTCGAGCTATGAGCTGTGGACGTTTTTCAACAAGCTCGATATTAAGTGGCCGGACAAGGCCAGAAAAGGCAGGAGGCCAACTTGAGTGGTAATAGTAGGCAGGAGAATGAGGTAGAGGGCTATCGATCTAATAACGCCCATGAATGGAAGCAAGAAAATGCAACTGAACAGTTGATGTACGGAGATAGGTTGATTTTGATATTAAAAAGGTAGGTGAAGTTTGGCCTGGTCCATAGTCTGCATGAATCATTGCTACAGTTCTTCGGGGTAAAGATTCTGAGTCCTTGACTAGATTCTGTGAACGAAAAAGACGCAGTCTCTTGGATCAAATCAAGGTATCTCTGTTGAAGCGAAGCCCGAGGCACCGCCCTTAGGGACCCGACAAAGTGTCACGGACAGAATAATCTTGTCCCTCATGCAGGAAAGCAAGGAGCATTAATATTATTCCCTCGACTCATTCTACTGGGGTATCCCATGCTGGCATGCAGACCAGAACATGGGGGGATAAACAATGAGAGCCAACGGATGGTGTGAGATCCGCCGACCCACTTGGCCAGACTTCATCGGCTCTGACCTGCCTGATAAGCACACGCTACTCCGAATCTATCTCTGCCATTTTAGCGATGTTGCACTTGCCAATCTGTCTATCATCGCTCGTTATTAGGACCCCCACTCGACTCTGATAGTCGGCTGGTTGGGATTGCTAATCAATAATATTAATATTGCTTTTGCACGGCAATTCCTATTCCCTCGTCTCGCCCGGACTGCTGCATCTCGCCGAAACTAGCGGTGAACTATCTACTCGACTCCTGCTGCTTCTTTCCTCCTGCGGTTTCCCCGCAATGCTAACGGGACGGATGCTCCATCGCCTTGAAGCCATCGGCTTGAATTTCGCAAGTCACAACCCAGACGTACCCAAACTGCAGACTCACAGCAACCCCGGATGACCGGTCGCTGGTGGATAGATCGTGGAGGGCTCTGGCTGGCAGACAAACAAGTCTCAGGCTCACAGCATCAATCGGCCCGCCACTTGGCCATCCGCCCACTCTCCTCCGCACCTCCGGCGCACTCCGTATCTCCTCCGTGAGACATGACGACACGGGCCATCATATCACAGCCTTTCTAGAAGATTGAATGGAGCATATGTCTTATCAGCGCGAACCAAATTATCAACCTCAATCCAGTTATCACCGCCGAGTTGCGTTATCACTCGCTGCAACTCAGTCCAAGCGCACCGTAACTAGTCCGCGTCTTCCGCCTACATCCCCGCGCCGGAAATGCGCTTCTTCCCTTCTTGACGCTCTGCTCCGATGGCAACCGCTGCATTGGCATCTGATCGTGCTTGCTTCTCCTCTTTTTTCAGCTGTCCCCAAGCTCCTCATTGGCCCTGCGTTGCTTCGTCACATCTCTCCATTCTCACATTCTTGGCCATCCCTGTCTTCGGAGCAAGTTGAATGGGGCTGCCCGTCTATCTATCTACGCATTGCAACTTCTGTGCCTGAATGATGTCAAGCCATAGCGGGCTAGTCTGCCTTAGGCTAGCCGTGGCTCTGCAAGGTCCCATAACGCTCCAAGAGCTTTGCACACTGCCCAAAGAGCAGGCTGCGTTGTCTGCTGATCTCCACCCCCCCCCCCCCCGTCTCCCGATATTTCCAGCTTCCAAAAGTATGATAGCTTGGAGCTTACGCCGATAATCAGATGTTCCACAAAGCACCAGTCAGCTTAGCGTCGGTGGTCGATATTGATTGCCATTAGGCAGCATGAAATTGGTGGGGAGCATATAAACCCGGGTCCCCCATGCGAACGGCTTGTTAGTGCAAGCTTTCCAGCCCATCTCCCACCCCTATAAGCTCTTCAGTATGCTGTTCCGCAGTCTGCTGTCGACGGCAGTCGTAGCCGTCTCCTTGTGTGCGGACAATGTCTCCGCCTTGAAGCCTGGCCGATTCGGTCAAAAGATCCGCGACGCCCATGATGTCGGGAAGCGTGCCTCCAATGCTGTAAAGCGTTCGGAGTCTATCCCTGTTGAGGATTATCAATTCCTGACCAACAAGACCAAGCGTACGTTCTATCGAATCCTGGCCTTGAGTGTTAACTGACTCGATAACGAACATAGCCTTCCGCGTGGAGAGCCTGCCCGATGTCCACTTTGACCTTGGGGAGATGTACTCTGGCTTGATTCCCCTCGAGAAGGGAAACCTGTCAAGATCCCTTTTCTTCGTCTTCCAGCCTACAATTAACGCGCCCGTGGATGAGATCACCATCTGGCTCAACGGTGGCCCTGGATGCAGCTCCCTCGAAGCCTTCCTTCAGGAGAACGGTCGGTTCCTGTGGCAGCCTGGTACCTTCCAGCCCTTCGAAAACCCATACTCATGGGTAAACCTGACTAACGTGCTGTGGTAAGTGATGCTGGTCGCTGGCCCATTCTGTAGCAATTGCGGAGCTAATATGTGTATGCAGGGTGGACCAGCCTGTTGGAACGGGCTTTTCTCTGGGCACTCCGACTGCTACCTCGGAGGAGGACGTTGCTGCAGACTTCGTCAAATTCTTCAAGAACTGGCAGGAGGTCTTCGGCATCAAGAACTACAGTATCTACGTCACTGGCGAAAGTTATGCCGGTCGCTATGTGCCTTACATCTCCGGGGCTTTCCTGGACCAGAACGACACGGAACACTTCGACCTCAAGGGTAAGTCATGTCTACAATGAGTATGATACTACCAGTCTGTGCTAATTTACAATGCAGGCGCATTGGCCTATGACCCTTGCATTGGCCAATTTGACTACGTGCAGGAGGAAGCCCCCGTCGTTCCGTTCGTGCAGAACAACGCCAACCTTTTCAACTTCAATGCCAGCTTCATGGCCGAACTGGAGAGTCTCCACGAATATTGCGGCTACAAGGAGTTCATCGACGAGTACCTCGTCTTCCCTCCCTCCGGTATCCAGCCACCCAAGTCCATGAACTGGAGCGACACCACCTGCGATGTGTTCGACCTTGTCAACGACGCCGCCTTGGACCCTAACCCCTGCTTCAACCCTTACGAGATCAGCGAGATGTGCCCCATCCTCTGGGACGTTCTGGGATTCCCTTCGGATATCAGCTACGTCCCCGCAGGCGCCACCATCTACTTCGACCGCCCGGACGTTAAGCGCGCTCTGCACGCCCCCAACATGACCTGGTTGGAGTGCTCGGACGAGAGCGTCTTCGTTGGCGGTGGCGGCGGTGGCGGCCCCGAACAGGAGGGAGATCTGTCTGCCAACCCCATCGAGCGCGTCCTGCCGCAGGTCATCGAGAGAACCAACCGGGTTCTCATCGGCAACGGCGACTACGACATGGTCATCCTGACCAACGGCACCCTGCTGTCGATCCAGAACATGACCTGGAACGGCCAGCTCGGGTTCCAGACCCAGCCCAGCACCCCGATCAACATCGACATCCCCGACCTGATGTACAACGAGGCGTTCATCGAGAACGGATACGACCCGCAGGGTGGCCAGGGCATCATGGGCATCCAGCACTACGAGCGCGGTCTCATGTGGGTCGAGACCTTCCAGAGCGGACACATGGAGCCCCAGTACCAGCCGCGCGTGTCCTACCGTCACCTGGAGTGGCTCCTGGGTCGCAGAGAGCATATCTAAGCTGTACGCTGGAAGCTGTACTAGGATGTCAGGCGGAAGAGGGATGTCACGATGATAATGGTTATGATCTGTAGATGGAATGTATGTATGTGAATGTTCATGATGTACGGAGTCCCTATGCAGGAATTCTTCCCTCATTGTATAATGATTTCATATTGGACTGGTAGTAGTAGTAGTAGTATATTTCTCCCATGCACCACCCACCCACCTACTTACCTACTTTAGTCTAACCGTTCCATTCCTTTCCGTACCTACCTTAGCACCTTCGCAGCTTACCGGCCTCTTCCATTCCTATCATCGGAACCAGAGAGCAGAAGGTCGAATCTATCTATCTATCTATCTATCTATCTATCTAGCTGTGACTGTGACTGTGGCTGATCCTGTCGACCCCTGCCTGCTGCAGTGCATTAGTATCAAGTAGATAGATATAGCATTAGTATCAGATTATACGGATTGTTGTTACTACCTAGTTACCTATCTAACTACCTATCTAACTACCTATCTAACTACCTATCTAACTACCTACCTACCTACCTACCTACCTAGATACCCAAGTTGAGCTAGGATATCCTGCATAAGTTACCGTACGGAGTATTGGATTTCTTACTTAGATAGGTAGTCAGTCATCCGTCCGGACCAGCTTAGGAGGCAGAGTAGAGTAAGTGACGACTAAAGAGGGGTCTGGGATGTGGATCTTGAGCTGGAAAGATAGAGTAGATAGGAGGTAAGCACAGATATATTGCACAGATATATTGCCTATCAGATCGAATGTCAATATCAATTCGCTGAGGTAGGTGGTCGGTAGTTAGTTACCTATGTAGGAAGCAGGTAATAAGCAACCAGGCATCCATTTCCACAATATCACAGTTAGATAGGATAATTAAGTATTCATTTCTAAGGTATTATTATTAATACCGTAGTTACGGAAGTCCTCCGTATTCACCCATCTACTTACGCAATATTCCGACATAGTATAGATAGATACTACTAGATAGATGATACCATTATGTAAAAACCATTAAGTCAAGGCCACTGCTCAAACTCCTAATGGTCAATGATATCCATTCCTGTTTCATCACTGGAGGGGCATTTGTTATTTGAGGGAGTAGGGATTCGATAAGTAGATCGATACTAAGTAAGTAAGCCAATAATTCACTTACTTATATGTGGAGCGAGCCTATCAGACCATGTCTAGTAGTAGTAGTAGTGGATATTTACCTGCATCATGCCATCCATTTGAAGATTATATACATCAGACTACTACCTATTGACCACACACACTCTCTCAAGCCACGTGCTGGCCAGCTATATCATCAGTAAACCTTGACTGAACCTCTTGAGTTCACCACAACACAAATCAGCATGTGACTTGACCTGTGAGTTATGACTTGTTCTATCCCCCGACTACAGGTAGTGCAGATGTCTCCAGTAAGTAAGGTACCTTATGTACTATATAGTATACATAGTAATACTAATGTAGATAAGTACGTAGAGCTAGAACTGCAGACGAATAGTAGACATCGACAGGACTCCATATCTCCTTCTCCCGCTCCGACTCGTGCGGGGCCGTCCTCAGAAGACCGATGAATGGCCGGGGCCTCGTCCGCCGCAACGCGGGACGGAATCAGATTAGCCGAGCGGACTGGCAAGTACGACTATACTAATTTCATTAGCAGATTTGGCCCCCGGTGATGTGCAAAAAAGGTATCTATCTAAACGATGTTATTTCCCTTCCGTACTTACTTAATTCAACAGGCTCCGTGGCACCATCTCGAGGACCCGGATGTAGGGTGGCGACCCTGATTGGATGGCGATGGCGATGGCGAGGGGGATAAAACGGATGCGGAAAATGACGGCCCAGTGTCACAGTCGTACAAAGTGACAATCATCGGGGATTTGAGTGGTCTGGGTAAGGGCTGCTCTAGGCCGACTTCGTCATAGTGGCTGGTCGGGGACTCCTAGAGGCTCTAAACTAGATGGAGCATGCATGTATGGATTCGTGCATGGTTAGGCGGGCAGATTTTTCAATTGTTGGGTTATTGTTGCTGAGATGGCGGATGGCGGGTCTACAGAGATTATTACACTGTATGTACTCGGTAGATCAGACGCGAGATTTGGTGGTGCTCGTGTATATCGCACAATACTGTGTGAAATGAATAGACCAGCCCAGCCAGCCATCGATGTCAATACTCAGATCGATCTGGATGTGGCTTCACTCATGACCAAACAGGGAGGTGGTGTACTGCGCCGCTCCATCCCATGGGACCCTGAAACCTCGTTTTGTACCGACCCCGTCAGAGGTAATTTTGACCATTCCCGTTCGGGCTATTACTTTGTATGTGCCGCGACGGCGAGGCCTGATAGGTAGTGACGTAACAGCAGAGTTGACCATGGCACGTGGAATTCCTATCATGTGCAGGGCCTGAGAAGAGCCTTCGTTGCCAGAGCGCTTCGACTGGCGGACAGTCAAGCTTGACTGACCCCCAAGAGGATGGTATCATACCCCTCACTCAACCAGACGGACATAAACATGCGGCGACTCGGCCACTGCCAGGCTGACTGCCCATTCACGGGGAGCCGTCTGCCAATTCCCAATTCCCGACTCCTCCCTGCGGCGTGGGGTTGACCATATAGCAACCAATGCGCGCGGCGGCTTACAGTGCACTGTTACTATTTGTTAGCCCTCCCGAAGAACCCCTAGCCAGTAGCCACAACCGGATAGTGGATCATCAGTCCCAGCCCCACTCGGTTCAGCTGTTACTGAATAATAATAATAATAATAATACAAAATAATGTCACCTACCAGTACTATTCAATCAACCAGCCAACCAGCCAACCAATCCGGATGTCTCTAGCCCTCCACCCCGCCTGATGAGCTGGGATAATATCTCTCCCTCTCTCGGCGCCAGATTTCTATCACTGCAGTCTATCCATTATCGCCCCAATCATGAAGTTGAATCTAGATACCGGGGGGGGGGCGACGCTGTACGGCGTGCATACGCCAAGGGCCAGCGCCAAGACAGACTACCGTGGAGGCAAACGCCCAATCAGGGCGGCCAGGCCGGGCCCTTCGGTTTCGGCCGTGTGGCTCCATCAAAGCCTATCAGACGCCCCGCACTAGCCCCCTTCCGGCTGTCCTGGTACCGGTGCAGAGGCGTATCCTGCAACTATACGCCGTATGGCGCTGGGGATGAGGGGGAGGGGGATCTTGATGCCCTGGATGAATAGACTGCGATGTCGCCATCCTTTGAGTTTGATGAGGTTGAACAGGATCCTGGTCGAAGACGTTTCTAATGATAGGTAGGGGTCTACAACCCTATCTGTCAGCCGCCAGGGCTTGACGGCTGGTTGGCAGGGAAAATCCTTTTGTTGGTGCTAACCAGAGCTAATTTAGTTTACCATACAGGTCCATACAACCCCATGTATTACTGGCGAGGGGACCAAGAAGTAAAAAAAAAAGGGAAGAGGGACATGATGCCATTCGAGGAGATTCACTCTTTTCCCTCTTTCTCCCTAGCTTTGCCTGCAAACCTGGATGCGTATATAGGCCTCGGGGGGCCCTCTCATCTCGTCTGCAACCTTGGTTTTTCCTCGACCGTCCTCCTGGCAACTGCTACTACCTTACACCTACTATACTCCCCTCTCCCCCACATTTTTACCCCGTCATTTCCTTCTATCAGGATCCATCCAGATCATAGCAACTACGGTTGCGGTTGATCTTCTTCTCTGTGCGCTGTCTCATCGCCTCGAGAAGAGCTCCATTCGAAGCTTTGCTCTCTTCCCCGGCCTTCCCTTTCTCTTCAATCTTGTCACACGGTCGACTGGGCTGTATCTCTCAGCTTCCCTTATCTTTTGCATTATCTACATACCATCTACTCTGCGTATCGTGAACAGTGCTCAGCAGACGCAGTCCTCGCTTTCGAGCTCTTCAGCCGTACGACTTGCACGCAATAGCATCTCGACCGGATCTCCCTGTGCGCCAGTTTGTCGTCCCCGGAGCCTCGTTTACCTACCTGTCCCTCGCGCCAACGGCCACTATCCTATACCATTGCGCCCTCTCGACCCCCGAGAATCCAACCGCGTTCAGCAGCCGATGCTTCGAAACGTTCTCTCTTACGGCCCAAGCGACAAGTAGTTCGATCCTCCCCCCCCCCGAAGCTCGCGATTGAACCAGTCCACTCACGGTAGAATCGCACCGACTCAGCTCCAGCCCGGATCCATCTCCAACACATCCCAGCGCGCAACAATCCAACCCTAGCAACAATGCGTTTCGGGCTCAACCCTTTCCACAAACACGACCACGACTTCCCCGGGGTCGTGGTGCCCCTCTCCGAAGCCCCCTCGCACTCCAAACCGAGCCCGGAGGTAGAGAACCCCACCAGCCCTAATGAGAAAACCGACGGCCAGAGCTTGGACGGAGCCCCCTCCGAGGAAGCCGGCGTCGGGGTCGGGTCCGTCCATAGCTACAGCCACCTGACCATTGAAGCCCTGCGCGCCGAGGTCGAGTCTGATGTTGCGGCATCGGGCAAGGACACCACATATGATCGTATGTTTTCTGCTGCCCATGGAATAGCTGCCATCCCCCCCCCTCTTCTGGATGCTCCCTAGGATTCCCGATTGATCGATTGATCGATCGATTGATGGCCCTTGGACCGGTCCTTCGAAGTTTGAGATCTGATTGTCAACTCACATAGGCAAGGCAAAGCTCATCAACAGAGCCATCCAGGATATTGGCATGGGCCGTTACCAGTGGGAACTGTTTGCTCTTTGCGGGTTTGGCTGGCTGGCAGACAAGTAAGCGTACTTCTTGTTCAGATGGTTATTATTTGGCTGACAGTGGATTGCTATCGCGTCAGTCTCTGGTTGCAGGTAAGACTGATGTCTCGAGTAATTTTCCGTTTCTTTGAGACTGTGCTAATGGCGACAAGGGTGTTGCTCTGACTCTCACGCCCATTGCCCAAGAGTTCGGTGTGTCTACCACCTGGGTCCGGTTCACGACGTGTTCCCTGTTCCTGGGGCTCTGTCTTGGGGCGTCCTTCTGGGGCATCGCTTCGGATATCATTGGCCGTCGTCCCGCGTTCAACCTGACTCTGTTTATCTGCGGTGTGTTTGGGATTGCCGTGGGCGGTGGTCCGACCTGGATTGGGTAATGTTATATCAACATTCAATGAAATGACTCTCACTGACCTGCTGCTACTTCAGCGTCTGTGCCCTATACTCCTGCATGGGTCTCGGGGTGGGCGGTAACCTGCCTGTCGACGGGGCGCTCTTCCTCGAGTTTCTCCCGTTCGCCTCCGGCAACCTCCTGACCATGCTGAGTGTATGGTGGCCCATTGGCCAGCTTATCGCCAGGTTTGATACACCCCCCCATTCTCTGAGCCCAATCACAGCTAGCTAACAACAACAACAACCAGTCTTCTCGCATGGGCCTTCATCCCGAACTTCAGCTGCAGCAGCGACCTGCCGTCGTGCAACAGCGTCGCCAGCGGCGTGGCCTGCTGCACCAAGGCGTCCAACATGGGCTGGCGCTACCTCGTCTTCACCATGGGCGCGCTGACCTTCGCCATGTTCATCTGCCGGTTCTTCCTGTTTCATCTATACGAGTCGCCCAAGTACCTGCTCGCGCGGGGCCGGCAGACCGAGGCGGTTGCGTCCGTCCGCGGCATCGCGCACAAGAACAAGGCCAAGACATGGCTCACCGAGGACATCCTTAACGAGATCGGCGGATACCCCGAGGAGGTCCACGAACAGAGACTCAGCTTCAAGGAGATCGTCGAGCGGAATCTATCCAAGTTTTCGCTTGAGCGTATCGGCCCGCTCTTCGCTACGAAGAAACTCGGCCTTTCCAGTACGTTTCCCCCATCCCTTCCCTTCCAACCCTCCAACCCTCCAACCCTCCCCCACCAACCCTACTTAACCCCTTGCACAGCAATAATCCTCTGGTTCTGCTGGGCCACCATCGGAATGGGCTACCCACTCTTCAACGCCTTCCTCCCGCAATACCTCGCGAACGCCGGCGGCACGAGCACCAACTCAACCTACATCGTATACCGCAACTACGCCATCACCTCGATCATCGGCGTCCCCGGCTCAATCCTCGCCTGCTACACGGTGGAAATCAAATACATCGGCCGCAAAGGCACGATGGTGATCTCGACGCTCATCACCGGCATCCTACTCTTCTGTTTCACCACGTCGACCGACTCCAACGTCCAGCTCGTGTGCTCCTGTCTCGAGGCCTTCTTCCAGAACATCATGTATGGCGTGCTGTACGCGTACACGCCCGAGGTCTTCCCCGCGCCGAATCGCGGCACCGGCACCGGCATCGCCAGTTGCTTGAACCGCATTGCGGGGCTTTGTGCGCCCCTGGTCGCGATCTATGGGGGCAGTGGGAATCCGGATGCCCCCATCTATGCGTCCGGGGGGCTGATTCTCGCGGCGTTTGTGGCCATGTGTCTTTTGCCGATTGAGACGAGGGGGAAGCAGACTCTTTGAATTGGATTGGATTAGATTAGATGGTGGTGGGGTGGATGGTTGGAGTTGTTGGTTTTGGAGGGGAGGGAGGGGGGAGAGAGAGGTGGTGAATGTTCATTTCATTTCATTTTCATGTCTTATGGTTATGGTTATGGTCATGATCATATCTACGTCTACGATTTATTGATACTCCATTTATGTTATTCCCCGGCAGCGCCGCTGGTTCGCATGACACGCATGACACGATATGATACGATATGATACCAATATTGCATGATCGCATGGTTGCCTAATTGCAGTGGATGGATATATGTAACCAACTACTATACTTACTGCCTACTGGATGAATGGGTGGAGCTAGTAACTAAGTATATGGTGGTACCAAGTGGTGATATATATAGTATATAGTATCCATCCATCCAAACTTGGTTAGTAATTTGATTCAATAACCAATTTGATCAGCCGTAGTTGATTATTTATGTCAATTGTCCTTGTTGTTGAGGTTTTTATTTTCGTATGTGGATGGATGGATGGATGGATGGATGGATGGATGCTTGGATATTTAGACCCTCGCATCAACATCACTCAATGATCCATTCACAGTGTGTATGAAGAAAGCAAAAGCAGTAAGAAGTTACTTAGTCTAGGTCTACAAATTATTTACTATGTATGATACTACTATATCTATTACTTTAATCCATGTGATCGATGTGTTGATCTGGTTCAATAGCTGGACTGGTTTTGGATTCGGTATGCCATGGCTATGATAATTCATTCTCGTTCTTATTCTTCATCTCATTCAATGATCTGTATAACATAACTTAACATTCTCTACAGAATAGACATACACACATACATACACACATACATCAGTAAATAAGTAGACAAGTACACAAGTACGTAGACAAGTAAATAACATAGAAAACCATCTTCCTATCATCTAAAGGTAGGTTAGGCAGTGGGTAGTAGAGTAGATACACACCACCACGGCCAGTTACGAAAACACATACAAAGGACTCCATCCACTCCATAATACCACGCAAGCCAGCAAGCACGCCAACCAATCAGCCGGCAGCCGGCAGCCAGCCGCAAACCGATAAACAGATAGATAGACAAACCAGTCGTTCTCAACACCAGTGTATACTCCCTCGCAAGTTTATATGATATGTGCATGTGCACGACAAGGCAACAATCAAGTAAGTCACGTCAAGTCAGTCAAGTAAGTGTATAAACCAGCATGAAGTCGCGACGGGCGCAAGTATGTAATATCCATGGAATGAACACGCAAGTTAAAGAAGAGTTATAAGGAAAAGAAAAAAAAAAAGACCATAACAAATGCTTTGTCCAACCCGAATCCAGCGCAAACAAACAAGAGGCAAAAACAAAACCAGCCGGAATGTTGATAGAAAAAAAACACCCAGAACAAATGCGACCATCGACTTAGTACGTACGTAGCCACCCAGTGATCCTGCCCAACATATCGATATCGAAGGGAATAGAAGAGAAGAAACTCATGCGTAAGGAAGTTCGTAGCCTGAGGCTCTCGATTCGTCAAGTTAACGTGATCACAGAAAGAAAAATGCATGCATGAATCATGGCAGATGCCTAAGCCACAGGCTGTCCCTGTTGTCGTCGGCCTCTCTTTTCGAGGAGCGTCGCGTTGTCCAGGCTCAGCTCGAACGGCCCCCGCGCACTGCGACCAATGCTCTGCTTGGCGGCCGCGGCGACCTTGGCGCTGTGCTGGCCGTAGCCCTGCTGCTGCGGCTGCTGTCGGGGCTGGTGCGCCTGACGCGCTTGGGCGGCGTGGCTGGGGGCCCCGAGATTCGTAGACCGCAGCTTCGCTTCCATGGCTGCGACATCGCCCGCTTGCTGGGAGGACTTGGGGATCTTGGCGGGAGGGAATTCGTCGCGGGAGATGGGCTGGTAGGTGATCTCTTCCGGCTCGTCGTAGTCTTCGTTCAATGGGTTCAGCGCCGACTGGAACGTCGTCGACGGGTTGGCACCCCGATATCCTTGACGGAAGTTCTTGCGTCGCTTGCCTTCTTCCTCCTGCCTGTGAACAGCGTAACCCACGTCGAAGACCTCGCGCAGGTTGATCGCACCGGGCGAGCGGAAGTCCATGGGACGGTCCAATCCGGCGGAGGGCTGGTCCATTAGGCGAGCGCTGGCAGGGGCATAGGGCGCTTGGTCTGCCGCGAAGGCATCCAGATGTTGCATCTTGCGGGATAGTAGCGGGGTCGCGAGAGGCGGGGCATCTGCCGCGGCTTGGGTCTCTTCGTCGGTTTGGCGGATCCACGGGTGAGCCAGGAACTCCTTGATGGTGTAGCGCTTCTCCGGGTCGACGGTCAGAAGATGCGAGATCAGGTCCTGTGCCGACTTGGAGATATCGTCCCACCACGGCGACAGGAACGTGTACTGGCCGCGCGCGACCTTTTCGGTGAGGATCTGGATGCTCTCGTCGTAGAAAGGCGGGAATCCACAGAGCAGGGTGTAAAGGACGCATCCCAGGGCCCACATGTCCACACTCTTCGAGTATCTCTCATCCTTGACAATCTCGGGAGCGGTGTACCCAACCGTTCCACAGGGGGTCATGGTCTGGTTATCCCAGATGACCTTGGACAGCCCAAAGTCGGCAATCTTGATCACACCAATACCGCCAGCCCCCTTGCCGGGGGTGAACTCCCCCTCATCGACCTTCTCTTCGTCGCCAGGTTGACGGGGCTTGGGTTCTTTGCTTGGGACGAAATCGATGGGGTAGAAGAGGAGGTTTTCGGGTTTGATGTCGCTGCGACGGATGTCAGTGTCAGAACGACGCAGCACGCGTGGGGCACAGAAAAGGTGGTCATACCGATGAACGACTCCGGATGTCTCGTGGAGGTATTCGATGGCCTTGGCGACCTGGAGGATGACGTGGCGACTGAGCTCTTCGCTGAAGTAGGTCAATCTCACGATCTGGTGGAACAATTCGCCACCGGGGCAGAGTTCCAGCACGATGTAGTAGTATTGGCGCGACTCGGAGAACTGGACCAGCTTGACGATATTCGGGTGGTCGAGCTGTCGCATGATTTGCACTTCTTTGAGGATATTGGCGCGCTGTGAATCCAATTAGTCATTAGCTCATCAATGGTCTGTAGTCAAGAACAAGGCAATCCAAGAGCGACAAGATCACGGCACCCGCCGAACGGGGTGACTCGACGGACCCAGAGGGTGGGCGCACCTCTGTAGCTTTGGGTTTTTTCCTTATCCCAGGATGGAGGGCGGACTATGAACAGACATTGGCGAAAGGCCCACAAGAGCATAAAGACGTCCGACGGGGGAAAAAGCACGAGCGCAAAGAAATCACGGCACAAAGAAAAAGACTTATCGCAGCCCTACCTGGTTGCTATTCATTTCAAACTTCCGCACCACCTTGATGGCGACATCGCCGTACTCACCCGTGCTGTCGCGGGCCCGATAGACATTACTGAAGGCGCCGTCCCCCATCTTCTCGACCAGGGTGTAGCGCTCGAGACCCGGGTACTTGGGCATCTTGTTCCGGCTGCTCTTCTCCTCTGCGACGATCTGCTCGAGTTCGGCTTCGCGCGCGCGACGGTGGTCGGGAGACTTCTGAGGCGGCTGGACTTGACCGTTCCCCAATCTGCTGTCAATGGCATCCAGGTTCCCGGCGGCCGGCGGATAGGAGCCCTGTGGTTGACGTTGTTGTTCGGCATGGATGGGAGAGACATTGGTGGTGGGTTCGGCATGCGGCGTCACCAGACGGGCCTGTTTGCCATGACGTATGAAATTCTTGAGATTTTGTATGGTACTCATTGTGCTGAGTAAGGGGGGGTTGGGAGGATGAGAATGGAAGGAAGGGGGGGGGGGAGCACAAGCAGAGTATGCAGGGCAGGAGTAAGTAGGTAAGGAAGAAAGGAAGGTGTCGAGGTAGTACGGAGTACCGAGTGGAGGAGAAAGAGGTGGTGGAGGAGGGATTGAGGGAAGAAAGGAAGAAGAAAGAGACAGACGAGGAAATCCGATTGGGAGGCGCCAGGAAAGGGTCACTGGACGATGGCGGAGGTCAGCAGTTGGAACTTGGTATTATTCTTCTTCTCGTCTGGTCTTTTTTTTTTTTCGTTCCTTTTTTCCTTTTTTTCCCGTTTTTCCCGTTTTTTTGCAGTTCCGTTTTAGCTGCTTGGGATCATTACCCCGCCAAGGCCTAAACTGTAATTACTGTTAGTCGCGAGGGCGACGCAAGGCAGGCGATGACGTTGAGTGGGTGGCAGGCGAGCAGCAGCCCGGCCGGGCGCAGGACAAAGGAAGGAATCGGCCGGAAGGGGAGGGAAGGCAACAGAAAACAGCGAGACACTACTAGTACTTCGTAGTACTCAGTACTGGGCACAACTCACCTGGAAAGATGGAGAAGATGAGATGGCCTAAAGATGTCAATGATGATGAGGCAGCAGACACACAATCCGCAGTAATTTAATCGGGATCCGCTGGGCAGGCAAGTAATATTGATGGTGGGGAAAGTGGCCGATGGGCAGATCGATGGGCAGATGGGCTACAGGCTGGCAGGCAGAGGGCAGAGGGCAGACGGGCAGACGGGCAGACGTGAGGGGGGAAGAGGGGAGACCGGAAGAAATCGACACAGGAGGTCGAGCAGCGCGAAGTGTCGAGCGGAGGATATAAAGTTGCAATCCCCTACGGTTGGTCTGCTGGAGCGTCATCATCGCTCTCGTTGAGACGCCCAAAATTGACTTGCCGGCCGATGACGTCGGAGGATCGGCTGCTGCTCTGTCAGCCGGCGCTGACTCAGCCCGGCCGGCTCTCCCTCTGGCTGTGGCATCATCACCCTCTCGCCCTCTCCAGACCTCTCGTCTCCCTCTTTGCTTTCCTCTGTTTCTCTCTCGCCGCTCCTACTACTCACACTCCACAGCGTCATTCATCGTCATAGCTCCGTCTATCCGCCCCCGAGATATTAAAAAAAAATAGATTAAGGCTAGGTACATCCCAAATCTTGGTCCTGGCCTCCCACAACCCGGGTCAAATTGTCGCCTTCGCACCCGTCATGTCATCATGTCCGCGTACTTATGGGCTGCCCGTGGTCCCTCCGTCGTCCGGCCATGCCATGGCATCCTTAAAACGAGCGCTCCCCTCGACCGCCCTCGACGACAGCGGGGGATCAAGCTTGAGGCTGCCCTGCACCCGCTGCGGATGGATTACCGGTCTGGGGATTGCTCTACTGCTGCCAGTCGACCATGGGTGGGCGCGCCACTCCCGAGAGTTTGCCGTCGTTCAGATGTCATCGATGATGCAACCCGAGGCCGTCGCATGCCAGGAACCTCAGCAGCAGCCGGACGAGGGATAAGAACTGGGTTCTGCGCCTGGAAGGATGGACCAAGGATAAATACTAAAACACCAATGCGCCCGGAGAGAGAGCCTGAGGGTTTGATCCACCACATCGACAACCCATGTAGACGTGCAGAGAGGAGGGCATCGGCAATGCCCCCGACGAAAACTCCATGTGTCACTGCCAGGTGGTGGTGGTGGTGGTACTTGTACACTTGGACTTGGTACTCCGTACTGGGTCAACTAGTTATACTTAACTAGTGCCGCGTAGTAATCCTGGCCATCCCGTGATGCTGCAGGTCGAATCACTTCTAGTTTCTTCCCTCGGAATCCCCTCGTCCCACTTCTTCCACTGCTTCCACTGGAGCTGCACGCTGTTCCGCCGTATCGACTGGTGTCGCAGTCTTGCAGTCTCGCAGTCTCGCAGTCAGGGTTTCTCCAGACGATCAATTGCCCCGATCCTCGTCCCTGCACACCTCATGTAGTTCGCCAGTCGACCCACCGATCCGCAACGTGGAATGTCCCTGCACTTCGCCCGCCTTGCCTGGTCGTCGCACTCGTCGGGTCTTTTCGTGCCAACGGGCTCCCCTCCTGCGAGTCGCGCCTTGCCTGCGCTCCAATCTGAACTGCAGACGCTGTTGACTCTATTTCTGGGAAGGAGGTCGGGTGTCCCTGAGGGCCATCGGTTGGTCTGGTTTGTAAGAGTTACATAGTTAGTTACACCCTTACGCTGGCCATCTGCTTTGCTCCCTTGCTGGCGTGGGAGGGAGAATTGCGCTGAAGAGTAGGCGAAGAAATACCACCGACACGTCTGCCTGCTGGTGAATGCTTGCTAGCATTGTTGCAGTGAGTCGTGAGTCGAGTTGGGCCCGCCGCCGCGAGCAATGCGCCGTCGTCAGCGATCCTCCACCAATCTCCTGTGAAACAGCTCAGGTGTCTGTCATGCTTCACTCTCTCACTCCCCACTGTCCTCACTGCCCTCCGTTGTGACCTTTTTTCCTCCCCCCCCCACCTCCATTGGGCAGATGGGCCAGTTGGGCCAGTTGGGCCATCTCACCATGCCCGGCCTGGAAGTCCTTAACACGTCTCTCGCCTCACCAGGAGGAGGACAACACCACCACCAACACCCGCCCCAGCTGAGGGCCCACAAGTCTCTCCGTCGAAGGCCAAATGTGCTCTGGAGCCCTCAACTCTTCGAAGCAAACCCCGGAGGCCCAAACGGCCGTCCTTCAAATAATGGCGCCCCGTTGGCACCCGCCCCTGCTCGTCCCCTCACGCCTCCTGCTGTCGCCCAACCCGACGACGATCTGACCAGCGACGGCACGAACACCCCCAAAGCCGTCTCCTCCTCCTCCTCCTTGTCCTTGTCGACGCCGAAGCCCTCCCATCCCCCGACGCCTGAAACCACCCCCCCGCAACTCTCGGCCTCGGCCGCCCGTCCCGGTCTGTCGCACTTCGGTCAGTCGTCTGCCTCGTCACGAGCGGATTCGTTTCGGACCGCCTGCGAGATGATTTCCGATGCGGAAACCGAGACCCCCCGCCGCTCGTCCCAGTCGGTTCTACCGACCAGGCACAAGTCGCTGCGCACGGATGAACCCTTCGACAGCGACAGGAGTGGAGACACCACGCCGATTCCCGGCCCTCGCCCCGATCGCTTGCGTGCTCCCATGACGGAACCCCCGGCGCGCGGAGAGATGGAGGAGACGGAGCCCCCCAGAGTGTCGCCCCCACGCAGAAAGAAATCCACGAGGAACGGCGCACGTCGCATCCCTCGCCCGGCGGACTGGGAGGAAACGCGATACGGCGAAAGTGACGCAGACGTGCCGAGTGAGGAGGTCCCTATCGTACATTCGGAGAGTCCGCGATTGCCGGCCAGAGACCTGCAAGAGCCCGTTGCGGGGTTGTCGATTGAGGAGTTTCGTGAACAGATCGACTGGCCACCGACGGAGCGACGGCTTCATCCCGCTGACCCCGACGATGTCCGCCGACTGTCCGACGTTTCCACCGCGTCGACCGTCGAGGTGATGATTATCGACCCTCCGCAGTCCACTCAACGATCGCTGCGGCACACGGAGAAGAGGGACTCCCTGCGATCGATCCCCCGGTCAGAACACGCGTCACTCGCATCCAACCCCGACTCCCAGCGGCGCCTGGTCCACAAGGCTGGCCGCATCACGGAGCACGATCGCAAAAGCATCGCGTCGGAGATATCGATCTCCGGAGCCTCGAGCATGAACCTTCCGCCGCAGAACGTGGATATCGTGCCGGTGGTGGTAATCCCGGAGCGACGGTCGTCTCTCAAGTCGTCCAGCTCCAGCAGAAACACGTCGCAGACGCGCTCCCGCCACTCCAGTCGACGAGGCACAACCGCCTCAGGAAGCCGGCCGGGTTCCAGAGAGCCTCCGCGCCAGAAGAAGCGAACGCTGTCCGACAACTCCAACCCGGGTAAAGGCGCAGAGCCTCGCGGCCGTCACCCGGAGTCTGGCCGACCCACGGTCCCTGCGCGCAACTCGTCGCTGTCTGCACCCACCAGTCGGAACAATTCGCGGACGACGTCCCTCACATCGGAGAGTTTGCGGGATCATACGTTGGCGATGGAGCACGATCCCCCACACCGTCCGGTTGAAAAACCGCCTGTGCATAGACCCGAGGTGCCCCGGGGCCTGAACATCCATGATGCGGGCGAAGCCTCCAAGACACAGTCCATCATCATCGGCGTGGAGGACATGTCGCACCTGCGCCCACCCTCGATGCCCTACACGCAGATCTCGATCCCATCCTCATCCCCGGGGCTGATCGAAGTCAGCGAAGCAACCACCGTGACCTTCTTCCCCCACACCAACGAATCGCTCCTCCTCGTCGACCCACAAACGCAGTCTACCCTTCGCAGCCAAATGCCCGGCCCAGACTACCACCGACCCGACTCGCCCACCCCGCGATCCGACCTGAACTTCCCGCTACAGAACCCCCGGCAGCCGCCCAAACCCCCCGTATGCCAAGTGATCCCGCCCACCCCGGTCCAAGACGACCCGCAGCCGGCCATCCCAGCGGGGAAGAACAAAGAAGCAAGCGGACGGCCGGGCCGACGATTCGGCTCGGCTCGCCGTCCCTGGATGCCGATGGTACGTCCCGGGTCCGAATCATTCACTTCCTTTCTGCGGACCTTCTCACTGACCTCGGTGAAGAACCGCAAAGCGGGCAAGGACATCGACGGCCGGCTGCAGCCGTTCTGGCGCCCGCGTCGCTTCTGGGACGACTCGGAGCCGGCCTCACCCCTCTCGCCCCTTCCCCTCCCCCTCCTCACTCACCCTCATCCTCATCCCCGCCCTCCGCCGACGCCGACAGCGACCTGATCATCAAAAACTCCCTCGGCATGCCCCAGCAGCGGGTCGTATTCGAGGGTCCCCCCGTGGCCATCCCCCGCCGCCGTCTCGAATCCCATTCCCACCACGCCAACACCAACAGAGGCACCCTCGTCAACAGCCAGGTCTTCACCCCCGAGGCCTTCTGCTCGCAGACCTCGCTGCACCATCACCGCTACCGATCGTTGTCCTGGTGGAGGCTGCGGCTGCGCGCCGGCAAGATCCGGAATATTCGGAGGCGCGTGAGACGTACCTGGCAGCGACATGCGGATCATCGGCGGGAGGCGAAGCGCGAGAAGCTCAAGCAGAGTATAAGTGGGGCGGTGTTGGTGGAGTCCAGTACGCAGTTGAGGGGGGGTGATGAGTTATGAGTTATGAGTATGATTTGTCTATGAGTACGCTTTTGTTTTATGTGTGTGGCTAGATTGTGCTATATTGAATGGCGTGGATGTGATATGAGATTTGTTTTGGTTGATGGTTTTGATGATGACTACTTTTTTTTCCTGTTCTGTTCTGTTTATGATTCTGTTATTTGGATTATGATGCTGATGCCGATGCTGATGCTGATGATCACTGTGTTGTGTTGATTCTGATTGATTGATTGATTGATTGATTGATTATCGACGAGTAATGATTGACTGACAGATACCACGATGCGATGCAATGCGATGCAATACGATGCCAAACGATAGTTAGTTAGTTAGCATAAGACAGCAACTCCCAGTCTGCTCTGCTCTGCTCTGCTCTGCTCTGCTCTGCTCTGCTTTGCGCTGCTTTGATAAATGAGATATGATTTGAGTTTGAATACAAGACCTCCATTTATACGGATATGTATCCCAGCGCTGTTTAGCTATAGAACCGGCCTGCCTGCCTGCCTGCCTGAAAAGGCCCCTCTATCCCTGTTGCTCTCTTCCCTTCTCTCTCCTCTCATCAACACACCAAGATAAAAAAATTAATAAAATTAAAATTAAAAAAAAAAATCTTCACCAGTCATAAATAATCACAGTCAGTCACAGTCAGTAACAATAATCCATCCATCCATCCTATCCCATCCTCCCCCTAACAGCCATCCCCCCATACTCCGCCTCCCTGACCCGGCGTCTGCGTCTTTCCTCCGCGGCTTCTTTTTCGTTATTATTTCCCCGGCCACTTCCATTCCTATTCCTATTCCTGCTCCGGTCCCCGATATTCCCTATATCCGAGGAAGTAGATCCTGCTTCTTCTGCTGCTGCTGCTGCTGCTGCACGCATCCTCGCCCAACCCACCGGATCAAGAAACGGCTGTGGGGGAAGGGAGAGGTCGTATTCCGCTGCTGGTGTTGGTTTTGGTGTTTTGGGGGTTGGGTTCGGGTTCGGGTTCGGGTTCTTTGTTTTTGTGGGGTTGGATGTAGAAATTGCCGTAGAAGTGGAGGTAGATGTAGATGTAGATGTAGATGTAGATGTAGATGCAGTAGGTTTCGATGCAGGTTCAGGTCCAGACACAGGTCCAGGTCCAGCCCCAGCTTCAGCTTCAGCTCCAGCTCCAGCTCCACGCTTCAAGAACGAGGGTTTATCCAGAGGACGCTTTGTCGGGATGAGGAGGGCGGAGCGGGGACGGTGGGTTTGGTAGGATTTCATGGTTCTTCTTATATTGTAGTATCCTGCCTGGCCTTATGGTGTCTTGTCTTGTCTTGCTTGCCCTTTTCTTGTCTTGTCGTGTCGTGTCTTGTATCTGAGTTGTTTGTGTTGGGTTTGGTTGTGTTGTTTGTGATGTTTGTGATGTGGTGTTGTGATGTTCTTGATCCACGTACAAATCGTCACCAAGTATAGACAAAGATCCATCTATCGGTACGGAGTAGACAGGGAAGAAAGAGTCAGTTACAGTTACAGTTACTCCGTACGGCTGACTGTCATGTAGATGGGTCACGTGATTACATGATCATATAATCACATCTATGTACATACAATCTGACGCTCATCATGCTGGAGGTAGGATACACGGTATTACAAGACAGAGTCCAAGCAAGACAAGCAAGACAAGCAAAGCAAGCAAGAAAGCCAGATAATCGATCCCAACTCCGGTCCGAACGGGTCCGGACGCATCCCGCTGGTATAGTACATCAATCAATCAAATCAGTCATGAAGAACGAAGGAGGGAAAGAAGAGAGAAGGAAGAGACACGCCGCGTAGTCTAGCAATGCTCCGAGAAAGGCAAGCTAGGCAACGCCCTGCGACTCCACCCCCGACATCGTCGAGTACGAATACGGCAGGTCGACCAGCCCGTCCAGCAGCCAGTTCAGCGGGTCGAAGACCTCGTAGTTGGGCTCCATGAACCCGCTGGGCAGCCCGCCGACCGCGCTGGACGGCACGCCCATGCTGGCCTGCGGGAGCATCGGCGCGGGCGCGAGGCTGGGGTCCGCGCCCGAGATGCCCGGCGTGGCGGTGGACGTGCGCGTGGGGCCTAGGGATGACGAGTTGGAGGAGTCGGCGTTGGAGTCGGGGTTGGTTGGGTTTTTGAGGTACGCTGTATTGTTGTTAGTTTCCAGTGAATGAAGTCTATGTAGGGTACGTACCTTCGAGATTGCGCCCCTTGGTGCGCGCGTCTTCGCGCCACCGCCACACCGAGTCGAAGAGCAGAGACATGCTCATGCGGCATCGCACCTTCAGCATCAGCGAGTCGTCCACCTCGCCGCCGTCCGCCGTCAGCTTCGGAGTCGGCACGTTGTTCAGCCGCCACATCTGCGCCAGGACTTCTGCTAGTCGCTCCGGGAGGTCGTTGCTGGACACGGACACGCCGCGGATGGCCCAGATCGTCCGGTTGAAGAGGTTCTTGGCGTAGTCCATGTCGATGTGGGCGGCGAAGAAGCTCTTGCAGAGCTTGAGCAGCGTGCACCCTCCCGCGACCATCATCTGGTACATGTAGTACGGGGTGTAGGACAGCACCGGGCCGACTTCCGTTTCGAGGTTCATTGCGGCTTCGAGGAAGGTCGTCGTGGCCACGTACAGAGAGAGAAGGCGCTCGCGGTAATCCTTCACGGTGGTGTCGTCGAAGAAGGCGGACAGGTGGAGGTGGAGATTAGACGCGCGCAGATACAGATTAGTGATGCCTGCGGATGTTAGATGGGTCTAAGAGGTAATCGGATAACACATACAGTCATTCTGCGCCTTCAGCTGGTTCTCAAGTTCGTCGAAATCCCGGGAAAGGAAACCGATCAGCGTCGATCGCTCTTGATCGCTGCAGAGCCCGACAGGGTCGCGTCGATTGGTGTACAAGGACTTGGTGACCTTGTCGCAGAACTTCTCGATCTCCAGTCGGGGTCTCATGTCATCCGGCAACTTGAAGTTGGGGTCCATGGACTCGTTCGAGGACAGTGTCCAGTCGTACAGCGTGGATGGCGGCTGGCCGTATCCGGTGGCAACTCTGCAAGCTATCAGCACTAGTCCCAACCACCATAACGTTAACATACCGCTGTGCCACAATGTTGCAGACCGCCCATGTTCGGACCTTGTCCCGGAGCTCCTCCTCGATGAGTTCCACCCGGAACTTGCTGAAATCCTGGGTATGCGACGGACGGTGCAGACCGAGCTGCATGGCTACTTGGATCATCATACCGCACAGCATAAAGGTCGGGTCGTTGGACGTGCTGCTCGCAGGAAAAGGCCATGTGCACAGCAAGCAGAGCGCCTTCACGACGTGGTAGCTTTGTGGGATATCCGCCAGCGTACTCCATACCAGTCGCGAAACCGGGCCTGCGAGGGAATTGAGAAGGTGGGTGTCGGCTTGGAAGCGTCGAGCGCCAACACTGATGATGGTCCAGAACAACAGCGGCGACGCATTGTAATACTCATCGGGCGATTGGTCTCGATCAAGGAATGGAAGAAACGGGTGGTAGAAGGTGAAAAACCTAGCACGGTTAGAGGCGAAGAGCCAAAACAAGCCAACAACAAGCTTACATGTTAAAAAGCTCGGTCACCCTTTCGGGGACGATGGCCACATCCTCGATGCGTTTGAAGTGATGCGTGCCGTTCCTCATGTAGCTGGTCCCATCAAAGCCCGACCGCAGGTCCAGCAAGGATGCCACGGCCTCGTGGGACCCCATGTACTGATCGGTAGACATCGCCGACGGCGTGTGGTAGACTCCAGACCCGACCTGGCTGGGGGTTTCTTGCTTGGGAGTCGGGACCGGGGGGATGGCCGCGGGTTGCGGGGGAGGCAGGCTCCCGACAGGGCTGGCCTGCACGGTTGCAATCTGCCTCCTCAGTTCCACGATCTCCCGCTCCATTTCGGCATTGCGACTGCGCTTTCCGACACGTTTGAAGTGGGACTCGATCTTACAATCAAGCCTGAGGCGACGACATCGAGAGCAGTCCACCCACGGGTCTTGGACGACGTCGCACCGGAGCTGCCAGGGAATCGGTCAGCCAAGTAAGTCCTGGAAGAGGTGACATATCACATCGGGAAGAGAGCGCAGGCCCACCTTTTGCTGGCGACACTCGTTGCACGCCCGCTTCACGGGCTGTCTCTTCTTCTCCTCCGCCCCCTCGACCTCATCGATGCTGCCGGGGGAGCTGTCCAAGCCCGCCATGGCGGGGTTGCGTTTCCTGGCAGATCCCACGCCATCGGAGCCGATAGGCGGGGAGAGAGATGGCTGGCCGGCACCCATTACGGGGCTGGGGGCAGCAGAAGCATTCTCTCCTGCGTGTGGCTCCAGAATGTCACCCTGCACACCCCTGCCTCCGATTCCGCTGGGCGATCGCTCGGAGGACTCCAGAGTGGTAACGAGCAGGCCGATATAGGCTGGGGCAGATGGGGGATCAAAAGGTTAAAAAAAGAAAAAAGAAAATAGTTGGTCTGACACGGATGGCCGGGGGCACGAGCCAACAACCCACGTGAGAGAAGTCTGGGGGGGGGAGGGGGTGGAAACAACAAACGGGCAGGTCAAGGCAGGGTCAAGAGGTTCGAAGGGGATCCAGTAGGATTTTCGCGGACTTGCCAGGAGTGTGTCATCGACAATGGCGATGGTCCTGATGGAATGAATGCGGCGGGGACGGCGAGGAGACGCCGTCCGATCTCGCTCTCACGTGCCCTGCGCTCGCCCGACAGCGCACGTGATGATAGCGGCGGCGGTGGTTCGGGTGGACCGTTAGTCAGCACGGGCCCTCCGGGGTCAGATGATCGGCCTTATCTGCGGTAAATCAATCTTAGGTAACGGCTTTACAGTACGCAGTACGAAGTACGAGTATGTATCGATGTATGTAATCCATACAGAGTAACTAGTAGTAATTGTTGACTATATAACCCATGACATGGATGCTCCCAGATATTTACTACATTTACTATCGTTAATATCATTGTTATTATCGTCCTCCGACCGAGTTTTTTTTTGTGCGAATGCCCATCCTGCTCGGTTATTCAAGGCCTCAGCCGGGCGACCGACGGAGAACTAAGTAGTACTATCTACCAGATATGCAGTCCAGGCAGAAATCCTCTTCCGGACAAAGCTTGACTGATGGCTTGGCAGGACCTCGTCGTGGTGGCCTGAGGCTGCAAGACAGCCACCATGCGCCAATCAGATCTCGCGATGCCCCGCACGCCTCTTTCTCCGGCCGAGCGAATCAGGGCGCGCGATGTCTGGCGATTGCGAGGCTGAGCATGATGATTACTACTCCTTCTTTCTTTCTTACTATTGTGAATGGTGAGGTGATTATCATTCTGTGGACTTGCACTGCCGAATACGATGGATGGGCTTCCCCACATGCTAGTCCTGCCTGCCACTCCATCTATTCCCTGATTCCCCGCATAACTACTCACTACAGCCTCATGAACAGGACAGGAACCATCATCGCCCTGTAAGATCCGCCCAGTGGCGTCACTCCCTGAGACACGCAGTCAGATTGATGTCAGCGACACCGGTCTGGTGTATATAAAGCCCGTCAACTGCTCGACCATCGTGATAAGCATGCTCCCCATCTCTTCCTACTAGCATCTGCCACCATGGCTTCCTCGGACGAGACCCAGGACGCGACAGATCAACCGCCATCGTATAGTCTGGTCGAGCCGGAGCCGGAGCAGCCAGCACTGCTGCTCCCTCCGCTGGACCTCTCTCGAGATGCCGGACCCTCTTCCTACGCAACAGTCACACCAGATCAATGTGCCGCGCATCTCAAGTTCCTGGCAGCGCTCGCAGACCTGCGTGACGGGGTTGCGAGTACCCAGGGTCTGTTTGGCATCGACGACCCGCGCCCAGAAATCTTTCTAGACAACACTAACGAGGCCTGGGCCCGCATCAAAGAAAAGCGATGGGCTGTCTACACTACCCGCGCGGCTGCTCGCTATGCCACCTGGTGGGATATGTGCGTCCCGGCCTCTCGCTCGCGTCCCACGCTCAGGGACCTCGTCGACGAGGGGTACAGCAACATCACCACCTCAACCCCGCTCGCCTGGTCCCAGGACCTCCTTCCCCCCCTAGGTGAGCTGATACCCAAGCCTAACTCCCATCCAACGCTCACAACATCTCGCAGACGTCCTGATGATATGGCACGCCCACATGCTGAACCCCCGTGCCTTCCTCGAGGACTGCATCCGACACGGCAAGATGAGCGCGTGGACCACGGGCTTTCCATGGGAAGCCATCAACGCCAGCATCGATGACCGGACCCTGGAATACGACGTCACGCAAACCGCCAAGGACACCTTCCTCGCAAAGACCCGTCTCCAATGGGACAACCTCCTCGACACAAATGACAAGATGCTATGCTGTCCCAGCTGCGACGAGCGGATCTTCGTGCCCTGGACCAGCGGCAGCATGGGAGTTCTCCTCGAGAATCTCTTCCGAGGCTGGAGCGGCATCGCAGACAAGGACTTCATAGCCGTATGCCCACGATGCCGGCTCACTCTCAACCACGAAAGCCTCAAGATCGCCAAGCTCCGGCAGGACATCACGGCCCTCCTGACCACCGACCTCCCCATGCCAGGCACATACTACAACCTGCACGGGGTGCCCGAACCAGCCTTCGACCCGCAACGCCGCAAGCAACAATTCTTCTTCCCGAACCGCTTCCTCGGCGTCGCCGGCCGCGACATCCTCGACCGCACCAGCCCGCGCAACAACCAAACCCCACTGACCATGAAAACCGTCAACGAGTACATCGCCACGAAGCTCAAACAGCGGGACATCATGTGGCGCGCCAACCCCAACAGCTTCCAAACCAACCTCTACCCGGACGAAAAAGTGTCCTACCGCCGCATGATGTCGCACTACTGGGACAACTTCTCGCCGTTCGCGCTGGACCTCGTCGGCGCCGTCATCCGACAGGGGACGTTCGTCGAGAAGATGGACAAAATCGACTGGCTGCACTCGCCGACCATCCTACCCACCATGAACCGGCTCATCAAGAAATACCAACTCTTCTTCCAAATCATGACCGACCACCCGTCCCACATGGCGGTGCCGACCCTCGACGTCGACCTGGCCTGGCACACCCACCAACTCACCCCCGGCCGATACCTCACCTTCTCCCTGCACCGCACCTCCACGTCCCCATCCAACCAAACCCCCATCTTCATCGACCACGACGACAAAGTCGACGAGACCAAACTCTCCGACTGCTTCGAATGGACATCCAAAGCCTACCGCAAACTCACCGACGGCGAAATCTACAGCGAATGCACCTGCTGGTACTGCGAAGCGATCCGCGAACCCGACTTCTCGCGCTCCCTCCCCTCCCTATTCCCTTCCTCCTTCTCTTTCCTCCCCTCCACCACCCTGAAAGCCCGCTCCGCCGCAACCAACCTGCACACAAGGGCGGATATCTCCTCCGACCCGGACAAAAACCCGCACATCTCCGCCCACAACGCCGTTCGCCCCGACCTGCCCTCCCTCGGCTCCACGGCTTCGAAACTTTCCCCCTCATCCCTCGACCCCCGCGCCATCAAATACCTCAAACTCCGCCACGACTACGAGAAAGCCCAGCGGCGCGCGCAGAAGCAGAAACGCCGCTCCAAGAGTGGCATCCCGCCCCACGCAGATACCAAATCCCAATCCCAATCCAAGGATCCGAATCAGAAAGAGAATCAGAGAGGCGCCGCATCAGATTCCGCCGTCTTATACGCCACCCCCTTCCTGTGGGGCTACCCCGTCATCGTACCCTACTATGCCCCGTTTGCGTGTGACCCCGGGGTTCATTCGGATGCGTATGTCGCGAATCCAAGCTGTATGAGTTTCGCGGAGGGAGCGCATGGGAATTGTGCGGCAGGGACGTGTGGTGGGGGGGTTGCGGCGGGGAGTTGTGGAGGGTCCGGGGGTGGGTGTTCCGGGGCTGTGCTGGTGGTGCTGGTGGTGGTGGAGGGGGATGTGGAGGGGGAGGCGGGGGATGTGGAGGGGAGGAGGGGGGGGTGTGGTGGTGGTGGAGGAGGAGGCTGTGGTGGTGGTGGGGGTGGGGGGGTTGAGGGAGTTGGTCTGTATGTAGGTGGTTGATGGTGGTGGTGGTGGTGATGGTGGTGATGGTGGTGATGGTGGTGATGGTGGTGATGGCGGGGGTTAGGGAGCATTGTGTTGTGTGGTGTGGTGTGGTGTTGCTCGCTTTCCCTGCTGTGTCTGTCCGTCTGTCTATCTGTCTGGATGTAGGTACCTGCATCTACATCTATGACTGACCGAGTCTGCGCTTGTGCGATTTCGTTATTAATTACCCATGTCTGCTGAGCCTATGTCTGCTGAGCCTATGATTTACGTTTACCATGACTCTACGTTAGCCATCAGCCCCGCCCATCTCTAACAACATTATAACTCATTGAGTTAAGTTATCTGCCATTGCCACTCCATATAAAGTATACATCCCTGTACATATCCTGATAGTTACCTATACTAGTACTATAAAGTACCAATATATATACTACCTATACCTATACTAAACCTATATAGTATAGTACCTATACTATACCTACATAGTATACCCATATAGTACTATACCTATACTAGTATACACCCACCAAAGCCAAAGAATCAATCCAATACCCATATCCAAGATCCCAATATCCAAAAACATACATACATAAATAGATAAATTCATAATCCATTCATTCCGTGATCTCCTACCTAACCTAACCCAACTTAACCCAACCTAGATAATCATTTCTACAAACCAATCCCTCCCTATATCCATCCCTATATGTCCACTTTTGGGGGGGGGTATATGTACGACAAGAACAGAAGAGAAGAGAACTAAAACTAGATACTACCAAACCAGAACCAAGCCAAACCAAACCAAGCCAGCCCCTTTCCCAACGTATCCATCCATTCATCGCAGTTCGACCGAGTCCATCCCGTCTAGGGACTATCCTCTGGATCAACATCAACTCTCTTCGTCCGTCCAATCATATAACATAACCATAACGTACGATAGCACAGCCCCCTTCCATACTATACCACACATACACACGACACCACCCAAACCAAACCCCTCACATAACAACACACTTACTCCGCCTCTTACTCCTCTCATAAATGGTCCTCTCATTCCACTCCTCGATGCGCCTGCGCCACAGATCATGCGCCGCGGCCTGGGAGCTACTCGAGAGAGTGGGGTCCGTACTGGCTCGACGATTCAGGGGCGCGATGCCGCCAGGCGGGAGTCGGACGTCTTGCGATTGCGATTGCGTGCGGCGGTCGATGGGGCGGTGGTAGGGGTAGGGGTAGGGGTTGGGGTTCAAGGAACGGGGGGTAGTGGTTCCTCCTTCTCCTGCTCCTATTCCTGGTCGTATTCCTACTCCTGCTCCCACTCCGCCGCTTCCTGGTCCGGCTTCTGCTCCAGCTGCTAATTCTACTCCGCCGACGCCACCGGGTATGGCTTCGGGGTGCGGGAAGGACGGGGAGAGGAGGTTGGGCGAGCTGAGGGAGTAGGGGTAGTTGAGATTGTAGTTGAGGTTGTAGTTGTAGTTGTAGTTGTAGTTGTAGTTGTCGAGGATGAACGGTGTTTGCGGGGTGGGGTGTGCGGGGGAGTCCTGCCAGTCGGTTTGGTCTGGGGTGGACTCTTCGGGGAGGACGTCGTAGGGTGTTGGTGTTGGGGTGGGGCGGTGGCATGAGGATTGCTGGGCTTGGGATTGGACTTGGACTTGGTGCATGGTTACGGTGGAGGGCATGGCGAGGGTGTGGGTTGGCAGGGCGGAGCCGTTGGGGAAGGCTTGCGGCTCGATGTGGGCGTGGGAGTCGGCGAGAGCGTGCGGGGGGGGAGGTATATCTGCAGTCCGTTGGGGCCGTGCAGGTTGGGCGAGGAGCCGGTGACGGAGCTGCGTCGTCTTCGCGGGAACATGCTGTGTCGGCGGGACTCAGGGCCGTCGACGGCTCGCGTGTTCCGCCACATGCGGGATGCGAGTAAAGAGCCGGTGATGGTGTTTAGTCTCTGCAGTGAGGTTCGGGGGGGCGGCTCCTCCACCATGTTTTCCAGGCGGCTGGTCTGAGGTCGACGGATCTCGGGGGGGCGTCGCCAACCCGACGGATAGGGTCCGTGTGTGAGGGAAGGAGGCTTCGTCTCAGGTAATCGGGGAGAGGGGCTTCGGGCACGCTGGAGTAGGGGGGTGGGGGAGGGACCCAGTTCTCAGCGTCGCTTTCGTGGGGGACCTGGAAGACCTGCGTGGCCGGTCTCTGGCCTTGCGAGTTGTCTGAATGATACCGTCCACGGCCCCGGGCCGCGGCGGTGGCTGCACGACGCAGTGTGTCCCGCGATCGCGGCTGCGTGTTATCGTATGGTGAATCCGGAATCGCCTGGACATCACCGTTCGACGAGCCAGAGAAGAACGAGCTGTTCCGGCGGACGTTGGGTGGAGGCGCGTGGATGACCGAGTTGGCCGATGGATATGATTCCCGAGCCAAAGCCCTTGCCCGCGGTGAGGCGGCGTTACGATGCAGCCGCGTCCTTCTGCGTTCCAATTCGACCTCAGTGTCCAGGCTGGAGTTGGGCTCGTTGAGCATTTTCGGCTCCGCGTCCCCAACCTCGATGTTGAGTTCCGTCAAACCCCCGTTCGTTGCAGAGCGCTCGAAATCCAGGAGGAGGACCCGTCCGCCGTCGACGGGCACGTCTTCTTCGCCAATGGTTGGCGGACTGATGCCACCAGGGGCAACGGCCACCAGTCTGCGGTGGTCAGCCGTGTAGCTGGGATGGCGCACCCAGCGCGCCGCTGTCATCCCGGGCATGTCGCTCATTTTGTGGCCGTTGATCAAGACCTTTGGCTTTGGGATGGACTGCTGTAGTCGAAATAAAGTATCTCGAGCCGTATCCTCCATCGAATGGCTCTGTCCCATCTCTATCGTATCATATACCCGTGTGGCGGTCCCTATGGGGGCGATATCGAGACGATCGGGGACGCCATACACCCAGAGACCGGAATTTCCGAAGCCCAGCGCGGCCAGCTCGCCCATGTCGTCAACGGTAGGTAGCATCGTGGGCGCAGACTCCCGCAGCCCGTCGTCAGCCATCGGGCTCACAAAGAACGTCGTGCCTGAGTTTGTGTTATTCACGCCGAACGCCCGGAAGCTGCTTATCTGTTCGTCAAACCCCAGGATCCAGCTGCCTTCCCCTTCGGCATGTAGTGGAAGCAGGCACGCGTGGCTGAAACCCGTGGTCACGTCTGGAAACAGGATTTGCGTCGTCCACATGCGGATCTGGGCGTCTCTCGGGGAGTACTCGGCCTCTGATTCGGTGTAGAATGGGACCGTGATGTTCACCAGTCCGCCGTTGCAGCGGTCAGCGGAGGTACCGAGCAGCATGTCCCCGTCGGAGGAGAATGACACCGACTCGACCCCGGAACACCGCACCGCTCTTCGCTCGGTGGCCAAAGCCCCTTCACCGACCGCGTGCACTTCGATCCGATCATCGTACGCAATGGCAAGCACACCGCCGGTCGGGGAAAGCGCGAGGGTCCGAGGGACGTCGTTCAACGTGAGATCCTGGACGTGCATTGCTTCCTCGCAGGTCAGACGGTAGATATTGACCTGATGGCTGGAGGAAACGACAGCCAGAAGGGACCCATCGTCGACAATGGTAGCGTTCAACGGGCGTCTCCATGTTTTCAGCTCATGTTTCACCACCGCGGGATCCGACGTGACGTCGAGCACGACGATCCGGGAGGAGCTGATGCACAGGATGAGCTGGCCGTTGGGGGAGAAGGCAAAGCGGAACGCTTCGCCCTGGGGGAAGGCGGTGGATGAGCTCATGGACGTCGAGGTCAGCTTGACCAGAGTCCTGCGCGGCCTGAGGAGCACATCGAACGTGTTCCGTCTGATCTGCGCGCCGAAGAGCTGCTTCAGCTGCGCGAGATCCCCGGGGTGGGTCGGCTCGCCGACGCCGGTCGCCTTCTGCGTCAAGGCAAAGGACGGACATCGGGCCAGATGATGTGCATACAGGTAGGGGGAGTCGGAGATGCGCCTCCACTTCCGATTCAGCAGCGCGAGCGACGCAAAGGTGTTGGCATCCGCGAGATGGAGGATTCTGGGTCCTCCGTTAACATGTCGCCCATCAGGCCACCGGTCCATCACATGGTCATGCTTGACGGGTCTCAAGGAAGCAGGAGCACTTACCGCTCGATGACAGCACGAGGCAATCGGGAGAAGGGGGCGCGGTTCTGGTCGGCAGTGGTGAGCAGCGGACATTTCTTCAGGGCGTCGGGGTCGTGCTGCAGTTTGACGGTGACGGTGGTGGGACGCAGCTCGGGATGGGGATGGGGGCCGCCAAGGCACTCCGGGGTGGGCAGCCGGACATCCTCCTCCATGGTTTGATGGGTGTGTAAACAGCGGGCGAGGGTCTACATTTGCTGAGACAAATGCAGACGGCGCAGAATCAATTGAGCAGAACGGGCATCTTTTTGGCAGACATAGGGGCGAGAGCCGAGGGGAGGATGCGAGCAGGTGGGCAGGCAGGCGGAGGAAGCGCCAACGAGCGAGGCCGGTGGCTGTGTTGCCTTCGTCGGGACGCCAATAAAGCCCCGGAGATCGCCTGGATGCACCACGGGCACGTCTGAAACGGGACAGTTTCAGATGACCAGGGAAGTTGGTGAGATGAAGTGGGATGCAGTCAGTGCATGGTCTGTTTAGGGAGTTAGGGAGGGAAGAAGTAAATATGGGGTTGGGGATGGGAAGTTGGATAGAGAAGAGGAGAAGAGATGAGACAGACAGACAGACAGACAACAGACAGACAACAGACCAGACCAAGACCAGACCAAGACAAGACCAAGACAAGGCACAAGACAACAGTTCTTTACACTTTACTGGTGGTAATTTACAACAGTCTCCGGCCCAACCGGGTGACGCCCAAAGCGGTCAAGCGCCGGGGGATAAAAATACGACCCGGACGAATCGGAGCTATCTGGTTGGTCGCCCTGGCTGACTCATCTCCCCCCCCCCCCACGTTTGGCCGACCGATAAGAAGTCGCGATCGAGATTCGATCCACCGTTTCTTTGTCTGCATCGAAACACAACCTTCCATGGATGATGGCAGCCACGCAACGGTGCTTTGGTCCCTGTTCGATGGCCGGCTGGGCTGTCTGCTGTGCTGCCATATTTAGCATTTCCTTGTCTGGTCTTCTCTGGGATAAATGGAGAGGTGAGTGGTGTTGGTATATGGGTGTAGGTAGATATGGGGTGGTGGATGGCTGGATGGCTGGATGAGATGTGTAACTTTATGGCGTTCAGGATATATCTGGTTGGGTTACTTGTACTGTTGTTTGATTTGCGGGGTATGTAGACAAAGTAGGTTGCTATGGTTGCATTGTTCGTATGATGAATTAGTTCAAGTTGAATGGGTGTTTCAGTGGTGATTGTGGTTGAGGTTGGGGTAAAGTAGTAGTACCATCCCAGGTGGAGATATATATATACCACCGCTACTAGTTACATCGGCATGCCAGTTTGAGTCACCACCCCTCAACATGCATTAGTATTGGGTTAACTTTGTTCAATTTATACACGCAAACCAAATCCACAACCAGATGCTATTTTACAACGGACCCCCATCATGTGCAGGAGCCCCAGAATCCCTCTAATGTTAATCCCATCCCGAGATCACAAAGCGCGCCTCGAGTATACATACATTACGAATAACCAACGGAGTAGAGAAAAAGTCGTGTCCGGCGCCCAGGACCGAGAGAGCGCACCGTCAAGAAGGAAGGAAAAGAGTTTACTGCTTCTTGTCGCCACCCGCACCGAACATGCCGGTGAAGGAGCCCTTCATCATGGCCATCTGCTCCTGACGCGCCTTCTCCTCCTCGGCCGCCATCTCCGACAACCACTTCTCGCCGTTCTCCCGGATCTCCTTCTCGATCAGCTCGTAGTTCTTCTGCCCGCGCTCGCGGATCTGGTCCCACAGCATCTTGCCCTGCGCCAGGCCCTCCGAGGGGGACTGCTCGCCGTCCAGCGTGCGCGAGGATTTCAGCCCCAGCGCGGACGCGAAACTACCCATTCCACTGCGGGGACGCTTCTTCTGCTCCTCGGCCAGCTCCTTCTCGAAGCGCTCGCGCATGGCCTTCTCGCGCTTGGCGAACTCCACGGGGATGGGCGAGCCCTCGAACGACTTCAGCACCGGACGCACGTCCTCCACGCCCATACCGGCCAGGTACTCCAGGAAGGGGATCAGCGCCACCAGGGTCTTGTCCTTCGGGTTGCCGTTCCACTTGTCGAGGACGATGGCGTTCTCGGGCTGCAGGCGGGCGTGCTCCTCCTTGGTGTCGATCAGGATCACCTTGGAGAGGTCACGGTTCAGGTAGGACAGATCCTAATCGGTTAGCGACGACGTGTGCAACGTGATCGGGGATACACACCTTGATGTACTCGCCGTCCTTGTATCTGGTGGCTTCGCGGAACAGAGGCCAGCGGATGATGCGGTAAGGGTCGAGCTTGCGGAGGACCTGGTCGGCCATCATGCTGGGCACGGTGGTGAAGAGGACGAGCTCGTAGTACTGGTTCAGGTAGCGGAGGAAGTAGTCGACACCGGGCCGCTTGGCCACGCGCCATCCGTGCTCACGGCTCCACTCGCTGTGCACCAGCAGGTCCTCCAGACTCAGCACGAGCGTGTAAGGCTGGCGCATGTTGGGGTCCTCGTCAGGGAGCAGCTTGGGGAACGCCGGGTCCTTGTAGTAGCTCGTGAGGTCGCCGAGGCGAGCCTTGGCCCGGCTGTACCAGAGTCCCAGACCCCAGCCCGAGGGGATCGTGGGGTGCATTCTCTCCTCCTCCTCCGAATCCCAGCTCCGTCCCAGGTATGCCACACCACCGGCGCCTGCCAGCAGGAACGCGACATACATCAGGTTGGCCATGCGGGCCCGCTTGCGGTCGAGAGAAGACTCGTAGTTGGGGGGGACGTCGCCGCGGCCGCCCTCATCGTATTCTTCACGCGCGTCCTCCGTCAGGTTCAAAGGTCCGCGGTTCTTCGAGCGGCCCTCCAGTTCGGCGGCCAGGGTGGAAGGGATACCCTGGGTGAGATCGGGGAGCGGTTTTTGCGGAGCATCGTGCTGGGGCACTGTGGAACCGGACTCGGACTGAGAGGGAAGGGTCAGATCATGATTCAAATGTATCCCAGTCTGCTTCAACTCACAGCTTCGGCGGCTTTTTGGGAGGTGTTGGCGGCATCGAACTCGGCCTGGTCGGCGGAGTAGTCTTGCTGCTGGGATGGAGCCTTGGGCGGTTGGTCGGGCTTGGAGGCCTTGACGGAGTCGGGGAGCTTGTAGGGGGCCTTGGGCTTGCCGACCTTTGCGTACCAGCGGGACTGGGAGGAGAGGGATGAGACGCGGACGGTCGAGGCGAGGACGTTCGGCCTCGTCAGAGGCAGGACGGCACGGCTTAGCATGATGAAGGGAGAAAGGGCATCTATGGACAGGCACGAGAGGAGAAAGTACTCATGCCCGGGAGGGAGCAGCAGGCGACAGGGAGGTAGCCGTTGACAGTCAAGTCAGTCAGTCAGTCAGTCAGTCAGTCAGTCGGTTGTCGTCAGAGTCGGAGCCAATTAGTCGGTGCTGCCAACCGGGAAAAGTTCACGCTTGCGGTGCGGCGGGCGGCAGCCACCGGAAGTGCAGCGGCCACGACGGAGTATAAAACCGGATCTTTCCCCTTCTTTTCTCTTCTTCTTCTTCACATTAGAAAGTTGTACCCGGTGCACAAATTTGACCCTTCAGGCTTTTTCTCCATGCATGCCGGGTTGTATTAGCTGGGGAGACCGATGAAGATCCTCTTCACATCCCACATCCAAGAGCCGCAGCAAAGGTCCCCCCTGCAGTTGCAGCTCCATTAGTGGGAGACAGACAGTCCGATTGCCTCTTCTCCGGACGTAATTCGGCGAGCCACTCCCTCGAGTTGTATGTATCCAGCTTAATGCAATAATGGCATGAACCAGACCCAAACGATCGTTTATTTCCTGATTCTGAAAGTCCGGGTTTAATCCTTTCGTATCGCGCGTATCATTATTTCCTTCTTAGACGGTTGCATTTTTCCACACCACCACCACCAGATCAATCAACCACCCACGCCACCCACCATGTCCTCATCCCTCTCCGCCGCGCTGGAGAAAATCCACCTCCACGACCCCGCCAACCAAATAAAGAGCGATCAGAAAAAGCCACGCGCGCGGCAACGACAACGCCGACGACAAGAACCCCTGACGCCGTTCCGGTTCTTCGACCTGCCGGGGGAAATCCGGCTCCGAATCTACGGCTACGTGCTGTTCACGCCGCGGCGGCGACAAACCACGCGGTTCACCGGCAGCGTGGGCGCCTCCAGCAAGCGGAACCCATTCATATCACCGACGTCGCACCGGCTCGCGCTCTTCCTGACCTCGAAGCGCATGCACGAAGAAGCCTCGGACCACTTCTTCTCGATGCAGACGTTCCGCCTCTTCCCGCTGCAGGACTACTCGCGCATGCCGACGATCCGGGCCATCGCGCCGACATACCGGCGGTCGATCGCGGCCATCGAGCTGATCCTGGGGTCGAGCTGGACGGCGCCGCCGGCGTCGTGGACGGTGGACCGCAGTCTCGGGCTGGAGGACATGGTGCGGGTGCGCACGTTCAAGCTGTTTATCGAGGTGGATCCGTCGCATCCGGTCTTCGAGGGGTTCCGGGTGTCCGAGGGGTTTTATACGGATTTTGCCGGGGAGCTGTTGCAGAAGGTGCTGGCGGCGGTGCCGGCGTTGGAGTTCGTCGAGTTTGATGGGTGGCCATCTGTGCGGAAGAGCGGGGCGTTGATGAAGAGGTTGTTGCAGGAGGTGAGGGCCGCGGGGAAGAAGATTGCGTGGGGGCCCGAACGGGGCTGGACGGATTATGATGGCGAGGAGGATTGTGATGATCCGCATGGCTTGAGGGAGCAGGAGGAGCGCATGAAGCAGCATCAGCTGGAGCGGGAGCGGAGAGAGCAGCGGGAACGCGAGTGGGCGCGTGTGCAGGCTGCTTCCCTGCCTCTGCCTCTGCCTCTGCCGCAGGCGCAGGCGCTGCCCTGGCTGGATTTATGATGATTGGCATGATGATGTGAACATGATTTGCGGGCTTTGAAAGGGGGAGTAGACTTTGGACATATATTATCATATAGATGCATATAGATTGTTTGCTTAGAATGTGGCTACGCTTCTACTGACGCGATGTCTGATGTTAACGCCGTACGTGATCGAGTGGTTAAATCGTACTGAGAATATACATGTAACGTCATTCATTGAGGCGTCGGTCAGACTCGCTCAACGGTTGCATTATGGAACAGTATGTCACGTCTATAGTTCCTCGTCCACCTCCATGCCACTGCCGTTCTGGCCGCCCTTGCCGTTTGATAGCCGGGCCACCGAGGCCTCCTTGTCGATCATCTGCCGCGAGACCGCGACGATGTTGTCCTCGATCAGCTGCTGGCTCACGTCCTCGATGTCTGCAGAGCGTTAGTATTGTAAGATCAGTGGCAGAAGCGGCAGGGACAGTAGTGGCAACGTACGCTTCTTCGGGTCGACCTTTCCGACGTATCTCGTCTTCAGCTGATCCTTGGTGAGCTCGGTCTCCTCCTTGACGCGCTTCTCGTAGCCCTCGGCCAGGCTGACGAGCTGCTGCATGCGCTCGACGTTGTGCTCGCCCTCCTCGTGGAAGTCCTTCATTTGCAGCGCCTCCGTCCAGACGTGCTTGTGCAGGTTCATCAGCATGTTCTCCTCGAGGCCGGTCTTGCGGTAGGCGATGCCGATGCTGTAGTAGTGGCGGTTCAGACCGTGGATGAGGGCCTGGATGGACGGCTTGTTGAGGTGGCCCAGGTTGGATGTGGTTTGGCGGGGCTCCTGGCCCATGACGACGGTCTGCGGTTGGATGAGACGGAAGGCGTCGATGACGACCTTGCCCTTGACGGACTGGATGGGGTCGACGACGACGGCCACGGCGCGGGGGTCAGCTGCTCGAAGGACTGCTGGGTGTTGATATCGACGGACGAGAGCCAGCAGCCGAATCCGGGATGTGAGTGGTACCAGCCAACAACGGTCTCCGGGCTGTGAACGCTTAGCTTGAATGGGGGAGGAAGGGGGGAGGGGGGTAAGCCTACCGTCCGGTTTGCCGGAGCATGTCCATCATCTTGGTCTGGAAGACCGGGTCCACGGCCTCGACACTGACACCGGTACCGCTCTGGGGCATCGCAAAGACATCCACCACCCGGACTGTGTACTCGTCGACGAACTCTCCCAGCATCAGACCCATGACTTCCATGGGCACACCGGCGCGACCATGTCGTAGCATCTTCAGCAGGGCGAGCGAGGAGATGTGGACGGTTTCGGAGTTATCGATGAGGTTGGGGGAGTCCTAGACAGCTACTCAGTATGGATGCAGGTAAGGTCGACGTGATAGGCTATAGGTTATAGATCACGTAGGTCGGCACTCACAGTACCAGGAGCTCCGCCCCCCATGCCCATGCCTTGGGCGGCCTGGAGCATTCGGTTGAGACGGTCCATGGCTGAATGGCGAGTGAATTCGAGAGATGGAGAGGGGAGTGAGACAAGGTCACTTCCTACGCGGAAGCTCCACGGAGGATGAGTAGGAGGGACGGAGAAATGGGGGGCTGGGAAGGGTTGGTGTTAATGGCGATTATGTTCGTGTTGATGTTGGTGTTGGCGTTTCAAAGTGAGGAGAGGCGAGGATGGAGGGAGAAGAGATGAGGAGGAACACAGATGGAGCAGCGCAATTGGAGGCGTGGTGAGGGAGTGACCGACGAGCTTCCAAGAAGCCTGACGAAGGCGGTGACCAGCTCGGGGTTCCCGCCTTTCCGCCTTCCGCCTTTCGTCTCCCCTTCGCTTCCTCCATCCATTGATCGATTGTTCGCCCCGGTTCTCGCGAATGCAGCCTGTTCCCCCATTGTCAGGAATCTCCAGCTGAACTTTTTCGGAGGGCTTTGCTCCGACTCCCTTTCCCACATCGTCTCATCTATCCGGGCGTCCCAATCCCCTCCTTCGTCTCACTGCAACATCATCGCAAGACCGAGAAATCACCGCGCTTGAGAGAGCCCTACCCTCCAACTGCTCAGGGTGATTTGCCCCGCACAATCGATTCAAGATGACTTCTCTCGCGGCGGCTCCTATTGACCCGATCACCAATGGATCTGGTGATCGCGGCAAAAAGGTCGCTTACTTCTACGACTCGGATGTCGGAAATTATGCCTACGTCTCGGGACACCCGATGAAGCCCCATCGCATAAGGATGGCTCACAGCTTGGTCATGAACTATGGCCTCTACAAGAAGATGGAGATTTACGTGAGTGAGGCGATTCTGGCTCATTGAGGAAGCGCTCTAACACATTCGACAGCGTGCGAAGCCCGCCTCGAAGTACGAAATGACACAATTCCACACCGACGAGTACATCGACTTTCTCTCCAAGGTCACCCCGGATAACATGGAATCCTACTCGAAGGAGCAGAGCAAGTACAACGTCGGTGACGACTGCCCGGTTTTTGACGGGCTGTTCGAGTTCTGCGGGATCAGTGCAGGAGGCAGCATGGAGGGCGCCGCGCGGCTGAACCGTAACAAGTGCGACATTGCCGTGAACTGGGCGGGTGGTCTTCACCACGCTAAGAAGAGCGAGGCCAGTGGATTCTGCTATGTGAATGGTAAGTCCGTCGGAGAATTTGAGGGACCCCGCTGACCCATGCAGACATCGTCCTGGGTATTCTGGAACTGCTGCGTTTCAAGCAGCGCGTGCTCTACGTTGACATCGACGTCCACCACGGAGATGGTGTCGAGGAGGCGTTCTACACGACGGACCGTGTGATGACTGTGTCCTTTCACAAGTACGGCGAGTATTTCCCGGGAACCGGCGAACTGCGCGATATTGGCGTGGGCCAGGGCAAGCACTACGCCGTCAACTTCCCGCTCCGCGACGGCATTGATGACATCTCATACAAGAGTATCTTCGAACCGGTTATCAAGAGCGTTATGGAGTGGTACCGACCGGAAGCCGTCGTGCTCCAGTGCGGTGGCGACAGTCTTTCCGGCGACCGGCTGGGATGCTTCAACCTGAGTATGCGCGGCCACGCCAACTGTGTGAACTTTGTCAAGAGCTTCAACCTTCCCACTATGATTCTCGGCGGTGGTGGCTACACGATGCGCAACGTGGCACGAACCTGGGCGTTTGAAACCGGTATCCTGGTCGGAGACACCCTCGTGGCGGAGCTCCCGTACAACGATTACTATGAGGTAAGTCTTCCTTGCAGCTCTTACGACTCTGCTGACCGGTTTAGTACTTCGCACCCGACTACGAGCTGGATGTGCGTCCGTCTAACATGGACAACGCCAACACCAAAGAATATCTGGACAAGATCCGCACGCAGGTCGTGGAGAACCTCAAGCGGACTGCTTTCGCGCCTTCTGTGCAGATGACTGACGTGCCACGCGAGCCTCTGGTGGAGGGCATGGATGACGAGGCCGATGCGATCCTCGACGACCTGGATGAGGACGAGAACAAGGACAAGCGCTACACCAAGCGCCGCTTCGACCAGTACATCGAGAAGCCCGGTGAGCTCAGCGACAGTGAGGACGAGGACGAGGCGGCAGCCAACGGCGTTCGCCGCCAGCCGGGCGAGATCCGCCGACGGAACCAAGTCAACTACCGGAACCTCGACGTGAATGACTCTGGACTCGACAGCGGCATGGCTACACCGGCGGATGCGTCCTCGATCCCTGACGACGATATGGACACTGGAGATGCGAAGATGACCGAGGCTCCCGAGCCAGAGACCGAGGCGCCAGGCACACCTTCTATTGCGGAGCCGCCGTCCCGCGCGGAGGAGGCCTCCACGACAGAGCAGACCGACATGGCGCTGGACGGACAAGACCAGGCAGCTCCATCGGCACCGATCTCGCGGCAACCGTCCCCGAAGCCCCAAGATGAAGACACCATGATGGAGGACGTGGGTGATGAGGTGCCCGAAGCGGCGACTGCCGAACCCGCCGCAGAGGAGCAGGAAGAAGAGAAGAAGCCCAGCGTCAGCCCAGCACCTGAGAAGACGCCGGAACCCACATCGGCACCCCGCGAACCATCACCGGCGAAGGAGCCTGTGGAAGAGCCCTCGATTGCGGAGCAGGAGCCCTCGAAACCGGCGGAGGCGGCGGAGACGAGCGAGGCGAAGAGCAAGACGCCAGAGGTCTCCAAGGACGAGGCGGCGAGCGAACAGGAGCGCAGCACGGAGACCAAGGAGGTGACGACGGAGGCGGCAGCGGAGGAGCCCACGAAGAGCGAGGAGTAGACTCGTTTTAGGGAATGGCGCAACGGGGTGGATGGTGTTTGGGAGAGCTTTCGATTCGCATGAACATTACATTACGAGAGCAGGGCGATTGATTTTTTTTTATTTACTGTAACAATGAACATGAGATAACTATAGCTGGCGGTCATCGGTAAGCAGTAAGCAGTAAGCAGTGGACAGCGTAGTCGCGTAGTTAAGCACAGAGTATCTAGATCCAGAGTGCAGAGCAAGTAAAGCAGTGAAGCGATCCAAACAGGAATAGCGGAAACAGCACCCTCCCTTAGTCAGAACCAGACCTCATAACTAACTAACTACTTAACTAACTAGTTAAAGTAGTTAACTAGCCAGTCAGTTCACTTAGTCAGGTAATCAAACAGTCATGTGACCGTCTAACCGCATACAGCCTAGGTCTAGGGCAACGGGCCAGCCAATGGGGGCCTCACCGCCAAGATTTTACCCACGACGCACACTAAGCGAGAAGCAAATCGAAACCCGGGCCCAACTCTTCGACCTCCCCCCTTCGATCTCTTGTCGCCCGTCGCCCCCTTCGCCCAACTTTATCCGACAAGTTTAGAGACATACAGCCAAGATGTCTGGAAGAGGGTGAGTTTTTTCCGATTGCGAGAAGCACGAGATGCGAGAAGCGAGAAGCGAGATTCGAGATTCGAGATTTGAGAGTCGAGAGAAGAGGGAAGGTCCGGGGAGGGGGGGGAAGAAAGATAACGAGGCAGAATACGCGGGGATATGGGATCTGGGATCTGGGAATGTTGAAAGTTGGTCTCCGTTTGAGATCAAATGAGATGAGATGAGATATACTGGGGCAAAAAAAAAAACACCCCCCATTATGGATGTGGGAGGAAGAGGTGGATGCGCAATGAAATTCCCGGATCGGAACTTCTCAACTCGAATCTTGAATCTCGAATCTCAAATCTCAAATCTGGAGGATGTCTGCGACTGCGCATGATAACGGCACAACTCGATGATGGGGGAACGCAAAAAGCTAATGATTTCTGTGCAGTCGTGGATGCTCCGGCAACAAGCTGAAGATGACGCTCGGTCTGCCTTGGTATGTTCATGTTCTCCGTCTCCGAATCCAATAGCCCGCCTGTCTACCTATACCTATGCCTATCTGCATCGAATGTCGGATCGATATCACACCTACACAATACAACATGCACACACACACACACACACACATCAGAACAATCCATCCATCCAACACAACCCAATCCACACCATCGCATCCACCGAACACACACACCCACACATACACAGACAAATACAGACAGAAAGACTAACATCCTCCCAGCGGCGCCGTGCTCAACTGCTGCGACAACTCCGGTGCCCGGAACCTCTACATCATCTCGGTCAAGGGTATCGGTGCTCGCCTGAACCGTCTCCCCGCCGCCGGTGTCGGTGACATGGTCATGGCCACCGTCAAGAAGGGAAAGCCCGAGCTCCGGAAGAAGGTCATGCCCGCTGTCGTCGTCCGTCAGAGCAAGCCCTGGAGACGCCCCGACGGTATCTACCTGTACTTTGAGGACAACGCTGGTGTTGTACGTGCAAACCCCCTAATGTCTGGCGCTGGCAGTCCGATAGTCGGATAAGACAAGACAATCGGACTGCCTGCGACAGACGTCTTACTATTTGTCTGGATGGATGATGATGATGATGCTAACATGATTGATTAATAGATCGTCAACGCCAAGGGTGAGATGAAGGGTTCCGCCATCACTGGTCCCGTTGGAAAGGAGGCTGCTGAGCTCTGGCCTGTGAGTTGCCCCAACCCTTATCCCCATCCCCCGTCTATTCATATATTCTATATATGAATGATCATATCATCTCATATATTGTATGTATCGATTGAGACTAATCCTTTTTTTTTTTCTTCTATCCAGCGTATCGCTTCCAACTCCGGTGTCGTCATGTAAATTGGCCCTTACCAGGCGGAGTGACATGCGATTTTGAACGATACCAGTCGGGAATCATGGGGTGTGCATCAAGTATGACCAACAAAAATGAAAACGATTCATTAAAAAAAAAATATTTAAACTGCTTCTTGAGTAGATTAGTAACATAGTCTGTCTGTATCTAGTCCATCTCCCCTAGGGTTTATATCCTCTCGTAGTACCATTACGTTGCCTGGTCTCGGTAACTAGAGAGTGTATAGTAGTAAGGAGTGACCGATAACTACTTTGATATCCGGTGATGCTATATCTATGCTGGATGATTCAACCTAGATAAGTAGATAACTAGTTACAGCATGTTTACGAGATATCAGTATGGAGTGAGTGGTAGGGTAGATAGTCTGTTTATTGGTTATGCTGGTTAGTATACATGTCGTAATGCTAATGCTGATGCTGATGCTAATGCTAATGCTAATTTTAATGGTGTAATGCTATAAGGCCATCTATATCTGTATAATACATATATGTAGTATGAAATGCAGACGCTATACATCCCATCCTCCTATCATCCCCTATCCACTATCCACTATCCACTACCCACTTTCCATCTTCTATTCTATATCTATTGTTCTTTCGTCTTCGTCTTCGGTGGTCTGCCCTTTACAAATCCAGACCAGTACCCAGATCCAGATCCAGAGCCAGAGCCAGAGCCAGACTTCCTCCCCATCAGCAAAACAACCACCCCCAGCCCCAGCGTCACCAGATCCAACACATGCACCGCCCACCAGATATGCTGCACGCCCGCCGCACACATCTGGATGGCGTACTCCCACTCGCCGCGGTCGTGATCAAACCACACTGAAAGGAGGCCCGCGTATCCGCCGTACTCGCCCATCATGGATCGCATGGTGACTTCGCGGATGGCGGGCGCGGCCTCAGAGGAGGTAGAGTTGGAGTGGGAAGAAGAATCATAAGGAGCAGGAGCGGAGACGCTGCCCTGGTATCGGACTGCGTCCCATTTCCAGCTCTTTTTTTCTCCTTCTTCTTCTTCTTCTTCATCATCATCCTCTTTCTCATCTTCATCCCCATCCCCAGTAATCCTCCTAACAAAATGCACAACATCACACCCCGTATGATCATGCCCCGTCAAAATCAGCCCCTTCCTCCCCCAACCCATTCCCCTGCCCGCATCCACGGCGCCCTCCTCCCCCGTCATCCCAAACACGCCCTCCAAGACCGCATTCCCACTAACATACTCGCTTAAATGATTCTGCTCCTTCAACCCGCCCTTGTAGAACCGCGGCCCGCCATCCCCGCCTTTCTCGTCGTCCTCGTCATGGAAGCTGAAGTAGGGGGCGTCGGTGCACACGCCCGCTTTCTTGTGCAGCGGGAGGTGGGTGAGGAGGAGGGTGAAGCTTTGGCGGTCTTCCACGGGGTGGCTTCTTTCTGTGAGGAGGGCGTTGAGGTAGTTGTAGGTGGCGGATTGGGTGGTGGGGGAGAGGGCGGGGGTGTCGAGGACGAGGCTGTTGAGGTTGATGAGGTGGATGCTGGGGGGGTTTTCACCACTTTCACCGGAAGAGGAGGAAGAACCGGGCAATTCAAACCGCCCATCCCAATTCCCCGGCCCAAACACCCGCTCGAAGCGAGCGATGCGCGCCTCGCTCGCGTCCCCCGCGTACCCGACATCGTGGTTCCCGACCACGTTGATGATGCGGTGGGACCAGTCGGCGTCGGCCCCGAGGGTTTCGACAGTATGCCCAGTATGCCCAGTATCCCCTTCCCCAGGATTCCCCTCCCCAGTATCCCTCTCCCCAATATCCCCCAAACCAGTTGAAAACGATTGTAATTTGCTCATCCCCCCAAAAACCCTCCCCCAGAACCTCTCCCCCCTCCAACCAAACTCCTCCTCGCCAACCCACTGACTCCCCACCAAATCCCCCAGCACGGTAACATGAGTCGGCCTACTCCACCACCACATGGCGCGAAAGACATGGGCCAGGTAGTAGTCATTTCCCAACAGATCGAGCCGCTTGCGCAGGCCGCGCAAAGCCCGCGGGATATCTTCCGCCAGGAGGGCGCGGAGGACGGAGCGGAGGGTGCGGGGGATGCGGGACGGTTGGTGGGAGAGTTGGGAGAGGAGGTCGAAGTAGTAGGAGCGGAGACGGGCGGGGAGGCGTTGGGAGGGGGGGGAAGGGAGGTGGTGCCTTCTAACTGGGGGTCTGCTAGTACTAGCAAGCGGAAGGGGGCGTTGTCTGGATCTTGGGTGTGGGTGTTGAAGAGATGATCGTACAGCGTCGCGCGGAAAGACGCCGACAGGTGCGGGGGGTGGAGGAGGGGATGGCCATCGGGGCTGGGATCACCGGGACGAGGGAACGCGCAGCCGTGCACAACCGGGTAGAGGTACAGATACAGCGTGCTCGTCAGGGCGAGGGGCAGCAGCACGGCCAGGGCGAGGCGGAGGAGGGCGCGCACAGGGAGGACGAACATGGGGGCGGCATGGATTGGCGGCGCATAGGTGATAGGAGTATCTGGTTGTAAAGGAGTGTGTTGAGTTGAATCGAATCGACCGAAATAAAAAGGAATGTGGATGTCAGGGGTGCATCTTGCGTGGTGAGTAGATGAACAGAAGAAGAAGAAGAAGAAGGCCAGGAAGTCCGTCGGAACCAACTCGTGACGCGGCCCGTCGATCCCTGGCTGGTCGGGTCTAACTATCCGGCGAGTATCCTAGCGTCTGGACCCTATCCCCATCCTATACATCCACCCCCACATCTCTACACATCTCTACACATCTCTACACATCTCTACAGTGTCTACCCATACGGAATCCATTTCATCCTCAATCACATTCACAATCCAAGGGTATATCACATAAACGCCAACCTGGCAAGCAAAATCACCGCGAGTTCCGCATCTCCGACAGCAACGACCCCCCCATCTCCAGCCCCCCCAGCGGGTTCGACAGACGCTTCTCCTCCGCATCCACGTAGATCGACTCCGGCTCCTCGTCCAGATCCACCCCCCGGATCATCAGCCCCTGTCCGTTCTCCTTCTCCCGCTCCGTCTCCTCCGCCGCTGCCTCCTCCGCCTGCTCCTCCTCCTCCTTCGGCTCCTCCTTCACCTCCGCCGCGGCGACCCCCGTCATCAGCGCCGGCGGCCGCTGGTTCATCTGCCGCGCCTCCTTCAGGCTGACCGTGCGCTGCTTGTTCGTCGTCTCCACCGGCAGCTCCATGTCGCGCTCGATCGTCGCCTTCATCAGCGCCGCCATCCACAGCCGCCCCTCCTGCACGCTGTCCACCTGGAAGTAGTGGATCGCCGGCTTCGTGAACTGCACCGTGCGCGAGGTCCCCGACTTGGGCGGCACCAGCTTGAAGAAGAACGGCCCGCTCCCGGTCTTGCCCCGACGGGACTCCGACGCGGCCTTGTCGGGCGGCCCCTCCGCGTTGGCAGGAGTCGCCGAGGTCGTCGAGCCCGTGATCGTCGCATGCAGCGCCACGATGGGGTCGTTGTCCGCGCGCAGGACCCGGTGCGCCGTGATGTCAATCAGCCCCCGCTCCTCCGTGTCCTGCTCCGAGTAGTAGTACGAGAGACGACGGCCTCGCAGCACAAACAGACGCGGCTTCCACGTCGTCATCAGGTTCGACGACCGCTTCTTCATCCACCCCGAGTACTCGCAGCCCGCCGTCTGCTCCTGCGGCGTCTTCTTCTCCAGTCCGCGCGTGTAGGCGCTGGTGTCCTTCTTCGACTTCACGTTCGCCTTGACCGAGGGGCGCGAGCGAGGCCACAGCCCGCCCTCCGCCGCCTTGTTCGACCCGTCCGTGCTGTGGCGTTCCGAACTCTTGGACGTCGACGGCGTGGTCGACCCCGTCCGGGCCGACGAAGGGTCGTTGTCCCGCACGGGGGATGCCGGAGGCGGCGTGGAGGTGTCGATGCCCTTCGCAACCACGTCGGACATGGCCCGGAGGCCCATCGCCCGTCGGAACTTGGGCCCAGCGCCCTTGATCTGGGGCAGAGGCGTCGAGCGGGACGAGTCACTCTCCGACTTGCCAAACAGCGGTCCAAACAAGCTCAGCGCACCCGACGGCCGCTCCTCCACTGCCGACGCGGGCGCTGACTGCTGACCGCGACGGTCGGACATGCGTGTGCTGAGACTGCGGAGACGGCCCTTAGGCGCCGGAGTGGTGTGCGCTTTGGGGAGAGGGGACATCTGCTGCGCCGATTCCCGGATCGAGTCAACACTGCCAATGCGCGAGTGCCGTTTGCCCACGCGGAGCTGCTCTTCCGGGAAGTTCCCCAGTCGCGATTCGGCACTGCCCGTCACGGACTGCCGTTTCTGCAGCAGGCGCCGGTTCTTGCGCAGATCGCCCTCGGGTCCCGAGAAGTACCCCCGATCCAGGTCGTCGGTCACGACTGCCGGATCGGACCCGTTGGACCCGGTCGGGTGGTGGATGGGTTGAGAAAAGAACCCCGTTTCGTGAGACGTTCCAACCGCCGTTCCCGGACGGGTCGGCAGTCGCTGTCCCCCGCCGGTCAGGGTCCAGCCGCGATCGAACGATCCGCGCTTGTTTGAGCCCGGAGACCCGTCGAGGCCGGAGTACCGGTTGGTGGCGTCAATGGACGAGTGGCGGCGCGAATGGTTGATCTCCCGGATGGAGGCCGCCGATGGTCGTCGGGAGTGGTCCATGTACGTCGGGGTCTGCGGCGTGATCGGCGAGCTGGTGGTGCTTTGCATGCTGCTACTGACGAGGCGCGGGTGCTGCGTGCCGCTAGACCCTCGCAGAGTCGGGATGCGAGGTAGCAGCGGACCCGTATGGCTGGCACGACTGACTGCGCGCTCCTCAGGCGGGCCTGGCACGGCGGCCACCGAGCCGCGCGGTTGGGGGGTCGGCGGCTTGACGCCCTTGACCTCGTCCTGAAAGGTTCGAATCTTGTGCCAGGTCTTCAGACGACGGCCCATGACGCCAAAGTCGAACTCCTTCATGAAGAGAAAGTCCTGGTTCATGTCCAGCAGCACATCACCGGTGATCTCCTGCTCCTCGAAGATCCCGCAGTGTTTGTCCTCGACGCCACATTGCCGCAGCTGCTTGGCGGTCTCGGCCGGCGTCCACCGCCGGACCTGTTCCTCGCGCGGCTGGTTCTCTTCCTCTTCGTCGGTTTCATGCCCGTTGATGTAGGACATCCGGTGCTCGAAGTGACTGCTGTACTCACTGGCGGAATCGTTCAGGATCTTGGGCTCCTGGGCGGTCACACTGTGGCGCGGTGTGCTCAGGTCGGTGATGTGCTCGTCAATGACACTGAGCGTCTCGTTCATCACGGGGCTGTCCTGGCCGTTGACGTGGTGGCCGCTCTGCCGCATGGACTGCTGGATGTCGACACTCATCTTCGAGGCTGGCAGCGGCGAGGAACTGGAACGCTGGGGCTGTTTGGGGGAGAGCGCTGGGGCGACTGGCCCCCCCTGCAGGTCTGGGGCGCGCAGAGACGACGCGCTGGTATGGCGCGAGACGTGCGGGGTCGACTCGCCGCTCCTAGGCAAGGAGACTGGGTCTGCAATTTCCAGCTGGCTCGATTCCGAATCCGTCCCGAAATCCGTGCCCAATGCGGTTTCAGGCGCATCCGCCCGTTGTCTGACGGGGATTCGGGGGGCCGTAGTGGTGTAGACTGCACAGGGAGAAGCCTGGTCAGTAACGCTTTGCAGCAGGGTCGGCGCTTGCATCCTACCTCCTGGGAAAAGGCCCGTGGAGCCTGTGTTCAAATCCTTCCCTAGATACCACCCATCGCCGAACCCGTCGTCCAGCTCCACGAGCTCGATCTTGTCGCCGCGGCGTAGCGTCAGCTCGTCGGGGCCACGCGCATCGAAATCATCTGACGCGCGGAAAGTCAATTAGCCAGAGCACAGACCGGCGGGGTCGCACATGATGACGGAACACAAGTCCACTTACGAACGACGAGGAGAAGGTCTCCGGGTGTCACCCCCCGCGGAGGGGCTGAAAGAGCCATTTTGAAGCCTGGGGGATACGAAAGAAGTGGAGAGGTGGTGCGGATGGATTGGAAGGGATGACGAAAGGGAGACGGATTATAGCGCCCAAGTGGGGGTAGTCGACCGGAGTTGCGAGGACCAGGTTGGGAGGGGAGGAATTGCGCCGGACATGGGCAAGCCGCCCTCCCGGGTACTGTGGCCTAAAGGCGACGAGGAAGTCGAGTGCGAGGCCGTGGATCGCAGTCGAGGGAATGGCGGGCAGCAGAGGAATGTTGGAGGAGGAATCTGGGCCGCGGTGGACAGGCGGGAGAGGATTAGGATGGGTCCGAGCAGGATGGAGAGCCGAGAGACGGTGCTCCGTCGGTGGATATTAATTAATCGCGGTGGACAGAGCTCTCGGCAGGAGAATGAACTATCGACTTTGTAGCTAGTCGATCCCCAAACCGGCGGGCGATTCGCGGTCTGACGTGTATGCACGTCGAAGGCGAGCCGCCGGATACTGCCAGGCCAGGATGCGCTGGTGTCCGGTCCGTATGCAATGAAGGAGCGACGAGGGCGACGATCTCGCGGTCAGGATTGCAACCCGAAATCGTGCAGGCGCTAAAAGGGCGGCTAGTTGGTTGGGGAGGATCAGCAGGGCGGATGGTGTTGAGATGGGAGGAGGAAAAGAAGAAGGAGAATAGGGAGAGATGTAGGAAGAAAGGGGGGGGTTGAGAGAGGGAAAGAGGGATAGTGAGAGGGGGAGAGGGGGAGAGGAGGGAGAGGAGGGAGAGGAGGAGAGAGAAGAGAAAAAGAAGATGTTGTGAGAGAGAGAGAGAGAGAGAGAGAGAGAGAGAGAGAGAGGAAAAGACGACGAGAACCATGGAATGATGGAAGCGGGGGATGCGACAAGGCAATGATTAATCTTACCGGTTCGGGCAGGAGCGAGAGCAGCGCCGCCGTCTTAAATAATAATATCGTATGGGTATATTATTCTGATTTATGGGCAGTAGTTGAAACACAGGCTTAGATCTCTGTCCAGTCCAATTCAGAGCTGCGATCAGGCTCGCTGATAAAAGGCTTTGCTGGTCTGGAGACAACCTCCCCCTCAACCTGCTCCGTGACTTGTTCCGGTCGTGACTGGAGCCAGCAGACAGCAAGAGCCGACAACTGGCACTCCCTCATCTCAGGGCCGAAAGGCAAGGCAAGGCAAAGCAAGGCAAGGCACCGAGGTCAGTCAGCACAGGATGGGCCAAAAGGCAGACGGACAGACGGAGAGACATGAGGCCATCCCCAAGTGTCCGGGGTCGTCCTCCATCGCCGGAGGACATACGGAGTAGATAGATATAACCGGGCATATCATATCACATCAACAAACAGGGCGAACAAACGGAGAGCTCCCCTGCAGGATCGACATTCCAGACGGGGGGAGGGGGGGGGTCTGTCACGCATCCGGCAACCCAGCAAGTCGATGCATCGCATTCAGCGCCTGGCCGGGTGGGCACTCCTAAGAATAACTCGACTGGATCATTTCCTATGCGGCTGTCTGGGAGGAAAAACTGCGTCGAATCTTCGTTCCCCTGGAGAGAGGATTCGATGCATGACTTCCCGCTGCCCTAATAAGTAGGAGAAGTTGACAGGTCGGCTTTCGCGCTCTCCACCCCCCCCCCCCCCTCTTCACTGCTTGCTATACAGTACAGTCCCCATCCAAGGCTCCTCCTCTCTGCGTCAGCCAGGAGACCTGTGAAGAATCCATCCATCCACCCGTCCAATTCACGGCGCCGCAGCCAACAGCACCGGGATGCTCTGGGTGGCGGATCTCCATTCACTACGCCGCCATCCCACTAGACTAGACCAGACCAGACCAGACCTCTAGACCTATAGACTCGCCGTCATGCGCTCCCACGCCGTCTTCCCTCCACTCCTCACTCACCTGGAGGCTGAGAGAGACGCACATCAGCTGTTGCCGGGCGCGAGGATTGTTCCGCTGCTCTTTGGATCTTTCCTGTTCGGCTCCGAGGAGTGCGCCTCTGCTGCTGCTGCTTGTTGTTGTTTCTCTGCGGGGACCCCCAACGGTGCTTCTTACAAACAGACGTCAATTTCTCCTCACAGTACTTCGCACTTCCCCACAGGACCTCCCCATTTGCCTCTTCCTTCGTTAATCTGACAGTTCCTTCTGTCTCCCCTCCTGTTCCTTCGCCCCCAACTCTTTCCCCGGAAATGCCACGATGGTTCCGCCGGGAACTAATCGCCGGGCGATCCCAATCTGGACTTTGAGTTGAGCAATTCCACCGCCAGCATATTTCTGGGGGGCGTGCGACGATCGTGGATGTTGGATGCAGCCGCGCCCATCCCTTCGTCGCTCTCCGCCCACTCCCCCGCCACGGCAAACCCTTTCAGTAACCCTCCCCCCCATCCTGCTGCTGGGAGGGGAAAGGGGAGAGGAGACGGGGTGTGTGGTGGGAGTGATGGAGGTGATGGAAGCGATGGGTTGAACACTCCTCCACTCCGGACGCGTCGGACATCAGCGACTCGTGGGCCGCCCGTGTCAGCAGCGACGCCTCCGAGCCTGGACCACCCCCAGCACCAGCAGCAGCAGCAGCAGCCGCCGTCTGCCTCTGCCTCGCTCGACCACTCCTCCATCTCTTGTCCCCTCCCTCCCCCTCCCCCTGCCTCGGGTGTGATGGCTCAGTCCGACCCCATCCCGCTCCCTCGGAATCCAGCAGGCGAGGGGAATCATGGGAAGGACGCAACTCAACCGGCCGGTCTTCGACCCTCCGCGCCCGTCACCACCATCGCCTCAACCATCGCTTCCACCAACATCACCACCACCAACGCTCCCGCTCCAGCTGCCCTCCCCTCCCCCGACCCAAGCATCCCTTGCTCCCATACCAGTCCCGTCGGTGCCATCGATCGTCATGTTGTCTCTGGTCCCCCCGTCAGCGCCAGTCCCGCCGTGACGACCCTGCCCTCTCCGCCCAACGGGGGCACGCCGCCTATGCCCGCGCCAGCTCCTCCAGTACATGCGCCGCACACCGCGGGAGACTCTGTGGCCCCTGCCCCGTTGGCCGAGCCGGTCCAGGGATCCTGGTCCGGGCCCAGGAGTAGTCAATCGGACAATCCCACCACCATCCCCCTTCCGCCACGGCCCCTGCAACAACCATGCCCCGTGGCTCAAATGCCCGCCACGCGAGATCCCCGAGCGGGCCCACGGGCGTCTCCGGGCATGGCCGCGACAGTCACGCCAACACCCCAGCCGGCCATGCACACAGTTCCCATGCTGCAGGTGAACCAACAGCTCTTCAACCATTGGCGGGTGAGCCTGGAATCCTTTGCGTCGGGGGCCGGCCAGCTCATGAACATGTCGGAGGTTGTCGAGTCGCCGCGGATCCGGCTCATGCAGAGTTCGCTGATAGACGGCGACCCGGTCTTCCTAGCGATCCACCAGATGTATTGCCTGTCGTCGTTTGCGCCCTCGGAGCTCCGCAAACTCCCGGGGTTCGGTCCGGAGCAGGATAAAGGCCTGGCGGTGGTCAAGCAGCTACTGGTCGATAACCGTCGGCTGTCGGGGGATTTTCTGAAATGGTGTGTGCACTTCCCGGAGCCGTGGCACAACCTGGTGGGCTTTATCTGGTGGCGGAATGCGTTGGAGCAGATCATGAACTCGCTGGTGCTCCTCGCGCGGAACTGGGAGTCCTTCGAGCGCCTGACGGTGAAGCGCGGGCTCCCTCCGTTGGTCGAGGAGATTATCATGACGTTTTCTATCCGCTCTCACGCGTGGCAGTATATCATCTTCCTGGCCCTGTATCGACGGTTGCCCGGCGTGAGGGAGACCAACCTGTTCAGCATCTTCAATAAGGACGTCAAATACACCGACGATCGGCTGGATGGGCCCCGGCCCGTGTCGCCGGAGCGGGCCAGCACTGAACGGAACACCATCCTCTCCATGTATCACAAAGCGCTCGTGCCGCCCAGCAGCGACATTCACTCGCAGACTCCAGCCCCAGCTTCGGCGCCCCTCCCCGCTACCAAGCCGCCGCCGCCGCCAACAGTTCCGTCATCGATGCCGTATGACGCCAGAGTGAGTTCGCACCCTGCTATGGCCAGGAACGCTTCGCATCCAACCGTATCACACATGCCGGCGCAATATGCTCAAATATCCCCGTCGCCTGTCGGTACCCCCGTCCCCATGGCCTTTCATTCACAGCTCAGCGGAATGCATAGCACGCAATCACCGCACATGCCGGCGCATCAGCTTCAGGCCCTTCAGCAGGCCCACCCCGCGGGGAACATTCGCTCGGCCCTCTCGCGTCGGACCTCAAGCTCAGCGAGCAGTCCACATCAGATGGTCTTCCCTTCCCAACTGGCCTCTCCCCATCCAGCTCACGATCCCATGACACCCGCGTCGTCTGTTCCCGCGCCCGCTCCAGCTCCCGCTCTAGCGCCACCCGGGCAACGACGACGCGGGCGTCCACCCCGTGCCCAGACCCAGGCTCAGTTCCAAGCCCAGACCCAAGCTCAGAACCAATCCCAGGTCCAAGCTCAGATCCAAGCCCAGGCCCGAGCCCAGAATCAAGCGCCTAGAATGGCAACCGGATGGCAGACCCGGCAGGCGCCTCCCGCCCAAGCCTGGCCTCTATTGCTGCCTCCGCCGGGCCCGCTTCCGCCTCCCACTCGCCGACCCGATCCAATCCGCGACGGACTGCATGTGGCTCACCTGCGCGGTCCGATCAACCTGATGGTCGAGCAGGGCCCCAGCGGCGACAAAGAGGGCGAGCTCTATCACTCCCTGCATTCCTTCGCGGCAGCCCCCGTTGCTCTGGGCCAGTACGAATGCTCATTCCACTGGACCTTTGACATACCCAGGAAAGTCTTCGACCGTCTCCCGAAGGCGACCAAGGGAGAAGACCCATACAACCCAACGCGTACCCTCCGGCACGGCCACCTCCTGCTTCGCCTCCGCTCCGTCAAAGCCGATCCCGAGGCGCAGACCGTCGCAGAAGAGACCTGGTGCACTACCGAGACCACCTGGCCCAGCGTGATGTACGTTTTCCTCAACGATCAGGAGATGTTCGTCCGCCGCCGCCAGCATAACGGCAAAGACCTGCCCCTCGAACTCACCGAGGGCATCCAGGAAGGTCGCAACACCCTCACCATCCACCTCATCCGCAGCAACGCCGAAATGCGAGATGCACTCTACGCGATGGGCATCGAGATCATGAGCATCTTCGCTCTCGATCCCGGTCTTGCCGCGGCAAGAATCCTTCCCGCGGAAGAATCCCAGAAACAGATCCTCAAACGGATGACGCCCGACGCGGACGATGAAATCAGCATTGTCAGCGACGATCTGGCCATCAACCTCGTCGACCCGTTTACCGCCCGCATCTTTAACCGTCCGGCCCGCGGCCGCTTCTGCACGCACCAGGAGTGCTTCGACCACGAGACCTTCATCCGCACCCGGGCCTCGTTGTCCAAACGGCGCGTCCTGAAGGAGGACTGGTGGTGTCCGATCTGCAAGAAAGACGCGCGACCCCACACCCTCATCATCGACGGGTTCCTCGTTGCCGTGCACGAGTCGCTGAACCAGTCGGGCCAGCTGGACGGCGCGCGTGCCATCAGCGTGAAGCGCGACGGCTCCTGGACTCTGAAAACCGACGCCGACTCAATCCCCGAACCTGCCGTGGCCTCAGGCTCGGGCTCGACCTCCCAGTCCCCGCACATCTCAGCGCCCACCTCCCCAACTACATCTACGACTGGAAAGCGCAAGTCTACCGACCGCGTTCCCTCCGCGCCGCCTGCATCCCAGCGCCCCAAATTCGAGCGCATCGCCTCCGACATCGGGCTTGGGGCTGAGCCGATGGTCATTACCCTGGATTAGACAACCACCTCTACTCCTACCCCACCCTCACATAACCAGCCACTCATGCTTCATCACTTCTCCTCATTTCACTTCTGCATTCTGCCTGGAGCGTCCACAATACCAGCATCATCTTAGCGCTCCTCACGCCTTTACCGTTGTACTCTTCGCTTGTTTCTCCTCCTGCCCCTCCTCCTATCTCCCCGTTAGCTAGCTGGCGTTGCTTTCACCCTGTAGTATAAGATACCCGAATCCTGCGTGTTTCCAATTCAATTCGATTGGCTATGCCGTCTGTCCTTTTCTACATTCTCTTTTCTCTCTCCGCCTCTTCTTCTTCTTCTTCTTCCTTTTTCCTCTCCCGCCATTCGACAGTGCTGTATGGCGTGGAACGGCGTGGCACGGCGTGATTGATACATTACATCGTGCAGGCGCGTTGTAGATACAGCTAGGTGGCTGCACTAGCTGACTAGCTAACTAGCTAACTAGCTAACTAACCGACTTACTTACTGGCTTGGCTTAGTTTGGTGGTATCTTCTCTTCTCTTTTCTTTTTCTTTCTTCCTGATTCCCAAAAGCCTAGATTCCATCCTCTGCTCCACTGATCCGGACACACTGGACTGGGCGGGGCTGGGCTAGGCTGGGCGGAGCGGAGCGGGCCGGCTGTGCATAGTTAGTTAGTTATGCATCTGGATTTGTCATCTAGTTGTGCATAGTTAGTTAGTTAACTAGATGATTGACAATGGAAATCGAAATGAGAATGGATACTCCGATGGTTATGGTGCTGATTATCACTTCTTTCTCTTTCTCTTTCTCTTTCTACTGTGCAGTTTGGTTGTAGAGAGGGGTGGAAGAGGGGGTAGTAGGTGGGTGGGTGTACTATATGTTTTATTGTGAGTGGAGGTGGAGGTGGAGGGGTGGGTTAGATGGAACGTGCAGTGGTGGTTGGGATGTTATGTATAGGCGTAGGCGTAGAAGGAGGAGGAGGAGGAGGAGGAGGCATCTAACAGAGTAGAGAGAGAGGGTCTGATACTACTATTGGTGTGGTATGATGTTTGATGTAAACAACATACTTGGTACCTAGTAGATATATATATACTAAGTTACTTATATCTTTACCGCCGTGCTGCGATCGATCATACTTGAATTATCTACTGTAGTACGGGGTATATAGTATATATCTGTTACTCTTATTCATTCACTTATGTATTCACTCATTCATCTAGCATAATCAACAATGATACACCATCTATTAGCCAAGGGGAAAAAAAAAAGAAAAAAAAAAGAGAATTAAATATCCCTCTAAACCCAATATAAATCCACAACAGCAGCACAAAAGAAAAGACATGTAATCATTAATTAAATAATCATATTTATATCTATCGAGCCGGCCACTTCACTCACTTCTCACTTCCTCAATCCTCACTTCCTTATCACCACATCGCACATGTCAACGCTCCATATTTTTCATACCACACAATCCCTTCCACATCATCTACACCACCACCCCAAACATGCATGTATGTATAAAGACATACACCACACAACTCACTTCCTCACGCGTCTGGCATGACTAACCAAATTCTCAATAACGCCCTCAAACGCCTCCTTCTCACTAACCAGCCCATCTAACCTCTTCAACCAATACTCGAGCACGGAGCTCGCGCGCAACGTGACCGTCTCTAACTCCCCAACATGACCGCGCAGCTCCCCGTCCGTGAAACCCTCCAGCGCAGCATCAGTGGTCGTACAAAGTCTCCGGACGGAGGGGAGATCGAGGTCCGGTGGCGGGGAGGGTTCTCTGCGTCTGGTGGAGGTTCGCTTTGCGGCTGTGGAGGTGGGGTGGTTGGGGCCGGGACTGCTGGTGCTGTCGCGGTTGGCGGCGGTGCTTTGCGAGCGGGAGTGTGCGGGGTTGGTGTTCGTGGTGGGCGTGGAGGGGAGGTGGTGGTGGTGGTGGTCGTGGTCGGGGTTGACGGAGGGGAGGATGAGTTTCTTTTGTTTGGAGGCGGGGAGGATCTCGTCGAGGTCGACGGGGACGCCGAGCGAGACGAGGAAGAGGCGTCGGATGCGCGATTTTACCCAGTTTTGCGGCTGCAGGGGGGGTGGCGCCACGAGTTGGGACCAGAGGGAGAGGGAGCGCTCGGTGTTGAAGATGGCGGTGGGGTTGGGGATTGGGTCGAGGGGGGGCAGTGTTGCTGTGTCGGTTGTGCTGGGGAAGAGGCGGTCGAGGGGGGAAGCGAGGATTGATTGGAGGGAGGAGAGCGAGGGGATGGAGGAGAGGTCTAGGATGGGGGGCTGTGATGAGTTGGTCAGTATATGGGGTTTGGGTTTTGAGGGGATGCGTACGACTGAAGGGGGTGTGGGAGGCTGTGAGGCCTGGATGTCGGCTGGTTCGGCCTCTGCTGCCTCTGTCGGCTCTTCGAAGTCATCGTCGAAGTCGTCGAAGTCGCCAAAGTCGTCATCGTCATCGCCTGCTTGCTCCTCCCCAAAGTCGTCAAAGTCGTCCGCCGCGGGCGGGTCCGCTGCCTCCTCGTCTTCCTCCTCGTTCGCCTCGTCGTTCACTGATGGCTCCCGGCTGGCGTGACTTCGATGGCTTGATGGCGAATCTGAATTGGTCAATCGTCCCTGAAACCTATGTCGTAGATCAAGAGAAATGCGCGCTTACCTGGGGTGTCGGGGACGACGTGCGTCTGGTCTGGCTCGGCGTCACTTGGATTTGGCTGCTTGCTTTCGTCGGAGTCTACTCGAGACAGCACTGTCTCTGGGACCGATGGTTCGGTCTCGAAGGATCCCGGGATGGGGTCGGAGGTTGTAGTGTCGTCGGAGTCCGCGGCCGTCATCACCACATCCGGTACGGCGTCCGCCTTTCGAAGCTCGTATGCTGGGGTGCCAGGGACATCGCCGTGGCTCGGTTGGTCCAGGTCGACTTTCTCGACGACGGTCCGCGGGATGGGCGAGTTCGGCGTCAGCGGCCGCTGCTGCTCCGTAGCTGACGCACTCCGGCTGCGCGAGCCCTCCGGAATCACTTCAATCTGGTCGGGCACCGCATCCTGCTCGCGAACCTCGTATGCCGCTGTGCCGGGCACTTCGCCGTGGGAGGGATCCTCGTCGACCTTCTCGACTCGGGTTAAGGGGATAGGGGAGGCGCGGCCGGACGGGGGCTGGGACGGGGCGCGCTCGTGGCCCTCGCTGGCATCGGAGAAGTGTTCGTCGTCGCTGTTAGTCGCTGGGGCTGGGAGGTCAGTGGACGGTCGATGGCGATGCTGCGAGGTCGAGGCTGGTGCTCACCGGAATCGTGGGCCCGGGGGTCTTCCAAGTCCACGCTCGTCCTCGGGGGCTCCAAGTAGGGACTGGAGGGGCGGGATAGCCGTTCCGACATCAGGATAAATTGGTGTTCCAGGTGTAGATCATGCAGGCGGGGATGCAGGGGTCCGTGAGAGAGTCAGAGGCCGACGAGCGACGGCAGAAATGGCAATGAAACGGGGGGATGTTGTTGTCCTTCTGATCGCCGGTTCGAGGCGAGTCTGGGCCGCGCCTGAGGCAGACCCGGGCACGCCACCTCGCTGCCTTACTGCCTTACTGCCTTTCTGCCTGACTGCCTGACTGCCTGACCGCCTTTCTGCCTGACCACCTGCATGCCGGCTGCCTGAGGTTCTCCCAGCCGCCAGCCGCGCCAAGCGCGAGCCCGGCGAAGAAGATCAACCGACTTCAATACATTCAACATTCATTCATTCCAGTCCATCCAGCAGCCCGTCGGTCAATTGATTGTGTCTGCCCGCGTGTTGGACAAGCTCGGCGCGACTTACAGCTCAGTCCCAATTGCTTCCCTCGTTTCCCACCGCCTCTCATCCCCGGGCGCAGTAAGTTTAGGCCCTCACTCACTTCTCCTCACCCGTCCTCGGAACTGACTCTTTTTTCTCTCCTCCAGGGCAGCCCTGTCGGTTCCTGTCGTCCTGCACCTCCCCCCCTCCCCCACCATCCACAATCATGTCCAACCCCTTCTCCTTCGGCACAGCTGGCGCGTCCAAACCGAGCCCGTTCGGATCTGCCGGCGCGACCTCTGGATCGAGCGCTGCCCCGGGCGCGCTGTTTGGAAATGTAGCGGCTCCGGCGAGTGGCACCTCCTCGCCTTTGTTTGGCGGCGCCGGGGCCAGTGGTACAACCGGCTTCAGCTTTGGCGCTCAGAACCAGTCTGGAGCCGCCGGTCAGACTACGCCCCTGTTCGGTGGCAACTCATCACAAACCCCCAACAAGAGCGAAGCTACACCTGGCTCGGCACCGACAGCCACTAGCGGGCTCTTTGGGAATGCCTCGAATCCTACCGGAGGGCTCTTTGGCAATGCCACCTCCACCCCTGGTCAGACTGGAGGTTCTTTGTTCGGCGGCGCCTCATCCACCACGCCCGCTGGTCCTCCCCCGGCCGGGGCGTCTGGCCAGGCGCAACCGCTGTTTGGCCAGGCGGCACAAAAGCCTGGGGGTCTCTTCGGAAACCTGAACTCGAAGACTCCTGCCACCACCTCATCGACTCCACCCTCCTCCATGACCACCACCGCCCCATCTACCACTCCGTCCCTGTTCCCTGCTGCGCAGCAGCCATCCGGGGGTGGCCTTTTCGGATCGACCACGCCGCAGACCACCTTTGGATCCAACCCGACGCCGGCCGCAGGGGGTAGTCTTTTCCCGAATACCAACCAAGCTGCTGCCCCGAGCACCACTACCAATGGACCTAGCACTCTCTTCGGACAGGCCCCTGCGCCGGCAGGTTCCTCTTCGGCGATAGGAAGCGGAGCCGCGCAGACGTCTTCTCTTTTCAAGGCGCCGTCATCTGGAGCCGATGCCACCAAGCCCGCTTTCTCGTTAACCCCCCAACCCGCTACCACCCCGGCTGCTTCGGCCGCGGCCCCACAAAAGTCTCTCTTCCCAACCCTCGGGGCAACCACTTCATCGGCGACCCCGTCGTCAACACCTGCCCCGGCCGGGGGGTTGTTTGCCGGACTCGGTGCTGCTAAGCCCGCGGCCACCACAGCTCCCGCGGCCCCTGCAGCTTCCGCAGCGCCGGCCGCCCCTGCCGCTGGAGGATTATTCGGTGCTAAGCCTGCGGCGAGCACCCCGTCTACACAGCCTGCCAGCGCTGCTCCCACGGCCCCCACCACCACGGCCAGCGACAAGCCCACGATGTCCGCGACCCCCGGCGCCACGACAACCACTACAGGCACCACCGCGACCACCGCGACGGGCGGCATCGGGCTCGGCGCATCCACCGCGGGCCCGACTCCCCCGGCGCAGTCCCGCCTCAAGAACAAGACCATGGACGAGATCATCACCCGGTGGGCCACCGATCTGACCAAGTACCAGAAGGACTTCCGCGACCAGGCCGAGAAGGTAGCGGAATGGGACCGGATGCTAGTGGAGAACGGCACCAAGGTGCAGAAGCTGTACGGTAGCACAGTGGACGCAGAGCGGGCAACCCAGGAAGTCGAACGCCAGCTGGCGTCCGTCGAGGGCCAGCAGGAAGAGCTCGCCTCGTGGCTGGACCGGTACGAGCGCGAGGTCGATGAGATGATGTCCAAGCAAGTGGGACCGGGCGAGACCCTCCAGGGACCGGACCAGGAGCGCGAGAGAACGTATGCCGTCTTCCCCCCTCACCTTCCCTTCATAACAAACAAACAAGCATGTCGCTGACCAGACCAGATACAAATCGGCCGAGAAGCTCTCCGAGCGTCTAGACGAGATGGGCAAGGATCTAGCCAGCATGATCGAAGAAGTCAACAGCGCGTCGTCAACCCTGAGCAAGACCAACAAGGCCGACGAACCGGTGCGTAACCTCTTCCATTCCCTATCCTTCTCCATCGCCATACTAACTATCATTCTCCTATCAGATCTCCCAAATCGTCCGCATCCTCAACACCCACCTCGCGCAGCTGCAGGTCATCGACCAAGGCACCAGCGAGCTGCAAGCCAAGGTCACCGCCGCGCAGAAGGCCGGGCAGTCGCTGTCGTCGCGCTTCGGCTACGGCCTCGGCGGCTCCACCATGGGCGGCAGCGCGGCGGACGATTTCTACCGTTCTTACATGGGACGACGATAGATGATGTAACTAACTAACTAGTAAACGCAAACTTGAGATCCGGGATGGTTTCATCAGGATTGGCCTTTTTTTTTTTTTTTTCTTCTTCTGTTTGTGTTTCATTCATCGTTGGGAGTGGAGTCCGTACTGGGAAAATAATGATACTCGGCTTGAATGGAATGTGGATTACCGGGCTGTGTTTGCTCCTGTTCAAGTTCATGTAGAATTAGAAGGAAGGAATTGGGGGAGGAGAGAAGAGAGAAGAGAGTACGTGGTAGATTACACGAATGCTTCCGGTAGATTGGTAGATATGTAGGTGTAGGTTGTAGGTATGTAGGTAGAGCTAAACCAGCAACGTAGGTAGGCATGTAGGTAGGAAGGAAGTAGGTAGATAGGTAGGTATTAACATCATCTCATCCGATCGCAACTCAACGAGCCACGCTGGATTGGATTGGATTGGATTGGAATCATATCAGATCGGATACGCTCAAGCGTAGATAAAAAGGTCACGTCGTAGACAGGTAGACAATTCAAATTAGTTCTGCTCCCCGCCCTGGTTCTTGGTGAAGTCCTCACTGAACAAATATTCTCATTAGCCATTTTCATTATTTTTTCCCCCAATCAAGCAATCAAACGATCAAACAACAAGAGCAAATATAGTAAAGAGATGAGGGAGAAAGACATACATGTGCTTGTCCAGCTCGTCCAGGTGCTTGCGCTGCTCGGCGACCTTGGCTTTTAGCGCGCGGAGTCTGATGATGGCGGGTTAGTTAGTTTTTGTTTGTCTGTTTGTCTGTATGGCTGACTGGCTGTCTTTCTGCTAATTGCTTTTGGGGTTCTTTGTCTGTTGTTGGATGGGGTGGTATGAGGGGGATGGATGGGGAAGGCACGCACTTCTGGAGCTCCTTCTCGTGGACGTAGAGGTTCTCCTGGGCGGCTTCGCGCTTGGTGAAGGAATCGCTGGTTGAAGAGTGGTTAGTTAGGTTATAGCTAGTAGAGGTGGTAGAAGGTAGGTGGAGGTGAGGTTGGGAGTGTTGATGATGATGATGATGATGATGTCATTTGGGCTATATCGACTGGAGTGATGGAAGGGAAATGTGTAGAGAGTCTCTAGACTCTGAGAAGGGAAGTGAGATGAGGGGATAGAATAGCAACATACGATTGAGCAGCGCCTCCGGCCCGGGGAGCGCCGGTATCGCCAGCACCCATTCTGGGAGTGAGAGCTGAGAAGGACCGGGTGAGGAGGAGTCGGTTGGCAGTGGTGACGGGTCTGGTGATGGATTGGCGGAGCATGGTGAGGGTGGTGGTGGTGGTGATGGATGAGGGGTAGGTGGTAGTTGGATGGTAGAAGGGTGGTGAGTTGAGTTTGAAGATGGAAGTTAAGAGTAAGGTACGTAGCTACGTCGGTGGTAGGCTGGCAGCCTTAAGGTACTTGTAGTCGGTTGCAGTGGCATGTTACCTAAGGAAGATCGAGACCGGGGGGCATGACGACATGGTTGGACTGGAGCGTGGCTTGGCTGATCATGTGATAGTACTCCGTAATGAAGTAACTGAGGAAGTGAGTCAGCGGGGTCAGGTGAGCGTCTTAGTCATTGTGATGGATTCACCGCGTCGGATCCGGAATTACGAGATGGCGGCCGTGGCTGTTGGGGTTGTTGAGGACGACAGGATTAATGATGATCCATGACTTCGTGCAGTACTTCCTTTGTACCTCAGGCAGCAGTAGAACTATCTCGTACTTCTTGCTGATGTGATCCAGTCCAGCCGTGATGTATCTACTCTCTACTCCGTACGCGCTGGGCTCTCGGGAACAGACATACTTCTAGGCTCTCAAGGTGAACTCCCGTCCAGCCGATCCCTGAATGGCATGCCGAATGACGACGGGCAATAGTTAATTATAGGCAGGATCGCCTGCCTCCCAATCAATATTCAATCAATAGTCGCACCAGCCCATTATTTCCCCCGAGGTTCCAGAAGGAATCAGGAATCACCCCCCCCCCTTTGACCCAGTTGCCGTCAATAATAATACTAATACTAATACTAATACATCCTTAGAGACCTGTTCGTCGCCCGCCGTCTGCTTCGGCGACGGTCTGGGATCACTGCGGCAGACGGGACGATTGGCGGGAGTGAAATAGGGATGACGATGGAGGCCCACCGAGCCACACACACAGGGCGACAGAGGAGGCTGTCACGAATTCGATTTGGGATTCAGGAGAAGCGCCGGATTCTAGATACCTAGATAATAGAGGGAGGAGGATTGTGGTGTCTGTACTCCGTATACTTCTGTACAGTATGTACATTTCCAGTACGGATCGATGCCTTGCTTGCGGGCCGCCACCAGAGAGATCTTCTCCGGGTGGTGTCATCGCCAAAGACTCACTCTTCCGACTAAGTGCTTCTGTCTGGTTCTCTCCGTCTCTACTCCGTACCCCGTGAAATAAATGCCAGGAAACCGTGGGAGGGCCGAGAATTACGGTTAGGTCACGGTATGGCGGACCAGGGCGATGGTGGGGGGCGGTGCAGCCGGGTGCCGTACGATACGGTTATGGCGTAGTAGACTATGGGGGAGAGGTAGGTATTAGGAGAGGCAATGGGAGGGACACTCCAGCCAGCCAGCCAGCCAGCAGCCAGCAGGCAGTCTGGCCTGCCTGCCTGCCTGCTTCTAAGGGAGAAGGAGGAGGAGGAGGAGGAGGATGATGATGATACTGATGATGATGCTGTCGTTTGTTGGAGAGGGATGATTCCTGGCCACTAGACGTCTAGACTACTAGTAGAATGGAGATAGTAGGAGTCGTGGTCGGCCTCCCCTTTCTGGTCGAATTCCCCCCTTCCGGCTGGGCCATTAATTGCTGCTCCCCTCCTTCCCTCGTCTTCCTTCCCCTCTCCCCTCTCTCCTCCTACTAAACCTCCTCCACTGCAACCTGGGCCCATCTTGACTACTGCCTTCTCTCTCTCTTCTCTCTCTCTCTCTCTCTCTCTTCTCTCCTTCCCTCCCTCTCTCATCACCACCACTTCTGCTTACTGCCACTCTTCCTTCCACTCACCTTCACCTTAACTCATTCACCAGTCAGTACAGTACCAACCCAATCCTTTCCCCCCCCCTCCCCAACCAACTAACCGACCCATTCTCTTCCTGCCTTTCCACTTCTCCTCTCCTCTCCTCTCCCACTTCTCTTCCCCTCCCCCTGCTTAAGTCATATTCCACCCACCCCCCCATTCCTTAATTAAAAAAAAAACGAAAGGGAAAACAAAAAGACAGCCTCACCCCCAATCCCCAACTTTTCTTGCCAAACAAATTACCCGCCTTTTGCATCCTCTCCTTTTCAATTCCTTCTAACCCTCGCTCTTGCCATCCTCCAGACCATACCAACTCCTATCTGCTGCTTCATCTCAGGTGAGCCTCTTCTGTGATCTGCTTATCCCGTTCCCCTACCGTCGTCATCTTCCCCTCCGTCTTCCATACTCTTCCAATTCCCTTCCACCCCTCCAGCGTCATCCACCACTACCCCGTCACTCCCGCCGGTACCTCCGATCGCAAGTGACCGCCCGTTCGCATCGGGCGGCTCTGCAAGTCGGGCCACGACCCTGGACGGGGTTGCGCGGTAAATGGCTGCCTCTGCCTGGATGTTTTCCCCTCCTCTCTTCATGGGCGCCCGTCTAGACTACGCTCGATCGCGAACACAGCAGCCAGTCCACGGCTAGCCGAGTGACGGCCGCATACGACCACGACCACGACCACCAATCCCGCGATCGTCGCAGTACATCCTGGTCGGGGATGTGGGTGATCAGGGGTCGTGAGGGCGCGGGCGAAGACGACCGGATTTTGGTTCTATCTGATTTGGTCGTCGGAATACGTATGACGAGCTGGCCCGGGAAACAGGGAAAAGGAGGGGAGGGCGTTTATCGCTTTCGTGTTCCTTGCACCACTTGACTTCACAGCCTCACTTTTACCCTGTGACTGCCTGCCCCTCGCTTCTGCACTATCGATTCCTCGTCCTGTGTGGCGCTCCCCAGTTCCCCCAACTCTTCATCCCGACATCTATTTATAAGTGTTGACTCCCCACTAACCTCTGCTTTCCTGTCTAGATAATCATTCACAATGGGTCACGAAGATGCTGTCTACCTCGCCAAGCTCGCCGAGCAGGCTGAGCGCTACGAAGGTGCGTCGTCCTGCCCGACCGCTGATCTCCCATATTAACGACGTCTTCCACAGAGATGGTTGAGAACATGAAGGTCGTCGCCTCCGCCAATGTCGAGCTCACCGTCGAGGAGCGGAATCTCCTGTCTGTTGCCTACAAGAACGTCATCGGTGCCCGTCGTGCGTCCTGGAGAATCGTCACCTCCATCGAGCAAAAAGAAGAGTCCAAGGGCAACGAGTCCCAGGTCACCCTCATTAAGGAGTACCGTCAGAAGATCGAGGCCGAGCTTGCCAAGATCTGCGATGACATCCTCGAGGTTCTCGACCAGCACCTGATCCCCTCTGCCCAGAGCGGCGAGTCCAAGGTCTTCTACCACAAGATGTGCGTTCGCGTCCTGTCTGTTCCCGATGCGATCGCGACCGGTACTGATGACATCTGCTCTCTAACAGGAAGGGTGACTACCACCGTTATCTCGCCGAGTTCGCCGTTGGCGACCGCCGCAAGGGTGCCGCCGACGCCTCCCTCGAGGCCTACAAGAGCGCGACCGAAGTCGCCCAAACCGACCTTGCCCCCACCCACCCCATCCGTCTCGGCCTGGCCCTGAACTTCTCCGTTTTCTACTATGAGATCCTCAACTCCCCCGACCAGGCCTGCCACCTGGCCAAGCTCGCTTTCGACGATGCTATTGCCGGTATGTGTGGCGGCTGAAACTATGTCGGATTCGGCTAACGTATGTCGCAGAGCTTGACACCCTGAGCGAGGAGAGCTACAAGGACTCCACCCTGATTATGCAGCTCCTCAGAGATAACCTGGTAAGCTGGAGTGTTCGATTTGGACATGGACTCCGCTAACCCCCTCTAGACGCTCTGGACCTCATCCGAGGCTGAGCCCGCCGCCGAGCCGAGCGCCCCCGCTGCCGACAAGAAGGACGAGGAGGCCCCGGCTGCCGAGGGTGAGAAGCCCGCTGAGTAAATTTAGTAAAGATGAAGGACTCGCGTCCGGGCCCGGATAGAGTCGGCGGGCCGACAGCTGGATCTTAGACTAAGGGCCCGGGGAGGATAAGAGTGGGATCTCGTGCGCACGTCTGGTTCGCATCGTCTTGACGCGTTGGCTTCTGCCGACACCAGGCGTGACGCTACGAGTCACATTCCTTTCGCCCTCGACAAGTCCTTCGGGTGTTCCTGACACCGCCAGTGGTCCGGCCCGGTCTCTATCCGCGGTTTTCCGATTCTCGTTTGATTTCTTTTTACATCTTTATTGTCACATTTTTGCCTATTGTCGCAATTCCCCAAAGAATACCTTTCCCTTACCACCCGCACTCCGCACTAGTCAAGTCAACCCACCCGGGCATGGCTGCTGTCCCGACTGTCTTGGTTTCCCGCTGTGCCACGTATGGCGTTTGTTTGTCGCCTTAGCTGAGTTTAGATCTGAAGCCTGGCTGGCTCAAGAAACTGAAATTATGAACTATGGACGGACTGTAGATGACAAGTACATACGGCACGCACGACTTCAGGAGAAAAGTACCGCGTTCGAATGGAATTAGATCCCACAAGACTTCCATGCTGGATACGTAACAGGACCTTAGCATTTACTCGAATGTGACCAAGTTAGTCTACTTCAATAGTTTACAACGCTGTGATTGACTTCCGCTAGACAGATGAACTTTTGTTGTATCCCAAGTGATTGACACCCACACCCACCCACACTCGATAGTACATACTATACATCCATCCATCCATCCATCCATCCATCCATCCATCCATCCATCCATCCATCGGCCAGTCCTTTCCAAACAGAACCATACACAAATAAAACAGGACCATCATACACATAGGTAGGTACCTACGACAGGACATGTAAAGTTCCTGTAGATTGTAAATTCATCTGATCTCTCCGACCTTTCTTCTTACCAGTCATTTATCCCATATCGATGTATATATACTTTTTAGGTAGGTAGGTTGTTAGGTAGGTTGTTAGGTAGGTAAGGTAGATTGTTAGGGAGATATCATGCTCATGCTCATGCTCATGCTCATGCTCATGATCTGAACACCATTTCGGCGTAAGGCCTAGCCTGACAGACACAGACACAGACACTTGACACTTGGTTGACTGAATACCTGACCAATAGTTACATCACATCACACTATACCATACCATACTATACCATAACTATGCCTATTCTTATTTGCTTGGATAAGTAGTCTGGCTTTAACATACATACATACACATACACACACCCAACCTCCCTGTAGATAGATGGATAGATGGATAGATGGATAGATGGATAGATGGATAGATGGATAGATGGATAGATGGATAGATACTATATCTTAGTAGAGATAAATAGAGGTACTATCGACCGGGATTACGGATTATATCTTATGTATGTATATATGTAGGTATATATGTATAAGACAGGGACGGGATAAGATGGGACAGGATGAGATTTAATAGGCAGGTATAGTTATAATTATAGTTGTGTAGTACAGTATGCTACAGTGCAGTGCAGTGTAGTGCAGGTCAACTTGCCCACATTTGTCGGTGTTAGATGTATACTTATAATGCCTATTCTTTCTCCCATTCCCTAGGGCTATGTGTCAACAAGGATAGAGAATGGGGATATATCCCACTCTTGGTCTTCTCTTCCATACTATGTACGCACGTACATGTATAAAGAGTCGTCATTGAGATTGATGGTGGGTAGTAGGTAGTAGGTATTAGGTATTAGGTTTTAGGTATCATTTTGAGAGAAAGAGAGAGAGAGAGAAAGAGAGAGAGAGAGAGAGAGGCATGTCGGGGCTTTGAGACAGATAGATGGATGGATGGGTAGACAGGTAGGTGGCATAGGCCTCAGACGATTCATCGGATTATGAATCTGAGAGGGGAGAGAGAGGCGGTTTTCAATCCATCCATCCATCCATCCATCCATCTTGAGTCATATCAAAAAGAAGCAAGCTTTCGAAATCTCCTTCCCAGCGTCAATTGTAAGATTTCTTTTTTTTATTTTTTCTTCTTTTCTTTCTGTTAGCTTTATTATCATCCCATAGCAACTCCGGGAACTTGGAATGTTAGTTAGAGGGTTGAAGGTTAGATAATGTGGTTTTACTGAAAGCAAAAAGAAAGAAAGAAATAAAGGAAGGAAGTCAATTCAGCAGAACTGTCTACCTTCTTTCCAGGGAATGGAAATAGAAAAATTGAAACCCCCATCAGGAAGCCAGACATGGGGCAGGGAGGTGCTATGGCCGGTTTTACTATGGCTTCTCCACTGAGGGGATGTGGTTAGTTCGCACTTCTAACCGTGCTGAGTGCTTGCTCTAACACTTTTTTGAAGTTGTGTAGGCATTTCATGATCCATATCCATAAGATTTTAGGATTATGTTGCATGCAGCTCATCTGCCATGGAATAGGATTATCAACTGGGGACTTGGGAGTACAGACGGGCTCGGGAGCTGGAGTGAGGTGGAGTTGGAGTTGGAATTTGGATCCTGGTGGTGGTGTGGTGTTGTGTTGGGTTGGTTTGAATATCTGGTTCGCTCTTTCTCTTTTCTTCCGATAGTGTCGTCAAAGTTATATCGATATGGGATAGTGAGGACTCGTAATCATTGCGGAAGTCAGGGTCGAATGTAGATATTGCTGACATATAAGGACGCAGGATAGATATCTGGGACTGGGAGGAAGTATAAATAAGTAAATAGTGATTAAGTATGTAAGTGAGTGAATAATTCAGTAAGTAGATAAATAGATGATATATAGCCCTCAAGCTGAAATCAAAATATTGTACCGGTAGTCATTTCATGACTACTCACCTAGTTCTAGTTAATGACTCCAATAAACCTAACTGCTGTTGGATGGATTGGATATCTTATCCCTCAGTAGGAAAGACGGGGGGTTATATTGAATACTCCCTTAGATGAATGATCCATGACGGGTTTCCTTCTCTGTAAACATGAGAAGAAAAAGACCACCCGCTGGTCTTTACACTCGGGAGTTGGAGCGAAGAAAAGCAGTTGTGACTGGGGTGTCTGTCTGAGCCGGCGTACATGGTACTCAGATCAGTTAAAGAGGAGGAAAGATGCGGTGTCAAATATGCTGCAGTTAGACTTGTCTGTGTATGAGTGTGGGTGGGATCTTAGAGTTGTTTGTGATGGATGATGAAAGAGTGAAGTAGTAAGTAGTAAGTGATGGAGCTATACTCACCGAGTCTGTCTGTTAGTCAGTCACCAACCTGCAGCAAGAATTAGTCCAAGTCGGAATATAATATCATCTTCACTGCTGCTGTAGCCATCAAATGCTGTGTGTGAATGAGATTAAAGTCCCATATCCTCTTCTATTTCTTGAGAGACAGATGCCATCAACCAGCATTCCCAGAGGATCGTATTAGACAGTGCATCTCTCCGAGAACCTGCTCATACCGCGGACACACGACCGAAACATCGCAAATCGAACATCTTCAGCCAGGATTAGGGATAATTGAGGCTCTTTGGTACAGTGATACCCCATCCTTGTACCTGGATCCGTGGATGCTGTGTCGAGACAAACCAGAAGACCAGAAGACCAGCAGACCAGAAAGAAGAGACTCCGCAGCTGCCGAAACAAGAAATGGCCGGTCATCCCGAATAGGAAAGAACCATCAGCACGAACCGATTGCTATGTTAAGCATCATGTCAACTACTTACTTACTTTGTATCATTCACTCTCCCTGACATCACCACTCTAAAACACGAGTTCCCCCCCGGAAGACCCCCAAATCAACACATCATCACCCTCGATATCCCATTCTAACTGGCGGGAAGTAATCACACCATTTACATTTATCTTGACTTTATATATTGAGCATCTACCAAGCCAAGCCAAGCAAAACCGTGAACCCACAGTTCACCACATGTCATCACACCCACCAAGTTCTCCACCGAAGAATGCAAAAGAAGAAGAAGTCTAACAACCACCGGGCAGGGTCGGATATACCCGCGTCTATGATTCGGCAGAGAATTCCTCCCGAGAGCTGGTTTCACGGGCCAAAGCGAATCCGAAACCGGTTTTGGAGGGGAGGGTTCCGAGTTGGACCAGATGTCTATCTGGCTGGTGGATACATAATATGATATGATGATGGTGATTGTAATCAGCCATCGTGTTTGTGTTTGTGTTTGTTTTGGTTGGGGTTTTACCGGATTTCACTCCCTGCTTGACTCTTTTCAACGTCTAGTATACTCTTATTCTCTTTTGGTAGGTAGGTATCGAGAGTATCGAGGTACCGAGGTATCTATCTACCCAGGATATGCAAGCCAGCCAGTCATTCAATTGGAAAAAACATCACAAGGTTCAGCTCGGATCGCCGCGTACCTCGGTATGAGTAGATGGATGAATGGACGGATGAATGGTTCCGAGGGGGGGAAAGTATAACTCTGATTTCATTGTATACACCGTGCTGTGCTGCATGTATACCTTGGGTTTCAGAGCAGTACAACTTCTACCTACTACCTACCTACCAACATACATGCATACATCCTACTCCCTCTTCAATGACACATCAACCCACTCAATCCACTTCCTCAAAAGGAAACAAATTGGACAACCCACCCGCATCGTTCTTACAGGCATATTACTTTCCAACCAAGTCTGGTCTGGGGATATACGATGACGTCAGTACTCCCCTACCCTCCGGGGAGAAACAAAATTCACAGATGGTTTGGCAAGAGTATACTCTGAATGTCATCAGATCGATCTTATTTTAGATCCTGGGATCCTTGTCGTTGCTGCCTTGTTTTAGCTGTAGATTCACCCGGGAGCTGAAATTAATTTCCCAATTTCCCACGGGTGATTGAGTATACAGAGGGATATTGTCTCATGATACAAAACAGAGATGAAAGAAGGAAGAAAAAAAAAAGATATTTTGCTTTATACTGAGATAATAAGCACATCTTAATTTCATCCCACCCCATCCCATCTCATCCCATTCATTGACTGAGGTGGTACTCGGTGAATAATTAGTAGTTAGTAGTTAGTAGTTAGTAGTTAGTCGTTAGACTATCTAACTACTACACTTTCTTTGTCTTTGTCCCGGCCCAGACTAGACAGGGCAACGCCAACAGGGCAACAGGGCAAAGAACCTTCCCTCGATACCTACCTACCTACTCCTACCTAGAAAACCCAAGAAAGCCCCAGCCCAGCTACGTACCTAGATAGATAGATAGATAGATAGACAGATAGAGAGATAGATGAAACCTAGCGCTGTATCACATATAAAATCCCCTCGCCTTTTCTAGATATGTAAGTATGCACAGTGACACCCAGAATATTATTATTACCTACGACCTAGTATTAGCTAGGTAAGTAAGTACTTAGATCATGTGTGTGTGTGTGTATGTGTGTGTGTGCTCAGACCAAGTCCGAACATTCCCTTCCTCCCCCTTACCCTTCCCCCCCTAAATGAGTAATAAAACGACCAAGGACTAGAATGGGAAATTGGGGACCCCGAAAGTATAACTCGTACTTTTGGATGGATGGGGCTGTTTGTCTATTTACATACTCGTGAGGTATCTATCTATCTGTCTGTCTGTCTGTCTGTTTGTCTGTCATTCATAACCAAATAAATAAAAGTCTAATGCGGTACTGTACTTTGTACTTTGTACTTAACACTCAAGTGACAGGTGTTGATGTCTGAAGACTGATAGATGGATCTACCTACCTACCTATCTACCAACTCCATACCCAGGTAAAATACCACGCAGATGCAGATTGCCAGATATGTACAATGTATGTATACCTACCTACGGAGTACCTACAGTACATCCGTACTCCCTACTCCCCACAGCGAAATAAAGAATATAAACGCGCCAGTGGAGACGGTACTTATGTTGATGTCCATGTTGCAGCGCCTGTAAAGAAAGAGAATTCGTTAGCGCTGGGGATGGGTGTGTGTGTGTGTGTGTGTGTGTGTGTGTGTGTGTGTGTGTGTTAAGAATTAACTGATTATTGGTTGGGTGGGTGGGTGGGTGGGTGAGTGGGCAGAACCGGTAGAAGTACATCCATCCATTCATCCATCCATCCATCTGTCAGGTACGGAAAAGTAAAAAAAAAAAGAAAAGAAAAGTAAAAAGTAAAACAAAACAAAAAAAAAGACAAGAAAATGACCAGGGTGAAAGGGAAAAAAAAAAAAAAAAGTACCGATGACTGGGCCGGGGTCTGGATTGAGGGATGGATGATGGGTAGATAGATAGATGTGATAGGTATGAAACATCCTGGGGTGGTGAGAGACATCCTAGTCCCGGACAGGGTTTAATTCGAGGGAAATCATCCTTCAGGGATGGATTCCGGATGGAAGAACTAAGAAGACCACCCAATTAGTCGGGTGGGGCTGGCTGGCTGGCTGGCCACAGATACGGCTACAGATACGGCTACAGCTACAGCTACACCTACAACTACAAGGCACGCAGTTCAACAATTTTGTTCTCATTTAATGTATCAACCGCTCGCTTCTGGGTATGGTAAGCAAATGTCTTCAGAGCCAAACGAAAATCAAACCAAGTCGAATCCGAATCGTCAGACCGGGACGATTCCAATGTACATGTTGATGGTGGTGGTGGTGGTGGTGGTAAGGGATGAGGGTGAAGGGTAGAGGTAGAGCAAAGGGTAAGTCAGAGAGATGGAGGAAGAAGATATAGATGTTGGTGACAAGTATGGCGACGGAAAGGCGGTGGTGACGAGGATATATGGGGGTGGGGTGAGGAGGAGAATGAGGATAATGAAAACCACATGAGGATTGGCTGCTCCGTGAAAATGCTTCCCGCCTTTTTGCAGACCTGTGAAAACAAATGCGCCCAGTGCGGTTCCAGTATCAGAAAGAAAAGAAAAAACAACACAGCAAGTCTAGTTGACAATCCCAGTCAAGTGTCCCAACGCCGCGCGTGCTATGCCAATACACAAAGCCTCCGGTATGATATGACAGATAGGAAAGAAAGAGGAAAGAAAAGAAAAAGAGAAAAAGGGGGAAAAAAAGGAACATGGGAATATGAACAGAAGAAGGTGGACAGATCCCGGGGTTGTCTATGCCCGACGGCAGCACGACCAATTCCAATCGCGCGCCGGATCGCTGCCAAGACGGTAGGCGTCGATCAGACTCCCTGGAAACACCCGGAATGTATGGATGATGTCACGACGGCCCCCGGATTCCCCTTCGCATCATCGAGCATGTATCATGCGCCGACCCAGAAAGCGGAAAACCGAGTACCGCGGAAAGATTAATGAGTGGGTGAAAGTCCGGGGGGGTCGTCATGATCGACCGCCCGTGTCCCGTTGCACGATCAAGTCCGTCCAGAGTAAAACGAATCGAAAAGAGGTGTGTCGATTTGGCCAAATCCGAACCCCCCGGGGCCACCCAGGGTGGTACGAGGGTCCCACCTGATGAAGCCGCAGATGTCATTCCCGATCCTCAAAAAAGACTCTGATTTTCTGCGTGTAAACCGGGGGTCGTATCGCTGCCGAGTGCGCTGTCCCATTCCGTAATCTGCGACGCACCCGCATAGCCAGGCGAGGAATGTGGCATCGTCGGAAACGAAATTTCATGAACTGAAGGGTAAAGATGTATCGTAGAGGCCGAATCTCGTGCGTCCGACCTTATCGCCCGCGTTCTTCCCAGACAGCGGATTTCCGACCGTTGCCTGTCCCAAACCGCCGGGAGAGTGATACGGCGTCGTAGCTATTTCTGCGCCTTTTTGACCTTGGTGCTACTCCTCGTCATCTCGCTTTTGGTCATGTTGCGGGTCAATCCACCAATGTAGTCTTGCAGGAAACGGTTCTCGCTTTCGAGCTTGTCGTGATCCGATTTGACGGCTTCGATGCGTTCGGCGAGCGCCTGGAGGGACGACTGGAGGGCCTTGGCTTGTCTGTCATATCAGAAAAAAAAATCACACGTTAGCATATCTGGCTCGATGGCGCAGCTAGTCCTGCGAGCGTGGAATCCGGCGGCGACTCACTCCTGTAGTGTCTGCCTCGCTTCCTTGCCCAGTCGTTCCAGATCGGCGGAGTTGCGTCGGGGACTCATGGCGCGCGCGTCGTCCGGCGGGAATTCTTCTTCTTCTATTTCGATTTCGGGGTGATCTCGAGGCACAAGTATCGAAGCACTCGGTTTCCGACTGGCCATGCGAGGTCTCTCGGAGCGACCTCTGCGTTCGGTTTCGGCGTCTGAGATGGAGGAGGATGAGGAGAGAGAGGACATATGCGAGCGACCGTTGTCGTTGGGTTGGGGGAGGGTCGGCACAGGAGAAGAACCGTGCACATCTGACTCTGACGCCATGGTTGTCTGTTCTGGTGGTGGCGCGGGTGGTTGAATTTAAGAGTTCCTGTGGTTGACGGTGGCTTGGAAGCGAATAAGAAAAAAATTCGGGCGGTCGCTGTGGCGGGTTTCCACACGGCGTGGAGGACTGGTAGAACACAACTACTCCCGCGGGACTAACACACAACACGGCAGCAATTGGTGCTTTTTCACAGCCGGGCTGTGACTACCTCTAGCGATGACTTCAGATGGGGGATCTGCGTTGTCGCTGGAGGTAGCTGGCGAAGAAGCGAGCGACGGGTTCGTTTCCCAGGGCGGCTGTCGTCGAGGTTTCGGCCGGAAAAAGCAAAGGGGGACCACGAAAGCAGCAGGGGGCACAAGCAAACAGGTCCTGGGGGGGTTGCTGCCAGGGAGAGTTGAGTCTCTCAGGGGATTCTGGGGGAGAGAGAGAGAGAGAGAGAGGGCGGGCGCGAGAGGGCGAAAAGGTGGTGAGGAAAAGGAGAGGGGCCAGCGGGCAAGGCGTGCCGGTTAAGTGAAGTTGGGAAGGCAACCGTCACTTCACTTCACTTCACTTTGGGAGTGGGAGGGGAGAGAGACAAAGCAATTCAAGGATGTGCCTGAATGGTTGCTTCTCGCCTTTGTTCCTTTTTTGGGACGCGTTCTATGGGGATTGGATTAAGGATTAGGATTAATCCAAGAGTGCTAAACCCGGGTTTGGAGAAAGTTCGTTGGGCAGTCCGAAAACGGGCGGACTAAAAACTGGGACGGGGAGGAGTGGTGGTGGTGGTAGCGGTGGTAGATAGCGGTGGTGGTAGTGGTAATGGGGAGGAGGTGGTGGGTTGGTTAGGTTGGTTAGGTTGGTTGGTGGTGAAGGGCCGTCAGTAGGGGAAGACGGGTTTGTCACAATCACAATCACTATCACGTAAAAAAGGGGGGGAAGAGAGGGGGGGGAGAGGACAGGGCGAGAAAGAGGAGGGAGAGGAAGAGGAGGAGGGGAGAGAGAGATTGGGAGGTAGGGAGGAGAAAGAGGTCCGTCGGAGAGGAGAAGGAGGAGCAAATCAGTAGTAGCTTAAAAAATCGGACAGCAATATGAGAGAGAGAGAGAGGGAGGGAGTGAGTGACTGGGTAGTAGTAAGAGAGTCGCCGGTAGGAATAGTTCGTCGCAATAATAATATAATAATAATAATGGAAATGAAAATGGTCAGTTAGTTTCGCAAGCAGGAGAACCAGCAGGAGAACCAGCAGCAGCAGGAGCAGGAGGAGCAGCAGCAGCAGCAGCAGCAGCAAAGCAGATGGTATGTAATGATAATACTCCCGCGAAGGTAATAATTGAATTATCGTGAACCAGCAGGCCAAAGGAACACACTTCATAATCAGAGATGCCAGCAGCAGGGCGTTGCTGGTTCAGCTGTTAGTCACTCGAGTCAACCAGACAAGACAGTTTACTCAGTCTACGAGTCCTCTTACTGGTAGAGTACCTGAGTACCTGAGTACCTGAGTACCTGAGTGATACTCCCGTACCACCCAGATACCAAGGGTATTGTCATGAATGGAGACTAATAAACAATTTATGAGATAATTAGAGGCCGCGGGTGGCTAATCAGCGCCCGGGGAGGAACAACGACGAGGGAATTAGGCAGGTAGCGGGTTACCGCTGACGACTTCCGCGTACCTTACCTGACTGAACCCGACCTGACCTTTGCCCTCGTACCTGGAAGCGGAGGGAGGTAACATACCGTACCTCTCCGACGCTCCCCAGAGGGCGCGGGTACATGCCGGCTGTACTTTTGGGCAGGAAACCCGCACGGATTCGGTATGGGAGGTACAAACAGAGTACGGAGTTGGTACCTCGGTGGGTTCGGCCTTGCCCGTTTGGGGGTTAGCGGCACCGCACTAAGAGTGGGAAGACTCGTGGCCGCCACTGGAATGATTATCGCCGTATTCTTGGGTACGGGGGAGACGGAGAGAGGGGAGGGAGGAGGAGAGGTAGAAAGGGAGTGGTCAGAAATGAATCAGAACTAACTATCTACATGCTTCTTGTCCTTACTGTATAGGATAGTGTGTATAGTGCATATAGTGCACATAGTGCACATAGTGTGTATAGTGTGTATAGTGTACTAAGGATGTATTTCTAGTCTAGGAGACTTCTAACCAGTCAGTCGCGCAGTACCTGAATCTAACCCGAATCCTGTGTCGAATCCTCCGTGATTGATGTTTCGGTGAAGGCCCTCTGTTCGGACTGGCGTCCCGTGGTTGGTGGGCGGGCAGGGTGGGGATATGGATGAAGGGAGGGGGGGGGGGGGGGGTTTGGTTGATGGTTTGTTTCTCTCTCTCTCCAGTATGCCCTTTTAGTTTTAGGGGTTCGTTTTTGTTCCTTTTCGCAGCAGTGGTTCGGTTAGTGACTTTCGGGCCCAGGATTTCACGCCCCTTGGTTCGATGCTGGCCTTCTTAGCGGGAACCCAAATCCCCTGAAGGGGGGCGGCGCAACCACCGCCAACGAGGTGTCGCCGTCGGAGGAATGGCGATGATCCTCATCATCCACCGCTAGTAGTATGGTGATGATCAATGGCGATGATGTCGAGGTATGATGATGCTGCTGCTGCTGCTGCTGCGCGGCGGCGGCGGTTGATGATGTTATAGGTAGGGGTTCATCCTTTGTTGCTGTTGCCACGGGTCGAATCGTCAATCCCTCTCTCCCATCCCGAGATCCCCAGCCTCGGAAGGACAACTGCCGTGGTGCACCAACACGTCCCCATTTATTAGTATTATTATTATTATTATCGTTGTTATTATTGTTATGTATTTCGTGTCTGCTAGCTAGCTAGCTACCTAGCTATGTACGGTGTACAGAGGGAGTCTGTTAGACGACCTCCCCTTCCTTCCTCCCACGCAATTGCCGAGGCGGCGGATCATTAAGCCACGGAGGACACTGTGTTAGCACGTCGAATGGGGCGATGGTAGTCAAGTCAGTTGGACCTAATCAGAACGTTTTGAACGAAGTCTTCAGGGGAGGTCATGCAACGTCGATCGAGCCATCGGATTCGTGGCTTTGCCTCCCCTCCTCGCCTTATACGGGGTCAAGGATGGATGGATGGATGGATATCGGAATGCTTCGTTCGACCTTTATCGCCGTCCCTCCCACTTGCGGGCCTGACTAGTGATACTGATAATGCACTACACCTGGACGTATCGACCCTACTACGGAGCAACTATGGCCAGTAGTCCAGTTACCACCACGACTACTGCGGCCGCTATGAGGGTAGACCGATTTACAAAAGCACATCCGCCCCCCCATCCCCCTCGAGGGGCAAAGGGCACATAATCAAATACACAACTACTTACGGAGTACTTACTTAACAACCTAATAACTAATAACAATAATACTAGTTAGATACTAATAATATTATTACGGCAAAATAAACCGTCCTTTTCCCCAGGGACAGGACAGAGTCAAACGCATAAGTACACACTACACACACACACACACACCCGACCCTGTCTGCCCTGCACGATCCATCTTATTGACGATGGCAGGAGCAAATTGAAAAAAAATGATGATAAGAATAATAATAATAAATATCCATCTATCGAGTGGAGGAGGGAGGAAAGGTACAAGGTAGGTACTTTTACTTTTTTTTTTTTTTTTTTCCCTTTGCTGGTCAAGTTTTTAAGCTCCACCGCAAAATCAACGGCTTGGGGCAGGACGATCCATTCCCGCGGGTTCGACGCCTTCTGACGGATCATGGCTGGGAGCAAGCACCGACGGAGGAGCGAGGTTAAACCCAGGAAAGGATGTGCAGGCTGCCGATCCAACACCGTCGGGAACATGTGTCCAGCGGCGTGTCGAATCACAGGGTTGACAATGTGACGAAATTGATTCAGATGGGTTCTTCTTCCCCTGGACAGACTGTCTGTAGGTCTGTAGGTCTGTCGGTATGGGGTAGACTATCCTACCCCGTACAGCGCCTACTGACGGGAGCATATGTAGCATGCAACTTGAATCCGCGCGCGCGCGACAGGGATGATGATTCACAACCGCCATTCGTCCGTGCAGACCAGCATGGGGGTGGGTTGTGGGATCACTAGGATGGGGAGGGAGGGGGGGTGGGATAGGGATTAGGGAGGGATTGGTTTATCCCGTTCCTTACAAGGCTTACCATTCGTGGCCGGTGGAAGCTTTCCGAGGACTAATAAAATATAAAATTATAATAATAATGATAATAATAATAATAATAATAATAATGGAAATAAGATACGCGACCCAAGATGGTGGGACTTAAACCTCAATAGAAGAAAATGCCCGACCATGGGTGAGGCTTCGGGGAAGACGCGCGAAAATTCTATTTTGCACAGTTTAAAGGTCCTTGCGGATGCTGACCGGCGGCGGCCACCGTGGTTCATCCTCGGGGCAACCTGAGAATGGCCGCCGACGATGACGGGTGAGCACGTCATGAGAGCTGCCCTCATTGGATCTGTCTGTTGTTTCTGTTGTCCTTCTTCTTCGGCTTCTTCTTATTATTAGTAGTATCGGCGGCACAGTACTTTCCCTAGTCCCTAGTCCCTACGGGGTACCCTCCCCCTAACACCACACTGCAGACTCAGCCCGACAAAGTACTTACGCAGCAGATGGCGGCAACCGAAACAGAAAACAGCAGCAGCAGCAGCAGCAGCATCAATCTGATGGACGAACTGGAACTGAAACAAGCCAACGTCATTTGCGGAGTGACTAGTCCCGTACTGCGAGGTGGTGCAGTAGATGCACTGGGCTAGGGAAAGTAGTAGACTAGGGAGTGAAGAGACACACTGGAGTGTCCATCCTGGACAGTGTCAAGGAGTCAAGAACCCCCGGCACCGAACAGATCGAATCGCCGCGCGACCGCTAGTACAATCGTGGCGAATTTGCAGCAAGGCGCACTGCGGTGCATACATGAGCCCCAACGGACGACTCCCGGAACGTTCCCCGGCGGCTACTTTAGTCAAGCCGGGCAGGCGAAAACTGCTGCAAAGGCGATATTCCGCGTCCGACTGGATGGACGATTGGGGTAATCTGAAAGACCGGTACGCTATACACACTACAACTGCGCTACACACTACACTACACGATCCTATATGACCTAGATACCAACCATCGTACAATGTCCAGCTTCTCCTCTATCTATCTAGACGCGCGACCGAGCTGCTAAGCCTGTAAATCCGGTTTATCAACACGAGCTCGAGCAGAGCCTGCAGGATGGATCCCCAACAGCAAATGGAGGAGGCTAGGAGCAGGAGCAGGATCAGGAGTAGCAGCAGTAGCAGCAGCAGCAGCAGCAGCAAGTCGTGAACGAGCTCCGCTCGACGGAGGGACGCATTCACCGGGGAGCGTTGAACAGCAGCCCGCCCGCCAGCCAGTGGAAAGCGTTCCTCGACCCCCGCATCGGTGCATGCAGTCGCGCTCCACCCAGGGAAGAGCGCGCGCGAGGGCTTGTGACCGGATGGGACCATGGCCGAAGAACCCTTCCTTGGCTTGGGGCTTCTCTGATATGACAGTTGTCCACCGCCGACGATGTCTCCATCCCGCCTCTCCAGCTGCTGTGGTTTGCGAGTTGTGGCTATGGCGATGGCGATGGCGATGGCGATGGCGACGGCGACGGCGGACGGGGCCGGATGGCGAACGCTTCAGATAGAAGGCCCAGCAACGTATGTTGTTACGTTGTCGTCGTTGTCGTTGTCGTTGTTGTAGGTGCCCGTCTATTCTTGGACTGAGACTCGGGTTTGTAGGCAGAAGGAAAGCTCAGCTGTGACCTCATCGTCAACGCTCACGACTCAAGTCTCAACCGAGCTGACTTGATTGAGGCGAGATGGATCATGGATGAAACCGAGACAAGCGAGGATTTCCCGACATAATACCATACGGCCCGGGTACGGGGATACCCGTTCCCAAACCAATAGATAATACCCAGCAATACCAGGATGTAATCATGTAAGGGTAACCACGACCGGGCGGCCGCGTGACTACGTCTGCTCCACCGGCCATTCCATCCATGGTTGACGGGCATGACGATGGCCGTTCCTATTCTTGCCTATCTTCTTCCTCAGTCCGACAGCTCATCATGTTGTTCCCAAGTCAAAGTCCAACACCACTGATGACAATCAATCAAAATAATACCTTACTCACCGTCACCCGCCTCCTCCCCTCCAAAACCACGGTGAGGTTCGCCAGCTGGCCGCCCCCCCCCCTCCCCAATTTATCATCACTCGCCAATGACACCCTGGCGAGTGACGATAAAGAACTGCCGATCTGGGATCGGCTAGTGGCTGAGGTGATGCTCCGCTCATATGGACGGACACTGGCGAGGGCAGGCAGGACGGACTAGCTTAGGAGGACTCGGAATCTACCAACAGTCATGATCGCAACCCCGATTCGAGTCTACCGGGCCCTCCCAGCCTTTACCCGATCATTTGATGTCTGAGGTCGGGTGTCTGGGGCATCACTGATGATGACCATCGCGACCTCGCGAGGGTGACAGTTAACCCCCCGGCTCCATCCACCCTGTCCCTCGCCATCGTCACGCCCACAATGGCGCGCCCTGGTCGAAGTTTCGAACAAGGGGACAGCCAGACAGCAACATGACGATACCTGTCAAATCACCCTTCGCGTCTCCACTCTTCGAGCACGGAGTCCAGCAGCGCAGCACACTGCAACTGCACAACCGCTCCTCCTCCCTCGCCCATACGCCACAGATAGTGCGCAGCTGCACAGTAGCTATCTCTACATACACCTCATCCAAGCTCCCGAGGACCTAACCCAGTCACTACAGAGTACTCCGTACATACATACACAAAGACCACCCCCATCCCATCCCTCCCCCTCCTTCTCTCTCTTTCATCCATCCCATCAATCCCGAAAACCAACAGCCACCCAAGTCACAGCCGCCAGCAGTCTTCAGATCAACCAACCACTGCCACCCCCTAACCCCCCATCAGGCAGGTCGATAACACCACTGCAACAGGAGGAAATCCTAAGAGACCAGGGTCATTTCTCCTATGGAAGATTGTTCCCCTCCTTATCGTATGGTTGTCCGCCCCCCCTCCCTCCCCTCCCCTCCCCCTCCTTCACGCAGGAGGAGGGAAGAAGGATAGCTAGTGTGAGTTAGGTTGCTCCTCCGTAGTCACATCCCATCTTCCAGAATAAATTAATTCCTCCTAGAACGACCTTGTCCCTACAACCCCCCCCCCCCCTCTCTCTCTCTCCCCTCCATCAACCACGCACCCAGCGGGCCAGCACAGGAACAGGGCCAGTGCGTTCGCTGGGCTTTCTAGTGCCTTTCTTTCCATTCTTCTCCTAACTTCTCTACCCAACCTGATGCATAAGTGGAATTGCTTCCGCGTGTTAGTTTCGGTAGGTGGGTGGGTGTGTGAGTGGGTTGGTGGGTAGGATTAGTGTAGGATAGGGTATTATTTTTCCCTCGTAGTAACCAGTAATAGTGTTTTATTTTTTTTTCTTTCTTTCTTTCATTCTTTCTTATATCTCTTATTCATTCATGATTGAGAATAAGTGGGGAGACAATATGACTGACTGACTGACCGACTGACTATGAGACAAGCTGATCAGAAAGGAAACAAGGCTTGCGTGGTATTAGTACTATGTGGAGTGGAGATGAATGGATGGATGGTGTGTGTTTCACTATATTGTTTTGCTGTTGCGTAGTCGGTTTTTCGTATTGGGGTTGATTATTACTAGATAGATAATTAGGGAGGTTAATTGGGGGGAGTTAAGTGTTAATTGTGCATAGTGGATATACATACACATGTACGGAGTAGTTAGTAGCTATGGATACTGCCAGACTAGATATATGGTGTATCTACTATCTGTTTACTATACTAGTATGGTTGATTGATGTCGCAAGGTAGACTAGTTCGATGTAAGTGGATGTGCCCACCGTAAGTAGGCAGGTGATTGTGGGTTGATATGGTTCTTACCTGCCTACCTACCTCTAGGTATCTTACTTGCCTACCGTCCTACTTACCTACCTTCTTGCTCTTTGAAAGTTCACTTGCAGAGAGATAGTAATTGTTGATTCTCTGTATATCTAGACGAAATAACAGCAAGACAGATATTAACTTTGATTCTTAGGATTTCTGGATCCTTCCTCCGGGTTATATCAAGTATCTACCACTCCCTCCCTACTCTCTTGTTTTCAGGCCAGCTGCTAACATATACTTACCTCCTTAGCTTACACATAAGTACCACCTACCTACTGCAGGGGAAATGTCTCCTAAGGTACCCTCGAGAGAAAGAATGCGCAGCCTGTCTTCAGTGCCTTCGGTACAACCATAGCTTTGAAGTCCATCCATCGTCGTCCTCTTTCCTTGATTCACATCTCACAACACAAGGCAGGAGACAAGAATCGAGGAACGATCATCAGCACCGGAAAGGTTGCATCACCACAACCACAACCGCGACGACGCATCTCGACACGGCCAGGGATGTACCGGACCGGATCGGGACTTCTTGCAATCGAAGCAGGTGGAAGTCACTCGCGATGGACTCGGTAGAGCTTGTGGTTTATAGGGTGTGCAATGCAGTCTGCCCACGTGCTCCCCTCTACTCGAAGTATATTGTTGTTACTTCAGATCGAGGTACGGCTAGCCCGTGACAGAGTCATGTCCAGAAGCATAAGGTGGTCCGAACCGCATGATAGTATAAATCATTCGGCTATGCTTACTTATACATACATAATGAGCGATTGACTGGACTGAACTAACTGGCTACTATGCCCAACCCAACATCAATGTCCTACTCATAGTTACCACCCAAACGTCCTATTCCCCATGCTAATTAACACAAGCAAAGCAGAAGCAGAAGCAAAGGAGAGAAACTATTCCATAGCTTCCACAAATTCCGATAACCTTTCCTATTCCCACCTCCGACCCAGCTCCTACATAAGAAAAACAACACTATCCCCAAACGGGCCTATTAACCACCAATCCAATCCCACACCCAGGTAAGTAGGTACTAGGTAGACAGGGGGATGCGACGGAAAAACCCCCTTCCCCTTCCCCTCCCCCTCCCCCTCCCCCAAGAATCAAGATTACTTCCTCAACCGAGTATACCGAGTTAAACCCGCATAGGGCGGGTAAGCTTGATTTAAGATACTGGGATATAGTATTGGGTATTATACTTCGCTCCCTGTCCCTGCTCCGAGCCTACGGAAGTATCCCTACTCTTATGGCTGAGCGTATACCCTCCTTTCCCTGCCTTCCCTGCTGTGTACTGAAACTGAATACTATATCTACCAAGGTAAGGTACCTGCCTGGTGCCTACGTACCGTACAACAACAACTACTACTACTACTGGTATGTACCTACCCAGGTACATGCTAACTATAGTTAAGTAGGTAGCTTAGTAATAGTGGTAGATAGAATAAACAGCAAATTAACAAGAATATCCCCCCCAACCAACCAATCCGCACCTAAAAGTAAGTAAACCAACCAACCAACCAACCAACCGAAACGCCTCCCTACATACCCGTGTCACTTTGGTTCTTAAAGTTATTTCCAATCCACGCAGTAGAATTTACCCCTTCTTCTTCTTCTTCTGATTCTTTACAAAATTCTGTTTCTGTTCCTTCCGCTTACTACTTCCTACTTCCTACTTCCTACTTCCAACCGAGCAAGGACGGTGTACATTGATTATTACATCATTTCCCCCCTCTCCTGCCCCGTGGTGATAATACCACCACCACCACTTACTCACTCACTCATTTCCATACATTCATACATCCATACATCCATACATCCATCCCCCGTCTACAATATCCAGGTATCTATCTAGCCATCCAAATCAAAATAAAGCTACTACCCTTAACCCCCTATCTTAATTTATACTTACTTACAACATACATCCTACATCACCCCTCCCTCTTAATTCAATTCAATCCAATCCAATTCCAACCCAACCTAACTTAACCTAACCCCCAAACCCACTCCCCAGCCCAGCCCCTAGTCAGTTACTGCAACTAACTACTTACCTTCCTTAGTCAGCAGTCAGTCCAGTCAGTCAGTCAGATAAACCAGTCAGCCAGTCCACTCAGTCAGATCGCGATGGCCAGGTCAGGTCAGGTCAGGTCAGGTCTGCTGATTTGATTTGATTTGAATTGATTTCTTCCCCCAGCGAAAACAACCTCCAATTTCCGATCGGGAACCCCGAGATCGAGAAAATCTTAGGTTATCTCCATCATTCATTCATTCATTCATTCATTTATCTCATACATCATACATCATAGTCTACATCATACATCATACATCATACTGTCGGTCAGGAAAGCATTTCAATCAATCAATTGATCAATCAATTTACCACCTCCAACTAGATACTCATCTAATTAATTAGTTAGTTAGTTAGTTAGTTAGTTAGTGAGTGAGTTGGTTAGTCAGTCAGTCAGTCAGTCAGTCAGTCGGTCGGTCAGTCAGTCGGTCAGTCGGTCGGTCAATTAATTGACTAACTAGTTAGTTAGTACGGAGTCCTGAGGTAATCAATCACCAGATGGGGCGAATCATCCATTACCTACCACTCACTTCCCACTTTTACTTTTACTTACCAGTTACCACCTACATACCGACCTTCCATACTATATCTCTTTCGATGCCAACCCACTAACCAACTAACCAACGAACTTACTAACCAACGAACTTATAACTTACTACACCTACACCTACACCTAAGTAGTAAGTATTATGTATGACTGAGCTAGTACTCCGTACCGTAGTAGATACTATATAGCCTTGATGAGCCGGGCTACAGGCTACATAGTACGGATCTGGTGATGATCTCCAGACCTACATGTATGATGATGTCGTTGTTGCCTTCGCTACGGAGTATTGTTCCGTGCTGCGAGTCTGCGACGGTGCCTAATTTGACCGGATCGACAGCACCAGCCCCAGCGCCATGCACAGACGGGATACTGCGGCGCCCTACCATCTACGTTCCCACAATGCCGTGGGCGGATGACGAAACGATCGATCTCCAGTCATGTCATGTCATGTTATGCCTATTCCAAACCCCTAGCGTACAGGCCGACTACGGTGTATACAGGATGAGGATGATGATGATGATGATGATGATGATGATGGTCTAATGAATAGTCAACTGACTCGGGTCATGCAAGAGACGGAGTCGTCTTCCACTGGTACAACGCCCGCAACACTGCGACACCCCCTGACTGCGTCTCGACGGTGCGGCCACGCCCACGGTCGTTGTAATCAGCCGGCTCAACCAGTGGCTCGACGAACCGCGGCTGTTCGGATGCACTTCCCCAGCGCCGCGGGTACGTCTCGGCTCCAGATCCGTCGCTTGGCCGCTGGGAGCCACGGCTGCGAAGAAGCCCTACCAGCGGCTCCGAGCCCTCGGCCTGCGCCCCATAGTTTTCATAGTCAATCGCCCCCTGCGGCAGAGGGCTTGTGTCAGTGACGGAGATGTTTCCCCACCACTGACCGATCTTGCCATCCCCGTTCCGGGTCAGCAGAGCAGCCTCGGCGTTATACTCGATCCACGGCCGGTACGCTCGACAGCGTGACTGGTGCCACTCATATACATACTCCCAGTCGTTATCTTCTTCCCCCGTCCGGTTCGCGCTGGCCAGGAAACGCAGTTCCTGTGGCCGGATGGCTCGGCAGAATTCGGCTAGATGATGGAAGAAGATGCCTTTGAAGGTCTGTCCGTTCTGGGAGCAGCCCCCGGAAGAGTCGCATGCATCTTCCAAGACGCCGCCCCGACCAAGGCCTTGCCACTCCTGGCTGTCCGTCTCAGGCCATCCGGTAGCCTGCAGCACGTCGCTCACCAATCCGTGCCCGTCATACAGATACTGCTGTAAAGCAGTGGCTAGCCACAGGCCCCTTAGCCCGCTAAGGATCACGCCCTGGTTGTATGTATATACCATGGTGTTCAAGACGTCACAATTGCCGGTGCCAGGATTCTCAGCATTCTTCCAGCCACTGATATGGAAGCCGTCCCCATAGAGCCCGTTGGAGCCCGTCATGTTCGAGGAATTGAGCCATGAGTACCCCTCAATGGCGGCTTGCAAATGGGCAGGGTGGTGCGGGTACCCGTCCGACCAGTCCTGATCATCGACGGTGTGTGCCGCAAAGGGCGAGTCGACCCTATCGCCCGGGAAGTAAAGATACATCCCGATGCTAGCTGATATGTACAACTCGTTGGTGATGGCATTCTTGTAGGGAGTCAGGTAAGGGCTCCAGATCATCCCGCCACCGCAGAGGGAGACATCCCAGCCCCCGGATGCAAGCCCGTAAAACACGCGCGCTCGATGAGCCGCCGGGCAACGAAACTGCGTTCCGTGCCAGCGCAGGTTTGTGGCCGGACCAGGCGACTCGGGATCATCGTAGTGCAGATCAGAGTGCAGCACCTGGAACTTTATGTTTTCCAGCCATCCCAGGACCACCCACAGCATATCATCAAAGGCTTGATTCCTCAGGGCGAAGGCATCTTCCCCGAAGTAGAAAGCCGAGGTTTGGTCAAAGAAATGATCGATCAGGTTCTCGAAGTCTAGTGCATACGAATCAAGCGTCGTCAGCGGGTCGCGATCCCCTTCCCGACCCGGTGCAAGGGAAGACGGCAGCACGTCGCGCGCAGTGGAAGTCAGCGAGGAGAGGGTGGCGGAGACATGAGTCCCTAGCACAGCGGCGGTCCAATCGATGCTGGTGGGCCAAGTGCCTTGCCAGATTTCGAAGTAGTCATCCTGCATCACATTGAGAGCGTCTAACAGATCGTCATAGGTGCGGCGGATCGAGCTGGCCGGCTCGTCAGGCTTCCGCGGAGCAGGAAGGGGTAGCTGCCCGGACGGTGGTGCGGTTATCCCGTCCAGCGGAAGCTGGGCTGGCGACACCGGCGCAAGGACGTCCTGCGACCGCAACGCCAGCGCATTGGTCTCGGACAGGGCCAAAAACAGACACAGGGGTCTAAGAATGACCAGGGATGCCTGCATGCTTTATGTCTTCTCGGCCGTATATGCCCAAAACCGAGGCGTAGAAATGGTCTCGTGGTGCGACTCGCTGGTAACGAGAGGCGGAGAGGCGCCAACCGATAAGCAGCAGCGATGATGGTGGGCTCAAGGTATAGTAGGTAAAAATAGTACTTAGCAAGCACTGTTCAGACCCGCAGGACTCGAGCAGGACGCGGGGGGGAAAGGAGTACAGCACAGTGGACACATCCAATCGATCGTGAGGACCGAATGAGGCATATTCCAGCAGTCAATGATCCCCAGAGCGAGCCATGGGGAATGAGGAAGGGAAAGTGCAAAAGGGTCCAGCGTGCGTCCGGCGATAAGTTTAAGTTCGGCCGTGCGGGGGAAAGAGCGACTCGCGCCGCTTAACTAAGCCGCTCTTTACTCCCTCAGCCCTCGCCCTCGCCCTCGCCCTCGCCTGGCTCTTTCGCGGCTGACCCTATCCGATCACGCGCCTCCATCTCCTGCCAGAGTCGACCCCGTCCCTACGATCGGATGATCCCCTCTTCCCCGCGAAGTCTAAATGTCCTACGTGATCAAGGGTCGTGATCTGAAAGCACTACAAAGACCGACGACGTAAGGGAGGGCAGCGTCTCGAGGGAGGGCTCCAACAGGACGACGGCCCAACAATGCGGGATGGCAGATGGAACAAAGAGAGAAAGCAAAGACAATGGAGACGCTAGCGTAGCCCCCGCCACGAGATTCGGATTTCGGTGGGTGGCTCTCGGAACTAACTGGAATCTAGTGCACATTTTGGGATATCCTAGCCCGGTAATATCATGCGGAACGGTTCTCTTCTGCACCCAGGTCAGCGACGAGCACTCAGAGGCCGGCACAAGGAGCAGGAGCGAGGCAGTGACCCCAAGAAAAAGGGAAGCACATACCACATTACTGTTTAATCACGACGCCGGCACGTCTCTTCTGACTGCAATCCAGAGATGCCCTCATCAGGTGAGGAGCATACAAGAGGAGAGACCATGCCGGCTGTAACCACTGCTACCAATCCATACCAACTGAAGCCAACGTGCCCACCTCGGATCATGATGTACGTCCTGATGACTCCCAGCAGTCGTGCAATTCTTTCTGGAGGGCGAGCGCGAAGGCAAGATCGTCGAAACGCTAGAGGTGATGAGAAAGAAAGGGGGAAAAAAAATTCAGGCACGCTCTTGCCCGAATCGTAGAACGAACAGAACAGTTCGGAGGTCGGTTCGTCAATTCTGATAGCGATGCAATACGATTTCCTTACTCCCTGGCTTCATCGGCGCCGGGGCTGCGACTCCTGTCGCGGCTCTTGCTGCGGCCTCGTCCACCACCGCCACGGCCACCCCGCTGCCCGCCACCCTTTCCTTTGTTGTTCGAGGGAGGCGGGCGCACGAACGCGTAGTCGACGTGGATCGTCTGGTCCAGCAATTTGGTTCCGTTCAGGGCTTTGATGGCTTCCGTGGCTTCGGGGAGGGTGGAGTATTCGATCAAGGCGTATCCCTAGTAGTCAAGAGTCAATGAGCATGCATCGCGAAACAGTCCAGAAAGACCGCGTAGCCAAATCCAAATCCAAACCAAGCTAACAAAAAGAAACCCACCTTAACATAACCCGTCCTCCGATCCAAATTGAGATTAAAGTTCTTAATCTCCCCATAATCCGCAAACAAATCCGTGACGTCCTCCTCCGACGCCTCCTCATGGATATTGGTGACGATGATGATCCACCCCTCGATACTGCGCACCGCCACCGCATTGCTCTGCGTTCTGGGATCAGAGCCGCTATTGCCGTTGCCGTTGCCGTTGCCGTTGGTATCGTTGCCACCGCTGCCTGACTGCGCGGGGACGACCTCCTCCGGCGATGGCGACGCAGGCACGTCGACTTCCATTTCTGCTTCCGCGGACATGCTGGTGGTGGTGGTGGAGGTGATTGGTTGGTAGCGGCGACGGCGGAGGGTATCGAGATTATAGCGGGTGGGAGTGAGGGGGGAGGAGGGTGTAAGAATAATGGTCCAGAGGGGAGGGGAGGAGAGGCTGTTTGATCTTCTGGTTGCGGTGCGAATAATGAATGGGTGGATGGTTGGTTGGATCTTCGCGAGGCGGAGGTGTGCTTATGTAATCGGGTGCTTATCCATCCGTCCATCCATCCATGCGGGTTGGGGTTGGCTTTGCGTGGGAAGTTGATGATGGATGGAAGGTGGAACGTGGAATATGGATGGTTTTTTGGAGGGGATTGGGGGATCGGGGTGTAGGGTGGGGGTTGTGAGTATTTGCGTAGGGGGTTATACAGGTGATATCATTTTGGTGTGGGGATATTAAATAGTAGTAGATGGAGTGTAAAGAATCTGCTTTTCTATATCAGAGTATCTCTTGATTTGGCAACAGTGTAGGGGCTAATTGGTTAGGTGAGAGGCTATGTGATAGTTCCGAGAAGAAAGAATTCAATAAGTCATGCGGATAGAAAGGGTGAACTGTTGTATAAGTTCTATCCAAGGAAATAGTTATACTTCCTGCTTTCACGCGCGCTCTTATAAGTGAAGACAGCTGTGGGGTTTATCCTTTACAATCGCTCGCCTTACTTTTAATCTGGCACTGCTACTAGCTGCTGTATATATTTCTTTGAAAGAAATTATCAGTTTGAGATTCATGGGTGCTTTTTTGTATCCATATCATCTGTGATATTAACATAACTGGACACAGACCTCTCTATATTCCGTTTATAGGCTGCTGTTCACATGAGATTTTTTTATAGACCTGAATTATAGTATAGAGAAAGTGCTGTAGCTTATATTACCAGTAACAGTATGTTTTAGTGAATGCACTCTACCAGAATTGCTCCAAGTAAGAGTAGGTAATATCAAACCACAGCGGGAGAAAAACAGTACTCCAGTGCAAGCTTGTCACTGGTAGCAAAATGGAACATTTCAGCAAAGGGGATGCAGTGAATATCGTCCTGCCACTTGCGGTGCCAGTGGCAAGCACCAATGTTTGCCTTGACGTCTTCGCCTTTGTCGCTGAGCTCTCTCGCAACTTTCACCCCAGCTCCATCATCCAGAGAGACAAGCCATTGTCCTCGACCTTAATACCAAGACCAGCGTCATATTCCGCTTCTATACTCAAATAATATGGCCCCGAAGTCGCCGAAGATAATTCCGGAGGCGCTTCGCGAGAAAGAAGAGCTGGACTACCCCACACTGGGCATGAAACTACCACACAACGCGCCCCTCAACAGCGTCTCAATCGCGAACATACCATGGTGAGTGCTCCACCGATCATCCGAGAAGGCCCACCTGCAGATGCTGACATCTTGATCTCGATAGCGACGATACCGAATGCTTCTGCCACCGCCGTCCCTCTCGACCGTATCCCAAGCTCGAGGCTCTGGTGGCTGGTCCCGAGCCCGAGCAATTCTGCGTGCTGCACCAGCCAACCGCCCAGCTGGACGTCGCGTTCGACATCCTCGGCAACAGCATGACCCTGATCGAGTGCATCAAGGATCCCGAGCGGCCCAAGATCGCATACCACGTGGCTCTGATCATGAAGGCGGCGAACATGCACTTCCTGAACCTCGAGGGGCTTGCGGACCACTCGCTGCTCCTGACCGTGAAGATCCGTCGCGCGGCCTGTGCCGTGCGAGGAAACAAGATGATCCTGCGGGAGAAGTGCGAGGGATTCTTCACGAACCCGCCGTACAGCCGTCTGTTCAACAATCTGTTCGAGTGCAATTGGCCCGAGATGATCGTGCAGGTCCGCATGCCGGAGGAGCGCTGCCGACGCTGGAAGACCGTCGCGTTGATCCTCAGGGCTTTCAAGCAGATCTCCGCCGACTGCTACTGCCATATGGTCGATGACTTGGTCACTGCTCCCCGGGTGGGTGGCTTGGACGTGCGACAGATCAAGAAGCAGATCAAGAGCCGTCTGGCACGGGGCGAGCCGCGGCGAGAGAATCCCGTGTCGCGTCAGTTTACGGTCACTGCGGCTGACGAGGAGAAGATCGAGAGGATCAACCACGCGTACGAGGTCTATCTGCTCGCTTTCATCAACAGCTCGTCCCCGTTCACTCCGCGCCAGTACATCGGGTGCCCGGAGCCTCTGTGATGGGCCCACAGCAGGCGTCTACCATGGGAGCAAAGTACATGTGTGTCTCTGTTTCTCACATCAGCATGGTGTTTGGGAGTTATTGGAAGGAGGGAAGGAAAGGAAAAAGAAAAGGGGTATATGAAACCAAACATGGCGTTCGGGAGATTTGTTTTTTTTTGTTGTTTAATGATATGATATGATGATCGAGGAATGATGATTGAGGAACTTTACAGGCAGCACATGGAGTCAAGGGTTGAGCAAGCCACACGGATGTTATTTCCGGGGTCTTTCTATGAGATACGAAGCCATGCCAAGCCATATGGAATGAGGCGAATAATTGTATGAGAAGCCCGAAACCCTAAGTTAACAGACAAAGCCAGTCAGTCAGCCTTCCATCTGGAACCGCATGTCTTGTCCAGCCCGTCCAGCCCAAAGTAAGGTGATCGTGAGAAGTAAGTTTCTAATTTCGCAGGGGTCCATGTCCTGGACGGTGCAGGTGGATGACAGGAAATGCAGTTTCTGTGTTGGCGGTGAGGAAACCCTCGTCGCTCTTCCCCTGGATCTTCATTCTCCAACTCTTCTTCCCTTGCAGCGTCACACGATGCCGCCTGCAGGTGGTAGGTAATTGGGGTTACACCGTCTGCCAGCCAGGTGCTCGTTCCTGACTCAGTAGACACTTCCCGTCCTCACGTTCAAGAACCACAATGGTACGTGGTTGGAGATTTCGACATTGATTCCTCTACTTCACCCCATCCATCCCATTGATGACCTGGGGTGGCCAGATACCCGGACTGATCTGAACTTCTGGTCTGGGGGTAAGACACGGAGAGACAATGCCTTGGTAGGCTCCCGCCTCCCCCCCCTTGCTTGCCATCGCATCGCAGTTCGATTGACTTTCTGTCTATCGAGACTCTGCTCTCGCACACAATGTCCTCGAACAACGAGCATTGTCCCTAAGCGTGCCTCCAGGGTCGGGGTTGTCCTTGCAGAAGGCAGGGAGGGATGGCTGTCACGCTTTCCTGCCCGCCCCCCCCCCCCCCCCCCCCTATCCATACAGACTAGTGTGCATACATATGCTCTGGTCAGCAAGTCGTGCGCAGTGAGCACCGGCGAAATTGCCTCTGGCCTGGTTTCTTCCCCGCGAAATTATCTCGGCAGGTGCTAAACACGGCGCTGCAGTTGGTGGATGACTCGAGGGTGAGTCGAAGGCTGAGGATAGGCCTAAGATTCACAGATGTATGAAACCAGCCCTAGGCAATTTCCTCGTCTGCTTTCCTGAGGAAATGCACCACCTGCCCCGGGCAAGGGGGAATCCATCCGGCAGCTCAAGCCATCAATCTCCCACCCGTATAATGCAAATCGAGGGGTTACCCCTACTAAGCCATCATCGCTCAGCCACTGCTCCGTGCCATGGGAATGTGAATCATTTATTTCCCCGGGCCAAAACGCTCCAGGGTCTCGTTTCTTCTTTCTGCGTTGTCTGCTAGAGTCTGTCGCCTTCTGCTGTGCGCTGAGCCTTCGCATCCTGTCCTTCGTTCTATACTTATATTCTTGCTCTGCTCAATTAACGCCATCATTCGTTGAATGCCAGTGGACAGTCTCTCGAAGAATACACTAACTAGCATTCCGGCTACATTCTGGAAGCGCATTCGTTGGACGATCACAGAGCTTGGCCATGAGGGGCCAGTGAAGATCTGACCTGGGGCAAGTAAAAGCGGAGAGTTACACACATCGCCTCCTGCTCGACTTCCTTAACACAACAGACAACATGTCGCTGCCTCTGCGACACGTCCTAAGGCTGTGCGTCATCGCCCTCGACCTCTCCACGCCCGTGTTGGCAGCGAGCACCGGTGCCTGGAGCAGCAGATCGGTGTATCAAACGATGACCGATCGATTCGCCCGCACGGATGGATCGACCACGCATCCTTGCAACACCACAGACGGGCTGTACTGTGGCGGGACCTGGCGAGGCATGATCAACCACCTCGACTATATCGAAGGCATGGGATTCGACGCGGTCATGATATCTCCAATCGTCAAGAACATCGAGGGACGGGTGTCCTACGGCGAAGCCTACCATGGCTACTGGCCGCAGGATCTCTACGCCCTGAACCCTCGGTTCGGAACCCAACAGGACCTGCTCGACCTCAGCCAGGCGCTGCACGACCGAGGCATGTACCTGATGATGGACACCGTCATCAACAACATGGCCTACTTCACCAACGGGACCGACCCCAGCAGCAGCAGCAGCATCGACTACGCCATCTTCAACCCCTTCAACGACCCGAAGTACTTCCACCCCTACTGCCAAATCACCGACTACAACAACTACCCGCTGGCCCAGAGCTGCTGGACGGGCGACGACATCGTGGCTCTCCCCGACCTCAAGACCGAGGACCCCACCGTCCAAGCCATGCTGAGCCACTGGGTCCAAGAGATCATGACCAACTACTCCATCGACGGCCTCCGCCTCGACGCCGCCAAACACGTCACCCCCGACTTCCTCCCCCAGTTCCAGAAGGCTGCCCTGGACTCGTTCGTCACCGGCGAGGTCTTCGACCAGTCCGTCGACACGATCTGCAGCTACCAGAACGACCTCACCAGCGTCCCCAACTACCCCATCTACTACGCCCTCCTCGACGCCTTCACCAAGGGCAACACATCCACCCTCCCCAACCGGGTCGAAATCATGAAACATACCTGCCCAAACGTAACCACCCTGACATCCTTCTCGGAGAATCACGACGTCGCCCGCTTCGCCAGTCTCGAACCCGACATCAACGTAAGCCTTCCCTCCCCCCCCCCAAATCCCATCCCATCCCCATCTTAACCCTCCCTATCTCCAGCTGGCCAAAAACCTCCTCACCTTCACTCTCCTCTCCGACGGCATCCCCATGATCTACCAAGGCCAAGAACAACACCTCTCAGGCCCCTACGACCCCCTCAACCGCGAAGCCCTCTGGCTAACAACCTACAACACGACCTCACCCCTATACACACACATCTCGACGCTCAACGCCCTCCGCAAGCACGCCAGCCAAGTCGACCCCAACTACCTCTCCACGCAGACCTACCCGATCTACACGGGGTCCAGCGAGATGGGGTTCCGCAAGGGCCGCGAGGGCCGCCAGGTGGTCATGGTGCTGAGCACGCAGGGCAGCGCCAGCGGCGCGTACACCATCCGCATGACGAACGGGTACGAGCCGTCGTTTGTCGTCATGGATGTGTTCACGTGTCGCAATTATACTGTTAATGATATGGGCGAGCTACGGCTGGATATGGATGGGGGGGAGCCGAGGGTGTTGTATCCGGTGGGGTTGTTGCCGGGGAGTGGGCTTTGTGGGTTTGGGAGGGGGGTGTTGTGCCGGGGGAAATGTCGGGGGGGATGTCTGGGGGAATGTCGGGGGGATGTCTGGGGGGTGGAGGGGGTTGAAGGGGTGGAAGGGGTGGTTGTAACGGGGGATGGGGTGGGGATGGGACTAGGAATGAGAGAAAGGGTGGTGAGTGGGTTGGTGTTGTTGGGTTGGACGTGGGCGGTTTTATAGTATGATTTGGTACTAGCTGGGTAGGCGGGGAGGGGGGAGGGGGGGGGAAATACTACTAGTATATAATGTTCATGTTTCAAGTTGATTATCTCCGAGGGGAGCAATGTAGATAGGAAGTAGATAATACTCATGTTTCAAGTTTGATTATTATACCAGTGTTGTTATTGACGCACGGGGGACTAACGCCGAACTTGAACTGTGCCATTGAAGAAAATCTCTCGCAAAGAGAGAAAGAAATATTAGATTGATTGAAACAGCCCAAGCAGCACATAGTTGCCGCGCTAAACAATGCGTAACTATATCTTCTTCTTCTTCTTCTTCTTATCGGAGTTCATCATGGGCAATCGCCGCGAAGGCGAAGTGGGCTTGCCGGTCGATGGACAGACAGACAGACAGACAGACAGACAGATAGATCAATAGATAGATAGATGTTCCATATACATACAGGCTGAATGAGTTGAGTGGGAAACCATTGTAGAGATAGTGATACAACCGGAAGCTCAAAAAAAAAAAAAAGAAAGAAAGAAAGAAAGACCAAAGTGGGACTTTGATCTGTTTTCTTTTAATTCCCCCATGGTAACAGCAAGAAAGAATCATGCTAATCGGAGTGTGTGCGTGCAACCAGTCTTTCATCTAATGCACGTGCTGGCCCCAGAGGGGAGGGACCAGGGCGAACGGCGAATATCTAAGCATGGGTGGGTGGGTGGGTGGGTGGGAGGCAGGTAAAACAGAGTGAAGAAACGCCGTTTACTTGCGGTTGGAGCTGCGCATGCCCAGGATCTGGACCATACGGACGAAGATGTTGATGAAGTCCAGCTCGAGGCTGATGCTCTCGTTGACGATGTCCTTGTTGATCAGGCCTCTCTGAGCCATGCGAGCGTGGTGCAGGATCTTCTGGACGTCGTAGAGAGTGAATCCACCGAAGACGGCGAGACCGCCGTACAGCCAGAGCTTCTCAGACCACATCAGGGTGCGGGTGGCGGTGACGGGGAGGACCAGGGGAGCGAGACCGGACAGAGCGACAATGGTCACACCCGCGAGCAGGGGACCACCCAGGTAGAGGTACTTGTCCTGCTTGGCGGTGGCGCCGACGAAAGCAATCGAGCCCATCAATCCGACGGTGTAGAGACCAGCGCGGGCGAGGAGAGCAGGGGACATGAACATCAGAGGAGACAGGAGCGCGGCCTGGGTGACGTTGAAAGCTGTCCAGAGACCGTACTTCATCAGGTAGCTGGTGGCAAGTTTAGAAAAATGTTCCTTTTCGGTGAAAGACAACGGGGGAAATGCCTGAGGCGTGAGGCGAGGAGGACTTACTTGTCAGGCGAAGTGTACAGGGTGCCGTACATCGTTCCGACGCTGGCAACCAGACCCAGACCGATCACAGCCCAGGGGCTGGAAGCCATCAAACGGTACGACCATCCACTGGTGTGCAAAGCCCGCGCAGCAATAGCGATGATACCCACGCCCAGTCCGGTGTGCATAAAGGTCTCGTTCAGGTAGCTGCGCTCATAGTGAGGCATGCCGCCGTCCTCTCTCGTCTCGCGGTTGAAGATCATGTTGGTGGCCAGGATGGTACCGCCGACAATGGCGGCGCCGTAGAGAAGCTTCTGGGTAGCGTTGCCACCCTGAGAAGAGTAGGAAGGCTGCATGTAGGTGCGACGGAAGGCATTTTGGAAGGTCTGACGGGACTTTGCGAGGATGGAGACGGGGCCGGTGGTGGTGGTGGTGGTGGTGGGAGGCTTGAAATGAGTGTTGTGGATGAAACGAGCGCTGTTGGCGGGTTTGGAGATCTGCCGCAGCGCCGTTGAGACGGCGAAGGGGCGTCGTAGGAAGAACGCCATGTTGGGGGGGTGGTGACGATGATGTCGATGGAGATGAGGAGAAGAGGAACCAGCGGAGGGAGCGGCAGAAGGCGGCTTTAAGAATGATATCAGTCAGCAGCTCGCCCGAAACCAAGTACGGCGGCCCGAACGTTCGAGAAGTGAAGTGAGTCAGTCACGTGGGGCGGTGCGGCGTGAGTCAGCATCGCCGCCCTCGGCGATAACCGAGTGGGTTGGCGGGGGAGGGGAATTAAAGGACTTAACGGACTTGCTGATCTACACACTGTCTTCTCGACTCTTCTCTCTTCGTCCTCATTCCCAGACTTAACGTCTGCACCATGGCTGCGTCATTACTCGAGACCATCCACCTGGCGCATCTGCCTCCGTCGATGCCCGTCCATGTCGCCGTGTATCGCGATGTGCAGAATGCGCCCTTCCTCCGCCAGCAGCTGTTGGCCGCCAATGCCGAGTTCGAGTATGCGTTCATTGACGCAAGCGTGGTACGGATAAACCTTTTTTGACTGGGAAACCGAGGTGTCTAACAGCCGCAGGTTCTGTCAAGAACCCACCTTCTCTCCGCCGTCTTCAGAGCTGTCAACGACTCCATGAACGGGCGTCTCAAGTCGCGCAATGTGCATTCTGAGATTGTCTTTTCCCTGAACCCCACAACTAACGTATGTCTGCTCATTGTCCATAACCGACGTCATGATATGGGCTAACCACGTGTAGATCGCCGAATCCTTCCGCAAGTTCGGCATCACGGACTCGACCAAGGACCTACTGGTGGTCAAGGTTTCCGTGACCCCAGAGATTACCCACGATTCGGTCGCGGCTCACCTGGGCCAACATGTCGAAGGCTCCCCGGTACCTTTCGATGACGAAACCCTGGCGAAGATCGCCGATGTTGCGAAAATAAAAAAGGCTTACAAGTTGGGCGCGTTGAACACTGCACCACCGAAGCAAGCCAATGGCACGCAAGACGACGGAATGAGACGACTAGAACTTTCGGTCCTGGGTGCAATTGCGCTGCGGGGAGCCACTTGAATGTGAACTCGGATTTGGAAACAAAAAGGAAGGAAATCCATCTCCTGAGCTCGGCGGCGGCGTCAGGACCCTGATAGTACAGACCAACCGATAACGCAGATGCCTATGATACCCCATGCCCACTGTTTCCGCCCTGGGCGCTAGGTCAAATTTGCCCCAAGACGGACTCCCCCGCAGAAGTCTCCCTGCAGCCGGAATCGCCTTAACGGCGCATATTGGACCATTTCATGTATATAGACAGCGTCAGCTCGGACTCTATTATAGTGCGTGCAGAGCACTGAAACAGAGCGATCGCATATCTCGAAACCACCCTCGAACATCCCCTAATGAAAATCCTATACATAGATCAGCCCATGTCGAACATCATCTCCAAACAATTCACCTTGCCCTTAAAGCGCCAGACCCCTTCCTGTATGGTTGGTCTCGAGTTCGCCTGTGCTGATCAATAAAGTATCCGAATTGGTAGGAATAATGTGTCCGACATGGTTGAATAGTAATCCATAGTTACCCTATCTAGCTAGCTACGCGGAGTAACCCTCCTAATTCCCTGTAATCAGCTTTAACCGTATTCGACCCCAGAGCGATATCAGCATCTAGTCCCCCATGGTCGCCCCCGACGTGCTTGGGATACCGAGTAAGAACGGTTAGAATAGGGGGTTAGATACTCGATGTCTAGTGACGGGGGAATTCACAGGACTGATCTCTTGTTTGCGATATGGAGGATCAAACACACACATAGGAATCGTCCCCGTTGCCCCGCCCACCGCCTATACATCCCAAAGCGGCAACCCAGCAACGCAACCTAGCGCGCCAAGACCCGCCCCGGTCGGGCGTCTCTCCGCATCGCATCTGCAGCTACCGACTAGTCCAGGCACCGCTCCTCCCAATCGAACAATCGCAGAGGAAAGAAAAAACGAAAAAAAGGAAGAGGTGACGACATGGATCACGACTAGGTGCAGCCAGCAACACAGCCCAACCAGCTGCCTGCTATCTACTACTAACCAACCAAATTACCACAGAAACAGCACACACGCGCGCGAATGACCATCCCATCTCATCGCCCGTCTCGCCACCATGCCCGCCGCCACTACCGCGGAGGTCGAGGTCCTGGTCCTTTCCTCCTCGCCGGTTCACAACACCCCAGCAGCAGCGCCACCGCTTGCGTACGACCCCGAGGAACTCTTTGGGCTGTCTCCGATTGACGCCTCTACGACTCCGTTGCCTTCGCCGTCAGAGCTGTTTCGGGCTCCGACTCGGTCGAGGTTCTTTCAGAGTGATAATTCGGTTAGGAAGAAGGGCAGTGCGGGATCGAAGACCAAGGGCAAGGGTTCGGATATGACTACGGCTACTACAACTGCAACTGCGACAGGAATTGTAGAAGTCCCAGCTGGAGATCAAACAAAGCGGACAAGAGGCAGACCGAAAAAGGACCCGAAGACCGCTCCTGGGGATCCGGAACCCAACGCCGAAGTCGCGGAGAAAGCTCCGAAAAAGACTACAGCGGGCACGAGGAGGAAAAAATCTGCCGAAACCACGACAAAGGGCAAGTCATCGGGGAATAAGACGATATCAGGGCGGGTTGGGAAAGCCGGCACTTCGCGGCCTAAGGAAGCCGGTGGTGGTGGTGGTGGTGGCGGCGGCGGCGAGAAGGCCGATTGTTTGTTGTTGACTCCGCGGGCTTCTCCGGCAACGGCGACGGCGACGAAGGACGACGTGCCGGACTGGGAGACGGATGGGCTCCAGTTAGAGCAGGCTACGAAACGGAGACTGGATTGGACGCCAACAAGCAATAGTACCAAGTCGGTTGTTGAGTTGGATGGCAAGTCCAACGTCGAGGGTAGCTTGAAGAACTTTGGAGATTTGCTCTCTGTGTATGGGTTTAGTGGGATGGCTGCCCCGATCGGTAACCAGGTGGCTTCCGGTGAGTGTGGACCTACGAAACGGAGGCGTATAGAGGTATGGTTCGAACTCTTGATTTTACTTGGATATCGCATTTGTCGCGTCGCAAACATTCGACTAATGCGTTCTGTGATTAGCTGGTTGATCCGGGGGTATACCCTCCTAAGAAAGGCGTTGTTGAGGACACCGACAAATCTACTACGGATGGATCTCGCCAATCCACCCCAACGGTGCAAAAGAAGCCAAGAAAGGGCGCCAAGCGGTTTACGACGCTTACGGCCCGTGTGACAGCAAACTATATCAATGAATCTGCCGAAAGCTCGGAGGCTATAGACGGGGGAACTACAGCTAGTGAGGACACATCGGCAGCGAAGGGGAAACGCTCGAAGTCGAAGAAAAAGGGCAAATCAAGCTCGAAAGCCTCTGAACCACAGTTTGTGGTTCTCTCTCCTGATGAAGCTGCCAAGTCTCTGGAAGACCAGGAGCTTGTATTCGGAACCTGCAGTCAGCTGGAGCGGGAGGACTCTCCCACCATGATACGGGAGTTACAGGCCGCAATACGCGAGTCAGAACGAAGCATCGTGTCGGAATCAAGTAGTCGTTCCTACCTGAAGTCGGACAAGGGAGCGTCATCTGCAGTATCGCGCTTTAGCGGCTCGGGAGACTTATGGTCTGTTGCATCCCGAGATACCGACGGCTCGCTGATGCAGGTGGAAGTCGTGGATTTGGTGGATACACCTGTCAAGTCTGCGGCCCCTGCCTTTCTGGAGCAATCTAGCAACAAAGGCGAAGATGTTCCTACTGAAATCGACATCAACATGAGCAAGCACGATGGGAAGGAGACTTCTGAGCCAGAAGTGGCTGTACCCACACGCAAAGAACCGAGTACCATCACTAAACCCACACAACCAGTCAACACGCCAGCGAAAGACCCTGCACCTCAAGACGCAGTATCTCACCCTCCCATGCCGCAATTCAGCGGCTTCACAGACGCCCAATTATCGAAACAAATCGCCACCTACGGCTTCAAGCCGCTCAGAAGCCGGCAGAAGATGATCGATCTGCTCCAGAGATGCTGGGAATCTAAAAGCAGCACAAGCGGTACAGTAGCAAGGCCAACCCCAGAGAACGCGCAGAGCCACAACCCACCTGCTGGTCCAGTGTCGGAACCTGCCTCATCTCAACCCAAACCCAGCAGCAAAAGCGCCAGCAAGGGCACTACACGCAAAACAAACCCAAAGCCGAAAAGCAAGCTACCAGCCAAGTCATCAAAGAAACCCGCAGCGGGAAACATCCCCTCAACCACGACCATCGACACCAGCAAAGAAACCACCTCCCTCCCTCCCCAACCCAAACCCCAAAAGCCAACAACCGCGCAAACCCCCACCAAGAAAGCGAAACCCAGAACCTCCTTCGCCGACGTAGAAGAAATCGAAGACTCCGAAGACGATGCGATCCTCACCCCTCGCCACCTTCTACAGCCTTTCTCCTCCACCACTACCACCACCACCACCACCACGAAAAGCACCCTCCCCACCTCCCCCACCCCATCAAATTCAAACCCCTCCCTTGCTCCCCCAACACCAAATCTTCCCAATCGACCAACGCCACCTCTCTCCCCCTCCCCAACTTATCTGACCAAATAATGAACGCCGTCCGCATCCAGCCCCGAACCACCACCACCAGCAACCGCAAACAGCCCACCTGGCACGAGAAAATGCTCATGTTCGACCCCATCCCGCTGGAAGACTTCACCACATGGCTGAACACAGAGGGGCTCGGTCTGGTGAATGAGGATCGGGAGGTCGGGGCCGCGTTTGTTAGGATGTGGTGCGAGAGTAAAGGCATCTGTTGCTGTTATCGGCCTAGGAGTGGGAGGAATGGGGAGTAGGGAGTGGGAATAGGAATAGGGCATAGGACGAGGGTTTTTCTTTCTTTCTTTCTTTCTTGTTTTCTTTTTCGGCTGTGGACATTGGTGTTGTTGGTTGGGAATATTCCTGGATAAAGCATATTCTGAGGGTTGGAGTTGGGTTTATTGAGTACTATAAAAGATGGACGGGGTTAGATGGGCGGGGGCATCCATCCATCATGGCGGCTAGATTAGATATGGTTGGAGTTTTGGACTTATTACTGCAGTGATTGATTGGTATTGGGGGGAATGCGGGTTATGATTATGAATATGGTTCGGAGGTATATATATATATACCTATGGTGTGGAGGGGGGGGGGGGGTTTCTTGTATATTTTTGGTATACCCATCTGCCCTTTTCTTTTTCCTTACATTAGATTGATTATCTTCATCAAAACTTACATGAGATACTTTTTTTTTTAGGGAAAAAAAAACAAAAAACGACAAATGAATGGGTTGGATGCAGATTGCAGACAACAGAATGAATAGAAAGCATAGTAGGTAGTAGGTGATGGGTTGGCCTGCAAGTAAGTAGTAACTAAATAACAAATGTTATTATCAGAGCTTGATCTCAGAATGTATATACTACTATACTACTATATAGCATTCACCTCACAAATAACAGCTCTATATAGTACAAAAGCAATCTGCTTAAAACCAACCCCAACCCCAACCCTCTATAAAGCTTACCCCCTACCTATATATTTACCTTTCTACCTATATTTACCTTTCTACCTATTTATCATACTGGATGGACTGTACAAGAAAAAGGGAATGAAGATTTGTTAGAAAATCAAGTATGTAAATTAATATATATCCGATATCGACGTCGAAACTATATATATAAGTAATCAATCATGCATGCGTGAATAGAAAGAGAAATTGAATCTCAAAAGGGTATTTCGCATTGAAAGAAAGAGGAAGGATAAGGATAAGGATAAGGGTGATATGAGGACTGAGGGGAAAGAAAGAGATTAGAGGAGTAGATGGAAGGGGATCGAGAGAAAGGAGGAGGAGGAGGAGGAGGGGAGAGGAGAAAGAGGAAAGTGTATACCCATTCACTCACTCACTCACGGCTGGCTGCATGACTGTTGGTTGCCCAGCTCACCCCCCACTACCTCCGCATCATATGTCCCTGCACCGGCGGAGGCATCATGCCATTGGCATTGGCATTACCATTACCATTACCACGTGCAAAGACATAGCCACTGTTGTTTTGGGGGTGGTGGTGGCGGTTGTTGGTCTGCTGCATGTTAGCAACCTGGCGCGCATCACCTGCTACTCTCTGAGCTGGGAGTTGCTGACTCGCATCCAGTTGCTTTTTCTGCATGCTCTGAGCGTGTTTCACCAGCTCGGCGGGGTCGATAGAAAAGTTTCCTCCGTTGGCATCCAGCACATTCGTCGGGGGCACCTGCATCTGAGCATAGTAGCTCTGGAGAGCAGTGTCATAGGCTGGCATCCCAGACTGGAAGGGAGTGGTATGTTGGGAATAGCCCGTGGTCTGGAGAGGACCCATGTTCTGGGGATAGCCCGTGGCCTGGGGAGGGCCCGTATAATGGTGGTGCAGGAACTGAGCTGGATTAATATATGAATTAGCCTGGGGTTGGGGTTGGGGTTGTGGTTGTGTGAAGTGATGACGTCCGAAGGCGCCAGCCCCGGTTGGAGATCCTTGCATGAGATTGGAATTGTATGGCACGGTGCTGGTATTAGCAGGAGCCATTGGGGGTTGGAAGTAGCGCCCCATGTTGGGGTTGGGCACTTCTTGGGCCATTGGCAATTGCCAGGGGAACTGTTGTTGGTTCGGAGGCGTCTGCTGTTGCTGCTGCTGCGGCAGTTCTGATGCTGGGGCTGGGGCTTTGAATTCCTCGTCGTATAGGAAAGGGAGTGCGTCGAGTTCATAGCTCGGAAAGTCCAGGTCCTGTTGCTTTTGTATCCCTGATTGACGGAGCAGATCTTGGGCTGTTGGTATCTCAGGTTGATTTGGCTGCTGCGTTAGCTCCTGGTTGATATCCATCGTGCTCTTGTTGATCCCTTTCGTTGGCCCTTCGTTGACCAGCTGTTTGAGCGCATCTGTTGCCTCCTGATTGACCACCGCCTTCTTCGCTCCCTTCTTTGGTGGTGGTGGTGGTGGCTGCGATGATCCACCCGTTGGATTCTTCTTCTTCTTGACCACCAGGTTTGCTAACTCCACTTGCTCCGATACTTGTTTTTCCCCTGTCAGGAAGTTATTATCCTCGAAGTCCGCGATTTCGTCGAGATATTCGGGGGTTTTCAACCCCTCTTCTTCTTCTTCATATCCTTCTTGCTGTTCCAATTCGTCTTCCGCATCTTCTTCCTTCGCCTTAGCCTTAGCCTTACCCTTTCTCTCTTTCGCCCCCTCTTTCTTCCCCTTCCTCTTAGCGGTTTTCTTGCCCTTCCCCTTCCCTTTCTCTTCTTCCTCTCCCCCTCTCTCATCACCTTTATCTTTATCTTCATCTTCATCATCAGTATCCACCCAATCTGGCTCATCATCAGAGATGTAATGGCGATAGTAGTACAGCTGCATTTGTAATTGTCGGCGCTGACTCATTGTAAGCGGTATGCGTTCCTGAACCGCTATGTGTGACAGCGGCATAATTTCCTGCCGATCTTCGTTCGGAGACCAATATTTAGGAATCTCGCCGGAGCCCCGGGGGTCTTCTGGAGGGTTGTCAGCCAGGAACTTGGCCACTTCTTTCTCCCACGATGCTTGCCGATCTTGTCTTAACGTCCGTTGATTCATCGGGGCACCAGTCTGGGCGTCCCAGTGCATGGGTTTGTCGTGAAATTGCCCGTTAGGCTGATAATAACCCTGTATAGTGAAAGCGGTTACTATAAGGGGACTGACTTTGTTCTTGCGGGGGTATAGATAAACATTTGGGGGGGTTACGATACTTACATGAGCTTCAAGTTGCTCTCTTAGAGCCTTGGCTCTTTCGGACTCTCCTTTCAGGTAGTAAGCGAATTTCCTCACCAGCTCATTCATCTCATCGAGTTTCAGTTCTAATATGAGGTGCCATGAGCGAGGCCGGGTGAGATTTGATACAGGACTCGTGTACATGCACGCGTACCCGTCTTCCTCACATCTGTCGCAAGTGACTTCACCACGACTGCAAGTAGTTCTTCGGGCCTGATGGAAGTAGATGTTAGCTCATGGCCGGTGACAGTAGCAGAAACAGCAGTCAGAATAACAATAACAACAGTAACGCTGAAGAAAACACATACCTTGCACCGATCACAGGCTATGATTGTTCTCGATGGCAATGTCTCGTTGTGCTCGCGTACCCTTGCTGAGTAGTCAACCGTGGAGGTTTTGAGGATGTTCGCATCAATGGACTTGGTCGTTTTGAACTTTTTTGATCTCGACTTGGAAGCTTTTTTACCTGAGCCACTGCTCTTCTTCTTCGTGGTTTTCTTCTGGGACTTCTTGTTGGTTTTGGACTTTCCGGACTTCACGGTGTCCTTGCCTGCAACACCGGTCTCATTCTCAGGGGTTTCATCCTGATTTTGGACTGCACTGGGGTTTGTATCTTCGGGTTGGCTCGTTCCGGCCTTTGGAGTCGAGGCAATGCTGATAACGAGCGGCAATTCAGCCTCAGTGGACTCAATCGTCTGATACTGCTCGTCATTGACAGGAACAACTGCACCTTGGCCAGTCTGAACGGGTGCATCCGGGATAGCCAGGCTCTCTGGTAGCGGGAGCTTAGCCATAACTTCCTCGAATTCCCGCTGGAAAGAAGAGTTTGTACTATTGAACAAAGCGTCGTTGTCCACGAGAAAAGTGCTAAAATCGACATCTGCCAGTGAGGCTCCGACAGAAGGGAGGTCGAAGTTGTCGGGTTCGAGTCTCGGCTTCAGGGACGGGGATCCATCGTCACCAAGGCCGGCTTGGTCTGACTTTCTCTTGAGATCTTCAGTCATTTCGATGAACTTACCGGGAACGACTGGAGTTTCTCTCTTGGATGGGTGCCACAGCAGGAGGGCTTTCTTGAAATATGTAAGATAGTAGTCGACGGATGTCGGCCGTATGGTAACTTGATGAAAGATGCCGATGATGATTATTATCTCGAGGGAGGACAATCGTCCCAGCTATATACCTTTGGGAGTAGTCCCATCGTGTCCCATCATTTCCTGCAGACCCCGTCGGTACATGCCTTTTTGCGTTGAGGAACAAAGATGGCGAGCACCATAGGATAAAGATGTATGAACATCGTGGATAAGACAAGGGCCTTGACCAGACTCGGAAGATGACAAAGGCTTTGAGCGCACTCGAAACAATAGACACTTGCCGTAGAAAGGCCGACCATTTGGTGGCTTCCAAGACGGACATTGTCGCTTGACAATGCGATTGAGGCTACAAAAGCCTTTCCAGGCAAGTCCAATGCTTTGATGGGCTCCGCATTGTCGTCGTCGCGGCCTCGGGTATGGTTCGGAACTCTCCTTTGTCTGAACCCAGTACTGGGGAATCGTCCTGAAAGCCTCCTTACCAGCAAACATGCACATCCCCCCATCTGTGTTAGTTCGAGCGACAAAGGTCGAGGACAATAGAAACCGTGATCTTGTTAGCGAAAGAAAGAAGAGACAAGGCCAGACAAGGAAAGGAACAAGAATGATCCAAGGAAAGCAAGAAATACTGCGTTATGCAGTCTCAAGCATTGCATACCCCTTCCAAAAAGATAGTGTCCAAAAAGTGTACGAAAAAAGAAGCTCTTTCTATTCGAGTACGCATGTATCTCCAATGTCCAAAGCCAAGGTACGGGAAAATGAGAGAGGGAATTCAAAGAGTCTCGGAGGAGGTGAGTGAACAAGGAGGATGAATGAGAAAAGAAAAAGGGGGGATCTAAGATACAAGAAGTCAGGAGCTTTTGTCAGCTCCAACATGCAAGATAGTATTACCAAGCCAGTCCCTTATACAATTTATGCTGCCATATGCTCTGTGTCCAGAGTCGAACTCCTCCCATGCCCCGAGTTCCGTGATAACCTGGAAAGCATTCGTGAAAATCATCCCAACCAAAAAGACAAGAGAAAAAAAAAAAAAGAAAAAAGAAAACCAGACAGGCCGGCCTGAGGTAAATGTGCTCCAGATATCAGTGCAATGCAGCTAGACCCGTAACGATCATGAGTCGTGAGTCAGGAAAGAATACCAAGAGAAAACACAACTCCGGGGGTTCCTATACCGAGGCAGCCAAATGAAAGTGAGAAGATGTGACAAGAGATATAGGGCGCGGGTGGGGGGGAGCGCGACAGAGATAAAGGGATGTGTTCGGACATTAGACAATAGATTCTCGAAGATGTGATTGCGTAGCTGCCCTTTGGCCGGGTGCGATATGGTAGTGTTGAGCCGATGAGTCTTGAAGGGGCATGGTGCGGTGGTTCAGCGGAATAAGATCCCATTCAATGCGACGGTCTCGAATGAGATCTTCTTCTCATATCTCTGTGCCCCCCCGGCCTCGAGCCAAGGTGCAAGGTTCTTGCATTGGCTGACGTCAAAGGACTCCAGCTGGTTGCAACCGTCAGCCACTGCCTCAACCCCGGCCCCCGTTACTCGAACGCAGCCACGGACAGAAAGCCGTTTAAGGTGTAAGAGGTGAAGGCCAATGCTGCGCAGGGACGGGTCGGAAATGGCGGAGCCACAGAAGGACATGTTGAGGTAGGTCAGTTGCGAACACTGCAAAGCCAGCACCTCCGTGGCGGTGTCGGAGAGAGCGCAGCAAAATGACTGTCCATTGTTAGTGAGCCCGTCATCATGGGATTCCAGTGGGGCTCCTTACCAGATCCAATTCCTGCAGCTGTTTCGCAGCATTGGTAAGATAGACAATAGCGTTATCCGTCAAGTATGTGCAGTCAGCCAAGCAGAGTTTCCGAAGGTTAGTGAACTGTGCATTACCCCAGAACTGGAATCCTTGATCGGTGATCGTGGTACAGCGGGTCAAGTCCATCTGTTCAATTCGAGACGCAGCGTGGGACGCAATATGGTGCATCGACCGGTCGGTGACGTGCTTGCAATAGGACAAGGTCAGTTTTCTCAGCTCGGGGCAGCCGAAGACAGTCCCGGCTGCGGTCAGCTTGGTCGGCTTGATCCCCTTCACCGTCTTCCCCGAGTCAGACTGGCCAGGCACGACCCAGCCTATGATTCGAGCTAACAGTGTGTCTCCAACTTTGCGGCAGTTACTTAGATCAACCTCCCGTAATCCGGTCGCTTTGCTGGCCATGTCGAGGATGGCAGATGCAGAGACATCCCAGACACTCTTCATTTTCCAAGCCGTGACGTTAGAGCCACACATTGCGACCAACTTGCTGAACCCCTCGTCCGTGATGTGAAAGCAATTACTGATGTCGATGTAGCGCGGTCTGTTGCCGGCAAAAGGGCAGATGATCTTGACCAGCACATCATCGGTGATGCACCGGTTATATGCACTCAGGTTCAGGAAATGCAGCAACTCCGTCGATTTGCTGAGGACTTCCGACCAGTGCATGCAGACCGCTCGAAGGCGAAGAAGGTCATGGAGCTCGAGGTACTGGAAGACACGCAAAAGTACCTTGTCAGGAAGGCAGCCGTGGTTATCACGACGCGGCTCACGGACTATTTCCGGAGACACCGGGGACTTGGTAGTCCCCGGCAGCGTGAGAAAAGACGAGCTAGTAGACCGCGGTTCGGATGGAGGTGATGACCGCTGTTGCTCTCCGGAGACCTCCTCCGGCGTCAAAGGAGCAACAGAACTGCGTCGGCTTCGAAGCCGAACTTTGTCCAAGCCAACATTGAGGAAGGGATCCGGATCGGAAGGCCGCAACACGCTCTGTTCGTCCACCCCATGGGGTTTGTGTGTACTGTCCAGTTCGGTTTCTGTTAGGGTCAGAAGCGGCATGGATCGTCTTCGAGAAGCCCTGAGTTTGAAGGTCTCATCCGCCCCGGACTTCTCAAGAGGTGGCTCATCGTTTCCGGCTTCTGACATCACAACATCGCCATCGGACGCTGCTTGAAGCCGCTCCTTGGCAGTTCGTTCCACCTGCTCACGAACTTTCGGAGGACACCTCTCCCAGAATTCCACCAGCACCTCACCACTGATCATCAGACATTCCACCGCGCTGATGGAGCGCACAGTGGCCGTTCTGCGTGGTGCCAGCGAGAGACTCACGACCTCGCCGAAGTATTGCCCCTGCTTCAGTCGTGCCTTCACCTCGAAGCCGGGATGCTCGATCGTGTTCGGGAGGGAGTGGGACTGGTGGGTTTGTGGCCTTTCCGACAAGACTTCGACTTCCCCGCGAACAAGAAAGTAGATTTCCCGACCCTGAGAATCTTGCTTGATGATGTCGGTGAAGGGGGGGTAGGACCGCGGTTGCGCATTCAAGCCCAGGAAATGGAGGATATCTGGCGGCAGGCCGGCAAATAGCGGCAGCTCCTTGAGTAATAGACGGACATTGACCAGTCCGTTGGCCAGAGCACTGGAGGATCCATCAGCCAATCCAGGACTTGGGGATTTGCGCTTCTTATTGACGGACTTCAAGCTTCGGCCGTCCTGATCGCTGAGGTTCAGGTCGCCGGAGAAGGCATCCCGCAATCTCTTTGAACCTCTTCGAGCCGGACTCACGAGATCAACTGACGGTACAGATGTCTCCTTTTTCTTCTTCTCCAAGATCATCAACCGCTCCTGTGCCTCGTCTCGGATGGCCCGCTCGACGTCCGGGAAACGGGGGAGGATCTTCCGGAAATCCTCCTTGGTCAGGACGACAAGCAAGCACCGAGTGCGGGCGACGATGGTTGCGGTCCGCGGGCGATCCATGAGCACGCCGATCTCGCCAAAGAAGGCCCCCGGCTCGAGCTCCGCGTATATACTCTCGCCATCGCGAGACGTCACCGACACGGCACCGCGGACCAGCCAGTAGATAGCCTTGGCCTCGTCCCCTTCGGTCAGGATATAGTCGTTGGCGGCATGAAGCTGGGGGCGCAGGTGCTGGCCGACGTCGATGAGGAAAGATTCCGGGGTGGCCTGGAAGAGCGGGAAGGAGCGTAACCGGTCGACGAGGTCCAGCGGGAGAGCTCGGATGTTGGACGAGGTTAAGGGCGATGGGCGTACGGGACGATTGGGGTTGGTGATGGAATCAAACGAGTGTAACAAGGACGCAGTGTCGGAGATGGGCGTGACGGCTTTGGTCGAGCCACCGCTAGCTCTGCCATGGCGCCGCATGATGGATCGGTTGTGAGACCTTCCAGGACAGGCAGGAGGCGCAAGAACAAAGAAGAGTTGGCGAGGAGGTTCGCGAGGGCAGCATGTAGGAGTGTCGCCGGATCAGCGATCAATGGGGGGAGGGGGGGGGGGCGATGACGTCGACGAGATTGAGAGATCACGGGAGCTTTTAGAAAGACATGTTGCTTTCGAGTGCGGGGGGGAAGGAGGACGGAAGGAGGGAGGGAGGGAGCTGGGGAGGGAGGGTGGGGGAGGATGAAGCATCCAGGTCGAGGTTGAGCGAGGCGAGCGGGAGAGGAGGAGCAGTTGGGAGAATGGAGGTGGGAGTGGGCTTCTATGCGACAGGCACACAGCGCAACGACGAGGGCGGGCAAAGAGCGGTAATGCGAAGCAATTCCAGAGAAGGGCCGAAGAGCATGATGAGAGGAGCTAGCCTGGGTAGTGGCTATTAGTTGGTTCGGTTGGGTCAGTCTAGCCGGGCGGACCAGAAGATGCAGCAGCCATCAAAGCGGGGAGCGCCAAACGTCAAGTTACTTGGAAGCAGACAGGCTGAGACACGGTGTAGGTCCCTCTGACTAATCCACCCCGAGTCAATGACGATTCGATCGAAGCTGCCTGGCTGCCTCAGTCATCTCTACTATCTTAGATATAGTCCTGTACCGAGTTGGTCACACCGTCACCCGATTATCTACTCTCCCCAACTCCCTCTCACCCTCACGGGAAGCCTCACCCAATAATTGCTCACCGTTGAGAAGGACGTGCGGCCGAACAGAGTGGATTCAACCGTCCCAGATGGAACCCGACAGCGGGAACTCACGGCTCTTGTGCGTTGCTTGGTGGGGGGGAATGCCTCCAAAACGAAACACCGGTCTGGAAATAATCATCTGAAGATTAAGAATAATCACCCAATAATCAAAAAAAATCCCGGCAGAGCTTCCTCCCCAAATCAGCCACACACATCCATCCAAGGCGTGGTCAGGTAGTGACAGGTCAATTTGTTACGTGGTCGCAGATGAGTCGATACTTTCTAGATACTGCCCAGCAAAAAAAAAAAAAAAAAAAAAAGGGCAGGTACTTACGGTCTTACGGAGTACCACTGGCTGGAATGGAGATCTGCCAGGGCCCTCGCGGCTGGGGTTTCATTGGACTGGCCGCCTGGCTTAAGGTTGGTCGAAGCTCATGGATCGCCTGTGTTCTCCTGCATTGGCCTGCACCACCGGGTAGATTTTCACTTTGAAAACCCCCCCCCGGTCAGTCAACCTCTACAATTTCTGCGAGCCTCGTCGAAGCCTGACATGGGATGGACTTCTCAATTCTCATGCTTGGTCCCCTGCATGCCAGGATTCCAATCATGGCTGACGGAGCAGCGCCGGGATCCGTGCACTCCAGCTTGAGAGTGAGCTGGACCAGTCAGGTGATTGATACGCGCGCAAGAGTACTATTTTGGGATGGAGATGATCTCGTTTTCATTCCAATCATTCCGCTGGCAGGAATGAGCGGGACTAGATATGTCCTGGCTTACTATCAACACCTGCGGAGACGAGAAACAAGAGTATCATGCTTGACCTCGTCCTAGATCCCCTTCCAGTTCCTGGCGCGGTTGCTGTCGCCTAAGCAGCGTCCTTGTTCCCTTGACAGTCCAAGCACGTGGACGTCATCTGGGGCTCGTTCCAGCCAGAGTGCCAGTTCTCAGGATCGGATTGCACCGGATGGCTATAGGGATCAACAACCCTGTAAACGAAGAGCGGGGAGTCGAGTAGTGAGGCAGGGTTGTGCACAAAGGCCCTGGCAATTCCCATCCATATGCTCACACTTGTATCCATGAGGAGCAAAAGCTCTCACTCGTACCAAAAGGACGCTTATTGCGCCGCGCAAGGTCGGGGTAGCAGGGTGAATAAACTCCATGACAGAGCCGGTCGCCCCATGCAGACATTCAGAAGCGATTAACACAGCTCCCTACTTGCTCACTCCGGCTTAGACGGGCGGCTTCCCAAAAAAAATTCCATGTAGGCCGGACGATTGCCCTTCGACAACTCCAAAGCATCCTGCAAAACCCCATACACCAAGCTTGCTTTCAAACCAAGCTTCGCTGTCCGAGCCGCCGTATAGACATCGTGCCGAGCTGCCCAACAACCAACAAATTAGCACACAACCTCCAAACAACAGAATCAAAGTCAACGTACCCATCAAGCTATAAAGACCTGAAAGCGACAACCCCGCCGTAACGGTAGACAGGAAATCCCTCCGATCGTGGCGGGCATAATCCACCGTCTCCTCAAAAAGACAGAACACCGTAGCTCCAATGCCCAACCTCGCCCCCATCCTTGCCCCTTCCTTCATGCCCCCAAGCAGAGACACATAGTTCTTGGTCTTGTGATACTGGAACCACCCCTGCGTCGACGAGGGAAACCGATGCGCGTTCTCCGCCCGGAACTGGTAGCCCGCGAGCTTTTTGCCGTGCGAAAACCCGATCACCATACCCGCACAGAAGGCGGAAGTGAGTGTGTATGAGAGACGATCTTCGAGGTTGATTCCGAGACGCGGGGGCGCGTCCGATTCGAATAGTTTGTCCAGGTTGAGGGCCTTGAATAGGGATTGAGGTTTGCGTGGGCCCGCGGGTAAGTCTTGGTTATCGATCGGGGGTTGTTGGCTGTCCATGGTGAAGGAATTGACTTGCGATCTGGACAGGTGAGGCTTGCCGTGCGTCAAGAAATTCCGGCGACTGTGCGTCAGTGGGTGGGTGAATGGATGGGTGGGTGGGTGGGTTGGTGAATTGGATTGGAGGTGATCAGCTTCTACGGAAATAACGGAGGTTGGAAAGAGCAAAGTCGCGGGACCGCCTGAGCGACGGTTCGCCGACTGACTTCCGCCCGCCGCCTCGAAAAGCTCCCGAGGCCCCGCTCGAGCTCAACTGAGTATCAAACCGGAATAATCACCCGTCTACACCATGGTAATTTCCTTGCTGTTGTTCGGTTTACGCGCTATCAAGTGAGAGCTACTAACATGATCTATCTCGATACAGTCTCAGGCCGACCCCGGACATTGGACTCTCTTGTTCAAGAAGCACAAGACCACCGTGCTTCTAATGCTCCCGCCTTCTGAGACGATCGCCACGACCAAAGAAGCTCTCCTCAAGGCCCTCCAGTCCCGCGGCCTGAAGGACATTAACGGTGACATCGTCCCGGAAGACCCATCTGAAATTGAATTTGGCGTTGCGATGGACAGGAATGACCTCGAAAAAGGTTGGATAAGATTGGAGGCCGAGGTCCCGGAGCTCGATGACAGCGACACACCGAAACGCGGCGCTGCGAAAAAGAAGGCCGCCGGTGGCCTTACACTAGAAGCGGCGGATATCAGGAACGGACAGTCGATCGCTTTCAGGTTCCGGGAGTCCAAGGGAGAGGATGCCGCGGAGGGAGACGAGATGGCTGATCTTGGGCTGGATGATGCGGGCTGGGATGTAGTTCTACCGAGCTTCGAGGACGAGGAGGAGGAACAGGACTGAGCCGTCTATCTCCCGTTCTTCTTCAGCTCGGATTCTGGCGTTCTGTTATATTTTCGGGACTGGCGCATAAGGTTCGAATGCACGGCGTTGGGAAATCGGTATAGCTATTATTAGGAAGAAATATATAACGATGTGACCAACACCGACTTGGATAATCAATAGATTGTATGGCTTTATTTATCATTGGTGATGAACAACGAATCCATTGGGATTGTGTCATCTCAAAACCTCGAATGATGACGTTGCTCCAAGGGAACCCGCTTGCTCTTATTAGAGTATGAATCAGGGATAACTATGTAAATCATGCAGACTCGGTCCAAGACAAAATACTATGTAAATGACTGATGTCTCCCGACTTTGCCCAGATTTAGGTCGTTGTTGTGCTGTGGCCCAGTGTATCAATCAGGAGCAAACAGAACCAAAGGCCGGATTCGGGATAGATAAGATACCTGATGCACCAGGCCCCTCTCGTTATTCTGCCGGTAGAGACTCGCGAGTACTACCCATCACAAACAAAAGCAAGGAACGCATCAATGAAGACAAGGGATGCATCCAATCATTTCAACAACAGTCGCGCGGAACCAGCCAATCATGAAACACTTGAGCGTGTGCATGACGCAAATATGCGTGGGCTTTGGGTTATGCCACGAATCCAAAAGACATGTCGTGGACGTGGATGTAAGCCCACGACGAAATAGTGTTATCGACACGACCGGTGGTTGCCTGGAGCAACAGGCGGTGGAAAACAAGGCGATGTCAACAGTCAGGCGGAAGCTCGAACTAGTGCCTCAGTGTCAACTCAACAGGGGAATCTCTGGGGCCGTCGGAAAAACAGGTCCACAGTCAACATTCTTCCATTGTCGAATCCTCGACTCTTATCTGCTCCCATTTATTGCCCCCCCTCTCCCTATCATTCGCCTCGCCGACGGTGCAGGGCGTCGCGAAGTCCCCGGATAGCCGACCTCCGCGTTGAAGACTCGTTCCGCGTTAGCTCTCCTCTAGAGGGACGTGACGCCTGTGCTGTCACATAATACTAACAAAATGGCCGACGCTTCCTCCATCACCGTTGCGGTCCGAGTCAGGCCCTTCACGATTCGGGAAGCCGCGCAGCTCTCCAAATGTCAAGATGGCCCACTGTTCCTGGGTGACGGGTCTTTGGCCGGAGCACCGACACCCAAGCTCAATCAGAAGGGACTTCGATCTATCATCAAGGTCATTGATGATCGATGCCTGTGAGTTGAACGCGTTTTGGTATGCCACGTCATTGGCGTGATCTAACGGAGTATTGCACAGTGTGTTCGACCCCCCAGAGGACAACCCGGTCCAGAAGTTTTCGAGGAGCGTCGTCCCCCAAGGAAAACGCGTCAAGGATCAAACATTCGCTTTCGATCGAATCTTCGACCAGAATGCCTCGCAAGGCGAGGTCTACGAGGCCACCACCCGAAACCTTCTCGACAGCGTCCTCGACGGATATAATGCCACGGTGTTTGCATATGGCGCGACGGGATGTGGAAAGACGCATACTATCACCGGCACAGCACAACAGCCGGGTATAATTTTCATGACGATGCAAGAGTTATTCGAGCGGATAGACGAGCGATCCGGAGAGAAGGCGACTGAGATTTCGCTCTCGTACCTGGAAATTTACAACGAGACAATTCGCGATCTCCTGGTTCCCGGAGGGAGCAAAGGAGGACTGATGCTCCGGGAGGACTCCAACAAATCGGTTTCGGTGTCTGGTTTGTCTAGCCACCACCCGCAAAACGTGTCACAAGTGATGGATATGATTATGAGGGGCAATGAATGCCGCACCATGTCCCCGACCGAGGCCAATGCCACATCCTCGCGGTCGCACGCCGTCCTTCAAATTAACATTGCTCAGAAGGACCGGAATGCCGATGTCAACGAGCCCCATACCATGGCGACGCTAAGTATCATTGACCTTGCGGGTAGCGAGCGTGCGAGTGCAACGAAGAACCGCGGTGAGAGATTGTTCGAGGGTGCAAACATCAACAAATCTCTCCTCGCCCTGGGAAGCTGCATCAATGCACTGTGCGATCCTCGAAAGGCTAGCCACGTTCCCTACAGAAACTCAAAACTGACTCGTCTGCTGAAGTTTGCGCTCGGCGGTAACTGCAAGACAGTGATGATTGTCTGTGTCAGTCCATCAAGCCAGCACTTTGACGAGACGCAGAACACATTACGGTATGCCAACAGAGCGAAGAACATCCAAACGAAGGTCACGCGAAACGTGTTCAATGTGAATCGCCATGTCAAAGACTTCCTGGTGAAGATTGACGAGCAGATGGCTTTGATCAACGAATTGAAGGCTCAGCAGAAGGATTCTGAGAGGGTCGCCTTCTCCAAATTCAAGAAACAGACCGAAAAGAAAGACGCCGTCATTCGCGAAGGAGTGGCTCGTCTTCGCAACGCATACGAGCACTCACAGTCAGAGAGGCAGGAGCGGACGAACAACATGATTAAACAGAAGCAGGTCAGTCGACGGATCGGACTGCTGTCTTCGTGGATCGCCGCTTTTGACCATGTTTGTGCATGCTCGGAGGTCGACGAGGCACTGTCAAACCTCAAGGCAATCCGAAAATCCGCGCACGGGAAACTTCTCGAGCTGGAGAGTAGTAGGCAGCATTACCATCAAAGGCTAGCCAAAAGCACGTGGGATCGCAGTTTGAACTCTGCGGTGGAACACGCCATCCGCCAGCTCCAAGACTTCGATATCAGGGACAACAGCGACATTGCCATTATCGAACGTGAGGCGGACCTTTTGAGATCGAGCACTGAGCGCGATGCCCTGGCGGCAGTAGCAGAATATGACAAGGCGGGCGAAGCGGCTACTATACAACAACTTCTCCAGGCCCAGTTCGAACTGATGACCGAAATCGAAAATCTCATGCAACTGAGTGAGGAAGAAGCTGTCGAGCAGGGACAGAAAATGCTCGCAAAGATGCTCAATTCCGCTTCCATCGCAGCATCCAGCATCGTGAAACCAGATGGTGGCGCAACACTTGCTCCGCCATTCAGCCCTGTTAAGATGAGTTCACCCAAGCAGAAGAAGAGACTGAGTCTCGCGACTGCGTTGCCTACAGGCCGAGCTATGCATGCGCCGGTCTTGACTCCCTCAGCGGCACCGCCTTCCCCTTCGAAGGGATCCCCTCGACGTCGCAAGCTGAACGTGGGAAGAAAGAGTGTCAGTTTCTCGCCGAAGAAACCCCTAGCGAAGCCAACCAAGAGAGGAGTGAGATGGAAGGATGATGAGGACGAGGGCACATTGACGGAGTTCCAGAAAACTCCCCAGAAACCGCAAATTACCACGATACCAGAGAACAGCCCCAACGAGCCCACACTGCCCCGGACATCGCCTATTCCGCGAGGAATTCCAGTGCCGTCTCGGAACTTCAGCCCTTCGGGCGCCTCGCCTCCCATCTCCGCCATCCCAGAGCCCACTCTTAATATCCAGAAGAACAACCGATTCAAGGCCGGGTTCTTGACCAAAAAAAACAGCAGCTCTCCAATAGCGCCACCTCCCACGTCGACGCTCCCGTTGTCCGGCAGCGATGGCTCGCCCCTCCGCGACATTGAGGGCAGCAGCTTCTTGAACCGGAGTTCCATCGAGCGGCCGTCTCGGATTGCGGTCAGAACTTCGAGTGGAAGCTACACCAGCAGCCCGGCATCCGACACCAAGAACAGCTGGACGGCGAGCAAAGATGATGCGCTCAAGATTACCTCTGCCATGAGGCGGATCTCTGGAGGGTCCTACGGTGTGGGAGGCTCAGCCAACGCGCTTCGCATTCACCGGCGACGCAGCCCGACATCGAACACATACGGAAGCTCCCCGACCGAGCACAACACCATGAACACCATGTTCACGTCCCACGCAAGGCGACTGGTCAAGAGCGAGAAAGAACTAGAGGGCAAGCCCAGGGTGCTGAGTCCTCGCACCATCCCCATAATGAAGAACACAAATCGGCGTACCACATTCGGAGGAGAGATCCGACCACGGGATATCAGCTTCGCAAGCAGAGACGCCATAAGGCTCAGCACGATGGCCACCCCCAGCATTGAGAGGCCCTCCGAGGGCCTCTACGGTGCCGGGTTTGGATACAGGTAGACCATCGCTTTCTAACTCTTCTTTCTATTTTCTTTGTTGGTAGGCAGGTCGGCAGGACGGTGTTCAGGGGCGGATACCACGCGCGTCACGTTTATGTTGAGATGCAGGCCGAACGATCTGAGATCCGGTCTTTCCCTCCTTCCTTCATGTTTCTTGTTTGTTTCAGGGTGGTGTGCCTCATGCAGAGCTTGGAAAGACACAAAGACACCGTGATTTCATTCCCCCTCGATGTTAAATGGTACTTCTTTCATGGCATATATTACTCTCGGGACGTGTACAATAGCAGGACGAATATTTTACCCGGTCACTTTGTATGCAGGATGGAATAGCTGGGATTAATGTGGACTCGAGACCATTCCACCCACTTTTAGTAACTTCTCAATTGCTTGGTACCATCTACTAGTACAGAACTACAACGAACCGGTGGCGCCGAATGTTCCGAGGCGGTTCTAGAAGCCGGCCGTCATTATGTCATGCGGGATGACGCCACTGGACCGCGTCCATGACAAATTCGCAACGGCCACTTTCCAACGCGATCGACTGCATCCTTCGTATCTGCAGCTCATCTTATCTCCATTTCCTCAACTGTAGCTGACGCGCCAATTCATCCCCATATCCTAACCGAAGAAAAGAAAAACCCCTACGTGCCCTCGTTCCCGCCCCTGCGACGAATTTGCCGGAGCCCCTCCCGGTAACTAAAATTGTGGTGGAGCAAGCAAGCAATCGAGTACGTATAAGAAAACCCAACAAATAACCATAAAACGGATGGCCTTCGCTGCGCCCGCATTGGGATCGACTCTTTTCTCACGCATCCTCCGTCCCTTCTCGACGACTAGCTCGCCTTTCCAGTCCGTGACCTCTCCGTCAACAACCGCCGCCAACATGTCGCAAACCACGCAGACGGCGACCGTGGCCGCCGGGTGCTTCTGGGGCGTCGAGCACCTGTTCCGCAAGAACTTCGGTAACGGGAAGGGTCTGCTTGATGCGAAGGTGGGATATTGTGGTGGGAGCAGTGCCTCTCCGTCGTATCGGGCTGTGTGCACGGGTGAGACTGGACGTGAGTTTATATAATCCTAAACCTCCTGCGGACATGATGGCTGGATTGATAGATATCGATGCTAACGGATTCCTTTTCTCACGGGAAAACAGACGCCGAAGCCCTCCAGATGACATTCGATCCCTCCATCGTGACCTACCGCTCCCTTCTCGAATTCTTCTACCGCATGCACGACGCGACGACCCTTAACAGCCAGGGCCCCGACGTCGGCACGCAGTACCGCAGTGTGATCTTCACCCACGGCGACGAGCAGTTGCAGATCGCCAACGATGTGACAGACAAGGTCAGCAAGGAGTGGTACAAGGAGCCCGTGTCTACTGTCGTCGTGCCGGCTGGCCAGTGGTGGGATGCCGAGGAGTACCACCAGCTCTACCTGAACAAGAACCCTGCCGGATATGAATGTCCTGCTCAGTATGTGAATCCTCTTCGAATTACTCTGGGAGTGGGTTGCTAACGCTTGTAATCCTCTTTTTACCGCAGCTTCGTGAGATCCTTCCCTCCGCTTTCCGCTTGACTCGGAGCCGGTGCTAGGATTTAGGCAGTCTAGGTGTAAGGGGTGTGAATTTGCATCATTGCATGGGGTTTGTGTTGGGGGTGCGGCTCTGAAGTGAGTTCATGTGGTTGTTGGTGGTGGTGGTGGTGGTGGTGGTGGATAAAGAGGATGTGTGTGGTTTGTACAGTTCTAATAATAGGGAAATTATATCCAGTCTTTGTATAGCTCAGAATCAAACACGGGTGCTGCTCTCGGCACTTGAGAAATTGTTTATTTTGCATGAAGGGGGTCCTTGGGTAGTCTTGTCTTTGTGCTGTGTTTGTTGATATGGTGAGTTTGGGGGGCGCGTATAATGCCACTTTATATGGTTCTGAAAGTATGGGGAGAACCGGGTAAGTGACTTTCCTCCATGTAAGATTATAAACCAGTGAATGAAGAACATCATGGGTATCATTTCTGAGATTACTTGTTTCTCAATTTCCCGGTCTTGCGCATTAGGGGATCTATACCCCGAGGGTACGCAACCAACGTTGATACTTTATTCACAACTGTGATGGGAGGAGATTAGCCTACCTTCCTTGTACTCGCCTTCGAGTCATCTTGATAACAGAAGCTCCATATACACAGCGCAAAGGACCAGCGTGTGTATGTGAGCCAAGGCTAACGACTCTGACACTGGCAGCGCCGCCAGAAGTTCTCTATACAAGCCATAGAGCCGAATTTCCAATCCTGAACCAATCTTCCAGACATAGAGCCCTTTCCCTATTTGGTGTAAAGTCCAGTGACAGTCATTGGGAACTCATTCACTGAGGTTGTATTGACCCAGTCGTGACAAGCGAGCAGGGCGTTAATGGGCCCCCCTCCCCCTCCTCCCTTTTCCCTCTTCTCTTCCCCCCCAAGAGCCTCGCTTTCTTCTTTCCTCTCTCTTCCCACCCACCTGTCTTTCTCCCCTCTCCCTTCCCTTCCTCCCCCCCTCCCCGTCTTTCCCTTGCTCTTCTATTCAACATAGGACTCAATTGACTAGCACTGCGGTTATTCTCTGCAACTTGTTTCCTTTTTCTCTTCCTGCTAAGCTGGGTCTGTCCCGAGGGTGTCGTTTCCCCAGGCACGGCAGCCCCCCAGCGTATAACACACAGTCTCCGACGCGTCTGATTCCTGTCTGTCTATTCACTTAGCTCTCCCAGCTTCGTCACCCGCACCTTCACGGCGGACTCTGGTCTTTCGTCCTCACACCCCTTTGTCAAGGGGATATAAAGGCAGAAAGATACCTTGTACAGGACTCAGATCACCACCTGAGCTGTCAAAATGAAACCCCGCTCTATCGATACGGCCATGGCTGAAGCCTTGAGCAATCTCAACCTGATCAGCAGCCATGTATGTTCTTCTGTAGCCGAGTATGGTCGACAAGAAGGGAGACGTTTTGCTGATTCGGGCAGTTCCGCGACCATGGACAGCACCAAGCTGCTAACGAGATCGGAAAGCTGAGCATCATGATCGTGAACAAGTTCTCTGAGGGCATCGTGAATATCCCTGCAGAGGAATATGCTGTGGAGAAGCCGGTAAGCACTTACCTTCAACTTGTGGGGCATAATATGTCTCATTTGGGTACAAGGACTGAATGATGATTGCAGCAAGCTGGTCCCAGTCGAGTCACTGTGCCTGCCCAGTTCCCCGACTTCAACCCCCTCCAGAAGCGAGCCGTCGCAGCCCTGATGAGTCAGGTTGACAAGGAGAACCGTGACCCTGCCGATACTGAGAGCATTGCAGCCCAGAAGATGCCGGCCCAGGATGAACAGCTTCTTCCGAGTGGAAGCTGGGCCCAGGTCGCCGGCTCGGCACCCGAGGATAGGGCCCTTCCTCGTGACATGGCGCAGTACATGTCACCCATGTCTCTGACTTCAGGCTCTGTGTCCAAGCAGAGCCAGAACAGTGACGGGGAGGGCGAAACGCGCGAACCAGCAAATGCGGAGGCCGCGCTTCCCGCGGCTCTGTTGCCGGATATTCCTGAAGCCAAAGCAGGAGTCATCCGTGTCTACGGAAGAATCACCCGCGACTTTATCCAGTACATCACCACGCGTATCCATGAAGGACCGCTGCAGGACATCCGCGTCGAGACCAATGGAAGGACCAAGGTGACCTTCCAGCATGCGGCTCAGGCCCTTGCTTTCCTGAAGTCCAACCAGGACATGGAGCAGTTGTTGGGATATGGACGCCTTGGTAGCGGCTACCATGTCGAGCTGGCGGAGATCGTGGACTGGAACGAAGACCATCGTCGCATGAACCAGCCTATCCGCGAGCGCCGCCGCCTCTCCTTCGCCAGAAAGAGGCTCTTTGCTGAAGGCATGTCCCCCGATAAGTGGAAGCAGGACATCCGCGCCCTGGCAGGACCTGGAAACATCGATTTCCTTTGGGTCTTCAACTCTGGTAACGGTAAGTACAAGCACGCGTGGCGTTGGCACCGCGAAGGCCGATGCCGGGCTGACCCGATTGCAGCGACTGCCGTGTTCACGAGCACCACCGTGGCTCGCCGCGTGCTGGAGATGTTTGACGGATGGAAGAATGGCCGAAACGTCTACAGTGGCGTCTCGGTGACCTACTCCTCGGACCCGTGCGAGAAAGAGTTGGTGTTGGTTCGTGAGACCAACCGCCCGGGCATGGCCAGAAACTTCGTGAAGCGATCCTTGCGATAACCGCATGCGATTGATCCATGTGGTCTGCAGGTCGCCAGGCGCCACTCACGTTGGCGGATGAAACATCCAAGATCGGTCTTTTCTTTTCCTTTTCCTTTTCCTTTTTTTTTTCTTTTTTTTCCTCTTTCAGTTGACAGGACTTGGCGAGTAACGAGAACGGAAATCCACACACGGAAAAAGAAAACAGAAAAACAAAACAAACCCGACAGCCGGGATACTGTCCTGTCGACTGTTGAGAACAGCGGGGGGGTGGTCCGTTTGCAAGTTGGAAATGTAAGGAATGCTGTCCAGAACTTCCAGACTCCCAAAGTGCTGGAAACAAACAACGTGGTGAAAGGTGTTGCACTTGCATGAGCGTCGACCGACCCGGTCCGTGCCATGCCATACATACTAGGTACTACTACTATCCAGGGCACGGGCGACGCGCACGATAGCCCACTGTTGTTCATTTATGGAAATGTCACGGGATTTTAGGACGGCGGATTACTTTTGCCGACAATGTGTATTAGTTTACTTAGTTGAATTTGATTCACGTGGATGTAGGTCTAATGATTTTAAAGTAGGGTAGGAAGGGGACTGCGGTTGTTTTGAGATGACCAGTCAAGATAAGTAGATAGCAGAACTACCTAGACTACCTGAACAGGAGAGTAAGAGTAACTTTTCCGTGCTATATAATCACCATGCACGCAGTAGGTGTGGTGCATAGGTAAGTAGGTAAGTATGTAGGTAAGTCGAGAAAGATCCACCCGCCGAAATTAAGCTCTATCCCCTGCCTGCCTGCCTGCCAAGTCCCTCTCTTTCTCAGGCATTGAACCTACTTATGTACCAAGTAGATAAGTACAAAGTAAGTAGAGAGAGAGAGAGAGAGAGAGTACCAAGCAACCCGGCTTGCAGTAGGTAGTCTAGGTACTTCCTTAGGTAGGTATTTGTGTATGGTGATTGGGATTGGATTTGCGACTGACTCGCACAGATCGACCCTCATTACGTAGTTACTTGTAAGTACCTACTTATTCATTCATGGCTCATGCATGAGGATGCTCCCCTTGCATGAACGTTTGGTGGTGATGTAAGTAGGGTGGATAGGGTAGGTAGGGTAGGTAGAGTAAGCAGGGTAGGCAAATAAGCAGGGTAAGCAGGGTAAGCAGGCGTATACGTCAGATGTGGGAGGCAGATAGGTAGGTAGGTAGATAGGTGCTGAAGGACGAGGTATGCTGGGATCTTGTAGTGGGTGCGACGGACATACCAAGCTTGGGGGTTTTGTGGGGATGATTAATATTGTTGCTAGGGGATGGATGGATTGCTTGTTGTGGTGTATACACTACACAGTAGTGGTTATGTGGAGGATGGGGGATGTCGCGATGTAGCCAGTTGGGTATGGGATGTTGTGCTGTTAAAGATAGTGAGGGATTGAGTGGGTGGGTGTTGGGCTATCGCGCTCGAGTGGTGTTGATGTTGATGTCATTTCAACTCTGTCGTCTGTCGTGTTGCCGTGTTGTCATGTGTGGGCTGGGGTTGGGTTATGCAGCTGGATCTGGATCTGGAGCTGGATGTGTATGTGTATGTGTATGTGGACTTTTCTTCCTCGTGGATTTGGATCTGGATCATTTAGATACGTACCTACTATCTAAGGTAGATAGTAGATAGATGGAGAACTATTACTGTAAATCTAGCGTGCACCCCTGCATGGGGGGAAAAAAAGGGGCAAAGGCAAAAAGTACAAAGTAAACAAATAAGGTTCAGTAGATAGGACGGACAGGGTTTGCGGGATGTCATTTGCCCAGCAATTCTGCCCGCGATTCGATTTTAGGGCCAGTGCGGAGTTTACTGAGTGAGGTAGGTACTGCAGGTAAAGTAGGTCTCGGTAAGGAAGTGCGATACCTAAGAGATGTTAGGTAGTAGGTATGATGATTAGTGGCAGTGTGTAAATTAAGGATTTGGGGTTGTTTGAGATTAATAGCTGACACATTATTAGTGGCATTGTGGATGAATGGATGGATAGTACTACATGTATGTCACGCAGTGTAGAGTGTAGACTAGTCCGTGCAAGTAAAGTAACGGCTTTTGTCTCAGGGTCAGCCCGGCTGCGATCGAAATCGTTCTTGTTATCTTCGAGTCAGCTTGTTTGCGTCCCCTTCCGGTCGGTCGGTCGCCCTATGAGTTGCCGCTGTGCGCAACAAACAATGTTGTCTGCCACATTCCACACATGCTGCTGTGGCAAAGAGACGTAAGATGGCTAAAAATATCTCTCATCTAGCGTACACAAGATGTTGCTTACTTACTATAGGTTTTTTTCTTCCCTTTTCTTTTTTTTTTTTTTTCTTTTCCGCCTCGAAGGCGAAAAAGGAAAGGAAGATAGGAGAGAAGACGAGAAAAATAAATGCCAACGCTTGGCTTCGAAGCATAGTGTCCACTGACCGAGTCGTAGTGTCGTGTGCCAGCCAGTCCGTCAGATGTTTATCATCCGTGGAACAACAACAACAGCAGCAGCAGCCAGACAATCTGTTCCCGAATCAGGCAGGTGAGGTAATGCGGTATGCGCGCGTGGACAGCAACCTGCCTCCCTACCCGTTGGTGTAACAACAGGCCGTCCTGATTCCGGCGGCAGGTTTGGTCTGGTCGGCAATACTGTTATTGTATCTACTGAGGGTGTAAGACACATGACGGAGGACGGCGTGGCTTGTGCCTACCAAGAGAAACTAAATTGACCGTTCACGAACCAGCCCGATAGATCACACTAGCATTTCAGTTGTCTTGCCCTTATCTATGGGTCAGGGCGGAGTGCCAAGTGGAACCGGTCCCTTGAGTCTCGGTCACGAGTCTGGACAACATATGGTTCGATCGTTTTCGAGCGTGAGAGACAAGCTCCATTGGGTCTAAGACATTGTCATTGTAATTGTGGGTGGACCGTATTGATAGATCCTAGTCACTCGGTGGGTAGATCGGTAGAAATTTCCCAGACACAAATGGGAGAGAAATAATAAGCTGGAGTTTCCATCACCTCACCATATCATCCATCCCCAGAGATGCGGGAAGTGTTTTCAGGGTACTACAGCGCTAGTGCAACTAGTCTACTCCGTAGGAGGAATTGACTTCGGGTGCCGGTGGGGCCAGGGTCTGCCTGCTTGGGGACTAGCGCCGGTGCAAAGGGTCCTCTCGCTGCATGGAAGCTTCCCTAAACAGCAGGCAGGATCCGGATGTCGTAGGATCTGGAAAGCGGAAAACCCTCATCCACGCTACACTACTGCCCGTAAGTAACCTTGTACGCCTTGTAAATACCATACCGTACACCAACCAGCTCCCGGGCTTTCTCTCTCTCTCTGCCTGATCAGAACGAACCCCTGCGGGCAAACACCCCAGAGCATCGTGGATCTAATTAAGCAGCCGTTTCAGATGGCCGTCCCGCACGAGTTGGGACGGACGCATGGATCGGATCCTGGGGAACAAAGGGATAATCCCGACGGTGTCTGCGTGAGAGTGTCACCCCTCGATGGGCTCTCGTGGGTGTCTGTACTAGCAGTAGTGTACCTAACTAACTAGTGCCTTAGTACTTAATAATAGTAGGTAGTGGAGGGGAATACGACAGGCGTATGATGACCTGCATTACCAGCAGATCGAAATTACCTGACAACTGCCCGCTAGTGTGGCCCTCGATTATTGCATCGCACGGCGATACAAATACTACTCCGGGCCCCGTTCCTGCCTAGATAGTAAAGTATATGAGCTCTCCTTTTCCCCTCCCGCTTCGGGCAACTTCCTTTGACCGGCACTCGTGGCACGATCGTTGCTCGTTCACCTTCTCTTCGTTCTCATCCTCCTCTTCTTCTTCCTCTTCCTCTTTCTCCTCCTCTTCTCCCCCTCATTCGTTTCCTCGGCTCCTCCCTCATCCTCATCCATCTCTTCTATCTCTTACCTACTACTACTACTACTAACTATCGACAAACCTACTATCTCTACCTACCTAGCGGCCATAAATTTACTAAACCGTCCCGGTCTCTCATTAATTGGGGCAACCGTTGATTGGGTTCCGCTTATCTGCCCGCCCGGTTCCCATCCACCGCCGTCTTTATATAGAAACCGTTATTTTTATTGTTCCTTGGAACGATCCCCGGAATTTGGTACGTCCATTCCTCCGCTGTGGCCCAGGAACCGTCAACAAAAAGAGCCCGAGATCCATGAATTTGCGACCCTCGTTACTGATAAACTAACCCTGTCCCCCCCTCTAGTCCCTCATTGCACACCTTCCACTCTCATCCTAAAAGGCACTACCTTGCATGCTCTCTCTGGCTCGACTTCCGTCTGTTTCTCAGTAAATTTCCGTCACCATGGTGCGGTACGCTTCGTCGATCCTCCTGGCCTCGTTGGCCGCCACTTCCGTCTGGGCTGCTGCGCCCACATGCACTACCAGCTCCCAGTGCCCCGAAGAGTACCCTTGCTGCTCTCGTGCGTTGGACCCTCTCCTCTAGCCCTACGCTGTATCACCTTACTAACCAACGCTCTCCCCAGAATACGGCCAATGCGGTACAGGTGCTTACTGCCTGGGTGGGTGCGACCCTCTCTTGTCTTACTCTCTTGACTCTTGCGTCGCCGAGCCGGTCTGCGAAAGCCGAACCTACAAGTGGGACAGCCTCGACAACGCAGCGCTGAACACCAAGTACCTCGGAAATGCCTCTGAATACGACTGGGTTTACAGCGGCTACCCCAAGCTGGAAGACGGTAACCTCCTCATCACCATGCCCAATAACACCGTGGGCACTCTCTTTGCCAACAACCACTACATCTGGTACGGCAAGATCTCCGGAAAGGTTAAGAGCAGCCGTGGCGCGGGTGTGGTTACGGCCTTCATCCTGATGTCGGACGTGAAGGACGAGATCGACTTTGAGTTTGTTGGCTCGGATCTGGCAAACGTGCAGACCAACTATTACTGGCAGGGTGTCTTGAACTGTGAGCCGGACCAGGACATAAACCCATAGAGCGACGCTAACATGTTCACAGACGACAACGGTGCCAAGGACGGAGTCAATGGCAGCGACACCTTCGATGATTGGCACGACTACGAGATCGACTGGACCGAAGACGCTATCACCTGGTCGGTGGACGGCACAGTGAAGCGCACCCTGACCAAGGAATCGACCTGGAACGCAACGGCAAACCGCTACCAGTACCCTCAGACCCCGTCAAGAATGCAGCTGTCACTCTGGCCGGCCGGTCAAGCCAGCAACGCCCCCGGAACTATTGCGTGGGCTGGTGGTCAGATCAACTGGGACAGCCAGGACATCCAGGACAAGGGCTACTACTATGCGACATTTGGCGAGATCACTGTCGAATGCTACGGTGCCCCGAACAGCACGGTCTCGACTGGTGACCAGTCGTACGTGTTCACCTCCTCCGATGGGCTTGAGCAGGGCGTTCAGATCACCAACAACAACACCGTTCTTGCATCGTTTGGCGCTACTGGTCTAGATATGGACCTTGGTGCCGGCGATTCCTCCAACAGCACGGGGTCCAACAGCACTGTCCCCCAGAACACGGGAGGAGGGTCTGGAAATGAGCCGGGATCCAACGGTACTAGCACCGGCAGCGGCAGCAGCAGCACGAGCACTTCGACCGGGTTCAGTCAAGGCGGCGACAGCGACAGCAAGTCGAGTGCGGCCTCGTCCCGGAGCGAGCGTGTCATGAACGGCTCGTTCTTTGCTGCCCTGGTTGCAGTTGTTGCTTCGGTCACTCTGTAAAGAGATCCGACACCTCCATCTTCCCTTCTTGGATATTTTTACCATATAGCTTGATTCTCGGCACGACACCGTTCGTTTATGACTTGGCGTATCATTCTTAATCATTTTCTTGTTCTATACCTGGCGCTCCGAACGCCCGTCTTTGATCGGACTTTGTACCACTACTTTATACTTGGATGTCTTGATGGTTCTTATGACAGCGCATGGAGGTTGCGCTAGTTATGTCATGGGCATGATCCGAATACACATACTAATACCCTGTTCCGCTAGATCGGTGCCGCTGACTGAGGTTACTGGTTTTGCTAGAATCAGATGCCACTGTACTGCACTGTACTATACGTCAGTCCCATAAACTGTATATCAGTAGATGTTGACTCTGTAAACTGTATCAGTAGACATTCACTCCTGATTAATCACCAGAATTATGACATTACCTAGCCGACTAGGATGTCGTTGAGACACCATTCTAGTCTAGGGGGTGCGTACCAATCACTTCCAACTCCCGCAAATAGTAGGTTAGCAGGCAACCAGTAAGAAGACACAGACATTGTATATTCAGCCATTGTTCTTTATCTGCGGCGGAAACAACCAGAACAAAGAACTCAACGTGAATACTATGCATACCGCAACGCAACACTAAATTCAGTAGTATTCATATATAAGCCCAAGAAATGTGCAAACCGGGATGGATGATCTCTTCTCTCTTCTCTTGTCTCTGTAACCAAAATCTGGGAAATCGCATACCGGATCTCTTCTCTTGTCTTTCTGGGGTTGAGGTTGGACTGGATATTATCGTATTTGCAGCTTCGGTATTCATTTTTGTTATACAGTCAGTCAGTCAGTCAGTCAGCCATATATCCGTTCATCATCATCCGCCATCCACCATCCAACATCCACAACCATCAGAGCTACAACCACCATCCACCAACCACAACCATCAGAGCAACCCCCACCAACCCCCACCAACCACCCAAAAGTGGCGCTGAGATGAAATAAAATGAAATGAAACGAGAAGAAAAGAAAAGAAAAGAGAAGCGAAGCAATGTGCCTCTACACAGCAACCCACTACCCGACCTGCCAACACACGGAATTCGAGCTGCACGTGTTCTGCCGTGCTGTCCTGGACGAGCTGAACCGGATCAATGACCCCGTGGAGCGCGAGAAGTGGGATATTCCGTTTGATCCGCCGGATTGTTTGCCGAGGTTTGGGGTCAATGTTGTTGCTTGGGGGGTGGGTTGGTCAAGGGGTTGGGAGGGGGAGGGGGTTTGTTTGAGGTGTTTGGGTTTGGGTTTGGGTTTGGGGAGGGGGGTGGGGATGTTGGTGTTGATGTTGATGTTGATGTTGATGTCGGTGGGGGCGATGGGATTCCTAGTGGTGGAGGGGATGGTGGAGACGGCGATGATAAGAACGATGGGGATTGGGTTAACGAGAGTGATGATGAAGATGATGATGACGATAAAGAAGAGGGCGAAGATGAAGGTGAAGAAGGTGAAGAGGAAAACGAAGCTGAAGACGAAGAGATGGAAGAGAGTGATGTGGACGAGGAACTTTGGTAAGAAAGAAGAGGATTTGATATTTGTTTCTTAAGATATTCTGGTCTGTTCTGGTCTGTTCTGGTCTGTCTGTCTCTGTCTCTCTGTCCGTCTGTGTAAAAAATGTTTATTATGGTTTGTGGATTTCCAACTGGGCAAGGTAAAGGATACATCATAATGTGATTTCTTGGGTTTCTTATAATGGGGGTAAGCGTATGTGTGTGCGTAGCAGCAGCAGCAGCAGCAGCAGCAGCAGTAGTAGTCATTGGGTTCAGTTCATGTCATATCATCGGTAGTCAGCAGTCAGTGGGTTTCGCCGCAGCCGCAGTCTCGCTCGGAGAGGCCGCGCTTGCGGAACTCGCCGTGGTAAGTATCCAGGCCCTCGGTCCGGACGTCCTCACCGAGCGGGTCGCCGAGCCAGCCGTTCTCGTCGGTGGACGACGCGGACCACGCGTTAGTGGAGCGGAGTTTCTTGGTGACGCTCTTTACGTCCAGGTCCAGGTAGTCGGCGAGGAAAGCGCCCACTTCGGTGTTCTCGTGGTTGCCGACCAGCGGCCAGGCGTCTTTCAACGAGGAGGCATAGATGTTTACGTCGACAGCTATGATTAGGTCAGTACAGGGTGTGAGAGAAAGAGGAGTGCGGGGAGGTGAGTCTTACCGGAGTGTCCGTGGGTTGCCCACCCGATCTGGGCCCTTCGACTGATAATGTCTGCGAAGACGTACTGAGTATCGTATGGGGAGTTGGGATCGAGCACGGCAAAGACCTCGGCTGTCGTGGCGTCGGTGATGCCAAGATCCTCTTCGAGCAGTTTGCGGACGTATTTGCGCTGCGCATCGTCGTTCGATTCGACGGCGAGAAACTCATTCAGCTTCTTCTTGACGAATTCGGAAGAGTGGCTGGCGTTGGCGAGAACACTTGGGAGCCATTTGTAATCAGGATACTCGGGGTGGAGTTGGCGCGCGGCCGACAGGCCTCCGGTCTCGTGGTCGGACGTGCTCACGACGATGCCCGGGGTGGAGTCCTGGTCCAGGAACTCCAGCACCGCGGCGAATGCCTTGTCGTAGGCTAAGACCTCATTGACTTGTGCGGCTGGGTCGTTTCCATGGCCAGCATGGTCGATGCGCGATCCTTCGATCATGAGGAAGAAACCCTGGTCGCTGTGGGCGGTGGCCTCGCTGAGAGTCTTCAATGCAGTGCGGGCCATCTCCTCCAGGGACGGATACACGTCGTCCTGGGTGCGGCGGTCAATCTCGAAGGGGATGTCCTTGCTGGCGAAGAGGCCCAGCAGCGGGAGCTTGGCTTCAGCACCCCCGTTGAGGGAGTCGAAGCCAGCCCGGTCATCCAAGTAATGGAATCCGTTCTCCTTAGCCAGACCGACCAGGTCGCGGTCATCCCCGCGACAGCTTCCGTCCGTCGAGTTGGGCAGGAAGTGGCACCGGCCACCGCCCATGATAAGGTCCACCACCCGGCCCAACGGGTGTTCTCCAATCTCCTGCTCCGCAATGCGATCCTCGTACTGGCGGAGATTCACGTGTGAGGCGAAGCACGCCGGTGTGGCATCGGTGATACGGGTAGTCACGACGAGCCCAGTCTTGTAACCGGCCAAGGAGGCAGCCTCAAGGACAGTACCACAGGGGGAGTGGTCAGGGAGCACGGAGATGGCGCCGTTGTAGCTCTTGAAGCCGCAGGAAAAGGCGGTCGCTCCGGCGGCGGAATCGGTCACAAGGCTGGAGCTCGATCTGGTGCGGGAGGTGCCGACGATGTGCTTATCCAGGACGAGGGTGTCATCGATGGGAAGGCCTTCTGTTAGCTGTCTGAAGCTCCTGGTCAGGGACAAACTAGTGGGACCCATCCCGTCGGACACCATAAAGATCAGGTTCCGTTTGCCGGTCGGCTTCTCTCCGGGGCCCCAGGGACCCTTGGAGTGATCATCGAGACGACTCGTTTCGTGCTGGTAGACGACTGAGAGAACGATCACGCCCACCGTGGCGACAAGCGCCCAGGTGAACAGTCCGAGTTCCTTCCAGAAGGTCCATCCCCGGCGTTGTTCACGGCGAGTGCGGATCCCCGTCAACAGGGCGTCCTCCTCCTCGGCATTGCGGATGGAGGAGTGGTCGGAAGAAGGGCGCGGGGCCAAGAGCGGCTCTTCTCGCGCCATGGTCCACAGAATACCCTCTAAGCTCTAAGAGATGCAAGAGGTCAAGGAAATAAGGAGGGATGAAGCATGGAGGGAGGTTGGACAGGAGGTGAGTCGAGGGGAGTCGAGGGGAGTCGAGGACAGTCCGGGGTTGCAGCTCAACCGATAGTCGCCCAGGGGCCTTGCCGTTTCGGGCATCGCGCGTGCACGGGATCGACGAGCGACGTCACACGCGCGCTCGCCTATCAACACATCACATACAATCAGGAAGACAGGTACTCGGTATCAAGATACAGATGCCTGTAATAGTGAGGCTAATTTACACGGACAATAATCCAATCCAAAGCGGAGATTACTCGTACAAACCCGTAGCTGCAGCACCAACCACCTCCACTTCCATCCACTTCCATCCACCATATCATATCCCCTTATCAGCAACCCCCCAGCACCACCAAATCTCCCAAAACAAAAGCGTTTACCTCCCCTTCCACCCAATAGGAATCATAGCAGCCGCAATCTCGGAAACGCCCCTCTCCGTCGCAAGCAAATTGAACTGCGCCGCAGCATTCCTCGTATCCAGAATCTCCACGCGCACGCCTAAGGAATTCACGAACCGCTTCGTCTCCGGCGACAGCGGGAACACCGAGTTTCCCATGCCAATGATCAACATATCTAAACCAAAGCCACAAGTATTAGCAATCATCAATCAGCAATCAGCAATCAATCTAAGCACAACACTCCCCCCTCCCCAAACAGCAACAAAAAAAAAAGGGAGGAACAGATGAGGAATGGAATAGAATAGAGAATAGGAAGGAAACATACCCGGCCTCGGCCAAACCAAGCCCAAAAGCCCCCAAGCCTCATCATCCAGCTCAAACTGGCCCTTCTTATTCAACATATCCGCCTTCTTCCCAACCGCCTCCCCTTCTCCCTCTCCCTCTCCCTCGGCCTTGCCCTTCCCTGCCAGCCACGGCCTCCACGCAAACGCCTCCCCGCCAACAAGCAACACCCCATCGCCATTCGTCACCTTCACCCCGTTGTCCAGATGGAAGCCCGTGTCCAGACAGGCGTCGATGGCAGTGGTCGGGGCGGGGATGTTGCCGAGGACGTTGAGCGCGGCGAAGTCGGTCTGAGTTTCTTCCTTGGAGCGCGGGCCGCGGTCCGTGGTCGAGGGTTTGGGGGTGTGCGAGCGGGGGATCATGCGTGTGGGGCGGATGTGGCTGCTGTTGCTGTTGTGGCGGGCGGAGGGGGTGGTGAGGAGGGGGAGGGCGGTGCGAGGGATGTTAATGGTGGTAGTGATGGGGCGTGTTAAGATGGAGGAGATTGAGGTGCGGAGGGCGCGGAGGAGTTGGGCGATGGGGGGTGCATGGTTGATTGTGGGGGTTGGAGGGGGGGTCGGTGGGTTGGGAATAAGTCTGGTTGCGGAAACGCGGGCGATTTATTGAGAGGAGGGAATGGAGGTGAGACGAGATAATATGGTGTGTGGTGCGTGGTGTCTGTGATGGTGACGGTGGTGGTGAAGAACTGAGTCGGAGCTCCAAAATGTTTAGCTCCGGGTTGTAGGCCTGGGCGTTCAGGCAGGGATACCCCGGCTTGGGGCTGGCCAATCAGACGCTGGCGAATAGTAAAGGCACATATCGCCTCTTACCGTACCCTGAGTAAGGTAAGGTACCTAGTGCGGAGTACTAGGTACCTCAGGTGGATATTACGGCCTATGCAGTCGACGCAATAACGTCTCAATTACTCCATGTTTCAGAATAATGCACGTAAAACTCTTGTGTTATTAAATACTAATATGCTGTGATCATGATGCGAAATGCAACTGTCTAATGAGTTTTTATTCACGGTTCCAACCATTTCTGCACCCTTTTCATGAACAAAGTCAAGGTCAAGGTCAAGGTCAAGGTCAAGGTCAAGGGTCCTCCCATATAAAACGACAAGCGAACAGGTGTCATACAGGTCGTGAGTGGCTTCTCATGCAATGGCACCGAAGCGAGAGAATTCGGAATAGAGAAAATTGTCCCTGGTAATCCCGGGAAGGCACTGTCTTCGTCGCTGGTTGATAAGCCGAGTGAGTGCGGGTGCAGGGACGTCTTGCGCTTCGCCAGTAGATGGATGGCTTTGTATACCTACTGCTCAGCGAGTCGTTTCCGGCTCTTTACGGCCATCGTCGCCAGGCTTGCTAGTAGGATAGCCTTGTTGTCCCTGGCGCGCCCCAGCGGGGAGTGCATTGCCATTCCGATCCTCGTCGGACTGGCTGGAACTATCATCGGCGGCCCCCGTCGTGGACGCACTACGCAAGCGTTGAGCGCGATCCTGAAGCACCTGGGCTTCTGCGGCTGCTCGCTGGGCGCGGATCTGTTTCCGCCACATGCTGGCATACCGGCCCTTCATCGCCAGCAACTGATCATGGGTGCCGCTTTCGGCTACTCGCCCTTCGTGCAGGACAACTATACGATCTGCCGTCGTGATAGTGCTCAGTCGATGCGCAATGACAAGCATCGTGCGGCCGCGAGAGAGGCTGGAGAGCGCGCCTTGTATGTGCTCCTCGGTTTCCGTGTCCAGAGCAGCAGTGGCCTCGTCCAGGAGGATGATCCGCGGGTTCTTGAGAATGGTCCGAGCAATCGCAACCCGTTGCTTCTCTCCTCCACTAAGCCGTAGACCGCGCTCCCCGACCTTGGTGTTGTATCCGTCGGGGAAAGACATGATTTTATCGTGGATGCTGGCAGCGCGGCAAGCTTCGTAGACCTCTTCGTCCGTCGCGTTCTGGTTGGCATACTTCAGGTTGTACATCAATGTCTCATTGAAGAGCACAGTGTCCTGTGGTACAACGCCCATGTGTCTCCGGAGCGAGTCGATCGTGATACTTTCGACGTCATGCCCATCCACGCGTATGCGGCCCCGCGACGCGTTGTAAAACCGGAAGAGTAGCCGGAAGATTGTCGACTTTCCTCCGCCAGACTCACCCACCAATGCCGTTGTCGTGCCCGGCTCGCAGCGGAACGACAAGCCATTCAGGGCTGGTTTGCGGGTGTCGTACGAGAACTCAACGTTCTCAAAGGTAATATCGCCTTTGCAGATCGGAAGAGGTCGAGCGCTAGGTCGATCGACCACTGTGGGTTGCTCTCTGAACAGTTCCAACAAGCGCTCCGAATTGATCAGCGCCGACTGAATGGAGCGATAGAAAGTACCGAAGAAATTCAACGGCCCTTGCAACTGGGCCATGTATGTGAGAAGCGAAACAAATTGGCCGACGCTCCGTTGTCCTAATGACACCTGGTAAGCGGCGATAAAGCATGCAATAAGCAATCCGAGCATGAAGACGGTGTTTTGCGAGGTATTCATCAGGTTGAGGGAAAAGAGGACATGGTATTCGGCCTTCTGGTAATCAGACACGGCACCCCGGTATCTGCCGAACTCGTAGTCTTCCGCGTTGAAGTATTTGACGGTTTCATACGAAACCATTGAATCGTTCCTAGAACCGTAATGTGAGTACATCTGTCAAAAAAAATTTAGGAAAATTCCCAGGTACTTACTTCACGGCATCTTCTTGCCGGGACTTGTTGACCATCTCTCGACGAATTTCAGCTCTCCACTGCGCCATGCGCACCGTGACATAGAGATAACAGAAAGTGACGATGGTAACAACAAGAGCGTAGTAAGCGTCCAGGAAGACGAGGAAAAACACGATGGCAACACAAAGGTCAACCAGCATAGGGACAACCTGGAAGGTGACCTGCTCGAGGAATGTGTTGATCGAACTACCCTTGCTCAGAGCAGAAAGCACCTCGCCGGTCTTCTTCCCCAGGTGAAAATCAAGACTCAGTCCGTGCACGTGTTCGAAAGCCGCGGTGGAAAGCTCCATGTACGAATACTGGCTGACGGGAATCCAGAGATTCGATCTCAGGGACCCAATGAGCCCCTGGTTTCCCTGCAGCCACCGGTAGAGGATGTAGAGGCAAATGTCAAACCAGGGTACCCGGAATTCGCCCTCTTCCTGAGATAGCATGTTGGTGATGACACCTGCCTGGTAGGGAACCAGCACGTTGACAATCCGCTGCAGGACGATCAACACAAAGCAGATGACAACCACCACCTGTAGCTGTCGGGACTTGGATGGCCATAGATACGGGAAGAATAACGAATAGCCGCTTAGGTATTCCCACCAACTGGTCGAGGGGACGGTGGTTGGGCGAACCCATGGGTCGGCCGGCTTCGGAGGTTGCGCGTGACCGTTGGTTGAGCCATATCCGTTTCCATTTTCCGCGTGGTGCTCATCAAGCAATCCCGTGGACTCGCTGGCGCCATTGACGTGATTCTGGGCTCTCTTGGGGTGGACGTTAAATGAATTGAGCATGTAGGACATGACCATAGTCGCGAGAAACAGTATCCGGATGCAATTCGAAACCACCTCTGTCAGCTCCCATGGGGTCAGGCCTTGTCGCAGGCGGCCGCCAGTAGGATCGCCAACCACGGGTTCTCGATGCACGCCGGCATATATAGAAAGGGACGTGCCTAGGATGCTCAGCTCGATCGGGATAGCTGCTAGCCACGGAAGGAATTGGGCGAATGTCGGGGAGGGGTCTGTATCCAGCAATGAAACGAGGATGATCGCGTAGTCGAAGAAGGAACCGACAACATAGATCTATTGACGTCAGTAGCTGCACTCGCCATCCCATTGGCACCCCAGGCAGAAGAGCAGGGGCACTTACCACCACAGACTGACCGCACCACCAATGCTCCGATCTCGCAATCATGACATGGGCGACGTTGATGGCGCCGTCCGCCACAATGGTCAGTAGAATACCGACAGACAGCCACTTGAACAGCAGTTTCACATTTCGGGAAAACTTCTGGGACGCCTTGACAACGGTCACCGTACTCCTTGCCCGCTTGGGGAGTGGTCTCCCCCCCGGTCCAGTCCGCACGGCAGTGGCATTCTTATTCGCATTTCGGGCAGCGATGACGGAGCTGGCAATGAACGACGCCACGAAGATGAGGAGGAGGAGAATTGGGGCTCCAGTGCGAAGCGACTCGAGCAATTCCCGAGTGGCGTGTTGGGAACCCATGATGTATGTATAGCCCTCCTGGTGACCGACAGTATCACAAGACAATCAATCAAGATCTTTCCATGACCCAGCAATTGTGCGCGCCCATCCAAGTCGGGGATTGCCGAGTTCGCAGTGAAGTAATCGAGGGACGGCGGCAACGGCAACCTCGAATGAGGGTGGTCAAAGTGGTGGTAGGTAGGGTTGGATGGATGGATGGTGAATATCGGCGATCGAGGGAGTGCCGAAAGTTGAGTGATGGTATTGTTGGGGGCGGATCGACAGACACGTGGGAATATAGTGTCTCTCCCTTCGATGTATCTATTAAGCTTAGGAATGGGGCAGGGGAGGATTGTCTTTTAACCAAAAATGACAGGCAGCAGGGGCAGAGAAGAAAATGTTGGGCGAAGGGAATAAAACGAAGGATTTCAATAAATACAGGAGAAGAATACAAATAATAAGAACTATCCGAAACTATAGGACGAGGAAGGGTCGAGACCAGGATAGGAAGACAGCTCCCGAGGGAGATTGGCCCAGGAAGAAACAAAGAAAGGAAGATAGAAAAGGGGTGGGGGGGGGGGGGGGGGGGAGGTTGGGAGTGGACAAGAGGTAGAGAGAGAGGGGAGAGAGAGAGGGAGGAAGGAAGAAGAGGGAGGGAGAGAGAGAGAGAGAGAGGAGACGGGAAAAAGAGAAGAAAAAGACGAGATACTGAGCGCGAGACACGCGAGAGGAAAGGATCGTTGGAGGATACAAATAGTAACTGGACGGACGAGGAAGAATGACGGTGTGTGGATGCGGAAGAAGTCGAGAACCAAGGCTAGTTCGGACCCAGAGCTACTCCAAGCTTGGTTGGCTTCGGAAACTGAATGGCGAAACCCAGCAGGTGGAAAGGCAGGGCCAGGAAATAATATTCAATTTAAATACTTAATGCCTCCAGTCCGAGCCACCGTCTTCTTTCAACGGTCGTGTTTAATTTAATTTTCTTTTGTTTTTTACCCTTCTGGCGGTGATCAGATGCAAACTCGGAGGTTTTTACTATTCTATGCCTGCCTGCTTCCAGTACTTTTTCTTTCCTTGTTTTTTTCTTACCCCCACGGTTGTCTTAAATGGTACGTACGAGTCAAGGAGTAAGGTGTGGCTAATAATAATAAAAATAATAATAATAATAATAATAATAATAATATAAATATAAATGATATAATTTAACATCGGACATGGAATGATAGCTAGGTACAGTAATAGTAATAGTATGGGGATGGGATGATCAAACTACAGAGTCGTACGTAGCCGTTTGTCGACCCAGGATCTAGAAAGGAAAGTAGGGCCCCGGGCAGACGTAAGTACTAAGTACCTGCTGAACCCATCCGGGTGGATTTGTCAAATGGGTTCGTGCCCAATGGGAACAGGGATTGGAATGAAGGTTCAAGTCTTGAGGATTCATTCCCAGGGAGGGTTTCAGAGGAATGGGAGAGAGAGAGAGAGAGAGGGCTGTGGGGTAAGGTCAGGTCAAGCGGAAGCTTGGTCGTCTGTACAAAGTACAGTACCTATACCTTCATCATTCATGATGAGAGGAGGCGAGGTACGTAAGAAGGTCGGTGCAGGTGCAGATGCAGATGCAGCTGGAGCTTTGAGGTCGCCGTGTAACCTTCACCAAGAAGATCTCTCAGAGCTCGGATGTATGCAGCGTGCATGTATGTATAGTACTTACATACAGGGTAAACAAGGGGGAAAAAAAAGAAGAAGCAACTGGCGGGGACTACTCGTCCGTAGGGATGTGGCCGTGACAGATCTCGATGGAGGAGGGCAATGCGCAGATCGATGCGAAGTTAACAGGCCGACGGCGAATGTGGAAGGGCCTGAGCTGCACCAGCACACAGCCGTCCGGGGGTTCCCTGGAAAGCTGTTTGCTGGGATGCCCGAGAAGCTCGCAGAGTGGTTGCTCGACGAAGGGACACATCACTTTCGGATCACTTTCGGCCTCCAGGATATTGGACGGTTTCATCCTCTCGCCGTCTTCCCTCGACCCCCTTTCCCACGATCTTACGGGCCCCCCGAGGTTTATTAACCCTTAACACCGCTGTCGTTATTGATTGATCGCGCGTTTAATGCAGGAGACTTGATATTTAGTGCGTAGGTGGCTTGCCAGCTTCAGGGACGGTCGTTTTAGAAGCAGTGTGATGGGTGTGATGAGTGTGCTCTAGACTATTCCATCCTAGAGGCGCGTGTATTGTCCCGCACATCAATTCCCTTCGAGAATTGGCCCCCGGAAGATTTTCTGATTGATGGCCACCATCACCACCACCAGACCATCACCATCACCGACCTTATCACCCGACCGACCGACCGACCGGCCAACCGACCAACCGACCAAACCCCCGAACAAAATACCTCCCCTCCTCCCCGCCTTTCCCCTCTTCCCCCCCCCCAGAATGACCAGAAATCCGGAGCGATGCGGGGGAGGGGGAGCTGGAAGAGGGGGATGGAACCGATCATGTTCTTCAACTCGAGGATGCAGAGTCATTGCCATCCCGCCGAGTCATTCCTGGTGCTAGTCCTTTAGCTTGTCCCACCTGAAAGTCCCGAGTGTCCGGATGATCTAAAACAGCGCGCCTGGAATGTACGGCCCTGGACCTCCTCGAGTAAGACATGACATGACTACGACCACTGCCTAATTGTCTCATGGCCCTGCGCTGGGCCTGGTAGAGCTTCCGATAGGTGGATCAGGGCAATAAGCACCCTTCCGGGGTGGTCAGACCACCATTGTCACCTAGACCTTTTGACTTAAAGTAACTACTGTATCTAGATATACTCGCGATGCCTTTTCACTCTGAAGCGCAAGGCCGACCGAGCTAAGGTAGCCGCCATGGACCCGATCGGACCCATCGACCGGCGAATCCACACCGCCTTAAACCTGCATGCATGCTATGCTAGCAAGAAGCAAGATACTACCTGGTCGTATACTCCGTACTCCGTACTCCGTCGACTCGACTGCACTCGTCCAGCCAGAATAGTTTCCGCATCCAACCCAACGGCTGTCTGTAGGTACATCCGGTCGTGCCTATCTAGGCACTATCTAGCAGCCGGTCCGCCTGTCCGAATGGATGTTTGCCTGAAGGTGTCGACTCCCTGCTCCGTCCTCTGCTTTGGGGCTCCTCTGATCCTTTTCAGTTTGTGAGCCATCAGCTGGACAGATCAAATCCGTGATTTTTGGGTTTCTTTTTTTTTTCTTTTTTTTTTTTTATTATCCTTGCCCTTGCCCTTGCCCTTGCCCCCTTCTCGGTTCTATCTAGAGAGATTTCTAGCGAAAGTGAGACCGGTTTTCAGTAAGATGGATGATAGGATGAGAGGTAGCTAGATACTACTAGATAGATCGCGGACCCGGAGGACGCTAAACCCCCCTGGGGGAGCTGCCCATCACGGGGTATTGCCACGCCGAGATCGGTTACCTAATACGTGGAACTAGTCCCGGTTGGGAGGTTCACTTTACTGTGACGCAGTTGGTAACTATCTCAGGCAGGAAGGCATGAATACCTAAGGTATCAAGCAGTAGGTTGGTAGTTTTCGAGGTGCCTGTCTGCTCATTGAATGGTTATTGTGGTCATCAGCAATTCTTCCACCCTCGATTGAACAAGGGAAATGATCCTCATCAAAATCACCAGCAGAAAAACAGGACACTGCAAGTGATCGGGCATCGTGATTTTTCCTCCTCACATACCACCTAGGGACCTTTACAGCCTCCACTTGATGTTATTACATACATCCCACCCACTACGGAGTACTTCTTGGGTTTAGTGACTACTGTGACCTGCATGTGCAGGCTGCCTGAGTCCTATCCACTCTCTCTACGGAGTATCTACCTACTTCTTCTTGCTAGTTACATCCAGGCGTTGCAGAAGTCACCCACCCACTCACCCACTCACCCACCCACCAACCCACCAAACACAACCACCACCACCGCTCACTATCCATCATCTTTCCTCTCCACCAACCTCCGCCTCCCCCTTTCCATTCCCCTTCCCCACCACCACCACCACCACCACCACCACTTTCTCCGAGTCCTGCCCACCCTCTCAGCTTCCCGCGGAAAGACAAATCGCTGGTCGGCAATGGAGCCCCGATCTTCATCGGGTTAACTCGTGGCTGAGGTGACCTATGATGACCTGTGACAACTCGTGCTGGCAATCATGTCCGACTACTCGCGATTGCCCACCCGAGGCAGCTCGTCGCCAGCACCGCCGCCTCCCCCTCCACCAGTTCCCGTGCAACAGAGTCACAAGTATTCCAACCGCGCGGCCAGTGCTCTAGCAAGATTCGCCCAGCCCTTTTTCTCGGGGTCGAGACCTCCCAGTCCGCACACGCCCGGGAGTCGTGCAGATTTGTCTGCTGGTCCCCGTTCAACCAGGTCCAAGTCTTTGTATAGCTCCCGCTCTCCCCCAACGTGCTCTTTTTTGACTCGCGTTTCCCGCTTGGTCCCTTGCTTTTTGTTTTTGTTTTTGTTTTTTTATTTTTTTCTACTTTGATGTTTCTCATGTTTTCCCGGTTTCTGTTGCTCCTGCGGTTCTTTGCACGCGACTTCTTACCTAAAAAAAAGACGGAAAAAAAAAAAAAAAAACCAAACTACTTTGATTCCCTCGCAGACAAGGAAAAGCTTAAAAGAGGAATTTGATCTAACGTTTCCCCTAGACCTGGAGAATCTCAGACCGTCTCTCATAAGACCGGGATCCCCATTGCCGCTTTAGACATCTCCCCGCAACGGACACATGCAGTCATTGGCGGGAAGGAGATTTTAAAGACGATCCGCGTCTCGCCCGATCATTCGTCTGAGGAGTTCAACCTTCGCAATGCTATCATTAGCTACTCCTCCACTCACCACGTCGGCAGCGGCCTCTCCGCCCGGCATAAAGACCAGCTGACAGTGAGGGATGTGAAGTGGTCACATGGCGGGTATGACCAGATCATCGCCACCGCCGTGGCCAATGGCCGCATTGTAGTCTATGATTTACTCCGGACTGGCTTGGAATGTTGCCGGTTTCAGGGACACAGCCGCCAGGTTCACCGGTTGGCCTTCAATCCGCACCACGCGTCATGGCTTCTGTCGGGGAGTCAGGATTCCTCAATCCGAATGTGGGACTTGCGGACTGCTTCTGCGGAACGTGGCGTCTTGGTGTGTGGGAGTCTGGACCTGTTCCACGGTAACAGTGATGCCATCCGGGATATCAGGTGGTCGCCAACCGAAGGGGTTATGTTCGCGACGGCGACAGACAGCGGTGCCATACAGCTGTGGGATTGTCGCAAATCCAATGCTCCCTTGATGCGGATTACTGCCCATGACAGACCCTGCTTCTCGGTAGACTGGCACCCTGATGGCAAGCATCTCGTGAGTGGTGGCACGGATAGGCAGGTCAAGGTCTGGGATTTCTCCTCCTCGGCGGAGCGCAGGCAAAAGCCCGCGTTCCAGTTTCGGACCCCACAGGCTGTCCTCAACGTCCGCTGGCGTCCGCCATCCTGGGCAAGAGAGCCCGAAGGGGCGGGCGACTGGCAGTCATCCCAGGTAGTAACCTCTTACGACAAGGAAGACCCGCGAGTGCATCTCTGGGACCTTCGGCGACCACACATACCTTTCCGCGAGTTTGACCGTTACGACGCCCATGCTACCGACTTGCTCTGGCATTCAAAAGACCTGCTATGGACAGTAGGCGAAGCCGGTGCGTTCACTCAGACGGATATCCGCTACGCCCCCCAGGTTGTCAATCAACGACCGACATGCTCGGTGGCCTGGAGTCCCAGTGGGGAGGTCCTGGCGTTTGTCCAGAAGCGTCCCCGGCGTAGCACTTTAGGTCTCAGCGCTACCGAGTTCGTGGGTCCTCAACAGGAGGAGCACAGTAGTGGTGAAGCCTTGAGCCAGAGTCCTGGAGAAGATATTCTCGACGAGCCTTCGTTCGCTTCTATCCGCCATCGGCATAGTAAGTCCACCAGTGCTCGGCAGTCTAAATCTCTAGGCAGTACTCCGCCGGGCGCACAAGATCTCATCCCCGTCCTCCCATTAGAGAAAGTCCTGTCGAAGATCAAGACTCCCGATGCTCTCCAGTTCGGGGCGGTTGGAAGCATCCCAGGGGCCACAATGGATCGAGATACCTCTCAATATTTGGCGTCTCAATATTCTGCTTTGCTCCCTGATTCAAACACCATCCACCCGGATGCACTGTCTTCATTGCTCGAATCGCTGGATCACAATGCTCAGTGTTCTGAAGATGCGTCTTTACTCAAACTTGCACAGACTTGGCGCATCATCAAATTTGCTGTCATTCAAGAACTCGAAGTTCGTGCAAGAGAGCAACGTCGGTCCCTAGAAAAGGGATCTCGCTCTATGAGAAAGAGACCGTCCAAGGAAGGTCCGATCGCTGAGAAGCAAAGGACATTGGAGGATGGGAGGAATGATAAGCTGAAAACCCGACTATTCAAGGGTGTAATGGAAAATGAGGCATCGAAGCATCCGCTCGCAGATAGCGAGAGTGCGTCGAATATGACAACACCACTTGCACAGCCTTTGCCGGATTCCCCTCTCGCGTCTTTAGACAGCACCAACTCGCAGGTAACGTCTTTAAACGATACTACGGATATACAACCCCTTCCACCATCGGTGCTAAGCTCCAATCATGGCACCATGACTTCGAATGATTGGTCATCGATGTCGGATATCGATCCTCAACCGATTCACCAATTCCAGCATCGCCAGTCCAATGCAAGCGAGCCTGCTAATATTCCTCCTGAGAGCCTAATGTCTGATCCAGGGCTCGCCCCGATGGCTGAGGAGTTAGAAGACGACCAGAGATCTGCGCCCCGCGCCATCGCCGGTAGAGCAGATTGGCATTTGAAACCTCTTCCTGGTACTTCCAAAGGAACCTCGGAGGTAGATGAGTTTGATCAGAAGATGGAGGATAAACGAGCGGCAATCCGCGATTACAAGATTTTCCCCAAGAAGGTCCTCTCGCTAGAAACCCCCATGGAGCCAATCAAGCCCCCAGGGTTCCATCGCCACGAGTCATCGGAGAGTTTCCCGATGTTCTCTGCATCCACGGAGAGTTCGCACCCACCGAAATCAATGGCCACATCATTCTCTTCGGCGGCGATATTGCATCAAGCCCGCGAACGTGAAGGCGATAGCCATGATAGTCCAGAGGCGGGGACTGCAGCGCTCAGTAGCAGCTATGTGCGGACTCGAGGGGACTCGGTTATCGGATCTGCTATCGTAAATGAGAAAGGCATTCAGGACAGCGAAACGCTTAGCGAAGAGCCTCCCGGCGCCGAGAATGTCCACCTGCAGCGGCCTTCCACTCCTCCTCGCCTTTTCAAGGAAAGCGAGCCCTTGGATACCCCCTCCCAGGAAAGCGAATTCCAAACACCTGTACACCCCAGTTCGACCTACACAGGCATTCCTGGAGTGACGGAGAACCTTCTTGACGTCGGTATCCCCATCAGTTCTGATGTGACTACTAACAAGCCCTGGAGCATCGAATGGCTGTTCAAAGAAGCCATCAGACACTATCACAGTGGGACTCAGGTGGACATTCAGTCCGCTGCACATCTTCTCCAGAAGTTACACATGCTTTTCCAGGATTGCGACAAGATCCTTCCCACCCCGGAGTCCGAATACATATTCAAGGCCTACAACGAACAACTGATGCGCCAGTCAATGTATCTCGAAGCGGCCGAGCTCCGACTCCAGTGCGTACCATCCTACCCAGCAGTCTACGAATACGCCCAGGGAGACACCTACATGAACGTGTTCTGCTTCACATGCAAGCGGCCGTACGAAAATCCCATGACCGACAACCGTCGCTGCCATCGCTGTGACACTCCCCAAGAACCATGTGCCATCTGCATGAGCCTCGACCCGCCTCCCGAATGGGTAGCAGAGCAATCAAACTCATCACCCTACGCCACCCACGAGCCAGACTCCGAAGTCACCTCCCACATCCAATCATCCCGATCCTCCCTGAAAACCGAACCCATCCCCGAGTGCGAATTACCCCAACACCACCTAGACACAATCACCTCCGACCCCTCCCAACCTCCCCGACCCAAGGGCTCCACCCTCTGGACCTGGTGCCAAGGCTGCGGCCACGGAGGCCACCTCGCCTGCATCAGCATCTGGCTGAACGACATCTCCGTCAGCGAAGGCGGCTGCGCCACCCCCGGATGCATGCACGACTGCGGCCCCGGCCCCCGCCGCGAACACAATCGCTCCATCCTGCTCGAGGAGTCTAAGCGCCGCGACTCTGCCGGTCGGAAAGCCGGCGTCGGTTTCGTCAAGCGAGACACCTGGACCAAGGGCGAGAGCCGAGCCGTCGAAAAGGTCCGTGGGATGTTAGGCGTTGGCGCTTCCGCCGGCAGCGCTTCCACTACCACCACGACCACGACCACGAATAGTGCCGGTCTTAGCGGTGCTTCCTCGAATACCATGTCGCCGAAGAAGGTCCGCCTGGTTACCCCGAGTGAGCAGGGTCAGCCGAGACGGGGTCCGCGTTCGAGTATTGGGGGTTTGGGGGGACTTAGTGGCTAGATTCGACTTCGACTTCGGCTTTGGCTTCTTCTTAAAATTAATAGCAGCTTTCTATAGCCTCTCACTCATTTCATCTCACTTCCTCTCTCTATTACCTCCTCCTCCTCCCCCCCCCTGGCTGGCTGGCTGGTTGGGTTGATTGGTTGGTTGAATATTGCGGCGCGATGCCCTGGTCCTCCTGCTACTGCTCCTGCTACTGCTACTGCTCCTGCTACTGCTCCTGCTACTTGCTATGTCTTGTGACGCGCGTTGGTCGCCAACTACGTGATGTGTGCATGTACATAGAACATGTTCTTGGATTGTGCATGCATACATGGTCCTGATATTTGTGAAAGTCTTGTTTCGTATATCTTGACTGGGTCTGGGGATGCACTTTTCTTTTCTTTCTCTGGGGATGGGGGGGGGGGGGGGGGGAAGAAGGGGAGGTAGGATGTTGTAGGTAGGTAGTAAGTAGGGCGTAGGGCTCGTTTATTTCTGGCTGTAGATTACCGTCTACTGTCTACTGTTTACTGTTTACCTACAGTTAGACATTCAGTCAGCCAGCCAGTCAATCAGTCAGCCAGTCAGTCAGTCAGGTTACTTGAACCGAGCCTCAAACATACATATGATACATTCAATATCCATCCGTAAATACATTATGCATTATGCAAAAACAACCCTCAAGGCCCACAAAACCAAGGTATCGCGTAAATGCCTCATGTATATCATAATTTGCAAGGACACAGGCCTGTAGACTATCCCAAAATCCGAATAGCCGATACAAACCTTACTCCAAACCCCCCTCACCCTCACCCCCCTCTCCTTTCCCCCTCCCCTCTCCCCTAAATGGACCCCAATTCCAAGCCCCCAGAGGCAAGCAAGCAAGCAAGCAAGCAAGCAAGAAAGAAAGAACCACATCCATCATCTAATCCCCAACATCCCACCAAAAGAGCTAAACCTAGTTACCTCACCTCACCTCAAAACTTCCTCTTCTTCTTAGCCGGCGCCTTGCTCTTCGCCTCAAGCTGTCTCTTCAACTCATCACGCTTTCTGTCCGCTCGCTCTTGTTCGGTTTCTTCACGTGCGGGCTCTGGTTGCGCTGCTGGTGGTGCTGGTGCTGGTGCTGGTGTAGATGACATCTTCAGTCGATGATGTCCAGGAGAACTAGAAACTCTTGGGGCATTTGCATTTTCATTTGAATCTTTATCATCAGCTTCATCTTCCGACGCGGTTTCGGTGCGAGAAGGTGAAGTCGGGTCTGCGTGGCGAGTCGTAGCGGGAGCAGGAACAGGAACGGTCTTTCTGCCTCCGATGAGGCCCAGTTTTCCCGGTTTTCGGGGTTGGGGGTGGGATTCTGATTGTTGTGGGGGTGGAGGAGAGGGCTGCTTTTCTATCTTTCTGCCGCCTATTACGCCTAATCCGCGGGGTTTGGGTTTGGTGGTTGATGGTTTGGGTTTTGGGGGTGGGGAGGGTGGGTTTTCTGAGTCTGTTTCTGTTCTGTCGTTGTCGCTGTCTGGCTGGTAGGGTGATTTGGGGGCTCGTGAGGGTTCGTTGGTGTTTGATTGTGGTGGGGATTGTGGAGATTTTTGTTTTGATACTGGTGGTGGTTGAGGTTTCTTGCCTCCTATCCTTCCGAGACCTCTTGACGGTCTTGCGGGAGGTTTCGGCTGTGGCGGTTTAACTACTTCGTGCTCTTCTTCGAAGTCTGCGCCATCGCTTTCCGTCTCTTCGTCTGGTTTTGGAGAAGCTGGTTTGGCTTTGGCGACGGGTGGTCGTCTCAGTCTTGGGGGTGTTTCTTGTCGCTAGAGCACGAGTTGTAAGCACGGTGTGGATATAGATGGACTGAGTTAACATACCTCAAATTCGTCATCTTCAGTCTCTGCGTCGTTGTCCGTTTCGGTGTCCATAGGATCGTTAGGTGGTCTGGTAATGACGGGTTGGCTTCTTTCTTTATACTCGGGGGATGTTTCGGCTGTGCGAACGACAGCAGTTGTGAGTTTCTCCCACCACCCATCTGGTGGTGGGTTTAAGTTTTCAAAATGGCTGGTGTCACCGAAGCCAGATCCGGCTGTCTCTGTCAGGATGTTGGATGCAAATCCGAGATCAGAGGACGTGTTGGTTTCGTCCAACCAGGCCTGTTCGTCGAAAGGCGCCACTCCTTTGATGTGACCTGCAGCCAGCGAGAGCATTGAGCCCTTGTGACTTCCACGCACACCCTTTGCATTGGGGAAGATAGTACTGAGTTCAATTCCCATAGCTTCGAGTTTATCAAATAGCTTTCCCAGCGCCCAGTCTTTCCTCTTGAGCTGGTCTATGAGAGTTTGCTGACGCGACGCCCAGCCAGCCTCCGCCTTGATAAGTGGCAACAGGAGCTGACGAGTCGACGAGGATTGTGGCTCCTTAGCCAGGTAGATGGTCCATTTCAGAGGTCTGAGTGGAGAGGGGAGCTTTGTCGAGGTGATCAGTTGAAGAGAATCACCGAAAGACCCGTGGGTAAGCACCGTGCTGCTTCCAGCCTCGTTGCGCAGCGCCTCGCCTACTTTGTCCAGGAGTATACCAAGCTGCTCGGCATCCTCACTGGGGTCGATAGTCGTGTTATCTTCATCGGCTCTTTGCAGAATATGCTGGCGGTCTAGATGTTCCGACCAGATGTATGTGAGGTCCGTCATATACAACTCATATCCGTCCTGCGTCAGGGAGTATCTGAACAAAAGGGGCGGTATTGATCCCTGATTGGATACATGCAGCCTCTGCCATTTCGATGACATGGCTAGTGACCCTTGAGCTGTTGTTGTGATGGTTTGTAGAAGATGGAAGAAGCACATCAGGCTGCCGTGCGCTGAAGGCTACAAGAGCACGTGTCCACGGGGCAACTTAGCCGGTCGCTCTACCTTCCTCATCAGGACCCTGCGGCCCGTTCCCCAGACACGCCCGATGGAAGCATGTGAGATTTCAACTGTTTCTGTCTACTCGCGTCGAATCTCCAGCCATTTACCACTCACTTGTACGACACTGTCCGATTGCTTGTTCTGCTGAAGACGGCCGGAGTTGAGGCAGCGTCCAAAATGTCATCACGTATCCCCGACCGTACGGGCTCGAAGCGCAGTCGCTCTCGGTCGCCATCCTCACGCCACCCCCAGAAGGCCCCGCGCCGATACGACGAAACAGACAGATATCGTGATGGTGGAAGCCGGAGGGACGGAAATGACTGGGGGTCGAACTCCCGGCCCAGAAATATGAAGGACCAGGTCCGCCTCAATCAGCTCCAGGAGGATGAGCAGGTGCGCGAGTGGGTGGCGCAGGAGGACATTTTTGTCCTCAAGCAGGCCAAGAAGAAGGCCGAAATCCGCGTCAAGGAGGGCCGGGCAAAGCCTATCGACTGGCTCACTGTCACATTACGGGTCATCGACCCGACCAGGGACCCCCTCGATGATGAGATCGCGGACTCGGATCTCGACCTGGTCGACCCTGACGGCGTGTTCGAGGGACTATCGCAGACCGAGCTGCAGGATCTAGAGAAGGACATTGATACGTTCCTGGGACTGGAGAGCAATTCGCAGAATCGCGATTTTTGGAAGGTACGGTCCTGACCTGCATCTGCTTTTGGGATCTTAGGCTAACCCACCTTGTCTCCACCACAGACGATGAAAGTGATTTGTCGTGATCGCCAGAAGACAACCGCTCCCGAAGGACGTGCGCTCAGCTCCGTGGCTGCCGATATCAACAGGCTCTTAAGCCCTAAATCCTACGAACAACTTCAGGCCCTGGAGGTCCAGGTCAGGAGGAAGCTGGACTCCAATGAGCCCATCGACACCGACTATTGGGAGGAGCTTTTGCGCAGCCTTACAGTGTGGAAGGCTCGTGCAAAGCTGAAGAAGGTGTTCCAGGCTGTTATCGACGAGAGGGTCCGGGGATTGCGCAAACAGCAGTGCGAGGAAGCTGCATCTGTCCGCGCGAAGCTGGCTCCATTGGCGCCGATCGTCCTGGAGGGGGCACAGTCAGAGTCAGCTGGTGAGGGTGAATTCCGTGGCCTTGACCCTGATCCATTGCTTCAAATCCGCGCGGAAGACAAGGTTCTGGAGATCGTGGACGAGGCCGCATTCCTAAATCAAGTGGTAGGTTGCACCGAATGCTGGACGAGTTGGACTGCAACTAACAGCTTGAATAGGCTCGCGACCGACAGAAGGTCCTGAAGATGGGGTTTGTTCCTCTTCGCCAGCGACATGCCGAGAGGCTATCGGCAACGCCCGTGAACCAGATCACCAATATCCCAGTAGCCACCGCATTGACTCGCTTCTCCTCCATTCCGAATGAGGACTTCTCACAGGCAACCAAGGCTCTCTACGAGCGAGAATTGGCCAAGGGAGTCAGCGAGAACGAGGAGATCTTCACCGGCGAGGAAGCCGTGAGCACTGGCGCCGAGCCCCAGTGGGCGAACAAATACCGGCCCCGCAAGCCACGGTACTTTAACCGTGTCCAGATGGGCTACGAGTGGAACAAGTACAACCAGACCCATTATGACCACGATAACCCGCCACCCAAGGTGGTGCAGGGCTACAAGTTCAACATCTTCTACCCCGACCTGATCGACAAGGCAAAGGCGCCCACCTACCGGATCGAACGAGAGGGAGGGCGCAAGCGCGGCCAGTCCTTCGCGGCCGCCGGGGAGGAAGATACGTGTTTGATCCGGTTCATGGCCGGGCCGCCGTACGAAGACATCGCGTTCCGGATCGTCGACAAGGAGTGGGACTACAGTGCGAAGCGCGAACGAGGGTTCAAGAGTACCTTTGATAAGGTATGCCCGTGATGCCCGTTATGCCCGGGTCCGACGAAGAAGCTGACGAGATGAACTTGCCAGGGAATCCTGCAACTCCACTTCCAGTTCAAGCGGGTGAGTCTTTCTTTTCGTCTACGTCTGCTGGCCCTTCCCACCCGTGCCCGGGGTGCTGATTCTTGTGATTCCCGCAGATTTATTACCGGAAGTAAGGGATGTGTGGTCTTGGGGTTCCACTCGGGCCTGTTTTCTCGGGCGGCCGCGCCAAAGGCCGATGTGAAGCTTATTGGGCTGGAAACTTTAACCACCTCCTCTGGCATTGGATGCCATCGCAGCCAGGCTCGGATGTATCATATCGATATGAAACCGAGATTATCGGCCCTCGCAGATCGAATGTCCCACGTGTGCTGTAGCGGGCAATGCTTATTTGCACCACACCCATCCTCCGCCCGTTGCGCTCCGTCCCATCGCCGTCGCATCCAGCATGTCCGGACAACACAACAACTGCTGGCGCCCGATCACGTGGGTTACACCTCCGACGATTGCAGTCGGAATTTCACTTCATTGGCGGAGGGGTTTTCTTATTTGCTTCGTTCGCATTGTCTCCCCGGAACAAGGAAAGGCCGCGACACGGTGCGGCTTTTCGACGGTGTGTCACCATGGCACCTGCAACAACCTCTGGACCTCCGGGTTCCGGCTGGACGGGGGAGTCGGGAAATGGGATGGTGTATCTGCAGGATAAATTTAAAAGGTGCGGATGGTGCTGAAGGAAGTAACCCAATGCCACTCCTTTATTCATGTTCTGGTCTGGTTAGCGCAATGAATAGGACTTCTGCAGCAGCCCGCCATCCATCAGCTGCTACAGCTGCTGCTAACTAACTAACTAACTAACTCACTCACTCACTAACCAACCCTGGTCAGTCTGTACCTACTACGGAGTACTCTACCTAGCTTCAACAAAGTACCTAAGTCACTATGACCATTCCCTCCCCTGCTCCCCCCCCCCTCTCCCCTGTAAACCCCGATCCGGTTTCTCTTTTGCATAGACGCCCCAGCCCATTGGCTACTGCTGACTGCTGCCCGCCAAAGCCGTTCCACAGCCTGATGGCGATTCCCGCGGTAAGACGCAGGAGCTTCGCCTATGGATGGATGGATGGGTGTATGTATGTATGCATTTAGATACTACTCCTACTACTACTATCACTAGTCCAGCAACCCCGGAGCACATGGTAGAAAGATGGTCTGGTCTAGCAGGCTACTTATTTCTTTTTCCTCCTTTTTTTTAATTTTCATTTGGGTGGGAAAGCATCTCATTTCATTTTCTTTTATTCGATTTTATTTTTATTTTATTTTCCACCATTTCCGGGATTTTACTTTTCGGGCTTCTGGCCATTTTTACGAGGAGGGATTTACTTCTTTCTCTCCATCCCTCCATGAAATCGATCTCATCATCCGCCATGTTGAATGCCCGCCGCTTGTTTGCGATGCTGGCTGTCTGCAGCACCAGAAACCCATTCATCCATAGAGGGGGCAAAAAAGAAAAAGAAAAAGAAAAAGAAAAAAAAGGAGCAAAGGGACATCGGCTTTATGAGCTGGCATTTTCTTTCGCCTCACGGCTTCAAATGATTTTTTTTTATTAATTGCTTGGGTGGGTGCATTGGGTGCCAACAACCAACCCCTCTTGCCCTCCCTCATCTCCATCCATCCATATACTCTTGTCCCGTATCAATTCGGGTCTTATATCCCTTTTATCTCCCCCCCCCTCCCCCCCTAACACCCCAACCCTGGAAGACCCTCGTGGATGTCACCCTGACAAGTTAGACAAACTCTTGATACGGGCGGTGTTAATCTTGAACCACCTGGAAGCACGACATGGATCGGTTCTTCCCCTCTCACAGCCTACACTTGGGCTCTGCTCCCTTTGGCCGGGAACCTGTTGGCATTGCAAAACAAACAGCGACCCCTCCCGCCTCTGTGACCGATGGCGTTCGTTTGGACCCTCCTCACCATGACAATCCCTGTTCGGCAATCGAGAATTGGACGAGCTCCAGCTCTGCCAGTCCAGGGGAGCTGATGCCTCTGTCTCACCAGAACCAGCATCACCAGCATCATCAGCACCAGCATCAGCATCACCAGCATCAGCATCAGCATCAGCATCAGCATCAGCATCAGCATCAGCACCCTCACCCTCACCTGCCCCCATGGACAGTGCCGCTGAACTCTTCCCTGCCTGAACGGGGATTGCCTCGCTTGCTGCCATCACGGGTGGACTCTCCGGGGTGGCCCTCCTCGCTGGGGACACCGGGAGGCTTGAAACCGCGACTTCTGAAACCCGGACTGCGCCGTCTGAGCGACAGCAAGGCCCTGGACTGGCAGCGTGAACCGGGGGCAACCCCGTCATACTCGCTGGGAATCAACGTTCATTACCCATCGTCCGGGATGGCGCGATCAGGCACCTCTGGAACGGCTTGTCCTACGATGGGCTTGCCACCCCCGTCACCCGCTATCTCGACCTCATCCTCTTACCCGTCGCGGAACTTGGACAACAACTCCGAACCCCCCAGCGGCGGGGGGGATAAGCCCTACTCAGCCCTGATCGAGGACGCCCTTCGAGAGGCCCCCGACAAGAAACTGGCTCTGCAGGATATTTACGGCTGGTTCGAGAAGAACACTGCCAAAGGAAAGGACCCCAGCTCAAGTGGCTGGCGGAACAGTGTACGGCACAACCTATCTATGAACGCGGTATGTCATCCTGGTGTCTGTAACTTTTATGACCCTTTGTTGTGGTTTTACTTGGTGGGGAGGGGGGGGAAGGGGACCCGAATGCTAAGAAGGTCGACGTGAACAGGGCTTTGAGGCAGTCCGGGAAGAGTCGAGCCCCGGAAAGAAGGCAGTGAATTACTGGCGCCTGACGGATGAAGCCCTCACGTACGGCGTCCAATCTACAACCCGGTACCGGAAACAGGCCAGTTACAAGAAGGCGTTAGGCTCGGAACCCCCGGCCCCCCAGCGCCAGCGATCCGGGGCCAAGGGGGGCAAGGCTACGAAAATCAAAAGTCGGTTCCGGGGCCGGATAGAGAAGACGACCACAGCAAGGAAGGGAGATCAACGATTTTACCCACGGGTGGTGACATCACAACGACGACCACTGAAGGATAACACCCATAACAACAACAACAACAACAACATCTATGCCCAATACACGACCACGGCAGCGACCACCACGGGGATGGCGGCCGTGTCACCCTTTCAGGTGTCAGTGTCAGGGCCAGGGCCGGCCTCCACGCCGGGTGCTCGTCCCTCGGCTGAACCGTTTGATTTGGGCAGTGTTGTTGGCTGCACAAATCCGGCCACGGCCACCAGTGTCACCACCACCACCAGCATCTTCTACGATATGGCAGGATCCGCGCCAGACTGCCTATCGATGGACACGGGATTCATGGGCTGGGGCGCAATCCATTCCTTCCCTACTGCGTTTTCGGCGGGCCCGGGCATCTCCGCGGATCTTCAAATGGGGACATAGTAAACATTGGATAGTCATAGGCTCATAGCATATCGGGGGTTGGGGGTTGGGGTTGGGGTAGTAGATAGGACAAGGAGTCGATAAAGGGTTTTTTTTTTTTTTTTTCTTTTTTTTTTTTGTGGGCTGACTACTGGGACACTACACTGGGTTCAGGTTGCATGCTGGGATGGGTGTATTTATTGGTAGCTGGTTCATGACATATGTCTTATGGGGTGTTTTTTTTTAAAAAAAAAAAAAAAAGATTATGGGTATACTCTACTCTCGTGATCATGATCATAACTCTTCACTAATACAGAGTACCTAAGTACTTTCTTCGCTCATTTTCTTCTTCCTCTATCTTTCTCTATATTACTCTTTGACCTCTTAGTTTTTTTTTTTTTTTTTTTTTTTTTTTCTCGCGTCTCTCGCGTTTACCATTCTTCTCTGTTTTATGTGTAATAATTCCAGACGTACCAAATACGACATCCAATCCATCCATCCATCATCCTATCATTCACAGAGAATTGGTTCGGTACGGCTGCAACAAGTGGGACGCCGATTGACAGGGGTGTGCGGCGTTTTTTAGAGTTGTTCTCATTTATTCATACCTACATTTATTTATATTTTTATTTTTTTGGGGGGGGGGGGGGGGGGGGGGTTGTATCTATCTATCTACCTTACCTAGGTATAAATGCGGGTGGGGAGGGAAGAAGAAGAAGAAGGATCCCGGTCAAGGGCATGGGCATGGGCATGCATGGCATTGTGACAAACTCCATGAGACTGAGAGAGGATGCAAGAAAGGAAGAAAGAAAGGAAGGAAGGAAGGAAGGGTAATGCGGCAATGAAAAGCACTGGCTAGGAATAGCACGGGGCAGACAGGCAGACAGGGAGGCCCCCAGACCAGTTGGATCAACTCGACCCCAGCAAAATGTCACCCATTATGACATGTTGACAGGCAGTGCGGGATTCGGATCACGGGATGGCTGGCTGGCTGGCTGGCTGGCTGGCTGGCTGGCTGGCTAACTGGCTGTTGTTGTTGTTGTTGTTGTTGTTCTTGTTGGGCTGGAGGGGTTTAAGGGAGTGAGTAGATCGAGGACTCAGAGTGAGATAGTAGTTGTGGTTGTTGTGGTTGTTGTTGATGAGGGCTGCAGTCTGCACACCCTGCAGGCGTCTTCTTTCCCCCTTCTCCACCCCTTCCAGTTTCCACAACCATTTGACCCGCACTTTTCTCCAGTACTTTCTGCTGCTGAAGGCTATCTCCTGTTTGATCGCGCGTGCTTTTCTGAGTTCTAAGTTCTAGGTTCTAGGTTCTAGGTTCTACAGATTCGGTTTGCACGGGCGATGAGTCGATCGATGCGGATGGGTGCCCAAGGGATCTACTAGTTCCGTTCCCATCCATTCATCCATCCGCTCTGAGGCCGAAATCTCCGGCCCTGGTTCAGTGGCTGTGGCTGTGGTCAATCACCCTCACGGACACTACGACGATGGCGAAGAAGATCGACCTGCTCGATCTCATTTGACGGATGAGACAGCCGTTCTCCAGTCTTGTCCGTCTGCTCCAATCAGATCTCATTCCGCGCCATCAGTCCCTGTCATTGAAATCCCCCGTGATTAACACGGGCAATTTCCGTGTTTTCTACAAAGCAAGTTGGAGAGGAGAGGAGAGGAGAGGGGGTCAGCCAGACATCGTTCTTCTTTCTTCATCGATTCGGCACGGTCATCCTGATCCAGTGGCACGATGCGGGCCAGCACTAGTCCATAGTACAGACGGGCACTTTCCGGACCCCGAACTAACTAAGTTATTGTCTAACTTAACCAGAACCGCCCACCCATCTCGGTTATCTACCGTCCTCGCAGGGGCCCGGGGAGGGGCCGGGGGGGGGGAAGCGCCCCGGTGTTCACGAGTCACGATCCTGATAGGCATTAGAGCAAGTCTGTGATTTTCATCTCCACGCCGGAAAAGGCGCATCTTGGAAGTATCTAGATAGTTGGGGGGGAGGGAGGGGGGGGTAGGTAAGACAACTACTGGCTTAGCCCATGTCTAGTGTCTGGCTTTTTGAAGCAAACCCCGTCCGGCGCCACCAATCCCCATATTTTTTCGGAAGGAGCGGCCAACGAGGATGACTGCGGATGAAACAATAAGCAAGTTGCAACAAAGGGAGGGAAATCATCGCCCATTATTCCCCATCCCCGGTCCCCGGTGCCCTCCCTGTCAAATGAGCATTAGATAGAGACCGCCGGTGCGGCCAAGGATGCTAGATACTGCTGGCGTGGAATGGTCATCTGCATGAGAAACACAGACGGACCGCCGCACTAATGAATCCTGACAGGTTGCGTGTGCAATGGGCATGCCGTAGCTTTGAGCCGCATGCCTGTTTAGCGACTATCTATTAGTCTCTGTATTGCAGTCTCGGGGGGTGTGGAGCAGGGAGCTGTTGAGATTGAGAGGATATCGATCAGGGTGAGAACTGAGAACTGAGAAATGAGAACTGAGAACTGAGAAGAATGAGATATCACCCCACGCCACACAGTAGACTACTGGTTGCAGACGCCAGTCAGTCCAGTCCTATCTAGTATGTATATACCCGTTTATCTAGCGAGCCATCCATCTATCTATCAATCTACGGAGTAGCTAACAACTATCAGTTCAAACCCCGGCAGCAGGGACATGGCGATGGCATGCCCGTCTTCTACATAGTAGTAACTACACAGTAAGCGGCATACGTAAGTAAGTACATGCATACACGGTCAATCCCCTCGATCTGAGTGACCCAGGGAAACGAGAACCCGAATGGTCAAATCAACCTCCCCCTAAGAATATCCCACCACGGTCCTCATTGGGTTGGCCTGGCCGGCTTACTGTGCACTATGTACTATCTTCATCTCATTCATTCCTCAGCCCGTGGTGTCCCGCCGACTTCTGACTATTGCGCATATTTAAATTGGGCTTGCTGTCCACGGAGTACTATCTACCTACCTACCTACCTACCTTTTACTCGCTTGGGCGTAGTACTCACCCAGAAGCGCCGGGCATGGATCGGGCTCTTGTAGTGTTTTTTTCTTTTTCATTTCGGGAGGGGAAGAGGCACGAATGAATGAATCAATGGGAAGAGAGGACAATCTGGCTTTCAGGCATCCCTCCAATGTTTTGCTTTTTCATGCCAATTTTTTTTTTCTTTTTCTTCTTCTTCTTCTTGTTCGTTCGGCTAGACTTCTGTTGATCTCCACGGCGTTTATACTCCACAGTCATCCACAAGATTGGACCTTCCCTCCTTCCTTAATAAACCTGTGGGCCCTGAAGGCAAGCTTACATAGGTGGATACTGTCTAAGTAAGTAAGTACAGTTCCTCCTCCTCCTCTCCCCCCCCCCTCCCTCCCGCCACTCCCCCAACGCGTTTAAGCCTCCAAGCAAGTTGACTCACCTACTCCCATACATACATACATACATACATACATACTACTCATTATTAAACTTTGAATGCGCATGCAACTCTAGGTACAGTAGCGTTCCTCGGTTACAAATAGTTCCCCAACAGAAGCAAAAAAAAAAAAAAAAATCAAACTCAAAATCAAAAGTACCAAGCAGTACTTACCTTACTTCTTACTTGCCTGCTTCTGCTTACCCTTCCGGCTCCGAACGTCTCCCCCCTTCCTGAACTCTCTTTTTCTGTAGAATGCCCGTCGTAACGAACGAATTTGGCTTTGGAGAAAGAAACGGGCCGCGCCGGATGTTTAAGCCTACTGAGTAAACTTAACTTTGAGCCTTGCGCTTGCATCCAGACCCCTTAACCTCTAGGTTAGTAGTGTAGGTTTCCTGCTCCGCTCCGCATGAACGGTCGGGCGGTCGGTCGGTCGGTTGTTCGGTCGGCTGGCTGGCTGGCTATTCGGCTGGTCGGCTGGTCGGCTCGTGTGCATCCGAGGGGTGTGGTGTTGTCAGTGTGTGTAGGTGTCAGTTCGGGTTTTGGGTGGATATGATGCGCGATGCTTGTGTGCGCTTGGGCCTTGGGTGGGGTTGGTATGTAGTGTAGTGTGTAGTGTGTAGTATATACTCCTTACTGTAGTCTGTATGTATGTAGGTATCTAGGTAGGTTGATTTCTGGGGGACTGGAATGGAATGGAATAGAATGGACTGGACTGGACTGGACTGGGCTGGGCTGGAACCCTTTAGTTTTGGCATGGCGATGTCGTGTGGGTGGGACATTGACAGGTGCGAAAACGAAAGCGAAAGCGTTATGCGAGTGCTGGCTGGGATTGGGACGGGAGTCTAGAAAGTCTAGAACGGGGTCGATGGAGGGATTATTGGGGAAAGGCTGAGGTGGGTTTATATATAGTAAGATATATATGTGTGTGTGTATGTATGATTGTGTATACAGTAGTGTAGGTAGTAGATAGCGTATGTAGCGTGCGTAAGAGTAGTGTAGCTCCTGAGTCCCTTCCTCAGGCAGGTGAAGTACATGTGGCTAGTAGCATGGCTGCAGAAAGGGTAGTACTTGGAGCAGAGTAGATCAGAGCAGGATAGAGCAGGGCTTGTTAGCGAAATATCCATCCATCTACCTATCTATCTATCTACTCATCCATTGCCCCTCAAATAATAGTAGTAATACTAATCCTAATACCAATAGTGAATAGTTTAGTCCTCTAACCAACCGCCAGCCCATAGGAACTTGCATTGCATTGCGTTGTACAAAAAAAAAGCCAAGAGATGTGAGAATTGCGGATATCTCTCCCTCCAATCAATTGGTCAATCAATCCCTGGTGACATTGTGACATTCCTAATCCAATCCCAGCAAGTTGAATCAGCAGGAAGACGCCCCATTCCCCTTCCCCTTCCCCTTCCCCCTCTCCCTCAGGAACCTGTCGATCCGAGCACCTGCTCATTAAGTGGCATCCCGCCACACGCCACGGACCACGGCTATCAAAATCCTGCAGACTGTCAGTCAATCTGACAGTCCGCTATATCCCCGTCCCCATCAACCAATCACCTCCTCCCTAGGTAAGGAAACGTAATATTCAGTCACCGCTTTAAACGACACACCCAATGAGAAAAATTTTCTGTCGCGCTTAGGATTAATTCCTAGGTAGGTCATCAGCACTACGGTATGAGGATGAGGTAGATGGGGACCTAAGTAGGTATGTAGATAGTACTGACTGACTGACTGACTGACTGACTGACAGCGGCAGTTTAGATAGGTAGGTAGGTAAGTAAGCAAGTAGGCTTAGTTGCCTTCTCCAGTCGGTCTGTCTGCCTTCCCTCTTAGTCGGAGATCCTGAGACGGAGGCGAGACTGGGGCCGGGATAGATCCTGTAATCGTGCATGCGCAGGTCTCTCCCGTCTACTACTACATGCCATTGGTTTTATTTTTATTTTTCTTTATTTTTTATTTTTTTTTTCATTATGATTATTATTCGGTTCGGGGTTGTTTTGTTTTTTAGAGCTAGATATAACGGTGTGGATGATAGCCTTTTCTACGATGGATGAATGGATGGATGTATGTATATACGTATGTAACTGGTTGGGGTTGGGAGAGTAGACGGTAGACAGAATCGATCTATACTATCTACTTACCTACGCTACCTACCTACCTACCTACCTACCTAGCAGGTCGCTTAGAGAATCCGGAACACTAGTGCCAGACTGCTAGCAGGCTGTCATATGGATCTCCTCGATAGCTAATCTATCCATCGGCCGAATAGAAGTGGGTGTGGTGTGCCCGAGGATCTAGAATTCAGACATGTGCTCCGTACATGTCTGAATTATCTTATGTGCATGCCAAGGTGTCCTGCCTAAGTGGGTGACTCTAGATCGATTGGATGGACGCGAACCACCCATGGCAGCGGCGGCTAAGGCTAAGGAAAAGGTGTCACAACTCCCCGGGAAGACGGGCCAGATGGCATCCAGACCGGCTGGATGGACATACATACACATACGTGGAGGTACAGAGGGTCGTGGTTGCGGTCGTGGTCGTGGTCGCGGTCGTGGCAGATCCGCCCGATTTATTATGATTGCGATTCGGGCGTGTACCGCGGATCGGATCTACTTCAATCAATCTCTGCTCTCGGACCACTTCCATCATCAGCAGCAGCATCATCACCATGTTTATTGTTGTCAAGTATCTCCCCTCCGCTTATCTCGGCAGGGACAGTAGGGAGGTACAGGTACAGACACAGGTACATAAGTACCTTGTACTTTCGGACTTGAGACGCACGCTGGATGGGACACTATCCCAATGTAGATAAGTACCTATGTAAGTGATGTGTACATGTGTACATGGGGGAAAAAAAAGAAGAGAATGGAGAGTCTCACCGCTGGGAAGGGGGGGGGAGCGGAAAAGTCGAATGGTCGGGATAGGTACATACTACTGTCTAGAAGGGCTGAAAAAAAAAGGCCAAGGCGAGGAGGGGATCTGGCCGGTGTCACATGAGGTAGGTAAGGGAAGAAGGGACAACTCCATCCAGCTCGGCTTGATGCACGAAATCAACTAAGCCACGGCAAGCTAACCACGCTAACTAAATCACTACTAAGTATGGATTCAACTCCGTACTAAGTGTGTAACTTATAGTGTATTGTTAGTACTGTGTGTCTTAAATGGCGTCATGGGGACGGGGTTGCTTTGCCCAGCACCTCATCCCTCACCCTTATCCCTCGTCTTTCCTGGTTGTTAAAGATCACAATGACTACTAGCATCCCATCCACCATCCATCCACCCATGCCTGTACTAACTACCATGTAATATAGCCATGGATCGGACGAGCACACACAGCAGGCTAGTCTACTCCGTACAGCAGCAGCCGACTGTGGATTCCCACCACGGACGGATGATCAACCGGACCCCCCGTCCCTAAGCCGGCCAGCCAACGCGCCTGTCAAGTCTCTGCTAGCAGTCTGTCAGTCAGCTGCATGGCATAAAAAAACAGCCGGGATCAGGGATGGTTCGATATATCTACCTACTAGCTAGTAGTCTAGCAGACAAACGTTTGCCTAGTGATTCATGGACTTTTTAGACCCCCCACTTCGTCCTGCCCCCGCTGCTAGTCCTCGAATAGATGAGCGTCCCCAGAGCACACACACAATGGGATGTGCCAAGGACAAGGACAAGGACAAGAACAAGGACAAGAACAAGGACAAGGATAAGGACAAAGAACTCTCCCCTAGCTCTCAATTGCCCAATTGACAGCTATATGGCCAATCATGAATGAATATCATGCTTAGCCCCGATCGGCCAGAGGCGCCCGACCGGCCATATGACTAGGTCTGTCGTCCCCCGACTGACCATAGGTAGATAGGTAGGTAGGTAACAATAGACCAGACCATCCCTCCTCCTGCTAGCGAGGTGTCCCGATGATGTGATGTCCAATGATCTGTCCCTATCACGGTCACAATCTCATTATCTCCATATTGTCTGGATTCGCTCTTCCGGCCGAACTACTCATCTCGTCTCGCGTCCCCGGAATCTAAACTTTGCTAAGTATCTACTGCGTTGACTAGTTGTCTACTGACGGCAGATTGACTGGATGGTTGGCCATTATTATTATTCTTATTATTATCATTATCATTACCCGTCGATTGTGCTGGAGAGAGCCCCTCCCTCACCCTGTTACCTGACCTGGCCTGTGTAAACGCCAGCCTGGCTGCCCTGCAGTCAGTCAGTCGGTAGTGGTCTGGTCTGGTCCGGTCTGGTCAGTCGCCGCCAGTCCAGGAAATATCACAGGTATCACAACCGCAAGCCCGGAGGAGGCGAAATATGTATGTATGTATATACCTACAGTAAGGCACGGGCACCATCCATCCATCCATTCCAAATGACCGACAGACCTACATCTCTCCCACAGAAGGGTCCCCGACACTGGACCTGGACCGGACTGCACTACACTGCACTGCACTGGACCAAACCAAAGGTCGGACTGGAAATTTCGGCGGATTTTGCTGGTCCTAGATAGGTAGGTGCTGACTTGGGCAGACATTCAATTCACATTCAAGTTGGCAGACCGACCACTCGCGCGGACAGAAAGTACTGCAGCCGCACTTGTGAAGTAGTACCTACTACTACGGAGTTAGTACTTCCGGATATATATATATGTCACGGTACTACTACACTAAGCGAGGCAACTCTCGTACTTTATTCAATTTCCCTCTTCACATACTACCACTAGCTAACTACTAGTATCTATATACTTGTAACGCTCATTTGTTTATCTGAAGCATGTCTCAATTCTAACCGAGACCACCGATCATCGCCGGCTTGTTCGTACTTTTTTTTTTTGTTTTTCTTTTTTGCGTCCGATTTTACTATCTATCTAGATAGTATCTAGTAGCTACAGCCGCCCCTCCAAATCGACTTATTCCCGCTTCTGATTTCCCGCGCGGCTTTTCATAATTAACACGATCATTGTGTTTGTGTGTGTATGTATATATGTATGTATATATCGTCACCGGTTCCTGTTTTGGTATGTAGTAGTTACGTAGGTAGGTAGATAGATAGATAGATAAATAAATAGAATCTGCACAGATAGCCCTGGTTCGAGACCGGAGCTGCTTCTGCTTCTGCTGCTGCTGTCGCCATGCAGGACCGCCCACGCGCTGTGCTGTGACATGATGACTCGTGGTGATGTCGGTCTTTTGAATTGGACAGACAACCTACCTAGCTAGGTAGGTGGGTGGGTGGCACCGCTGCTTTGCTTGATAGAGTAGACGTACGTACGTAGTACGTACGTACGTACCTACCTGCCTGCCTACCTGCAAGTATGGATGGAGACGAGGAAGGGTTCCGTTTGGCCCGCTTAGTGTGCCCGGTGCCTTGAGGAGGCGCCATCTCAAGGCTATCTATCTATCTATCTATCTATCTAAAACAGTAGCCTTCCAACCTGCTAGATGTCATGTACTCCGTAGGAGAGGGGTCCCTGGGCGGCCTGGTGTACCATAGTGTGGTGTAATGCATACAGGTTGAACAGAGCTGCTGGATGATTGCGCGCTTCTACACTGCTCTTACCTATGTACATACGTAGTGCCCTGCTTCACGCCCCTGGCTAGTTCTGGCGGTGTATCTTCTGTCTGTCTGTCTCTTTTCTCTCGCGACCGGGATGGCATGGCAGGGCATGGGATGGCGTGGGGGAGAACTAATCCTAAGTACGGAGCCGAAGGCGAAAAAAAAAAAAAAAAAAAAAGGAACTACGAAAGAACAACGGATACCGAGACGCCCTTCGATCGAGGTCGAAAACCGGAGGAAACTTCAATTCATGAATATAATTCATTGATCACGACAATTGATCCGCCGTGCTTAGCCGTATGAGAACCATACCCAGCCAAATTTTAATTTTCCATGGTCGCTACACCCCTTTGAAACAAGAAAAAAACACCGTCAATGGAAGAGGGCGTTTAGCGCTTGGCGGCCTTCTCCTGGGACTCCTTGAGAACCTTCTTGACGATCTTCTGCTCCTCGATCAGGAAAGCACGGACGATACGGTCCTTGACGCAGCCAGCGCAGCGGGAACCACCGTAGGCACGGCTGACGTTCTTCTTGGGGCGAGAGATCTGAGCGTACTCCCGGGGGCGGAGGGCGGGAACCTAGGGTCACGATAACCATCAGCTTTTTGTTGTTCCTTTTCTTTTCTCTTCTTCCTCTTCGTCTTCAGGTCGGGTTGAGCGGTGGGTGGTGTGGAATGCTGTCTTGTTCTTCTCCTTCTTTTTTTTTTGAAGTCGTCCTCCTGCGCTGTTTTCGTCGTGTCGCTCGCGCACACATTTCCAGTAACCCCAGTCCTCGCAGCCATTCGCACCACCCACCACCATTCAACGAAAATTCAACTCGGGAGCACTCACACCAGGGAGCTTGATGCCACAGTCACCGCACTTGGGAGCAGTTCCCTTCTTCTTGATGTGAAGGTAACGGAGCTCACCACCGGGGGTCTTGATGATGCGGACCTTGTTGGACCGCGTGTTGTACCTGTAGACAAAATTCCATCAATATCCTGTCACGTAGATTTTCGGCTGGTTGGAATTTTTTTTTTCAAGGTTTGAAGTCTTGTCTCGTCGCTTCCAAGCCGGACGAATCGTCATTGCACCGTTGCGACCGACAAAACTGGTGAAAAAGACACAAGGCACGAGCAGGGGGGGGATATGGGCTGTGGGAGAGGAAAAATTCTCAACGTACGGGTTCCGGCGGCGCTGCAAAGAAAGAAAATCAGAATATCAGTAATTCGTCCTCTAAATATTCAGCTGATCGAGTTAACTCACGAATTGGAGTCTGTTGTTCGCCATTTTGTCTGTCCGTGAACCTCAAGGTCGGTGGTCAAGAGATTGGGCGGCGGGCGTCGTCGGTTGTCGTCGTTGACCTCGTAGAATTCTGGCGGTAATCTGGATTTGTGTGGGTTTCGCTCGGAGCCCTGGGCGCCCGCGCTAGCGCCAATTTGGCGAGTCCGCGCTAACGCCGCGTTCGGACTAGCGTCGGTGCCGGCAGAGCCGCCACCTCTTTTCAGTCTTGCTGCCATCAACGGAAGGAGCACCGCAAGAAGAAGAGACTGGAGAGACCGCCTGTCATCCAACCAGGGGACCCCGTCCAGGACTGGTTTCTATCTGTCATCTTTCTTTCCTTCTTTCTTTTCCGGGGAAACGCTGCATTTCCTTCCATTGCCATCCTTGACGCGTGTTGCTTTCCTTTCATCGTTGAGCTTGGGGTCGATGAAGAGCTCGCGATAGAGTCGTGATCTTTGACGCGTGCACGACCACCAATCCACCCCCCCCTCCCCCCCCCCAAACTTCGATTGGCCAACGAGAGAGCTTCCCTCCCATCATCATAATCATCACCTCCACCCCCCCTCCCCCATCATCATGGCATCACTGCCTCCTCCTCCGCCCCCGGGCTGGGCTGCGTCGGCACCGCCGTCGATGCCCTTCGCTCCTCCGCCGCCGGGATATCAACCGCCCGCCGACCCGACTGTCGCCAAGTTCGCCCAGAAGAAGAATGAATGGCTGCGGACGCAACGGAACCGATTCGGCGAGAAGCGGAAGGGCGGGTTCGTGGAAACACAGAAGGCCGACATGCCGCCGGAGCATTTGCGAAAAATCGTCCGCGACATCGGCGATGTATCCCAGAAGAAGTTCAGCAACGAGAAGCGCAGCTACCTGGGCGCGCTGAAGTTCATGCCCCATGCCGTGCTGAAGCTGCTGGAGAACATGCCCATGCCGTGGGAGTCCGCCAAGGAGGTGAAGGTCCTGTACCATGTCAACGGTTGCTTGACTATGGTGAATGAGACTCCTCGGGTCATCGAGCCGGTTTTCCACGCCCAGTGGGCGACGATGTGGGTGTGTATGCGCCGCGAGAAGAGTGATCGCAGACACTTCAAGAGAATGCGGTTTCCCCCGTTCGATGACGAGGAGCCGCCGTTGTCGTGGTCGGAGAATATCGAGGATGTGGAGCCCTTGGAGCCGATCCAGATGGAGCTCGACGAGTCGGAGGATGGCGCCGTTTATGAGTGGTTCTATGAGCAAAGGCCCCTGTTGGATACACCCCATGTTAATGGGCCGAGTTACAAGAGCTGGAACTTGACCCTCCCACAGATGGCTACGCTCTATCGACTAAGTCATCAGCTGCTGAGTGACGTCGTCGATAAGAACTACTACCATATGTTTGACCTGAACAGCTTCTTTACGGCAAAGGCCCTGAACGTCGCCATCCCCGGTGGTCCCCGCTTCGAGCCTCTGTACAAAGATATCGACCCCAACGACGAGGACTTCAGCGAGTTCAACGCTATCGACCGCATCATTTTCCGCGCCCCCATCCGAACGGAATACCGGGTCGCATACCCCTTCCTGTACAATACCCTTCCGAGAAGCGTAAAGGTTTCTTGGTACTCTCACCCTCAAGTTGTCTATGTCCGGACCGACGACCCTAATCTTCCCGCCTTCTACTTCGACCCTGTCATCAACCCCATCTCCTCCCGGTCCGTCGCGCCCAAGAACATCACCGTCAGCCACGAAGATGAGATCTTTGGCGAAGGAAACAATGAGGACGACTTTGAACTTCCCGCCGACTTTGAACCGTTCTTTGCGGAGGAGGAGCTGTATACGCCCGACACCGCCTCGGCCATCGCCCTCTGGTGGGCTCCTCACCCCTTCAACAAGCGCTCCGGAAAGATGGTGCGCGCCCAGGATGTGCCCTTGGTCAAGCAGTGGTACATGGAGCACTGCCCGCAGGGCCAGCCCGTCAAGGTCCGCGTCTCGTACCAGAAGCTGCTGAAGACCTACGTGCTCAATGAGCTGCACAAGAACAAGCCCAAGGCCCAGAACAAGCAGAACCTGCTGAAGACCCTGAAATCCACCAAGTTCTTCCAGCAGACGACGATTGACTGGGTTGAAGCTGGTCTGCAAGTTTGTCGCCAGGGTTTCAACATGCTCAACTTGTTGATCCACCGCAAGAACTTGACCTACCTGCATCTCGATTACAACTTCAACCTGAAGCCCGTAAAGACCCTGACGACCAAGGAGCGGAAGAAGTCCCGTTTCGGAAACGCCTTCCACCTGATGAGAGAAATTCTCCGCCTTACGAAGTTGATTGTTGACGCCCAGGTACAATACCGTCTGGGTAACATCGATGCCTTCCAGCTGGCTGACGGCATCCTGTACGCTTTCAACCACGTTGGACAGTTGACCGGTATGTACCGTTACAAGTACAAGCTGATGCACCAGATCCGTTCTTGCAAGGATCTTAAGCATCTGATCTACTACCGGTTCAACTCGGGTCCTGTGGGCAAGGGTCCTGGATGTGGTTTCTGGGCCCCCGCCTGGCGTGTGTGGCTGTTCTTCATGCGCGGTATCATTCCCCTGCTCGAGAGATGGCTCGGAAACCTGCTGTCTCGTCAGTTCGAGGGTCGTCACAGCAAGGGCGTCGCCAAGACTGTCACCAAGCAGCGTGTGGAGTCCCACTTCGACCTTGAACTCCGTGCCTCCGTCATGGCGGATCTTATGGACATGATGCCTGAGGGTATCAAGCAGAACAAGGTCAACACGGTCCTCCAACATCTGTCGGAGGCGTGGAGATGCTGGAAGAGTAACATTCCCTGGAAGGTTCCTGGCCTGCCGGCGCCAATTGAGAACATCATCCTGCGTTACGTCAAGAGCAAGGCCGACTGGTGGATTTCGGTCGCACATTACAACCGTGAACGTATCCGTCGCGGTGCCACCGTGGATAAGACCGTTGCGAAGAAGAACCTTGGTCGGCTCACCCGGTTGTGGCTCAAGTCTGAGCAGGAGCGCCAGCACAACTACCTGAAGGATGGTCCTTACGTGTCTTCCGAGGAGGCCGTGGCGATTTACACCACTATGGTTCACTGGCTGGAGTCTCGCAAGTTCTCTCCGATCCCCTTCCCCAGTGTGTCGTATAAGCACGACACCAAGATTCTGATCCTAGCCCTGGAACGTCTGCGTGAGGCATACTCTGTCAAGGGTAGACTCAACCAGAGCCAGCGTGAGGAACTTGCTCTTATTGAGCAAGCGTACGACTCCCCGGGAACGACATTGGCCAGAATCAAGCGATTCCTCTTGACCCAGCGTGCCTTCAAGGAAGTGGGTATCGATATGAACGACAACTATAGCCACATCAACCCGGTGTATGATGTGGAGCCTATCGAAAAGATCACCGACGCCTATCTCGACCAGTACCTGTGGTATCAGGCAGAGCAACGCCACTTGTTCCCCGCCTGGATCAAGCCTTCGGATTCGGAAGTGCCTCCGCTATTGACGTACAAATGGGCTCAAGGGATCAACAACCTGGACAATGTTTGGGAGACTTCCGATGGCGAGACGAACGTGATGATCGAAACGGATCTGGCGAAGGTCTATGAGAAGATAGATCTGACGTTGTTGAACCGCATGCTGCGCTTGATCATGGATCACAACTTGGCCGATTATATCACCTCCAAAAACAACGTCCAGCTCAGCTACAAGGACATGAACCACACCAACGGTTATGGTATGATCCGGGGTCTGCAGTTCTCCGGTTTCGTGTTCCAGTACTACGGTCTGATGATCGACTTGCTGCTGCTTGGTTTGCAGAGAGCCAGTGAAATGGCCGGTCCTCCTCAGAGCCCTAACGACTTCTTGCAGTTCAGGGACCGTGCTACCGAGACGAAGCATCCTATTCGTCTGTACACGCGTTACGTTGATAAGATCTGGGTCTTCCTGAGATTCTCTGCCGACGAGTCTAGAGACTTGATCCAACGTTTCCTGACGGAGAACCCGGATCCCAACTTTGAGAATGTCATCGGGTACAAGAACAAGAAGTGCTGGCCCCGTGATTGCCGGATGCGCTTGATGCGGCATGACGTTAACCTGGGTCGTGCTGTGTTCTGGGATCTGAAGAACCGCCTGCCGAGGTCTATCACCACCATCGACTGGGACGACACTTTTGCCAGCGTCTACAGCAAGGACAACCCCAACCTTCTGTTCTCCATGTCCGGGTTTGAAGTCCGTATTCTTCCCAAGTGCCGCAACCAGAACGAGGAGTTCTCAGTGAAGGATAGTGTCTGGTCCCTGGTCGACAACTCGACCAAGGAACGGACGGCCCATGCCTTCCTCCAGGTCACCGAGGAGGACATCCAGAAGTTCAACAACCGGATCCGTCAGATTCTCATGTCGTCCGGTTCCACGACCTTCACCAAGATCGCGAACAAGTGGAACACGGCTCTCATTGCGCTCTTCACCTACTACCGTGAAGCTGCGGTGTCGACCGTCAACCTCCTGGATACGATCGTCAAGTGCGAGACCAAGATCCAGACCCGTGTCAAGATTGGTCTGAACTCCAAGATGCCGTCTCGTTTCCCCCCTGCCGTTTTCTACACCCCCAAGGAACTTGGAGGTCTGGGTATGATCTCTGGATCGCACATTCTCATTCCTGCCAGCGACAAGCGGTGGTCCAAGCAAACGGATACGGGCATCACTCACTTCCGCGCGGGTATGTCTCACGACGAGGAGACTCTGATCCCCAACATCTTCCGCTACATCATCCCCTGGGAAGCCGAGTTCATTGACTCCCAGCGCGTGTGGATGGAGTACTCGCAGAAGCGGCAGGAGGCTCAGCAGCAGAACCGTCGTCTGACTTTGGAGGACTTGGAGGATAGCTGGGACCGCGGTCTTCCTCGTATCAACACCCTCTTCCAGAAGGACCGGAGCACCCTCAGCTTCGACAAGGGTTTCCGTCTCCGCGCCGAATTCAAGCAGTACCAGCTGATGAAGAGCAACCCCTTCTGGTGGACTAGCCAGCGCCACGACGGAAAGCTCTGGAACTTGAACGCTTACCGTACTGACGTCATCCAGGCCCTGGGTGGTGTTGAAACTATTCTCGAACACACCCTCTTCAAGGCTACGGCCTTCCCATCTTGGGAGGGTCTCTTCTGGGAGCGTGCTTGTCTTGCTAAGGGAACGCTGTTGCTGCGGTATGATAACACTACGGTCGCGGTGGAAGACGTCAAGGAGGGCGATCTTCTCCTTGGACCCGATGGCGAACCTCGTCGGGCGTACAACATCGTCAGTGGAAAGGATCAGCTGTACCGCATCAAGTTGGGTGGTAACAAGGAGGATCTCGTCGTCACGACAAACCATATCTTGGTTCTCCACCGGGAGAGAGTTGGTGACGATGTCTCGGCAGCGGAGCGCTATGAGACCGTCGAAATGACCGCCGCTGAGTTCGCTGCGCTCGACGATAACGACAGACGGAGACACCATTCCTTCAAGTCTTCTGGTGCTGAGGCTGAACGTTTCGTCATGGAGGAGATCACGCTTGAGTCCGAGCCTACGGAGTGGGCCGGTTTCCGGGTGGATAAGGACCAGCTCTATCTGCGCCACGATCGTCTTGTTCTGCACAACTCCGGTTTCGAAGAGTCGATGAAGTTCAAGAAGCTCACCAACGCCCAGAGATCCGGTCTGAACCAAATCCCCAACCGTCGTTTCACCCTGTGGTGGTCCCCGACCATCAACCGTGCCAACGTGTACGTTGGTTTCCAGGTGCAACTGGATCTTACGGGTATCTTCTTGCACGGAAAGATCCCTACGTTGAAGATTTCGTTGATTCAGATCTTCCGTGCGCACTTGTGGCAGAAGATTCACGAGTCCGTCGTCATGGACTTGTGCCAGGTCTTCGACCAGGAACTTGAACAGCTGGGTATCGAAGCCGTTCAGAAGGAGACTATCCACCCGCGTAAGTCTTACAAGATGAACAGCTCCTGTGCCGACATCTTGCTCTTCGCGACGAACAAGTGGAACGTCACCCGCCCCTCTGTGCTGTTTGACACCAAGGACGTCTACGAGCCCACCACGACCAACAAGTTCTGGCTGGATGTGCAGCTGAGATACGGTGACTACGATTCCCACGACATTGAGAGATATGTCCGTGCCAAGTACCTGGACTACACCACCGACAGCATGAGTATCTATCCTTCTGCTACCGGTCTGATGATCGGTATCGATCTTGCGTACAACCTGTACTCGGCCTACGGGCAGTACTTCCCTGGTCTCAAGACCCTGGTGCAACAGGCCATGGCCAAGGTCATGAAAGCGAACCCTGCCTTGTATGTGCTGAGAGAACGTATCAGGAAGGGTCTGCAGCTGTACGCCTCGGAGAGCAACCAGGAGTTCCTGAACTCCCAGAACTACTCTGAGCTTTTCAGCCCGCAGATCCAGCTGTTCATTGACGACACCAACGTCTACCGTGTCACCATCCACAAGACCTTCGAAGGTAACTTGACGACCAAGCCCATCAACGGTGCCATCTTCATCTTCAACCCCAGAACTGGACAGCTGTTCTTGAAGATCATCCATACCAGTGTCTGGGCCGGACAGAAGCGTCTGGGTCAGTTGGCCAAGTGGAAGACCGCGGAAGAAGTGGCGGCGCTCATCCGGTCCCTGCCTGTTGAGGAACAGCCCAAGCAGCTGATCGTCACCCGTAAGGGTCTTTTGGATCCTCTGGAGGTTCACTTGCTCGACTTCCCCAACATTTCCATCCGTGCTTCCGAGCTCCAGCTTCCTTTCCAGGCTGCGATGAAGGTTGAGAAACTGGCCGATATGATCCTCCGGGCAACGGAGCCTCAGATGGTTCTCTTCAACCTGTACGACGAGTGGTTGAAGTCTATCTCCCCCTACATCGCCTTCTCTCGTTTGATCTTGATCCTGCGAGCCCTTCATGTCAACATCGATAAGGCGAAGATCATCCTCCGCCCCGACAAGACCGTGGTCACCCAGGAGCATCACATCTGGCCCTCGCTGTCTGATGAGGACTGGATGAAGGTCGAAGTGCAACTCCGCGATCTGATCCTCAACGACTACGGCAAGAAGAACAACGTCAATGTGCAGAGTTTGACCAGCAGTGAAGTCCGGGATATCATTCTGGGTATGGAGATTAGTGCGCCTTCGCTGCAGCGACAGCAGGCGGCGGAGATCGAGAAGCAGCAGGATGAGCAGAAGCAGCTCACGGCTGTGACGACGAAGACGCAGAACGTCCGCGGCGAGGACATCATTGTCACCACCACCTCGCAGTACGAGCAGCAGTCCTTCGCGTCCAAGACCGAGTGGCGCACACGGGCCATCGCGACGTCCAACCTCCGCACGAGGGCGAACAACATCTACATCTCGTCGGATGAGATCCGGGATGAGGGATACACCTACATCATGCCGAAGAACGTCCTCAAGCGGTTCATCACGATTGCCGATCTCCGCGTGCAAGTTGCCGGATACCTGTACGGTACCTCGCCGCCCGACAACGACCAGATCAAGGAGGTCCGCACCATTGTCATGATTCCCCAGGTGGGTAACACCCGGGAGGTCCAGCTGCCCCATCAGCTCCCGCAGCACGACTACCTGAACAACCTCGAGCCCCTGGGTGTCATCCACACCATCTCAGGCAACGAGCCCCCCTACATGACGGCGATGGATGTCACGCAGCACGCGCGCCTGATGAACTCGCACCCGTCGTGGGACAAGAAGACGGTCACCATGACGGTGTCGTTCACCCCTGGATCGGTGTCGCTGGCTGCATGGGGACTGACGCCCCAGGGCTACAAGTGGGGAGCGGAGAACCGCGACACGACCTCAGACCAGCCGCAGGGCTTCTCGACCAGCATGGGCGAGAAGTGCCAGCTGCTGCTGAGTGACAAGATTCGCGGCTACTTCCTCGTGCCGGAGGACAGCGTGTGGAACTACAGCTTCATGGGCAGCTCGTTCGGCGGGGTGGAGAAGCGCCCGGTGTACGTCAAGATCGACACCCCTCTGCGGTTCTACGACGATCAGCATCGCCCTCTGCACTTCCAGAACTTTGCCGAACTGGAAGATATCTGGGTGGATCGGACGGATAACTTTGCGTGAGCCATGACTGACTGGACGTGGATGTGGATGGCGTTGGTGATGATGTTTCATTATGGATATTTACGTGTTGTTTTACTATTTCTGATGTTTCCCATTTTGAGCCCTTTTTTTCGATCTCCTTTTTTCTAATGTAGGTAGTGTATACAAAAATCTCTCCTGTGTTATTATTATTATTATTATTATTACTATTATGCCCATTTCTTTTTTTTTTTTTTTTTTCTCTCTCTTGTGATTTTCGGGGGTGGAGAGGTATGCGAGGGTGGATGGATGGATGGATGGATGAATTCCAGGTTCCAGGAACTGCGACCGTCACCCGGGGTAGTGTACAGTATCTAGATAGGTGGGAGAGGAGGTAGCGCAGGACTCCGTAACTCCTCCTTAACTCATACTGTACGTCTTAGATGTCTGTCTACATAGTCACCGCAAGAGGCAATTGGTCAAGCCCTCTTGAGGAATTACTATAAAAATGGAACCCACTCATGCATGCATGTATGTAGTATGTATGTAGTAAGTATGTATGTGTCTTGACAGTGTCAGTGTCAGGGCCAGTGTCTTTCTCCTAGTCCTGTCAGGCTATCTATCTATCTATCTATCTATCTATTCGGGGGCTAGTCTGCCGGTCACTTCACAGTAGTGTGCTCACTGCTAAGTAATATGAATGTGTTGGCCAGTCGGTGGATGGTGGATGGTGTCTGGTGTCGGTAACTAACTAAAGTAAAGTGCGTCTGCCGGTCTGGAGCTAAGGGATCGACCATGTGGGTGGAACTGGTGAAGCTCAGCTCCAGCCTCCGGGCTAGATAGATATGATTGTATCTATTGTATCTGCCTGCCGGCCTGCCCTAGGCGGATGGAGCCTACCCTACTCCGTAGATAAACTAGGGGGGGGGGGGAAACTGGGAGTCTGGGACTGAGGGCTGTCTGTGGATGTGATGATCACTCATTCATTTGTTTCATTTAGTTATCTATCGAGTGCTAAGTGATGTGATGGACTGGACTGGACTGGACTGGACTATGGCGGGTGCTAGTGTCCCCGACCATGTGTGAGTCCACTTGGTCTACTCCGTTCCGTCTTGGAGTAGTAGATACTTTGAGTGGGAGAGGATTTCCTCTGCCGATGCTGTCAGTGTATAGTAAGTTTGTAAGTTGTAATAACTACTATGATAACCCTGGTCTTGTCTTAGTGAATATCTAGATAGTAGTTAGGTTGAGGTGGTGGCTAGATACTTGACACTTTTCAGGTAAGTAACCCGGGGGGGAAGTAACAGACAGACAGACTGACACTGACACTGACACTGACACTGACAGGCAGGGGCAGGGAACGGAGGTGACGTGTGTCTGATATTATCTAGTTAGTGTTGTTGAGTGTTCAGTGTTGAGTTGACAGTGTGGAAGTGGGGATGGGAGATGGAAGTTGGCCGAGAGCTGCTGCCCCGTTCACCGTTCACCGTTCACGCTGCCACATGGGGAAGGAGGGGAAGGACATGATTTATCTAGTGGGTTACTGAGTTACCGTACCCCGTACCACTCATCAACAAGAATAATTATTACTTCCGAGTGTCTATCTACCCTTCCCACGCCATTACTTCCCGGCTACATCCGACTATCCGTCCGATGCATCATCGTCGGGATCTGGTCTTAAGTACTTACTTACAGTACGGAGTAGTTAGTTAGTTACTTGCTACTTAGCAATCTAGGTGGGTGGGTGATCTAGTTAGGCCAGACAAAATTACTTGTTAATCGGGAATGGGAATGCCGACAGATATTATTATTATTATTATTATTATTTTTTCTTTAATTTTTTTCTTTATTTATTTATTTCTTATGATTGATTGATTGATTGATCTCCAGGCTTATATTCATATTTCACATTCATATTTTATTTCAATTTTATTTCAGTTCATTTCCTGTCTGAGAATGAATCTGTTTCACCAGTGCCTCATGGGGCCTTGCCGCCTTTGTTCCTCGGGACGAAGTCAAAGGAAACTGGGTATGGTCTCCGTATTTATTTATCTACTTAGTTACTAGTTTAGGTAGCCCGTAGCCCCTGTACTTTAAAACAAAATAAAATTAATAATTAAAAAAAATCCGGGAAGGAAGAAAGAGAGAAAGAGAGAGAGAGAGAGAGACAAAAAAAAATAATCAAATCAACAAACAAAAGACTACCTATATACCTACCTACCTACCTACCTACAGAGTAATCCCCTCCCCCCCAAATAAGTAGGTAAATAAATAAAAAAAATAAGAAAGAAAAAAAAAATTACACCCAGACCCCTCTCCCCTCTCTGCAGTCGGAAAATCAGAATATCTCGCCCGCCCTTGGCTTTCCTGGGAGCCGAAAGCCAGCCAGCCTGCAAGACAAGAAGAATAAGAGTGCGATGCGATGCGATACGATACGACGGGAAGAGGACATGGGCGCATGCAATGCGCATGGAAAGGGTGGGTGGGAATGGGAATGGGAGGGAGGGGGGAAGGGATCCACCTTTCTACCCGGAGTAGACGCCTAGTTGAGACTAGATACCTCTCTCGACCTCTCGATCTCTCGACCTCTCGACCTCCTCGAGGGATCTTACGTGTTGTGTAGAGGCCTAACTATCTATAAACCAGTCTAGATACACTTAATACTCTTCCCACGATTCATGTCCATGATGCTCACTCGTTGACCAAGTCCCAAGTAGGCAGGTGATAAAAAATGATGGTGGTGGTGGTGGCTGGCTTTGGGTCATCCTTCCTTTTCTTCCTCTTCTTCGTCTTCTCTCTCCTTCTCCTTCTCATCCCGTCGGCGCTGTGTGGCTGCACGCACTGGCTGGCTGGCAGGTGGCTGGCAGGTGGCTGGCTTTTTTGCTCACGGACCTATCAATCACTCATCAGTAGGTCAGTCAAATCATCTTGATTTCTTAGACTTGACTTGACTTGACTTGACAGTCATTCACGCGGCTTTTACTCGCGCCAAGGTTCCAACCTCCGACCGTTGTGACTGAGGGACGAGTCCAGTTCCACGAGGGAGTAGCTGTCTAGATATCGTCTATCTATTTACTATCTATCTATCTAGACTCTTCTACCGTCTGTCAGCCGTCTACTCTCAAATAAGGTTGACAGGATCTTTCCAAGAAAAGGTTCAATCCTCAAACATGGCCTGGTCTGTTAGTAACTTAGTTCGTTCTTGACGGCCGCTAAATTACAGACCAGACAAGGAACATCGCATCATTCCTTGCTAGTTCGCCTGTCACTTCCCCTCCTCCTTCTCTCCCCGACCCCAGACACAAATGGATGGGTGGGAGAGGGGGAGGGGGGGGGAAAGGAAGGGCAGGGCAGAGGGAGTGAGGGAAGGGGAGGTGGGGGGTTAAAGGCAAAGGAAAGAAGGAAAGGGAAGGGAAGGGGGGGGGGGAAAGTGAGGCCAGGCGAAAAGGGGAAATGGGCGTGGGTGCGGGTTAGGCTTGAGCCTGTCCCGCAACCGTTTTCTTGCTTTCTTTCTTTCTTTCTCTCTTTCTTTCTTTCTTGGTTGCTTGACTGTACGCAATATGTCTAGTTAGTTGGATGGGATGAGATGAGATGAACCATCAGAAGGAGAAGGAGAATCATGGTGTTGGTATAGACCCAGGTTGGTAAATCAGGGCAAAGTTGACTGGACTGACTGACTGTCTTGCCCTTTTGGTTGTGGTTGTTCTTGTTGTTATGGTAATGGTGGTGATTGTTGTAGTAGTTATTCTTGTGGTAGTGATGCTTGTTATTGTGGTTGTTTTTGTTGTTGAGAACAAGACACGGGATTTTATATACATCATCCCGACCACCGACTACCGATCACGACCAGACCAGATCAGACCAGATCAGACCAGACCAGACCAGACCCCGACCCCGACCCCGACTAGGGTCGTCGCTCCAGCCTCCAACCTCCTCGAGTAAGAATGGCTCGGCCGGAACTCCCTGCTTGGCCATCGATGGCCCACCAGCGAAGAAACGAAGAAAGCAAACTAGCACCCTCCCGCTAGAGTAATCCGAGCGAGCCATCCCAATCACCCTCGCTGATTCCCAGGTGGATGTTTCGCCGACCACCATGCGCTCTCCGCCATTGGCGTTTCGGTGGCCCCTGGGTGGAGATGCTGCTGCGACGACGTACGACGGGGGCCTTGTTCTGACAGGGGGCGAATTCCTGAGCGAGTTAGGATGTCCGCCAGCAACAGGTTTGGACTCCCCTTGACCCGAATCATGAATCCACTGAGTCGCGCTCGCTCATCTCATCCGCCTTCCACCTTCGTATCCAATAAGTTACCTTCAGATATGGATTGGGCTTGGGGTGTTCTCCCCGCTTCTGTTTTTTTTTTTTTTTTTTTTTTTTTTTTTCTGTTCTTTCTTTTTCTTCCAGCTGATCTCCGGGAGGATTGGAGGCTGGATGGAGATGGCTTGACTGACTGAATAATTGACCTGTCGGAGAGGGATGGACGATGTGATGGGATGATGATTGATGAGATAACGCCCAGGCGATGGACGGATGACTCTTTGTCTGGCTGGCTTTGGTCGTGTTTCATGCGATGGATGGGTGCTGCTGGATCTCTCCCTCGGCGGCTGCCCTAATTTCCTCTCCTCCTCCTGCTGAGAGCTGCTGCTTCTCCTCCTTCCCCACGGCAATCAAATCAAATCAAATCAAATCAATCAATCAATCAATCGGTTCATCAGTCAATCACTGCATCACCACCACTAGGTAGATATCCATCCATCGGCCAGTCAGTCAGTCCCTATCTGTTATTGCCATGCCTTGGCAATCCCCTCCAGACGGGCCGACGGAAGGCAAATGGTAGCCTCATCCTTCGTCTGCTGGCAGGCTGGCAGCATCCATGACCGTTGTCCCCTCTGGGTCCCTCTGCAGGCTAAGCTTGACTGGAACGCAGATCCGTCAAATGGGGGATTTCCTTTGCCAGCCCACCTGCACCTTTCTTCTTCGGGCTGTATGGAGTATCTCCGTGTCTCGTCAATTCCACACCCCAGGGCCTCTCATTATTTATTATGATTTTCCCGTTCCTCTATACCTATACCTACACCTATACATCCATCCATCCATCCATCCATCCTCTGCCCGGCTCGACCCTATCACTGCACGGGACTTTTACATGCAGCTGGAAGCAGCGTCCCGGCATCGCCTCCACTTGTTCTTCCCCGTTGACCCTGCACCTCAAACGACGGAGGGATACGGAGTCTCTGGCATGAGCATCACTGATTCTCCTCCTCGTCCTCCTTCTCCTTCCCTTCTTGAGTAGATAGATCTGGTTGGGCCGGGCCTTTCTCTTTCTCTCTGGTGAGGATTACTTGACCCTGCTCACCATCACACCCCGGGTGAGTGTACGGAGTAGTAGTAGTGACGGCGACTACTACTGACTAGTAGCCCTGCCATCATCCATCTTATCCCATCCCATCCCATCCTTTCCCTTCGCCCAGTGGTTTTCTTCTTCCATAGTGGCCAGAACCCCCTGGCGTCGCCTCTGGCTCTACCATCACTCACTACACCATCATCCATCACCGCTTCCTTTCCAATGAGTTCGTTGGCCTTCGACCTGAACTCTTTCCTCCCTGTGTTTCTTCTGCTTGGGATCGATTCGACTCGCCTCATTCATGACCAATAGTTCTGACGGCGAAATAGTGTTGAGCCGAAACGCTCTCCCCCATCGTGGCAGCCCTCTGAAACCGAAACCCCCGGCACAGCGTTGACCGTTGCTGCAAGGACGAATTGTCTCCGTCGAGATAGTCCCTCCCTTCGATCTCTTTTTTTCTTTTCACCCCTTTTTTTTTTTTTTTTTTTTTTTTTTTTTTTTCAAGTAGAGTCGGCAGCCTGCCAGGGCTTTTAGGCTCTAGCGGCGCCGATGTATGTCCGCGACGCTGGCGGATCCGTATCGAGAGTATGCTATTGATTATTCTCAACATGCTACCAGCAAGCCCGAGGCCCATGCCGGGACGCTTGTCTACCACAGCCAACAGCCGCACCTGCAGCATCATCAGCAACAGCACCAGCACCAGCACCAGCATCAGCACCAGCATCAACACCAGCACCAGCACCAGCATCACAAGCACGATCCCCCGTTCTCGCAGGGCGCCTCACACAGCACGGTGGCGTTTGAGCAGCAGCAGCAGCAGCAGCACCATGCAAACGCGACCGTGCTGCCAGCGGCGACGCCCCAGCCCTCGGTGCATGACATCTCGCAAACGGTGGTGCTCGGCCCGCCGCAGATGCTCTCGCGCCAGCTGCCGGTGCAGTTCCCCCCCGCCAGCTTCGAGATCCCCCCGATCCAGCGCGATAACAACAAGAAACGCCCCCGTTCCGACGCCGAAGAGGATGGCACCCCCGGCCATGGACTGCGGCCACAGCTGTCGATCCTGTCCGCAGAACCTCACGAGCCCTCGCATTCTCCCGAGATGCTCTTCTCCGTGCACGGCGCGTCCTCCCAGACCCAGCAGCATCCGCTGTCGAACCAATTCGGGGCCACCGAGTCCGTGGGCCTGCCCCAACACCATCACCACCACCGACTGCCCCCCCACGCGGCCCTGCGCACCCCTGGGCGCCATGGCCTGAGCGTCGAGTCGCCGCCTCTGGCCTCCGGCCCGCCCAGCGTCGTGGGCCAGCCCGGGATGCCCGACCCGGCTCCCCGGCCTCGGGGGCCAAAACTGAAATTCACGCCCGAAGAAGACGCGCTCCTGGTCGAGTTGAAGGAGAACAAGAGCTTGACGTGGAAGCAGATTGCAGACTTTTTCCCCGGACGCACCAGCGGCACGCTGCAGGTGCGGTACTGCACGAAGCTGAAGGCCAAGGACGTCTCGTGGAGCGATGAAATGGTTCGAACTTCCCACTCATTCGTTCATTCATTCTACAGCAAAATCTACGCGCAGCATGCATCTGGCCGACTGACCTTTTCTTCCGCACAGGTGCAACGATTAGAACGGGCAACGCAGGAATACGAGAATGATCGATGGCGGATAATCGCAGGAAAGGTTGGTAACGGGTTTACTCCTGCCGCTTGTCGCGAGAAGGCGATGCAGCTCCAGTCGAACACTATATAGTACGTACAGTATAGTAACTCTCCCGCCCCCTATGATTCTCCTTGATATTCTTTCTAGCTGGTTGGCTGGTCTGGTCTGGTCTGGTTGCAAGCACCTTTTTCATTCTCATGTTCTATTTTTTCTTTCCTTTGTTTTATTTCCTATTTCTATTTCCCCTTGGAAGGCTGGCTTTACTTTACCTTTCTTTACTTTACTGTACGGGAGGATTGATTTTCTGTCTAAAAAAAAAATTTGGGACGGCTCACATGATTCATCTTCATCATCATCTTCATCTTCATCATCTTCATCTTCATCATCTTCTTTTCTTCATCTCTATCCTAGACATCTCCCTCTCTCTAGCTAGCTACCTAGCTACCTAGATATCCAACACTCCATGTAAGGTATTATTTCGTGGTTGGTTGTTCGGAGTACGGAGTATGATAATCATCATATAATCCATTTATTTACATTTATCTAGCTTGTCGGGGACTGGGAGATCATGCACCGGCTTCTGTTAGTGTTCGGTCGATGTGAAGGTGAACTGACACTAGCGTCCGCTAGAGCTCCGGCTCGTCTCGTGGCATGGCGTGGCATGGCATGGCGTGCTTGCCGTAATATTAATGGCGTGGCTCCATCATCCTAATCCATCCATCGGTCGTCGGTCCAGCTTCGGGGTTTTTGTTTCAAGGCGCCGGCCATTGCTCGGCCGAGTTGGTTGGGTGTCTGTTTTGGTGCCTGTTTGCCTGTTTGCCTGTGTGCCTGTGTGCCTTGTAGCCCTTATACCTTACTGCCTTTATGCCTTAATGCCTTGTCTAACTGCCGTGCTGCCTTCATGCCTTACTACCCTACGGCCACCCAAGCACACCCCCCGCGCACAGCTCAGCCCTAAGCCCTAACCCGGGTGCCCGATTGGGCAGCAGTGCCAACCCGGTCGCTGCCGGCAGCCGGAGGAGCTCCGCAACCAATCAACCGGCGGCGCTGACTAAGGGCATCTGACCACGGGCCGAAGCGGCTTCAAACTCACCTCAACCTCCAAACTCCCTCATCTCCAACGTCCTCGCCTTGTCTGCCGTCATTGCACCCCATCCACCCGGACAATGTTCCTCCAACGCACAGCCTTCGCCCTCGCCCGGCGCACCCCTACCCGGGCCCTCGCTGCTCGCCCCTTTTCCTCCTCCGTCTCCCGCTGTACGTGACCCTGCTCGTCCGATCAAGACCCGCCTCGTCTGCTTGATGCAGTGGGCTACCCAACCCCCTCCCGCCGGCCCCAATGGGTTCGCGATGGGCCAATTGCGCTTTCATATGATACTTGGTCGGTGATCAGCGAGCTAACATGTTTTTTTGTTCGATGATATGCAGTCCAGAACAAGTATGAGGTGAAGCAGGAGGGCAAGATCCTTCCTTTCGAAGGTGTGTAGTCATTGACGTCTTCCCTCCCCGTCCGTCCATTTCTCCCACCAGATCTCCTTATGAGATTCCGTTATCATCGCATATTGTTGCAATTGGGCTGTTCGTGCGGGTGCTTTCCCCCGCGTTACGCATCTACGGATTGCTGGATATCCCGATATGGGACTGGGACTGGCACTGGCACTGGCACTGGAGCCGGGACGGACACTGAATAACTTCATATGCTGATTCGATTTGTGCGCTGAACAGAGATCAAGACCGATGACGACCTCATCCCCCCGGGTGCCAAGGCTGGTACCGTTCCCGTTGACATTGAGCACGCCACCGGTCTCGAGCGTCTGGAACTCGTCGGAAAGATGCAGGGCATTGATATCTTCGACATGAGGCCCCTCGATGCTTCCCGCAAGGGTACGTGCTTGCTATATTCTACCTGTGGGGTTGTCCTGGGGATGTGCTCCGGTCCACAGGACACACAACCCATGAGATAAAGAGACACCCAAGGATAGGGGGACGACTGGGATGGAAATGAAAATGACGCTGATGACGTGTTCGCGCTGCAGGAACCCTTGAGAACCCCATCATCGTCCGCGGTGCCGGTGATGAGCAGTACGCCGGTTGCACCGGTTTCCCCGCCGACTCTCACCAGGTCAACTGGCTGACTGTAAGCTAACCCCAACCCAATGCAATGGGTTTATCCGGATAGCGTGATCGTGATCCCTAACCAGCCACACTAAATACAGGTCTCCCGTGACCGCCCCCACGAGCGTTGCGGCGAGTGCGGTAACGTCGTCAAGCTCGAATACGTCGGTCCCCTGGAGGACCCCCACGCTCGTGAGTCTTTCTTTTCCTCCCTTCCCTTTCAGCCACAGTCACAGCCCCATGGTTGGTCCAGTCGACTAACTACCCGTACCCATAGACGACCACGCCCACGACCACGGCCACCACCACCCTCCCCACGTCGAGCCCAAGACCTTCGCCGACTTCGTCAAGCCTGAGTACTGGTACCGGTAGATTTAGTCCCACACACCCATACCACTCACTACGATAATGGAGCGATTGTCCTTTTCCTTTCCCGTTTTATAAAAAAAGACAATCCCGACAGTGTATGTATGTATGTGCGCGGACGGGCGGGGCGAGAGATGTAGAGGTCGAGATGGAGCTGTGAGGTAGAGATTCTTTGTACAAGAGATTGTTGGCCATGGCTACTAGTTCTTATTCATTGTTATTGTTGTCGTCATCATCGTCGTCTTCGTATTTGTTGTTGCTGAAGTACCTTGTATATGTTTTGATGATTCTTAAGAATTGGGTATATTCAGTAGGTCGTGTTGTAGTGTGATGTGGTGGTATCTCTTGTATTTCGGATCCTCTCGTTTCTGTCTATCTCTCCATCTCTGACTGGCTGACTGACTGTCTGTCTATCTCAGTCTATCTCAGTCTGTCAGCTTCCATACTCTAAAAGGATAACTTTGTATACTGTGTTTGTGTTTGTGTTTGTGTTTGTGCATTTATGCTATTATTATCGTATCCTTCACTCACCTTTTTATTTCCCTTGTCTTCCTTCTTTTCTCTTTTTCCGATGATGGTCTAGATACTCTGGAAATACCAGTACAGTGATTGGCCAGTGGTCAGTGATCAGTGAACGATCCCTCACTCACTCCCTCAATCCCCCAACCCCCCAATCCACATATAGTACATACATACCTACCTAGTATAGTAGGTACAAAGTACTCCGTACTCCGTAGACTGACAATAATCGAATCCTGCAGCCAGCCAACAAACCACCGACCCACTCTTAATCCAACCAATTACACGGCGTATCGCACTGTATTATTATTATAATATTGGTGGACTCCGTCCGTACCTTGCTCCATAAGTAGGAGAGGTATATTATGGCTTGATGCCAATGAACCAGCCAACCAGCCAGTCAGCCAGCCAGTCAGCCAGCCAGCCAGCCAGCCAGCCATCAAATTTTCACAACGAAGTTGGTTGGTTGGTTGGTTGGCTGGTCAGTTGGTCAGTTACTAGTTGGATAATCAGCATATGAGCTCATACACACTATCATACACCGGGCAGATGGATATACTATACTATACTATAGATAGTACGGATATATAGTATATAGAGATATGGTAATGGATACTTGAGGGTGGCATGATGCGCGGAAGCGGGATTTCCCGCCGGATGGATGGATGGATGGGTGGATGGATGAAAACTATCTATCTCAATCTATCTATCTATGGGGTGATTTTATGTCTGTCTGTCTGTCTGTCTGTCTGTCTGTTAGTCAGTCACGTGGGAGATGAGGTTGTATCTAGATACTAACTACTACTCTAGTGGTGGCTGTGGCTGTGGTGGTGGGAGTGGGAGTGGGAGTGTTGGGCGGCTGCCTATTGCCTATTTGGGTAGGAGGTTCTTTTCTGGCTGTCTTAGATGAGGACGGGGGGAATTACGGAGTACCAAGCAAGGGGGCATATGTAGGTTCTAGGTAGGGTGGGTGTTGAATGAGTATAGTGAATTGGTAATCAGGATAGATGACGGGTGTTAGAACCGAATCTTTCGCCTTTGTCTGTTTGTCTGTCTGTTGAAACTGGGTTCTTTATGATAATGTGGTGATTGTGGGCGGTAGTGGTGGTGGTGGTGGTGGTGTGTGGTGTTTGTCCTGGAATAGGAATTAACAGGGAGAGAGAGAAAGAGGGGATGGGATATTTTCTCTTGGGTACGGTATGTACCATAAAGGTTGCGGGGTTAGGAAGGATTGTAGTTGTTGTTATTGAAGGTAGGCATTCTTATAATATTAGCCACTCCCTAACTATACTAGGGAAGGGTAGCACTTAGACCTGGGATTATAATTAACTATCAGTATAGACTAGACAGTAGTTACTACCTTGGCACCATTTCCTATAGTAGAATATATAATTCCATTATACTGAGGTAATCTCTATATGCAGTATCTAGCCTGTCTATATCCATACAAGCAAGCATGTCTGTAGTTGAATAATGTGAAGACAGGCGAAAGAAAAAAAAACATATGGACATATGATTATAAATCAATCAATAGAAGTAAAAGACTTTTCGACTGGGCTGTATGGAAGTTGAGTCCATTATCAGCAGCAGCAGCATTACCACCCGTGTGAGCATCGTGATGGGAACAAAATAGTTCAATGAAGTAACAAGTGGACATTCGTGTAGTAGTCCTTTTTTTCAACAGGATTACCTGTTGTTGTATAGTGACGGTGTTTTCAATGAGGTAGACGGTGTGTCGAAAAGACATTTTCGTGCCATGGCATCAAAGTCATGATCCATTTACCGCCCAAAGCGACGGCGTTCGATGTACCGGAGAGGGGGGTAGACCAGACAAGCCCAGGAAAAGCTGACGTAGTTTCCCATCTAATCGATCATGTCAGTCACTCATCAAGGTGTAGTGTAATGTAGAGTAGAGTGGTGTGGTGTTGTACTTACATCCGCGCCGTACGCACCCACCAGCCGCGCAAGAGGCCCAATGTACCACACCTGCGCCATGCACAGGATAGCGCCCGCCCAGCCGACCAAAAAGGCAATAAAAGCGGCAATGCCGACGGGCAGCTTAGACGGGTCGTTCCAGGCGTTCCAGTTGTATCCGCTGCCGGAGCGGAAGATGAAGCACTCCTCGACGATGATGGCAGTCCAGATGACGACCCAGTAGCCCATCAGGGCGAGGAAGTTGGTGAAGATATCAGAAAGGTCGCTGCGTCCAGCCAACGCGCACACCGTGAAGATGATTACGCCGACAGTGTTCCAGACCACGCGGGGCACTTTCTCGGCGTGTCGCCCGAGGATCTGGAAATCGACTCCGGAGGAATAGCAGGGCGCGACGGTGTTGGCGATGAGACCAAGGGCCACGACCACGGAGCAGAACTTCCCGAATCCGTTCAGCGGACTGAATCCTTCGACAATGAGGGCTCCGGCGCCGTTGGAGTAGGCTTCGCTATATGAAGCGTGCGTGGCGATGCCGGACGCGAGGCCAATGCCGCAGAGGAAGGCCATGGTGAAGGAGGTCATGAGACCGGTCAATGAGAGGAAGAAGAGTGAGGTCCGCGACGTCTCTTGGGGGTAGTAGACAAAGAAGTCTGCTGAAAGGGGTGCGTAGGTGATGGCAGCACTGAGGCAGAGGGAGAAGAAGGATAGGCTGCAAGTGAAAGCGCATAAGCATGGATATCGGCCATTCCGTGGCGAGGGCGAGACTTACCGGTTTCCAGCTACCGTGCGAGCATCTCCGGTAGAAGGCGTGTGTAGGTCAAACTTCGTCCCAGACATGCCGAACAAGATGCAGAAGACGATAAGCTGAGGGAGGAAGGCAAAGCTGGTCTGATCAGTAGCTGAATCCACGCAATAACCGGTTACACATACCGTTCGTAGGTATGGAAGATCTCAATCCCAAAGGTGGCTACGGCCCAGCTGATGATGGCGATAACGACAATGCCTGCTCTTGATTAACACCTGCATAATCAGAAAGACAACTTCAAGACATCACATACCCACTGCAACCGACATGTGCCCATGGGGTGATACAGCAGACAGAATCTGCCCACCAACAACACAGTCAATCAAGCAGTATCCGAGCATCTGAATCAAGTTCAAGATGACGATGAGCTTGCTAGGCCACCAACCCATTGAATACCGTCCAAACGCCTAACACAGGTTAGCACTTGCCATAATCCACCAAACGAACGTTCTTGGCGCGTACCATAGTCCGGATACCGGATAAGGGTCCCCATGTGCCCATCCAAGAGGAGATTACGGACCCAACGAAGGCTCCGAATACCGAGCATAGGGCCGAATCGAGGAAGCCCAGTCCGTAGGAAGCAGGACCCAGCATTCCCAGCGTGATGTTGTTGGCCGCCAAGTTGATCGAGACCCAAAGCAGAAAGGACTGCAGGTACGAAGCCCAAGTCAACTTTGACATGCGTTCGTCTTCCGGTACCCGCTCGATACCACGGGCCTCGAGGTTGTACTCGACGAGTTGCTGCTCGAATCGCCTGATGTATGCAGCCATCCGGGAGGAGCCAAACGGACCGCCCGGCCGCCTGGCACTGTTCTTTTCGCCATTGTCCGCGGGGCGGTCTGTCTCATCTCTCGTGGAAACTCTCGCGATCTCCTTTTCGGAGGGGGGCCCTAGGGCGGGGTCTGGCTGTTGGGAAGACATGCTGGTACAATTTGTCAGTCAATCGTCCTGACACAGAAGGGCTGATAGAAAGAAAGAAAGCGCGCATGAGTCCTTTCGCTGGAATTATCCAGATCAAGTTCAACCGTATAATCTCAGAACAACAGCGGCGATCGCCACGGTCTCTGGGTCACCCGCTCACCGACAGACGAGGGGGTACATGGCCCGGAGAGCGTGTGCGACGTACAGCTGTCGAACACCGGTCTTCATGCAGGCAGATTACCTAGATACCTTGATCGACAGACAAAACCACGCTACTTGTCTTCATGATAGCCGTCCCTTGCATATGGATCTGTAGGAAGGCGGGAGGGCTGTACTGGGAGAAAAGCGTTGGTGGGATTGGAAGAGAAACTGGGGTGGCGATTACACCTGGTGGAACCCACGCCAGTCGCACGTCAGTGAAATTGCCTTTTTGAGCATCGTGGCGAGCCTGCGTCTCGCGGGGAAGGAGCCCAACTCACCTGCTGGGATGCAATGGGAAGCACAAATCGGTGCACTGCAGAACGCTTGTCAGAGTGACCGGGGGAAAGAAGTCGAACCCTGCTGCGGGTTGCAAGAAGTCCAGCAGTGAGCAGACCCAAGAGAGAAAGAGTGGGGGGGAGAATACGAAGTGGAGCGGGGACTAACTATCTTTTTGACTCAATCGGCGGCGGGGGATTATTATTGGATTCGGTTCGCAGCGGGCGGACTCGTCCTCCGCCCCCGACTTCGGCTTCTACATCCCGACTCTATATCAACGTGACGCCCCCACTACCGTGTCAGCAGATTTGCCTTATTGATTGCCATTTCAATGCAGGGACGCCGAGAGTACAGGCTCTACCAAACCCCTCCCCTTCTATAAAAGAACTGAAACCTCACAGCAGGCAGGCTCCGGCGCATGGGTAACCGTGTGCTGGTATGTATATCGGTCGGCAGGCACGCTGTCCCCACGACACAGGACCGCTGTCAAGACCCCCCAGGCTTACGAGAAAGAGATTGGTATTCACCCAGAGTATGGAAAGATGCGAAATAAAAAGCAATGGCGTCCATCGAGGGAGCAAGGGCACAGAAGAAAGACAAGGCACAGAAAGGAAAATGGAGAAGATGGAGAAGATGGGGAAAATTTGGGGCCCAAAGAAATTACATATGAAAAGAGGCAGGCCAACTCCAGGTACCCGTCGCCCAATACTTTGCAAACTGTGGCTAACATCACGCATTGCCGGGAGAAACATAAGCCCAAAGCATCATGCCCATCATCGAGTCGTGAAATGTGCGGAGGACGATGCATTCATCATCACGTCGTCATACTTCGTAAGAAATCTAAAGTTCCTTGAAATGTTCTTTCGCATACTGCTCGCACGCCTGAGTCCTCACATGTCAGCCATCGAGTCACACTCGGCCTACCTCAAGAGCTTACCTTGGCCGGCTTCCCCACTTTCTGCCCGATAGCCTTCCATTTGTTTGCCTCGTATTCCTTGATTGCATCCCGAAGCGCTATGGACTGCATGTTCTTTAGTACCGTTGCGTGAACTAAACGGGAGTGGGGGTCTAGTTACCTCATCTTCCGCAAATTCGGCGTAGTGCATGTCCTGTCGCGATGTAAGTGACCTCCTGCTTCCGGAGAGGGACCGTCGGGGACAACCCACCTTGTACCAGTGCTTCTTGACGCTGCCCTCGGTTCGGGTAGGAAATGTCTGTGGCATCGAGTCAGCGTACCGGGCATGCGGATGGGGGAGCGGGCAACGCACCTTGGCGATTTCGCTCCAGCTGCGACCCGCGTCGCGCATCGTCTTTAATCGTTGCTCTTCCTCGGCGGTCCAAGGAGTGTTGGTCCTACCCTTCTTCTTTGGGGCAGGTTCCGACACCCCAGATCCCTGGTCGTGCGCGGGGTCCCCAGTGGCGGTGGTCGCGCCTGGCGCCGCCATGATCGCCGTCGAGCCTGCCTGGGGAGACGCCCGGCGTTTGCGCGGATTCGAGGGAGGAATCTGAGGTTGGGGCATAGGAATGCCCTCGAACGAAGGCACTCTTGAAAAGGGATTGACTTGCTGCTGAGCTAACAGATGGGACGGTGTGTTGGCGGTGACGGAGGTTTTGATTCGTTTAGATGTTGGAGGGGACCTGTGGTGGAGGGACCGGCAAAGGGCGCCAGTGTCAGAGACGGACGTGACCAGCACGGAAGAAAAGGGAATGGGGAGATCAAGTAGAGTGGATGCAAGGCCAGAAACGATAATCGCAGTAATAATAGAACGACCCAGTCCCTTTGCCAATCTCCGGATAGAGGGTTGGTCGGAAGGGGAAAGGAAACAGGAAAAAACGAGTAAATGGCACGTAAATTAAAATAGAACCCGGGCCGAGCACATGATCCAGGGGAGCGGTCTCTCGGACAGCAGAGCAGGTAGCGTCAGGTAGCATCAGCAGCAGCAGTAGCAGAAGCAGCAGCCGCAGGTATATATGGGAAGGACAACTGCCGCCGACGCTGCGCTGCCCCCCGAGAACCAGCCTCCTCGGTGCGTGGGAGGACGAGGAGGGACTTACGACATGGTTGACGATACGCAGTTTTCCCAATCACGCTCCGTCGATTCATCTGTAGATACACATGCTTAGGAGATTAGCACATCTGCTACTCAAGGAACGCTCCGTGTAGATTGGCCTGTCAGGTTTAGGGAAGCGAGCGCTTGGTTACACCAAAGTGACGATGACACCGGCGCATCATACGGCGTGGCAGTAGCGCCGCAGGGAGGGAGGTAGACGACGGGAGGGAAGGGAAAGAGTCGATGGACTTGTTACATGCATGTATGGAGGTGGTTGGTAGCGAGGGACTAAAGAGGGAGAGGTGGGGGGTGGGGGGAGGGACTCGGTGAAGGGGAGGGGGGAGAGATGGAGGTAGAGAGGAAGAGGAGGTGGAGGTGGAGGTCGAGGTGGAGGTGGAGGTGGAAGAGGTCGAGGTCGAGGTAGAGGCGAGGTAGAGGCGAGGTAGAGGGAGGTAGAGGGGAGGTAGAGGGGAGGTAGAGGAGAGGTAGATGGAGGTAGAGGGCTGAAGAAGAGGGGCGAGGGGGAGGGGAGGAGGGGAAAGGGAAGAAAGAGGAGGGGGAGGGGAGGGGAGGGGAACCAAAGGGGAGAGAGAATAAGTATAAACAGGTTTAGGCACAGTCACAAGAAGACCTTTCTAGCATCTTAGGATACAGAGGCTGGAAATAGTACGGAGGAGTACTGGAGTTTGCGATGATAAGACGTTCTGGTCAGGACAGGTGGAGATGGAGACCGACTGAGAGTGTAAAGAGAGGCTTACTGGTCAAAGTTCATGGTTCGAGGAGTCTTCGGGTTTTTTCTGATAGGCAGGAGGAGGGGGGGGGGTATTGTCAGGGAGTAGTAAGTAGGTAGTAAAGAAGCAAGTAAGTATGAAGGAGGAGAAGTGAAGGAGCAATAGGAAGTAAGTAAAGCAGTATAGGCGCTGTAGTGGGTAAGGTAATAAGGTCGGAAGAAGTAAGTCAGTTGGTCAGTCAATCGGGAAGTCAGTCAGTCAGTCAGTCAGTCAGTCCATAGACCAGCAGGCAGACGGGCAAGACAGGAGGAGATCGGAGGAGAGCCGTAGCGCAGTAAGTGGTCGCAGTGGGAGTAGTAAGGGTGGTAGTAATAGTCGTAGTAAGGTGGTGAGTCGGAATTCAATAATCGCAGTCACTCTTCTTACGGTTACCGAGTCCGAGTCCGTCGTGGTTGATACGGGAATAAGGGAAGGAACCACCGGGGGTGGCAAGAGGACAGACGGAAGGAAGGAGAAAGGAAGGAAGGAAAGAAGGAAGAGAGAGGGGAGCTGGTTTTCGTTGCAGTAAATTTACCTAGGCTGCAGAGAGGAAGGGAGGGAGAGGGAGAAGGAAAGAGACGGAGAGGAGAGAAAGACAGACTCTCTCCCTCTCTCTAACCTACTACTGCGGAGGGGAGATTCGAATCCACCCCAGCGTCGCCAATCCCGCGACCTCCGGGTCCGTGTTTGCTTTTTCCTCCTCAGCACCGGCATCACTAATAATAATCATCGAAATTCTCTCCTCCACTGAACGGGCGCTCCGTCAGTAGGCGGCTTCTGCACACCATCGCCCCGTTCTTTTCCCAAAGAAGGAACCGGCCGTCGTCGAAGGATGATGGTCCCGTTGTTTCGCTTTGCGCAGACGGACACCATGCGCCGATTATCTCGATTATCTTCCCCTCACACCACTGACACTGACACTGACACTGACACTATCTACCCGTGGAGGGAGTTGGAGATCCCGGGCTAATGTCCAGAGGGACCCCCTCCAACCCATCGTCTTCGGAACAATCACCCACCCACCACCCATGTCCGATGAGGCAAGATGGCATATTAACCAGTCTCTCCACCACCACCATCACCCTTGTATTCCCGCCAACGACGGGCTGCTCGTTTCCCCATTATCTCCCGATCGGTAGCTCAACCGTGGTTGTCCCTCGTCGTTAGGCTTCCGTTGCAGATGCCCGCTCCAACGCACCATCAGCCACCGATCCAGCGACCATGTCCGTCCCGAGAACGAGAAAGAGCTATGATGATGGTGGCGGAATTCGGTCAATAGGATCCGTGGTCTCCAGGCTTCTTTGCCAGGCCAACCTAGCGATGCTGCAGTGTCTAGTAGAGCCAAGCGGGTTGACCGGGCCAGTGGGGGTCTGGACAATCGGGTGACCGCGAGGCAGCTTACAAGTTACAACGTGAAATGAAAACCACCGTCTGCAATCATGGGCCTTGGCAGTCCAGAGAGGAAGCAAAAAGCAAAAAGCAAACCCGAGTGCCCTTGGGTCCGGATCTCTGCTTTTTACGTGGGTTTCAGGTCCTTTCCTTCCCCCAATGAGAGGGCCTGGCGGGAAACAATGGGAGCGGGGTAAGGATCGCTATGTCCTCCGTCGCTCTATACCCGCGCTTCATCGGTGCAGGGCTTGGGGATCCAAGATGCAAGATCGGCCGCCCCTCAAATCCAATCACCCCAGGCATTCGGCGGGTAGGGTAAATGTCCACTGGGGAAGAAAACCCTTTCTTTTTCTCCCCCTTCCGGGGCCTCCCAAGTACCTTATCTAGCACCCAGACGCACCCTCCTAGGCGGGTTTAAAATGTTGAGGGTAGGCCCGTGAACCGTTTTATGGAACCCTGTGTGTCCGTTCCGAGCACGGTCCTCTACCGAGGTGAGCCTATCATTCGGATGACAGTGCTTACTGCCAGTTATCCGTCGTACTCGCTGTCTCTTGGCTGGCGGGGCAGATTGTCAACATCGTTCAGAACGTCTTTTTTCCCATAAGTAGCCGGTGAAAGTATACATTAATACAGTACACTCGGTATACTCTTCGCGAAGGCATACGCCATAGAGTACAGGATGATATGCGCTAGCAGCTGAAGAGGCAAACTCTGGCAACATGGGGACTCGAACACGGTAGCCGTGCTCTAGCGTATGGTTCGCCAGAGGTCCAAGCTTAGCGGACCTGTCAGACAATCATTCGAGAATTCCAACAGTAGTTTGTCATCGACCTGATGTACGGAGTACGCAGCGTCGACTTCGATTCCTTCAAGGTGTCCCCTCCAAGCACCTGTACCGGGACCTTGGTTATACTTGACGAGTTGAATACTACCTGCAACTTGCAGTAGAATCACTCATCGGAAGCAGACAACACCACAATGCTTCAAGGTCACTCACTACTTAGGAAGAATCGGGTAAAGTTGCCCATTGGCCGCATCCTAGTACTTCATAGTTAGATTCACCAACATTAAGTACCTGCCCAAGTAAAGAGCGGGTCAAAAGCCATTCCATGTCTGAGTCAATCATGTGCCTAACATTCCTATTCATGGCCATTGGTGGTTAAGTAGAGGATGTTCATTGATAGGCCAAAATATCGAATAATTGGGACAGTACGGTGTTCCTCTATATATACCTAGTCGAACATCCTTTGTTTCGGCTCTTTTCGAGGTTGCTTGATTCTTGACTTTTTTTACCTCGGAGGCTTTTCTCCGTCATACTTAACGGACAGTAAGATCAACTTCTCTTCCTAGCTACTCTGGGATCCAGAGATGCTAGGCTCGGACCCAGGGGTTTTGGCAACCATGTGTGTTGACATTTGGTTTTTTTCTGAGGACACCTCTGACCAGCGGGTACTTGATCTGACACGGCTTCCACAACCGATTCGATGCCGAGTTGGCTGCATGAGACCTCTTCTTTAATTTCTTCTGTCCCTTTGCTATGAAAACAAGAGGCCTAGTATTATGAATATTTCAAATGCGGAACACCATCAACAGACAGTGTCACGGTGTCATGGGTTGCTTCACAGAGATTGTGTGGCCCTTTCAGATCTATATATTTCATGTGAGTGTGGCCGACACTCTGATGCTATCTGATCTATTCTACTACCATACATCGTAAGTGCTCCATGCGAGTTTATTTCACTCTCTGCTGGTATCTGGCCCCTAACTTGCCTGTCTATAGGTAGAAATAAAACTGCGAAGTAGCGGTGACAAAAGCATGATACATCTACTTGATGTGTGAATTCTCCGTACACGAGACTGGAAGCGCTGACTAGCCAAGTAGTTCTTCGGACACTGTCAAAAACGCCTGGATAACTGGCTCATTCCAATTGACTGTTCTCTCTGGCTAGTACCTCAGCGAGTCCCCCGCAGCATCTAGATTATGTATGTCTCCCATTCTACAGCTGCAGCGCAGACGCCGCAACAACAACAACAACGACGACAACATCAACACTGACGTCACGGCAACGCGAGGCGATCCTTGCACCCGGCCCAACATCACGTGACTGACACGCGGCACGGGACCTCCAGCTGCAGGTGGATCCCGCTGGACGGGGAGCTCCTTGGTTGAGACCAGATAAGGCCGAAGCGTCATCCAGTAGACACTGCCATTGCCTGCCTACGATTGTTAGACCGCTCATCATCATTCCATTCATCCTCCGCAACGCATCTCCTTCCACCTCTCCATCCTCGAGATCACTGTGCGTGGCCCTCAACTCACGCCCGTAAAGGCGCTCGCTCACCGGAGCACCACCGGAGCACCACATTCGCCGAATCTCGCCTCTATCTAACTATCAGCCGACCGGAGTCTCTGGTTGCACGGGGCACGGTCCACGGACGAGGGTGGACAGCTTCTTCCTAAGCTCTAAGCTGCCATACTACCTGGATAGTAGTCTAGACGTGAATTGCAGGCCAATTCCATCGCATGAACCACGAGACGAGCTGCCTTTGATACACACACCCGCACACGACCAACGATGCTGAACCTGAACGTCTTCCGCGTGCTGGCGGATCTCGCCCATATATCCTCGAAATGCGTCTTGATATGGGCTATACATCGGAACCAAAGTGCTGAAGGTATGTGTGGTCAAATCCGGCGCTGAGTTGCCCTGTATGCTAACCGCCGGCTGTACGTCACAGGTGTCTCGCTTCTCACCCAGATGCTCTACGCCTTGGTGTTCGTCGCTCGATATCTTGATCTGTTCTCGAAGCAGGGATGGAAATACTTCTATCTGGTGTTCTTCAAGCTCTTCTACCTCTTCTCCTCATTCTACGTCGTATACCTGATGATGAGGGTCTTCCCGCGGACCCGGGAGAAGGAGCGAGCATGGAAGTTGGCTATAATGTCCGTCGGTGTCTCGCTGGTCCTGGCTCCCATTGCCATTGCCATCTTCTATCGTGGCTATCCGGACCGCTGGTTCACGGAGGTGAGTGGGATCGTTGAATTATATCTGCTTGACAACGCTGACGAGACCGTCATGGTGTGGCATAGACTTGCTGGGCTTTCTCTATCATCCTCGAATCCGTTTGCGTTCTGCCCCAATTGCTGCTCCTGCGACAGACCACCGTTCCGACCGTCATCAACTCATACTACCTGCTCATGCTGGGCTCCTACCGCGCCTTCTATATCCTGAACTGGCTTGTGCGGGGACTGGGCTCTGAGGGCCACTGGGACGCAATTGCCGATATCTTCGGTATCATCCAGACGGCATTCTACATCGACTTCGCCTGGGTCTATTACTCCCGCCAGCGCGTGAAGCTCCGCAATGGAGGGGTTGTTGACTCGGACGACTACCGCCACAGCTGGCTAGTCAGCAAGGTGCTGAACTTTCGGCAGCGCAGAGGGGTGGACGAGGAGCAGAACCTGCATGACGGGGATGATGAGGAGGGATTAGTCGAGGGAGAGAGACCCGGGAACAATCGTTGGGGCGCCAGAGGGATCTCCGTCTCCGCGGATGACACGTTGGACAATCGGCGCGCCGATCCTCACGGAACGGACCCTGACGAGGGTCTAGAAGGGTTCCTGGAAGACGAGGAAGATGACAGCCCGGAGTGGCATGCGAACAGCGGAACGCCCCCAAGCGATCCGCCGAGGCAACAGACAGCCACGAGTGAACGAATTGCCCTCGCTCATACCCAGTAGGTGGTCATATATAGGAATCTTGCTGTCGATCCGCCGATCTGCCGGATCTGACGGCACTTTCATTGTTCTAGGAGAATAAGCTCCCTTAGCTCTGGCTGTTTTGCTCCGTTATCTCCTGCGTGCTGTTGGATATGCTCGGTTGAGTGATTTTCTCCCTACTCCTTTTTTTTCTGTCATCTGATCCTCACAATCTCAAATCACTCTTCTTTTTTTTTTTTTTTTTTTTTTTTTTTTTTCTTTGAATATGTAGTTATGAAAGACGATCCATACTGGGTTAGGCTAAAGAGAACGACCGGTTCGATCCTGCACGAGTCAAGCAAGACATGGGCCGATGTCATGGACGCTGGGCAGGGCCAGGGCAGGGCCAGGGCAGGGTTCGGGGGAAATGAGATCATCCACAGTCATGTCATCATCTAGGAGGTAAACGTGAAACAGAGGGTGAACAGGACCCCGTTGTTTCAGAACTGCAACCGGCCATGACTGCGCCTGGCCATAGCCACAGTTCGTTTGTTTGGAGAGCCGAAGGGGGGAATAATACCGTGTGTGCCAGCTTGCCCTGCCCCTGCCCTGTCCCGGGGGGGGGGGGGTCCAAAGGGGCCGTTTTGCGGGCAAAAACGCCTGGGCAACAACCTTGCCTAGCCGTCTTATGGCTGGCACTGCGGTTCTCGGCACATCCGGAATTGACCGTCATCGTGCAAAAATAGACCTGAACCTTCCTGCCTCCAGGAAATGACGAGGTCGCATGCGCTAGCCCGTAGGGGAGGCCGAGAGACGACTAGATCAACCTACTAGAGAGAGCCCGGTGACATCACGTGGCTGCCCCGGGCTGCCCCGATCGGTTGAGCGCGAGCGAAGAATGAAGATCATCATCCATCCTCCCCATCCACATGGCGGTGATGGGCGAACCAGTCGACCTGTCCACCGTCCACCGGTCCTCCATGACAACCGGAGGGGCGCAATGACAACACTGGTCAGACCGTCAGGAAAGTCTGTTCCTGTTCCCACCACCCACTCTCCATAGGGCCAAATCCACACCCACCCGCGGACTGCGTATTCCCGTCCCCGTCCCCGTCACCGTCCCCGTACCATCGGATCACTTGCTCATCCGCATCGACTCCTTCCAGAAGGAGGGCTGATCGGATTGCTTAAGCGCCAGTGGCCATGGCGGGCTTTCCCTTCCCTTCCCCGGCGGGAAAGAATGGTTGGTGGTCGAGGGGCTATCTAGATACAGTGTGAAGTGTGAAGAGCGTGGGCAATGAGGAGTCTAAGACTCGGAGATCCTCCTCATCTCGTCTGGCGCGTAACCGGCCATCTCTTTCGAGGACACGTGGCTGTGGTTGGATGCAAACAACCGGCAGGATCAGTGGGCCGATTAATGCTCGGGCAGACTGGATACCACTCTCGAGTCTCGACTAGTTCGAGTCCAGGGGAACCGGCGAGCCCGCATGACTGAGAGATACTTACCACCGTCCAGTGGCCACCAATTTCGGGCCTGGCGGACTACGCCGTAGGGCGAGTAGTCCAGTGGGCGACTGCGCTAGTTCGATCGCTGAACCAGAGACTCATCTCCAATCCCCATGTCTGACAAGCCCGCCAGCTTAGGCTAGTCCGGTCTATCCTGATCCACCGGGATTTACAGCCGCAGTAACGGAGAAGCGCTTAATGGGCCATCTTACTGTGCTGCCCCCCCCCCTGCTAAGGGAGCTTGATGCTCATCTCCTGTTTTCTTTTTACCGTCCTCCTCCACAGCGTTCCGAACAGGATTTAGCTGCTTCCGCTAACAAAGCGCGAGAATCCTGGCTGATGACCTACCGTTGTTGGGGCTGCGTTTAGCATCTAGCTTGTCAATTCGTCCGCTCTTGGCCTCTCTCACTCCCTCTCTCCACCGCGCAATGCGTTCATCTGCCTGTCGGAGGTTTTTAGCCCTTTTTTTTTTCTGGATTCCCCTTTTTTATTTTTTTACCCGGAGATTCCCAATGCATGGGGTTCGCTCCCTCGAGCTTGTCCCTTAGCGGTACTACCGGCCGCTCCATCTATCAACTAACTGTCAGCGCAAGCGCTAACCCACTGATTGCCATTTGATATGAGAATCGGGCGGGCCGCTAGAGCATCGATTCCGTTCCTTTGCCATGACCTTCATTCTACGGTTCCACCCTAGAGATCCAGAGCATCGGGACTAAGATCGCAGCAGGTGCCTGCCTTGCTCTTGAGTAACCGTGGGTGGGCCTGGGAATGCAAAGTCTGAGCCCCCGAGGGTTTGGGGGCTGGACTGACTCCTCCCTTCTCATGTCATGTCAAAAAGATGAGAAATTATCCCTCTGCTTCCCTGCCCCTCTAGAAAATGGAGCCGTTCGCCTGGATTCAGCGGGCGCTTAAATGCAGGCTCATGGTCAAGCCTGCACCTCTAGTTGCATCCCATTCTGTGCGGCACAGTGACAAGTGGGCGGTACTTACCATGTCCTTTGGAACTTGCTAAGCCTGTTGACAAAAAAGGCTTCACGCTTCTGGACCTGCCTCGCGAGGCTTCCGACTTTCTTTGATATCTCCTACTCGGGTATATGAATACCTGCAGGGCACGTCCGTCCGTCCTCTGCCCCGTCTCTCACCCTCGAAGCCCTTGTCTTTTGCCTGATGATCACGATACTGTGAACGAGTCTACTTTCCGTCATTGTTTCAAAGGAGATTGGTCCTTCTTATACCCGTCCTACTTAATCCAGGGTCCCGCCCTGTGTTGGTTACTGCTGGCAGTCTATCTTCTCTCGTGTTTCATCCACGTTTCGCCTCTTTAACAGCAACTGCTCCCACAGCCTCCAATCGGCTTTCCCCATGTATCCTCAAACGCCCATGGGATATTCAGCGCCAATGGCGTACGGCCATGGTGGTTCCAACCCCGGCGAGGGAATGGACGAGTACTATGCTAGCATGCAGCCGCACTGGGCTGGCATGGATACCGTACGTTGCATGCAAGCGCCGGCTGCCTCACACCATCACTCTTCATATACTGACCACCTCCTGGCTCTACACAGTCACCCTACGCCGGTGTCAACCATCCTTATACCACCACGGCGGCCTTCCCCTCCGGGGCCATTCTCACCCCCATCAGCCTCCCGGACAGCTCTTTCCGGCCGAGTCCGGTTCTCAGTCACCATTCGCAAGAATTCCACTACAGCGTTGCCGAGACCGTCCCGTCTCACGGGCTGGGCATCACCGCACCCTTCCCCAGCAATTTCCCCCAGACGGTCACCGCCGGCCTGGACGAGCCGGACTATGGTTTCAGTGAGGCCACCCTGTCGCCTCAACCGCCCCCCGCCAAGCGGGCCCGCCGCGGACCCAAGCAGGCCATCACACCCCGGGAAGCCCCCGTGACAATACTACCCAACCCCGAAGGACTCCAGCGCATGGAGCAAGAGCGACGACAAGGGGCAGCTGATGCCCAGCACAACCAGAGGCCTCGGGCTCCGGGCCGGGGCCGGCGAGACCCGCAGGCCGAAGAGGAAGACGCGTTTGTGGAGCGCCTCCGCGAGCAGAGCCTGGCGTGGAAGGTCATCCGGGAGATGTTCCGGGACAAGTTCCACAAGGACGCGTCGGAGGCACGCCTGCAGATGCGCATGCTGCGCCGACGCAAGGAGCGTCTGGCCCGCTGGGACGAAAACGATGTGAGTGCGTGCTCCGTGCGCTGGCCCAAATTGCCAACTAATTAACGATCAAGTCATCCAGATCCGACTGCTCATAAGAGCAAGGGACTTTTGGGAGGAGGAGAAGTACAACCTCATTGCACAGAAGGTGGGTCTTTTTTGTCAATACCCTCTCTGGTCATTTTGACTGGATACGGGCTACGGGCTAACGGTCGTACGAGTCTAGATGAAGGAGCTTGGTGCGGGCCCCTACAGTCCGCAGCAATGCGAAGCCCAGTTGCGATACCTCGATACACAGAACCGGGAACGAAGTACTACTACTGGCCCCCGGTCACGCATACCTAGTGATCCTCAGCCGTCTCGAAAGCGGCCGTGGTCGAGGGTACTTCAAGGTCCGGCGGGTAGTACGAAGACGTAGCATTTTTTGCCTTTTTTTCCTTTTTGGATTCATTGATGAGTTGGACCGTTATAGCGCATTGTAATCACTTATTTTTTTGGGAAGGTTAATTCTGTTCTGTTCCTTACTTTTCTTTTCTTTTTTTTTTTTTCTAATCTTTCCTTTGGTGGAAATTAACGCGCCAGGATGATTGTTTACGGGATGATGATTTCTTTCTTTGTTTTTAACTTTCTTTTTTTTTCTGGATTTGGATTTGGATTTGGATATATACCCTGTGACCGAGAGATCAATTGCATGTGAATGACATCTTGATATGGAAAACTGAACGTTTTTTGAGCAACCCTGAAACCTGAATCATGGGCCGTGGGATTAGGATTAGGATTGGGATTGGGGGCATGGATTTGAAATGCACGCACGAACGATGGCCAGTCCAGGCCCCAGGGCCTGGTGCCCGAGCAAAACAAAGAGATGATGAGCAGCATTGGGTGGGACAAGTGACGGAGACCTTCGCAAGCAATCTCAATTAAACTTTTCCCACCATCTCAACGGCTGAAGATCAGTCGGACTAGATGCAGGCCAGCTAGGCTAGCCTCGTGGGGAGACTGCGATTGAGGGCCTGATTCGGGGGGGGGTTGCTGATGGCGGATGCTGATAGAGAGATGGATGGATGGATGGATAGATAGATAGGGGATCGATCGTCATCAGTCAGGGATGGAGTCAATCAGTGAGTCAGTCAGGGCTAGCTGGACTGGACTTGGGCTAACATTAACAGGCTAAGACGGCCGCAACCCGTTAACCGCCATCAGCCCCAAGCCACACCCCAGCGCTGGACGATCATGTCCCTATCAAAGAGCCGCCCGCCCCATTCCCCTTTCGCTTACTTACAGATGCCCCTGGTCCCGGTCGTGGATCCCTCATCCGGGTGGGCCAGCCTGACTGGTGGTGTTTTGGGCGTGTGGGGAGGGGGGGAAGGTGAGATGAATGTCATGAAAAGGCTGTCCCTGACTCTGACCCTGGCATATTGGAATTCCACAGCCGATATTCGCTCCTGTTCTAAGTTTAGCCCATGCCGCCTGGATGTCCCCAGTACCTGTATGTACTTACTTCGTGCCACGACCCCATGTCCGCCTGTCATGTCATGCCATGCCATGCCATGCCATGCACATGCACCTTTCAGCCGCAGGGGGCAGGGATCGCGACCTCCACTGACACTACCTAGATAGATAGATACTACATACCGACGATGATGGGACACCTCCACGCCGTTGCATTTACCGCCCGCTTGGATCCCACGGGGCTAGCTTGGGCCTTGACTGGCTCTAGGGGATAGGGATGATACTTGCCCCCCCCCCCCCCCCCCCGGTCCACACCGACTACGGCAGCGACCCGGGGAGTAGATAGATAGGACTAAAACTAAGACTAGGACTAGGACTTGGAGCCTGCACCATTTTGGCGCGCGCACCTTTGCCCTAATCGAGCCTCATGGCCGAGAGATCAGAGAACAGAACGCCTGGAGATAGCGCCAGGAAGAAAAGCAGCGCTTGCAGCGCATCGCCCTTCCTTTTCTACCTTCCCGGATGTGATACGTCACATCGCTCCGATCTCCGGAAAAGGAAGGGAAGTCGCGCATGCACGCAGACTTGCTTGCTTGTTTGATTGATCGGCTTCCGCGTTTCCCTATGATCATCATCGACCGTCGTACATTCGTTCATCGGTAAGACTACCCAGCAAGTACTAGTCCTGGTGAGGGGAATGTATAGGTAGTACTCGGGAAAGTATGTGCGTGTGTGTGTGTGCAGGTTGTCTTCTAAGCGAGGGGATTATTGGTCGTCATCATCCTCCTCCTCCTCTATATCGTCATCTAATATGGGGAAGGTCAACAGGGCAGCCACGCCGCCCAGCCCATCGAGTCTTCTCCCACTCTCGTGATCGGAGCTGAGCACTCGCACCTCGCCACCCTCGACATCGCGCACCCGATCCACCAGCGACACCCAGCGTTTACGCTCCGCCACGTCCTGTGACCTGAACAGTCGGTTCGAGATGATCAGCACCCCGCCACCCCGGCCCACCGCGCCCTGATCAACCGCCGACTCGACCTCGCGCGGTCCGTACGTCGCCCGGTTGGTTTCCTTGCGGAGCTGTTCGAGAAAGTCGTCCATCAGCCGAGTCTCGCGCGCGTATTTGGTGTCCGCCAGCGTCGCCTTCACGGCCGGTGACTGCAGCACTTCCGATAGGGAGTGGAGGTACCCGGACGCTGAATGTACGACCACCAGGCTCGGAAGGAGACGCTTGAGCGCCGGCATAGTCGTCGCCGCAACCGACTGGATGTATTTCTGGAGCCCCGCGGCCACGAACCCCGGCGATGCCAGGAGAACGGGTCGAACGGCCTCGGAGCTGGTGAGTGATGTTGCGCTGGTGTTGAACTCGAGCTGGCGCAGCAGCGTGTCAAGCGTGACCTGATAGAACTTTGACATGCCCTTTCCCCAAATCGCATTAGCAACCACGCTCATCCATCCATCCATCCATCCATCCATCCATCATCCACCAGCACCCCCCATTTATCTGTCGTGTCGATATCAACTCACCTTATCATGATCCCCCCCACCATGCCTCTTCCTAGGAACCGACATCTCAACCTTCTGCTTCAAGATCGTCTGAAACTGCCCAATAAAGCAAATATGCGCCAACCCCTCCTGCATCACCACCGCCACGGCCTCCGCCCGCCGCTTGCCCCCCTCATCCACCGCGTCCTTCAACATCTCCACCGCCATGCTATCCCACCCCACCCCCTCCCCGTCCGCCCCCATCTCCTTCTCCAGCGTGAAATTGCGATTCAGCTCCAGATCCAGCGTGTGGTGCTGCCCGATCTTCGTGTGCGCTGTCTCGTTCATGATCGTCCCGCTGACGTGCAGCTGCGAGCTCTGCGGGTCGAAGTCCAGGCCCTTGACTCGGATCTCGAGCGTGAGATGCACGCGCGCGGAGCTTGTCGAGCCGGTTTCTTGTGTTGTGGTTACGCGCCGGATGGCGCTCGCGCGGAGGATGTCGTTCGGGCGGATGAGGTTGTAGGCGTGCCACTTTTGTTTTAAGAGAAATCGCTGTTAGTGCTTGCGCTGGTTTACTAGGGGGTGGTGGAGGCGGGGTTGGTGATGAGGGCAGGGGAGGGGAGGGGGGTACCATGTCCTCCGGCTCCTCGGGACACAAGGTCACGGTGCCGGAGCCGTTCAGCTCGATCTTGTTCTTGACGAGACGCATGGCGGGTCGAGTCGTAGCGAGTAGTGTTGTATAGTATAAAAGGAAATAGTAGTTGTTGTAGTTGTAGTCGCTCTGCTCTGCTCAGGCCGGTTGAGTGATAATCAGCGCTCTGCGGTTGGCTGGACAATCATTTGGCGGGGCTGAGATTGGTACCTGGTATGTAATACTCGAGCTCTCAACCCCCTAATAGGTGATACTCTATCTCCTAGAGACAGAAACAAGTTAATTTATAACAAGCCCAGACGATAAACCCGGGTGGGTATTGGACACTATGGTCGACAAGATAGGTTGGTTGTTGGCTGGTTGGTTGGTTGGTTGATGGTTTGGTTTCTTTTCGACGCGGCGAGCCGATGGATGGATGACGACCGGAACCGCATTTCGCAGCCTCAGGCCGAAAAGGCACTGCGGGAGTGGGACTCGTCCCGAAAGGGACTAGTGTAGGTGTATCTCACTCGAATGCTTATCGATAACTATCTAGTTAAGACGTACCCTATGACCTAAGCCCTATCCTATCCAGCTTTGGACTGGCTTGCCCTGATGATGCCGAGATAAGATTGATTAGGATTAGGTGGCTCGGCACCCACCCATCCATCATCACATCACATCACATCACAGGCTATTCTAGATCAGGTAGATGGATGGATAGATAGATAGATGGATGTATGGATGCATAGATAGTCAGAGTAAACATCATAACACCCGGAACCTCACCTCCTCAGTCTTTCCTTTCCAGTGTCTAGTCCCAAATCTGAAGATGCCGGATCTTCCGATGGCCGAGTTCGGGTTGTTCGCCGCGCAGAACTGCTCTGATACGCTGTCGACTAGCATGGAGGGTGAAGCGTGGGGCGGATGGGGGTCCGCTTGTTATTCACGGCAGAAGGGAGGAAGGTTGGCGGGTGGGCGCGTTGACATTAATGGTCTCGTCTCCTTGGTTCAGTACTACTATTTATTCAGTGCAATCCCAATTGACTTTCCATCTTCATTCCCCCCCCCCCCCCCTCCCCACCCCTTCACTGTTTGATCTTTGATAGTCACTCTTCACTTTTCACTCTTTGTTCTTTACTTGTCTTTGATCAGCATCACTACAGACTACCGTAACCATAAAAATGGCCCTCTCGCCACAATCAACCAAGAAGATGGTCTCGGGATACGAGATCCCGGTCCTTGGGTTCGGGGTGAGTGTCTTCATAAATCACATTGATGGATTAGAGGCAACCATATTGCATTGGATTAGTGTTTGTAATTGACATGATGTCACCTTCTACAGGTCTACAAAACGTATGCCTACCATCCCTGCCCCGAGAGTCATGATTACATCCACCTAACAAAGAACATAGTCCCCCCGACGTCACTGAAACGGTCACACTAAAGGCCCTGCAAGCAGGGTATCGGCATGTAAATCCCCCCTCTTCGCTCCCCTCCCCTCTTATTCCATAACCTACGGTGTACTGGGCTCTATACTGGGCTTTAAATACTATACTGAATGGAGCAAACAGATCGACAGCGCCCAACTCTACCGCAACGAACGCGAATGCTGCACGGCAATCCACAACTCCGGCTTGGACCGGTCCCAGATCTTCTACACAAGCAAAGTGCCCACCACGCACATGTCCTACGAGAAAGCCAAGGAGGCGATTGAAGCAAGTTTGGAGGCGGCGAAGGAGTTGGGGTATATTGATCTGTACTCACCCCTCCCCCTCCCCCAACTCTCATGATTTTCAGAACTGGCGTTATAAACAACCCCTTCCCTGGCTGGCTAATCTACCTCCCTACGAATAACGATGGCGGTTTTAATGCTGATGACACCGCTAATACTGCTAATATAGAATGCTCCTCCACGCCCCCTACGGCGGCAAATCCGGCCGCCTGGGCGCCTGGCGCGCACTCGTCGAAGCCCAGTCAACGGGCAAGATCCGCTCCATCGGCGTCTCGAACTACGGTCTCCAGCACCTACAGGAGCTGGAAGACTACATCCAGACCAGCGGGGTCGGGGGCAAGATTGCCGTCGGACAGTATGAGATCCACCCGTGGTGCGCGCGCGAGGACATCGTGGCGTGGTTGAGGCAGCGGGGCGCCGTCGTGGAGGCGTATTCGCCGCTGGTGCAGGCGAAGAGGATGGAGGAGCCGGTGTTGGGGGATTTGGCGAGGAAGTATAAGAGGAGTAGGGCGCAGGTTTTGGTGAGGTGGAGTTTGCAGAAGGTATGTTTATGATCTTAATCTCCTTCTGTAGGGGATTGGGTTGGGGGTGGAGGATGGAGGGTGTTGTTGGTTTGGGTTTGCTGACGGTTTAGGGATACGTGCCGCTGCCCAAGTCGGTGACGGAGTCGAGGATCGTGGAGAATTCGCAGGTCTTTGATTTCGAGCTGTCCGACGAGGATATGCGGAGGTTGCAGACGGAGGAGTATGCCCCTGTTTCTTGGGATCCGGCGAGGGATTCGCGGTTGTGACGGTGGAGTAGATTGAATTGCTGGGACAACTGGACTGGAATAGTTAGTTAGAGAGTTGGTAGTTGGTTAGTTAAATAGGCATTTAGTATTCTGAGGACAGGAGATGAGCATTGTATATGATCATGCGGAGTGGTAGAGGTGGTGGTGATAACCTCCGCGGTATCACCTTTCCGCCTCGGCACAACGTATCCCCGCCACGGCCCTCCTTCCGCATCATCCATCCATCTATTAACTCCTTCCACTACCCCTCACCTCATGGCCTAATTACCAGAAACCAAACCACCTTTTTTACATCCAGATCGTCTACCAGACCACCCACCACCCCGATGCCTCCTCCAACCACCACATTTCCATTCACGCCCTTCCGCCCACAACAATGCCCGACTCACCCCCGAAGCGCGTCATCCTAGAGAAATCCCGCACGGTGCGACGACGCTACCAACGCAGCAACAAACGCTTCCAGTACACCGCCTCCCAGATCGCGCGGATCGAACGCGAACAAGAACGCGAGAAACGCGCCCAGCAGCTGCGCGAGCGCGACAAGAAACGCGCCGCAAACAAGAAGAAGAAGGCAGAAAAAGAAGCCCAGGCGCGTGAGGAACGCCGGAAACTCGGCTTGCCGGATCCGAATGCTCCCAGCGTGCCGGCGAGTCAGCCGCTGCTGTTTAATTTTATTAACAAGGGGAGGGGCGAGGTGACTGCGGAGGCGGAGGCGGAGGCGGAGGGGGAGGGGGGTGAGGAGTGTGGGGGGATACGGAGGTGGATGAGAGTGGTAGTGTGAGTGTGAATGGGAGTGAGGGTGAGGGTGGGAGTGCTACGGAGGTTTGGGAGGGTGACCTGGGGGGGTTTGGGAGCGACGAGGAGTTGGAGTTGGCGTTGATGAATGAGTCTTGGTCCGAGGATGAGGACGAGGATAAAGGCTGTGAGGCTGTGGGATGCGACCAGGCCGAGAAGGACAACGACAGGGGTGAAGAGGAGGACGAGTTCCCTGATTGCTCGATCTTCGACGATGAGGACATCATCAAAGAGATCGATGCTATAGCTACGCCGCAGCGGCAGACCGAACAGCTACCTCTGAAGAAGTGGTCGGCGGCCGAATCGTTCCAGGACGAGACGGCGCTGTTGCTGGAGGAGTTTGGTCATGAGTGCCATGAGTTCGACACGGACGACGAATTCGAACAGGCGCTGGTTGAGCTGGATGCGGTGTGAATGATACCTCTACTACTCCGTAGTATACGACTAATGAACTGCAGTGAATTGTGTACGGATGACGTAATACGTCCATCGGTGTCCCATCACGTGGTCAAACTTCCCGCCCGCCCCTTTATCCATTCTCGCCGGCCATCCCTTCTTCCTCTTCTTCATCTTCTCCATCATCCCCCTGCGACATCCTCATCCCGTAAAGGAAGTATTTGCTCTTTGCTGTTCTCGCCGCCAGTCCTGCCATTCCTGTGTTCTCATAGGACTCTCCGATTTCACTTGTTGACTTCGGATTGGGCACGTGCTCGTGACCAGGCCGCAAGAGCTTTTACCACTTTACTCTCATCTTCTTTTGTTATGACACCTTATCCGAGTCAGGGCTGCTCATCGCTGTTCCAAAGCCCGGGTGGGAGGGCTACTCGATTCATCGAGGGTTCCCTATTTTGAATCCAGCGAATATTGCAACAAAACAATGACCGCCACATCGCCAAACCCGCCCTGGGTCTTGAAGAAGAAGGCAGTTCTTGTTTCTACAGGCGATTTGGAAGTTTCTTGTTTTGCTCGCCTTCGTATTGCTCACGATAAAAATGCCAACCAAGGATCCATCTCCCTTAGGATTACGGCGGATCTTGCTAACCTGAACGGCAGATCACAGGTACTGACGTTGAATGTTCCTCCAGAATTAGTCGAAGAATGCGCGTTAGCCCGGATAAGCAACGACGGCCTCTGTTCACCTCGTTTGGTTTCCATGCTCCGGGCGTCTGTCACCAGTGTTTCGGCCGTATCCACACTGAGTCTGAGACTCGCTACGACCGGCATTGTTCTTTGTCCATCTGGGATGGAGTCTCTAAGCCCGGCCGATCAAGGAGACTTGAATTTTGACGCATTTGCAAAGATCTGTCAGTCCAAATCTCTACGTCTACACTTTTCTAGGAGACAATTTGTGAACGACGAACTTGATCGGTTGGAGACCTTCTCCTTTGCCTTGCAAAAGAGAAGTCTTCAGGCAGAGTCTTTTGACCACGCTCGCCATGGCGTGGTCCGGAGAGATTGGCGTGCCTTTAGTCTGTTGCTCGATCCACCCCCATACTGTGAAGGGCCCATGTCCGGGCAGTTGGAGCAAGTGGATCCACCTCTATATTGCGAGGAATCCAAGTCCGAGCGGGTGGTTGGAAAGCGGTGCAGAGGTACCTTACTATCTCATCGTCTTATGTACTTTAATCTTCAATAGCTCGTTAATAGTACATATCTAGACCAGTGGTCAATGCCACCCGACGATGAAAGACGAAAAAGACTGCTCCTTCCCTCCCCACAACTGCCAGGCTCTCCCACCGAAGTCAATACGCCGAGTACTCACCCCCCGTCACCGCCCTCAATCCGCCCAACCCACTTTACGCATGCTTCCTCTCCTGGGCGCACAGAGCGTGACATACTTGCGCGTCTTGAGCATGAGCTCCGTGGTGTTTCCGATGACCTGATCTGCAAACTATTAATTCGGACAGGACGCCAACACCTGCTGGCCATGCCAGAAGCTGTAGACATTGGCCTGCCATCTGAGTCCGCGAAAGTCAGCCTTGCCAAGGTCGCGCCGATGGAACGCCGCCTTCAACGATATGTCGATGAGATGATCGAGCGCCGCCTCCAATCACGCGTTGTCGACGAGATTGTCGACAGTGCGGTGAGGGAGTGTCGCGATCAGATCTTCGACGAATGCAAAACGATCGAAGCCGACTTTCGCGAGCAGGTCGACGATGGTAACTCCGAGGTACGCAATACGGCCAATGAATGTATGAAGGAAATGAAAGAACAGGTACAAAAGCACATGCATGAAATAGAAGATCAAGCGCAGCAGTGCATGAATGATATCGAGAATCAGGGAATCGAGGTGGAGATATCTGCGGAGGAAACAGTTGCGAAGTTCAAGCGCTGGTTCAATGCTTCTTCGGCCCGGTCCTTACTTGATAGCAAGTCAGGCCCTAGCCATGAGCTGGGCACTGATGTCAGACGCAGTTCCGTTTAGGCTTGGTACTAGGCTCATATCTCTTAGGATTGTCGTCGTGCATTTAGATTCTTTTTATAAGCTCGCTAGAAGATCAATCAGTGAAGGGGGCCGGATCGGATCCGCAACACGCGGACGGGCGGTGCATGCCGGGGGGATAGGCGCCCATCCAAATGGACTTGGAGGTTTAGAAGAAATATATTATGATTATTTATTTATTAGTAACAATTGAATATCAGGATTATTCCAAGCGCAGCTAGCAAAACAGTTTACTTGTACACTAAGGTCGTATACAGTAACTATACTACATACTATACTATAGCTTCCGACCCGATGGCGATCCGCGGGATCGGATGGCGCGCGCCTCGTCGGCTCGGGCGGAACCCCGCCCTTGTCCCGTTATTCCGTCGGGTTTTACACAGGAGCGAATGGCCGGCATATGGACAGGCAATTCACGGACTACTCTACCATACTGTGTTTTGACCTGCAGAGCCAACAGAGATGGTGATAATGAATATAGGCAGAGGAATAATAATCGGCGATGTGGAAGCGTGGAGGCATCGAACAGTAAACTGCAAACTGCAAGAGCTCGAAAGCTCCCCGCGGCATGACGTCGGCGCTGAACGGCGATCGATAGGATAGCTGAAGACGAAGGAAGGAAGTAAATACTAAGTAAGTCAAGAAACCCATCCGATCGATGTCCGGCACTCACTCCGTCTCTCACCTTCCGGCTCTCTTCCTCCATACACAGTAACTACTCAGTACAAACTCCTTTCGCGTTGGGAAACACTCTGCAGAGATCCCAATCCCCATCCCCATCTCCATCCCCAGAACAGCAACAGCAACAAGCAGCACCACAATCATGCCGACCGTCACCGTCAACAACCACCAAATCCACTACGCCGACTCGCACCCGGACGGCGCGCCCGCCGATAGCGATAGCCACGCCCACACCTTCATCTTCATCCACGGCCTGGGCTCCTCGCAGAACTACTACTTCCCGATCCTCCCCTACCTGACCTCCCAGTCCCACCGCTGCATCACCCTGGACACCTACGGCGCCGCCCGCTCCACATACACCGGCGACCCGATATCCATCGGCTCGATCGCCGCCGACGTCGTCGGGGTGCTGGACGCGCTGCACATCGCGAACGCCGTGGTGGTGGGCCACTCGATGGGCGGACTGGTCGTGACGCTGCTGGGCGCGGAGTACCCCGACCGCGTGAAAGCCGTGGTGGCCATTGGCCCTACCCATCCCTCGGAGCAGCTGGCCACCGTGATGACCCAGCGCAGTGACATTGTATCAACCGGTACCTTAATCCCCCAATCCCCCAACCCCAAATCCCTCTCTCCTCTCCTCTCCTCTCTCTCATCTCCCCCACCAACTGAACCATATCACATCACAATATACTGATAACCCCCCCCCCCCCCCAGCCGGCATGGAACCCATGGCCAACACCATCCCCAACGGCGCAACAGGACCAAACTGCCCCGCGCTCGTCCGCTCGTTCATCCGCGAGCTGCTCCTCGGTCAGAACCCCCAGGGATACGCGGCGCTCTGTCGCGCCATCGCCACCGCGCCGGCCATCGATTACTCGGCCGTGCGGGCGCCCTTCCTGCTCCTTGCCGGTGAGGAGGACAAGTCTGCGTCCATGCAGGGCTGTCGGCATATCTTTGATCGGGTGTCCAGCGCGAATAAGAGGCTGGAGGTGTTGGAGGGCGTGGGGCACTGGCATTGTCTCGAGGCGCCGGAGGAGGTGGGGAGGGCGATTGCCGGGTTTGCCGGGGGGGTTTGAAAGGGGTTGTTATGTTGTTATGTTTTTTTTTGTTTGTTTTATTCTGGATTCTGTAGGGATTAAAAGAAAAGGTTGTTGGGGTTTGGGGGAGGGTGAAATGTTTGTTCTAGTGTTGTTCTAGGATATGGGTTGTTTCCATGGTGTTGAGAGGTTTATGGACGGATTCTTGATACGGGGGTGTCTAACTAAGCCCATGTCCTGGGTCTATATGTTGAACCCTCTCTCTACTACTCCGTCCGTAACTTAGTTACCTACCTTAGGGCATGCCATACAATCCAATACAAATCTACCAAAAGCACTCTACAGCCAGAACCCCGCAAAAAGACGTGACGTGTATCAGGAAAAGTAAAAAAAAAAAAAAAAAAAAAGCAATCAATATCCACAAATAACTCGCTATATACAAAAAGCCCGATTTTCTCCCAACATCCACATACAGATAATCATCTCTCAGACACACACACACACACACACACACACACACACACACACACACAAACACAAGAGATATGTATGTATGTATGTATGTATGTATGTATGTATGTATGTATGTATGTATGTATGTATACCGCACTCATATCTTGGCCTTATCCACCTGCCCCGCCGATGCTGGCTGCGACGGCACCAGCTTCACATCATACTGCAGCTCCAGACCCGCCTTCGGGTCGTTGGCGCGCGGCACGAAATCGACAATCAAGGAGTCCTTGACGGCGAAGACGGAGTCGTTGGTGAGGTATTTGTCCTTGCTGTCGAAGATTTGCGTCGTGAGGGGTTTGTAGTTTTCGTATGTAGCCTGGTTTCATTAACATGGTCATTAGTATTGATATTGGTTGTATTGATATTTTGCTATGGCAAGAAGAGTAGGGAAGGAAGGAGGAAGGAAGGAGGAAGGAAGGAGGAAGGAAGGAGGAAGGAAGGAGGAAGGAAGGAGGAAGGAAGGAGGAAGGAAGGAAAAAAGGTTAGACGTACAATGATATGGATATGCGCCGGTCGGAAGGGATGTCTATCCATCATTTCGAGGAGTTTGCCTGCGGGACCTATTCACATCACACACACACACACATATTAGCCCCATCCACCCCCATTCCCTTTGCAGAGAACCCATCCGAGAAAAGAGAGGGAAAGCATAACATACCATCATCCGGAACCGGATACGGCGTCGGCCTAAGACAATAAAACCCATACCGGCCGTCGCCATCGGTCTTGAACTTCCCGCGCAGATTGAACTCCTCCTGCGCGGGATCCTGCTGCTCGTACAGCCCGTTCGTGCTCGCCTGCCACACCTCGACGGTGGCGCCGACCAGCGGCGTCTTGGTCGCGAAGTCGACGACCCGTCCGTGCATGTACGCCATCTCGCCGTCGCCGGCCGCCGGGGCCGTGCGCACTATGCTCTCGCCGTTCGACCGGTAGGGCGTGTCCGCGCGGAAGAATGGGCCCAGGATGGCGGTCGCGGTGGGCGCGTCGGGCGCCTCGGAGGCGAGGGTGAAGGTGATTTCGTCGACGAGGCTGGTTTCGTTCTTTGTTAGTATGAAAGGTTAGGTAGGCTAAGGCTAAGTGGGGTTGGGGAGGGGTAAGAGAGGGGAAGGGAGAACAGAACGTACGATTCAAGCCCGATCACATCACAGACTAATTGACCCTCGTTGCGCTTGTCGTCGCTCATGCGCCCGGCCCAGTTGAGCATCTGCACGCCGGCCATCCATTCATCGACGGTCAGCTCGTTCTCGCGGGCGAAGTCGTGGACGTGGCGGATCAGGCCGGTCATGAGCTGGCGGAAGCGCGGGGAGGTCTTGGGGCCCATGGAGTTGATGACATTGTCGGTGAAGGTGGGGTCGAAGCGGGGCATTTTGATATCGTGATGAGAATAAGATAGGGTAGAGAGGAGAGGAGTAATGAAGACGAAGATGAGAGTGACGAAGAGAGTAGCCAGGAGGAGGAGAGAGTAAGGCAAGTAAGTGGTTATATAGATAACTAACTAATGGATGCCCCGGATTCGCGCATCGGAAGGCGTTGGAAATCCACGCCGGTGACTGGTCGGATCTCTTCCGACTTCCCCGCACGGCTTCGGATGTTTGACTTCCCCACATCATCATCACCAACTAGTCTGCAGGAAGCAATTACAGGGCTACTTAGCAATGATAATCATATGTTACTGCTGCTGCTGCTGCTGATCCCTCCCGTCGGACCCCCGCCCCCTCCCCCTTCCCTTCCCCTTCACCGGCGGCCGCGTCCCCCATTCCGACGGCCACTGCTGCACCACGGCGCCCTTCTCCCACATCCGCCCCAACCCCAGCTTCCGCTCCACCACCACATCCACCACCGACAATGGCACCATCGTCTCCTTCTTGCCATCGACCTCCACCTCCATCCCCTCGCTCAGCACCACCCCGTTCTCACTCCTCCAGAACGGACACCCCGCCGCCAACGCCCGCTCCACATTTACATAAACCAGCACCTGCGCGTCGCGACGCATCCCCGAGATGACTTTCCCAGCCTCTCCCTTCTCTCCCGTTTCCCCTTCCCCGTCCGTATTCTTCTGCTGCTTCCTCTTCGCAATCTCCCCCAAAACCTCTTCTAACGCCGGCCCGGTGGCAAAATGCACCTGATTCCGCCCCATACATTTCAGTCCCCCGGAGGCGAAAATCGCCGGCCACGTCGAGTGGAACGTCCCGTGCACGACGGTCTTGGGGAATTTGTCGCTGGCTTTGTCGTCCAGGGTGAGTTTTTCGAGAAGGCCGGCGGCTTCGATGCTCTTGATGCTATGGCCTTGGGTGGCCCGGATGAGGAAGGAGGAGGAGGGCGGCGTGGGGGTGGATGTTGCGGCGGCGAGGGCTGTGAGGGTTGTTTGTTCGGTTTGTTGGGTGGGATCGGTGGGTGTATCCGTAGATGTGGCTGTATCTGTAGCTGTGGATGTGGTTGCAGGCGTGCCAGAATCACCAGACGGGATATACAGCAGCGCGAACCGCTTCTTGTCCGAGTTGGCGACCGCGTCGACGATTTCGGGAAAGGTCGCTTTGAGGGATTTGAGTTTTCGCCAGGCGAGCTGCGAAACGTTGATATTTTAGTTGGTATTTGGTTATGTAGGGAAGGAAAGCTGTAGGGAAGGAAGAAGGGGGGGGGGAGGGGTGAAGTTAAGGGCATAGACTATAACCGGTCTAATCCAGATACCAGGAGAGGGAAGACATACCACATCCGCAACATTAGCATAACCCTGGGCGTCCATCTTCAGTCCCTCTTTCTCGGCCGCATGGCGCAGGATGTAGCTCAGGGCTTTGGACACGGTCACGGCGCGGCTGAGGGGCGGGCGGCCTTTATTGTTGGGGTTGGGCATTGTGTATTTGTCGCTGTATATTCCTCCCTGTGTCTTTCTATGATTGTGCCTTGTCTGGAAGGATGCGAGGGTGCGAGGAAAGGTTGTTGCGATCTTATTTCTGTCAGCTCAGCGACAGCGACTAGTCGGGGTGGCAGGCAGGGTGTGGCAGGGCTGTCACTCGCGGGGTGACTCACGACAGGTTCGCGCTGTCAGACGGAAGAGGAAGAGGGGCGGGCTGGATATCTGACTAGTAGGGTGAGAGAATTAGCGGGATAGCAATTGCAGCAGCTGAGGTATATGGACTGACCTGGAGAGGAGAACCCACCATGCGAGGAGGGGAGGGGGGAAGTGGGGGAAGAAGTGTTTTTTTTGAGCGCGGGACTTTTGACATCATCGGCGATCTCGCCGGGCCGAGACTCTATCATCTACGATGTTTGTTTACTAGTTCTCGCCAGATATACAATGCATACTTCAAGATAGTACGCAGATAATAACCATACCACAAATTGCAATATTCAAGTCTACCATCCGCTAAATGGGTATATCACAAACACATCCCCCCACTCCCACACCAGACCAGACCAGACCAGACGATCCCACAAACCAAGAACCAAAGAAGGAAAGAAATCACCGATCGCAAATACAGCTACAATCCGCCACAGGACAAACCTTATGCTTGGCAAACCACTCGCGCGCATGATGCGCGTGAAATCCATGATTGCAATTAATGCAGAAGACAATAAACCTCCGCATCAGCTCCGCCTCCGACGGGCGTCGTCGCTCGTTCGCTGCATCGGCCGCCACACTCGCCTTGGACACGGGATCCGGCGAGCCCAGCCACAGCGTGCAGACTCCGCAGCGCGGCATATGACGCCCGCAGCGCGGACACACGGTGCCGGACATGGCGGCCGTGCCGAGGGGGTTTCCGGGGTGGCGTGGGAGACTTCGCCGGTGACGGAGGGGGCGAGCTGCGAGGAGGCGTCGTGCTGGGTGAGCGGGCGTGTGCAGTAGTTGCAGGTCAGGCTGACTTGCTGCTTGGGCGGGTCGATCAGCTTGCGTCCGTCCCAGGTGACGGCGAACTTGCGCGATCCGACGTCAAAGCGCGCGCGCTCGAGCTGCAGTTTCCAGGAGTTGATCTGCCAGCGGTAGGTCTCGCGCCAGGACTCGAAGCGCGTGCGGTTGGGGCTTTGGTTGATGAAGCGGGGGACGGTGTGGCTCATGGCGAGTACGGCGGTTTGGATGTCGTGGAATTTGTTGATGTAGGACTGGAAGAGGTCCATGGCGGAGTGGCCAAGTCCTGTGAGGAGGATGCCTTCGATGTCGCCTTGGCGGATGGCTTCTTGTGTGGTTTCGCGGAGGTATTTCGTGAGATCCCGGTCGGGTAGCCATCGCAGGGCGACTTCGATGCGATAGCGTAGCGGAAGGGTGGTCTCTTGGATAACGGATCGCCAGTCTCCCTTGCTCACGAGGGCTAGGATGGCCCGCGCGTACGGGTCGGTCAGCTCCTTGGCGATCTCCGCGCAGGTGTCCTCCCAGTCTGCGTCGGTGTCGCCTTTCGCGGCGCCCGCGATGGCCATGGCGAGCAGCTTGTGGGCCTGCGTAGGCTCGTGGCTTCGCAGCGCCAGGTAGGCCAGCTTGGGCTCGTCTTGGAAGATGGCCAGCGCGGCGGCTTTGGTGTGCTGCTTGTCCGCGGACAGCGTTTTGACGAGTTCCTCCAGCTCGCGATGGGTTTGCGCCGCGCCGCACATGCGCAGGCAGAGCCGGCGGTGTTCCGTGTGCTTCGTCTCGCAGCCGGTAGTCTCCGGGAGGTCCAGCTGCTCTCGAACCAGCTCGATGATGGTTGCTTTGATGTCGGTGGTCGGATCAGGGCCGACCTGTCGGTCTTCCAGGCTCTCGCCTACAGACGTCAGTATGCGCCAGAGAAGAGAAGCCGGAGAGTCACTCACCCAAGTCGTTGTTCCATACGTCGTAGACGCCCAGGTAGTTCAGGTCTAGACCGTTGATGATCATCGATTCGTTGGCAGAGACAGAGCGCGCCCCTGTGCGTGTCAGCGTGATCCTCGAATGGGACGAGTCGCTTACGTTCAACCCAGTTCCAGAAGCCTTGTAGCCGCGGATCATCAGCCACGATCCTCTTATTCCGCGCCTCATCAAACAAGTAGCCTTCTTTGCATCGCATTCTCTGCACCGACATCAGCGTCAGGGCATCCTGCACAGGGAGCCGAGAGCCCAACATGCCCACCGACTGGACATGTTCCCTGGCCTCCCGGCTAGACAAAGGGGCCGTCTGGCTTCCCGCACGGCGTCCTTTCTGCGCGACCTGCCCCTGATCCGAAACACGCCCCCGTAGATCCTCAACCACCTCCGAAACACTCGAATCATGGGCAGACTCGGGGCTGATGACTTTAAACTCCGAGTCATCCCCCGTTCCCCAGATCAACGACCCCTGCGAGGAAAGCCTTACCGGCGGCGCCGGGGGCTTCGCCGTAAGGATATTCGTCTCACCATTCCCGGATACCGTAAGGATACTGGGCTCGTTGCTGGGGCTCATGTTAAGGAAATCAAACGCGACAACCCGATCCTTCTCGTCATATCCGCGCGACGGGTGGTTGTACGGCGTGCACACGTCGCGGACGTGCTTGGTGTATATCTGCTCGGGGTAATTCTTGGCGGAGCCCTGTCCCAGAGTCTCGTCCATGGACGACAGCATCTCCTCATCCAGGTACTCCTTGACGACATCGTACGTCTTGAAATGGCCGGTATTCGAGAGAACGCCCAAGCAGCCGCGCCTTGTCTTGGAGAACCGCATACTCCAGATACTCGACTTGGGGGCCACAACATTCCTGAACTCCAGCGCCGGGCCCAGCGGGGTGTCCATGGCATTTGGCGGGCCGACGGCGGTGATATAGCGGGCCCCGATGCGTCGATCCCAGATGCAGACAGTCGGGTCGTTCGTGGGCTGACACGACGCAATGTAATTGGGATCCAGCCCGTCAATGGCGACATTGTGAACGCAGCGGGTGGGAAACTGCAGCGACGGGTTCCCGGGGCCCTCTGCAGAACCATTAGACCGATATCACACAAGTGTACACACTGCTGGATCCCTCCCCCGAAACATCAATGCGACCTACCTCTCAAATCATAAATCCTCACAAACTGCCCCTTCACGCCCGTGACCAGAGTATCCGGCTGATCCCCAAAGAACTTAAGGCTGGTAATCGGCTCAGAGCTCGCCAACTTCCTCAACGGCTCCACAAACCCCTTAGCCGCCTTATTCGCCAACCGCTGATTCACATCCCAGATATTCAGACAGAAGTCATTGCGCACGCGATCCAGCCCCGCAGCCAACAGGCCATGCGTGCTGAAAGCCACGGCATTGCAGTAGCGCTGATGGCGGATGGGGAATGAGTACGACGCCTCCTGGCCCTCGGTGTTCAGTCGCAGAATCGTCGCGTCGCCGGACGACTGGCCCACCGCGACCAGGGACTCGTCGACGGGGGACCAGTCGAAGGCGCGAAAGGCGGGGACTTTGGTGTGGGTGGAGAGGACCTCATGCTGGAGCCGGCGGCCGTCGAACGAGGTGACCTTGCACAGGCGGAAGGTCTTGCCGCTCACGTCGACGGAGAGGAAGCGTTGCTCGGAGGTGGTGGAGGATGGGGACCATCGGATGGCCTTTTCCATTTTCTTTTTCTTTTTCTTTTTTTTTTTTTCGTTTTCGTATATGGGGGGCGGCAGTATCCCGGTAGGGTCCCGGGCGGGCGGAGAAGTCTGACTGACTGGTCACCAGTAGGCGATGTGATTTCGGCCGCGGGAATCTGATGCGTCAAACAAACACCTCCTAGCTGTGCCGATGGCCCATTGGTGTGGGGAGGGGAGAGGGGAGAGGGGAGGGGGGAGGTATCTCAGACTGTCTCAAACACGGCGCGCATGACAGCCAGCTTTGGCTAGATAGAGTGAAAGAGACAGGATCTCTGAAGCTGGACGCAGTGGTGGCTGGTCCGTCCCGACTCCAACCAAGCAGGCAGGACGTAGTCGATAGATCGATCGAAGCTCCGTCGAGCATCCGCAGTCGGAGTCTCTCCATCGCGCGCGTCATGGGACTGGCCGTGCGCTGATTGGCCGGTCCCGGGGGATCTGGGGTGCGACCGGGCCGGGAATTGATCCGGAGATATCCAATCCGGCTGTTTTTCTTTTTCTTTTTTTTTTTTTTTTTACCCTTTATCGATAGATATAAAGCCTGTCAGCCACCACACCTCCCTCCCTCACAGTCGAGTCCAGTAAACTCCAATCCCGCACATTCCAGCGCACCCAGAGTCCAGAACACAAAATGCCCCGAGAATACGCCCCCCGCTCCACGAAGCGGAAAACCCACGACTTCGACGACCACCACGACGACAACTCCGCTCCCCAGCACGCCCACGCGCGGAAGAAGATCACCCTCCCGAAGAAAGAACACAAATACCCGTCGGTCAACGAGCTAAAGAAACGTATCCGGGATGTGAAGCGGCTGCTCAACAAGGCGGATCTGCCCGCGGACGCGCGCATCGTGCAGGAGCGCGCGCTGTCGGGGTACGAAAAGGATCTGGAGGATGAGCTAAAGAGACGCGATCGGTCGAAGATGATTAAGAAGTATCATTTTGTGCGGTTTTTGGGTATGTGTCCCCCCCACAAATCTACCATCCATTCATTCATATCCACCTGTTCATCCCACCCCACCCGGGTCTATCTTATACAAATTCTCTCTCAACCGTTTATCTCCGTTACATCCAATGCTAACATGTGAATGTGAATGTGGGAATATAGACCGCAAAACCGCCACCAAAGAAATCTCCCGCCTGCAACGGTTGGAAAAAGAAACCAACGCCTCCACCACTTTATCCGCCTCCACCAAGACGCAGAAACTGGCCTCTCTGGCGGAGAAACTGCGCGTCGCGCGGGTGAATCTCAATTACACGATTTACTACCCGCTGGCGGAGAAGTACATTGCTCTTTATGCGGCGGAGGGGCGGAAGAAGGAGGAGGATAAGAAGGAGAAGAAAGATAAGAAGAAGGCACAAGGGGAGGAGGACGACAGTGAGGGTGAGGGTGAGGGCGAGGGTGAGGGCCGGACTAGACACATCCACATCCATGCGACGCTGGCGGACAAGCCGGCGATGTGGCATGTTGTGGAGAAGTGTATGCGGGAGAAGACGTTGGATTTGTTGCGGGAGGGGAAGTTGGATGGGGCTGGGAATAGTGCGAGTGCGAGTGTGGGTGGAGAGGGGAAGAAGGAGAAAGGTGGAGAGAAGAGTGGGAAGAAGAATCGGGAGGAGAAGCCCGAGAAGGCTCGGAAGACGACGGACGATCACCGGAAGAAGGCGAAGACGTCTGCTACTGCTGCTGCTGCTGCTGCTGCTGCGAAGGATACCAAGATGCAGGACGATGGGGACGACAGTGACGGTGGTTTCTTCGAGATGTGATATCCTCTAGATATCTAGAGATGTCCCCTGGGCCGGTCCAGCGTGCTGCGATGTGATGATGCATTTCCGGAGTTGGTTGTTTATTCCACTATCACTATCGTCTTCTGAACAGTGTAGGCTATTGCCACGATACCCAATGTATTCAATTCAATTGTTTCCATTCAGTTGTTGTCCGAGTAGTTACACAGTAGCTCGCCCAGACCAGACGCCCACCCATTGACCGATATGCAAGGTGAAAAGAAAAGAAAAGAAAAGAGCACAGTTTTGAATCTAAATGATCGGAAGTGAAGCACCATCCAACTCCGGCTTCTCCGTCCCCTCTAGATAGCGAAGAAAGAACAAACGAGAAGAACAGTTCAGCTGAGACAGACTGCAGCTGGAATGTGCAGTGGATGCTCGGCCCGCCGCCAAAGTCAACCGAACCCCTTCACTCCCCCGAGTTACGGACTGACTGACCGGCTTCGCAAAGTTCATCATTTCATATCTCATAGCACGCTCACGACTTCGGAGCAGCGCTTTTAGGATGTCGATGTCGATGCCAATGTCAGCTGTCCATTCAACCTGTCTACATCTGGCATCTGACACCGTCACAGTTTCCAGAACCGTAAACAATCCACCGAACGAGGGACCGCTCAAACCGCTACCGCTGAATACAAAGCAAACGAGAGACGGGAAAGTAAGTCAAGATCGGATCCTAGCGAACGCGGTTTACATGACCAGGCAGCCTCCAGTACCGCCACCTTCAGTGTGTCGACGACGTCCTGCGCCGAGTGCCGTGATGCCGCCTACACCGAACGTGTCCGCCTCGTCGTCATCTTCGTTGTAGATCCTCTGGGCTTCGCGGGCGCGGCGCCGTCGTCTTCTGGTCCCGGCTCCGCCGCCGCCCGCCTCCTCGCTGGCCATCATGTAGTTCGCCCATTTGCGATCCAGTCTGCTCGCGCCGTCGAGATCGCCCCGAAGAACCCGCTTATTGTGCTCGTCTACGGTCATCTGCCAAGCGTAGAAGCATTTCAGATGGATGATCTCGCGGGGGTAGATGGACGGTGCTGGCGGAGGGGTGATGCAGGAGGGAATCATAGTCGTGGACTGGTCCGGAGCAACGGTCTCGGGGAGAACATTCACGTCTTGCAGGGACTTGCGCGCCGCGCGGGGGAGGTGGGCGTTGCTGGACAGCACCTCGCGGATGCCCGCCCAGGTCACATTGGCGCAGTCGAAGACGACCAGACGCAGGCCCACGCAGGGGAGTTTCTCGCTGTAGCCGCGCTTGCGCACGCGCAGGCTGGCTTCCATCAGGGTGAGGTCTGATACGCGGGTGTTGTCCATTTCGACAGAGCGGATGGAGGGGCAGTTCTTCACGATCTGCAGCATTCCGATGTCCCCGAGACTCTCGCAGTAGCTGATGTTGAGATGCTGCAGGTTTGCCGCGCACGGAGACTTGGCCACCTCAAGCAGCGTGTTGTTGGTGAGCTTCTCCATATCCTCCAGGTCAAGACGGGTCAGACGGGGCGTGGTCCGGATCACAGCCATGACCGAGTCGTCGCCGAGTTCGGAGCACTGAGAAAGCTGCAGGGTTTCGAGGTCAGGGACATTGTGAGCGAGAATCTTCAGCCCGTTATCCGTCAGCTCCGAGCATTGGTGGATATCCAGATGCTTCCACCGCCGGGGAGGGACAATCGGACGGTCCGTAAGGAGGTCAATTTCTGGGTCTAGACCGTGGACAAGCGCCTGCAGGCACTCGTCTGTAACACCGGTTCGGCTCATGACCAGGCGCTCTAGGGTGTTCCGTTCATACAGCTGCAACGCGAACTCGACGTCATCAAAGCCACTGATTTCACTAGCCCGGAGATCCTTCAGCTTTCCACACGCGGCAACGACCTTCTTCAGCCCCGACGTATCGACGCCAGTGCACCAGGACACATTCAACGTCTCAAGTTGCGGACACGACTGCGCGATGATCTTCATGGCCGAGTTGCCGACGCCAGCCAAACCGGACAGGTTGATGTATTCCAAGCGTGTATTCCGCAGAAGGAAGTAATGGATGGACGACTTGTCGATGCGACATCCCTCCAGGGAGAAATTCACCACATTGCGACACACGTCAGTGATGCGCTCGCCTTCCGTCTGCCACTTGTCCTTCAACTGGACGCAGCCTCGAAGATTGAGGTCGCGAACGAACGGACCGCCGGACGTGATCAGCTTCACCAAACCATCACTCGGGATATCGCGGTAGTAGTCAGTGGTGTCAACCTCAGTCCACAACTGTCCATCAAAGCACATCTTATTCCACGTCTTAGAGACCGCCGAGCAGCGGACAATCTCCTTCGGCGGGAGGAACTGGAAGATCCGCATCTTCAGCTCATCGGGCATACTACCCCAGAAATCAAAGACCTTCTTCGGCTTCGGCGACAACCGTGCTGCAGCAGCCTCATCAACCGCATCCGCTCCCGACGGAGACCCTCGCGAGCCCGGTCGCATATCTACAGGCAACGGAATGGTGCGCGGTTGAGAGGCATTGGGGGAGTCGGAGCCGACGAGACGGATTCGGGCATTTCCATCACACTCTGACGGAGAACCCGACGAGCCCGAGGTTATGGGACGGGCGTTCAGGCCGCCATAGAGCTGGGATGTGCTTCCATTGCGCAGACAAGGGGCGTATGTGGATTGCGAGAGCGACACGCAGGACAGCGAAGCCTTGCCATCGCGGCGATACCCGGTGGAAGCGGATCGGCCCCGCCGGGTCAAACTGGGAGAAGAGGAGATGCGCTGAAGGCTTTGCAGCAGCTTGTGGCGCCCCTTCAGCTTGGGAGGTTGGGCCAATGGAATCTGCCCGGTCGAGGAAGCCGGACTGGCAGGGGAGACGGCCTCGGCGATTTCGTCAGGGTCTGCGGTAGCCATGACGGACGGCGGTGTTCAAATCCGGTCCACAGAGGTCCTAACAAAAGTCCCAACGGGTGTCTCACGGATGATGGTCTCGATGGAGGGGTTATGAGGTTAGGATCGCAGGCAGCGGACAATTGGCGGGCAGCCGAACTATCGCCAGACAGAGTCTGTCAGCGAGAGCGTGGATTGTCGCAAGGTCGTCCTAGACGGACATAGTGAAGCCAGCCCCGTTCCGCAAGTGTGTATGTTATCGAAACCGAGACGACGGCAATAGCACACGCGCAAACGCAACGAGCAGAACACGCTTCAAATCCGTTCCGGCGGATGAAAGGCAGAAGGGAAGGTGAGAGAGGAACAGAGTCAGCTGGGCAGAGCAGAGGGGAAGTCGGCGAGTCCTTCTGCGAGGGACCGTCCCGATTGTACCATGGGACTCCGGGTCCGCGTAACCCCGGGGCAGCGGCCGCGAGTGCGGGAGAATCCAGCAAAGACTTGGATTTCAAAAGTCAGGTCGGGGGTTGCAGACGTCAGTGGGCATCATCCGGGATGGCGGGGGGGGAGCAGCACAGGAGAAGAAGCTTTGTAGCGAAGATGCAGAAGAAAAATGAAGAAGAGAGAAGAGCGAGAGGCTAGAGGGGAAGGGGAAGAGGAAGAGTAGGATGACCGACTGACAGTAAGAAACGGAGTAACAGACAGACGGGCTGGATCCCGTCAGGTAACTGGTAAGGCGGGTCAGCCGACGGGCGGGTCAACCACCTTTTCAACTGCCATGGTATTTATTCTCTGTCTGGTGTTATTCACTATGGAGGACAGCATATTCTTCTAATAAACATATCCTACTCCACCCATTGTCCCTATCCCGATCAAATAATCCAAAAGAACAGAATACAGAATACAACCCAACAGACAGCATCACCACAATACCAAACCACTGAATACAAAATACAAAATACAAAATACCCCACAGGCTTATCGATAGGTAAGCCCCCCCCCTTCTCCCCCGGCCCCACTGGTGGCTGTCGCGGCGGAGTCGCAGTGTGAGTTCGAACGCGTCTGGCCGTTCTGGCCGTCTGACTTTCCGGGTCTCAATCCCATGCCGCCTGCCCGATTCCAGAATCCCCCGCCAACCAGTTGGAAGGGGAGTTTCACTGATCGAATTCACCAGATAAGAAGGTGGTCTCATGAGGGTTCGAGTCAGAGGGTATTGTCGGCTGATGCCCCGGATTCTTATTCAAGATAAGGTGAAGAAGATAGATAGATTGTTCGATAGGTAGATAGGTAGATACGGTATGGTTACAGTCGGTACCAGGCCTCCGCTGGTGGGGCCTGGTCACTGTTGCTGTCGCTGTCACTGGCTTCATTGTTAGTGCGTAATGCTGTTACTGATGTAGATAATACAGTTAGGCCAGCACATCATCCCCACTCGGTATGGGGACATACACAGTAGCATAGAAAGCAAGCAAACAAACAGCTGAATAGAAACAATACAACCCTCAGAGTTGAGATCAAGCATTGACTGCTCTCTCATTCACCAGCCCCTCTACACAGCGGAGGACAGACATATTCTACCTTACATACTTTACCATAGTAACTACTTTGTACTACCAAACTGACTGTAACAAGGCCCATCCGGATATATCCCCTGTCCGTGTCCACCGGGAGGCAAATAATAAGCAGTGTACCGAGTACGTATGTAGTGAATGCACCGCCCCAGCCCGCCAACTACGTACACTACCTGTAGTTATACTCCGTGTATACTCTGTACCTAGTAAGTAATCATCCCCACCGCTCAATCCCCCCAATCCAAACCCAATGGCGGAACCGGATATGTGCCTGGCCAATGAGAGTGGTATTCGGCTGTTTCTTTCTGGGCTGCGTTTTCTGATAGGTAATAAGAGATAGACAGGGGAGAGGGGACAGGAGACAGGGGAGGTGTAGGGGAGGGAGACTAGAGAGAGGCGATACTGTAGACTAGACGCTAAAATACTGGAAGTAGACAGGCAGCCCGACAGGCAACGCCACTTACCAGGTTGATACAGAGACACATAGTACACATCACAGTTAACAGTAAGATATTATGTACCTATTTATGTAAGTAACGTATGCATCTGCTGTCTGACAGTTCACACTTGCCTAAGTACCTAAGTACTACTGCCTACTTACTTACGTAGTACATAGTCAGGAGAAGTTACTCGGTACCTGTCTATTTCCTACCTGCCTACCTGCCTACCTGCCGACTTACCTACTTACCTAGCAAACAAATACTCTCTACTACAGAGTACCGATAAACCAAGTCAAATATGATGTCTATACCAACCACCTATATAATACACTAAACACTCTGCCCAGCTAATTAAAAGTAAAGTGATAGATCAGCCCAGATCAACTCGGCTCCGCTCCCATCCATCCATCCATCCATCCATCTGTCTGTCTATCTGTCTGCCTGCCTATCACATCCCATCCCATCCCATCCCATCACACAACAAATTAGGACTTGTGAACTGTGATAGGCAAGGTTTCTCCATCCATCTATCCAGGGCTAGACCCGTCCGATATCCATCCCTCCTTCTTATAAGTAACCAGGTAAGATCTATTTTTACAATGCTCGGTGGGACAAGGCAGCGGCAGTGGCAGTGACAGACACTGGCAGACAGTGGCACAGAAACCTAAGATTGTCTCAGACTCTCGGTATTCAGCTCATTCTCTTAGTACACTCTCTCATACATACATATCCAGACAGACGACCTATCTACTACCCATCCAGTCTGGATAGGATTGCTGTTCTTAGGAGGCTGGTACGGGACCGTCTACTATATAATCATCCACGAGGTATCTAGATAGCTAACCCGGACAGACATAACCATAGATACTTAGTTTGCCAGCAGACCGACTTACTCTTTAGTTAGTCACAGGTACTAGAAGGTAGTTAGTAACTAACTACAAGTTAACTAGAGCGGGAGAAGTCTACTCCAGACGCCACACTATACCACCACACTAACACGTACACAGTAAGAGGAAGCACTACAACCCTAGTCACCTCCACCCCCATCACCGGATATCCATGTGGTCGCCGTGGTGGAAACGGAAAGTCTGCAGGACCCAATTCTTGATCTCTATTCGTGCCCGCTTAATCGAAATGACAGCGTAGGTCCACCGAGTATATACCAGTGGGACTGAGACTGAGACGGTCAGCAACTGTGCTGTGCTGCGCTGTGCTGTAGCGCAGTATACTACCTTGATAGAGTCTAGATAGGTGGGTGGTGGGGAGTAACACGTAATAGGTAATAGGTAATAGGTAATAGGTAATAGGTCAGGGAACACGACCTGAGGATAACAGGAAGTGGGAAATAGGTAGTAGTAATGGAATGGGTAGAGGGTATATGGAATCTTTCATGCATGTCTTTCTTCTTTCTCTCTCTCTCTCTCTCTTCTCATTTAATCCCCCGGCCATGCATGGAATCAAATCGGGTCCAAGTAAATGCAAAACATCTTCTAACCAAAAGAACACAATATGATGATAATGATCATGGTGATGATGATGGGGTATCTCCGTCTCCACCTTCTCTCTTTCTCTCTCTCTCTCTCTCTCTCTCTCTATACAACCCGACCCATTGGCCTGCCTGCCTGCCTGCCGGCCTATCTGCCGGTCTTCCGTAAATAAATTCGGACGTTCGCCTTGACTCCACCACATTCATACCCCTCGCTCCGACACCCCGAACTCGTTCTTTTTCTCATTTCTGATCGTAAGCGCCATCTCATCTGAGGCATCTGCATCTGCATCTGATACAATGGTCGTTTTCAAGGTTTCGCGTCTCGGCTTCGCCCCGGAAGCTGTTGTTCTGGTTCGAGGGTCGATATAGATCGCCATTTGACCCCCATTTCCAATATACTAGCATGTCATGGCACACGCTGTCGGCCAGGTTGTCTACTTCAGCTGTCGATCATCCACGGATGCTCCAGCACTTCGCTGATCGTCAACCGGTTGTCCACGTCCCGGTCGAGCATCCGCCGGATCAGGTCAATGCAGTCCTCGGAGAAGGGGAGGAAGGGCACGCGGAGGGGGTGGTCGAGGATCTCGTCGACATTGTAGAAGGGGTTTTCCTTGTACACAATAGTATAAAGCAAAATTCCGAGAGCCCAGATGTCCTGCTCTTTGCCTCGGTAGGATTTGCCTTGAAGGACCTCGGGGGCCGCGTAATCTGCCAAAGTCAGCTACGCATTCAAAAAAATGAAACACGAAAGGAATACTCACCAATAGTGCCCACAAAGACGTCGAAAGGTCCGTTCTTGATATAAGCTGCGCTTCCAAAGTCGATCAGCTTGATCCGGCCCTCGCCGTCGAGGATGACGTTCTCGTCCTTGATATCGCGATGCACAACTAGCGCCTTCGTATGTAGATGGTGAATCGCGTCCGCGACTTGCTTGAAGATGTTCCGACACTCCGCTTCGTCCATATTCGCCTTCAATTCAATGTAGTCGAAAAGATCCATTCCCGGCAGCCCGTGTGGCGTCATCTCGATGTAATAGTTGATGTCATCCTCGAAGAACCCCTCCATTTCCACGATGTTGGGGTGTTTCAGACCGTCGCGTCGGAGATAGTCCAGAACGTGGATTTCCAATGGCACAGTCCCGAGACGACGATCTCGAGTCCAGGTATCGACCAGGATTCGCTTCTTCGTGACATACTTGAGCACGACCTTCTTGGTCGGGATCTTCTTCATGCGCGCAAGCTTGACTTCTCCGTAGGCCCCCTGGCCCATCTCCTCCAGAATCACATAGTCCGAGATCGTTCGCTTCTTGGGTGTCTCCTTCGCACCCGCTGGTTTCACTTCAGGCACCGGCTGGACCGGCTTGTCCGTGAGCGGTTCAGATGCCGCTTCATTCAGCTGCTGGCTCAATGTGGATGTCGGTATGTGGGTCTCAACCGACGTCCGCTCCGTCGGGAGAGCATGAGGACTCGACGTCCTTGACGGTAGATTCGACATGGAGACCACGGATGGGCTGTCGGTCTGGGATGGCACAGAAGGGCTGGGGGAAGGGAAACTTGCTGGAGCTGCGGAGTGGATATGTCTCGAGTAGCTCACCCACAGTGCATAGACGAGCTCGGTAACAGCCTCAAACTCTTCGCCGTGGTCGCCTGACGACTCCTCTCGTTGCTTGGGGAAAATCGTGCCGCTTTTGGCAACACGCATCTGAACGTCGACTGCAATCGATGAGCCGTCCCGGTGGGTGGCTGCAAGACCAGATGGCTCCAGGAAGACCGAGGCCACATTGGACTTTCCGTCTCGGAGGATGGATAGAGTGCGTGCTCTGCGGAACCTGGGCTCTGAGATCACAAGCCCATCCACCAAAGGAACCCCCTCCTCTTCAGCCAGCACACTGAGCAGGCTATCAAATCCGGGTATGAGGTCATTAATATGCAGCCCTTCCGGTCGCTCGTGACCAAACAAGGCTGCCGAAAAGACGGAGTTGGAGCTGACAATTTTCAAAGTCGACGATGACAACACCATCATACCAGCGACGTGGGGGAAGCTAGAGATCCGAAGGCACCTCGGGCTCTCGTCCTTGAAGACAACCGATGGTATACAGACACCGGCGGACGTGCGGGTTGCAAAGTACTTGGTTTTGGCGATCTCGCTAAGACCTCTGTCAATCGGTCCCTGGAGGCAGTCTGTAGGAAGATGAGGAAGAAGTTCTGTGATCTGGTCACCCGACCGTGCCGCTCCTTGACCCCAAATCTTTTCGACGTCACCAGTGGCGTCACTGATATGCCACGAGTCGTCACACTGAACAAACGCGACGTTCTCCTGGATCTCCTCCAGCACCCAGATCAAACCTCCCCGCTTCTCCATCACCCAGATGCTGGCAGAGCCCTTTTTACCGTCCCGCTTCTCGATAGGCACGACGTCGCCGCACAGGAGGACGCCCCGTGACTTGGTCGCTGGGTGATTCAGCTGCCGGGTGCTCGATCCGTATCCGTCGTCTGTCTGGGCTCTCCTGGGCGGTCTCGCGCGAGAGGGAGGTTTGCTGAGCAGTTGTGCCGTCACCCCGTTGCCCATCCCCATGGGTCTCTGGTTCCCCGGCTTGGCACGGGTTTTATCTGACGAAGGCTGGAGCCTTGCTGCGGCATCGGTGGTGGGATCCCGGAGCTTCGATTCAATCCACTCTCGGCGGTCCTTCTGTACCACCTCCAGGATACTTAGCTTCCGGAGCTCCGCTTGTGTGACACCAAAGATAAGACATGAGATGTCATTCGCCGCCAGGATGGTCCAGGGCTCATGCGACTCGGTCCTGAACACGGCTTGTGACGCCGGTGCCCACTTGCTGCTGTGCGTGTGTAGGACCGGGACCGGGAAGCCATACCCCAGCGTTGACGAACTGGTTGGTGATAGAGGGTCCGCAGAGGTATAGGGTGCTAGAGTCTCCATCAGCTTGTCCGGGACAGTCACGGAGCCGGAATCAGTGTAAGTACGTTTTTTTATGCTTACGCGCCTGGACGGGGCGTACGGCCTCTCCGCCTTGTAGCGGAAAGGCAGGTCATCCGATACCTGGCCGGGGGACCGCAAGGAGTCTAATGAGCCATGCTCCAGGGTCGTCTCTCTGATCGGGTCCGTAGTAGGCTGTGGCTGTGTAAACGCTCTATCGAAGATGTTTCCAGTGTCCATGTCGGCGGGGCCCGTCATGGGGCCCCGCGACAAGGTGTAGTTGTAGCGGTCATCCCTCCCCGAAAGGCTGGTCTTCGACAGGAAGTCTACCACGCTTTGGGTATCGGCATCGCCACCAAGGCGGGCTTGCGCGCTGGCGAGCCCCGATCCGTTGTTGGTCCACCCAAAGCGGTCGCGCATGAAGTCTATCGATCGCTTCAGGATGTTGTGTCGGCTATTGAGCAGCTCCTCGGACTGTTGCGCAAAGGAAAAGGAATGTAACGATTCGCAGGGGAAGCGGTGCAGATCTTCCAAGGTGCCGACCTCGTCGGTCGAGGGGAGGCGGATGGAGTGGGCTCTGGACGAGGAGGTGGAGCGCGGTGAGGGCGAATGGCTACGTGAGGTGATGGGTGCCAGGGACGAGGCAGACATGTTCGGAAGGGTAAAGACTCGGGATGGTTGTTGACGTATGCGATCTAGACCAGATGGGCCAATTCCATGGTCGTGGTCCAGCAGAGAAGACCTGCAGAAGAGAAATAGAAAGTTCCTTTTAGTTTCTGCCTGCGTGTTTGCGCTAATGCATCCCCAATGCTCGAGCATGCAAGGAGATCTTGTCTATCGGCCACTTACCTCGAGAGGTGGTCGTACCCCGACGAAAGGGTTTCCGCCGAGCATCTCATCGAGTCCTCTGTTTGCTCCGAGAGACGTCTCAAGAAGGGGTCCGGCTCGGGCGACGCTGAAAGGGGTCCCACGGGGGACGACAATGGACTTGGTTCACCTGCGGATCCGAAGGCCATTAGCTTCTGTATGTATGCCTGTGTGCTGTGCCCCTTCCCGACCCCACCCGCTGATATCATATCATCTGCCCTTCGCGTCCATTCACCGTGCACCATGCAGCAATGTGGAATGAAGTGGCTTTCGTCCCGAGGCACTGCCAAGTATGTGGGTAGATAGAGGGTTCGGACGGCCGACGAGAGAGGATGCCAGTCGGACGGACCGCTGCCTCACGAAACTCAATGCTTTTCGCGTTCCCTTTCGCGGGCAGCGGTGTTCTCCGTCCAAAGCCCTGGGAGTGGCCGGCCATCTAAACCTATTGCATACGCGTCCCGGAGCCCGCGACATGCCCGGGCCGGATTGGTACGCTCTGAGAGGAAACACGGCCGTGATGTGATGATCAAGGAGGAGACACAGCAAAGAACGGGAAATTGCACGACTAACCATCGGGATTATGTGAAGTAGAACCCATAGTTTCCCACGCAGAAGCGGGCGTAGAGACCAGCACCGATCGGACCGATTGCAAACAAGCGGTTCAAATCGGCGCAACTCGAGGGACTGCGTCAAAAGGGCTAGGAAGGAGGAACCGCGCCGTTTATTGCTACATGGGATACCAGGACAGAGACCATCCACGGGGGTTGTCTGGTGGTGATCGGCGGTTCTCTCTGGTGCGTGTTTCTGTCGCCCTTGGGGGTTATTGCTTTCTAGGGGAGCCGTCCTGGTCGAATTCGTTTGGTGCCGGGGCAGTGCGTTGGGAGGGGGGGGGGGAGGATTTCACGTGTTACTGCGAGGGATGGGATGGGATGGCCCAAGGCCTCCTTCTTGTCGGGGAGGGGGGAGCAATGCAATTAATGGGAAGGACAGGCTTGCAGGGCCAGGACGAGTTCGAGTTTCGAGTCGGTCAGTCGCGGGCAGCGCAAGGTGGGTAAAAAAGGCTGTCAGCGGGACGGAGGGCGGGCGGGACGAGGAGAAACTGGAGACTGGAGAGGGCAGCTGCCTCGTGAGGTCACAGGTGCTGGACCATACGGTTGCGAAAGAGGCGTGACACGCGGGGATGGAGGAACAGGGTCGCTGGAGAAGGCCGATCTGGTCTGGTTAAGGACCTTCTTGTTGGCCAGGCAAATGGCGAATTAGTCACAGGGAGGCCAATGGTCTGCAGACGCAGCGGGGGGCGAGAGGAGTGTCGCAGGCTCGCCGCGGTGGTGGTGGTGGTGGTAAGTGAGTTGGTTTCCTTAAGGGTAAGGAGGTGAGGCGAGGCGGGCCCGGAGCTTGTTGTGAGCCAGACAGAAAGGAGAGGAGAGGAGGAGGGGGGGAGGGGGGGGAGAGGGGGAGGGAGGGGAGGGAGGGGATGGAAGGATCCAAGGGAAAAGAACTCCAGAGTCCAGAAATGGTCTTTTTCCAGAAGGGAGGGCGGCGTTGGGAAAAAAATTGTAGAAGCGAGGAAAGTAGGTCGCAGTTGCTCCGTCGTAGTGGGTAACTGTGGGGACCGCAGGGAGGTGAAGATGTTGACGATGTCGAAGAGTGAATGACGTCCGTCCGTTTTTTTTTTTTTTTTTCTGGGGCTTGGGGCTGGCTTGGGCTTGGGCTTGGGCTTGGGTTTAGGCTTGGGCGTTGGCCGTTGGTGGTGGCAGCACGAAACTAACTCACTAATTCTAATGGTCTACTGCTAGTCAGTCAAGAAGGAAGAAGAAAGCCGCGGGGTTTCAGGTTCCCCTTTCTTCTCCTTTATGAGGGGATTACGCATTTTCTACGGAGTAGATAGATAGTAGGAACTCAGAACTAAGAAGTCAATATAAAGGCACGAGGGACGGACTGTCAGCCTGTCAGAGACAGACTCAGGCAAGACAAGATCGCATCTGGAGAGCACGGAGTGACGGATCAGAGAGGCACAGACAGGGTCAATCAATTTACAATTTACAATTTACACCAGGGCCGGTGGTACGGCACGGTCGGGGAGAATTAATTATTCTTCTTACTACGGAGCTGCTATAGCACTTTCTCCGGACTATTGACTACGGGACCCATTCAGGTTTAATAATAAATCATTGAACGGTTGAGCCATTGTGCCATTCATCATCCATTCCTTCTTCCCATACTCACTCAACAAGATAGCTACTACATGGAACCACCCCGACCATCCGGTGGTGGTGATGTAATTCCCGCTGCGACACGGACGAAACCGACCGACTCCCACTGACCCTTGGGCCTGCGAGCCAAGTTCCTAAGGGGGAGGCTTCCTTTCTCGTTCTAGAGAGATGGATATCAGATGGTTCGATCCCTTCGTTCCTCGGGACTAATTACTTAGTTCTTGGTGGACTTGCAGTCGGGCCCTAAGTACTGTCTCCTCCCCTCCTCTCCCCTTCCCCAGTCCCTCTCATTAATCCCCAATTATCAGATACATGGATGAAAGGCTCCCTCGTTTAGCTTGGCGGCCTAACTCGATCAGCCCCGGTGGTGGTGGTGGTGTAGATCCGCACCGTCGTAAGCAGCCACCCCCCAAGGGAAAAGCATCCAGACCACACCAACCCGACGATCGTCCACGTCTGCTGGCTGGCCTTTCAACCGGGCCGATCCAGACCAATTGCCATCCAGACCGCGTAGACTAGATGGCCACATTCTGCCCACCACCACCTACTGACTTGCCTACATTAGACAGGCCATGCCTGGCATCCGTAGTATCTATGTATCGATGTACTGTGTAATCGGACACATCCCTGTGGAGATGGTAGCTGACTTACGCAACTCAACTCCGCCAGGCACGGAGATTTCCCTGTTGCCTACACCAGCACTACCTATCTAGCTTCAGGATTCTTTCGCCCTCCGTCTGCAATTCCGGTCGGTTTCACTAGATCTCCGTCCGTCTATCCATCATAGGCATCAAGTGGCAAATATCCTATCCGGAGTCCCGCGGGGAAACAGACACACGGGGCGCTTGGATCATCCTGTCCGGATAATACATTGGCTGCATAGTCCGTTCTGCCGTCATGCCATCGTGGCAGCCAGGAACGTCAGGGAAAGAGAAAGAAAAAAAAAAAAAAGAAAGAAAGAAAAAGAGTGGCAGCCTCTAGCTAGATAATTGCCGTGGTGTAAACATGCGGGTATATCGGGTTTATGCGATATATGAGAGAAAAACAAAAAGTGCCCCGGGCTAAAGTCTAGAAAGAGAAAGAAACAAATCTACTCGCGAGGTTTGGGCCCCCGAAGACTCCTCAGCGCCATCCCGTCGGGCTCAGCGCCGAACCTCCCGTGCTCTTCGTCGCCGTTGTTGAACAGCGCCCCCGGTTTGGCGCGCATCTCTCCATGTCGAGTCTGCTCGGGCGGCACCGACGCCGGGCTCACGAAGCTCGAGATATGACGACCGCCCCCGAGCATCCAGGAAAACTCGGATTCCGCCAGAGACGGACGGGCTGCGTGTCGGAGGGGCATGGATGCAGGCATTGGGGCGCTGCTGGATGCAATGGACGGTTTCCGCTCGCTCGCGATGGACGATCCGGATGATGTCGCAGACACGCTGACCTTGCCAGTGGCTGTTGAGGCGCTATCCGCCTTTTCAGCCTCTGTCTCGGAATGCCCGTTCGGAGATTTCGACTGTTCGGAAAGTGATTCCTGATCCCCGTTTTGGGGCTCGTTTAAGGGCTGTTTCACCGAGCCTGGGGGGATAGAGGGGTCCTCGAGGCAGCTCTGAACCGACTGGACTTGAGTAAGTGCCTGCTTCAGAGCGTCGGTGGTTTTCTTATCAATGCTCTCCGCTCTCATCATGTGCGAGCGGATATCATTCAACGCATGGCTGAGATTCTTCGCCAGCTTTCTATTCCGCTCCTCTAGCTGTTCGATCTTCGCCTTCCACTGGCTGGCAGCATCGGATCCGTGATCCCACGGCATGCCCGTAGAGCGCGGATAGTGTTCCGACTGGATGGATTGCATGTTCCTCTTTGCTTCGCTTACTGCCCCGCGGACAGCTTTCGCTACACCCCAGGTCTCTGTTCGGCGCTGGATGCCCTCCGAGACGTCCTGGAAGAGCGTCTCGAGGCTCTTGGGGCTGTTCCGTGCGGGGGATCTGGAAGGCGAACTCGACTCGCTGAGATCGCGCGAGACGCTGCGCAGGCGGAATTTCTTCGAGGGTTTCTGATTGGCGGCCTTGGTGACATCCGGTGGTCTTCCCGAGTACTTCGAGATGATAAAGATGCCTCTGTCAGGGGTAGGGTTTTGCTCGAGGTACATTCCATCTTGCACGAAACTCAGCGCCGCATGAGGGTGCGGGGGCGGGTAGCGAAGCAGCATGCTCAAAGCTCCTGAGGAGTCGGCACTCAGTACTACGTCCAGTCAGCGTCATGGCCATCAGAAACATATGGAAAATCGGTTGCGGCAAGACTCACATTGCCAGCGAATCCGTAGCAGCATTGCAACACAGGTAAAGTCTATCAACTCTGGACGTAGCCCTTCTGCGAAGAGGCGATCCCAAATGACAAGAACTTCTTGGAACGAGAATTCCCGCCCGAACAGGAGACGCATCCAGCGGCTTCTCATTGTGTCAGTATGGCAGCTGACGATCCTGGAAAAGCTGCACTCACGTGAGAAAAATCTGGGGTAGAATATCTATCGCCTGCAAATGGTCTGCTAGCTCTACATCCGCAGTCACCAGGAGTTCGTTGTGGAGACGCTCGCATTGATGAACGATCGGTATCACGTCCGCCTGCCCGTTCTCCGACCGGTGTCTATTGTGCTCATAATACATCCGAACCGTCTGCATGACCGAGCAAAACAAGGCGAACGAGTCATGCTCCACGTAGTTGGCATCAAGCAGCTGGCGCATCGCAGCATCATCTGCTTCTTGAGCGGTAGGCTCCTGTAGGGAGGTCGGTTCGATAGCGTCTCTATCAACCGCCCAAAGCAGCGGCGCCAGAATCTCATGCATTCCCTGGCGGTAGCCCAGGTCCGGGTTGAGCTTCGAGTAGATGAACAGTATATCGATCATTTTGGCCTTGGTTGTCGGTTCGCGGAAGAAGAAGTTCTCCTGCAAGCACCGGTCGACATCCTGGGAGATATCTGCCCTCGTCTGTTCGTCATCGCGCAACGTTTGCCAGGGAGACTTGAACTCATCAGAACACCACCATCTTGAATCTCCACCAACCTTCCCGGATATGACGTACCTCTTCATCGTCCGCCAGCGGATCCACGGTCGACTGCAGGTCATCCGGATGTTCGATGTATTTCAAGAAATGGGCCTTCAGTGCGACGTAGGCGCTGCGGGAATCGGTGATCTTCTGCGGCCATTGCGCGCGGGCGAGATCATCGAACAGTAGAAATGCCTACGCTCAGTAAGCACGATGACCAGACAGTAACGGCCTCAAGCGCATGCCTTCCAGCAGACGGATCGCAACCCCTCATCGCACAGTTTATCTCCCTGTTCCGACCGCAGGGTTGTCCGGAAGTCGGCGGTGGTGTCGTGGTCGCGAAAGAGGGCATCCCATCGTTGCCTGGAGAACGGGGTTAGTTGTGGACGACGCGCGGCAGCGGAAACCCCACGGACGAGCATACCTTGTCTCCTCAATGCCCCTCATTTCACCATGTAGCGGCTTGCCGGATGAAGTGCCTTGGAGGTGACTAGTAGTGGTGAGAGCCGAGGGGAGCAGACTGCGGCGAACCGGCGAGTGACCAGGTGCCGCCCGCGATTTAAGTACTAGCGGCGATCGTCCGTGGAGGGTCCGCCGGGCGCCTCGGTTTTTCCTTGGTTCAGCATCACTCCCGCCTTAACCCCTTCTCTTATCGATGCTGGGTATAGTCTAAGGGCCTACTCGCGGGGACTAGCTGGGGCTGGCGACTCTCATTCTCCTGGAATATTCAGAACACGGCTATATATGACGTATCGAGGCTGAAGTACCGCGCTCCGCCTTTCCTTCCTCTACCGTGACGTGGGGGTTCGATTAGATGCGATCCCGCTAATAACCCAACCGCTTATGAGCTCTTCAACACGCCGGGGATGTCTGCAGACCTGTTCGCTGAGTTCGGAACGGGGTCTACCTCTGCTCGACCCCAGAGAGGTTCTCGCCAGCAACACGGCGGATACCAGTCACCGTCATTGATACCCGATCTGGACCCATTTGAAGATGCCTTTTCCGCTCGTTCTCCGCACGGTCCAAACAATGTTGCCACTCAGCCATCCCAGGCCGGGACAGGCTGGGGTCAGTCGGCTTTTGAACAGTCGAGTAGCTCGGCATGGCCCCAATATGAGAACAGCAATGACGTGCTATTCGATGCCACCGTTGACGTCCCGGAGGATGGAAGCGATGACTGGGGTGAATTCGAGACTGCGGAGATACCAACTGTTCAAAAGTCATCCAACGTTCCGCCGAACTCTCACGGGGCGCGAAAGAAACACAATGTCGCGTCTCCGGCTCCTCCAAAGCGCTCTACAGTGGAGAGGTCCCCTGTCAACCTGATGGATATGTTATCGCTTGACGACAAAGTGTCGACGCCGAAGAGCAAGCCCACTGCAGCACCGGCGCAGAAGAGTTCCAAGCCACAACGCAAAGTCGCGGCAGTTGTCGCAACGCCTTCTCCCATGCCGGACGATTCATTCGAGGAATGGGGCGACTTTGTGGACGGGCCACTTATAGAGTCTAGTCGGACAAATGCCCCAGTGGCTGCTAAGTCTACGGCTCCAACGACACAACGGCCTCGACAAACCCAAAGAAGAAGCCCCTCTGAGAATACGATCGCCGCTGCACAGTCAAGCATATTCCAAACAGCCAGCCCCCCTACAACAGCAGACCAAGTCCGCCCTACGAATATACCCCCGCCCTCTGTATTGCTTGAGCTATTTCCCCACCTCCTGGATGAACTCCGACAAGAGGCCACCAAGGCAAGGAAGGACATGCAGCAAAAGGACCAGCTCGAAGCCACTGCAAATCTCACCATATGCATCTTGAAGGCGGCAGCACGGGTTGTTGCCGGCCGTACGCTGCGGTGGAAACGGGATTCCATCCTAAGTCAGAGCATGAGGATTGGCCCAGCGCGTGCCGGGAAATCGGGAGGCATGAAGCTCAATTCGGTAAACAAAAATGAGGATATCAAGGAGCAGCAGGAGGCCGTTGACGTGCTCACCATGTGGCGCGACCGGACCGCGCTGTTCAATTCCATCATCCAGGCCACCGGAAGACGCGCAATCCAAGTCATACCCGAGAATACCCGTGTAATGACCCTCACGGCTACCCAAGGGGCCCAGAAAGCATCTCATGCTTGTGCTCTCTGCGGCCTGAAGAGGGATGAAAGGTTACCGAAGATCGATGATAACGTGGAAGACAGCTTCGGAGAATGGTGGACGGACCACTGGGGTCATACCGACTGCAGACAGTTCTGGGAGAAGAACAAGAGCCTCCTCGGTCAAAGATAGACACGTCTCCGTGTGAGCAAGCCAAAGGGGAAATAATCACGTCCGTTGAAATGTCAGCTGACGCGACTGATCACATCAGAGGCAGAAGCGGGGCCACGCAGGATGGATGAAACATAACCCCTGGCCATATTGCATGGCACTTGCCCATGATTGAGTACCATTTGCAGCGGAAGGGTGACATGACTAAAAGTGCATATCTACACCATTCGGCGACTTCGTGTTGGGGGGGGGGTACTCGACCCTCTTTCACCCATGGGCCACTACTGTAAAGATCAGTGCCATGGGGTGTTTTGAACATATTTTAGCGATAGAGCTTTGAACAGGAATCCAACCGTGGATTCAGACTTAGTGCTGTCACCGAATAGTGAGATGTCTGGATAGTTCTAAACCTCAAACCCAGTATCAGCACGGCTTCGACTTCATCTGCCGGTAGCCTGGTCAGGCTAAAAGCCTGCCTATGTGTCAATGGCAGATGGCATGAGTCATAGTGTCGTTGCACAGGTCACATTTGCTCGAGATCTTTCTTAGACGGGTTGGGAGCGAGGCTATCTGCGGAGTACATACTGCTACTATCCGAGCTCTGCACAGGATGTGTTTACTTGGCGCGGGTCAGCGATAACAGTGATAAGAGCGATCGATCATGATGAGCAGGAGGGCTACACGCCCCAGACAGAGGCAGGCAGGAGGGACTATTATCAGCCTCCGGTCTAGCCCGGGCAGAGGGCAGGTGAAAGAAAAGGGAATAAATTCGCGGGCGTCATGGGGCCTGGCAGCAGCCCCCTAAAGGCTAAACCGGGTCCGATGCGGGGGTTTCCAGCTCGGGAGCAGCTGCCCGATGATTCCTTACCACTACCGTAGTACTGTGAGTACTGCTAGTACTGTACTGCGTACGGAATGATGTCTGACGACTGAACTCACCCAGCCTGGCCTTGTCCGGTTGTACCACTCTGTCTCGCTGTCTCTCCTTCACTCACTCACTCTCGCTCTCCTCCCGGCCCGTGGTCACTTGCCTTGCTCATCATTCCCCCCGCTGCTGCCAGACTCCTTCCCTCCTCTTCTCCTCATTGTCTCTCCCCTTCGTGCTGTTATCCTCCCTGAAGCATCCCCGACCGAGCTGTCGCCTTCTCATTTGTCCCACACTTGCATCTCCGCCTATTCCCGACAAGTCGAGCCGCAGCTGCTTATCACAACCCCCCCCCCCCCCCTCCCCCGAATCTCCAATCTCCCCTCCCAGGCCGAGATCAACTTCCACCTCCTTCGTACTGCGAAGACAATCGGAGCATATCCTAGTATCTCAAAGGCTGGGTATCGGGAAACTAACAGCCCTCTCAAATAAATCCACGACCATCATCTCCCGCAAGATAACGGTCGTCGCAGGACGAACTTTCGATCAAGACAAGCCCCTCTCGCAAGGGGATCGAGAACACCGCCGGAGATCCAACACGCTCATCATATCTTCTGTTCTAACACCCTCCCCCTCTCTCTAGTCTAGTGGGTTCCTCGTTGCCTGCGCACCTTTGGCCGGCGGGGTTCTCGACCTTCACATTCCAGGCGTCATCAGGTGGCTGTGGGAAGGCAAGCACGGACAAGGCACAATGGGCCTGGTATACAACGTCTATCTTACCTCCACCAAGATTTTTGGGTGCAAACAATGCAAGACCCATCTTGCAGACTATGACGACATCATAAGCCGGGTGAGTGGTGTGCTTATCGTTCCCGCGTTGGATCATCTAGATACTAGCAGCCGCTGACCGGGAGCCTTCCTTGCCTCCGTACAGAATTTCCGGGGCCAGCATGGCAAAGCATACCTCTTCAACAACGTCGTCAACATCACCCAGTCCGAGGCCGTGGAGCGTAGTATGACCACGGGGAGGCATATTGTTCGAGACATCCACTGCAGGCAGTGCAAGGAGACGGTGGGCTGGAAATACGATAAAGCCTACGAGACCAGCGAGAAATACAAGGAGGGCAAGTTCATCCTGGAAGAAGAGCTGCTGTGCGTGGTGTGCTGAAGCGCTCGTTCCCTGACACACGAGGACCTCCGGGGATACCGCTACCCCATTCCCGGAGCAAAGGTTTACGGGCTAAACCAGCGAAAAGGTTGATCCTTACAGCAAGCGTGTGCTTTCCTTTTCATCTTTTCTGTTACAATATTCTGGCGCAACGTGCATGGCGTTCAGTGGAGCACCGCTTGTTTTCGGTCGACTATGCCCACCCAAGGAGTTCACCCCAGATCCGGCGCAACCTGGACTTGATTTTGATTGATGCATAGCGGAAGCCAAGGTTTCCAGAACTTCTTCTTGAGTGATTTTTGATTATTCTTATTTCTGCTATAGTGTATCTTAGAATGACGGTACTACTGCTGGTAATTGGTAGCTTTCTCTGGTCGGAGGCACAATCAAATTAGGTCAGAAATAACTTCAGACATGCTGTATGAAATTTGGGCACCTGCAAACATTGGAAGATTCATCAGATCATCATGGAGCTTTGGTGAATGGCCCGGGGAGCACTGACATACACAGCGTACATACTAGTACCAGGCCGACACATACATATATAAATGAACAACCCGCACCCCAGCTAGCAGTGATCGACAACACCACCAAATTATTATCACCTCCAAACCCTCCCTCTCCCTCACCTACCCACCACACCAGTTTCTCTACCTGATAAAATAACTCCTCAAAAACCCAATATCATACCCCAACCCTTCTCCAATAGTACTACGACTACATTACCCCATACTCCCCCTCCCACCATAGACATGACCGCGGTTCACTGCCCCCTCCTCCCCCCCTCCGTCCCCATCTCGGAGACCCACCAGCCAACCCAACCCTCCCATAGAAATCCAAATAATAGAGGGGCAGCCAGCCAGCCAGCCGCCGTTTATCGGACCGGACGGCACCATACCATGACAACGGGGGAGGGAAATCTCTTCACCAAATACTATACCAACATCCAACAGTCTCAGAATATTCTCCCCTGAGTAAATCGATTATCAATTAATCACTTATTGTTTGTGTTGGAAAAGATTGATTGGTACCGGCATCATGGCAGCAACGGAACAGAAGGAGACTATGCGCGCCGTCGTCTTCAAGGGCCCTTATAAGGTCGCCGTGGAGGAACGCCCCGTGCCCCGCGTGATCGATGCGGGGGATGTTGTTCTTAAGGTTGGGTTTACGGCGCTTTGTGGCAGGTAGGGGGGGTTTTTTTTCAGTCTTTTCAGTCTTTTCAGTCTTTTCGTTTCTTTTGTTTTGTTGGTGAGGGAGGGGTGTATGGTTGGTTGGGTTGAGCTGGAATGGGTTCTGCGCCAAAAGAGCAGGGGTGCAGGGGGAGATGCTTATTGTTTTGGCTATAGATGGTATATATGGATATGAGTTAACTTATATATGAACAGTGACTTGCATGTGTACCGTGGGATAGAGCCCGCCGGTACGGGCTTCGTGATGGGCCACGAGGTCACCGGAACGGTGGTTGAGGCCGGCGAGGCCGTGAAGTCGGTTCAGAAGGGGGATGTGGTTGTTAGTGCCTTTACGACGTCTTGGTAGGTTTTGTTTTTTGTTTTATTTATTTCCCCTTGGGGGGAATGCTGTGTTGGTTACTACTGGGATCTGGGCTAATTCTTCTACAGCGGCAAGTGCTTCTACTGCACGCAGGGGTATTCATCGCGGTGCGAACAGAACATGCTACTGGGATGCGACCATCTGGATGGCGCGCAGGCCGAATATGTATGTTTCATCGGACCCTCCCATCCATCTGACGCTGCGTGGGGAGCTAATACGCATGGCGCAGATCAGAATCCCCAACGCGGATGGAACGGTGGTGAAAGCGCCTGAGGGCGTCGATGAGAAATACCTCGTCCTCATGGCCGACATCTTCCCGACGGGGTACTTCGCGGCGCGCAACGCGTTCAAGAACTCCACCGCGGAGCAGATCGCGCAGCAGACGGTCGTTATTATCGGCTGCGGCCCAGTCGGGCTCTGTGCGCTGATCAATGCGCTGGAGTACAAGCCCAAGCACGTCCTGGCGGTGGACTCGGTTCCCTCGCGGCTGGAACTGGCCCGGACTCTCGGCGCGGAGCCTTGGAACTTCATGACCGACCGGGACGGCCTGGATAGGCGTGTCAAGGAGCTGACGGAGGGTCGCGGCGCCGATGCCGTCATTGAGGTGGTGGGGTTGAGTCCCGCGCTGAAGACCGGGTTTGAGCTGCTGCGGCCGTGGGGGACCATTAGCAGTGTGGGTGTGCACAATGGCGAGGTAAGTGGTCGCGGTCTCTTGGGGTTTGTTTGTTGTTGACTGACCGACTGACTGGGTTATCGCAGATCCCGTGGGATGGAAACGATGCCTATGGAAAGAACCTCACGGTCCAGATGGGCCGGTGCCCTGTGCGGTCCGTTTCGGAGCAGGCGTTGGAGGTTCTGAAGAAGAACCAACATCTTCTTGGGTATGTAATCGAGTCTCTTCTTTCTGTTTTGAGGTCTGGTGGTGTCTGTCAGAGCTAATCGGAGGTGAATGTAGGTTCATGGCCGACAAGATCATGCCCCTTTCGCAGGCGGTTGAGGCGTATGAGATCTTCAATGCGATGAAGGTGCAGAAGGTGATCTTTGAGGCGGACAAATAGGCGCAGACGGACAAGTTCACGAGAACCTAACGAGTAGAGCATGCTTGAAGCCCGAGATGCATTCCAGGTAAAAATACCATGGTGGTGGTGGTGGTCCTGATGGTGGTAATGCGCAATACCTGCTGGGAGTCTTCTAGAACAATACAACATGATGAACAATCAATCCAGCATCGATAGAAGTAAGATTATAGAATTGCTAGATAGACACATAGCCGTGGAGAATAGAGTAGAGCGGAGTGGGAGAAGAGAGAGAGAGAGAGAGAGAGAGAGAGAGAGAGAGAGAGATGAGGCGAGGAAATGAGCTGGTCTCTTCCCGCCCCAAACCAGCGAGAGAAAACCGAAAAACGAAACTAAGCCCGAACGCCTCCTCAGCTGCCCAGGCGGTCTTCTTCCTCTTCCCTCTTCTTCCTCTTCCTCCTCTTCTTCCCTCTTCCACCTTTTCTCTTCTTCCTCGCTTCCCACCACCACTTCCTTCTCCTCCTCATCCCATCCTCCCCTCCGCACTTCCTCTGCTTCCTCTTCCATTCCTCCTCCTCTCCTCCTCCTTTTCTCCTCCCCTCTTCCTCTCCGCCCCTCCCCCCTCTCCCTTCTTCTTCGACGTCTCTCGTCCTCCCATTTCCTGAATCCTCCACCTTTCCCCCCGCCCGCCGAAAACCCCTCTGAATCGCCCTTCTCCCCCTCCCCTCCCCCTCCCTTCTCCATCCGCCCACTCGATCCTGCTCCCCTCTCCGGATTCTGCAGACTTCCCCCCCATAACGATTCTTCCCGCTTAACGACTCTTTAGGTAAGAAACCATATTTTCTCTCCCCCCCCCCCCCCAATCCGTCTTTGCGCGCAACGACCGCCTTGCCCAGCATCCTTTGTGTCACATCCTCGCGAAAATACTCGGGCCTCACTCCCTCAACCAGCACTAACCAGTCAGAAGTCCCGTCACGAGAAAACCTCCCCCAGTCTTTTCCATCTCCCGAACTCCCTCCATTCCTCGCATTTCCGACATAATGGACGCTTCCGAGTTGCACGACGCCAACATGGTCGATGAGACCGGCTCTGACACCCTCAACATGATGGATGATGTCGACATCGAGACGACGCCCAAGACCGAAGAGGAGTACGCCCAGTCGATCCTGACTCTCCGCGCCATCGTTTCTTCCAAGGAGGCCGGCATCATCATCGGCAAGGCTGGCAAGAACGTCGCCGATCTGCGTGATGAGACTGGTGTCAAGGCCGGTGTCAGCAAGGTCGTCCCCGGTGTTCACGATCGCGTTCTGACCGTGACCGGTGCTCTGAACGGTACCGCCCGCGCCTACGCTCTGGTGGCCAAGGGCCTGCTCGAGGGCGCCCCGCAGATGGGTATGGGTGGCGTTGTGTCCAACAATGGAACCCACCGTAAGTAGATGAAGCTCGTGTGCTTGCTTTTATCCGGCTAACATTCGCTAGCCGTGCGACTTTTGATCTCTCACAACCAGATGGGCACCATCATCGGACGCCAAGGCCTGAAGATCAAGCACATCCAGGACGCGTCGGGCGTACGCATGGTCGCGCAGAAGGAAATGCTCCCCCAGTCGACCGAGCGGATCGTCGAAGTGCAAGGAACCCCCGAGGGAATCGAGAAGGCCGTCTGGGAGATCGGAAAGTGCCTCATCGACGACTGGCAACGCGGCACCGGCACCATCCTGTACAACCCCGCCGTCCGCGCCTCCGTCGGTACCAGCACCAGCCCCGTCCAGCAGAACGTCGGCAATGGCTACAACAGCCGCCCCTACAACCGCACCGGCAATGGTGCTGACTTCAGCGACCAGTCCGGCGGCGGTGGTTACGGCAGACGGTCCAACCCCGACACCAGCAACCGTGGCTACCCGCTCGTCACCGAGGACGGCGAGGAGATCCAGACACAGAACATCAGCATCCCGGCGGACATGGTCGGATGCATCATCGGCCGCGGTGGAACCAAGATCACCGAGATCCGCAGGAGCTCTGGAGCTCGGATCTCCATCGCCAAGGCCCCCCACGACGAGACGGGCGAGCGCATGTTCACCATCATGGGCAGCGCTGGGGCCAACGAGAAGGCTCTGTACCTTCTGTACGAGAACCTCGAGGCCGAGAAGACCCGCCGCAGTCAGCTCCCTCAGGAGTAAAGGGCTCATCACCCACTGACCCCCCAGCACAAGCTCGCGCCCCTTCTACCCCTCGACACTCGATGCGCTCTTCTCCCGGAAAATACCGTCGCGCGATGGCCACTTCGCTTGTGCTAATCACATTTTGATTCTTGATGCTGTCTTTTCTCATACTATCCTCTTTTCTGTTACTCTATAATTCCTCGTATGTGCGGCTTCTTTGGCTTCGCAAGAAGCAAGAAGCAAGAGTTTGCCGAGGCGGACCATGCATGCCTGTTAGATACCAGTACTATGTGATCTTCACTGATCGCCTTGAAATGAATCCGAACTCGGAAGGACAACCGACATCATGCCCTCCTCTTCTTCCTTTTTTCCCCTGGACATGCGCAGGTCTTTTCTCACCGTCCGTTCCGTTCCGTATCATGCCTAGTCTGCCATTCCGTCTGCTTTTCTTCAAAAGTTGCTCTTCTCTTATTCTTCCTCCCCTCCTCCCTCGCATCATCTTTTCCTTCCCTCCTTCCTTCCTCCCTCTATCCCACCGTACGTCCGTGTCCTTGATCATTCCTTCCTTTCTTCCGTCCTCTTTTCTCCCCTTCCTTCCCCCTTCGAGCAACTATTCTCAATACCCGTGACTGTGACTGTGACTGTGACTATGACTATGACACGAAACAAACATCTACTCAGTGGGTCGGTCCTATTCTGCTGTTTCTGTTTCACTATCCTATCCTATCTTCCATGATCGGTCGGTCGGTCGGTCCCTCATCATCTCCGGGCTTGTTTTCATCTTTCCTCGACGAATCAAACAAATGTATATCAGGGACCGCGAAACGATTAATCAAACATGAAAAAAAAAACACTCACTCCTCTGATGATACCTATGATGCTTATGCTTATGCTTATGCTTATACTGAGAATTATGCTGATGCATGCATCTTGGCATGTAATTATGGCCAGAGAGGGAATTTGATGGGGATCAGTCAACAGAGGTACTTAATTGTTCAGTGTAGTTAGTCCTTTCTATACTCTACCATAGCTTGTTGAGTGATTCGAGTAGAAGGAGAGTCAGTGGATGTTAACAGTGAGTAAGTAGTAAGTATATATAGTATCTACTGAGGTAGTTACTACCTAGTTATAAGACAGATGACTATTTACTTTTTTTTTTTTTTTCTATATTGTACTCCGTACCTACTATACACCCACATACATACATACATACATGTGCATAATTAGTACTTACTACTACTACTAGGTACTAAGTAACTAGGTAGTAGGTGACGAAAAGACACCTAGGTAGAATTCTAGGTACCTATGTACGTAGGTACGTCATATCAGCACTTACCACCCACCCACCCACTGACTCACTCACTCACTCACTAATCAGTAACTAAGTAGGTAGATAGGTGCTAAGAGCCTAAGACAGGTCTTAACCCCCCCCCCCCCCCCCCCCCTTTCCCGAGTCCCGCTATAACTATAGATAGATAGGTATCTACGGTAGTAGCTGGAACTATAGGAAAATGCCAACGCTATTTATTGCGTATTATTTAATAAATACAAATACTGTGTGTGATATGATTATGGGCCAGGGAGGTGGTGGGAAGACTGTTGACTGAATGGAGAGAGGACTTACCTAGTACCTCCTTCCTTCCTTCCTTCCTTCCTGCTGTTTTCAGTTGTGGGGGGGGGGGAGGGGCAGTGAAGAAGTGTTCAGGAGTTACTAATTACTGTCTATAGTTAGTTAGGCTACATTAGTACTAAGTGAGTGAGTGGATGCTGATTCACCAATCCAGGAAGGAAGTCAGCTAGCCCTACTTAATCGTGTACGTAGTATGCATCTAATAACTAGGTTGGACCGTTGGTTTATGTTATTTCTCACCAACAAAATACAAGAAAACAAAAAGAGTGAGAAAGAGAAAAAAGGTTCATGTCCTAATAGCACAAGAAATAGCCGTCGTTGCAAAAAATCATAAATAGATAGTTCATAAATAAATCGTATGAAGGAATAGGTATGTAGGTCTGTAGGTAAGTATGTAGGTACCTAAGTAATTTAAAAAAAAAAAAAGAAAAAGACAGAAAGAAAAGAATCCAATATCCCTCCCTCCCTCCCTCCAGCCACTGAAAAGAAACAAAAACACAGGACCAGCATGCAGCGCCGGCCACTCAGACGCTCCGACCCAGCATTTAATATAGAACATGTCGTCACCTCGAGACGAGACGGAGTATTTGTACACGAATAATAAAAAGACAAGATAAAGTCAAGGAAATAAAGTTTCAAGGAAAGTGAGAAAGAGATGGTGTGATGACGGTGGTGAAGACGAAGGTCGGACAGAATAGACAGGTAATAAGATAAGGTGAGACAGGAGGATAGACAGACAGGTAAGGTAAGATAAGGTAAATAGGTAGTAGGTATATATCATATACCATTTAGTCAGATTCTCCCAGCTGATGTATGCATGCATGCTCGCATTGGTTTGATAATCATGACGGTAGTGCGCAGGGGTAGGTAACCGACCTCCCTTGTTCTTTTTGAAATCAACACTGGACGAGAAAGGACGCGCGCGGATGGAAAAGGCAGGCAGTAAAAGCACAAAGGTCCATGAACAGTCGCTCAAACAGAATCGGGGAAGTTCGTACAATGCATGTGTGTCCAAGGATGCATGCGTGTGGTTGCAAGTAGTCAGTCAATCAATCAATCAGTCAGTCAGTCAGTCAGTCAGGTCTTGAATCGGAAGTCCTCGTTAGGGTTGATAATGCAAGTGGAAAGCACTTTCGCACACCTAGACATGATGCGCCTGGCAGGCCGCGGGAAAGCAATGTAAACAGAGTGAACGCCGGCTGAACTGAAATCAAATACCAAGATTGAGTCGCTGCGTTATATGGTGGGGCGTAAACGACATGGAACTTCAAAAACAGACGGAAACGGTTAATCAATACGGTCATTGAACGAGTTGACAGCCTCGTCGGAGACAGCCATCGGTCGATGCCGGAGGCCAAATCTCCGCGTGCCCAGGCTGTTCGCTCTCAGACGGGTTTGCTGCGCGATCGGCGTGTAGCTCGCAGCCAGCCTTTTGGACGGGGCGATGATCCGGGTCTGCGAAGGCTCCTGGGGAGGATCATCCTCGATTGGCCCGTCCGCCGCGAGAGCAGCAGAGCCAATCCCCGAGGGGATCCCGTATCGACGGGAACCTGCCTGGATGTTCGAGCGGGAGGTTGCGGGAGGGTAGCTAGGAGTCAACATACTCCGGCGCAGCGGGATGGCGGACTGCGAAAGCGTCGGGGTACGAGGCTGAGGCAATTGCGAGGGTTGGACGGGAGTTGAGTATCTGGGACTTCGATCCGGGGTCGGCTCGGGGATCGACTGCGATGCCGCATATCCATGCGAGATTCGTTGCCGGGGCGAACGGAATGTTGCGACTGGGTGGGCGGAGTCCGTCATGCTTCGTGATATGGATCGGGTTTGCGGGCTCTGGTCGGGGAGGGCATCGTCATCGGTGTGCACCCTCTTGGCTCGTAACGATGTAGAGAGCCGACTCAGCCGGCTTGGAGGCATCGCGGGCCCGGGTGACTGCGTCAGTTGGGCGTCTGACACCATGTCATTGGTCGTGGTGGTGTTTGTGTCTAGGGCAGGGTTGTTCGCGAAACTGGCCCGACGTGCCTCTAGACGACTGGTAATACGCTTGGTGCTCTGCCGCCGGGACAGGCTCTCCGGTTCTTGAATCGTGCTGCGCCGATATGACAACGTCGGGGTGATGGTGTCTTCATCGTCGCCATTGATTTGCGGCTCCTCTACTGGGGCGTCCGGCACTGCAAGCTGCTGTTGCCTACAAAGCTGCTGCTCGTCCGACAAGGCCAGGCACAGCTCAGTTAGGCTGCGACAGACGCTGTCGGCTTTTCTTCTAGCTTGTCTGTCGGAGGGAGTATAACCATTTACAATGGAAACGCCTCCAGACGGGGCCTTGCTGGCTCCCAAGAGGCCTGACAGCGCCAGAGCATCTGTGACTGTGACTTCCAGAGCCGCGTAGACTTCATTACTCAAAATATCTTTTGCTTTGCCCAACGCCGATTGCAAAAGCGGATGAACGGGGCTAGGAGTCGCACTAGGATCGGGCTCACCCGACTGGATGCTTGTGTTGCGACCGCGTTTGGGCGAGGACGACACTGTAGTCACCGTAGTTGTCGCTGTTCGGGGCCGTTCTCCAGACGCGGAGGATATCGCCTCCTGGGATGATGGCGGGAGCTTCCCGGTCAGTTCCAGCTTCTTGATTCGGGATTTGAGGTCCTCCAGCTCATCCCATACGGTGGAAGGTGCCGTTGTCGACAAGGTGGACTCTGTGCCATCCTGACGAGATCTATCGGACTCCAACCGGGCGCGTTCCGTAATCTCCGAGCTGGATGGCTGCCGGCTGCTTCGGATGGTGGAGAGCGCGGAGTGCCGATAAGAGCGCGATTCATGCAAGGAGCCCCGTCGCTCGAGATGGGATTCCGGGCTGTAGGGCGACGGCTCCGGGCTGGTGCGACCCAATCGGCTTCGGGGTAGGCCAATCGTGGACCGCGAGCCAGAGGCATACGCAGAAGTGGAGGAGCGACCGTGATCATCCAGCGGATGGGCGGAAGCCGAGTAAGAGTAGGAGACAGAGGCGTTGTTGGGGGTGGATGGGGGATCATCTTGCGAACGCAAGGGGCTATCGTAGGCATTCGAGCGAAGTTGCTCGGGAGAAGAAGGGGTTTGTTCAGTCGTAACACGAGAGGTTGGCGAACGGAGTCCAGCACCAGACATCCTAAATCGCGACTGTAAGTTTCACACACTCCTGGTCAGCTCACGAAAGGACAAAGATTGACGTGTAGACAGGTCGTTGTGTCACTTACCCGTCGGAGTTCTGAGCGCCCGAACGACTCGCGACGGGCAGAAGAATCCGATCGCGCGATGTTCAGGAAGACATCTTCGTTCTTGGACCGGAAATCGTCCGCCACGGGGGTCCGGTTGCCGTCACCCAGGCCATATCGATCCACCCCGTTCACGGCACGATGGCGTTCGTCGGCCAGCGATCTTCCCGGAGAGTAGGACACTGCGGACGCAGGCATCCTTCTATTCACGTCCGAAGTCGTCTGCTGAGCATAAAGGGACGACTTTCGGCGCTTGGTTGCATTGGGACTCAACGCGCGGGCGGCCGAGTCGACGTCCAGGGGCGGCGCTGAGGAGGAGGAGTCGTCGTCGTGGTCGTCGTCCTTTTCAAGGGCCCGTCGCGGCGACGGATGGTGCGACTCCAAGAGGGCCTGGTCACGAAGGTGGGACAGATGAACGTTGGGGACCGAGCGGCGGGGGCTGTCGTACACAAAAGTGCGCTGGAGGGAAGGCGTCGGGTCGGGCGTGTCGTCGCTGTTCAAGACGGAGGAACTGAGGTGCGACGTCGGGGCTCGTTTGCGCAGGGGATACTGGTACTCGAAGCTGAAGCGACTCTGGGGAAGGCGGGGAACGGACGGGACGGCGGAGGAGGAGAGGGAGGGGAGATGCGACGCAGAGATGGAGGAGTGGGAGACGGAGGGCGATGGAGATGGAAGCGTTGGAGGTGTTGTTGTGGACGCTGAAGGGGAGTCGCCGGTGGTGGTGCCGGCGGATGTTAGCGCGGCTGGTCTGCCCGCGTCACGGGGATCGCCCGCCCTCATCATCATCATCCTCGCCGCGCCCGGACGACTACGACTCGGCGGATGACCCGCGGCGGCGTTCGGTCCAGGTCGTTGTGGGGAGGCGAAAGAATCGGTCAAGGTTGGGCTCGAAACACCCGGTTGCTGCTGGTACTGCTGGTGCTGGTGCTGGTGCTGGTGCTGGTATTGGTTGTTGGCTCCGGAGCTGAAGGTGACGGTCCTGGCGCGATTCACAATGGAACGGCGACAGAGAGAAATGGACGGTGAATCGTCCAGCAAGACATGGATGGGCTGGTTCACCGCGGACTCGGTTTTTCGCCGACGACGAGGGCTGGAGAAGGAAGACAAAGAGGAGGAAGAAGAGGAGGGGAAGGGAGGCAAGGCTGCATGGCCAACTGCTCCTGGTGCGTCGGGGGACATCTGCACAAACTGGTCAGGCACCCACACGCATCGTTCGATCAATCAAATCTATCGCGTCGGAAGGCGCCTTTCTGAGATCGACTGCACTCTGCAACTGGGGAAGGCCGAGGGACACACGGTTGAAGGGGGAAATTAAAAAAAAAAAAAAAATAGAGTGAAAGGACAAAAATCGAACTAGACGGGGAAACCCAGACAGAAATGAAATGAACGATATGATCTATTGCCTGCGGTGGACCTACGGGGTGATCATATACTAAATTATGTACGGCGTACGAATTAAAAATATCCAGGTACTATTCAGGTACTATCTCTCTAACTATCTCTCTATCAGCAACCAGGCACTCCATCCCTCTCCTGCTAAGAATAACCGGCTCGCCCTGAGGCTCAAGGGGACCCGGGAAGGGCGTGGAAGAAGCCAGGGAAGAACGACGGGCACCAAGATAGAGGAGAAAAGCGCTGGCTGGTGGCTGGGAAATCTGTAACTGCTAAGGAGGAGGCAGACGGGATGGTAGTATGAGGCCGGTGGAGCGGGCCCCCCGTCCGGCTCGATAGCCCGGAGAATAATCGAGACGGATCTGTGATATCACCCGTCTATTTATGATCTGTTGGCGTGGCATGGCATGATGGAGGTTGGCTTTCTCTCCTCTGCAGTTTGCCCTGCGCACCTGCTCGTAGCCTCCTCACCTGGCTTTGGATAGGGCTCGAGACCGCGCCTGATGGAGGCAAGTAGGGCACCGGTTGGCAACCCTGTCCTCTTCGCTAAGGTTGATCTGCGACTGCACGGGCTGCGAAGGCGAAAAAAAAAATAAAGCCCTCAAACACACAATCATCCCAGGCCATACGCTAATTATAACCATTATCATATCATATGCGAGTTCCTCGAACGGCATCGAAGGCCGGTAAAGAGAAACCACGGTTCATCCGCGCCTTTCCCTGGTTCCGGCTCTGTCAACCTCGCTAGATTGGTGTTCCGATTGGTAATCTGTTCATCTCTCGCGATCAATAACCCCGGACAAAGGCAGAGAGGGACAAAGAAAGAACCGAGGGCTATTCCATTGGAATTTTTCCCATTGCAGCCACGATCCATCTAGGAGCTTGTCCGCCCGGCAAAGATGATAAAGACATGAAGTACGGAGTACTCCGCACTCTTCTCGACTGCCACGATCAACGGGCAATGGTCAGGATACGTTACCATCAACCATTGTATCAAATCGCTCTCGACATAGTATTTTGCATAGTCAAAGCGCACCCCACTTCATACTCTGGCAGCATCAATGACCCGTAGGAAGATACCTGGTAGCAATTGCCATCTGTTCTCACCAATCACGCCCCCGGTCGCAGCGAAGGACTCAATCAATTGAGTACCGGCATACCAGGGGTCTGAGATGCAGTCCGAGGAGTTTAACGACACTTAGATACGTTCAGACAGACGATAGAGACCTCTCGCCCCCTAAAATAGATGGCTGCAATCTACAAGCTAAACAAGATTAGTTCAAACATGCCATAGCTTGATCATACACAGGAATGGTGTCAGCTATGGGCCCGGTTCTAGCCCCCGTGTCACTGTCAGACGGCAAACCTGACGATGAAGCTTTCGGCCGATGGCAGCTTCGGATCTACAGTTGTCTTTGCTGCCAGCCCGCTGTGGACGACCGTTCCAAGTTTCAACCTCGAGCTCACGGAGAACACCTCGGCAGCGCACTTGTCGCAGAACCTCATCCCCACTGTTCGAGATCTAGTTCCGGGCGAGTTGTGCGCATTATTCCGCATCGATTCGACGTTGACTGCCCAGAGCACTGCGGCATTAATTGCCTTTAAGCCTATGTCGGCTAGGGTCTCTAGCTTGAGCGTAGTCCTGGACCAAAATGGCCCAACGACCGAAACAGCTTTATCAGGACGTCAAGTTAACTTTAGCCGGCACTGACGGGAATAACGGCACCGAGGGATGGCATCGGATAGCCCGTGCAGACTGTAGGAGATGAGTGCCAACTATCTAGTAGATACCAACGGCAGGGAATGCGACCCTCGTCTCGTGTTGTGCACGGGATCGAAGGGTAATCCGGCACTCTCCAGTTCATAGATCTGGTTGTTGCTAGGTGAAGATGAAACAAGAACCCCCAAATCCACAACCCGCCTGGTCCAGCAAGGGCTTGAACGGAGCCTGTTGGTTGGGAGAAGGATTTCCAACGTGATCGGAGAAGAAACGCGAAATGATTCACGGGGAGAGCTATGAGGCTATAGTGTCAGAACAATCTATCTACCTGGCGGATCTGTTTCACATTAGCTCGTCCCGTCCTTGGGTTAGGGTCGGTTCTGGCAAGTGGCATCGGTGGCAGATCAAGGGCATCAGGACCAAGAGCTCCAGCTCCCAGGCGATCCATTCCCTTTTATCGGGAAGATACCATGCTGCCTAGAATCCATGCTCAATCGATTAGTCACTAATAAAAGAAGGAACAATAGTGGCTGGAGGGGGGGATATCGCCGACGTACTTCATAATCAAACGCCCCCCACAGCAATCACCGACGTGATGCCGAACGGGCGGTCCAAGTTCTCTGGCTCTAACTGTTAGCAACCGTCGCAGAGCCCTGACCCCATAGTCTCAGATAGACGTTGCGGCCACGTGGGATCGGGATGGGGAGGGTCGAAGTTTTCATCAATTTCCCATTAATCCGTAACAATAATTGCGAGGCTATTGGGGCATCGGGCGGGGTGACGGGCTGGCGAGCTACTGTGTACGTACATAGTATAGGATGTATAGTGGTAGATTATTCCGCACCTGGAACAGGGCAGACCGGCAAAGGGCACTTCACTCTATTCCGTACTTCGTACTCCGTACTCACGGCTCGTTCTATTTTTGAGAGGAGCCGGAAGCGTAAGCGCGAGGCTCGGTAATATTATTGGGTCAGCGGTACCGGGGCGCGGTATGATCCCCAAATTGGTCGACGCAATGCAGGGCGCATATCAGTACGTAGTACTATGTACTTGACGGGGACGAGGGGGGGGGGGAGGGGATGACGGAGGATCATGATTGACCTGGACTCTGGAGAAACATCCAGGGATAACCCTGGATGTTAAGCCAATCGTCGAGACTCGAGCCAAGCACGTCAAAACACGCGCCCAAGCGAGCATGATCGTCCCCGGTCGGGGGGGAGGGGGAGGGGAAGTTGTTTGATCATTTTGGGAGGACTGACTGGGGAGCCTGGGAGGTTGACGGGGCGCCGTCGCGCACGTGACCGGCAGCCCCCCTCCGCCGGTGGACTGCTAGTAATCTACTATGACCAGTCAGTGGCCAGTTAGTGAGCAGTAGTGGCCTCGGAGTGGGTTGGCGTGTTTCACCCCAGGCAAATTGAGAATGATTGGGTTGCCTTAGCGCCGCGCCCTCTCCTGCCTGTGTGTTTCAGCTGCGGTGGTCGATGGCAAATCTGGAGGTCAAGGCTGCATTACTGCTAAACTTTGGTGCTTCGTCTTGATGGTTGAAACTCCTCCTTTGGTATCAGACTGATGCTACCTCCGATCGACTGACTCTGTACCGTGGACTGTTTGTGACTGAAAACAGCGGAGGAGTAGTCTTAGTAGTAGTAGTTGAGTACCACAGTAGTATCTAGTACTTGAGACCGCTAACTACTCTACTATCTATGTACTGTGCCGCGGTCTCTCCTCCCCCCTCCCAGTCAGTCCCACTCCCACCGCCAATAACGGACGGTCCACCCCGTCTCCAGGGGCTTGTCGTCTGGGATGTCTTGTCTGATGGATCGGTTCGAATTATCTAGCCCCAGTCAGTCAGCCTTTGCGTTTCACCTTGGCCTGTGACCCTCAGCGCCTGTGCCGACTCTAATAGGCCCGATGCCAGAGGGAGGTCCCTGCTGAATCGCCATCCGCATCTAGTAAAAAAGCGATTCATGCCTCCTCCTCGGGCCCTCCAAGTCCTCTTCATTTTGAATTCCGTGCTGTCCTTTCTCGCCTTGTTTGTTTGGGAGGGGGTTGCCCGTGCTTCTGTCTGTTCTTGCATTGCCGATTGTTATCTACGTACTCCGTGCCTACCCTCCGATTCTCTCAAGCCGGCTTGACTTTCATCCACCCTCTGAGATTAAGCATCCAGCAAACCGTCCGTCTGCGGGCTCCGTGCACTCACCACTGCGGGTCGGGCATCCCCAATCCGGTATTGTTTTGGGGTGCAGAAAAGTTGCTTGGATACGTATCCTGGCGGGTTGGTCTGATTAATATTAACCTCCTCGTGGGTTGAGCAGACCTTCTTTTCTGTGTGACTTCTGGAAGTCTTCTGAACCTTTCTTTCCTTCTTCACTCCTTGACTCCTTGGGACCTCTTGTCCTCCCTCCTCTCGTGGAAGCCCGCCGTGTGCTTTGCAGTTGTCGCCCTCCCGGCACCGCGCATGAACAACCCGTCTGGATCTGCTGCAGTGAACTGGATTCCCTCCGACAACAAATTGGCGCCGGCAGTCCCGATCCCCTTGAGTCAAGAAAGGGGGTTTTTTTTTCTCAAGTGCAGAGGAAGAGCTTTACAGGTATGTATGTATCTACAATTGTGATTCGTGATTACTATTCTTTGGTCTATCGTTCGAGTTCTGCGGCTTTCTTTTGCGCCTTGTTTTTATGTCATCTCTGGGTCTCTCGAGATTAGTTCCCATCATCCCTCACTGCCTCTTGTTGGTTTCCTCCTAGACCAACCATCATTATTTGCAGCCTTCCCAGTGGCACCCAGATGTGGGGACTACGTCTTTTTTTTTCGGTCTTCATTTTTTTTTTTTTTCATTTTTCATTTTTTTACTTTTCCCTTTCCCATTGCACCGGACCCCAAAAAGGAAGGAGACCGAACCCGAAAGGGAAAAGCAGGGTCGGGACAGAGCAGAGGCGATGGAGCCTGAGAACGAGAGCGAGAGAGAGAGCCGCCATCACCATTGCAACGGGATACCTGATGGAATCGAGGGAAATCCGGATACAGGTTGGCTGACAATGGTATCTGGGTGGCTTGATTTCGTGAGGGATTCCTCCTCCTGGTCGCTGCTGCACTGGGAGTGTGATGAGCACCTTACCCACCTCCACCTGCCCATCACGTCCTGGATCCCCATCCAATTCCTTCCGTTCCCTTCCTCCCCGGGCGAAGGGGCCAACCTGAGTGGTTGGTGGCCACCACGGTGTTGGGGGAGGGGGAAGGAGGGCATGGAGAGAGCATGGAGGAGAATCCTGGGAACTTGAAGGACCTCTGACATGCCAGTGTTGGGATAAGACTGGCATCTGATTTGCGTGCTTTTGGCGCCCATGATGCACATTCCAGCCTCCCACACCAACCCGGGCGGCTAAATTTAGAGCTGCAGGCGATGGATGTTCTGCTGCTGGGGCCGCTGATTGGATGGCTGCATCTGGTGTGAACGGGGGCCTGTCTGGCCCCACCCACCGGCGTCAAGCGCGCTGATTGGCTTGCTGTCAGCGACGCGGCCGGCCGGTCCCAATCAGGGCCTCCGGGCTTCCCCCTTCCCGTCTTCCCAAACGAACTACTGCGGTTGCAGGGTGGTTATTCTTAGCGCTCCAGTTATTGCTACGGCTGCTGCTGTTGCTGTTGCTTGCTGTTGTTGCTGTTGCTGTTGTTGTTGCTGCTGCTGCTGCTGGCGTTCCTCCTGCTGCTCCCGCGGCGCTGCTCCCACGGTCACAGTGCCTGTCTAGTTGCTGTCTGACAGTTTGTCTGGGACCGGCTTTGGGGGGGGATTCAGTGGTCTCTCTCTCTCTCTCTCTCGGTCTACTCTCACTTTCACTCTCCTTCTCCCCTTCTGGCCCCGACCCTCTCCGTTCCATCCTTCCTTTCCCCTCCTCATCTTCTGGTTCTCCCCTCTTCCGCTTCCTCTCCTCTTCCTCTTTCTTTCTTTCTTTTTTCTCTCCCTCTTCCCCTCACTGCAGGGACCCTTTTCTTTTCGACTTGCCTGTTTTTATTTTTCCTTTGGGGATGGTGGGCAGTCGTTCATTGCTCCCTCCCCTCTGCTTGCTGTGACCAAGAATCCCACACAGTTTCTTTCGTCATTCCCCGGAGGAACGACTGCCCACACGATCAACCCGGGCGGCTATTCCTCCCATTCACATTGTGCCCTCCCTCCAACATTTGGACCACCCACACCCCCCCTCCAAGTGTGCTCAGTTTGCATCTTTCAACTTGTCACTCTCCTTCATTTCATTCTGATTTTCAATTATATTCTACCCCCCATGTCGCTATCCCTGCGCCCTGCTGAAGTTTCTCAATAACAATCCTTCGCCTCCGCATCACTGACAGATTTCTAAGAGGAAATAGTTTCTCTTGCGGCATTCCTTGGTATGTTCCCGGTCTTGGACCTTGTTGGGATTCCTCTGAATTGCTTTCGCCTCACTTTACCATCTACCTGTCCCTCTCTTGGCTCTCTCACAGACTTCAATAGCTCTGTTGGTTTCATTTCTCAAGCTGGCCGATCATCATTCTGGTTTCACCCTCCTTGCAGCCGTGCTTGCTTCTGCCGTCGAAAGTCAACATAAGCTGAAACATGGAAGCTGATTGTCCTCTGTCCAAAAGGTCATTTGCGCTGGTAGCAAGTGCGACATTATCTTGTTTCCCCCGGGCTGGATGCAATAGTTGTACTACAATTTTTGCGCCGGCCATCTACACCAGCTGCGATTCTGAAAGGGTGTCCCCTTTCAAACGCAGGTGTACTTCCTCCTCCTCCTCATCATCATCATCAGGGCTCATGATGCCTGTACAAACCAGCTCGCCGCCACTCCCGGACGCGTTCCCTTCCTTTATGTCTGTGTTTGGCGAACGGTTACCTGAATTTGCCGACAAGGAGGAGCGCGCTACGATAGTCAAGCCGCTGAGGGTTCCTACGCATGTCACCATCAATACGTCGCGACGCCCACTGCCCTTCAAGCATCGGGAGAGCATTTCATCTATGACATCAGGCTCCACCGACTCATCGCCTACCACCACCATCTCCACATTCGATCCTCCCTCCGCCGTGGATACGTCCCCGAGCTCCTCGCCAGAATCCCGTCGTCGATGCCGTTATCATATCCTCCCTTCATGCCATACACCCTCAAGGCGGAGTGCCCGCCGCCCCCTGCGGCCCAAACAAATGTCACTAAACCGCCATCCGACCCCCCAACCCTCGCACGCCCCGACTCACCCGGCAGACGGGCGCGCAACCTCAAGAACCTTTCGCTGAGGATGCCCCTACCATCACAATCGTCACGCCCACCCATCGCGACAGCGTCGACTTTTGAGACCACTTCCCACCATCTCTCCGCCCGCCCTCTCCAGCCCATGTGCCTCCGAAGGGCATGCGCCGAAAACCCGCAAACCTCACGATACGCACCCCCGGCTTTGATCGGTCTTTTTCCAACACTGCCTCCGAGCTGGTCCCGCCTACCCCGCACGCCCTGCGACACACCGAGTCCTCGCCCTCCCTCACATCCGTTTTCTCTCCGTCATTTGGCCCAAAGGGTGGCATGCAGTTGCCTCGACCAATGACACATCATGGCGCTCGGCGACCGTCAGCCACTTCCGAGAGCAACTTTTCCCCGCTGCAAACGGTCGCGGATGAAGGTGAAGGGTCGGTCGCTGGGGTGCTGCCTGAACTGGAGGAAGAAGATGACCATCTTGAATCAAGGGAGTCGACCCGGCGCAGCGAGCGTGGGTATCCGAATGGACCCATCCAGATCTACGACTCGGGAGTTTTTCTCTACCTGGAGCCGACCGCTCAAGAAGCGTCACAATTTGATGTTGTCGTGAACGTGGCAAAGGAAGTGACCAATCCGTTCACTAGCACGGGCGCTGGCACCGGTACGGTGATGAGCACCTTGCGCAACGGGTTAACGCATGCCAAGCGACTGTCGAACGGGGAGCCATGGACGGCCGCCTCTGAAGTCTCCTTCAAGTCCGCGTTCGAGTACCCGCCAAGCGAAGCGTCAGTACCGGCCACCCCCCAGAACGACTCGCCTGGACCGGAATATGTCCACGTTGGCTGGGACCATAACTCGGAAATCCTGGACGACTTGTTCCCTCTGTGCGAGCTTATCGACTCTCGGATAGCCGACGGAAAGAAAGTGCTCGTGCATTGTCAGCTCGGTGCTAGTCGGTCGGCCTCGTTGGTCATCGCCTATGGTCTCTACAAGAACCGAAATCTCGATTTCAACTCGATGTACGAGATTGTCAAAGGACGTAGTCGCTGGGTCAGTCCCAACATGAGCCTGATTTACCAGCTGACCGATTTCCGCTCCCGCCTCCTTCGCGGCAACCTATCGAAAGCGGCACCGGAGGAGTGGTTCGTCGGAGGACCGCGCCGGAGCTCTGAGCCTCAGCCGCCACACTCCGGCCGGACAGACGCTTCCCAAGCCAGTACTCCCGGTTACACAAGTGGCTGCTCCGAAGCCGGGCAATTGTCCAATGGTCTATCACAGGCGTCTCTGAGCTCTGTTTCGGTGCCGTCCACCAACCAGGGCACGCCCCTCTCGACGGAGAATTTGGGCTTCAAGCCTCTGTCTCATAAGCGCAGTCTGTCCCCACGACCCCTACCTTTGCGGCAGAGCTCCTTTAGCACGGGGTCGACGGGCGGGTTTGTGCTACCTGAATCCGGAGCCCTTGCATGGCATCCCCAGGTCGGTGGGCCGTTCTCCTTGGCCAAGACGGATGTTTTTATGCAGGACGGCTCGGACGGAGCGAACTCCCTTTTCTCCCCGAGGACGAATGACTTCATGGCTGCGCCTCTTTCTCGATCAATCTCGGATTGCCTCGAGGACGATGGCCCTGATGGGCTGCGCTTCCGGACGCGAGTCGCGGACCCTCGGTCGCCACCTCCGGGGAATGAGCGCCTGATTATGAGAAATATTGATGAATTTCTGTAATTCGCCATAATGTCCAAGACGGATTGTCTTAGGGCCTGGCTTCCGGGAGCCATGCCCGAGAAATGATTGCATGACCCCCACATTCACCCACCCATCGCGGTTGACTCTCTTTACCCTGGGATGTATCTGTATCCCAACTACCTTCTTTACTCTCCTTACCCTCTGACATTCCTTCGTTCGATTCTGTTCTTCTGATGAGTTAATGACCAAAGCGGGCTTACGGTCGTTATTCCATTCCATCCATCCATTCATTCATTCGTTCATTCACTCATTCATTTCCTGCCAACGAGCAATCTGTTCTTGTTTTCCTGGTCGACCGCGGTCATGTTGCATCCGAGGCTGTGAGTCGACATTGCATGCTTTCCGGTCCACCGGCGTCAGGGTGTTAAAAAGACGATAAAAGGCGGCGATGACGCGAGCCTGATAACTTGTAATATTATTTTTTCCCTTTACTTACTGCTGCTTCATGTTCCATGGTGCACGGGGGTTTGTTTCGTGTGCTTCCCCGTTGTACATCCGCTCTTTCCTTGATGTCATCTCTCATCTGGCATTTCAGCTGCGAAATACCCGGGGCTATCTGATTGAATTGAGTTTACTATTACATGATAACAGCGCCCTGTAGACCGTAGACCGTAGACGGACTACTAGTGGTGGTGGTAGTAGTAGTAGTAGTAGTAGTAGTAGTAGTAGTAGTAGTAGTAGACACTACAATCAAATAGACCGGGCCGAGACTCCCGAGCGGCTTTCACGTCATGCGGATCCGGGGAGCGAAACTTTCCACTCCTTGACAAACCTCCTTCCGGACCAAGGGAACAACTTCTTAAGACTCTCACAAACCATGGCCGAACACAGCCATCCTACACATCTGTCGCCGAGCGAACTCGGCACGAAGGACTAGTGAGTATCTCATCAGGATAGGGGAATGAAGGCGCATCCATCTGTCTATCTACGTACTGTTACTGTTTCTTACCCCGCTACCCCTCACTATGATTGAAATTTCCACACTTCATGAATAATGAACCATCAGCCCATGACATGCGACACCAAACCACCTCTATCCTTGCCGTGAAACCGAAATAACCAAACTGACATGTTCTACTAAAATACCAGCTGGGAAACCTTCTACGCGCGCACGCTGTCGCATATCTCTACGAAACATAACTCATCATCTACCACCACCACCACCACGACAACGAAACCCTCCCACAAAGACGCCTCCCCCTCCTCCGGCAATGAATCCGACGACGAAGAAGAAGAAGAAGAAGAGGAAAACGATGAAGTAGACGACGACTCCGACCCCGGCACAAGCTGGTTCTCGGAACACAACGCCCCGGACAAAGTGCTGCGGTTCCTGACGGACGAGTCTTTTCCTCTTGCGCCTTGCAATACACACCCTACCTCCAACCCCAATTCCAATCCCAATCCCAATCCCTCCAACGACAACGACAATAATGAGAAGAAGGAAGATACACAGTCACAGCCATGTATCCTCGACCTCGGCACCGGAAACGGGAGCATGCTGGCCCTCCTCCGCAAACGCGGCGGGTATACAGGTGACATGGTGGGGGTGGATTACTCGGCGAGGAGTGTGTTGCTCGCGAGAGAGTTGCAGAGGTTGAGGATTCATTCGGCTTATTTGTCTGATTCTGATGATGACTCCGAATCTGACTCTGATGCTGAGGGTCAAGATCGGGGTGAGGATGAGAGTAAGGGCGAAGAAAAGAAAGCAGAAGACACCAACATCCGCTTCGAAGAATGGGATATCCTGCACTCTGATAACACCACCACCACCACCACCACCTCAAACGAGAAACCGGATTGGTTCCCCCACGCCAAAGGCGGGTTCGATATTGTCCTCGATAAGGGGACGTTCGATGCGGTTTCGTTGTCGGATGAGGTGGTCGAAGATCAGGGTAAGAGTGGGGAGACGGGGGCGGCATCCGCGTCAGGGAAGAAGATCCAGCGACGGGTCTGTGAGCGCTATCCCGGGATTGTGAGGGGGTTGGTGCGCAGGGGTGGGTTTGTGGTGGTTACGAGCTGTAATTGGACCGAGGAGGAGCTGGTTAGTTGGTTCACGAACTCTGAGTCTGGGGATGGGGATCAATCTGGGGATCGGTTGGTGGTTTGGGGACGGGTTGAGTATCCCCGGTTTCGGTTTGGGGGGAGGGAGGGACAGGGGGTTGTTACGGTTTGTTTTCAGAGGGTTGAAATCTAAGTAGACGGGGATTTAGAGGGGGGTATAAAATAGATTAGAATAGAGAAAGGGGGATTAGAATGCATACATACATACATAGACCATCATTATCAGATTCTAGTATGTTCAACATCTCAAGAAGCGCGTGGATAGATAGCTAGCACTGACACAAGTAGCGGGCTCAATTAGGCCTAGAGAAGTTTGAATTGAATGAAATTGCTGCACTCAGTATGTTCTTTCTATATGTACATGTGTGTGTGGCATATAGTAGGATGCAATAGTGGTGGTTAGATCAGGTTGTATATAACCTTGAGGGCTCTGCATTCTACCTTGACGGTATTATTCTGTATTTTATATTCTATGTTCATGTATGATGCAGCACGCAGGATAATGCCGTCACAAGGGTTCATAAATCATGGCACAGCCATCCATCCCTCCATCGATTCCCCCCTCATCTCTCATCTCCTACTCTTCAACAGAGCAACCACACACCACCTCCTCCTATTCTCGGGCCCCTCCCCCTCCCGAACATCCACCCACTCCCTCCGTACCTCCCCGGCCTCACCATCCCAACTCGAATTCAAATCCCGCTCATAAATCCTCTCAATCTCCAACCCCATCCGCACCGCCATCTCAAAGAACTCCGCCACAATGGCCCGTCCGGTATGAAAGCACGACGCAACCCAGACTCGGCCCCCGGGCGCCAGGAACCACTGCATCGTCCGCACGAGGTTCTCGTGCTGCGCGCGCATCCAGTAGCAGTCTGCTGCGACGATGCGCGTGAAGCTGCCTTTGTGCTGCATGGCCCAGGGGTCGGTCTCGAGGGCTCCCCATGAGTGCGGGTGGATGGTGATGGAGGTGGAGGTGGAGGTGGGGTGTTTTGGGGACTGGAGGTTGTGGGAGAGGTTGAAGTGGATGGCGCCGGATAGGGCAGGAGATGAGGGGTGGTCGGTTGTTGTGATGCTGGATGCGCCGGCGAGGGCGCAGATGACGGATGGTAGTGCGGCGCCTGAGATAGCATGGGTCGTTAGTATAAGGATTTGGAGAGCAATGAATGAGGATATCCAAGGGCCAACGCGGTGGTACTACTAACCAGCGCCCAATTCCAACACTTTCTCTCCCCGCACCTTCCACATCGCAACATCGTCGTTCTCGGTCAACTGGCCGCTCGAGTCCAGCGCATCTGCCCGCTCCACCCCTTCGGCTATCACCATGCCCGCACTCCAGATGAAATGCGCAAACAGCTTCCGCCCCTCCTCCAGCTGGTTAACCTGCCCGTCGGCGCGGGGCAACCCCGCCGCTATCTCTTGGGTGCGGGTCTCGCTCTGGCCCGGGTACGAGGGCACCATGATCTCGAGGTCGCCATAGCGCGGGGACGAGTAGAGGAGGTGTTGGCCCGGGTTGCCGTGGAAGGAGACCACGTCGTCCGGGAATAGGTGGGGGAGGAAGGCCATGAAGAGGTCTTCGGTGGACTCGTCCGAGTCGTCGGCGTCTTCTTCGGCATCGGCGAAATCGGGGCGCAGGGGCAAGGACGAGCACGAGGACGAGGAAGAGGGTGTGAAGGCGGGCCGTCGCCGGGGGAGGGGGCGAAGGCGGGATTGAAGCATCGTTTCCCCTGATGGTTGGGAGTTGAAGTGTGGTGAGGGGTGTTTATAGATCGGGCGAGGAACCTAACCGAGTGAAAATCATTATCATCAGCGGTGGATGCCCCCCACCCCACCCACGGCCAATCGGAGAGAGGCGGCGGGTGGAAGTATACTCCGGAGGGACGGAGGCACAGGGGACTGGCTGTTATCATAATTATTGATTATTGGCGAACGTTGGATGCTCTCTCGTCCCAGCTGGAGGGATCGTCGGAAATGAGATGATGAAGAAGAGAGCGGATGGATCTGTGGTTGAGTGGCGGGGAGATGCTTGGCCTCGAACTCAATCGAGATGGCTGTTCTGCTGTCCTGCTGTCCGTCTGTCCACTGTCCAGCAGGCTACTTTGTACAGAATATCCTCCACAGTTATGAAAAGCAACCGTTGCATCGCACTGGTAAGTTGAGATCGAATCACCGGGACTCCTCAGGTCCCGATCGACAGGCCGATCCTGACCGGATGCTTACCTTACTTTACTAGCTGTTCCTTGTACCTTCTGTACCAACCTAGGCAATGTACCTGACCAGCCCTCGTGGTAACGTTACTGCAGGAGGATCGAAAACCGCGGGTTTGTTGATCCCCGTTGTAGGCGATTGATTCGGCATACGCTCACTACAGCAGTAGCCACCGCCGTTTATCATCCGATACCTGCATGAGACTGCTTCCTGGTTCCTACGATAATGCCCGGTGCTGAATATCATCCCCATCAGGCGAAATTGCCCGCCAATCCATATATCACCCAGCTAGCCGTTCGTTCCTTCCTTCGTTCTTTCTTTCTTCCCTTTCTTGCCCTATACATCCAAGCGGGGAGAGCCCGACCACGTTGTCACCAGCGAGGCACCCGCCACCCTAGCGACAGCTTGACAGATCGCTGCCCTTGGTGTCCGTCTTCGAGCTATCGAGCGACCAGGGAGTTTGGGAACCCTGCGATGCACCTCGAGGAATAAGGTTAATGCGAAGTCGGAGCCGGTCGCGGGTGAGTTGGGAGCGAGCCAAGTCAGCGGTGATGGACCGGCCCATGCATCCTCGAGCCAGTCGCATAGTGCCCGCACACGTTGACCGGGCTGGCAACGGCCACACGTCGTTATGAAACAGCCCTGGGGTCGATGCGCTGCCAAACAGTCAGGGATCTCGCGATCCTCGGCATCACGGATGAAGGCCGTTCCCCGGCCCCTGGTCCGGACAGCATGCCCGACAGACAACGGCTGCCCAGTTCTGCGAATAGTGGCTAAGCGTCGAAGCGGACAGCGGATGGAACGAGGGGCCCTTCTCGGTGAGGGGAGAGGGGAGGTCGTCGACAGAGCGACAGGAAACAGGCACAGGCACAGGCACAGCACAGGGAAGCGCAGGAGCGGACTGATAAAGAGGCCGTCGAGTCGAGGCCGGGCAGACAGCAAAGCCAGGTGGTCACATTCCTATTTGTAACAGGGAGGGCCGTCGCTATCAACTGGACTGGGCGGTTTGGGCCATTCGGGCCTTTTTGGGCCTTTTTGGGCGACCCTCTAGGCGGCACTAGGCCGGGACCGGCGACTTGGCTGGTCTGGAGGGGAGATAATCCTTGATAAGGCCAGTGTCAGCCGTACGCCCCGTACGCCCCGTACGCCCTTACCGTACGGGACTCCCACCCGGGCGGCAGTTCCCCGGCCCCCCCTCTGCCCACTCCCCGTACGGTATCGTCATCACCGATGACATCATGCCCCCCACCGCCAGGCCCTAGACCGGTCGATGTGTTGCGTAATACGGTACGGTCACGCCCACGGGCGGGCAGCCCCGATCAGCGTGAGTGATTTTTGGCCGGCGGGCATTATTGTACCACCAGTACTAGATACTGATACCTTACAATGAGAGGGATTGGCCCGATGCTTTGCTGCGTCCATGCAAGACACTCCTCGTACTTACTGACTGCTTACTGACCGGTCAGCCAGAGTCGGTTCATGGCTAATTTTGTTCCGTTCCTGTACCTTGATCATAATTTTTTGTTTTCTTTCTTATTTCAGTTGTCAAGTAATTATGGAAAACCAAAAAAAAAGAAACTGGAAGTAAAAAAAAAAGAAGAAGACAGGACATCCAATGCTTCCAGTCCCAGTCCCACTCCACTCCCAGGACAGGCAAGCAAGCAGGTGGGTTGCTGAACGGCTGATCAGTCCAGGACAATCCAGCAGGTGACGGGCGACCCATTGCCTAGAAAAGACTGGAAAAGCAAGAAACCGACACATTCCATACGTTCGCCTTCCAGCTCCATCCACTCTGATGCTTCGTCTTATTTTTATTTTTTTCCCACTTTACTTTTTTTTTTGTTTCTTTTGACTCTGCAAGTTGCAATACATTTCTTTGACCTTGCTGGACCTAATACCTATCTAATACCCGGGCACGGGTTGATATCATCCAGGCCCGGAGTAGTCCACTTTCTCGGAAACCCCCCCCCCCAATGTAAGTGGAGCAATCACATCATGATGGCCTTGGTTTGTCCCTCCCAGTTCCAGGTTCGTTTGTGTTCGTTTTGTTTGAGGGAGGGTGTTTTTAGTCAGGAACAGGATTGAGGGAGAGGCTGTATGTAATGATAATAATTAAATAAGCGATCATCTGAGATTAATAATAGATAATAAGGCACCGTCATTTGACCAGCAGAAAGTCAGAAGAGAGGAGAAATAAATAATTAATTACACTTGTGGTCACGGTCTGATCGCCGACCCCCGCATTGCTGAAGCCAACTCCTGGACTCCTGGTCTGACTAGCGAACCCAAAAATGCCCAAAAAAGACAAGGCGACCCCCGCAAAAGATACTCTCCCTCAGGTTATAATTATTTATTGTTACCGTTAGTATTATATGATTAATCCATACCGCCCAAAGATACCATCCGTTCCTATCTGGGTCTTGGGGATTAATTAATTTGTTGTATCTGGCTGCTCCTAATAATCAGAGGAGGAGTAAATTTAGCAGCCCGGGAATCTTGTAAGAAGAATAATACGGATCGGTAATCGGGATTACACTTACAACTTCAACAATATACTTAGTACTATTATCTTTTTTTTTTTAAAGTACTGTATTCTGTAAAGTGTACCTACTCTGTACCCTCGTGCGCCATCCAATGCTCGTCTCAAGTTGTTCTCCATCCACCTGCAGCATCCATCCTTAGTTCTTCCTCTCGCGCCCTCAACGACGGACTGACTTTCTTTCTCCTCTTTTGCTGTGTCTTGCATCTTTCTCTCTCTCTTTCTCCCTCCTCTCTCCTGCTCCCCTCCCCCTCTCGGTCCCTTCCTGCCTTCTTCTTCCTCTCCCCTTTCATCTTGCTCCCTCCCCTTTATCTTATTCAACCACCATTGACTGACTCACTTCCCCCTTCCCCTCCACCCCCAATTGATTGCTTTGGCCCTGAACCTTTTTCCCTTAGCCTCACGGTACCTTGTCTCCCGCTCGTATCCCTGGGATTCGCCCACCACCGGCCAACCTGCTAGCTTTCCACTCTCCCTCAACTTTCTCTTTCTTTTTCTCCCCTCTCCCCCATTTCTTTCTCCAGCTCCTTCACCACCACTGCCGTCCGCCCAGCACCATCCCCCAGTGCATCGGCTCTCCTAATTGCAACACCTCCCTAAGGGCATTCGCGGAATCGTTTGCCCGAGGGTCCACGTACACTTAAAATGGCTTCATTCAAGGTAGCTTTTCTATTATTATCCCCCCCCCCCCCTCCCCCTGCTCGCTCCACCTCCCCCGATGCCCAGTGCTTCCAGGCTGACGCTCGTATTTAATCTTCCAGGAATTGTCCCTGTCTCGCCCTCTCCCCCAATCCAATTCCCGCCACCACTCCCACTCTATCTCCCTCGGTGCGGTCAACTCCAATTTCCGGGTTACTCGTCGGAAGAGCGTCACCACCGCCGCTGCTGCGAATGCTGCTGCTGCTGCAGTCGCGGCGTCGTTGAAAGAATCCCCCGGGGACTCAGTAGGAATGTCGATGGGCGCCCACCGTCGCGGGAGTCGGAAAGGCTTGGAGTCCAGCTCGGTCGGAATCCCCTCCGGTTTCGGCTCTTATCTCTCGCGGAGCATGAACAGTCCCAGCCAGGAACCGCCGGTCGCTCGCAAGCCATCCCCCAGCCAGGAAAATGAGGCTTCGTCAACGGTTCCCATAAACGCGGATTCGAATAATCCGGCCTCCAAGCAGGTCAGCACCAAGAATCGGAACCGACGGGCCAGCGAAGGATCGCACCTGGTCAAAGGCGAAGGGAAGCGTACCATGGCCGACCTTCGCTGCGATCGTTGCGGGAAAGGGTATAAGCATGGCAGTTGCTTGTCCAAGCATATGTGTGTATCCTCCCCCCATGCCATCCTGCCGTCTGGCTCGGTCCGGAGCAATGCGCCATGTTGGCTCTGTGCAAGGTCGCCCTCGTGGTCATACAGCTCCTTGTGTCCATCTCCCCTCTCTCTTGTAGTTCTGGGATGCAGTGGATTGACGTTTTATGGAACTTAGGTGGGAACATAACCCGGCATGGGCAATTACCTCGAAACTTTTGATCTCCAAGCACCAGCAGGTGCAATTGCTGGAGGCGGCCTCCGTTCTGGTCACCATGACTGAGGATCCGTCGGACGAGAACGAGGCCGAGTCGGACCTCTCATCGGCGTCACCGGACGCCTCGTCGGAGCTCCGGGACGGCCTCAGCTCGGCGGAGACGACCCCGCCCCCGATGGATGAGGATGACGACGAGGATGAGGACATGTCTCTCGAACCGGCCACGATGGACAAGCGATACAGTGTGGGCAACCTGTCGAGCCACTTCTCTCATTCCTACCAGTCCGGTCCTTCGAGCTCTTTCAACGGCAGCGCCCCGTGGGCGTCACCGGCCTTTTCGCATTTCCGTCACTCCAGCATCGACACGCGCCCATCCACCGCCGAAGCGAAGCTGCACGAAGACGACGAAGCAGACCTAGCGGCCGCCATCGGTCTCTGCAACTTTGGCACGCCACGCATGGGGCCGGTGCCGATGTCTCCCAGCGTGCCACCGGTGCCTCCCCTCCCGACCCGCTTCCTCGATCAAGGAAGCGCTACCAACAGCCAGAGCCACAGCCTGGACCCGTCACGTGCCGGGGCCACGGATGCAGCTCTGTCGAGCCCGAATCCCAACCTCTTCCTCTCCCTCCCCTACAACCCCTCCTTCTCCTACAAGGTGTCCGACGAGCGAGAAGTAAGGACAGGCAACGCTGATCGCGCCAAGCGGCAGCATCGCAATGCGGATGTCGACTTTGGAAGTCGCCCCACACAGGCAGACGATGACGACGACGGTGTCTTCGGCCGGATGGAAGAATAGACGAATCTCCTCGTCCCCAATCCCTTCCCCACATCCTCCCTCTCTGCCTCTCTTCTTTCTGGTCCATGCTTTTCTCGCTGACCAGACGCTGTATTGCAGCCATCACTTGATGACTTGTACGAGCCTGCGCGACTTCTGTAAATGTTGATATTCTTTTTGACTAGCCGTGTTGATTGGAGTTGGAACACCCCCTTTTGCATGTATGTGCCAGTTTCCCACCAGGATTTGTATACCTCGGCCGGCCGCCACACACTTGGGTTTTCGCCGCCGACCACAAATGTCCGTTTATACCACTTTATTTTACATTTTTCATTTGTTTGGACTGTATCTATTATGCTTATTACTATTGACTCGTTGCATACTCATCCCTCCATGTCCCATGTCCTATGTCCTATGTCTTTTTTTTGTCTCCGGGTGGGGTGGGGTGTCTGTTTACAGTCTACTGACTGGCTCCCTGTCCTATCGACTCGACTTGACTCGACTCGACTCATGAATCTTGCATTATTCCCTCCTTTTCAATCTTTACTTACTTTCTGAATCGCTCTTCCTGTTGAGTGATGGCATACCATACCAAATCATATCATACGGAATAGTCATGTCCTACCTTTATTCGACTGACTCAATCAACTCACTACATATATTTTAAGTATAAACTTGACATGGCTAGATGGTGCTTACCTAGGGTAGTTACAGTTACCCAGGCGTATCTGTTTCGCGTAGTACTAATACCAGTTTCAACAATTCTGTTGTTCAAGTACATACCTTACCTACCTTACCTATCTTACCTATGTACCTACCAAGGTAAACTCACTAAACGAGCTTACTTTGCTCATCTCCTTTTTCCGCTTGCTCCAATGGCCCGTTCGTTCTCTTATTGATTCCGGATATAGTGTCCATCAACTACGTATTACCAAGTTGGATTGAATTGAATAGAGTAGATAGAGTAGAGAAGGGAAGGAAAGGGCATAGAGAAAAGAAAATATGTCTTGTTATTCAACTTGTAAGTTGTGTGATATACATCAGATAGTAAGGGACGTGGTGTGGTGTAGTGTAGTAAACACTCACTTGCCTACCTTACCTACCTTACCCACCCACCCACCCACCTAATACCCCCACCGCATTTCAACACGGAGTGAAGCAAATAAACAAACGAATCATAGGTAGGTTAGGTAGTTGCCGAGATAGTATGGTATTACACCTCCTTTGAGCCACCCGTTCCTTCCTTCCATGTGTTCCTTCCATGTACATATATGGTTTTGCCGACCCAACGCCAAACAAACAGACAAAAATAGACACAAACACGAACTAAAAGCAAGGTGATAATCAAGGAAAACTGCAATGCAGCTCTTTGCGGCAGGTGATATCAGTACGTGACCCTAGATACGTAAGTAGGAGTTCCTGATGAGGGGAACCCCGACAAAAAAAAGAAGTGAGAATAGAAGAAAAAAAGAGATGGGGAATAGGTGAAGTGGATAGTGGAGAGGTGGGAGAGTGGGGTGTGGTGTGGTGTGGTCCTGGACTTTTGGGGGAACGCCAAGTAAATGACACGAATAGAAAGTGTGAAAGAAATTAAGGTATGAGAAGAGAAGATGAAGAACGAAGGGGAGAGGTATGTATGTAACGCATGTATGTATGTGTGTGTGTGTGGATGTGGGACGCCGTGGACTCCGCTAGCTAAAAGTATGTATGAACTGAGAATATGGTATCATATCACTCCCCGGATTCTTTGTCACTTGCTGCTGCAAGGATTTGTCTCGTCATGGCTAGCCATGTTACGATCCATTTGGCGTCCCTCCGTTGGGATCGCTGCCGAATACGGGAAAGTTATTCGACATGTCTGCCCAGTCCCATTCGATAGTCATGGGCATCTGCCATAGATCCTGGGGGACGAAGGGTTGCTGGAAGGCTGGGAGAGGGGTGTCAGGGCTTGTTGTGAAAGGTGCTTGGTCGGCGAAATTGACACCCTCCAAGTTATTGGGACTCAGCATTTCGAAATCAGGGCCGAGTCCAGACAGGCCTTGCATGCTGTCGTGGAGAGTGGGGGTGTAGCCGTTTGTTGACGGGAGAGGTTGTGTTTGTTCGGTTGGGAAGGGTCGTGGCGGTTCACTGGGTCCGTTGCTGGCGGGAGGCTGGGTTCGAGGAGTAGAGAACGACGGCGAGAAGGGGACGTTTGTGGCGGTTGGTGGTCGCGGTGGTGCTGGGTCTGCTGGTTTGGGTGCTGGGGTAGTGGGGGGGTGATTGTTATTAGGAGCGTGTTGCGGCGCATTCTTTGCATCATCATGGGTTGCCTTGCGCTTCTTTTTCGAGTGCGAGTCCCGCTCCGCTTTGTCGAGGACTACCTGCGCGATCCGCTCAAACTCGCCACAGAGGGAAAGCATGCGCTTGACGCTTCCATTCGACTCATCCGAGACAAGCGTGGACAGGAAATTCACCACCACATTCATCAGCTTGACGTCCGAGCGCGCTCGGGCATCGTTGGGGTTCTGGAGGATGTTGGCGAATAAAGTAACCAGAGAAGAGACGGGGTAATAAAGTATCAACCTGTTCTTGTTAGATAGCTGTTGAGCCCAGGTAATGGTGTTCCCGACTTACCAAACACAGGCGAAATCACCCTGCGGTATGTATTTGATGAGGTTGATAGATGCTCGTGCAGCAGTTACACAGAGGACTGCAGACAAGAACACCCTCGGGTTCAGCGGTCTGGCATTCAGTCCCTGGATTGCGTAGTTGGAGAGTCGGCTCGTCCAGTAACCATGATGTACCGACATGCGGTGGATTGTGGTCAAGCAATTGTAATAAGAGAAATGAAGAACGACAACATGCAGGATGAGAGGCGAGTAGGTTGCTTTGATTTCGTTCTCCGGCCGGAATTCCAGAGGTATGCTGTCCTTCCATTCCTCGAGTTCCTTGTCGAGCTCACCAATTGTGTTCAGTAGTTCTCCGTCAGACTGTTTCGATGCTTTCGCAGAATAGAGTCGCTTGTACACTCGACTTTCGATGGTGGCAAAGCGACACATAGACCTGAACAGATTAAATTTGCCCCCGTCGGATAATGGGACATTGCCAATGTTGTCTGGAGGATCATCACTCGGTAGTTCAACATTCATGTCATCATCATCTTGGACAGGTGGGCGGCCGGACCGGAGACAGATGCTGTTACAACAGTTAGAACGTACCAAAATGGGGCTATTGCGTCCAACTTACTCCTTATCCAGAAGGTAAGCAATCCAGAACACCCGTTTCCGCTGTTCCACTTCCACCGGATTCAACCCAAATCCAGAGCCCCGTTTGTGGAGACCGATGCTGTGGGAGAGCCGAATGGCGGCCGCAACCAGGAAGAACGACGGCTGAGGGTTGGGCGTTCCTTGCAAGAAAAGAGACTACAGATCAATCAGCGACCGATCCTTACATACTATGGGTAAGTTCACTCACCATGCCCAGCAGCGCCTGCACGCTTAGCAGGTCCGTATTCCTCATAGTAAGCTCAGTCAAAACAGCCATGGCATTCTTCAAGTAGAGCCATCCTTTCTTATCCTCATCTTGAGGCACCAGATTACTCATAACGCGTATTCTGTGCGCGATGGCCAGGACGACATTCATGCTTGCCCACCACCCAGAGCCTTCATATGGATCTCGAGAATACTGCCGCTCGACCAAGTGCATGAAGGTCGGCTCGTGAAAGAGCGGGAACATGCAATTGAAATTTGAGAAGAAGTCTTTGAACAGAGAGATCGCCTCTTCTTTCGGAGGCAGTGGCTTGAAGACACGACGAGCAAAAATGTCGCTGAAGATTTCGGGCTTCCAATACATCCACTTGTTGTCATCGATGTAAGCGGACGAAATCATATCCTGAAACGAAGTGTCGCCCGTCTTTTCGTTGACCCACTGGATGCCCTTCGGCGAGAATATCGAAAAACCAGAAGACGATCCTGTCGCAGTTGTTAGTCGGCCCATCAAACGAATATCTTAAGGCAAGTCGAAGGCACCCACCGATATATCGTGTCTCCCCGCAATTGTTCGTCACCAGCGAACACATCATATCCGACAGACCCTCAACCTCAGTCTCTGATTCCTTCTGCGACTCTGGCGACGTAGCAGCGGTGTGCGGGCTGGACTGGGAATCTACACGCGGTGTAGAATGATGGGATGATGAGGTCTGTTGCGATTGGGCGTTGGAAGCGGAAGCACTGGATCTATTCGGACTTTTAGGACCATTGAGCCCCCCGTTCGCCAGCGATCGGTCGGCCAGGCGTTTCTCCAGCGTTCCCAGATCCGTCTTTCCGCCATCTTCCTCTGACAGGAGGCCAGAGAGACGAAGCAGCGACTCCATTCTTCCCAGCCGATTTTCCAACCCTTCGATATATTTGGCACTATGCGACGAGGGACAGTGAGCGCGAGCAGACACCGACCGGCGGTTCAGATAAGACATACCCTTTCGGCGGATTCCGTTTCTTCTCAACCTGGGTGAAGACACATTCCGTCTTGTAGTTGATGCAATGCGAGCACTTGGGCATCTTCCCGTCGCATTTGATCTTCTTCTTCCGACACATGTCGCAAGCCTATGCGGAGAACGATGAGCTCACTGAAACCTAGCGGCCATTATCAGATGGAAGGCCATCCACTCACCCGCGCGATTCTCCGTCTCTTGGGATCATTGCTGTCGTCCCCGACGCCCATCGACGGATCATCCTGGTAGACCATGTTCTGCTGCATACCTATCGGCGACCCGTCGGACCCGTAGGCACCGAAAAACTGCTGGTGGTTGCTCATGAGGATGGGCATGTCGAAGCCCATGCCCTCGGGGGCATCTCCGATGCCATCCATGGTGAAGGAGAGGCGGTATGAGGCGGTATGTCGAGGCGTAGCTAGTTGAGAGCTTGCCTATGACGGGGTGGAGTCCCAGTCTAAGCGGGTAGTGTATGCTTCAAGCGTACTGGGCGATGCGGGGTTCGTTCCCCGAAGACGTCAACCGGGGGGGAGGGAGGGAGGGAGTGCGACGGGATGCTGTCAGATAATCAAGATTCCAATAAGGAATGACTAGGGTGAGCCGGGTCAGAGTCAGTGTCCGGTGGGGAAGCGCTTTCCAAGAGGCAAAGGGGGAGGGGGAGGGGAGGGGGTGACAGTGAAAGGGAATGATGATGATGATGGGAAGAATGGCTGACAGTGTGGCTTACTCACTCACTCTCTCTCACTCAACCCGATCTTTCCCCAATACAGGCACGTGGCGAGTCGACCGCGTTGGAGCTACAACAAGTACTGTATCTTGTAGGGACAGGATGAGGGGAAGAAGAAATGACAGGTGATGTCAGGTCCTGGTAAGGAATGGAGGGACCTCGGACAATAATGATGGAACCTCGATCATGGAGCGTGGAAAAGGGAAAAAAAACGAGGCCGACATTCTAGCTTTAGATATGACTCGGAGACATCGCGAGGAGGTAAGCTAACGCCGAGGGTTGGAGTCACGTAAACGGTTGCTGCCTTTGGCAGGATGCCCTAAGCTTTGTTCTCCCCGATGCGCCCATCTGGGTATAGTAGGTATCTGCCTTGCATCTCTGCCTATCTATCTACCGACCTACCTACCCAGTACGCCGTGGGACTAGATAGATAGCTACACCTGCTACTACTATGAGTTTAGGTGCCACTAACCTCCAATGACTCGACGAAAAACCCGAGACGGCCACCTGTTTGGCGCCATCCGGACTTGACCCTGTCGTGCTGAAACCGTGGCACTGCACTCCGTATATCCCAACTCGATCAGCCCAGCACGGAATCCGCTAAGGTCCGGCTCCGTCCTGGGCGAATGAAAATTTGCTGGTGGCGGATGGCGTCTCTCCGTCCCGGCCGGCCAGCGGCTTGGCGGAAGCCCGAATTCGAAGGGGGATTTCTGGCAAACGACGCGCGCTGGGTCAGCCTGCCTGCCCGTCGGCCAGTCGGACCCCCGCCTTCCCGGCCGCCTTTCTTTGTCGGTCGACCTCGTATGGAGAAGTTAATCAGGGGGCATGTCGACTGGATGTGGTATGCTGTACGTTCGTTGTACGTATCACGTCGAATGAGTCTCATCCTTGTTTTTTTCGTATTCGCGGGCGCCTACGCAGTCCTATCTGCTACTGTACCGCAACACACATGGTCAAGTCACGCATACTATAGAAGCAGCTGCCCAGCGGTGCCACGCTTGTTCATTGCTGCAGCAATGCTGCAGGCGGATAAAAGCAACGGAAAGATTTCCATGGGCGTTGAGCACGTACTATATTCGGCAACGCGCTCGCGAGTGCTCAATTAAGCAAATGCAGGCCCGCGCGAGCATGGGCAAAGTAAAAATTGCAGATAATGGTACAGTTATATATTCAAGAGCGGCGATCTCATCAGGATATAGTGACAATGTAAAAGCCCCGTACGGAGCACGAAGAGATATCTCTCGTCGTCGCAAAATCCCACCAACGCCTCGCTATGCACCCAAAGAAATTCTCTTGTACAATAAACGATGCCTAAAGCATCATGTATATCTCCAGGCTTCCTCCTCAAATCCACTGACGCCCGAGCCGGTCGTCGACGGAGAACGTGTTCTGGAAGACCCTAGGTGTTCTTGTCGAGGAACTCCTTGGCCTCGTTGATCTTGGTCGCGAGATACGGGCTGCCGCCGCGATCGGGGTGGTTGAGAAGCATGAGCTGGCGGTGCTTCTTGCGGACCTTGTCCTTGTTCAGAGTGCGCTCCCTATCGGCTTAGTTAGACATATTCAAAGATACCGGGGGTAGACGGGTCGACATACGGGAGTTCCAGGATCAAGGAGGCTTCACGGCGAGTCATCCGCTGATCAAAGCCACTGTATGCGCGTTAGCGGTCCGCGGATATCTCATGACGTCCATGCTATACAACTAACCCCTTGTAGAAGGCCTTTCCCACGGCATTCACGCCTCCCTGGGAACGGCGGTAGGCAACGAGACCCGCACGACCCTGATAGACGAAGGTGAGATGTTAGCCGTTCTGTTATCTGTGCTGCGGAGTCCACCCCGGGATCCTGATCCTAGCTTACCAAAAAGGCGGCGGTAGCGATACCAAAGCCAACAGCAAGAGCGGAAGCCATGTTGAAGCAGTCGAACGACGGGTCAGAAAAGAAAGAGACGTGGGGGGAGAGTCGAGGCACCAAGGGACACGGGATATCGAAGGAGTGACGTTGGGGAGAAGCGGAAGTCCAGATAAAAAATCGGAGCGGCGCCGCATTGCCCGGTTGGGTTTAGCGCCGGTTGCTCCACGCTTCAATTTTTGATGCGGTTCCTGTCCTGAGGGTCGGAGATCTTCTCTTCACGACGGTGGGATAGGAGTTCATTGCGACTTCTGACCTCAGCTTTCGGTTTTCGACTTTCTCTCTCCATACCCGACCGCCACTCCCGGGCTTACACAGGTCAACCCACTCGCCCAACATGAGGTGAGTCTCAGTCTCTGTCTCTCAGTCTACGGCGTCGTCCGCCCGCCCGATAAACTTTTTGCCTGCTGCGAGAACTTGCTGGCTGACTCCCCCCCGACAGAGTCGAAACGTGCCATTTCTGCTCTAGGCCCGTCTACCCTAGCAAGGGTATTCAGTTCGTCCGTAACGATGCCAAGGCCTTCAGATTCTGCCGAAGCAAATGATAAGTCCCGCCTCCCCGGTCTGGCCAGGTGCAAGCTAACTCCTCCTTCACCCATCAGAACTTCAAGGCCAAGCGGCAACCGAGACGTGTGAAGTGGACCAAGGCCGGTCGCGCCGCCAAGGGCAAGGAGATGATCGTCGACTCGTCGCTGGTGCTGTCCCAGTTCGCCAAGAAGCGCAACGTCCCCGTCAAGTACGACCGCAACCTGGTCGCCGCCACGATCAAGGCGATGGAGAGAGTGGAGGAGATCCGGACGCGCAGAGAGCGGGTGTTCACGAAGCGTCGGTTGGCGGGCAAGCTTGCGCGGGACCGCAAGCGCGAGGAGGACCGCAAGGTGGTCATGACCGGCGAGCACCTCATCCGCAAGGAACTCCGCGAGCGGGAGGAGGGTCAGCCTCTGGTGGCCGACAAGACGAGCAAGCTGCACGGCGAGGAGCGGCTCCGGCAGAAGAAGAAGACCCGTGTACTGGTGGATGGTACCACCCAGGAGGAGATGGATCTCGATTAAAGGGCATGCGTTTCCTACGTTTCTTTCTGTCCGACTGTATAGGTCGGGTTCGATACCTTGAGGTTATGATGGAGTTGGGTTCGTTCTGTGTTTCAAGCTTTTCCTATCCAAAAGTATCCAGTATCCAGTGGTCTCTGGGATGAACTTTCATGTCCGAATTGGTTTCTTTGCAGGTATATTGACTTAATCATACAAAAGACTTGCTCTACAGTTTGAGGCCGTAAGGTAGATAGATATCTGTAATGATCCGGACAGGTGGCCCCTGATAGACCTGACAGACTCTGACAGACTCTGATAGACCCCGATAACCCCAGTAATAGCACCGCATACGTAATAATAACTCTTGCATGTCTCGATCTAGTGGATGACGATATCCCCGTCCACTGACTTCCTTCGGGTTCTGGCCGGCGAGGCGGTGGGCGGATGAGTCAGCCGGCCGCTGGAACGGCGAAAATCGAAGGCGGCGGGAAACGGTGAACCAAGTCGAACTTCGTAGCCGCCATCAGCTCCCCAGAGCTTTCCAATACCCCCGCGCCTCCTCCAGCCTCCCTCCTCCCCCTCCCCCCGAAAAGAGGGCCCGTATGGATTCGACGGCCTCCATATTCAATTGATACATCCGAACTTTCACCCTAGACCTTAGCCTTCGGGCTCGTCTTCCTCGACCATGGCCTCCTTGCTCCGACGGCCAGGCAATCTTGCTCGATACTCGAGGAGAGCCGCGGACTGCTTCTACCGCGCAGGACCGCTCTCTGCGCACGCACCGCAATCAAGACTTTCATCGCTGATCCTCGCCCACCGGACGAGGACATATGCCACCCAGCCCGACGGCAAACCGAATCCCCCGAATGACAAGGACAGCAAGACACCGAGCTCGGGATCCGGACCCAAAAATAATGGCGGACAGCCGAAGGAGCCTCAATCGGTCCTCAGTCAGGAGGAGCAGGAGATGCTTGACCGGTTCACCAGATCCGCCAAGGAACATGTGTCGGGCAAGCACCAAACGATGCTCGATGACGTGCGCACAGTGATCATGCGAGACGGGTTCCCTCCGGAGTTGAAGGCCTTCATCCAAGAGCGTCTGAAGTCAACGAAGCCTGTATCGATCATGGACTACGTGAACTTGACGCGCCATGCGTCGAAACACCTCAAAGGGTTAGCTGCTAAGTTGGAGGAGTTAGAACGGGAGAGGTCGGGGAGGGCCCCGGCGAATGCGGAAGAGCAAAAGCAGAAGGAGCAGCAGGCTCGTTCGGAAGATTCGCAAGGCCAGAGTTCCGGGGGCAAATCCAACAACCAGAAGACTCCGGAATTCAAAGTACGAGAAATCAAACTGGACACGCCTACCATTATCATCAGCCTGTTTGTCACCTACTGGATTTGGAGCAGCCTCCAGGGTGAAAGTTCCAGGGATATTACCTGGCAGGAATTTAGAGCGGACTTCCTGGACAAGGGCCTGGTCGAGAAGCTGACCGTCATCAACGGCAACAGAGTCCGGGTAGAACTGCGCCGTGACGCGGTGTTCCAAGTTTCCCAGGATGGTCCTTCTACCAATCCTCTTGTCTACTACTATTTCACGATTGGCTCTGCCGAGGGCTTTGAACAGAGACTGGACCTAGCCCAGAGGGAACTCGGAATCCCCCCCGCCGAACGGATTCCCGTCACCCACCGGCAGGAAATTTCCTGGGTTTCTACGCTGTTTTCGCTTGCCCCCACGGCCATTGTCATGCTTGGTCTGTATTATATGACGAGACGTGCCGGTAGCGGAGGTGGCCAGAGTGGGATATTTGGCATTGGTAAGAGCCGGGCCAAACGGTTCAACCATGAGACCGATATCAGGACTAAGTTCGCCGACGTGGCTGGAATGGACGAAGCTAAGGTGGAAATCATGGAATTCGTCAGCTTCCTGAAGAACCCTAAGAGGTTCGAGAAGCTGGGTGCTAAGATTCCTCGTGGTGCCATTCTGTCGGGTCCTCCCGGTACTGGTAAAACGCTCCTGGCGAAGGCCACGGCTGGCGAATCCGGTGTGCCGTTCTTCAGTGTCAGTGGTTCGGAGTTCGTGGAGATGTTTGTCGGTGTTGGTCCTTCCCGAGTTCGTGATCTGTTTGCCAACGCTCGGAAAAACACGCCGTGCATTATTTTCATTGATGAGATTGATGCCATTGGTAAGGCGAGAGGCAAATCGACTCACGGTGGCGGCAATGATGAGCGTGAGAGCACCTTGAACCAGATCCTGACCGAAATGGACGGCTTCAACAGTTCGGAACAAATTGTGGTGTTGGCTGGTACGAACAGACCCGACGTTCTCGATAAGGCTTTGATGCGTCCCGGACGTTTCGATCGACACATTTCCATCGACAGACCCACCATGGATGGCCGTAAGCAGATCTTCGGCGTCCACCTGAAGAAGATCGTGACGAACGAGGATATCGAATACCTCAAGGGTAGACTTTCAGCTTTGACTCCCGGGTTTGCTGGTGCTGATATTGCTAACTGTTGTAACGAGGCTGCTCTGGTTGGTATGTTGACTCGTTCCCGTAAAACGGAAAAAAAAAAAATCGAAAGTCACGAACAAATAACTAACTATTATGTCCAGCCGCTCGTGAAAACGCCGACACCGTCACCATGAAGCACTTCGAGACAGCGATTGAACGTGTGATTGGTGGCTTGGAGAAGAAATCCCTTGTGCTTTCGCCCGAGGAGAAGCGTACTGTTGCCTACCACGAGGCCGGCCACGCCGTCTGTGGATGGTACTTCCGTTGGGCCGACCCTCTCCTCAAGGTGTCCATCATCCCCCGTGGCCAAGGCGCTCTGGGCTATGCCCAGTACCTGCCGGCGGGAGGTGACACTTACCTGATGAACCGCCGCCAGTTCATGGACCGCATGGCCATGACTCTGGGAGGACGTGTCAGCGAGGAGCTGCATTTTGAGACCGTCACCAGCGGAGCCTCCGACGACTTCAACAAGGTCACGAAGATGGCCAGCGCCATGGTGACGAAGTTCGGCATGTCTCCCAAGCTGGGCTACATCTACTACGAGGATGATCCCCAATCCCAGATGCTCAAGCCGTTCTCCGAGAACACGGCCCGGGAAATCGACGAGGAGGTCCGTCACATCATCGCGCAGGCCTACCAGCAGTGCCACACCCTCCTCACTGAGAAGAAGAAGGAAGTCGGCATCGTGGCCGAGGAACTCCTGTCCAAGGAGGTCCTCAGCCGTGACGACATGATTCGTCTTCTTGGCCCTAGGGAGTGGCCTGAAACCGGCGAGTTCGCCAAGTACTTCGACGGCCGCGGCACCATCTCTCCCCCCGAGCCTACCCAAGTGGACGACGCCACCGAGGGCAAGGATGGCCGAGACTCGACTCCCATCCTCCCATCACAATAGACGCTTTCCATCTATCCTCCTTGTGTGAGCAGGCGATATCACGGCTGAACGAGGGGTGCAGGTGCATGAAACACATCATATATCATATTCTCTTTTTTTTTATTCTTTCTCATTCATCTGCTTGGGTTGGGTTTTGTATTTATTTGACACGGAGCATCTCCTTTCCGATATCTTTTTTTTCTCTGCAAAGGCTTTTTTTTTTACTTTTCCTCATTTTATCTTCTGCCTCATGCTGTCTCCATAAATATTAGGATATGTATGCCTTCACCCCCCACCGCCCCTCCCCTCCCTCTCCCCTCTTCACGTTGTCTGGGTATTTACGTGTATTGCCTGCTCCATCATCTCTACTCCTTGCCCCGATCCATCCATCCATCCCTGATACCACCACCAGCTCTTCCCCCGTCTCCTCGTTCGCTTTCTCCCAGGCTCTCTCTCTCTCTCTCTCTCTGGGAAGGTTTCCAGTGTATTGTACTTGTATAGTAGGTAGTCAGTCATAGTTTTATTGATATCTTTGATGTCTAGAAGGCCGTTCACTGGTTGTTTAGTGGGGTTTATGGTGTTCATGTAGTTATTTTTTTAACTTCCGACTTCCGACTTCTGGCACTAACTAGATTACATCTACTCGAATGCTAGAGAATGATCACATGAGGTGACTGTAGATTTATCTGAAGGAGTAAGATTCTTCATGATGTACTGCATGAAGCGGCTACCTACTTAGCTCTGGCTGGTAAATAGCAGAACACAACAGGACAGGACAGGACAGAACAGAACAGAACAGGAACACAGGCTACCCACCAACAGACAACAAACAACAAACACCAAAACCCCACCGGCCTAATCAACCTAGTCCTAGTATACGCCCGTTTCAACCAGAATCGGAAGAAAAGAAATTTTCGTTGATAAAAGATGAAGGTAGGGAGCGAAGATGAGAAGGTGTGAAGAAGAAGGGAATAATAATATAAGGTATGTTTTCAAGAAATCTTCAATGCCAAATATGTACTCCAAGAAGTTGTAAATCCAAGAGAAAAGAGAAAGAAGGGGAAAAGATCAGACAAGTATTGAGTAGATTCAAGAAAGCCCGCTACGAATCAACGACGCGGGCTAATATATGAAGATGAGGAAGATGACTGGGTAGGTAGCCAGCCATATGCTCACTGGCTCTTCTTGTCTGTCTCCTCGGTCTGCTCGGTGGCAGGTTGACGGGACTTCTTTTTGCCACTGCTCTTGTACTTGGGCTTGACGGACAGACGAGGGATGAAGCGTCCGACACGGGCCTGGTACTCGCGGTATTCGGGATACTTGCTGGCGCTGATGGACTCGGTGAGACGAGTGCTACCCTGGAAGATGAGGAGGTAGCCCAGGAGGCCGATACCAGTCCACTGGATGTAGGACTCGGTGCGGTAGGCGTTCCAGAGGTACAGGGTAAGCCAGATGGCCTGCTCGCAGACGAAGTTAGGGTGGCGGGACAGAGACCACAGGCCGCTGACGACGAATCCGCGCTCCAAGTCCTCCGGGGTGTAGTTGGCCTTGTACTGGTCGGGAATGCGGGCATTCTTCTGGTACTCCTCCTTGGCGGACTGGAAGTTCCACTGCTGCTGGTCGGCGAAGTATTCAATGATGATGAAGAAGAAGGCGACGCGGGAGAAGGCGAGGTCGGGGACCTCGAAGGCCTTCTGGTCCAGACGGGAGAGAAGGAGGAAGTTGTAGGTCGGGGTCGTGATGGCGAGGAGCAGCAGGGACTGCGCCAGGCTGATGAAGACGATGTTGAAGATGAAGAACACGAACCGGTTGTTCACCTTCGAGCGCACGATCTGCCACCGGTAGTCCTCGGAGCCGATGGAGTAGCCGCCTCGACGCCAGTAGTTGAAGGTTAGGCGGGCCTGGACGGGTTAGCTTCGATAGAAGGGAAAAGGGTGAGCGCAGGGTCTTACACTCCACATCAAGGTGATGACCGCGATGGTATCCAGGCTCTGGGTCCGGAGACCCGACAGGCGCGCCCAGACGGCGAAGTGCACATTGTAGACGGCGGGCAGGATGCTCCAGAACCGGTCAACCTGGGAGTAGTTCCGGTTGATCTCGGAGAAGAGGAGGAAGAGAATGGAGAGGAAGAGACTGGTGGCCAGGGCCGTGACGAGAGGGTTGGTGGAGAGGTAGATGTCCTTCAGGATGTCGACATCCTTGGCCTCGGCCGCAATCTGCAGTCGCTCGGGAAGCGCGGCGAGTTGCGACAGGAAAGGTAGGACGGTGTGACCGAAAGAAGCACAGTCCGTGACGGACTTGACGTCAGGGAGTGGTAGCGCCATGTTGGTAAGCTGGACTGCTTGCTGCTGGGGTGATTGCAAAGCTGTCGCATGCAAGTGGAGAGAAAGTAGAAAAGGTGGCCGCGAAAACATAACAAGCACAACAACAACCAACAGCCTAACAACAGCCGAGCAACCGTGTGCACAGGCCTCAGGCCGCTGGGCATCGTGCCGCCGCTTGCCCCGCTCGGGACTAGTGTGGTAGAGCTGTCACTGCCTCAGGCAGGCAGACCCTCACGCCGGCATACCCTCAGGCATCAAGGCAACCCCCCCCGCCCTCTTGCCTTCCCGTGATCCTCGCGTCTTTTTCGTGTTCGGAGCTTCAAGTCCGAAAACCACTCAGCCATGCCCACCAATTCGTCGCCGGCTGGGCATTGCAAATGAGGAGATGCCGTGGACGCGCTCGAGTGGTGCTTCCTGATCTGGACCTACGGTCATGCCTGTCCCCAGGGTGCTGTGCGTGGCAGAAAAGCCTGCCATCGCCAAAGCTGTGGCCCAGCACTTGTCCGGAGGGTCCTTCCGAACAGTAAGTGGCTTTTGACCGGACCGGTCGTGGAAGCAGTGGATGCTGAAGTAGAAGTAGATAGCCATCCAGGGGAACCAATACGTGAAGAATTATGTATTTGAGTTCAATTTCGGCGCGCCTTGGGGCTATTGCTCCGTAACCATGACCAGCGTCATCGGACACTTGACGAGTCTGGATTTCGAGCGTCAGTACAAAGCCTGGCTGTCGTGTCCACCGGCGGCGCTGTTTGAGGCTCCAGTACTCGAGACTGTGGACCATGTATGCAATCCATGATGCTTTGGGGCAGACGACTGTATACTAATCCTTGAACAGGATAAAGTAGCCATTGCAGCGAACATCCAAGAGCAGGCCCAAGGAAGCAAGGCCCTTTTTATCTGGACCGATTGCGATCGAGAGGGTGAGCATATTGGGACGGAAATCCGCAAACAGGCCAAGGAAGGGAACCCGCGAATTCTCGTCAAACGAGCGAGATTCAGCAATACGGAGAAGGCGTGAGTACCGGTCCACATATTATGTGCCATACAGCTGACCTTTCCTTCCAGCCATGTTCTTAGTGCTGCTCGAGCACTCATCGAACTCGATGACCTCCAGGCAAACGCGGTAGCAGCGAGAATCGAGCTCGATCTTCGCATTGGTGCTGCGTTCACACGCTTGCAAACCCTGCAACTGAAGCCTCTTTCTGCAGCTCTGAAGGATACCGTCATAAGTTATGGTATGCCGCTCCCACCCCGTGGGCTGCCAAATCGTGACTACCTGCCTAACCATCGAGTAGGGTCCTGTCAATTTCCAACCCTCGGCTTCGTGGTCGACCGCTACCTTCGAGTAAAGAACTTCAAACCTGAGTCTTTCTGGGGCATCAAAGTCATGCATTCGCGAGAAGACATCAAAGTCAACTTCCTGTGGAAGCGCGTCCATCTCTTCGACAGAGCTGTTGTGACGGTGATGTTGGAGCGGTGCTTGAAGGCAAAAAAGGCCAAAGTTACCAAGGTCAATCAAAAGCCAACGAGCAAGTGGAGGCCTCTGCCATTGACTACTGTCGATCTGCAAATGATGGGTAGTAGATTCCTACGCATGGACAGTCAAACAATCATGAAGGTAGAACATGCACCTCGGTCATATATTCATGCCATCACCACTTACACTTCTTAGGTCGCAGAAGGCCTCTACACGAAGGGCTTCATCAGCTACCCCCGTACCGAAACAGACCAGTTCGACAAGGCAATCGACCTGAAGAAACTGGTCGAGAAACAACTCCCCGACGGAAACTGGGGCCAATACGCTCGAAAGTAAACACCCCCCAACCCCCATCCCCCTGCAGCTACTAACCACACCAGTCTCCTCGATGGCGCATTTCGAACGCCCCGCGCAGGCCGACACAATGACCAAGCCCATCCGCCCATCCACCCCATCTGCTGGGTCGCGCCCACTGCCCTAACCGCCGACGAGAAGAAAGTCTACGAATTCGTCGTGCGCCGCTTCCTCGCATGCTGCTCCGAGGACGCAAAAGGTCAAACCAGCGAAGTCGAGATCCAATACGGCGACGAATTCTTCCACGCCAAGGGCCTCCTCGTGCTGGAACGAAACTACCTCGACGTCTACGTCTACGACAAGTGGGAGAGCAGCCAACAACTACCCAATTTCCAGATGGGAGAGCTCTTCGAACCCACCGAAGCTAAGATCTTCGACGGCAAAACATCACCCCCGAACTACCTCACGGAACCAGAACTGATCGGGCTCATGGATGCTAATGGAATCGGCACGGACGCGACCATGGCCGAACATATTGCCAAGATTAAGGAGCGGCAGTATGTTGCTGTTCATTCGCGCGGAAGCGGTCGAAATGCGACGAAGGAGCTGATCCCGACTCGGCTGGGGATTGCGTTAGTCGAAGGGTATGACAATGTCTTTGCGGGTATGCCTGATAGCCCGTCCTTGAGTAAGCCGTTCCTCCGTAAGGAGATGGAGCTCCGTATGCGTGAGATCTGTGCTGGGTCTAGGACTCGGCATCAGGTTGTGCAGGAGGGTCTGGATATGTACCGGGAGGTTTTTGTACATACGCAGCGGAGGATCAATATGTTGAAGGAAGCGTGTCGGAAGTATCTGAATGAATCCGCGGCTTAGGAAGGGATTATGTTTGGAGTTGTGTTTGTGTTGGCTGGATATGATATGATTTGATACCCTTCATCAGTGGATTCTAATAGATTCTGATATTCATCATGATCAAGTGGTGTGACATAACCCAGCAGTAGCAGAGGAGCCGATCCCACTACCACTATATGCGGACCAGGCAGGTGCCACCCACCCATCCTTCCCGAGTGGGAGGGTATGGAGACGCAGTTTAGTCGGGTTGTTATGATTTCTGACACTCTCTCTCCGCCATAGTTCATTCTTATTCTCAGCATTATCTGAATTTTCCTTTCCCCCCCCCCCCCCTCCCCTTTTCAAACGGCGTTAACAGTGTTCCCTCGTCCTCTCCTATTAACTACCTTATACTTATCACTACCGGCACACAGACGTGTACGTATATGCTCTACCACATCCTGTCATAACGCGTCCAGGTCTCGCCACAGCTTGGTTTGATCGAATCCCTTATTGCCATATCTTCCATGCATGCAATGTGCTGATGATGTTCTATTCCATCTTTCTGCCTGTCTAGGATTCATTCAAACGAAGATGTCTCAACCACAAGCTCAACCCCCCCAATCCACGAATCATGAATATAAGAAGCTGAAAAAGTCGGACATCTGGAAATGGTTCAACTGTCAATCGTCCAGGCATGATCAGCGACTGATTAGGAGCATGGTACTGAAAATATTGCGGGATAACAACCTTCTCACTGCTAAAGTCAGGGATAACGAAGACCGTCAAAACATGGAGTTGCTACTTGAGAATTATATTGATAGGTGCCCGGGATTGGTGCGTGAAAAGTACGAGGAGAGTCCTGATAAGACAATGTATTATCTGCGGAGCTTGATGCTTCAGGAAAGGAGAAGCTTTAAGCACAACGCTAGGCGACAAGAAAAGAGAGATACAACAAGAAGAAATCACCACCGTGACGGGCTTGATGATACGGGTGAAGTAGACGATTACGATATCAACAATCCAGATGAAGATGAAGGTAAAGAGGATGAACAGGACAGTGAAATGGAAAGAAGAGTGGTGATATCTGCCAACTGTCATAACGATGCCACAAGCTCCCTTGCCATCGTTCCCACCGCTGAAGATCGCGACCGCAACTGCAGGCCAAATGAGGAAATGCCGACTGAAGTAGACCCACCAAGCTCCACAAAGGATATATCATCTGTATTACCATCCTGCGAGTCTAGGGAACGAGACTTGACAGCACAACAGCGAGGCAGGTGTGCAGTGACCCGTGTCCCGAGTGTGGCATCAGAAGTGCAGCACAATACTCCAGCGCATTTCTCAGCCAACCACATAAGAGACTACCACAGCCACGATGCTAGACATAATACTGATCCAGACTATGCATACGCACCGAGTTGGTCCTACTTTTTTGCGGGCTCCCAAGAGGATGCCACAGAACAAGAGCTTGATGCTTGCGACTACAGGGAAAACGCTGACCACAATTTCGGCGCAATCCTAGAGCATCCTACCTGGCAATCATCCCCCATTACTGATAGGCGACCTGATCTGGATGCCCAGGTTCCGCAAGGGACTGGATTTAGCAATGAGAATGAATATACCCAGGTACGCGGTACGCCTGGACTGGACGGGCTGGATAGGGGGAACAACCCGGGGGATCAAGAAAGGAGTACTGTGGAGGCAGTGCAGTTGAGCACCGGATTGGGGACGGGCCTACAGCTCCCCCCGACCATGTATAGCGTCTATGACTTCTTGCAATACCTGCACCTCCTTCTGGGAGAGAAGCTGGAAGCCCTACGTAAACACCAGTCCCTCGAGGACGACGAACGCTCCCGTCTGCTCCATCGCATCCGCGATCTCGAAGGCGAGGTTTTCGACCTCCGCCGCGGCATCTTTAGGGAGCGTCGAGGGGACCCGGATCAACCACCACCACACCCATACATGTAATAAGCCTTGATGTGATGAGGAAAAGGAGCTGCGAGTCAAAGAAAAAGAGGAGGAGGGATAAGGGAAAGACAGAGCTTGGTTAGAATAATTCTATTATTACTAATTATATGGGCATCCACGTCCGCAGGTTAAAACAGTTACTGATACCAGAGAAGGTGACAGCTTATTGCCTCCACAGATTATGTACTGACCGATCTGTCAATCACAGAGCGGGAGATACTGGATATCCATCGAGAAATCAAGGAATGGCTGATCAAGGGAGAGGCATTGTGACGACGAAGTTGTGTAGTACTTGTCATCAAATATATGTTTAGCTGGAGATTACTCATATTAATTCAGCTGGTTTCGGGTTCCATCCAGTACCTTTTCTTAAGGGTTGCGGTTAGTTGCTGGTATATATCTCAGTTAATCAGTGTTCTCTTCTGGAAGATAAGTCTGAGTGCGCTTGCCAATTAATTTAAGATGAAGTTACAGCCATAGGGGTGGAGTAGGGGATAGTAGCACGTCGATAATTATCTTACAGTAGCTGCCTGCCATGGATTAGGGTTATTGAATACATGTAGCAAAGGCCTAATTAGCATCTGGTTGTTGTTTGCTATTGGTATTTACCTGATCGGATTTGGATCTTGTGTAGACTGCTACTACTAACCACTAAATAGTTAATAGCTGTATAGAGTCGGGCCCTGTTAGAGCTAGCCTAGGATAATGTGGTTTTTTAAGATGTTGTTCGGAATGGCTACCTTACCTTCATTGTAGTTCTTTACATAAGGTTCAGAGAGTTGGGCTGGTGAGACTTTTTCTCTCATAGATTATATTGAGAGATACATGAAATCTTTTGCCCTTGGAATATAGCCCTCGGCTTGTATACAATTATAGAACAAGTAATTGAGAAGAGTGTATATAGGCTGACAAAGCATACATATATAAGCAATATGGCGAGTATTGAGTATCCTGTAATATTGCAGTCACTTCTTCTATTCCCTTCCCTCCATGTATCCAGATTCCAAGGACAGTGTTGTCTCAAGTGTCGGATCCGAGACTTTTACTTGACGGGTCAGGAGATTACGACTACCTACATTCATCTACACCCACAAACGAGCCCTATATTCACAGCGTCGCTGAGCCGATTTCTGCTCATTCCAGGCTGTTATAAAACCCCTCAATTCTCGCGCAAAGAGTCCTTCTTTTTTTCTCCCTCCATCTACCCAGATACTTGTTCTTAGCTACAGCTACTTGAACTATTGAATACTCTTCACTATTCACATATTCTCCGGATATAATTTTATTCACCATGTATTCTTGCATCGCTGCCCTCGTCACTGTTGTGACAATTCTTGTTAGCATGTTGCGACCCATCTCCCAGGATGGGCTTGTCTTGCCTTCCGGTCTCCCGGGGGCAGTGCCGACTTCGACCCCCTCGCCGGTCTTTACTCTCTCGTTCCCCGACGAGCCTATCTTCTCACCACTGGCATCTCACCTGGCAAACGACCCCTACCCCTGGCGCAACAAGCAGCCCATTCGGGATGCAAATTTTGCATTGTTGACCGGCGCCGTCGAGGGGTATATCGATTCTGGGGCTTGGGAGTATGACCTCCTCTATGGCGACACCAATACCACCACGGAGGTCATTCCCCCAATGAATGAAACGGAGGGAAGTTCTAACAGAACTGGTGCCTCATGGTGCGAGCGAGCGGAGCAGTGGCTCATCGATCTCGTTGACGGCCTTGCTGTCAGTGACAGCATGGTCGAACAACATACGCCCGACCCCTGGGCTTTCCCCCTCGGTGCGTTGTATCTCTTCTTACTTCTATCGATCCTAGTCCTACATTGCTATGTGGGATCTAGCGACACCGCGGAGGAGGAAGCCGGGGCGAGAGGCCAAGCCACCGCGGAGGAAGGGACTGGTCGACGCGGGGTCCGCTTCGATGATGTCCCCGAGATCATCGAAGTGCCGGCTCTCGACGTCGAAAGCACGACAATGGACGAGGTCCTGAGTCTGCTTGGGGAAATCCAAGAGGACATGGCTGGGCTAGCTGGCAGAATTGATCGTCTCTCGTCAAAGATGGGGAGTCACATCGAACACCTGGCGGATCGGATTTCGGATGCGGATAACCGATCACGCGTGCTACCCCTTCTAGATTGGGAGGAGGAACGATTCAATTCGTTCTGGGTAGTGCTTGAGGACCATGTCCAAGAGTCGTTCCAGGAACAGCTAGCCCGGGTGAGTGAGGTCGCCGAAGTAATACAGCGCGCTGGTCAGGACTTGTTACAGCCCGATGAGTACGAAGCTCTGACCAGGAATCTCTGTGATGAGATTGACTACTCCCTCGGGGTAGTCACTAAGCTCAGACAGCGCGTTGCTTCGGAGGCGTCCTCCTCATAACCGTCCTCGCGCCCTCTGAGGCCTCCTGACCGTCAGGAAGAACTGGCGGACAGACGCCGGACCCGGACCGACTCATCTGCATCATCTTAAAGCGCCATGCCTCATGGCATGGCCGTGCGGCCGGGGAAGGAGGGCAGGATTTAGGAAGAGCGTGGCCCGGAATCTGGGGGGAGGGCTGGTAACGACTTTCTCACGCGGCGATCGCCAGAGGAGCTTGAGAAGGGCGCAGGTGCGGAACGGGGATCCGTATCCGGCGTTCATTCAAGACAGCTCGCTTTCGTTTGCGATGGACCAGTCCCCCGACAGATGGCCCGTGGGTGAGGAAGAAGAACAAGAAGCACAAGAAGCTAGTCGGTTTCGGCTTTGGTCTTGGTGGCAAGATCGAGTCTTTAACTGCTCTGCGGATGATGGTCTTCTTCTTCGGGATTTATCCCGTGTAGGTGTTGTGGGTCGGTGTTGGATAGATGGACAACGAGCTAGATGAATGTACCACTTTGTTGACTAGTTGATCTTGGGAAGGCATGGCACTGTTGGGATTTATACCTCCCTCGTGTTCTTTGGATAGCCTCGACCAAACCATCTGCGTCCGAAGATACGGGTAGTGTGACTGAATTGATTTGTTTGTCAGGGCCATGGAATTTCAAGGGCATCTTCATATCTCTGTTTGGAATCAAAATATCAGAAGGAAGAAGAAACAAATGTTGTTGTAAACCGTAGGGAAGTAAAAGGTGGGCAATTGCCACTCCTCCATCCCGCAGAATGTTGTAAGCCCACGCACTACTTAGCCCGTAAAGTAAGCACCACAGAAAGCCACTAATGCCACGGCCAATGATGTCATGTGCTTTCGCGTCCCGCCTCCGTCCCAATCGGGCAATATCACGCGTCTGCCTACGCCTTGCACCATCTTTCTGCCTTGAGCTCGTCGGCCTTTATCAACAGCGCTTCTGGCTTCTGCTGGGCTAAGCCTAGTCTTTATTCTGTCTTTTTGGTCTTTACTCCCGCAACCATGGCCGAAAAAGAGGCGACGGTCTACATCGTGGACTGTGGAAGGTCCATGGGCGAGCGCCGCAATGGTCGGTCAGTGACGGATCTCGAATGGGCTATGCAGTATGTTTGGGACCGCATCACAGGGACGGTGGGTTTCTCTTCTTGGATAATCTTGCTTTTTTTTTTTTTTTTTTTTGCCCGGTGCTGATTGTTCTCCGCAGGTCGCGACGGGGCGCAAAACGGCTCTGGTTGGGGTGGTCGGGTTGCGGACTGATGGTAAGTTGGTGTGATGCTGGAGGCGGGTTGGAGCTAATAGGGGCAGATACTTTCAATGAACTTGACGACGATCCGGAGTTCTCGCGTATATCTGTGCTTTCGGGTCTGAAACAGTATGTTGCATTCATGGTAGGGGGTTAGTGGCGTCGCTAACGGAGTAGGTTCCTCATGGAGGATATCCGACAGTTAGGCGAACAGATCAAGCCCAGCAATACGAATAAGGGAGATGGTAGGTGTATCTACACTGCTGTGGTATGCTTTGCTAACTATTGTAGCCATCTCTGCCCTTGTTCTGGCTATCCAGATGATCATCACGCAATGCAAGAAGCTCAAGTATAAGCGCAGGATTGTCCTGGTGACCGATGGTCAGGGTCCGATGAGTTCCGAGAACCTCGACCAGATCACCAAGAAGATCAAGGAGGACAATATCGAGCTGATTATTCTGTTCGTGTCTTTTAACCTAATCTGTGGACGGATCACTAATTTGCGGTAGGGGGCCCGACTTTGATGATCCTGAATATGGAGTGAAAGAGGAGGATAAAGATCCGCGAAAGGTATGCCAATTGTCTATACAATAGGTGTAGTTTCTGATGATGATTATTGCAGGCTGAGAACGAAGCGCTGCTGCGCAGTCTCGCCGAAGACTGTGATGGAGCCTATGGAACATTGGAGCAGGCCGTGGCGGAGTTGGAGATGCCCCGTGTGAAGAATACCAGGATAATGGCCACTTTCAAGGGCTTCCTTCAACTAGGCGACGCAGAGAAATATGATACTGCGGTGCGCATCCCTGTGGAACGGTACTACAGGACCTACTCCGCGAAACCCCCCTCTGCGAGCCAGTTTGCTCTACGATCCGACCTGGCAGAAGGACAGACACAATCCTCGGCAACGGTGGCGGGCAACGAAGAGTCCCAGACCGACGGTAGCTCCCTTACAACCATACGCAACCTGCGGACGTACCAAATAACCGATGAAACCGCCCCAGGTGGGAAGAGGGATGTGGAGCGGGAGGACCTTGCCAAGGGCTACGAATATGGCCGGACGGCAGTCCATATCGACGAGACCGACGCGAACATCACGACTCTCGAAACAAGAGCGGCTATCGAGCTTGTGGGCTTTATCCAGAGCGACCATGTAAGTCCCTTCGACAATCTTGCTGGGTAAAACACTAACTGAACTGTTTAGTACGACCGATACATGCACATGTCCACGACCAACATGATCATTGCTCAGCGCGCCAACGACAAAGCATCCCTCGCTCTCTCCTCCTTCATACACGCGCTCTTCGAGCTAGAATGCTACGCCGTCGCTCGCTTGGTCATGAAGGAGAACAAGGCCCCGACCATGGTCCTGCTTGCGCCGTCGATCGAACCCGACTACGAATGTCTCCTTGAGGCACAGCTGCCATACGCAGAGGATGTCCGAACATACCGATTCCCTCCCCTCGACAGGGTAATCACGGTGTCTGGCAAGGTGGTGACACAGCACCGGAACCTGCCCAATGACGATCTGCTCGATGCCATGGACCAATATGTCAAGAGCATGGAACTTAACGATACGGATGAGAATGGGTAAGTCGAACAGTACCCCAGCATATACACCACTCACACGCGGAGCAGAGAACCAACGGAATCCCTCCCAATCGACGACTCTTTCTCGCCGGTCCTGCATCGAATCGACGCAGCGATCCGTCACCGTGCCACCCATCCCAAAGAACCAGTTCCTCCCCCCGCAAAGATCCTCACCAGATTCTCCCACCCCTCCGAAGACCTAGTGGAGCGGTCCAAGAAATGTCTCGACAAGCTAATCGAAGCTTCCGACATCAAGAAAGGTCCGTGCACCCGTCCTCCCCCCATTCTCACCAAAATATACTAACAGTAACAATCACAGTGCCGCCCAAAGTCAAAGGCCGCAAACGCACCCGAGAGGCCGAGAAACCGCTCTCCGGCCTCGACGTGGACGCCCTGCTCCACCAGGAAAAGCGCCACAAGATCTCGCCCAACAACGCCATCCCCGAATTCAAGCAGACGCTCTCGCAGGCAGAGAACATCGACACCATCAAGGAGGCGGTGCAGCAGATGGGCGCGATTATCGAGGACCAAGTCAAACACAGCCTGGGAGATGCGAACTACGACCGGGTCAACGAGGGACTGGGCACGATGCGGGAAGAGCTGATATCGTATGAGGAGCCTGCTCTGTACAACGACTTCTTGAAGCGGCTCAAGGACCGGCTGCTGAAGGAGGAGCTGGGTGGGGATCGGCGCGAGCTGTGGTGGCTGATCAGGCGGAGTAAGCTGGGCTTGATTGATCGCGTGCAGTCGGATCGGTCTGAGGTGACGGAGGAGGAGGCCCAGGCGTTTATGTCTGCTAAGTGGGTGGTTTAGGGTGGCAGAGATACCAAGTAGTATGAACGTGATTCTGATTAACATTCATATTCATATTCGGATGCGTATACTTCAATGCTGGGAAGGACGGGGCATGCTTGAGTACAAGGCAGACCTGGAGTATAGACAGAGTATAGAACAAACAACTGACCCGCTAAGCAACGAGATCAAAACATCAGATACAGAACGTATCAACAAGCACACCGAAATGAGACCCATACACCTGACACAGAATCCACCCGACCCTCAAGAAATCCTCCCAACCCTCTTCTTCCCAACATCGATCTTCCCACCCAGCCTGTATACACCTCGTCAGCATCTGCCCACCAAGAGAAGGAAGAAAAGAACATGACATACCTCGTAGCATCCTCATCCGCCAACCTCAACAACTCATTCTGCACCTCCAGCTCATTATGAATCGCAATGCCCAGCTCCTTCTGCCGATGCACGACCTTCATCAGCTCATTGACACTGAGATCCTGATCGGCCATCATCTGCTTCTGCAACTGCACGACCCCACTATTATCCAGCTCGCGGGTCCTCTCCGTCTCGCGGCCCAGCACCCTACCGGACGACCTCCCCCCTTTTCTCCCGCTGCCACTCGTGCCCATCAACGCCTCCTTATCCTGCACCGACGCCACCGCACTATCGATCCGGCTCTTCGCCGCCATCGCATTCAGCAGATCCTCCAGCCCGTCTTTCTCCTTCCGCGCGTTGATCAGCAGGTCTTTCCGGCGGCGCATCTCGCCTTCCCCCAGCGTGGTGTTGCCGCTCACGCTGAATGTATTCGTGCCTCGGCGCGCCGTCGTGGGTCGGCTGCCTCCGGTCCCGTTACCTCCTCCACTTCCTCCGGAAGTCTTATTATCATTATTATTATTAGTTGTAGTATTATTTGGAGACGAGGAGAGATTCCTCAACCCGGCCTCCAACGCGCCAATCAGCCCACCGGCCCTAACCAACGAACTCTTCGCACGGGCCGAACTCTCATGCTGCTTCTGCGGCGTCGTCTCCTGATCCCTCCTCGTAAGATGCAATCGCGCATCATGCAAATGCCCCTTCATATCCCTGAAACAGTCGAGCCACAGCGTCGGATCCGTGATACTGTTCGCGCTGCCGGGGTCGGAGGTCGGGTCTGTGATTGCCGCGTGGAGACGGGTGGATGTCAATCCCCCGTTATTCGCATTCCCGATACCCCCGCCGACGTTGGACAGACCAGGCAAGCTGGGTAAATTCAGAAACGCGCGCCAGACGGGCGAGGACCGCCATCGCGGATCGGCGGATTCGTTGATCGACCGGAGGTAGGTTTCGAGTCCTTCGCGGCGGGATTCGCGCAGGGTGGCGTTGGTGAGGGTGTTTTGGAACCAGGATTTGGGGGCAGGGGGGCAGGAGGCGGGAGGGTGGTTTGGGTCGTCAGCGTCGTGTGGAAGGTGGTGAAGTCGGAGTAGCGTTTCGAGATGCTGAAGCTGCGGAGCGGCAGGCGGAGGGTGATGTTGTAGAGGGTGTAGGGGGGGGAGGTTGGCGAGATGCTGGTTGTTGGGATGGCGATTTCGAGGTTCGTGGCCATTGTGGTGGTTGTGACTGTGGTGGTGGAGTGACGCGGTGGGTGGGTGGTGGAGGGGTTGATTAAGGGGCCATTTGGTTGTGTTGATTGGGAGGGAGGGAGGGAGTGTAGTAGAGGATGGATGGGATGGAGATAACGACAGCGAGAGCCACGGACGGAGACGGAGGCGGAGAGAGACGGAGTCTCCGCCGAGCCAAACAATGACGCAAACAACCTTATTGGGCCTAGCTGATAAGTATGTACCAAGATGCCGACCAAGTAACTAACTGTAGATAGATGGTTCTTTCAGAGTCAAATCATTCCACTATCGTACACACTACATAGTCACTGGGTATCTTGCTTGGTCATAAGAATAAAGAAAGAAGCACGCGATCAACCGTCAGCTGTCTCTATCTCCGTCGCAGTCGCAGTCTCAGTCCACACCTCCCGTGCCTCCAACAGGTCCCGTTGCCCAAAGAATTCGCCGACCACCGTGATGATCATGTCCAGCATGGCTCGAGTCTGCACGGCCACTTCACCTGCACCATCCTGTTCCTCGGCGCCCTGGATCTTGGCCTGGAGCCGTGCCTTCGCAGCCTCGAGCTCGTCAGCGCCAGGTTCCACCGCCGCGTCCTGCATATCGTGATCCAAACCATCGCTCGGACCAGGCACTGCGCTGGCGACTCCCTCCTCCGCCTCGAGAGGGATAGCACTCTCCTCCACAGTATCCGCTTCAAGTACACCACCCTCCTCTCGACCCTCATTCCCACCCTCACCCTCACCCTCCTCATCCTCACCATCCTCCTTTCCCTCCCCCATCTCCTCTTCATCCTCTCTCATCTTCCCCAAAATCTTCACCGCCCTCTTCCCCAAATCCCTAATCTCCCCAACCTCCTCAGTCCCCAACATGCCCACCTCGCGACACTTCCCAAGCAACCCCCACGCCCAAGCTCCGATCCTCCTCACCCTCTCCGCATCCCCACTGCGCACATTCTCCGACATCAACCGCGCCACCACCCCAAGCACAGCCAACACGCTCTCCAGATCCATACACGCCAGCTGCACCGTCTGCGGCTCCACCGCCAACACCAACCGGCGCCATTCCTTGCGCGCGTTCCGTGCGTGCCGCGGCAGGCTGATCGGGTGGGAGTCGTCCAGGGCGGCGATGGCTTCAGACGGCGGCGTGCATTTGAGGATCGAGCGGAGGAGGATGAAGCGGTGGTGGAGGAGGGTGTAGTAGCTGTTTTGCGCGGGGGGGTAGGAGGGGGGTTGTTGGGTGGGTTGGGTGGTGGAGTTTGCAGTGGTATTTGCGGTTGAGGGTTTCTTGGGAGGAGGGACGAAAAAGACCCCGTCGATGATGACGCCTTCTTCGGGTGAAGAAGCATTCCTATCGTCGTGGATATGAGACTTTATGCGGGTCGGTGCTACTGTTGCTTTTTCTCCTTCCGCTTCTGCCTCTGCGACTGCGACTGGCGGCACCGGCGCCGGCGCAGTGAACAAAAACGGGAGGGAGTTTGCTTCCGACCGCACCATGCGCAAATACTCGAGGCCATCTTCGGCGGGGCCGTAGAATAATTCATTGTCGTCTGCGACGTCAAGGCCTGGAAAGGCGCCCTTTTGTCCGTAGATGGGGTGGTGGCGTGGGCGTTCGTGCGTCGGTTTTGCTGCGGGCCGTTCGGTCTGCTCTTCGTTGCCGTCGTACCCGTATCCGTATCCTTCGTCGGCGGGGGAGGGACGCGACCGTTTCGCGTAGGGAGAGGAGCCAGACATCGAGGCTGATGGTTTGCGTTTGTCGGGCATGTTGGACATGCTGGATGAGGAGAGAGGGAGGGGGGGTGGGTTGGAAGAGAGGAAAGTTGGAGTTGACGGGGGAGCGGAGGGAGAAGAAGTTCCAGTTCCCGCCGGGAGCTTGGGCCAACTTTAAAACCGGGAGTGGGTTTTATGGTGGGACAGTACAGTTGGCTAGCTACGGTGGCTGAGGCCTCGACAGAATGTTACAACGCTAATGGTATATTGAATTCATCGCTCCATTATATTTCTTTTGTATCCAGATACAGACAGGCCTGGTCAATCTATCGCCGATTCGACGTTTAAGGGCGCAGACGCTGGGGGTCGCGAGGGAACAGCGACGCCAACCGGACGTTGGGCAGGCCCAGGAAGAACATGACAATGCGGTTCAGGCCCAGACCACCACCGGCGTGGGGAGGACAGCCCTGGCGGAAAGCGTTCAAGTAGTCCTCGAAGCCCTCCTGGTCGGGGTTCAGGCCCTTGGCCCTCATCGACTCCTCGAGCTCCTTGATGTCGTTGATACGCTGGGCGCCGGACATGATCTCCTCACCGCGCATGAAGAAGTCGTAGGAGTTGGAGAAGCGCGCGTCCTGGGGGCAGGCCTTGGTGTAGAAAGGACGGACGGCCATGGGGAACTTGTCGAGCACGTAGAAATCGGTGTCGTACTTCTCCCGGATGATCTGGCCCAGCTGCTTCTCCATCGCCGTGGAGAAGTCGTTCTCGAAGCGCTCCTGCTCCGAGACGTCGACGCCGGCCTCCTTCAGGAGAGCCACACCATCCATGTAGTTCAGGCGGAGGGCCTTGCCGTCCTTGGGGAGCTTGAAGTCACCAGCCTTGGGGTAGGACTTCTGGATGACGGCAATCTTGTCCTGGTAGCGCTCCTTCAGCTGGGTGAGGATGAAGACCAGAAGGTCCTCAGCGAAGCCCAGGACCTCGTGGTAGTGGCCACGGAAAGTCTTCTCGAAATCAAGACCAGCGAACTAGAGAGGGTTAGCCCAGGCTTTCCACACGCAACTCCCGATCATCTAGAACCTACCTCGGTCAAGTGGCGGTGGGTGTTGCTGTCCTCGGCACGGAAGACGGGAGCGACTTCGAAGACGCTCTCCATATCACCGGCGATACACATCTGCTTGTACAACTGAGGGCTCTGGGCGAGATAGGCGTTGCGCTTAAAGTACTTGACCTCGAAGACATTGCTACCACCCTCGGTGGCGGCACCCACCAGCTTGGGGGTGAAGATCCACCGCGAGCCGCTCTTGATCATGTATTCGGTGAACAGCTCGGCGACGCCGCTGGAGATCCAGGTGATAGCTTGGCTGGTCTCAGTCTGGAGATCGAGAACCCGGTTGTCGAGACGAGTCTTGAGCGTGACGATCGGGGCGCCGTCGGCATCAACCTCGTTACCCTCCTCAGTCGTCTCCGGAGGGGGCCGCTCAGCATCCTTGACCTGCATGGGGAGCATCTGGGCCGCCTCGGAGATCATGTAGACCTTGCGGATGTGGATTTCGTGGTTGCTCAGGGAGGCGGACGAGATGGGCACGGCGGGCTTCTTCACGATACCGGTGACCTGGACAATGGAGTTGACGTTCAATCCACCGGTGTACTTGATCATCTGTCTCGAGATGGGCTCCGCGGCAGCAATGACCGCCTGCAGCTTCTGACCCTGCTGTCTCAGCATCAGGAACGCCAGCTTGGCGCTCTGCACACGGGCATTGTCCACGCGGGCCACCACCGTAACCTCCTGCTCGTAGTGCTCGTCGGTGATCTCGGTGAATCGCGTCGCGGCGATGACATCTTCGGTCTCGGGGAGCTTGCCGTACAGGTCCTTGGCGGTGTCGTTGGCGTCGGCAGCAGCGGCCTGGGCCTGCTCCTGGGCAGCACGCGCAGCGGCCTTCTCAGCCTTGGCCTTCTCCTTTGCGGCCTTCTTCAAGGCGCTCTTGCTAGGGCCCTTCTCAGCATCCTCGGCGGCGGGGGCGTCGGCAGCGGCGGCGGGGGTTTCCTCGGGCTTGGGGCGAGTGGGCAATTCGGAGTCGGCCATGGTGAGTGATGTGGGGGGTGGTAGATGGAGAGGGGAGGAGGAGAGGGAGGAGAGGGAGGAACGAGACGATCTGATAGCAATCTGGCGGCCTGATGGAGCTCCGACTTTCTCTTCTGAGTCAAACCCCGCCGTCCAGGCCCGCAGCCCTAAGCCCTAGGAGGGGGAAGTCACCTGATTTGGCACATCCTAGTGCTTATGTAATTATACAGTGCATAACTAACATAGAACCCTAGTAGTAGTACCTATGGACAATGACGGATATAATATCAGTCTGTTACCGTGGAGATACTTCATGTGAGAACAATTCATCTGATACTCGTCTTCTATAATGCTATCTGACGCAAACCCTTGCCATGCCTGTCTAAGATATTAACTCTACCTAATATGTATGAGACCGCCGATCGGATGCACCTGCAGTCTATTTGATACAAGTCACTCGCTCAAGATTGAAACAGAAAAAAAGTAAAAGCCCAGCACTCTAACCCCGCCATTTGGACGTCTCAAGACCCCACTCAACCGCTTTCTGGACATCGTCAGCGATCGTGGTCGGAGTCCACGTCGGCTCACCGCCATTGTAGACACCCGTCCGCACGAGAATCGAATGCCACTTGCTGCCGTGGGGGCTCCGGTAGCTGTTAGCACCACAGATGTCAGATTCTGGGTTGTCTCCAATCATGTACACGTTCTTCAGAGGCGGAATGTTAGAGCCGAGCAGCCGGGAACGGTTGCGCAAAAGTTGGATTTCTGCAAACTCGTATGTCCCTTGATGCGGCTTGCCGATGACGGTTTTCTTCAGCTCAACACCTTTGCTCGGCCCTCCGGTCACAGCAGCCCAGATGCCTTCCAGCGCCTCGCGGAACCCGCCTTGACCGAGGCGGGGAAGATGGTAGGCAGCAGCCCACCACAGATCCGGGTTGGAAAAGTACAAATGCGGCTGGCCATCTTGCTGGAATCCCCGGTTAGGAAGGTCGGTCCGACCGTTCTTCTCTGATATGGTTCCGATCACGCCCTCCGATGATAGTAGAACGTCTGTGATGATCTGAGCATCCAAGGCCCAGTCGCGTGGGTCGTTGAAGACAAAGATCGCATCGATCTTCAATCCTCGAGAGGGGTCATTGGGATCTTTGGGGTTCGGCAACGGCTTGGTGATATCTTTGTAGTAGTTTTGGAAAGACTTGAAGGGCCAGATGGTTGGGTTCGCCATGAAGATGTCGCCTGGCGTCACCACATTCTTGAAACCGTACCTAAACCTACTGTCAGCATTTTCCTCAACCCAGCCACCAGCGGCGCGACAGGAGTTTCATACTGTTGCGCTACCTTCCGGCAACGCTCACCCTCTCCCCCGACCACCAGCACGCATTTGTTCTCCAGGGCGCTCAGTTCGTCCGGCCCGCGCACGAGCTCCGCGAATGGGGAATGGCTCTGAACAATGGCCTCCGGGGCCAGAGGAACCTGTAGTTTCTCACTGATTTCCGCCACTCTCTCTGTCTCATGCTTTCCACCGCCATTTGTCAACAATAGGAACGGGATGTTCTGCTCCTGGAGAAGGGCCAACGACTTTGCGGCTCCGGGGATGGGTTTGGAGGATCGGAGGAGAACACCGTCGATGCTAAGCCATGTTAGTTTATCTAAATCCCATACAAGACAAACAGTCAACTTACTCGAAAGCAAAGGCGAAGTCGGGGATGCGGGATTGGGAGCTGAGGGCGCGGCGGCCCGAGCCAGTGTTGATAAAGGAGCGAGTGGAAGCGCGCTGCAGCAGCCCGAAGGAGCGCCAGAGGGTTTGGGAAGTCATATTTGAGACAATAGGATAGAATTGGGGCTAGCCACGGTAGATAGAGTAGCGAGTGAGGTCCACCAGTGCGTGGCTGTCTGAAAGTTGTAGGGAAGATGGCCGAGGGATACGGAGGGCCCGCGGAAGGCGGAGATGGCTATCGGCCAGCGATCGGCCAACCAGCGCAATGATATCATTCCGCGGCGCTTTCACTCCGCCTTCCCGCCTTCTTTCTTTCTCTTCCCCGCCACTATCAATCCCATCAAACCCACCACAACAATCTCCCCCCCCCCCCCTTCACCCCGCCAGCTGCATGCATGGCATCTTCCGAATGCAGACTGACCGGCGCCTCCGATACTGAACTATCATGGCATTTATGACCGCCCCCGATGCCCTCTCTTCAGATCTATCTCCCCACAGAAATCGTGGTGGAGATTGTCTCCTACGCCGCCACAGATGATTCCCGCCGCCAACCCACCCTCCACGCCTGCTGCCTCGTCTCGCGCCAGTGGTACTCAGTCGCCATCCCCTTTCTCTACGAAAGGCCGCGGATGAGCAAAGGTGCGGCTTTCCAGAACTTCACGGCCACAATCAGCCCGCCAATCGGGGCCCGCAAGAACAAGTTCAACCTGGGCAATTTGGTGCATAAACTCGACCTCAGCGGCCTGGTCTATCACAGCTCCAACAGTCTGACAGCGCGACTACTGGGGCGGATAAAGGAGAATCTGGAGGTCTTTATTGCGCCGAGGATCTCTTTTGCGTAAGTGCCACACAAACCGCACCATATCACTAATACGATCCCATATCCTAACCCTACATTTACAGTATAAACAGCCTCCCCGCTCTATCCAAATGCACCAAACTCCGAAACCTCGACCTCTCGCTCGTCAACGACCCGATCCCCTTCTCCAGCCTGAAAAAGGCCCTCAGCAGTCTCCACAAACTGACCACCCTGCGACTCCCTCTCTCCACCACCCTGACCGACTACTCCCACCTCGCAGCCGCCGTCGACTGGCCCCCCAACCTCCATCGCCTCCAACTCAGCGGCCACTTTTCCGCCCTCGCGATCGCCACCTTCCCCTGGCCCCGCACCATGACCTCCCTTACCCTCAAGAACTGCGCCGACCTCTCTTTTTCCAACCTCGCCGGCTTGATGAGCTGCCCTCATCTCACCACCCTGAAACGTCTCGCCATCTCCGGCTCCAACCGCGGTCTCCAGCCCGAATCCATCAACTCCATCCCCATATTCCTGCCCTGGTTGATCTCCCTCAGTGTCCCGGGTGACCTGGTCAACGATTCCTTCTTCGACATCCTAAGCCACATGCACCCGCCCCTCCCGCTCGAGGTCCTTGAGTTTGGACTCCCCAGCATAGACCCCAGTGTCACCTTCCGCACGGACTCACTGGTCGCTGCGCTGGGGTATGGCTTGGAGAATGTGCGCTCTGTGGGGTTTTCCGAGGTGTTCTGTACCGATCAGCGCATTATAGAGGATGAGGAGATTGATGAGATGCTTCTGAAGCGGTCTTCGAAGAGGAAACCCTCGCATTCTGAGGGATCCCAGAATGAGGTAGAGAAGAGTGACGACGACACTGTGATTGGGGTTTACTATATATGAACAACTACTTTGCATTGGTACATCAGACATATATACATACTATCTTATATAGAGATGCATCATCCTTGTGCATGCACTACACGGCACATACTACTTACTTACTCTACATCGTTGACTTTGCGATGCTACATCCATGTATTTATTCCATTCACCTACTACCTAGACTAGCAGATTTGTTATTGTGGTACCTGGAATACTGGGACGTTACTCAAAACATAGGGCAAATGCCAGTCTCTAAGAAGTTATGTAGATATATGGACGCTTTTGACGGGAGAAGACAAGACAAGACTACATAATGGTTCCAGCCCCCTTCCGCCCGGCCACCTGGCCACCTGGACAAGATGAACAGAGGAGACTGGAAGAGAAACCAAAACATGCTAACATGATAAAGAAGAAAAAAAAAGTGAAGAAAGAGGATTTCGAACAACGAAGAAGGGGGGGTGGGGTAAGAAGAGAAGGAAGATACATCAGCTGGGAGCGGCAAGAAAATGAAAAAGAGTTTCAATGAATAAGAAGTATGACGCCTACACAAAATATTCATCGCATCTAACTCGGCACCAGGATTATAGATGAGGAAGAAAAAAATGGGGAAAGCAGGAACAGGGATAAAAAAGAAGTCCGATCTCATAATTGCAGCAGGGACTGGTGCACCTCGCAAACATGCCTCCATTACACATTTACAGTTCCAGGACCCTAGGTCAGGGACGCGATGACGGCAGGGGCGACGTCTTCTTCCTCCGCGCGGACGACGATCTTCGTCGTGACGCCGGACTTGCTGGAGAAGGCCATCTTGATCAGGGCCGCAACCCGGCCGCCTGTCACCGTCTTTCCGAACAGCTTCAGGGTATGCGTGCTGTTGCTGAGCGCTACGTCGGTACCTTCGAGAGGCTGGAGGGAGAGCGCGGAGATGAGTTGTTCGGTGGCATCTGTAAACGGATTAGCCTTTGCGTGGATGGGATGTCTGCGTGGAAAAATTGGCCTACCTGCGATGCCCTTCATGTTGCTGAGTTGGAGAGTCTCGCTGACTTCCTCGCCGTTCGCACCCGTCTGCTCCCACACGTGGTCGAAGCTGCCAGCAAAAGTGGGAATGACGTAGTCGCTGCCTGAGAGGTCCAGGTCTTCGACTTGGTACTCGTCCTCGTATCCGCTGTCTTCGGGCTCCCCGGTGGTCGGGTCGATTTCCTTGCTGGTGAACTTGAGGTTGTTCGTGAAGGATGAGACGGGAACGCTGTGCTCGCCGCCAAGCTTCTTGAACGTGACGTAGACAATACCAGGCTCGTTTGTAGCCAGCTTGGGGGCAGGAACAGTGAATTCCTCCTCCAAGACATCCTCTTCTGACGGCGTCGCAACCATAGTCACGTCCTCTAGAACAGTGTCCGGGAGGGTGTTCTTGATGTCGTACTGCAGGACAATGTGCTCCTTGAAGATGTGCTTAACAGCCGTAACGACATACTCGGTCTCGCTCTCGGTGAGTTCAACAGGAGCAGAGGACTTGAGTAGCGTGCCGTATTCCTTGAGTTCTGGGATTTGCATAAGCTGCTCAGCGTACTTCTGGGTAGTAGCCACCGTGACGGCTTCGGCGACACCGTTGGCCTTGCCCTTGGGAGGACCGGTGGATGGTGCCTTGAGCGTAGGGGTTGCACTCGTAAGCTTCTTGGTCCGCTCCTCAGCCAACGCCTGCTCTTGTGAAACAACCGGGATAGTGGCAACGTCAAATGCCGTAGCGAATGTTTCCTTGTCGTTCGACGTCACATACATGACGAGTTGGTGCTCAAATGTGGAGAGGGAGTACATCGAGTCTGCAGCTGTTAGCAAACTGCGGGATGGGCTACTTGTCTGAGAAGCTTACCGTTGCTGATAAACCGGGTTGCGGTCTCGTCCTCCTCGCTCATCAACCGGAGGTTGAGAGCAGCACGATCACGGACTTCGTCATCGGTGTCATCAAGGCACCGGGTGAGAAGAACGGACACGCTCGACTTGACTTCCGGATCCTTCTGCCCAACACCAAACTTGGCCAAGGCCGTGACAGCGGCAGCCCGAACAATAGCGTTCTCCAGAACGACTCGGTTATAGATATAACGGATAAACTTGGTCGGGTGTGACGTCTTGGGGCCCTCCACACCAAGCAGGTGCAATACCCTGACGGACAGCTTGGTGAACTCGCAGTCCTCGATGAACTCACACAGATGTGCGAGGGCTGGTTTTGTTAGTTAACACAGATGTCACCTAATACGGCCGGAGAAATAACTTACCATCTTCCTTGCTCTCAGGAACGAACTTGATGAGATCGAACATGCTCTCAACAACACTGCGCTTGAACTCGTAGCCACCCTCATCCCTCAGGATACCGCTCAAAAATGATAGCATGCCGGCCTGTTTGCTAGGGAACTTGAGGCAGAGCGTGCGAATAGCCTCGACAATCGTGATCTTGAATTCATCCGTAATATCAGCCATGAAGCCAGAGATCTGCTTCATCAGGCGGTCGACGCTGGCCTCGTTACCCGTCTTCAGGAGAGTGGTGATCGCGAATGTTGCAATGGAACGGTTGGTATTGGAGATCAGCGCCTCGATGTCGGGGTTGCAGGCATTCACCACATGGGGCTTGAAGCTTGCGAAGTTGTGGAGGATGCGAATCGCGGCAAACTTGGTGATCGAGCGGGGCGAGGACAGGAACAGTTGCAGGACGTGGACCGCCTGGGAGGCTTCCGCATCGCTGACATCCCTCATATCGCAAATAGCCTTGGCCGCCTCGAAGTTGACCATCTCGTGCTTGTGTCGGAGCCAGCCATCAAGCATCTGCATCATAGGCTTCCTCAAGCCCTGATCTTCCTGCGCCAACTTCGCCGCCAACCGCACTAGAAGGACGAGCGCCGCGGGGCTCTTGATCACACCGGCCGTGCCATACTGCTGGACCATCTTCACAAGTGCCATGCGGTCATGAGAGCGCATCTGGTACAGGAGACCAATCGCGTGGTACTGGGTCATGAAGTTCGACTGCGAGATGGCATGGGCCTGGGAACTGCCACCGAATCCAAGGAAACCGGTTGATTGTTTGCCGCCCGAGGCAGCTTCTTGAGTCTCACTCTGCCATCTGCGAACCACATCGCGCGCAATCGGGAGAAGGTGGTAGGAGGAGACTAGGGCGGCGGAGGAAACCGATGGGGTCTTGTCGACAATCGCAGTCTTGATCAATCTCTCGATACCTTGAACCGTAGTAGCCTTTCAGAAACAGCCATTAGTCATTTCTTTCCCCGGCAAGAGGAGAGGGTTCAGCGCGCTTACATCAATGATGCGGCACAGAGCGCGGATGGCATTGGCCCGGTAAAGAACGTCGCTGCCGACCGCGGTGTCCTTCATGATGATACTGGTCGACATGATCACATCCTCCGCCGTGTTCGCAAGCTCCTTCAGGATCAGGTAGACCATTTGGCGCAGGGAGGGGTCCTTGTTCTGGAAGAGCTTGGAGATGCCGAAGAACAGCGTGGTGGCCTCATTCGTGGGGAACTGCTCCCCGGTGAAAAGGAGGACGGCGATCTTGGTCAGGAGAGTGCGGCATGTTCGTGGCGAGATAGGAGAGGAATTGAACAGTCGTGCTGCGAGGAGACAAGACAGAAGAAGTAGGGTCAGCTATCATGTTCGGGGCTCTCATGCGACCCCCAAGGAGGGTGCCCTGGTAGACCTGAGGCTCACCATCTTGGAATACGGAGGTCCGATCCAGCTTGATCATAGTCTGGTCGGCATCCTCATCTTTCTTCATGTAAGACATGGCGACGGGCTGCAGGAATTGGCGCAGCAGTCGAGTTTCTCCAAAACAGTCTTGGGAATGGAAATGGACCCCGTACGAGTGACGTCGGGGGGTTGTTCAATGGGAGACGAATAAGGGCGGGTCGGTATGGATGGACGGGTTAGTTCGTTGTGCAGGCGGTGTATGTACACGACTACGGCGCCCTCATTATCCTTCGAGGACGGGAGAAAACAACAGATGGGATGATAGAGAAGACGACAGAAGCTATTGCCCAGCCCCGAGGGAAGACGCGGAACGAGAGGCCGAAGGGACAATGGGAATGGCAGATGGATGTTTTGGCCAGGGCAGCAGCAGCAGCTCCTCTCCCGACGGCCTCCAACAATCTCCAGGTGGCCTTCCGCGTCTGTGGGCGGCTGAGCCACACGCGGTGTGGCTGACGGTGCAAACCCGCCAAACATGCGGCATGTCGCCCGCCGCCCGCCGCCCGCAGGCACCGGCGGGCTGCCATCGCCCTCGACTGACCACCACCCCTCTTGCTCTTCCTTCTTTCATTTATTCTGCTTGGAAGATCGCTGCAAGCCATTCGCCATCATGCAGGTCGAAGTCAACCCCAACGAGGATACCGAGTGGTCAGTTCCTCGTGCCCTCCCTTTCTCCGGCGCCGCCATCCCTCCATACTCACACCCCGCAGGAACGACATTCTCCGCAAGCACGGCGTCATTCCCGAAAAGCCCCAGGACCCCGAACCCCTGATCCAAGAAGCCTTGGTGGAGGCAGAGCGCAAAGCATGGGAGAACCGGCTGGAAGACAAGGATCTGGACGAGTTGGACGAACTCGAGGATGAGGAAGATGAGGCATTCCTCGAACAATATCGGTACCGTCATGATCGATCGCATTGCCCCTGACAGGTGAACTGACCACCCAATACAGTCAGAAGCGGTTCGCCGAGATGTCTGTCCTACAACAAACCAGCATTCACAACCAAGTATATCCGCTACAGAAGGTCGACTACGGGCGCGAGGTGACCGATGCCTCAAACAACTGCTTCGTCTTGGTTCACCTAAGCTCTTCTAGCGGCAACGTTGAGTCGCAAAGGCTGACGGAGCTGTGGAGACAACTGGCAGCGAAGTTTGGAGACATCAAGTTCTGTGAGATCCGAGGCAACATGTGTATTGAAGGGTACCCGGAAAGAAATACACCCACCATTCTGGTCTACAGAAACGGCGAGATCAAGAGACAGCTCGTGACCTTGAGGGAGATGAATGGACCGAGGACCACACTCGCAGGTTAGACTCGCCCTTCTATCTGCAACTTTTCATGGATCCGTTCGTTCCCGACTAACATGCAACTGGCAGATCTCGAGAGAATGCTCCTCGACCTGGGTGCTGTCAAAGAGAGCGACGTTCGCCTCAAGAAGCGGTCGGACTCGTCAGACGATGAACGTCCATCCAAGATCAAGTCTTCTAAACCCACAGTGGAAGATGATGATGACGACTGGGATTAATGGAGAGATATCAGTAAATAAACTGCAAAAGCATAATATATTCCAATCATGACTTGCCCCGCGACCGGGCACCTAATTCCCCTAAGAAGGGCGAACGCGATGTGACATCCTAGCGATGGTGGAACCCGGTCACTGAACCCCAGCTCGACTAATCGCCTCAGTCATCTACACCTTCAGTTCATGGGTGGAGTGTATATAGCCTGGCATGGGCACAGTTGACCGCTTCGCTGGGGCATTTTCCCACGGTTCATGTATCTAGATAGTTGGCCATCCATGCTTTGGCTCCTTCGCAAAGATATTGATGTTGGTTATTATACCTTGACCACCCGGAAATGCCAATTTTGTCGGCCTGGTCCTCTCATCTCCTCTCTATGTTCAGCCTTACGACGTACTGCCCTACCTGCTAAGCAGGATGCGTAGTGGAAAGTGAGTATAGTTGGGTCCGGCGGCCAATGACAGCGGGGAACTTTATCCCCTCTCCGCGATTCCGAGAGCGGGCCGTGATTGGCTCGGTGGCGGGCACGGAATCGTGCCGTGATTGTGCCGCTATTCTAGGCCCAGATTACTCGATCGCTCCCTTCAGGTCCTCTTTGAGTCTCCTCTTGGCATCATCTCTCCTTATCGAACAAAGCCAACCAACCGTCAGCACATCCAGTTTTTCCCATTCACCCTTCCATTTCCATTCCCTCAGGGACGAGGCGAAATGGATTACTCGTTCTATTCCAACACCCATCAGCAGCCGTTCCCTCTGTACGGCGTCCACGGACTGCCAACCCCCGACCACAGTAATCCGACACCTCGTGCCGAAGAGCTTCAAGGCACGTTCGGTCCTCTGGTTCGCCTCTCTTTCCTGTGCCTCTACTGCTTGCGCGATCCGTTTACTGACTGTTGAAAAGGGTTCGCAAAACTACCCGCCCTTCGATCCAACCTTGCGCTTTCACGATCCCCACGGTGGCGCCTCCTTTGTCCCTCCACCTCACTCGCCGCCCGAGTCCACCACCAAGCAATCGGTCTCAAGCAATGACTATCCCAATAACCACTACGATCGAGCATCGCCTGACGGGGACGACCAGCTCTTGGACCTGAACCTCGGCCGAAGCAGTAGTGAAGAGAAGGAGATCCTCACCCCGGCGCAATCCAAAAGAAAGGCACAGAACAGAGCAGCGTATGTGACCCCGTCTGCAGGAGGTGGTAGTCCCCGCACCGCTGACAATTCATAACCACGATACAGTCAGCGCGCATTCCGCGAACGAAAGGAACGGCACGTGCGCGATTTGGAGGAGAAAGTCAGCAATCTCGAAAATGAATCCAGCACGCTCATGGCAGACAACGAGCGGCTCAAGCGCGAACTGGCAAAGTTCACAACCGAGAATGAAATCCTTCGTGCAACTTCAGGCTCCCTCCGCCACACGAACCATCACGCTCCAGACTCTGAGCCGACAACCACCGGGCCGATGAAGTACTCGCCTATGGATTTTAAATCCGATTTCGGCTCTGATGAAGATCGCGGCCCGCACCACCGAATAACGGTCTGCGCGAAGACAGGAGAGAAGCTTCTGGGCTCGGCTGCCACGTGGGATCTCATCCAGGGGCATGAGCTCTTCAAGCGCGGCCTGGTGGATATCGGCGATGTCTCGGGTCGGTTGCAGGGAACGGCTCAGTGCGATGGGCAAGGTCCCGCTTTTCGGGAGAGTGAGGTCCTGAAGGCCATTGAGGAGAGTGCCGCCTCTGGCAATGACGAGTTGATTTAACTTGGACTGCCAAGCCAACCTGCGCTCTATGATGTGATGTCTGTGTGTTATTTTTGGCGCTTTGCTATTGGTGTATGGGTGTTATGGGCGAAATCTGGATATATGAGCAATCTTCTGCTTGTTTATTTATCGTTTTTGCCTGTCAAAACTGCCAATTCCTCGATTAAGCTCTTGCGTGTACACTGCGGTCTGTTTCTATGCATGGTGCAGGTTTCCACAAAACTTGCCGCGGGGTTCTGGGAGATATGGGAGTAAGCCATTATGCTGTGTTTACCGGTTGAATGTATAAAGTCGACATGCTTTGAAAGCTGTCTATCGTCGATGTTTTCTCCCCGGCTACATCTCTGTTCTCTACAGGTGTAGGGGGCCTCTTTCTGGCTAATAATTATGTATCTGTGTCATTCATTCGATTTCGCAAGTCAAAAGATCACCACTGTACTTACATTGATGTGATGTGATGAGACAACCTCAGCATTTCACGGATATAGACAACCAGGGAGAAAGTCACTCGATGATGAAGATCCATCTTGTATACACTCCCTCCCCCGACATCAAGACTAAAAATCAGACCTTGTTTCAAAGTTTTATCCGAAAGCCTCCCAGAAAAGAAAAGAAAAACTAGAATCGTTCTTGGTCGCACCCTGTTTTGGACCCCAACGGGCGTTTCAAGATCTTATTCCTGGTTCCCCTCGGTACCTTACTGATACTAAGTATTTAGGCAGGGCAGTTTCAAGGCGTTGTCGACCACATCACCTCACAGCATGGTTCACGAACAACCAACCTCTGTATCTAATGAAATTACTTACTCACTTATGGGGCTCTACGATCTTGTTCATCCCACTATGATTGGATTGGGCCATAACCAGGATTACCTGTGGGACTGAACTGCCTGAGCGAGAGTTCGCTGGGATGATGCAGACATCTGCACAGCTTGCGTGGTTGCTCCAGGTACTAATCGATCGAGGCAAGGGCGGTGCATCGATTTTTTTATGAATACTTAAGATTCGGAAATTAATGCAGCGATAAGCGTGGGCTGGGGTAAGGATTGGGGGTGTACTCCATATTCGGTTGTTTGTTTGGGTTGGGGAGGGGAAATCAGCAGCTGGGGGGGGGCGAGGGGGAGAGGAGTATATATCCATCGGATTAGGGCAGAATCAATGAGGTGCGGACAGACAGATATGGTGGTTGCGGTGCTGTGAGGAGTGGATACTTCATCAATTCTGTCTAGGGTGTATGTACTGACATACGTGGATGAATAATAGGTAAATTGTATGCCTGTGCCACGAATATGGTGTCAATTACTTCCAGTCAACAGAATATCAAAATCTTGGCCATCGTCATGGACACGAATGATGAGCTCTTATGCAATACCCACGAGACTGGGGGGGTATGTGGCCATTGAATGGGGATCATCGTTAGCGGTGAGACCAGGCCATTTCATTATTGCGGGATTTTATCTACCCCTCCCCTCTCTCCTCTTCTTCACTTCACCACACTATATTTATTCTGCCCGGCCAAGATCATCTTAAAAAAGGATCGGACGATGGCAGGGTTTTCGATCGCCATTGCCAATACAGGTGTCTCATTGTGAATCGACAACATTGGCAGCCCTGGATGTTGACCTGGCCCAGGGTTGTTGTCGTGTTGTGAGTCTATTGATTGACCCGGGAGTGAACCCCGAGGAGTGGCAGGGCGGTCGTGTTAGGTATTCTCCGATCCAGGATATGTCTCAGGCACTGATCGATGGTGGTCCGATAAGGCGTGTTTGGGCCCCCAAGAAAACCCCCATTAATTGAGGGCCCCATAAGCCCACCCACCGGGTTTAATTTACTTCACGAGGGCGAAATACGTAGTACCGTGCGTGCGGCATCCGGGGTCATCTGGTCACCGCCCGGGTTCAATCGGCAAGAACGTACCATGCGGAGAGGGGTACAAGCTGATGTGAGGTGGATAAAGCCAATCGAGGCTGACTATCACTGCCCAGAGGTGAAGGATAGACATATTCCCATGTCTAGTCAACTGGCAAGGGCGGCAAAGGAATGAGGCTGGATGTGTGTCGTGTAATATGTGTTCTGATGGTAATCATCTCATCAATTCACACGGAGGTCTTGGGGGGCGGTACTCCGTACTATGGAGGTAGCGTGAGCGAAATAATCCGCCACAAATCACAAATGCTCCAGACTGGGGAGGGTTATTTTCATTTTACTCCCCCCCTGGTTTCTTGCCACTGTTTCGAGGATTTTGCCGCCTGACACGACCTTTCCCCCCCGCCTCTGGAATTGGGTGTTGTGTGAGATGGAGAGGAGATCCAGGTCTGATTGATTGCCTTTTCCTCTTTTTGTGTCTGTGCATCTGTATGATGGTCAGTACCTAGGCAAACATGCCTAAGGCATGCCCCTGCATACGACAATCCGGACGCATCATTACCTAAATCCTGCTGGGCTGTCTGTCAGCTTGCCAATGTTCGTGATGCTAAGAAAAGCACCCGATCACCTAACCGGTACACGGCTGTTGTAGGTGGCCTTGAAGGGAGCTCCGAGTTGTGGTCAGGTGCAATGGCCGGCCAGGCTTTGGATTTGGCAGGGCAGGGGATTGAATTGAGGTTGGCCACCGCGATATGCTGCTGCTTCACCGACTTCTACCTAAGCCACCTTGATTTTTCAATGGCAATTTTCCCCCGGTGGGTGCTTTTCTCGGATGTCGCTCTTTGTTGTGAATGATCTGGTAGAAACGAACCATTTTATCCTTGCTTTGTAGGGAGGTAGTAGCTATCTTTGTCTACCTAACCACTTCCCTATGGATTTAGTTGGAGGGATGTAGATAGTAGACAGTAGTACTCCGTAGCAGTACTCCGTTATACCCCCCGGGCAACCCGAGTTGCCTTACATGGCGCCTGCGGGAGCGGAGGGAAAATTACCATCTTACGGTACATATACAGAGCTTATACCGTCAGACCCTGGAGCTGAGGGGACCGGACGCAGACGCAGCCCAGCCCAGCCCAGCCAAACCAAAAACCAAACCAAACCAAACCAAACCAAAACCGAACCCGAAAGCCAGACCCGAACAGGCCCAACCAGCCAACCACTGGCCCCTGCTAAACTTATCACGGCCATTGTCATTCATTACCTTACCCGCCCCCTCTTACTTTACTCGACTTTACCTGCCTGCCTGCCTTGCCTACCACCAACCATTAACTTCACCTCGCGCGTTTTCCCTCTCTTCTTTCCTTCCCTCCTCCTCCTCCTCCTCCTCTCCTCCCACCCACCTTCCCCATATCAAGGCCTCGCCCTTGATCTTGAATCTCTCCATTTTCTTTTCCTTTTGTCAACCTCTCGTAGGTTAGTTACTTCGTTGTTCCGCCTCCCTTTATCATCTGCCGAGACAGCCGCTCAGAGGTCTGTCAGCCAGCTCGATCCCCTTTCTTTTCTCTCCGCCTTTTTCAACCTTTCCGGTCGGGTCGTTACGGTCGGGTTCCCCCCAACAGTCGACATCACCGCTATCTCATCCTCTTCTTTCCGTCTTCTAGACTAGGTTCGTCCTCCTTCTAGTCCCCTCCCACCTCGTACTTGCCTCTTAAGTGCTCCTTGCCTTTGGTTGCTGGATCCTCTTGCCTGGCTTAGTGTTCTACTCTGCTCCCCCGCTCAGGTTGCTATCCCATCTGCCAAGTGACTACGCGCCGGGCTGACTCTGCACCGCTGTCATCTGTGAACCAACCTACATCCACGTCTCCTCCCTCTTCTTTTTTTTCACACACTCCCTTACCTCCTCAACACTCAAACTCGTTCTTTTCTCTGCATTGGCCTGTGACTGACAGGAGGTCTGGAATCTACAGCACTCACAGCATCTCGACCACACCACTCAGCTGAGTGTCTAACCCGCCAACATGACGACCATGGTTAGTGATCTCTCGCATCGTCCCTCGAGAATAGCAGCTCATACGACCACAGGATTTGCGTGTCGGTAATAAGTACCGTATTGGCCGGAAGATCGGAAGTGGTAGTTTCGGTGACATCTATCTCGGTGCGTGGTAGCCTCGAAGAGTCTGGTTGAGTTGTCTTTTTGTGGAACGCCTAGCTGATGGGACATAGGCACCAACATCATCTCCGGCGAGGAGATCGCCATCAAGCTCGAGAGTGTCAAGGCCAAGCATCCCCAACTCGAATACGAAGCCCGTGTCTACAAGTCTCTTGCCGGTGGTGTTGGAATTCCGTTCGTTCGCTGGTTCGGTACCGAATGTGATTACAATGCCATGGTCATCGACCTCCTCGGTCCCAGTCTGGAGGATCTCTTCAACTTCTGTAACCGCAAGTTCTCGCTCAAGACCGTGCTTCTCCTAGCCGATCAGCTCATCTCCCGCATCGAATACATCCACGCCAAGTCCTTCATTCACCGTGATATCAAGCCCGACAACTTCCTGATGGGCATCGGTAAGCGTGGAAACCAGGTCAACGTCATTGACTTTGGTCTGGCCAAGAAGTACCGCGACCCCAAGACTCACTTCCACATTCCCTACCGTGAGAACAAGAACCTCACAGGAACTGCTCGTTACGCCAGTATCAACACTCACTTGGGTGTCGAGCAGTCTCGCCGTGATGACATGGAGTCCCTCGGATATGTCATGCTTTACTTCTGCCGTGGCACCCTCCCCTGGCAGGGACTGAAGGCTGCCACCAAGAAGCAGAAGTACGACCGTATCATGGAGAAGAAGATGACCACCCCCACCGAGGTTCTGTGCCGTGGCTTCCCTAACGAGTTCTCCATCTACCTGAACTACACTCGTTCCCTGCGCTTCGACGACAAGCCGGACTACTCCTACCTTCGCAAGATCTTCCGCGATCTGTTCGTCCGCGAGTCCTTCCAGTATGACTACGTCTTTGACTGGACCGTCTACAAGTACCAGAAGAACGCCGCCATGATCGTGGACGCCAGCAAGAAGGACAAGGAAGCCGATGAGCAGCAGCGCCGGCCTGGCGTTGCTGCCGCGGCCCCCATGGGTACTCCTGGTGCCGCTAAGCCTGGTGCGATCTCCAGCCAGCGTCGCAAGGTCATCGAACGTGGAACTCTTGACAACACGCCCGACACCAACCGTGCTGTGGGAGGGAGTGACAGGATGTGAGTATCTGAAACCTAGGTTCCGTTGTAGGGAACCCCTTTCCTCTGCGTTTAGTGCTTTTACTATGACCCCCGTGCTAGAGGTCGACTTGAATTCCAGAATCTGACTAATCTCATAGTCTTCGGCGTTAGGCTGCGTTCTGCTTCTAAGGTTGCTGCTTCAGGTGCCTATGGCCCTGCCGGTAGCCGCCCGAAGCGGGACGATGGGTACGGATCTCAGTGGTACTGATTTGATAGCTTGCTTGTTGGCACCACGGCTATCTGAGGAGCCCAGGATTATCATGCTACCGGTCACCTTCTGCAGCCTGCGGTGAACTTTTCGGACTTACTTTGCCTGAGGCCCTCATTTCTTTTCCTTTTTACTATTTCCCTCTGCATTATCCCGTCTGTTAGCCCGTTACCCCGCTCAAGATCGTCTGCCGGTGTTTGCCGTTTCGATCCGCGTTTCAAAAGTCGTCCGACTGGGAAACGCACTGATTGTGGCTATTTTACGTCTTCGCCTCCCGGTTCTGGTGGTCTGCTACACGAAATATCGTCCAGATTGTGGTCACATTACGCTTCCAATGATCTGCGTGTCCAAGCCTACCAAAAATCGGGATGTCGAAGCCTGAAGGAGATGCCTGAGGTTGAAATGATTAAATACGCCAACTCACGAGATGGATCCTCCGCTGACTTGGTCGCGAGAGCCTCTCATCGGGCTATTGATTTTCAAGCTCTCTTACTTCCCCTGTCTTTGTGGTTTCCTTTTTGATATTGCCTGCTTGTTTCTACATCTTTTCTTTTACAGACTGTCATCATGTTCTTGACGCACAACTGGGGACGAGGGGAGAAAGGGAACGAGTGTTGGAGAGGTGTTGGGGATGGCTCTTTTCCGCGTATCGGGGCGCTGCTGTGCTATTCTTTGCTGGCCTTTTTGGCAAAGGATGGCAGTCTGCGGTGCTTTGGGCACGGAGGAGGCCCGTCTTCACAAATGGGTAATTGGCGACGGAAACTGGCTAGGGTCGCTTCCGGGGTGGTATTGCGTCAATTTCTGTCATTTCGTTGGCTTCTGTATCGTTTTTCACTTTCAAGGTCTCTTCTCCGTCTCGAGAAAGCCGCTGGCCCATGCCTTCCTAGTCTTCAGCATCTAGGGAAGCAGCAGCCGTATATTTGGCTAAGCCTGGCTTGTCCAATCAGATCTGTTTATATCACATTATTTCCAGTAAATCTACTGCTCGTAATCATGACAAATATCAGGGCGTATCTAGATGTAAAAATCCTGGTTCGCCACCCCTGCTGCAATGTATCATAAACATTACTGACATGCATGTCTTGATTGATAATAGATAGTCCCCTAAAGGGAATCAATCTATGATACTGTTGTGAATACTCCAAAGACACGAAGTGATCATACCAACATAGTACCCTCCATCCATCATCCATCATCCATCTTACAATGCCATCCGATATAGATATAACCTGATAATTGATCATCTAACCACTTTCAAGATAAAAAAGAAAGGAACAGGTAGGTGGGTAGCTAGGTAGGTATACTGCAAAAAACATCATCTACGTATCAAATTCAAATAATTGATAGACTCCAGCCATAAGTAATACCAGAAAGCCATTACTATACAAAAAACAATGTTGTGTATGTATGTATGTATGTATGTATGATTGATAAACTGACAGACCACCAAACAAAAAGGAATGACCTATGTGATTTAATTACTCATTAATCAACTCAACTGGCTAATTATCGATTATCACAGCGTGCGTTTATGCATTGTGCCGTGCCTCAATGTCCAATACTACTACTAAGTCGAAACGAGTTATCATGCATTATATCAAGGATGAGCCGGTGCTACTTAGACATAGTATACATGCATACATACTTACGCTTTAATATCAATACTCGAGCTAAGCTTATGGGACGGACGAAGTAGAAGATTGATCAGGTAGAACCATAGATCAGAAGAATTAGGTGAGGATCAGACAGAGGCTTCGTTAAGATGAACAAAGTAATAGTACAGTCCAAGTTTGGATAGAAGATGAAGGGGGTATAAAAGGGAAATGTAAAAAAAAAAAGGGGGGGAAACAAGAACGAAGGGGAACCGGGGTGGTGGTGGTAAATAGTAAAATGAATTATCAGACGGCAAAGAAAGGTAAGAAGAGTTGGGTAGAGGTAGAGGTAGAGGAAGGGAAGAGGAAGAGAAAAAAGAACAGGAAGTATAGAGACATAAATATTGGTGGCTTTGCGCCCTGGAAGGGTATTATTGTATGTGCTTGGAACGGGCTCATATCATGTTCGCTGTGGCGCTGTTCCGGGGCTGGATCTTCTCCGTGGAGCTGGCCTCGTCTTCATCCAGACGCCGTCTCCACTCTGCCAGGCTGTCGCTCAGGCCGGACTCCTTGGTTGGGGTCCGGTCGAAGTCGGATTGTGTGCTCAGTCGGTAGTTCCGGTTGGTGCTTTCCCAGTGGCTGCGCAGGGTTTCCAGCTCGTTGGCGAGGGAGTCCAAGGCCATCGAGTTGCGGTTGTCCGGGAAGGAGTCGTCCTGCGATACGGCGCTGTCAGCTCTCGACCGACGGCCGGCGCCACCGATCGTGTTGCTTGAGGCGTTGCTGTGGGTGCGGGAGATGCCGTTGAGACCCTGAACAGGCTGCGATTGCCGACGGTAGTGCCCCACTGATGCTTCCACCTGATCGAGAAGCATGCTAACCTTTTGCTCGGCGTCGGTTGCACGAGTTTCAAGCAAAGCGTTCTCTTGCTTGAGCTGCTCCAGTTCGGAACGGCTCTTTTCTGTAGCCGCAGCAAGCTCCTGCTTCAGCCTTCCGAGGTCCGTTTCCGATTTGCTCTTGTCGGCATCAGCAACGGCAATATCTTCCCTCAGCCGTGTGATCTGACTCTCCAGATTGGCAATCGAAGCCGCCGTGGCCTCTTGGAGTTCGGAGATGGATTGCTCGAGCCTTGAGCGCTCATCCTCCCACTCAGCGGGCGCTTCTGAGTTTTCGCTTGACGACCGAGCAAGGGTCGTCTGTGCGGCATCCAGTTCAGACTGAAGCTTCATGTTCTGAGACTTATACCGAGCGAGCTCATCCTTCATACGCTTCAGCATCTTCTCGGTACCTTTAACATAATGAACGGCTGATTGGTAGTCGTTCTCGAGCTGTTCCAACTTCTCCCTGTAGGCGCGATCAGCTTCCTGTTCACGAGTCTCGACCGACGATTTCAATTCTTCGTGGGCCTTGAGACTGGTAGAAAGCTGCTGCTCCAATTCACGGAGCCGACCTTGCTCGGGGGTTCCAAAACGAGATCCGGGTGACTCGAGAGGCGAACGTCGGCTATCCAGGTAATTGACTCCTCCACGCTCACCAAGAAGATCTTTCAGGGCAGCGTGCTGGACGGCTAGCGCACCGGCCTCGCGTTGGTGGTTCTCGAGTTGAGACTTCAAGTCTCTGTTCTCCGCACCGAGAGTCTGACTCTCCTTAATGACTGACTGGAGTTGTCTACGAAGTTGCAACCCTTCCCTGCTGGCCTGCTCCTGGTAGGCTTCCAGCCCGGCGATCCTCTCTTCGGCACGGCGGAGTTTGTCCACCGCGTCATCCGCAGCAATCTGGCTTGTCTTCGCCAGCTTGTTCGCATTGTCTACCTGAGCCTCCAAGGCGGCTACTCGTTGATCTGCCAAAGACCGCAATGAGGCCTCAGAGTCGAAGGACGATGCCCGATCCAGACCGGAGAGGAATGCGTTCTTATGCGTTTCAGCTTCTCTCGAGTGACTTTCGATCAGCTCCTCTGCATCCTGGAGGCGACGGGTGGCGTTCTCCAAGTCGGATGTGCGCTCATCATGCTCCGATCTCAATTGCAACAGCTTCCTCTCCAAGCCTTCGCGCCGCTCGCGCTCTTCATCCAATTGCCTTTCGAGGAGGGTTGACTTATCGGATGAAGCAGTCACGGCTGCCCGCAGGCTGCCGAGGTTGTTACCGTAATCTCTCAGGCGGGACGTGGTTTCGTCAAGCTTCTGTAACAGTTCTTCCTTGTCCAGAGAGAGTTGCTTTACGGCAGCTTCGGCTTCAGATCGTACCAGGGATTCCTCCCTGACAGAAGCCTCCAGCTCATGAAGCTGCGCGCGGAGGCTCTCTGCTTCTAGTTTGTTATTATTCATTTCGAGCTCTGCCAGTCTTCTCCTTGTGGCTTCACACGTTTCTTCGGCCAATTCGCGGCCTCGCTTTTCCTGCTCAAGTTCAGTCGAAATCAAATCCAGCTTTGACTTAAGCTCGTTCTGGGATGCAAGTGCCAAGGCCAGTCGTCTGCTTATATCGGTGCCACGCTCCGCGACCGCTTCGTCGGAATCGTGCATTTGTGCGTCCGGCTGTGGAGTACCCCTTTGACTACCGCCATGCGCGGCCAACTTGGCGCGGGAATAAGCCGCTTCATTGACAGCCACGTCCCTTTGGTGCTCGACCTCTGCAACGCGTTTTGATGCGATGGCTGCCTGTCGATCCACCGTGGCCTGCATCTTCGCCAATTCTGCTCTCATCGCGAGGAATGCCTCGATCAGCGGACGATCCTCGTCCGCAAACGCATCAGCGGCCCGCTCGTCGAAACCAACACTATTTTGGGGGTTTGGCGAGTAGCCTGACTTCTTGGCCAAGGCAAGCTCGGATGCATACCAGGCGTTGCGGCTTTTCACTGCGTCGAGCTCCTTGATGAGGGCTTCCTGATGAGGAGTCAATCTTGGCGACCGTGGTTCGTCCCCAGACTTTGAGTTCCTGTAAGCTCTGGACTCCACTGAACCATTTTCACTGGCGTTTCTACCCAGGATAGATTCATCGGCACTATCCATGGAGCTGCGTTGCCGGTGCTGGCGCAGAGAACGTTGTCTGGTTGGTGCGCTCATCAGGGGAGCAGCCTCGCCTGCTTCCATAGCTCTGACTGACATTCTGGATTGCTGCTGAGTTGGTGTACGGCTGCCTCCCGATGCGGCGCTTGATTCTTGCGTCTGCCTGAATTCCTTCGGGGATTCCTTTGCAGACGGCAGGTCTCGATCTTTATCGGGTCCCAGGGCTCGAACGGTGTCCACTGGAGGACCATTGTACCCGCGATCCGTCTTAGTGGGTGTTTTGCTTCGAGGGTTCATGGCGTTCTGGGGAGTATTTCCCCTCTGACCGGGTGTCGGCGCCTGGCCCGGGGGAGGAGGCCCGGCTGGGGCCTGCGCTATTGATGCCCTAGGCAGCCGAGACCCTGGTCCCGGCCCCGGCCCATCTCCTGGTCTTCCAGTAGGGCTCGTCATCAGACTTTCGCGCGACGGTCCAGGTCCAGGTCCTCGTCGTTGCGGATCGGGGTGTGGGTTCTGGGCTTCCCGGGACGTCCGACCGCCAGTCTGTACCATTCCCCTGTCTCCGCTCATCTTTCGCATTCCTTGGTTCGCGGCTCTTTCGCCAGGTTGATTTTCGGCCGGGTAGCGGATCTTGGAAGTATCAAGGATGTATGCCATGCTAAGCTCCACGGGATCTCTGGGCGCAGAGCTTGGTTCACCCGCCACGACGATGATCTGTTTGCCGAAAGCCGTCATGCTGTGACCTGATCTCGGGGAGGGCGCAGGTCCCATGTTTTGGAAAGAGTACCACCGTCGAGTGCTGATGCGGAACGCGGCCAGATCGCCCAGGTCGATGCCCTCATCCGTTCGACCTCCGAATATATACATAACGTCATTGACAATAGCCGCGGCGTGGCCTTCTCGGGGCGTCGGAATAAAACCAACGCAATCCAATTGAGACCAGCTGTTGGCACGGGGATCGTAACACCAAACATCATTAAACCATTGCACGCCGTTTGTTCCACCAAACCTGTGTTGCGATTAGAGACATAGTTTCAACCAGGCCATAGCTGGCGGGGAATGGGAAAGCCCTTACAAGTATAACTTGTCGTTGAAACTCACGATCGTATGGTTAGTTCTAGCGGGCGGGCTCTGGCCAGGGGGTGGGCCACCTTCGTGGCTGTTGCGAATCAAAAATTCCCACTTGTTCGTAGGGTTCTGGAGCTGATTGAGATCGAAGGCGACTAAATCATTGAAGAAATAGCCTTCGACCTGTCCACCAAAAACATAAAGCCGGGAGCCAAGAATGTTCAGGGTGTGACCGTAACGTCCGGAAGGTCGGGGACCCGGGGGTATGGATCGCGACCATTGGCGAGAAGCTGAAATGCGACGTGATTAGGATGCGATGTCTCCAGTAAGTGGGAAGAGTGGGCTAGGATCCAATACATACATGTGTTAAGAAGGTAAAGGGTGTCGTCCAGTGTGTCCGACTCGTCCACCTTGGTGTCACCACCGAACACAATGAATGCATTGCCAACGAGCAAGCTCGCGTGTCCAACTCGCGGACCCGGCCCTTCAGACACAGTGGGAACTGGCAAGCATGACAGGTTCCCGCCACTGCTTTCGATCATCCACAGATCTCCTTTGACAGTCGAGCCGTCTATCAACCCGCCCATCATGTAGATATCGCCTTCCTTCGACGCCAATGAATTGATTGCTGCGCCATAACGAGGGAATGGGTTCGCCTGGGCGGAGGCGAAGTTCACGCGGCGCTGTGTCCATGGGTAGAGCGATGCACCTGGGCTGTTGTTCGGAGAGGTGTTTTGCATCGCCTGTTGCGGTCGTAGGGGCTGCAAATGATCAGTCATGACAGATCAGTTGGAGTTATTTCACTGCGGCCGGAAGTGGACACGCAAGGCTGATGAGGCTAAGGGGAGGATATAGGAGACCCACCTGCGACTCGGAATCGGCCCTCTGTCGCATCCGCGCATTGTCAGGGCTACCTGTGCTGTTCACGGAGTTCAGGGAGTTATTGTAGCTGCTGCTGGGGGTTGGTGTTTGGGAAGGCCCATCCCGTTCTTTTGCACCGTTGGGCATAGCGGCCGCCACTGGGGGGGTTGACTGCGACCCTTCCGAAGTATGAACATTTCTGGCCGTTGGAGGGGGACCAGCATTTTGCTGGTGCTTCTTAGATTTAAAGAGGAACGCCATCGTTATAAATGAGTCGTAAACGGTCGTCTCGGGCGCAAGACCGCGGAGTCACAATCACGGTGCAAAAGTATCAGACAACCGGGGGGGGAGCCAAACTCCAGGTTTACCAGTCCTCGCGTACCAGCCAAGTTCTCAATTGCAATGAGAACCGGGAATATTATGGGTCGGGCTAGGAAGGCGCGACAGCAAGGAGAGTTGAGGCGTCCGAGGGCAGACGGTTTATTAAAGGAGTGAATGGCGAGGGTAGTATTGAGCCGAGCCGGAGCGCAGAGTGTCCGGATGGGTGGGCGTTGAGTTGAGGGAGCACCGGCGGTCGTTCCTGACGATGTGTGATAGATAGAGGAAGCAGCAAACAGTGGAAGCTGGCACACTCCATTCAACCCCTCTCAAGCCGTTCAACGTCTCGGGACAGGAGATGCGAAGGGGGTCTGTTCTCCGTTCTTCTAATTCAAAAACAAGCGCACCGAAATCCGATCGCGACGCTGAAGGGGCATGGGCAAATAAATCATAGAAAAATGGCAGGCGGACAGGGGTGCAAAGAGGGAACCGGGACGGAACGACTCCGACAATAATAAAGACCGGCAAGTGTACAGCGGGCACCCAAAGTCAAACGCATGAACGAGGAGAATCAGGCTTGATGTTGAAGGGGAGGGGGGGGGGGGGGGGAAGAAAAGAACAGCCGAGGAGGGAGGCAGAAGAGGGAGAAGAGAAGGGTGGGATTATTGGGGGGGCTCTGGGCCTGGAGAATTGAATTGAACTGAATTGGGGAGGATTGGAGAGGAGAGGGAAGGCAGGACAGGAAGAATGAAAGACTCCGGCGTTTCACACTTTCTGGCCAGCATTAGATAATTATTATGATTAGGTAGGTATTATTGAGTTCGCATGGCAGGTTTGGCTTGGGTTTGGGTTTAGGGGGGGGGGAAACGACGGAAATTGGGGCCTCGCCTTTGGGGGGGGGGGGAGCCGGCCAGGGCGTCACCGCCTCATCGGTTTACTGCTACTACTACTACTACTGCCACTACTACTATTACTTCTTAACCTCCCCAGCGAATGGCAACACAAATCTCATGGAGGAATGGGAAAGGAAAAAGCAAAAAAAAAAATAAAAGAAAGGGAAAAGAGGTCAGACAGAAAGAATCACACACAAAATATAAAGTACGGAGTAGGTCAATGACCGTCCATCCCACGATGGGGGGGAACTCTCTCATTCCCCAGACACCACCGTTATGGTTGTGCAAGCCCATACATGGGTCATTCGGTACATTCCACCCTCCCCGAACAACCACCTCGCCCATCAATTGAGTCTACGGAGTACAGTAATCTACCGGGTAGTCATGCCCATTTACGGACTCTCCCGGAACTCAGAACCTCACCTCAATCAAGTCATGGAGACTGTCTGTCCAGATGTCATGTCCTACCCGACCTGCCTTTGTTCAGGGAAAAAGAGTCGCTGTCGATCGGCCTACCCCATGCAACTACCGGCATGTCCGTGGTCCACTCGGCATCGCAGCTACACAATCCCTACCGCTGCTAGATACTACTACTGGATACGAGATGCAGAAAGAAAAAAAAAAAAAGAGTGCTTCCGGGAACACTCAACACAGGCCTTACTCCCCTCCCCCCTGTCGCGCTGGAAGAAAAGCTTCATGGCGATTAGGTGGCCGCAATCATGCGTGTTGGGTGGATACTTCTTGCTCCTGTATGTGTGGATGAACCAGCACTGCGTAGTAATGCAGGAACCGCGGCGAGAGGTTGGTGCGGGTGTGGTTCCCTAGCCACATCATCGGAGGCCCCAGCATTCCTCCCCCAAGTAGATATAGTGCGCGCACTCCGTACTGTGTACATGGACGGATGTCTTGTTCCTGCATGGGCGATGGTGGGTGATTCGGCAAGGGATATTGGATCCTGGGCGAATGTGATATCATCGCTGGGCTACATGATCAGAAATCAAAATTACTGTAAGCTGCCGCCGGACCAACGAGATTAGAAGCTGCTTCTGTTGCTGCATTGCGATGAGAAGAGGAATGAATGGTCCACACATGGCCTGACTCTCTCTCTCTCTCTCTGTTTATCTCCCAGCCACCTCAATTCACAAGCCTCGTGGATCGTTATCCATGGCTCCATGAGGGTATGATGGTAAGGACCGACTCCATTCGATTCAAACACCTCTCTCCACCGGCCCAATCCAATCTGCTTGCTGGCGGGGAGGGGCCCGATCAACGGGCCTGCCATCCAGCAGCGATGACTGGCTGAGGGATACGGGTGTCTGTTAACTCCGTGCGATTTAGCGTTGGGATGGGCGGGTTTAGCTCCGTCCGAAGCGAGGCTCCTCTAGCTCGGGACGGTGCCAGGCCATGGGAGCAGGGCGGAACCAGGGGTAGCAGCAGCCTGGCCGGAGGACGGTAGAGCCAGCGAAAGGTGGAGGAGGGTGGCCAAGAAGAAACCGGAAGGAGACGACGGAGAAAAGGGGGGATCCGGCTGTCTGTCCAAGGATGTAGATCTGGTTGACCAGATAATCATTCCCATGCACGGCGGACTGAACTTCAGGATTCCAGACAACGGTCGGTTCGGGGAAGCAGGAGGAAGGCAACGGTCCCCATCGATATTAATTGCTGGGGCCTTCGGGGAGCCACTGGACGGGCATGGGGCGCTGGATGGTCTTACTATCTAGTTACTTGGCTGTGTCGAAGTGCCTCGAACTGTTTAAACTTAACAGCAGTAAGCTTAAGTAAGTTTCTATCTATAAGACCATGGCAGTCATCGGCTCCATCCCCATCCTTTCTGCCTGGTCTTCATGGCGGCAGTGGCGCATCGCGATCGGGATGCACACCGTCGACAGACACAGGATGATTTGGGGGTCTGCGAGCCACTCAGAAATCATCCCGTATGGAGTTCCTGCCCGGTCACCCAATGGGAGCCGCTTCTCCCTCGGTGGTTATTTTTGTCCCTGGCCAAGGGAACGTGATCCAGCCTGCAGGGTTTGCAGTAGTAGCATGCCCCTGATCACTTTTAATTAGATAGCAGTCCGTGCGAGGAAGTCTAAGTGAGGACGGAGTGAGTGAGTGGCTGCTCTGGACTTCAGAATACCGCCCGGAAGAGTGCATGCGAACTAAGTCGTACACAGTATAAGTTCACACTTTAGAGGCGCAAACAAGATTTGTGAAGGAAGATTGTCTTTTGTCTTTTGATTCACTGTTGCCTTTCGATCTGGTTTCTTTTTGTTGTCGCATCTGCTTGTGCTGCACGCATCCGTCAGTTAGATTACAGCCGAAGATATATTTTGTGTGCATAACCCGAGACCAGAAAGCATGAATATAGTTAGAGATGATGTCTTAGACACTTGGTTTGAGAGCGAGCGCTCTCTGAATTTCAGCGCGGGGACACTGATGAGAAACGTTTCGCCCATTACTTTCTCTCTTCACTGCTCTGTTCCCTTCCAATAGATATTAGATAGAAATATACTCCGTAACTATCACACTCACTGACTGTTAGCCGTTAATAGCCAGCCGGGGGAACAGATAATCCGGCCGCCCGGCTGGCTGGGTGGCTGCCAAGAGACTCTCCCGGCCAAAGCTCGAGGACGTCGCCGACCGACATCATCAATCATCCAGTCCCCGCGTTTCTGGAAGGGCGTGTCGGCAGTTGCAACAACATATCGGGAGTCGGAATCGCCGCCGATTCTGCCTTTCTTTTGTTTTCCCCACTGTCGCAGTCCGTGGCCCAATCTCCTCTCTCAGGGTGTTCTCTCACCTCCTAGCTGCTGACCGCTGACCCTCTCCGGATTGGGTATGAGAATCGGTCTACTGTCAGTGCAAGCACCGTGACATGAATATTGACTAGGTGAGCACATCCACGCGGGCGCACTGTTGAACGGAACGGATCGCAACATCGTTGAGTTGAATACCTCGACGTCAACAGGCGGGCTAACCACATTTTCGGGCTTCTAGGCCACGGCCTAATCCCTCATCCTGAACGCTACATGATGATCAACTACGCATAATGGACACGACTGATCGACCCGAACTCAATATGGATCAAACAATGCAGCCACAGGCGTCAAGCTTGCAGACGGAACCCCGAAGGAATAATCACAGGTCTGTCCGAGTTGCCTTCGGGCCCGACCTGGAAACTCACATCCCCCCTCGCGACAATTCCCCCGCTCCTTTGCCAGGGCACCACCGATCTTTTACGACTGTGGAGCATATCCAGCCTCCCGTATTCCCTCCCGAAAGGCCGACCAGCTCTTCCGCGGGCGAGAACCCAGCCATCATCGAAACCAACGGCCGACTGGCTTCGGACCGGGCCTCGGAGACGACCGCGAGACCAACAGCAGCCTTGAAGAGGGCCAAAAGTGACTATGGACCCAGGGTGGGATTCGACAAGCCCTTCGCAGGGGACGAGGAAGAAGATATTGCAATGAGACATGGGTGGCAGGAAGAGTACACCTCCAGTGAATATCTCAAAGTCCTGCATTCGGTAAGCAGATACCACACGCACACGCCATCAATGGTGGATTTGGACAGGTCTGATTTCACTAGAACTTTTACATGTACTTCACGGAGAAGCGCCATGAGACGAACGGCGTCCCAAGGGATCCGGTCGGAAGCTGGCCCAGTCAAGATTGGCGAATGAAAGACCGCCTGAAAACCGTCTCTGCTGCGCTAGCCATATGCCTGAACATCGGCGTCGATCCGCCTGACGTCGTCAAGACCAACCCGACAGCCAAGCTGGAATGCTGGGTCGACCCCACGTCCACGACGGGCGGCGGCCACAACAAGATCATGGAGCAGATTGGAAAGAAACTACAAGAGCAGTACGAGACACTTAGCTTAAGAACTAGGTACAAGCAATATCTTGACCCATCTGTCGATGAGACCAAAAAGTTTTGCATATCCCTCCGACGTAACGCCAAGGACGAGCGAGTGCTATTCCATTACAACGGCCACGGGGTTCCTCTCCCTACTCAGTCGGGCGAAATCTGGGTCTTCAACAAGAACTACACTCAGTACATACCCGTGTCACTGTACGACCTGCAGTCTTGGCTTGCGGGACCAAGCCTGTTCGTTTTCGATGTTTCACACGCGGGCAACATCGTGCAGAACTTCCACACCTTTGTCGAAAAGCATGAGAAGGAGAATGTCGAGGCGAAAAAGCGTGACCCGAATGCCATTATCCAGAACTATGGGGATTGCATTATCCTCGCGGCGTGTCAGAAGTCCGAATCGCTCCCTACGAATCCTGACCTCCCGGCCGATCTTTTCACTTGTTGTTTAACAACGCCCATCGAGATTGCCTTGCGGTTTTTCATTCTGCAGAATCCTCTACAGACAAACATTTCTATCGACGATTTTAGAGTCCCTGGCCGTTTACAGGACCGAAGAAGCCCTCTCGGTGAGCTGAACTGGATCTTTACCGCGATCACGGACACCATCGCCTGGAACACCTTACCGCGCGCCCTGTTCAAGAAACTTTTCCGTCAAGACCTTATGGTGGCTGCCCTGTTTAGAAACTTCTTGCTTGGCGAGCGTATCATGCGCACTTACAAATGCCACCCTATCTCTTCGCCTGAGCTTCCCGAAACCCATCACCATCCGCTGTGGAAGAGCTGGGACCTCGCTGTTGAGATGGTCTTGTCGCAGCTACCGGCCCTTATTGACCATGAGGAGGGTCGGAGACAATATGAATACCAGCACTCTACCTTCTTTGCGGAGCAGCTTACCGCGTTCGAGGTTTATCTGTCGTCTGGCCCGACAGAAAAGAACCCTCCGGATCAACTTCCAATCGTCCTGCAAGTCCTCCTCAGTCAGGCGCACAGACTAAGAGCATTGATCTTGCTTAGCAAATTTCTTGATCTAGGACCTTGGGCTGTCCATCTCGCTCTGAGCATCGGTATCTTCCCGTATGTCGTAAAGCTCCTGCAATCTGCCGCTCAGGAATTGAAGCCCGTGATGGTTTTCATCTGGGCAAGAATCATGGCTGTTGACCATACGGTCCAAAACGATCTGTTGAAAGACAACGGAATCCATTACTTCATTTCCATCCTCAACCCTTCGTCGCCGATCCCCGTCGGCAATGCCAGCGAACACCGCGCCATGTGTGCTTTTATCGTTTCGATTTTCTGCAAGAATTACCCACAAGGCCAGAACGTTTGCCTCTCCGCAGAGCTTTTCGACTCTTGTCTGAAACATCTCATGGATGTTGAAAACCCCCTTCTGCGGCAATGGTCGTGCCTTTGTATCAGCATGCTGTGGTCCGACTTCCCCGAAGCAAAGTGGATGGGAATCCGGTGTGCTGCCCCTGCAAGACTTTGCGAGCTGAATTTCGACCCAGTCCCAGAGGTGCGGGCTGCGATGCTGCACGCCGTCACCACGTTCTTGGGTATCCCCGATTTGACAGATCAGGTGGCTCAAATCGAAGAGACTCTGGCTATGGCGGTGCTGCCTATGGCGGCAGATGGCAGTGTCCTTGTGAGGAAGGAACTTCTTGTCTTTTTCTCGAAGTTTGCTAGGCGCTACCAGAACAAATTTTTGGTCGCTGCGTACGAGGAGTTTCAGGACGAGAAACAGAATCTTCTTCTTAAACTGGAGCAGGATGGTACTGGAAGCCTTCACCTCGAGGATGTGCCCATTGTTCCGGCTAATGGCAACACCGAGCCAACTCCTAAAACGCCGACATTGTCTCGGAATACGACCTTTGGCACTATTTGGAAACAACTACTTATTCTTTCTGTTGACCCCCATCCAGATATTGCCCAGGATGCCGGCATGGTGGTTGACCACATTCACATTTGCCTTCTACAGTCTCCCATGGCTGCGCTAACCAACAGAATCCGGGATGAGATCCTCGATATTTCGAATCGTCTAGCGCAGAAGTTCCAGGTCCGCGAAAAGCCAGAATCCAAGAAAGCCGTTCCCCCACCGACGCCTCCTTCCGTAGCACCTCCGAAACAAGAAGGGTACCTTTCATTGAGCATCAAGCGAACGGCTAGTGTCGCGGCTTCGCTCAAAAACCTGGCCTTCGGCAATTCATCACCAGGAGAAGCACAGTCCCAACCCTCGACGGTCCCGAAGAGTCGCATGCCCATCACCCCGAGAGGCCGAGCTCCCCCCGAATGGACGCGACCACCCGAGGTCAACGATCAAGTCGCCCCCGCAACGGCATATCACCAGGCCCCAATCCCTACGTCGCGAGGCTTCGAACCCAAAGCCCCAGGCACCGCCCCAACCATCCCCTTGATGAGCAGATTCCTAGATTGGTCCACAGAGGTAACCCCAGAGCTACTTGATTTGCTGAGCCCGCAAATCCACCTTGAGTACGAACAACTTCTCATTCTTATCCAGTATTTCCGGGAACCCCAGATGAAACCCAATGAGCCCGACGAGCCCGGTAGTGCCGATTATAACGAACGCCTCTGGAGACGAAGCCGCAACGAGAAGATTATCTCGGAAACCCAGCCCCTGAAAGGAAAAGCCGGTAGTAGCCGCTGGGATAACTCGTTGTCTCTTCTGTCGAATAGCAGCCAGCCCCTGAAGATGTGCTTCCACCAGTTTGAGGATCACCTTGCAGTTGCAGATGACAGGGATACTATTGCGTATGTTTCCTGGGAGCACGTGAACATTGTGTGCTAACTCTTGGTAGGATTTGGGACTGGCAGAGTCACAAGCGTCTCAACCGCTTTTCGAATGGAAATCCCGTTGGCTCAAAGATCAACGAAGTCCGCTATATCAACGAGGATGATCAAGCTCTTTTGATGACGGGATCCTCAGACGGAGTCTTGAAAGTTTTCAGGAACTACGAGTCCACAAAGGAGGTTGAAATTGTCACCTCGTTCAGGGCCTTGCCGGAACTCATCCCAAGTAATCGCAATGCTGGTCTTGTTCTTGACTGGCAGCAAGGCCAAGGTAAGGCGTTGGTCGCAGGAGACGTGAAGGTTATCCGGGTGTGGAACGCAGCCACTGAAGTCTGCACCAACGTAAGTGTCTGCACACGAAGCATCGGGATAACTCTAACCTATCTTTAGGATATCCCCGCACGTTCTGGTTCTTGTATTACCTCCTTGACGTCGGATCAAGTTGCGGGCAACATATTCGTAGCAGGGTTTGGCGATGGCGCTGTCAGAGTGTTTGATCAGCGACTCAAGCCTACAACATCCATGGTTAAAGTGTGGCGTGAGCACAAGCAGTGGATCACCAACGTCCATATGCAGCGAGGCGGCCTGAGGGAACTGGTATCTGGCAGCCGCAACGGCGAGATCCGGCTTTGGGATCTGCGACTGGACATCCCAATCTCGACGTTCTCTGCCACCAAGGACACACTTCGCACATTGAGTGTGCATGAACATGCCCCTGTATTCATGGTGTACGTGCCTCCTTCTGATACCCTACAAACTGAATGCCTAACTGACCATGGGGACAGGGGTACAAACCGACACGAAGTCAGGACCTACAACGTGGATGGCACTTACCTGTCCACCTTCGAACCGTACTCGAGCTTCCTGCACCACAACCGCTCCTCCCCGATCGCCAGCACTGCCTTCCACCCCCACCGCACACTGCTGGCCTGTTCCGCCCTCAACGACAACCACATCAACCTTGTGAATTGCTAAGCAGTTCACTCCCCGTCCCTCCGCCCCTCCGCCCCATTCCACGGCCGCCCCCACTCCCTCTTAGTACCACCAAATATTACCCCTCCAGCACATCCGGCGCCTAGTTGAGCCATATCTACCAATATTCCCTTTCCGGTTCCAGAGTACATACCTCAGACCTTTCCCTTCCTCCACCTCCGAACTTCCCTTTTTTTTTTTTTTTTTTTTTTTTTTTTAACTTCTTCTTCTACCACTTTTAATGGCAATCATGAATGAAGCAGCACTTTCTGGCGTAGGACGGCTAGCAAGTTACGTTAAGTGTGAATTAAGTTCAGTTGGCGCTGTGTGTATTCTCTTCGTTTAGTTGCTTCCCTTCCCCCTCCCCCGTTTGAAAGCTGTTGCTTGCTTATTTGTATATGCATGGATGGACATGGGCTTGTACCGGTACACAGGCACAGGCACAAGCACAAGCACAAGCAGAAGTAGAAGCAGACTTAGGTTTTCTACCCCACCAGCCTTAATGAGTTCAGTTTCAAGTTAATAAACCGGTCAATCAACCAGTCAGCCAATAAGTCACTAAGTCAACGGACCAGGTGGTGTATGTAGTCTCATGTTTAGGGTCATAGGTTGTTATTAAGGGGTTGTTTGGTTCTGTAGGAATCCCGTGGCGTTGTTACTTATCTTTGAGATATTTTTACTTGTCTGTTGATCGGTACAGCTGAGATATCATTATCCATCAATCAATCAATCAATCAATCAATCAATCAATCAATCAATCACTGTTTTATTCTGCTACACCTACTCAGGCATCTTCGTTATGCAACCGAATAAACAGAAAGGGAAATAGTTTATACATAAGAGAAATAACAAGCATAACATTAGGGTATGGGTTCTAGAAAAGTCATGCATGTATCGAGTAACTGGAGACGTTTATTTTCATAGTGTTAGAGAAGTATCTTTTCTATGGAAAACATATATAAAAGATACTTGTACCTACCGGTAATGATAGGTTAAACTGCTACCTAGTAGTTGGAAATCCGATCAGGTCCAGGTCCAACCAGCCAAACCAATACGTGCATTACTTTTTCTACATTAGTCGACAAAACAGCCTCATGATTTACCCCACTCACTACCCTACCACCCACCCAATAGTTCACCAAGAGAAAGGCTCATCTGAAAAATGTTTCAATTATCCAGTCGATCTCGAGTCTGGATGGGGATAAGATATGTGTTTCTTATAGATAGAAGAGTAGCGGTGGCGCCAAAATTCGAGTTTGAGGGAGGGAGGGAGGGAGGGAGGGAGGGAGGAAAGAAGAGGGAGGCGGGCCAAGCTGTCTTTGAAGATTATGTAGTTGCAAAGGGGAACAGCATCCAGGAAGTGGGCATTTCAGCAGCCAGTTCGTAGAGCAATGTCCGGGGTTGGGTGGGGTGGGGTGGGATCAAGGAGGATATCGGTCCCTGGGACAAAGGTAGAGGAGGCGGTTCGGCCAGAGATTAGACGCGGGAGAGAGGGAGGGTGAGTCAGGCGGAGACAGGACATGGTCATAGAGATTGGAAATTGTTCTTGCCCAATGGCCGCTATTTGCCTGCCATGCATAACCACCAAACGCCAACCGACTCAAGGTGCACAATGTCAAAACATCGCTAATGCTGCTCGGATCACAAGAAAAAAAAAACGCCCCGAAAGACAGAAAACCCCTCGTCCGGAAACACATTCATCCAAGAGAGGAAGAGGGGCGGTGGATAGAAATGAAGCAAGAGAAGCAGATCACCTGCTGCCTTCCGTCTGAGCTTGATGCCAGATCGTGTCTCCACTAAGAGCGGAATAACTCAGCGCTGCAAAGTTTCTCCAACCCGGTGGCGCTGAGGATGCCTGCCCTTCGAGAAGGCCTGTATCGGCACCCGCATGGCGTTCGAGGTCTGACGTCTCGTCCTCGCTCACACCGGTGATCGGGACCGGCGCTGACGATGCACTATGCTGAGAATCGGCGTCGTCACGGTATGTTTCCTCAGTCAACGCCTCCGCTGGCTCGGTAGTTTTGCTCTGAGACATTGACCGAACTACGTCACCTTTGCAGATCGGACAAGTTCGCCGGCGCGTTGTGAGCCAAGGTGTGCTGTAAAGATCGTTAGATAACTGCGGGAAATGTACTGACGATTGCGGTCACTTACATGCACTCTGCATGGAACTCATGCCCACAGGGTAGACTCATCACCCTGCTCTGTCCATCAACGTATTCCTCCAGACACACAACGCACTCGACTTGCCGCCCGGTGTATTTACGCCGCCACAAGGTCGATCCAGATTTCTCCTTCTTCGACATCTTTGATGGACTCTTCGCGTCCGTAGCCCTCAAATCCTGGTAGGATTGGGACGGCATTTCAGATCGTCCCGAGTGACTTCTAGCACCCAGCAAGGGAGAAGTCGGCGACACCGGACCAGGGCTGACGGATCTTGGAGAACTCGATCCCGAAGATGTCGTGATGGTGTGATATGTTCGTACGGGCAAACGTTCGACGAGAGACTTCGGGGCTCGCCAGCGTCTCCGTCGGATCCGGGACCGGAGCAACAAAAGAACATATACAACAGTCAACGTGAGTAGGGGGCTGACGACAAGGACCAATAGGGTATCAAAGAAAGGGCTCGTAGACATGCTCGTTGGCGTCAAGGTGACCCATAAACCGTCATGTTCTGCTGTATCAACGCTCTGGCTGCTCTGAGAAGCCGCGTCGCGTGACTTCTGATCCTCGGCAGCTGGTGTGCTTGTGCTGGAACTTTGGCTGGAGTCTGGCTCGTCATCCGTAGCCCAGAGGAAATGTTTGGTGAACCAGCCATTCTTCGGCGAGGACGGCTCCTTTTCAACACGATCAGATGAAGTTTTGATGCTAGAATCCGACATCTTTGACTCCTTATCGACGCTAGACTTCTCAACAGTGCGGTACTCTCCACTTCCTGGAGTGATGCTGCCACCCTTTAGAGTGGCTGATGTGGGTCGTGATCCCTTATCGCTATTTTGCGCTCTGCTACTGTCGATTTCTGTGCGACTGGTGGGTGACGGAAGGGCGCTGCCCTTCGGGACTACCAGGTCTGGATCTCGCCAGTCCTGCACCCCAATAACGAATCCATCCCCATCTGTATTGCTCGATGTAGATCCAGATTTCTTGCGACCCTCAGCAGAACTATCGGCCCTCGTTTTGGAGTGACTGTGATCAATCTCATCCTGGGACGGCTCCTGGTCATCCCAACGATCTAACAAAATCCAGTTAATATTGCCGCTACTGGGAGGGCGACGACTATCCTCCGGCGGAGACCACGGCTTTCCACCATGGCCGCTGAGGCCGAACAAGGACTTAAGACCGTGGAAGAACCCGGATTTTGGTTTCGAAGGGACCAAGCTCTCGTGGGTCACTGCATTGTGAGTCGATGTGGGTGACGGTGTGACAGAAGTGGTCGCCGTAGTAGCCACGCGTTGCTTTCCAGAGTTGCCGTGACTAATGAGTTTGGCGTGAGAGCTGGATCCATCCTCTGCCCCGGAATCGTCCCAGGTTTGAGGAGGCACCAAGGAGGATAGCAGGTGTGCCGTTGTATGGGAAGTGAACAAGGCGGGGATTGTCACATTGGAAGTGTCACCCCGCGCATACATGGTGACGAGACTTCCTCCTCGGGTGTCGTCTCCGACAATCAGAGCGATTCCTCCACGTCGCTGGACCCACTTGACCTTCTCCAGGAAGCCACAGCCGCCCCTACTCAATAGGACGACCTTGCCATTGATCTCGGCGCTTTCTTGCAGAGACTGGATGTCCGCATGAGCGGCTTGTCGGGTCTGAGAGCGTTCCCCGTGTTTTTCAATGACATTCGAATCTGATACTTCCGACTCCGGGAGAGGGTGGTGGAGGTGGTCATCCGTGCCGTCATTAGTCAACGGGGAAGTTGCTTTATTGTTGGTGTCGTGTTGAGTATCGGTGTCAGGTTGAGGAATTGTGTGGCGATGGTTCGGCGAAACGACTGGTTCATTCGAGGGACCAGACCCCGACTTCCCAGTTGTGCTGTCCGTGCCCGCAGGTGGCTTCAGACCATCGCCTTCTCCCCAACCCGGGATATCTGAGCATCCTAGTTCCCCTTCGGCCCCAGCCGCAGTTCGCTCCCCAAAGCCGCTGCCAATCCACACTTGGGCGCTAAGTCCCTTGTCTGGGAGCATAGGACCAAACGCCGCAGGTCTGGCGAGGAAAAAGGTCGAGTTGTCATCGGTTAGGCTGATTATAGCGGAGGGCGGGAAGAGCGATGAGGGGATATTGAAGGAAAAGAGGGCGTGCAGGCCAGTGGCTCGACCAGCGAGCGAACTGGGGGTGGACACGCGAGGAGAGGATGTTAAGGCGGAAAAGAGCGTGAGTAAGATGGGGAGGAAGATAAGGCAGAAAACGACCAGAATCAAACGTGGTGGTCGCATAGTTGCGAGATGGCCACAGAACCAGGCACCAGAGATTGTTCGACCGAGTGGGAGGGGGAAGAGAAAGAAAGAGAGAGGAAGGAGGTCAAGTTCGGTCGGAGGAAGTTGTGGTGGTGGCAGTGGTGGCAGTGGTGGTGGTGGTGATAATCGGTTCTTGCAGGCGATAGTCCTAGGACCAATCAGACGGTCGTGGCAGCGCAACAGGACGGGCACTCATCGAGAGGGCAGGGAGAAACAAGCAAGGTGCGAAAAGGAACAAAAGAAAGGAAGGAAAGCCAAGCCAGAAGGACTAGAAGCCGCCCAGACGTGGAGGAGGAGGGGGAGGGAGCAGTAGGGACATGGACGAAACGATAGGGAGAGGCAGAAGGGGATGGGGGGGGTGGATGGGGGGATGGATGGGAATGGGGATGGAGGATGGGATGGAGAAGGCAGCGAAAGAATGATCAGCTCACGCAGTCAGTCTGAGAGGCCGAGCCAGCCAGTCAGCCAGTCAGTCAGACACGCAAGCACCGCCTCGGCGGTCACGGGATGAGTCCCTGCCTGAGGCGGTTCCTCCTTAGGCTTCTAGGCTAGTTAACTACAGCGGGGCCTGATTCCCAGGGGGCTCAGGCAGCCGCCGTATTGTCACTCACTACCTACCTACGTCACGGCCTCTTGTCACTTTCGAGGTGCTCCCTAGATGGGGATGGGTTCTACACTCAGCTTCAATCGGCATACCGCCAGTTGACCATTAATCAGCACTTCGAAAAACTCCAAGAATGCCAGCACTCCCCCACTATCCATGGATATAGCATGCTGGTATTACCGCCCCCGTGTGTCACCGACCCCAACACCCTTGCTGGATACATCTATTACATCCATTACACACCACGTTACCCGGCACTGTTCTCCTCCCCGCAGATCAAGCTGTCTTCCACTTCCCGTCACGAATTCCCCCCACCCACCCTGCTGTTAGCCCGGGGCAATAGTAATGGTCCATGTCGAACTCGGTTTTTCGATGGCCCTCTGATCGACAATGCAGGAGCGTTTCGAGTGAAGATAGGTATGTCCTGTCCAATTCCCCACTAAAGCGCCCCTCCCATGCTGACATATACTGGTATCGACTCCGTACTTCAGTAGAACTAACCACAGCGGACTTTCCTTAGGGGCCATCCAAACGTCTTCGTGATGCTAGGCCCTCTGATACAAATCGCCCTCCCATGCAATAATCTCCTCGGACTCACCGTTAGATGTTTCACTCGCAAGCAGTACATATTGAGTCTGTATTACCATGGCTCCATCACACACGAGGATTGGCGATGTAGGGTTCGGCCAACTTTTGGTCCTATGCCGAGTGGTGATACTCCGGTGGAACCCCAGGAATATAAGCGGGGTCGCGCTGTGGCGCACCATCCAGGGTTCCGTGGCTGGTGCGATCTGAGCTTAACTCGCCAACTCGAGGGTCTGGATTCGCTGTTATGGTTGGATGACGTGAACGACATCCCGGTCCTCATACAAACCGTCTGCATTCTTGTACGCCATCGCCCGGATGTTGGATCCGGACGTCACCACCGTCCGCCTCCCGTGATGGCATTGCGACAATCTGCTTGGTCCTCGCTCATGGTTGCAGCTGGTCATCTTTCCGGGTTAGCCGTGAAGTGGGGTTCATATATAAACGTACTGTAGCCCGGGACAATGTCCTTGTGGGGATGGATTATATTGTCACTGTACTATTTGGTCATCTCTTGAGAGACACATACAATATCAACAACATCATATCTACAGAGCTGTCAAAATGTCGAACATTATGCACAAAGTCAAGGATGCCATAACTGGCCATCACAACGACTCCTATAGTATTGTCCCCCATTCTCGCCGTGTAATCCTGAGCTAGTACTGATCAAAGTCCAGGCAAAGGAAGTCACGGATCGAAGCCTAGCTCTGGCGACTATAGCTCCGCCAATCAAGGCACTGGACCTGGTTCGAACACCTACGGCGCCGATGACTACGAATCCAGGACTGACACATACGGCTCGGGCGCTGGTGAATACAATGCCAAACAAGGCGGCGGTAACTACGGCTCCCAGTATGGAGGATATGGCCAGCATTCAGGATCCGGAGGCTATGATCCAGGTAACACTGGCGGCCATCAGGCTGGCGCTGGCGGATATGGAAGACAATCCGAATCTGGAGGCTATGGCTCAGGCAACACTGGTGGTTATCAGACCGGCGCTCGTGATTATGGATCTGGAACTGGAGATTATCCGCCGCAAGGAGCTAAGCCGATGTACGGAGACAGCAGCCTTGATACGCGTGGAACCAGTGGAGATGATGGCTATGAATATGGTGGAAACCAGTTGGACTCCGGCAAGATGGGCTCCAATATAGGCCATCTTCGCTCCAGTAGTGGCGGTGCCCAGCGGAATCAATGGTAAAAGCACTGGTACAGAGTATCAACAAAACCCCGCAAGAGCTTTGGATGGATTTATTTCTTTGATGTATCTATGTGCTGATTGGTCTTCATGTTTATTATATGCAGAAATTAATTATTTTCTAACCCAGATCCTGTAGGATGGAGCCATGCGTACCTCAACTTCCATCACTTCAGTCTTAGATTCATTGTTCACGAACAATGGGGGTCAGTGAGATCGTGCAGCGAGAGAAATACTGGAGCTGGTGTATGGAAGGAACTTCAAACATCTAGCAGGGGCTAACTATTCTCCCTGTACTCTCACCGTAAGGCCAGAAACCATGCAGCCTGGATATGTGGAGGTGAGGTAAACAGCGCAAACAGGCAAGTGCAGCGTTTCAGTGAATGCCCTGGGCTGTTTCCTTTCTCTTCACCCGTCCCCTACTCCGATCTTTCTGACCTCTTCTGCTTACTTCCTCGCGCTTGGCGGCGTGTTTGGCTAACCGGCACCATTTTACTTTATCCTGATGCTATCGCAATAATGTCGTCATCCAAAGGTCTAAACCTCCCTGGAGCTTTGGAAGATGAGCATGAGCTGGACAACTTTGAAGATCTTGCGTCCTCTCAGCCAATCCCCTTGTCCCAACTATGCACTAAATCCAGCTCTAAGAGGGGTGCGAGAGGCCGGAGACTTCTATCAGAAGTTTCATCTGGCAGCGAGTCTCGCGAGACCCACCCCACGAGACAGCAGAGAGTCCTGTCACGTTTGTCCGCGTTACATCAATCCAGTATGGGGAGCAGCCGTTTGAATTTGGACACGGAACCATTCACGTCCTCTCAGTTGAGCTCACAGGGGTGGGGAAGCGGTGATGAGAGTCACTACAAACAGAACCCTCTGAGTTACTCGAGGAGCTACAACTCGTCCTATTCACACAGCACCCCACTGCATGGGTCGGTCACCGAGGACACCTCTCTCCACCTCTACGGAGCCAACTTCGACCGAACCTACAACCAGTCGCCATACGAGTCCTTAAGAATTCGCACGCGTCCTAAGCGACCTGCAACTCAGATTACCTCCGGTCTGCAACTTTCGGGACCTCCAATTCCCCCACAACCTGAACCAGTCATGGAGCGCGTGCCTGTTGTTCGAGATCTCGAAAAGGAAGAGAAAAGACGCAAGTTTAAAGAAGAGGTGACTGCGCTGCTCAAGAGCGTGGCAAATGAGATCGAGAATCCTAAGCCGGATGAGATGCCTATGAAGCACCAAGACGCGTCCATGCAGCACCCGGACAAGCCCAGGAAGTACCCAGCTACAACCATGAAGCATGAGGATACAGTCATGAAACACCAGGATACAGCCTTTAAGCACCACGGCATGACCATGAAGTACAAGGATACGGCCTTCAAGCACGGCATGACTATGAAACACCAGGGTCCAGACTTCAAGCACCCGGATACATCTTTGAAGCATCAGGATACAGTATTCAAGCACCACGATATGACCCCGAAGCACCTGGATACAGCCTTCAAGTATGACGACATGGTAATGAAGCAGCACGATACAGCCGTGAAGCACAACGACATGGTCATGAAGTTCCACGACATGTCCATGGGGGCCAAGACTCATCCTATGCGCAAATCTCAACCGTGGGAGACCAAAACTCTCGGTGGGAGCATCGTATCTAATCGTGACCATGATTTCGCAGCACAGACCGAGAAAGTTCTGAGAACCCCCCCCGGGCTCACTAGACCAAAAGGTCAACTCCAGCAGAGAGAGGAAGATGCTGAAGCCTGGTTCCATAGAGATAGCCGAGGGGAGGATCACCTTCGTCAACAGATTGCAGGTATTGCTGGCAATTGCCCCAGCACGAAGGAAGAGCAGACCACTCAACTCCTGGGCGATATTATCCTGAACCTCTACGGCTACGTCTCCAAGGATGGCTCTAAGAAGGCTGGGAATTTTAATAATTTCGGGGATGCGCCACCTTCCTGCTACTCGCCCAAGAAGGATAACAAGCCTCGCAGTTATTTCGACTGGTGATGGCCGATGCTGCTTCTACAGAAGATCATGTCTACTGGTCAAAATTTCATTTCAATGTACGATTAGCTCAAGTTAGTCCACGTTAACTCGACAGAGGGCTCAAGGGTTTCCTTGGGTGCCAAATGAAGCATAGTAATGTAACCTCGTACTTTTATCTGTGCTATATCTGCGTAGTTGTAGTAGACTACTACCTAGTAGTAGTAGTAGTAGTAGCAGTAGACTAGCAGTATGGAGTTGCCCGGCAGATGCAGCCCCTGAATTACGGTAATGGCAATACCGGGGGGATGCATGCCGCACGGATGTTAATGCGGTCTGCGACGTCACCGCCAGTCGCGCCACACAAAGCTTCCAAGCGTCCACCTTTTCCCCTCCGCATGTACATAGCTTTGCATTGGCCGAAAACCTCCGATATCCCATGGCAGACAAGATTAAGAATGCAATTGCCGAAGAGGCAGCCCATGTCAGGGTCATTGCAAAAGATCTCGTCATGTCGGGGACGTACTTTTACCCATTGAAGGTGAGCTCACAGCGGCTACCCCGGTAGCTAGCTGTTTACTGTTTACTTCATTCAGAAAGCAATCAGAACTACTAGATACAGCACAATGCTAACCCCACACCCCACCATCCAAAGGGCATAATTTACACAGCCAACCACCGCCCGCTATGGCGCCCCTTCCTCTCGCGATCCTACCAAACCCTCAGTCTAGGCGTCGGCGTCACCTCGGCGATGTTCTTCTTCACCTACGTGCCCCAAGCTGCCGTGATGGCGATCACCAGCGGCCCTCTCGCGCCCGTCTCCGCCGCCCTCCTCGTCCTCAGCGAAAGCTCCACCATCACCACCTTTCTCATCCGATCCTTCTATCTCGCTGACGCCCTCACCGATACATTCGACGGCACTCTCATAGAAGAGGGCCAGGACGCTCTCGTCTCGCAGGATAGACCCGTCGTTCCGCATGGAAAGGCTGCGGATGCGATCGCCCGTCTTGGGAATACGTTCAAGGGCCCGCTGGAGAGATTCAGACCGAGGAATCTTCTCAGGTCGTTGTTGTTGCTGCCGCTGAACTGCGTGCCCGTTGTGGGTACCGCGGTTTATGTTTATATTCAGGGGAAGCAGTTCGGGCCCGATGCGCATGAAAGGTTTTTCCAGCTGAAGGGCTGGAAGGGGAAGGAGGTGGATGAATGGGTGACGAAGTTTAGGGGGGCGTATACCGGGTGAGCTTTTTGACTTCGTTTCTTGTGGTGGCGGGCTGAGCTGACTGGTAACTTACTTAGGTTTGGAATGGCGTCTTTTGCGCTGGAAATGATACCCTTTGCTTCGATTGCGTTTGCGTTCACGAATACCGTTGGGGCGGCGCTGTGGGCTGCGGATATGGAGAGGGCGATTCAGTAGTGTGGATCAAGGCTGGGTATGTATGTATACTACGGGGTTTAGTTTGGATGGTTGGGAGGTTATAGCGTTGTTACCGGTTCCCAAAAAGTATTTCACAGCAGCCAACTGATTCTTGTCTCGCCTCATCTGCGTTGTTGAACAGACTGACGTGCAGTGCTCGCTGCTTCTAACATCCTTCTATTGGAGTGTCGACGACTAGTGGCATGAATGAGTTCTGACGATCTAGATCTACCATCGTCAAGTCTGTACTTACCTTGGAGCTTCCATCGTTCTGTCTGATACAGCAGATGCATCTCGTGCAAGTGATGGCTCCCACAACGACGAGGATCTGAACCATGAATTGAACATAACAAAATGCAGCTCACAGGTTATTGTTGCCAAGACTGAACTATCTGTGTCCTTTAGATGAGATCTGAGGGCCCCGTTTCCCATGAGCAGGTCGGCCTACTGGCATATCACTACAGTAGCGACAATCAGGGACTTGGCCTGTTGCGAAGCTCTTCTCGAGACTGTCATCCTTCGGTAGTTCGTAATGTCCCTAGTATCAAATCGGCTAGCATGTCTATCAACAGTAGGCTCAGATGAATGCTGCTAGCAAGGAATTGTAGTATAGATCAACTAACAGTAGGTGGAAACCTGAGTTAAGCATTTATACTGGCCTACTATTTCAAGCAATGTAACCAACTACTCGAACGTCTCTGCGCATTCCACGGCGCTGAGATCTCCCCCGGGCCTCGGCCTCGGCAGATCGAAAAAGCAGTATGCAAGGTAAGCACTAATCCCCTTGGCATGTCCTCACATGGCTGACATGGACCCCTACTTAAAGTATTTCTAGCTCCCTGCGGGGAGCATTTGGCATCTCTACCCCCCTACAGGATCTGTCTCATTGTGGCTGCTCACTATGAATCCACCCTTCCCGTTCCAAGTCATCGAACACTCCATTCCAGCCCAGCATATCCGTGAACATCCCCATGGCATCAACGGCCGCCAGGAAGCTGTCCTCCAGCTCGCCATCAAACAATATGTCCCTCTCGACCGTCCCGATCCTATACCCGAGAACGCAGTCACAATCATCGGAGCCCACGGGACAGGTTTCCCCAAGGTATCTGAACCATTCTCATCCAAGAAAGAAAGCCCCGCTAACAACGCACAGGAAGTATATGAGCCCCTCTGGGAAGATCTCTACGCTCAGCTGAAGAAGCAATCCGTCCCGCTGCGGGGGATTTGGGTCGCCGATGTCTCAAACCAGGGAGCCAGCGGAGTGCTGAACGAGTATACCCAGGGAGACAACAGTGCGCCTCCCCCCTCCCTCTTCCTCCCCAGAACAACACATCCCAGTACTCATATACCACCTCAGCCCACTGGTTCGACCACTCTCGTGACCTCCTCCACATGACCAACCACTTCCGGGACGAAATGCCCCGACCCATCATCGGCATCGCCCACAGCATGGGATGCGCCCAACTGTCCGTCTTCCCCCCTCTCCCATCCTATCCAACACCCCCACCCCCGCTAACCAGGCCACAGAATCCACCTGAGCATCCTCCACCCCCGCCTCCTCTCCACACTCATCCTCTACGAACCCGTCATCCTCGACATCCCCACCACGCCCTCGCCCGCCCCCAACCCCTCCCTCCCCGCCGCCCTCAAACCCGACTTCTGGCCCACGCGCGCCACCGCAGAAACATACTTCGCCAAAGCCCTCCGTAAATGGGACCCCCGGGCACGAGCCCGATACCTCCAGTACGGGCTCCGCAACATACCCACACGTCTCTATCCTACCTCAACCCCATCCCCCACCACCACAACCCCCATACTCACCCCAGTAACCCTAACCACAACCAAACACCACGAAGCCTGGAGCTACTCGATCCCCAACCTGACCCCGCCAGACCCTAACCCCAAACTCGACCGCCTCCTCCTCCCAGACTGGGACCGCACCCTCGAGCTCCCCGTCCTGTTCTCCCGACCGGAATGTCTCGCCGCAATGCGCGAGCTCCCATTCGTCAGACCCAGCGTGCTGTGGGTATTCGCCGGGCGGAGTTATCTGTCTGGGGCGGCGGAGCAAGACAGGAAGATGAGTGTGACCGGCACAGGCACGGGGGGTAGTGGTGGCGCTCAGGAGGGGAAGGTAAGCAGGGCGGTGTTGGAGAAGGGGGGGCATGGGCTCGTGGTTGAGGAGGTGGGGTGGTGTGCGGGTGTTGCGGGGGAGTGGGTGGCCCGGTGGAAGGGAGGGTGGTTGGAGGAGGAAGCGTTTTGGAAGGCGTATCGAAGTGGGAAGTCGGATGGGGAGATGCTGAGGAGTTCGGAGGTGGGCATGGAGGTCATGAGGATGAGGATGGGGAGTTTGAGGGGAAGTGTGAGAGGGAAGTTGTGAGGGTTAGACGGTGTATATAATTGAGTTGTACTGACGTGACCTGTTCATCTACCCATACTCCATGGCAGGTCGACTTTTTGTCTGCAGAGCATGTTGTCTGGCGGAGAAAGCGAGGGCGAGAACGAAGGCGAAGTCGAAAGTCGGGGGAGAAGGCGGGCGAGGGGGGGGGGGGGGTTTATACGATTTGAGCGCTGTAGAAATAGCCCATTTAGGAAGGCGCAGAGTTCGGCCACGCCAGGTTGGAGGTTGGTTGGGGATGTCCCACCCCTCACTCTCACCCCTGATGATCGAATAAGGCTACAGTTTTTGGGCTGGGAAATGCAGCTCGAGCTTCTGGTTTTGCCACTGTTTCTTCCATAATCTGAAATGAATTAGAAGTCATCGACGCGATTAATACCAATAACAGGCCGCTACAACAAGAGAACACTGCGAAAGCACGGATGGATAGACAATAATCTCAACAACCCGAATAAATTATATCTCAATTCCTCGTCATGACCCCCCCTATCTACTTCACCTATAAGCCCCCCCCAACACCTCAAGGAAAACAAACTAGCCCAGCTGCACCGTCCCCAAGCCACGCCCTCGATTCTCAGTCTCAACCAGTCTCCTATGTTTGAGAGAACCACCGGGGAAAAATGAGGACTACCCCCCATACTGCCTATCCGATCACCCAGGATCTGACAGACTCGACGTATTCCACTTACAAGTCAATAGTGAAATGATCACTGACAACGGTTGCCGCCCCCCAATTAGCAACGTGCTGGGCCTCCTCGGGTGTAAGGAGAGCGATTTGATAGCTGGTGCTAAACCACCCAACCCCGTGTCATCAGTATCCAGAGACTCAATTCTCTCTTTGCGGTGGGTGGTCGACCGGAGGAACGTACCTAGCCGCATTGCCCGAATGATCCGCGATCGCACTCTGGAGCGTCTCCCAGGAAACAGTATCCATACTCTGGATTTGGAGATAGATCAGGTTCCCGATTGGCTCGTACCAGCCGTTGTCGGGGGAGTCTTGGTAGTGCCATAGGTAAGGGTATACGGTTGAGAGATCGCTTTTAGAGGGGGTAGGGAGGGAGAGTTAGCGATTGACTTGACTTTGGGAATGGGCTGGGGATGTTCTCGACGTACTTGACATCGTCCCAGCTGATGGTGAGGTCCTCGCCGGGGGTCACAACGGTGGAAGCAGTGGGATTGGTGATGCGCAGCGCACTGCCAGTGGCGAGGAGCAGGGATGCGATGGTGGCAAGTGTGAAGCGCATGGTTGCGAGAGTGATCAGGGTGGATTGAGATGGGAAGTTTGGTGTAGGAGTCTAGAGATCAGATCTGATGAGAATCAGTTGTGGTTGTTGAGGATGAATGCCAGAAACCCTCGCGATATCAGGCTGTTTATATACCTGAGTCGGAGGAATATCTTGACTCCTACTCCTCATCCCTGTCTCCATCAAGTATGAGGGTATTTCTTTTTCCCAACCGATTATTGGCATTGCGTTCGAATCCGGGCCGAAACCAGCAGTCGGGTTATCAAACCCGGATAGGCGTCTTTTGAACATGGAGACGTCATTGACGCCCTATCTCATCTCTTCCCGATTTGGCGTCTATACCGAACAGCCGATGTAGCTTATGGTGCCATCGCGTACTGTACACGTAGTAAGTCTACACCCATGGGGTTACGGGAACTGGCGCCTCGGTCGCACTATTAGCCCCAATTGACCGGGATCGATGGAACTGGTGCACTTGGCCCCGGTGCTGAGCAATAAGCGAGGTCGTTGTGGTTCAACGGTCGGACGGTCATGCAGGCCTCGATTTTAAAGTTGACTGCGGACACGCGGAAACGTTGGGGCTGTCGACACGGTGTGTATCTGTCTGTCCATGTGCTTTGGGGAAGTTCCGGAAGCCTGCGATGTATTTCTACTCTGCTGTTAACAGGAAGATGGTTTGTTTCAGGCATTGACTGATAGGAGATTCGCCTCATGTTGGCCAGATCCCGGTCCCAGATTAGGTAGGACGTGGATGGTACTTAGTTTTTGGAGGATATGTCTCTAGCTTTGCGGGATTATAATAGGAGCAAGACTATTATGGATGGAACCAACAGCAAGGAAATGGGGCCGGGGGATTGTTGTACTGAGGAGAGGTATGTCGCAATGAGGCAACACACGGTGGTGCAGGCCCGCGCAGGGCCGCGGAGGCAGCCAACTGGCAGGTGTCAACCTCAGGCACCGCTGACAACTATACCCATGCCCTCATACATCGATGCGAGCTCGGTGTATATTAGGGAGAGAATGTGAAATTTGCGGATATTTTCATAATCCTTGCCTTTAAGGCGAGGGCCATCTCACAATCCGGTTACATGGTGACTCAGGAATGTGTGTCACATCTATGAACCGAGGCATTGAGTGACTAGATCAGTAGTTCCTGATCTTGACCTACGCTGCAGCTGATGTGCTCGCTGCTCTTAATCGAATCCCGAGGAACATGAGTGGAAAGGATTTGTCCTAAAACTATGAACGTGGAAGTAGTATTAGATGTTCTTATGTCTGGATGGTTTGTTATGAATATGAGGTTATATGTCCAGTATATGATCAAGTCAGGCTAGAAGAGAGAAACATGCCATGTGCTCGTGTGGAAAAAGATCAGTCATTGGCAAAGTAGAGCAGGAAAGTTGTGGACTGAAAAGAAGGGGGAAAAGTAACACGGATCCATTCCAGGGAAAACCCTTGATACTGTAGTCAATACTCGGTATTCCTCCAACGATACTCTGCTGCCTATCCAGTTGGTCCCCTCTCCAGATCGCCTGGTTTCACAGCAAGCTCAATCTGCCTCTAGTATGTTTGGGCCAGAACTATTATGAAGGTTTCTGTTTCTCTTCTCGCTTCTATTTTGTCACTAGGGGAGGGGCACGAACCAGGCAGCCATAGGGGGGGAGGGGGGGCAGGGGGCAACACAGCGTCTTGTCTGCCATATACCCACTCATTATTGATAGTGGTTGTGGCAGTTGCACTTACAGATATAGACTGTTCCAGAACACGATGCGTCCCCGGGGTAGATGCATATACCCAAGGTGTTCCATGCAGCATGCCTCCCGATCAATCGATCAGTCTGTCATAATTCTGCAGATTCAAGCCCGATGAGTTTATCTGGTACGATAGGATCATGAGTTACTCTCTTGCGAGTATGGTCACCGACCCACAGACAGTAGCCAGACAGAAACACCTGATTCAGCGATTAAGAAGAATAAACAAGAAGTCAAGGAAGGCTTTCTAACATGTCCAAGGTTGACGAGGACCCTTTTCAAAGCGGAGACATCCATACCATCTCCGAGGCGCCATAGAGAGCGAGAGATCTGCATCCGAGTCTCATTAATCTGCATCAACAGTCGTTTGAACCGTTTTTGTCATGGCAATAATCACAATGGAACGACACAGACCCTCATATGAGAGGAGATATCAAACCCATGGTCATTTGAAAACTTCTGAAGTGGCTAGCTCAGTCATAGGATGTTATATTCTGGCTGGATTATATCCATCCGGTGGCCTTTCTGATTAATTTCGCCTTCGCTCCCTTTGGAAGAAGGTTATCTGGCCACGGCGTTGATATTCTATCCTGACCCGTGATCCCTTCTGTCGGGATATTACCTGTCCACCTGAGAATCCTAGAACAGCTTCTCAATCATGACTCCTGACGTTTTCTCTTATCTTATGAGCCGGAGCCTTTCTTGCTCCCCGAGTATGCCGCATCCTCCGAATCGTTCGTCGGCTGTGTCATGTCTCGGAATACCCCCCCCTCGGGTGCTGTTGTGTTTCCGGGCAGTAAGGATGTTTCGTATGCGATGGTTGCTGCAGGAAGGCAGCGCTTGTCAGCGATAATGATGCTCGATGAGGTTATTCGCAAATAACAATCACTAGTAACCTGATGATGTTGGTTCCTAACTAGAAGGTGAGAATGCAAGAGACGAGGCTATCTAGGCTACTTGATGACCGCAGGTGGCAATCACCCCCTGGCAATGCCGAGACCAAGTGATACACCAACAGGTCGTTTCCCTTGACCTTCAAAAAATCAATCGAATCGCTCCCTGACGAGGATAGGTTGACTTATCCAGGAATTAGCTCAAAGGTAAGGTAACCGGGATTTTCTCCAAGACGCTCATCGTTCTGATGTTCAGTCGGTCCCTGCGCGTCCATCGGACGCCTAAAAGCAGACCGTACGTATAGAATAAACGAGGATATCTTCACAGTGGCTTGAACCTCTTCAGCGTTAACTTGCAGTATGGCAGTGCCCATATCCTATCTAGATCCCAACATTGAAATCCCGGAAGAGCTTGCAGCCATCCATGCTGCTGTCGTTGGATTACATAGATTGGTATCCTCCATGTAAGCCTGGGTATCGTTTGGGTCCATATTAGCCCTAAGCATGAATTTGAAGAATTGGAGCTCCAAACCTTTTCTGAAAGACCACGGGTAAATCTCCCTGACAGTCCTGAATCTAGGTTAAGCAGCACACTCACGCGTCCGGTCATGCCTCGACGCTTAGGGTTAGATAGCGAGCAACCGAACCACGTCTAAATGGATAGGCAAGGTATAGAAATAGTCAATGCGCGAGGCAATAGGCTCTTTCTTTTTGACTGACCTCATGCCATCGAGAAAGGTCATTCTAGTCAGATTTCTTTTGTATTTTCACCCAGTACATGAACCTTGCCAGGTAGGTAGTCTGACACAGTCCAGTCATCGTTGTCTCTCAGGGCCACCTGTGAGTATTTTCGTCTACCTCCTGTCTTCCCTATTGTCAGTGCACAATTCTTTGTTCGTTATCTCTCTGGGGTGGACATGGTAAGTGGGGAATGATTCTTCCAGAATTAACTCTTTCTCTTTTTCAGGGACCCCAGTGTCGGTTTGAATGCTTGCCAGGTAGTGCTGGAACCATGCCAACACGATAGTTGATCCGAATTGTTAACTATCATGAATATCCAAAAAGGAACATATTATAGCAGAGACTGTAAGGGGTGAAACCCCCCCCCCCCCCCCCCCCCCAAAATTTATCCGACAAATCCGTTTTCGGATTCAGATTGAGCTTCGAAGGGGTCGTGACGCGCATTATCAGATGACAGTATACCCACCAAAACTGCACAACATGCAAATCCAACAGTGGTCTCTGTAGCCATATAGGGAACTTGCCCAGAGGTTCTGTAAACTTGAACTCCATAATATGTCCCGCTTCTATTTTGAATATTCCCACAGAATCAACCAAAGCATCAAGCTTCTGAACTGAAATTCCCTTGTTATTTGAGTCCTCGCCGATGTCTAGAGGATGCCTTGATGCTCCCTTGGCAGCTCAAATATCCCCAACGAAAGGGTTTTATTTAACCTGGCCTATCTTCGTAACTCCAGTGTCATTCCTGACGGACCGCCAGAGATTGTGGCATGATATAATATATCCCTCACTTTTGGGTACTCGCATTTCATTCGTTCGCTAGGTTCTTCTATCCCAGCCTTCCGTGTTGGAAATTCGGTCTCGAACGAAACGGATTTAGCTGCTTTCCACCATTAACTAGCACGCTTGGCCCTGACGCTCTGCAAATGCATTGATGTACCCAGCTGGAGGGTAGGTAAGCAGGATGTCTAGCTGTATACTGGATAGAAATGTGGTATGGTGTGTGTAGATATATTGGTATCCAATTGATAATATATCGATGTGATAGGTTTGTGTTCTGCATGGACTGCTTTGTGTGTTCGGGTCAATTGTGTATATAGTTATAGGATGGCTATGTGGGTGGTAGGTTATAGAGTTGAGGGGGTGGTTGAGGAGGAAGAGGAAGAGCCTGGAAGGGGAAGGGGAAGAAGGAGAGAAAGGATGAGAAGGGTGAGATTGGATTTGGGGTTATATGCACATTCGGCCGATGATAAATTGAATAAGTCTTTGGTTATTAACTACCTATTGATTGGGCGGAGTTAATTCCATCTTCAGCCACAAAGGTGGCGAGGTATGAAGAGAGTCAAAAATATTGAATATAGGTCAAGATGATGATTCACTTAGGGTCTGTCTCCAGAGCATACGGTCATTGATGACGGAGTTTTTATATCAAATGATCTACGGGAAATAAATGTCGTAAATGCACAGGTGCTAAGCTACAGTAACTAGAATACAAACAAACAGCACCTAAAAAAAAAAAAGCTGTTAAAGAGTATACTATAAGAAGAAAGGCCCATGAATCCCCAACACCACCATCTATATGCGTAGTAACCCACCCAATCTATGCGATGCCCCCCCCCCTCCGCCTCCAATAAGTCCAAAGCATAAGCCCACAAACAGAGACCACCCCCAAAAAGCTCCCGAGAGACCACAACGACAACGACAACGACAGCCCATCCACAGCTGCCCTAACTCTATCTCTCTCCTCTACCACCACCCCCTCAACATCCACAAGAACCTCACCCGCCGTCGTATACTCCCCCACCCAGCACTTCCAAACCACACTCCCATACACCAACCCGCCTACCTCTGGAAAAATCCCAGGCTCATACCTCTCAGCAATCCCCTCCCAGTCCTCATCACGGACCCCCGCATATGGGGCCTCGCGGGTCTCAATCTCAAAGATCAAGCACCCCAACGCAAGAGCCTGGTGCAAGGCTCTAGGCAGCCAGCCACTCTTGCGGATGCATCAATAATAGCAAGCAAATGGGTCAAAGATCAGAACCGATACCCTTATAGTTCTAGGCATCATGCAATAAATAACCTCCCCTCCCTCTATATGCATAAAAATATCTATATCGAATCGGAAATCGGACAATTAATATACACTCCACTCCCAACACCAACACCATACATATATACAACACTCCCCCATCCCCAGCACACGCACTCACACCTAATTAAATACCACCAGGCACACACCCCACACTACACCCGAACCTCCGAAACGGCAACGGCCGCAACAACTCACCGGAAGCCCTGGGCCCCTTCAGCCCATTCTCATACGTACTGCAATCCCACCACTCGATCCACTCCGTCCTCGCAAGAACAAACCCGCGATGGCAGACCGAACAAGACCGGCCCCCGGCAGCACGCACCTCCCTGGCCGCGCGCAACAGCCTCAACATAAGCGCCGGGTAATCCGCCATCTCCTCGTCCGGGATGAGGTCGAAATAGGATGACCTGCTGAATGAGAGCAACGAGACCTCGCGCAGGGACGGGACCCGCGTTTCGGAGACTGAGTCCGTCGGGTCGAGTGTTACGCCTTCCGCATTGTACCGTGTCACCGGGCCCGTCGCGACGTGGACAGGCGCCCAGGCTTCCTCTGGGGCGGGACCGTCATATATACAGGACTTGAGCTCGTCGGACGGGATATGCCAATGCGCGATATCTGTACCCGGGTCTTCGATTTGGAGGAGCGGGTTGGGGCGCACGGTGAGGTGCTTTAGATCGCCCTTTTTGATTAGGAAGAGGAGTTCCCAGGGGAGGTGGTGCAGGCGGTTCACCGAGAGGTTGACCTCCTGGAGCATGGTCAGTTTGCGGATCGCGGGTGGGATCTGGGTGAGTTTGTTGTTGCGGAGGCTGAGGACGCGGAGGGTGTCGAGCTCAAAGAGCTCGGATGTGATGCTGTGGAGGGCGTTGCCTGCGAGGAAGAGTCGGAGGAAGGGTTCGAGTGAGCTGTAGACTTCTTCGCTAATGGGGGGTTCTTTGATTGTGGGCAGTTTGGTGAGGTGTTGGAGAGGGCGCAGGAGGCCCGGGGGGATGGTGCGCATGTTTCCGCCGCTGGAAGACATCAGTCAGTTCCTTAGTTTCTGGATATCATTTGGAGATGGCAGGATAATGAATACCTCAGATCCACACAATCCTTCCCCTTCTCCAAACAATCATTCACGACCGTCCGCGCAATGAGATGCTCCCTCGGTTCCTCCACCTTCCTAAACACGGCTCTCTGCTGCACCTGCACCTGCCCCTGCCCCTGCATCTGCATCTGCCTCTGCTGCACCATCTGCGCCCTCATCCCCAATCCCAATATCCCTGCCCCATTATCGTCATCACCATCAACCCTCCTAACCAACTCCTCCCCCCAGTTTGTATCCCCTCTGCATCCATCAAAAACCCCGAATCATCACTCCCCATCCAAACACCACTATCCACCAGCCTCTTCTCCTTAAACTCTCCGCGCTTGCGCTTCGAATTCCGATCCTTGTCCTTGTCCTTCACCATCTCCCCCCACCAGGTACCGCGGTACCGGCGCTTGCGACTGCCGGCGCCCGCGACGGGCGCGTGGTAGTTCTCCAGCCCGGAGGCCGGGATGTCATCGCTGGAGAAGAGCGCGGGGTCGCTGGAGGGGGGTTGGCTGGAGCGGTCGAGGTCGGAGAAGCGGGTGTGGGAGTGAGAGTGAGAGTGAGAGTGGGAGGGGAATGAGGGGAGGGGGTGGCGACGGCGGGGGGTGTTTGTGATGGAGAGAGTGTGTTGGGTGGAGGGCGGATTCGGTGAGCGGTGACGGATACGTCGGGGCGGAGGGAGGGGGATTTCGTGGTCCATTGCTGAGAATTCCAAGGGGTAATGCAATTATGGCAGTGGATAATGCGGATGATGCAGGTCGGTGGACGGGTGGAGAGGCTGTCTGTAAGGGGTGCGTGCAGCGCTCCGTGTGCAGTGTACAGTATGGAGGGGCGAGAACGGGCGCGCGCTGGGATGGGAATGCGGATGCGAATGCGAGTCAGTAATAAAGAATGGAGGGAGGGAGATCACATCACCATCGGATCATGACGTCCGAGGGGAGGGATGACTGGCGATCGATCGTCGTCGGATTGACACTTCCCGAGAAAGAAGGAAGAAAGAAAGAAAGTACTGGGATGGAGTGCGTGTTGGGGGGATTCGCACTCTTGATTCGATGTTTACGGACGCGTCGCGGTGGGCGGGGCGATTGATAACCACATCCACATCTGCTCGGATTTACGGATCGCGGGTTTAGGGGAGATAAGTTGTGGATCTTCACTGCTACTCTTTACTGGCTATGGACTACAGATGAGGGATTAATCACGGCGTACAAGATAGATAGTCTGGTGACAGAAAATGTAAGTAATTCTGGGTCGACCCTATACAAACAAACACTATGTGCACAGCTGGGATTTCTGGCCGAACCCGTTGAAGCAGAAGAAAATATAAGGGAAAAAAAAAAAAGGTCCGTCCCCGACAACTGCTGGCCCAAACCCAGCAGCCAATTCCATCATCTCGTCAAATCTGAAACATCATAAGGGGGTATATGAATCCATAAGCGATCGCCCATGCCGCCCGAGCGCAGTCGAGGGACGTAGCATGGTGCGACGAGAAATTAATATAGGCGGTAGAAGTAGATTAAGTCAAGTAATGTGAAGAGTGGGTGTTCGAGGAGAGTCAAGTGGCCGTCTGACCGTCTCACGCGTGGAAGGGGATGGGGGCGGCGTTGACAAGTTGAAGCTGAAGCTAGCAGTGTGGTGGTTCTTTACAGAGCGCCCAGGAGAAGAGCAATGGATCCGGCGACGAGCGCGACGGGCATCCTGGCGTCGATGCTGCCGGCGCCCGAGTCGAGGCTGGCGGAGTGAGAAGCAGAGGCGGCGGCAGAGCCGGAGGGGCTGCCGGAGGGGCTGCCGGAGGCGCTGGCCGTCACGGTGACCGAGGCGAACGAGCTCGAAGCCGGCGCGGAGGAGCTGACGGCGGCAGAGCTGGCCTGGACCCGGATGCTGGGGATGGCGTGGGTCGGGATGACGGGCACAGAGGAGGTCGAGGAGGACGAGACCACGCTGCTGGTGGTGGGCTTGACCTCGTCGACGTGGACCAGGGTGCGGGTGATGTAGTTGGTTACCGTCGAGGTGCTGGTGGTGTCGATATCCGCAGCGACGAGCTGGGAGGCGGCCACGCAGAGGACGGAGGAGAGCAGGGCGTTGAACTTCATTTTGGCTGGATTGAAGATGACGTGGATATGTGATGTGATGTCTTGTTATGTTCTGTTCTGAGAAAGTATGGTGACGCGGTATATGTACGTTGTCGCAGGTAGGGCTATCACCGCAAGTGCGCAACCAAGAGGGAAATGAGTGACGGGGTCTTGAAATAGACGAGACGCGAACGAGTGAGCGTCTAGAAGGCGAGAAGGGCAAAAGCTGGCAGGGGTAAGGAGCGTGGGGAGCGCTGCTCGAGACGAAGACGGGGGAGCTGAAACGATGCGATGTCTGAAGATGCGCCGAGGGGAGGAGCAGGCGGGACTAAATACCAGAGGAATAACAAAGACCGCCCACAGACCATAAACAGGGCCACCACACGAGCGCCGCCGGGGAAATTCCTCGGCCAGTCGCAAGGGGGGGGGAGGAAGAGAAGTGGAAGCAGCCTCGGGCCCATCTGGAATGTTTGCTGTTTGCTTGACACTCGGCCACGTTGGCCCTCGCCAGCGCATCCATTTTCCACCTCCTTTTGGGCGCTTCGAGTCAAGATCGGCCAGCGCCCTACTGGGCCAAGGATCCGGCGGCCACTTACTTACTCCGTCGGGTGGAGGTCATACTTTGGCTTTGGTTCCTGAGTACAAAGTCATCGTTTGTCGCCCCCGACCCGTGGTTGTCACGGCAGACAGGCAGACAGGCACTCACGGCGACCGTGGATGGGCTCTGGTTTCATTTCATTGTTCTGCAACTGGTTTCACTCTCTTTTCCTCCTCTCGCCCTTGACTCCTGCATACCCCTGGATTGGTTGAGGCACCTTGAAACGATGCATGGACGTGGTGCTGCCCGAATTGGTGGTCAATAGTGTTGGTGACGACGCAGGAGGAGAACACAAACCGAACCCCTGAAAGTGAACTCACTTGGACCGCCTCGGAAACCCTCCCGAATCCAACAAACTCTGCACACTCATCATCAATCCAAATTGTCAATCCAATAATCACCCCCAATGGTTCGTTTGATTTGTTCTCCGCCGGTTCCTGGCTAGTCGCTCAATGAATCCCTCGCAACTCCGGGCTAGCCCGCTACTAGTTCTCTCTAGTCCGGCGCAGGACCCAAGGGACCAGGCGGCCCTTGCAGCAGTAATTAAACCTAATTATGCGCATTTTTCAACTGCGACCTTCTCTCGTCAGTCTCTGGCATACATGCTCATGCCTGCGAATGCGAATGCGAATGTCCGATCCCCTCCTTCATGGTCATGGCCCCGGCTCCTGTCACCCCCAGCTCGTTTCATCTACACAGGGGGCCCCTATGCTTCGTCGCCATGGCCACCTGACTGAAAGGGTCTCCTGAAAGGAAGTGAAACGAAATTAAACAAAGACAAAGATGGGATTGACCCGAAAAAGATGGGTGTGGTTACAAAGCTCATACTGGCAGCATCCAAAGAACGGCCAGTAGGCCAGAAATCTCTTTCGAGGTTCTAGGCGCGGCCCCCGTAAAGAGTGGGGTCGCCGTGATCTGGGTCGCGGTGGTGCCTCCCCTGAGCGATGCCAAAGAGGATACACTCTTGTGTGGTGGACTAGATACTGGCCGAGGGGATCGGTGTGGATGCGGGTGTCTTATTCCCCGGTAAGTGCCCTTGCTGACTGCTGCCGTGGCCGTTGCTGCCGCCACCGTGGTGAATAGGTGGGGGCAACAGGGTTGGAATCGTGACTGGAAGGACATCTGCTGTGCTCCGTAGCAGTAGACAGTTCGTTCTGCTGTGCAGAAGCTGCAGACGTGTCGGACTGTGAGACTCCGAGCTGCCGCCATTTGGCTGGGGTGTGGATGCAAATCCCTGAGGAGATCCGGAGTTGGCGCCGGACACGCCACCTGACTGTGCATAGGGCTGCGTATTGGAGCCGGAAACAGTAGACCCCTCAGCAGAGCCCTCAAAGCCGCTCGTCAATGAGCTGGTGGATGATGCGCCGCTCTCTACTCCGGACTGACCTGGTTGGGTCCCAGCGAAAGAACCTTGAGGGGTAACGGTCCCCAGGCCCGACGTTGCCTCCCCCAACTTCAGGGTCTGGGACTGTGAGCTGTGGGTGGTGTCGGGTTTGAAACCGGATGTTTCCTGCTCAGAACCGCTCGAAGATGAAGCAGATGTTGGCGCCCGGGATTGTGAGCCATGGGGGCGCTGAAACCCGATGCTTCTTCCCCATTACCACTGGAAGACAAGCCGGATGTTTGAGGTTGGGTAATTGGGGGGTAGTCAGTTCCAGAGCCTCATGATCTCTCTCCAGAACTACTCAATGAGAAGCAAGACGATCCCTCTCCAGACCCATTTGAAGAGCTAGATGTTGCCATCCGCGGTTGAGAGCCATGAGGAGTACCAATACTGAAGTCCGACGATTCCTCCCCAGCACCACTCGGAGATGAAACGGATGTATGAGGCTGGGAAGCATGGGTAGTGTCAACCCCGAGGCCCAATGAGTTTTCTCCAGAACTATTCGACGACGAGCTAAATGACCCCTCTGCATGGCTACTCGATGATGAGCCAGCTGTCTGGGGCTTTGAATTATGAGGATGAGTACCAACCCCAAGGCCAGATGATTCCTCCCCAGAGCCACTCCACGAAGCATACGTTCCGGACTGTGAGTCATGACCGCCGGGGTAAGTCACAGATTCACCTCCAGACCCGCCCTGTGTGGTCGTCGCGGCAGACTGAGAACCAGAAGATCCCTCTGCTGAGAACCCTGGCCCTTGAGGCGTAGATCCTGGAATTGTGGGAAGGGCCGGGCCCCGTGGCTTGGGTGGAATGCCCTGGGACTTTGGCAGAGAAGCCCCGGGCAAGCCTGGAATTGGCACAGCTGTGTTCGTCGCGAGAGCCACCACTGGGGCGATGAATCCCAGCTGTGTGAAAGGGTAGTGGTATAAGTGGCCATCGATATTGTCGGGAGAGGTGTCTCGATGCAGCCACAGTGGGTTGTGGTCACAGTGACGGTAGATGTAGTCAAGCCGGTTGAGCAAGGCACTACGAAGTTTTGTGTCAGAGTGATGGCAGCCAACTCGTTGGTATAATTCCATGCTGTCCGTTTGTCACGGTGGCTGCGAGAGAAGTTGTAGACACAGATCCCTGATTAGTTGAAGAGGTGCCTGAAGGGGACGACCCGGCGGCGACTGTCGGTGGCAGAGCAATTGAAGAGGTTTCCGCACTGGATGGTTTACCGGATTGGGGGGGAGCGCTGCTCGATAGACCAAAAAGATGTCTCGACATTCTTGTTAAAAATGCCCTGTCTTCTGTTCGATAACATGACCAGGTCGCTCGCCCCCGCCAAGAAGGGGTAGACTCACACTCTCTCAGCTTCTGCTAGTAGCTCAAAGTCAAAGAATACACCCCCGTCTTCCAATTGACTAACTCTCCAGCGGTCGGTAGAATACTCCCATTCCCAAATACGCGAATGAACCATGGACCCTTCCAGCTCTGGCAAGCACACAGAGGTGGAACTTCAAATTTATAAAAATCACTCGAATACATCACACAAACATCCTTGACTGCAATGCATTTTCAGCTTCGAACCACTCACATACAACATGGTGTAAACTGTCAGAAATAGGACTTATACCCCTAGACTAGAAAGGAGTCTCGACATCATTCTAGCCAGGAAGGTATCTGTTCCTATTGATGAAAATCAAGACCATTGTTTTTGCTATCCCGTGGGTAGTTCTGAAGGAGCTGGTTGCTTTGCTCGTAAAACACATTGGTCCTTTTCCAGATGCGACATGGAAAAAAAAAAGATCGAAATGTAGTGGTATATTATACCTGCATGAAGCCGTTATGGTCGCCGATATGAGAGAAAATATTTCTGCAGTGAATGATACCTACCCTCTAGTATTATCCAGGGACAAGATTCACTTATTAGTTCTCTTCCTACCCGAGGAATAGCCTCCCTGCTGGTTGGTATATTTTTGTCTCATCATCAAACCACAGGATCGATATCCGTTACATATAAACAGCACGCGTCGAGACAAGATCCGGACAGCCAGCCACTCGCAACTGAACGATAATGCTCGTGGGGCTAAAATTAACACGCCGTTCCTGGCTAGTCGATCGGGGATCGTGACCAATTTGAGGGTTAGATCTGGGCCGGGGTTCGCCGACCCAACTTGCTGTCAATGTCATCGCAGTCAGGATCCTGATCCACCCTTCTAACAAACTATCCATGTCAGCGAAGTACTCCGTACATCGACCGGAAATAACGATGACGAGTCCGGTCAAGGGAGATATAAATAGCCAGGGGACATCAGCCTAGGATGGCATGCGGTTGGATGCGATAAGCACCAAAGACACCAAGGATCTCACCAAGGAGCGACTAACCTCGCGCTTGCGGCTGCCCCTCCTTATTTCATCCGTCAAATTAAACCAGCCCAGCGAGATAGGATGGGCGCGATGAGGCCATCTGTCAGCATGCTGCGACTACGTTATTTAACTGAATGCTTTTTTCCAGATGCATCAGTTTCCACCACTTTCGTTCTTGCATCGCTGACCTCGAGAATTGGACGTTAGCAACACCAATCAACACCATCAATCACCACCACCACCACCGAATCGCACCGAGTCCAGCGCCTGCGTGCCTGCAACATCATCAAAATGGCGTCGCAAGACACTTTCCAGCTCTACTCGTTTTACAACTCCTCCTGCTGCCAGCGGATTATCATCGCCGCTCACCTCAAAGGCATCCCTCTTGAATTCGCCTACCTGAATCTCGGGGCGCGAGAACACCAGGGGGACGAATACAAGGACGCGCTGAACCCGAGTGGTAGCGTGCCAACGCTAGTCATACACCACCCCGATGGCGAGAAGACCATCATCCGACAGTCCATGACCATTTTGGAGTACTTCGACGAGCGCTTCCCCGACACAAACCCTCTCCTGCCACCCGCCTCGGCGTGGAAGGAGCGCATCCAGATCCGCGACCTGGTCAACATCATCGCGATTGACGTCCAACCTGTCACAAACTCTCGCATCTGTAAACGACTGAGGGCCGTGCGAGATAACGTCGATGATCAGATTAACTTCGCCAGACAGGTGTTCACGGATGGTCTCACTGCCTACGAGGCGTTGCTCTCCCCATCGAGCAAATACTCGTTCGGCGACCAAGTCACCCTGGCTGATGTGGTCCTGGTTCCTACCGTCGATCAGGCCATAATGTACAAAACCCCGTTGGACTTCGCGCCAAATGTCAAGAGGGTGTATGACTCGCTGAAAGAACTGGAGTCGTTCAAGGCTGCCGATTACAGAAGGCAGGGCGATACCCCGGAGCAGATTAGGCTGCCTTGAAAACGAGGTTAAATGTTGCAGCATGCATGCGTGACTCGGGTTTGAGCTGTCACATCATGTACAAACACGTTTGCCCGTTCCGTTCCTGTTGCATGGCAAATTTACACATCTGTGTCGAGAGCTTATCCAACCACGCCATAACCAGCCGTAAGACAGTGCACAGCGCATTGCTGACAGATACTAGCGAATTTTATCGATTATGGCGCTATTTGCGCGAGCACTAGATATGATCTATCCAGGTAGCAGTTTAGCGAACATACCGAGATGCATGATTGTCACTTGTTGCATATGCAACTCAAGGTTACCCCTCCAAGAAAGCCTAAATCGACATGTAAGCGCTGCCCAGCCAAAACTCGAATCTGGCTAGTAGGTCAGCATTTCGTTGGCTAGACTTGCTCGGCAGTGAAGTTGCGACTCTCCTACTCAAGGTCCGAGGAGAGGAAATAAGGAAAAACGTCTGGCTCGCTGTACAGGCAGCATTCGTGGCATGTAGGATGCGCATGCTGTCGGAATTGAAAACGCAGTACGCGCGGATGAGATAGGGAAAAAAAAGGTCGCAGCAACAGTCCTCGCATTTGGGTGGCCAAGATAGCTCCGAATGCAGTTGGGACTGCACAGCCAGTTTGTATGCAACTAAGGAGGTACCTCTTCTGTCAGTGCACCCAGGAGAATGTTCTCGCATGTCCTCGACTGTAAACTGAACACATAACCCGAGCCATTCCGTCTGTATGCTGTAGCTAGATATGTGCCCTGGATTCAAGCGTATTGAGAGAAACGACTCATTGATGCAGATGTGATAACCTCCATGAGCTTCCTGTCGCCAATGTCGTTACATGTCTTGTGTAACTTGACCTATGGATGCATTGCTGGGATTTGGACCGAAAGCATGGCTTACTGCCCCGTATATTAGTATTTCGGAGAGTTCGAGGACAATGGTAGTAATGCGTCCGTATTGCTGCATTTCCATGTGTCGAACCTAGGACATGTTTGTCTTGTCTTGTTTGTCATTTTAGTGTCGCATGGACTCTTGGCCAAGGAGGTCCAGAGGTAAGTACCCTCGTTCGAAAGTCTCAGAGTCCAACTCTAAAAAAAGAACCGTACCGAGTCCTGAATTTGCTTATTGGAGATTCCCATCGCTGGAGCATAGGCTTGTCGCTAGTGCAGGGAATTAAGTCGTACGAAAATGATAAATGCATGGTCGGAGAGGGGTAGGAGCGTAGTATGCGTGAGAGTAAACAGATCGACCAGTCTGTAAGGTCTTCCAGGTTAGCACCATGGATTTTCGGCAAAATAATCCCCTCTTCTGTTTCGCATCTCCATCTTACCTGTTTCCGACAGTGTGTAGCCACTAAAGACTTTCAGAGTTGCGCGGTACGCGCCATCACCAGTCTTGACTTGATTTTTGACAGCTTCTTCACAAAGAGATCTGTGCTCAACTACCTGATGCATCATGGATGATAGGTGGCTCCGTCATGATGAGAGTGGTGTATTCGCTGCGTGGGACATGCTAGACTCAATAGTCTGGTCCCATTGCACCGAAACCAAGTCTGGGGGATGGGGATGAACATTGGGAGGGCGAGAATAGTTTGGTTTTTCTTTTTCGCTCCTGGCTTCTGAGAGAAACAAGCATCGGGACGGGGGATCCATGGCCAGGGCCCTAGTGATAGTCGCTCGCCCAGGTAGATAACGCACCCTTGCTTATTGGTAGACGGCCCAGTCAGTAGTGGGCTAGGAAGGCTTGCGCACACTCCAGCCGACTAGCCAGCCGTATCCGAGAGAGTGATTTAGACCATGGCCCTGGGCAGCAAATAAGGACGGCGATGGTGGAGAGGGAGAGCTGTTAGAGAGCGGGTAAGGCTGAACCCCCATCCACTCGCTTGCCGGCTGCAGGCTCCACCGGCAACACAGTGCAACGCGGTGGACGCACGAGGGCTGCCATCCCCGTGAATTATTCCTCTGATGGCCGGGGTGGGGAGAGGGTGTTTCTACTCTGGCAGGCAGGGCGGACGCCCTCTTCTCCCTATACAACATGTCTCCAGGTCACTCCCATTATTTACACCCCAATGCTTCATACTGACCGATAGCCCTTTCACTTGCCCAAGATGCACGGCTCGAACGACGGCTTCTTCTTGTTGAAGAGGCTCACTTTCAAGCTTATCTGTGCGGCGCTCTGCTTTGGATTCTCGGGCGCGGCTCGAGGTTGGTAGTTGTATCCCCTCTTTTGGAGGACACCTCCAACTGACTCTCTATAGGTCTCGACTCAGGTCTTATTGCTAGCACCGTTGCCGAACAGTCCTTTATCAACCAGTTTAATCTAGAGGCAGAATATCTCAGTGCATCCCAGAAGGCAAATCGGTTGTCAAACATCACATCCATGGTGCACATTGGCAGTTTGCCCGGTGCCATCATCGCGTTTATGTGCAGCGAACGCATTGGAATACTTTGGACTGCCAGACAATGTTGTTTGCTTTGGATATTAGGATCGGTGATCTTCATCACATCACACAACCTTGGCCAGGTCTATGCCGGCCGGTTCATAATGGGACTGGGGATTGGACAGTTTGGCGTCGTCGCTCCCCTTTACCTTGGTGAGGTTGCGCCCCGGGAGATCCGTGGGATGCTCGTGGGCACATATGGCATGTCAGAATACCTGGGAATCATGATTGGAGTGAGTCTGCTGGTAATTTCCATGATAGTTCTGAGTCGGCTTGCTGATCAGAAACAGTACTTCTCCATATGGGGCGCGTCCATCCATATACCCAACTCGAGTGCGAAACAGTGGATTATCCCACAAAGCATCCAGATTGTGTGGGCAGGCTTGCTCTTATTCTCGTCACTGTTCTGCGAGGAAAGTCCGCGATTCTTGTGTAGACAGGGACGCCCCAAAGCAGCACTGCATGCCCTTGGACGGCTATGGAACCTGTCGCCTTTGGACCCGGGAGTACACCTCGAAGTAGCGAATGCTCAGATGCAGCTTGATCTCGAGCGTCAGGTAACACCAAAGATACGATTCATCGGTGCCCTGAAGGAGCTCTTTGGGACGAAATCTCACCTGAAGCGAATCGCACTTGTCTTCGTCTTACAGTGCTTGGGCGAGTGGTCGGGCCCGAACTCGGTCACTAGTAAGTTTCAAACCTGGAGCAGATCGTTGTAGAGAATGAAGAAAATGCTAATCAGTATCCAGCATATGCGCCCGAGCTATTTGGGCTGTTCGGGATCAAAGGCCAGTCGCAAAAGCTGTTTACTACGGCCATTTTTGGTGCTGTCAAATTCGCATTCGCATTGATATCTGCACTGTTCCTGATCGATTTTCTTGGAAGGCGGAAGACGCTCTATATCGGTCTCATGATTCAGGTTATCGCGTTGACTTATGACTCCATATTTCTAACCATCTTCTCATCGCTGTCGGGAGACTCGCAGCAGGAGCCAGCAGTGAGGCATGCGGGGATTGGCGCGATCGCGATGATTTATTTGGTCGGTGTTGGATGGGCATTGGGCTGGAACTCCATCCAGTATTTGATCGCCGCAGAATCCTTCCCGCTGCGAGTTCGGATTGCAGGCGTGAGTCTAGTGACCCTCTGGCATTATGCCAACCGCATCGGAATATCCAAGGTCTGGACACTGGCTATAACCCATCCCCCAAGGCCCCTTTGGCTGACCTTCCTAGGCTACCACGGTGATGCTGCTCGAGCACGACTCCTTGACGCCGAAAGGCACTTTTTGGTTTTTCACGGGCATGTCTTTGCTGGGTCTTCTGGTTGCGTGGCGGTTCCTACCCGAGACCTCTGGCAAAGGGCTGGAGGAGACGAATGAGATGTACAGCAGCGGGCGGCATGCCAAATCCCCGCACGAGGCACAGGTAGACTTTTGAACTCGGAACCTCAGCGGAATTTGCCCGTCCTTGTGTATCTAGGGAAGAGTGCTTAAGGTTATTGTGAATCCGGGGGCCTGGCAGATCCGCATATTTCCGTTGGTATTTCCCAAACCTGGCACTTACCCCGCAAACCTTCCTTCGTCCCAAAAATTGGCCGGTGAGCCAATTGGCCGGTTTCCATCGTGGGTGACATCAATCGACATCAACCAAGGGTTATCTAGTGGATGGAAATAGACGAGAGGTAGCTGGGATCACTGGAGTCGGCGAAGAGGAGAAGCTCGTCTACTTCCCTCGATTGGCGGGGACGCTGTAGGCCAAGGCCGACCTGGGGCAGCTGACTGGCCGCTGGGCTGTCGGAGCGGAATGGCATTCCCACTCTCGCGTATAGCTTGCAGTAGTACGGAGTAAACGACCCTCTGCTTCGTATAGTGGCCGATAGTTGCGGAATGGGGCGTCACCTTCTTCCTAGGCCCAGTTCCTTCGAGGAACGATGATCGCGTCCCGTGTGACGCCCCCGAGTACAAAATGCGCTTCCATCGCGATCGGGTTGCCTTCTTTCCTCCCTTCCTTCACTCGAACATCGACCGAGACTCGCACAGAATGGGCGATTCCTATGACTACATTATTTGCGGGTAAGTGATCCTTCGGTGGAGCATTACGTTCCCGCCTTCTCGTGCTCACCAAAACTGACTGCCTCTCCTTGCTCAGGGGTGGCACTTCGGGGTGTGTTGTGGCCGGACGTCTCGCTGAGAATCCGCACATGAGGATTCTCGTCATCGAGGCCGGGCAGCACAATAAGGACCTGGAGAATGTTCATATGGTTGGCGGGTTCGTATGCCATACTGCCATTCACTTTGCCTCTGGTCAATGGACGCTTACCAAACACAAACACTACTAGTTGGAGTAACAATTTCGATTCGGAGACGGATTGGAATATCGTTACATCGCCAATGCCCGGTGTCAACAATCGCCAGGTCAAGCTGAGTAGAGGCAGATTCCTCGGTGGCTCGAGTGGCTGTAACGGGACGCTCTGTATACGCGGCAGCAAACAGGACTACAATGACTGGGGCCTGGACGGATGGAGTGGGAATGAGTTCTTCCGACACATGCAAAAGGTTCTAGCAGCATTCCCGTCCCGGAGTAGCAGACAGTAGTGATATCAACGTGCGATGGCTGACCTCTCCCACCAGGCTGAAACATTCCACACCAAACCGTGGTTCAAAGCTGCCGACAGATACCACGGGAAATCGGGTCCTCTCCACGTCGAACCACACGATCTTGCACCTATCTCTGAGCGTATCATAGACTCATTCGTCTCCCAGGGTCTTCCGCTCGACCATGACATGTTCACAACCGGCGAGACGCCTCATGGCTGTGGCCATGTGCCTCGGACAGTGAAGAACGGGATCCGTACAACTAGTGGCGACTTTATCACGAACGCATACCATCGTAGCAATGTCACAATCATGACAGATACTACTGTGGATAGAATCCTCTTCAAGGACACCCCGAGCGGGCTGAAAGCTGATGGCGTGGTGGTGCTGACAGCCAGTGGGCAGAGAATTGTGCGTGCGGATAAGGAGATAATTATCAGCAGCGGGGCTTATTGCAGTCCTACAATCCTTATGAGGTCTGGAATTGGCCCAGCGGACGAATTGCGAAGAAATGGTATCCGATGTGTGGTTGATTTGCCTGGTGTCGGGCAAAATCTTCTGGATCATCTGGTGAGCACATTCCCTCGTCTTAACTATAGTGCCGTCTCTGACAATGGCCGATAAGATTGTTTTCATGTTCTACGAGACGGAAAAACCCGGTCTGACAACGGATCATCTCGTCTACCATAATGACAATTTTGAAAAGACCTATGCTCTTTGGAAGAGCAAGAAACAGGGCTTTCTGTCGACCTTCCCCTTTGGATGTTTTGCTTTTGCGCGCCTGGATGAACGTCTTAAGGACGAGCCGCTATGGAAGAATGCGCCCCGACAACCGGGTCGTGATCCGATGGGATTGACTCCCCAACAGCCAAATGTTGAGTTCTTCACCACAGAATGCTACGGGGGTCCGAAACAATACGATCAGTTCCCCATTGACCACAAACATGCATTCTCAATCATCGCAGAGCTGTTCTCACCTAAATCCCGTGGGAGTGTGACATTGAAGTCGAAGGACCCCCTCGACAATCCGGTGGTGGACTGCAACTACCTATCAGATCCGTTGGACGTTCTCGTCTTAACCGAAGCGTGTAGGTTTGCGAACGAGATCATCACCAAGGGCTCTGGGACAAAGGACATTGTTAAAGGGTCCTGGCCACCCAATCTTACGCATCACACCTACACCAAGAGGGAGGAGTGGATTCCCTATGTGAAGGAACATGCCACGACTTGTAAGCTTTACCCTTACCACTCATCAGTCTCAGCTGTACTAAGCTATGCCTCTCCAGGCTACCATGCGGCAGGGACCTGCGCTATGGGCCAGGACAGCGATCCACGCGCTGTCCTTGATAACCAGCTGCGCGTGCGAGGAGTGACTGGCCTCCGCGTTGCAGACTGCAGTGTCATGCCAACACTCCACGGAGGTCATACCCAGATGCCTGCTTACGGTATCGGTGAGAAGTGCGCGGATCTTATCAAACAGACGTGGACTTCGTCCCAGGTTGGAGCTGTGGCTGTGGCGAAGCTATGAGGTGTCACGCTGACGATGCTTCCGATGCATCATGCCAGGTGGCTCGTGTCTGTTCAATGAGATACCAACTGTCATATTGAATTTTATTTTTCTCGCAATACATGTTTTCCGACATCGGCTATGAAGCGGTTCCTTGCGAAACGAACCCACCCAGTAAAAAATGCCTACCCGGGGAGTGAAAATGACCCCGAGCCAGCGGGTGGAGCCAAGGCAAGCTTTCTTGAGCCTCGAAGACACCCAATTACAACCGGGAGCTTCAGCCTTGTGGACCCTAGCTTGGCTTCATTTCCGCGCTATCCACAGCCTACGATGCCGATTGTCCCGGCGACCACAAAATCCCCTTCAACGCGCTATTGCCATTTGTCCATAACCCTCGTAGGGCTGTTGCGGTAAGGCTGATATTCTACGCTAAAAGGCCTCCGAAACGTCACCCATCTCTTGCGTGATACGAGTCCAAAATGGCGACGAGGGAACGGAATGCTTCACAAATTTTGCAGAGGTAAATACCGAATAGCTTTGACAAAACTGTTTTTGAAATCGAGTCCGGATTAGGGTTTAGGGTGCTGGGGGGCCATGCGTGGTTTTCATTTTTTTTACTCTTTGGATTGTTGTTGCCGTAGGTTCATGTCAGGCTGACTTTGCACTCCAATCTTCCAATAAACTTCCGGACAATTTATAGCGGCAATCAATCAATCCGTTCATATTTCCGCTGGTGACACCACACCACATACCTTACCACACCTCCCACCCTTGTACTACATACATACATACCACAGCCCCTCCCCATCCACCACATCTTAGGGATGTCCGAGCCCTCGAGACCCCAGGTCCTCCCAATCATGGAGTCCAGTATTTCCACCAACGAGAAAGTTAGAATGCTCAACAAAGACCGAATTTTGCGACAGACGGTCGATAACAACTACGCGGATCTGATCTGCATCATTCTATGTTTTGTCACGGGGCTATGTGATAGCTCTGCTTTCAACGCCTGGTCCTGCTTCCTGGCCATGCAGACCGGTACATCACTCCTCCCCTCATTACCCCATTACATCCATTACCCCGTGCAGCACAATGCAGCTATCCCCAGTACCCCCGCATCCCATCCCATCCCATCCTAACATACTACCAACTAACCCACCCCCTCACCAACAGGAAACACCGTCGTCCTCGGCCTCGGCGCCGCCAACCTCCCAGCAGACGACAAATACAGTTGGCTAAAAGCCCTCGTCTCAGTCTCGTCCTTCGTGGTCGGATCCTTCGTCTTCAGCTTCGCGGGGCGCATCCTCGGCCCAACACGTCGCGGAACCCTCTTCGCGTCGTTCATGGTGCAGGTCATTCTGATCGTGATCGCCGTCTCGCTTATCCAGACCGGCATCGTTGCCCGCGGTGATGTCTCCTCGCACAATCACCCCTTACTAGACCTCATCCCGATCGGGCTTCTCGCGTTCCAGTCCTCCGGATCTATCAACTCGACCCGGTCGCTGGGGTTCAATGAGATCCCGAGCGTCGTGATCACCAGCGTGTATTTTGATATCGCGTCGGATAAGAACATTCTCGCTGTGCAGAATGTGAAGCGCAATCGCAGGGTGGCGGGGGTGGTGATGTTGTTAATTGGGGCGATTGTGGGGGGCTGGTTGAATCGGAGTGAGGGGGGCATGGCGTCGACGTTTTGGTTGGCTGCTGGGATTAAATTTGTGATTGGGTTTGGGTGGTTGTTTTGGTTGCCGAAGAGGGTTGAAGGGTGAGTGAGGGTAAGGTGTTTATTGTCTTGGTTAATGTCCATGGGTGGGAGGGGTGAAAAGTGTCTTATTGTATAGCGGGGTGTTGGGATAGAGGGTATAGTATAGACTTTGGTTTTTTAGACAACGCTTGGTGGTATTCTGGATTCAACTAGATTTGCTGTTTGGTTACTCTGTACTCGGGGCATTGCGTGCCTGGGATGCGCCTCGGATGTAGTATGCAACGCAGTCTGGGTGTACGATTGCCCTGCAAACCATAGGACAAGCTGCATTGCCTGCAGTTCTTGCTATCATCATTCGTGACCTCCATTAACGATTAACTCAACCTTGTTATCACGCCTCCGTACGCGGCATCGCATCGGTTGACTATGGGCGGCTCCGAGCCGCCCTTTTTCAGTTATGTACATTATACTGTCAGCAGTGCTTTGCTTCGTCTCGGCGTCTCGTTGATTACTCCTCGACCATTGTCGAATGACCCAGGATATGCTATTGTACAGTCTCGTTCCGTCCACTCAATCCCATTCCTTCCAATTGATGTGACCGGATCGCTTCATCTCAGCCTTTAGTCGCGGGCGGCGCGCAGAGGGCTTTGGCGGGGGAGCATCATCGGGGGTCCCCGGGCGCGGAGCCAGGCGTCGTTGTGAGGGCCTTCGGTACGGATAACGCTACCGATAGACATGAAGAGGCTGTTGGAGAAGTCGGTCAGTACTGGTCCGTACAGAGGTAACATTGGCGATCATGAGACTCGTCGGAAGGAATCTCCCAACTTACCCGAAAGTGGCGCCAGAACCAAGCATGTATTTACCCAGAGTGCGCATCACGCCGTTGGGGCCGGCGCCGTACTGGAAGATGGTGACGGTTCCTGGGCTGTATTAGCGAACGATTTGCGAATGTGTTGTAAGATTGTCTGGACGAACCGATTATGAAGCCCATGATACCACCGACAGCTGTTGGTGGTTAGCGAGAAAAGCCCCCCCTGGTTGTAGGTTAGGTGGACATACTGGATCCCATCATGGCACCCATCCGCACTGTAGAGCCAGTTAGTTTATTTGCATTGACACCTTGAGACGACCTCTGCTCTGTTGGGCAACGATGTCCCGCACGGATTATACTGAGGGCCAAACGTACTCTTCTCGAAGGTCGAGGGGCCATGCCCCTGGGGAGGACCAGCAACAACAGGCATTTTCGAAGGGATGGCAATAAAAATACAGTAGCCGGTGTCAGAGGGGTCGCAAAAAAACAAGAGGGTTCCCTCACACAGTCGCTGTTTCTCGGGGTCTGGGAAAGAGGTATAGAGTCGGCAGCAAAGCTCCCACGGTGGGCGCATCCCAAAGCCCGAGGCTTTGTTCAAGACACGTGATACCGCCTACCCGATGCAGACTAGCGACCGGTCCGTGCTGTGTTACCTAAGCTACACGTGCAGCTACACGTGATTCTCGGCCTGAGGCGTTAGGGAGCGAAGGAAGGACGAGGCCGTGAGCTGATCGGGTCTTCTCTCTCAGTCCCGCCAGAGTTGGCGGTTCCTTCATGAGATTATTGCGTTGAATCGTTTGAATTTAGTGCGTCGACCTCTCGTTAGGGCGGTAGTGCCGTCCTGAGCGTCCGTCATCCTTTTCCCGGTCGCTAGTACTTCCTCGCTCCTCGGCTTGGGCCAAGACCTCCTCCACGCCTCCTTGGTCTGAACCGCCTTCCTATTTTCCCATCCCAAACCTCCCTTCGGTCCCAACCGCCCCTATCCTATCCCTTCGGTGGTAAGTCTGACCCTCTGGCCATCAAACCTAGAAAGCCGGGTGGCTTGGAACGATGCCAGCCGTGGTTGCGTCGATGCGGAAGGGGCTCGATATTTATCTGGGGTCGTCCGGACAATTGCTAACGTGACCTTCTCTCACCAGCCGAACGGAGCGATCTTCTGTGATTTCGGCGCGCCATCATCGCTACACACCCTGTGCCCTTGGAGTCCGTTGCGACGGGCTCTCGCGGCGACCCTCATCCAGCCGCGGATTATTCGCATCCCTACCCCGACCCTTAATTCCCGTGAAACGACTAGCGCCCATGATATAGACCTCCTTTAGCCTCCAATCTCACATACTCCACCACGTTGCCGGTATCCTTCTCCATGACTGCTGTGGCTTCACCACCTAGTGTGCAATCGGGGTCTCGCTTGGGATGGTTCGACTCTGGTAACGGAGGACAAGGCGGTTTGTCTTCGATGGACGCGGAAGAAGTCTCTCGGACATTTCTACCGCGAAGGACCGTTCAGAGATCGAATTCCTCCTCTTCCATAGGATCCACCTCATCCACCTCATCCACCTCCACCGTGTCTGCTGCGCCGCAGAATTCTAATGCAGGGCCCGTGAACAACGTTGATTCATCTACCTGGTCATCCAAAAAGAAGTCTTCGAGGAGTGTTTGGCCTAGTTCAAAATCAGAGCCGGTGGCTGGGTTGAGCAACGCCCGCCCCCAGTCTGTGCCGGCTTTCTCCTCCGGTCCCGGAGCCTCTTCTTCTATGACCGCGATCCATCAGCCATCCTCCATCGTTCCGTCCCAACACATGCTTCAAGCCTCCCAGCAGAATGGCGTCCGCGCCGGGAGCGCGCCACCAGGCGACCCGCCCGCCATCTTAACCCTCCTACCCATCAACGGCACCTTTGATAAAAAACAGATCAACGTACCCTTCTACCCGGATGTGCTCCGCATTGGCCGTCAGACGAACGCCAAAACTGTACCTACTCCCCTGAACGGCTACTTTGACTCCAAAGTCCTCTCCCGACAACACGCTGAGATATGGGCGGACAAGAGCGGAAAAATCTGGATTCGCGACGTGAAGTCGTCCAACGGTACTTTTGTCAATGGACAACGACTGTCCCCGGAGAATCGCGAATCGGATCCACACGAGCTTCGCGAAAACGACACGCTGGAGCTTGGAATAGACATCGTGAGCGAAGACCAGAAGACAATTGTCCATCACAAGGTTTCGGCGAAAGTTGAACATGCCGGCGTATACAGCTCCATTCCGAATATTCTCGATCTCACCCTCGGGGATCTGGACCCTGCCTCTGGGAACGGATTACTCCCCTCGCCCCTCAGCCAGCCATTGTCGCATCTTCGAGGACGGTCGGGGAGCAACATGAGCAACCGCAGCGCACAAAGCGCGGCGAGCAGTCAGTTCAACGCTTTGCAGCAACAACGTCAGATGAACTATTGGAACTCACCGGTATCCATTGAACAAGTCGTGAAACGACTAACGGTATGTCGGCGACGGCTACAAATGTTTGTTGACTAGAGCTAATCGGTCTGCAGAGCGAAATGAAACAGGCTAAGCAGCAGTCGCAAGAGCTTCGACAAACGGATGAGTTCCTGACGAATATCATGAAACCCGGGTACATGGAGAAGGAGAAAGCTAAGCAATCGCCTCCGGACACCAATGCATCTCGTCCTGTCAACGGGCGACCGAAGATGCCTCGAGTAGACTCCTTCTCCCGTTTCTCCGACCCTCCGGCGCCCCCACCGCAGCAACCTTTGCCCGAAAAGCCAGACGCCTTGCCGCGAAACGGGACCGATGCACTTTCTCCTTTGAAGCGCGTCGAAACAGAAAAGGGCAAGCTTGGCACAAACTCGCCCGTCGCACGTGAGAACAGTCAGATTCTATCGCTTATTGAGGCTCTGTCATCGGCCAGAAGGGAGATCGATAGCCAAGGCGCTCGGGTAAAGGAACTGGAAGCGTTACTCATCCAGGAGCGGAATGCTCGTGAGTCTGCGGAAGAGAAGGCCAGGAGCTTAGAAAATTCGTCCAGATCCACTTCGGATTCTCAATCTGGCGACTCAGATATCGACCGTGATAATCCCCAAACAGAATCGTCGGAAGAACCAGAAGCCATGACGTCGGATTCCGAGCAGCCACTCGAAATTGTCTCAACCGGCTCTGAAGAGGCTGAGTCCGAACCCCCGACAGATACTTTGCAACATCGTCTGGAGGAGATGATACATGAAATGGAGGAGATGAAGAAGCAGGTCACGATGTTCAAGAACAGGGCAGAGACTGCGGAGGATGAGACTGCTGAGACCCGGAAATCGTTGGCCGAGATGATCGAAACTCTTCGGCAGGAGCGCGCGGAGCGTCTTGAGGACAAACCAGTTCCCGATGTCCAGGAGAATGCGGAAATTCCCGACTCGATCCCAGCTGAGACTCCAGGGCCAATCGAAGAGAAAGGCAGTGTTTGCGCCGAACAGTCACAGCCCTCCCTTACGTCGCCCTCCAAGGATGTCGACAAACCTGATACGACCACCGCGACGTCACACCGGCACGATGTGCTGGAACAGTCCAGCCCATTTGCGTCCATGCTTGGAGTTGTGCTTTTAGGAGTTGGGTTGATGGCTTATCTAAACGGCTGGCAGAAGATGGATAAATAGCTGTTGCATTGTGGCTTCAATTGGGACAATTGGACCCGACCTCTGCTCTCGATACAGGCTTTGTGAAAATTCGACCTTGGTACACTTCGACTACTCCGATCCTTCCTATCTTTCTTTTCTCATTCCACCTTGATTCCATCTTATAGTTTTGTCTCTTCCGTGTATTCTGATCCGATGCCGAACAGGGTTTATGCGCTGGTTTTGTGGGTTGCTTTACATTTTTCTTCTTCTTCTTCTTATTCTTCTTCTTCTTCTTGCCTTTTTATTCCCATTCTTCTCCACCCTCTTATGTGCAGTTATCATCTTGTATGACCTGCATGACCCTCTCTCCCTTTCCTGTTTGTTCCTAGATATCACTCTCCCCGTGGGACCCTGCTGTTCCAGTAACGAACCCCTGGCAGCAGTGGTATTTCTTTCTATGTTGATGTCTCTTTCTCATGGGCAGAAGCAGGTCATGTGAGGCTCACCCGCCTTTGTGTATTAGTCTATCATAGCATACTTTTTCCTCAGCCAAGCGATGAATGACTGTTTTGATACTTTTTTCATTCACCTCCGTGCTTTATTCATTCTGGTGCTTTTCCTACAAGGATGGCCTGCCAACGAACCCTCCCCCGGATTGGAACCGGAAATTACAGTCTCCGAGAAAGGACGCTATGGCTGTGCGACTTGTAGATCACCGCACTATTTGAGACGGTTTCACATCTACTCTCGGGGCTTCGATCCACGTGATTTGCGTCCCCAGGCATCGATCGCCACCGGCCCCTGACGACATCCGAACTATTGATTCATTCATGCATTATTTCTCAACATCCCTGGCCTACAAAGCCACCTGACCCGCATGTCATATGTCGATGCATCCGGAACCGTCAACCGGCAAACCGCGAGCGAAGCGTCGCCAGCGCGTCTGCCGCGCCTGCGACTCGTGCTTCAAGAAAAAGGTAGTAGTACTCGCCCCATCGGCTATCCGCTTAGTTCCGCTGTTAATGCCGCCTAGATCGGATGTGATGCCGCAACACCCAAGTGTAACTGGTGCTATCATCATAACCTTCCGTGTACTTTCACGCGAAATCGGGAGACTTCTCGAGCTCCTCGGATTGACGATCGTCGCTTAGAGTGCGTCGCTCTTCCACTGACTGGCTGGAATTGTTGCTAAGACTTCTCCAGGTCCCAGCAGCCAAGTAGTCTGCCCGTTCCGAAAGGTATTCTTTGGCCATGTTGCTCGCCTCCTGTCTTTTGGATCTTCCACGGCTGCAGCTTTTGCTTGAGCACGACGTTGATCTGACCTGTCTGCAGCCAATGTCCAAGTAGACCTACCATCTAGGTTGCATGACTCTACATCGGCGCCTGGTTTCGGAACCCAGACAAATCTGCATGTTGCCGGGCATACTCTCGGAAATCTGTGCACATCCAATGGCCTGCCTTTTTTCTCGCCTAGTGGCCAACAATGGGTCAAGTCATGCACCGGGGAAGACGTGGATCAGGCCTATTTTTCTCCCCAGCCATCGGTATCCTATGAGGCCGCCTCTTCGGGCGCCTTACAGCCGTTGATGCTCCCGGACAAGGGCATTCTCCATAATTTACTTCATGAATGGGAGGCTCAAATCTTCTCCCTGCTCTTTCCCTTCATCAACCGAGAATTCTTCCACTCTACGATTGATGCCGCCTACCATGGCAGAACGTCCACCATATCCCCCGGGACTGCTAGTGCTAGGGCCTGTGTCTATGCGTTTACGGCACTGTGTCTATCAATGTCTCATCAGGTGTCTGGAAGTGACTTGATGAATGCGGAAGATTATATTAACGAGGCTTTTGGATTGCTGCCTTCCATGTTTATGGACTCTTTTACCATCGACGGTTTACAGACATTGGCGATGCTGGTGAGTTCTGGCCAAGCCTTCATCGTGGAAAAAATAGGCGATGTCATGTACATAAAGGCGCAAGTGCTATATGTGCTCTAAAGGGAAATTTTACTGACATGTTTCTCCAGGTCATCTGCTCTTTTGCCATGCTGGGCAATGTACATCTCGTCGAACTAGCGCTGTCATCGGCCAACCGATTCATCATCCATCTAAAGGGCCACCTTGCTCCAGTTTATACGAATCAGGAGCAATTTAGACGGGACTCGCATATCCGAAATCTGTTCTGGGTCTGTTTCCTATTCGACAAAGAGTTCAGCTTGCGGACTGGCGATCTGCCATGCATCGACGACAATCTCTGTGACCTGACTCTCCCCGCAGACACATCCGAGGGCTCCTCTCCAGAGTTCGTTGCATGCCTACGCATCGCCGTTCTCCAATCCCAGATCTACCGCGGTCTCTACTCCGTGCCCGCCCTGCGCCAGACAGACGCCCAGCTACTCGGCACAATTCGGGATCTCGACAACGCCCTAGAAGTCTGGCGATCGTCCGTCCCCTTCAGCAATCGCCCACGATTCAACGACCGAGACTCCCACGCTCTCAGCACCCCCGACACCATCTTTCAACTCCAATACCTCTACTGCATGACCATGATCCACCAAGCCAGCGGCCGCTGCTCCTCCTGGGTCCAAAACAAAGACACGTCCGAAGCGGGATCAAGCCTCGCCATCAGCGTCGAAGCAAGTCGCTCGTTGCTGCAGAAACTCCTAGACGATCGCCTCCATCTGGATCGGAATAACCTGCGGTATGCGCTTTCTTCATGAATAAATAAATATAAACACCTACCCACTCACCCACCAGTACACTGCTAACATCCATCATCGTTGTGCAGATTTTGCCTCCCCTATTTTATAACTGCCATTTGCCACATTTTCTGCAACATTCTTCTCAAGCCCGTGGCGCACAGCAGCCGGGATGATCTACATCTCATAGTCTCCGTGCCTAGGCATGTCCGCGCGCGTTTATCGGCCGAAATGACCTTGCCCGTGAAGCAAGTCGATGTCTTCGAGGGGTTTGTTATGGAGTTGGAACGCCTTTCGCTCCGTGCATTTCAGAATGCGCAGGGAGTATGAGGTAATTGATTGGGAAGATTCGTGTTCATATACACGGTACAGGACAATCTATACGCCATGCATATTATGGTTCAAACTGCAGCACTGGGACTGGCAGGATCTAGCTATGCGCGGAGCCGTGGAATCATCCCCGCTTATCGAGTGGGTCATACTGGAGATCCGGTAGCGACTGTCGCTGATGAGGCTGGGCGCTCGAAAGAGTTCAAAGCGGGCTCAGATAAGACATCGTGTTTGTGATGTCTCGGGTGTATTTTATGAAAAGGCATTGTATACTACTTACGAAGCGGACGATGGAATATCATTAGAAGGGGTATAATACTCTTGGTATTCACGGCTGTCTAGCTGTCCGTGGTTTGATTTTGTCTCATTATCGTTCATTCCTCGATTCCTTTGATCTACCACACTCGTGTCCATATCGTGACGCTGGATGGACACATCTCACGGGGTTCCATCTTCGACAGTCGACCCCGATATTGCTGTCCTCGTAGCAGTAGGTTGAGACTCAAGACTCACGCGTAGCACCATCGCCCTTGTTACCAGTGTAGATAGTCCGAGCGTTGTGGAAACGGCAAGGATTCAGGCCATAGCCCACCATACCAGTATGCCAGTGAGCTAGTTCATCTATCACGAGTGGGTTCTCCGAGTCCGGACAGGTGTCCACGGATTATCGGGTAGATGCAAACTCATACCTAGCCATGCATGCGCCCAGCTGACCAGTCCAACCAGACCTGTGCAATCTGCAGGTTACCGGCTCCATGATATCATACATACCATAGGATGCGACCAACAAACCCCCCAGCTCTCTCTCACCTCAGCGAAATCCCCACCTCCACCATATTCACCCATCTTGTTCTCGTCTCCGGGACCTCAGTCTCCTCAGCCGCAGCCGCAGCCGCAGCCGCAGCAGCCTTCTTCTTCCTCTTCTTCGCCGCCGACTTCGACAACCCTCCTTCTCCGTCCACTTTGTCCCCTTGTCCCTCCTCGCCCTCCTCCTCCTCCTTCTTCTTCTTCTTCTCCCCCTCCCCCTCCCCTTCAGCCTCCCCCTCAGCCTCAACATCATCAACATCAACATCATCAACAACAAGCACACTCCCCGTCTTCACTCTAACCCGATACTCCCCCCTCTCTCCTCCCTCTCAAACCACTTCCCCACCTTCAACGCCCTCTCCATCGCCCTCCCCGTCGCCTTCACCAGCACTTCCTCCTTCCCCAATCCCAATCCCTCTCCATCTTCCCCTCCCGCCCCCCTCGCCAACAACGCATCCACATTCCCCTTCCCCCCTTTCTTCCCACCGCCCCCCTTCAACAAATTCGCCGTCGCGCGATTCTCCGCCACCCGGAGATACTTCTGCACGCGCTTGATCACGCTCATCGTCGGCGAGCTGGACGAAACGTAGAGGGTCTTGGGGCTCGATGGGCCGGAGTACGGCGATGCTGTGGCGGGGTGGGGGATGGGGCGCTTTTGGATTTTGGCGTCTGGATGGAGACATAAAAACAAAGTAGGTGTTAGTTGGTGGAGAGGGGGTTTGCTTTCCAAGGGGGGAGGGGGGGAGGGGGGGAAAGCGTACGTTTGGGGAGTTTCGGCATGAGTTGGTTTTTCTTCTCGAATTTGAGCGATTTGGTGAGTGGTGTCGGGGCCATTTTTGTTCGGGGCTCCTGGGGTAGGAGGCTTTGAGGGGGAGGTTGGCAGTGAGGGGGAGTTGTAGGGTGGGTGTGGGTGGTGTAGTTATACTGCGGACTGCGGAGAGAAAGTTGCGATGAAATGATGGACTGGGCTGTCTGGATTGGGTTAGCGTGGTTGGCTCGATCGGGCTTATCGGGCTTATCGATAGTGTTGGTGTTTGCTGTGTTTGCAGAGACTGTTTGTTTTGTTTGTGTTGCTCATGTTCGCGTTGTTCGCTCTCGAACAGCAGGCAAGAAAATCATCACATCATTACTCCGTCTATCTAATTATACAATTTCCCCGGTTCTAGTACGCAGCCTGTGGCTCGGCCTTGATCGACTCCTCCGCGGAAGAAAACAACGACCGCATCTTCTTCTTCCGGCTCTTCTTCCCCAGCTTCTTTCCGTTGTCGGCGGGGGGGGTTTCAGTCCCTGTCTCTTCCGTGGCGGTCCGCTGGATCTCGGGATATTCTGGCACTGGTGCGGGTTCCTCGGGGTATTGTCCTGGGGTTGGCTCCTCGGGGATGGCTGGCTCGGGTGCCGGTTCGGGGACGCTCTTATATGCCCAATCCCTCTCTTTGCTTGACCAGTTCCGCCATGTCCAACGGTCACTCAACGACGCGTTCTCGGGCTCTTCGGCTTGAGCTTCAGGGATGGGTTCCTCGGCGATCGGGTCTTCAGCGGGGATGAATCTCTCATCCACGGGTTCTTCGGGAACGTATGTATCGTTGCTCAACTGAGGAAAGGCCTCCATGGGACCGCTGTCGTCCGGGATGGACTCGGCGTATAACTCGGAAACGGGTCCCTCTGAGAGAGGCCTGTCGGACACGGCATCTTCGATGAATATCACTGCTTTGTTGTATCCTCTCCTAGGACTGGTTATCTCTTCATCAGCATAACCGTGGTCATCGGAACCGTTTTCCGCGTCCTCGACATGCACACCATTTACCCGGGGGAGCTTCTTCAGCTCCGATAGCTTCGCCTCATAGATCGCTACCATCGCCTGCACCAGGCACGTGACGAAGCCGGGCTCAGCGCTGAGGAGGTACTGGAACCGGGGACTCTCGAACAAGTCCTCGTCTTCATCGAAGGCAGCATTGAGTCTGCTCTTCACGTAAGTGGAGAAAAACCACTGGTCGTAATCCGGGATCTTTGTGAAGGCCTTCCTTGCGACGCTCAACACGTCGAAAATGGACAGGTTCTTGTCGAGCTTCTGCATGTATTTCTTCGCGAGAGTCAGCAGACCCCGGAGTTCGTACTTCGAAGCCGCGGCGTACGCAAGCACACTCCGTCTGTATTCGGTTTTCGTCCAGTCACCGCCTTGTCGGAGGGTCTGGTATGTGCCTGTGTGGAGATAGTGGACCATGGTATGCGTGATATCGTCGTCGATATCAGGGAGCGCGATGCAGGGCGTTGTTCGGGTGATGAAACTGGGGTATGTGCTTAGGATGTCCGCGAACACGGGCGACTGTTTGAGGTAGTATTCTGGGATGGAGTATTTGCGCTCGCTGGGACCCATCAAGACGACGACGAGGCGCGTTTCGTAGGGCCTGTCACGCAGAGAGGGCTCGTAAGAGCAAACTTGACAGGGGAAGAGAGCGACTCACGATAGCTCTGGCTGCTCGTACTCGTCCACATCGATGGTATCATCGTCAAAGTCAAGCTTAGGGCCATAACTTGCGCTGCCGTTAACCGCCATGTCGTTTGTCAGTTACCTTAGCCGATGTCACTGATTCGACTCGACTCGACGCAAGTGCTATGCTCCGTAGCAATCCAGGATCGAAGCCCAACGGTCGCAAACGAGGGGTACAGATTCTCGGGTGTCAGCAATTGAAAATCCAACCGACGGAGAATTCCAAGAGGGGGCACCGCAGATATAGCCTGCCTGATGCTTGTATATACCCTGTCAACTCCCACGAGACCCTCGTTTGTACCTTATGAGCTGTTCACCCATTTGAAACATATAGCCAATCACGGCGCAACACATCAAGGTGGGTATCGCGTTTCCCCCATGAAACCCGAAGATGCGATGTAGGTAAGGTAGAAATCACCGCCTGAGTCATTGCGGATGCCATGTTTCATCTTCGAGTGGAGTGATAGCTTGATGTGCTGGCGTCTGCGGAGGGGAGTGTTCATTCATTGGAGGTCCGTGGTAGCACTAGGGCAGCAATGGAGCTCCCATCCTTAGCTGATGGCCGGATCCCCACCATGAGCAGGTATATCATTTTAGTTTGCACGGTAATTGATCCACATGGCGTGATACCTTGTCTACTTGAGCCTTGAAGCCGCCTTGCAATATTGCCTCATCCTGCACAATTCAATGTGAGGACGAATCGGCCTTCAACCTCTTACCCAGTTATCCTATTGATCCCCCACCACAGCCTACAAGCCACCATTAGCATCGCCACACAAATAACCATCATCAAGCTGCAATAACTCACCCACAGAATAATATCCGACTGAACCATCGTTCAAACCCAATAGTAGCCCCCTCCTCCAGCAACACGCCAAACCCATCCGTCTCGTCACCCAGTCTCCATGGCCCGTAGTAGCAAATAGATTGTATCTTATTCCATCAGAATCCCAGCTATACTGCAATTCTCGATTAAAGCCTGTGCACCAATAAAGAGAGTATCTGGCCTCCCAACTCATCATGGACTCTTTCCGGGGGCGAATCGGTCATTGATTGGTAAGGCATTTCAGGTGATAATAGTTGCCGAAGCTGACGCTACCACTTCAGGCTTGTCAGTCCCTTCCGTTATCTTTCGATAAAATGGTAGAAATTACATAGCAGAGGGACTGACTATATCTTTCAAGCCATCCTTCTTGGGGATACCATTATATCGACCGAATGCCTGATCAATTCGGTCTCGAGGACGACGGGACGGGGTTAAGAGTGACCAGCCAGTCGCGGTGGAGAGGATATGGGGGAAACTTGCGCCGAGATCACTTGCTTCGATGCAACTGTTAGTAGATGGCTGTCTGGGTGAGGACTGAAGTGACTGGGGAAAGACAAAACGTGAGTGGAGGGGTGTAGAGTCAAGGAAGGAAGAGGAGGAAGCCGGGATGGGGAGGAGGAAATAAATATGGCTTTTCTACAGTTGGAAACGGTCTCACGTGCTCCTGGCTTTGAAGCTTCTAAACAGTGGCTTGCTATTTTAAGTGTCTATTAGCGATTCTTCTTCTTTATCATGACAATTCCCTACATAATTGTTTAGTCTGAGAGCATACTACGAAAGATTAACCACAATTGGAATGGCATGAAAGACTGAGAGCAAATTATATGACTTTATTCGAGGGAGGGATGTAGAGCCAATCTTCTACTGGAGAAATTCCATGTGGGTGGCTACTTGTGGGAATGTTAAGCATGTACATCACTCAGGCTGAAACATCGGATATGTTCAAGTATGTACAATGTCTTTCGTGATTATTCTATATACAAAATGACATATAGCACATCGCTGGTCGTATACGCGGATACCCATCAAAATCATAAGCGGATACACATCAAAATCATAGTCGTCACATCATAACATGCATAAGAAGGTGGGATCATGTCAGATCGTATCCCGTGAGGTCGTTCGGGGGTATTTGAAACACGTCGATGAAATCAACCGACAGCTTGTACCTGCATATGTCCTGCAGTGTGCGGAAAGGTCTTGCGCTTAAGCCCGAGCATGGCTGAAAGACGCTGGCGTCGTTTGGAACGATTGGGTATCTCTGAAGCGCGCGCTGACATGCGCACGAGTTCATCGGCTTGGGCTTTCTCGGCGGCTTCGGAGCGGTTGCGCACCATTGCCTTGACGGCGTTGGTTATCTGGGTCCGGACATGGACGAAGTCGGAGTCGCGCTTCGGCGGAGTAAAGTCCTCGTCTGGTTCGTCGTCGTAGTATGTTTCTTTGATGAATCGCGCATCGTCTTCCTGGGCAGCTTTCACGCATCTGCGGAGGATGTTGTGGTGGCCTAGGCAGCGACGAAGGTCGGGGGTTTGGGATTCGGCTTCTCGCCGAAGCTTGCCATGGGAAATGGCGGCCAATTTGCCTGGAATGGCAGGGCGATTGGTTATCTGAGAGATGCCGGCAGTGAGGCGAGGTGCTCGACGGAGCACCATCGCGGGCAGTTGGAGGAGTTCTGCTGCCGAAGACATTGGCAGAGGAGGCAATTGGGTTGATAATGTTCAACTTGGATAGTGATCATTCAGAAATAAACGTTGTTGTGTAGGAGGGAAGCAGCATGGGAGCTGAGGGGCCCTTATGTATTGCCAGTCCCAAGGTGACTCGCAGCATTATGCCGCGATAGGAGTCATCACAGCGCGAGTCGTTATCAGGCTTCGTCAACCCGTGGACCGTCCCACCCTAACCGTGGGTAAAGCATGTAGAGCTGGCCTGTCAATCGTGGAGCGCCAGGTCACAACGTCAGCTCCAACTTAATCCACGCAATCACTGCTGGGCTGGAATGCGTCGCCCCTTCTTTTATCCTTGATGCCGGCCTTGCTCAGTGCCCTTGCCCAGTGGCGATCAGCTTCCCGGAATTTTAATCGCATGGATCGACATGACTTGGTACCTTTTTCGTGGACAAGCTCCCTTCCATTAATTTCTATTTGCGTATCAACGACGCTTGCCTTGGGATGAGTCAGTCTGCACCCTAGTTAGTTCCCTGGTCCTATCCAGGGCCCTAAGGCATTCAAGGTTCTCACTGTGCGTAAAGACGGCGCTTTCCACCTCTCAGCATTCCTGCAGGCCTCCTTATGTAATGGAAGACATTGTGTTGCTGATCACAGCTTGTACTTTCCCCGCGAAGCTTCCCGCAGGCACTGTCATCGATTGAGAACTCGGGGGGATCGTCAACGAGGAGGCGGTGTTTCACCAATCCTTGCCACTGATTGCTTGAAACTCGATCTCCTGGTAATGCATGATGCACGGTTCATGACAGAAACCTGGGTCTGTGCGATGACCTGGACAGATCCGGTCTAGACTATCCCTTCAAGAGTCATCTTTTGCCCTCTTTCACATACAATCTGCACCACCAAACAAGTGACTCGCAACACAGAATCGCAGTAAAAATAGCTTATCAACAGAATCACCCATTGCGTCACTTCCCATGCCCAATGGTCTTATCGTGGAGCTAAAAGGACGCGTCGCAAGACATTCCTGTAGCCACGTGCTCCTTGCGGACTGCGTAGAGGACTGCGTACTGCGTATTCCGTAGCCGTGGTTGGGATTGATAGTTCAAATTCCGAAATACCGTATGAATTCCAGAGTTCCGATTCCCCAAGCCACCACATGGTCCACATCGACTGCCATTGCTCTGTCGAAAGTGTCGTCATTCCATTTCCGATGTTCCGTGATGGCGGTACCTAGTATCATTTTGGCTTTGCGTTTAAGCCTTGAGCAGCGAATGAGGCGACCACTGGCGATTGCAATGGTTTAGAAATTTCGTACTGTACCCAGTTTTAATGAATCTCAACCATGGATTTGTTTAATAAATTGATTCATCTAGGCCAGTCAGAGCCCATGGTAAAAGAAGTATCGTGATCGTCCCTGGAGAGATCTTATTATCTTTGATCCGGGGATGTGAACTCTGCGAATCTAGGAACCTGTGTAGAAGATCAATTACTAGACTTACCGCAAAAGGCATCCGCTTCAACGGCCCCTTCCGTCGTCTGCTACTTCCCTCGTTGGTGTTATCTCCGTCTTCAATACTGATCAGCATGTCAGCTTCTACCGAATCTTGATTTCTTGAAGAACTACCAAAAATCAGAACTTATTTCATAAAACCGCTGAGTCATTCCTCCGGAGAGTCATGCTCCTTCAAATACTCTGACATAAGTCTCTTAGTTGTCAATGACGCATGAAATCAGATGCATGGTCTGCTGCCTCTTGAATGAGGGGAAGCATATCCTAGCCTTGGAACCCTTGTTAGCTCGACAGCACATGCAAAGGATATATTTGAATATGTCGTAACAATGGCTTTGATTACTTCTCTCAAATTCCAATTGAAGTAATCGGGCTTGGAACGTGATATCATATTAGAATTATACTAATCACCTCCGTAGTAGCATCGAGGCAGGCTGATGATGCAGACTGCAGGCCAACTCAGTCACACATACTAGTATTCATCATATGTTCTGTCTCCATGAAGCACTGATCGACTCGACCATGATGAGCAGCAGCAGGCGTGCAGTCGAGTCGCAATCTTCTCGGCTCACTTGGTCTTGACACTTCAGAGCCTATCGGCAATAAACACCCGCGTGTACAGCATGTTCCATGACTGTTTTCGTACTATATCCTCATGCGTCATGATGGCAGCAAATGGCGGAGGGAGAAATAGTCGGTGACCCACAGAAGCAACTGCGGTCTGTAGATGGAAAGCGCAACCACCAGTCAAGACTTACGTCTGGTGCTTGTAGCTTGATCGTCTTGCATCAGCTAGCTCTGTTTTCTATACTCCGGACTCTACCTCTTGCGGATATTTCAATCTCCATCGCATACATGTCTCATCGGCTGTTTGGAATAGGTAGCTTGACCTGAGTATAAGGTGAGCAAGAAGATGATCGATCACACCTGGATACAGAAGCAGTATATGATGTGTCCATCGCCTTAGCCTGTAGCACAATGCTACCATTGCCTCGTCTGTCGGTCAGAGTACGAAAGGCTCTGGCAAAAGAACATTAGAAGCTCCCATCTCGCATTTCTTCAATCTCTGCTTCTTTCGATGTTGTATCCAGAAACACTGGATACTCTCACTCCCCAGGCACGACTCCTTGGAGAGAACCTACTAGCTAAGGAGCCAGTCCCTCCAAAATGGGAGTCCTATCCCTCCTTTTCACAGCATTCCTGTCGATTTCAGCCACCTCTGCCTGTTCATCATGTGGCGGAGACCAAGGCTCCTCGGGATATCCCAGGTTCACCCGTCGCATGCAGCCTGGGGATGTGACCGCAGAGACAGGTCCTAAAGCGCCTCTGCCTTGGGGACAAATCAACTTTATCCACACCACAGACAGTCATGGGTGGCTTGAAGGACATATCAAGGAGCGTAATTTCGGTGCCGACTGGGGCGACTTCCAGTCTTTTGTGGAGCACATGCGCAAAAGGGCAGACTCCCTGGATGTGGATCTTCTGGTCATTGATACTGGTAAGCATGTCTTCTTTTTGAAATTGATTGACCTCCATTAAGTTGCTCTGACCGTAGGTGACCTGCATGATGGAAACGGTCTCAGTGACGCAACGACTCCGAACGGCGAATACTCCAATACCATCTTCAAGAGGATCGACTATGATCTCCTTGCGCCTGGAAATCATGAGCTCTATAGCAGCGTGGTCGTCAATCAAACGTACCAGCAGTTCACCAAGGTATACACCGACCGCTACCTGGCGAGTAATATCAACACAACCATCACAGGCGAGAATGTGCGTCTGGGAGCCCCGTACCGGTACTTCACGACGAAGCGAGGGATGCGGATCATGGCTTTCGGGGTGATGTTCGACTGGAAACCCAGTGCAAAGGTCCATGCTACGATCCAGCCTGCATCGCAGATGATACAGGAGAAGTGGTTTCAGGACGCTGTTGACTATCAACCCATCGACCTGTTTGTTCTGATTGGTCATAATCCGGTCCGTCAAGATGAATATAACACCAGTTCTTTTGGCTTGGTGCAAGGCGCGATTCGAAAGCGGCGTCCTGATGTTCCCATTCAGGGGTTCGGAGGCCATACTCATATCCGCGACTTCAAATGCTTCAGTGAAAGGTCGTCTGCGCTGGAGTCTGGGAAATACTGTGACACGGTCGGATGGCTGGCGTTGGGTAATATTGAATCATCAACTTACAATGGGACCAGGACCCCTAGCGGTGTTCCAGCCCCAAGAAAGACCTGTCATGCCTCTCTTAATGACGATGAAGAAGCTGGCTTTGCGGGCGACGACCACCAAATGGTTATGACCGCACCGACGACGATCCCCGTTCTTGACCGTCGCTACCTCGACTGGAACCGACTCACATTCGCATACCACGCCACCGGGTCCCAAGACATATTCGACACTTTGGAAGGATTGAATACCACCGCCGACATCACAGCCGAGCGAGAGAACTTGAACATAACACACCGGTATGGCTGCGCTCCAAAGACCTACTGCTTGTCCTGTAAGCCAGTAGGACATGAGCGCAACATCTATACGCTCCTGCAGAAGGTCATGTCAGCTATAGTCATCAACGAGACTCGCGCAGACCAAGCTCGTATAATCATCTTCAACAATCAGACAGTTCGATACGACCTCGTCCAGGGCCCGTTTACCCTCGATGACTCCTACATTGTCATCCCCTACGAGGACACCTTCAAATACATCCCCGATGTTCCTTTCGCGTACGCGTCACGCTTATTAAACGAACTGAATAAACCCTCCATGTCGAATGAGAGACGATCCTTGGGCGATCCTGCAGCGTCGCGATCAATCAACCCCGCTTCATGTCTGGATCCTTCCGACCCCGAATGGGCTGCAGCAATGGATCCCCAAACCGGGCTCTACCAGCGGAGAACGCTCTTCCGTCGCGTCCTCCCGCATGACGCACTCGTCCCGGGATATAAAACGGCCGATGATCTGGGGACTGCGGGGGATGGAGACGACACGCCTCACGCTGCATACGACCCCATCGAGAATCCCCATTATATCCAAGCTAATGCAGGTTTTCTAGCAAGGAATGACCCTCGCACTGTGGATGTCGTGTTCTCGAGTCATCTTAGCAAGGCGATTCCGCCGGTGTTAAAGAGACTGGGCTTTAAGGATACGGGCGCGTTCGATTACACCCCAGCGAATATCACGACGAGGACGGTAATCCCGGAGTATGCTCTGAAGTATTGGCAGGATAACATTAATAGCTGCCCAGTAGGTGGGTATGTAGATTGAGAGTGGGGTTGAGGGATGAAATGGGTACAGGAGTTGAAGCTCGACTAGTTGTTTGTTTTGAGTGATTTGAAGTGTGACGTTTGATTCCTGTGATTGCGGGGTTTGCATAATAAATAGGTTGACCCGCGAAACATATCCTGAGATCAAGTGGACATAAACACTTCAAAAAAACTAAGCAGATCATTGAATGTGCCAGTTCGAGAACCAGGTGACACCTCGCGCTAGAAATTGATCTGACAGAAAAGCTAAATCGTCAACTTACTTTGTGCTCGTATTCCCTCCCCAGACTCAAAGAGTAGGTAGCAGTAGCTAAAGTGTATCTGGATGGCGATGGTGGCTCAAGGCCGGTTCGGGCCTCACACCCCCTTAACGCCAAACGCCAAACCCAACAGCCATTTTATGCCATGCACAACAAACAAACTCTCCTCAGATGCGATCAAAAAGTCATTCCAATTTGCCCCGTACAAAACAAAAATATTCCTAGCCAGTCAGCCCGTTGAAATAATACTCAACAAGAAATACTACTACTACTACTACTACTACTACTGTACCTTGATATCATTCCCGTCCCTCGGTCGCGAACTAGTACAACTAGGTAAGTATTTTGTACAACCATGTATACTGCGCAGATACACGGCCATGACACAATTATGAAATAGTAGTTTGAAAAAAAATCCACACCCCGCAGACACTGACCGCTCCTTGCAGAAATGACAGCAAGAACAAGGCCAACCTTGCTATTATTGAATATATTGTGTGTGAGAACTTGTTGTTGATAATCCCAACCCACGGTGCAGATGATCAGCGTCGGCCTCCATCGACAACTGCATGCCTCTATCCTGGGAAGCAGAGCTATCTCGCCACAGACGTGCCTTGTGCAGCCCCCAAGCGCCCCGGCACCAATAATGACCGCCGCTTGCGCATCCCCCGGCTGCTCTAGCTCCGGTAGCCTTCGCTGCACCAGTCTGGGTTGGAGGGATCTGGACGAGCCCGGGACGTTCTTCTCTCATCGCGATGTCGATCGCTGGCATTATCACGTCTACGCCGAGGCTGGTGATGCTTCTCTTCCTAAGAATGAGATCGTGTCCCGCTGCATTGGGAAGACGGTTTATGGAGATGTCGCGGTCGACGGGTCTTCGAATACCCAGCCCAATGATTACTCGGAGGAGTTCACCGAGGTCGAGTTGCTTCGCACCACGTCCCATTACATCGGGAAAAATGCGGCTGCTGAGAACAAGCGGAGGGAGAGCGCCAGAGTCGCTGGGCTGTTCGGCATGCCGCCTGGGTTTATGCCTGAGCACAAGACTTTCACGATGCCTTGAAAGCCTGCAACACCTGCTGCTTTCGAAGGGACTGGGGCATATCCTGGAAGATAAATTGAGATGAGATTTATGTTGCTGGATATGCTTGGTGGCACTTGTTTTTTTTTTTTGAATATGTATGCCTGTGTGGTTTTCTGAGCCATGCCAGGCCTGGGTTTTGTATGGAAGAGCTGATGATGATGTTGAGAGATTTGGGGAATGACACAGAAAGAGGATGGATCTGTGATTTGAGATACCAAAGCCCAGCTGCTTTTGGGTTCTTGTCTGACTGCACACGGTACTCCAAGTCAAGGTTGGCAAATTGTTTGTTGTGGGGGTGAACACTTGCGCTAGTAGTACAGAGTATTGAAGCAATATCTGTTTCTGCTCGATGAATTTGAAAGTCCGTTCCCGATCCCCGATCCTCGTATGAAGTGTGCAGGCCGGGAAAAATGAAGCCGGCGCCACCGCATTGTCCTACAAATCACCTTCCTGGGCCTCACCGACTCCCAAATGCAAGTGTTGCCTAGATGGTGCAGCTCAGCTGCGGAATCAACCAGCAGCAGGTCATCTCATCCGGTGGCCAATAATCGGGGTGTACAAGGTCCGGGTAGAAGATGGGCTGCATTGGGTTACACCTGCACTTCGGAGAAGAAGTGCAGGCAAGCTGACATTAGTGAGATCTGACGGGAGTGTTCGTGATTTCTGCAGCATGTGCAGGGTCAGGTACCAGGACCAGGTTGCTTGATTGGGCTGAAGAATCACCCGCCAAATGCGCTGACGGGCTTCGCTGCAGGACGTTTGATTATCTGCTCCGTGGTTTGCGCATCGTGGTTGGATGGGGGCAGAGATTTTCTATGCGACTGCAAGAGAGACAATCCCGACTATCGATTAGCCACCTGCCGTGAAACCATTGCTAAGAGATCGCCGAATCCCAGCACCAGGGGGCGGCATTATCAATCGCTGTCTCGGATGAAGTGATATCGACGATCTTCTGCTCTTCAGTCTTCCCGGACGCCAGCTGAAAGGGATAAGCAAGGCATCTGAATCACCCGCAGCTACAGAAGGGTTTTGTTAAGTAATTGTGCTTTTTTTCTTTTCCTCCTTCTGTGACCTTGTCCTTCTTGCTTTTTGTTTCCCTGCAGCCTAAATGGGGCAGGACAGTGCACCCCTCGTGGGCAAAAAGGGGTGGATCAGTAGTGACCACATCCCACTGTCCCTGCAGAGGTAGGACTTCGATCGATCGTCGCACGGACAGTGGCCAATTCTCAGGAATTCCCGTCTGTTTCTTGCTTTTTTTTTTTTGCCCAGAGGGAAAGAAAAGAAACGCGACCAATGTATCTACTCCGTCCTCTCCCTATCTCCCATGACGTTGCGGATATCCGATGTTTCTACGGACTTCCCGTCAGTCGCCTCTCAGTACTATTGACTGCGGTCCGGCCGATCAAGCCGCGGTATCTAGTCGGAGGCTGATCTGCATGATGTAAACTAGAACTTGCCGGACAGAACTTTCCTCCATTGGCAATTGATTAATCGAAAGTCAATCGATTATAACGAAAACATGCGATGCAATCATGTCACGACGCGAGAGGTTTTATACTCCGTATACGGAGAAAGTTTTTGCCCGTGGCCTGTTTCTCGGACTCGCGTTAGTCTGTTTCAGGTAAAACAATGGAAGGAAAGATGAGGTCAAGGAAAGGACACATCCTACTAACGACGCTGTTGTCTGTCGTCCTGGTTAAGTTTCTGATGTGTATGCCGTCCAGAATCATATTGTGGACGGCCGTACGCAATAGGGAACTGAGCCTCGAAGTGACGCACTGGCGATTCTATTTATTGCCGAGCGGGCGATCCGTGAGCCAGCTAGACAGCTCCATAGTCCTTACGTATCCAGCCCGTAGATAGCCCGTAGCTAGCAGGTGCCCTCATCTCGCCAATCTCTCGCCAGTCACCATTGACCAACGCCTGGAGGCTCCGTGGGACTCGTGGGAGGTGGTCCTGACTCTCCTGAGAGGCTGAGATAGATTGCGTGTCCTGAATCAAGCCCCACCGGAGTGTCCCCGAAAACGCGTGCGGATCCTCCTGGAACGGACTGACACCCCAAATGACAGGCACGGAGAGTTCGACCGTGGGAGACCAGCAACGGGTCGGACTTCGGTTGCTGGTTCCTCCTCTATCTTGTCCGGTGTCAGACTGTTGATTGATTCTGAGGGGTATCCGTGTGATTGATCAAGCCGTCTTCCATCGACTGACCGAGGCTACCCGCAAGAAGCGTTGCAAATTCGGTCTGATTTGTGCGGCGAAAGATCGAGACCCCCACAGCCACCAGAAGGAGCGCCTGGGCTCAATTTTGAATTTCCAGACACCCACCGGATTCGGCCCAATTACGGAGTATCGACGGCCTAAGCCCTCCTGGGCCCCTGGGGCCCGCTGGGGGGGAGGGGTTTTAGTTCGTGCTGACCACGAAGGGGTTTGCTCCTCCGAGGCTCCGGACGGTCTAAATCCAGCAGCTGGGGCCCGGAAGCTGGTTACGCGGAACTCGGGCTGGACATTGCCTGCATCCCCCATGCGTCTCTCCCATGCAACCCGGAGTGAGTCAGTCGGCGTAAAAATAAATCGACCGGAGGAGCCAGATGTGGGTTGCCTCCCAAGCTCGAGAGTCTGTTGACTGACCCCCACGACAGTAGTAGTAGGTACAGAGTACATAGATAGATAGAGACTCAATTGGATAGGTAACATGGGGGATGGACATAGGTGGAAAGTGTAAACAAACAATCCATGGACCGTTAAGACGGGTGGGCGATGATTGGCACGCGGAACGGTTGGAGGTGACATCCATCTTCCATGGAACTGGGATGAGGCCGATCGATCCTGGAGTGGACGCAGCGCCACTGACTGGCCGGGCAGCAAATTGAGGCCGGTACCTACAGGAGGGCGGCCGCCAATGAGGGGGCGGGCCCGAAGTGGGTGCGGCAAAAGTCCAGAACCACATGCGTTTTCATTCATTCACTGCAGTCACTGACATGCTTCGCTGCTCCGTCTGTTCCGTCTTCCCCTCCCAGACTACTGTTTAGTCTAGTCTCACCTCATCGTCTTCTCAACTCTACAAATCCTCGCTCACTCGCTCACTCGCTCACGCCCCCCGGCGCTCCTCCTTTGTTCCAGAAATCACACTTTCCCTCCCTATCTTCTCCTTGGGCTCCGTGGCTCTCTCTAGTATCCCAACTAGATCACGTACTTCCGACCCCTTCCGCGCCCTTGTGTCTCACTCGTTCCCCCTCCGCTGTCTACCCACTCACTGTCCACACTCATTCTCCACCAGGACTTCGCGGTGACGCTATTGCTTTCTAACGCCAATTCTACCGCGTACCTGCTGCTGCCTCATCGCTCTTTGGCTTCAAAGGGTCCTTCCGTGAGAAAGGGGCCACAGTTTCAGCATCCGACTACTTCGATCACCTCCTTTTCTGTGACGTGATTCGTCCCTTTTGTTTGCTTGGAAAGCAACCTTATCCGGAGACTATTGCTTCTTTGTGTGACTTGGCTCATACAAGTCGATCAGCTCCCTTGATCTGTTCCCCCATCCTCTGTCCCTTATTTTGCTTCCACTATTTGGAAAACAAAACACCCAATCAGCTGGAACGATCACCAAAAAAAGTACCAACTGCGTCGACCCAGCACTGGACGACCAATCGTTGCCATCCGGATTCAACCGAGTCTCACCCGCAGGGACGGTTGCCCCTCTCACCCAATACGAAAGGGATAGACCCTCTCCTGCTCTCCCTAGCCAAGGAGAGTCAAGGACCCTTTCCTTCGATTTTTCGAGGTGCACAGCCGTGCTATGGAAGCATAGGTTACACGCAACTGATGCCAGCCGTCATTGCAAGTGACTCTAGTCTGCTTTGATTGTCTGCACCTCTATCACGTCACACACAAATAAATCCCTGGCTTGCCTTCTTTTCCCCGAGTGGCCCCAGTCTGCTTGGATTCGGTGACAGGCTTTTATATCCCGGCATCGTCGTAGCATCCCGCCGACTCGAAGATTTCAACTCTCTTTTCGACATCGACTCTCGTTTCCCCCTCTATCATCCGCACACAATGGCGCGTCACGAGGAAAAGATGGATGCCCCCGACGGCTCCGCCTTAACCTGGATTTTTGACCATTGTCTTCGCTATCCAGGTACATATGAGATCCCGTTGCGCACCATGTACGAGCTGAATTGCAACCCCACGAGAACACCTGTGACCGGTACCCGTGCTCCCGAGACTGCCTTCCATCGGCCATCCAATTCGTCCACCTCCCAGGACTCGGTTGATGCAGCGGCCGATTTCAGATTTCAGTTGACCCACCAGATCGCTCGTTTGCCCTCGCAGCCGTGCTCGCTACCCTCCAGCTTCGTCACCTCGTTCCTGCGTCGTTGCTTTACTCCTGAGCTGGAAGAGGTTGATTTTCCCCAGGCACTGACCGCTCTGGACTATCTGAAGGATCTGGAGAATCGTCGCAGAAAGGAGGTTGCGGCGGCACTGCAACGGTTGGGGGTGGAGCCCAAGGACGTGCAGGGCAATACTGAGCTGGCGGAGAAGTACCCGGGCGTCCTGGCCTGGCTTGGGAATATCAATGCACAGGCTCGCCGAGTGGAGGCTCTTTACACTCAGGTCTATGTTGGCCTGCGCCGCTGGGTGAGTACTCTAGATGATAAGTTGGGGCGGGGTCATTGCTAACCTGTTTCGCTAGACCCTGATCAACGAGATGTTGATGGAACCATTCAACAAGGCCACCTGCAGCGCTATGCTCAACACACTCTTCCCACCTATCACCGATGCAACTGTTCCTCCCACTTCGCATCTGACTGTGGAGATTCTGCGATCACAGCGGGATGGGTTCTTCCGATACATTATCGCCGTCGAAGCCAACGGCCCAGATGTCCTGGCCAAGGTCATTGCGCAGGGTGCACGCGACGGAGAAGAGAACGGCTGGCCTGTGGTTAGGGAAGCACTGGACAAGTACCTTCGATCGGCCAATGATATCATTGACGAGTGTATGACGGTGACTGGCCCGCTCAGCTCTGAGGGACTGGAATCGCAGTCTCGTGGTCACAAGGGCCGCAAGGTCGATTCGGGCATCAGCTTCGGTTCGTCGGAGAATATCCTGGGAGGCGATGGTAACAAGAGCTGCGAGGATGTCGCGGAGAAGCCCCTTCCTCCCCCTCCCTCCAAGGGACACAAATCGGGGTCTACCTTGGAACGGCTGGCTCGCGAACTCCGCAAACTGGGCGAGTCTGGAAAAACCAAAAACCTCAAGAAGATGAAGTCAACAAGTGCCCTTGGCGCTCGGTCGGGAAATTTACACAGCCGTTCTGAAGAAGAATCAATCTTCGAGATCGACGAGCAGAAGCGCCGGCGACTGCTATGGGAAGCTTCCAACCGCAAGAAGACCCATGCGAAACAGTCTAGCACGGACTCCCGATGAAAATGGCTCGAAGGACAGTAACCTGGTGTTACACTTCTCCATTTTCATTTTATTCACACACACACACTCTCTCTCTTTCTTTTCCTTCTCTTTTCCCCTCCCAATTATGCCATTCACTTTGATTTGAAAAGCAGAAAAGCGGGAATAAACAAAAGCCTGGATGCTTCAAAACTGGACTTATTTGGAGTTGAGCTGCGAATTTCTCGAGGTTTAGGGTGCATCAGGCTATCGGACGATTTTTTTTTCTTTGATTTTCTCGGGTTGGTTGGGCTGGCATAGAAACCGAAAAGGCGTATGGGCGGACATTTTCAGCGATTTCTGGCAAAATGGGGGCTGAAAGGCACAGCAAAAGCACAAAAGCTGGAAAGATAAAAGTGCAGAGACATTTGATCACGACTACCAATTGAAATAAATGATTATGACCATGTTTTATTAGCAAAGTTTCGTAGTCATGAAATTCTATTTCGTTTGAAAAAGGGAATCTCCTCCCCTATCTATCTCAAGGTGTCAATAGGCTCGGCTGTATGGAACAATAACCACCATGGACCAATGAACGACTGGCGTTGAAGACACGGAAGTCTGGCGTTTTTGGCCGCAACGCCCCCCGTAGCAGCTCTCATCCCGCGAGGTGGCCATATGCTGTTCATCTACTCCGTACACTGCCCCAAACACCCATCAGCAAGGCTCCCGGACTCAACATCCTTGCGAGATTACCGGTTCAATGTCAACTGGACATATTTAATGTCTGCTTGATTTCCTGTCTGTGGTTCTTCTCACGAACTGCCCCATTGTTGCCATTGATTGCGTCCTCCGATCTACCCGCCCGTGATGTGCGCTTGCTAGCTTATCGGGAGTAGCTAGCTAGTAGTCGATACCGCTGCCGTCCACTGTTCCTCCGTACCTGCTACTAGGTGTCTATTGTGGAGTGCCATGATGGTGTCCGGACCAGGACTTGTCGCTTCATGGCGACTAACCTTTGTTTTAGTTGCTTCTCTGCTGGCTGGTCTGGGGCGAACCAGTCCATCGGTCAATGTTGCCCTCCAAGCTTCGTTTGACGCCGCGCCCTACCTGATCGAGCTATTGTAAGCAAGGCTCTACCCCCCTAGCAGTCCTAACGGAGCACTCTAGCTCTTGATACTTACATCGGATGATAGAGAAACTGCCGCCGAGGAGAATTCCACCTCATACTTCCCATTGCTTGACCGTATCGCCGATGGAGCTTTCGATGACGCCGTGACGGACAAAGAGCTCTACGATCGCTTTCTCGAGATCGTGCATGAAGATGGACACCTACGGACCCCCGAAAGCCTCTCATCCTTCAAGGTTTCGTTGGCTATTCGGTCCGCCAGTCCTCGGATCACCGCCCATTACCAATTCTATAATGCCTCCGTTCAACATTCGTTGATGGCTGCGCAGGATGCAGCCTGCCCGGTTTGGGTTCACCTGGATGGGAAGCAATATTGCTCCTCCGCTATGGAGCGGGCCCAGCAGGATGTTATGGGATCAGAGTGAGTGGTCACTGCGAGCCGCATACTTTTGGGAAATTGGCTAATATCTGTACCTGTAGTGAACCCCGCGAACTTCCCTTCGATCGTGTCTTCGGAGACTCCTCTCTCCCCCCCGCGATTCTCTATGCAGACGTTGCATCTCCCATGTTCAAGGATTTCCACCAGTCATTGAGTGCACTGGCCAAGGAAGGACAAATCTCGTATCGGGTGCGCTACCGGCATCCTCAGCATTGGAGGTCGCGTCCTCTCTTCGTCTCTGGATATGGTGTTGAACTTGCGTTGAAACGGACAGACTATATTGTTATTGATGATCGGGCTGCTGAACAAAGAAGCCACGATGACGTGGACTCCAAGACGTCCGATGACGTGGAAAGAGATGATTTGGATGACCTGAAACCTTTGTCTTCAAGGGAGGTTTCCAAGCTAGGATTGAATGCAGCCAGCTATGTGCTGGAAAGTGAGGATCCGTTCGATACTCTCCTGAAGATATCCCAGGACTTCCCCAAGTATTCATCTAGGATTGCGACGCATGACATTTCCTCTGAGCTTTTGCAGGATATTCAGGCCAGCAGACTGATGCTTCACCCTGGGATGAACACGTTGTGGATCAACGGTATTCAAATTTATCCCAAAGAAATTGATATCTTCACTTTGTTGGATCAAGTTCGTCGTGAGAGGAACCTGATCGGCAAGTTCCGCAACCTCGGCCTCTCTGCCAAGGAGGCCGTGGAGCTTTTATCTCACCAGATCCTTGGGGAGGCTTTGGTGCAGGATGGCCCTCCGCGCTACAACTACCGGGATGAAATTGAGGGAGGCGGTGTGATTATGTGGTTGAATGACCTCGAAAAGGACGCGCGATATGAATCGTGGCCTAGCGAATTAGCAGGGGTACGTGTAATTCAGGAGGTCTCAGGACCAGGCTGCTAACATTCATTAGTTCATGCAACGCACACACCCCGGCCAGCTCCCAGCAGTGCGTCGTGATGCAAACAACATCGTGTTTCCTGTTGATTTGTCTAGCGCTGAAGATACCGATATGGTTATCAAGACTATCCAGGTCTTTGTGAAGAATAAGATCCCCGTGAGGTTTGGCTTGATCCCGGTCACCTTCTCTGATGGAGCAACTGCACAGTCCAAGGTTGCTCATTATCTCCAAGATACATTTGGTCTGGCGAGCTTCATGAAGTACTTGGAGACGGTGAGTACCATTCTGCCTAATTCTGTAGCCGTTATCTTCCGCATGCTAATCCGACCAGTCTGCCTCCAAGAACAAGCTCGGTTCCCCGGATAAGGCCTCATTCAAGGCTGCAACCGAGGGCCTAGACGTGCGTCCTGATAAGCAGTCTCTGTCACTCGAGGAAGTTTTGAAGAACGAAGAATTGGCTGTTTTGGCTGAAAGGACATCTGCATACACGAGCCGGCTGGGCATGACAGAAGCGTCTCATGCGTTTGTCAATGGTGCCCCTGTGACTCGCGACGACAACTGGCCTCAGGAAATGAGCACAAGAATCAGCAGAGATACCCAGCTGATTCAAGAACTGATCGCCGATGGGGAACTGGAGGAAGAAACATGGCTGCCTTCTCTCTTTCTTGACGATGCCTCTGATCGGCGTAACCCGGAACTTATCCCAGATAACCCCAAGGACATCCGCGTCGTCGACTTGGTGAACGTTGCCGACTTGCGGGACTCGCAAGGTGAGCTTCTTGACCAGCTGCCTCGCCTCGCCTCAAATGGCAAGGATGCACTTGATAGTACTCATGTCATCGTGATCGGTGACTTCGATGATGAATCCGGCCATGAATTGCTCACTGCGGCGCTTGGGAGTCATACGGAGAATAGCAATGCCGAGATTCTTTTTCTACATAACCCCAAGTCTGAAGCATCTTCCGGGAGCGCGTCTACTGCGATCTACCGGTCTTTGAAGGAGAACAAGGGAGCAGATGCCGCTCAAGTCCTGAATGATATCGCCAACTCAGACTCTCCGTCACACAAAGAAGCCCAGAGCATTGCTCACTTCTGGAAAGCCCAGCAAGCCCTAGTCACCGAATTTGGGCTTTCTCCCGGATCGAGAGCACTCATAATCAACGGAGGGGTTATTGGACCTATTGCAAAGAACACCGCTGTCTCATCGTCCGACTTGGACCAGCTTCTGGTTCATGAGAAGAGCAGGCGGGTCACCCCGGTAGCAATGGCAACTGAAGAGCTCGGGCTCGGTAACAAGATCTCTAGCCCGCTTGCGTTCGCTCAGCTTACGTCTCTCACTGCCCCGGATGCACCTAATGATTTCGTCAAGGAGACCTCAGGCTTCCGGCTCCTCCTCTTCGACCGATTGAACGACTCCCGTTCAACAATTACTGTCTCCAATTCGGAAGACCCCACGATTACTATTCTAGCCTCTATTGACCCTGCCGCAGAGAAGGCTCAAAAATGGCTACCAATTCTGAAGGTTCTTTCCGAGCTAGACGGTGTCAGGTTGAGGCTAGTTATGAACCCGCGGGAAGAGATCAAGGAGCTCCCCACGAAACGCTTTTATCGCTACGTTCTTGGCTCGGAACCATCCTTCAATGGTGATGGATCGGTCTCTCAGCCCACGGCCTCCTTCTCCGGCGTGCCAGTCGAGGCTCTCCTTACTCTGGGAATGGATGTTCCCTCTACGTGGCTTGTGGCGCCGAAGGACTCTATCCATGACCTTGACAATATCAAACTGAGCTCTGTTAAAGACGGGTCTGATGTCGATGCTATATATGCTCTGGAACACATCCTTATAGAAGGCCACTCCCGAGACACGACCACGAATTCCCCACCAAGGGGAGTGCAGCTTATTCTTGGAACTGAAAACGACCCTCACTTCGCCGACACTATCATCATGGCCAACCTCGGCTACTTTCAATTCAAAGCCCAGCCTGGACTGTGGAACATTAATCTGAAGCCTGGTCGCAGCGAACGTATTTTCAACATCGACAGCGTTGGCGGGCAAGGCTATTACCCCCAACCTGGGGATGAAAACACCGAAGTCGCCCTTCTATCCTTCACAGGCAAACCGCTCTACCCGCGCCTCTCCCGCAAGAAGGGTTACGAGACCGAAGAGGTGCTCGAGACCGGCCCCAAGCCCGGCTCGGCGATGGACTACATGTCCAAGGGCTTCAACTTTGCCTCGGACATCCTGTCCAGTGTCGGAGTCGGCACTAAAGATGGAAAGCAAGCCGACATCAACATCTTCTCCGTCGCCAGTGGACACCTGTACGAGCGCATGCTAAACATCATGATGGTTTCGGTGATGCGTAACGCTCAGAACCACTCCGTCAAGTTCTGGTTCATCGAGCAGTTCCTCTCGCCGTCTTTCAAGTCCTTCCTCCCCCACCTGGCCAAGGAATACAAATTCTCCTACGAAATGGTCACTTACAAATGGCCCCACTGGCTGCGCGAGCAGAAAGAGAAGCAGCGTGAAATCTGGGGTTACAAGATCCTCTTCCTGGACGTCCTCTTCCCTCTGGACCTGGACAAGGTCATCTTCGTCGACGCTGACCAAATTGTCCGCACCGACATGTACGATCTCGTCTCGCTTGATCTGGAAGGCGCTCCTTACGGTTTTACTCCCATGTGCGACTCTCGCCACGAAATGGAGGGGTTCCGCTTCTGGAAGCAGGGCTACTGGAAGAACTTCCTGCGCGGCCAGCCTTACCATATTTCCGCCCTGTATGTGGTCGATCTGAACCGCTTCCGTGCCCTCGCGGCCGGTGATCGTCTGCGCGGCCAGTACCAGATGCTGTCGGCGGACCCGGAGAGTTTGAGCAACCTGGACCAGGATCTGCCGAACCACATGCAACATTACATCCCCATCAAGAGCCTGCCCCAGGAATGGCTGTGGTGTGAGACGTGGTGCTCGGATGAGTCCCAGTCTCAGGCTCGGACGATTGATCTGTGCAACAACCCCATGACAAAGGAGCCCAAGTTGGATAGGGCCAGACGGCAGGTGCCTGAGTGGACAGAGTATGATGATGAGATTGCGGCTTTGTCGAAGAAGGTTGACTTGGAGCTGCAACAGCTGCGCGCGGAGCAAGAGAAGGAGCAGGTGCAGGAACTTGCTGATCAGGAAGATGAAGAATCTTCGGGTTGGGATAAGGATGAGCTTTAACGGGCTCGCTGTGACATAGATCGATTGTTTCACTTTCAAGTGTAGAGAAAAGCACGTATATTACGATGTATAGCCATCTGGAGCAGCATCCAGTGCGGGTTAATATCTTATTCTCGGTTCCGTGTCCTTTTACCTATAGCATGCACATCAAACGCCTTCAGGCTAAATACCAGGAGCAGTACCATGTTCATAACCTTTTAATTACTCTAAAATCATCAACTGACGCCTGATGCCACATAATGAACAAGAAGAGAAAGCATCCATCCACCCCATCCGATCCCACCATATCCCATCTAAACCTCGATCTTCATCTCTCGTAATATCCTCGACACCAGCTTCTTCTGATCAGCAGGCACCAAATCATGCTGATCAATGGTAGTCAAGCAGCGACCGATCGCCACCGTCGCCTTAACAGCAACATCCCCGCCATTCGAGCAATCCACCCAAACCTTCCCATTCCTACCCACGGCGATCTCAAAGCCACCGACCTTCTCCAACTTCTTGCCCAGTTCATCCAACACCACCAAACCCGCGACACCATCCTCCTGCTGCTGCTGCCCCGACGCCGAACTGGCCCTCATCAGCCTCACTGCCATCCCGTTCGAGATATCAAACACCATGCCCCCCGTCAGATGCCCCAAACCCCCAGGTTCCGCCTTCCCGGTCGCCGGATTCACACAGGTCAATTCGACCTCAGCGCCCGCGCCCAGCCCGACGGACAGCACCCGCGCGTACACCAGATCGCCCTGCTTCAGCATCGGACGGGTCTTCTTCGTCGCGCCCTCGAACGCCAGCTGGCCCAGCACCACGTGCGGTGCCTGCGGCGTCACCATGCAGTGGAAGTAATCCGGGCTGGAGTGGTGCACTTGCGCGATCACGAGGTCGTTGACGACCGGGATGTACCGCCGGTTCGGCGATGAGAGGATCGATACCGCGTTCTTTTTGGCGTCTGTTGTGAAGATCCCCGCTTGTGTGGCTGTGAGGACATGGCTGGGAGTGGAGGAGGTGGGCTTGGAGGAGGGTGGTTGCGAAAGTAGACGGAGGCCCGGGCCGAGTCGCAATGGGGCGGAGCTGCTGGACGGGAGGTATTCGGATGGGATTTCGTCTCCGGGGAGAAGGATGAGGGGAGACGACATGGTGAGTGGTGTGGTTCACTGCGGAGGTTCTGCAGTGCAGCAATATGGTGGTGAGTGATGAATCGGGAAAAAGAAGCAAATCCCAGGCTTATCGGATTGGTGGCTTATCGACACGTGAGGATGAGGCACGTGGCTGTGCGGTCGGAATGACACCGCCACAGACAATACAGAACAACCCACTATCGATAAGCGCACCGCCACAGATGCCCGCCAATTGCAAACCAGCCAAAATTTTTTTCCAATGGGGCAAACCAAAGCGCGGCGGAAGACAAGCAGCAGCCCGACTTTGACTTCCTCCATTATTGTCGCTTTTCTTCAATCTCTCTCTACCCAATCCCCCCCCCCCCCCCCTCCCACCCCCCACAACACACAGTCAAGATGAGCTCCGAAACTAACGGCGCCGCCGAGAGATTCGCCATCGGTATCTCCTTTGGCAACTCCTCCAGCTCCATCGCCCGCCTCAACCCCGTATGTGCCCTCTGTCTCTCTGCCTTCGGCATGCCCCGTTTGATTTTGCCGATAGTCGCTGTGTGAGAGGGTTCGCTGACTGGGAATGCATTACAGGAAGGCAAGGCTGAAGTCATTGCCAACGAGGAGGGAGGTTAGTCTTAAACACATCCTTGCCTAGTGTCTGATTCTTGAAACCCACCTGCTGACCTGAATAGACCGTCAAATTCCCTCCGTCCTTGCGTACATCGATGGCGAGGAGTACCACGGTACTCAGGCTAAGGCCCAGCTTATCCGCAACTCCAAGAACACCGTTGCCTACTTCAGAGACTACCTTGGCAAGGAGTGAGTCGGCCCTTCGCCGCAGAGCCTTCAGGAAGGATGCTGACAGAGTTCTTCCAGCTTCAAGTCGATAGACCCTACGCCGTGCCACAACTCCGCCCACCCCCAGCAGAACGACTCCACCGTCGCTTTCTCCATCTGCGACACCGCCAATGAGACCCCCAACACTGTCACCGTCTCCGAGATCACCACCCGTCATCTCCGTCGTCTCAAGCAGTCCGCCTCGGACTACCTTGGAAAGGAGGTTAACGCCGCTGTCATCACCGTCCCCACCGACTTCAAGGACTCTCAGCGTGAGGCTCTGATCGCCTCTGCCAACGCTGCTGGCCTGGAGGTTCTCCAGCTCATCCACGAGCCCGTTGCGGCTGTCCTTGCCTACGACGCCCGCCCCGAGGCTGTCGTCACCGACAAGCTGGTTGTCGTCGCTGACCTCGGTGGCACCCGCTCCGATGCCTCCGTTGTCTCTTGCCGTGGTGGCATGTACAGCATCCTCGCCACTGCCCACGACTACGAGCTCGGTGGAGCCACCCTGGACAAGATCATCATCGACCACTTCGGCAAGGAGTTCCAGAAGAAGCACAAGACCGACCCCCGCGAGGACGTCCGTGGTCTGGCCAAGCTGAAGCTGGAGGGTGAGGCCACCCGTAAGGCCCTCTCTCTGGGCACCAACGCCTCCCTCAGCATTGAGTCTCTCGCCAACGGAATCGACTACGGTTCCACCGTCAACCGCACTCGTTACGAGCTGCTGTCCGGCAAGGTCTTTGCCCAGTTCACCGGCCTGATCGAGCAGGTTGTCAAGAAGGCCGGCCTTGATGTCTTGGACATCGACGAGGTTTGTTTACATATTCTTGTTTTATAATGCGAAACACTCTCTAACAGTCTCCAGGTCATCCTTGCTGGTGGTACTTCCCACACTCCCAAGATCGCCCAGCTCACCGCCAACATCTTCCCTGAGACCACCAAGGTTCTTGCCCCCGCCACCTTCATTGGTGCCATCAACCCCTCTGAGCTGGCCCCCCGTGGTGCCGCCATCCAGGCTTCTCTGATCCAGGAGTTCGACAAGGAGGACATCGAGCAGTCCATCCACCCCATGGTCACTGCCACCCCCCACCTCCAGAACGCCATCGGTGTCGAGTTCACCTCCGGTGAGACCGTTGACTTCAAGGCTCTCCTGAACACCGAGACTGCTCTCCCCGCTCGTCGTCTTGTGCAGTTTGCCGTCCCCAAGGAGGGTGGCGATGTTTTCATCCGCGTCTGCGAGGGTGTCCGTGAGATCAAGGTCACCAAGCCCGAGCCCAAGGCCAAGGAGGAGAAGCCCGCCAAGACTGAGGAAGATGAGGAGGACTCCGACTTCGACTCCGATGACGAGGAGGAGGAGGAGACCCGCGAGATCATCTGGAAGACCGAGAAGCCCATTGCCGAGCTGGCCGTCAAGGGCACCAAGGCCGGCTCCAAGGTCGAGTTGATGATCCACGTCAACGCCGACTTGGGTCTGCAAATCACTGCCAAGGAAGTTGGCGGCCAAAGTGCCGTCCGCGGTGCCGTCGAGGCCCCCAAGGCCTAGGCAGCCTGCTTCCTTCCTTTTTAACGTATAATTTTCCTTCCTCATATATCTTTGATCATCTCAAGACCTATAACGTTGCATTGTTTCCTATGAATCGATTTCTTAGAATCTTAAAACGTGATCTGTTGGACATCATTTCTTCGTTATCCCTTTCCCTTTCCCTTCCCTCACCCCCTTCATCCATAACCCCACCTCTCTGTCCCCCTTCGGGTACCCTTTGTTGTGAGCAGGCCATATCCTATCATCCCATGTCCACTATTGCTGCCTTCTTCCCACGGGTCACGGTGAAGGGATTCCGAATGCTCTCCACACACATTCTTGTCTTGCCATGACATGACTTGATGATGATAAATGTATCAACGAAGGCTTCTGAAAAGTATATAGATCTGTATTGAAGCAGAGGATTCCCTCAATAGATTTGCTGAATTGAGAATTATGTCGTTGATTTGTAGTTTATATACATGTTGAAGTTGATGACGTGAGTTGGGTAGCGTAATTTCTGTGTGCTTTGTACTTCCACACACTTTTAAGCATGTGTGCAGACAGACATCTACAAAATACTTAGGCTAGCTTGTACTAAACCGCTCACCTGACTACACACCCTGGCAGCCGTTGATTCACATATTGATATGTCTTCTACGTAGTACATCGATTTCAAGACTCATTTTATGTCAGATAGCATTACTCGAAAGCGGGTTAGGTTATATTACAATTAAGGTGTAAATACCGTAGATATAAGACGCACAGTAAAAGGAAAAAAGAAAACAGGCGGGGAAAAGATATCGTGGTACATGTCATCAATCGATTAATAATAACCAGCTGTAACCAGCCAACCAACCAAACAAGAAACCCAGCAGAGAGAGAGGGATTTATCATAGCGTAGCGTAGCGGAACGGGAGAGATATTAGCCCACGTCTGGAGTTCTGTCCACTTCCTAAGTAGAGGAGAAGGAAGGAAGATAGGTAGCAAGGAAGGATTACTCCCGTCGGGTTCGTAAAGGAGGGTATGAGTCAGTTTGTCTTGCAAGTTGCAAGTTGCAAGTTGCAAGTCACAAGAGAGTCATCGTAGTATTATAAAGACAGGTTGTGAGAATGGATTGCGTCTCAAGTTGAAAGGATTCATATGAGCCATGTGGATTATTTAGTGTGCACCATGTGGGCGGGATCTGTATGTGGGATGCGAAGGGCCGGGTCGTTCACAGAAAGTTTCTGGTCTCGCTTTTTTCTTTTCTAGAGAAAGCTTGAGGGCAGGAGAGACCTAAGAACCAACCAACCGCACATCGGGATTTCGGTGGTGAATAAGGAGAGGCACGCTCATTCCATCCTAATCAAGTGATTGTGGTAAGTGAAAATTTAAGGGGCAGTCTCCTTGTTGCTTCGAACGCTGGATGGGCGGCGAGCAGAAGAGAAGAATCCGCGACGACGGTGCTCGCGGCCACTGTAACCTCTCTCTTTCCGACCAACGGAACCACCCATGCAGTAGCAGACACATGCGATTAGCAGACAGGCCACCGCGGTCCACATGAATGCGAACGCCTTGGCGCCGAGTTTGGCTGTCTGGCCGTTGGCGCTGAACTTGTTGCGACCCTCGACGTAGACGGCGCTGGGTGAGTGTTAGAAGACACGCTCGGGTGGGAAAATGTAGGGTGTGGATTGTGGAGCGCAAGTGAAGACTTACGTGATGAGGCAGGTAGAAATGATCTGGAAAATGAGGGCGATCCACGCCACCAGCGAGGAGACGTATCCTCCGATGCGCGTGCACATAGCCAGGAAACCGGTGAACAGCGAGACGACGCCAAAGAACAGGGCGATGAGGAGGAAGGGGAACGAGAACCGGGAGGTCAGGTAGTAGTGATTCGTTCTGTGGGATGGATGTTAGATACGAGGACCACAGATGTATGTAGTAGTAGTAGATCGATCTGGAGTTGATGCTTACCCGATGAAGGCGGCAGGGATGTTCGTGTCGGTGTCGAAGGTCTCATGGCTCGGGGGGTCGAAGGGGTAGTCGGGAACGGATGATCCGCATTGACTCTTGCCATTGACCACAGCGCATAGCTGCCAGTAGGTCCAGCGCGACAGATCTGGGGCACCTGGGATGTTGCTCGTGTCGACTTGCAAGAAGTAGATCTCGTTCAGCGGTCTCGAGTTCCGAGCTCCACCTAGCAAAGTGAGGAACATAAGCAGGAGCGCTCCCGCTGTGAAGAACAGGCCTAGAAAGCCCAGTGCCGCTCCTAGAGGGTGTTCGGGTCAGTTGCTGGGCGATATGGGTCAGTTTGATGGGTGGTGAGGGAGAATTACTGCTGAAGACCATGGTGATGGTGCTGTTGGCAATTTGGGCTCGATTTTGCAAGTTTTGGTGTATGAAAAGCGCCTAAGAGGTCTAGGTTCCAGGTGCAGGGTTTTCTGCCACTTTTGAAGGGGGAAACTAGGGTCGGGGATTGGAGGTTAAGGAGGGAAGAGAGGACAACAAGACAAAGGGTGTGTGAGGGGACGGGTTAGTCGGGCAGGACTGGTGCTAATAAAGCGGGTATCCGGAGAAGCCGGTAGCTGGTAGCAGCGGTGGTGGTCCCTGGGGATCAGGAGTGATATAATGACCATGAGGGCGCATCATCATCGGGGTAGGTGTCCCCCAAGTTCATGGATCATTGGAAGTCAAGCATTGAGGAGATGACGATATCGACGTCATGGTTGCACCAGGCCCCGCTAACTGCCCTCGGCTAGCCTAAACCTTAGCGGCAGCCTAGCCCCGATCGGGTAGGCCCGCCTGTGCGACCGCCGTCCATGACGTTGTCGAACTTCTGCCCGTCGCTGCAACTTCGTCCACGACAAGACGTTGCACCACCACTCCCTCTGGGCCACATTGAGTTGGTACCCGGTTGTTCTCCTCCCGGACCGACGTGGATCAAGCAAAAGTCAATGCGGAAAATTTCTCTGTCAACTTCGTCACCAACCTCCCGGACGGACAATCCCTGTTGCCTATCATCCATCCCCCCTACTAAGGAGCCTTATTCGACCTCTGCGTCGCCGTACCTACTTTCTAGGTAGGTAGGTCCTCGGGCCCTGAGGGACTCCCGATCCTTCCGATCCTCCGAACTCGCAATTAAAGCTGTTGGGTCGAATCTCAACATGGCCACCTGGGCATACCCACCTCTGCCTCCCAAACGCCTGGAACAGGAAGTTGATTCCGCATTGGTATGTCCTGCTTTCCCCCTTTCTCTCATTTTTGAGTCTATCCGAAGATACGCCCGTCACCATCCATAGAACAGTACACTATTTACGTCTCTGACGGCATATGCTATAGGCGAAAGAGTTAGAATGGCTGTTACGTTCCCTGCAAGACTCCCTTTCCTCCTTGAGGGAAGGTCTCCATGAGTGCGCTGCCTTGCTGGCTCCCAAAGAGCCGGGATCGACACTAGTCCTGTCGTCCTTACGTTCCGAAAGTGTGAAAGGGTTTGTGACTCGGGTTGGGACGAAAATTGTGAAAGGCGTATGTCATCATCTACTTGGGTCTCGTTGTTCAGCCTTATCACATGGGCCCGCAGTTACCGAGCATTGGCCGTTGCTTATCACAGGCTAGTGCCTTGCCTGCCTGATGATACTAACCATGCTTGTTGTCATAGGATATCCAACTCCGCCTTAGTTCCCTCGCCTCACGGGGCGCAGCTACCACTCGCTTGTGTCTGGCCAACTCCCCTGCAGCCCCTGAGCTCGTTCTAAGCCAGTTGGCTTCGGTAAAGAACCTGGTCAATCAGAGTCTCGATATCGTCGACGTAAGCACCTGGACAGGTGATCCATTGAACGCTACGTTCATCTTCAGCCAACTGCACCTTTTGCGCGAAACGATCACCGATGCACGGCAGATGCTCAAGGGTGATACTGACAAAGTCAGAGGCAAGTGGTGGGAAACCAGTGCACCTGAGGACGTAAGTGAAATCCGCGGCCTTTGCTCCTTTCGTGATGAGACCGTAGCTGAACTGCAACCGCAAGATGTTCGACCCTCCCCTGCCACCGTACCTGTCCTTCCATCTCTCCATCGCCGACTCGGCCCTCTTACTACATCTAAGAACCCTGGAGTCTAACACCCCCACGCATACGCCAACGGCGTTCGCGACGGACATCTCTCTCACGGGGTTCAACCTGCGAGATCGAATATTTGGGGCTCGCCATCGCCCTCACGATGAGGCCGGTGATGTGTTCACCTGGAAAGGAGACGAAGTTAAGGTCAGGGAAAAGATCCGCGTAGAGAGCCAGGACCCTAGCTTGATGGCCGTGATGGCCAAACTGACCGCCCTCGAGCACGAGGTGATGAAGTGGATTTCAGCGCTGAAGGTGCTCATGGGCAACGAGGATACGGACAGCGATTCCCAGTAGTGTTCTAGCATTTGTAAATACCATTATCGGCTATACCCAGTCATTTGGAACCCAAAAAGTTCACGCGGCATATGTGGTAGTATCTGGCTGAAGGTCTAGATGGATTATGTAACACAGCAATTCTCGGCAGCCAATGGGAAGCGCGTAGTTTCCGATGGCATGCGTCTTGGCGCAAGTTTTCCTGTCGAACACTCTCGAGTGGCGCAACATTTTCCTCCAGGAACAGGCTCCCGATTCTTGCATCTCGAGCCGTGGAAGGGTTGAGAATGTTGTCACGAACCCCGGCAGCGAGGGTGACCCGGTCTCACCCCCATGGCCTTCTACGCACTGCCGTGTCCAGGTCGCCGCAGACTGGTTCGCAGCTCCGCCGCGGAGTTGCGAGCTTCATAGCCGGGCGGCCCAGAGCCTCGATTGCTCGGAACGCACACTTGTCTCCCTCAAGCTTGGACTCTTTGCTGAAGGAGGCTTCCTATGTCAGAGGTCAACAATGGCTGTCCGGGCGGAGACACTCGTCCTCCACCACGCCGACAGAGTCCGACCCCAACGCGGAGCGCAGGGACGAAATTTACGCCCTGATCGATAAGATCGACCAAAATGACCTGGAAATAACAGATCTTCTGGAAGAGCTAGATCTACTCGACAGTCACGAGAAAGCCGTCAACCTCGAAGGGCTGGACCTCGACACTGCGTTCAGTCAGACGATAGGCCACCGCGACGAAGAAACCTTGCAAGCGCGGGTGCGCCTGGCGAAACAACAATTCGGCGATTATCTCCCGGAAGGCTACCTGAATGAGAATGAAACCCAACTATACGTCCGGCTCTACGGCGAACCGCTCGTTCTCGCAAAAGACGCTGAGCTCGAGCTAGCGGAGGATGAAGGCTTGGAGGATAGACTTTACCAGGAAGATGGTCAGGGAGGCTGGGAAGAGATTGAGCTTGACGACGCAGATTCGCAGGACGAACCCCCGTTGGTCTACGACATGGAAGCGGAGCAGCCGATCGATGAAACCATTGCCATGCAAAGGACGAGAGAAGTCGCTGAACAGCTTGGAGGGGAGATCATGCTCGAGCAGTTCGTTGACGATGATGCAGAATCAGAATCGGGCCCGAGGCTCCACCCTTTGACCACGATGGGGAAGCTCACTATGGCGTCCAGCACTGTATTCGTACCGCAAGACACTGTGACGGGTCCGATATCCGTTATTCTTAGGGAATTCTCGAACAAGCACATTTCGGAGCTTGCCCATCGCAAACTTGGCGGGAGATTTCTTCCCCAGTCCCTTACGACCCCCCCTCTTCGCCTCCAGATTCCTCAGCTTCCTATTCCCCTCGAAGCTTCTCAACGCCACATGACCGAGATGGAAGCTAATGTATTCATGGCCACTCTTTACCCCGGCATGTATGCATCCGCTCTGAGTGTTCTGACAGAGGTTCGGAAACGCCTGGGAACAAACTGGATCCGGAATTTGATGTTTAAAGAAGACGGTCCACACATCCTCGATTCCAACGCCGGTGGTGCGGGTGTTTTAGCGTGGAGAGACATCCTGAATGCTGAATGGGAAGTCATGGCGGAAGACAACACCCCGACGACGGGCCCTTGTCCAATTGGTCGATCGACTGTCGTTACGGGGTCCGATGCTCTTCGTGAGCGCGCGAGAGTGATGCTCGAAAACACAACTTTCCTGCCGCGACTCCCTGACTACGTCCATGTCCGCGAGAAACCGACCCTGGACGACGCCAGAGCTCCTCAAAAGCGGAAGCATTACGACATCATCTTCGCACCCCACTCTTTAATGGGTATCGAAGAAGAATACCTCCGCAAGGAATATGTACAGAACTTGTGGAACCTCCTTAACCCCAACGGCGGAGTCCTCATCCTTCTCGAGAAGGGACACCAGCGGGGATTCGAGGCCATCGCGGGTGCTCGTGATATGCTGCTCCAGCGCCACATCTCCAGTCCCGGATCGACCAACTACGAGAACCTGACCGAGTCTCCCGACGAAGCAGCATTCATCGAAAAGGAGCGCGGCATGATCGTCGCCCCATGCACCAACCACGAAAAATGTCCGATGTTCGACTCACCCGGCAAAGCCAAGGGCCGTGAAGATTACTGCCACTTCCAGCAACGCTACATCAGACCCCAATTCCTACAACGCATCATCGGAGCCAAGGACCGAAACCACGAGGACCTGAAGTTCAGCTACGTCGCGGTCCAGCGTGGCGTCGACCGCCGGGTCGAGGACGGAATCGCGCAGGGTGCTGAAGCCACCGATGCGGCCTTCGCCGGGTACGAAGATCGATACGGGCCCGCAACAGAGGGATTCCCGCCTGTGAACGAATCGGTTGAATCGTCCGAAACCGAAACCACCACCGAACAACATCCAACCGAGGTCAACGCTCTCTCACTTCCTCGCATCGTCTACCCGCCCATGAAACGCCGCGGACACGTCATCTTAGACATCTGCACGCCGTCGGCGAAGATCGAACGCTGGACCGTCCCGCGCTCATTCAGCCGCCAAGCGTTCAAGGACGCGCGCAAGGCCCAGTGGGGAGACCTGTGGGCTCTGGGCGCGAAGACGCGCATCAATCGGACATTGAAAATCGGGGACAAGCATGGCGAGGGCAAGAAGGAGCGGCTGGCGCGACGGGCCGCCGAACGGAAAGAAAGAAAGGAAGAGGAGGACGAAGATGAAGAATCCGCCACCGCCGCCAGTACTCTGCCCCAACCTCCGGTCAAGAAGAAGGGGCAGAAGATTCCTAGCTGGAAGAAAAACGCAGACAAGAAGACGTACAGACGGGCTTTGAAGCTGACTAGTACAAAGGGAAATTAGTAGTGAGTGGGTTGGTTGGTCGGTTGGGGGGTTACTTGGATGAGTGTCTGGTCTACTATGAGGAGAATTATGGCGTCGAGTCTTGGCGTATGGTGGTTTTGGGAGAGATGGCATTGTATTATACACCTGTAAGATATATTGGGGGTTGCTGTATAGATTATGGATATCAAATGTAAATGGGCTCTTCACTCAATGGAATAGCACTCTATTATTTTGTTCATTACACGGGGTGCGCTGATTTTGTTATCAACATGTGAAACTTCTTTGTAGCCCTCAAACCCCGCTTAAGACCGAGTCAGGCTTGAGAGAATTCACAGTAAGGTTCCTGCGTCTAATCACAGAACATTCCACCAAAAGCAAGTAATGTTTGGCAAAAGTGAGGCGGGTCATCGGTAGGTCATTGCACCCTGTTCAGCAGCATCCCACAAACCATGAGGCGTTAATTGGTGGGTTTGAGGGACCATTCCCAATTCCAGGCAGAGACCAGGCCAGCTCTGACATATGTAGGATGCTTGCATCAAGCTTCCCAGCTTCACCACTTTCGTGGCGCTGTCTTATCCTCGATCCAGGATATGGCGCAAAGACTGGAGGTGCAAAGCAAGAGTCAAGCAAATCGCACTTCAGTAGCAAGAGACAAACTATTAATTGGAGTTGATATGAATCTGTTCTGAGCGTGTGCTGAATTCCCGTCTCAGAATACAATTCACATCTTGTTTCCTAGATCAAAAGCCCACTGCAAGTCCCTCAAGCCATATTCATTTCAAAAGAGGAACTCCCATCTGCTTCGAAAACTCCAGAATATTCACCATGGGTATCATTCATTAATTCCTGATTCGTATCATTCTTCGACCAGGCTGCTTCCGTTGTACCTCTGACCAGACCCAGAAGCATATCATATCTTCACGCAGCACGTATCACTCCTCGCTCCGGGTATATGTATATCCCAAGCAGCCCATCACTGAAAAGCCATACTCTTCCGCAACTGGCGCTCCCGCTGTTTACTCTGCAGTTCTAACCGCTCCACCGCATACTGAAGCCGTTCTTTCTTCTGAACCAATCTCCGCATCTCCGCCGCCTTCGCCGCATTGCCCGATCCGCCGGATCGGTCGCCATACGTACTCCGTACTTTGGGCTGGCGGGTCTGGTTGGACGAATGGAGGCGGCCTTCTTGGAGCTCGCATTTGGCTCGCAGGCCCTGTTCGCGACGGGAGAGTTTCTCGACGTGGTTGGAGGCGAGGGAGAGGAGGTGCGCGATGCTGGGGGTGATCTCGTCGAGGAGGGCTTGTTGGGCTTCGCGGAGGGTGGGTTCAGGGAGAAGTTCGAAGTGCTGGGGTGGGTTAGAGACGAAGTAAAGGGAAGGGGGTTGCTGGGGAAGCTGTTGGTACTTACTCGGGTTGTTTGCAAGACCTTGCATAGTCGGGGGAAGTCGCTGATGCCGGATTCGAGGGTGGAGATGGAGGAGTCGACCAGTCCGAGGGAGGACTGGAGGGAGGCTACAGAGGCTTGGAGGTGTTCTGCCATGGTGACTTTATGGTGATTGTTGTTGCTGCTGCTGCTGCTGCTGCTGCTGCTGGTATTGTTGGTATTGTTGTTTGACGATATGCGATCACAGCGATTGATTGTTTACCTGAGGGGCAGGGCAGCGATGCGGAGCGGATAAAGCGGCATCCCGGGAGTTCCCGAAGCGTAAAAGCGGCGGGGCTTCGGCCGCCGGGACAAACCTCGTTGCTGCCGCTCCTCCTCAACGCACCTTCACCCGCTGCTCCATCTCCGACTTCCTCCATCCCCAGCACTTCGCTTCGATTCTCACGGACCGCCACAATGCCTCTCCTCCCGAAGAAGTTCCCCACCCCCGTTGGTAAGTCGATCGCTGTCCCTGTGTCCTGTGGTCGGGGCGAGATCTCAAGAATATGAACTGACATGCTCTCCCGTTATAGCCGGACCTGTTGGCCCCTTCTTCGCTGCCGGTATGCACCCATTGTCTAGCTGAGTGGCCTTCTCAAATCTGCAAAGCTATCTGTCGCCCGAAACCAGCTCGATTGGAGCGCATGGAGGCGCGCAATGACCGGCTTTCTGACCTTCGTTTGTTTCTAGGTCTGATCGTCCTGTACGGTGTCAACTCTTTCGCCAACGTCCTGATGAACAGTGAGTGAACCTGATACTGTCTTGATTGAATCAAATAGATCGATTGTTCAACTTTCGGTCGAGTCGGAGTCCCTTGTCTATTCGAAGCACGGTCACACTAACCACGGTTATTTCCCTCCAGCCGAGGAGTTCAAGAACGACCCCCGCAACCCCAACGCCAAGGCCCAGAAGCATTAAGATGGTCCTAGAGGGGCTCTGAGGATGCTGTTGCTGCGGAAGATGACGGCGGTTGTGGGTGGTCTGAGACCCTGATCGCTGTTCCGCTGTTGATTCGAGTTTGCGGGCTTTCACCCTGTTCAAGCATATAGAAGATACCGTCCTAGGACATATTGCGAATCGACGAATTGTATAACTATACTGTTTCCTGACTTAATGGCCGCATGGGTTCTTTCTCCGGACCGGACTGAGCTCTTCAGCGGCGTGGGCTGCGCCTCGCCTTGCATGTGAGGCGTCGGTGCCGGGTGGCAGTTTCCGATGTACATGGCATTGGATGTCTTGACTCGCTTGCTCTTGATTGTAGGGGACCTATATGAGCTTTCCGGCAGGTCCCGTCCCTTCCGTTGCGGTCACTGCTGTGCGTGATATGCTTGTTCAACAGCCTTCGCATTTTCGGCCTTTCCCCGCCTCGCGGAAACGCGATTGTTTCAGTGTGCGTATGTTCAGTAAATTCATGTAGACCCTCTCGAGCCATTGAATCATCCCCCAGTCAATAGAAGGACCAGGAACATGCCGCACCAGAATCTTGTTGGGAGCGAAGGGCGACACGACCCTATACCCGATCGGGACAACCCGAGTTCTCCCCGTGACTTCGCCGCTCCGCCAAAACCTCCGCCGTCCATCAATTAATCAATCGATCGATCGACCGTCTCACCCAGACCCCCGACCACCCGAACACCAGTCGCCATGTCGCAGTTCAGACTCAAGAAACTTGACCTCGGCGGGTTCGTCAACCCCCGTATCCTCCGCGACCACACCAAGCGGAGGACGTTCGAGCAGTACGAGCCCGAACGGTATGACCCCATCCCGCAAAGCCCGCGTCACACTCGTCGGCATTAAAGCAAAAGCAACATCTCCAAACAGAGTCTAATGATTACTTTCTTCTTCTGTCCAGCCAAGCTCTCCGCTACGCGATCCGCAACACCTCTCTCCCCCAGCGTGTTCGCGCCCAGGCGCAATTGCAGCTCGCCAACATGCACAGCAACACCCGGTCGACGCAGATCAAGAACCGCTGTGTGGCGGGCGGTACTGCGCGCAGTGTCATCCGCGCATTCAGACTCGGTCGAGTAAGTGGATGCCATATTATTATCTCGTGCATTGTTCTGGGAGCGATTGAGTGAGTGGTGGCTGACAGCTGGTCTTCTTTTCCAGTTCCAATTCCGTATGCAGGCGCTGGCTGGTGAGCTTCCGGGCGTGCGGAAAGCCAGTTGGTAAATGCGGAGAGGGATCTTGATTGTGGGATTATATGAAAAGATAAAGATGTTTTGGGTCAGCCGGTTCCTGAAAGGCGTTTGTTTTCCGGTCCTCTTTTCCTACTACTTGAGATATGTACTATAGATTCGGGTGGGAGGTGAATAGATGATTGTTTCTTTACTTGATTGGGCAGGTTGTTCCATTTATATCTTATGAACAGTCTTGCTGTCTTGACTTGAGTCGAGGTGAAGCCTTGGGGATAAGGCCTGGATAGCTGCAGTGCATATATTGCTGTTGAATCCAGCCTGTTTGATCAGCCATTACGACGCTGGTTTGCCTCTCGTTTGCCTTGTGAAACAGTCTCTTCCCTTGGGATTAACTGCCCAAACAAACGCCTATTCTTTCCTCTGGTCATTCACGGCACCTTACCGGGAAGCTGCAGCCTCAACCCAAGCTCTGCCTTCTGCCTTCTTGCCTGCTCCCCTCACTTTCCCCCTCCCTGTTTCCTCATCCCTCCCTCCACCATTACCTTTCCCTTCTCTTCCCTCAAATCGTCTCGGAGCATCCAAAATGTTCGTCTTTCAGCAAAAGGACCTTCCTAAGGAACCCGTCTTCCCGGCGGACCTTGAGAAACTGGGGTATGATGAATCTACCGAGTCCATTCGAGAATCTTCATCTTAACCAAGGCTAGGTACTTCATCAACGACCAGGATCAAATCAGAAAGATCGCCGATCCCGCAGAGGAGTTTCAGTTCAAGATCAATAAGAACCCTCGCTGGAATGAGTTGCAGCGTGAGGCGATGAACGGTATGCCCTTCGTTTCCACTTTAGAAACTACTACAAGGACCGAGCCATAGTAGTTTATATATCTAACAACCAATCTATAAAGCATGCATCCGCAACATTGTCTCCGTCCGCCTCCGCAACCTAGGCCTCGTCACTCTACGTCTCCCTCTGACCTCCAAGTCCACGGAGCCCTATGTCCCCATCCTGGTCTCCAAGAACCTCTCCACCGCATCCCGCGTCATCGTCGTCTTTGGAGAGCCCATCCAAGACCTCGGCATCTGGGCCTATCGCACCGTCGGCACGGAGAGTATCGATGCCGGCTCCGCCATCGCCTTCACCCGGGCTGTTCTGAGCAAGAACGACAAAGCCAGCAGCTCTGAGAAGACGGCTCTCGTCCTAGCGAATACCGGCCAGCTGACATGGCACTGCGGCACCCGGCAACCCATGACTCTGACCTCCTGGATGAACATGCCCCGGAAGTCGGCTGTCGATCCGGCTCTCGTCATGACGCGCAGGAACAATATCCCGGGGAACGAATACTGGCAGAACCATGTGGATTATGTCTTTGAGAAAATACTGGCTGCGAGGGGTCGGCTGGTCAAGAAGGATGCTAAGATTGGTGTGATTGGTTTGGCGGATGGGGGATTGGGTGCTATTCGGTATTTGGCTGGTCATTGTGAGTGTTTATTTCTCCTTTGGATGAGCTGGTTGGGGTTTCCTCGTGATTGGGATCATGATAGACTGACTGACTGACTGCTCGATAAGGGGAATCATGGCGTCCGTACATCTCAGCCATCTGCCTCGGCAATCCTCTTCAGCTAACTAGTGTCGACCTCGGAGACAACAGGGATGACCCTTCGTCGTTTGCCTCCTTCGTTTCGTCTCGTTGCCGCAGCTATGTCCTGTCTGAGGCGCCCATGGGCATGCCAGTCACCTCGCCCCTCGATCACGGGTGCAACTGCTATTCGGCTGGCGAGGCGCTGAATCTCGAGTGCATCATGCCCAGGGCAAGGGCTCATATGCTTCACTGGCTGGAGGAGACTTTTGCGAATCCGGAGCTCTTTGAGGCGAAGCTAGAGATCACGGAAGTGAATTCGGATAGCGTTGCGGAAGATAGTGTGGCGAGGGCTGCGGAGGGTGCAGATAGAGTCTTTCAAGTGGATGAAGAAGGAACTACGGAACTGGATTCAGACAGGGTGGTAGAGGTAGAGGCAGGAAGAATGACGGAGCTGAGCTCGGACAAGGTTGAGGAGGTAGATGAAGAAAGAATCCAGGAAGTGGACTCTGACAAGGTTGAGGAAGGAAATGCAGGAAATACCACCGAAGTCCACGACGAGGAGAGTGAGAATTGACTGGCATGGACTACCGATCTCTGCTCACGAATATTGCAGGATCTCGGGATGGACTGGGAGTCAATCGTTTGTCATCTGCTAATTCTTGCTTTTGCGAATCATATGGCTTCAGTATCAGGGATGCAGTGGAGAATACCTGGTCCATTCATAGTCTTGCTATCTCATACATGAAAATCTCAAGAGTCATGGACTCATATCACCTGTTGACCTATAGTACCTACCTGATTGCGTTACACTGGTTTACAACATCCTCATGCTAGCTATCCGGCTCCAGACAGTCGATACTTACAGTCACATCCCAGCCAAATTCCACAGCTCTTACTGATACAATCCAGCTCTCTTCCTCATGTCTATACTACAGGTACATTCATACACATATCACGTCACATCATATCCAAGCCGGTCCTCTATACCCACCACAATATCACTCCTCCCTCTCCTTCTCCATCTCCTTCTCCTTATCCTCCCACCTCTCCCTTAGCCTCCTCCTCAGCCCCCCATTCGGCCCTCGCCCCCAAATCTCCTCTTTCTCCCCATCCATACCATTCCCACCAACGGTCCTCGTTTCATCCACACCTTCATCCCCACCTCCATCTCCATCTCTATCCTTTACCTCCCTCCCCCCACCCCCTCACTCCCAACAACCACCTTCTTCTCCCTCACCCTCCTCTCCACCCTCCTCGCCTCATCCACCTTCCCCAAATAAATTGCATAAATAACCACCTCCGCCACGCCCACGCCCACCGCCACCCCCAACGACAACAGCACCTTCACGGCCTCGGACACGCCCTCCCCTCCCCTCCCCCCTCTATCAGCTGTCCTTCCCCTCCACACCCCCGCAACGGTCTCAATCAACACCTCCGGCGTCCGGAAACTCCGCAGCGCGAAGTACACGCTAAAGCCGGTGATCAGGACGGAGAGGAAGATGTTCAGAACGAGGGAGGGGGTGAGAGGGTCCGGGTAGGAGGTGTCCTTTTCGTCAGTATGGTTGTGGGGGTCGTGGAGGGCGGAGACGGTGGGGGTCGAGGAGGTGAAGATCGGGTTTGCGGTGCTGGTGTTGTGGGGGTTGAGGAGGGAGGGGGCACTGGTGATCATGCGGTTGTAGGCGTCTGTTTCGGCGGCGGCGAGAAGACGCGCTTTTAGGGCGAGGTATTCGGGGGTCTGTTTGTGTTGTCGTTAGTGAGTTGAGTATTTGAGGATTGGGAAGGGAGTGAGTGTACTGGTTCGGGTTTCTTTGGCGGAGGAGGGATGTAGACTTTCGTTCCGCGGAGAAGGGAATTCAGACTCCGGGCTGAGTGTGTCTCATTGCTGTTGGAAGAGGATCGAAAATACCGCGCCAGGGCGATGAGTTGCGCGTGGGAGATGGGATCCTGGAGGGACAGGGAATCGGGGAGGTCGAGGTCATGACGAGAGGAGGCCGGGAGAGCCTCGAAGGCGGCCAGGATAGGGGAGGTGGTGATAAGCAGGACCATTGTCGGGGTTGGATTTAGTCCATCATGCTATGTGTACAAAGGATGTGAAGCTGGTTCATGTCCATGGGAAGTATGAAGAGGGAGGGAAGGCAGTGAGCGGCGCCGCAACGCCGCCTTTCCCGAACAGGCAATCAACTCCCCCCACTTGGACCTGGAATGGCTTCATTCGATAACATCAACTCCCCGCCATCGCCTTCTTTCCCTCCTCTCCTCCCCTGCCCGGACATCTGGCTTGTCTGCCTCTCTTACACCATGGCAGACAAGAAACCCTCCCTGTGAGTTCTTCCAACTGTGAACACAAAAGAAAGAAAAAAAAATCAGCATCATCATCCCACTCCTCCATCCCGCACCCCTCCCTCTCTCTCTCTCTACCGCACTACCTTCCAAATCCTTACCCCTAAGCCAACCTCTTCCACTCCCCCTTCCCCTTTCACCCCATCCCCATCCAACCCCAGACACACACACACACACACACCACTAATACAAAGAAAAAACCCCCAGAGCCCCAACAACCACCAATCCGCGCGGCATCCCCACCGCCCCCTTCGTCGACAATGTATCCGACTACGTCTCGACGCGCGCGGAAGTGGAATCGACCCTGCGGTCCTTCCAGGAGATGATCTCGAAGTACCAATTCATGGAAGTCAACACGCAGCGCCGCGGTCAGGGTCTGCGCGACAAGATCCCAGACATCAAGAAGACGCTGGAGATGGTGACGTTCCTCCAGATGCGGCGCCAGAACAACCTCGACCCGCTAGAGACCAACTTCGAGCTGAACGACACTCTGTACGCGCGCGCAAGCATCGACCCCGCTGACACCGAGGAGGTGTATCTGTGGCTGGGCGCCAATGTCATGCTGGCGTACCCCATCGAGGAGGCTCAGACCATGTTGACGGAGAAGTTGGCCGCCGCGGAACTGAGTCTCGCGAATTGTGAGGAGGATTTGGAGTTTTTGAGGGAGCAGATTACTGTATGTTTCTTCTTTTTCTTTTTCTTGGTCTTTTTGCACCCTTCTTCTTACGTTATGTTTTTTTTGTTATTTCCCCTTCTGCGTTTTGTTTGGAGGTCTGGTGTTGTTGAGGTTGAGGTTGAGGCTGAGGTGGATGTATGCTTGCTAACTAATCCCGTGAATGATAGACGCTCGAGGTCGCGACTGCGAGAGTGTATAACTGGGACGTTGTGCAGAGGCGGAAAGAAAAGGCCGAGGGGAAAGATGATGAGGGGAGTACGGACAAGAAGAGGCCCGATGGGGGTTAAGTTACGCTGGTCCGTGTATGTATTCCTTGGTTTAAAGCATGCTGGGAGAATAAAAGTCCATAATACCATTTTTGCATGGATGGAGGTTGTAAATACCATGCTGGTGCTGGTGCTGGTGCTGGTGCTGTTCATGGCTGATGGAATCGGAGAACGCGTAGAACAAGCGTTTTGGCCACAGCCCAGTAAAGGGGCTACCCCATCCAATCCCTACAAACTGAATATCCAAACTCTCCCTCTCACGTATACATTGAAATGCCAGTAGCCGCAAATAATTATATTCTCGGTTAAGAGCTATTACACCGATCTATTAACGTCCAGTTATGTATATAACCCGTGCAGACCCCATGCAAATACCGCAATCAGCAACTCAAATCCATTAAAGATGTATTGTGCACTCCCCCCTCTTCCCTGTGCATCATCATAAGTCGTCAGTTGTAACAAAAGCGCAAGCAGCTCGAAAGCGACAGCTCGGCGGGATAGAAATAAACACCCCAGAAATACAACCAGACCCGTGTAACCCGAAGCGCAAAACAATCAGAAACAAAAACAGAAGCAGAAGCAAAAGCAAAAGCAAAACAAACCCATTAAACCATATACTATCGAACAAGCCAACTGCAAAATTCGTCAAAGTCATGACCTCTAGCGAATATAAGAACGCATGCATGCAGCATCTAAGACAAGGCCGAATGCTTGTCCTTGTTTCTAACTATCAATGTGCGGTTTCGTCCGCTATGATCAGGCGCTGGCCAATCTTGCTTGGATATCGGCATCATCCACAAATGTCCACTCCTCGATGTCGGCCTCGGCGACATCATCGTCGGCTTCTTGTTCCGCCACGGTCTTGGCCGTGGGGGTGGGAGAAAATGGCGTTGACGAGACGATGGAGCGCTGACGAGCCAAGGTTTTGGCGTACTCGAGATCCCGGTAAATTGCCTGGATGGCAGTATCCACTCCATCCTCCTATCTCTACGTTAGCAGTGGACACCAATACGGACAGATAGACTTACACTCCGGATTTGCACGCCTAGCTCCCGGGCTTTCGCGATCATCCGCTCACTGTGGGTGGCCTCCCAGAGAGCCCGCGAGAATACGCTCACGTTAAGCTTCTTCATACAGATTCCTACCCCCAAGTCTTCAACTCTCGTTCCGAAGAAAAATTGGTCTCCAAAGAAGGGCTTGATGATGGTAGGCACACCCGCACGCAGGCTGGCTCCTGTGGTACCAGCCCCTCCGTGGTGCGCGGCAGCATCAATCTGGGAGAAGAGCCAGTCATGGGGTGCTGACTGAATCTGGAAGATTTCGGGAGGCAGAGGGATTTCCGACTTTGCACTGGCCGGGTCTCCGAGACGATCAGACCAGCCCTTAGAAAGGATACAGCGAACGTCGGCCTTCTGTACAGATTCGACAACTGTTCGCGTGAGCGCGGACGGGTCTGACACAACGATCGACCCGAACCCAATGTAGACAATCTTCTTGCCATCCTCGCGAGCGCGTTGGATGAACTGGATCAGCCCTGCTGGTGGTGTCCAGTTGTTCCCTTCGCTCAGGAACCAGTACCCTGTGATGCGAATCCAGTCCGGGTAGTCGAGTGGTGGGGGCACTACAGAAGGCGAGTAGTTGTAAAGGAACGGGACTTTGTTCGGCTGCATCTTGTCCAAGCCGGTCGCTTTGAGCCCCAGCTCTTTCTTTCTCCAGCGGTTCACCTGTCCCGCGATCGCCTTCCAGAAGACATTGTCAAACATGACATATGTGATGTAGTTGTATGCACCGCCCATTTTATACTCCGGGACAGCGAATGCATGTGGATATGCTCGTGTTCTTGACCAAGGCATTGTGAAGGCACGGAAGTAAGGGATCCGGAGGGCCTCGGCGATATGTATACCGGCCATTGCGCTGGGGGATTCGATGAGGAGGTCGCTATCCTGGCAAGCTCTCCACGCAGAGGATAGCAGGTCATCAATCCAGCCACGGAACTTCAGTGAAGCCTCCTTGAGAAAAGAGTAGGTGAACATCCCATTCTCAACACATATCCGCATAAGCTCTGCTGGATCTCCATCAACTGAAGCAAAGTCGATCCCATGCTTCCTCACCCAGGGCTCAAACTCGGCATGGGTTGCGATCTTAGGCCGGTGACCCTCAGCAAGCAACCCTTTGCACAATGCAATATAGGGTTGTACATCACCGCGTGAACCGATGGTAAGACAAGTGATTCTCAGGGACTCGGTAGGCTTGAAATTGATGATCGAGGCGCGGGGATCATCAAAGATTGGGTGCAGTTCGGAAGACTCGGCCAGCATTGAGTGGGAACTCTGCATCCCCGAAGTATCCAGCCTCGCTTCCTGTAGCATGCGGTGCTCAGCGCTTGCTGCTTCGGACTCGTATTTCTCCTCTTCTTCTGCAAGGTATCCTGACTCCGCCAAAAACTTCATGGATTCAAGGCCCTGGTGTAACGTAACGGCACAATCGTCTCGGGCATCAGAGGCGCTGAACTCGAAGAACAATTCTTCGTGGCCGCGGATGACCACGACAAGCCCATGGTAGCCAAAGCGGAACCCTTTTTCCTTATCCACGTTCTCGACATCTTTCAAAGGCAGTATCATCTTCGTCCGAGTTCCCGGGAGAAGACTCCGAAAGCAGAGCTTCTTCTGGCTGATATATATTTTACCGTACAACGGGAGCACACGGTGTAGGTATGCGTAATAGGTAGCCTGCAGCTTTTCGGTCGACGGAAGGGCAAAGTGCGCACGGAATCGGTCGCCATCCTTGCAGCCAGTGTCTTTGTCTTCGGGGTCAACTGCCTGATCATCCGGGAGTATGCCTTCGTACTCCCCGTAATGCTTGCGGTTACCCGCCCACATACCAGAGACCTTTTCTATATACCCCATTGATTCACTTGCCAGTAAGTTGCTCATCTGCTTTGATCGGGATTTCAGGTATTCCGCAAAACCCGCCGCGCGTTGCAGTGGGTAAGTTCCAGCTTTAACAATCTCGTTCAAGGTGGGCCCAGTGGTACTCTTAGAGGGACTATGAGTGCATTGGTCAGAATCGCTCATGGCATACTGAATCTCTTGCCCATCTTTCGTATATCTTGGCCCGGCGTGCGTGTGCACCGACCGAGCCGTCTCATCTGAGTGCCGACGAGCACTGCTTTTATCGGGCCCCCTCCGCAGAGTGTGAATCGTAGGCGATTGGAAAACGTCGCTTCGGTTCAATATCTGGCTCGCGGATTCGGCTGTATCGGTCATCGACTGCAAGATAGCTGACGAGTCAGTTGCCTGCTCCATGGAGTTGCCGAATGATAGAGACGAGTCCTGCTGTCTTGGTGGTGGAGACATCGTAAGGGCATCATGGCCAAACCCGAATTGGCCAGTGCTTGCGCTTCTCAGTCGTTGCGCGCTGGCATTTCCGATGGCTCGAGGTTGGCTGGTCGCACTGGTCAGGGACCATCTATTCTGGGACGCTCGAGAACGGCGAGAACGAGCCATGTGATCTGGCTGGGGCGATAAGACTTGAGATCGGTTCAGTGAAGAATCACCCACTAGGCCTTTAAGGAAATTGAACGCATCCTGGCCATAGTTGAAGAATGTGAAATAGAACTGCAACTTTGTCAGCATTTGGCACATTGTTTCCCAAGATCAAAGCGTTACCTCGTCAATTGCGAACGTCTCCTCACTCTCAACCACCCGTATCTTGAACGTTTCAGCGAACTCGACCATGGGGCTCTCCTCGATGTCAATGATACTCTTAGTTGGAAAGGAAATCTTGATGCTCTCGCCGTCGTTGTGGGTTCGAAAGATGACTTTCTGCAAAGCTTTAACCCACTCCTTGGCGCTGGCAGAGCTATCAGCCCTGAAATAATACGTTCGTTGATCCGTTGTGACTTGAAAATCCCGAGTATCATGTCCTTTTTCCTTCGAATCGGCCAGAGAAGCGGAGATTCCGTATCGTAGATCGACGTGGCCGCTGGGGAAGTAAAGATTTGATGGGTCGGCATAGTATGAGAGAACATCCCCTTTCAGCGAGAACCAATACCGGTTATACTTGGGGTTCTTCCGACCACGTTTGTGCAGATACCCGGATTTGATAGCCACGGTAGATTTCTTGGGAAGGTAGGCGTAGAAGCAGATGTGTCCCTCTGTGACATACATGTACCCCTGCAGCAGCATACTTTGCAGCAGAGAGCATGCATACTCGACAACTACCTTCTCTGGCGTCTTAAAGCCGAACATCTCCTGCAATCGGAGAGACAGCGCGGACGCAGACGGCTCGGAGTCTCCCTCATCTTTCTCTTCCGTCCCAGACTGGGTGCCTTCGGTTGAGCCGTCTGTGTCCAGGAGGGCCTGTGCTTCCACCATGCGACTTAGTACAGGGGCTGCCCGGGGAGTGACACTGCGAGGGCGTTTAGGGGTGGAGGCTCGGGACATTTCATCCCCCGTCGGAGGCTCAGACTGTACAGTGGGCTGTTCCCCTTTATCAATCCTGGAAATCAATTTCAATGGTCGTAATAACTTATGTTCCGAGATTGACCTTCGATGGCGACGTCCTCGTTCCGGGGTTGGACTCTGCGGTTTGGATGACGACGGCTGTGTTTCCCGTTCGCTCTTGCTGGGTAGTGCGCCAGCTGTGGCAGCCATGTTCCCATAATCTTTCCGAGGGCGATCCTCTGTCTCACCATCACTATCACTGGAATCCTCGAAGCGCGCATGGAAGTCCGACCTGGAGCCCACGGCCGCGATCATGGAGAATATAGACTGCTGCATATACTGCAGGTGACCATCCCGCGATCCGATCCCGCCCGGGGGTGCTGTGAAATCGACCTGTGCGTCATGGTCGTCTTTTAGCCGTTCGGGGAGAACGCTAGAGAATATGCGGCTGTTGGATATCGACTGCCTGCTTGCGCTGAGCCGACGGTCGACTCGCCGCTTTGTGTCATCTATGAAGGGTCGCATTTTGGGTCAAGATAACGAAGGTGGGCCACGACGCAAGTGGGAAAAGAACAGGGTTCAGAAGGTGTGGTCGTTGCTGTATAACCCGGGGTGCCCAAGCAGGTGACAGCGATGGGAGTGTGATCCGCTCTTCACGATCGAGGGAGTCAGTCGGTTGTAGTCACGGCGAGTACTAGAAAGGATAAATCAACAGCTGTTCCGGGCAGATGATCGGACAGATTAGCTCAGGTCCAGCTGCGGGAGTAAGAGCTCTCAGTGAAAGAAAAGGAAAAGGAAAAAAAGACAAAAAAAGGGACACCCACGACGACATCCAACAGTTGGAGGTTGATAAGGGAAGTAACGGAATCAACGGGATGCCGGGCATCAGGAGCTATGAGGGCAAGAGGGGAAAGGATATGCGGAGCATGGCGGAGAGAAAGACTATGGCATGTCCGCTGGGGGAACTGAAGGAGAGAGAGGGTATCAAGCGGTTCAAGCGGTTCAAGCGGTCGAGCAGGCCGGCGATGGATGGAGGATGCATGAAAGATGATGGAAGGAGGCCCGTTTGGGGGTCTGGCGTCACTCGCCCGTATCAGCTGTTCGCTGCCCTCCGCTGGTCCAATCACCGCCGAGGCATGTGATTGCTCCGGGGAGCGGGGCCAGTCAGCGGTCGTGGCTGATAGACCCACTTGCTTATCTAATTCTATGGCGCGGTAACTGCCGGTACGTGACGATACAGAATGCCCCGAGAGCGCAAGGGGACCCTGGAACGAGAACGACCTTCCACTACACTCATCTCATCACTTCGCAGCTCAACGGTTGGCGGGTGCTGATGGTGCTGGATCTGCTGGCAACCTGTCAAGCATAACGTGATCCACGAGGCTCCAGTACGAGGGCCTAGTGGCTGCGCTTAGATACAAGTAGTCACTAGTCAGCCTAGTTGCTGGGTCGAAACCGGAGGTCGGGGATGATCGACACTAACGAGTCGCCGGTGGGCCTCTCCTCCTGTCATTCTTCCACAGTATCTACCTCCTCCCTACAGGACTGACTACCAAGAGCACCATCATGTCCGTGTCCTACATGGGCTTGATAAGACTGCCGGGTCCCGACAGGTCTGGCAAAACATATTCAATTGAGTCATGAAGTCGTCCCACCCTCAACGCGCTCGGGGCATCCTGCCTTGAGAATCTGACCAGCGACTAGTGGTCTAGTACACCCCTCGATGCCCGGGGGGCAGGCACTGGTGACGAGACGCCTCGCAGCATCGCTCATACAGGCTAGCGTCTATAAGCTGTGCCTCCCAACCCTGCCAGCTGTGGGATCTAGAATTTCGGACGCGACCACTCACTGAAGAACGTGTTCTGGGCGTGGATCGAACTATGGACTTATGTACAAACACATGCAACTTGCGTTGAAAAGTGATATCCGGCTGGCTCACCACAAACATCTCGCGCCTGGAGTAGAGCATAGCTACCCCCATCGAACAATGCCAACTTTTGTTGAAATAACAAGACGAAGTAAGAAATAATTCCCGGTCGAACCCCTTCACGCCTTCTCGGCCTTCTTCCTCTTCTTATCGTCTCGGGGTTTGCTGCTCTTTTTCTTCTTCTCCTCCGCTTCGGCGGCCTCCTTCTTCGACTTCTTGCGAGGCGTCGCACCGACCTGCGTTTCATTATCCCCCTCAGTAGGGCGGTTCTTCCGCTTCCGCTCCTCCCGCTCTACCTCCACTCCCCTCGGCACCTTGAACGTAGGCTGCTCTCCCTCCGACTCCTCCGAACTGGAACCGATCGTCTCAGGTGGGGCCGCGCCGCTTCCTACAGGTCGGAAACGCATCTTCAAGTTCTTCGGTTGTTTTCTCGGGGGCTTGACCTGCCCCTTCACTGCTTCCAGCACACTGTTTTCGGCGGAGACATCAGGCATATCGATCAGCTCCTGGATGTGATAAGTGGGGATGTCGGTAGCCGTGGTGCTGTAGTATGTCTTGGTTTTGGGATCGTATAGATGAAGCGCCTTTCCGTTCAACTCGGGCTGCCTGAGGCTCTCAATGGGGATTCCATATTGCACGCCCTTGTGTTTCAAGACCGGGGTGCCCCGCATGATCTTGGCCAAGGAGACCTCTTCGATCTTGGAGAGGGGAAGGTAATCAGGCGCGGTGATGTGGAGGACCTGCTTGCCGCGGAGGTCGGACAGAAGGGAAGAGACGCTGGATTTGGGGGGAGCTTGTTGCTTCAGGGTCTTGAAGCCGAAGGGTGCTTTGTACGGTTTGGGGGCTGCAAATGAAACTTTCTTCGGGGGCCTATACATAGCGCAAGGTCAGTTATGGATGTAATGCCGCGTAGAAAGCATCCAAAAAACCTACTGCTCGCTAGAAGACTCTTCGTCGCTGCCACTTTCGCTGCCGCTTTCGCTGCTCGACTCGACCTCTGAGTTCGAAACTTCTGACTCTGATCCGCTTTCCGACTCAGGCGACGGCGACCTGCTCATGCGAACATCCTCAGTCTCCACCACAGCGGTCTTGTCCGATTTGCGTGCCATTGTGGCTCAGTGAACGCTCGTGAAGAAGCGGTTGCGGACCTGCGATGCGGAGCGCCAGTAGTCCCAATTCTGCGAGATCGCGGTGGCGATATGATTTATAGTAGGAACAAGAGAATGCCCGCCGAGTCAGATCTCAGCTCGCGGAATCGTAAGTCTGGTGAAATCGGCGCAAAGCTCGGGGTCTGGAAGGTGCGAGATGCGAGAAGCCGATGCGGAACTTCTGGGCGATAACCTTTTTTTCTGCTCCGCGGCGCACGGACCACTGGCGAAGTCCGCGGCCTCAAATATTCACCTTTTTTGGTGGTCCCGCCTGCCTCTCCATCTTGCGCAACCCCGCTGGTTTTTTTTGGAGATCTTGAGACGCCGAGAGGCCTTTTTTGCGCATCATGAAGAGAAAGGCCGAGAAAGCGCAAGCAGCAGGTACGGTTCAAATACTCGGAATCGAACAACAGTCGCTGACTTGAAGTCTCTAGCTCCAGTCAGCGCTTTCGCGGCACGCAAAGCTCGGCAGGCTACGCAGGCCCCCGTGGCTGCAGAGAAGCCCCAGATCGTCGAACCGGTTGTTGAACCGCCGCCCAAGAGAGCGCGGCGCTCACTTGAGAAGCAAAGCACCGTCCCATCCCCAACCGAAGAGAACCCGGCCCAATTGAGACGATCCTCGAGGCGCAAGGAAGACAAGTCGAAGACGGAGAAGGCTACACAACCGGCGCGTGCCGATCCTGTCCCGGAGACCTCTCAACAGGCTACAGAGCCTGTATCACCCAATTCCAGCGAGGACCAGGAATCTTCCGACGAGGAATTGGAAGAAGATGTCACTGTGAATGGCAGTGAGGGCGTTGGGCTCGGGGCCCTCGAGGGAGACGCGGACGGGTAGCCATTGCCCCCAAGAGCCCTGTTGAGCATTGGTACTGACATTGATAGGTACGAATCGCCTGCAGACACTCCTGTACAGGTTCAGGACTTCCCGCTGTCCAAGACCCGTTTGAGCAAAAACAACATTGTATACAGCGATGAACATAGGCTTTGTGTCCGCATCAAGGAGAAGATGGTACGCATTATGCAACCCAGACAGCACGCACGCGCTAATATTTCACTAGAGCATGGTCATGCTGGGGCACTACGATGTCTGGGTCAAGCGAGGTGTAATCAGTCTGATGGGAGCGAAACTGCACCCCTCGTCGCGCGTCTACAGGGTCTACGCTCCTTCGACGCACTCCCTGCCGGTCATCAAGTGCATTGCTGGTGTTAATGGCGAGGCGGAGGTCGAGTTCAAGTCCTGCCACAGTGGGATCTATCGTCTTAAGGATCTCTCGCCCCTCTATCAACGGATATGGAATGGCAAGAACACAGCCGCAGACAAGCTCACCTTGAAGGGAGCCTCTCCTTCCGCCAAGAGAACGTTTTCAGTGGTAAGTCCTGCTCGTTTTATCGCCATCGCTCCATCATCTCACTAATCCGTTCAGCTGTACACGTCTGCGGATGACTCTCTAAAGAGACATTTGCGCCCACTCCACCTCGAAAAGCAATGGAGCGCCGCCATCAAGTCTCTCTCTCAACGGGGTGGCCGACTAAAGACTCTAATCTGTGGACCGAAAGGCTCCGGAAAGTCGACTTTCAGTCGTTACCTATTGAACCACCTTCTCAGCCCTGCCCCCCAGACCGAGACCAACTACTGCAACGCCGACGGCGTCGCATTCCTAGACCTTGACCCCGGTCAGCCCGAGTTTGCCCCCATGGGGCAAGTCTATCTCGTCCACCTGCGTTCCCCTGTCTTCGGCCCTCCATTCTCCCACCCCTCCCTGGACGGCTCCCGCGACGGAACGATCGTCCGAGCTCATCACATAGGAGCTACATCCCCCAAGGAAGACTCCGACCATTACGTCCTCGCCGCAATGGACCTGATGGAGCGCTACCGCGCCCTCCAGGCCAGCTACCCTCAGTGCCCTCTCATCATCAACTACCCAGGCTGGATATTCGGTCTGGGTCTGGAAGTCGCCACATACCTCGTGAGATCCCTCGGCCTCTCCGACGTCGTGTACATGAGCGAAAAAGGACCCGCTGAAGTCGTTGAACCCCTTGCCCAAGCAGCCTACCAATCCAAGGTTCCCCTGACCATCCTGCCCTCCCAACCCACCGACTTTGTCAACCGATCCAGCGCACAGCTCCGCTCCATGCAAATGCAGTCATACTTCCACATGACCCGGCCCGGCAACATCGAGACTCCCCTCTGGCTCGAGAAGCCCCTCTCCCGCACCAACCCCTTCCACGTGCACTACTCCGGCCCCCAGCAGGGCATCCAGGGCATCATGGTAATGGGGACACAGATCCACCCTGACCTGCTCCACGAGGTGCTCGACGGCTCCATCGTCGCCGTCGTCGCTGTGGAATCTCCCCATGCCATCCTCGGCCAAAACTCGGGTCCCATGCTCTCAAACACCGCCGAAACGGACCCCGACCACGACACCCCCATGGACGACACACCCTCCTCTCCATCCATGTCCTCCTCCACCATAACCTCCAACATAACCCGAACCCCCACCGAAGACCTCCCGTACCTCTTCGTCGGCTCGGGAAGCAGCAACCCCCTAGACCCCAAAGTCTCGCACTGTCTGGGCCTCGCCCTGGTCCGATCCGTGAACATCTCCTCCCGCACCCTCGAACTCGTCACCCCGATCCCCGGGTCCCGCATCCGCGCCTCCCTCGCCCAGGGCCACGGCCTCGTCCTCGTCCGCGGTCTGCTCGATAACCCCAATTGGGCCATCAGCGAGGACTACCACTCCGCCCGTGCGGCCGAGAAACGCCATCGCGAGGCAACCGAGAAGCTCAAGAAGAACAACGCCACCACCAACACCAATGCTGTTGAGGACGGTATCGACGCCGAAAGGCAGATGCTAAAGGACCGCATCCGCCGCGCGAGCAACGTTCCTTGGATGACTGTCGTGGAGGATAACAGTCGGCGGCATCGCGAGGCCGTTCAGCGCGAGAAGTCACTGTGGAAGTTGAGAAAGAAGGCTTACCCTGGGAGTGACAGTGAGGGGGATTGGTAGTTGGTAGTTAGTAGTAGTTCGAGTTGGTGGTTTGGCCCATTGGACTGAACTAGACCGAACCGGGCGCTGCGGATCGGTATCATTACATACTGGTTGGTGGTGCCTTGGCTGTCTGTGGATTGGATCTTTCTCGCGTGTATATATGTATGCATCTCTTCTATATACCTGAATAAGTATACAAAAAAGCATTTGAACTTGGCCTGTTGCCTACTTGGTGGGATGTTATTGGCACTAATGATGCTGCTATTTAAAGCAAGCTTATCTTGGATTCTGTTACAGCCTAGTGGCCGATGACGATTCCAAAGGCGAAGTGCTACTTCTGACCAGACAGACACGGGTTGACCAACCTTTGGCCGACAATCACAATCCACGCCCAACACATATCAGCCCTTTCCACCCAGCACCATACTCTACTCTATCCATGTCAGCTGCACCTACTACCACTCTTCTAACAACGTTGCCATAATCATACAAGGAATGACCTAAAAGAAACAATAAACAACACCAAAATAAAATTACGGAATTCCATTGCCTTAAGGGGATTAGAAAGCCCCCGGGTGTCTATCTAACAAATCTCCACCAGAATCCCAAGCATCCCAGTTTATATTAAAACATCATTTGCAGAGCATGATAAGGCGTGCGCCTTGTAGTAATTCCACGCCTGCTGATTCAAGCTTCACCGCAGTGTTCGTCCGTCCAGCAACATGAGATCCTAGTGGCCGTCATTGACCCTTTTCAGTACGCGATCTAGAGTCTCAGCCGCCGTTTTAGCCAAAACACTGGTCTCTGCACATTTTTGCAGGTGGTCGAGGGTACTACGCAATGTTTCCATGCACAATTCTGGCTTCAGGCTCTCCATGTGAGTCTCAAAAGGATTTACCCTCAACATGCAATGCCGGTAGTTTTTGCACTCCCATTCCATACCGCGATTCGCATAGAGAGCCGCTAAGAGCACTGCAGCATCAAATGTGGGCATAATGATATCTGGCAGTCGGGTTGAGATGCCAGACTCTAGAGTATGAAGGTTGAGGTACCTTGTCAGAACATTGAATGCTGCCACCGCCAGGGCCTTTCGCTGCGGTCCTAGCAAAGCCCGGTCGTTTGCTGGAAGAGACTGGATTTTCTGTGGTTCCAGCTGAAGAACGGGCCGATAGTTGTAGCAGATGGAGGAGAAGATAGAGATATGCAGGAACTCCCTCTGATAGGGAAGCCATGGAAAATCCTTGTCCCATTGCTTGTTTGGTTCAAGAACGAAGGCGCGTGGTAAGGTAGGCAAGAATTCGTTGCACAGCGCCTCGTATCTCTTTTCGGCCAGGACAATGTCATACTCGGAGTCGACTTTGGGGCTGTTGTTCCTCCAGAAATTGATGAGGCGGATTTGAAAAATTCGCTCCGTAAGTTCAACCGGGGGGTTGAGACGCGTGTCGGGGACTTGATCATCCTTCAAGGCTCCTGAAATGGGGATGCTGTCTGTTTGACTTGCAAAGTGGCTACAGGCGAGGGCTTTGGTCAGCGTACAAGCAATGGTGGCGCTAAGGGTGGCTTCTTGCCTACCTGTCCCATATATAGAGGTTGCAGAATGGCATATATTGCCGTACATTTCTGATTTCTTTGTCCTCGTTATCCGCGGGGACATATTTGTCCTTTCCAATCTCTTGTGTCCGTCGGATAGCGTCGCTCAGCTTTTGTCGGAAGATGTCTGGATTTCCTTCATCCCGGGCCCTGAGCATGGCTAAACCCAGGTGATGCATGCCATCCCCAGAGAGACTCTTTTCTAGACTTTCCGCAATACTATCACACGCGGTTCGAATGTCCGCTAGTGCCATGCCATGAATGGTCCCAGTAGGATACTTTGGACAAGGGAAGAACTTAGATGTATAGGAACAAATCCGATAAATCAAAGCGATCTTGCTAATACGTCCAGCGCCCATTTCAAGCTTACCAGAAATTGTGATCTTTTTCATTGCCATAAGCCAATTATTGTATGTCCTGCGAACCCACGGGGTATAAAGCAGCTGGATAATCCTGCAAAAAAGTGGACTGATTAGCAATGTACAACTGATAGGGATCATGGGCTGCTGACCAATTCACATTCTCAATATAGTATTCGATCAGTGTCTCTATGATCCTGGGGTCAATCTGATCCCATAAAGGCCGGTCTTGGTCATTTGAGCCCGGTTCTTCGAACTGTCAATCGTTAGCAGGGGATGCTACTTGGTTCTCCCAATATAATATTGACTCACTTTCCGTAAGATGGCAATGGTGTTCGACCGACTAACCTCGGAATAGCCAAACACTTCAGCTAGCCGCGATCTCTTGGTTCCCTGCACATTTTGTGCCGAATCTAACAATGCAGGAACACCACGATCAGCCTCCTGATGGGTGCTGGTTTCTGGGTCAGGATTGGTAGCCTGACATGGCGAGTTGGAATCTTGATTTCCCTTTGATGGTTTATGATACCTGCACTCTCCGGTGGATTCATGCTCAATGCACTGGGTGCATGGAGATTTGTAGTCACACTATCATGCAGACGTTAGAGCTCTCTCTTGATGACAGTTGAGTAGGGTCTGTCAAGTTTAATATCCATACCCTTCGTACTTTCATGAAACATTGAGTACAGGGCTGATGCGTCTTCCACCTGTCCTGGGCGGGCTGCATGGTAAGAGCTTCAGTTTAGATCTAGATATAAATCAGCTGAGCTTAAATTCAAGCTCTCATGTATTCCACCCTCGAGCATCTGCATCCGAGACTCACATATGGGAGGGAAAGGTGCGTAATAATATTAGTGGTCGAAAGCGACACTATAGAAGCTAAATGAAAGACTGTGATCCTAAATTGGATAACAATATGAGTATCCCGTATAATGCATGTCGAAGAGCTAAAGATCCCATCAGACCGACGAGGGGAAAATCCCATGGGAATCCCGGGGTCCTTCCCAAACCAGCTCGCAGCCCGCGGCTTCCTCGAGAAGCCCTAAGATGCTTCATCATGACAAACGTCGTGTTTTCTACATGACTATGAGCGTCTTCTATTCTTGCTTTGCTGGTTTCTCGTGGCTCTTGTCTCATGAGAGAATCATGTCAGATGGTGCCGAGGAGCAAAACGCACCCTCTGTCGAACAATCTTCAAATCGTAACATGGCATCCCAATGGAGTCATGGGTAGCTCATTTGTCCAATAATGCTTATATGAGCCCATGCCGCCTGCTAAAAGTCAGCTTTGTAGGCCGATGTCTGCTTTATCGTCGTATCCTCGACGGTTCAGTTGCTGTTCGCCCTTTTCTTGGCCAGGCCCTTTATGAATCAACACATTCTAGTGTCTGCACTGGTAATCAATAGTTCTCCATCTCTGTGGTTGTTGGCTTCTCGCTGCTGGCAAATGGAACCTCAGTCGAGGTCTTGGGATTATTTACTGGTCTCGTCGATCCCAATAGCTAATTATCGGGACCTTTGCACAGCTGACAATACATTTATCCCCAATGACTCCGTCAGTGGTGATGTTCTTCGTCTTCTTCGTGCGCTCCATGCAAAACCTCGCCATCGAAGTCCCCGAATCGACGGTCATGAACATTCTCGATCGTGTTTACAAACCAGAACAACAAAAGAACAAAGTCCTTTCCCTGATATCAGCGGTTGTCTCCATGAGATTCGTGATTGTTACCTTTCAGGGTGGTGTATTCAACTCGCGCCTGCAATGGGCTTTTGCATCAACTACAATCCTCTGCCAACACACGAACAGCTCTCTGGGCCGTTCCGACAAAGGCCTCATCCACGGAGTTCCGCCGACTGGAGATCGTGCACCCATGCCCTTGGCCCCATCAGTGTACTCATCTTCCTTTCCTTTCACTTTGTGGAGCGCCGAGTGTCTCAGTCAGTGATCGACACCGTCCGTGGGGGAGCCCGAGCTTCGTGCCTCTCATGATTCACATGCCGTACGTCTTGGGCTACGGAGCATTTGCGGGGGGCTGGACGTGTATATCATCTGCTTTTTCCCATGATACAAGACCACTCGCCTATCATTTGGTATGTTGCCCCCTCCAATCTGATTACCGGAAGGATCGTCTCCTGGATCGTCTCCTGGATCGTCGCCAGGTGCTGCATCTCCTGCCCGGTCACTGTATCCTCGACACCAGCATGGTGAACCTCATTCTGGTTTCTTCCTCAGTCAAATCCGATTCCCTAGTGAGTTCTTTGATTTCCCGGCATCGTCCTCTCTACTTTTGGCATGGATCTGTTCCTTGCAGCGGCGTCCACGTTCAACGGGCCGAGATCATCCCAGGGAGCGGCTGCAATGCTCGCATCCCATCACGGAATTCCTCTTCCGCCACCACGGCCTAGGCAATCGCGTTGTGGAGGCTAATCCAGCCGATGTGCATCGAGCGGTGGCGTGTGGGCGAGTGGCAATATGGATTCGTAATGCGGGATCGCCATGATGCCTGGTCTGGTCAGTCGTCAAGCAGGCGTTAGATGACAGTGCGGAGTGCAGTCCGCCCGCATGAGCACCGGCCCCGCCCATATCCCATGAATGCCGGTGGTCGGGCTTCGAAACCCGTGGTTGTCGCAAATCCGTAAACTCACGCACGAGTCAAGCTGCATGAGGCTATTCATTGACAGAGCAGTATAGTGTCAATCCCAATCTGGGTTAGACCCACCCACTCCACACTCGGGACGGCCAGTGGGCAGTGGGCAGGAGTGACGGGCTGAGTGCTGACCACTGCATGGAGTTCGCCTTACCTAAAGGCCCCTCCCATGCGGTAGTAATGCGATGGAAACCTCCCGACAGCCTCTCGAGTCTCGACCCTCCAGACCGCCGGCTGCTTACAATTGCCTTTGCAGCGATTGAGACAGCCGTACGTCGAATGTCTCACCGGGTGACAAATATTTGGGCCATCTGCAAGACGCAAGTGTCATTGCCCATTGCATTGTCTGTATTGCTTGCATTGTTATTATCTGCAGGTGTTGCTTTTTCCCTTCCCTATTTTTTTGGCGCTTCAACACCCCGCTCTTCAGCCCCCAGCTGAATGGGGGGGGGGGAGGGGGGGGGATAATGTAACCTCATTTTCTTCATCCTTCAGCTTTCGCACTTCCGCCGGATAAACATATCCAGATAGGTAGTCAGCCTTACTGTGTAGAGTGTAGAGTGTAGAGCAGCAGCAGCAGTACTAGTAACCCAAAAACTAGCAGTGCAGTAAGCACCCCACAACCAAACTCTCGGTCAGACCATCAGTCACTTACTCACTCACTCACTCACTCATCCAAGCACAGACCGTCTAGCAGTATACACTACTACACAGTATAGTCATCTGATGCAAAGTGCAAAGTCAAGCATCCATGCCCAGGAACACACACCGTAGAACCCGAAAAGCAACAATGGAACGCAACCCAGTCGGTAACGCTAAAGGGCAACAATCCACAGTCTCTGTGCGTGCGTAAAGTGTAAACTGGAAGCGATCCACGGCCAGCCCCCGCCAGGCCCGGCCAGCTGAACTGGAGGGTCCACGGTTAAGTAAGCATTCAGACGAGGTTAGGCTTTTGATTTGGTCTGGTGGTTCCCGTGGAAGTTGCCTACTCTGTTAGATAGCCCCATTGTTGTTACTGTTTCTGTTATTGTTATTGTTATTGTTATTGTTATTGTTATTGTTATTTTTTGGAAGGGGGGGGAGGGTTCTGGACGCACGCCGACGGAGAGTGTCCGGTCATCTCTGCAAGCTGCATAATAAGTCGATTTCAGAGAGGAATGGAATGGGAATGAGGACGGGTTTATTTCATGCTCCGAGGTCATCCTATTGGATTATGCAGGTTGAGGCTAAATCGAGGGCTGCTTTAGCTTGTCTTGGGTTGGCTTGGGGAGGATGTCTGCCTGGGCGGTTGGAACTTACTTGTATGGATATGTTGGATATTCGATATTAATTAGTTGTGGGTAATGGGTTGCGGACTGGATGGTGGGTTCAGGTTGTGTGGGTTATGGGTTGTGGGTATGATTTAATATGATTAACAGCTTGAAGAATGGTTAGGTAAGGAAGGCTAAGGATGGATGCCTGTCTAAGAAGGAAGGCACGTTCTTGCTTTGGTGTTTGGATGCTTACCTAGATACTTACCTCATCTAGTATTGTACTTCATCTCATCTCATCTCATCTTAGCTCAGCTTAGCTCTAGATATAGCATAGCATGCACATACCACTTCGTGACCTCTTCAATATACTTACACCACACCACTGACCACAGTCCCTCCCCTACCTTAGGTAGATCCAAGATAGTATCCAGTATCCAGAACCAGACAGAATACCCTCGGCAACGCAACCCTCTCGCCACGTGGAGAATATCCAATCCCATCCCCAATTCCACCATCTCAATTGGACCGACTTCAGCCCCCCCCTCCCCCCCATCAAAACCAATCCCTCTCCTTCAAGTCCAATCTCCATCTCAAGGATGGAGAAGAATGCACCCCCTCAGTCTCAGACCAGACTCTCAGTAGTACTATTCTAGTGACCGCACGCCGCAGTGGATCCGTCCGACCGACAAAAAAGTGTGGTTTTCTCCCGTCGGCTGGTTTCCACAATAATCCAGTCCCAGCCCACCAAGTTTTCCTGGTCGTTGTTTCATTTCATTTCAATTTTGTTTTTGTTTTGCCGGGTCGACCCGGTCGGTTCGACTCGAACTGTCGTGTGCTTGCCTGCCTTGCCTGCCTTGTGATTGTTACTGAGCGAGCCAGAAATCGGGAGGTAAGGTATTGTTACTTACGGTACGGAAAGATGGTAAACTTGGGTCGTACTTGGGAGTGGGAGTGGTGGTGGTAGTGGTGGTCACTGTGGTGATACCTCGCCTTGCCTCCGCTCCGTCACTGATGCTGTGGTTACATTGCACGCACCTGCCTGCCTGTCTGTCTGCCTAGCCTGATCTACTTGCCCGGGGTCCGGGGATGGAATGGGAGGATGGATGGATGGATGGATTGATGGATTGATGAATTGTAAGACGTTCCATCGGATCGGAAGGTTAAGTTAGTAGCTATCTACCTAGGTAGGGGTCAGGCTAGCTGGCTGGTCTAAAAGAAAGTCGAGGCTGAAGATACTCTCCCTCCGATAGACGATAAGAAAACACCCCGACTTTGTGAACGCGGAGGATTATCGACGTAAGTAAGTAAGTAGCTGTAAGTAAGTCGGAAAGATGACGGGCTGATGACCTATCCGAAATCACCAGCTCCAACAAGAGGTCCGAGGGATGCGGATGTCCGGTGCAGGTCGATAGTACCTGTCTACCATCTGGCATCTATGGAGACATGGTTGGGTTGATAGATCTAGAACCCATTACCTATATACTTTTATACAGGGGTTGAGGATCTATCGCGATAAGAGAACGACCAACCAACCCAGATGCCATCCTGATAGCGTGCCATATCCAAGGCATGGGTCCAAAAGGTTGCTGCATCGTGACGTGACCATCGCGGGAATCAAACGTATCTAGGATCTAGTGTATCTCCCCGGTCGCAAGCGGCTCAGGTTGAATCCTGGCCCTCGTCCATCATCCATATTGGTTCGGCGAAATCTCGTCAAAACTCGAGGATTTCTGACTTAGATTTCTTTGAGACATTCCCCCGTTGCTGGGACAAAACGCGTCCAATGAGCGGAGATGCCTTCCTCTGGGAATCCTTCCGGGTGAGGATTCGCCAACTGCTCGACCACTCTAGGTGTCCGTCTGTACTTACTCTGTGCTCCGTGCTCTGTACTACTTCTGTACGCGATGCACTTCCCGTACGGAGTACTGTGTATGGCGTACTCCGTACTCCGTACACCATCGAGATATCACCTACAGCGGCTGCACGCCGCATGCAGTGGTGGGTGATGCGTCCGGCCTCAAGGAAGATAGATCCGTGGGATCGGAGGGTTGGCCGCGCCAACTAAGGTTTAATAGACCCGCGAACTCAATGGGACTGACTCTTTGTCTCGCCCGGTATCTATACCTCCGTGCCAGCCTTGCGATGACCGTTCCCAGGAGGGAGTGTACACTGTAGATACCTCTCCCTCTCCCTCTCCCTCTCCCTACTACCTACTACCTCACCGTCAGTTTGGGTGCTGGTCCGAGTGTAGGTACTCCGTACGGAGTCCTTCCCAGTTCCCAGACTAGCCTGCCGTCCTCGAGGGAAGGATTCCAGGCCATTCACGTTGGGCGAATACGATGGACGGGCACAGCAAATCGGAGCCGAGGGAAAGGCAGGGCTTGTTCGTCCTGCCGTTCGTTCGTTGAATGTGAATGAAACCTCCCTCCCATCTGACTGACTCACTTACCCCGACATGATTCTCTGCACAGTACATAGATATCTGCGACATCGCCTCGAGCAGCCAGTGTGTTACTCCGGACTCCGGGGTTTCCCAAAGATTGAGGCGCCGGTGATAAACAGGAGGTGATCCAGATATTTGGGCAGAATGAACAGCGGCGCCCGGCCTCAAGATGCCACCGGGCGAAACATCAGGTCCGCCCCGTCCGTCTTGTTTCGTCCCTCTCGCCCGGGTTCCAAGCCAGATAGGCAAAAAAATAGCCGTTGCCTGCGCGTCGGGCGTAGACAGACTATAGAGTTTAGAGCAATGGGATGAATCCCGATCGTCCCCCGGGCAGCAGCATCCTCCTCCATGTGACCGGCGGGATAGCCCTCGCATCCCGCGCTCTTACTCGGTTGGGTTTGGGGTGAAGTGGTGGCTGACAGCGGGATGAGCGACCTGCAGAGGATCCAATATTCGGGAAGGCAGCATCGTAAAGGATCTGGTGGTGACTAGTACGCTTGTGATATGGTAACCGCGCCGTGCAATCTCCTGGAGGATTGATTATATGTATGTGATGACGGTGATTGCCCCGGACGAAGATCATGGTCCTGTCCGAGGGAGGGAGGGAGGAAGCTCACTTCATCCCGAGGATCCTATTCCTGGATAGATACTACTCCCTAGTGACCGTAGTATTTATTTCTTCCATAGGAATCGCGATGGACCAGTCGAGATCAACGCTCTGCTCCTGCCGGAGTCGGTAGTTACTGGGATAGGGCGGAAGGGATCAACTATCAAGGTGCGACCCTGGTTTGTATCGGAATCCTCGGGCAGGGGAGGCGGCAATTATTAGATGCACCTCGAGAACATCGATCCCATGATTACTTACAATCGGGACGGGTGTTTCTCTTGTGTTTTCTTTTTCTTTTCTTTTTTCCTTTTCTTTTCTTTTCCCCCCTTAGTCTATGAAACCAAGCCCGCGAAGAAGAAAAAGGGGGAGGGCAGCGAGAGGCGATCAACAAAGAAATATTCTGAGGGTGCATTCCTGTAATTGAGGTTCCTTGCCGAACAAGTGGCTGCATTGGGCAGTTCCTGGTCGGAAGCTGCGCGGGCAGGTGTTTGCTGACCATCCATCCATCCAGGCTGGAGGAATCGAAGCCATATCCAGTTACTGCATACTGCGTCCTTACGCTGCCTACTATGGAAGTATCTATGGATAAACATTATTTATTACATTTACACTTTCCCGCCCGCGAGTCTCCATAACATCGAAAATGGCGCAGTGGGAGAATTTGACTTCTTCCATCTCCTGTTCTACAGACCTTCGATTGCGTAAAATCCGGCTTAGCGGCCAACCCGCCGTCCCGTCAAGCTGGTCCCGTAACTTACCGTCCTCGGTAACCCCGGGGTTCTCTCCCAAAGTTCCAGGTTCCTTACGGCCGGGTTACGCGGCGGGTGGCCGTGTAGAGTACTGGTAGTAGTACCTAGATGCTACCACAACAACATAAGGTTTTCTTTATCCCTGGCAGAACCGTTGTACGTTCATCATGATTACGAAAGTCTCGAGTGAGATCGGCGGCAGCTTGGGCGGATAAGTTCTCTCGTCCTGGATCTCGCGCGGCGTTTAGCCGTCCAAACCAGAACTCCATAGTAATCCATATGCCTGTCCCTCCATATTGGCATCTAGTCGCATTAGGCCGGAACCGTTTTCTGTCGGGCTCCATCCGCTGACAGCCTGGAGGGGACTAGGTCCTTAGTGATCTCGGCCTGCCACAGGCGATTCGTCCAGATGCGAATCAGATAAATAAGCGCAATATCGAGCAGACTGGGTCTCAGCATCCGAAGCATTAATTTGGAGTATCCACGCTGCGGAGACCCCCTCCATGGGCGGTCAGTTCGGGTCATTGAGTACGGTAGTATTGTATGTCTGTATGTCTGTAGATAGATACTAAGGTAGCTAGCTGATCGACTGGGGAGTCTGTCCGTGGTCGGTAGACTAGCAGTAGTGGCCCAACCATGAATGGTTTTCCATGGAGGCAATGCTTTGGCCACCGGGCCACAGGAGAACCGCAGTTGGTAATCGGGTTGTTCGTTGGGCCTTGACTGGAAGAAAGAAGGAAGGAAGGAGGGAAAGGAAGGAAGAACGGAAGCCAGCTCGGAAAGCTTGGTAAGGTTACCATACGCGATCATACAGCATGTAATTACCAAACCAAACACCGGCCAGGCCAGACTTCTCTCCGTCTTTCTCTGCTTCCTGTGAATTCCATACGCAGCTGATGCAGGCTCCACATCCGGGCTGTTCTCCCCCCCCCCCCCCCTTCCTTTCCGATATCCTTCATTGTAGGAACTAAACTAAAGCAAAGTTACTCAGTAGTAGTATCAGACCCAGCCTGGAGAAAGAACTGAACTACTAGTCACTCCCACCCAGTCCCTCCTCCACTTGTACTCCTCCACTCCTCCACCCTTCCTCCTCCATCGCTTAAACACTCTTATTCTCACCCTCTCGTCCTTCTTTTCCTCTTCCTTCCTTTCCTTCTTTCTCCCCCCCCCCTCCCCCCTCTCCTCTCACCCCCTCCCTGTCCTTGTTCTGCAAGCTGGTCTTTGCAGCTTCATTGACTGCAGTGGCAATTTCACTTTCTCTCATATTCTGGGTCTGAGCCAGCCATATCCGGTTTTCTCTGCCCGGCATCCTCTGTCCGTCCGCCGGTTGTCCTGCGTCATTGTGACCATCCCACCACCGTCGTCACCTTGACTGCATTCTGGAAAGCATGTATTGCAATAATGGTCTAACATGGTTGCTGGGAACTGTTAGACGTTAACTCACTTGCCGTCGCGGACATGGATTTCATTGTAAGTGGCTCTGCTCTCTTTTCCTCGCGTCTCCGGCATCGCCTGGGTCGGTATAACCTCTCGCGGGCCCTGCTGGCCATGTGTGAGCATGTGTGAGCCTGATGTTCCTCCCCGGCAAGCCTTACCTCTGAGGCGCGCCCTGATTCCTTCTCGCGCTCTCACCGCGCAACCCGCGCAACAATACAATGCCCGCGTGCGACCTGGCAGGGAGTCCCGTTCGCCCTCGTCCTCCCCGCCGGCCAGTCTGGATGCTGCATCCACGCCCGCCTCGATTAGGCTAACACCTCCCTCCTTCTAGCTTTCTTTGACGCACTTCTGCGAGGTGCATGGTCCCACCTCGATTATCTGCTCGCAGGTTCTACCATTCCCCTGCGCGCAATGCTACCCCGACCTCTCCGACTTTTCTCCCGACGATACCCCTGCCAACTCTCACGATACGACCTCCTCTCATGGCCTGCAGAGTCGCGCCAACGGCAAACCCATCCTGAATAATAAACTTTCCGAAAAGCATCTCGACCCATCCGACAAGTCTCCCAAAATCGAAGACCATCCGTACTTTCTCAAAGGGCAGACCTCGCCGGCTGAGGCCCAGCAGAAGCTCAATCGTCTGGGAGGCGCGGATGGCGATACCTGCGCCAGTTGTAGCCTGACCTTACCCGACGATGTGAGCAAGCAGCTGCCTCCTGGTGCTCCAGGAACGGCCAGAAGCGACGGCAAGGGAAGAAACGGCAGCCCGGTCTTGCGATCCCGCGAAGTGGTCTACTCCTGCGGCACTAATCGAACCGACCACGATGATGGCGCACACGAACCGCACAGTCACGCGTCCTACCCCGACTCCCTCCACTCCTCCTCCGTCAACTCGGATACCTCCTGTCACACGCACCTCCTCACCTACCTCTCATTGCGCGGGCCACCAAACCCGGCTGATTACGCCCTCCTGCGACGCTCCTCCATTCGTACCCTTAGTTGCGAACTACTACCGCGAGGGCTCTCCTCCGGTCCGTTGTGCTTCGGCGACTCCAGCGCGGGCTATACGATCGCCTACATCTTCCGTCTGCCCGACCCTATGGCTCGCGGGAAAAGACGCAGCTATGCGCTTGTGGCCTTGGCGGGCAAGGATGCTGGCAGGGCCTTTCGCGCTTGCCCCGTGATCTGGCGCGCCTTTGGTCGGATTGCGACGGGGATTGTCAACTCGGCGGAGAGATACCAGGAAGACGAGAAGCGTCGCGAGGAGCAGAACAACACTGCTAATAGACGCGGGAGCAAACAGTTCACGCCGGTGTCGTCTTTTCTCACGGGGCGCACCCTTGATCCAGATGGACAGGCTCGCCGACCTGGCCAGGTGCGGGCGAGAAACCTCTCGGAAATTGTGGGCAACCAGTACATCTTCGCAGAAATCCATGCGCACTTTGTCGCGCTCCTGCAACAGCTGGGCACGATGTTTGGGACCACCCCCATCTCCGACGAACGATTTATTTGCAGCACCTTGCGCGAAGGAGAAAGCCCCAGTTCTTCGCGCCAGTCGACCTTGGTGGCTGGCGGAAAGGAAAAATCGAAGGACAAGCTTTCGAAACAATACGAAGACGGCGACCTGGGCATGTCTACCCTGGATATTTCCTCGGGTCCGAAGCCCATCCCTATCGCGCCTCGTCGCCAAGTGATCGCCTAGATTGCGCATCATACACCTACAACCGCCCGATAGACTGCACCCTTGACTCGGTCTTTCACACCATCTCAACTACATAAACGCGGAGTAATTCAAACATTGTCCGCATTGCATATTGCATTCCTCCCCCTGCAATCTGCAGCCCTGTGATGCAAGACGAACATCACATGATACATTTTCTTCGGCGTTACTTCTGGTTCATGGATGCGGCTCGATATAGACTACGGCGTCCTTTAAGAAAGCGGAGCGGAGTTATGGTACATTTACAGGATACATACCTCCACGGTTTTCTTGTCTTTTTCCAGCGTGGGTAGACGAGCGATCTGATCTGGATTTCTTTTCCCCTCTTTTTTTGTCTTTCTTGTCTCTCTTCCTTTCTTCCGATCGCCGTCGGACTGTTTTACTACATCTAATAATGACGCGCGGGGACGAATGACGGACGCTTGTTATCATGATTTGAATGCCAATTACGAGCGGATGAGAGATGAGCTTGTGAGGTATTTAGCATGCAGCATGCAACCAACATGAACAACAACATACAATGTACTTTATGGCACCCACCGACCTTATTGGGACTTAATCAATGATTGTGACTTACTTATTTCACCGTTCCATACTTTCATACCTGGAAGCTGTAGTACAAGCACATGCATGCATGCATGCACCCATCCTTACACCCGATAAAGAGACCTTACCTTGGGATACGGGGGGGATGATAGATAGACAGTTCTAGACCTCGTATAGAAACCACGGATCTATATGGCCCTTAGGCGCTGTACTACGCACTAGCCTCAAAGTCTAAGATAAAGCTACCCCAGCTACGGAGTAACTTCTCCATATATTTATTTATTTGGGTAGATAACTAGGGAGATAGGTACGTCCTTACTCTTAGATAGGGAGATACAAAAGTACCCCCCCTAACCAGATCCGGAACCCTGAGAGATCGTTATCACTGCCAACCAATCATTTATTCTTTTTTTTTTTTTTTAATTCTTACTTGCTTGCTTTTTCACTGGGTGGATAGCGGGAATATCACTACTTTGTATGGAGTAATTAAAGTAAGATAAGCTAAACTAAACTAAGATTGTGAGATAATAGGTAGGTATGCTAACTGTTAAGAGTGTGGAGTGTGGAGGGAAGGGAGAAGGTATAGATAGTAGGTGTAACGTTGGAGTGGAGTATGGATGGATGGATGGATGGATGGATGGATGGATGGATGGATGGATGTATGACGCCATCTACCTACAGTCCTCTTTCTTTCTTTCTTTATTTCTTCCTTTCTTTTTTTCTCGGCTTATTCTTTCTTATCTTCAAACTGACTCGCCAATTATGATTGGAATTATGATTGGAAAATGAAGATTAATTTCGGATTTCCCGAAACTCCCATCCTCCTTCCTTCCTTCCTTCCTTGCTATCTAGTTAGTCCCACGTAGACTTATCCATCTAGTCTCGTTCCCTGAATCCTTGGTTTCGGGACGTCTGGCCAACTAGCCAACTAGCCAGCCAGGCAGCAAGGCAGGGAAGCGGGCGAGCGAACCAGGATGAGGATCCTGCGCGGCGGGCGATTGGGTTGGCGTTGCGTTAGTTGGGACTTGGGCTGGTTAGGGACTCTGTGGGTTCAAAGGTTGGGGTGGCGGCGATGCCGACGGGATGACGGACGGACGGGTCGGGAGGCGGAGGTGATGCCTAACGGGGTAGGTCGATGGAGATGGAGATGGGGGTCATTTATTTAGGATTTAGATATTTGTGTACCTATCTATCTATCTATCTGTCTGTCTGTCTGTGTTTCTTTCTATGTTTCTTTGTTTGTATAGTACGGGGTATATTAATTGGGTTATTGGATAGTGTGGTGGTGTGGTGGGTAATGTACTATATCTACTATGTGGGATTCAAGTATCTAGGTATCTAGATACTCTATAGATAACTGGAAGTAAGTTATAAGATCTACTATAACTTACTCTAATTATTCTTTCTGGTGAGAATAACTGGACAATAACCCGGGGCACTAGTATCTCTAAAGTATGCCGATGTAGTTAGCGATTATCTTATTTTTTTTTACCGCCTGAGAGAGATCCTATATGATTCTGGAAGTAAAGCCGCGTAATACTAAAGATTATAGAAATAGGAAGAAGTTATAATAAGTTCCGAACTGCTGTACAAAGTGCTGAAATATTAGATTTAATAGACATAATCTAGAAATTGATACTTCCTGAAGTCGCAAGTGAGTCCTGTTTGCTGCTTTGTCTTAAGATATTATTTCTTGGGCTATTTATATACAAGTATATCTTTAGATATCTCCAAACCAGTTCTCCCAGACAGTCATATCGATTAATCCCATTCTTATATTATATCTAAGAACTATTTATTAAAATAAGGGGCTTTCAGAATGGACTGCGGCAGGCCTGAGAAATAAGTGTGGTACTATATAATTACTAGAAAGTAGAATGTCTTTTTTGCTTAATATACAGCATGCGAGAAAGGCCGTTCAAGTCTGAATTCAGGTTAAACCGCCATATTAGACATATATATCACACACGTATTTGATGCCCCGATCCTGCCTGCTATGAACTGTTAAAGAAACGATAAGAAATTACTATAAATCATATACACTTTTATCACATGTCTCACTGAAGTTTATCATGAACAATCTTATAATACAAGATCTAAATCTTATTCGTGCAGCGAGAAGAATTTGCCGTGTTTATATCTACCAACACTGACAGCTTTGTTTGGTCAGGTTAGTTACATCATACGAATAATTATTTCCATAAAGGCTCTCGGGTTGATAACATGTGGCAAGCTGGCTATTTACAGAGCTGCATAGGAGATACTCGTTCTTGTCGATTGAAAATCTTATTAGAAAGTTCAACCCCAAAAAGACCCTTAATTGAGATATAGATTGACAACAACGTCTTCACCACTGTGGGGAGGTTTCCAGGCCCAAGCTCTGGTCTGTTTATGGATAACGCACCCTTTCATCGCTCTAGGAGAGTAGAGCAAATGTGCATTGAGAAAGGAGTCTGTTAAGCGCCCAATATCACCCGCAAGAATAAGATATTCTGCACAAACTGGAATTTCGTAAGATGGATATTCTAAAACGCAAGAGTGTCTATAAGGAAGGAATTAGACTTTAGGGGTGTGCGCACAGAATTAGGCAGAATTGGGTAGGTACTTAGGTATAGTAGGTAGCTACGTCAGTAAGGGCGGAGGGAAGGGGTAACTAGGGGAGGTACGCCGACTTAGTACATAAAGTAGTACCTAATACGTTCAAATATGCCCTTGCTTATGGGAATGGACATGGGCATGGACATGTGCATGTGCATATGGCAGGCATACAGCATATGCGCGTAGGCTAAACCAACAGCACCAGTAACCAATAATATTCCCAAACAAACACTGGTATGGTTCTTTACCTGGTTGGTGTGTTGGGCTCGGAGTGATTAATTCGGAGTGCAGGACATAACTATACATCCCGAGGTCCACGATGTGATCCAGTCACGTGAAGAAACATTATCATGTCCAATTCATACAAGAAGTTAAAAAAAAAAAAGAAGAAAATAAGAATAAAACGAAAACAGTGAGACCCGAATTCCAACCCTCGCAGTATACAAAGTATCGACCGTAAACAAAGACAAGAAAATCGTCATCATCCGCGAGATATCCAGATATCCAGTCCCACACCGCACACCCTTAACCGGCAGAACCGTCCCAAAAAGCAGTCATAACATGCATAAACACAGTCCGGCCAATCATCGCCGGGTGATATAGTCCTTGTTTTCGATCGTCACACTCTTCGTCATGTGGTTGACCTTGTAAACGCCGACCAGTCGAGCCGCGAGTTCGAACTATGGCTGTCAGTGAGGTTCCGGGGGTCTTGCCGGGAAGGAGGCTTACCATGTTGTTTCTCAAGGAAATCACAATAAACTGCGCGTTCTTGGTCCGCTCTTTGATATAGGACGCCACAATCGAAACCTAACTCATTAGCTGATGAAACCTTTCGAGTCGGCTGGGGGCACTCACGTTTCTAAAGTCCAGGGCAGCATCGATTTCGTCCATGACGTACAAGGGAGTCGGCTTGTAGTGGTGCAGAGCGAACACCAGCGCCAGACTGGAGAGGGTCTTCTCACCACCAGACAGATTGCCGATGTTCTTCCAGCTCTTCTTGGGGGGCATGACGGAAAACAGAATACCCTCGGAGAAGGGATCCAATGAGTCGACCAACTCGAGCTCCGCGTTACCTCCCATGGTGATCATCTGGTACATCTCCTTCAGGCGAAGCGAGATAATGCCGAATCCTTCCATGAATCCGTTCAGACGAGCCGATCGGAGGCCGTCAAGGCGAGCCTTGGCGCCATCGCGAGATGCGAGGGCAGTGTTCAGATCTGCCGAACGTGCTTCGTGTTCAGTCGTTCTGCGACGATACTCCTCGATAACGCTGAGATCGACCGCCGAATTCTGCGTCTTCTCTTCCAAGGCAGCAATACCCGCCTTCAGAGACTCCTTGTTCATCTCCGACAGCTCGTCTTTGGTAAACATCTGAAGATCAGTTGCTTCTTGCTCCTCACCCAGGTCGCTAACATTCTGCAGCGTGAGCTTGGAAAGCTTCTCTTGCCAGTACCTGCCGCGCTTCTCGTTCTCAGACAGGGCCTTTTGGTTCTCCTCGAGCTTGTTGCGCATTTCAATCTCCGTGGCGCGGGATTCGTTTAATTCCGCCACCTTCTCATCAAGCTCGTCCTTCACCTTCTTGAGGCCCTCTTTCTTCTCGTCAATAGCCTATTGTTGTCAGTTACTGTTATGGAATAAGTGGTTTGCTATTCGTACCTCTTGGGCCTCCTCCACCTTCTGCTTCCAGCCAGACGCATCATTGGCCTGGCTGGCAACGTCGTCATTGAGTTTCTCCAGCTCCTCGGACACATGCTCAAGCTCTTTCTCGGCTTCAGCACGGGCATTCTGGTGCTTGTTGATGAGCTTCTCGTTCTTGGACTTTCCGACCTCCGCATTGGAGATCTCCTCAGAAAGAAGACTGATCTGCTCTTTGAGACCGTCGACCTTTGCCTTCTGGCCTCGTAGCTTCACACCACCAACCTCCATGATCTTGTTTTGGAGGCTCTGGATCTCCTCTTCAATACCGCCCTTCTGTTCACGAAGTCCCTCGATCTCTTCCTCCAGAGAGGCGATTTGTTCCTCAAAGGCCGCGGCTTGGCTTGCATCTGTCTTTGATGGCTTATGTTCGGCGCGCAGTTCTTTCACCCGGCGCTGGGCGTCCGCGAGGCTCCGACTGGCACTTTCGATTTCGATCATAATCTTTTGGATCTTGGTCTCCACCCGCGGGATCTCCTCGGATCTTTCCCTAATCGCTGCCTCCATCTGCCGTTGCTTCTCCTGGAAGTTTTGGAATTTTCTCTCCATCTCCTCCAGATCGCCCTCAAGCTGGGCCACTTGCTCTCGGCTCGTCTCGGCCACTTGCTTGGATGACATACCGCCGCGCGCGACACGGGTACCACCACCACTCATGGTACCGGACATGTCAATGAGCTGGCCGTTGAGCGTGACGACTCTCCACCGTTTGGCTCCATAGGCAATCCGATTGGCGTGCTCCAGGTCTTTGGCGACCAAGGTGTTTTGCATCACGCTATAGAAAGCCGGAGCAAATTTGGCATCTTTGGGCTTGACCAAGTCAAAGAGTCGTGGAACCTTTTCGGGGGTCGAGATGGGGGAAAGGTCTCTCCGAGGAAGTCGGTCCAGAAGGATGAAGTTGGCGCGGCCGAGGTTGTTCTTTCGCAAGTAGTCAATACATTGTTGTCCGACTTCGACCGTGTCGACTACCATGTTGTCCAATGCAGGACAAGCAGTCGAAATGGCGACATCATACTTCTGGTCAATAGTTCCGAGGTTACCAAGTCGACCGTGGAAGCCTTCGATACGGCCTGATTCTTTCAAACGCATGAGCCCAGAAAGAACACTGCCCCGGTTTTGGGTGCTCGCAAGGCTTGCCCGAGCCTCCTCCGCCTTTTGGCGGGCACTAGAGACATGGGTGCGCACTTCAGGCTCCCTCTGTGCGTATTTCTTGAGATCATGCGTCAGCTTTGCGACCTCTTCTTCGAGAGTCGATTGCTGCGCCTTGCGCTCCTCAAGATCGGTCTCTTTGGTTGCCAAAGTTTCTTCAATGGAAGCTACCTTGGCCTGTGCCTCTTCCAACAAGACAGCACCAGCGTTGCTTCGCTCGCGGATGATGTCAAGCTGACTTTGAGCTACCGCAACAGCCGACAGCTTCTTGTTGATCTTCTCATCCCAGGGCTCCAATGACTTCTGTTTCGCAGCGATCTTATCAGAAAGACCCTGGGTTTTACCCTTCAAGCTTTCACGGATCGAGGTCAGCTCTTCCTCCTCCTCCTGCATCTCGCTTTCAAGCTTCGTTGTTTCCTTTGTCTTCTTCTCAATGTCGTCCGAAAACTTTTGCACCAGGCTCTCACATTCCGAGGCAGCCAGACGGGTGGTTTGCATGGTCTTTTCCAACTTCTTCTGCTTTCCTACAAGAAATTTCTTCTTCTCCTCAAACTTGACAGATTCCTTGTCATACTTGGCCATTTCCTTGGCAATCGCTTGCATCTCTTTCTCCATGCTTTCGTATTCCCGCATGCCGCGTTTGTAGGCCTTCTCAAGCTCCTTGATGCCGGACTCGTTTCCTTCGTGCTTCTCAAGCTCGAGGTTCAGGAGTTCCTGCATCTGGAGGATAGCCTCCTCGGTAACCCGGATATTGTCAGCGCACTCGTCGATGTAGATCTGGTAAAGTGCCGACTGTTTCTGAGACAGCTCATTCTCGTCGCGAATGAATGCAAGCGCTTTGTCTTTCTTCTCCACCAAGGCATCCCTTTCCTTCTCGACGTGCTGAACACGGTTGTTTTTCTCCACACAAACATCGTTCAGCCCCTCAAGCTCGGTGGCCGCTTCGTCGATCGGTGTCTTGTATTTGGATGTTCCAATGATGTCCTCGAGATATTCGAGAAGTCCGTCTTCGTGCTCGTTGGCGGCTTTGGGCTTCATCTGAGCGATCGACTCAACTTCACCCTGGAGAATAAGGAAGCGCTTATGGTCCAGGTCGATCCCACGGCCACGGAGCAGGGTGGTCACGGTGGTGAAGTTTGTTTCCTTGGCATTCATGTAGTATTTGCTGGTGTTGTTGCGGAACGCCTTTCGCGAGATAATTAGTTGGGAATCTGGGACTATTTCTTGCCCTCCAGTGGGCAGATCGAAGACCTCCTGGAAATGGACCTCGACTTCACAGAAGGGCAGGTTGGGATGGTTGGCCGAGTTATGAATCAGAGCCGAGACTTTGCCCTGTCGCATCTTGCTGGCTCGGAAACCGAATACAAACAGCAACGCGTCGATAACGTTGGATTTTCCGGATCCATTGGGCCCGACGACTGAGGAGAAGGAGGCGTGGAAGGGTCCGACAATCTGTTTTCCTGCATAACTCTTAAAATTCATCAGAACGAGGGTAGTGATAATTAGGCGACTCTTGGGTTCTGCCGGCTCCTCGGGGGCTGAGGGAGCAAGCGACCGTGACTTCAACATGATATCCATCGGCTTATCGAGGACGGTGGAGTTCGGATTGATGATATTGATTTGCGATTTCTGTTCGTCGGCACGCTTGGACGGCGTCTCATTGACTGCGGTTTCGGTTATATCGGCGAGGGGGGTACACTGCTTCTCTGCGATGGGGCCTGAGATTTCGGCGAGATGGAGGGTTCTGGAGTTGGGAGTGAGGACTTTTTCGGGCATGCCATGGAGGGGGCCCGCGTCTTGCTAGGATAAACCATACGTTTTATTTTCCTTGCCGAAGCCGGCTTCTGCGTAGGGGTTTCACTTTCTTTCACCGTCGCGACGCTATCGCCCTCCTCGTTCGTATCGGTGAGTTGCGACGCCTCCGGCTGCTCTGGGGCCGTCGACTTGCGCGGTTTCCGTGTAGTGCGCGCGGCATTTGGCGTAGACGCAGTTGTTGTAGACACGTCGGCGGAGATTCGCCTGCGCTTGACGACTTTCTTGGGGGCGGGGGTGTATTCTTCGCTGTCCTCCTCATTGTGCTGCGACTGAGTGGGGGTGACATTGCCGGGATCCTCCTCCTCGGGAGTCTCTTCCCTAGCATAGCTCCTGCGGGCGGTGGCAGAGCGCCGGGTTGGCCTGCGCCTGGCGATAGATGACATGGTTAAGGGGAGATGGGGATGATAGGGGTGGCCAGTGGGTGCGTCATGAAGGCGAGCGTTGCGAAGTCGAGGTTGGAAACGCCGCCGGCGGAAAGTGGAAAGTGGGTTGTTTACTTCCCCGCCCGGAACGGCAAGGTGTTGTTTTTCTGCCATAACATGCCTCACCGCCCTCTGGTATCGGCGCCGCCGCCGCGATTCGTCGGGCGGTTCTACGAAAGTACGAAATAGAGCTCAGGTCAGGTCAGGTCAGGTCAGGTCAGGTCAGGTACTTCACCCCTCACTCGCACAGCCACCCGCTCAAGATGGCGCCCTGGGACGACTTCGACTCCATCTTCTACTTCAATAAGAACTTCACCTACGATGGCAAAGTCATTGAGCAGATCGTCTCCAACCGCCGAGCGCTAGAAAACCGGCTGTTCGCCGACAGACTTCTGGGGTTGACCGGTGTTAAAGCAGGTATGTCCCCCAATGCTAACAATTGGAACCCTTGGCTAACGAGGCACCCTCCAGTGGCCCAGCTATACCCTCCGAGATCGAACTCCGACCTCCGGGCTCTTGTCGGCCACATCGTCTCCTCCCCGCTCGACATACACCACAAGCAAGCCTTGGTTTACTACATCCTAAAAGATTGTCGCGCCGCCAGCGATGCAGCCTCACAGTTTTCGCGCCGGTGCCATCTGCCGGAGAAGTACAGGCTGTTCATTGAAGGGCTCTGGAACCTCGACAGGCTTGAGTTTAAGGTGCGTGCATCTCAGACCTGCGATTGGCTATAACCTCTGACCAGGATGTGCGAGCAGCGAGCAATCGAGTACCTGACTGAACCGTCGATCATCCCCACCTTTCCGGATGAGATCCTCTACGTTCTTACCCTCCCTCAGCTCCCAAAGCACGACGACAGCCTCGTCATGGCCTACTACCTCACCGTCGCCCCACCTTTGGCATCCGACAAGGTCCAGCAGACATTCTTCAAAACACTGTGTCGCGGAAGCATCACAGAAGCCTTCTACTTCACACGCAAGTACGACGAAACGCTACGACGAAACTACCTTACGCAACTCATCGAGTTTGTGCACACTACGGAACCGGGTCCGCTTCGGAGTACACAGGCGATGGAACTGATCGGTCTGCCATTCGACGACCAGGAAGAGGAATGGTTCGAGGACGCCCTGCTTCACGGAAGCGCCAAGGGTCTCCATGGGTCGAGGGATACCGTCATGATGCGCCGTCTTGCCAGCGGCAAGTCCAGCGGGCCTTCTGCGGAGCTCGAGTCTTTGGGTGGCACGAAGATCGACGGGCTGAACTGGGACGTCCTGAAACAAAGCATGACGCCCACGCAGAGATCGCACTCTGGCGGACAAGCTTGACATGAATTGAATCTTTTGGGAAATGGCACGGAGAATAGGAGTTGCGCATCGGACTCATTGTAATTCTACGAAGCATTGGCATTTTACGGGCGACGGTTGTTATTGTTGTTTTACAGGCTGCACAAATGCCATCAGTTTATACCAGCCCACTACTATCAGTATTCAGTCGTAGGACCTTGAGTTTCTCGGGCATCAGATAAGCTCCGCGATGGAAGTATTAAATTACCGGTACACGCTTAATACGTTACATGTGCGACATTCACGGACAGCAAGACCCCGATCCGTGAAATGTACTGTCACCGGAACCGCCTCCTCCCCTTCCACCCAGAAACTCTTATACACGTTAACGTCCTGGATATCTCTTGGGCATAGCTCTGTTGTCGCATCCTTCGCTGGTGATCTGTCGAAGAGGCGACTTAAACAGTACCTTTCGAGGTCCCAGTACACACTCAAAGCGAGTCTTGACGAATATTGGACAGGAGCCTCTCGAGCTCACCTGACCTGGTGAGACGCGAAAACGACATGGTTGTCTGCACATACTTTCAGCAAGGCCGGTGCAGATTTGGAGGTATGAGGACATCGTATCCCACACTAGCTATCCACAAAGCTGCTTCTATCTGGACATTGAGCTAATTACGAGTCTAGATCGCTGCAAAAATGAACACCCCAATCAGTCATTAAGTTCCGGGAATCGATTCGGAGCTCTTTCAGGCGGCGGCGGAGGCGGAGGCGGAGGTTTTGGAGGTACGTTCATTGTTTGGTATCACAATGCAACACTCCCCCCTTCCCGGACTAGTGTTAGTCTCTTATGGGGGGAAGAGGATGTTTTTGCTCGATATTCTGGTCTTTACTGGGATCCTTATGGTTTCACCATATCTTATTCCTGGCTCCAGCATCGTACACCACGTGCAATGTCCACGTCCTGTTGCAAAATAACCATCAGTGCGAATATCTTTGTCTGACTCTACTCTAGGACGTGCCGCGCAAACCCAGCAAACTCCCAAGTAAGTAACTCGACTCCAGCTGACCGGTCTCTTGGTCTGACTCCCGCAGCTATGGAGTGGTAGCAGCAGACATAAAAGCCGACCTCACAGCCGGTAAAGGACGGCCAGAATGGGTCTTCTCCTGCTACGGTCCCGGGAAGGACGCCCCGAGACAACTATTCGGAGGCACTCAACGGGAGCAGAGTTTCGAAGAACTCCGACTGCGCCATTATGAATTGGCTGCCGCAGGCAACGTGAACCAGGCCGTGCAAGAAGCCCAGGCTTTGTACGCAGAGTCTCTGAAACAGATGGATGTCATTCTAAGCGATTTGGACGGTGCGGTGAAATATGTACTCGCAGGAGTGAATGAACATCCCAACCGCATCGACATCACGGAGGGCAAAACCGGCCCTGCTCCCCCTTCGGGACCGTCTGCTTTTGGCCAACCTTCGCCATTCGGTCAACCCGCTGCTGCTAATTCGGCGCCGGGTTTCGGCCAGCCGTCCTCGCTAGGTAGTCAAGGGCTCGCAAAGCCTTCTCCTTTTGGCCAGCCATCGGCATTTGGTCAGCCGTCTGGTCTGGGGCAATCGTCCGGTATGGGGCAGACATCTGGTTTTGGACAACCAAGTGCTTTAGGACAAGGGTCTGCATTTGGAAAGCCATCTGGAATGGGTGGTGCACAACCCGGGTTTGGTCAGCCGGCATTTGGTCAACCTGGCTTTGGTCAACCTCCCTCTGGCGGATCTGCCTTCGGCCAGCCTTCGTCACTTGGAACATCGGCGTTCGGGACACCCGGTACAGCTTCTCCTTTCAGCCAAATATCAGCTCCGAGCCAGCCAGCGAGTAGCGGGTTCGGCCAGCCTTCTGGGCAGGCAGCTGCTTCTCCATTTGCACAGGTCGCAAATCAACAACCCGCTACCACGTCGGCATTTGCTCAACCAGCGACGACACAACCGAGTCCCTTCGGTCAACAGTCACAAACGGCGTCTCCTTTCGGACAACCTCAACCAGCTTCGAACCCATTTGGACAACCAGCCGCGACAGCCCCGAGTCCCTTTGGAGCCACACCAACTGCGCCTTCAGCGTTCGGCCAGCCTGCCAGCGGCTTCTCGCAACTGGGCCAACAAGCAGCAGCAGCAGCCCCAGCCCCAGCCCCTGTCACAACAGCAGGCACCGGACCTCCTCCCGTCATTAAGCTCGGCAATCCCACCGACCTCAGCCCCATCCCGCAGCTGTCTGGTCAGACAGTCCGAGACCCCATGACCAAGAGACTCACAGCCTGGAAAGGACAGCCCGTGAAGTACATCGAAAACGTGCCGTGCTATCTCCACCCCCAGGATCGTCAAACCTACGTGCACATCTTCTTCCCCGACGGTCCCCCGGACGCAGCAAGCCTGCGGGACGCCCAGGGAAAGCCGGAGGAATACACGCCGGAGGTAACGGAGCAATACGAGTTCTTCGTGAAGAACGGATACTTCAAAGACGGGGTCATTCCAAGCGCACCGCCCAAGACGGAATGGGTGAACTTCGACTTTTGATGGGCCCACTTTACTTCCGGGGGAGGATTGTTCTATGATTATTTGGGCATGTAATATATACCTATTTAGCATTTCCAGGACGGACGGATGGCGTCTAGGTAGGCAGGCAGGCAGGAATTGGATGGGATTGATTAAGACTACCACCACTAAGAATAGATACCACACTTCTACATCGTACACACAAACACTACGATAAAGACGCAAACAGAGATAGATAGAGCAATCCAGCTTTTTACTGCTTTTTAATATTTTTCATTTTTGCACCCAGCACTAACGCGTATCGACGACGATCTCGCCCCAGCCCAGCAGCAGCAGAATCCTCCACCACCACAACGATCAGACCAGAAACCAACCCGTTCATCGTCCGCGCCGCGCCAGACACCGTTCCATGTGACAGGAACAGTGTTTAAGCAGCAATGGTGACCTCAACCTCAACACCGGCCTCGATGTTGATGATGATCTGCTTGACGGTCTCGGTGGGGGCGAGGAGGCTATTATCACAGTTAGTACATCTACCGTCCTTGGTTTCTTTCTTGCTCCATCTCGCGTGCGCGCGACTTGGAACCGGGGGAAGGGAAACTCACTCGATGAGACGCTTGTGGATGCGCATCTCGTACTTGTCCCAGGTCTTGGAACCCTCACCGTTGGGGGTCTTACGGGTGGAGATGTGAAGGGTCTTGGTGGGAAGACGGACGGGACCCTTGACCTGGAGGGACTTGGAGCGAGCGCGGTCGATCAGCTCCGAGCACACCTTCTCGAGGGCGGCGACCTTGCGAGAGGTAAGGGTGATACGGATCTTGTGGACCTTCTGTAGGTGGGAAGAGCAGTGGTTAGTGGTGATCTATGTTTCCCAATCTTGGAGAGCATCGAGCATTGCGCATGCGCAGACATGTTTCTTTGTCTGTCGAGACATGACATTGCTCTAGCAAGGACAGCAAGGACAGTCACGTACAGGGCCCTCGCCGAAATCCTTCTCGGGCTTCTGGAAAGACATCTTGAATTGAAGTTGAGCGGTGGGGAGACCGGTGGGATTGAGATGCTGGACGGGGGAGGAAGGTTAGTTGTCGAGTCGGGGAGGGAAAAGGAAAAAGAGGGGAGGGGGACAAACCGCAAGGGGAGGCTGGATGCCAATCAAGACCTGAACGTCGGGGGTTCGGTAAGGTGATGATGGCCGATGAGGGTCTATCTGATCGTGCGGACAAATCGATGAATCTTTTTTCGACGGCCGGCGCTTCTTGTGCGGGCAGCCAGGGCTTGGCGCTCGCCTACGGCCTGCCGCTAAGCCCCCTTGGGCTGCGGGCGGTGAGTCAGCTTCCCGCCTTGAGGCTCAACTCACTAATCAATCGCCGGTGATGGGCCCGATCATCTTACTGGTTCCTGGCTGCTAGCTACATGATCATCATGATGATTCACGACTGCCGGGTGTGGTGCTGACTTACTTTCTGCTTCTGTCTCCTTCCCCTTCCCTTCCCATTTCCCTCCTCCAGTTCTGCGTTCCTCAATCACCGGTGACCGGACAGACAGCCATGCCGGAACTCCCCCCGCTTGCCCCGGTCCCGCCCCCCGAGGTGCAGAGGACCGTACCACCTGAGGACTGGCAGCTCTATATAGATGCATGGATCCTGCTGCTGGGCGTGCGCATCGAGGCTCCCGAGTCGCAGTTCAAAGACCATGCCGCTGACGACAGCACCGCAGTGGCTTTCCTGTCATCTTTCTACCGTCAGTCCGCCAGATCGGAGTCATCCAGCGTCCACGCAGGACCCAAAGCCCGAACATTACGGAAGCTCTGCTTCCTGTTGACCAGACGATTCCTTCTTGAAGTCTCTCCCGCACCAGCGGAACTGCTCGACTGGAAAGTACTTGCTGGCATGTGCAGCTGCTACCCGTCAAGCTCGGCCCTGAAACGACTACTGTCCGATGCATGGAGCAAGCATCAAGATGCGATCACGTCCAGCCTTGAAAAGGCCAAGATCAAGGTCACAAGGGAGCTGTCCTCGCTGAATCCCAGCAAGTCCACCGCCATCCTCTTCGAGATCCGCCTATTGACCATCCTGGCGTCTGTCATGCCCGGGTGCGGCCAAGAGCTCATGGCGGGGTCCGACTTCCTCGACACCTTCTCCGACGCATATCAAACGCATAAGAGAGACGACATCCGCCGAGTCCTCGTGGCCAACATCTACGTCGGTCTGGCCTCGCTGCTCAAGGGCTCGAAACCGAACCTCTCATCGCTGCTCGACCAGCTATACAGCCTAAAAGCCACCGCCGGCATCGGCTCCTCAACATCGCAGAAGGGACCCACGCTCCTCTCGGACGTCATCTGCAGCACCGACCTCCTCGTGCGTCTGGACCGGTATCTTACCACGCACCCGCAAAAACGAGGCCAAGACCTCCTCTCTACCCTCCGCACGTACCACGACTCCTCCAAGTCCTTCCACCGCCGGTATCAAAAGTCCAAGAAACGCCTCGATAAAGGCAAAGCACGCGCCGCGGACCTCCCACCCCCAGAGGACCTGCACATCCATAAGATGTCCCTGATCACGCAAATCCAAGACCTCTTCCCCGACCTCGGCACCGGCTACATCGCCCGCCTGCTAGACCACTACAACGACTCCCCTGAAACCATCATCGCACACCTCCTCGACAACTCCATCCCAGAATCTCTCCAAACCCTCGACCCATCCGAACCCCTCCAATCCCTCCAACCCGCCCCCACCCCCTCCACAACCCCATCCCAACCCGAATACCACGCCCCCCTCCCCCCGCACCAACCCCGCAAAAACATCTTCGACGACTCCATCGACCTTGCCGAACTCGCCCGCTCCTCCTCCCCGACCAACCCCCACCAAACAACCCTCCACTACGGCCGCGCCTCCAACACGACCGCCACCGCCGAAACCATCCTCTCAGACCGCACCCACCACGCGGCCCAAAAGGCCGCTATCATGTCCGCGCTCGCGACCTTCGACTCCGACGATGACGAACGCGACGACACCTACGACGTCGCCGACGTCGGCGGCACCATCGACGCCACAACCACCACCGACAAAGAAGACCCTACTACAACATCCGCATCAGCAGCAGAGCTCGACCTGACCCTCTACCGCGCCTACAAATCCACCCCCGGTCTATTTGGCCGCGACTCCGCGACCCGTCGCTCGCAGCCCCGCGCGGCCTTGAAGCGCGAGACCGGCATGACGGATGAGGCGATTGAGGGGTGGGCTGTTATGTTGGCGAGGGATCCGAAGAGGATGAGTCGGTTGGAGGATCGCGTTATGTATGGGACTGGAGGTGGTGGTGGTGGAGGTGGAGGATTAAATCAGCCGGATCTGGCGCCCACGGCGTATCGCAGACCTGGTGCGGATGAGGAGGAGAGTGAGACGGATGGGCAGGGTGGTGGTGGTGGATTTAGGGGTGGGAGGGGACGGGGACGAGGTCGTGGTGGGATTGGGAGACGGGGTGGTGGAGGAGGAGGTGGAGGTGGGCGTGGAGGAGCAGCAGGAGGAGGAGGAGGAGGAGGAGGAGGAGGTGGAGGTGCAGGAGATTCCGGATCAACTCAGAACCCTACGGTTGCGCGCCAGAGAAAAGAGGAGAATAAAGCTAGTCGGGCGAATCATAATCGGCGACAGCAGCGAGCGAAGAAAGTGGCTAGGGCTGGGGGGATGGTGGGGTAGTAGATTGAGATTAGAGATAGATCTACGCAGTACGGTATATACTACTCCTAGATGTTGTGGGAATGAATTACTACTATGTAATGAATACTATGAACAGTGGCTCTTTCTAGCTGATAGCTGGATAGATATATAGATAGATAGATGTGTCTGGTGATGTATGTAAACCTTTTCAGGCTGCGAATTAAGCAAGATATTAAGACATTGAAAAAGTATATGGAAGATAGAGAGAAGACGGACGCGCTCTATACTATAGAGTGTAGTTGAGATTCTATCAGAGCTGAGCTGACTGACTAAATACATATAATCTAAGAAAGAAAGACATTATCTCATTAAGTGCCGGAGAGCACGATAACCCCCGGTGCTGCACAAGCCGTAGACGTGAATAACTATACAATGACCGACCGATATAGAGGTGTATGTAAAGCACGCCACGAAGATCAATGGTGATCCGAGAAGACGCCCTGCTCGGCACAGGACTTCCTGCACTCCTCGAGGATGCGGACCTGCTTTGCGACGTCACCCAGCTTGCCGATGACCTCCTTGTTGCCGTCGTAGAAGGTGAAGAGGGTGTATGGGATGCCGGTATCGCGACAGAACTCGAGGACGAGACGCTGGGTGCGACGCAGGTTGTGGCGGGGGATGCGGGGGTAGAGGTGATGGATGGCCTGGAACTGCAGACCGCCGTGGAAAAAGTCGAGCCAAGTGGGGCAGTCGACGTCCATGGTGGTACGGAGCATTTTCTGGGGGAAGGATTCATTGACGCCCATGTCGGAGGTGGACATGGCGAAGTGAGAGAGGGTGATCTGCACGTGTAGGGGCGAGGTGACCATGTGGGAGATCAGGAGGAAGATGATCCGGCTGCTCCAGTCCGGGATGGACCGGTACATGACGCCGTAGCCGAACCAGATCCAGAAGAAGACCTGGCCGCCGATCTCGAACCACCGGTGCCACCAGGCTGGGCCCTTCTTCGGGGCTTGGCCGCAGAAGAGGTACTCCCAGCTCAGGCGGTAGAGGTTGAACCGGCCGAAGAGGAGGATGGGGTAGTAGAGGTAGTTCTGGAACTTGAGCATGAATTTGGCGAAGGCATCAAATGTCATGACGCGGTCGTAGTAGGTGCTGCGCAGGCTGGTGAGGAAGCGGTGGGAGATGGCGAAGAATGGCATGTGCTCGATATCGGGGTCGTGCTCGGGGGCGTTCGTCACGATGTGGTGGACGTTGTGGCTGCGCTTCCACCATCCCAAACTGAGTCCTCCCAGGTAGTCCGCGATGATGATCCCGATCACGGTGTCAGCGTGGAAGTTGTGCGTGATACCCATGTGGCCAGCATCATGGGCGGTGAAGACAAGCTGGTGCCAGAAGCATCCGAGGAAGAATCCCGATGTCCCGTACCATCCGATCTGCAGGAGGTAGTAGGATAGGGAGGCGAAGAGCGTGTACCGGCAGCATTCGATGAAGTACGAGATGTAGCGGCAGTCGTAGAGCCCCTCCGCACGGATCTGTTGATCCAACTCCCGGTACCTGTGTTTGATTCGCTCCTGGTTCTCCGGATCTAGGGACGGATACCTGGCTGTGTCAAAAACAAGCTCCTCCTGGGTGCGCGCGTCGAGAAAGAACGGTTTCGGCTTGTCATCTTCGCTGTCCGTGGACGGGGTCGGGGCTGCTGGCTTGCGTTGACGAGCGCCTGACGTGGTGTCGACAGCATCGAAGACCGGGGACGGGGGCTGTGACGTTTCCTGGCCAGAGCTTTCCGGACCGGAGCTCTCCTCATCGGATGCGCAATCCTCGGTATAGGGACGGTATTTGCCGCCCTGGATCGGCGGCAGGAAGTTCAACCACGGGCCTTGAATGCGACCGATCTGGAAAGAAAGCATGCGTTGCCGCGCTTCCTTGGAGTGTAGCCTGGATAGGAAATGGCGCACAGTCAATGGGGGGTCCGAGGGCGAGAATCTGAATCTAGGGGGAAGGCCACGTACGCATTGATTTCGTCCGTGGCATCCTTCCCAACCATGTGTCGAATGGATTTGTCTCCTCCGGGATGGTATGGGATCCATGCATCGACCTTCAACACGCGATTGTCGAAGATGATGACATGTTTGCCGTCCGCGATGAGGCCCTCGATATACCGTCGGGACAGGAGGGCGTCTTTGCGCGCGGGCGGCGAAGGAGCGGTGACCGCATTGCGGGTTGCAGCCATGGTTGGCACGCGTTGGTACCGTGTTGGGGGATCGGGGTTGGGTTCAGGAACGACGGAAGAGCGACAAGGACCAGCCTATGCGAGCATTGTATGTTGTGTTTTGGGGGGGGGGATGGGGGATGGGGATGGAGAGAGACTGGGAGGGAAAAGGGAGGGAGAAATCAATTGACGGCGTAGAAAGAGAGGAAGGGGAGATGGAGGTGGTAACTATGGTTAATTAAGTAAGTCAGCAAGCTGGCGATGCGGCTGGCGGGCAGAAAAGCGGGGACTGGCGGGCGCAGTTCAGTTCCTTGCCAGTTGCAAAGTCCGCAAGTGAAACGGTGAAACGTACCGGTGATCGACGCTCTCAGAGTCAGTCAGTCACCAGCCCATCAGTCAGTCCATCAGTCCATCAGTCCATCAGTCCATCAGTCCATCAGTCAGTCCCCTTGTCTTTTCTCCGTCCCTCCGTCCCTCCGTCCCTCCCCGTCCGAGTCCCCCTCACTCCCTCCCAGTCCCCTTCCCGACCTCGTCTCCAGTCTGTCTCCATTCTCCAGTCCCCCCCCCCCCCCAAATTCTCCATATTATTGTTCTGTCTATTATTATTATTCTGCCCCCCTTCCCGCCCCCTATCTTTAAATCTCCCGATCTATCGACTATTGATCTATCTACATTCCACCTTCCTCCCCTCCACCTCCTTCCCTCTCTCCCACTTTTCCTCCCCTCCCCTCCCCCCCTCCACAATCCAGCCTTCAGCTCCCGGTCCGCCCGCCCATCCTGTCGTGTCAGCCGTCGTATCGTCGTATGATCCAGCATGGCCGCCAACCCAGGAGAGGTATAGTCAACTCCCCCGTCAGTGTGCGCGGCACACACCACCGCCAGTCCGCTGTTTCGCGGGGAACTTGTTCTGATCTGGCTGCCCGCCGCACAGGATTCCTCTCTCTCTCCGCTGATCCAAAAATGGCTCGAGTGGGACCAGGTAGGTTCCCCCCTCGCCCTCCCCCCCGTTGCTAATCCGCTATCTACTATTCCACTATATCCGTCCGCACTACTCATCCCAATTTCAGGATCCTACTACCCGCGCGGAGATTGAGCAGCTTCGTGATGCCGGAGATCATGCCGAACTACAGCTGCGCCTGCACAAAAGTATGTCGTCGCTCGCAAACACCCCCCCTCTGCTCATCCGCGCTCTCGGACCCATCGCGGTGCCTTGCAATGCTCCCCCTCGTCGGGTCTAATCGCTTCCCACAGGAATCCAGTTTGGAACCGCTGGTCTTCGGGGTCGCATGGCAGCCGGCTTCTCGTGCATGAATGCGTTGACGGTCATTCAGGCGTCGCAGGGCTTGGCTATGTACCTGAAGAACAAGCATGGCGACATTGCATCCTACGGGGTCGTCATTGGCCACGATGCCCGCTACAATTCCGCCAAGTTCGCTGCCTTGGCCGCAAACGCGTTCATCGCACAGAGAATCCCTGTCTGGTTCTACTCCGAGCCCTCGGTTACTCCAACGGTGCCTTTTGGTGTAACCCAGTTGCATGCCGCCGCAGGCATCATGGTTACGGCAAGCCATGTAAGTCCCCTCGTTTGACTACTGCAGCACACCCGGCTAATCCGCGGACAGAATCCAGCGCAAGATAACGGTTGGTCTTGGCCTCTCTCCCTCTGAAGAATTGCGCGGTCACTGACAACAATGCGGAACAGGTTACAAAGTGTCCGGTTACGCTTCCAGCCCGTGTTGATCATCACTAACATGCTTCAGCTATTTCAAAAACGGCGCCCAGATCAACTCCCCCATGGATACGGAGATCGCAAAGTCAATTGAGGAGAACGCGGTGCCATGGCCAAACGCGTGGAAAGACCCCCAGCCGGGAGAGTACCTGCGCGCGCAGGCCTACGACAATCTCCTGCTGCATTACAACACGGCCGTCTGGCAGTATGCGGTAGGTCGCCGCCAGTCTTTCGCTCGACAACACTAACTGCTGCTCCAGACCTACACGGTCCGAGAATGGAAGCAACCACAGCCCTTTGTGTACACCCCGCTGCACGGTGTTGGAGGTTTAGTATTCCCCGGCCTATGCCGTTCCGTTGGTATCAAAGATTTTACGGTTGTCCCAGAGCAGGAGCATCCTGATCCCGACTTCCCCACCGTCGCCTTTCCCAACCCCGAGGAGGCCGGAGCGCTGGATCTTGCTATGAAGACCGCAGATAGGGAAGGCAAAAACCTGATTGTGGCGCATGATCCCGACGCGGATCGTTTTGCAGCTGCCGAAAAGGTCGAGTATGTATCAGAAGTCGATTTGCAGGTTCTACGCTAATTGTGACCCCCTGTAGCGGCTCGTGGTTTATCTTCACCGGAAACCATCTCGGCGTCCTCCTGGCATCGCACCTTTTTGATTCCCTCGAGACCATCGACAGCGATACCCGCATTGCGGTGTTGAACTCCGCCGTTTCCACCAGCATGTTGGAGAAGATGGCTGTCGCGAAGGGCATGCATTACGAGGAAGCCCTCACTGGATTCAAGTGGATGGGCAACATCGCTCGAAAGCTGGAAGAGCTGGGTTACTACGTCCCGTTCGCGTTCGAGGAAGCTCTCGGATACATGTTCCCGGAAGTGTGCTATGACAAGGATGGCATTTCCGCCGCCATGGTGTTCTTGCTCGCCGAGGCCAAGTGGAAGGCACAGGGTCTGACCCCTTATATGAAGCTCCAGCAGCTCTTCAAGGAACATGGACATCACGAGACCCTCAACACCTACCTTCGGTCGCCGGACGCCGATATCTCAATGAGCCTGTTCCGAGCGATCCGGGAGGGACCGTTTGGCGCCGGGAAGTCATTCGGTTCCTTCAAGATCTTGAGATGGCGAGATCTGACCGAGTTCTATGACTCCGGAACGAAAGACCATAAGCCGACCCTTCCGGCTGACAAGAGCAGCCAGATGCTGACCCTGTGGCTGGATCGGGGGGTGCGATTCACTATCCGTGCCTCAGGGACAGAGCCCAAGGTCAAGGGTAAGTACAACAACAGCGGATCCTGTCACGTGCTAACATGATTCTTCATCAGTCTACATTGAAAGCAGTGGATCTTCGCGAGACCAAGCCGTGGCAGCCGTCCACGACACGTTCCTAACCGTCCTCAAAGAATGGGTCCGACCGTTCGCTTCCCCCATGACCTGGAACGAACAACAGACGACATCCTCCGGCCATGTCTTCAAGGTGGACTGAGCAGCACGTAAGAAGTATTACCCTGCTGCATTGATTGGCGAGAGTGCTTGGAGCGAACTTTTGATTCCATGAATGACCATAGAACACAGGGGATGGGGACCTCGACTCCACCCTGTGTTGTCATTACAGCAAAGACTTGCATGCATGAATACGACGCAATGAACCCACCATGACATTTCCGGCCTGTAGCTTCGATTAAGGCTGTAGTCGGCCATGAACCAACCTGTCTCCTCTGCGGTAGGTCTAACATCGAGCACGGATTCGGTGGACGGTGTTGAGCCTTCTTTCACTGCCCGTAGGCCTGTGGTCGTGTTGATCCTCGTCTTTGTTTGGGCCTTCGTGTAGATTTTTTCAGTTTTTTTTTTTTTGGCTTCTTTCGAGCGCTTATAAGATGGTGATCTTGCTGTCTACCTGTCTGCCTGTTCTTTTTTTATTTCTCGAATTTGGTCCTGTGCTAGCTTGCGAGAATCATATCCACTGACTGCTGTGCGTTTTTATATTTATGTGATCTTTTCCCTTTATTGAATACTTGCTCAAAAACATAGAATAGACCCCGTATCCAACCAATATATAGACAATGTTCTCTCTCTGCACCACCAACGGGAAAATAATTCCGGAGTAAACTGATATACCGTGGGCTGAAAGCTACACCAAATTGGATTGATTGATTCATCCTGCCCGCCCTCCCTACCCACCCGGCCCCATGTTTTCTCTCAAAAAAAAAAAAAAAAAAAAAAAAAAAAAACCCTCAATATACAATAGTTGATCTCCCAGAATCCCCCCCCCCCCCACCAAAGCCGCACCTCAATATGAACGTGAAATGAGGACACCACTACTACTAGTACCAAGCATCACAATCACAATCACAATCACAATCACAATCACAATCACTAAAAAAAAAAACACCCTAAAAACCCAAACCCAAAAACATATAGCATCCACTCATCCATCCCATCCATCCGAACCGGACTCAGACTCAGTCATGGCTTAATCACCTCTTTCCCACAGGAAAGAAGCAGACTTTTGGAATATGATGACAGAATTGCGCCCAGTTTTCAACAAGTTCCGATATGGTGTAGTGGCTAACATCGCCGTCTCTCACACGGCAGCCGGGGGTTCGATTCCCCCTATCGGAGACTCGATCAGTTTTTTTCTTTTTGTAGTTTTTTTTTTGAGGAGTTGAGTGCATGGGGATGAATGAGTGTAGGTAGGTAGGTAGGTAGATACACACACAGACAGACCCGTACATATACAGAATAGGCAGTCATGGCGTTGACAATATCTAACCAAGTAACAATCTATCTAGTTAGTTAGTTATCTATGTAAGCATTTGTCAGCGGGGAAGACGGGACAAATTCGTACTATTTTTTGTTTTAACTGTCATCTAGAGACCCTAAGGTCAGGTCAGGCCAATCGATACAAAGATCAAATAGGTAGGTGGGTAGATAGGTGGGTAGACATGTAGTTTTATTGATTCGTAAATCTCCATTGAAAACTACACCGCAATCAACAACTGCACGACTCAACATAGGAAATATAATATGTCAATGCTACACGGGATTTGCTAGCCGGATTAGACTAAGACTCTGACTAGTGGTGGTAGTGGTAGGTAGAGGGAGAAAAAAAAGGTACAGGATGTCGGAGCGCGGATCATGTCAGGAGGGTTTAATAGGAGGAAGCAGTTTAGAAGTGGATAGCCTTGGAGTAGGTAGCCATGGCAGCCTCCTTGAAAGCCTCGGCGAGGGTAGGGTGAGCGTGGCAAGTACGGGCGATGTCCTCGCAAGAGGCACCGTACTCGACAGCGAGGGTGGCCTCAGCGATCATCTCACCGGCGTTGGCGCCGATGATGTGGACACCGAGGATGCGGTCGGTCTCGGCGTCAGCGATGAACTTGACCTGGCCCTCGGTGTCGAGGTTGGTCTTGGCACGGGAGTTGGCGCTGAAGGGGAAGGTTCCGATGCGGTACTTGATGCCGGCAGCCTTGACTTCCTGCTCGTTCTGGCCGACCCACGCGACTTCGGGGTGGGTGTACATGACGCTGGGGATGCAGGCGTAGTTGACGTGGCCGTAGCCCTTCTTGATGTACTCGACGGCGGCGACGGCCTCCTCCTCGGCCTTGTGGGCGAGCATGGGGCCGAAGGTGCAGTCACCGATCACGCGGATGTGGGGGACCTTGGTGCGGTACTCCTGGTCGATGACCAGACGGCCGCGCTCGTCCTTCTCGACGCCGACCTTCTCCAGGCCAAGGCCCTCGGTGTAGGGGCGACGGCCGATCGCGACCAGGACGACGTCCGCGTCCAGGGTCTCCTCCTTGCCGCCCTTGGCGGCCTCCACGTTCAAGGAGACGGTGGCTCCGCTGTCGTCACCCTTGACGACCTTGGTGCCGACCTTGAACTTGATGCCCTGCTTGGCGAGGATCTTCTGCGCCTGCTTGGCGATGTCGGCGTCCATGCCGGGACCACCGATCTGGCCGAGGAACTCAACAACGGTGACCTCGGCACCGAGACGGGACCAGACGGAAGCCTATGGGAGGGGGTTTTGTGAGTCAGATGCGGAAGGGAAGGGGTGTTAGAGGTGGTTGGTTTGACGTACCATCTCCAGACCAATGATACCACCACCGATGACGATCATCTTCTTGGGGACCTCGGCGAGGGAGAGAGCACCGGTGCTGGTGATGATTCTCTTCTCGTCGATGTTCAGGCCGGGGAAGGGAGTGGCCTCACTACCGGTGGCAATGAGGATGTTCTTGGCGCGCAGGGTCTGCTCACCACCGTCGAGGAGGTTGACCTTGACGGTGTTGGGGTCAACGAAGGCACCGGTACCCTTGACGTAGTCGACACCGTTCTTCTTGAGGAGGAACTCGATACCCTTGGTCAGGCCCTCGATGGAGGTGTCCTTGGCCTTCATCATCTGCTCCAGGTTGAGCTTGACATCACCGACCTCGATACCGCGCTTTTTCGTGTCGTGGAGAATCTGGTGGTACAGGTGGGAGTTGTTGAGGAGAGATTTCGAGGGGATACAGCCGACGTTGAGGCAAGTACCTCCGAGACGGCCACGCTTCTCGATACATGCGGTCTGTTTTGGAGCGAAGCTGCGGTTAGAGACTAGTCCAGTCGGACCCCGTCGGGGACGAGGCAGAGAGAAGACGAAGCGTTAAGAGCGCACCTTCAGGCCTTCCTGGCCAGCCTTGATCGCGGCAACGTATCCAGCGACACCACCACCGATGATGACAAGATCGTGTTCACCTGTTGTTCCCAACGTAGCTGCTGGTTAGCCGGATGGGCTTTCCCGGAAGCACAGGGCCACCACGACGGGGGGTGTCGCGGCAGCATCAGAGCTACGAACCTGATTCAGAGGCATATCCACGTTGTGAGCGTCCGAAGACGGCGAGAGAAGGAGCAGCGACGAGGTTGGAGGGGACGGCCTTGGGACCGGCAGAGCGGAGGGCAGCCCGCGGCGTGCACCGCGGCAAAAGACTCCGGAACATGGCTAAAAGGAGGAGAAAGTGCAAAGGAAAAAGTTCAGAGGATAGAAGGGAGAAAGCAGACGGCCAGACCTCCCGGGAAACAAGCAACGGAGGAGAGGGGAGGGGACAATTGGGGGTTGGGGGGTTGGAGGTGAAGGATGATAGGGAAAAACGATGTTGGGACCAGCGAAGCTTTCGGGAGGTTCGCAGATTCGCAGGTTCGCCTGCAAAAGCTGGCGGCCCGGTATCGTGACCGTATGCCCGGGCGCCTTCGCGTATGGAATCTCCCGCGGTCGGGTCACTTCGGCTATGCTGGGACAGTCCTGCCGTATTTCCGATACACGTTGATGTGGGCTTTTGAGGTCAAGGCCCAGACGGCAGTTTCTGGCAACCCTGCTCTAGATATTTATGGGGTTCTGATCGTGGGCTGTGTCCGATCTGTTTCCCTCCCTGATGGCGATGCAGATGCAGCATCCCTCCCATCCCTGCTGTAACATGGATACCGGTCAGTGTTACGGGCCCAAAATACCTCATCGAATCGCCCAAACGGGTAAGGGACGCCCAGGCTCACCCGCTTCGAGTCTCGCCGCGCGCATTCGCAAATCCTAATATTCATATTCCTCCTGCTGCCTCTGTCGTCCTTTTCCAGTACGACACGACGCATCAACTGCCCCGGACCATCTTCCAGCGTCTCTTCCAGCACCTCTGGATGACAGAATTACCCACCCGGTCCAATACCCGCGGGTAACAGGCGCGGCATGTTTGTCAGGGGGCCAGAAAGGCTATCGTCGGCATATACGTCAGGGAGGGAGGACTCCGCTCCGGGGAGTCCAGTGCGCAGCAGAGTGAGAGGCAGGTAGCCGAGGGCTTGGGCCAGACTTCCCCAGAGGTCTCATTCGACCAAGAGATGTGGCATGCATGGCCGAATAATCCGGCTATTTCTTGTTGCGGTCTCTCGGGAGGGGATTCAACATGGGTTGGAGGAAAGAGCGTTTGTGGACGCGGGGTGGGTTGCTTATATTTCTGTTATAACCGCGTAACGTGAGAGATGGGAGCCTCAGGAGGAGACACCTGGCCTGGGGAGTTTAATCTACGACGTCGGTTGTGGGGAAATAACCTGAGGATTAGCAACGATCAGGCTTGACCGGATCGGATGGTGATCCATCGTTGCGGGTTAGTTCTATATTTTGCCCACCCCGGCTTTGCCCCCGTCTGGGGGATACAGCAGGCTAAGTTGCCAGTGGGTCTGGGGATGTATTCCAGGAGACTAAATGCCCTGCACCCAATAGACCAGAGACATAGCTTTCTTTACCCAGGGTTACAGACTTTTATCGGTGGGTTTCATGGATATAACCGGCAACATGATGCGCCATGCTGGGTGTAATTTCACCCGCCTCTGCTCAACACCCTGCGTAACCGCCGTTTCCTTGCCTGCACTGGAACTGCTAATCTACTTGTCTCTATGCTTGTGTGGCCTTTCACACCACAAAACATCTCTCTGACATCATATGCTCAGGGGCTTTGACATAATTGATAGACATAGACTACCACTTTATATTCCGACTAAGTGCCTGAGGCATTCACGTACTGGGGCCATTAATTAGCCTACCACTTACTTCGTGGATTTTGACATTATTATTAAGCCTACTTATAACGAACCCAGTCTTCATCATTACTTCTTGCTACACGTCCAAGTTATAAATACATTCATAAATTCCACATCATTCATCCTGGGGGTATATCTGGCGAGATCCCACCGGAAAGATTATTATACACCATGCCCTGGGAATCCGTGTACATTCAGAAGCCAGATCGTCCAGAATGCCATAAATTCCCAATGAAGAAACGATTCCATCCTCATCGAACCTAGATCAGAAGCAACATGGCTGAAACGCTACCCAGAGCCACGTACACCGCTGTCATCATGGTGCCAGTGAGGATAGTCGATGCGCCGCCCGTGTAAAGAGCAGCAGGGGCACCGGCCGTGGTAGAGAAAGAGCTCTTTGCAGACCCACTGGCTCCCAAGGAGGCAGATGCAGACGTCGAAGCAGAGGAAACAAATGAAAACGAGCTGTGAGCCGGAAAAGAGGCTGCGGAGGCTGCAGCGGTAGCGAACCCGGTGTTGCCATTCTCATGAGATGAACCTGATGAGCCTTCGTGGGCTGGACCGGCACCGCCGCCAATGCTAGCAGCGGATGAGGTCTCCTCTGCAGCGACGCCAGCCTGGGTGGGGAGTTGGGTCCCACCGACTTCAGTCGAGATTTTAGTTGAGTCAGTGTTGCTGGTTTCGGATCCGGTGGTGTCGCTGCTACCGGTAATGCTGCCAGAAGTAGTGCCAGAAGTGCTGCCAGAGGTACTGCCAGAGGTACTGCCAGAGGTACTGCCAGAGGTACTGCCAGAGGTACTGCCAGAAGAGGAGCTGCCGGAAGAGCTACTGAAGGTGCTGTCACTGCTGGTACCGCTGGTGTTTTCACTGCTACTGGTGCTGCCACTGCTGGCACTTCCGCTGGAGCTTCCGCTGCTGCTACTGCTGCCACTGCCACTGCCGTTTCCGCTAGTGTTTCTGCTGGGGCTTCCACTACCAGTGCTGCCGCTGCTTCCACTACCGGTACTCGCACCGGTGCTTCCACTAACGCTGCCACTGCTAGATCCACTTCCACTGGAGCCGGTCGAGCTTCCACTGCTGGAACTTCCACTAGCACTACCACTTCCATATCCCGTGGCCTGAGCAACAGGAAGTACATGAGTAGCAGTTCCAACAAGCGTCTTGGTCGTATTGGAACCGCCAAGAGTAGCGGTATCAACTGCCGCAACAACAGTAGGAAGAGTCAAAGTGATAGTCTCTGATTCGATCACAACGACAACAATCCCAGTAGTCTCAGTCAATGCAAATGAGCCACCATCCGGTCCCAGAGTGATTTCAGGGGCAGAGATAGTTGTAACAGTGGTTCCGGATGAGACGCCACCAGTCTTGGAGTCATGATGATGATGATCACCATGGCCGATCTCAGCTCCTTGCGGTGCGGTGCCGGATAAGTAGCCAGAGGAAGAAGATCCGGCGACAGATTCACCGGAAGAAGAGGATCCAGTACTTGATTCGCCGGTGGAAGTGAATGCGGTTGCGACGGCATGGCCCGGTATAACGATCTCCGTGTTTGAGGCTGCAGAGGTTGCAGAGGTGTGGGTTGCGGAGGCTGCCTCTTCCACGGGGCAGACGGTTGTCGAGACAACTACCGTTTCGGTCGTGAGGTAAGTACTTTTCTCGCTTGCGGGGCAGTTGGTGACCGTGGAAGGGCATGCTGTGATTGTTGACGTGCGGGTGCTGAAAATAGTGGAGGTTGTCATTGGGATAGATGCAAATTGTATCTCACCCGTTTCGGTGACACCGGTGGGCTCCACCGTATGCTGTGTCGCCGTGACGGGGCACACGGTGGTGTATGCTACGAGGGTCTCGGTGGTGAGGAAGGTGCTGCGCGCAGATGCGGGACAATCAGTCACCGTACTGGGGCAGGCAGTCACCGTTCGGGTGGTGGTCGTCAGGACGGTGGAAGTCGAGAAAGAGGCGGTTGTGGGTGATCCCGGTCTGACAGAAATAGTCGATGCTGCCTTCTTACCGGAAACAGATCCCGGGATGGTTGAAGCAGTCTCGGTGCCAGTAACGATTCCCGAGATAGTTGAAGCAGTCTGCGTACCACCAAGTGCTCCCGAGATAGTTGAAGCAACATCCGCACCGGAAGCGACCACAGAAACTGTAGTGGCTGAGACATGTCCAGAAGATGACCCGCTAACGGAGACAGGCAACGAGGCAAGAGACGTAGACCGGTGATTTGAAACGAGAGCCGAGGAAGATCCTGGGATAACCAAGCTCGACCTATTGAATGTGGGTGGAAGAGACGAGGCCCTGGGAGGGGCCAAAACCGGCGTCCGAGAAATTCCCGGGCGGATGGAACTCGGACTCACAGAGGGAGACGGCAAAGCTACAGCACGGGAAGGAGTTCTTGATGCTGCTCCACGGGAAATAGTCACTAAAGATGGAGTGGCCGAGGAGGATGCCAATGGACGGAGACTGGGAGTCACTGAACGCGACAGGAAGGGAGTTGAGGAAGCAGTGAAGATTTGAGCGCTGCTTGCATGGGACGAGGACTGGGCGCTGGACACGGCAGCGGAAGACACTTTCGGCACGGATGAGATGATTGACGAGGAAGACATCTTCGATGAGGTAGAAGTGGGAGTAGGAGTGGGGGTGGAAGTAGAGGTGAAAGTAGAAGTAGAAGTAGAAGTAGAAGTAGAAGTGAAAGTAGAAGTGGCTGACGGGGTCGAGGTAGTGCAAACTTCTGTCGGACCGACAGCTTCAATATAATCCATATGGAGAACAGCATATTCGACTTCACCGCTGCAATACCAGGCGAACATCAGGGCTTCATTTTCACTGGTTGGCTGCCATGTAGTCGTCCATGTGGTATAGGGATTGCTGGTGCTGACTGTCTGTGCCCAAACGAACGTTGAAGCGATGTAGTTTGAGGCGACATCCGTGTCCTTGGCAAAGATCAGGTCACAACCAATTTGGTATGAAGCTCCCCTCGAGGTTTTGGTCAACAAGTACGATGTTGAAAGAGTGTAAGATTTGCCAGTTTCGAGACCGGTGAGCTCTTGTTTGAGGTACTGGATGGAGGTACTCGCATCGATTGAACTGGTAGCTGTTAGCTTGTGTGTGGTCCGCATCGAAGAAAATATCGAATGAAACAGAATCAATGAAGCTGTACAAAAAGAAGGAAACCTACTAATAATACGCCTTGGTGAGAGAATTCTCCGCGACACTGCCCGCCGAGGATGAGGCTACCCACCCTGTCAAGCCGTCGTCAAAGGATGGATTGGTAAAGACATCCGCCTGTTCTGTTGCACAAGTCACAGTGGCAGATACAGAAGTGATAGCTGAAGCCAGCACTGGTAGGGCTGTGAGCCACGACTTCGTCGTCACCATTTTGGATATAGATTAAGATGAAAGTAACTAGAAAAGAGAGAAAAGGAATGACAAGCCCAAGAGGACTGAAATGACAACCAGCTCCTCTAACTGATAAATGAGTGACAGCAAGGAGAACTGATATCTGTCAATGAAAGTAGGGCTGGAGGCTAGCTGAAGCACCGAAGCATCTCTGTCAACTCCTGGCCGACTTTGTCTTTCCGCCGACGGCGAGTCTCTCATTATTATACACAGAATCGGGCTTGGATTCTTTGCCATTCAGCTCCCGGCGTCCCCGAATACCCGTATCTCTGTGGTGGGCTTGTATCTCCATTCGGGAAACTAGAAGCGTTGAGGTTATTTTTCCCGACGTCGATGTCCCAGTTGGGCTAGCTGGGGCTGAAGAAGCTGCTAAGGAACAATGGTCTCGGTGTTAGTGTACCAACCCCGAGCCAGTTGTAGCAAAGTGTCGGGATAGGTTGAAGGGGTGGAGAATTGATCAATCTTGGTTACTCCAATAATAGACTGCCCGACTCTGACCGGGTGTCTCCAGAAGTGACCTGGCGGTGGTACTCCTTTCGCCGCAGCGATCAGCACTTGGGGCCATAAAGTGATGGGAATAAAAGGCAAATCTATTGATATGCCGATAGAACAAATATTGTTGAAGGTTCTAGCTCATGTTTGTGCTTTCTGCAGTTTGAAGATTGGTTGACTAACAGATGGGATCTTGATAAATGACCGGGACGCAATGATCCGGCATGACCGTCTTTGACAGGGGATAAATATTCCATTGGTATAGGACTAGTAGTTGCTCTACCGGCTAGTTATCTCGGGAAAGCCTCGGTCACAATGCTTATTGAGGGGTCATTTGTGTAGTGGCAAACATTGGCTGATCCAGCGGTGCCTGCATGGGTGGGGCTATTCCTTGCTGGCCAGCAGATCTGAAATTCGTCTGTTGGGCGGCATACTGCAACTGCTGCTCGGTATTCATCATATAGTTGGGGACCTGATTGGCCGAACTCTGAAATGTCGGGTTGAACTGTTGACCACCCCCGGGGGTTAGATTGTTGCCTGGTCGCATCGCAGCAGCTGGCATGTTCTCGAATTGCTGGGTCTGTGCGGAATATGGAAACCCCCCTGCAAAATTTCCTCCTTGTGGGAGCTTCGGTCCGCCGAAATTTGGGATCGAACGCGGAACATCCTGCCCGTATGTGGACTGGAGGAAGGAACCAGGTTGACTCTGTTGTTGCTGTACCTGGAGGGCTGGTTCCCCGGAACTGGAGGATTGATACTCGAAATTGTCCCGTCGAACCATTGACAATCGGCTGCGGTCAGCATCCGTCTGATAATTCTTGGTGGTCCATATATAGGTGCTGAACTGGTCTGAAACATGGAAGACATTTTGGAAATATTTGCGCTCGAGATGGATTGGCCCATCGTTTGCGTGAAAAGCGGCCAAAGCCACTGCACTTTGAAACGCATTGCGAATTTGACGGCCGTTCCAGAGGGAGTTGGATTGTGGTTTGCTCTGGATTTGATATATCTTGTCGGCAAAGTCCAGCAAGTCATCTTCATTGACATTGATGCCCGCTCTCTTTGCCTTATCAATATGCCGCTGCCAAATCCTTACTGTCTGCGAGGAAGTGAGGGGAGGGTAGTATAAAGCCATGTGGATGCGCGATTTGAAGGCTTCGTCAAAGACTCCCACGCGGTTTGTAGTAAGAAAAAGTATCCCTTCGTAGTACTCTAGCGTACGGAGAAAGACTGCCTTGGGGTGAGATGGTATTTCCAGAATGTAGAGAGGATTCATCCCTACCGGATACCAAAGCGTTCCGACTCGTATCAGTGACGCTTCTCTGGGCGAGGAAAACATCTGCTTCATCCAAGAGCATAATACAGCCCCATTCCTGCGCCAGTCGGAAGACCTCTTTGAGTTTATCCTCTACTTCCCCAGGAGTCAGGCCAAGGTCGCCTGGCGTATAGTTAGCCAGTAAATCCGTGTATCCCATTGAATTATGCAATGAACACCGTACCGCAGGTAATTGGGAGTAATGGTTTATTGCTACTAATGGCAGCACATTCTAGAAACCTGTAAGTTCTGTCCAAAAGGTCGGAAATTTTACAGTTTGGCATACCGGCCGTTGAAGTCTTGCCTACTCCGGGAACCCCATGCAGCAGTATGATAACCCCATTGCCTACGTATCCGTCAGAGAATCAAGTCGATTTGCAATGCCAGGGAGGGTACTGACCTTTATTCTTCATTAGATCAAAATGAATCTTTGGAGAGTGCATCCGAGAAAAGTGTGAAGTGATCAGCGACTGGACCAGCTCCTTGTGGCCCTGTAGGAGCTGTAGCTTCTCCCACGGGTTTTCATCGCGAACCCTTTCTCGCAGCGCATTTCCGCCGTTTGGCCCCTCCCCAATTCTCAGGCATGCTAGCAGTAGAAAGGTAGAATTAGCCAATACCTCCTCTCAACAGAATACTTGGTAAACCCATACCCCATTGTCTGCTGGACAGAACAAAGGCAAAGACTCGGTCCGGTAGTAACAAGAGATCTTCATCTGCTGACGGCGCACTCCCTTCCGACTCCCAGGCCCGTAGCTTGCGCCCTTCTTCCTCCAAGAGCTCGTTCGCCATCTTTCGGTCCCAGCGACCGTCCTTATCCACACCTTTGCTTCCAACCTCCGCTTCATTCGTTTCATTGAGTTTAAGCTCTGTGGCTTCAGGGCGCCAACCTGGAACTGCTTGTAATGCCCGCGAAAAGTCAACCATCACCTCGCTGTCAATCCGCTCGGAGTAGCATAAGGCACTTCGGGCTGTCCCGTCCACCAGGTCGATCAGCTTTGTGCCATTGGGATCAAGGTAGTGGCTGCGACCGCTAAATTCCAAGTGGCCCACTTGCTTGGTGCATTCAACAAACTGCCTCCCCCGATCCAAGAGTGCTTGTTTGTCAAAGAAGTCTGGGTCTTTTTCAGCCACGGCCAAGGGCACTATGGGAAGCAGCTTCACAGTCTGGACACCTTCGAATCCAGTCACCTCAAATGATCGGTATATAGGCACGAAACGTTCTCCATCGTAGTCAAGAAAGAAACAATCTAGTACAACTGGTGAGAACAAGGGATTAACTTCCCCTTGCATATCATTGAGCTTCTGAAGGTAGCGACGGCCTCCAGTCACTTGAATAACCTTCCAGATCTTTTGGGGAACACTGCGATCCTTGAGATATACCAGCGAACCTCGAGGATAAAGAAACCAGAGATCAGCAAAGCGAACTGTCTCAGGTCCTGCAGCTAAACGTGTTCGTTCAGGCACCAGAATATCATCGATAAACTGCAGCAGGCACCGGCCATTCTTGATAAAACTGGCCAAGTTGGTGGGGTTTTCGAGTACACCTGGCCAATCCCCGATTAAACCCACGAGGATGTCTCTCTCCAGTTTATGCTCATCAATCTCGCCTTCTAGTCCATTTAAAGTCCTCTCCATCCCTTCTATGCGAGCCCGGATCTTTTTCTCCAAGTGATTCAGCATTTTAAATGGTCGCAGTATAGAAAAGCTCGAGACCTCCCTGAAGTTTAGACTGTCGTCACCGAATTCTTTATTCAGGAAGTATCGAAGATTGTAGGAGTTGATCCGTATCCTTTCTGGCAGGCTTTCCAGCTTTGAGACTTTCTCGTCATCGATCTCTAACTGCTTCTGATTACCGATCTTCCACCCCCCTCTCGACATAAAGAGAATGTCCGAGGCGGTTGGCTCATTGAATGGGACATCAATTGCATGGTACTCGCCCTTGCCCCGATAGATCTGTGATGCCTTGTTGAGTACGGCGGCATTCAGCCATGAAGTGTAGTGCAGTTCTCCGATTATCCGAAACCGTTCCGTCCCCTGTTTCGGCTCCATCGACCTAATTTCATGGCCCTCTGATACTGTATCATCCCCTTGCTCTGACTGGCATTTTGCTGTCTCTCTCCGAAGCCCCAATTGGGTGGTATTGGAATTCAACCCGCTTAGTTCCCCCGAAATGTTCCCTAAGAGGCCCCGTAGCTCTTGTGTACGTTCATCCAGCCCGTCCAATCTGCCAATCACAGTCTGGACTTGTTGTAGCCATATACCAAGCCTTTTTCGAGGAATTGAATCCGGATCGAAAGCGTCATCTTGCAGTCGATTGTATTCTGGATTTGAAGGTTGCGGCTCTCGAACGTGCTCGTCGGGGTTAGATAATGCAGGCTCGGAAGCGCCCGTAGCCTGTGGGAAATGATTAGATTATGCATGTCGCGGCCCTTATATGTGTGAGTGTTGGAATACCAGTTGTGACCGGGTTTCAGCTACGACCGCACCTGCCTTTGTAGAGGAGAGCGAGACCATCTTTGGACAAAGGTCGATCAGGCCGGCTGGTCAAGTTTGCAGACCAGCAGAGCTGGCTAGTACCCGGGTATCTGCACAGGCCAGAAAGGCACGGATGTATGGATGAGGAGAAGACACGGAGTACAAGAAACTGAAATGAGGGGTTGTAAGAAGGATAGACAGTGCGTGCTCACTCAGCTCGGAGTCGGCACGCACGCCTTTCCTGTAATCGCTGGCGCCGCTTGCAAAAGTGGGGGACATGATTGCCAGACGCCTTAGGGGCCGTGGATCGGAGTGGCTGGATGTTAGATGGTAGCTGCATCGAGTGCGTGGGTGAGAGGGGATGAGGAATCCGCCGCCCTATCGGTTGGATGCTTCAGCTTTAGTGCGCCTGTCACGTTGTTTTCCCGGCCAGCATCGGCCCAACCCCGCCTTCCAACAGACTTCCCCTTGCTATTCTTAGCTCACGATATACCTTTTTTCTCGCAGAGCGTTCGGGCATGGAACATATGGACTTCCAAATGAATATGTTCGAGACTCCATCCATGATCGATGCGAGTGACGAAATCGGACCCTGGATCGAGCACCACGCCCCCACCGTGAACCCAGCCTGGGCCTTTGAAAAGGCCATCCAGCAGAAGAGAACCCCACCGGCCCCGCCAGAGAAGTAAGTGATCTCTTTCCAGACGATGCGACTCCTTCACCCACCCAATTAAGCACCACCAGAGTTGCACAGAAAAAGGATCGTTTTCGCAGGGTGATGCGAGAGATCCTGGGCAAGTCCCAGAGCCCCGAATATCAACGCATCTTTGAAAGAGCCACCACATGGGATCAGGTACGCGCAGAGGCCCAAAAGGCGATCAATTACCGGTATCATGGTCGCGACACGAAGAATCCATTCTGCAAAACCCTCCGCGCAGCGGGAACCGCAGCATCCAGACTGGAGTTCCTGACGATACTCCTACCGAATGGCGACTACCTGGGATTGCTGTGTGGGGGCCTGACCCTTGTCTATACAGTATGAGCTCCGCACCTCTGATTGACCCATGGAACACGAACAAGGCCTCAGACCTCATTCTGTCCTAGGCTGCAAATCGCATAGAAGCACTGCGAGAACCCATTCTCAACTCCCTCGATACGTTGGCCTATTCAATAAACGAAACATCGCCGTATCTCTATGCATACTCTTGGAATGACACACTTATTCAGCGGGCGCATGAGCTGTACATGGCAATTCTAGATGCCGTGGAGTCAATAACACAGTGGGTGGAGAACCACAAAGGCTGTGAGTCGCACCCTTAGTCCCTAAACGAAGCTAATATCTCCGTTCTAGTTCGAGGTGGGTTACGGCAAGGCGCCAAGGCACTTTTCCTAGGAGACAATTATGGCAAGGACCTGGAAGATAAAGTGACTACGGCAGTAAGCGACAAGGCAAGTGCATTTGAGGCAGCGGTCAAAGCTTGTTTGAGCATCGAGGTTCACGACACAGGATTGAATGTTGCACGACTTGGCAAGGGAGTGGATCAAATGCACGGAGATATCAATAAGCTTCTACAGTCGACTGTCTCGAAAAAGACCCTCCAGGACCTCTTACATGATCAAGTTCAAGTGGGTGAGTATAAAGATCAAATTACCTATTTGTAGATCTGTTTGTGTCTATCTAACAACTACAAAGTCGTGAATCAAACTATTGCAGCATTTACTCAACAGTTCAGCTTGAACCGATCTCCTCGGCCAGTCACGCCATCAATCACGCTCGAGCAAGTCCTGATTGCCCTGGACCTCGTACCCATCCTCGGCAAAACTACTGCTGTCGAAGCGGTCGTAGAAAGCATTGGTACAGAGAGACACTTTGTATATCTCCTCGGGCGTTCTCTAGGTGAAGACATGCAACACCAGGTCTCGGCCGTGATCCAGGACAGCCGGTTCCGTTATTGGCTTCAAAGCATGACATCGGGGACGTTGGTAGTCTCAGGGACGGGATTTAACCCCCTCCAAGCTGAGATTGCTTCACCTCTCAGCTACATGTGCGCTCTGCTCATGAGGAGCGTTTTGCAGGCACCCTTCATCCACCCCATAACATTCTTCTGCCGATTACACCTAGAGCCTAGTGATTGTGTATCCGGAGCCGACGGAATCATGCGATCGCTTATTGCGCAACTGGCTCTCTCTCTTACAGAGACAGGCATCCTTGATCTGACGTTTTTAACTTGGAACTGCCTTCAGCTCATTGCGATGCGCGATCTCGTGTCCCTGTGTCGTGTTCTTGAGAATATCCTAAAGCCTGTCAGACAGAGTGTGATATTGTTCATGATCGATGGCATCGACTTCTATGATAACTCTTCTAGACTTTTTGGGATGGATCTCGTCATGTCATTTCTCAATAGCCTGGTCGAGGCCATCAACTACAGCAACACTGGACTGGTCTTTAAACTCTTGCTGACGAGTCATATGGGAGGAGGATACCTGCCTGAATGGTTTCCAAACAGGGTGGACATACCTTTGACTGAAGAGACCCTTCTCAATGGGATGGATGCACATATATCGACTGAATTCATCACATATTGATCCAATGCAGAGGCATGCTGCTGCAAAAGTTAATGCTGACAGCCGTTATACAGTCGTGTGAGTTCCGGGAAATTCCGTCGACTAGACCGGGATAGGACTAGTACTACTATGTCCCGGCTCTACCCGCAGTGGGCACGAACGCACGTTGTTGGCATCTCACACCATTCTCAACTTGACAGACACATAATGAGAAGAGAATCATTGTTATGTGACCTAAACTAGTTGATAAACTAAACAAATCCAGTATTAGACACAGAGAACTATTTCCATCAGCATATTCCATCATTTTCCCATTTCCCGTTCGGATTCCGATGTGGTGATATTTTATACCGGCATTTGCAAAGATATATATAGTATCCGAATCAGAGTGGAAACTCAGTCTGCAGAGGTAGTATTTAGATGACAAGCGGGGAAAAGGACGCAAAACAGCGACAGATGGAACCACGAGAATTCCTGCTTGTAATAGCCAGATGAAAAACACAATCTAATTTGGATCCTAGCATGTCATTCACCACTCTACTCGTCCTCAGCTCCCTCAGCTCCCTAATCTCCAGACAGCTCTTCGTGAAGATAGTCATCCATCCAGTCATAGAGGTTTGCCGAAGCTTCTTCAGATTCATCTGAGTCTTTCTGAAAAATACCCTGATTATTTTCCGTGGTGGCCGAGATATCACCCGAACCAAACAGAACCTGAGAAGCAAACTGGAATGACGGACTGGGCTTTAAGTCATCAAGGGATGGCTTTTCGGGAGTCTGCAAAGGCAACTCAGGAACGGATTTCACCTGTTTTGCCTTCGGAGGCGCATCCTTTGCTTTGACAGGCTGCGGAGCAGGGGCTGAAGCAGGTTTCATGAGTGACCAGTATTTGAAATTGCGAATTGCCTCATATTTCTTAATAGTCTCTGGAGGCACGGACTTTGCTGGTGCAGCTTTTTTATCCGTTGCAGGCTGAGTTCCAGACTCGGTCTTGCGGTATGTGAACCCGAAGACCTCGCCGGGATTACCAGTCCACCCTGTGGGCAAGTACTTCTCCTGCTCTTTAGCACTTTTACGGACTTCCTCAGAAACATGCATCGCCAGGTCTGCGACAGGAATAACCCATTTGAGGGTACTTTCAAAATTCTCAGGGTTAGTAACGGCGGTCCAGGCCAATGGGAAACAAACCGCGGCGAGGGGACCGATGACCGGAATGAATCCAACCGCAATCGTCAGACTGTTTTGAATAAAGCCGACCAGCCACGTCGTTGCCTGCGGAGGCTTCCATTGAATAGCCAGACCGTAGTTCGCACCGGCAACAGTGGTCCAGCTCAGATCCGCCGAGTCAGAAAACTTCTTCACCTCTGCTCCTGTGGTGGGTGTCAATTTCCGATCAACCATCACGATGCTGTGTGACGAGAAGCAATTATGACCTCGAAGTGCACGCGGGAGCGAGAGCAGAGTAACCAGCTTGCGGACGCTGACTGCCAGTGTCCACCTTCCATCCACGACGAGGCCAAGTGTAGAGTCCAGGGGGAATGTTTCGGCGCGATCGACGATAATATAATCATTGTAGGTATCGAGATCTCTTATCTCACGATGGGTCATGATGCTAACATCCCTCTGGATTGCCAGATTGACATGCAGGAACGTGCATACTTCCGGATAGTCCTCCGAGGCCTGCTGCGCGACTGGGATGTAGATCGCGCGGATGCATGCTGTCCGCTAGAGTCATATCAGCATATCGTCACTCACTCAGAGCATCTCGTCGGGACATACATCAATAAGTATCCACTCCTCTCGCTTGGCGAACAATGGCATCGGCATCACCATAAACCACGGTTCCAGAGAACCTCCTTTCTCCTGATCCCGGAAGCGGTTTCCGTTAACACAGAGATTATGCTCCACACATCTGTATTTATCGCTGTGGGGATTTTTACCATACAAGATGGAGATGCGATCCCAGTTTCCATAATTGGTGTTCCAGTTTTCCCCCTTCACCACTCTGTATGCGGAGCGCGGATGGTAGTAGAGTTCATACTGGGACGTGGTGCTATCGGAGCCATGAAAGGCTGGCCGGTTCCAGATATACTCGATCATAAAGTGGGCATAGAAATGCTCTGGTTTGTCCGGATCATAGGTGGAGGTCTTCAATGCGGAGCGCTTGAAGAAGCATTCTCCCTCTGGATAGGCGATCGACATTGTGAAGGTAATCTGAGTACTGAATGCCAGAGAGGTGTCCGGAGAAAGCACCATCAGTTATGATGTATGTCGGAGGTTTTATATTGGTCGGATGTCACATCTGAGTTGAGGGGTCATCAACCACAACTCTCCCATTACACAAAACGCCACTTTCCAAACTTTTACATGCAATTATGGCCTGAAAAGGGCAATCCACGCAGCAGTTGCCAGTTACATGGTACCTGGTGGGATGGCAGAAGTCGAGCAGCGAATCCCAATCATTCCGACCCAGCCATGAACCGAAGCAAGATGAGGAGAACTTAACTTTAATGACAGCCAGATCTCGATTTGGAACATTCTTCCTCCGCAAAGCGGTCCAGGATAAAGTTGCATTCCTTCACAATGATCATTACTCTCCCTCCCCACATGCCAGGGGGGATACAGTGGCTGACCAGGAACTCAGTGAATGGCAGGCCAAGCTTCTATGTGCTTGTGCTAGGTCTGTTCTAGGTCTAGATCCACCTTTGCTGACCCATGCTGACTGTGATCGGAAGTAAAGAGGGGGTTGATTTGGGTTCAGTAATTCCAACCCTCAAAGCCATCATATGGCAGGGTTCGTGGATAAACGCCTGCATCTACTATCATCCCATCATGGGACTGATTATAGTTTCTAGTTCGAGAGTTCCTGTGTGATTGACGATCATTCAATCCCAGGCCTGGGGTTCTATCTTTCAGAACAATGTATAAGATTTATCTGGTAAGTAACGTTGACCTGCACTGATTACACATCTCCAGATGTTTCGCCAAAGTCTTCAATGAGACTAGTATGTACACTGTGGGCAATACAGGGCTTTCCGCCAAACCCAACCAACATGCAACCCAAATTTATCAACATTTCCATCCCTCAATTCACGAAGCCCCACTCCCACTCCCCTGATCCTTCTGGGCCTTCTTCCTCTCCTTCGCCTCCTTATCCGCCTCCTTCCACGACCCCGCATAATGATGCGTCACCAACTTCTCCCCCTGGTCCTCAGGGTACCCGTTCTGCGCCGCGGCAAACGAATTGCCAGGCATGATGAGCAAATCGCCCACCAACGTCGGCGTCTTAATCGCATGAAAATCACGATCATCGACCGGCCGCCCCAGCAAAGTTCGCAAGCCATCCAACAGTGCGATTGTCATGATCTTCGGCCCCGTCACATCCACCACATCAATCGGCAGCATATCCAGCGTCAAATCCGCAATCGGTAGCCGATTCAACGCCGCGATCTCACCCAGCTTCCTCACGACAGCATCCACCACCGCCTGTAAATTGCGGGAAGATGGCCGCGCCGCGAACACCCAGTTGCAGAATTGCGAGGCGACCTGCGTCCCCTCGCCACGCCATTCGAGGTCGAATTCCAGACCCACGATCATGTCAATTTCCTGCGATTTATACGCCGCAGGAACCCACGAGCCGAGCGGTTCGTCGCAGGTCACGTCGAGGTCGCTCCAGATTCCACCTTCGGCGAGGATGATCAGGTAGCGGAGGAGATCGGCCTTCAGGATCGGGATGGGTAGCGCTTCGTATACCGAGACGATATCCGGTCGGGTGTTAGCGTAGTGCGATCGCACAAAGGCCTCGCCTGAGAGATCGGTGAGGAGTTCATGGCGGATGGAGGGGTTTTTATCGATCCAGCTGGCGATCCAGTCATCTTGGTCGGAGGTTAGGTTGGTGGTTTTTGCCGAGTGCCATATTTTGTCCGGGATGCCGGATATCGCTTCGTTGGAGGGGCGGGGTGGTTTGAGATTGTTCTTGAGGTTGTTGCTGGGTGGCGATTTATTATTATGATTATTGGTGGTGGTGATAGTTGTAGTAGTAGTAGTAGTAGTATCCGGGAAACCGGGGGCGCTGACGGCGTCGTTGATGGATGTCGGTAGGAGGTCCCGGTTCAGACAGAAGAGAAAGATTAGGATCAGAGTTGGAATGGTCAGGACTGCAAGGCGCGTATAGCGCGATGAGTTCATATTGGCTGGTAACATGAGAACGCAGACGAAGACGAGAACTAAGATGATGCAGAAAAAGAAGAAGAAGAAGATGATGATGATGATGATGCTGTAGCCCTAAAATCAGGGTCCATGGGCGGGCAGTAGCAGTGTGCAGTGGGGGATGGATTCTGGGATACCCGGAAGGGAACCAGAGAGGGTGATGACTGATGAGTCGAGTTGAGCGCCTCGCCGGAGAAGAGGAGAGAACCCTGGACATTTATTTAAAGACCAGAGCAGAGTAAGTAAGCTTAATAGTTCTACGATATGCACTAGCTATCCAGGGTCTAGCCTGGGTTAACGCTGCTGATTAGTTATCCCAATGAGCTGCACCGGGCTGGGCCAACCTCGCCCTGACAGGCTGGCTCCTCTCTTCTCCTTTGTACTATTAATATTAAATTGTATCTAGCCGCTAGGCCGAACCATTCATTCATTCATTCATTGGGCCATCCATGACCTAGATGTCTCACCTGGGGCCGGTGACTGTGGCAAATGCGCTGCGGTAATTTGTATTTGTGTGTGTGTGTGTTTTACACCAATGAATGAAGCGCGCGAAATGGGAAAAGACCAGAATGGGCGGATGGATACCTGTCTGAAAGTGAACACGAGCTGGAATGTTATCTAGCCAGTGAGACTAACTGCTTGGGTGGGGCGATGGGAAATGACATAGACATTATTGACGCTAACTGGTTTTCGCTCGGGGGGGGGGGGGCTAAGCCTTAAACCCTGGATTTTGGATCGACGCGGGCAGTTGGCACTTGGTTGGTTGGCTGCGGAGGGTGTGGTTGGTAGACGCCCTGATACTGGGTTTGGCAAGGGGGGTGTTTATTAGACGGTCGGCGCGCGAAAAAGGTAAGTTATACATCTAGGTAACTTTGGCTTGTATGGGAATCAATCAATTATACTTAATAATATCGGTAGGACATTCAATGTGCAGGTGAAGGGGTCTATCTAACTTGACCGCTACAACCGAAGTGAAGAAGGCGAGTGTATTTAGCACTGGAGTCGGTGTGCGGGCTGGGCTGGTGATGCAGGAAGATTCTGCAGGGCGTAGGTAAAAATGATATATCAGTCCAAGGTCAAGACGAACGGGGGTGGAGAGGGCTGAGGCTTTTACAAACTGATGGACATCTTGAATGGGAGTGAAAATATGCAAGAATCTGATATCACTGATCCTCAGGATTGACTATCAGATTCAACAAAAGCAAGCGATTAGAGAGAGAGAGAGAGAGACCGTACAGACTCTCATGAAGCTCCTGAGCCATGTCACAGCTGGATGTAGCCAAAAAGATCCAAATCATCTCCCTGTGCGCTTAGAAAAAGCTGAGATGCAGCTCAATATTCTTCGCCACCTCCTGTCCACTCTTATTAACCATTGTCAAGGTCAACTTGGTATTCGAGATCTTTCCCTTGTACCTAAGCCCGCCCCACCCACCCTGTCAGCGCGTCCCAGAGCCAGATCATATGAAAAGGCAAGCCACGGGCGGGATTTACCAGTAATAAGTACTCTCCTTCTCATGATTGAAGAACTCGATGTCCCTCTCGCTGGTGGAGCTGGCATTCACTTTGTTCACGGTACCGTCGTTGCTGGAGTTCGCCTTCACGTGGCCACTGCCGTCCTTGGACCATTGGAGGATGACGGATACGCGGTCTCCGACCTGGACGTTGTCGCGGAAGACGACGGCGATGATCTCGTCCGAGGCGTAGGGGGAGTAGTTGAGCTTGCCGACGTAGATGAGCATTTTGGCTGTGGTGGGGGGCTTGGATTGTGGAAGTGAGTATATGAGTATAGAAAGTGCAGTTGAGTTGAAATGCGCTTGAGTTGATTGTCGGGATTGGAGTGGACGAGATGAGGGAGCTTTTATAATCAATGCTTGGTACACTCAGACGGAGAAACAAGTTTGTTGGACCCAAGCAATATGACATCTTTGATCAACGGGAAGGTCGTATGGATAGAAGTCTGACATTGTCTGCATATTGATATTGGTGACACACACTGACGCTTGCAGGTGGACTCCTAGAATTGTACCAAGCTTATAATCTCTTGTCAGAGCTTCTTATGGCAGCCTGAGCGACGAATACCCCGTTTTCTTCGACACTGGTTTTCCGTTTCAATCTCTTGAAGATGATGCATGTCTTCCGGATGAGCGTTGAAATATCCTCGGAGAAGATGCACGAGTCGAATCAAAGAAAAAAATGATACAGAAGCCGACAAATATCATTACATATTACTAGTAGCATTTCCTGCTGACAGACTGCAAGCTCAATGGCGAGTTGACGGATGCGGTAGAGGCTCTATTAGCTGATGGTGTGACCTGGTGTTGCAGCCCAAGTGCCCTACATCGTTCACTCCAGGGTCATTACCCTTTACCCCAGTTCTCAGGATGACCCTGTGCAGCGCTCGGAACGAGTTATAGCCTCTCTCCGACAGGGTTGTAAACTGTCTCACCGTGGACTCGGGTGACCATTGTATGAGAACAGAGGGACTGTGTCTAGGACAGCGAATGGTCTTCTGCGTAAGTCCCGTAAGTTGAGGCGTACATATTGGGATGGCTATCAAAGAAAGCCCACGGTAGGAACAGCTGTCTAGGCACCAGAATAGCTGTGATGATGGGAATTCCACTAGGATAAGCATAAGCAGGTACTTAGCACAAACATGCTCACGCCTCCGGGGCAAGGGTAAAAATTTCCGTAAGGATGCACACGGTTTCGCTAAAGTTGTCAGCAATCCACAGGCAAGCCAGTCCAGGACTGCCCAGGGACAGACCCTCCGGGCGGGTATTCGCCTCGTGTACCCGGGGTCAGAGCGCGCGGGAGCCCGGATGCTTGTGCGGGGGCGAGACCCCCGCCGCAGCAGGATAGTCATACATTTGTTGCCCAGTCCAAATTGGGTTCGTCCCAGCACCGCCCATCGGTCGTTGTGGCGGTGGATGCTGCGGCGGGGGCAGTTCCGCCCCAGTCCCCGTCCCCGCCCTTCCGCGGGGCCCCGTCGGGCCCGGGACGTTCCACTGTCCTTGTCCGGGAATGGAGCGAGGGCCAAGTTGGCCTGATGTTCCAGTAGTAGGGTTTCCATAGCTGTAATCATAGTACTGCTCGGAGGATACGGGCCGGTGCATTCCAAGCATCTGCGCAGGCGGAATCCCAGGCGTCGGAGCGGAGGGAAGATCAGCAGGCGTTTGTTTGCGGACTGAGCGTAGGAAAAGGGACTTCCTGTCCACACCATGGGTAGCCACAATGTTGTCATCCTCGTCCAGCCAAATAGCTCGCACTTTATCCTCGTGGGCGCGCCGCGAGGCGTTAGTTCCATACAGCTTGTTAATGTAGCGAGTAAATTCGAGGTAGGCGTCTCGCACGATCTCGAAATGGGCTACTGACAGCGTCACGACCGCGTCTGGCCGTAAGATTGCTCGATGACTGTTTCCTTGAGCCTCAAACTCAGCCAGAGCCAGCGCGGTCTGGCAAGCGTTCTGAATTTGCCGGCCATTCCAGCGCGCATTCTCGTGATCGGCATAATGTTGCGCTGCAAAGCTACCAATGCGGAGCTGGTCGATGTTAATCCGTCGTCCTTTTTGGCGAAAGCGTTCCTTGATTAACTCCATGTTTAGTTTAAAGACCTCCACCGTCTTGTCGGAGCTCAGCTCTGGGTAGTAGAGGGTGACGTGGATGCGCGATGTGAAGGCCTCGTCGAAGTAACCAACTCGGTTGGTGGTCAGAAAAAGGATGCCTGCATAGTATTCCATCACGCGGAGGAATACTTGCTCAGAATTAGCATGCCTCTCTGGGGTGTAGAGTCATCCCACTCACCGGCAACGAGACCATTTCGCTGAAAGTCCTCCTTGGTTCGCTGGGCGAGGAAGACATCAGCATCATCTAACAGAAGAATGCAGTCCCAGCGGTTGGCCAAGGCAAAGGTAGTCTCCAAAGCTTTCTCCACTTCCTTTGCCGTAGTTCCAAGATCTCCTAAGACGGTGTTAGCCGGAGTGATAATAAAGCCATGAATCTACTTGCCGCAGGTGATCTGAAATAGTGGCTTCTGGAACATCTCCGCCACCCCCTCTGTATTTTGGATGTTTGTCAACACATTAAAATCATACGAGCGTTGAAAAGAGACTACGAACCAGCGGTGGATGTTTTGCCCACTCCTGGAGCGCCATGAAGAAGTAAAATCAGACCCTTGCCTATGATCTCATTTAGCCATCATGCCAGCATTTCTTCGGGGCCAGGTGAAAGATTACCTTTGCCCTTGACAATATCCACCTGTTCTCGGTGATCTGCAGTGGACTTTTTGTCTCGAAAGTGCTGGGCGATGAGCGAAACAATCATGTGCTTGTGCTTCTTATCCAGTACCAGACGTCCAAAGGTTGTGGCAGGCTTCTTTTCATCATCATCCCACGACTCCGGGCTGGTGATGCCCGGGTCGGCTGGACCCGTCTGGGGAGGATGGACCTCAGTTAGATACGATAGGTCAAGCTTGGCTAGAGGTTTCTGTCAGTAGATGGTCCGGCCAAAAGGGAGAAAGTGGGAGAAAGATGACTGCCTTACCCCATTTTCGCGTTCGCAGTACAAAACCAAATACGCGGTAAGACATGATAACCAGCTCGTCATCTGAAACCGCTAGGGTGCTTCTTGACCCCCTCTGCAATTCCTTTAAAGAACGTGGAATAATGGCAATCGATGGCTGTTCATCGCTGGTATCAGTCTTGGGGAGGAGACTGTCGATGTAATGTGTCCGTTGTTTCTCGTCCACATAGGCATCGTAGTGCACATGGTCTCTTCGGCAGCAGCTGGCTTCACAGTGCTCGGGAGTTTCTTTCTCTGTCTCCATATACTGGTTTCCAACGAGCAGTTCTAGTGTGGGCTTCCATCGCTGTTGCTCGGGATCCTCTACAGCAAAAGCGGTCTCGAAATCGACCACCACTTGGCTCTCCACATCGTCGCGTACCCCCATAGCAGGTCCCGCATAATACATATGTTTAACTGCCGCCACTTCGAGGAATTTCCGACCTCGGTCGATAAGTTGCTGACGGAATCGAGAACTGCGATTGGATGGGGACAGAGTTTCCACTTCCGCCCATTCCGACTCCCCAAAGTCCGCCCGCTTTAGCGGATGGAGGTGGAGAGGATAAATTTCCAATGCTGTGAGGTCCCGTTGCCCATCGAATGGTTTGATGGCAAAGATCCGCGAAACAGGACCAAGAGACTTTCCATCAAAGTCTACGTAGACACAAGTGACGCGGAATGCAGTATTTTCAGGCTTGTTAACTGATGAACGGAACCGCTGCCACGCTGGGACGACGCAGTGTGGAGCACTGGTGACATAAACCACACGGTAAGCCTGCTTCCCATCATTTCCAATCACCTCCATCCCGGGGCGAAAGAGGTACCAGAGGTCGGAGAAGCAGACCTTGCGGGATTGCGGGTTGCTCAGGTGGGCGCGTTTGGGGGCAATAGAAGTATCCATAAACTTTAGCAGACAGTGCAGATGATTCAGCGCCTCGACGGACTTGGTCGCATCGTTTGGATCATCTATCTCCTCTTCTTCCCTAAATTCCTCGTCTTCCTCTTCCGGCTCTCCCCGGCCATCCTCACCACCTGGGCAATTTGCCTGGATTGCTGTTGTCGGGGTGCTGTCATCCGGGGCACTTACAGCTGTCTCCTCTTCTCCTGCTTTCGAGACGGTAGACTGGAAAGTGTTGGTCTGCATCTCTTCCTCCACGGCAGTGGGTAAAGTCATGAACTTCTTCTCCAGTGCTGCACACCAGTCGCGTAGCGCTCGCTCGCAGTATTCCAACGCCTTAAATGGCCGAATGAAAACTACCGCCGTTATCCCCTCCAAGCTGTTGGCAGCGGATCCTATAATCTTCTGCAGAATTGCTACCAGTATTGTGGAATGAATCCGGATTCTCTCAGGCAAGGGTGCCTCTTCGGGGGCCGTGCTCACGATGGGGTGATGCTCCTGAGACACCTTGGGCTTGCGGGCTGCTCGGCCAGAATAGCCATACCAGGTAGCAAAGGTGTCTTGCACAATGGGCTCCCCGAGAAGCACATGAATCTCACATGAGAACATGTCTCCGGCACGAGTAAGACCACGCTGAAAGCCATACCAGTCCAGGCGCCGAAGTTTGGGCTGAGGCGCGGGCTCCTGCTGTCTAGCCTGCTGGTCAACGTGCACCCCGGCCTTATTTTCGGTTTCAGTTCCATCTTCCTTGCTCACCTTATTTTTATTCTCTGGCTGCTCGCGCTCTCGCTGACGGCGATCAACTTCCTCCATGAGATAGAGACGGTCCATCTCCCACTCAAAGTTCTTGCGCAGTCTTTCGCGTCGACTGCCATAGTCAACGACGTGATCAAACTCATCTAAGGAGACTGGATCCTGGGAAAGTTTGCTGAGTTCATTGTTGGGCGGGAATGGATAGGGTCGGTTGTATACATGGTCGGAGAGGACATTGTAATGGAAACCCCACGGACCGTCCTCAGGCCGAAAGCCTAGGAAAGAGTTTCCTTCGCGCTTCAACTCCCATAAGCCCGGTCCCATATTAGTCTCCCACTCCTTTCGGTGGCGGTACATATACTCTTTCATCTGCTGATATCGGAACCGTTCTGTTGGAGGCTGAGATAGTCGACCATTTACATCGGAGCCTACTGCGGGCAACTGCGTCTGGCGAGAATTGGCCTCACCTGCTGCTTGGCGGGCGAGTTCTTCGATCCGCATCTTGAGAAATTGGATTTCGTTTGCGAAAGGTGTATCCTTCCAAGCAGTATCTTCCCCAGAGAGACATGACTTGTCCGCAACATTCGGAGTCGGTGTGGTCAAAATCTCCCGGGCAGTGCTGGGGCCAAAACTGACAGACTGCCCCGTTTCCGGCGTTGCCCCCTCGAAGTCCGCCATTGTTCCACACAGCCAGCTTGATATAAGTGTGGAAGAAGGAGCAGAACTGATGTTGCGACAAATGTAATTTGCAGAAGCAACGCGACGATTCGAGCCTTGAGGCAAGCGTTCGTCTTATAGCCCAATGATATTCGGAAGCTGACGTGTCGGATTTCAGGGGGATCATGCAGATGAGCTCCCAGCCATTCCGGACAAGTCCAGTGAAAGTGATTCCCAAATCGGGGTGGAGCCATACTAGAGAGTAACCGCGCGTAGCTGCATGAGAATACGAACGCAATGGGCCAACCCGGCCCAGGCCTTTCATCAACGCGTAGTGGAGATCCTTCCCCCAATGCGGAACCCGGAAACAATTATTTGTCTGGTGTTGGGACCCTTTCCAGCCTTGCCCCTCTGCAGTTGATGTTTTGTGACCATCTCTCATCTACATGATGATAGAGCGCAGCCTTCCAACCCCGCGGCCCGACGTTCAGCCCCCTGCTGTGGCCTTCGTCGAACAATCGACTTTCCCAGTACTATGCCATGTTCGTCGATCATCCTAACCATTATTCATCTGAACGATATGTGCCAAACCGACCGCTCTCGACACATGCCATGGAAAATGACAGGCCCTGCGAAGATGAGGATTTGGAGATAGACGATTATAAACTGCCCCCACGACCGGCGTACTCCGATACAAAAGCCATGCAATGCTGGGCGACCATGTTTGCGACTGCCATGACTACCTTGGCTTCGAAGCCGTTCCCGCTCCGCGACAGAAACAACTCTGCCTACAATATCCGCAAAATGAGTTGTATATGTGTAGGTGACCGTTGCTGTCTCCCATACAGCTTCCAGCCACGTTGGCCGATGCAATGCTGACGCATGGGTTACAGACTCACAACAAACCCAGCGGTTTTATAAGCAGATTGTGGAAGGTCAGCAAAGCACGTTGGATGGGATAAACTCGATCAAAGATCTGTTGACGGAGCACGACTGGCGCGTGGAGGAACGGGTCAAACAAATTCACTTGCAACTACGGAGCAAAGATTGTGAGTCTCCATCCGCTTTGGACCATCCCACCATCAAAAGAGGACTAACTATGCACCTGTATGGTCAGACCAACTTCACGCTGCGCAAGAGAAGATCATCTACCTCAAAACCATTAACGGGTTTCTGCCCTCCTACACGGCCTTCCCGCTTAGCCGCGGGCCGAGTCCTGTGCCGCAAGGCCATATTCCCCTTCGTCAGATGTGGATGAATCAGGAGACCGTGCGAAAGTTACTTGACACGCATAATGGTGATTTAGTTGACCTTGCTCTGGCAATCGAGATGAAAGGACGTCTTTCACAGAAGGAGCAGGCACAGGCAGAACAAATGGAACACACGGAACCCTTCAGACTCTGGATTATCTCCCCCCACTCTGCTAAGTTGTTGATCCACTGGGACCCCCGACCGACCACAATACTCCGTGGACTTTCGCCACTATCGGTAGTTGGGACCACCATAGCTCAGGCATTGAGAGATCAGCCTCGATTCTTATCCCTGTCGTGGTTCGGGGGGCTACAAGTAGATCGTACGGAGACCGGCTTGGTGGGAAGGAAGTACGCGATGGTCTGCAGCCTAATCGATCAGCTCCTGCGACAGCATGAATTCGATACGAGTTTCCTGCCAATTCCAACCGACCCGTTGGCGTCCCAGGAGGACTGGCTTCAGCTCTTGGATGCGCTGATCCGGCAGCTTCCAGCGATGCGGACCGTGTGCTGTATCATCAACGGAATCATTCTGTTAGAGCGGGAAGAATATGAGGCCGAGGCATTGCCTGTGCTGGGTAAACTGATTGCTCTGGTTGAGAATCCAACTGTGGTAGTACCGCTGAAGTTGCTGTTGACCAGCAGCCCCGGGACCACTATCGTGCGAGCGGCGTTTGAAGACGAGGGGCTGATCTTGAACATCGGGCCTCTGCCGCCACCTGGATTAGCTCCTAGTCAAACCCGGGTCATTCGGGAGCTGGGGCAGACTGTGACTGGAGATGAAAAGTGTGGATGAGGTTAATCATACAGCTTTTTCTTGAATACAACAGGTAGATAAGCAAGTAATCGCTGGAGATGGAAGATGGGATAGCGGGGGAGGTGCTCCGCTTAGCATGGTAGCAGGAATGGAGGGGTCCTGACGATTCTGACAATTGAGATGGAGGGACCCTTCAAAACCTTGTATTGACCAAGGGATGGAATAAGAAGAAAGCCCGGGTACCATAAAGGGCAGAGTTTGGTGGAAAGGCCCTGGCTGTGAACAATTGTTTGATGGATGGTTCGACACAAGCCGAAGAGGGGGAAGAGAAGAAGACGACAGAAGACGACCATCGCCTGACAATCACATGACCCACGTATTCCCAGTTTAAAGCCTTGCGAGAATCCCGAATTGCGTTCTTTCTTCCTTTCTCCCATGCCATCACATTTTCTGTTATTCCACGGCTTCAATGTGCGTGACTCTACATGCCCATGAAAGGAAAGAATTATTCCGTAAGTTGATAGCCAGGCAGCTTTTAGCAGACGCAACCACATTGACCAGATGTAGTGATTCTGCATTAAGTATAATAATTCGGATCTAACAAGACCGATAGGCATGATCGCTACGCGCTTCTGGATTGACCGAGCTGTGAAGAAAACACCATAAATTCGCAGACGACTAAAGCATTGACGGAACACAGAAATATCAAAGAAGCTAAAGTGATGGTAACTTTAGATATTGGATGAAATTAAATATTGACACGATAAAATCCAACATCCTACCCACTGGAGTTAGTATTCTTTTATCTGATCGAGTCCAGAAAATGTTCAGATCGAGTTTCAAAATATCATCTCGCCGAAAATCCTATCCAGAAGATGTTTTATTCGTCCCGCTACTCATAGGTTTCCCATTCAAAAACAAACACAACCCGGCAGCAAGTGTAAGAGTGTTTTTATTACTAACTTTTATTCATCCCATTACCTCCGCCAAGCTCTAAAACGTCATACAGAAATTGAGAACCACAAACATTATGTACCGATGCAGAGCTACCCAACCGGGTAAACCGATTCGTTGGACCGGCTAAACCCGTCTTGGATCCCGACGAGCAGCACGATCAAGCTTTGCCGCGCGCAACTTCACATATAAAACTGGTCTTCCCATCGAAAAAAAAAGAGCACAGAAACAGAAATTTGACACGATCCAATTTATTCACTCCGAAAATGACCGACAACCTCAACCACGCGATCGTTTACGGCGCATCGGGTCTAATCGGCTGGGCTTTGATAAACCAGCTCTTAAGTCCGTACCCCGAGATTGGCACATTCTCCAAGGTTACAGCCATCACGAACCGGCCTTTGGACTTGTCGGAGACACTTTGGCCGGAACCGGACTCGAATCGGCCAGATCTGCAACTTGTCTCGGGGATTGACCTTCGAGGCTGTGATGGTCCTGCATTGGCCGAGAACCTGAAGCAAGCCGTACAGGGAATTGAGGGCGTGACACATATTTATTACCTGGGTAGGCAATCTACTGTGATAGGGGGATCTAATGAGATGTTAGTTAACAATCATCAGCATTCTCAGCCATTGACGATGATATTGAAGAGGTTGCGACTAATCGCCAGATGCTACAGAACGTCATTGACGCTCACAATATGATCAGCCCTAATTTGAAGTTCGTTGCGTTTCCTGGTGGGACAAGGGTATGGACTGCCCTACAACCATCAGATATTTTTGCTACAGTTCTAACAATCTTTGTTGAGCAGGGATACGGCATCTATGTCCCCGGAGGAACATTCACCCCACCGTTGGTCGAAGAAATGGCGAAAAATCTCCCAGTCGAGTACGCTAAGACAGTCGTTTATCCCGCATACCGGGAGATCCTCGAAACAGCAAGTAAGGGAAAGGAGTGGACATGGTGTGAAGTTTGCCCGGATGCAATTGTCGGTCTTCTCATATGTATTTCCCGGGTGATGTGGTTTCAGATCGAATTAACCATACATCCAGATTGGCTTTACTCCAAACGGCTCGCAATTCAGCCTAGCACTGCATTGGGCGCAATATCTATCTCTTTATGCCTACAAAAATGGTATTGGGCCACATGCACAAGACACTGCCGACAAAAGTGCAGTCGAGGTACCATTCCCTGGATCCACAGCCGGTGCCAAGTCGCTGTTTAGTCCTGTCTCCAGTAGAAGGCTTGCGCGGTTTATGATCTTTGCGTCATTACATCCCGAGACATGTGGAGATGGTCGGTTGTTCAACATTGCTGATCAAGAGGCACCATGCACATATGGGGAGCTGTGGCCTCAGCTGACAGGATGGTTCGGTCTGTTTGGTGTGGAGCCTGCAGAGGATTCACAAGACACGGAGGACAATACATTGAAGGTGGGGGAACTCCCGCAGGTAACTTCACTGTTAGCCCCGGGGGAGTATGTATCCGCGTTTAAAGACAGCTTTACCGAGTGCGGGCGTCCCAAAGCGATTACGGGAGGTGTGGGATCTGGTTGTCGTCAGCTGGATAGCGTGGGCTATTGGCTGACCTTTGATCGGCAACTGAGCCTGAAGAAGCTTAAGGAAACCGGTTTCGAGGCGGACGAAAATCCGGTCGGGGGCTGGCTGGAGAGCTTTGCACTGTTTCGGAAGGCTGGATTGATCCTTTAAGCACATCAAACTGCCACTCAGGAAATGCATGTTTGGAGGAGAGGTCTTGACCGTTTCAATTAAAATGAATACTTTGTACAGAAATTGATCAGTCCATTCTAGACGCCTTTTCAACATTGCAAAATTCTCCTGGTTGTAGAGATGACTGCTAATACCATGAGTTCCTGGGAAACGGCAAGAGACCTACCACTAGATATCCTGGCCAGCGACTAAGGGTGCCAATTTGATGTAAATCTTTATCTTTAGCTCTACCCAGAAGCAATACAGCTCAAATAACTACCTTGATTACCTTAGAACTGATTGAACGGTGTTTGTTGAAGGCTATTAGTTACATACCGCGAGAAGTGCCTAATTTAGGTTCATATTGAATATTCAACGTAAAACGCATTGCATTATTAAAGGGACTTTCTGAAACCCCCCCCCCCCCCCCCCGGTTATCAATACCGAAGAGAACTTGCAATAGACTTCACTCTCTCGTCAACCGTCCATCTGCCCTCCTGCTCATCTCCCTGAACCTCCCCATCCCCATCTTCCTTCAACCCCAACAGTAGCACCAATGAATGGTGGCGGGGATGTCAGAGGCGGCGTTGGTGGAGAGGTCGAAGATGTCGGCGAGGATCTCGTACATGAGGGTTGTATCAAACATATTGGCGGCGAAGGTTGTCGATGAGTTACTGCTATTGCTGTTTGTGTTCGTGGTGTAGTTCAGGACCGGGCTGGATCCGTTGTATTTCACCTCGGTGGTGGATATATTGCCGGGGTTGATCGTTCCGTTCGTGACGGTCCAGTTCGAGTACGTGTGCACGCAGAGGCTGATGGAGCATTCGTAGACCTGCCGGGTCTTTAACCATGCATCTGTAGCTTCTTCGCTGGTGTCATCGTAGGGGAAGCGAATCAATGCCATACTGAAGAGTTCCGGGCCTAGAACGTAAGAGTAGGAAGTGTTGATGCTGGTGTTGGCTTGAGTGAATTGGAAGCCACTGGGTGCGTCAGAGGTGGAATACGCGGAGAGGGTGTAATTGGAGGGGGTCTTGTAGGTGCAGATGTCCACGTAGCCATTGGTGGTGGTGTTGCAAGATTGTGTGTCGTCTGAGAGGTGACCTTGGTGCACTGGCTGGTTATTCCGATGGAGTCGTAGTTTGGGTATGTGCAGTTTGAGGCGGGGCAGTTGAATGCGGCAGATTCGGTGAGGTTGTAGAGTCCGGATATGAAGGCTGCTCGCATGGGGAAGTCTCGGGCGCCTGATCAATGTTTAGTCGGTTGAGTTGGTTTTGTTGGGAGAGATCGATGGTTTACCTGTCACTGAACTAGCGCCACTGATGCCTTGATCACCGTTGTCGTAGACTTGAGACCGGGTAATGGATGAATGGAGCCCAGGCAATGCAGTAGGCTTTGAAACATATCTTGATATTTCCTGTGTGCAGGGATCAAATGCGATGGCCACGATTGTAATTAGACAGCCGATGTACGCAGTAAAATGTCGAGATTTGGCAGAAAAAAAAAAGAACATGAACGAGCCAGCTGGGCCGCGGCTCGCGTTGTCAAAATCCTGCAGATTTTTAAGTCCGAATAGGGCAGTCAGTTTAGGAGTTCGAGGTGTTCGATATGAAAGGCCAATACGGGGTAGAGAAAATACCCATGTTCTTTATCAACCAACTGCAACCATTTCAGCTGACTGATGCATTGCGAGATGGTTGTTATCATCAATGCCTTCGCTGCGGTGGACAGGATGGATATCATTGTGTTGGGGGGTATTCGCACACTCCATGATGAGAGGAGCTTGCCATCAATCTTGACGAGAATCGTGATGATCGCGACAAAACATAGGACGCTGAGTACGGAGCTCAGTGCTTCGAGGGACCAGTCGCGAAGGGTGGTCTTCAGTAAAGAAGGGGACTTTTCTCGCTTGGGTGGATCTGATGAGCCAAGAGAAGACGTCATTGGGTATGTATTAGACTCGCCCTCACTGATGGGCTGTGCGACTGGCTCATATGTTGGTTTTATATTGCTGGCCTTGGACTGCTCTCATGTCATGTTCTGTGCGTCCACTTGCAATGGTAGAAGAGCTAGAGTTTCTGGAGCCTGGGGTGTGGGACCCATGGCATATCAAGGATTGCAGAAAGTCGGCACTCAGCACAGGCCAAACTAGACCACACAGGGCAAGATCGCGGGCTAGACTGGTGATCTTAGAAAGGCAGTGCTCAAGTGTCACATGGGACACGCATTGAAGGATCATCCGGGATTGTTCCGGAGGCATGTAGTATCGGCACAGTGGGGGACCCCACCGAGCTACATGCTCAGGAGGAGAGCTATGGGCGCCATTATCACGGTACACCATGAACGTGGTCACTCGGCTTCCTTTCTTTACCAGACTGTCCCAGTCATAGTGGAAGTTGTAAAAGCCGTTGATCCCGTACCGTTGGGTTTTCATTGGCTGCATGAACGTGTCCTGCAGGGCGAGGGCCCGTGTCTCGATGCGGCGGACAATCGCATCATCTCGCGGCATGATCGCCGATTCAGACACCCGCTCGCTGGTGTCGATGTGCGACTTGCCCCCGGGGTACACCATCGAGGGGCTGTATTTGTCTTTGCTGATAAGGAGAGGGATTTAGTGGGGGCTTTGGAGCTTTCTGGATGGACATCATTGAACTGCACTGGAGATTGTGAAATACCTAATAGTAAGCAGATGATCGATTTCCTCCGCGGTTACAAAGTCGTCAATGTACATGATGAAGGGGTCTCGAGAGAATATTTGAACCCGGGGGTTAGGGTTGCCAAGCGGATAAGCGCCCATTACCCGATGAAGTGCTGATGCCGACCACCATTGCCACTCCAGAGCCCGGACAACAAATGGTAAAGTCCCGAGCGGGGCGAAAAAAATCGCGTACTGTCGCAATTTCTGGATTCCAGGCGCCATTGTAATGGATGAACTGATGATGGTTTGCAAAATGGTTGAAGCAACCCCATTACATTTAATACTGAACAGCAATGTCGAGTTCGAACATTACTTCATCTTCATTACGGGTCATCTGGACCGGTGAGAAGACACTATAAAGGTGATTGGTTACTGGCCTTTGGGCTATTCCTTGACATATTGAGCGAAATTGCGTCTTGATTCTCCAGATGAGGGGAACGCTAGCCAACACACATGCCCTGTGTGAGGGCTGAGGGTTAGGATAGCGGATCTTACTCCCGGCCGGAGGTCCGTCGGCGGCTGCTTCATCGCGATCATCGTTTCCAAATTCCGACATTTGAATCCCCCCCCCCCCCCGCAACTATATTCACCCGGCCCAATCACTAGTACCTTACCCCTGTTGTAGTGTGCACAGGGGTCTGTCAATCCACACTGGGTCTGACCCACCCTGGGGCCGTGCGGTAGGAGACCGAATGAAGTGGAAGGATGGACATTTTCCGCCTCTATCAAAGGGTTACACCCCGGATTCCCCCCAGCCTATCAATTTGAGTGGGTTGGGAGGTAAGAGATGACGCGATAAGTACCTTCAGATGCATACCTCTGGACCTAGATTTTCAAATGCTTTAGGGGATGTTCTGGCCAGGACCGTGGTGTCATCAGTATATGCGGATACTGGAACATCTGGAGATGATCTTTTTTGCCAGTACCATGGCTTCAAGGCAACTCAGCCGAGAGGGAATTGGCGACTCGAGAAGCGAAGAGGGGAACTGCAATGAGATGACTGCAATGAGATGGTAAATACCTCACCAAGATGGTTGATAACCAACAGATATAAAGTCAGGGAGCATTCACTGATTAATTTCCATTATCACAGCAAGCGCAACCAAATCCGCGTATACAGTCTCCCCTCGTCTTCCACTCTCAATTTATCCACACTCGAACCAGCCAACATGCAGCTTCTCAAAGTCTTCGCTGCCATTGCAGTCTTCGCTGCCTCCGCCGCGGCCGTGGCCACGCCGGAAATCGTCAAACTTCGTGATCTTGAAGAGCGAGCTGCCAACCACGAACTCGCCACTCGTGAGAAACCCGAGAAATGCCCTTGGATGATCCGCTATAGAAAGTTTGCTAATTATGTTCTCCAGCTCCGAACTCTCCTAGCAATGACGACTAGATTGACAGGTCAAGTTTGAACACGGGTCTGAAATACAAGGCTGGTCCGTAATGTGGAAGAGAATGATTGATTTTGGTAACATCAGTTGAGGGTCCGTCCATATCTGGCTCATATGTGTGCACACAATACGTTCATTAGCGGAATGGAGACAAAGAGATCACCTTGTGTCAATCAGTAGGAGATTCAAAGATGTAAACTCCAAAAAAATACTTGCTAGCTCGTACTAGCCTATGCTTCGGTCAGACTAAGGATTTAGTGGGAAATATGAAGTAGTCGGCTGATCTCCAAGTGAAAACCCCCTCCGACAACTGGCCTAACGTAGGATTTATAAATACTCAAACACCTTTCCTTTCCTTCGAACTTCATTCCTCCCATGAATACACGCCGACAATTACAACCCACCAGACCAGCAAACATGTCCCCTGTCCCACCCCAACCTCTCCCCCGTGTCCCGACGACGGAAGAGATTGTCCCTGCCATGCAGCGCATCATCGACGAGTTCAATATCGTCCGCGCCCAGATCCTTGACACGACCACCCCAGCCACAGCCACTTTCGACAACACCATGATCCCACTCGCGCATGTTGAGGACGCTGTCCAAGGCGAAATAGCCATGATTGACATGCTCCAGTACGGATCGCCTTCTCTTGCCACTCAAGATGCGTTCAATGTAGCCCAGAAGTTATACAATGACGCGCGTGCATCGTGGACAGCAGACGCGGCTTTCTTCAGCCTGCTACAGGCTGTCCGCACGAAGGAGCAGGATTTCAACGCGCTGGATCCCGAATCGCAGCATCTGCTAGACAGGGAGCTTCTCGACTATCATCAGGCAGGACACGGAGTCCTAAGCCCCACGGATCTAGAGATATATCTACGTCGAAGATCGGAGATTACAGAACTAGAGCGGCAGTTTCAACAGAATCTGGCGAGAGAGGATGGTGGGGTAAAATTTACTCTAGAGGAGTTGGATGGGGTCCCTAGAGAGGAATTGGCAAAATGGAGAGATTGTGACAATGATGGGAGTGGGGAGGATGAAAATTCGAAGAGAAAGTTTGTCCCCTTTGCCAATGGCGGTACAATGACGGTTTTGACAAATGCCAATCGCTCGGAGACTCGCAAGAAGATGTTTCTGGCGGACAGCCACAAGTTGGGGGAGAACAAGCCACTATTCGAGGAGATTATTCGGCGTCGTGCGAAACAAGCTCGATTTTTGGAATATCCATCGCACGCGGACTTTCGCATTAAGCGGCGCATGGTGAAGACCACAGCTTGGTTGAGAGGGTTTTTGGACCAACTGAAAGAGAAACTTTGTCCTCTAGGTAGAGACGAGGTTGGAGTCTTACAGCGTCGAAGGGTGGAAGATCTTCGAGCCAGAGGTCAAGATACTGATAATGGTAGTGCCGATCAGCGAGTTGGGAACGGCTTTCCCCCGTGGGATAAACGATACTACGAGAAGTTGGTGCAGCAGGACTTCGAAATTGATCAGCTACATATATCGGAGTTCTTTCCGCTCGAACAGACAGCAACTGGCATGTTGGGCATTTTTGCCAAGGTGCTTGATCTCCGGTTCGAACCCGTCTCTGTTCCGACCGACGATCTGAAGGATGTCATCTGGTATGACAACGTGCGAGTGTTTTCAGTGTGGAACAGTACCAATGATGATGAGACTATTGGGTATCTCTATTTCGATTTACTCTGGAGGGAGAACAAGTATCGCGGCAACCAAAGTGTCAATCTTCAATGTGTACTGTATCCCATACCCCCCTCTCCTCATGATATGTTTGCTGATAAATTTCTATGTTTATAGGGCTACGAAAAGCCGGATCGCAGCAGACAATATCCCGCAACCATCCTAATGTGTTCATTTCCAACATCAACACCAACATCTTGTACCTTGCTCAAGCATCATCAGGTTGTAACATTGTTTCATGGTAAGCATACTCTTTGCCGGAGGCGTCGGTTAATATAACTAAGACCGATGTAACAGAGATGGGCCATGGTATACACGACCTGCTAGCCAGAACCAAGTACACCCGTTTCCATGGCTATAGACTACCTCCCGACTTTGGAGAGATGCCCAGTATGATGCTCGAAAACTGGTGCTGGATGAAGGATGTCCTTCAGGATCTCAGCTGCCACTACACTACTCTCGATGAGACCTATCTATCAGAGTGGCGAAAGCAAAACCCTGGCAAAGCAGATCCACCAACGACAATTCCGGGAGAATTGGTCGACAACATTATAAGACATCGTCATTTCAACCAGAGCCTCTACTACTTGCACATCTTGTATGTTCCTCTTCATGCTATTATGGATCTCTATATTACGGATTATTCACAAACGTACTAATACTTCAAAAAAGGTCGATCTCCTTATTCGACCTGCAGATCCACACCACAAACACGGACGATATTGATCACCTCGATGTCCAAAAACTCTGGTACGACATCCGTGGAGAGATAGAATTCATGGATTACTCGGAATGTCGAGATGGATACGGATTTGGAACATTCTCTCATCTTACAGCTGGTTATGATGTCTGCTACTACGCATATCTTTGGTATGTTTACAGTTCGTCAGAAGTGAGTGATATAGTATACTAACAATCAGTAGCTGTGCAGCAATGGCCCAGGATGTCTTTACCTCGGTATTCGCCGCCGACCCTTTCGACAAGGAAATATGGGATAGGTACCGCCGCGCAATTCTGCAAAGTGGTGGGAGTAAGCAGGACTTATTAGGGATGTTGGAGGATTTCTTGGGTCGTCCGGTGAATATGAATGCGCTTGTCGAAACACTGACACGGGCAGCAAGTGAGCAGTGAGTTGGACTGGTCTTCTTGAAAAGCTAGGCGGGATATTTCGGATATATAGATCGGTTTGTTGAAGTCTGTTAATGCATTTCAACCCAATACACTTTATATACTCCGGATAACCCCACAACTCATCTTCCCGACCTTTGTGATGAAGACATTCAAATTGCTATAGCTCCTTGCATCTCACTCGCGGCCTGCGCGATCAGGGCGGCACCCACCCCAGACCCATCTTTGGCCATCCCGATCCGGATTCTTTGATCCCCGGTGGGTCCGATCTCCGGTACGTCCCGCATCGCTCGACGCATCTCCACTTCGAACATGGGGTAGAATTCAATGAGCGAACCATCGGCTCCAATGTCGATGATGTCTTCCTGAAAAACCACAGATGACTTAGTCTCTGATAGTGGTGGTATTGGCGGCTTCCCAATCAACGAACCCATTCCTACCAGACGCAGGAGCCGGCGCCAGAGCAGGGTCGCATCGTGGATGAAGCGGTGAATACTACGCATGGAGGAACGAGATGTAAGTTGTGGTCGCTGTTCGTCGTCATCAGTTGTGTACGTATGTTCGGTGCCTTTTGTGGACATTTTGAGTCGGCCACTTTGGATGATGATGGCGGCCAGTGATGCGCCCGCTAACCGTGCCGCTCGTCGGGCAATGGCCGAAGCCAACAGTTGAATACCTCGTGCATCAGTCTCGGTGACACCTTCTGCAGATAGCGTGGCCTTGATGAGCTGGATAGTAGTTTGAGCTCGGTCCGAGCCTGCCTTCGCGAGTTCCGAGAGAAAGGAACTGTCGATGCTGTGTCGTTCGAAGATCCGAGATGTAGGGTTGCATGTTATCGCCAGAGCATTCGTTTGCATCAGGTGCAAGATCGTCAACCGCAACAGCTCTCCTAGATAAAGACCCGAGACCCTTTTCTCGAGCATCTGGGAGCCGGGATCGGTCGATGCCTCGTCTAGCTCGTCGTCGAACGGGGTTCGCGGCAAGACGTCCATCTTGTCATCGAAACAACCCCATTCTGTATTGATAATCATGATCTGGTCCGAGATGGGTTCAGCACCCAGCCTACGTACATTGGATAATCGCTCAATATATGCGGCATTGGTCCCAGTGCCAAGTATGACCGCAGCTAGGGTTGAAGCGGTGGGGCCGGAGGTGTAGGATCTGGTCAAGAGCGTGCCAACGCTGTCGTTTGCGAGGACCGAGACGATGACCGGAAGTCCCAGATGGTCGATTGCCTCTTGTAGCATGCGACAAGGATCTCGACCCACGGCATCGGGAATATCCCACCCCTTATCCCAGTGAATTAGCCGTCCACCTGCCAGGGATGTTTGCTCGCAAGTGAAGCTGAACGTAAAGCCCAAATTGTAAGTCTGGTGTTGCTCGGCGTCTTTCAATCCCTGGACACATTGAGGATTCTCATTCCCCTTCAAGAAGTCCGCAATACGGTGCGCCACAAAATCGAAAAGAGGTCGATAGCTCGGGTTCACTGTGACCTCCGGCGGTACGCTGTCTTTGCTCTGGGATACGGTGAAGGTTGAGTCCCCATGTAGATCGACCAGACAGATCCTGCAATTGCTACCCCCGAGATCAACTGCCAGGAATTTGCCTTTCTCCTTCCCCGTGGGTACACGTCGAACGTAGGACGGTAGCTGCCAGACGCGTTCGTGGGCGAGTCCATCCTCTGACCATGTCGCGTTAGCACTTTTCGATCTTCCAAGGCGTCTACCCAGGATACTGACTCATTTGGCGGACAAAATGTCTCGTAATGCTTCTCACATCGTCTGGACTGAGGTCGAACTCGCCTGCGATCTTCTCTGCTCGAGCCAGCAAAGTCGGTTGCCGCTCATCGACAGCCTTGGTCATGGCAGATGGCTGAAATGGGAGTCCAGGTGCAACACGGCAACTGTGAAGCTATAGAGGAGAAGAACATCCTGTGGGCAGCGAATATTAGAGCTTGCCATGCCGTTGTGGCCAAGTGTTGAAAATGGTGGGCACGTCTCTGTCTCTGTCTCCGCGATGATGCGGACAAGGCCGGGATTTACCGAATGGACCGGGTGGGGCCGGCTCGCCCCGCCGTGCAAGTCGGCCCGACCTTTTTGCGGGCGATAGGAACCAAACCGGCGGATTGCCGACCGGACTTTACCGGGACACGTCACTTTTCACTTTCCCCTTCTCCTATCTCACTCACATCTATCTCGACAGATCAGGAATCCGTGTCAGACATGTCAGCTAGGGGTCATAAAGATGCCCGGATGCAGAATGCCCCGAAGGCCTGCAGTCAGTCCCTTTCTGCTTTCCCCCAGTAATACTCCGTACCAACCGAGGCCAAATGGGAAAGCTGACCGTGTGACCGTGTGGAATGTAGTAAACTGCCGGCGGCAAAAGATGAAATGCGTTATGGAAGACACTGATAGATGTCGTCGATGTCGTCGCTCCGGCCTTCCGTGTGTCTTCGTACCCCGTGCCAACGCCGCCACCCTCCCGGACGTGATGAGGAACTGGTCGGAAGATGAATTCAAAGGGGACGTGCTACGTAGGCTTCGCATTATCGAGGAGAGGATGGGTCTCGCCGCCGTAGTCGACGATCAGGTGGTATCACCAGCCTTTCAGACCGACGAGCCGGAGTTCAGTAGCTTGGGTGCGTTGTGGGATGCTGTCGTTGTGCTCCAGAGGACTGCCCCCAGTACCCTTCCCCGATCTATCTGGCGGAAGAGCACCGTCAAGGACCTTTGGCTGTCGTAAGTAGACACATTGTATTGCAGATTCCGCTCAACGAAAATAGATTTCATGACCGTATGCCGGGACTCCATTTTATGCCACGGAAACAGACCTTCTCTGCGCCGCAACCTTTACTCGTCGCCTCGATTTTGTTTTGCTCCAGCGTTCGTGGTCCGCAAGAGGTTGCTGAGCTGGCACCTCACTACTTGCAGGTGTTGTTCCATGCAATTGCGCAGCTGAGTATTCCCGGGAGCGAGGTAGGCAAGGTGCCCGGGGACCCAGAGGAGTGGGCTTTTCAGACTGTGCTGGGTTTAATACTGGCTGGACTCCTCACAGAGGCAATCCATCGCGAGACGGGAATTTGGATATCTATCGCGTATCGCCTCATTTTGGAAAACTGCCCAGCACAGATCGACGAGACCTCCCGGGAATGGCGGAAGCTGTTCAGCGGCTTGCAGATCATCGACCTGGAGCACGCCTCTCTCCATCTCTCCTGTCCGATCATCCCGATAGAATGCCCGCTACGGGGGTTGCAGACATCCAATCGGGATCAGCTGTACCGACTCTCGCGGATGATGCATACGGGACTGACACACTTTACGGGAAGAGGCCTACCAACCGTCTGGTCATGCTTTACGGACCCAGAGCCACGTCCAGCACTCCTTATGAGTAATTTTACCGCTGTCGATGCAGCGGTGATCCGAGACTGGGCCCGACAGCTAGATGAGTGGCTGGTTGAGTTTAGTCACAGCGCTGAAGGCTCAGAGCAGGATCTGAAAGTGGTTTTTCGCCAGTACGTATTGCATCGCTTGGTGGTTTTGTCGATCTACCACCCAGCCCGAGGTTGCGATCTCTGGTCCAATAGCACTACACCCCAGGAGCAACAGGAACTACTTCTTTCGGCTCGCGCAACTCTCAAGCTACATTCGCACGATAATACGATTTGGTCGAACTGGGACCAGGTAATGATCACTTGGGCATCGCTTATTGTCATACAGGGTGTCGAAGGTGGTGCTGGCGAGCCAGACGGTAGGTGGAAAATTAATAATCTGCGTAACTGTCATGACTAACACGGTGAAGATCTCCATAATATAAAAATACACATCGATAAGCTCAAGCAGGCGATTGGACCGCAACCCAGGCTCGGAGACAAGCTCGTTGCCCGCCTAGAAACGAGTCTGGCCAATGTCCACACACCAGGTTCAGACGGGCCACAGGGCCTTGTCCAGAACCCTTACATAGGTGATGCCGTAGATCGATCTTGGCATATATTCGACGAAGCAAGTCTGCAGTCGATGATAAACTCAAACTGGATGGTCTAGGATCAAATCCCGATGCGATTTTTAATTGTGCGCGAATGGGAATGTTGCGGAGCGTACGGTCAGCCTGGACTTTGGGCTATCTATACGCGAGGACATGCTATCCGGTGTCAGTTCCCCTTCCATTGGCTCTCCCCAGCACGAACTTGGGACTTCGACAGGCGTCGTTGGCATCTCGTCTTGCTGGATCAGAGTTCGCTCAACTCCAGTAAAATACTATGACAAGCGGTTACTGTGGGTCCATAACCAGCTTTATGGGGCAATTATTTCTCACCTTGACTGTTTTTACTGTCAGATCCAGTGTGGCGTCCTCATCCACCACGACCATGCTGCGAGGGTGGATTTGCAGACAGGACAGAGTGCACATATGGCTCAACCCTCCTTCAACTGCCTGTTGAATAGCGCGTGCTTTCGTTGCCCCTGTCGCAATTATCACAACTTCTCTTGCATCCATGATGGTCTGCACCCCGACCGTCAATGCCATGCGTGGCACCGCGTCGAAATTCCTGCCAAAGAACCGCGCATTGGCAATTCTTGTTTCATAGGCGAGAGTTTTCACCCTCGTCCTGCTCACCAGGCTTGAGCCTGGCTCGTTGAACGCAATGTGACCGTCGCTCCCCACCCCGCCAAGGAACAACTCGATGCCCCCAAGCGCCTGAATCCTTGCCTCGTAGGCGCGGCACTCTTCATCCAACCGCTTCGCATTTCCATTCAGTATGTTGACATTCTTTGGCGGGACGTTGACATGACTGAAAAAGCTTTTCCACATGAACGAGTGGTACGATTCGGGATGCTCGCGCGGTAGTCCTACGTATTCATCCATGTTGAAGGTCACGACATGCTGGAACGATATTGCGCCCCGTTGGTATGCCGCGATCAATTCCTGGTACACGGGCACTGGGCTACTACCCGTCGGCAATCCCAGGACGAACGGACGATCCTCGCTAGGCTTGAAGGCGTTGATTCGCTCTGTTATGAGTCAGACGCGATATTTCCATGAGCCATTGAAACCCGTCCGTACCTACTATATATGCGGCGATGTACTGCGCCGCTTGCTCTGGACGGTCACGGATGATCAGACGCATTTTGGCGGGTTAGAAGCGATTGGTAAAGAAATGAATGTAGATGTGAGTGGCCTTTTGCGTTCAGTTTTTTGAACATCCGAAAAATCTGGCCCTTATTACGGGATGCTACACTTCATTCATGGCTCTCGATCAAGCTTTGGTCGGCAAAGCCCGGTCTTCCGGCGGTGCGGAGAGAGTCGCGCTCGATAGTCCTGATCCGGACACCGGAGATTCCCGGTCGGTGCACGGGATTCGAATTCGATATCGTCAACGAAATTGTTATTGTAGTATACTACAGGATACAGGGACTGTAGGGAGCTTACGCTGATAGTATTAAGTTGCTCGTGTCGTATCTATCAAGTAGTGAAACTTTGTACTTATCTAGGAGTCAAGCGTGACTAGTTCCCAATCCAACATATAGAAGATCGGGCTATTAATGCAGCTGGGCAAAAACAGTATTCTTGATTATAAGTATTATTATTCTGTATGTTGATAGTACTCTTTCTTGTAAATTAACGATTAATCGTTATAATACAAATTCTTCGCCATACGTTTTTTTTTTATATCGAAGACATTGAAAGATTTTATTCAGTAACAGATAACTAACTTAAGTCTATTTATAAGAGTATTATAAACATCAATGTAATCAAGTATAATGACTTCTTCTCTAATCCATCTTCATGTCTCTTCGCTGTTTCAACATAAGGTATTTTCCATGATCTCGCCAACCAGACTGTAAGTAGCCTGAGGTCTCCATTACAGCCAGCACCTTCAACCACATAAATACTATAATCCGGCACAAAGCAGACTCATTGCCTATGATTCCGATTCTGGCAGCACACAAGCCACATTAATGGCATCATCCAGCTGCGTCAAAAGCTATATATTTTCCCCAGTTCAGTTTCGCTCCATTCATTCTCACAATGTCAGCTCAGACTTACCGGATCGCAGCACGCCGCATATTCTCCCTCATCGCACTCGCTGTATGTCGTCGTGCCATCCGCGGCTTCCGACAGTTCACTAGCATGTGTACCTTTTCCAGTTGTCAATTCAACATATAAAATAAACGCCCGAGATCAATGAACGAGGGATGCATACATGTCTTGCCCGTGTACAAAAAACCAAGCAGCTGGCTCTGGACCAGTTCCTCGCAGCATACACCGGGAGGACCGGCAGGAATCGGGTTGACTGGCTTGATGCAGGTGAAGTTGCCGCTCGCTGTAGCTGTAGCTGTAGCTGTAACCGCAAGGGTGATAATTGTAACCGGTTTCATGTTGTTACAATCGAGTCACTGACTAGGGGTGAATTATAAAGATGCCTTTTCAATTGTAAAAAGTAACAGTCCCGGTGCGGCTGAACAGCAAGGAGGTGATAGAGCCACTAATCCAGATGGGGCGTTTTGGGGTATGACGTCATGTATCTGGATACTTGATGTGTGCTAAGATATAAATATAATAATCGAACTGGGGAAACGCTGCAGAAGTGTTGTCTGACTATGTACACCTGGTGGGAGAGTCTATATTGGATGAGATCGTGGATTTGTGGGTGTCAAGAAAGTATATATGTCACGGTATACATATTTCGACAAGAGACAAGCGTGTACATCATGAGACATGACACAGCAGCCATAACCACGCGGTAATATTTTCTTAGTATATAGTTATACTTCATTACTCACCAGATAATCGATAAACTAATGGATTTAGTCTACAAATTTAAAAAGTTCGATTTAAGTATCTAAGCTTGAAGAGGAACCGTTACCCACCAACAGTAACTTACCAAGGACATTTACCGAGTCCTATGTCACTCTTTCATCGTATCAGAAGTCATAATATCATATTCATACCAAGTAATGTAATATATTAACCAGCCATACGAGCAACAAACGAAAGTCCAAACTGCCACCACATCCATGATCACTTTCCAGCCTCCCTCAACAGACCAGACCAGACCAGACCAGACCATTTAAATCTTTCTACTCCTCCTTCGCCCTCGCAATCTTCTCCCTATACTTCCGACTCCCCACAAACCACCACCCCATAATCAAAATCGGCAACCCGCCAACCACCACGCACGTATAATTCATGTTCTCCACCGTCACCGGCATATCGTACGGAAAACTGAAAAAGACAATCGCAAACACCAACCACGCGACCGTCACCCCATTAACCGCCCAAGCCCATCGCCCCATGAAAAACCACCCGCGATGCATGTTGACCCGTCCAGTGAGCATATTCGTCGCGATCGGAATCAGATACGCGACGTTGTTGATCGTTACCGCCGCGCCCAGCATGCTGTTGAAGGCGGTGCTACTCCCCAGATACAAGCAGCCGAGCGCGGCATTGGCAGCCGCAACGAGGAGTTGGGCGTTGAAGGGAATGGCGAAGCGCGTGCTGACGCGCGCCCAGATCCGCGAGAAGGGCATTGCGTCGTCGCGCGCGAAGGCCCACAGGACGCGCGAGGTGGATAGCTGCGAGGAGACGACGCAGGGGCCGAGGGCGATGAACAGGATGAAGGTTAGCCCGAAGGCGCCGTGGGCGGATTGCGTGGCCTGGTGGAAGAGTTCGGCTAGGGGGAGACCGGTGTTTGTCGTGGATAGGGCGGCGTAGTCTTGCACGCTGAACATTAGGGCGATCAGGTAGGTGAGGCCTGTTGTGAAGGCAATTGTGATGGTTATGCCGATGGCCAGGGGCGCGTTGCGGGAGGGCTGGTGGGGGTTGGTTGTTAGTTGGGGAGGTTGGTGGGCTGGGGGTGCGTGGGGGATGTGTGCGTACGTTGGGCATTTCTTCGGTAATGTGGGTTACTCCGTCCAGACCACCGAGACTGTACAGTGGGTTGACGAGCCCGGTGATAAAGCAGATACCGTTGCTGCTCCAGCCGGTGTTGTTGATCCAGGTTCTGAAAACGAATTCGCTGCTTTGGTGAGTCGGGGCGCACGCGACGACGGTGATGAGGACGACAAGCCAACCGAGTTGGAGGTAGAAGAGGGAGAACTTGTTGAGCGCGGGGATGATCTTGTTTCCAAAGAGGACCACAGCTGCCGTGAGGATGTTGAGAATCTGGTAGATGACGAAAGTTTGCCAGGTTTTGATGACCATGTCCGGGTGGTAGAGGGCGTAGAGTGCTTGGACTGCATCTTGTTAGGGCTGGCTGGGGACGGGGGAACGGGGGTGCTTACCAACTTCGGCGAAGATCAGGTTTGTTGATGCGGTGGTGAAGATCCCTGGCGATTGGTTAGAGGGTGGTTTGGTAATGGGATGCTCTATGGTATGTGATACGTACAGCCACAGACTGTCAGCCAGCCAGTGATGAAGCTCAAGAAGGCGCTCCATCGTCTCGGTGCGACCGCGGCAATCCAGTGATACATGCCACCCTCGGTGGGATAGCTGGAGACAAACTCCGCCAGGGAGGCACCGAGGAAGGCCTGCAGCAGCGTGACGAGAATGAAGCCATAGATGATGGCGCCTGGACCACCAGCATCAATCTCCGTGACAATACCTAGGCCGAGGCCTGTCCAGGAAATGGTTGTCGTGGAGGCGAGACCGATCAGCGACAGAGTGCTGAAGTGGCGCGTGAGCTCCTGGGTGTGGCCTGCGGGACGGTTAGGGCATGGTCCGAGCTCCAAGGGGGGTAAAACGCACCCATCTGCGCCAGCCGTTGCTCGTCCGCATTGAGCTCCGAGACTTTAGTCTCTGCATCTTTGGGGGCCATGTCGCTCATCGTGCAGTTCTGGATAGGGTCGAGTGTTGCTGGACATGTCGGGATCGCTGCGGGGCAGCACGCATGTTTTATCGATGATTCCATAACGGGCTAACCCTTGCATGGGGACAGAGATAGCACCGACCCACTGTGGAGAAACCGTTACACAGCACAACTATCGATAACCCCATGATAACCCTGACCGGGGTCCACCGGTCTTCGCCGGTCAACCTCGGCCGATTGCATTGCGGGGTGAAGATATCATGCGATCCCCACTTCGGGCTATCTTTCTCCGGCTATAAGACCCTTATGGCAGGGGCGAGCTGAGTCCCCCGGGTGAGAACTTTATCCTCGATTGAGCTGCCAGGACATAGATATGCGATTCCTTGTTGATTGGTTTCCGGCTCTTGGCTTGAGCTTGCTGGGTGCCAGCGCCGTGCACGCGGTCGACTTGAGCCAGTATGCACAGGACCTCTTTGATGAGGCCATGCCAATCCAGGATGCTATTTATGACCCCGTTGCCTCTTATTTGCACTATTTCTACTTTCCACTTGCCGCGGGCCCCCATGAGACCCGATCAACTGTCTGGTACTCCGCGGGTTTGCTCCAGCGCAACCAGGGAACCGATGCCCATGAAGCTGCCACGATCCTAGAGAAAATCATCGGGGACCAGGAGAAGAACACCTCGGTGCAATGGTACGGAGACTACACTGTCTACCCGGAACAGCCCACCGTGGGGACTCCCGCGTACCCACCCGTGGTAAGTGCGCCGGTCGGATGACTGAAAGCAAGCCCTAACTGGTCGATAGATCTATAATTCCTGGGATCCCAACTGGCGAGGTTTCATCGGGACTGCCTTGATCGTCATATATGAGGAGTTTGGGGATCTCCTTCCAGCACACACCCAAAATCTGATTCTCGAGAGCCTGTACAACAACACCATCGGGGACAGTTATCGCGTGGGCGGCGTCGACGGCGACAACCTGTACCCCGCGTACTCGAACGCGTGGCTCATGCGAACGGTAGTCACCTCCTGGACCGGACACAAATTTCAGGACGCGAACATGACGATATCCGGAGACACTTACACGCGCGAGTTCCTCGCCCTCTTTGACCGCAACGGCACCCTCTCCGAGTTCAACGGCCCGACCTACGCAGGTGTCTCCCTGTACGCCCTGACCATCGCCGCCAAGTATCTCGGAAACACCAACGCCACCATCGGGCAGAACGCAGCCCGCGTAATCCGGGAGATCTGGGATTACGAGTCCCTGCTGTGGAACGCTAATATGCGCAACTTCGCGGGTCCCTGGGACCGTTCCTACGGGTACGACATGAACAAGTACGTGGCCATCATGGCATCGTGGGTGTGGTCCTTGGCCGGAAAGACGGCAGCCTTCCGGGAAACCTCTCCCATCTGGACGATGACACACGCGGATGACTTCGAGCTTGCGCCCATCATCGCCATCCTGTCTGAATTCCATTCCACCCTCGTATCCGACACGGTCCGGTCGAGATTGTCCTCCTTTCCCGGTGAACACACCTACACCGGTCACACCTACGCTCCCCCAGCGGACCTGGAGCCGCGAAACATCACAACCTGGCTCTCGTCCAACCTCACCATCGGCACGGACTCCTTCAATCAGAGCGTTGTGGGCGGCTACTCCGAGGACTCCACGTCGTTCAGCCCGTCCGTCGTGCAGTGGCTGCGCTCCGACGGCTCAATCGGCTACTTCAACCTGTATCCTACCGAAACCGCCCTACAGGCCCAGGTTACTCCCTACGCGCTGAACCTGACCTATCCCCTCGGGAACGCCACAAGCTCATTCACATTTGTCCTTGCGTCCAACCCACTGGGCGCGAAACGAGATATCTTCGGGCTTGATGACGTGGATGGTCTTCAAATCGAGGTGGTGGGCGGAACTGTTGATCCTATTCCCGATATCTCGTTCTGTGGTCTTGTTGGTGGGGCGTGCGATATCATTCAGTAAGTTCTTCCTTCCTACTTTCTTTTGCCTGGGCGTATGGGGTTGGACTCTAACAGGGGCTAGTGATTTTGAGTTCTGGAATGTGACCTTTACCATGCCGGCCAACAGCTCGGATGTTCCGAGTGTGCAGTTTAAGTTTGCGTTGTAGGTAGGGCTGGGAAGTTGAGGGTTGAGGTGTGTATATATGCGTCTGAGGTAGGTGGTATATATTTGCAGTTTCCGCGTTTTATGTCCCATACGACACTTTGAGGATCGAATATAAATGGGACAAGAGAAACCATAAAACAGATTTCAGCATCATACAATAGTCCAAAGTTACGAGAATGACCTGGGTAGAAATTTCGCATTTTCCCTTAGTAGACATCTCACATGTAATCATATCATGCGCCTCCTTTTCATTACCATAGCATCCCAACCAGTATAGCCCCCAAAGCAGCCACAACAATCCCCACCACCCCATTCAGACCCCTCATCCCCGCAGCTGCCCCCGAAGTAGCCGTCGCCGAAGCCGAAGCCGTAGCCGTAGCGACGGATCCCGTCGCACTCCGACTCCCCGTCCCGGCCGTGGCCGCCCCCGACCCCGTCAGACTCAATTTCTCCGCGCCCGCGGTAATAAGCATAGTGCTATAAGCGATATTCGTACCCGTCACCGTCACAGTAGTATTATAATCAGCCACGATCCCCCACTGGCCATCAGGATACTCCGCGTTCTGCGACATTGTGCAGACCGCGGTCTCCGCTGCACGCGCACCCGTAATCTGGCAATCGAACGTAAGGGTCGCTGACATCGAGGCGTCGGTTTCATTCACGGCCAAGGAGAACGTCGACGGGCCATCGATGATTGTGAAGCGGTCGGCAAAGTCGCATGTCGAGACAGTGCACTCGGCAATGATGGTAGTGGCGAGGGAGTTGGCCGCGACGACGCTGCCGGCGTAGTCCGGGTAGTTGGCGGCGCTGGTGTTGGTGGTGAAGTCGAGGAGGCCGAGCTGGTTTTCGGAGGTTATGTTCGAGACGGCGACGGTGGATGCTGTTGGGTATAATGTTGTTGTGGTGATGACGGTGGATGTTTGTTCGTCGGTGACGGTTTCTGTGCTGGTGATGGTGACTACTGAGGCGAGGGCACTGGAGAGGAGGGTGGTGGTGAGGAGGAAGATGGATGCCATGGTGGTTGGTGGTCCTGTGGGTTGGTTGGTTGATTGAAGGGGGGGGGGGGGTTGAAATGTGCCCAGGAGAGGAGAGAGGGTTCAATTTCTAAATATTCGCGCCGCACTGGTGAGTCATGCGATATTTACTCTTTGACTCGATTGCTGCCTAATTGGTCCTGGCCATTCAGCCAACATCAGCACTAATGCAGCCATACAGATAGTTAGTCAGGGCTGGGTTCGCTGCTTAGGTACTGTGCCTGGCTAGTACTCCGCAAGACTTGACAATTCTCCGAGAACCCATAGATGGAAGAGCTAGAGACGCAACTCGCTTTTTAGGTTCTGAATACGGTAAATATTAGCTTAGTCACAATATTAGACCTGTAAGCCATATACTCAAGTAGGTTTAGCCGTATATGTAATACTGCAATAGAATACTATACTATCTGCTGTTGCCGCTGGATAGGTCCGGAGAGTTGGAAAATTTGTGGCCAGGGACAGTAGCTAGCACTCTTATAGGTTGTAGTAGGGTAGTCTGGCCGGTAATCACCGCCAGCTTATATTGTTTAAGGGGAAGGCGCAGTGGATGTCATAAATATCTTCCCCGCTCCGTCCCTCTTGGAGAGGCCTAGGGACTGTTTCTAGCCGAGTGGTTCGTCCGACATTTCCGTTAGTTTCGCACCCAAAGACCCCTCGTTCTCCATTGCCGGTTAAATGATTCTCCCAGGTTTAGCAAGGAATTGCAATTATTACCTATTCTGTTTCACTAGCTGCAGACATCGACTAACATAGAGGATGTATAAACATCAAAGTGCATACCTAGTGGAACTATTCGGCCACACCCCGGTGGCTAATTAGACATCCCAGTGTTCAACCCACACCCTGATTCCCAAACAAGAATAATGCTGTATCCACAAGCAATTCTCGCTACACCTGATTAAGCTAGCATGTGTGTGGAAATGATCAAGTACGTCATTACTTGATCATTTCCACAGGCATGCAAGCAAGCTAGCCTAGCCAATTGAACGGCTCAGAGCCATCCCCCCCACGACAGTGACCCACGACAGTGACAGCCAGCCCTAACCCGCCAGCCGCACCCGGACCTCCAACGGCCGTTTCTCGACCAGCAAAAACGTACGGAGGTCCTCCCACTGTAGTCGCTTCCCATCAATAGCTTTGAAATCGAAAGCCAAAAGTAGCTTCGCCAGAATCAACCTCATCTCCGCGCATGCCAGATGCTGACCCAGACAGGACCTCGGATCAATGCTGAACGGCTGAATGGCGCGACGGTTGTCATGAAAGAAGGGCGGGTCCGCGTTCGTTGATGCGTCGGGGAGCCATCGCTCGGGGAGGAGCGTAGTAGCCTCGTGGAAATTGGAGGGGTCGCGGTTGAGGCTGTAGGCTTGGAGGGAGACAGGGCTCTGCTCAGGTGAGATTTGAGCTCGGAAGCAGCGGTCAGACATAGGATGGATTAATCACTCACCTCCTGGGGAAGCCATGTTCCACACACTGAACTGCCTTCTTCTGGGACAAGGCGAGGAAGCATCCATGGCACGGGTGGACATAGTCGCAGGCCCTCCTGGATTACGGCGTTGAGATGGACCAAATTGGCCACAGCCTGCAGAGTCACATCCTTGCTGCTTGAGAAGGCGTGACGCACTTCATTCACCAGCTGAGCCATCTTCCCAGGTTCATTGACCAGGAAGCTCAGAATTCCGGTAAGAACAGTAGCAGTCGTCTCACTACCGACCGTTGTCAGAATTTGACAATCTGCTGGTAATGTCGCTCACTCTTCTGCTGCAACGATCGAGGGATGCACTTCATCAGAAGCGACTCGACCAGCGGATAATACCGCGCGGCAGCGACAAATGAGGCGGCCTTGACGTTACTGAAAAGTAGCGCAATCCACGGATGGTACTGACAGTGCCGCAGACAGTCAAAGGACTCTCCGAATCCCAGATCTCCAAATACATCAAAGGTCGTACAGTTAAACCACGGACCCATATCAATTCCCGCAACTCCGTCACCGTGCTGGACCTGTTCTCGAAGTCGATCAACCAGAAGATTCATATATTTTTGCAGCACCGGCTTTTGCGCGCGGAGCGCACGGGGTGTAAAGGCTGGTGAGAGGAGCTTGCGCATATGTGCATGTTCGTGTGGGTTTATCGCACTGAGGAGGGAGTCAGGATGTCCCGGTTGTCTTTGGAACCAAACCGGGTCTTTGAGAAACTGTCGATATTCGGATCGGGTCGCGGGTGGAAGTAGATGTTGCAGATGATTCGGGTGAGAGGATACTGGAAGGATTAGTGATGGAATGACATGGGCTGTAGTGGATACACAATCAGTAGAATCGCAATAACAATACCCAGAGGGCTGAATGATGTGGTGAAGCTCATGTTTGTCGGAGATGTAACTCTCACCGGCCCAACAAAATAATCCCCACGGCTGCTATGAGAAGAGTCTTCTCCGTTCTGCCAACGGCGACCGTATGACGAGCTATATAGAGCAAATTATTGGGCGGGTATCAGGACAGGTCGAATCGCGATCAGACACCGCTATAAATACTAACAAAGAAACCACAAGGGTGGGAATTGGATCCAGTGATTGACAAGCTGGGCTGAATGTTGGTGGTGTAATGCAAAGGACTAATAATTCATTGGCACTGGCTTGGGAGCCGAGAGGCAGCGAGCGGACTTATGTGGGGAAGCCCTAACTCGAATGTCCGCAGCTCGGCCTTCGGGCCGCCTCGCGCTTCTGGCCACGCGCTGAAAAGGAGTCTTTTTGTGTTCATCTGCTTGTCTGGATTTTTTGTCGATGTGGTGGAATATACAACTGATTCAGAACTCATCTCAGAGAAAGACATGCGTCTCTGAACGTCAATCGTCTCCGAACCTTCAATCTCAAGTGTCCCCAGCGAAGACCACTACCGACATGCCGTCTCCGCACCGAGACGAGCTCCCAGCAACGACAAGCAGCAGTACCGCTAAACTGCCCGGGCCAGGCGAGGCAGAGGCTGCGCAAGCCAATACACAGTCCGAAAAGACGGCAGCCGTCAAAGACGACCCGCCGGATGGAGGTCGCGACGCATGGATGGTCACCTTCGGCAGCTGGTGGGCTTTATTCATCGCCTTCGGCTGGACCAATTCCCTTGGTGTATTTCAAGCTTACTATGAAGAGACCCTACTCCAAAGTTACTCGTCTTCCACAGTGTCTTGGATCTCATCCACCCAGATCTTCATGATGTACGGCGGCGGCATCATCCTTGGGAAAGTCTTCGACCAGTACGGCCCGCGCTGGCTGCTTATCATCGGCGGATTTGCTCACGTCTTCGGCCTGATGATGACCTCCATCTCTCACGAATACTACCAGATCTTCCTCGCGCAAGCCATCTGCAGTGGCTGCGGCGCCAGCGCCCTGTACTACGCCTGCGTCGGCTCACTGGCCGGCTGGTGGCGAGCCCGGCGCGCCACAGCCTTCGGGATCGCAGCGTCCGGCGCATCCCTCGGGGGCGTCATCTTCCCCATCATGGTGGACCATCTAATCAACCGCGTCGGATTCGGATGGACGATGCGCGCCGTCGCATTCCTCATCCTGGGCGGCCTAGTCATCGTCATCCTCACCGTCAAATCGCGTCTTCCGCACGGCACGAACACCAAACCCATGCACATCAAGCAATACATCCATCCGTTCAAAGAACGTACCTTCACGCCGCTCGTCATCTCCCTCTCCCTCTTCTCCTTCGGCCTCTTCCTCCCCTTCAACTACCTGATCGCCCAAGCTCAGACAATCGGCATGTCCACCAGTCTGGCAAACTACCTCGTGGCGATCCTCAACGCCGCGAGCGTCTTCGGGCGTCTCATCCCGGGCCTCGTCGCCGACAAACTCGGCCGGTTCAACGTCATGGCTGTGGCGACGGTCGTCTCGGGCATCCTGCCCTTCGCCTTATGGCTCCCCGCCCGCGGCAATATTCCTGATATCTTCTTTGCCGTGCTTTTTGGGTTCTTCTCCGGCGCTTATGTCTCTCTTACCCCTGCACTCATTGCGCAGGTCTCGCCCATTTCGGAGATCGGCATCCGCACGGGCTCACTGTATTTCTGCGTTTCGATTGCCGTCCTCACGGGTAGCCCCATTGCGGGGGCGTTGGTGTCGGTGGATGATGGTAAATATGGATATCTGGAGATTTTCGCGGGCGCGACGATGTGTGTTGGGGCTGTGTGTTTGATCTGTACGAGGGTGTTGGTGGGCGGGCTTCAGTGGAAGGTTTTGTAGGAAGGAAAATTTGGGGTTTTGGGAGGTTGATAGATTGATTAATTGGTTTATTCATGCCAAGAGAGCACAAGAAGCTTTAAAAATCACTCCCACAGAAATATTACACAGTGGGCTCGTGTCTTTGCTGTGACATTTTGGAAATGCAAGAACTACCTAATAGAAGAATCAAGGGTTCAACAGTCTGTTCCATCCGATCCGTCTGTCCCATCTGCCCCATCTGTCCCATCTTTCCCATCTTTACCGTCTTTCCCATCCTTCCCATCTTTACCGTCTTTACCGTCTTTCCCATCCTTCCCATCCTTCCCATCCTTCCCATCCTTCCCATCCTTCCCATCCTTCCCATCTTTCCCATCCTTCCCTTCTTCATCCACCGAGTAGGCGCCCACCTCAACTCCGGCTGCAACCAATAGCCCTGAGGCTACTTCGTCGCGCTTTGCGATTTCAACGTCGACGTCGGCTGCAATCAAGGCGATCAATTCGAGAGCTTCCTCGTCACCCCTTTTGGCTTGAAACGCCTTCATATCTTCCTCCCTGGCGCCTAACGTCATCTCTGTGGCTGGAGGGCAAAGCTTTGTGTCAGTCGGATTTACCCTCTATAAGCGATCAAGGGTTGGAGTGATATACATACGCTTGGTTGTAGGTGCAGAGGCGACCATGGGACTTAGCAGAAGGCCATAGGCGGCTGAGAGGAGGAATGCGTGTTTCATCGTGGTTTGGGGTACGCTTTGAGCTTTGGCCCGAAAGTGATGGGAGGATAGGAGTTGTATGCCGAACAGAGAAGCTTAGAATCGGACGGGGTATTTATGTGTGGGCGTTGGCAACGTCCACGTCTAGTAATCTCATTTTGTGTTTGGATCGCAATGGTATCACGACGGAGAGCTGCATATCAACGGCTGCCTCAGTTGATTTTGGTGGCACTGTGATTATGACTGCAGCTGGCTTTCAGTAGGATTAAAATATGCGGTACCGTTTAAACCGTGCGCTTTGTGCATGTATATTAGGGAAGGGTTGATGCATGATACTTACCAGGGATTTGTATCCTGGCTGACAGAATGAGTACCGCTTGGGAGCCAGAAGATATCTTAATCTCCCAGCAGCTCTAATCATATATAGACATTCGCTTCAGCCAAATTGTCCAAGCGCTGGACACGGACATTACAGTGGTGATAATGGAATCTCGTTCGTCGCCATCATACGATCGACTGATTATCGGATGGCATCCTGAGGAATTCGCACAGTGAAGACGAGTTGTCTTCTCCCAATGACTCATTCCAGGAATCCAAGAGCAAACATAACCGAGGGAACTTGCTCCTGTGACTGAGTTCTCCTCTTTTTTGGTTGCCAATCTTTCTTTTTGCACTGACCGCAACATTTTCTTGGAGCTCTAAATGATAGAAACCACATGTTACTGAAGACATCTGAATAGGGTCAGTAAAAGAGTCTTCTGCCTGTTTTGATCGCAGTACAAATCACAGCTCCGATATTTGATCAGTCAGACATTGCAATCACAGCCGAACGGATGAATGCGACGTTGGTCGAGCCAGATCCCATCCCCATCTATTCCGTACTGCCAACCCCCAATTCCCGAGGTCGATGCGGCCTAGAACCGGGTAGCAAACAATAAACCCATTGCGATCAGCGGTGATAATGCAATCAATTTGGGTCGAAACCCTGAAGAAGCATCATAATGGCATGATAACTTTGGATTCGGGCCAGATGCATACATCGAACGACTCGACGTCTTCCACCAAATCCACTGTTTGGACTGGCAGCGACTTGCTTCGACCACTACAACGGCAAGAAGTGGCCGCCAGGGACCCCGCCGTCTGACATGCATCGGACCCAAATCCCTCACTGCGTCTACATCCTCCTCCAGAACCTGATTTGCAACGCCAATGCTGACGTCTACACTCACTTCCGGGCACATGCGCAGCTGAATGCCTTTCCGGACTTTAGCGTCGTCGACCATAAGTGTGCCGATCTTGATGCTATCCTGAGCTGACAAGAGGAGAGTCCGGTGGATGCGGAGGAGTCGGGGTTGAGATCTAAGGCAGGGGACGTGAGCAGGGTTAGCCTGGTTGGCGTGTGTTTGTTGTTAGTCGCCCAGGTTGACCTAAGCGGGTATCCACCGATCCCTGCATCGGCGCCACTGGGACTAGGAGGGTGTCGATAAGAGAAAATCAGATATTGATTGGCTGATCGCTGTACAACGGGATTCTGTGACACCCTCAGGTACGTAGCTTTCCGATTACCGTCAATTGGCCCCCCTTTAAGGGGGTAAGCTGTGCTCTCTCCGAGCAGGGGTTGCGCCATGTAGCAACTTTGCAGTCCAAACTGCTCCGTACTCCGTAGTCATTTGCCTGCTACGCATGGTGATGAAATATGACATGTCTCTATTCCCGTTCATGCAGAAAGCTCCAGGATGAGGAGGCAGCTAGCCACGTACAGCTGCCATAGCAAATCTGCTCAGAGCCCATGGTGAAATGGTATCTCTTTTTCTCTCACCCCCTGCAGAACAGTTGGGTATGTTCTAGGGACTGAAGATTCCAATTTCAAGGCGTTTTCCCAATAGCATGTTGGCAGCATTGGGCTTTGGTCTCCACCCCTGGCATTGTTCTCATCAGAGGCGACGGTTTGAAAAGCCTGACACGGCGGTCCCAACATCATGTCTGTCCAGCAAATCCCCTGAGACTCATGTTATTTATCACGCAAAACCTCCTTGGTTGGAATCAATCCTGTGATGAAGATATCTTGGAGGTCCAGATGGGTAATGACACGGTTATTGATTATGGAATATCCATGTTCCATCAGCTTGATTGACTTACCGTTCTCCGGGGCCTTAATTTTCCGCGAGACGTCTCAATCCCATTGAGCATCTACATCACCATCTCATTCAGATGATTCCCATGGGGATTCTGTGCATTGGGCTCATTGCCTCGATTTTATCGCACACATGAGCATGTTTCCAGCAGAATGAGAACATTCCCTGACGTGACAGAGAAAAGTCCATTATTTTTTCAGCAGACTCTACCATCGAGCCATCGTATTTGGTGATCAACAGGTGGGAGAAGGGCTTATCCCATTGGTTATTGTCAGCTGGGCAGCACTGCTCGCGATAGTGAACTCCCGCGGGAGTGGGATGAGTGCGAGGATGGCTGCCTGATGCCTGAGGCTTACCAGGTTGGGTGAAACTGTCGGCCGCGAGGTCATACACAGAACACATTGTATGAAGAGCACCAGGGTTCAGCGTCCTATCAGCAAGGGAAAAAGACCCGTCGACATTGTGGGCTTCAGCTCCCCCCCATTGCTTTTGGGAAAGCCTCTACCCACAATTCACAATCACATAACAAATAGTGTTCTCCCCTTCATTGGCACACTCATCAATCCCATGGCTCCACATTGTTCCTATTAGATCGAACTCGCAATTTGATTGCACACCGCGCGTTTTATCGGAACGATTCAATACCAGGGGAAGCTGCAACAACTTGGAATGGGTGGAGATTATGGGTGGAGGTGATATAAGCTTTATCCAGAAGTTTCTGATTGCAGGTTCGGGGGATATTGTGGCTATACTGCTGTCGTTAGCGGATGGCAGGAACGGCTTTTCACGGGGCTTCCTGCTTCGACGACCATGGAAAGAATTGCGACCACCGGATCAGTCGTGGGGTTCTCTAGTATATCAATGATAGACCTCTCCAAGCAATAGACCCAAGGTCAGTCAAAGCGGGTGGTTGGGCATATGGAAGAGAACACATCCTGGACTCCATATTCACGACGATTTCTGTGTTGACGTCAGGTTGGTGAAGGAGAAGCAGCAGAATAACCCCCAGAGAGTAAAAAGGGTAACGTTTCCAGCCGCCTTCAGGCCTCCAGGCAACCGACGGGTTGCGTGTTGCGCCCAGACCGACCGAGGGACCTCTGCTGGTCACGAGCAACGCATCTCTTTGCTTCTCATCACTCTTGGCTCTTTTCCATCTTCTCCATCATTCTCCCACGTTTTGCATGCTCTGATGTTCCTACCATACAGCTTTCTTCTTCTCATCTTCTATCCATCAAATGGGTTAGCCCTCCCATGTCAACCTGGCCGCCAGCTTTTCTCCAGCCGCAGACAACTCCTTTGGACCAGCTGTCGCTTGTCCAGCCACCTTTGACTTCACCCTACTCTTCGAGCAAAGTATTCTTTCTCTTGGAATACCAGTCATATTTATAATCCTGGTTCCTTGGAGGATCTGGTCGCCGTGTCCCGAAAACATTAAAACACTTTCAAACAACGCCCATTGGCGAAAGCTGGTAAGTCCAACAACCATCTGTGATTATCACCACCAGTATCTTGCTAACCGCCAATAAGGTCGTTGCAATTTGCCTTGTCGGTCTACAAGTCGCCTCGGTAGTGCTATGGGCGCGTCACAACATAAATTCGCACAACCATTCCTGCAACATCTTGTTCTGTTCTTTAGGGAGTTGAGGGTCGTGGGGAATTTGTTGGCGGATCCGGGGCGGGTGGGGGAGATGTTGCAGGTTGTGGTGGGGAAGGAGGTGAGGTCGCGTGTGAGGACGGTGAGGTTGGAGGAGCAGGAGGCGTGTGGGTTGCCGGGGGTGTGCATATGAGGGGGGATTTGAAGGGGAGGTTGGTGGTTTTTGTGGAGTGAGGGTTGGGGTGGGTGGTGGTTTGTTGTTGTTGCTTTTTGTAGGGGTTAGAAGGGTTGGTTGGAATGAATGGATTTGATGTACATAGTCGTGTGTATACCGTAGTATTAGGGTTGGATGTTAGTCCCATCTAAACCGTATACATCTATACATCCCGCACATGCTCCAAAACCACACTCCCCTTCCGCACCGTCGTCTCCACGAAGCCCGGATTCTCCGCCTTCAGCAACGCGAACGTCTTCTCAGCCTCCCATACCCACGGACTCTCCGACGCGAACAGCAGATCCATATCCTCTAGCGTCCGCTGGTTGCTCTCGGGGTAGAAAGCCCATACCATCGGGATGGTGATGACGTTGCTGATGGCGAAGATGTATAGTGTCTTCTCGCCGATGGCGCTGAACATGATGGGACAGAGGAGGGTCTAAGTATACCCGTTAGTTCTGTCTATTCCAGAGGATGGAGAGGGACTCACGAGCCAGCCGTTTCCAATGCTCCATCCGACGACACCCCAGGCGTTACCGCGGGCTCGGACGGCGAGGGGGTAGATTTCGGCGGGGTAGATCCAAGGGACTTTGTTGTTAGCTTGGGGGTTGTATATGGGAGGTTAATTGTAGGCGTACCGGTGAGCCATGTTGCACCGAAGACGGCGGTGAAGACGAAGATCATTGCTGCAGCGGCGGCTCCAAATGAGCTGGCACGCAAGGCATCCCCAGCGTCGCTGGCGTTGATTGCCAGGCGGGAGAGCCCTCCAGCTAGAAACATGGCAATGCCTTGGACGATAGAGCCCCAGTAGAGGGTCCATCGACGGCCGATGCGATCAAGAGTGAACACACAGACGAGAGTGGCGAACTGGATCGTTAGAAATTTCGCATACATCAGACGGCGGACTCACCATGTAAAAGACGTTGTTCAGTCCGCTAAGCCATTGGCTCTTCATCGAGTCGAAGCCAGCAATGCTGAAGATGGTTGGCGCATCTGCAGTCGTCAGAATAGACGGATGGTGATAGGCTAGGGAACATACAAACAGTGACCCCTGCAATACCGACCCATTCCTGCATAATCTGTAACCATACAACAAGCTGCACGCGACGCCCGAGGTGCAGCTTCCCTGTCTTGTGGCCGAACAGCATGGATAAGTAGGATGTGCTATGGTTCATCGTTCGTTCCAGCTCTGCGACGCTCTGGATATCCCGGAACTCTGCTTCGGCGCGGACGGCATCATCACCACTGCTTCCTCGAAGACGACCGAGGATGTAACGCGCTTCTTGCTCGCGCCCAACCTTGACCAGCCAACGGGGCGACTCGGGAAAGAACCAGACGGATGCAAACAGGAGCAGCAGGAAGATGATTTGGAACCCGACCGGAAAGCGCCAGCGGAAGGCCGATTTGCCGCCATCAATGAAGGATAGACCACTGCTACTGTTAGGTGAGCCTTATAACGGTATGGCTTTACGTACAACTCCAGCCAGTATGCCACCACCACGCCGAAGATATTGAGGGTGAATTCGATCGCAATGAATTGTCCACGAGAGGTGTGCTCAGCCGTCTCCGTAGCCCAGACCGGGACGATGGCGTTCAAAATCCCGGTCCCGATGCCATTGATAAAGCGAGCTGCTATTGTCAGTTGAGGGACAGGCAAATATTGTCTTTATTCTTACAGCAAATCATCCAATCGTGGTTCTGGGCTGCGCACTGCAGAGACGCCCCAAAGACTGCCCACACGGCTCCCGCGGCGATGGTTTTGATTCTACCGATTTTATCTCCTATCCAACCACCGATGAGGGCACCACATAGCGTTCCTAGGTAATAGACAGACACGATCCCGCCTTGTAGCAGACTGTTAGTAACAACCGGAGTGAGCTCCCCGTTCTCCACCTTGGTGTATCCGAAGCCCATCAGATCGATGTAATTTTTGGAGTTGTTCACCCCCGACATCATTCCTTGGTCATATCCAAAGAATAGGATCGACAGTGCCGCGATGCAGTTGATGGCGATGAGAAGATTGCGCTTCTCCAGTTTGTGAACGATGTTCCATGACGGTATGAGGTCACTCATTGCGACTGTGAGAAATAGGGTATAGACAGTTTATGGGGACTATTTTCCTTCACTCATGGGAGCCCTCTGGAAAGCTTGACTCAGAGCTGCAAACAACCGTTGCAAGTGACCGCGGGGACAAAGCATAGAGGGTTACTGACATGGCGGGGCAACCCCAGATTAAATACATCGCTTGAATTCGCGCCTGATGATCACCGGGCCCAGCAAGATAGCCCACTCCCTAGAGCCGAAGCAGCAGTCGAATATGGTTACATCCCGGTGGGATAAGTCGGGCTGGAACGGCCACGAGAAGGGTCTCGGTCCCACCCGGGGAGGCAGTCAACGGCCCAAGATGGTCATCCGGACCCGCAGGAGAAGTCTGGAGAAGATGGGACAGCCCAAACCGGTATTCCGGCTGCAGACCGACCAGCCACTGTCCTCCGAGCTGCAGGAGGGGCCCTCGACTGGATTTTCATTCACCACTTAGGCATACATAGGATTAGCAGTGCCTGCCTGCAACTAAGGGTAAGAGATTCCCAGTAACCAGAATCCCGGGGCCAATCCCCCCATGAGAGCATCCGGGGTGTCACCCGGGGGAATCGGGGAATCACTCAGTCTGTGACTGTACGGCCTGGAGGAGCGATATCGGCTGGGTCAGAGGGAAGGGGATATGATTGGCAGGCATGGTTTGGGAGTAGGGATCGGCCCATCCTGACGTGCAAAATGGGAAAGTATCTGCGTGATCGAAGATGGACGGGAAGTCGATGGAGGGGATTGCGGGGGTTGAAAGGTGTGCGGGTGAAGTATGGTGGGGGAGACGCGGAATCCTCCGACGACCGGCCCTATTTGGGAAATGGTGCACTCAGGCTACCCAGCTTCTGCACTGGACACCACCACGCCCGATTTTTCGATTCCATATCTTGTCCTGCGTAGTTTCCCAGGAGCTCAGGGTGTCTTTAGATTTAGCCATCATTCATCATCCGTATCTCATCTAGTTTCGGTGCATTCCTGTGCTGCCCCCGTGTCGTCCCAGAGCCTGGCGGGTCGATATTCAGCAGATTCGGCAGCGCTGAATCAACTTCTGGAGGGGCTCTGTCCAATTCAGGTGGCCGTGCTACAATCCAGGTGCGTGGTCTGGAGTGCGACCGACGGGACTGTCTCTCGGAGACTGGTTGGACGGGTGGTTCATCTGTGGGTATAGTTTCCGGCATGGGGCCAGCGGGCAATTCAGATCGCATGTCAGAAACGGAGACAGACAACTCCGCTCTGATCTGACACCCGTTGCAGGGCGAGTCCGGGAAGGTTTCCGGGCTGCCAGTGGGGACGATCAGGGTCGGGGGTGGGGTGAGAGCCGATTGTAACTTCTGGAAGTCGCAGTAGGCGGGATGGCTCAAGTCGAGGAGCTGCACGATGCGCGTCATATCCTGGCTCATGATGAACTCAAGCTCCTCGCGCGCAGAGTTCAGGAATTGATAAGTTTGGAGATCTGATTCTTCCTCTTGGGTCGCTCGGCCATGGGCGTGCAGATCTGTGAGCGATATGCCGAGGGTCTGACATACGGGTTCGAGACGGCGACACTGCTTTGGTTAGATTTGCCTTTTTCTAGTATGTTTGACTTTTTTCCGGGATATGGGTTTGTGACGGTCAGTAGACTCACCATCTCCTGGCAAGACGACCAGTAGCACTGCAGCCGGCGCAGCAGCAGAAGGCTTGATAGAGCCCATCGCTTGACCAACGCTGTCTGAGGAGAGGCCCCTGCACCGCTGAGCGACGGTTGCACGAGGCTGAGATAGCCCAGGTGGATAGAAGCCGTCAAAAAGGCACAGTAGGCCACGTACGGGGGCACTGCAGCCGCATTGGCCGATCGGAGAGACAGAAATTCGGTGACCGTCTCGGCAAAAGCGTTTAAATGACGCGTGGCGATTCGCGCACACAGCTGCTTGTATTCGGCAGGAGAAGGGGGGGTCTGCTGCAGGAACATGAACATAGTCAGATGGGGTAGGGCGCGGCACTGGTGGTATAAGGCTTGGAGCGCCAGGACCAGCTCCGCGGCTTCGCGCCCACCACCCCCGACTTCACGCATTGAGGCGGGGAATGATTCATGGTGGGTGCAGACTTTGCTGTCCAGCGCAAATAATGCTCCCCATTGCTCCGATGCGTCTGCAGCCGGGTCTAGGCTGCGGATAAACCATCTGACATCACGCCTACGGTTGTCAGTTTTGGCTTTCGGTGGAAATATCCAAGTTACATACCACAAGCTCACTGTTTTCAAAAGCATTTCCTGAGCGCGAGTGGGTTGTATTTCGATCAGCACGGTCAATTGGGAGTCAGGAAGATGTGTTGTTGTTTTCTCAACGGCGACATCGGAGATGTCGATCAGACGCGCTGGGCTGGCGAAGCTGTCATCCAGGACAAAGCAGCGACACGCCATGTCGGTCCAGAAGCAACACCATCTCAAGCTGCGAGTCTGATCTTGCGGCACGCGGTCGCTCTCACTGGCCAGATCCCGCACTGCCCGGAGGGCCATGTCTAGGTCGTCAGCGGGTCATCGTAGGGGAAGCGCAGAGAGGAGTCTCACTTGCGCAAGCCTGGAACTTCTCCTTCTGGCCTGTTGCAAACCAATAGACAGTCAAGTTGTACATGGTCCGGACAGTGTCGATAGAGGGTCGCTGCATTTGCCGGGAAGCGACGAAGCTCGCGTCGTCGGCCCAGTCCCGGCCATGCCGGCGGCAATCGAGGGTGATGCTGTCTGAATTATCGGGAGGCCGACTGAAATGGTCAGGGGTGCGCGCATGACCCAGAAAGAGCGACGTCATCGCGAAGATGGCCTGCAGCACGAAGGATGGTAGTTGGCCTTCAACATATCGGCGTCCGATGCGGTCTTGGTGGAAGAGGATGGCGCCCGGCAAGAAATGGGAGAAATAGACGTCCAGCAGCCGGAGGCCGGAGGACTCCCAGGCCAGCCTAGCCTCCGGTGAGGACTGACCCAGTTGAACGACGGCGGGCAATTTGCGACATCGCGAGAACAGGGAGGGATTGTTCAGGTGGGTCACAATGGGGTCGGCTCGCTTTTTCCGCAGTGGGTAACAGCAGTCGATGGCCAGTGAGCAGCAGCGGCGGCACCGGGGGAGGTCGCGGGAGCATTTGCGCTGGATGGTGGGTCAATGGAATCGCAATACATAGAGCAGAAGGGACAGTGCTAACTTTGACCTCGCGACAGCGGGCGCAGGAGAGACGCGCGTGGCTCATGGGGATTGAGAAGGGGATGGAGAGATAGCTGAAGACGCGAGGAAGAAGTGCCGATCAGGCGAGGCAGCTTAACCCGGGGGGGTTTAGTGGGGCAGGGGTGTCAGGCTGTCAGGCTGTCGGTGCGCCTTTCTGGAAGGGTCCAAGAGATCAATCAGCTCTCCTCAAATCAGTGCATCGCCCCCAAATCTGAGCGTTCTGCTTGCAGGTCACGTTGCTGATCTCAAAAATAACCCACTACTGGATCCCATAACTGCCCCTTACACAGTATAATCTCTACTCCACCCAAACATAATCAAACAAAGTCTATCCAAGACTGTCTAGTCTGAATCAACAATGATTGAACAAGCTGCTGTCAGCTCAGGCACAGCTACACCCCTTGCTTCCCCACGACGTCAGCCCTGCACGTAGTTATAACTAACTACACGCCGCAGCTTATAAATGCACATCAGCCATCACTACGAGTATAAATCGAAGCAGTTCCTGTGATACCTAGATATGTCCTCTTCATTATTATTATTATCATCACCAACACCGACACAGGAACCCCCCAACTCACCGAATCGACCGTCCCCATCCCCATCCCCGCGCCAAACCAGCTCCTCGTGAAAGTATCCCACGTGGCGCGGAACCCGACTGATGGTACGTACACACCCTTTTCCACACCCATACACCCACAAAAATGCCTCCATTGCATAAAGCAGCCACTCCCAACGAACTAACAAACCACCACCACCAAAACAGTCTCATCCCTCGATCGCAACGCCTTTGGCAACGGCGCCGTGCTGGGCTGCGACTTCGTCGGCGAAGTCATCCAGCTAGGAAGCGAAGTCACCCGGTATAAGCCTGGTGATGTCGTGGCGGGATTGATCTGGGGAGGTAAGATCTCTACCCTTTTCTTTCCTTCCTTTCATTTCATTTCCTTTCCTTCCTCTCATTTCATTTCCTTTCCTTCCTTTCATTTCATTTCCTTTCCTTCCTTTCATTTCATTTCCTTTCCTTCCCTTCTCTTCCCACCTTTCCACTTTCCAAATGCCCTCTATCATGAGCACCCTACTCACAGGGAGAATTTGCCATCTAGGTGAAATCAAAGGTGTAGGCGGACACAGCGAGTACGGTTCCGCTGGCGGCGGCGACGGCGTGGCTGGCGCTGTTTTCGCGGGACCGTTTATGTATTCCCCGGGAGGATGGGGATGCGAAGGGGGAGGGGAGTGTGTTGGTTTGGGGGGGGGAGCTCTGAGTATCCCGCCCACCTCTCTGTCTATTCTATATCTACATTGTAGTGTGTACGGGGGTAACTGATGGATGGATTGATCAATTACAGCAAGCGTGGGTTTATATACCATCCAGCTAGCAGCGATGTTCGGGCTAGAAGTCGTGACGACCTGCAGTCCCAAGCATGCAGAGTTGGTCCGCTCGTACGGAGCGACGCACGTATTCGATTATCGGGATGAAGGGGTAGTGGAGAAGATTTGAGCAGCGGTTCCCGATCTCCAGTATGTGTTCGATACCATTGGGAAAGCGACTTCGTCGGCAACGGCGTCGCGGGCACTGCGGGACGAAGGAGGGAGTCTCTGTACGGTAAGGCCAGGGAAGGCGAATACTGAGGATGGATGTCGTTCCCGGAACGAATGTCTCGGATGTGTTGGTTTGGACGGCGTTTTTGAAGGATCATGCGTATGGGGCGCTTAGGTGGCCGGTAAGGTGATATACAATCTGGGTTACGTGGATGGTGCTGACATGTGTAGGCTTCGAGGCCGGATCATGAACTGACGAGTGAGGTCTTTGAGAAGATCCCCGCGTGGTTAGAGAGTGGGGTGATCAAACCGAGTCATCCGAAGGTGCTGGAGGGGTTGGACTCGGTGCCGAGCAGGTTTCAGGAGTATAGAGCTGGGAAGGTCTCGGCTTTTAAGATTGTGTTAGTATAGTCTGTGAGGACTGTCTCTGATCTACCATCTAGCTGGGAGTAATAACGCGCGAGTAAATTCCTCACTCTTTTTGTATTTTATTGAGATTCCTGTCTCAATTTCATAGCCTGGATAATAGCAGTGTAAAAGGTAGGTCCCCTGCGATAGTCATCACACGCAGCAAATAGAAACCTCGTTACAATTTGACCTAACACCGTAAAACAAACCAGCAACTTACCATCCAATAAACCAAGAACACCCCCCCGTCTCTACAAAGAAACAAATCACATCCCATAGCACAACACACCCTCATACCACTCCATCGTACATTTCAATCTCCCAAAACCCATCCCCAAAACATATTACCCAAAATCACTTCTTCAAATCTCCAAACCCCTCAAAACAAACCCCCCTCGCCCACCCCTCCTCACTGAAAACCACTCCCTCCTCCTCCAACATCTCCCTCTTCACGCCCCTCCCCTCCCTCGCACCCACACTCTTCCCCCCTCCAGTCCCACTCCCACTCCCACTCCCACCACCAGTCCCAGAATACCCCACGAGCAACTTCCCCCCGCCCCCCAGCACCCGATGACACGGCACCTCGGGCGCAAACGGATTCATGCGCATGGCGGCCCCAATGGCCCGCGGACTGGTGCCGAGGTGCTTTGCCAGCGCGGCGTAGGTGGTCCATCGGCCGCGGGGGACGGAGAGCAGGGCTAGATAGATTTTTCGGCGCGCGTGGGGGAGGGTCGCGTGGGTTTTTATCTTGGTTATGGTTTTTTGGAGGGTGGGGAATGCAGAGGGGGTTGGTTTCTGGGGTTGGGAGGGGATGGAGATGGGGGTGGGGGTGCGGTTGGTTGTGGATGTGGATGTGGATGTCAGGGCAGAGACAGAGACAGAGACATCAGCATCAGAATCAGGAAGGGCCTGTGCTTGTACCTGTGCTTGTGATTGTTCCCCCCCTGGAACCGATTGTGTTCGCATCTGCGTCATCGCAACCGATTGACCGATTGACAGATTGATCAACTGATTGATTGATTGACCGATTGACCGACCGTCCGAGCGACTCGATTGACAAGATAAATTTAGCAACAGACACACACACACACACACACACACACCCCCTCTACCCCTCTTGTTCTGTTCCACAGGGGAGGGTTTTGAGTTGTTTTCTTTGTTCTGGACGTTTGAGATCCCTCCCCCGGATCCTGGGGGCGATCCTGTGGATGGGTGAGTGGATAAGGTGTAACGGTAACGGTAACGGCTTTATGTGCAGTGGTTTCTTTGTCTCCGTGACAGGAACACAGGGGCACAGGTACCCGGGTGCTTGGTTTGCTTGCTTCTCGCGTGCTTAAGCTATCGCTTGGGTGGTTACTGGTTAGTCGTTTGGTTGTTTGGTTGGTCGGTTTGGTGGGGTAGATAGGTAGATAGCAGATCTGGATCACTAACTAGGTTTGGGGTGTTCTTTGTTTTGTGGTAGTAGTGGTGGTGGTGTTGCTATATTTACTTTTGTAGCTGGTTGGTCTGTTCTGGCAGTGGTTGCTGTTGTGGAGGGATGGATGGATGGACAAGATGAAGCAGATGGATAGGATGGACCAGATGGGTTCGTTGGATGGATGGATGGATGGACTCGTTGGATGGATGGATGGATGGACTCGAAGAAGATCGGCATCGGCGGGCTTAAAAGGATGAGCGAAAGGGACTGACTCCGCAATGTTGTTTTGGAATTGGCGAATCGGGTGATTCCGTGCGCTGCCTGCCCATTCCTAATCAGCAACCAGGCCGGCCGGCCGGATTGACACACACGCACCGGCATGGAAAAGATTTCCAACACTCCGGGTGTCTATTCATTGCATCTGATCTGACTCTATTCATCATCAGTTTGAGGCGTTTTAATTTAGTTTGTCTTTGTATATTCGCCCACCTTACTCCGCACAGTATCCCATTTCAGCACATAATCAACTCCAGCCAGCCGTCATGATCGGTCGCAAAAATTACCGAAATAAGACAGACAGCAGCAAGATCATCATCAAAAAATTATTATTTAAGATCGTATGTAATACATGTGCCATATCTATGTATATTGGCCACCCGAACAAGAAATGGTATATGAGACAAAGGAAAAAAACATAAGAAAAAAAAAAGAAAAAGAAAAAGAGTAAATCCGAACGCCGTCCCCGTCCAGGTCATAGACAGCATAACATAACGTAAGGTAGTAAACATGAGAAGCATAACACACATAGACGGACGTAAGATGCCCTGAAGCAAAGCATCATGGCATCAGAGGCACATTAATATAAGAGCGAGGCAAGACAAGGCAAGCAAGGCAGGTTGGGTATATAGCTCGCAGTAGCAGCAGCATAGCACAGCACAGCATCATGGCATGAGACACATGAACTTGGAAGGTGAACTTGGTTCAAGCGGTGCGGGCCCGCTTGGTGGTGCGGCGTTTGGGCACATCCCAGTGATGAAACGAGCGGAGGTGCTCGATGAGATGGTCACGACGAGGGAACCCGTTTCCGTCCTTGCGCAGGCACTCCTGCACCGGACAGTCCTGAAACACGGGGTTGTGGACGCTCGTTTGATGCCGTTTCAGGTCGGCCGGACGCGTAAACGCCTTGCTGCAGTCGTGGCAGGTGTAGGGCTTGAGGGGGCGGCTGGAATTGAACTGTTAGAGACGAACGGACGGGTCGGTCGGGACTTGGCTTACTTGTTGGCGTCGAGCGCGTCGTACGTCTCGACTGGAGAAAATTCCGTCTCGTCGATCGGGCTGGCGGATTGCGCGGAAATCCACTCGGCGCTGGGCTGCGGGATCGAGGTCGGTTGCAGGTAGGTGTACGCTTCGGGCGAGTAGACGATGGCGGGCGTGAAGTTGTAGTAGGTGTTGTCGTAGGGCGAGGAGGTGACGGGGGACCCGAAGGAGGAGTCGTACGAGGAAGAGTCGTAGGAGGAGGACTCGAAGGCCGGCTGGCTGAGGGGCAGCTCTGCCGCGGCCATGGCGTACATGGCGGGATTGAAGTATCCGACGGCGGAGTGCATCGATTCTTCGCTGCTTGTCGAGTAGGAGAGCTCCATTGGCGGGCAGGAGGGGATGTTAGGGCTCTACGGCCGGGTCAGCGAGGGGCGGCGGGTGACGGGTATAGCAGCGGTCTGGGACTCACCATTGTGGTCATCATAGGCGCGAACATGGTGTGGGATGCGGTGTGGAGCGTTGAGTTTGAGGGCAGAAATGCAAAAAAGAAAAAAAAAAAGAGGGACTGGACCAGCGCAACGGCCGAGTTGTTCTGGAAGGAAAAGAGAAGGTCGGCGTGGAGCGCGACTGGGCCCCGGGGTTTTTATAACCACATTTTCTTCACTTCTTTGATCAGGTCAACTACGTCGCACTTGCATTAGGCCAGGACGGCGGGTGGAGAAGCGCCAGAGCCAGACGGTGCTAAGCAACACGAACACACCCACGACGACATCATCAGGTGAGCGGGTTCCTATGATCTTCCACTAGAAGGCCGCCGCAGATTGGCCCAGATGGGACCAGATTGGATGGGGGAATGCAGGAGGAATCGCAGCCAACACACAGCCCCCCGGGCCAGGCCCGCTGATTGGGTGAGAGGGCAGCGGAAAGTGAAGCAATCCCGGCTAGTGCTGACGCTAGAAACGACGAAGAAGCATTCGAAACTTCTTCCAGGCTTCGCAGGCTTCTAGGGGCGATTGGCCGCCCGTGATTGGAGGCTGGGGGGCTTGGGACGGAAAATAACGAGCCAGGGAGCCCACTCCGGCCCGAGGGGGGAGCCCAGACGGGACTAGACCGCTGCGACTAGGCCGTAGACAAGACGACGGCCTCTGCTTGGGCTGCTGGGCTGCTGGCTGGCCGGCTGAAGAAGGGAAAGCACCGGGACGAGGGTCTGCCGTGGCACGACAGCGAGGCCGCGATATCGTCATAGGGAGCGATCCCCCACAACAACAAAGAGTCGGTGGAGCGATGGTGCGGCCGTGCTGGGTCGCCGGACTGGGATTCGGCCTGGCACGCTCCCAAATTTCCAAGACACCAATTCCCTAGTCGGGAAGCGTTCGAGTCGCCTTGTGTGGTGCGACCTGGTCATTGGGGGAGGGGGGGGGTTGGATTTTTGTCGGAGGGCTCCGATGGTTCACTGCCCTGACTTGCCCAGACTGTCCGGACGGTTTCGCTGTCACGAGAGACCAGAAACATGATGGCAGATCGCAGATGGCGGCTCCCACCACGACCAAAAGTACTAGATGCAATCTAGCTACAGGACCGTCACGAGCATGCAGGTAAGTAATTGTAATGCAGTGAGTTGTGTGTGGGCAGGCCCTCCCGACCGAGGATGGAGCAAATCGGCACGGGCTTCCGAGCGTTTCGTCAACGCTCCTGCGCGACTCCCACCCAGCCTTGCGGGAGGCGCCAACCCGCGTCTGTTCTGCTGCTGCTGCTGCTGCTGCGTTCGCTGTCTACTGTCTAATTTCCCAGAAAGACAGGATGCTGGGCACGAATTACCCCGTAGATACGTCCTGATGACGGCGACTGGGCATGGGGAAGGACAATCTCGCACACAGTACACACACAGCCCCCCCTTGCGGCCAAACCGAGGGAGGTTGCTGACAACCGACCTCATATTACCACTACAGAGACTAAACAAGATAGCGGGCGAACAAGACCGAGCTGCAGTAAAAAAAAAAACCCTCATTATCACTGGATCCTCCCTCGATCTTGCGGGATATATTCTCATAAACTTCCACAAGTGAGGCAACTGCGCGATATTCCCCGGACAGCCCACTGGCCTGTTAACAGCGGAGGGGAAGGGGGGGGGGAGGGTCGCTTGATCGATCGCGATGCGATAGATAGGGTCGGGCGCATCCATCCCCAGAGCCGCGGGCGGAGGACATCCATCCGTGCCTGACAGCGGCCTTCGTCCAAGGTCCAACTGGATCGGATCGCTCCTTGCATCCTCGGGCGAGCCTGGCTAACGTGACTGGTTAGACGAGAGGTACTTTTTTTGGGGTGGTTGGTTCCGTTGACAACATGACAACATGACACCCTTGACACCCCCCGCACCAGATGAGGGCTTGATTTGGGTGGCTTTGTCGAGCCTGTGTAACTGGGGATGTGAAGAACAGGCTGGATTCTTCTGCTTTGTTGACTTGCAACCGATTCTTCTGATTCTTCTCCAGAACCAAGTTCTTCCCTCCTCGTCATCAGAGGGTCTCTTTGTCTCCCATTTGTTCCATCTTGTCTTACTCCCCCTGTCCCCCCCCCCCCCCTCCCTCCTCCAAACGGTTACGACTGATATCATTTATCCACGACAGGGATGAGTGAACCACTAAACAGAGATCTCCGTGGCGGCTTACACAAACACCAAACAAACAACTACGGCAGTCCAGGTCCGAACTTGCGGATGCATTCCCATCTCAAATGGCCAGTCAATGTCACAACAAGTATCACTAAGAAGTCATGGCTGCATCCCATCAGCCGCCATGCATGGCCGAACAGCGCAAAGAACGCCCATGTCCCACAGACCCATTCGTAGACGCGTCCCTGCATGCTCCAGATGCCTCGGTAGGATGAACAACAGATCGTAAAACAGATGTCACCTCAGAACACACCCACACAACAAAGTCGCATAGAAAAATCAACGATTGAACTGAACTCCCTTATTTCCGCGCATCCCTGCTAAAAAAAGCCAAACCCAACCGACCGAGGGACTTTTTCCACGTATCTGCACGGTGCCGCAATTCCGGCCCCGACCCGAGGTACAGCCATGTACAATGAGCATGAAAATCTACCTACTCGTTTACAGTTCGTCCTCCAGGTACTTGTACACAAACTTGAAGTCCGCCTTGCGACGGTTCATCCTGCGGTTGTCAGCGGCGTTGGCTTGGGGTGGGTGGGTGGGCAGGTGACTTACCATGTGCTTTCGTAATCGAAGAAGCGGTACGTGCCCTGCTCGAACTCCTCTGTTATCGTCTTGGGCTCCTCGTGCCGTTGGAACCACGTCTGGTACTGTTTGTGGAAGCGCCAGCTCTGGTTCTTCAGCGCCTTGGCCGCCAGGTACTGTTGATACGTGCCCTGGCGGTAATAAAACAGGTAGAATAACGTGTCCGTGTCGATGCGGCCCGTCTCGTACAGCCGCGGGTCGTCGAATATCGGCAGCGGCTCCTGCGGGTAGTAGAGGGGGGTGTTGTACGGGTTCTGGGGCTTGTAGTGCCGAGGCTTCTCCGCATCCGGGGGCTCGGGGCAGTTGGTGAGAGAGGCCTGCAGCAGGCGCTGCACGGACGGCGACGGATTGGCCGCACTGGCTGACGCGCGACTCTTCGTGACCTCGAAGGACTGGATCAGATCCTGCAGCCCGGGCGGTAGGTGGAAGATCGACTCATCCCCGTCCCCGTCCCGCGACGGCTCCTCCTTGGTCGCCTCACCGTTGGTCGCGGCGGAGAGCTCCTTCGCATCGGCAGGCTCCGCTTTGTCCATGGCGATGGCGTGGGAGGAGGAAGAGGAGGAGGTGCTGGCGGCGGCGACGTGCGGGCTGACCGCGGGAGTTTTGGAGCGGCCAGCAGCAGCAGCAGCGGCGGCGGCGGCGGCGGGCTGCTGGTCGTCGCCAGCTATCGTGACGGGCGGTGTGGGCTTGGAGGCGGGTTGTGCGGGTTGTGCAGGTTGTGCAGAGGCGACGCTCGGGGAGGCGGTGGCCGACGCTTTGCTGCTGCTGGTGGTGGCCGGCACGGCGACCGGGAAAGCGGGGCTGGCCCCAGGAGGCGGCGGCAGCGGTGCGATGCCCACGCCGTTCTTGTCACTCGCTGCGGCTGCGGCGGCTGCGGATGCGTACTTGAGCGTCTCGCCGGGCAGGCGGGTTGGTGGCGGTGCCGGTTTCATGCCTGAGGTGGCGCTCGTCGCCGTCGCGGTTTGCAGGGTGGCCAGCACGGGTAGAGGCGACTTCATCTGCGCCGACGGTCGTCGAAGTCCCACACTCTCGCTCTTGGGCTTGGGCGGCTTCACCACCTCCGGCTCGTCGTCCTGCACCGACTGCGTGTCCTGGGATGATACGCGATCGTTGTCGCCCGCGATGCCGAACTGCGCCTCCGCCTCGTTGTCCAGCGAGAGGTCGTCGTACAGCGTCTCGTCCTCCCCGGAGTAGTCGATGTTATGGCCGTCCTCCACGTAGTACTTGATGCTTTCCTTGATGTCCAGCACCTGGTTCACCTCGAGATTGCCGTTCTGCACCGACCGTAGCAACAGTTCCAATTTGTTGACGTGCCACTTATGGCGCTCCGTTAACCGTGAGAGGTCCGACAGTCGATTCGTCTTGGCGACGTCTTTTTTCCCTTTCTTCATCTGCATGTGGAGGGTCTCCTCTTCCGCTTCCATGGCCTCGATCTTCTGTTGTAGCTCGTCCACCATGGTCGCCAGGAAGTCGCAGCACTCGACTTTCTCCTTCTCCTTGGGATCTAACCTCGACGCGGCCGAGAGTCCCTCTTTCGAGTATGCTTTCGTCTTCATCTCCTTCTCGACGGCTTTGAATTGCTCCATGCACTAGGGATCAGAGACCTCGGTTAGCACGCGCCCCCTCTCGGGTCAGCCAGCAGGAATTGGATCGCCCACGGTTTCAATGGCCCTTCGCTGTTCCATCAGCGGCCCCTTATCCTTGACCTCGTTTCCGGACGCCCATGACTTGATCTGGTCCCGATATCGTTGAAGCTTCTTGATCTCTCGCTTCAGATTCTCCTCGAGCTTATCCCGTTGAGTGATATTTGTCGACGATCGGATCTTCTCGTAGATGCCCTCGAACGTCTGGATGCCCTCGGCGACCTTCTTGAAGGTCTTGTCGATCTCCTGCTGCGTTTTTCGAGACGTCATGGCGACTGTTCGGGGGGAACAGGGTGCCGAACCTCGAGGACTGGAAGAGATGTAGCGATGTCGAGGGTCGAGGGAAGGGCGGAGGAGGGGGAGGAAGAAGGGGGGTGAAGAGAGGAGTAGATGGGAGAGTGGAATCTCGTGACGTGTAGCCAGGCCACTCTTCACAACAAACGCGGGGAGCGTGTCCAAGGGTGTGAAGCTCTGCAGGCGAGTGAATCTCCTGATACTTTGTCTGGTCGTCCAGAGGCTGGGATAGCCGCCTGAAGCGGTAGGCGGTCAAGGCGGCATCCTGGAGGCGAACATGACGGGGGAGATTCATTCCCCAGCTGTGCACTCGCTTTCGCTTTCGCTTTCCCACTCCACTCTGCCACTCATTATTGCTTGGCCTTTGTACCAATCAGACTAATGTATCAACCTCACTTCTGACCTTGCAGCATGATCCAGACTGGTCTTTGCTGTCACTAATGTCCTGAGCACCTTGAGGTTGGTTGTCCCCGTTTGCAGTGACCCGCCGCATTAGTTCGATGATCGATCTGCCTCACCCACTGACCTTCGATCTGATAGATCGCGTAACGACTCTCCCCATCCATTCACTCCCCTCCTCAACACCCTTGTTTATCTACACACCTCATATCACCATGAAAGGTGCGCAGACATCATCCCCGTCCCCGATCCCGCAACCCATCGCTAACCCCTCACCCCCTACCCCACTCTCCAGCCGTCCTCCAACGCGTCAAGTCGGCCTCCGTCACGGTCGACGGCCAACTGATCTCTTCGATCGGACAAGGTCTGCTCGTCCTCGCGGGCGTCGGCAAAGAAGACACCGAAAAAGACGCCGACTCCATGATCGGACGAATACTCAAAGCGAAACTATGGCCCGACGAGAACGATAAGGCAGTGAGCTAGCCTCCCCTCCCCTTCCTCCGCCATAACTACACTCTCACGAACAATCTCCAACCTAAAGTCCCTTCAGTGGAAAAAGAACGTCCAGGATATATCCGGGGAGGTCCTCTGCGGTATGCCCCCCCTCGCCCTTCCCCTTCCCCTTCCCCTTACCAAATCACCCCACACCAAACTAACTCCAACTTCCCCCCAGTATCACAGTTTACACTCTACGGCCAGCTCAAAAAAGGAAACAAACCTGACTTCCACGAGGCCGCGGACGTGGAGACCGCGCGCAAGCTATACGACTACTTCATCACGCGACTGGGCGAGTCGTACACGCCGGAGCGCGTCAAGAACGGCGTCTTCCAGGCGATGATGGAGGTGGAATTGAAAAACGACGGGCCGGTGGGTGTAGATTACCGCAGTGAAGATGCGGTGGTAAAGCTCTTGCTTCTTTTCTGCCCCTTATTTTTTCTATCCGTGTGATTGGTGCTAATTGGTCATCTTCTCTCTGGGATTCAGGTCACGATCGAGATTAATACGAAGTTGCCGAAGAAGGAGAAGAAAGATACAGAGGGGAAGGAGGAGCAGAAGGGGCCGCAGACTTTCGAGTTTAAGTTGCCGGCGGAGTTGATGGAGTGATTGATTGATTGATTGATTGATTCCTTGTTCTGGTGGGATGTGGCGCTGGGCTGGGCTGGGTTGGGTTTGTGTCGGGTTGGAGTGAAATGTAGTCATGACTTTTCTTTCTTCTCATTGTCGTTGTTACTGGATTGTATATATTATGATACCAATGCCTACCTAGAAGCGCATATATGTGGATAGACAAAAACTTATCATGATTGAACACCGCTATTCGCCTCCTACTGTCACTACTTACTTTTTTTTTTTTTTTGTCTGCTTGTAAATGACCAATCTTGGTTGGTAGTTACCTGGTCCTTCCGTTGGTAGGTAACCTACCTCACTCCTCACTACTCATCCCCAATCTGATAAATCATCTCACCGCACTCAATCTCGCTGAGATGAATCCGGTCGGGTCGTACAAAATACGCAGGGAGAGCGAAGGGATGCGATGCGATGCGATGCGATGCGATGCGATATCCCGGCTTCCCTTCCTTCCACCCCGCCGGCCGGAAACTTAGTTAACTTATCTTACTATAGTTAACTAACCCATCCGGTACTGCATTTCCGCAAGGCGCCACCAATGGGTGTAAGTACCTCTGTGCTTTACATTCTTCCAGGGAGGATGAAAAGAAAATAAAACAAGAGAAAAATGTTAATGATCTGTTGTTCTGATTGTTATTAATTCCAATTCATGGAGCTTAGATGTGTTGGGTGCGGTGGATTTTTACTCCAGGGATAATAATGAAGGTAGATCGCTGCGTGTGGATATATATACAGTGACAGACCGTATGACAGTTCAATCTGACCACATCCACGACAATGATGATCAGGGTTGTAGGTTTGTAATAGGGTACTAGATAATCCCAGCATTTAAGTTCCTGTACATTTTGAATTCCATCCAGTTTGAGGTATAGAAGAACAAATGAGACATTTTACAAAATGGTCGATTCCACGGTGGGTTATTTATCACGCGCAGTTTATCCCCGCACAGCAACTGTTATGGGCGCAAAGCGCTAAAGACAGCTGAGTTGTGTTTTCAGTATGTTCAAGTGTTCAAGCTACGGGGCAAAGTTATGCTGTACTCTGTAAATCCGTCTGCACCAGACCGCTGCAATGAGATTGAAGGAGACCAGACTAAGCTCTCACTTTTAATGCAAAGCCGGGAATGTAGATGAAGAAGAAGGAAAAAAGTTGAAATCATGCAATCATGAATCATGACTAACACCGCGTCAGTCCTCATGAGAAGAACCGCTGCGCGGTCGCCCGCTCTTTAGCCTCACGGTCCTTGACGGCCTTCTTCACCCGAGCAACCTCGTTGGTGATACCGGCGTCTCCCGGGGCCAGCTTGGACGCCTCCTCCAGATCCTTCAGGGCCTCGTCCTCCTCCTTCAGTCCGCTGTAGGCCACCGCGCGGCGGTAATACGCCTTGGCCTTGTCGGCATCCTTAGCGTTGGCGGCGGCGGCCACCTCGAGCGCGTAGGTGGCCCAGGTCTGCCCGTTCTTGTACTGACCGAGCTTGTTGGCCAGGAGGGAGGAATTCGAGTGCAGGGTGAAGCGGAGCGCCTTGATCTGGGGGTCCAGGTCCTTGGGGTCCTGCTCGTCGGGTTCCGGGAACTCGTTCAGGTAGCGCAGACCCTTCTGGTACTTGTCCAGACCGAGAGGGAGGTTGCCGCTCTTGAAGGCAGTGTTTCCGAAGTTCTTCAGCTCGGACGCGATCTTGAAGCACACGGGGGCACTCAGCTCCTCGCCCTGGTGGTCATCAGGGAAGTCCTCGAAGGGATCACCCGTCGCGTCCGGGATCTGCTTGTCTGCGTTGTCGTAGTCGGCGCCGGTCAGCTCGCCACACTCGACGATGGTGACATCCGTGGAGGGCTTGTCGGCCTGGGTGGCCAGGTTCTCGACCTTGCGGACGACGCTCTTGCCGTTGATGACCTCGCCGAACACGACGTGCTTGCCGTCGAGGTGGGGGGTGGGGACGGTGGTGATGAAGAACTGGCTGCCGTTGGTGCCGGGGCCGGAGTTGGCCATGGAGAGGAGGAAGGGACGGTCATGCTTGAGGTCGAAGTTCTCGTCGGGGAATTTCTCGCCGTAGATAGATTCGCCGCCCGTGCCGTTGAACGCGGTGAAGTCACCACCCTGGATCATGAATTGCTTGATGACGCGGTGGAAGATGGAGCCTGGGTGGCGGGGGGTTAGCGACTCATGGGCCGTTGGGGTGTTGCAGCCCCGCTCCGGCGGGGAAGGAAGAAAAATCGAAGCGCCGTACCCTTGAAGTGCAATGGCTTGCCCTGCTGGCCCATGCCCTTTTCGCCGGTGCAAAGCGCCCGGAAGTTATCCGCGGTCTTGGGGACGACTGGGTTTGGGTTAGAATCTGCGTGGGATGCCTAGGGGGTGGAATAATGGTACCATCGTTGAACTGCGCAGGCGGGGTAGTTAGCGAGGCTGGCCGGAAGGGTCGGAGCAGGCAAGAGAAGAGAAAGGGAAGCAGACTGACCAATTCGAGAGCAACGCGACCGGGCTTCTGGTTGCCGATCTGAATGTCGAAGAAGACGCGAGAACGGCCTGTACGGAGGGCGCAATCAGCAAGACTGTGACGTGAGATTAGGTTGGGATCGGAGGAACGTACGGGAGTCGGCCATGGTGACGGCAGGACGGGATGTGGGAAGGGAAGGAAGGAGGGAGGGAGGAGTGGAGTAATATAGCACGGAGGGAGGAAGTGTAGAGAGTGGAGGAGAGCAGGAGGAGGAGTTGGAGGAGAGACAGGAGAGAGCTGTGGTGCGGAGGAAGAGGAGGGAAGAGGAGGAGAGAAGTGGGCTGGACCAGCCTCTCTCCGGCTGCGATGCTTCAAGAAGCTTCCATCGCACCACGCCGGCCCCGGCTGCTACTGACTGACTGCCTGCCTGCCTGCCTGCCTGCGACTGTCTCCCCTCACCACTCACTCCCCTTTCCACTACGACGACCTGTCTAACTCTAGCGTCTCTGTCTACCAGTAACACTCGCCGTTCCTGGTGGATGCTGGAACTAGATTCAACCCAAACCGGTTACTCTGCCATTCCCCGTGGAGCATGGACCGATGGTTCTCGGGCCATCTTCGCGGGGACGCCTCCGGCACCAACCCGTACCAAGATCGAGACTCTCCAGAAGGCAGAAGGGGATCACGACTAATTCAACGTAAATTACGATGGTGGATTTGAATTGTAATTCCATGGAGCGGAGAAGAGAGCCGAATCTTCCATATCACGACACACAGGTCTTTGCTGCCCCTGCATGGGAATGCTTGCCCTGCCTGGATGGCCAATTGAACCATCGACGGTTGGTTTGTTTGCCATTTCCTCGGCTACTCGACTGGTCAGGATCGTCTCCGTCTGGCCAGGGACCCGGTGGGCACGGTGAGACAGGATGACTCGCATGGAGCAAGTGACAGCCCCCGCAATCCAATCGAGAAGCGTCAGGGTTTGAGACGTTGGCCGTAGGCGCCTACAACGATGTCATATACTCGGTTGAACACTCCCTACCGGGATGATAGCCCAGAAAAAGTTGATACACCATCCAAGGGTCTCGTACTCGAGCTCTGGCGCTTAAGTGTTGCGATCCAACAAGCTGCCTAGCGACCCATGTAACACGTATCTCGGCAACGCTGTGGTCGTGGATGGCAGCGCGTCTATAGTCTACAATAGAAAATAGGCGTTGCGGGCCTTCGAACCATTCCTATAAGCGCTTACCCTGGGATTCCCCCCATGCGACACATATTCACTGTCTTACAGGCCTGGGAATTCGGCACTGTTCGACTAGCCCTATTCTCATTCTCTGAAGGGACATAACATACTGCTTTATAGACCATTCACCACCTGCATACCACATACAATGGTTAACTTGGAGGGCTCTCTGCATAGCAGTGTGAGAAATCGGCTACCAGGATCTGCCATAAGATCCGATTTCTGGGCGCCAATACAGGCGTGGTTGATAATAGTACTACCACGCGAACGCGTAGAGATGCCCCAATCTTCAGACAATAGTCCAAGAGGTAGTCAAGCATCCCACACAAACCACACTCCAACACCACCTCTCTAAAATGTCCAATCTAGAATGAGGACCCTCCCCATAACCACCCCCAGCAGATACAAGGGCAAGAAGACAGCCACCAAGCAAAGCATATGGCGAACAATCTGCACGACACTCGTTCCACCTACCCGAAACACCCTCATGCCTGACATACCGCCGCTGTGCCACCCTCCCATCCCCTTCGGGGCATTCTCAGCGAACCATTGGCCACGGCAGTGAAACACTCGAGCGCAATGGATGGCGGCTGACGGTCACCCCAACCCGCCAGGAGTAGCACAGAAACCTGGGATCTCCGACCAGAAGGTGTTCGTTCCACCATTAAAATGGCTGCCGAAAGTACGAACCCGATGCTGCGCGCTGGCAACGAAGCAATTGGCTTTCGGGGTCTCACCAACAACTGATTCCACCAGTTTCAGCTCCTTGTTGCAGACCTGCAGGTGACCAGACCAAGCTTTGCGCGGGGCACTTGCATGGCGTCATAAGGAGGGGTGCTCGTACTCGAGTACTCCGTATCGCATCGGGGATTGTCTGAGCCTTGTCTTGCAGATCAGAAGGGTTGTGTCTCATCGTCTACAAAAGATGCAATGAACGTGAACACTGCAAAGTCACCGAAAGCGGGGGGAATGCTCTCTTCTCCGATTGGTCCGTATCTCGTAACTATCACGTGACCACACTTATGAAGCTGAGTAGTCCGCTGAGTCACATGATTTTGGACTGTGACAGACCAATCGGCGTTCGACCCCGTCCAGCCGAAGGACCAATCAGGGCTTTCGGCGACTTTGCGCCTACCAGGCGCGTTGGGCTGATCTATACAGCAAGACGCATATATGTGTCCCATGTGGATACCACCTTGTTGCAGCACACAGCAGATGCATTAGCTAGTTATGTTGTGCTTGCTGACGTGTCTACTGTCTAGTACTGACTAGAAACAGCGATCGACAAGACATGCCGCAGCTCATCTATAAAGCAAGGTACCATGTCGACCTCGATGCAAGTGCAATTACACATCCAATTCAATATATCTACCTCCCACTACCATTAATCGAACACCATACACCATACACCATATCCACCAAACAATCCAGCGTAAGCGAGTCCAATCGTAGCTCCCAATCCTCAAAAGCACTTACAAAGAACTAACCCCCCCCCTCCCCGCCAGCAGCTCCCCTCCCCGCACCAAAATGGCTACCCCCGCCCAAGCAGCCAGCACAAAAGCCTGGCTAGACACCTTCTACGCCGCCAACGATACCCTCAACCCCTCGGTCTTCGTCCCGCAATTCTACCACCCAGACAGCCAGCTCCACGTCCCGGGCGGCCCTTCCCTCACCGGCCACGAGCAGATCCTCGCCTTCTACAACCAGCAGGTCAGTCTGGTGTCGAGCATGAAACACACCATCCGGCATTTTGATGTGCTGTCGGACCGAGTTTACGTCGAATCCGAGGTCGAGTATACGGTTGCGGCGGATCCGGAGAAGAGGGCTATCACTGTCAATGCGCTGGCGGTGGTGGGGAAGAGGCTGGATGAGGATAAGTTGAGGTCGTTTAAGGTGTTTATGGATCCGAAGCCGTTGGTGGGGAGGTTGGAGGAGGTTTTGGCGGCGGCTGCTGCTGCTGCGGGGACAGAGACAGGGAAGGGGGAGTAGATTATGTGTGTGTGTCGTGGTGGATATCTCTTTGATGGAGTACCTTGTAATTGAGTGCTACATTAGATGTGTTAGACTCAGTGGGACTTATGATGATGGGATGTGCCGTGTTATTGCAATTATTCGGGTGTCTAGATAACCGCTTTGTTATGGGTATAAATTGTCATTATCATTAGCTTGGCTCAAATATCAACTGGAAGCTACAGCCTGCTCTTGACATCCACCTTGGTCCACTCGGTCTCGCCGATCGTCTGGAACTCCATGACCGCATCTGGTCCCCCAAAGCGGTTCTGCGTGGACTTCCAGTCCCGGTCGACAGCAGTTTCTGGCCTCCATCGGACAACGTGCTTCAATTCCTGTTGGAGATGCCCCTCCAACGCATCCGCGATGAATCCTCCAATCGTCGGCATTTGCATTGCTCCGTTACCCGACGCTCCGACAGCCACCAGCAGCGAGGGATGCTCAGGATGTTTGTCGATCAAAAAGGCGCGATCCGGGGTATCCGCATCCCAGCAGATACGGGCAAACGCCAGCGGGCGATCCGCTAGATGTGGCATCGTGTCCCGCAGGAAATCCCGGGCGCGGGCCTCGGCCTCCAGGGGAATCTGATGCTTCGCGAAGGGAATGCTCCTGATCTCGTCGGATCTCTCCGGATCGGGAAGGAAATTGCAGTATCCAGGGTGCTCGTCGCAGATCTTGAGTTCGTGCTTGTCTTCATCGGGCTCCATGAAAAACCCCTTCGCGATGTTGAACAGAACAGGCAGGTTCTTGTAGAGCTTCACTTCCTCCGGCGTCATCTGAATGTGGCAGAGCGTCCAGGCCGTCGGACGGAGCTGTTTCTTGAAGTCTAGAAGACGGTCACTGCCGGCTCCCGCCGCAAGGATGGTCTGGTCTGCCCGATGGATGACCCCGTCGGAGGTTTTCGCTCCCACCACGTCGCCGTTCTCGTACACCAGCGATACGACATTCCCCTGAGGAGATCCGGTGATGAAGTTGACTCCCAGTCGCTTGGCCTCGGTGTATGCAGAAACCAGAGCCTTCTTCGCGTGGATCCATCCCGCCCCGGACTTGCTCAGCCAGCCCTTCCAGCCCGGAAAGTCGCCCGTGAGAACGCCGGGCGGCATTGTCTTTTGGAAGTCCCCTGCTGTCTCCAGCTTCACATAGTCTGCCACGGAGGGTTCGATTTCGTCTTTGTAGATATGTTCCACGAGTGCGGGGGTATGCCCGGACACGATCAGACCTGTCTCGTGGAAATACGGCTTAAAGACGGGGTCCGTCTTCCAGCCACTGAAAGCTGCGCGTGTACACGTTGTGAACGCAACGCTGCGTGGACTGTTTTCTGAATCTAGACAATTGTCAGCATCGCCTTCGTGATAGTCATTCTATAGGGAACCGACCTTTCAGCTCCTTGTGTTCCATGATCTTATTGATGTCATTGCCGGCCGCAATCGCAGAGGGGACGGTGTAGGGGTCGAGCACAGTGACATGCTTGTATCCGCGACGGGCGAGGTGCAAGGCCGTGGAGCAGCCCCAGACTCCTGCGCCGACAATGAGGATGGTGGAATCCAATGTGACCTTCGAGGGAGCCATGGTGGTGTTCACTGTGTGGTCTGTGTCAATATGCGTGGGAGGAAGACGGGCACGGGGTCCGTATTTCAATGAGGTTCCCCGTCATGCCATCTCCACCAGGTTGGTATCTTCTAGCCACGCTGGTCAGAACGAGTCCTGGATGGATCTATGTTGTCATCGTCCAAAGCATCGCGACCCGCCGAAACGAGGCCATCGCGGGGTTCCCGATGGGGCTTAGCGCATCGGTTGGACCTTCCCGGGCGCGTCCCGCAATCGGGGCTTGTCTTGTCTCCTCTCCTCTATCCTCCTCCATCCTCCTCCATCCTCCACATTCACACTTCACTGATAACCTTGAATTGTCCTTTACCCCTCCGGAAGTATCCCGGAAGCTAAGGTCCCCACATCTGCATTGCAATTGCGTGCACGAGTCATATTCTTGCGTCTGCCATGTTCGAGCCTCGCCGCTTCTCCGCATCTCCTTCGGCACACCTGATTGAAACCCCTCGTCAAGATAACCTTTCGTTTGGAGCTTCCTCATGGCGCTCACTTATCTGAGAATCTCTCTATCTCCCGGTGGCGGCTTGGCTCCACTGCCATGGAGTATCTTATCACAAACTATCACATCAATTCCCTCCCGTTCATCCAGCTCGATTTGCTGTAGATCTCGACAGGAGTGGCGGACGAGAGAAGGCAAATGTGCTTCCCCTCTTATCATGGCTGCTCGACTGATATGCTAGGCTGGTTCATCCAATCGGAGTCTGTAGAGCGATCATAGGAGAACGCTTCATGCATGGCCCTTGTAGATGGACATCTGGCACTGATGATACTAGTCTGGGGTTGCGTTTAAAAGAGCGCCCACCCCCGCCATGGCCGTCCTAATGACTTCTGATCATTCATTGATTCAAAATGGCTCGCACTGATGATATCCAGACTGATGTTCCGGGGACAGTATACCTCGTTGATGGTAAATACTCCGTCTCGACGAATTGACGACGATTGACAGAAACTAGGGACGGGAGACTTCAGTGCCGCCCACGCCGGTCAACAGGACATCCTGCTGATCCCTCAGCCTACTACCTCATCGGCCGATCCTCTGGTATGCAGCAAGCAGTCTACCATTCCCATGCTATACCCTGTTCTCACATTTGCAGAATTGGCCGAAATATAAGAAATACTGGTGTCTCTTTCTGATATCCGCTTATGCGTGTGTAAACTCCTTTGGCGAGAACAACTGGGGCGCAGCATGGACTACGATTTCAGATGATACGGGCGTGAGTCTGGAGAACATGAACGGTGGCTCCGCTCTCAACTACCTTATGCTGGGGTTCTTCAACATCATCTGGATTCCCACGGCAATGAAGTACGGGCGCAAGATTGTCTACATCATCAGTCTTATGTTTGTTCTTGCCAGCGGTATCTGGGGTGGCTTCTACCAGGGCGTTGGCCAGTATTATGTGATGATGATGGTCAATGGGATGGGGACGGCAGCCTACCAAGCTTTGATTCAGCTCACGGTTCGTGGTGTCTCCTTCCAGGCATGCATGCCTCGGCTAATTAATTCAGATCTTCGATGTGTTCTTTACCCATGAACGTGGTCGAATGTTATCTATCTATATCTTCTTCCAGCAGCTGGGCTCAATCCTTGGCCTGATCTGTGGAGGTTATATCGCCGATAGTATTGGGTGGAGATGGAGTATGCCCATGGTGTCGATTGCGTGTGTTAGTACCAACCTCTCAGTCGATATCCGATCATAACTAAGAGTTTTTAGGCTGTCTTGATTCTTTTATTCATTTTCACGTTTGACGACACAATGTTCCCCAGATACCGGTTCTCTGGCCGGATGCCTTCCTTGTCCTCCAAACCTGCAGACGAAGCTACATGCGCCCAACCCGACCCATCCGCGGGCGAGAAGGATTCCAAAGAATCTCCGGTATCAGTCATCGCAAGCCACGATGTTGGCGAGATTGACATGCCACCGCGGACATACCTCCAGAAGATGTCTCTTGTGCACCGCTTCAGCGATGACCATACCACATGGTTCCAGTACTTCCGTCGTCCATTCTTCCTCTTTGGATTCCCCAACATTGTCTTAGCCGGCATTCAGTTCGCATTCGGTTGCACAGCGGGAATCGTCTCGTTCAATACTATTTCTGAGATCATGACGGATGCGCCTTATGATTGGAGTGCCGGGTCATCTGGTCTGATATTTCTGGCGGCCCTCGTTGGTAACTTTATTGGGTATGTACCTACAACCTCAACTGTGGAAGATTGCTGACAATGTCAGAATGGGAATCGGATCGCTGTCTGACTGGCTCGTTGTTTTCCTCGCCCGTCGCAACAAGGGTTACAAGGAACCCGAAATGCGTCTCTGGGCGTATTCCCTCCCGATCGTCCTCGCAGCCGTTGGCTACTTTCTGTACGGCTGGGGAGCTACCGAAGGCCTCGAGTGGATGTCCATTGCCGTTGGCCTCTGCTGCATGATCGCGCAGCAGGTTTCCGCTACCAGTATCGCGACCGCATATGCGATGGAGTGTTTTGAAGAGGCAAGCTTTCTCATTTGCATCCCACTTGCATCTACTAATTGTCGCTAGATTTCCGGCGAACTTGTCATCGTCCTAGCATGCTGTTCATCCGTCATCAACTTCGTCATCTCCTTCACCGTGCAGAACTTCATCGATGCCACGAACTACGGCTGGGCCTTTACATGCTACGGCATCCTGGTTGTTCTTTCCATGGCCATGGGAGTCCCCATGGTTATCTGGGGTAAAAGCTGGCGCCGGAAATGCAAGGGCCGGTATGAGAAATTCTTGGCTGAGACGGGGCGGCAGTAGATGATTTAGGGTGTGGAATGAATTACGATTTTTCTGGTTAGCAATTGTAAAATGTTTCTTTGTTATTATTTTTATTTCTTATTAGCCAGATTAGCATCAATGAATATGAGCATTGAGTATTGTGTACTAGTGCAGAATCGACTCAAAACCAGATAATACATAGAAGTACATATTCTGGAGTATTTCCTCGCAGCCAGCATCAATGATTAACAACTGATCATCGAGACGGGGAGCAAATGGCACGATGGCAGCGGACCCGGGTTCTTACCCGGGTCGCTCCTGCCTTCCCACGTCCAGCTCGAGACGAAAAGCTTCGAAATTTTGCCGAAGCGGTACTGTAAGTGTAATGAATGTATGTGCTCCGCATGCACACGCACATGCACGTGATACATGAATTAGAGTACCTGAAGGTTCGGGCAGGAAAGCATCGCGTAACTGTCTGCAAATGATAACTGTCTGCAAATGATAACTGTCTGCAAATGAAACTGGGGACCCGGGCCATAGCTGGACTTAGCGAAATTCGCTGCCACATCCTTTTCTGACCACATATCGAGTCTGGCAGCGGATGGAGACTGGCTGGGGCTGGGTCACGTTGGGCCTCGTCCACACATGACATGACATCGAGCTCCATTCCTTGATCTGATATCTGCCTCATCAATCAACAGTCGAGAGAGAGCTGAGCATACTTCCCTGTACCGATGGGCTATACTTTTGCACAGGCCTCATATATGGTGAATATTGCACTGGGACTGTGAGCATACTTTTGCATGATGTCATGCGCATCTTAATATTATTTGACCTGGCAACATAGGTATTCTCAGCCAGTCTCATTCTGGGAGACTATTATAATAATCGCATGGCGAGCACGCTTGAACTAGACAACTCCTCCAAGGTCACACTGGTCGGAGGCTGGTTAATGATGTTTGAAGGTGCTGTAAAATCTCTTGTATGGCACTCGCGTTTGGATCAGATAGTGGTGTTGCTGTGGTAAGTAGGTGCATTCAACAGCTTCGACAGGAACTTTTTTTTTTTTTTTCACTTGGGGCATGGATAGTGTTGTCATGGCGGCCTATACCTCCCTCCACCATAATGAATCCGAGCTATGAAGCCCCAAGCACCAGTTTTCGCAATCGATGCATATTCCATCTGTATTGGAGATTATGCCCATCCGTCCTATCTTTCCCAGCCCCCTACCATTGGACCAGGTGAAGCTTGTGTCCTGGTTACCAGGTTTGCCAAAGAAATTGCCATTGGATTGCAAAAATTCGAGTTGTAGGGCTATAGCTGAAGACATGCTGTGGGTTGATTTTCGGCAGCAGAGTTCCCGTTGCTTCTCAGAGAAGTATAAAGCTTGAACTGATACGCAAGTATAGTCGGAGAGCAATGTATTCCCTCATTTAGCCCGCAATTCAGACAACCTCACATGGCAGAATATGAATCCCTGAGCCATAGAATGAACAGGAGAGATGAAACAGTTCAGTCCCAGCCAACTCGTTTCGAATCTATCTCCGATGTCGTGACGTGCCGTTGTTCGGAGACAAAATCGACAGCCTGATGGGAAATCTCAACGTCTTTATAGCATATCCCGGGTGGTCTGTGATATATCAAATAGGACACATATAGTAAGGCAGGACCGGCTTCCTTCGTCACGGAGACGACACATGGCCAATGCCTGAGCAATATCGAAGACAACACACTGGATAGCAAAGGGTCTCGATTCTTGATGAGCGTGCACAGGATTCGAGATCTGTCTCTTTTATTATTAGATACTCCTGCACAGTCGCTAGGCTAACTCCCCAGGTATCTTTCAAGTTCGCGTTCTTCAGGCACTTTTCCCATAGCTCAACCCAGCATAGTCTGAGCAATTTAAGATGCAGCCATGCCTTCCAATCTTCCTCATTGGTTAAGCGCAATTGACTGGGCTTCAAGGACTGGTCCAAGGGTCTTATTATCAGCTCTCCATCGTGGCTCACTTGGCCATATCTTGTCGGCGCAGCAGCGGGTCCTGAAATTGGTCCACCTTGATAATGCGCCGAGCAATATGATCTCGACGTGTTGTGTCTATATTTCCATTTCTAGTTCTCGGCGTTGGTCCATGAGCATCGGGTTCGAGTTTATATCATTGAGTCTCTCCGGAAACAGCCTATCTCGCCAGCCCCCCCCCCCCCCCCCCCCGGCTCTTTCGGAATTGCTGTGTCATTCGTGCTTGTCACATGTTAATACAGCTAGAGCGTCGGTTACAGCTTCAGAATCTGTAGTCTGTGTCTGTGTGCCTACTTCAGCCTGAGAGAAAGATATACCCCAAATTATGCTGGTAGATCTGTTGACAGTATCACAGGCTGGCTGGCATGTTTGTTTCGCGGAAAATTACCTTAAGCTATTGGCTTTCTTTCGATGTCGTCTTTCCTTTGCATGTAGAAAAATCATGCGGACTTGACAGGAAGAGCTTTAGCAGAGACAGAATCGGCAAGGTTCTCCTAATTCCTGATGGTTGACTCGATCGGTTTTGTCCAAGTATTCGGATCGGCGTGGAGTTGACAAAGTTGGATCATATTCTTTGAGATATGCGTGGATATATAAGACTTACGGCCAAACGGCGGATACTAGCCAGGGTGACGGTGGTAGGCTAAGAAAGCGCAAGAATATTAGATAGCAGGGTTTGTTGCGAAGCCTGCTCTGCAGTAAGCAACTGGTCAATGTTCATCTCACAGAATCGAAGTCTGGAAGAGTTGACCAACACTCTTCATCCCGTGTCAGGGAAACTATTTATTCTGGATAAGCATTGAGACGAAGAACAAAGAATTCCGATGATTGGTAACTCGTGATAATCTGGAAGACATGGTGATAGCGAAACCATTGTAACCTGATAGCATGTGTTTTTAGAACCGATTCCGATCTAATGAGGACCCAGTTCAACGTCGTTTTCTACAGAGACATTTCAATGTGTAAAATGCCCCCTAAAATTACTAAAGCCAAGGTCGGTCGATGCTGCTCTCTTTTCCGCCGTTCCATCTGTGCGAATAGATTCGAAGTGGATTCGCACCGCTCACTGAATATTGTAGGTGTGTGTGTGTGTGTGTGTGTGTGTTAACAGCATCGGAGAGATTGCAAGTGTATGTATGTGTATTGGAGCGAAGCCCAGAGCGGTAGAGTATGCCGAGGTCTTTTATCAGAGGTATTGGACAACGGGTTGATTCGAGTGCGTTCCAAACCCTACTTTGATGCCCTGTCCACAGTTAAAGAGTTTCATGGATTTCTGAAGTCACTTACATCAGCCGCAGACGCAACCACTGATACCTTCCGACACGAGCCCATTCTCTGGAAACTTTCCACGCTGAGCTTTCGTTCGTGCTGTAAACCCATATGATACCGATACCACTTTTCTCCAGGGTCCCAAAGGCAGCGCATGCAATGTACGGGATCATGTCCTTCGTCATGCGTCTCGCTCCAACCAAATGTGGCCAGTTTCAGGGGATAGTGGAATCTGGAGCGTCACATCTGTTGAGGACAAATGCAGGTTAAAGCCAGACGGCCTGAGATTCCGTCCCCGGACAGCGAGACGGCATCATACCTCCCGGGAGAGACAACCAACCCTAACTCAACCATCAGTCGCAGCCACAATACTGCAAGGGTCCGCATGTTCGTAGGCAGCAACAAATCCACTTCCCAGCCAACATGTTCTAGATAGAAACGGGGCATAATGTTCGACAGAAAGCCACAGGGACTTTCGCAGAGATTGATTCACCCGAGGATGATAAATTCCACACCGACTTGGTAAAGGGAGCCATCTTTTTTGTCGACCTGGTGAAAGGACTGCGTGCAGTATCTCGATAGGTTGCCCCACGCTATCAGTTGCTGGGCATGCAGTATGAGGAGAACGCGGCCTTCCCGAATTTCTTCCAGTTCTAACCAAGGCTACATATTCTTTGCCACGCATCACGACAAATTCAATGATACCATGAAACACATGCACCGCCGTAGGCATATTCTTTTCCACGACTTGAGGTGGGTAGCCGAACTTTCAGCTCGGCTAGCACCGTGAGAGTATATCACGGAAGATGAGACAGTCTTCCGAGCGCGACGAATCATGGGGGTACTCTTTGTCCCAAGGAATATTCTTCTTCTTTTGCTCTGTGTTGCGTGTGCTTCATGTTTCCGAGACAGCTCAGAGAGCTTACTTTGGTCTGCAGAACTGCATGTGCCATATGTATAGCTTCGCAGTGACAATCTAGAACAGACGACCTGACTTCATGACATACCAGCAGTGATCTAATCTGCATAAAACCCCTTCGACCTTCCCTCTGTGGTCTCTCTTTGTTGCTGGATACAGAATGGCCTTCTAGGCAATATGATCTCCGGAGCATTGTGTTTTGGCAAGAGGCGCAAAGATCTGGCTCAAGCGCTAGTTGCTTTTATTTGCCGTATATAATTCCTCAATGCGTGTAAGACAACGCATAGAATGATGGATTCATGTCTCTGCTTGTGTCTCGGAGTGTGGGATTGTCTGTAAACTAGGTGTGTTTTGGTTTTATAAGACTATATGGATTTGGAATATGTGTCCAAGAATGTTGGCTCCATGGGAGGAGTGGCAGTTATATGGCTGGGGGTGTTCATATAGAAGAATTATTGGGCATGTAGGCCACTTTCTGGGAAGACCCCCAAGTAGGGTGTTCCCCTTTTGCCGCAGTGGTGTTCCGATAATGTGAGATGGGAAGGTGGAGGGAGAAGAGAATCGGAATGGAGATGAGGGGAGTATTTATAGGGATGAATTGGTCACTTTACCTCCCGGGTTAGTTGAATATCCTAGTGATTGGGATCCATATATTCCCTTGGTTCCTATCACACAGCTTCGTCATCATTCATCCAGTTAATACTACACAATTCCCCCCAACAAAGAAAATACCCCATCTCCACATCTCCACCCCCATTCACCAAACCCCCCTACTCACTCGTAAACGCACAACTCCCCATATCCAACTTCGTCACGTCCGACTCCGGCCGAATATCGAAATCGAAAATATCCATCGGCACACCCAGCGTCGTACACGCATTCGGAATATCCACCAAACCGGCAATATGGCCCTGCACCGGGGCGCAACTAAGCAGGAGATAGATCTGGTAATCGCTGTACCCATACCTCCGGAGATACTCAATCACGCGGAGACAGGTCTGGCGATAGGCGACGGTCGCATCGAGGTAGTGCTGCTTGCCATGCTCATCGACCGAAAAGCCCTCGAAGGTCAGATACCGACCGGGACCGAACTGGGGCTCCACCGGTCCGGGCTGGAAGATCGGGGACTTCATGTCCAACTTGGCCATGCCGCCCTTGATGACGCTGAATTTGATCGTGATGACACCGGCCATCTCGATCGCTCCGCAGAAGGAGATCTCCCCGTCGCCTTGGGAGAAGTGCAGATCGCCGACGGAGAACTTCGCCCCGGGGACATGCACGGGGAGGTACACCTTTGAGCCGCGAGAGAGGTTCTTGATGTCGCAGTTGCCGCCGTGTTCGGGTCGGCCCTAGTGGAATTAGCTTAGCGGGTATGTGTTGGGCAGGGCTCAAAGGTGGCATACAGGGATAGTGCGCGCGCCCTCCCTAGCAACCTTCGCTTTCAAATCCTCGCCCGCACTACCGGCATGCGCGTTCTTGGGCTCCGGGGGCTTTGCAACATCGCGTGTGGTCGTGTTCGCTGCGATAAGCTCGCCCTCGCGCCGATTCCACTCCGCCAGCACCTCCGCGGAGGGCGCACAGCCCAGAATTCCAGGGTGGATGAGCCCCGCGAACCGGACATGGGGGATGTGTCGCGAGGAGCAGAAGATTCCTTCAAAGTCCCAGATGGCTTTGGCACTGTTTACGATCAGCCGTTCAATCATATATCATATCGTTGATGTGAGTGAGAGGTGTCGTCCTACGCATTGGGGTAGATTTCATCCAGGAACCCTCCGCCGTTTTCCTTCGCAAACACGCCGGTGAATCCCCACGGCTGTTCTTCGAACGGCTGGACGTCTTGGATCTCCACGAGCAGAACGTCACCCGGTTCGGCGGTTTCGATGTCGAATGGTCCCGACAGGTAGTGGATCTGGGTCAGGTCGACGTTCTGGATGTCATCTGCGGAATCGTTGTTCTTGATTTGTCCGCCGGTCCAGTCGAGACATTCAATCTTGACGACTTCGTTGTTGGCGATTTTACCGCACGCGGGGACTGGGGATGGATGTTAGGGTTGCCGTCGGGAATTGGGAAACTGGGATGGAGGGAAGTCGGTCGGCGTACCGTCGGGGTGCCATCTGTTCTACGCGGGTCGCGTTAGCAGCTTATCGATCGATCGATGAAAGGCCACGTACATGCAAGCCGGGCTGCTCCCAGGCAGGCTTCTCAAGATCGACCTTGAGGGCGGTGCGGATCTTCTTGTGTCCCATGTTGGTCTGATGGATGTGGATGGAGTGCAGGTGTGGTGGTGGAGGGAGGGAGGGAGGGAGGGGAAGCTCACAATGACAAACCCCGGCGGGAAGCTCCAATTAATACTCGCACCACCCAGTCCGGGTCGATGTCAGCCCTCAATTTTGGAACCTTCCCCTCACCCCCCAATTCACCCAGCCATTGGTGCCTCCAATCGGTGGATTATCCCCGAGGCCGAATGGGGATGACAGCACAGTTCTTTGGTCGCCTATCTTATCACGGCTATCACGCTTATCAGCGGGGAAACCTTGACTCCATCCACGTCGGGCTGATAAGGATGACGGCTGGTATAAAGGGAAAGGATTGACCCCTCAATGCGTATTTTCTGCAAGAAGCAGGAGTAAATTTCTGGAACGAAAATGATGCACAGAATCTCTAAACCTCGTATTCTTATGTTATCAGATTGCGATGACTTTGTCTCGACTATCAGTCGGATCGCCGGAAGATCACCCCGCGGTACGGATGCGGATTAGGGCTGAGTATTCTGGGTTGAGGATGGTAGATACTACACCATGCCTCTCCTCTTCGGCGGAGGATGTGTGTGGGGCTACATCTCACGGGACGCTATGTGCATGGATGAGAGATTCTTCAGAAGTGCCTGAACAACACTCAACCGCCAGATATTCCAATAAATAGCAAAGGTGATCAACTAACCACCCTATAATAAGCCCGTCCCTGCTCCTCGGCGGGTCCGGCGCCGTCACCCAGGTTACCCTCACCAACCCCTAAAATTACCTGGCTTTCGGTCTGTTAATGACAGAAAGGAATCCTACACAGGGTAATCTAGGCTGTACCCGCCACGATGGTACTTTTTTCTTTTGAACAGGATGTGCATTCTCCAAGATATAGAGCGAAATTTATTAATACGTACACAACAGACCAACAGACGCTAACACAAAACAGAGAGCTTACTTATCAGGAAATAAGAGAGGTGAAATATTAATGCCCCGGCTGTTACATCATACTGGGTGATATATCAAATTATATCGACGCGCCATATCAAGAGACAGACTTCAAGATGACATGCTGTTGTTGTAACGACATCGAGAAAAGGGGAATGATGGTAAGTTGGTCCCAGTACAATATATATCAGATAACCGTTTTTTAAAAAGGACGTACAACCATTAGGTTCCAGGAAGTCTGCAGGGGGTTCTTGTGGAGGATTATCGAGACACACGTCTGAGATTTTCCTCCTACCTTCCCAAAGCAAAAGAATGGACAGTGGCGGCGGCTATGGACAACGGTAATATGGAGAGGTTGCTGCGTCAGTGGTATAAGTTCTTTAAAGAAATAGCCAGACAAGACTGGGCGGATAAGGGGAAGAATCGCGATAGGTTGGAGGGCTTTCGGTGGCAACTGCGTCTCAATAAAAAGGCTTGGGATGCTACAATTGGTGCTTTCGATCAGACGTGGGAGGCATACTTAGAAGAGTTATACCGAGAACATCAGGTGAAACATCACGGACAGCAATGTCACTCGTCCGGAGGAAGTTACAGTGTCAAAAAGACCACGATTGGCAGAACCTACGCAATTGGCAGGAGCTACACAAATGGCAGAGAATTTACGACGATCAGCTCGCCTTGCCTCCAACACTACAAATCTCTGCACAACCTCTAGAGAAAACTCATTCCGCGTATTATATATTTCGAATCGAATCCACGTCAATGAAAGGGTGTCTGTCCAGACACCTTGATATGATGGAATGTTGAATTCTTGCACTTTCTCGCTACCACCCTGTATATCGAGCCAGCAGTGATTATCAATAAGCATAGTATGCTTTTTTTGAATTTAAATACTACCCAAAATTGCCATACACTTGTGGTCTTCGCAGGTTCCACTTCGCGAGCTTGATCAGGGTTCAAGACGAAATGGCTCATCTTCCGGTTTGGGGGCGGAACCATGACTGACATGCTCTGAGGTTAAACTTCCTTGGATACAATTTCCAAGAAGCGTCCCGTACAGGGCTCATATTGCCTTGATAGCAGTTCCGTAGCTTGCCACAACGTCACAACCGGTATCTCATATCCATCTTCTCTCCATCATCCGTCATTAAAGGGTGAGTATTAGGTTGAATAGCATCAGGACAAAGAATCCATCAGCATCATTGGTCTAGTGGTAGAATTCATCGTTGCCATCGATGAGGCCCGTGTTCGATTCACGGATGATGCATTGATTCCGTCTTTCCTTTTTTTTTTTTGTTCCCGCTCAATTCAGGAGCGCCTAGATAGCCGGGTCAATTGGTGCAGTAAAACTTGAATTGAATAAATTTAACTGAACAGGATGCTGAGCATTGGCGGAGAGGATCAAATCCAGATCTCTTGCTGACCATCAAAAGTATCCCCTTTGCTAACTTTGCCAAAAAAAAAAAGTCTCAGATCGAACACTGCGCAGCTGTCAGCAATATGAGCCCAATTATTAGACATATTTTGAGACATGCAAGCCCTCACAATCTGCCCCATCCCATCTCTATCCATCCCCTCCACAATTCTCCCCCTCCCCCACCAACACCTTATCTCAAATAATCTACCCAACCCTCTGTTCCCTCAAGCACCAAACCATCCCCAACGCAACAACATTACACCCTAGTGCCAACGCAGGCCCAACCCGGAACGCGTGCAAATAACTCTCCCTGGCAATGTCCCTCAGCGCCGGGCTTAGCTTCCTCGCAAACCGCGCATCGTCCAGGATCTGCTTTACAAGCTGCATACACACTGCCTTTAGCCAGATAAAAAGACACTCAGAGCAAAGTAGAAAGATGGATACTAACCTGCTCCTTTGCCAGTCCCAATTGATCCATCAATCTCTCCCCAAACACCCTCTGAATCAAGCTCAATCCTGCTGCGGGCCCAACAATGAACCCTAACTGCTGGCTGAGACAGAATGTCCCGATGCAAGTTGCTAACCGAGACGGTGGTGAACTCGCCGACATGCCAACGAACTGGGTCGAGAAGACGATCCCCATGGTCAGGCCGGAGAAGAATATGGAGACGGTTTCGAGAAGGGAGCAGCCGTCCTGCCATTGAATGTAAATCGTGAGGTAGATGAGGATGCTGAAGACTAAAGCGACTAAGGTCATGGTTTTGTAACGGTGGGACCTGGGGTAAGTTTGTCAGTTGCAATATATGGACTTTGGTGAAAGTGAGTTATCGGCAGCCTGCAGTGGATCTTAGGATGGGAGGGAGCACCGTTTAATTATATAGCCTGATATAAGGCCTCCGGCAGAGACACCAAGGGAAGTGAGGACGAATGATAGGGAGGCGATTAGATCAGAGGTGTTTTCGACCCGGATAAAGTAGGGGACTAGACTGCTGACGAGCTTTTGAATGGGATGAGTACCAAGGGGTAGCCAAAGAGGATGAGGAGAATATCTTACAGCATTGCGTCCTGTAAAAAGCAGAAACTGCACGAGGCAGTATGCACCCAGTGGTTTACCCATCAGGTCTATTGGGATGAGTGGTCTTTCGGCCCAATAGACCTCTATCAGGATAAGCAGGGAAAGGGTAAATGGCAGTGTGAGGGCAGGGACAACAATCCAGTTTTGTTCAGGTATTCCAACGGTATGGAGAAGGAACAGAAGGAGAATGATTGTGATGCTAAAAGTTATGATACCTAGAAAGTCCAGGTCGAAGATCCTGCACCTCGAAGGTGTAGAATCTCTGCATAGTGTCCTTTTCCTCAGATTGGGCAGGAGATAGGCCACAGATAGGGCGCACGTTATGGCTATGGGTGTCTGGCCGATGAAGGACCTGAGGATGTCAGGTTAATGTGTATGGGTAAACGGGCTTGCTGCTTACCATCTCCAGCCAATAGTATCTATCAGTAGTCCGCCAAGAGGCGCTCCTAAACTACGTCCGGTGATATAGATCGTATTCTCGTAGCTTCGGTAGACGGCCACATCTTCCGGAGGCATGAGGTCTGCTATGTTGAGTCCATGCTTATATGCTGAGTTGGTTAAAGAGACGTACCACTCAAAACAATAGATACAAGAACTATCATGCCCGCTCCGCCCATGCCGGCAATTACTCGTGCCAGGGTGAGTTGGACCAGGGATGTACTGGCGCCGCTATGGCTGGATCAGTCATGCCTTAGTTTGAATGGGATCAATACATACCAGCCCACGCTCCCAAGTATGAATAAGAAGTATGAACAAAGGAGAACTTTCTTCTTATCATAGAGATCACTAACTAGGCCGTACTGAGACTATGTCATGGTCATTTCATAAAGATGAAAAATACTTCACTTACCACAGGCAATGACACACAGTACCCAAAGTTATACGCTACGAGAAGCCAAGCCCCCTCCGTGAGCCGTTGAAATTGCGACGCGATAGTGCTGTAAGTTGTGCTCACAAGAGACTCATCAACGCTAGCCAGAAAGCAACCTATCTCTGTTAGAGAATTCAGAGTGTCTAGAACCGCCAATCCTACCGAGAAAGGTCACGTAAATCACCAGCGAGGTTGAATTCCTGGATTCGGGGCCTTTTGCCGAGCTAGGCGCCGGCGGACTTGATTCAAGAAGGAAAGCATCATTTTCTGTATCGTTAATCATTCTGAGTAATAAAAGTTCCGAGACAATTGGTTTGGAAGGGAGGCTCGATATGCTTTTTGTAGAAAGTGGACAGCCTCAAGGGATGGTGAATTTGTTCTTGGGCCCCGGAAGGGATGCATGGCATGTAACTATATCGCCCGTTACACGGCCGATGATAACACAGATGACCTCACCTACTTTCTGCATGTGATGGAAATATCAGTTGTATTTGGAGAATATTTTGTTTCGTAGGCACTTTCTCGAATCCGGAACAAGGATACCGGAACTGAAGACCTAGACTCGATATGTTTCGTCGGCTACAGTCAATGGAGCAGCGTGTTTTCTAGCGTAACACAATGTTGGACACCAGCCCGCCCTGAGCATTCCAGTAGTATGCTATCGGAGTTGCTTCAGATGTCACGGTGATTGTTAGTTCGCCGGAACCACTTCGACCACAGCTTTGCCCTTAGCCATGCCCTTCGTAAAGCTGGACGTCTGTTGGGCCTAGTATCTTCAAGGTCTTCCTGCTCGCTGCTGGACTCACTCCACTGCTCTCTGCTTTGAATGTCTGACTCACTATCTCCTACCCTTATTTCACTTTCTTCCTCACTGTCCTGTTCCTGGCGTGTCTGTCTTTCTGTTCCATCATCCTCGAATGAATCTTGTTGACTGTGTGTTTTGTCCTCCTCTACTCCTATTTTTCGCCCCTGATCGCTGTCTTGTTCTCCACTATCGTGTTCCTCGCTATCATTATCTTCACTATTCTGCTCCTCGCTGTTACTCTCCTCGCTGTTCTCTTCCACGGTATCATCTTCCTCGCTCAGCTGACCGTCTGTTCCATCGCTTTCCGATGAGTATCGCTGACTATCATCCGTATCACTAAGATTCAACTCATATGCAGCCTCAGCCCTGTGCAGAGAAAGTCAACCATGGCACAAAGGGCCGGTAGGGTGGAGTAACTGACCAGTTGTCCGCGTCGAGCGGATAAAAGCTCCCAATCATCTGTCGCCCAGGGTTTTCCTTCATGAAACGAATTCTTCCAGATATCTCTTCGTTTGTTGGTCTCCAACACCCCGGTCCACTGATGACTTCGTTCAATGAACCGGACAAAAATGGAATGTTGGAGTGTTTGGCAGCGAACTTGCGAACCCTGTTTGAGTGGATCATATTAGCGTGGCCCGGGGGACATAGAAAAGGAGCGGCCTGGGGCATGCTATACGCACTTATCTGCTGTGAATTGTGTGGTGTATGGGATCTCGAGGCTCGTGTAAACAGTGGGGGCAAGGAATTCTGGGTCACGAGCATCATCGAGCTTCTTCAAGGCTCGCTTTATCAAGTACCTGTCGTACGGACGTTGTTTATACTCGAGAACCATCTCCGACAGGATTAGCCGGGCGAGGCCTTTCAGCTTTTTTGGTTGGAGCTCACGTCCCTCGTAGAGACTTCTGAATAGCCCCATGTCAATTCGCGATCGGTCCAATGACTCCCAAAACACTTCGAATCCCTGTTTCCGGTACTTGAATAAGCGGCTTTCATAAGCTGCGCATCGGTATTCTAGGATTAGATTCAAGTCAGACATTATAATGAGGATTTTACAGACGCACATGGACTTCGGCGCGTGAGATCGATGGTGTTGGTTCGCGTTACGATGGCCGTGACGCCTCGCGGAGTAGCATAGACGTGGCGGCCGTCAAAGGCAACGCAAGCGCAGTCGACATCAAAGCCAGTCAAAATTTCAGTCACAGATCGATAGAGTCGCAATATAATCTAAATTTTCGCCACATCAGGAACCAAATAACTAAGAGAACCAAGGAGTTCACTTCTGCCATCTACCTGGATGTGACGTGACGGCCATTTTGGGGAAACGAAAGTCACGGTATTTTTGGTTCGTATGGAGAGGCCCTCGCCATGTAATAGTCGCTGATTCTTCCGTACCACAGCTTCCACTTCTCGGATGCGCTGAATCGCTGCTTCCTCGCTGTCGATTCCATATATGAAGATATCGATGTCACTGACGTTTGCGACGGTCCTGCACGGTGCCTAGGTTAAGGACAGACTTCCTCGGCGGAATCAGGGCCACCAACTGGTAATAGTGCTCAAGTGGCCTTTCAACTGCAGCAGTCACAGTGGGTTTTATGTCTCTGCGGATAGATAGCAAGGGTATAAGTGCAGCTGATCCAGCGACGACAATGTTAGACCAATCTTAGAATAACTGTTAGCAGAATACTTCTCCAATAAACCTCAGGGGGGGTATGTGCAGCGTAGCCTTACCGAGACCCTTGAGAACCCCTGAGGTTTCATATATTCTTTTTAGTAAAGGAGAGCCAGTCAAGAGTCAGGTCGAGATAACAGACCGTGAGTGAAGCCTTCAAATTGGCGCTTAAACTCGGTAAATGAGGCCGTTATAGCTAGGTCTCCTTTCGGTACTCGCTCCTTGCCTTTGAGTGGCATGATATATCGGTCAACAGTGGTCTTGTTGCGGTCGGAGGTACGAATCTTGAAATCGCGCCGACGACCACTATAGACCGTCACCAAATTCTCAGCACCACTAATGTCGGCATCCGAAGTTGCAAAAGCCTTCCGCAACCAGGCCTCATACTCAAGATATGGCTGAAGCAGCTGGCGTGTGGGCTCGTCGGGGTGCTTCGACAGGTGATATAGAAAGTCCGACGGGGCCGTGGGAGTGGCGGGTGCAAGATTAATTGGATACTGACTGGCAAGTACAGGATTTGTTAGATCCTGACTAGCAGACTTACGCGACCAGCTCTTGAAGATGCGCAACATTGCCCCGCTCAGTATTACAGCTTGGTTAGGTAGCGTATGGAGAATGGGAAATCGAGGGTTCAATGCGGATTGCGGATCCCTCATTTATATCCTAGCAGGTGGTGCCTTATAACACATCATCCACGCGTTCAAGCTTGGGTGGAATCCCTAGTAGTCTGCCTCGAAATCTCTATTCGCTGTGTAGATATATTCCAGCAAGTTACTTGCTGATGGAGCCTTTGGGTTGAGACAAACTCCGTGGATATTGATGATTGGCCTGGGAATGGGGGCTAGCAGGGGACTGCAGCATTATGACATGCAAGTTCAGCTCAGCGATCAGGCATCAACTCCTGATGATAAATAAGGCAGAGCCTGACGTGTCCAACTTCCTCAACCTCCCCTTCTGCCTGCTGCGGTGCTTGTCCTATGCAATGAGTCAGCCGCCATCCCCCAAGCAGCTATGCAAAAGATGCGACCGGCTGGAACTCGGGAGGATGCTTGCCGACGAGGTCAATGAACGACCGATGGGTGCCATCTCTCACTATCGCAATCCAACGTGCCCGTTCTGTGGCCTAATTGCCAGGGCCAAAGAGGTTGCCTCAGCTGACGGATGGGACCTGACCACCTTCTCGCTCACCAACCCATCCCCTCGGCTCTTTATTCAGAGTCGCAGCGGGGTGTCGGTGAAAAACAATGGCTACGTGGATCATCGCTCCCCGCGGTTACTGCTAGCGGTTGATCAAAAGCCTAGCCGTCAGCAGAATCGCCGGCCGCTTCGGGAGATCGACCGGCTAGAGAGCAGGTATATATTGGCCGAAATCGAGTCATTGTCCAATGATGACCTCCAGGGGCTCATGCGACGACGGGATATCCCGTGTCGATTGAGTGTTCCATTGGTGCAGCACTGGCTGAAAGGGTGCAAGGAACACAAACACTCCGCGGCAGCGCTAAAGAGGGGGAGCACTGGACCATTTGATGGTCAGCCTTTCCGACTGATTGATGTGATGCAAGAATGCTTGACCCTTCAGCTGAAAAGATGTGATTATGTGGCCTTGTCCTATGTCTGGGGTACGTCTCCCACCATCCTGACATCTGATCGTAACCCTGAAAGCTTGATTCTGGTTACGACTCGACAAAACCTATCTGTCTTATGCCATCCACACGCTCTGTCTTCCTCACATCTCCGGCTGGGAAGAATTCCTCAAACGATCTCCGATGCGATGGAGCTTACTCGGAAAATCGGCATCCAATATCTCTGGGTGGACACGCTGTGTATTGTGCAAGATGACGAGCAAGACAAAGCGCGGCTCATTAGCCATATTGACGATGTCTATGATAATTCAACAGTCACGATAATGGCCGCGACAGGTAATGGCCCAGATGAGGGTTTGGCAGGAATTGGTCCTCGTGTAGGTTGCCCAATTAAGCCACACTATATCCTGGACGAGAGGAACGGAGGAACTTTGTCTTTGTCCCTTTCGTTGCCGTCATTGTGCCATGAAGTCCGGAAGGGTGTGTGGGACACTCGGGGCTGGACGTTTCAGGAACAGAGTCTGTCACAGCGCTGTCTTTACTTTACAAGTGATGAGATATTTTTCCAATGTCCGGAGGTGCAGTGGAGGGAGGGATATGACTATGGGGAGGGTCACTCACCAAACACACAGGTCCAGATCCGCACCGGGCCTCCATGGTGGAGTAAGAGACTCAGGAATGACCCAGATCCAACTCCCTACCATTACCTAGGAGATACAACCAATGGGCTAGATGTAGAATGCTATCAGCGTGCCGTGCAAGAATACAGCCGAAGACATCTGACATATTCTCATGACATACTGAACGCCTTTGAGGGCATCTTCAACCGGTTCCAGCAGGCGCAGCAGAGTTCCCGCGACTTGAGTATTCGCCAAACTCAAGGCATCCCGGCTCACCTCATGGTCCAGGCCTTACTTTGGTTCCCCTCTGAGTCATGCCGTCAGCGCGTATCAACGGAAAGGTTTTCTACCTGGTCATGGTATGTACATGACTTTCGTCCCAATGGCTGTGGCTGATGTCTGGCAGGGCTTCCTGGGTTGGCCCTGTAGAATTCATCTTTGCGGAGAGCCTTTGGCTGTCGAGGAGCATCTCGCACGCCCCGCGTAAAAACGCCCCTCTGCACATTGCAATTGCTCAGTGGCACTTTGGCGATGCGAATAGCGGCACATGGTCGAACCGCGCATGGCAGCCCGCAAGGGAACTCCGAGGCCAAAGGAGCAGGCACAGCCCCACGCAAGATCTGACCACGCAAAGGTACCTCAGCGATGTTATCGGAATTCGTCCGAAGCCTCTCTTGGACCAGTCTCTTAACCCACCGCAACCAAGCCTCCGTTGTGGTCAACTGGGGTTTATCGGTGCATTCTTGGGCTCCGGTTCCTTTGATCTCTCCGACGCAGTAACTGAGCGGATCAAATCGTTAGTGGTATCTAAGGTTCATATAGGGCAATTTCGTTTCGATGGCGATATGGCCGTACCAGTGACTGAATTGGTGATGGTTGTGTGCACGATTACTGTCATGAGTTTGCCTCGGACGATTATGATATTCTTGGGTATGACCACGCGGGATGGAGTTTCTGTCCGCGTGGGGATCGGATACGCCTATTATTCCAAGGATGCAGGAGCACATAAGCCACCTTGGGAGTATAAATTCTTTGTTATGGAGTGAGTCATGAAGGGGCATTCTGCGAAGGACTATTATCAGCCAGTGATCTGTGAGCATTACTCTCTCAGTAATCGAGCTCGGGACAGTGAAGCACAGAAGCAAAGCAATTTCGTTTATTCTGAATCTTGTCAGACGAGGGAGATGGCCCACCTGCTCATAAAGAACTTCAATCTTGAGTAGAGACAAGGTGATATTAAGGCTGGGAAACACATGATAGTAGCAGTACCCATCTAACGATGGAATGCAAACCAGACACAGCAGAGCAGGTAGCGCATCGCCGGGACAGAGGGGAGGTTGTGTTTGAGGAGATGAAGAAGTGAAGTGCCTTCGGATGGGCGGGGAGGGGCTACTTCACTCCATTGGCAACCTGTGAGTGCCTCAGGATTCCCACACTTCCTCGCGCGTCATGTTGAGTGTCGACTCTCCGCATCCGCAATCCACTTGGATGTCTCCGCGAAAGTCTCAGGGCCTGGCCCACAAACAATCTGCGCACGAGATGTTCAAGTGGCTTCAACGCGGCCTCCTGAGCATCGAAAGATGGATGGACGAGAACGAGTATAGCCCCGACGACCTAAGATGGGATGCGGGAAGTACGAGAGTCGTGACCATCGCCGAAATGTTCCTGTTCCAGTTCTTGGAGTTCACGGTGGATTGCTATGGGGTTGATGTGACACAGTTGTCGTCAGACAAAACATCCAAGGATGTCTATGGACGTGATGTGTGCGAGACGTAACCGAAGTTGAAGCTCTTCTTTGAGACGTTTCGCAGTCGTCCGAGTGCGCGCAGGGATCCTGCTAAGGGTGAATTGCCGCATGAGAGATGGGTTTAAGATATGACGGATTGGTCGCCCGGTGTGTTCTCGGAGGAGTGCTGATGGGTTGATGCTATCGCTGAAGGATTTGGGGGGGGGGGGGGGGGGGGGGGCCTTTGCTTGATGACAACAGATATAGTGTCGGGTGAGGAGAGTGCAGGTTTGAATATCGGCTTACATTCTACTGGCACTGGTAGATATGTATTCAAGTTGTTGTTGATTTTCATCTTTTCCAACAGACGACACTGGTTTCTGGATTTTGTGTTGAATGTATATCTAGGCTTGAGTCTTGGGTATTTATACAATTCTAGCTTTCTAATAATAACCTTTAAAAAAAAGCCCCTGCATCAAGACATTCTGCAAGATTGAATAGACTACCTCAATATCTAACTATACAGTTAATAGTGAACACAGCACCTAATCCACCACAACCCAACAAGAATGAATTTCAACTAGTCTCTGCCTGTGTAAATTCCACGAAGCCATCCGTGCTATACTTACAGCCAGACGCCCCAACCGTCAAAATATTTTCGATAAACCCGTCCCTAACAACCATCTTTCTAGAACCTACTTACTGTATGTACTCCTTCCCTCGGCGTAGTTAGATAGAACAAGCCCGCAAAAAGAAAATGGAAAAAGAAAAAGGAAGACTTTGATGCATCATCCGTGAATCGAACACGGGCCTCATCGATGGCAACGATGAATTCTACCACTAGACCAATGATGCTTCGATGAAAAAGTTCCCGTTTCTTTAGTTATGTCAGGGGTCCTAATAGGACATGGACCAAAAAAGCTTCTACTGTAGCAGACCTTTCATACAATAGATCATTGCCCCCTCGACCACCACGCATACACTTATTTGCCTACGCTAACAAAGTTTATACTAGATAAACAATATATATCATAGTTTACACTATCTAAGATATCAACAAATAAAAAAAAGGGAAAAAAGGAAAAAAAAGAAAAAAAAAAACACCGGGTATGCAGTCGCCCGCGTCGATCATGAAAACCATCATAGCTTAGCTTATAGCTTCGTCGTCATCATCATACCATACCGAGCCTGCAGCGGTATGCAAGGAAGGGGGGGGGGGTCATGCATCCAATGTGTATCCGTCAACCATGAAAATATCTATCTTATCCGTATCGTAGACAAGCCAAACCCAAACCCAAACACCGGATTAAACACCGCGGAACATGCGCACAACCAGGAACCACATCGCACCGAGGAACTTGAACATGGACAAGCCGGCCACACTCCACAGCACGACGGCCATGTAGATGGTGGCGCGCGTGTTCTCGGTGGTGTCGTTGTCGTTGCTGAAGGTCTCGAGACCGGCGGCGCTGAGCACGACGGCGGCGAGGGCGAAGTTGCAGAAGACCCAGACAAGGACGACCGCACTGCGGAATCCCTTGTAATAGTCGGCCTGGCGCTCTTCTTCGGAGACGTTGTTCTCCTCCTTGGGGGGCTTGTTGGCGAATTTGGTCAGCTCCGCTTCGTACTGTGCGTTCAGGTCGCCATCGTCCTGCGGGATGTTGACGTCGACTTTGCCACCGGGTTTCAGGCTGGCGGATGGCAGTTTCTCGGCCTTGTCGTCGCCCTTGGTTCCCCAGGTGATGTCGTGCGTGTTACAGAAAGCGTAGATGTTGAGCACGTTGATGTAGGTCGGTGTGAGGAGGATGTATTGGATGAACTGGGCAGGTTAGGAAAGTGTCTGGGTTTGTCCGGGGGAACACTTACGCAGGTGAACATGTGCCAGGGATCCATGAAGATAAACGAGGCAAGGAACCACATGACGTATGTCGATCCCAGAGACACGATGACCGAAAAGAACGTCGAGTTGGTGAACAGATCCGAAAAAGTGAACCCATTGTCCTCGACCTGCTCCTCGATCGATTTCACGGTCACGAATACTGTGGCAAATGCTAGATAGATCATGATGCAGATCCAGAAATAGACCATCGACATGTAGAACTTGTTTGACCCGCCGGGTCGATTTCCCAGGGCCAGAACGAAGCACGTCACTAAGGTCGCGAGGTAGAGCCACTCGAAAACCACGCCAAGCACTTTGCCAACAGTGCCCAACAGGGTGGAGTCACCCAGATACGCCGTCAGGATGTGGAAAACCAAGAAGAAATTGCCCTGCACTGGTTAGTGTATGTTCTCTATTCGCAGACAGGGAGACTTACAATGCCAAACCAAGCGAACAGCATGTTGATCGTCTGGTAAACAAACTCGATCATCAACATAAACTTCCGGATGAAGCTGTGGTCACTCCGCCAGATCTGCCAGAAGTGCGCGATGGCGTAAACCGCGGCGAAGAAACTACCGTTCAGCCAACGACGACGCTGGAGAATGAACTCCGCCATCCGATCCGGCACGTCCGTCTCGCCGGTGGAGGATTTGACGTACTGCAGCAGCCAGCGGCAGTTACGCTTCGACACGATTTCGAAACACAGAATGCGATCCTCGGCTAGGTACATGTTCGCCGTGAAAATACCGGCATTAGCACCGTGCATCTTCTCTCCCAGGAAGTATCGCTCCAGCGGACCTTGTCCGTTCTTGTCGTTCTGTAGAGCAACATAGCGGTAGGCGGAGAAAGCACCCGGCAGCACCGAGATGAACCCGAACGCAGACTCTAGCGGCTTATCCAGAATGTTACTGAGCTTGTACTCGAAGTTTTGCCCCGCCACCAACGGGTTGAGCAGCTTCTTTCCATGCGACAACATGACCTTGATCTCACCACATGCGCCTCCACACATGGGCTCCACGTCAAAAGCCTTCCACAGATGGTAGATCGAATCCTTTCCGGGTTTCGTACCCGCGTCCAGAAGCACACAAATATTGGGATCAAGGATGCGGCCAAACGCCTGGAAGAACCAGCGGTGCGAATTAATCTTCTTCTGGTTCTTTTCCTTCAAGCAGAAGATCATCTGCACGGGCACGCCAGAGCGGGGCTTCATGTGGACCTGCGTTCCCTTCAATTCCAGACCGACCTGCGTCGTGTACTCGTAGATATGCGCTGTCACGTCCTTCTCATTGACCTGCTGCTTGGCGATTCCATCTTGGTAGCATCCCAGCGCCGCGAGGACGGCACGAGTTCGGGGGTTGATCTTCGCACGACCGTCGCTGATGACACAGACCACGATCTTCTTCCACGCGTCCTTGCCCCATGTCTTGCTCGACGTCCGCGAGCACATGTACTCGATGTTCTTGAACACACCGATCAACGTCCGGGCGAACAGAAAATCGTCTTCGTTGTACATCGTCACGGCGATAAAGAGCTCCGTATGCCGCGGGCGGGCAAACAGCTTCTGGCGCAAAGTGAACCGCTCCTCGAAGAAGTCTGCCGGGTCACACGTGGCGGCGGAATAGCGCATGTGAGTGAACTCGTCTCGACCGGGAGGTTCGGCGTGCGGGACCTGGTTGAGCAGCTTGGGGGCAATGGGACAGTCCAGCACAAGATTGCCATCAAAGAGCGGCACCTCCTTCACGGTCTTCCATCGCCGAACCGGCGCTGGCCCGGGTGTCGGCGAGATGACGGTGTCTTCCTCGAACTCATCCGCGTACGGATCCGGTCCGAATGGATTCTCGGGCTCTTGTAGGATGGGGATGCGATCATCCTGGTAGGGCTGCTGATGTTCCGGGTACTGCCCCAGATCGTAGTCATCATGCGGCGGCACTGTCGGCTGGTAGGGTTGGGTGTAGTACGCGTCGTGGTGTGCCTCCGGGTCTACAGAGTATTCCAGCCCTGGGTATTCCTGCGGGTGGTGGTCTTCGTAGAGCTCGCTGTGGCGGTAGGAGTTTGGCAGTCTCTCGACGGAGTACTAGGGGGCACGGTCGGTCAGTATGATTCTTGCGGGATGATTCTTCGCCCGGAGCAGGGAGCCTCACCGTTGGTTGCTCTGCTAGGCGATCAGTGGAGGGCATCTCCAGGTGCTCTTGTATGCCATAGGGATTGTCGGACAGCTGATAGGCGTTTAAAGGCCGACCGGGCGACGGCGAACGAGCATTTAGGTGGTGAGGATTCATGACTGGGGAGTGACCGTCGTCCTCCACATAAGGTTCTCCTGCGCTCGAGGGTCAGTATAGGCGCCCGGGGCGGAGAGCGAATGGAGAGAAATGGCGGTGCGACTGCGACCAGAACCAGAACCAGAACCGCGCGACGGCCGCTTTGTCTGTCACCCTGCGCACCGGAATACGAGCCGATTCCCTTGAAGGGTAAGGGCGATGGTTGCTCCAGGCACTAGGTTTCAGGGGAGATTGATGCGGAGAAGGGAGCGATGTGCGACAACCCACCGCCGCGCAATCCGTCTAATTTAAAGTCGACAACTCACACGGACGGAGAATTAAGGACTTACCCAAGCGGTTGTAGGACATGATGGCCGACCGTGCCTAGGGCAGAGCAGCACGCCTAGGGCCCCTTGAAAATTCCTGGCCAGGAATCGAGCAGGAGATTGCGCCAGGAGTTCCGGTGGAATGTGAATCGGCAAGCTTCCAGGTGGTTTGGATAGCGTGGGAGCTCCGTTGCTAGGCGGGGGTTTCAGGATGGAGGGAGAGTACGTAGGTCGTAGGTAGTAGTGCGGATGGGGAACCGGCGGTGGTGCGTTCTCGACAGGAACCTTCGGACAATAAACGGGTCAGGGTCAGGAGGGTATTCTTGTGGTGAAGAAAGAAGGTCAACCGGGGATTGAAAAGGCAGCAATTTTGGGTCGGGGCGATTGGTGACGGCGGTTCGGATGCGCAGCAGCAGCGCCACAGACTCGCGTTGTGTTGACCAAGAAACCGCGGGGACGATCAGTACGGGTTAGTGCTCAGTAGTGGTGACGAGGGCGGGTGGTTTGGGGGCAGTCGGATCACAACAAACAGCACCCGATTGCCTCTTTCTTGGTGTCATATTACATCTGCAGGCATCCATGATGCTGCTATAACTGTCTACTTTCTACGCTGTACTCCGCTATCCCATCTCTTTGTCGACAATGCAGTCTCCCCTGAAACCTCACACTCTCACCCATGGATAGAGTTGTCCGCGCCATGGACGGCCCCGACTCGACTCCACCCCACTCATCACTCGGCCAACCGCCCACCAGCTGATCAGCCCTCGTTTCTCCCATCAATCCTCACAGCCACCCGGCGTGGCGGTGTCACCCTCTCGGAGGTGAATGGTGACTGGTGACAGTACTCCTCCTCATCCAGGCGTACAGCAGACACGGTACCGTCATCCGGTGTTCTTTTTATATCTCCCTGAGCCCTATCCGGGGTGCGAGAGGGGTGCGAGAAAGTCGCTGCCTGCCGGGGTCGGCGCTGTCCCGGGCGACGTCATAGCTTGCGGAGGGTCTCACCTTATATCTTAGGCTGCCCACAGCCCTGCTGCCCTATGCGCTATAGCACCGATCCTAAGAGCGCGATGCCCCGTTGTGGGCGGGCTGCAGAGCACACAGTGTCCATCTATGGTGGAAGGGAGGGATTGCCCCATTGGGTGGAGAGCTGCCTAATTTTCTCGCTTCAGACTTTAGTCCGTCCGGCAATGATTGAGAACCTGAAGGAACTAGAAACAGAGATGGCGGATGTCGACTCCGACTCCGTACTTTCTGCGCTGCTCCCTCCATATCTGAGAGGCGACTATTCGCAATCTATTGAAACTTCTCTTCCGCAGTAGTTTGTGGCATGCGACTGGTCAATCAATATGCTGCGTCGCACAGTACCTCGAAGAGTCGTCGTTTGGATATTGCGTTCTGCTGCAAGTTCCCGCACTCTATCTCGCGTGCATTAGCCTGCAGCTGCAGACAATTGGCATCTAGATAGCAGAAGGTTGGGAATAAAGAATTGGATGGCCAGCGGCGGACAGCAGCAGTCAGCAGCAGGTAACTAGTAGTAGTAGTCGTGAATCGGTGCCCCAGAAATCAGGCACCATGCATCTGCTATCGATAAAGAGTCTTTCTGCATCCCCGCCACATCAACAACCACTTACTTCTGCAACCTTCTGCAACCACTCTCTTTTGACATACACTCCCTTTGTCCTATAGACTCATAGATCCCCCCAAACTATAACCAAATTCTCTTCAAAATGCCCGCCTCCAAGTCCACCCCCACAGGCCGCCAGGTCAACGTCCTCTTCGTGTGTCTCGGCAACATCTGTACGCCGCTCCCCTTCCTTCCCCTCCATCTCCCCGCACAGCCAGCCAGGGGACGGCTCAGCTAACCACCCCAACCCAACCAGGCCGGTCTCCCATGGCCGAGGGGGTCTTCCAAAACATCGCCGCCTCCCACCCTCTCATCGCGGGCATCGACTCCGCCGGCACAGCCGCCTACCACGCCGGGGAGGGCCCGGACTCCCGCACCATGTCGACGCTGCGCCGCCACAACATCACCAACTACGAACACGCCGCCCGCAAAGTCACCAAGCAGGACTTCCTGGACTTCGACTACCTGCTCGCCATGGACAAGCATAACCTGCGCGATCTGTTGGATGTGCGGGGTTCCGTCGTGGCCGCTATGAACAAGCCTGGTCCCCCGTCGCGGGCCACCAAGGTCGCCGAGGTGCGTCTCTTCGGTGACTTTGGACCCGGTGGGGTCTTGACGGAGCGTGTTGGCGGGGGCGAGGTCGTGCAGGATCCGTACTATGGCGGGGTGAACGGGTTCGAGGAGGTTTATCAGCAGGTGATTCGGTTCTCGAAGAGCTTTCTCGACTACGTGGAGAAGAACCAGGATTTGGAGAACTAAAGGGTGTGGGACGTGGCTTTCATAGAATGCGATTGTATATACCCTGTGGTTTTGTTATATCATTAGACTCAGTGAGCGGCTAGACTTGAGATGCAACCTTCTCGCTACAATGCCGTGGCGATCAACTTGAAGTTGAATATCATACATCAGGAATAATGTTATCGTACATGGAAGGTTATTCCAACACCCTCCGTTCGGCCAACTCGTCTCGAATATCATCGGGATAGCCTCTCTTTTGCCCTTATATCCTCTCCGTGATCTTGATGGCCGCCTTGCAGCCGTAACGGATGACATTGACCAGCGGATCGTAGGGACGAGCCTCCTTGGAGTCATTGGCAACGGCGTGGTCCAGGTGCTCCAGTTCCTCGTCCCGAATCCGCCGGAAAGTCACCAGCATGTCCTCCAGCTCCTCGTCCAACACTTCCCCCCGGCTCTCAGCCTCTGCTTTCCACGATAGAATCTCCCGCACCTGATCATTGTAATGCGAGCCAATCTCGGTCTCCACCGCCTCCGTGCAGGCCATCGCGGCTTCTCGGCCCATCGCGCCGGTCGACCAGCCCAGAAACGTCGCGGCCACCTCCCAAACCGGGTACATCGCCGTCGGCCGTACGCGGTGCTTTGCATTCAGCTGGTTGAAAGTTTTGAAGTGCCCTACTTCCTGGTCGTACATGTGCTTCATCAACGGGCGGAGATGGGGGTGGGAGCGCACGACCTGCGGGTTCTGCGCCTCGTAGATGAGGGTGGCGGCTAGCTCGCCGGCTTGGTTGACGCGGAGGGCCCGATCGAGATATTCTTTTTGCTCTGCGTTGAGGACATATTTCGGTTTGGAGGACCCGGGGGTACTGGCTGGGGACTGTCTGATGGCCGTGGAGTTGTACTGGCGACGGGTCTGGAGGGTGGAAGGCGCGAGGAAGTCAAGGACGGCGGGGACGGTCGGGCGGAGGGAAGGGGCTCGGAGGCCGGCTCGCAGCAACGTGAGGGAATTCATGTTGGGCGGATGGATGAATCCCACGATTCTTGCTGGAGGAGCAGCCAAGGGCAAGGTTGAGAACGGGGGTGGAATGCGCGACGCTGCCATGCGATCCGAAGTGGTCCAACGCTCCAACGCAACCAACCCGATCGATAAGCCGCAGCCGCGCGCTTACGGCTTGGCACGCCATCCCTGGAGCGGAACGTCATGAACGAGGCTCGAGACTCGCTCCAGTCGCTTCTTTTCACTTCCCGGCTCGCAATTCACTGCCTTCACCACCTTCACCTCCCTCCAACTCTCCCCACCCCGACGCCATCTTTCACCCGCTCGCCCCTCCAGTTCCCCAGCCTCCGTCTCTATATACCGCACTCGGGTCCCTTTCAGTCTCTGCGCCTGTTCGGCCCCGTATATACCGCGTTCGTGTGCGAGTCCCAACTCACTCTGGCCACCTAAGGCCCCTTTCACTTGTTGCGCCTGCGGCATTCGCCCCCTGGACGGGCAGTCACCAGTTCTCTGCTGGAAGTGTCCGTGACCAGCGTCACTTCCCCAGCTGCGTGTGTTATAGAGTCCCTGGTATCTAAGGCAACCGCCGGCCATTCACCATGGCAGATGATCTGGACGCAGAGCTCCTCGCTCTCGCGGGGGATTCCTCCGACGAGGAGGCATCTCCCCCCGCCAAAGAGAGACTGGACTCCCCCATCCGGTCTTCATCACCCCAGTCACCAGAGCCGTCATCGACGATGGGTCGCAAAGGCACCGCTAAGCCCGTGAAGCGGGGCCGGAAGTCGCGAAGGACCGAGGAGGATGGAGAACTGTATGTTTGTTTGCTGCGTGTTACCTCAGCCCTCTGCTATTGTTCTCAGTAGTGATACGGCGGACTAACACACTACGTCGGCTCACTAGCTCCGGTGCCGAATCCCTCGACTCTGCCAGCATGTCGGAATCTGACTCTGGTTCTGACTCTGAAGGCTCTGCTCCCGAGGCTGAAGACGAAGGTCCCATCTTTCCCTACGACAAGCTCTACTACTCCAGCAAGGATAAAGAAGAGATCATGGCGTTGCCCGAGATCCAACGAGAGCAGCTCCTCTCGGAGCGTGCGCAGCAGGTGGATCGCCACAACCAGGATCTCGCTCTTCGTCGTCTGCTGGCGTCTCGTGAACGCGAGGAGGCTCGCAAGGCGAAGAAAAACAAGCGAAAGGCTAGCGCGGCCAATCTGGACGAGGGCAACCGGAAGAGTTCGAGACAGAAGATGACGCTGGGTGGCCGTAAGGTCGGAGAGACATCTGATGCCATCGAGGCTTACAAGCGACAGCGAGAGCAGAAGGGCAAGCGGGATGAGCTCCGTCGCCGCGAACCGACCGTCAAGGAGAAGGCCCGCTCCCGAGATGACCGGATCTCCGACGATGACGCAGAAGGCGACAGCGAGGTTGAGTGGGATGATCGTGAACGCTCTCCGTCCCTTCCCAAGGACGATCCGCCTGCCGAGCTCCGGGATATCCAGCGTACTCGTGTGGGCCGGAGCAATTTCGCCCAAGTGTGCTTCTATCCTGGATTCGATGAGGCGATCTCTGGCTGCTATGCCCGTGTGAACATCGGCCCCAACAGAGAGACTGGCCAAAATGAGTACCGTCTTTGCCTGGTCAAGAGTAGGTGCCCCGCCTCTATTTACCTTGAGACCTTGGCTGACTTTTCCAGGATTCACCGAGGGCCGCGCATATGCCATGGAGGGACAGAATGGCCGGTCGTTTTCCACCAACCAGTATGCTGTGCTTGCACACGGCAAGGCGGAGCGCGAATTCCCCTTCGTCGCTTGCTCCGATTCCCCGTTCACAGATGTACGTTGCCCGCCTGTAACCACTTGGAGGCCTCCGCTGATCTCTTCTAGGCCGAGTTCCACCGGTACCGTCAAACGATGGCAGTGGAAGACTGCAAGATGGCCACGAAGTCGGTGGTCGCCAACAAAGTGACGGACATCAACCGGCTGCTAAACCACAAGTTCACCAACGACGAGCTGAACGAGAAGCTGCGCAAGCAGGGGTCCCTGGACACGAAGTCGCAGGTCTTCAAGCGCATGGAGACGGAGAAGCAGCTGAAGCTAGCTCGAGCGGCAGGCGATGATGCCGAGGTGGAAAGACTAGAAGCCGAAATCGCCAGCCGGGCGCGGTCCAGAATTGCCCTTGGCAACCACTCCAAGCCTCGTGCGGACAAACCGTCCGAGCACGAGCGTCTCGCGGAACTGAACCTGCGCAATCAGAAACTCAACTACGAGAACGTGCGCCGTGCCCAGCTGGAAGAACGTAAGGCCAGCCGCAAAGCCGCCGCTGCCGTTGCTCGCGGCGAAGCCACCGTCAACCCGTTCATGCGCGTCCGAACCCAAGCTCGAACCCACTACGACGTCAACAACGGCAATGGTTCGACCCCGAAGACCGAGGATGCCGCCAGCCGCGAGAACACCGCCTCCGAAGCCGCATCCAAGGCTAGCACTCCTGCCGCCACCCCGATTGCCACGAAGAAGGCTAGCAAGGGCGGCATTGCAATGATCCGTCACCGCAACATGGATGACGAGAACATCGCCGCGTTGGATCTAGATATTGACATTGAGATCTAGCCACCATTCTGTACACTGGGTTGTAGTTGACGTCACATCCGGTCACCAATTCTACTACCTGAGACGGAGAGTCAGAGGCGAGATGGCATTGACTGCGTGGAAAGCATTTGATACAGCGTCGGTTTGTAATTCTTATGGGATGGTGTTCTGGCGCAAGGAGACGAGACAAGACAACACACACACACACACACACACACACACATCATGGGCGCTGTATTATAAGAAACAAGCAGTTTTTCTATGCTCTTTAGTGTAAATGATGATTTCTACATGATTTTGATTCCCCACATGAGTACTCCAAACTAGATTTCATAATTACCTGCCTGCTGGCTACTTTACTCTCTGATGGCCGCTGTCCAATCACGTGCGATAAGCAGCAACGCGCGCGCGGCGCGTCGTGTCGGCCCGGCGTGGAATGCGCCTCCGCCCTTGCTGCACATCCCTCCATCCACCTCCACATCCACACCACTCGACAACAACAAAACAACCTCAATTGAACAGCCTCCGCTCTAGACATGCCCTTCCTCATAAATAAATAATCAACACCCAATTATCTCATTCCCGACCTGTCACATATACCCACAGTACCCCCCGATACACCCCCGGAGAGAGAAGGAAAATGTCCTCCCCATCACCCTCACCCACGCGCCGCTCCGCGACACCAGAAATCCTCACACCCGGACGGAAAATCCGAGCCATGCTGGCTGCCTTCGATAGCGACTCCGACTCCGACACTGCCACTGCCCAGAAATCGAAACCGGAGAGATCGACATCCACTACCAAGCTTAGCGATGCGTTGAAGAAGAGTACCATTTCTACGCAACCGGTCTCCATGAGTTTGGAGGAGGAAGAGGCTGAGGATGAGGACGATGAGGATATTATTATGCCGAAGGGCAGGATGGCGGCGAGGTTACAGGGTGCTCAGGGGCAAGGATCGAGTGGGACGGGGCAGATGAAGACGGCGTTTGACCGGGTGAGGGAGAGTTTGAGGGCGGAGAATAATGAGAAGGATGACGAGAAGGATGAGGATGAGGATGAGGCTATGGATGACGATGAGGATGATGATGAGGATCTTCCGACGGCTGGACCGCGGAGGAGAGGCGTTAGACGAAGCTCGAATGCTGCATCCGAATCAGATCGCGCGCCCTCTCCCACGCGATCCGACTCCCCACTATTTGTCTCCTCTCCAGCCATGAGCCAGAACGAATCCGACCCCGAAGAAGCACCCAAACCCCAAGCCAACGCCCGATTCCTCGCCCTTGTCGCCCAGAAACGCAAACAGCGAGAAGAGAAGGAGCAAGCCGAAGCCGAGAAGCGCGCCGCCCGCGCCAAGCAGAACGAGCAGTTCAGCTCGGAGATCAACTCCGGCAGCGAGAGCGAGGGCGAGAATGGCTCCGGACGGAAACTCACCCAGCAGGCGGCTCGTCCGGCGCGGAAGGCGAGCAAGAAGGCCCTCGAGGATATGCATCGCGAGACGCAGCGCATGAGCCGGAATATGCAGCTGGCGCATCAAGCGCAGACGAAGAAGAAGATCACCAAGGAGAGTTTCTTTGCGCGGTTCAACTTTATGCAGCCGGAGGCGCAGGCGCAGACGGGCACGCCGGTGGAGAATTCGTCGAGTGCGGCGGCGTCGCAGAATACGTCGGACGCGGAGGCACAGAAGGAGAAAGAGACCCCGCGGACGTCGCCTGTTCTTGGGCCGGAGAAGGTGGCGGAGATGGGGACAGAGCCTGCGCGTGTTGAAAATGCTGAGGCTGAGAACGAGGAGTTCCCTTTGCTGGAAGAGATCCTTGCGAACCCAAGTCCGCCAACGGAACAGCCTATCGTCGCGAGGATGGAGGTTGACGAGGCTCCACAGCCGACAAAGACGCCTCCTAAGAAGGAGAAGAGAGAACTCACTGGCCCGGCTGTGCGCGTGCGACTGACGAGAGAAGAGGTCGCGCGACAGCAGCAGGAGGATTCAGACAGTGACCTCGAGGTCGTTACATCGCCAGCAAAGTGCCGACGTATCGCAGCGTTCGAAAATGTGCCCGCCAGGCGGAACCAGGAATCGGCCTCGATGATCAAACTCAAGGCTCTAGCACATATCGGATCCCCCACGCGGAAGTCCATGGATCCAGCACAGCTGTCTGCGACGATTCTAGCTAAGGCAAGACAGCAGGCTTTGAAGGAACGCCAAGACAGGATCCAAGAGCTTAAAGCCAAGGGTATCTATATCGAAACGGCCGAAGAGCGTGCGGCGATGGAGGACGAACTTGAGAACCTCGTTGAGAAAGCACGCAAGGAGGCCGAGGACATCGCGAAACAGGAACGGAAGTCGAAGAAGGGCGATGCTGACGATGAAGAAGACGACGACTGGGAGTATTCTGGTTCCGAGGAAGACGATGGGGAGGGTGAGGGTGAGGATGATGATGAGGATGAGGACGAGGAACAGCCAAAGCCTGACGGACTCATCGAGTCTGAAGCTGGCGAGGACGACGAATCGGAAGACGACCAGACAGACGCCATGTCGGTTGACGAGGAGATCACAACCCAGAGACGCAAGCGACCTACCCGGGTGGTCAGCGACGACGAGGACGAGGCGCCACAGACCCCTGTGAAATCTGTCACTCCCACGCCGCACTCCGTTGAACGGCCACAGCTACCTTCACAGAGCTCCAACCTGATGAGCTTGACACAGGCCTTTGCAGGCACGATGTCTGCCAAGGACGGTAGTCAACCGGATCCTACAATCCCCAATTCCCTACCCGAACCCGGTCCCATGTTCGACCACCGTCAAGAGTCCGACTCCCAGATGATCATCAAGGACAGCCAGGAACCAAGAGCGGCCTCTACTGATATTCTGACGGGATACACGTCCGACGCACGGGTGTCCGAATCCCCAGCTCCACGCTCCACCCCGTACTCCCAGATCCCAGACCCCTCCCAGGACGCCGGGTTCGTGTTCTCGCCGTTTGATCCTGCGAAGCGATTCCTCAACGCACCGCCATCCACCGTCGATACTGTCCTCGTTGACCATGACAGCTCTCCCGCTCCAGTCCGGAAGATGAAACAGCTCAAGCGAGGACGGGCAGATCTCTCCATGATTGAGGAGCAGGACGAGGGCGACTTTGAAATCAACGCCAGCGCCTTCGACGTGATGAAGAAAGCCCCCAAGAAGGCCCCCGCCGTCCCGTTTGACCGCAAGAAGAGCAAGGCGAAGAACGTCGTTGAAGAAGCGGCCGAAGAGTCGGACGACGAATACGCCGGGCTGGGAGGAGCCAGCGACGAGGAGGACGATGAAGAGAACGCCTACGACCGACAGATGATCAACGACAACAGCGGTGAGACCGTGGATGAGAAGCAGCTCGCAGCCCTGAATGCGTAAGCCCCGACCAATTCCCTCTACCCCATTCCCTCTTCTCCTCTAACCAATCGCAGTCTCCACGACCGCAACGCCGACGAAAAGCAAGTCGCCAAGCTCCTGAAAGACATCACGACCGGCGCACTCCGCCGGCGACGCAACGGCGACGATGAATTCGACCTAGACGACTCGGACGACGAGCTTCTCGCCCGCCGCCGGCAGAAGCAGCGCGAATTCGCGCGCATGCGCAAAGCCCTGCTGGCAGACGAGAAGATCGGTGAAATCGCCGAGAACCCCAAGAAGGCGGCGTTCTTCCGCGCGGTGGAGGACCGCGACGATGACGACGACGACATCGGCCTGGAGTTCCTCGATGAAGAGCAGGAACAAGACCAAGACCAAGGCACGCAGAACGAGGACGCACCAGCGCAGCACCCGGCCGCGCAACCCGACGCCGACTCCGACAGCAACAACAAGAGAAAACGGCCGCTCGAACCCGCGCCAGAGGAAGTCTACAACCGCCCGCCGCCGCACCTCCGCCGCAAACCCGCCAGCGCCATGTCCAAGAAACCCGCCTCGCTGGCCGAGATCCGCGAGACGCTGTCCTTCCTGACAGAAACCCACGACTACGATTCCTTCCACGAGGACGCCTCCATGGAAGACCACGACCACGACCACGACCATGTCGAAAACACAGAAGACGACGACACCGACCTGACCCTCACAACCGAATCCCAAGACAAAGAAAAAGACACCCAACACACCCACCCCCGCCGCACGCGTCCCGCGGCCCCGTCGTCGACCGCCTCGCCCTCCTCCGCCAAGCCTCCTCCAACTCCACCTCCAACTCCACCACTGGAAACCGTCTCGCCTTCCAGGGCGCACACTCCGGCGCGGACTTCATCCGGCCCCCGCTGCTCCGGAAATCGACGACGGGGAGCAGCTCCAGCTCCATGTCTAGCACGATCTCTTCTCGGGCGAAGCAGGTGAGTGCGAAACCGGGTGGTGGAGGTGCAGGCGGGGGGGTTGCGAAAAAGGGCGCAGTGAACTATTATACGGCGGCGAGGGAGAGGGAGCGGGAGAAGCAGTTGAGGATGAGGGAGAGTGGGAGGAAGGAGAGGGAAAGGGAGATGAGGAGAGGGAAGGGGGATGTGGTGGATCGGTTGGGGGGTTGGGCGGTGGGGTGTGGGAGTGATTCCTCCATTCCTCTCTATTTCTCTGTCTCTGTCTCTGTCTCTGTCTGTATTGTGTTGTGCTGTGTGGGGTTTAAAGGGTTGGGGATTGGATAGGGCTGGACTGATCCGGGCTGGGTTGGAGTTCTTGCTTGCTTCGGGATTTCTGTATGCATTGGGTTGGTTGGTTTGGTTTCACGGTGTTTATGGCTCTGACTGGACATGTATATATACATGCATACATGGATGTAGGTAGGTAGCATACCAGCTACCATTTGAGGATATGAGGTTTGATCTCAATGAAAGATTACATCCGGTGTTAAACATTGTAATCAATACTTTTCTACTGTAGGTATATACCTAGTTAGTTTCCACTTATCAGTATCCCTACCCCTGTGGGTGATGCAATGCGATGTAATGCCATGCAGTTACTTGATCCTACAACGGAGGTATAGCGTAGTATAGCATAGCATAGTATAGTATAGTTGAGTAGGCGGTCCTATATACATATCTCGTATTCTACCTCTATCTGTCTGTTTGTCTATCTGTCTGTGTCTCTGTGTCCATCGTTGATTCCCACGTTATATCCATTTCGCACACCATACCATACCATACCATAACATACCACATATCGAGGTTGCAGTAGTAGAAGTAGTCCAGGCACTACAGACCAGACCAGACTGAGCGGAACGGGAGGACGTGGTGAGCTAGCATGGTCATTCATCCACGATCAATCTTCTCCGCGCTTGTCTGTGGTACTGTGCATCATATGGTATCATATATATCGTATGAATGTGGACAGGACACAGGTAGATAGATGGCGATTGGGTCAATTGGCCGGGAGGCATATGGGTTGCCGATTGCCGACTGATGGAAGATGAAAAAGTCCAGTCCAGTCCAGTCGGAATGCAGAGAGTAGTGAGTGCTTCCAGGATGATTCGTGGATACCATCCATCCATCCATCCATCGGACACGGAGTTTCCGAGCTGGCGGGTGGGTGCCATGCTGTTGTTCCGATTCAAGAAAAGAATCTTTTGTTTGTCGAGGCGGAGGAGGGCGGCTGTTCGGAGTTCCGCTGCCGCTCAATCCACCGAAAACCCCCTCAACGACTTAATCAGACTCTCCAGGCCCTGCGCACGAAACTTGGCGGTCCCTGCGCCTGCTCCTGCTCCTCCTCCTTCTCCTTCTCCCTCCCTCTCTTTCCCCTTCCCCTTCCCCTTCACCTCCCCTCCCTCTCCCTCTCCCCCCAAAACCCCCACCGGCACATGATACACGACATAATCGGCCGCCAAACTCTCGACATCCTTCTCACTCCACCTCTTACTCTTCAACTGCTCGAGCACCGCCGTCACGCGGGGCGAAATAAGCGTCGGATCGGGCTTACTCGCCAGCATGACGAGCTCGATCGTCCTCAAGAAGGCGGTACACAGACGTCCCCACCCCAGACTCAAGTGCCAGAGCCCGACGACGCAGCTCTCCAGGATCAGACTCCATTTTGGGTCCGAGGCGCTGAGCTGCGAGACGGAGTGCACGCCGCCGACGCAGAAGTAGTGCAGCATGACGATGGGGACGGTTTTCAGGCCGTGCACCGTTTGGAAGAGCAGGATGAGGGAGCCGATGTGTTCGAGGGATTGGAGTTTGAGGGCCGGCGGGTCGAAGGTGGGATCGGCGGGGGGAGGGGGCGTCAGTGTGGGGGGACTGTTCAGGTTGAAGGTTTCCGCGAGGGAGACGATCGTGGCTTGGTAGTACATTCTGCAGGGGGGTTATGATGGTTAGTTGAGGGGGGTTATGGATGGTGGATGGTGGATGATGATGGGGGAGACTTACTGCAGGGTAAGAATGCTGGGGGAGCGGTTCCCCTCGGGCAAAATAATGGAGGGTAAGCTGGCGCGCCATTGTCGCAGACGCTGGTACAACTGACAGCCATAAACCCAGTCGTCTGTATTCATGACCGCGTCTGGGAATTTCAGAGCGAAGGCGGCCAGCTCGTTCACGATCTCGACCAGTCCGTTGCGCGCCCAGGTGACCGTGTAGAAGAAGGGGCGGAAGACGGGCGTGGCGAACGGGTACGGCGCCCACTCCAGGCCGTCGTCCAGCGCCGCGGCCTCTTCCTGGGAGAAGCTGGCCGCCGGGGGATGGAGCCACGAGGCCGGTTTGCGGTATACTTGCGCGGCGAGTCTGGGTGTGTCATCAGTCGGTGTCAATTTGTGATAAACAGGCGTTGGAAGAAAAGGGGGGGGGGGGGCTCACGCCTGCACGTCGAAGACGCCGGTGGCCACGAGTTTGTGGCATCGGGAGAGCGGAAGCACCTCGTCCTCGACGTCAGATGTGAAGTATGGCGCGGAGGCGCAATGCAGACCTAGCCGGCGGGTCAGCTCAGCGCCCATCATGATGTATTTGGTGCCGAGACGGTCGAGGCCGAAGGTGCAGCAGAGCAAGCCGATCATGATGCTGGACTGGGCGGCGGGCAGGCCTGGGTCGTACTGGTCCGCATGCCACAGGCACTGCAGGGAGTCGTACAGCTTCTTGCCGAGGATCTTCTCTTCGCGCCGATCTGTGACGCGCCCCAGGTGGTAAGACGAGCTCTACCGAAGGTTAGTGGCAACGTTGCAAGCAAACAGACATCAGACTGCAGTGGCGAGCGATTACACAGCCGAAGAACAGCAGGATGTGGACCAGGAGGGCGGAGCAGAAGCGCGTGCGGCCGCTCTCGAGGTCGCGGACGAACATCTCCTGGTCGATCAGGTGCCAGGTGGGGTTCTCCCAGGCGAAGTAGATGGAGAGCAGGTGGCTGGCGATGGTGTTGTCGACCAGGTCGGTCCAGAACTGGATGTTGGTGACGGTGACGAGGGGGGCGTCGCTCAGGGTGTGGGGGGTGTTGTTGCGCGGGTTGCCCGCCAGCGTGACGTGCATGCGATGCAGCGAGATGCCCGGCTGCGGCGACGAGACGTGCTGGTCGGGGAGGGACCGCGCGGCCTGCAGGGTGGCGAAGGCATCGGGGGCGCTTTCGAAGTGCTGGTCGAAGATGGTCTCGAAGGAGGCGATGCGCTGCCGGCTGCTCTCGGCCAGCACGTCGCGCAGCAGCGACTCATACGAGGCGATCCGCGTGCGCGCCGACTCGAGCTCCAACTGCTGCCGCTCGCGCTTCGACCCGGCGTAGCTGCACGTGAAGTTCAGTCGATGACACTGGCGGCACACGGGCCTGTGCCCATCGCACTTGGTCTTGCGCGTGCGGCAGGCCACGCAGGCGCGCGCGGTGCGTTGCTGGTCGGTCTTGACGGCGCTGGGGGCGAGCCTCGGGATGGCGATCTTGTGGTTGGTGCCGGATGAGGGCTGCGAGGGCTGCGAGAGCTGCGACGGCTGTGAGGACTGGGATGGAGGAGGGTCTTCGGGCGCGCTGGAATCGGACGATTCTTGCATGTCAGACAGTACCACAACACACCAGGGGGAAAGAAAGGAGGAAGAAGTTGGAAAGTGGGAAAGAAAGGAAAAAGAGGGAGGAGGCGGCGGAAGGATAAGAAGGATGGATAATAAGGGCTTCAGGGTCTTCCAGAACCGTGCAAATCCGGGATCCTAGCGCGCCAAGCCGGGTCAGCCTATCCCGATCGGCATTCGTTTTCGGGCTTCAGTCTTCCTGCTGTGTGTGCACTCAGCCCTGGCTACTGTGATTCAACAAGAGTTAAGACGGCAAGAGAGTCCATCAATCATCTGATAAGATCTCCTCGGCACCGTGTGCGTAAAAGCTCTGCGACGCCGGCTGTGATGACGTCCTGACTCGGCAGTGGACCGAAGTGGAAAGGTATCCTCACGCAGCTTTGGGGTTTCCTGGACCGTCCATCTTCAAACTCGGCAGTCTGGACTCTCGATCTCATCCGACGGCAGTGGCAAGCGAGGGCAATCCGGGGTCGTACCCGCCAATCAACATTATCATAGGGGCTGGTTGGTAGTTCAAGACCGCCACAGCCGGGTTGGGGAAGTGTTGTCCCGCGGACAGCCTTCTCTCTAATTTTTCCCAAGGGTGGATGGGAATCTCCATCGGCCTCCGCACGGTTGGAGCTTCTTTGGTCGGCTGAGTGGTGCGGGGTGGGCTGCCCTAGCGCCAGCCCACGGACTGTGGGACTAGGGCAGAAATCACTTCCGCGATCCGCTGTGTAAGGCTGCTGCTGTGATACCGATACTTATGCTGCAAAGGAGCCTTGTCGTTGCTGTTAGCCTTTACCCGAGCATGTATTCAAATGGAGCACATAATGAAATATCCAACCATGGTAGCATTTTCATCCAATCTCCGTACTCCGTACCTAATAACAAATCCAATGGCCCGAGTACCTTACTTGAAATGTGTAACCCACAGCCCAAACAACAATCCTTACTAGATTCGCAACACCAATATTCATTCAACGAGTACGGAGTAGTAACTTAACCGGAAGGTCCTATATTCTCTAAACTTTTTTTAGTATGTCCATTATACAACCAGCGCCCTTTTTACGGAGTATAATTCTCTTCTCTCCTTATATAATCCTGTTTCAGAAAAACCCTACCCTATTCTATTCTATTATCTCTTATTCTTAGTACTTTAGCCAGCCTTCCGAACCTCCAGCTCATTCCCGAGTAAACAATTGTTCCAGCCATTTGCATGAATGAACTGAAAACATCAGTACCCTCTCTCCCTCCTGACATCCGAATCCGATCATCAACCAATAATTGAAATCAGTATTCCATCACACACACACACAACCCGAAATCGCTAACCACCCGGTCCAGTGACCAGTCTAACAATGGGAATAAGCAAGAACTTAGATCTAAATCCAATTTTTTATTTAGTATTTTAGTCTAATTAGTTTACCCTTCCCGAGACAGGCTATCTACCCGAGAGACTGAGATTCGAGAGACCCAGGAAAATACTAAATTTCACTCTACGATCAGTTCAGTCCCCAACGAACAAACTCTCCAGAATCATGGGAGGACTCACACAGTATCTAGATAATTGTTTCGGCCCGAATTTTCATCAATTATTGTATAGATAGAGAGACAGACAGATTTGTGGGGATCTGCCTAATCCGTACCCCGCGGATAAATGTTTTATGGCTACTGGTATAGCATAGCCTAGCACAGCTAGTTATAATACTATCTACTAGATAACTATCTACTAGCAGTGGCTAGATAAGTGGGCATGACTCCACTGATAATACTAATCCTAGTACTAGTTACTGCTACTGGTAGACTAGACTAGATAGTAGATCCTGTTGGCTTGTTGGCCTGCTAGCCTGCCCCCTGCTAGCCTGTTAGCCTAGCCTAGCCTAGCCTGTTGAACCGTGAACCGTTGAAGCTCCAGCTTGGAGCTCCCCCCCCGCTCACTAGTCGATCGATCCATGCGCTGCATCTATCTATGATGTACCTCATGCAGATTGCAGGTTGAACCGTTGAACATGAGGGGTAAGCAGTAGCTATCTATCTATTTATCTATCTATCTAGCAGACTGCCACAGCTACACCGATCCCCACCCCCCAACCGGCCCGAGTGATCGATTACTGATCAGCACAGTCGCATATGAAGAATGAACTTACGCATGCCATGCCATGGAAGCACATGGTCCGTAGAAACACGGCGAGATCGGCGGCAGTTCGGGATCGGGATCAGATCAGATCAGATCAACATCCCCATCAACGGTTTTGTTTCTTAAGTTGACTGGACTGTTATGTTTGACTTGTAGTAGTAGTAGTAGTAGTAGTAGTAGTAGTAGTATTTTGGGCTTAGTGGGTGGGTAATTAAATATAAATAAATAACTTAATAATAATAATAAGACTGTGGAGGGGTTGAGGGGTAGGGTAGGGAGGGGAATGTGGGGGGAGATCGACTGATACGGATAGTAAGCACGTGTATTATAGTCATGGTCTCTATGGTCTATAAATATAAATACTTGTATTTATGTTTTGGATGGTTATATCTTATATAATAGTTTAGTCTACGGTTTGCAGTATATACTTTGCACTACACTCTACACTCTACACTTACAGCGAAGAAGAGGGAAAGAGAAGAAGAAATAACAGAATCATAACTCATTCATATATGCACAGACTCTCACCCCTCACTCTCAAGTCAACTTGGCATCCCTCCCGGACCTTGACCAATCCAATCAGCCTCGCGCTCACTATATACAATTCAAGCATACACACACACAGACACACACACAGACACAGACAGAGACACAGGCTCAACGAACAGAGAGTAAAAAAAAAATGCAATGCATGCATGCATGCATGCAGCAAAACACAGCAAACCGAAAACAGGAGAAGAAGGCGAAGCAGCTTACACGGTAACCTCAGCGAACAACTCCTGGAACTTCTCGCGAGCGATGGCGGTGGTATCGACACCGTACAGCTCGCGCTGGACATCGGCATCGGCCCACTTATCGGGCACGGGACCCTTGCCCTCCTTGAGGGCGGCGAACTGGCGATCGCGCTCCTCCTTGGCGGCGCCGTCACCGAGATGCAGGGCGCGGCCGGAGGCGGCAGCCAGCTCGACGAGGGCGTAGGCGCGGTTCTTGCGGATCTTCTCGTAGACCTTGAGGGCCTTGTTGATGGAGGCCGGGGTGGTATCGGGGAGCTGGGCGAGGACGGCGCCGAGGACGCCGCCGTCCTCGATGGCCTGGGCGGCGCCCTGGGCGAGATGCGGCAGGGTGGGGTGGCAGGCGTCGCCGACGAGGGCGACGGACTCGTGGACCCAGGTGGGGAGGGGCTCGTGGACGCGCAGCTTCCACTCGCAGACCTCGCCCTCGGGGACGGTGGCCAGCATGCGCTGCACCATGGGGCAGAAGTCGGCGAAGACGCCCAGCATGACGGACTTGTCGCCGCGGGTGGTGTAGGTGGCGTTGGTGGCGGCGGCGAAGTTGGAGTCGGGCTGCGTGGTGGACAGGTTGTAGATGGTGTTGTTGGAGACCGGGTACGCGATGATGTGGCGCTTCTCGCCGATCCAGCGCGTCACCTTGTTGCCCTCCATCAGCGCCAGCAGCTCGGGGTCGTCCTTGATCTGGTCGCGGTGGATCATGATCCGGTACGCCGCCTGGTGGGTGTCCTTGACGTGGGCTTGGATGTTGAGCAGCTCGAGCATGGCCACCCGCGTGTTGGACTTGATGCCGTCGCAACCCAGCAGCACGTCCGCCTCGACCGTGTAGGGCGCCTGGCTGGCGTCGCGCGGCGTGGCAGTGAACGAGGGCTTGGGGCCGAACGTGACCTTGTCGGCCGTCGTCGAGAAGTGGAAGTGGATCTGCTCCGCGTGTTTCAGGCAGCCGTCGTACAGCCCGCCCGCCAGCGACGACCGGTGGCCCACCATGTGCGGGTAGCCGTACGTGTCGTGGATGTATTCAAGTGGCACGTGGGCCAGTTCGCTGTCCGACGCGCCGACTGGGATTGATGTTAGTTTTGGTCAATTGAGTTTGGAGAGAGTGTGTGTGTTGTGTGTGGTTGCATACCGCGCACGCTCGTCTCGGTGATGTTCACGGCCTCGGCCTCAATCTGCTTCCACACGCCCAGGTTGTCCAGCACGCGGGCCATGTTGGGAGCCAACTGGATACCGGCACCCACGAAACCCAGGTTGGAGGCGGACTCGTAGACATCGATGTGCTTGAAGCCTTCCTTGGCCAGGGCCAAGGCGGTGGTGAGACCACCCATGCCTGCGAACGAGTTGAGTTAGTTACCCTAATACATCCCATCCATCGTACGAAAGTATAGGGTAGGTAGGGTTGGGGTCCATACCAGCGCCCAGAATGGCGACCTTGAGATCCTGCGGAGACTGCGCCATAATGATCTATGTGGGTATGATTTTGAAGAGAGGAGATTGTATCAAAGTAAAGACCAAGCAAAGCAGAGAACTGGAACTGTAGAGAAAGAAAAGTAAAAAACTAGAATAATTCGACCCAAAGATGCGGCGGACCCCAAGGAATTAAATACTGGACTGGAGGCGCGAGAAGAAGTGCGACCGGTAGCCTCGGGGCGGGAATGATCTTATCCGCAGACTTCCCCACGTCCCACAATCCCATGATTTCATCGCCCGCCCACCGGTTCTATGGGCCGCCCTGGAGTATGGAGTAATGTATGTCAGCAGCAGCTGGCCTTGGGTTCGCCTCCCCCGGAATGCTGACTGGGTTTTCTTGGGGGGGGGGCGACGCGTCTGACTGGTGTGAGCGCTTCTCCACCCTCGGCATATCGACCCCGTGGGGCGATTCAGTTCACAGCCGGGGACAGCGCTGGGCGCTCTGGGGAGGTCGGGCCCGGATATTCTATTTGGCTGTTGGAGGCGCTAGATGCGAGGGGATAGCCGGGGCAAGGTGGTTTTGCGTGAGGGGGTGGATGAGGGGAAGGTGGATTTTGGATTTTGAGTCTGAGATAGCTGATGTGGGAGATGACGTTGAGATACGGAATAGTTAATCTTCAGGTTCATGATTATTCAATTACGAGGACTATAGTCAGGTAGGTAGATACATCGTACAGTATAGTACAACCCCCTAAGAGGGCACAAGAGAGGACAGGGAAAAAAAAAAAAAAGTGTCAGCTCCCGCCAAAAAAGAGTGGCAGCACACACACACACACACACACACACACACACACACACACCATCATCATCAATCAAGCAGTCAGTCATCATCTTCTTCCTTTTTACAGGTTCTGTCCGACGACGTGAAGCACCTCACCCACTGCCTCGCCAACACCCGGCAGCCCCAAGTTGGCGACCAGCTCCGCAACGTCGGGATCCAGCTGGATCAGCAAGTAGCCGCCATCATCGCCCACGACGGTCAACAGGCAGTCGACCACGGGCCCCAGATCCTTGATCAGGTCGCCCACCGAGGCGGCCGACTTGATGACCTGACCGACGCTGCGACCGACGCCCGTCAGGCCCAGCTTCTCCAGCAGCTCCGCCACCGGGTCGCTGAGCTTGATGAGCAGATCCTTGCTGTCCTCGCCAACCACCACCAGGATGCAGTCGACCACGGGGCCCAGTTTCTCCAGGAGCCCGTTGGGGTTGGAGACGTCGTCGCGACGCTTGAGGCTGCTGCCGATGGCGCCCAGCAGGTCGCCCACCGGGTCCGCCAGCGCGTCAAGGCCAATGCTGCTGAGAAGGCCCTTGACGTCCGTGTCCAGCTGGATGAGCAGGTAGCCCGTGTCCTTGCCGACCGCGATCAGGAGGTTGTCGACGGGCGCGCCCAGGTCCGTCACCAGCTCGCCGATCGTGCTGGCGTCCTTGATGATGTGGCCGACGGGCTCGGCCAGGCCGGTCAAACCCAGGCTGGAGAGCAGGTTGGCGACCGGGTCGCTGAGCTGGATCAGCAGCTGCTCCGTGCCGTTGCCCAGCACCGTCAGGAGGTGGTCGGCTTGCGGGCCCAGATCCTGGATCAGGTGTCCGGTGCCGTGGCAGTGGCCGTTGGCGCAGGAGGGCGTCTCGGACGCGGCGGGAGTCGAGGTGCCGCTGGGGATCATCGACGTTGTCCAGGTGTTGGAGCTCCGGGGGCCAGAGGGGCCGGTGGGCTGGCTGGGGGAGGATGAGGAGGAGGGGACGGTGGTCTCGCTGGAGGGGCCGGAGGGGAGGAGCCCGGAGGGGAGCCCAGGCTCGCCGGAGGTGGCAGTCGAGGGCTGGCTGGCAGGACCGGTGGCAGGACCGGTGGCAGGACCGGTGGCAGGACCGGTGGCAGGGCCGGTGGGCCCAGCAGGGGCCGGAGACGACTTGCTGCTGATGATAACAGGGCCAGGACCGCCGGGGAAGCTGGGGTGGCCGGTGGGAGCGGTGGGAGCGGTGGTAGCGGTAGCGGTAGCGGGAGTGGAAGACTCGCCGCCAGGGCCGAAAGGCTCAGCGGTAGTGGTGCAGGCCTCGGATGACTCCGGGGCCGGGGTCTCCGAGGGAGCAGTAGGGGCCTTGGAGGAGGCAGGGACCGTCGGGTAGGCCACAGTAGTTGTGACGGTCACAGTGGGCATGTGGTTGTCGCCAGGCAGAGTCGGGATCTCGGAGGGACTGGAGCTGGAGCTGGGCCAGGAGGACATGTCTGAAGGACCAGCGGGGGAGCCACCAGAACCGCCAGTACCAGGCCCAGAGGGGGAGCCAGAAGGGGAGCCGGAGCCAGGCGAGACAGAGCCAGAGCCAGGAGAGACAGGGCCAGAGGGTACGCCAGAGCCGGAGCCAGTATAGCTTCCAGTCCCAGTGCCAGGAGCACCAGACCCAGAACCGGGATAACTACCAGTCCCAGTCCCCGCAGGGCCGGAAGGCTCAGATCCAGATCCAGATCCAGGCCCAGACCCAGACCCAGACCCCGAGCCCGCAGGCTGGCAAGTGCACTCACTCTCGCGCACCTGAGGCTGGCCCATCGGGGTAGCCAGGGTGCAAGCGGCCAAGGCAAGGGCCGTCACAAAAGACGCCTTCATATTGAGGGGGAGCGCAGAGAACGAACAGAGGATAAAAGAACGGGAGTCGTCAAACGAAGGAAGGAGAGTGAACGAAGAAAGAGGCGAGTGAATGAATTGCTGGCCTGCGATGATGAACCAGACAGAGGTAGGGTTGCCGGGAGCATCATATTTATACCTCATCCTTCACCTCGCTTCACCTCACTTCACCCTGAGGAGCTCCTCAGCTCATCCGGGTTTGTTCCTTTCACTACTAGATTGACCCTTTGCTTGACCGATAGAAGCTCATCTCTCGCGCCAAGCACACACTATCCGGGTTTATCGTTCCTGTGGCGGCGTGCCTGGCAGCCATGATCTGGAGGATCGGCGGGTGGAACAATTCCTCGCGAGGGTCCACTGACTGTGTGGATCGATCGATCATTCTCGTGCTGCCGCTGGTTCCTCGAGGCATGGCTATCACCTCCTCCGCACACTATACAAACAATAACATAACATATTGCGCCGAGCGCCAAGCACCGAAAGGCCGCATAGCAAACATCTCAACCCTCAGGAAGGGGGGGGGGGGGGGGGGGGGGGCAAGTCAGGCAGCCGAATTGCTTTGATTGCTCCCATTCTTCTTGATTGATTGCCATCCGTATTCCCGCTTAGCAGCATCCTGATCACAAATACCTACCTACATATCGAGCTTACTCGTCCAGCCCAGAAGACATGGACACCCCGGCTTTTGGTTTCTCCCAAGTGTTGGTGGCTGCCAATGGTCCCAGCTAGGGCTATCTATCTATCTATCTATCTATCTAGCAACCCAAGCCTAGCCCAAGCCTAGCCCCAGCAAGCCATGCGTGATCACCGCGCTCCAGAAGAAGCCCGAAGCCAATGACGCGCGAACCACCCCGCCCAAGCGAATGAAGAAGCCTGAAGCCCAAAATCAGGTCGCAGATGGCAGAAGCAAAGCTTGCACGAGCCTTATCCAGAAGTAGCAGATATCGGCGGGTGCCTCATGCAGGCCCGGACGGACTATCGATGTGGCGTCGCCCGTGGTCGGGGTGTCACGATGCAGGGGGACAGGCTCAAGCATTTTTGCTTGATAAGTGGTGTGGTTTGCGTTGCATGGTTGGGTATGGAGTGGAGTGGAGTGGAGTGGAGTGAAGTGGATGGGTACGGTGGCGAGAGTGTGTCTGTCTATCTATCTGTCTATGGAGTACGGTTCTTGTGTAGGTATCTGCATACATCCGGTGTTTGCTATGGGTTTGCTTTTCTCGGCTTGCCCCTGAGCGGAGTATTTAGGGCCCGAACGCAAGTGCCGTCGGAAGTACCGGTATGAACAAAAAAAGAAAAAGAAAGAAAGAAAAAGAAAAAAGAAAAAGAGAGAGAAAAAAAGAATAAGGAAGAAATTGAATTGTTGCAAGATACTAGACGCCCTTTCTAAAAGTTCATCCCCAGCATGGCGCCGAAAAAGGCCCGCAGGAACGAGACCAGCGACGGGCCCCATCCAGACGAAGAGGGCTCGTCGTCACCCCCCGGGGGCTTGCGACCTCCCGGGCCCCAACCACCCCAGTACTTCTCGCCATCGCTGCCGGGATGCAGGGCATCGCGACACTGCGGGTGGTTGTAGTCCTCGACAGTGCCCATGGGCCAGATGGGGACGACGCAGATCTCGTGGTCGGCACAGCCGCTGCACTGCTTCCAGGTGGACCAGGCGAGGTACTCCATCAGCTGGGCAAAGTAGGCCACGGCCGTGGGATGGTCCAGCTCCTGGGATGCCGCCACCAGCGTCGCGCAGATACTACGCGTGACGGAGTGCACGGCATTCGCGGCCGTGCTGCGGTCGGTCAACCGACCGCGGGCGATGAACTGCATCGCGCAGCGCTCCGTCTCCTGGGCGGCATCGCGCTCCCCATAATCCACAAAGGGGGCCAGCGCCGTGTCGACCTCCGCGCGGAACGCCTGCTCGGACAGCTGCCCGGACGCCAGATACCGGATCTCCTTCGCGTACCGCTCCACCACCATATCCGCGACGGCCTGCCAGTTGAACACCGCCTCCTTGGCCTCATGCTCGCGGATCAACGACACCAAGTCCGCCCTCATCCCCTCCAGCTCCTCGGCCGCGAACTGCGTCAGCCGCGGCAGCGTGTACTTCTCCGTCCCGTTGGCATTCTGGAACAGATCCAGGCCATAGGTATACGCCGACACGAAGTGGTCGTAGTTCAGCTGCACGCGGCCACCCCCGATGCCATCATACCGGGCGGCGATGGCCTTCAACCACAGGGCGGAATCGCCATCCTTGCCGTTCTTGTTCTTCTTCCCTCCGCCGGGCCCCGCAAACGGCTCGCTCGGCTTCGTCATCGTCACTCGCTCCTCATTCAGATCGCGGCCAAAATCACACAGAATGACCTCGAACCCGGCCTCCATCCGCAGCAGCCCATCCAGCCGACCATCCCACTCCTCGCGAGCCATCTGGCAGAAGTGCGTCGCCCGCTCCCGCTCCCCCATCATGTTCCCGTCCGTCAGCCCATCCCGGAACAGAATCCGGTCCTCCACGTCCAGCGTCCCGTTCGGCGTCTTCCCCGCCGCCATCCCGTCCACGTACAGCAGTCGGAGTTCCTTCGCCGCCGTGTACGTGTGCAGCCATCCGGACTGGAGAGGTTGTTCTTCTTCATCTTCTTCTTCTTCGCGCGCGCGCAGTCCCTTCTTATCATCCCCCTGGTCGCCATCCTTCTCCTTCTCGTCGTCCTTGTCGCGCCTCGGTCCGCGATGCGGCCGCGCAAAGACCATCGCGTGCTCCGGCTCGAACGCCAGCCACTCCGTCCCGTTGATCGCGTCGGCGTGCGACGTGCCGTGGTAGAACTGCGTGCCGGCGGGGACACTAGCCAGGTAGAAGGTCATGCCGTTGTGTTGGAGGGAAGAGCCCCATTGGCGCATGGACGAGTGGATGCTGTTGAAGACGTGGTTGGCATAGGGGGTGGTTTCGCTGGTGATGCTGGGGTTGGTGATTGAGATTGGATTCGGGGTGGCGGTGGTGCTCCCGGCCCAGAGGAGGGCGGGGAGGAGGAGAAGGTGCGTTACACCCATTTTGTTGGGTGGGAGGGTACACACTTGTGTACTGTGTGGTGGGTGTAGTGTTGATGTTGATGTAGATGTAGATGTAGACGTAGACGTAGATAATCCTGCCGGCGATAAGTGACGGCACTTTTGTTATGTTATGGCAGCAGTAGCAGGAGCAATAAACCGATCTTATCAGCGACGGAAAAGTCCCAGTTCATATAAATATAGTAGTGACAGTTTAGGCACGAACACGAAGATAGGGGGGCGGGCGTTCGGTTGATAAGTGGTTAAGTACGGACTACTTTGTACACTAAGGCCGCGTCAGCCCCTCTCCTCTCTCTCCTTCAGTGACCAGTGTCAGTGTAGGGCTGTCCGAGTGGTTGGTCGCTGGAGTGTGGACGGACTAGCGGTCGGCTTGCTTCTTCCAGGTTTTCTCTGGTAGGTAGATACTATAGGTACGGTACTACTTTTACGGAGTCCAGTTCTGACTCGACAGTTCATGTGTGTCTGCTCGGGGTTATGACTGGTACGGTATGGAGTGGGTGGACTAGTTCTGCTGCGAGGGACGGCACCTTGCTTGCTTGATTTCTGTCCTCGGGGTTAAGCCTGGCTGATCTGGCCTGGCTGGTCTGTGTGTGTGTGTGTGTGTGTGTGAGAGTTCAAACCAAAGAATAATAATTAAATCAGGGAATAATAACAAAAGGCAATTGAGGGTGTGGGAATTACCGCTGACAAAGAAGCGGTGCCACAAACAACAATATTAATGCAGAATCGACGCATAGACGGGCGGCAAATGAATGGAATGGATGGACGGCAAATGAATGGAATGGATGGACGGCAAATTTGGTCGGTCGGTTCGTAAGGCTTGTTCAGTCTGCTAATTTTTTATTTTTACTAGCGCATCAGCCTTACTGAATATGGTTGCCTAGACCAGACCGGACTAGACCATACGTACGTACAGTACTAACTAAGTACAGAGTACGGGTTCCGTACGGTGGAAGGGAAGTGGAAGTGTGGCTGTGGATATGTTGGGTTGCTGATATATTTTACCTGGTATCTAGTATGTCGTAGTACACGGTATATCTGACTTGACTTCTTACTGTGAATAATAATAATAATAATGGTGATGCTGATGGGAACTGTTATGCCCCTGAAACATCCCCCCTTCCCCCATCCATCCATCCATCCATCTATGTATCTAATCTTATCGGCGTCAAAACTCTGAACCGCTGGCTCCTACTCAACTCAACTCAACTCAGTCTCACTCACAGTCTCAGTCACAGTCAGTCTCACTTGCTCGGCCCTCAGCCATGGGGATGGGAGTAAGGACAAGAACCAAGGATCGGGGATCGGACATCGGACGGGGTCCCACCACCGCCCAATCGAATGGGGCAATGAACTCCGAGACAGCAACCAGCGACCAGACCAGACCAGACCAGCTAGATAGCTGTAGTTAACCTGATTGATCTCATCCATCCATCAGCCGAGTCGAGTCCGACGCCTTCCTTCTTCCACTATCCACTATCCACTAATTAATTATCCACTCCATCTAATCTATCCATACACACCCACCGTCCGCCCGCTTGCATTTACAATTTACACAACTCAACTCCAACTACACCTCCAATTGCATCCATCCACAGCTTAACTAACACCCACCCACCCAACCCCTCACGAAAAACCATGTCCCAAATCCCAATCCCAACTCCAAACCGAACCCGCACCCCCAAACGAACCCTCCTCCTCACCCTCGACGCCTTCAACACGCTCTTCCACCCCCGCACCCCCATCCCGGAGCAATACGTCGCCGTGGCACACGCCCACGGCCTCCCCCGCAGCATCACGCCCTCGCGCCTCCTCCCGGCCTTCAAATCCGCCTTCAAGGCGCAATCCCTCCGGAGACCGAACTACGGGCGCGCCGATGTCCTGCGCGGGGCGTACGGCGGGCCGAGGGAGTGGTGGGCGGATGTTATAAGGGGTTGCTTTACGCGGGTTTTGCTGCAGGGGAGGACGTCTGGGGGGGGTTGGTCTGGTGGGTTTGTTGGTGGTCGTGGTGGTGGTGGTGCTTCTTCTTCTGCTGCTACTTCTGGCACTGGCACTGGCACTGGGATGGGGATGGGTGGTGGGGGGTTGAGGGGGTGGGAGAGGAACAGGGAGGGATAGTCTCCTCGGCGCTGGTGGAGAGTCTTCTGGAGAGGTTTGCGGGCAGGGAGGGGTATGCGCTGTATTCCGATGTGAGGCCGTTTTTTGATGCGTTGAGAGCGAGGATGAGGGGGGGAGGGGGAGGGTTTGATCGCGTGGTCGTGGGGGTGGTTTCGAATTCGGATGATCGGGTCGCGGGCGTTCTGGGGAGTTTGGGCGTCAGGGTTGGACCTGGGAGGGCGGGGGATGATAGGTTGAGGGTGGGGGGTTTGAGGGGTCTTTTTGTCATCGGTATTCTGGTAATGGTGCTGGTGCTTCTTATACTCCTGATGCGGATGCGGATGCACGTGCCGTTGAGGACTATGATATCGACCTGGTGATCACGAGCTACGAGGCCGGGGAGGAGAAGCCGAGTCCGGTGATCTTTGATGTGGCGGAACAACAGGCCCGCAGGCTGGTGGGGGACCTCGAGGGCGAGTGGGAGCGCGTCCATGTTGGGGATGACTATGAGAAGGATTATCGGGGAGCGCTGGGGGCGGGCTGGAAGGGGTGTTTCTTGCAGAGAGAGGGAGGGGATGCGAGGGAGGGGACGGTGCGGTCGCTGCGGGAGGTGGTTGATATGTTGGGGGGGAGGTAGTTGTAATTGTAATTGTAATTGTAATTGATTGTAGATATAATATGGGGAGTAGGGTAGGTGGTTATAGACTGTGTAGAAGACTTGAGATCTGTAAAGGTCAGTCAGTATCGCGATTGTGATCACCAGGGTGGTTCTGCAACCAGTGCCTGCCAAGGGCAGACAGGCAGTGCAGTCACAGACAAAGGGATTATCGAAGGTGACACTACTACTAATACTACTACTACTACTACTACTACTAACCGACCCCTACGCGGCTTACCGCGTAGGGGTCGGTTACTCTGTTACTAGTACTACTGCTCGCACAGACAAGCTTGACTCTCTGCATGACATCCCCACCGACAGTTGATTCGCCCTGGCAGCTGGATCACGCCAAGCCATCCGCGGATCCGACGAGGCGATGATTGGTCGACCCCGGAGGCAAGGCGATGACGCACCACCGGCTCCATCATCGCCTGCATTTCCACCGCAGCTTCCTATTCCTCTATCCAAACACTGACTGGCTGTAAACGTATCCGTGGTGTGCAATCATATGATGGTGCAAGCGTTAGTGATGTAATGATGTTTGTCGATGGGAGACCCGTGCGCTTTATATATCCATCCGCCTCCCTGCCCTTCCTCCACCTAGTATATACTTAAGTTAAGTTACTTCATGTTATCCTGATATTCCACCTACCACTACGGAGTTACTATCTTTAGTATCTTTACCAGTGAAGAATTCCAACACAATCGAGTTATTTTCTTACCAACCCTACGGAAAAATGGATCTCGTCCAGAAATTCGGCCATCTCAAGCATGATCGTCGTCGCAGCTCCGCGCAGCAGCAGCTCGCTGAGGAGGAACGCCATCAGAACCAGATGGGTATGTCTATCTACCTGCACAGAATGAAAATCCCATCTCATGAATCATGATACTGCGTGTATGGAATATGGATCGAAGCTGACAGCCCAGCCATCAACAACCTACTAGGAAGCTTCGGTGGCGCGGCGAACGAGCATCCGGACCGTCGGTCCAGCGGGGCGGGCAACATGGCCAGTATGATCGAGGAGTTCAATAAGTGCGTATTGCCTTGACACCTTGATACCCACGCCGTTATCCTATACTGGGGCTTACTGACCGCTGCAGGCGGAAGTCGATTTCGCCGGAGGAGAACGTTGAGCAGAGGGAATGAGGAGGATAAGAAGGATGGCCTAACTATAATGATGATGATGATGGTATGATGCATGGCGAGTATTGATTGGTATTGGTTTTGGTGTTGATGTTGTATATTATTCCGCTCAGACACCGCCGGTTGGTGGATGCATATTCAATCGATTCAGTTCTTGATTCATCTGGTTCCAGACTTCAGTAGAATGCCCCAGCATCGGGATCACCAAAGGCCTCCTAGTGGGATAGTTAGTATCTCCCAGTGGAAAGACAAGGGTGGAGTCTAGTCCCCATCCAGACTAGCGCGTCATCACGGTGCTCGCCGCCTGAGGCAGACGCGATGATATCACGGGCGGAAAGCAAAGCAAAGTGATGCATCAACTCGTCCTTGTCGTCGCACCTCCCGAACAATGCTCAATAATGGCCCCCGTAGCGGTACGCGTCTTCTTTTCCCTTTTTTTTCTTTCTTGTCCGTTTCAGCCCAGCTAACCAACCCATCCAGACCCCCTTTCGCGCCCGTCGCAGCGCCGGCCCGCAATTCGCGTCCACCCCCCGGTTCTTCCTCTCGCAGACTCCCGCCTCGCAGTCGCAACAGACACCCCGCGATGTCGAGGTGGATGACTTCCCCGACGCCACCCCCGTGCCCGCAGGCCGCACCTTCAAACGCGGCAGAGAGGTCGCTCCAACCCCCCGCCAGAGGGACCTGATCGAAGACTCGGACGACGAGCCGGACGATGATGATTCGCCAATCCGCCCCGCGAAGCGTCCAAGTCTCTCGCCCAGTCCGCGCAGCTCCCCCGAAGTACAAGGCGCTTTGGATGCCGAGTTCGAGGACCTGTTCGGGTCGATTTCGGATCGTAAGAGACGACGCGTCGCGAATACCACCACCAACTATGACAAGAACAACAATGGATCCCCATCTATAATACCCCGAAGAAGACCCGCCGATCTCATCGTGACATCCTCCCCGGATCCTCCATCTCCATCTTCAGCTCCAACAGCACCACCCAACCCCCCATCATCATCATCATCATCATCATCAGACAACCCTTCCACTCCAGCACAAGCACAAGCACAAGCACAAGCACAAGCACAAGCACAAGCATCACACCAAAACCCCATCTTCCTCAAACCCGCCCCAGAAACCCCCCATCCCTCCACCCCAGCCAGCGCACGACCATCCTCCCTCCATCCCCATCCCCACCCCCGCCGCTTCCTCCTCTCCCAACCCCCCAGCAACACCCAACCCAGCAGCACCCCAAAAACCACCCCCGCATTCGTCCTCCCCCGCTCCCCCTCCCCACCCCACGAACAGCCCGACGATCCATCCATCCCAGCCCCCTTCTCCTTCTCTCCCTCCTCCCGCGCCCTTCGTCGGGGGCGCCACCGCTCAGCGCATAACAACTATGTTCCTGGGGGGATGGCGGCGACGGTGCGCAGTTGGGTTTTGGAGATGGGGATGAAGAGGGAGAGGGAGAGGGAGAGGGAGAGGGGCTTAGATGGGAAGTATGGGAAGTATGGTGTTGTTGTGAGGGTTGGGAGTGTGAGGGTGAGGGTGAGGGAGGTGGAGAGGGGAGGGGGGATGCTGGTGGTGGGGTGATGGCGTTTGTGAGGGGGTGGGTTGTGGATGGTTATTATGGTTATGGTGATGATTATGATCGTGGGGATAGGGATGTTGATGTTGAGGAGGGTGATCAGGGGATGAAGGAGAATGCGAATGCGAATGCGAATGCGAATGCGAATATGAATGTGAATCTGCTTTTAATGGGGGGCCCCATGGGGAGGGTGAATGGTCTCGCGCCGGAGGAGGGAGGGATGGAGTTGAAGGTTGGGGATGTGGTGGGTGTTTATCGGGGGTTGGCGTGGGAGGTGAATCTAGGAGGGGATGAGAATCAGAATCAGGATGGGGATGGGGATGGGAGTGATAGAGTAGGGACCGATACAGTGAAGAGTAGGAGGATATCGCAGCCAGACCGCGAATACATGCACAGTCTGGGGAAGTGGCGGGTCGGGATGGAGTGGGAGGTCATCCGGTCCAGGACATACATAACATGACTTAGTGTTACTCTTGTAACCTATTATAATACCCCATAATTACAACTATGCAATAAGTAGTCTAATATTCAACACAAAGGAATATCGATAATCATATATACAAGCTTTTCCCACCCAGGTATGCAGCCCACCAACGCCAAACATTCATCTAGTTAGCCAGTTAGTTAGTTAGCCCTAAAGGAAGGCAGGTAGTTTATTTTCTGTTACTCCCCCCCATCCTTGACAACCACCTTCAACGCATCCACCGCAACCTTACACCCCCATTTCACCAACTTAATCTCCTTCGCATCCACGATGTCGGTCTTGGCGACGACCTTCCTCAGAAAGAAGATCAGCCCCTTGGCGATCTGCGGCGTCTCCCGCGCACGCAGGAAGATCTCCATCAGGGCTTTCTCGTCTCTCCCCTCATCATCAGCCGGATCCTTCTTCCCCTTCTTCCCCTTCTTCTGCTTCTGCGAGACTTGGATCAGCGTAATCAGCAGAACCTCGACAAATAAGCGACTCTTCTCCTGCAGGTACGCAAAGTTGAGGATCTTCAAGACGCCCAGATTCAGGGTCCCGTCCGCGATTAACGCCGCGTACATCTTGGCCAGATTGACGACCGACTTCATCTCCAGCGCATTCTCGTCGTCGTCGCCGAAGGCGCCGTCGTTGTCGGAGTCGTCGTCGTCCATGTCGCCGGACTCGCCCATGCGCTTGAAGATGTTCCACAGCGCGTACATGAACGACACCTTGATCCGACGGCCCATCTCGCCGCAGAGCCGTTTGGCGATGAGCGTGTAGTACGGGTTATGTGCGTCTTCTTCGAGGGCGCAGTGGGTGAGGACGCGGGGGATTTCGAATTCCTGCGCGCGCTTGAGCCGGAGTTTGAGGAGGCGGACGTGCGCGTCTTGGTAGTCTGTTGCGGACATGATGGCGACGAAGATGGAGCGGCGCACGTCGGTGTTCATTCTGTGCGCTTTGGCGAGGGTGAGGTAGTCGGGTTCGGCTTCGCTGTCGGATTGGTCGGATTGGTCGTGGGCGTGGGCTTGGGCGTGGGGGTTGGAGATGGTGCCCGGGAGAGAGGAGAGTTCCTGACGGGCGGATTCGAGGGGGTCTTCGCGCCAGCTGGCGCCCACAAGCCACCATTTACCCTTCTTGGAGGAGTTGTGGATGTCGCTCCGGGAGATGCTGATGGGCTCGGACGCCCGGATGGTGCGCGTGTTGTTGAGCGCGCCGAGGATTTTGCGCATCTTGGTGATGTGTTCGGTGGTGATGGTGGTGTTGGTGTTGGATTTGAGCCGGTTGTTCTTCAGGTCGCTGATCGTGTCGATCATGAACTTCGTCCGGACGGACAGGCTGCCTTCGCCGGCTTTGGCGACGGCGGGCTGGATGAGCAGCACGATGTCCTTGAGGGAGGAGGGGTCGTCCTGGCGGAGTTGGGGTCCGGAGTCTGGTGTTGTGTTGTTAGTATTGGAGCTGGGACATGGGGAGGGAGGGAGAGCGTACTTCGGATGATCTTCAGGAGCAGTTCCGTGTTCTCCTCGGTGATTTCTTGCAAGAAGTGCCGGACGTAGTCGAACACGAGCGTGCTTCCGATGACGTGGAAGTTGTATAGCTGCGACAGCAGGGACATCAGGTTGACCGTCTCCTTTCCTTGGTACTTTCCGCGCTCGTCGCCGCCAGCATCGAACGTCTCGACGATCTTCTGCACGATCTCCGCGCCGAAGTCCATGCCAATCACCTTGTATATAGCGGCAATGAAGCCGGCGTGCAGGATGATGAACGTGTCCGAGAGAGCGGATCTCTCGCAGATCATGCCGAACAGCAGGGAGATCAGCGTCGAAGTGACGTTCTGGCGGGGGTGTTCCCGGTAAAGCTTCTCAAACTCGGCGAGGATGGAGATCATGTTGGCCTCGGACAGCTTGTTCAGATGTCCCTGAGCCTGGCGTCTCAGCCGGACCAGCGACTCGGATTCAGAGTTGGACGCAGCGCGCAGCGACGGAGGGATGTATTTCTGCGGGCGATTCTCGTCTGCAACCGGTGCGACGTAGGGGTTCTCCTTTTTCTTGGGAACAGGCTCTTCCTCCTCATCCTCATCCTCATCTTCATCCTCGTCGAAATCCCCCATGGAGTCGTCCTCATCCTCGTCGAAAGCGTCCATCCCATCCTCGCTATCCAGCTCACTCTCATCGTCCTCTTCCTCAACCTTCAGACCCTGCGCCTTTCTCCGCTTGTTCAACAGCCACTCATCCGCCTCCCTCTTGCGCTTCTTGCCCTCGTCAGCAGACCCCTCATCCAAGTCACCGAGCAGGTCGCCCAGCCCATCTTCATCGAACGACTTGGGGAGTTTCTTGCCCTTCTTCAGACCCAACCGCTTCTCCAGCGCGGCAATCTCCGCATCATCCTCATCCAGCTTGGACTGAACGGTCTTAGAAATCGGACGTCGCATCGTCCCCACATCCTCCTCCTCCTCTTCCTCACTCTCCCCCTCGCTTTCCGCCGACTTCGCCTTTTTCAAGATAGACTTGGGTTTCTCGACCTTGGCCTTCTTGGACGGCGCCTTCACGACCATCTCTTCCTCATCGTCGTCGTCGTCCTCTTCCCCAAACCCATCAAAGTCCCCCTCATCCTCATCGTCATCATCCTCCGTAGCACCCCTCCGCCCCCAGTTCTTCGAAGCCGGCGCGCGCTGCTTCTTCCCAAGGCGCTCCGCCTGACGCCGCTCTTTCCTGGCGGCCGGTCCGTTGCGCCGATTCTTCTTCTCGCCGTAGGTATCTCTGATGCCGAGTTCCGACCGCAGTTCCCTCGGCAGGGAGGTGGTATTGTGTCTGGGACGTCGCATGACGGCTGACAGCGTGTGCGATGGGTTTGCGATGGGTGAGTGGGTACCTGGTGGACGCAGCAGCAGCAGCAGCAGCAGTAGCAGCAGCGACAGACAACTTTTTTTATGCCGCTGGAAAAGTCGCGGGTGCGGAGGCGGACAGCACGGGCGGTGAGCGGAGTCCCCGCCGCGCCGATGACACGAACTACCAGGACTGCTCTGCCCGTCTTCGAACGGTCCAGTCGAGTGATTATCTCGAAGGAATTGGTGCTTCTTTCTCTCTTCGAGTCCACAGAAACCACATCACTCTAAAGACAGTTTCCTTCAAGCCCCAGACTCTTTTACACGAGTCGACATCACCCAACCCCACCTCACCAAGACCGAGATCACCCTCCAATATCATCAATCGCTCAGCCGTCAAGATGCCCGGACACCTAGGTCACGACGAGGTACTTACCCCCCCCTCCCTCCTCCAACCGCACAACTAACCCGCACTCAACCCAGTTCTTCACCTCCCTAACAACCCTCCTCACCACCGCATCCCAAAAAACCCGAGGCTCCGTCTACCTCACCCAGAAACCTTTCCCTACGTCCACCTCCGACGCAACTTCCACACCCACCACCACCACCACCGCCCCTCCATCCTCATCCGCGCCACCGACGGCAATACCAACGCCCCGAACCCCAAGTCCAAGACCAATTCCCAGCCACAACAAGGCAAGGCCAAGCCCACGCCCAAGGCCAAGCCCTCGAAAGTGAAGCTGTCGACGGTGGTGAGTCCCGACGAGCTGGAGGCGTTTTATCTGCGCTATGCGGAGGTGTGTAAAGCGGGGATGACGGGGCTGAAGAAGAGGGATCGGAAGAAGGGGAAGGCTAAGGGGAAGGGCGGCGTTGCGAAGGCTTAAGGAGATGTGTTTGTTTGGGGTTGGTTTTTTGGGGGGGTTGATTTGATGGAGGGAGGGAGGGAGGGAGGTGGTTGGGTTGGTTGCTTGGTTGGTTGTGGGGGGAGGGGAGGAGAGGTTTGATAGTGATGGCGATGATGATGGTGGTGCGCATTATTGGCGTTATGGGTTGTTTTTTACTTTTACTTTTCTTGTGTCTACTCTGGTTTGATGAGTTATCTGGTTTGTGGGGTGGATATTTACGGTATGATGAGTGGGCAGTGGGCAGTGGGCAGTGGGAAGGGGCTTTACGGATCTTTCATCCCGATGAGGACCGATGTGACATCTTTCTAAGGGATCGTGTGATTATTGTATTGGCGGGGACCGCTAGAGTACAAAAAACATTAAGGTACATATGTGATCCAGAACAGTCCACCCACAATCCGTACATATGGCACAAAGGGAGAGAGAGGGAGAGTGTGTGTGAGAGGTGTGAGAGGGTGTATAAGAGAGAGAGAGAGAGAGAGAGAGAGAGAGAGAGAGAGAGAGAGGAATCGTACAAATGTATCATCAGCAACGTGGGGAATCGAGTGAGTCATCAATAGAGAATACAACAGGGGTAGCAGTGGAGAAAGAGTGACATGCCCGCAAATAAAGGCGCATGTAGGCCCAAGCGCATGCAGGTTATGCCGATCGACGCAGACCCGCAAAGTCTTTTCTACCAGCATCCTCGGACGAGGATCTGGAGCAGTCGGGAAGCGGCAGGTCGAAATCATCCACTGTCTCCCGTGTACTGGCGATCTCGTACTCAATCTTCCGGTTCAACTCGCCCATAGCCGAGTTCAAGGCTGGGCCGATGACGATGCGCGCCGCGATGTGGATGAGCACAACCAGCAGCTGGATCGGCGGCACCAACACCAGCGCGCAGGTCTTGTGGATCAGCGACGCCGCGTCGTGTTTCGGTGGTCTGGTGAGGGCGAGCGTGGACGCCGGAGGCATTGGGGAGACTTCTCGCTCCCGGGAGGCCCTGGAGCGACGGCGGAATTCGACGCTCATGCTGCTGAGGTTGGGGTTGGAGTCTGCCATGGAATGGCGGTTTACGGGCCGTGGAATGTCGGAGACAGTATTCTGGGTTGGTTTGGGTTCCTCGGAGAAATCTTCCGCATTCTGCGAGGGCGATAGGTTGTCCCAACAGTCGACATATACGGACAGCCTAGAGCGGCCCGTTTCCCCGGACTGGTCCTCCGAGGATGGACTATCGCTGTTTTCGTTCTGGAAATTATCGGTGCTTTCGGTTGTGGGTTCAGAGCAGGCGTCGAGTTCGGGCAACGCCGATAGAGAATGGAATGATTCGACGCTCGAGGAGAAAGACATGTCAGGATCAACCTGCTCCGAGCTGTCTTCAAACCTTGCCAGCAAGGTCTGAAAGCTCTGTTCCGTCTCCTGGACCGAGCGTCTGGGCAGGTCAACAGGTGCGGATGGCTGGGGTTCGGATGGGGGTGAAGGGTCGAATGATCGAACGGGCTCTGTTTGAGCAGGGTCGGCCGTTTGAGCAGGTTCGGATGCTGGCGCAGCTTCAGCCTGTGCAGGTTCGGCTGCCTGCATAGGTTCGGTTTCTTCTGCAGACTCAGTCTGAGGCTCAGGATCCTCATCGGGAATAGTCTCCAACGCCGTGCTGTTGCTGCCCCTGGTGAAGCCACTATCATCCGTCGCATTGCCATCCGTGTCATCCCCGGAGTCCCTCGCGAACTCCTTGCTCAGCAGCCCCTGGACATAGCCCGAGTTGATGGGCGCGCTCTCGCGGCGTCCCTTGGGGCGCCATGCCCTCTTCCGCCTGGGCGCTTTGGCCTCCTCCGGGATCTCCACCGTAAAACCTCTCTTGAAGGGGCACGGGGTCACCTCGTAGCGGAGGACTCGCGGCAGCACGTCCTTGATCTCCGCGACCAGACCCTTGTTGTCGTCGGAATCATTGGGAAGCTCGATGCGATAGTAGGTCAACGGACGGATGCGCAGGACGAAGGTCGACTCGCCGTCGACGCACCAACACTGCGAGTTTTTGAGGATCGCATGGACCACATTGCCGCACTTGAGGAAGACGGTGAGGCCCTGGATGCTTTCCAGGCGGAGAGGCGCGAACGCGACCGTTCGCTCCGTCGGGGATCTCCACGGTAGGGTCTCGACGGTGTCGACCGGGTAGTCGAAGTCGGAGGGCGCGGTGCTGGAGGGGATGGGGGCGAGGGCTCTGGGAGAGAAATGGACGACTTTGGCGGCCGGGTGGTAGAAGAGATCGTTCTCCGACGGCCTGAAGGATTCGGACTGACGTCGCGTCCGGGGATTGAGCTTGGAGGGCAGGGTTGCAGACCGACGGATCGATAGGGTCTGGGGTGGCGCATCCGAGAGATTAGACATTCTCGTTCATGGGGACTAGGGAAGGTGGAAGAAGAAGACAACGCGGACAAAGAGATTGATTACATTGAATAAGAGGACGAAATTAAGTGTAGTGTGGAAGTGAGACAACAAGAGTTCAAGGGATAAGGAGAGACGAGACGATCAGCAGGGGGTTCAATGAATGACGGGGGGGGAGTTGGGGTGGTGAGATAATGGAGAGCGTGACCCTTGGCTGGGAGGAACTCAATCATGGGCAACAATAATAATAAGAACACCTGCCGCAGAGACGGCCTCAGGCAGACAGGCAGATACCAGGCATCTACGCAGTAGTTACTGCCCTATGATGCCTGCGTGGGGGCGCGGCAGTGCCGGCTGCACCAGCCCGGCGCTTGGCGGTTACCGGGCCAATCAGGGGTTGCAGCCACACTCGCTCCGCCGGACCAATTTCATTATGTGGTTGCCTGTGGCTGTCCGCGTCCGACAGCGCACAGCTATAAATAACATCCTCATCACCACCTCCTCTGCTCAGATCATTCCTGAGCAAGAAACCTCCGTCCTGAGAAGATCGCCATCATGGGGAACTTCGACCACAATGCCATCATCCGTGGCGCCCAGCTCGCCATTGTGTCCAGTGAGTCCGTCCCCTATTCTATCTAGCTCCCCGGGAACACCCGGCTAGCCCAATCCTCTTTGCGGGAGAGAGAGAGAGAGAGCCCACGACCAATCTGGGGATAGGGGGTCACCACCGCGTAGAGTTCCCTAGTCCCATGATCGTCGCGGCCATTGATATCTATCACCTTTGGCATGGTTCGCTAACTTCCATACTTAGCTGTCCGCGCCTTGCGGAACCCCGATCTGTTCAAACATGAGCATTTCCGACAGGCTGCCTTTGCGGTGGCCGTCGGTGTGGCCACCGAGCTGATCATCCAGATTCCCGTATGTTTGGCCTTACGGTGGATGATTCCCAGGCTAACCAATCCCCCATAGATCATCGCCGTCAAATTCGTCCTCTGGTTCCTGTCATTCATCATGGACCTGGAGAGTGTGACGTGGGACGACTCCCTGCTGAAGGGGCTCGATTTCCTCTCCAAGTCCGTCCTGCAGGTCCCCTTCCTGGTCATGTCGCTGATGCGATACATCACCCCCACCCTTGATGATATGTAAGTATCCACCCCTCCAGGATCGATCTCGCGCTGACCGCGCAGCTTCATGGAATCGCTGCACTGGGTCGACACCACCTATGTCGACAAGCACAAGGAGGATGATCCGAAGAACCTGCGCGCCATGTACTACCCGAACCTGTCCATGTACACTACGCAGGACGGCAAGGTCAAGACGGAGAGGAAGCCCGGCCGTGAGCGCATCCTCCTGTTCCTGCGCAGATACGGCCAGAGAGCTGGAATGCTGCTGGGCGTGTCGCTGTTCTCGTGCGTGCCGGTCGTCGGACGTTTCGCCATGCCGGCGGCCTCGTTCTATGCCTTCAAGGGCGTCGTCGGAACTAACCCCGCCGCCGTCATCTTCGGAGCTGGTCTGATCTTCCCCAAGAGCTACGTCGTCTCCTTCCTGCACAGTTTCTATGCGTCCCGCAGCTTGATGCGCGAAATGGTAGGTCTTGCATTGCACCACAACTCCTCTTCGCACCATGTCTGACGTGAACCAGCTCGAGCCGTACTTCAGCCGTGTGCCTTTCACCCCGGACCAGAAGCAGAAGTGGTTCGCCGACCGCGAAGGCGTTCTGTTCGGATTTGCCTTCGCCTTCACAGTTGTCCTGAAGGCCCCCTTCATCGGTGTCCTGCTCTATGGCGTGGCGCAGGCCGCCACCGCGTATCTCGTCACCAAGATCACTGACCCCCCGCCGAGCCCGGCTGAGAAGGAGGGTTTCGCTGAGACTCAGGTCACCTGGAAGAACAAGCATGACTTCCTCCTGCTGCCGCTCGACAAGCTCGACCAGCTCAACAAGGCGCAGGGGGAGAAGCCGGCGACCCCTGAGCTCCCTGGTCGGAAGTTCACTTAGATTGGTCGAAAGGCTTGTTGCGACGCTATAAAAAGTAGATGTAAAGGAGGTGTGATTGCGTTAGGAATATTTCGGGCGCTGGATGGTACATCCTGTCAACAAAATCAGGGCTCAGTACAGTTCCAATTGATTCTTGCTTGTATGTTCAATGCCTTCTAAATGTGTTCCTTCTTATACTCAAGCGATAGTCCTAGAGAGGAAAGATAGCTGTGCATCCTGAACTTGCCTTGAACTGATATCTGCAACCCAAATCCGCCGACCAAGGTCAAGAAACAGTAGCGAAATTGTCTACTTGAGCGAAAATATCAGAAACCCGAGCCCTTTCCAAAGTGATATTGTCCACCCACCCCTCAAACAACCCCCTCACCTCCTCCTCACCCAATCCTTCTTCTCCAACCCCTGTTCAGCCAGCAACTCCACCTCCTCCGTAGTAAGCTCCAAATCGAACACCCTCTGATACCCTCTAAGTCTCTCCTCACTGCTACTCGTCGTGACCACCACATCCCCGCGCTGTACCGCCCACCGCAACAAAACCTCGCTCTCACTCACCCCGTACTTCCGCGCCAGCTCCCCCACCAGCCCATCCACCGGCCCCCCCGGAGCCCTCGTGATCGGCGTCAAGGCACTATAACTCGTCACCCGAATACCCTTCTCCCTCAAGTATCCCACCAGCTCCACATGCTGAGCGTACGGATGAAACTCCACCTGGTTAATCACCGGCGTCATGGTCGCCGTCTTCAGTGTAGCCTCTAGATGATTGGTTTCGTAATTCGACACCCCGATCGCCTTCGTCTTCCCCGCTCTGTACACCTCCTCCAACCCCGCCCACGCCTTCTGCAACTCCTCATCATCTCGCGCGAAAAACGGCTTGTGGATCAGGTATAGATCGACGTAGTCTAGCTGCAGCCGCTCCAGGCTGCGGTCCAGCCCGCCGGGGACGTCGGCGATGCTCTCGCCAATCTTGGTGGTGATGAAGAACTCTGATCGCGACACCCCGCTTTCCTTGATCGCGGCCCCGAGCTCGGGCTCGGTGCCGTAGCCTTCTGCGCAGTCGAAGTGCCGGTAGCCTAGTTGGATGGCCAATTTGAATGTCTCGACTATTTCGCGGCTGAAGGATGTGCGACTGGGCTTTTTGCGGCCGTGCGCGGTGCCGTAGGCGAGCTGTTCGTATACCGTTAGAACTGGTATCTGGCTGGAATGGAAGGGATTGGCTTACAATAGGGATTGAGGTTCCGTTGTTCAGTGGGATGCTAGGGGTTAGGGAAGTCATTTTGACAGCTGTGATATCTGGTTGAGGGTTTCAATAATGGCGGGTTGTAATGTTGATATCTCGGGGATAAGGTGTAGATGACCTGGACTTTCACGGTCTTTGAGCAGAATTTATTAGAGGGTTCCTTTTAAAGCACCAGACCTGTTTTTCTTTTAAGCCCTTAGTATCTTGGGCTGATGACAAAATCCTGCCCCTGCATGTCGTCACTTATGTTCCCCGCGCGGCTCGGAGATAACATCACTGGTGTCCCTAAATAGCCGAGCATCGGAATACCGGAATACAATGCACGCTATCATCCTCGCATTGCACAACAGGATTGAAATAGATCCACCGATTTCTGCATTGTCCACTAGGGATTGAAAGAGGGAAGCCTGGGACTTTATTTTGTATAGATCCCCCTTCCCAAAAGTTCCCGCCCTGGAACCGCCTGTGGGCTTGGTTTGGCTAGCGGAGAGGTGTAGAGATTATCTAGATCCGAATGATCAGGGGCAGTCAATTGAAGAAGATATAATCTAGTGGAACTTTATTTTAGGGAGACGATTAATTCCCTAAGCACCGTTCGCGCAGGCTTTCATTGGATTCGGTTGGCACGGATCCCGGATCCTCCCTTTCAGGATTAGGTGGTGTGTGTTATTGTAGTTTCGACGACTTTTCGCTATAATTAGAGATATGTATTAGCGGTGCGAATGGAGGTGGAGAGCTTGAGGGTATAGAGTGGTAAGGAAGAAGTTACTGCGACTGATCTGGACAGCATAGCTGCTGGGATACCGAGTAATCGATAGACGCGTATTGAAGTAGATAGCTGGGAAGCAGCATATCTTCTGAGCCAGATTAGACAGGATGATGAAATAAAGAGCAAGCTCAGCTTGAAGAAATGTGTCGGTCAGTCTGATATGGAGAGTGTAAGGTAAGCAGTATTGCTCGGCTCTTTGTTGACATCGAGCAGTTGTAGAATGAACACTGGCAGAAAAAGAGTTGCGGAGAAAGTCAAAGGAGAAAATGGCGCTCGAAGATTTTTGGCCTGAGGAATTCCTCCTGCCTGAGGAATACTATACACAGATTGGCGCCTTCCCTGTGAACGACTTACTGAAAGCACCTCGGACAGCGTTCTTCATCCATCACCTGTCTGACAGTTTGAATCTGCGTATACACACGTCTAGGTATATAGCGACAGCTGAACACTATTGGCGTCCGATTACCCCAGTCCTCGAGAAGCTGCTGTCGGGATACCAGAGAGGTCACGTTGAGTTCATATACCAGCATCCATCATTCTGAGACATCCCAGTGACTGGTGACCAATCCACTGTTTCATACCCGTGTCCTCATTTCGCGTGTCTGCCCAGTCAGGACCTGCCTCGATCTGCGACAGATATACCCGATTCTAGTCGAGCTGATGCGATGCAATAAGAAGTCAAGATGGGAGCCAACTACAGGTGCATTGCAAGAGTTGTCTTAATGAATTGATACAATGTTATAGATGGAGCTTCATCTCTCCGCAAGGTACAAATCTCGAAACAAACAGGAATATCGCCGCATTTTGGTGAAAATTGGAAACCGGGGTGCCAAGTCGCTCCCGAGTCTGGATTCATCGATTGCAGGATATGGCCCTATTCGAAGGAAAATACCGGAGATCAATGGGTCTATAAAGGCAGTGTCTCTTGATTCTCCATTTGGCATCGACAATATCCCGAGGAAAGAAAATTTACGCGGGTGTCGAAAAGTACGATGTCCAGCTTCTGTGGCTTATGGATGACGTCGGATAAGGCGCGGCTATATAGTGAAATATCAAAATTTGTTAGGATCATTCTTGGGACTGACCGAGGGGGGTGTTGGCTAGACAGTCCAATATATGCAGCTAACCACTGCGTATATACAGGACATGATTCCATAGCCAGGGGCAAGATTTTGTGTTTCCTCAGCAAGCCTGGTGCAACGAGTCTTTCTCCATTTTCCTGATTGCTCGTAGAGGGTGGTGCCACCCTCGATCACCGGGCGTCTTCAACTGCCTGTGACGACCAAACTAAATGCTCGACAGTCCAGTCACGGCTAAAAGACGGCTTATTGCTATAACATCATAGTTCCCATCAACTGTTCTGCAAAGAAACTACATTTCGGAACAAGGCCCGGAATTCTTCATTTTCCCACAACTCATAAAGATGAATCCGAGCCATGTCCAACACAGACTTCCCAAATCTGTTGTCCTCGGCGTAGGTAGTTTTGCAGACTTCGTGGACGCAGTCAATAAACTCATCAGTGTTCTAGCTCTTAGGCAACTCCTCGGAGAATCGCTGGAAGGCGAATTCCTCCAGGTCATCATTAAGGAGCATGTCTGCAAAGATATAGACTCGCAAGTGCTTCTTCAAACCAGGGTCATCTAGGATAGTCACTCTAGGATTCGGTAAACTAGAACACTTGTACAACTTACCTTCGCCTGCAATGGGAGCAGGAGCCTCATTCTGGTATTTCCCAGTATAGATGAACTGATTGATCTCCAAATGGCTTGACTACTGCCCTCTTCGAAATGTACCTCCTTCGTCTGGCTTTTCTTCATCCCACTGTTGAGTATCTTGTCAAAATAAATGCTCTGCAAGCAGAGGATGACACTGTGCGCCGGCAGTTTGAAATCGTAGATAAATATAGTCACATCGGAGTGAGTCTCGTTATTGAAGTATCTGTCTAGTTCAGCATTTGTACCCACATCAGGGAGGCTGCAATACCTAGTGAAATCTCCTCGACGTAGAACTGCCTCGCATTCCTACCACGGGAGTCTTAGAGTGGTTCATGAATGTGTATAAAATGGCAGGTTGATACCGTAGGGTCAGGAGGCTTATCCCCGCGACCTTTCCTCCGCAGAGAGCCCAGTCTCTATCTTTTGTTGGACCCTTTTACCATCGTATTGGACGTGCATGGACCATTTGCCGTGGACGTTCGTCGTGTGGGAGGACTGCTGCTGCGGGGTACTGCGTGATCAGGACAGCCATGGCGGTTTGAGGGCATACTGACATCCTTCCGGTGCATCAGGCGAGTCTATAGAAGCGGCATAGCCTCATGTCTTCAGACCAAATCAAGATAACAACAAATCATTCTGGATAAAAGTCGACATCTGAAAGTTGGCAATCAAGATCAAGCATTGGAGATGGGAGAAGAGAAAAGGAAGAAAGCGAGGGAATGGAACCAATACGCGCAATCTCCGTTTCCTGATTAGGCAGGCGTGTGGACACTAGGCGTCAAGGGGTTCAATCAACCACCACCACCATTCTAATATCTTTGCATCTTCATGTCCCTTAAACACGACTACTGTGGGAGTGAATAAACACCTTTCTCATACCTCCCAGGCTAATTTCCTCTTCATCCCACGAGCCTGTCAAGCCACCGGGCATCGTCTCCACCCCAGAAAAGACCCCACGTCATAGCATACCATCAATCCGCGAGCAAGAAACTGAGCAAAAGCAATCCGTCTCTTCCGGTCACCTCCCTCCACATTACCAGTTATATTCGACGCTGACAACTAGCGTTGCACAGATTAGGCATAAACAATCTACCTCATCCGTATTCGCGCAACCTCACCTCCCCTCCCTGCAGAAATATACCTCTTTGAGCCCATCCAAAAGTGTTCCACGCGATACTCAACAACTGAAGTACATACCCGAAAATCTGCAGATTACCTCATCGCGCCGAAATTCGTGTCACATTGGCTTGGTAGAAACCCTGTGCGGGCCTGGTTTCAGCTATCCGCAAGATCTTGATTCCCTAGGTGGAGTGCATAAGCCTGCCTTGTGAACACCCACCATCGAGTTTCCAATATGGCCCGGCTACGCATAGTCCCGTGGAGAGCTTTACGCCAGCACAGATATCCTAATTTTATCTTAAGTACACCCAATTAGTATAATTTTAGAAACTGCCGCTTGGAATTAGGCAGCGCGGATATGTCCTGGAGAAAAACGTATATATGGGGAGTCATCCACAGTCCGCTCCTAATCAGCCACAAATACTTTCATTTAAAGCAGAACCTATCTAGTCAGTTATCACCATCAACATGAACCTCCTAGCCTCGCTTACTGCATTCCTCTCCCTCCTCTCCCTCATCACTGCTGCCCCGGCGGATCACGTCGATGAGGCCACCCACTCCGCCGTCTCGGCCCTGCAGAAGCGAGACCCCGTTATGTGCACTCCCACCGGAGACGGCTACTGCAACTTGGGCATTGCAACCTACTCTCCGTCCGGCACCTTCAGACTCCGCGAGGTGTATATTTACGACAGATACTGCAAGGAGATTGGGACCCGGCCCCTCAACAACGAAACGGGGCATGTGTCCGTCTACTCTCTGCTTCCCTGGACTGTGGAGGTGAATGTCACCGAGGCTGGAATTATTCCCGGGGGATACTTCTGGTACGCAGGGCGGAAGACAGACCTGGGAAAGAACATGTACTGCAGGAACTGCTCGGGACTGACGGACTGGGAGTGCTGTCAGGCTGCCTTTGACTGCCATTAGGGTTGATCAAGAGGAATAACCTCTAGGGCACTAGTATGGGATATGAGGCGTACGGAAAAGGAAAAGGACAAAGGGAAGGCAATGATATGCTACTTGATTGTACCGAGACATCATTTATTTCCCTTCATTCCGTCCACTACTGTGCAACATACTAGCCATTCCCTAAGTCTAAACCAACAAAGCCCCCGAATCCGACGCCACAATCCTCCCAGTAACATTCCCATCCCTCATCAAATACAGATACGCCTCCGCGACCTCCTCCGCCCTCGCCACTCTACCCGTAGGCTGCTTCTCCGCATAAAAGCTATACATCCCCTCCTTCTCCTCCGCCCCCATCAACGCATCCCACAACCCCGTGTCCACCAACCCCGGACTCACCGCATTCACCCTTATCGGCTTCAAATCCAGCGCCAGGTTCCTCGCTATGCTGCACACCCCGCCCATGTACCCCGCCATGATCGTCCACCCGAGCGACGGCTTCTCCCACACCGTCCCCGTCGTCAGGATAATCGAGGACTCTGGCCCCGGGGAGAGATACCGCGATCCGACCGTCGCGCTCAGCATGGCTGCGATGAACCGTATCTGACCTGCCATGAGGATCTTGTCTCGTGTGATTTCTTGGATGGGGAGGATGGTGAGTGGGTCCGCAGCTGTGAAGATGATGTGGTCGATTTGGGACGTGGTGGTTGCTTTTTGGAAGAGGGTCTCGAGGTCGGCTTCCACGGTGGGGGTGGAGAGGTCGCAGGCGTGACCGGTGATTTGGGCGTTGGGGAATTCGGTGGTTAGGGATTGGATGGTGGATTCGATCCGGGAAGGCGAGGACGAGGAGATGGTTACTCTGGCAGAGGCGGCGAGGGAGAGTTTTGCCACGGCCAGGCCGATGCCTGAGGTGCCGCCCAGGATGAGGATGTGTTTGCCGACGAGGCGGTTGTAGTTGTATGGAGGCGAGGTGGACATGGTGGTGGTTTTGGATGGATGAATTGTTGGGGGGTAGGATTTACTCTCCTGGGAAACTGGGAATGACTGATTGTCCTGGTGAACAGCAGCATGATTGCTTGAGGTAACTATCTCACCTTTATATGTCAGTCCTGATGTATGCCATCCTTAGATGAGGCCATACATTGGCCTTTTTAACTCCGCTAAAGTCCGCCTCAGAGAATATAACTATGGCTCGTTATGGCTAGCTGATATTTTCTGATCCTCAGGCGTGTCTTGGTAATCATGTCATCGGAAAATGTTGCGCAGGCCAACATTTCTAGCGCAAGAAGAAGGCGAAATTCTCTAACGGGTCATCAAAGTAGTATGACTTCGTAGTAAAACGCTCTCTACATACTCTATACACGAGCACGTGACCGAGGCCGGCGTGACTGGAGTGCAACAGTGCAAACAGGCCCGGCCTGAGCGGCTTTAGCTGCAGGCAACCCGTCCGGTCTCCGGACGATTATCTCCATCCCCTCCTGGTCCTGGAGGTCCGGAGATTACACAGCTCCGTCAGCGCTAGTATCGTCAATGTGTTTGTTGATCCACTTTGTACTCTGTACTCTTCAAACTATTCGTCGATCTACTCGTCAATCTGTTTGTCCTGTTTGTCCTGTTTGCGGTGTTTATTGCAGACCCTGTTAGGAAACTGTTTCTAATAGTAGATCCAGGTGGAGTCTCGACCACAATGTGGTTCAGCAATCAGAGCGGTGGTCATCAGGGTCTCGAAAGTCCGACTGACTTCTGGTGTTGGGTTTTGACAAATGTTCCTGGCTTTTTTTTGTCTATTGTTGAATCAAGAATATCCCGCCAGACAAGATGCCTAGTAGTAACCGATTTGCATCGAGATTCGAGAATATAGAGAAATCGGGGGCCTCGGAGCTTGGGCAGCTACAACCAAACCAGCTAAACAAACCAAGCATCCGACTCCGTACTAGCGCCGGCTTTCGGGTTTGTTTCGCTCGTTGATTGGTTGCTCAAAGCCAGCATCCAGTTTGTCTCGCGACCACATATCTCTCGGAGATCGCGATTAGATAGCGGGGCGGCGGGGCACGGGCCCTGGTGTATAGTATACAGCGGTGCCCGGGTATACAATCTGCGGTCCTGGATTCCAGCATAAATAGAATCATGTTCCGGTGTCAGTCTCGTCTTCACTCCAGCATTCACAAGCATCAAAGCATCAGAAAGCATAAACATCACTATCTTCATCATCGATCATCCACCATTCTACACCTCTCAAGCACCACTCGATCTTCATCCACCGACACCATGATTGCAGCTTCGCACGAGAACAGACTGACCGGCTTTGATCTGGTCCAGGCTGACTACAAAACCGTCAAGGGTCATGGTATCCGGGCCGACTTCATCATCCCCCAGTCGAACTATACCGGCAAGCGACCAGTGATCATCCGCTTCCATGGCGGTGGTTTTGTAAGTACACCGGCTTTCTGTCGATATATTCCATCCTAACAGCCAATAGGTCACCGGAGACTCGCTCTTTTGGGACTGGTTCCCCGAATATCTCTTCGACCTCGCCAAGGAGCACGACGCAGTGATAGTATCGGCAAACTACCGCCTGATGCCCGAAGCCACAAGCCATGAGATCATCGAGGATATTGAAGACCTGTGGACTTGGCTCCACTCTTCCGCCGTGGTGGACATCCTGTCATCCTTGGCCACCCCCACAGAGCTCGACCTTGAGCGGATCATCACGGCCGGAGAGTCCGCCGGTGGTGTGCTCAGTATCACTCTTGCGCTGTCTCATCCCGACGAGATCCGCGCCGGCTTGGCAAGCTATGCTCCTGTCGATATGGCTGGCCCCGAGTTCCGCGAATCGCACACCACGCTCCTGCCGGACCTTTCTGACGAAGCGATTGACGATGTGGTTACTAGAGCTGTGGAGGCAGCGAAGCTGGGGAAGGTCCTGTCCTCCGCCGACGTACCCAACCGGCTGGATCTGATGCTTGCCGCTATCCAGGGGGGACGGTTTGTGGAGCTGTGGGAGCGTGGAACGAAGAAGGATTCCCCACGGGCTTTGCGGTATCCCATGGAACGGTTGGATGATCCCGACCTGAAGATCCCACGAGGCGGCCTCTCCCTTCGCCATGGCCTGGCGGATCCCATCGTGAACGCAGGGCAGAGTCGGAAGTTTGTCGAAAAGGCCCGTGCGGTTCTCAAGGGGAAGCCGGGGGGCGACAAGATCCTTGTGGAGCTGCAAGAGGGGGGAGACCACGGCTTCGACGGACACACTCACAGCGATGCGAAGTGGCTGCAGGAGAACCTGCGCTTTGCCCTTGAGGCGTGGCTGGAATAGATGGACGGGCGATCTGGAAAACCTATTTATACTCTATAATTAGCACTGCCTTTAATGTCTACTCGCAATCATGACCATCTTATCTGATTTCATTGTGAGTAGAGTAGCATCGCCTGAACTTCGAGGTGCTCGGTTGTTTCGGGCGACGGAGCGGGTTTGTCTGGATTGGGAAATCCCCGCGCGGGGTATTCGCGGCACGAACGCCAGCAACAACCAGTTTGTAAACTTCAACCAACAGACTTTCCTGGTCATACCCAGGCTTCATCATCGCATCGAGGCATCATGGTTTCCTCAGATTGGAGGGCTAGTCCCTGTTTCTCCATGGCATCCCCACCCTTCAGAATCCACACGGCTTCCCTTCACGATGGGTTCCTCCGCGTGTTGCTTGAATGTCATTGACACCCATGACGAGTGCCTCGCCCAAGAGACCTCGCTTGGTCCTGAAGAAAGAGGCTCTAATAAAAAGGTGGGATGCGGCTATCCAGAGGGTGGCTCAAGAGCATAGAGTGTTACTCTGGGCAATGCTGGGGTGATGTTGTGCACTCTTGGCTACATCAACTCCTGGGGGTATGTATACGCGTTACCTGGATTTCGACACTGACACTCAGTAATGTCTACCAGGCGTACTATGAGAGATTCCCTCTTCGGGACAAAAGTCCCTTGGCGATAGCCTGGATTGGCTCCCTCCAGGCATTCTTCATCTTCAGTGGAGGCCTATTTGGGGGTCCTCTGTTCGATCGATTCGGCGCAAAGGTATACTCGGGGGGCTGGCTGATGGCTTTACTATGTCCCCCCGTCCTGTACGAAAGATGCTAGGAATTTCGGCACGTACATGGGCATGGGCATGGCGGCGGGGTCGATGGCAGTGCTGATCTGGCCTCCCATCTGCGGTGTGATTTACGATCGCTACCATGGGTTTATCCAGGGTTCTACATTTTGTGGGATTGTATGTCTGTTTGGGGGTCTTTTGGTTCTGTTGGTGAAGTTGTTGTCTGGCCACGCTATTGTGTCCATGACATGAGGCGATCCGAAGCCAGCAAACGGGCAGTGGAGGGCTGTAAATAAAAGGTCATGTAGCCTTACTATACGTGTAATCAACTCCTATCCAAGCGATGGACCAGTATGCATGGCACTAGTGCCTGGCTAGGCGGCGTGTTTTAAGGCCGCGCCTCCCGCTTTCTCTCTCTTCTCTTTCTTCCCGTCCGTCATCTCCGTCTCCGTCTCCATCTCCCGTCTTCCCTTCCTCTTCATGCATCCCCACGATTCTGCTACGCGAAAACGCCGACGCCCACCACTGGCTTGCGGCGAGTGTCGTCGTCGCAAAATCAGGTGAGTTCATCTGTCTCGTCCAGCAACTCTGCTAAACTCACCCGCATCACAGATGCGATCGCAAGTCTCCTTGCGTCCATTGCACCCGCTTCAACCGTGTCTGCGCATATGCCGCCGGCACGCCCAAGAAAGTCCCACAGCATGATCGCACCATCGATCTGACCACACCGAGATCGCAAACACCTTCTTTACCACCGCCGTACGTCAAAAATAAAACGGCAGTTGCAGTGTCCTTTGACGCACCACATTCACATGCGTCGCCCGGCTCCTCGACGGATGTTCAAGATGGAACCTCGCAATCTTCATTGCTGGTGCGGGCTCTCTCGGCTCGCGTCAGAGAGTTAGAGGAGAAACTCAACCAGACTTCCAGTCCGTCAAGCGGAGATCGATCGAGTCAGCTGGCAGCTGTGCCATCGGAACCGTCTCCCATCAATGGGACTTTCTTCAAGAGGAGGTTCTTTGGGAACAGTCAACGGTCGATCTGTGAGTACAAGGTATGCTCCCATCACTCTGCTCTTGACGACTGGATCTAAGAGTCAGTTCCGTCCCCTGTTCGCCAGGCTCCTGCGATCCGGATGTCCCGAAAGTGTGGAGGTCCATGAGCTCCTCCACCAATGCAAGCGCCTGGGGCGAACGGTAAAAGCACAGGAGGTGTTCCACCAGCCCGTCTTCACTGATCTCCGCGAGTACGTCCCTCCTCGACAGACTTCAGACCAGCTTGTGCAGGCTTACCTGCGCACCATGGAGTCGGTCTACCGAATCGTACACGTCCCGTCTTTGTTGCGAGCGTATGAGCAGTACTGGGTAGACTCGTCGGCCGCTTCGCCGGGGTTTATCATCACCCTCCTACTCATAATGGCCATTGGCAGCGTGTTCTGTCTTGAACAAAACCAAAACGGCCTACCCGTTTCTCGGGCAGCTGCTTCACACTGGATCTACACAGCCCAGACATGGCTCAGCTCGCCGTTTGAGAAGTCCCGACTGGATATCGACACGCTGCAACTCCACTGTCTCCTTCTTATTGCCCGTCAGACCAACGCTGTAGGGAGCGACCTGGTCTGGCTGGCTGCTGGCACATTATTACGGACCGCCATGCACATGGGCCTTCACATTGACCCGCGTCATATGCCAGATATGCCACCATTCAAGGCGGAAATGCGACGAAGGCTCTGGGCTACAGTTCTCGAAATTAACCTGCAAACCAGCATGGACGCTGGTGGCGTCCCTCTTATCAGCTGCGACGACTACGACTGCGAACCGCCGATGAACATCGATGACGAGCAGATGGAAAACCCTACCCCGCAGTCCACGGAGACATTCACAGAGACATCGCTTCAAATCGCACTTCTCCGATCCGTGCCCGTTCGCCTCCAAATCGCTCGGTTCACCAATGACTTCCGCAGCGGCACGGCCTACGACGAAGCTCTGCGTATGAGCGCAGACCTCACGGCCATTTACCGCCAAAACTCCACTCTCTTCCGAACATTCCACCAGAGCGTGTCTCATCCCACTCCCTTCCAGGCCAGGTTCTTCGATCTGATGACACAGCGCTTCCTCCTCTCTCTCCATGATCCATTTACTATCCGGGCCAAGTCCAACCCGATGTACTGCTACTCCCGACAAATCGGTCTCCAGACCTCCCTCCAGATCCTCAGCCCATTCACAACCGACGTCCCCGACGCGGAGATCGACCAAGACTACAAATCCCTCTTGCTCCTCGGTGCGGCTCTCTACCGCGACGTCACCATCCAAGCCATCTGCACGGTCGCCGACGAGGGTCTCAGCAACCTAGAGGAGAAAAGCTCCTCGCTGACAGCACTTGGACCTAGCCCTTCACTCGACCCACACCTGCTGGCCGTCCGCGCCATCGTGGAACGATACACGGTCTACAGCATGGGACGCATCCGCGCGGGCGAAACCAACATGAAGGGATACCTGATGGCAGTGTTCTTCCTGGCTCATATCGACGCGAGAACGAACGACGTGCCCATTGATCCGGCGGTGTACGGGGCAACTCGGTCGGCGTTGAAAACGTGCATCGGTCTACTAGAGGATATGGTAGAGAAATCTACCCGGGGCTCTGATCCCGATATTCCTAGCGTGAACATTGAGGATACCACGGAGTCGTTCAGTCCGAATGACTGGCTTGCGACGGATGAATTGGTGGGTGTCTCTGCTCTGTGAGGTGCGTTTGGGATCAATGCTGACTTGTTGCAGGACCTGGATGTGAATTACTGGCTTGCCATGCACGGTATGATCTAAGTATCAGCCAGGGTGTTGTCACTAAGAATCCCTGCGGGGAGCTCTCATTTTCTCGGCCGTTTTCCTCTTACATGTACAGGATCAAGCATACACATATACCCAACCACCCATCTACTATACCATCTACAATTTACAATCATCCCATCCCCTCATCAACGCAAGTAGTATCAAAACCCAATCAGCATCCATTCCCTCAAAACAAAACAAAACTCCCATAACCTAAAACATGATACCCTATCATACATCAACCCTTTGCTTTTCCACCCAAATCCTTCCTTCATCATCATCATCTCATCATAACAAAACATAGCACTCCATAACCATCCATCCATCCACCCATCCATCCACACCCCCTACCCAAAACCCAACACAAAACAAGAAGTCCTCAACTCCGTCCTTGAGTAATATTACTCAATCCCTAGCTTAGAACCCCTCCTCCTCCTCATCCTCCAAATCCTGTATCCTCCTCGTGCCCCCCGCCATGGAATCCCCGCCCGGCGCCACCGGTGCCGGCAACGCCTGCTCCCTGCCGCGCGAATCGTACCGCCGCTCCTCGAGCACCGGGTCCTCGCCCAGATTCTGGTATCCGGATCGCACGGTCGTGTAGCCCGAGGGGTCCGTCTGCGAGGTCTTGGCGCAGCGGTGGCCTGTTACTCGGGGGGAGTCGTTGCCGTTGCCGCTGCCGCTGCCGAGGCTGAAGTTGCTGGAGGTGGAGGTGTAGGTTGAGTAGGAGGATGAGGAGGAGGAGGAGGTGGTGGTGTGGAAGGGCATGGTGGTGGTTTTGAGGTTTTGGTGGTGGTTGTTGTTTTGGTGGTGTGGTGAGGTTTTGATTGTTGGTTGGTAGATAGGTAGATGTGTAAATGCGTAGAGTGTTCGACGGTGAGGTATGAATATAAAGTATGAATATATGTATGTACTATGTGTATAGATGGATGGATGGATGGATGGATGAATGGATATATGTATATTATCACCCACGACACGACCTCGAATTATCTTTCTTTCGTCGAGAGCAGCAGCAGCAGCAGCAGCAGCAGTAGTAGCAGCAGTAGTAATAGTAATAGTAGGTAATAGGTAGATAAATCCCTTCGTCAAAAAAGTCTTCACACAAACTGCACTAAGTTTCACTGAATTCCTTAATCAAGAGAGAGAAGGGAGGGAGGTAGTGATGGTGAGCGGTTTATAAGTCGCGACCGGCCCACTCATGACATCACAGCCCTCGCCACCACCACCACCACCACCAGGGCATGCCAGAACCACCAAGCGACTCGGGGTATGAAGTCAGTCAGTAGTAGTACAAAGTTCGTTGGTTTATCCGAAGCCGATGGTATCGTACATTTCATTTCATTTCATTCATTCATTCATTCATTCATTCATTGGGTGAGATGAGATGAGATAATAAATGGTAGTTGAGTAGCTGATCATTGGTGGGGGCATGTTGATGTCGTCGCCTACACATCAGCATCAGCCAGAGGGTTTGTGCTTGGGATGATTTTCATCGAGCGGTGGTGTTTGCTCAAGAATTTCATGGGAAGGGTCTACTTTATCCTCTAGAAGGAAAGGGTATTCCAGTGTTCAGTGTATACATTCCATGGGTAGGTACTACGAATATCAATATCAAGGAAGGAGGAGGAGGAGGAGGAGCTTGTTGATTCGATAGATCTAGATAGCTACCCGCATCGACATGCTGTGCGGGTGTTCTCCGAGCATCCAATCCAGAGATGGGGCCATCGGATATCTATCACATTCAAAGCACAGTATCCCCCAGATCCCTCTTTCAGCACGGTACTACTCCGTAGTTAATCCTACGATTGGGATTGTTCAGACCAGCTTGGGTAATGTTCGTGTTATTATCTCTATCTAGCAACGTACCGCGGTCCTAAGAATAAGGACAGAGTAGCTCGTCTCCCCTTTTGAAAGAGGGACACTAAAAGAAAAGCAAAAGAAAAGAACATGCGTTTTAGAAACGCCTTCCCTTTGAAGGGGAAAGAAAAGAAAAAAAAAAAAAAACCAGAAGAAAAGACATGCGTTTTGGAAACGCCCTCCCTTCGAAGGGGAACGAAAAAGACGAAAAGAAATGCGTTCTGAAAACGCCTTCCCTTTGCAGGGGAAAAAGACAAAAAAAAACAAACCGCTAATCGGCAGAATCAGCAAAACAAGCTATCCCAAAGACATAAAGGTGAATCTATCGAGAGACATAACTAAGGGTGTATCTTTTCACACCGCGATCTTCATAACGTCCTGATCCAATATCTATCATGCTCAGCTCTCTATTCAGAGCATCGAGATTTCCATCCATGTGGCCGTAATGTGCAGTGGTCGGCGCCGGGTGGGTATGCATATGATCGCCCGGGGGAGGGGGTGGCACGTAAGCGTGCGCGGCGATCGATGACGAAGAAGGAGAAAGAGCTCCCTCAGAGGATGGAGTCCACGCGGGAGTGTGTCCGTGGCCGACCGGAGGGATCTCCCGGTGGACGGGGCTGCGGAAGCGTACAACGACGCCCGGCTTTTTCTTGGTTTTTCGTTCGGGCTCCGGGGCCCAAGTTTCGGTTGGAAGGAAGTCCGAAGGATCGATTTCGCGGCCGTCGTCGCCGATGATCGGGCCCGCTTCCTGTGTCGCTTCGACCTCGCCGCGTCTAGTCACCACCATTGCCTGCGACATGTCCTGCGCAGGGCGTGGACGCAGAGCCCGATGCCCCGGGTTGAGGCTGTTGAAGCTGTCCGGCCCATATGGCGGCGAATACCCCGCCACCAGCGGCGCCGGCAGCGAGGCTGGGGGCTCCGCCTCAGAGGAAGAGGCAGACGCATAGTATTCAGAGGTGTGAAATGAGGCCGTTGAGGCCTGTGAGAGTGAAATGGGCCTCTTTTCTTTTGGGGCGTAGAATGGGTCGGTCATCGGATTTGGGAAAGCGTCCCGATGAACGGGAGGGGGTGGCGGTGGGAGAGACTCTTCTTCATCTCCGAAGAAATCCTCCACTCTCGGTTGCATCATTTTGAAATCTGGGTGCAATCGTTGGAGCTCCGCGCGGTAGTCAACGGGTGGCTCGCCGTAGATGATGCCGGAGCTGGAGCATTCGCTCATGGCAACCGGTGAGGACAAGTCGGAGGTGTGCGGGCTGCGAGGTGGAAGGTATGGCATCACAGTTGGTCCGTCGGCGAGATCCATCGGCCAGTTGAGAGGCACAATATCGGCCAGCTCTCTCTTGTGGGTGTACGAATGACCGGCGGGCAGCGGACGTCTCTTCACATCCTTCAACTGCCTGGGCCCCGAGACCCCAGATGAAGTGGCCGAGGAGACTGAGCTGGCTGAGACCGGGGTGAAGCCAGTCTTCCTCGGGTAGACTTTTTCGGCTGCGTGGGTCCTCCGTTCAATCACAGCCTCGTCTTCGGGTCGCGTGTCGTAGTAAGTCATTTCAAGGCGGACCTCGCCTGCGTATTTTGCCCGATACTGCAACGGGTGCCAGTGGTCGTTCTGACTCCCCCCGGGAATGATGAGTGGTTTGAGGTCGATCATGGTTTCGCCGATCAAGTCTGTTTTCTTGTCGTCGTTGAAGACCGATACCTTCAGTTTGAAGTAGTCCGGGGACTCGTGGACGGTGTAGCGAAGTTCTTGGTCCCTGCAGCTTGTTAGCGACCGACCGACCGATCGAGGCCCCGAGGAAGGATGCCTACCATCTGGGAGTCTGACCACCTCGCAGGTCTGTTTCGGTTTTTTTTGCTTCTTTTCCAAGGCGCGCAGCACAGTAAGGGTTCTGCTTGCCCATCGTTTTTCTGTTTGGCAGGTTCTTTGCGCGGTCGACGATGACGACCAGGGTGCCTATAGCAGGGCCGTCGACGGACATGTCCGCGAAGATGCCAGCGGCGTGCGCCATTGAGGCACGCTTGGCCATTGTAGAAACGAGTGAGGGAGGTGAGCAATGTCAGAAGAATGAGTGTGAACGAGTGTGTTTGTGAGACTGTCTATCGCAAGCGAGTGAAGATTGCAAACTGATATGGAGAAGAAGAGAGAGAAGAGAGAGGGACGAAGAAGAGAGAGAGAGAGAGAGAGAGGAGAGGGAGGGAGGGAGAGAGGGAGAGAGGGAGCGCTGAGGGACGACATCCTGGCGTTAGAGTTCGGGGGGCAAAAAAAGGCCTTATCGATAAGGTACGTCAGGCTTGGTGGCCGTTTTGATTGGGCGGCCAGCTGTCAGAATTGAGGGGGTTGGGCGTGTCCCGTGCAGGGCGGTGGCTGGGGGTGGGTCTTGGCGGGCCGCGGCCCCAGCTGATCTCCCGGATTAGGTCAAGATTGCCCTGTACAGTAAGTTACCGGTAACTTACCGCTTTTCCTCTCTTCTATTGGCCGCAACTGCTTTCCGCCTGAAGTCGTAGTACCGTCATCGTACCGGTTTTGTCAGAAGCGGCCTCTGGTCGCAGCCAGTAGCAGCCGACCAGCCACTGCGCCCACCTCAGTATGATGGCAGACGCGCCGAAGCATTTCTCGTCGGGACACCCCCATTGGCTCCCTTGCTTGTGAGTCAATTGTTTGATTTCTGTGACTCGACTGTCCTGCTTGTGATCAGAACATTGCCGAGACCCATGACAGGAAAGGTACCTGACGTACCGGTGGTGCGCGGTGGATAGCATCGCTTCCGGCTCCGAGGCTCCAACGCTACGACCACCTCGCTGTCGCTGCAGGTTTGCTCTGTCCGACCCCGTTGCGTACGTCATTCCAACCGTAGTTCGGAATGGGCCTTCTGAAACTGAGGCGTGCGTAGTCGTCAGCGAAGGTGGAGGGAGGATGGGTCATCGGCTGTCATGTATAGTAGTATGCCAGCCACTCGTAGGCCAACATGCGCACGATCGAAGCCGGACGCCGATGCCATGGTTGTGCGAAAAAATCATCGTATGCGATGGTCCGCGGTGCCCATTGCTTATTTTGCTTGACCTTGCCATTGACCAGTAGGACGGTGGGCTCGGACATGCCTCTGGTTCCGGCGATACTGAGTACGGTCTAGGTCGATCTTGGAATCCTCCACGTGGGAAATATGCTTGCTGGCATTCCAGATGGATCGACGTGGCTGATCGGCTCTGCACGGCCGGGCCATGGATGGGGCGCGACCGGGATGCTCCCTGCGCTGCCAGTGGTTGGCACCCAACGAACTCAACCGTGTCCTTCGGCCGGTACCTGGCAGATGAACTTACGAGTCAGACCCTGACGTCGTGGACCGTAAAACAAGGCAGGGGAAATGACACGGGATCTCCGCGAAGGAGAAGGAAAATTCTCGGCGACAGAGAATATGGAGAAGTCCATACCAGGCACCCATCTCCACACCATCCATTCCAGGTCTCTGATGCATACCCAAGTAAAGGCGACGCCTGCCCAATCATGTCCCGGCCCACACTGATGCATGAATGTTTCAGTCGATCGAGTCCTGGTCTCATTTCAGCGGCATTGCATGACCAGGGTGGGTGCCTAGACCGTGAGATGGATGCTGTCGTCGACCTCGACCGAGGCGGCTCAACTGCTCAGCAGCGTCATGTCGGTCATGCCTGACTCGTCACGAGTGGATATCAGTTGTGTCGCGACGCGCCTTAACCTCCAGTGGATGCTTTTGTGACGCATTTTCTCTTCAGCTGGTGTACTTGGACAATAGAAGCGACCGTACATCTCGTAACACTGAGCCGTCTAGACTGTCCCGGCTGCCGACCAGCCAGACCAGACGAGGTTATCCTCCACGATGCATCACGACCATTTCAGCGCCTTCAACCTCTTCTCCAGCCGGCGTTCCTGGACGCTCAAAGCGACAGCACCTCCCACAGCCCCGAGACACCGAGCCCTCACCTTCGCAACAGCGACAGCAAGGCAAGACCACAACCAGAAAACCTCATCTCCACGGCCCCAATCAACCATGACGTGTCCAGCCACCTGCAGCGGTCCAGAACAGCATTATATCGTAACGAGTGACTTGTCTGCGCGACTGCATGTATAAGGATGCGTCTGCTGCCAGCATTAACGACAGTTGGCAGGGCACTGGGCAGTAAAGATAGCTAAACGAGGGCAAAGGTGATGATATGGAGGTGCTCAGGTGAGTTGCAGGTCTAGGCCTTCTACTACTACTAGTACTAGTAGTGCTAGGATAAGCGCTACTGCTGCTACTGCTGCTGTTGTCGCCCAAAGGGGCTGTTGCGTTGTCTTCGAGGAGGGAAGCTGCGTCCCGTTGCTGCCGTGCCACACCAGTCGGATATGGGTGAACTGCCAGACTTGTTTGATTAGTAGCAGGTCTACAAAAGGGTGATATGTATAGTTATGCAGTAGGCAGTAGTATTTGAAAGATATTTATGGAATGGGGGGGGCTTTGTGAGGATATTATTTACTAGTATCTACTATCTAGGAACTGGTAGTCTGGTGGTGACAGACCAAACAGACCACTCGACTAAAAAGGTGTCCAGACACCTAAGTAGGCGTGATACTGAGTGATACTAGGTTTGACAGGTGGTCTAGGGTGGTGAGTGCACTATGGGACACTATGGGATTATACCCTTCAAATCCAGCGCATCCAAGCCCTCTAGTACTTTTTCCTCCACTTCATCACTATTTATTTTCTCTAACCAACGAACAAGACACTATAATAAGCCTGAAAAACTAATAACTGCCATCTCCAGCGAAAAAAAATGTCGGTTATTGATCCTTCGGAGATACGGCGAATATATTTCCGTATGCGACCGACCTCTCCCTCACTACTTGCACTATGAAGGGATCAATTGAAGGTCCCATTGTAGAAACAAAAACAAACCCCGGATACAAACCAGAATTGAACAAAATAAGCAAAAGTCCTATGACATATTACTATATATTGCTATTTCACCCTCAGATCATCGAACCTGCTGCCAGACTCGACAGTTTAGTCTGCTACTCGACAGTCAGACCGCGCTAGGCCCGATTTGGCACGCGATAGAAACTTTTCGGGATGGGATCGGATTTTGAGCTTTGCGGCGGAAAACCTCTTGCAACAACCCGACCACAACGACGCCGACCAACGCTCCAGGGCGGATGGACTGATACGAATAACACTCCCACCTTTGACACACCTCTCCGCATCTAAAACCTCGACCAACGCCCTCCCCCCCAACAAACCACTCAAGCCACCGCCAGCCCACCACAGGCCAGGCTCACACCCGCCATGGCGGCCCCCGTCCTCCCACTGCAGCAGGTGAAGCTGCCCGCGCTGCCATCCACGAAACTGACCCCGGAGCAACAATACTGGAAGACATTCAAGAACCCGCTGCTGATCCCATCGCCGGCCAACGGACCGGTCAACCTGATCACACAACCGTCCGCGCCGTCGTCGGCGTCCGCCTTTCCGTCGCTTAGCCAGCCGCCCGACGTGTTCACGGTGACCACGGGCGCACGAGTCCAGATCTACTCCATCCGCACTCGCAAACTTCTCCGCACAATCACCCGGTTCGATGACACGGTACGGGGCACGGATATCCGGCCGGACGGGCGCGTGATCGCCGTCGGAGACGACACGGGTACCGTGCAGGTGTTTGACGTGAGCTCGCGCGCGATTCTGAAGACTTGGAGGGAGCACCAGCAGCCCGTGTGGGTGACCAAGTTCTCGCCGAGCGATCCGACGTCTGTCCTGACGGCTAGTGATGACCGTACTGTGCGGTTGTGGGATCTCCCGACCGAGAACAGCGCGAAGGTCTTTGTTGGTCATACCGATTACGTGCGCAGCGGGGCGTTCATGCCTGGGTCGCTGGCCTCGTCGGGGCTCGTCGTGTCGGGTAGTTATGATCGCACTGTGCGGTTGTGGGATCCCCGTGTCGAGAACCGCTCCGCGATGACTTTCAAGATGGGCGCCGCTATCGAGACCGTCCTCCCCATGCCTACCGGTACGACGGTGCTGGCTGCGGCGGATAACAAGATCGCCGTGCTGGACATTGTGGCCGGAAAGCCGCTCCATATGATCCAGAGCCACCAGAAGACTGTCACTTCGCTGGCGCTGGCCTCCAACGGCGAGCGTCTGCTGTCCGGTGCGCTGGATGGCCACCTGAAGGTGTTCGAGACGACGGGCTGGAACGTGGTGTCCGGGTCCAAGTACCCGTCCCCGATCCTGTCGCTGCGGGCGATCACGTCGGGGGTGGCGCAGGAGGACAAGCACATCGCGGTGGGCATGCAGTCCGGGCTGCTGTCGATCAAGACGCGGCTGTCCGGGCAGCAGAAGATCAAGGACAAGGAGCGGCGCAAGGAGATGCAGGCGTTGCTGGAGGGCAAGCTGGAGGAGCACGACCGCAAGGTGGCGAAGCAGAAGAAGGCGCGCGGGTCCGGGTGGGAGAGGCGGCTGCGCGGGCGCGACTTCGTGGGCGAGGGGGTGGACATCGTGATCGACGGGCAGGACCGGAAGAAGCGCAAGAAGGAGCAGAGCTGGGAGCACGACCTGCGCAAGGCGCGCTACTCGGCGGCGCTGGACGCGGTGCTCTCGTCGACGGACAAGACGGCGCAGCTGACGGCGCTGACGGCGCTGCGGCACCGGTCGGCGCTGCGGGCGTCGCTGCAGAACCGCGACGAGGTGACGCTGCAGCCCGTGCTGCAGTGGGTGCACAAGAACATCATGGAGCCGCGGCTGGTGAAGCTGAGCGTGGAGGTGGCGATGAACGTGCTGGACATCTACTCGGGGAATCTGGGGCAGTCGGCGCAGATCGACAAGATGGTGGAGCGGCTGCACCGGCGGGTGCGCGAGGAGGTGGAGATGGCGCATCAGGCCAGCCAGACGAAGGGGATGCTGGATATGTTGCGGGCGTCCTAGTTAAAAAGCATTCTATTTTCGGATACCTGGGAAGGAGTTTGGGTTAGAAATGATTTACTACTACACCTATCTACACCAACCTAATAACCCTTCCTATACACAACCCATACTGTAACCACCCACCATCCCCAGTAAGTAACCCAATCACCACAACCACCACCACAACCACAACCACAGCCACAGTCCAATCACTCCAAACAATCAAACAGTCTCGAAAACCCCTCCCCACTCTCCGGCGGCTGCAACCAATTCCTCTCATCATACACCCAACCCTCCGCGCCCTCAATAACATGAAACGTATAAGCGAACCGACTCCTCGGCCCGGTATTCTTCTCACTCTTATGCAGCACATTGCCATGAATGAGCACCAACGAGCCAGCCTTGATATCCAGAACCTCCAGATCGTCCTCATTGCCCAGCGCCGCGCCCAGCTCGTCCTGCCCATCCACAACCCCAGCAGTAGTAGTATCCGTACCCTCCTCCTGCTCCAACCCCCTCGGCATCTTGGCCCCCTCATTCCTCACAAACTCGGTCCCACTGCCACTCCCCTGACTCTTCCTCACAAACCTCCTCCGCACCCTCTCCCCCAAATGACTCCCCTTGTACATGCCCAGGGTAGCATTCCCAGGCCCAGCGTCCTGCAACGCAAACCACCACCCCACCGCGCTCGGCGGATCCGTGTACAAGAACTCCGAGTCCTGGTGATTGGGCACCGCGCCGCCGATCCCGGGCTGCTTGCAGATGACCATGCTCTGGAGGACGCGCGGGTCCTTGAAGCCGAGGGAGTCCGCGATGGCGGCGTTCTTGGCGTTGAGGCTGATGGACGCGAACGGCGGGGAGAGGGTGTGGAGCGAGTGGCCGATTTTGTTGACGGCGAGGTGTTTGGGTTTGCTGAGGGTCGGGGTGGGGTGCGGGTTGGTGGGGTGGGGGAGGGGGTGGTGAAGGCGTCGGGTTCGAAGAAGTAGCGGATTTTGTCGCCGGAGGTGAGGAAGTAGGAGTCGCCAACGTGGGAGGTGGAGGCGCGGGGGTCGTCGCCGGTCGTGAATTGCGTGAGGGGGTGCGTGGAGAGGTCGAAGGTGGTGAGGAGTTGGTCGGTTTCGGTCAGGCAGGCGGTGATTTCTTCCGGGGTGAGGTAGTTGGGTAGCACGAGGTAGCCGTTTGCTCGGAAGGTGGCGAGTTGGGTGGGGGTTAGGCCGGGCATGGTGGTGGTGGTGGTGGTGGTGGTGATGTTTTGAGGATGGTGAGGTGGGAGAGGGAGAGGGAGAGGGAGAGGGAGAGGGAAGTGGGAGGAGAAGCGGGGGTTAAATATTCAAGTGGGCGCCTTATCGGGGGTCGCCGCGCTCTCGGCATGGCTTCATGCAGTGGGCCATAGCGAAGGGCCTGACACTGACACCTGTTGGACCTTCCCTGATGGGTCCTGAGGTCAATAAGAGTTACTCCAACGCAAGATAACTCCATAGAATATCATCACTGAGCAGGAACACAAGTGTATAACCAGACAACCACTATCAATAATCCCAGAACCACCAGTACGCAGTCCTCCGAAGCCAGATCCAACCAGATACCAGATAGATAGCCCTAAACTACAACAACAACTACATCCATCCATCCACCACCCCCAAACATCATCCCAAACACCACTACCCCCCCCCCCCTCCCCAAGAGCAATCAATCCATTACTAACCCCATGAAAATAGACAATAGTGACCGGATAGGCAGTAGTGACAGCGCTAACCCCCCAGAATCCCCCGGAATCCCCCGCTCCCCCCCCAAGCGGAGCGTTACGCGACCGTGCCCAGCCAGTTCCACCCCCAGTTTGGACTCATTATGCCCCCATATAAAGAAAGAGAAGCTCTCATATATCGCGCTCATATACCACTCACTCACTTACTTGGCGGGCCGCGAGACGAACCGATCTTCTCTCTACATACTCATGTCCACTTCCGATTTCCGACTCCCGACTCCCGACTTCCGACACGCATAGCTTCATTCGGATAGTACATGCGTTTATTCTTGTTTATCTTGTTTATGAGGGTATGCAGATGAAAGTTGATAAGAAGAAGACAGAATTAGAGAGCAAGAGACAGAGAGGATAGAGAAAGGAAGGAAGGAAGGAAGGAAGGCTGGACAGGTATAGCCCGGATTTACTGTGAGGGGAGAAGGTAAAGAGAGAGGGAGAGAGGCAATCTTGATATTGATATTGATATTGATATTGATATCAGAATCAGAATCAGAATCAGAACCATGGCCCGCTGTCTGCGTCCACGGGCTCGCGGGTCTGCCATCACCAACACGGCGACTGGCAGCACCAGCACCAGCACCAGCACCAGGCTGAAACAAACCAGCAGATCTCGAACAACCAGACAGGCCACGAAGGGTAACCCGAAACCCAACCCGAAAACATCTCTCAACATCACCACCACCACTACAGCGAATAAAGACACACGCACACGCTCATCCGCCACATCCTCTCCGCTGTCCACGCCTCCATCAACCCTATCCACGCAATCCCCGCCCTCCCACTCCCACTCCCACTCCCCAACCCCGAACTCGAACTCAACAAGCCAGTTCTCCACCATCAATACCCCAGAATCAGCATCAAGCAACCCCTCAGACACAGTTGACGCCTCACCCATACCCACACAGACACCCACACAGACACCAGCAGCATTACAGACACCAGCAGCATCACTATCACTATCACTATCAAACAAACCCAGACCCACAAATCCACAAGCAGCCCCCCAAATAACATGCTCCTTCACCCCCTGCACGCTCCCAACCGCGCACCACCGGAAACTGATCTCGCACATCTTTGGGCGAAACAAAGCCAGCACGAAGCGGATCCCACCAGACATGTGGATCTACTACTGCCGGAAACACTACCAGCGGGCGCGGTACCGGTCCGCGCGGTGGCCGTTCGTGCAGTGCGATCTGGTGCTGGAGAGTCTGCGGCGCATGGAGCGGTGGGGGCGGTTGGTGGGTTCGAGGTGAAACTGCGCAGGAGGGAGGCGGAGAGGTTGCGGGTGAGGATGCCGATGCCAATGCGATTGGGGGGGGAGGGGGGAATATAGGGGTTAGCGGGGAGAAGAAGGGGAAAGAGAAGGGGAAGGGAGGTGGGAGTGGAGGGAAGAAAGGGAATGGAGCTGCAGCTGGGGCTGGGACTGGGGGAAAGAAAGGCAAAGGGTCGAAGACGAGTATACCCGGGCCGGTGCCGGAGTGGTTGGTGGGCGAGGTTGGGAGGAAGTCATTCGAGGAAGTCAGAGAGATTGTGGGGAGGATTAAGGAGGAGTTGAGTGTGGAGGAAGAGGATGGGAAGGACGAGGAGGTGAGGTTTCCGGATATTGAGATTTTGCCGGTGTTTCATGCGGAAGAAGAAGAAGAAGAAGAAGAAGAAGAAGAAGAAGAAGGTCAAGGGGTTTGAATGGTGATGTTGAGGATTATCGATATCCAATGTCGCGTTAATTGATTGCTGTTGAAGAATTCAAAATCGCATTACTTCACTGCGTTTCGCTTCAATCCACTGTATCTCTCAATCAATCCACTCAGGCATTAAATCATTATACGTCGAACCCGACTGACTATCTACCTCCCAAATTTCAGCCTCAGCCCAAGACCATACATAACAAGCAGCACAGCTGAAAGGATCCACCAACAAACACAGACACACAGACAAACAGATAAGAAAGGGACATACTGCAAAATCCCAACGCCATCATTATTATCACATAGCATCGCATTGCATCGCATTACATATACCAAATCATATCAAATCACAACTGGTCCGGAATCAACTCGTACCCGCCCTCGGAGGGCAACGTCTGCGCCGCCAGGATCAGCGCTGCGGCGCAAACCAGACTCACGCACCAGCTGGCAGTGCAGTATATCCACGACTCGTCGAGTCGCCAGCCGACGAAGAACCGTTTTTCGTTGTCGAAGAGGTACGCCTATGCTTAGGTTAGCATTGCAATAAGACCACTGCCCAGTTCATCACTACTTCCTTCCCCCCCCTTTTCTCCTAAGTGAAAGGAAAATGTAGAAAACCCACCATAAGCGCCATACTCGCCGCCTGCACGACAGCAGACAAAATTATCAACAAACTAAGCACCTTCCACCCGTTCTCCCTGAGGCGTTTCCCGCCGGACAAGACGATCAGAAAGGCAACCATGCTCATGCCCTCCAGCACGACGGCAAACGACATCAGGAAGCCGACGGACCGCCACATGGAGCAGAAGTAGCGGTCGCTGCCGTGGCAGTCTTCGCGCTGGGGGAACGGGTGACATTGTCCGTTGACGGAGGAGCAGCGACGGTGGAGGCCGTAGGAGTAGTAGATGGAGGGCTGTGGAAGGATAATTCGTTAACTGTTGGTGCGCTGAAAGAGAGTATAGGCAGGTAGGCAAGTAGGCAGGCAAGCACAACGAACCTCTTGATCATGATACGTCACCCATTTCGGAATGACGATAGATGCAACGGTTAGACCGAATGCTGTTGCGCGGAGTGGAGAGAAGTGGTTAGTTAATTCTTTAGTTCTTCATCGATGTCTGTGCTCTGTAGTGGTTGGTCGGTGCGACGCGAATCCGGTATGCGACAGACAGACAATCAACCGCTCAATCGCTAGCTACAGAGCTAGCGACTAGCAACCTGCCAAGTATCGTATCGTATCGCATCGCATCGCAACGCAACCAGCGGAGCGAATAAGGGGGAAGGGAAGGACTCGAGAAAAAAAAAACCTACAAACAAAAAAGACAATTAACGAGGCCGTATAAACAATGGTCTTGGTGAGAAACCCCGTGTAATTGCGATCTTCCCCTCTCGGCACCAGATGGAAATCCATCTCGGCGGGGGAAGGGCGATGACGACAGCGGAGCAGGCAGCGGCGAGGGAGGTCCTGTCCGGATGGGCGGGGAAGAGGGAGGAATCGAGGATGGGATGGGATGGGATGGGATAGGATAGGATAGGATAGGATAGGATGGGATGGGATAGGATAAGATGCAAGAGGAGGAGGAGGAAGAGGAGGAGGAAGAGGAGGAGGAAGAGGAAGAGGGATGGATTGGACGATGATCCGGTGGAAGGAGGACCGTTCAAGAGGATTGATTGAAGCAGGGCAGGTCAGGTGCTGCTTGCTGACTTGACGGGGAGGAGCTGAGGAAGCTTAGCTTAGCTTGGCTGGTCGTCCTCCCTAACGGCTTCAACGGTCAATCATCCCACTTCCCACTTCCCCATTTCCCACTTCCACTCCTCCTCCCTCGGCAGGTGCAAGAGCAACAGCACGAGCAGACCCGGCAAGAAATACCCCCAGGATCCCAAAAGGAACCGAGAGGGGAAAAGAAAACCAGTCCGACTCTGGTGTGACACGCCGATCCGAAGGGTGCCGGTGCCAGTGCCAGTGCCAGTGCCAGTCCGGCCTGATGATCCGTCCCATCATACTATCCGTACATACTATACTACTACTTACTCGATTCCGCTCCCCAGCAATGCCATGCATGCAATGCAAGGCCATGCAATGCCATGCAATGCTCCTTCCAGCTGGTCACAGAAATTCCCTCATTCCATCCAAGCTTCCCCCTCCCCCACTAACAACCTACATACTAGTACACTGACCTGACCTGATCTGACCGTCGATCCATCGCAAAGCGGGGATGACCTCGAACCGGTTCGGTTCGTCTGCGTTGCACTGCAGCTGAGCTGCGGCCGGCCTGATTGTGCGAGGCAGGCAGGCAGGCAGGTAGGCAGGCAGGTAAGGTAGGCAGGTAAGGCAGGCAGGCAGGCAGGCAGACAGGCAGGGTGCCGAGCCAGGAGCAAGGGGTGGGAACGAGCACGAGCACGGGATCCCCTCCCCGGAGCTTGATTGCCTGTCTCAAGCAGAGTGTCGACTGATCGATCCTGACTGACCGAGCCGGGGAATGCCCGACCGGCTGGAGGGGCCACCTGCGCCTCCCCGTTCCTTGTTAGCCTCCATACTACTTACATCCTAACATACTAGTAGAGAATACCAGGTCCATGCATGGCTCTTGATTATGGCTCTCTATTGGACGGTGGTCGACTGCATCGCATCACCTGCATACACATTTATAAATACCGTGAACAGTCACCCGATCGTAAGAGAATAGTAAGTAGTTAATCTACAATTCAACTTCAGCCGGAGCTGGTGAGAGAAGGCCATGATGATACACGGGAAATTGGAAAGCAGCAATGCAAACGCACGCATCAGAAGTAGCAAGAACAACCCCAAAGCACCGCACCCAGAAGGGAGAGAGAGAGAAAGTCCGTCATCGGCCAGCGGAGAGGTAACGCCGTTCCCGCCAGGCCATCCGTCCAGTGCGCCGCGCCCTCGCTCGTCCCGCTCATTCCGCTCGACTCCGCTGGATCATCGCACGGAAGTCATCGTTGCTCTTTTTCGTGGCCTGCCCCTCGCTCGTCATCGTGGTCGTCGTCGTCGTTGATGTCGTCGTGTCCTTGTCCTTTGGCGCCGCTCCGCCCAGGGTCCGCTTCACGCCCAGCCCGCCGCGTTTGCCGCCGCGCGTGCCAGGCTGCCCCGGGCGCTTGATCGGTCCCGCCAGAGGGAAGAGGCCGCCGGGCTTGTCCTTGGACTTGCCCGCCACGCTGGGCCCGCCGCCCTTGCGCTCCGCCGACTGTTTCAGCATCTCCGGCACCGTGCCCACGTGCAGCTTCCGCCCCGGCGCGATCTCCTGCCCTTCCAGCCCCAGCGACGCCTTGCCCGCCTCATGCACGTCCGCGAACTCCACGATCGCCCCCTGGTGGTCCGGCCGCAGCACGATCTTGATCAGCTTGCCGTACGGCTCCACCAGCGCCCGCACCCGGGCATCGTTGACCGTGTCAGGAACATTCATCAGGCCCAGCGTGCGCGCCGTCCGGTCGCTGTTCGGCACCTCCTCACTCATCTCGCGCTTCAGACCGTTGACTTCGACCGAAGGGGACCGCGACGGTCCGACACGAGACAGGATGGTCGTCGCGCTCCGTTTCGCTCCTTGCGGCGTCGACAGCTTCACATGAAGGTGGCGTGACCGGAACTCCTGTTCGTGCATGACCAGCGATGCCTCGGCTTCCTCCTGTAGACAGCGTTAGCAAGCCCTCGCCCACACGCACCCATCGGGACCTACCTTGGAAGAGAAGACCACGTAGCAGAAGCCCTTGCTGCCACCATCTACCTTACGCGGAATGCGCACGAGCTCCACGCTCCCGAAGCGCAAAAACAGCTCCTCCACGTCCTGTTCACTGGCTTTCCAGTCCAGATTCGACACGTGAACCTCACGGCCTTCGTACATCGGCCCGTGACGGTCCTGTTTGCGTGTCGGATCCGAGATCTTCGCCACCAGGTGTAGGCCGTTGCCCACCGTAGACCCGTCTAACGTCGTGGCGCCGTACGCGTCCCCGGGCGTCTTGAACTGGACGTAGCAGAACCGCCGGTGCGTGTTATACTTCAGGGATGGGAAACGGATATCGAGGATTTCGCCGTGCTACGGTCCGTTAGTCCACGTTAGAACCAGAACAACATTAAGGGAAAGTCACCTCACGGAACAAGTCGCGGATATACTGCTCATCGGCCGTTGCGGGGAAGTTGGTCACGAACAACGTGGCGCCCGCCCCGAATTGTACCTCGATCGTGTGCTCGTCGATGGTTTTCTGATCGCGGGTCTGGGCGACGACCGCCTCGTCCTTCGAGTTGAATTCAAGGATGGCGGTCTCCGACTTGCCGTCCTCGCTCGAGAGCATCTTGACACTGTTGATCATGCCGCACTAGAACAGTCAGACAACAGACGATTCAAAGGAGGAGCCAGAAGAATACTTACATGGCGGAAAAACTGCCGCACCTTGTGCTCCGCGATATCGCGAGGCAGGTTCTTGACGACAACCGTCGCATTTTCGCGATCGCGGAGGAGTGCGACGGCCTCCGCGGACTCGGGGGCGGCGGGAGCAGCCTCCTCTGCACGGGCCCGTTTGGCCGGCGCCCCGTTCACAGTAGGCTCGTCATCTCGTTTGCGCTTTTCGGACTGCGTGGCCTGTTCCATCGCTGCAGCTTGTTCGGCCTGCCGCGCGGCCGCCTCCCTTGCGTCCCGTTCGCGCCGGGTTGTGACGGCCTTCATGGCTTTGCGGGTCGCCAAGATAGACAGCTGGAGTTCATCCGAGTCCTCGTAATCCTCGCAGTGTGCAACGTAGGTCTGCATGATCTTCTCGGGCCAGTCCAGGTCGGTGCGTCGGATGGCCTGCTTCAGCACTGCGGTAGCGTAGCTGGGGTTCGGCGTCCGCCGGGCAGCGTCGATCGAGGTCTCGTTCTGCACGAACTTGCTCCAGGAAATCAGCTCCCACTCGTAGTACGTCAGCCAGAACTCATAGCTGTTACCACGGCGGCCCACCAGACCCTTGAACGTCTCTCGCGCACTGTCCCAGCTGCCACTCTCGCTCAGGTAGCGGATGTAGATGCGCTCCAGACGGAACAACGGGTCCCCTTGATAGTTGCGACCGTACTTCTTCTCGCCCAGTTCCTGGACGCTTTCGATGGCGGACCGGATGCCGACCTCAGCCACATCGATGTCCTCGTCGGTGGAGTCAGACAAAAACGCCCGTCGACGGAGGTAGCTACACCAGGCCGTGTGCACCTTGAGTACCTCCTCCATGCCCCCGACATCCAGCAGACCCGTACTCGTGGCTTTGTGCTTGATGTTGGAGATCTTCGAGAAGGACTGCCCTTCCCGCTCCGAGCTGAGCAGGTACTGCGACCACAGGCTGCCGGAGCAGGGGCAGTGTCGCGTGGCGCGGTCGAGCGTGGAAATGGTCGTCGTTTTCGTGTTGCCGTTCATGGACTCGTCGACCAAGAACATGATGAACTCCTCCCACATGTTCGCGTCGGTCGGGAACCGCAGCACGGCACGCTGGTAGAGCGCATTGACCAGTTCGAAATTAGTCTGCCGCTTGCGACGGCTGCGGCCGAGCTCCCATTCGATATACTCGGAGAATGCGGTCCATTCTTGTCCCATGTCGCCTGACTCGGCCGCGTTGCGCAGCTTGATCTCGAACTCTTCGCGTGCGCCGTACGTCTCCTTGCTCGCGGTCGCGTAATGGGCGGCTGTGTCCGCCATGATGGTCTCGTAGTTCGCATTGTAATAGGTTGAGATGAAGCCGGAAAAGAGTTGAAATGTCTGCTCCCAGGTGGCGTGAGGGGTCGCGAGTCGGAGGTCGAACAAGCCTCGCACGTGGTTGACCTTCTCCTGCGACGGGCTCCGGGAGATGTCTTGGGTGAGGAGGTCGAGAAAGCGGTCCCACACCAGGTTGCTGTCGTGGATTCGGTAGCGAGTGGATTCGGCGCCGCGCTGCCAGACTTCCAGGACGGACGGCCAGGTGAACACCTCGCGACCGACCAAACGGTCCTCCTCGGTCCACTGGCTTTGGCTAGCGTCCCCGTGGGCGGCGTTGTAGAGGTACAGGACCCATTCTCCGTAGATGCCCCAGAGCTTGGTGCTGCCGTATTCCTCCTCGACCGACCGCTGACAGAGCTCCATGACCGCGATGCGTTCTTCCGACGATTGTGCCAGCATGCTTTCGTCCTGGATCCACTCCGCCCAGAGGTCCTCGCCCATAGCGAACAGCTTGTCCATCTCCTCGCGCGCCGTTCGCATGTCCTTCAGAAGGTCGTATTTGCGAGGGTCGCCGTGGATGTCGGGGTTATTAGGGGGGTAGACGTGGTTGACGAAGCCGGCATGCAGGACGCGCACGAAACGGACGTGCGCATCGTACGACTGGGGGTTCTCCTGGATCTGCACGAACAGCTCGTTCGCCTGGCGCTGGGCGTTGGGGACGAGGGAGGTAGCGAGGTAGCTTCTACGGGCGCTCTCTCGCGGACCGTCCGACATGGCGATATCGAAGGAGGATCGCGGGGTAGGGGTATTGTGAGAGATGGGGTTGACGTGCGGGTACATGGTGGAGGGGGACAGCTGGCTTTCGTACGACTCGGTGCCGCGCAGCATGGGGGCGTTGGAGCGCTGCGGCTGATGATGCTGCATTGACGCCAGATCGGCCAGTGTGTCCATGCCCGGGGTGGAGGGCTGTCTCGGGGGCGGCAGGTCGGTCGCCGGGGGGGTACCACTCCCCCCTCCCACGCTGGGTCCGACCTTGGGACTCATCGCGGGCGGCGACGGCTCCGGTAGATGTGACGGAGCGAAGACATGTTGCGCGAGCGGCGAGGAGGTCATGCCCGGTTTGTTCGAGCCGGGTCGAGGTTTTCGCAAGGGCTTGGGGGCGGGCCCTGCGGTGGTCGGGACGGAGGTGTTGGGGACCGGGGAGGGCCCGGTGGAAGGCGTGGAGCGCCCGGATTGTGAATTCGAATCCTGGGGCGAAAGGAGGGAGTTGATGTCCATCATCAAGACTGTGGCCGCGGACTGGCGGGAAGACCAGGGATCGCGGATGGAGATGCAAATATCAAGTAGTTCGGGTTTGTCCAAGCGCCAGCGAGAAGGGTGCTGACGTAAGTAGCAGGAGCAGAAGGGAAGGGAAGGGAAGAAGGAAGGGAAGGGAGGGGACGGAGAGGAGAGAGGGACCTTAAGGTCGGAAAAGGGAAGGGAACCTGGATTATTGAATTAAAGAGGAACAGCCGTAAGTCGCCTCATCAACGAGTCCATTCCTGCACCGGTGGGCAGCCTGTCCAGAGGTTGAGGACGGGGGGGGGGGGAGTGGCAGGCCTTGGTTCCTGGGGATGGATTCCCGTTGCGATGCCCAGTGGGCGGCGCGGAGGAAAACAAAGACTGGAAAATTTCCAGCGAAATCCAGACCCGATGTGAGGGAAAAAGAAAATACAGGGAGAGAGGAAGGTAGATAGAAACGCGAACGATTGTCAGATCTGATAAATCTCGTGCTGGTGTGATATAGTTGTTTTTTTTTTTTTTTTTTTTTTTTTTTTTCTCTTTCCTTTTTTCTTATGTTCTGATTATTTGTTCAGAATGAAGATGAGGTTTGTTGTCCGCAAGTAAGAGGGTGCCGGGTTGGGCGCTTGCGAGACGCTGCCAAAGTGAGGCGCGGACGGCGAGGGAACGAGAGGAGAGGAGAGGAGAGGAGGGAGGCAGAGCGTGGAGGCAGAAGCAGGAGGGGAAGCGGCCGGCTCAAGCTCTCTCCTGGTCCGAGCGATGGGATGCTGGACTGGAAAGGCTGGTCGGCGGCGGAGTCCAGGCGGAGATGCCGAAGGCAGACTGGGAACAACAACAACAACAACAACTCGCACGGGAAAATCCCTGGGGGGGGGAGGGGGGAAGGGGAAGAGGAGAGGTGGACACAGGGAGAAGAGGAGAGGAAGGGGAAGGAGAAGGGGAAGGAGGAGGAGGAGGGAGACCGGAGAAAAAGCGAGCAGAGCGAAAGGATGTGAGGCAGATGGAGGGCAGTGGATCGACGCGGTGGAGATGGACAGACTGACTGAGAGCTCAGCCTGGAGCGTAACTAGCAGTGAGTGAGCAGAACAGAGCAGAGAGCAGCAGCAGCAACACCACCTCCACCTCCACCACCACCACTAGATATCACTATCTATCTATCTATCTACTCGACCCTCCACTACCGGATTCAAAAAAACCTCACCACCTTTGAAACCGATCCATCTGTAGCTACTGCGACACTAGCCCAGCTGGCTGCTTCGCTAGCTACGACTATAATCCATCCTCCGGCTAGCCTGCAAGTCCCTGGGATATCGTCATCGTGGCCGCGACAGGCGCACGGGGAGGGTGAGAGGTTCCTGCTTTTTCCCCGCCAACGACGTCGGCTGTATCCAGTGCTCCCACTAGCCTGACTCTCAGACTCTTGACTCGGGACGGTCTGAGTCTGACAAGTGAGTGACAAGTGACAAGTGACAAGTGACAAGTGACGCCCAAACGAGCAGTGTCCACGACTCGACTCGCTAACTAGCCCCTACGATTAAGTTACTTCGCAGCGCCCGGATTCCGTCACTGCACAGGCCGGGAATCTCGACTGTGATCGATCGCCCGGCTGTGTAACCGGCCAGGGGAGGACAGCAGCCAGCAGCCAGCATCCTCGAGCGATGCGGTGCAGTGCATGCCCAGCAGGCAGGTCAGTCAGCGAGGGGCGCGGCCGGGGTCTGGAACTTGCACCGTACGATGGGAGAGGGGAGCGCAAATATGCTTGCTACCTACTACTCCGTATCACCATCCGTACTCGGTCCGTATCTTCAGAGAAACCAGTGAGAAACATCCCTAGGGCTGGGCCTGAACCCAAAGGGGCCAAGCGGACAACCCCGAGAGAAACACCACCCGGCCTATGAGGTAATCGTACATGATCCGGCTGCGCGTGATTGGAGCGCCCGGGCGTTGCGTTCGCTTTCCATCCTTGGCTTAGTGGCCACATGACCCCCGGCCCGGGCAAGCTTGCCTATTTGGGAAGGGGAGCGGGAAGCGTACTGTGGCTGGTTCGATACTACGTAGTGGCTGATAATGGCTGGTGATTGGCAGCCTTAACCCCGGAATTCTCAGGTGTCGACTCGACCAGCACTCCGGCAGACGGGACAGACCAATGCCGCACCGCCCAAGGCCAGAGTCGTTCCCCGACACTTTTTTCCCTCCCGTCCCCGACCGAGTCCCATGCCATCAACACCACTGTCATCGTCCGCCATGGCTACATTGGGGGCTGTTCACCCGTACGGGCACCTGCTCCGGTCTGGTACGTCCCATAGCACCCGTCCTCCCCGACTGATCCCGCCCCGTGGAGGCTGTAGCAGCTGTATCCTAACCCCAACCATCGCGCAGTCTCTGCAGCCCGGACGGGCCTGACCTACGTCCCTCGCCGCACGCTGGCCTACACGCTCCCTCATCGCGCCGCCTCAGACGGACCCAATAATGACAACAAGCAGCCCGATGCAGCAAGCAGCCCCTCCGCGTTATCGTCCATCAAGAACTTCTTCTTCGGCGGCAACAAGCCCGGCCCCAAACCCACCGCGCGCCGCAGCTCCGCCCCCTCCAAACGCGAGGGTTCCCTGAGCGCCGACTCGATCTTCGCCGAGGATGAAGCCACCCCCAAGCTCATCGCCGGGGGGCGCACGCCGTCGGGGCGGCGTCCCCGGCTGGACGGCGAGGAAGTCGAGGAGGAGGCCATCAGCCTGGAGCAGCGGAACCGGGAGAGCATGCAGCGGGTGCTGGACCCGATGCCGCGGGCCCGGCTGCGCTGGGAGCGCAAGATGGTGGTGAAGGACGTCCGACGCCGCGGCCGTCTGTCCGCGAAGCAGGTCATCATGCGGACGGAGCGCGAGTCGACCTCCAAGTCGCACTGGTTCAAGACGTCCGTCAAGAAGCTGGGCCCCCTGGCGCGCCAGATCGCCGGCAAGAACATCGACGACGCCATCCTCCAGATGCGTCTCAGCAAGAAGCTCGCCGCCAAGGACGTCCTCAAGCACCTCGAGCACGCCAAGAACACGGCCATCGTTCGCTCCGGTATGGGTCTCGGCACCCCCGACGGCCAGCCCGCCCCCAAGCCCGTCTCCATCACCCTCCCCGACGGCCAGAGAAAGACCATCACCGACCCCACCTCCATCTACATCTCGCAGGCCTGGGTCAACCGCGGTCCGTACGGCATCGACTACGACCACCGCGCCCGCGGCCAGATCAACCTGCTCCGTCCGCCCTACACCGGCATCACCGTCATCCTGAAGGAGGAGAAGACCCGCATCCGCGAGTGGCAGGACCGCGAGGCCAAGGATCTGCGCAAGCGCAAGGCCCAGCTCTGGGTCCAGCTCCCCGACCGCAAGATCACCGTCCAGCACCAGTACAACACCTGGTAATCTTTGTTTACGTACTACTTTGGCGTTTTGTATCATGTGTAGATCCTTAAGAAGCTTCTTTTTTTTTTTTTTTTTTTTTCTTTTCTGTTTGTCTGTCTGGTACATTCCCCAGCATCTGTTAGCTGTGCTGTTACCTATTCTTTGGGCCCGTGTCTACCTCTGCCTCCGCCTCCGGACGGAGCCGTATTCAGATTCGATGTGTACAATACAAAATAAATTCTATCTCCTATCTCCAGCCTAGTTACATTCAACCCACAACCCATCCCTTCCCCCCATTCCCATTCCCAACCCATACCTATACACCAACCCATACCTATACACCAACCCTAACCCCCTAAGAAGAAGAAGAAGAAGAAGAAGAAGAAGAAGAAGAAGAAGAAGAAGAAGAAAGCCTAGAGACTAGGAACCCCAAACCACCCCTCCACCCTCATCTCCCCCAGCGGACCCTCCACCCTCTTCCCCCTGACAACAACGGGAATCACACCGCCGGTCTCCAAATCAAACCGTCTATGGCCCAGCACATTCAACAAGCTCGTAATGGCGCCCGAATGCGCCGTCAACGACAAGAACACCTTCGCGTCGTGCTCGAACACGTCCTGCAGCAGATCGCGGAACCGCTTGTCCCGCGCGGAGTTGCTCTCCCGCAGCGTGGCGCTGTACAGCTCGTCTTCCTCCGCGAAGCCCTCCTCGATGATGTATGCGGGGTATTCGGCTGCGATGGCGCTTTTGCTCGACCGGCTGTCGCAGGTGTGGAGGCCGATGGTTTCGCGGAGGAGCTGGTTCTCGCATTCTTATTAACCACGTATATACATGCGTTTTTCTGTTGGGGGGGGGGGGGGGGATGTCGGGATGGGGATGAGAGGAATAGGAAACGGAAATGAGAAAGATAAAAATAAAGGAAAGGAAAAGGAAAAGAAAGACATATATACACATACCTCTTTAACAACCGGCCTAAACGGCCGCGTGCCCTCGACGCCCAGTCCCGAGAAAGTGAGACTCGCGGTCTCGAGACACCGGTTCAGCGGACTCACGTAGAACGACTCCGGGGTGGGGATGCGGTGCGCGAGCTGCGCTTTCCATGTTGCGTGGGCCGTCAGGGCCTGGGATTTGCCGAGCGCGGTGAGGTGCGCGTCGTGCCAGATGTCGTTGCTGGTGGGGTCGGAGGGGAGGAGGGAGTAGTGCGCCTTTTTATTATTATTATTATTATTATTTGTTGGGATTGGGGATTGGGATTGGGATTGTAATTGTCCCAGTACGCAGCGGCAAAAAATGCGCGAATTGCAATGATAAAGGGACTTGGAGGGAGTGTGAATCAGAAACACATAGGAAAGGGGAAGAAACATACATCCCACAACTTCGTCCCATACTTCCGTTCCGCAACATTATGGTAACCCTCGCCGTGGCGACCAAGGAAAAGAACCTTGTAGCAGGTATCCGGGTCGGAGGTGGCGTTGAGGGAGTGGATGTGGTGCGCGAAGCGTTCCCAGTTCGAGCTCGTGGCTGTGGTGGTAGTAGTAGCAGTACTAGATGTGGGGAGGCCGGAATCGGAGTGTGAGTCTGAGTCTGTGGGGTAGGCGCGGGGGATGAGGCCGAAGTTCGAGGAGGCCTGGGTAGAGTTGGGTTAGTTGTCAGCGGTGGTTATGGAATTGTGGTTGTGTTGTGGTTTATGGGAAGTTAATTGGGGATCGAAATGGGGATGGGAGGCAGACGTAGTCGAAGGTGCTGGCGTCGGTGGACGGGTCGCTTTGTTGGAAAAGGCCGGGGACGATGGAGAATTGCCAGTGCGATTCGGGGGGGGTGGAGGGGGGCATATTGTGGGTGGATATGGTCAGGGGGGAGGTGTTGGAGACTTGAGGAGGGGGTGGTGGGAATGGAATAAATAATAATGGATAGTATTTGAGATCTCGGGACGGCGGGGAAATTGATTGGTCTGCGGGGCTGGAGATGGATGGCTTCGTAAGTCGTATGGGGATTGGGGAGCCTATGGTTGACGGGGGTTTATCCGCGTGGGCCTGTCATGTCCTTCTCGGTGAGATCGGGCTTACGGCTTCAAAGTTGAAGGTGCCATGGGACAATTCCGTAGAATCTACTTTACTACTAATGGCAGGAACAAATTAATTAAGATAATAAAATGAAATTCTCTACTTTTGTCTCGTGTCAACACGGACGATGGTATCCAGGACAAGACGGCATCGCTAAACCGACAGGGGATCAATCAACAAACACATGCACACAAAACAGCCAATGCCAATGCGGGTATCATCTCGCGACAAGCAAGCAACCAATCAATACAAGCCCAGTCCCTTGCGCGCAACCAAAAGCTTGCGGGAAGAGAGCAGGACAACTCTACCGAAATAAGATCCCAATGCAGACTCAGCGAATATCGATGGTTCCAAGACGCGGGAGAGGGTTGACACGCTGCGAAGTACAGACGACACAGCGTTCCGGCCCCATTGTAGCGCACTGGAAACGGATCTCCTGTTGGAAGAAACGCTTTGGATAGTGCGCTGTGCGTCCGAAGAGCCGTCGCAACTTGAGGGGTGTTGAGCGACTGCTCGTCCCTCAGGGCTGCTTGAGCGGAGCTTGGTATCTTCCGTGCTTCTGCGCTGGTCGCCCACGCTGTGTGATTCGAGTACCACGGACGCCTCAAAAGAGGCGCGCAAGTGGGTTGAGACAGCGGGTACTGACCGGAGACGGCCTGGCGCTTGGGTCGGCATCCTAGTATGCAACTTCTGGTCTGGCTGGGATGACGTCGAAGACGACGGTTGGACCAGGCCAACGCTGCGAGAGGGCACCGGCGAGCGGATAGGCTGGCATAGGACTCCTGGTTGGCCCGTGTTCGGGCAGCCCGTGGAGGCCTGGGCGGCGCATTGCGAGTGGTGGCCATATTGGGGTCGCAGGAACGACGGGCTGGTGTTTGGCGAACGACCGGCTTGCCGTAGCTGGACGTGTTGGTCCTCCCGTGAGACCAAGCCTCCTGTTGTATGTAGGACAGGGGCCTTCGCGGTGACGGTTGGTATAGTCTTCGCGTGGACAACGCCCTTGCCGGAGCCGGGGACATGTAGTTGTACATTGACGGTTGACCGGACTGCCGGGTGGGTGACAGAAACAGCATCGTGGCTGACGCTGAGCTGGGAAACCACCTTCTCAAGGCAGTTGCACTAGACACAGGTCAGCATCTCGTTCTTCATACACGACAGGACGGCTTCACTCACTCGCTTGTGTTGCTTCCGGTGCTTCTCGCAGGCACCCGCCTTCCGAACCTTGATGTAGTTCTCTTTCTGAGCCCGTGATCGGGGCTTTTGTTTCTTGGGTACATTTGTCGTCGTGTTCATGTTGAGATCGAGGACCATCTCCATCCCGCCGGTTGGCTCAGCCGAAGTGCTCGGGTTTCCGAGGGTCTCAGACGAAGGGGAGGTGGCCGGGGTTGCCCAGGTACCAGACTGAGACACGCTCATCTGCGCCGAGTCCGACCAGCGGGGCGACGGGAATGTTGTGCTCGAGTTTGATGACAGGTCCAGTTCCTGCATCGCCGCATCTTGTAGGCGCTGGAGGTGGATGGCAATAGACGCCTCCATGCGCTTCTCCTTCGAGGACAGGCAGCCGGGGTCGGCTGCGGCTTGCAACTCCACCATCTGGCGAATGTTGGCATAGAATGGGTCGTCGAACCCGCCCACATCCTGCAGCCACGCATCACTGAGATCCGATGCCATGACGTCTGACGCAATGAGACCCTGGTTCGGAGAACCGGGCAGCGACTGGAAAGCGCCGCTGGGGTTCAGGAGGGGCTGGGGGCCGTCCAATGCGTATCCTTCGCATGGCGGGTCATAGTTGATGATATCGGAGAAGAAGTCCTCGGTGCAGACTCCAGGGTTGGGGCCCCAGTTGCAGTCGTCGAAATCGGCAAAGCCCAGCTCGAGGTCCTTGGGAGAGACCGAGTCGATGGAAGTGGGGTTGCTTCCCAGACCACTGTAGGGCAGGTCGAGGGAGTTGTCGAAGTCAAACCACTCCTCGTTAGGAGTGGTTTGGCCGATTTGGCGCAGCACCTGGTTGGCAGCCATGATGAAAGGAGCGAGAAGCTCGATGTCTAGATGTGGAGGAATAGGGGAATAAAGAGCGAAGAAGCCTGAGGCGACTTGAGTTTGCCTGATAAGGAAAGACGCTAGATAACGTCCAGCCTAATGCTTGGAAGGCGTTTGCGTGTGCGTGTAGCGTGATGAGGTGAGGTGAGGTGAGGTGGAGCAAACAAAAGAAGGTAGTCCTCAGGCAGTCTTTGGAAAGGAGAAGGAGAATGAGACCCAAACGGGGAGGGGGAGGGGGAGGGGGAGGGGGAATGAAGGAAAAATCAGGTGGAGGATGGCGGTGGTTCCCCGTCTTACATACAACCGGGCGGGCGAGGCTCTTCCTCCCCAGCCCGCCGCCATCCCCGTTTTGGGACCCCGACTCTCTGCCGCTAGTCCGCTTCGGGTCCCCGACTCGCGCCCCGGCGCGGGATTATCAATACCCCGGGCCGTTCGTGGGGGGCTGCGGCTGTGTGCTCCGCCGGGGCTGCACTGCCTCGGATAGCATCATCATGCTGTGTGATGAACTCCAGGGCAGGGATCTCCAGAGCATCTTATTCCCTACGGCGGTCAATCTTGCGCACTGATCAATCTGCACTAAGAGTGTAGAAGACAAGTCCGACCTCAACATATACTCCCACCTGCATTGTGACTCATGACTCATGTCTCAGATATATTCCAATGATAGCCTATACACAAATACATACAGAATCTGCCAAGGTGCTGCCCGCTCCCGAGCCTTCTTTGCAGAATATGGATGTGGCTTGTGGCTTATGGTTGACTTCACTTATCCCAGTAGTCATGTCACGTCTTGCAGGGGAAAGTCATACTTACGGCAGTATTGGGATTAAGGGTTTTTTTTTCTGAGGCATTCTCCGGGTTGATCTTGTAAAAAGAAACAATGCTCAGTAGCTGTTATGTAAAGGGGGATAGGTATCAGTGTCCTGAAGAGATCTCCATAGGTAATATCCTGGGACACCATCTGTGGTGAGGCGGCCCGCTGGAGTAGGGCTTGTCTGCATTGGATCTTTTCAACTAGTCGGCGTTAGTTACCAATGTGGCATTGTCAGTCATAAAACAGTCTTATTCGTTTGTATCGGCATCCATCGTGTGCTTGAACAAAGGAAGTCTACCCCGGAACATACCGTACCTCAGAAGCCCTAAGTCCGGGTGAAGAACAAAGCCTTGTTTCCGCATACACACCCGTAGAACAAACTCAGGCGGATGCATGCCACGTGTTTCTTTGTTCGACATGAAACACTACACTCTCCATATGGCGTCTTCCATTTCTATCTGCAATAGATTTGGATCCCTACAAGAATACTGCTTAAAATGCCCAACACCCGCCAAACAGGTCAGGCGCAAGGAGACTGTCTCCAGAGTACCCGTTGAGGATCTCCTGCTCTGCTTCTGACCAGGCATAAACGGGCCTGGTTCATCGACATTATCCGAGTCGAATATCTCAACGAAGCGCCAGCAAAAGGCCTAGTATATAAGCCATGATGGTGGCAATCCCAGGAGTGGCCGCACGGCCACGCTCAGCGCTAACCTCGCCCTTCGATACCGATACTATCAAGCCCAATACGATCCCACCCAGAAAGAAGGCATCATGCCACTCATCCTGTCCGACAGCTCTGACCAGACCAACCGAGAGGTCAGCAGACCCATCGACTCTCGGGAAAGCCACTTCGAAAAGTCCGGGCTGTACGGAGAGCTGACAGGTAAGAGGAGGCCCAAGAAGAAGCTCGTGATTGGCGAAACCTCGGAGCCCATATCCGAAAGGAAATATCAAAAGCTCACGTCGAAGGTCCTGAGCGCGATACTGTACGACGTGATGGTCATGGGCACGACCAGCAAACTTCGGGTAGCCGAAGACCTCGAACAAGTCCGACTGTACTGGTACCTGGCGCAGAGGCTGGACGGGGAGGTGATGGTGGACAAGGCCGTAAATATTGAGCTGGGCATCGATGATTTGACCAGTGAGGATTACATTCCGATGGAGTCTGCCCGACTAAAGGTTTGTGTGGAGAGGCTCGGATGGATGGTGCTGGCGGTGCTTGCGCAGACGAGCTCATTTCGCGAATTTATCCGGACCCATGAGGATGAGTCGCTGTGGGAGAGGTGTCTGGAGAAGCTTGCAGCCCATGCCTTCAATATCGAGATCCTGGCTCGTCAGCGCGGCGTCGACTGGCGCGGTTCGCTGGCCCCCCACTCGGACTTCGAGATCGCAGGGATCAACGCGAGTCTCGCCAGGATCGACAAGCTCGCTGAGAACAGGCCCCATGACATTGTGGTCGATACCACGTCCAGAAACGTCCGCGCACCCAAATTCGAAGGCGCTCGCCAGGTAGATATCGACGATTATATCTTCAATCCCAAGAACTGGCCCGCCGGTAAGCTGAACCCGGCCTCGCGCGATGTCGTTGACCACGGGCCCTGCGATCTCTGTGACTCGGCCATCTCATGTGGCTGTGTGGTCAACCGATTTCCCGCGCAGTTCATCCAGCTCGTCGACACGGGCGCCAAGGGGGTGGGCGTCTACACGCTGATGAACTTCCGGAAAGGGGAGATCCTGGGTGAGTTCGTCGGTGTCCTTCACCCCCCGGACTATGCGGGTGACCCGGTGTATAGCCTTACGATGCAGTCCAAGCTGGAGGAAGTTACCGAAGAGTTAGTGGTTTCCCCGAAGCGATTCGGGAATTGGACGCGGTTTATCAACCACTCCTGCTCAGCTTCGACGGCGTTTGTGTCGAGGACGATCGGGCAGCGGTCGACGATGACAATCGAGGCCTTGCGTGACATCGCCGTCTTTGAAGAGCTCACGGTTGATTATGGCTCCGGGTATTGGAAAGGCAGCGAACGGGTCTGCCAATGCGGAGAGACGAATTGTCGCACGAAGAAGGCAGAGGCAAGAAAGGCCCGGGAGGAGGAGGCCGCTGCGCAGAAGGAAAAGACTGAAGAGGGCAGTAATACCACGGAGGGAACAGCAGAGCCCAGGAAGAAGAAGAACAGGAAGAAGAGGGGAGGGGATCAGCCCAGCGCCCGGGCGAGGGCGAATCGGGTGCAAAAGCCCAAGAGGGAGAGGAGGAGGCAGAAGCAGGACACGCAGGCGATAGTGAGTGAATTGACCGCGTCGGGGCTGACACAAGATGATCAGGACGAAGACAGAGACCACTATGACAAAGACGATGACATGGACGATGGCCATTATCCGTAGAAAGTGAGGATAGAAGAAGATCTACTAATTTAATTGCATTCATTGGCGGCTCATCGCGGCTCATCGCGGCTATCCGCGGCCATCCCGGCCAGCCCTAAGGCAGGCTAGCATCGTGGCCTTGTCGCCTGCCACTTATGTAGATGTACTATCTATATTATAACTAGTGCAGTACCAGGTTCATCCCAGTTCGATCCACACTAGTAGAAAACCAGCAGCATCCGGGCCCGAACAGGCAAGCCGGGCGGCCCTGCAGTTGCAGAACCCCGCATTCCCGACACGTGAGGCGTCCCCAGGCCACCGTGACAACACCGACTCTTTCTCCCCCCCCCTTCTCTCTCCTCTTCTCTCTCCAATCGCAGCCAACAGTCGGGTGTCATCTTGTGTCTCGTGTTCTGACCCTGTGGCTGGACCAGCAAGCCACGCCCCTCAATCCTTGGTTGACCCAGAAGCAAGGGGCCTGAGGGTCGGTCTTTCCTCGTGACGAACCGGATCGCTCGTCCATGCGACGTCCTATGAAGCTTAAGCTTCTTGGGCTCGCTTTTCAATGCGTGCGTTCACGGGGAAATGCAGGGGACTCCTCCGGGGGAGTTCCCTGAGGGAAGGATACTTTGCCCCCTCGGCGGGGAGACGTGGAATATCCAAGCTCAGCCATGTTCGGGGGCCTTCTGAGGTACGCGGATCACCCGTTTGTATAGATCCGATCCACCCGTTATCAGGCTAATCGCATATTGGTATTAGCCCCCGTTGCTGGAATCTACCATTGGAGAGCATTTTGCGAGGATAGTCAACCTACATGGCGATAGGACAGCGTATTATCCCTTTACTCATCCGGAAGAATCCCGCTTATGTTTGTCAGGGTCATCTCCAAGCACCAGAATGAGCGAGTAACCTATGCTGCTCTCAACGCAAAAAGCAATGCCTTCGCTCGAGGCCTTGAGTCCGTCGGCGTACGGACAGGAGACCGCGTGGGAGTCATGCTTGGGAACTCCATGGAATACTCCATTGTATGCTACTGGCCGATTGAGATACAGCACACCCGGTCTGATGTCGCTTACCGTTCCCGCAGGCAACCTATGCATTGTTTAAGTTAGGCGCTATCCTGGTAGGAAGCAAGCCGAACCCACGAGCGTTGGATACTAACCTGGACTCAGGTCCCTATCAACCCGTCCTTCAACGCATCCCAGGTAGTCTCTGCACTGGCGCATCTAGAGGCTTGTCACCTCATAATCAGTGCCGAATCAAATCTGCCACGAAAGAACCCCAGGAGCAATGTCCCCCTTCTCGAACACCTTGTCAAGGATCTGTCCAATCCAGCAATTGAGTCAGAAGTTGTTCCGTCGTTAAAGGCCATCATTCTCGTTGACAACTCGTCCGGCCGTGTCGACAGCTCAGGGTTCCGAGGCCTGACAGCATACAAATCCCTTACATCCGACGCGATCGCCGATGGCAGTTCCCTCCTGCCCAGGAATCTATCTCCGAGCGACATCGTCAACATCCAATTTACATCCGGAACAACCGCAACGCCCAAAGCGGCCTGTCTAACCCACCATTCTATCCTTAACAACGGCTCTCAGATCGGAGATCGCATGCGTCTCACCGCAAAGGATATCGTATGCTGCCCACCGCCACTATTCCACTGCTTCGGGTCCGTCCTGGGCTTCATGGCCACCGCAACCCACGGATCCGCCATTGTGTTTCCGTCAGAATCCTTCAACGCCAGAGCATCGCTCAGAGCGGTCCAAGAAGAAAAATGCACGGCATTGTACGGCGTCCCAACCATGTTTCTCGAGCAACTGAACCTTCTAGCCGAGGGAGAAATTGCGAACGAGGGATTCGAGTACCTGCGAACCGGCATTGCGGCGGGAAGCAGCATCCCCGCGACGATGATGAAAAGGCTGCACAAAGTGCTGAATCTCACCGAGCTCACCATCTGCTACGGCATGACAGAGACAAGCCCTGTCTCGGCGATGACCACGACAGACGACCCCATCGACAAGCGAATGCACACCGTGGGCAGGCTGCTTCCCCACGTTGAAGCCAAGGTCGTGAGCCTGGACGGTCACCGTCAGACTGCCCCAGTCGACGTCCGCGGCGAGCTGGCTGTCAGCGGCTATCTCCTGATGAAGGAGTACTGGAACGACCCCGAGCGAACCGCCGAGGTTATGATCGCCGACGACAACGGGAAGGTCTGGATACATGTAAGTGCCGTCCCCAAAATCATCCGAACCCCCCATCCTAACCCACCACAGACAGGCGACGAGGCCTCCATCTCCGCGGACGGCTACGTCTCCATCACCGGTCGCGTAAAAGACCTCATCATCCGCGGCGGCGAAAACATCCACCCCCTAGAGATCGAAAACTGCCTCCTGACCTACCCCGGGGTGATTGACAACTCCGTCGTCGGGGTCCCGGATGAGAGATACGGCGAGGTTGTAGCCGCCTTCATCATCCACCGGGATCCTGAAGGGGATGCAGCGACCGAGGAGAAGATCAGGGATTGGGTTGCGCAGAAGCTGAGCAACCATTTAGGTGAGTGCCACTATGTCACCGTGTTCCTAGCAACCTTGACCCGTAAGACATAACACACAACAAAGCTAACAGATCTAGTCCCCAAACACATATTCTTCTGCCAGCCAACGGACGCCTTCCCCAAGACTGCCAGCGGCAAGGTTCAGAAATTCAAGCTCAGAGACGCGGCTGTCAGGATCCTGAAGGGGGAGGAAAGTCCCTCGGGCATCTTGGCGAAGGTACTGCAGTAAGTATGTAGTGGGTTGAAGGGCTAAGATAGTATTTTGGTATAGTTGGTTAGATGTGTTTGGAATAACTCTTCTTGGATGGTTAATTGTACGGGATATTATATATATACCACTACGATTCTGTATACCTGCACGCGTCTGAGGATTGCATTCATTCAATACTACCAAGACAGAAATGTCATGTCTGACCTAGGATAGATAGATTATTCTGAGATCCATGGATTTAGTATCGTATCTCCTTCCATGTACTCCCGTCCGTCCATCCATCCATTCATCAATCCATCTATCTCCAAAAGAAAACCACAAAACCAGTATAATAAGTAGTATATGTATATGTCTATAGCAAAATCAACCCCCGTCTCCCCCCCCTCTCCCCCAGAAGATACCACGCAAGCCAAAAAAAAAAAATCCCCATGATAAAAAACACGACTTACCCTAAAGCCCAAGAATCTCAATCTCAAGCCCAAAGAACATCGATGGCAGGAACGGAATGCCAACCCAACAAAAAAAAAAAACAAGAAAAAAAGAGGCTCGCTTCAGGAGGAACGGGAACGGGAACGAGATGGAAATGGAGATGGAGATGCCCCGCTGGGGTCGTGAGTTGACGTAAGTTGTGTTTAGTTTGTTCGGATGGTGGGATGGTTATGTTGGAGGGGTTGTTTGGTTGGTTGGTTGGTTGTGTGTTTGGAGTTGAGGGTGAGGGTGAGGGTGAGTGTGAGGATTGCTGTAATTATGCAAGTCTGTAAACATCCCAAACCTCCAACGCCCAACATGAATCTAAAACGCAGTGATCTTTTGTCTGCTTGATCAAGCCTTGCTCATCAGTACTTGCCAAAGTCAATGCATACATAGCATTGTAGCGAGAGTAGAGGAGAGGCAAGTCTGAATATATAGTAGTAGTATGCTCGCCCGCTCTTGCCCTAGTCGATCGACTCGCAGTAGATAGGTATCGATCGAGTATATATACATACGTTCCATGCCCGACCCATCCGCCCAACGGCAGGCGATATGATATCTCGGAAAGACACTCACCCCATCGCCAGAGGGTTTCGTGCTTGAACGTTTCGTTTCCCAGGATGAGGAACAGACATGTCAAACCTGGGGTTCAATGGAGGGAACTATGTATGAGTCCTCTCGCTGGAAGGTCAGGGCGAGGAACAATCATAATCCCCATATTTCAACTCCGATCAGGCTGAGGGACAGTCATCTCAGGCCCTGGAAGCAAACCTCTGGCTGGCTATTGACCGAGCCAGTCACATAGTAAGTCGTCAGACATCGTGAGGGGGAACTAGGAAACCCACTCAGCCCAGATGTCGTTTATTCACCGGTTGGGCGACCAGTTCTCAGCGTGAGCGTGATGCTGTGATACAGATGATCGTGTCGGACGGGGGGGGTTGGGGATGTTGCCCACGAGGAGGAGGAAGAAGATGAAGAAGGCGAAGCCGAAGAAGAAGAAGAAGAGGAGGAGGAGGAGGAGGAAGAAGACGAGAACGGGGAACAACACTCAATCTCCCTGACTCTGCACTCCCCCAGCGCCTCATCGACCGTGATCCTGCAGCTCGGATCCGGATTCATCATCTTGAGCACCAAGACCAGCAGCCTGTGATCCGGATACTCCTTAGTCTTGAACCCGCGCCCACAGACCGGCCGATCGCCATCGCGACCATCGCCAATCCTGCCATCGGGATGCCTCTCGCGAAACCTCCTCCACCCGCTCTCAAAGATCCCATAAGCCCTGTCCTCAGCCACCTCCGCCCTCATCCACGGAAACAGATCTCTGCCCAACCGAAACCTGCCCACCAGACACCTCAGCACCATAGCGCAGCACCACACATCGACGGGCCGCGGATCATAACTCCGCTGCCGGGCCTCCGCGACAAAGAGTTCCGGAGCCATATAGACGTCCGTCCCGACCCGATCGGCGTACCAGCGGACCTGATGCCGCGGCATGTCGGGGTCCCTGAAGACGGTCGCGGCGCCGAAGTCCGCGATCTTGAGCAGGCTGTCGTTGCCGAGGAGGAGGTTCTCGAGCTTGAGGTCGCGGTGGGCGATGCCACAGCTGTGCAGGTGGGAGACGCCGTGGAGGAGCTGCTTAAAGAGACAGAGCTTGTCTTTCAGCGTCAGATGGCCCTTGTCCTTGATGTCGAAGAGGTCCCCCTGGCTGCAGTACTCCATGGTGCAGCATAGGGCGCCCTCGTCGTTTCGGCACAGGGCGAGTGACTTGACAATGTGTGGGTGCCGGGCTCGTCGGGCGATGATGAACTCGGCGCGCAGTTGCTGCTCGTGGAACTCCTTGTCGTAGGTGGGGTAGTCTGTGAACAGCTCCTTGACGGCGAAGAGAGTGTGGCTGTTCGTGCGGCGCTCGGAGACGATGCTCACCCTGCCGCTGCCGCCGGGGATGGGCTTGTGCGAGGGCCTCCGTGTGTATGCTGCGTTGAAGTCGAGGACTTCTTCGTCCTCGGACGCGGAGGTGTCTACACAGAAGCCCCTAACGGGGGATGCGGATGGGGATGCGGATGGGGATGCGGATGGAGATGCGGATGGAGATGCAGATGGAGATGCAGATGGAGATGCAGATGGAGATGCAGATGGAGATGCAGATGGAGATGCAGATGGAGATGCAGATGGGGGGATGCTTAGCCCATCAACTTGTTGGCTCAGCTTCTGGCCTGTGATCGCCATGTTGCTGTTATTGTTGTCTAAAGTATCTGCGTCGATACTTGGATGGTACGGGTGAATCCTTCTCTGATTCACGGATGTTGTTATACGTCTGTATATGTATACCTGGGGTATAAAAGACAAGGGAAAGGAAAGGTGGGTGTCGCTAGAAAGCGAGTGTAAGAAGCGAGCGAGCGAACGAGCCACACGTCGAGACAGCAAGATATGAGACCGTTGCTACAGGACGTGGGGACTAAAGGAAAGAGTGACAAGTGGAGTGGAGTGGGAGATGGATATATGCAGAAGGGAAAATTCAATTCGCGGGGCACCTGAAAGAGGTGTTCACTTATATAGACGCGGGATCACAGCATGATGACATGCTGTCAATCTTATGGAAAACAACAGGCAGATGACGGTACTGGGAACATCGAAAGAGGGGACGAAAGCAATGCAAGATGCGAATGTGTAGGAATGATGAGAGTATGATCTCTTGCTAGAATGGGTCAATGACAGTAGTTGACGGAGGCCATTCAATATGCAACCATGACATTGAATAACGGGGGCGAGAGGTCTAGATAATCGGGAATGCAGGCCGCACGGGAGAGTAGAAAAAAACATATGTGAATGATTTGGATTCTATATCAATCTGTCAGGGCATAGACTAATCCAAACACTTGTTCCAGGCTTCGACCTAGAGATGACCCTTGAATCATCCAATCACTGCAGGTAGCATCACCTTTTGTCCTCACTGCAGCGGTGGTTCTTGACGGGTGAGGTCACCCGGACATTGTCCTTGCACAGGTCGTCCGCAGTCACGTGATGAGGCCGAAGTATGGCCTTCAAGTGGGACTGGCCGAACCTCTGCAGCCAAACCTCGGCCCCGAAACTGAACCTGAGCGTGATCATCCAAGAGAGAAAAACCGGGGCTATGTCCTGGGCGATGAAGCAACTAGCCCTGTTCATGTTGCAAAAGGATGTGCTGCAAATCGCGCCGGTAGAACGTTGAATGCGCCGTGTTCGAGGACACCCGGGTGAATGACACCGCAATCAAGGCAATAATAAACAAGCTATCTGGGATATTAGCGTACCAATGAGAAGTAACGATCCACCGAACGGTCCACCGCCCCGATACTAGACCGTTCAGCGTGGTTCAACTGCCATCCATGACGATGAGGAGCCATACAGCAGAGCTGACCAGATCCTTCAAGACAGATACGCGTTTCAAGCTGAATTGCAATGCTCCAGAGGTAAATCGAAGTAATCCTACGCGAGTAGGCTCCCCCGGGTAATCGATTCGATAACACGCATCGACGCCACGGGAGTACGACAGCAGGCAGGCTCAAAAGTCCTGGATACCGGTCTCGCCTTCCAAACGGGTCCTGATTTCTCCCTCGTCGGTCCCTTCGACGAGCCATTCCGGTTCTTCCTCGTCAAAGTACTTTTCCTGTTCGGCGTTCCAATCATCGTACTCGTCATTGTCGTCAACCGTGGCATAGTCGAAGTCGTCGTCCTCCCCTCTCAGGAACCGCAACGTCATCTCCCACCGCCATAGCTTCTCGCCTTCTTCCTTGCTCGGGGGTATCTCGTCTCGGTCCTCCGCGAGAATCTCTCCGCTCGGACCCCGGGTATAGCTGAACATCGCGTGGGGGTCGGGGTGGGACAGCGCCTCGAACTTGGCCTCGGATCGACACAGGTCCGCTTGCAGCACGCCCGAAAAGCCCTTGGCTCGTCCCTCGGCCTCCCTTTCGGTCGCAGTCTGGAATCGACGGATCAAACGGTCATACAGTAACGGGTCTGCGGTGGTGGGAGGGGGGGGTGTTAGCTTGGGCTTATCATGCTCTGTTGAAGACGGCGCCATCAGCCTGAAAAGAAGAGGATAGAGCGAGCGGACCGGCTAGCTCGAGATCCGCAGAGAAATACTCCGGGTGTATGTCCAGATAGCGCTTGCGACGGTTCTTGATCTTGGTGGCGGCGGTGGGCTCCGCCTGGGGGGAGTCTGCATCTGGGGTGATTCCCGTACCCATGGGGAAGCGAGGCATTCTGGGCTTGGGGGGGGGGGGGGGGGACAATCATGCAGTCCTCAATCAATGATGTTTGTTTCACCGGGGGAGGGAAAGTGGGAGTGAGAGTGAAGAAGAGGGATGGCAATTGCCGGCGCACTAACCCGCTTCGGGCCGGAAGCGCGCGGGCGGCAAAATCGACGAATGTCATCGTCCAAGACGGTATTTATCGCATCGGACATCCGGACTTCAGGTCATGGACGGTCGCCTTTCTATCTGACGAGCTTCGGTAAGACTAGCCTGCCTCTGGGTCCTGTTTCAGGTTGTCCCTGCCAGAGATTGCGTGGGACCGGCTCTCCCACTCCCACCTGTTAAATAGGAATCAACCAGCGCTGACTCCAGCTCCCAGATAACCCTCAATTGAGTCTCACCTCACCATGTCTTCTCTTGCGGGCTTGCTGCAGCAGCCCACCACCAGACAGCTGCTGGCTGGTGCGGCCTTGCTGTTCCTGACGGCCTTCTACTCGCCGTTGACCGTCTTGATGCTGGCACCCGTGTATGGCTCGGCCCCTGCCCACATCTTCCACGGCTATGGCGTCGCCATCGTCGGCGCCGCTGGCTGGTTCCTGAAGGACCACGTCCAGCGCCTGTCAGGTCGTCGGGCCCTCTTGGTAGTCCCGGTCCTGGCCTTCTGGGTTCCTACCGTCCAGACCTTCCTGTTCGCGTCCAGCTCCGTGATGGGCAACCCGTTCGGAGCCGTGGTCACCGAGGCCATCTCCTACTACCCGCTCCTCCTGGTCTCCGTGGCCTGCGCAGGAAAACTGGTGCAGGCGGGCCTGGACCTGGGCCGCCACGGCGATGCAGTCGCGGAGCATGTTCCTCTCCTGGTCACCTATGTCCTCTACAAGGCGGGCGAGAAGTTCGCCAAGGGGTTCCTGGCCAGGTTCCTCGGCTCGGCCTTCTTCCTGAGTCGCTCGGGTCTGCAGCTCTTGCTGCCGCTCCTGTACTCTGTCATCGCCCCCTCCAAGGTCCTGCTCCTGGCTCTCCCCTCGGTGCTCTTCTCCCTGACTTCCAATGTGCACATGCACTCGGGGGCGCTGAACGCGTACCTCCATGAGGAGGGCTTCAACCTTGTCGCTCGCCAGGACTCCGTCACGGGCTATCTCTCCGTCCTGGACAACCTGAACGATGGATTCCGGGTCATGCGGTGCGACCACAGCCTGCTCGGAGGACAATGGACCAGAATGCCCCGCAACTACAACCCGGTCGTGATGGACCCGATCTACTCGGTGTTCACCATGCTCGAGGCCATCCGTCTGGTGGAGAACGACCACCGCGAGCCTCGCGTGGATGCCAACAGCAAGGCCCTCGTCATGTAAGTCCTCATATCACCACCCACCCTTTCCAATCTCCAATTCTCATCTGACGACCCCACCCCCAGCGGCCTCGGCGTGGGCACCACCCCCTCGGCCCTAATCCACCACGGCATCGAGACCACCATCGTGGAAATCGACCCCGTCGTCCACCAGTTCGCCACCGAGTACTTCCACCTCCCCTCGAACCACATCACCGTCATCGAAGACGCCACCACCTTCGTGCAGCGCACTCCCGAGCAATACGACTACATCGTCCACGACGTCTTCACCGGCGGCGCCGAACCCCTCGAGCTCTTCACCATGGAATTCCTCGAGAACCTCGCTTCCACCCTCAAAGACGACGGAGTCATCGCCATCGTACGTCCCTCCTCCTCCTCCTCCTCCTCCTCCTCCTCCTCCTCCTCCCTTACACCCCCCAACTCCCCACACCTACTAACCCACACCAGAACTACGCCGGCGACATCTCCCTCTACCCCGCCGCCCTAACCGTCCGCACCATCCAACACGTCTTCCCCACGTGCCGAATCTTCCGCGAGGAATCCGACTCCGACCTGACCACCGACTTCACCAACATGGTGATCTTCTGCAAGAAGAGCGCCGCCACCCCGCTGTCCTTCCGCAAGCCCGTCCCCGCAGACTACATGGGCAGCAAGTTCCGCGAGAACTACCTGCTGCCCAAGCAGGAGGTCGACGTCTCCCGATTCCAGGATATCCCCAAGGGCGGTCGCCGCTTCCTGTTCGATCGCGAGAAGCATCTCATTCATAAGTGGCAGGATCGCGCCTCGTTGGAGCATTGGAATATTATGCGGAATGTATTGCCGGATGGGGTTTGGGAGAATTGGTGAGTTTTTTTTTTTTTTTTTTTTTTTTTCTTTGTGTGTGTGTGTGTGTGTGTGTGTGTGCGAGAAGGGGAGGGGGGGGGTGTATTTTTAGGTATTGAGGAGGAAATTGAAATGGAAATGAAAAGGGGGATGAAGGTTGTGTATGAAAAGGATTATATAGAACGACTACCTACCTATCTAGTTTAATTATATCTCTTGATTTTGAATCGCAGTCATAATTGTCATAGTGATAGTAGTAGCAATAGTGATAGTGATAGATACCAGGTTGCTCTTGAAGCAGTCCAAGTTCAAAGGAGGAAAAACAAAGAGGAATCTACCCTACGAGCAAGATCGATATAACTAATCTAACTATCTACCGGATGTTATTCACATTCAGACGCAGACTCCATTGCCACGGTAACGAGACGATATGATATGATATGATATGAAATGATATGATATGATAGGTATGATATTATATAAAATGATATGATATGATAGGTATGATATGATATGATATAGTATGGTATGATATGATTCAATCGAAACAAAGACCCTCCGCTGCCCTCCCCACCATCCACCCAATCCAATCCAATCCAATCCATCAAGAGAGTACCGTGAATAACTAACAGCAGTAGATGATGATGCTATTATTCCAGATCATATTCTGTCATTTCATTGTCTCTCTCTCTCTCTGACTCCTACTCCAGCCTAAGCCATTCATTCTGGTATCACAAACAATGAGAGAACGAGTTGTCTCCAAGCCTCCCCAAACCTGCTCTGTCCTGCCTCCTTTCCTCCTATCCGTCCCATAATTCTCATCCTCATCCAATATGTACTGTAGGTGAATAAAATTACATTCCAATCCTAATATGACCTCAACAAGTAAGTAGTTCAAGCCGAAGGGCTGCCCCGAGGACTAGCCCCGGGTTTCTTGACCAGCCCGGCGAAGAAATTCGCCAGGGCTTGGTTGTGGGCCTTTTCGTCGCCGGCAGAAGAGGAGATGGTTTCCTTTCTTTGGGATCGGCTGGCTTCGCGCTCCTGTTTGGGGGTTGGGGGGTTAGAGGGGTATGGTTGTGGTTATGGTATTCGTGGTGGGGTGGAGAGGAAGGAAGAGGGTACGCACCTTGAGTTTGCGGAGCATGTCATCGGCATCGACCTGGATTCCTCCCATGTTGAACTGCACGGGTCCGATGTGCTCGTTGACGCGACCGTTGTCGTCTAGCGGCGACATTTCCAGCTGGGGCGCCTGCTTCGTCGAACGGTCCTTCTCGTCGTCGGCCTTCAGCTGCTCCAGCACCTCGAGCTGCTTCGTGAGGAAGCTCTGCATGTCAGACGTTTCCACTTCCACCTTGTTGCCGTTTTGGTGGCCGCCGGGGTGGGCCATCGATGTGTCCCGCTTGGGGTCCATGATGGTCTGCTCGAAGATGGCCACGGCGCTGGTTCCGTCGTCCATTGCGCTCGCGCTGGATCCGTCGGATTTGTCGTCGCCGCCGCCGTTGGTGAATTGCTCGGGTGCGTCTTGGATCTCGATCGACCAGGCCGTCGATACGCCTTCCATGTCGAATCCCTCGCGGATGATTCGGATCTTGCCCCAGGAGTCCCAGTTGGATGGGACCAGGATCTTGTCCCGGTCGATCACGTTGTGCTTCAGTGATTGTCTTTTGAGGAGAGAGTGGATGCCCAGGGAGGAGTGTAGTAGGCTCTGGAGGGAGTTGGCCAAGAACGGTGTGGTGTAGATCAACGACGCGCCGTCTGCTGCCAATCAGAAGGGGATCCAGAGAGAGATAACTGCGGCACGTACGCTTCAATAGTAATGTTCTCATGAACTGTAGGATAAAGTCGAACTGCTCTTCGTGCCATCCGTGGTCCTTCTCCAACTTCTCGATCTTATCCGCCTATATGATGGAAACCTCTCGTTAATACACGGCGTGCGGATGCCTTCGTTGACGGAACAACATACCCCTTGGCAGACCACACACATGGGGATACCCAGCCCCTCGTCCCATTCGCCCGGTCCCAGCGGTATCGTCACAGGCCCCGCGGAGCTGGTAAACCCTTGTGCGCCGCCCGAACTCGGATCCATGCCTCGTTTGCGGTCCCTCCACTCCGTGAGATTCTCCTCCATCACGATCTTCGTCTCGTCGTCGAGCGATATGAGCACATGTCGGAGCAGACGGACCCATTCCCGGAGTCGCCGAACCCATGTCCAGGGGTCCGACCAGTCCAGCAGGATCACGACCAGAGTTTCCGGGATCGACTGAGGGGTCAGGAGGGGTTTGAGAAGGGGTGCGAACGACAGGGACGGCTCGGAGAGCAAGTATGCGGAGACGCGCGCCAGGGTATCTAGAAACGGGTCGCTCTCAGCATCCATCCAGCGCAGGAAATATACACCTTCGACAAGCCAATTTACCTTCATGATCGGCATCCAGCACATCCTGGTATGTATACCCCAAGGCGAACTGGTTGGCAACGGGCGGCAGGCGCCCCTTTCGCTTGTCGTTTGACAAGCTAGGATCCGACGAGTCCGCCGCAAATGTGTCCAGAAATTCTCTTTGACTTTCAGGCGTGCCTCCTAGAGCAAACAGTATGGCGGTATCAGCGACGGAACGTAACCCGGTCGGGATGCGAGTAGGATCGCGGAGAGCCAGGGCTTCAAACCTAAGATAAGGAGATTCTTCTCGGGCAGACGCTTTCCATTCGCGACACTGTCCAGCATGGACGACCAGATGTTCTTCTTGGGGCCATCCTTGCTCGACGGCCGACTATTGCTTCCGGGGCCGGCTCTGGACCCGGGTATTTGACTTGACGCAGACATCGTCTGTTCAATTCCGACCATGCTCAGCCGGCGCAGAGCATTCCAAGGACCGTTCAGACGATCCGGAGAGTCTGCCGACGAATTTGACGCGTTGACCGCGGAGGTTGGAGGGATGGTGGATATCGGCTAAGCAGGCGGGTTGGGGTCAGGGGAATCTGGCGTAGTTGGACGATCTTGGGAGCGATCGAGACGGGACCGCGGCCAAATTTCCTACCCGAATGAGCGGGACCGTCGATAAGCCCAATCTTGGGGGGTTGAGGCAAACGGGTCGGGTTTGGGGGTTGAGAGCTGAGGGCAAAGACGGGGCGGGGCGGTTTCTGCTGGGGAAGAGGCAAGTTGCAGCGAGTTGTGCACCGGGCGTCGTAAACAATGATCCAAGTGTCGGCGTCCTTGCGGGTGGGACCCTCCCGCGGAGCCAGCCCGTGATGTGCTGATGACTTCCGCCAGCTTTTCGGCAGCTGTTGCATCCTCCTCCTCCTCCTCCTCCTCTTCTTCCTCCGCTCTTGTCTTTCACCTGTCGTGCGCCCCCAACCTTTGCCTCATGGGCTATTCCTTGTGATCTACCCAATTAAACATGAACAACATCCGCCAAATCCAGGCGCTCAACAAGCGCGAGCTTGAGAATGCCGTGTATGTCCTCCACGTCTGCCCACCCGCTCACTGCTTTGCTAACCTCTACGACTTATCACAGGCCCCCGGAAGCTTCCTGGCACGCGGACTACAGAGACACCGCATATGTCTACGTTGGCGGGCTGCCATTCGACCTCTCCGAGGGTGACATTGTAGCTATTTTTTCGCAGTACGGCGAGCCCGTGCACGTCAACCTCGTGCGTGACAAGGAGACCGGAAAGAGTCGAGGCTTTGCGTTCGTGAAGTACGAGGATCAGCGCAGTACGGATCTCGCCGTCGATAACCTGGGTGGAGCGACCGTTCTGGGCAGGATGCTGCGGGTGGACCATACGAGATACAAGCGTCGCGACGATGAGGAGGAAGGGGACAATGTCGCGAGGATGGTGGGCGATACGACCCCTAAGGATCAGGATGGGGATACGGATGATGAGCGGAGGAGACGGAGGAAGAGAAGAGGAAGCGATTCGAGAGAAGAGCCCCGGAAACGAGCGCCGCTCAAGGAAGAGATCGAGCTGGAGGAGCTGATCAGGAACCACGACGAGGAAGATCCGATGAAGGAGTTCCTGATCGAAGAGAAGAAAGAGGAAATCGCGCAGGCCTTGGAGAAGGCGCGCAGCAGCGAAAAGTCATCCCGGAGACGGCGAGACAGCCGCGAGAGGTCAAGCCGCCATCATCGCTCCGACCGGCCACATCGCCGGCGACACGACGACGATCGCGATCGCTCCAGAGAGAGAAGACGGCGTGATCACCGGTCGCCTAGGAGGGAGGAGCGATCTCACAGAGCCAGGTCCCCGTCTCGGAGGGACAAGTCCGACCGAGATAGGACGCCGGTCATGTCGCGATCCCCGTCTCGGAGGGACAGGTCCGACAGAGATAGGACGCCGGTCATGTCGCGATCCCCGGAACCACGCAGAGACCGGGATAGACATCGTCAGCGATAAATGTGTGCAGCATTGCTATCTAACTATTAAATATGCTAATTATGGTGAAGTCTCTAAACTGAACCCTGCAGAGAGCCATCAAAAACGATCTCCAGGATCTTCGCGGCGAAAGATTGCAGTCAGATGACTAAACTGGAAACGCCAGCTGGAAAATTTGCTGCTTCATCCTGTTCCTGCGCCTGCGTTTGTTCATGTCAGGATTCGCGCTGTGACATGGCAGGTCTCCTGCACGGAAAACCTCTCAGCTCCCTCCAAGATACCGCTTCCAACCCTCCCTCATACAATACCGCCGTCCATCGTCCCCGTCGCGAAGAATAAATTTCTCCCAGCGCCCGTCCCTCCCCGAGCCGATAACATGGATCGTCCGATCGTCGGGCCAACCTATCACCCCCTTTGATGGGCCTCCGAACGAGGTACCCAGGGGCGGAACGTAAAGTGAACCAGGGGGCGCCTCATCGCCTATCTCGAAATGGGCACTTGCGAACGAATAAACATCGGAGAACACCCTGGGTAGCAATGGGATCTTCCCCAGGATCCCCCATTTCTGATTCGTCGCTTCTTCGGTCGGGGAAGTCGCCGATTGGGACCGGTGCATAAGGGTTCGAGGATGAGGAAGGTCAAACACGTGTAGGGTAGATTTGTCGGACGTCACGGCCAATAGAAGATTCGAGGGCGAAATTGCCAGCGAGAATATCACTGCATGATCCACCCCGCGTCGTAACTCCGCAATCTTCGTGCAATTAGTCGTAGAATACACCCGTATCAAAGTCCCCTAGGTACATCACGCCTTATCAGCAAGCCGCGCAGCAGCGACCCGTACAAGGGGGAGGGCCATCCATACCGCTTCACTGGCCGTCGCCAGCACCTGGCCATCGGGACTCAACGCCATCGCACGCAACGGCGTACTATGTGCGGGGATGATGCTGACATTGCCCGTTTCAATTTCCACCACCTGGACCTGGCCCGGCGATCGCCCGGGAAACGCGAGTAACTTCTGTCCCAAGCACGCCAGCCCCAGTGGGTTATCGGTGGTCTCGAAAACCGACAACTTCTTCGGGGGGTAGGAGAAAGCGAAGATGTGGATGCTGTTGAGAAGGGCGACGACAATCCGGTGTTTCGACAATCGGACGCCGAGAACTGAGGTTCGGAATTCCAGCGTGATCACGGCTTTCTGCTTCACATCGTCCCAGATGACCAACTGCGACAGGCGTGTGAGTATGAGGACCTTCTCGTGGGACCGGGCGGGTGAAGGAGCTGAAGCACCTTATTCTGGGGGAATTTAGGTTGTCTTCCTCCGCCAACGATGGCTAGGTAGTTCGACTGGCCGAGCATCGTGACGAGACCGATCCCCGCATTGAAGTCTGGATTCAGTCGACGGTATCAGCGATGTGAAGCTTATGGGAAGCTGGCATGGGAAGAGGTCCGTACCTCTGGATACTTTGAGCTCGCATGGATCGGCGTTGAAGACTATGCATGTATAGACATCATTCTGTTGTGAGCTTTATGCTAGTCGAACAATAAATATAGTTGCGAGGCGCATGTCACAGGACTCACCACAGAAGCCCGTGTCCAAGCCCACAGCGAAGCAGGTATTATCATCGTTGAATGTAGCCGATAGGGATAGCGGGCCTACCGACTCATCAATATTCTGTCGGGTGTTCATCCTGGAGAGCAAGGCGAGCCATGAGAGCCTTCTTGGTAGACAGTTGGAGACAGGGAACTAGAGGATCGGCGGCGGTCGCTGACCTAAGGCAGATAAGGCATGGTAGTTAGTTATGGGTGATGCGGTGCCGCTTTAAAGCTAGGTTTGCTCTTGGCTCAAAGGTCCACTGATGACAACACATCCTGCTGAATCGTTGCGCAGCAAACAGCAAGGCTTTCTTTATTGCCGGTTGGATCACGACCAAAAAAGAAATAATGACCAGGAGCAAAAAAAGGTTGACAAGGACGGGATTCGAACCCGCGCGATCTCTCATTGGTGATTTAGAACCTAAAACCAACGCCATAACCACTCGGCCACCTTGCCTTTTTCATATGTTTGATTAACGCCGCTGGGGAATAATATATTTGGCTGGTCTGAGTAGGCTGGCATTACGCCACAGGCCCCGGTATGGTACTGGCGTAATCTTTACCGCTACGGCGGCCCGCAGTGACCCACGGCGGCGGAGGAAACGCCTTCTGCTGCCCCCGACCCCTGAGAGGAGCAGCTGGGGTGAACGCGGAAGCCACCCCTGCCATGCCATGTACTCCGTAGTAGACGCCGCCGTCTATACTTCAGCTTCCCTTCCCAGAATGACAAGTGGATAGGATGGGGCCTGACCGAAAGGGACCGGTCGGACGCCCTGTTGGGAACCTGAAAGTGCCGTAGCCAGGCTAGTGGCTTCGTTCGAGACTTGCGCAAAGACAATAATTGATGATCGCAGCGTCCCCAGATTGGATAGGTAGGTAAATTAAGCTGCCCAAATAAAGGACCTGTTACGGGCTTACCGTACCAGGTACGGTGCCTGGGGGGGGTGGTCCTGGCCGTGCTGGAGCCCATCCACGGACAGCAGCAGAACCCGAGCCACGGCGGGAAGGTGGTAAGGGCGTACGGGCAGTACCAATATTACGGCGAAGTGACCAGTCCGGAGAAGGAGCGACGGCGGTGATTGGACACGACGGCACTGCAGGGCGAAAGGGGCAGCCGTGACGGTACGAGCCAAACAACGGTACACTTCCCCTTCCCCCCTAACTGCCAGCGCCGCCGCCAAACGGCCGTCTTGCAAGCAACTCAGTCCCTCCAGCCCAGCTTGGCCTTGCCTGCGTCTCCATCGACCGACCTCAGGGGAGCAAGCATCCCATCCCATCCCATCCCCATTCAACTCCATTCCTTTCCCTCCTCTCCCTCATCCTCCATCACCACCCACCAACCAACCTCCTCCGTCCTTGTCCTCTGCCACTCGCTACCTCTCTCCGTTCCCTTCAATTCTATCTTCTTTCCTCTCTCTCGCTCTTCTTCCTTACCTCCCGTTTTAATCCACCATGTCTTTCAACGCGGTATGTTGCTTCTTTCCCCTTTCTGGCCTCGTCGCTCAGAACGCCCGTCCTTAATCCCACCCCCTCCCTCCAAACCCCTCCAAAGCTTCCAACCCCCCTCCCTCTCTACCCCCCCCCCCGTCATGCTCTCCCAATTTCTTTTCTCGGATCTTAGGGAGAGTTGGGTCCATGGTTAATTTCTCGTCTAATTCCCAGATCAAGCTCCGTCGCAAGAAAAATGTCAAGAAGGGTATCCAGTTCTGTCTGATGGTCTGTGGTGCCAGCGGAACCGGTATGTGTTGGGTTGTACAGTCTGCATTCGCTCCACGATTGACCGGTTCTTTCTTCCCCCAGGACGCACCACCTTCGTCAACACTCTCTGCGGAAAGAAGGTCCTAGAAGGCAAGGACGCCGACGACGCCGCCAACGCTCACATCGAGGAGGGTGTCCGCATCAAGCCAGTCACAGTCGGTAAGTCACCGCCCGACTGGCCCTCTGGATGTTTTCGCCCTGCTAACGCCGACCGAAAGAGCTTGAATTGGACGACGAAGGCACCCGCATCTCCCTCACCATCGTTGATACCCCCGGTTTCGGTGACCAGATTGACAACGAAGCAAGGCACGTGGACATGACCGCCGCCCCAACGCACCCATTGCAGGACTGACCGTTTCACAGCTTCGGTGAGATTGTCGGATACCTCGAGCGCCAATACGATGACATCCTGGCGGAAGAATCACGAATCAAGCGTAACCCCCGCTTCAGGGACAACCGTGTGCACGTTCTCCTGTACTTCATCACACCGACCGGCCATGGACTCCGTGAGCTGGACATCGAACTGATGAGGCGTCTCTCCCCCCGTGTTAACGTCATCCCCGTTATCGGCAAGGCCGACTCCCTCACCCCCGCCGAATTGGCCGAATCCAAGAAGTTGATCATGGAGGATATTGAGCACTACCGCATTCCGGTGTACAACTTCCCGTACGACATCGAGGAGGACGACGAGGATACCGTTGAGGAGAACGCCGAGCTGCGTGGCCTCATGCCCTTCGCCATTGTGGGTTCCGAGGACACCGTCGAGGTCGACGGCAAGAAGATACGGGCCAGACAATATCCCTGGGGTGTCGTCGATGTGGAGAACCCCCGCCACTCGGATTTCCTGGCCATCCGCAGCGCTCTCCTTCACAGCCATCTCGCCGATCTCAAGGAGATCACCCACGACTTCCTCTACGAAAACTACCGTACCGAGAAGCTCAGCAAGAGCGTCGATGGTGCCACTCCGTACGTATCCCCGATGGCTGTCGTGGCGGTCTGCTCAGGCGTCGGCTAACCCATTGCCACAGTACACAAGACTCGTCGATGAATCCCGAAGACCTAGCATCGCAGTCCGTTAGGCTGAAGGAGGAACAGCTCCGTCGCGAGGAGGAGAAGCTCCGCGAGATTGAACTGAAGGTGCAGCGCGAGATCGCCGAGAAGCGCCAGGAACTGCTGGCTCGGGAGAGTCAGCTAAGGGAGATCGAGGCTCGCATGGCGCGTGAGGCAAGCCAGAGTCAGGTTGATAGCACCAACGGGGATGCTTAAACGGCCGCCGGCCCTGTTCCCCGGGGGAGACAGATCTTGCATGTTGACCCCTGACGCCGTTTGTGCCTATGTAATGAGATTCGTGGCACGGCAGTTGTAACTGTCGACGGGGATAATATTAGTCGACCGTTTATTCACGTTAATAGCTTTTTTTATCTGGACGAAAGGGAAGGGGAAAATGCAAGGCTCCGTTTAGCGCGACGACTGGCAGCGGTCCCCATTGGCGACAAGAGGCGTGGAATCCTGCAGCAGGTCTTCTCTTTCCCTCTCCCCATTTTGGCTTCTCTCATGTCTTCTTTAATCTGGTCGAAGGATCTCCCACAGTTTTCCGGTGCCTGTGTTTGCGATGCTTTGGGGTCCGAGGTAGCATCATCACCATCTCTTTTTCTTTTTTTTTTTTTTAATCGCTGACAGTTGTCGTCGCTGGACCTGCATAAACTCCCTTTCTCATTGACCCGTCCTCCCCTTCTTAGTTCTTTCTCCCATTTCTGCTTTCAGTCGATGAAACCTGTCCCAATCTCAGCAGCGCAGCAAGATTCCCTCTTTTGTCATTTTCATAATTCCGTGTGCTCGTGGTTCTCATGTCTTAATCTTTATCATCATATGTGTTCTAGTTTCAATAGTAGTATATGAGGAATTATTTCAAGATTGCTGCTTGTAGGTGTAAGACTGGCTGTGTTGGGATGGTTGTGTGGTTGTGGGTGATGGATGATGACCTTGGGCGTGGGGAACTGAATATATATCAGGGACCGACCGGGGTATAAAATACCCTAATGTCTTGGGGGCGAAAGACGTAAAAACATACTAAGACGTATGTATAGGTTGACTAAAACGATGGTTAATTGGACATCATCCATGTTATTTACTCACAGAGTCAATTTAGAGGCTGGCTCTTAATCCCATACTTCCTTAAACACTACCCTGCTTTGGCCCTAGCCTCAATAGCATCCCTGCATTTACGATGGCATTGTTGCAGTAGTCAAGTTTATCAGCCACTATTCAATGTTTAACATTATGATTCGAAACCCAATGTAACAATATATCTTGCTTGTTGCTGTCTGTAGGATGTATATCCTAATAGGTATGGCCCTAAATTATGTCAAAATAAATATACATCTCCACCACCCAGACATCCCCTAACACCAATCCATCATCCCCTTATATCTATCTATCAGTATCTGGCTGGGAATTGAATACTATATCTACCCACCCCCACAACCCATATACTATATATCCCATAGTAGTTATCCCATCCCAAGTCCTTCATAACCCCCTCCCCAAACAAGAAACCTAAGAACTCCCAGTCCCAGTCCCAGTCCCAATCTCACCCCCCTCCCCATCTCTAGTACCCCTCCACTCCCCCTCCAACATCCCCAAAATCACAAAATCATACCACCGCCCCTCAAACCAAACCGCCTCTCTCTTCCTCCCCTCCACCACAAACCCCAGCCTGCGATACAGCCTCACCGCGTCGGTATTATACCCGACGGCTTCAACGGTGACCCGATGCAAGCCGGCCACCCGAAACGCCCACCGCAGGGCCCACGCGATCGCCTCGCTCCCGTACCCCTGGCCCTGGTGCTCGGCGGCAATGTCGATCGTGAGGGCGGTTTCGCGGTGGTGCGCGTGATCGGGTGGCGGGGCGCGCAGGGAGATGGCTCCGATTTGGATGGTGGTTGGGGTTGGGAGGGTCGTGGTGTTGGGAGAGAGTTCGATGATGGTTGCTAACAGGGCCTTCTCGCTCGTCAGGTACTTGAAGTAGCCGGTTTTGGTGTCGCGGGTGGATTGCGGTCTGAGGAGCGTGGCGTTGGAGGTGGCGAAGGATGGGGGGTGGAGTTGCAGGCTGTGGATGAAGGGTTCGTCGGTGTCTTCGATGGCGCGGTAGGTTAGGCGGCTGGTTTGGAAGGGGGTGGGCATTTTGGGTGATTGGGGGGGGGGGGGGGTTTGTTTTCTTTTCTCTTTTCTTTTTGAATCACAAATGATTGGGAGGTAGGGATGGAGGGATGGATATTTGTGTGGGGGATTGGGCTGGGTTGAGATGGGGTTTATACTATGTGGGTGGTCTTGGGAGATTGTATAGTTCGGGATGCAGGGTCGGGGTCTCAAAGCGGATAGTGAGTGGAGTGGGGACGCAAATATGGTTCGTAGTATCCGTGCTAGGAGTACTATCTGTATGGCTCCGTTTGAACCATATCTGGTGCGTTAGGCCACCGCATAATACCTGAGTAACAGGCATCCGGTGGATACAGCTACAACTCATCCCAACCAACAAGAACATACGGACACCACTCACAGAAGATATATTATATGATTGAGGCAAGAAGAGATTCAGGAAGAAGGAAAACAACATGCACGAAAGCAAAGTGAAGATTGAGAGGATGGAAATAAACATGTGGTATTTGCGCTTCATTGTACACAGATAATGATCAAGCTGATCTGATACAGACAGATCGAGTCAACAACATGGGAGGTATTATAGAAAAGAGATCCTCAAGAACAGCCCGGGAAACGTGGAGGCCGCACAGGTGGGAGAGAAAATGAGCTTGAAAGGGACGACGCAATGGATATGCCGCTTGAGATCCTCAAAGGGGCCATTCTAAGTGAGTCAAAAGTACTGAAGGAACAGGAGCCATTTCTCGTATCATCTGCCTATCGCGATTAGCCTAGTGTTGCTGCGGCTTGTTCCAGAAATCCAAACTGGCCACCACGTCTTCACCCGATTCGTCTTCGTAGGCATAAAGAATCTGGTTCCGCGTTAGCATAGTAGATAAAGGATGTCCGTGGATCCGAGAAAACTCACCTCTCGGGTGGAAGTATGCAACATGCGAATGTTCTTTCCGGTCATGATGTGGACCAGCTCGCTCGTTTCAATGTGCCGGATTTCGATGAAGTTCGGCTCAAATGCAAGTATGTAAGGGTAGGAGAGTGCGAATGCGTTCGGGTTACCCTCCCAGGATATCCTCCAATCGGGGCGGGCACGCCAACCGTTGCGATTCACGAAGAATGAAAAGTCACTGTAGTTGAGAAGAAACTCTCCGTTCATCCGTTCGATATGGATCGGCTTTACGTTCTCCTTGCGCGCAACAAAATCGAGGGAGGTGTCTGCCTGATCCAGAAGGGACTGCGTCTCCGTGGTCTCAAGACTGACGACCTCGAAACCACGTGCACAGCCAACACAGAGGGTTGAACGGAGGAAGTGGATCGAAGAGGATTCTGCGGGGATGTAGAATTCCTGGGAAAGCCGTTAGTACGATCTCAAAGACGCATGAAGAATGTTGTGGGCAACAAACCTTGAAGAGTTTCAGACTATCCTGACCACTCTGGAACATCTTACTAACGGCAGACTTCTTCTTGCCCTTCGCCAAATTGTCCATGGGCTCATAAACTTTGATAGTCGTCGACAGAGCAGAGGTCTTGACAGAACACACCAGGTGGCGACCGAGCCCGATGCCAGCCTTGAAGAAGTTTGCGTGCCCCTGGATCTTCTTAGGCCGCTTGGCCATCGTGTTTTGACCCTCGGTTATCTCAAGAGCCTCCATGGGGTACGATGACAATGTTTTGTTCGACAAGACCAAGAGTAGTTGATACTCCTCCAGAGTATCCATCTGGGTAACCTGACTGACATCCAGAACCCTTCTGGGTTTGGCAGACTTATCCTTGGGCCATCGGTCAGAGATGTAGATGCCGCTGTCTGTACCATACACCAGCTTTCTGCCACCATCTGAAAGGACCTATTAGCAAATGAAAGGGAAAAGCTCAGTTGTAACATACCAACTGGAACAAGGCAGTTCACCCGATTGACGGAAGTGAAGAAGTTCTCGCAGAGAACAGTCTTGTTGTAGAAATTGCTATTCCGCTCTCTGAGCTTGCTCTGCTGTTCCTGGACCATTTCGATGAACTTTCTCCGCTGCGTCGGGGAAGTGGCGTACAAAGTCTGTTCGTAACCACCCTTGCCGAGATGTCGGAAAGTGATGGGAAGTCCATCTTTGGTAGAAGGGGGGTTGGCGGCAACCTTATTAGAAAGTAGACTGGAGGAAGGCCGCTTGGCGATGCCCACCCTCGGGACCACTTCTTCCATCTGAGCAATGACTAGAAGCTCCAGAGGGATTGGCTTGCGATAGACGCGATACTCTTCACGCTTGTTCACAACCTTGATTCTCACCAGGAGAACTGCATGATCGAACAGATACGCAGTGACCTCGGAGCTGTCGGTGGGGGTCTTCTTGAACGCCATCTTCGTCAGCATCTGGCGGTTCTCTTCCGTGAGCTTCAAATCGACAAAGTCACCCGGGCCGAACTTCAACGCCGAATCAAGTTGCACTAGGTTGAAGTGGTTCTCGGCTCTTCCGCTCTCGGTATTGACGCGGGACAGGAAATCCTTGATCAACTTGACTGCGTTCGAGATATCCTGCTTATCGGGATTGTCGTCCGCTGTGTTCTTCGCAACCTGTTCCAGCAGCAAGGGGTATCTTGCTAGACGAGTGGTTGGTTTGGTCAGGTATCCGTTGAGTTCCAGCTTCCGGGACTCTTTGAGGCGCTCCGTCTCTTCAACAAATCTTGCAAATGCTGGATTCGAAGCTTTTTCCTTTTCAAACTCGTACTTGCCGTATAACTGGTTGGCACCGTACTTGATGAAAGGATCAAAACGTGGCACGTGTTGCAGGAAGATATCACCGACGGTCCTTACGACGTGGCTCTCTTTCTGCCTCGCGTTGAGGGCCTCGCACAATGCACCGTTGACCTTCAAGACCTCCAAGCAGTTTCCAAACACCGTGCGGATAAACTTTTCGCGTCGATGTTCCGGGATTGGGGAAAGATTGGTGTTGCCCGCAGAACGCAGCGGCCTCATCCAGAAGTCTCGCAGGTATTCCAGGTCCTTCACAAAGTCACGTTCCGTGTACATAATCTCAAAGATGATTTCCTGGCGTTTCTTTTCGCGGTCGTCAATACCATCAGAGATCTCCTTAGGAACCATGTTGATCCACAGCTTTTGGTTGTCATTATCGTCGTCCCCGTGCAGACTGCCCTTAGAAGCAGACAAACGCAGTCCCGGCTGCGGCTTCAGGTTCAACCTAGCCTGCTGCTCCAACCTTCTGGGGCAAGCGATTGAGTAGCAAAGACTGTCGCGAGTGCACGTGGGCGAGTAACATTCAGTCAATAGCGTGAAAACTCCATTCACCTCCGAGCTGGGCGCTTCCTCTCCCATAGTCTCTTTGAACTGGTAGAGCTCACCGGGCGCATCACGCAGACGGTGATCATAGGTCACATCGTGGAAGAACTTCTGCGCATCCAAAGCGCGTCCCAGCAGAAGAGCCAAGTTTCGGTCCAAGGTCTTGATGATGTACCCGATCAAGTCCACCGCCTCCGCACCGGTGAAAGCATTCTGATATGACAATCCGTTCTTCTGCCGTTCCCCGAGCGCAATCCTCTCACGGAAGACATCTGCAACTCGTGACAGCAGAGCCGGGTAAACTAGCGGGACCTTACTCCGACGAGAATTGCTGGCGACAAGAGTCGTTTGGTTGCTTGTCTTTGGTGCGATTGTGCTCTGCATGCTCATAGTACGATCTGGTGCCACCGTTGATGCCATCGACATAGAGCGTGAATTCGTGGAACCGTCACTCGGGGGCCGACCTCTTCCGCTGGTTTTGGGAGCGGGCGGCGCGTCCACAGGGTACGAGTTTGCTGGGGGTGGGCTTGGACCGGAGGGTTGTCTCCTATTCGGAATCACTCGCCCTCCATTGCTTGTCGTATGGGCATGCTCTCGATCCGTAGAGTATGTGGTCAACGACATAGTGCGCTGGTCGTGAGGTCTTTCCGGCACAACTCGCCCCTGGGCTGTCATCGGGGCTGCCGCGTTATACGGGCGCTCGCGGGAGAACTTCGCAGACGTGTGATTCAAGCCACTAGTTTGCGGCTGGAAGGTCGGTGGTCCTCCCATTCTTGCCATTGACCGTGACCTGGAAGCATCCGAGTTCAAGGCGGGGTGGGGTATCGGCCGAGCAAAACCCTTCGCATCCGGATACTGAGGCCCAGGGTTCGATGAGTCCAACCGCTGAGGCTGGGGGTAAGCAAAGCGCCCGGGGTATGGTCGCGGGGCCTGCTGCGAAGGGTGTTGAGAGGTCATTGTCGCTGCGCTTCCGGCATATGGTTGGTAGTAACCGTTCGGAGTCCCCTGTGCATAACCATTCTGCATCTGGCGTGCGGGAGGTGGCGGGCCCCTCTGCATTTGCGGGTGCGGCACGTGTGAGGACATTGTATGAGCCCGATCCTGGGAGAACTGGGGAGTCTGGGAGGTCATCGTTTGAGAGCGTCCAGGTGGCGGTGCTCCGCCAAAGATCTCGGAATACGCTGCATCACGCTGGAAGGCGGAGGGATGGCCGTAGGGCCGGTAGTTCCGGCCTTGCTGACCCCCTAAATCGGCCATGGTGTATGGTGCCCCCTCTTTACCCTTTGGACGGGATTATCTCCTGGAGAGATCGAGAGAATTGGGCGGCACCCGACGGTAGACGGTGGCAAGGTAAGGTGGGTAGGAGGAAGGGTGTCGAAGCCGGTCGTGGAGGGCGTGCAGAGCGTCGCGGGATAATCGTTCGAATCGTGGAGTAAGGAGAAGGAGGAGAGGGCGGGTTTGAAAAAAGAAAAGAGGCAACTCCACGGGGGGGTGGATTGATTTGGGGGGGAGGGGGCGATAATTTATAAGCAGGTAAAAGAAAAATAAGACAAGAATAAAAATTCAATAAGAGAAGAAAAGACCTCTAGACGTAAAAGCGCCCTCGGTGTAGCATGCCTTGAAGCGTTCAGATGTTGGTGCGATTTGAAAGGCTGAAGACAGGCGTCGAGACCGCGTGGTGTGTTAACGATCCAAATGCGCTAGGAGCCTTGAGCGCAACGGCAAACCAGGGCCCCTGCAAGTTCATAACCTCAGCATTCTCCCTCGGGCGGACCGACCGAACGGGACTGGGGGGGAGGGGGGGGGGTGTGGCCTGGAGACGGAGTGGGAAAGGCCAGGCAGGGAGGTGGAGGGGAAGGGGAGGGGAGGGGAGTGTGAGAGGGGGGAGGGGGGGAGGAAGGATAGAAGCAAGAGGGAAGAGGGAAGAAAGGTGTATTGTAATTGTATGGGGGGGGGGGGGGAGGGGGAAGAGTGGGGAGAGGAGGGAGGAGTGGAAGAGATATCTAGTGGTAGGGGAAGCAGGAGAGGGAGGTATGGATTCTGGTGAAGAATGAATGAGTCCGTGTTGGAAGAGCACGGGGGTTGTTGGGTTGAACAGGCACCGCACATGTCAGTCTTAACCCGGATAGGCCAGCCCCGGCTACGACTACGGTGGCCCAGGCGGACCTCTTCGGCCAACCTCGCCCGCCGCCGCCGAGATGCGAGCTAGCTTGCTGGCTTGGCTTGGCTGGCTGGCTGGCCGGCTGGTTGGCTGCTCGCTGCTTGCTCGTCTGTCCCGACGGCCTGCACGACTACCACAACATCTGTCTCTTGACGCTCTCTCTGACTCTCCATCTGGGCTGAGTACTGGTCTTGTGTACCACGACTGACCCTGCACTGCCTGTGACGGCATTTTGCCCTCTCTTTCGATTCTTCACTTGCCCTTCGTCCCCTTTCTCTCCCCGTGTTTCCTCCCGTGGAATCGGCAGCCATCATGGCGGACAGCGAGTTCTCCCCCAAGTTCGCTCCGTTCTTTTCCTTCGTAAGTGGTCCATCCTGGATTACACTGCCCCTCAATGCGCATTTTCGTCGGTCGCTAACTTTCAGAAAAGGCAGGAATTGCGTCAGCTGTGAGTGTCAAGTCAACACCCTCCCTCCACAACAACTAAACGCTAATCGCCCGTTCAAAGATGATCTTCGGATGTACGTTGAATGGAAAACCCGGTGGTATCGGATTTTAGTTGGAAGAACACGCGCTCACCTCATTTTAGCACTGGGAGCAGCTTATGGAACGGCCAAGTCGGGCATCGGTATCGCCGGTGTGGGAACCTTCAGGCCCGATCTGATCATGAAGGTAAGGCGGACGCTGCCTGCACTCTTATCGCATGCAGAGAATCTATCAAATATACTGACTGGCGCAGTCGTTGATCCCGGTCGTCATGTCCGGTATTATCGCAGTCTACGGCCTCGTGATTTCGGTCCTCATCGCCGGTGATCTGGACCCCCCTCCGAACAAGTACATGAGTCTCTACACGTAGGTCTCATACAATCCCTCGAGCGTTATATCCGATCTTGAATAGTGCGATGGCTGATCATACTGTGTGGGAAGTGGGTTCATGCATCTTGCCGCGGGATTGTCGGTCGGCCTCGCGGGCGTGGCGGCTGGATACACCATCGGTATAGTTGGAGATGCGGTAAGCATCATCGCGTGGCCTTGGGATTTGCGCGAGGTGGCTAACAAGAGGGCCAGGGTGTTCGCGCGTACATGCAACAATCCCGGGTTTATGTCGGAATGATCCTGATCTTGATTTTTGGCGAAGTCCTCGGTCTCTACGGGTACGTCTGGAATCGCTACCGCGAACGAGACTCCCTGCTGACGATGATAGATTGATTGTTGGCCTGATTCTCAACTCCAAGAGCTCTGGCTGAGCCGGGCCTGTCTTTGCACTTGGCGTTCCCGGTTGTTGGCCGCTTACATTCGAATGGACCCATGGACCCTTTGGCTCCTATAGAAACCCCATGGCCAGGGATCCGGTCCAGTGAGATTGCCATGGAGGCGTTGCGGGGCTGCGTAGCCCTTGGGGCACAGTAAACCCTGGACGCCGGCTGAGATGGATGCCGTTCGTCCGGGCGTATTGGGGGGGGGGGGGGGAGGGTTCTGTACTAGTACATTGCTTGCATGCCTGTCGAATAGCATATATGTGTTGATCGAACGTGTTAGAAGTGAGCGTTTAGGGGTGTAGACAGTAGACAGCAGACAGCAGACAGCAGACAGCAAACAGCAGACTGGACCAGGCCGCCCCGAGGCTGCCCCGCCGCTCCGGCCGGTAACGTCAGAGTCTCCGTAGCGCCGCCCGGCTGGATGAACCAGACCGGCCTCACCCAAAGCTCTTTCATCCCGCAAAATCCTCTTGCGATTTCCCGCGCGTTTGCCGCTCTCCAGTCCCTATCCCCCATGCGCGAATCCCTCGCTGCTGCATCGCCCTGTTATTTATAAGGGACCCGGTACTCGCCCAATTGCTACCCCAACGGCCCTTTGTTTTTCTCCCCACACCTCCTTATCCCACCCCCCCAAAATCCCACCCATCCTCCCTCCCTCTGCCCCCCCCGCGACCCTCCGCGTCATGATCCTTTGCCATTCCCCTGGCCACAACAACGGTCCCTCCCGCTAACTCTAACATCATGCAAAGCTCCTTGTTCCCCCCGAATCGATTCAAGATGGGGTCGGACGATATCCACGAGGAGGAGAAGGACATGGTGTCTTCGGTCCGATCGCCTCATCAGCGGCGGCTGAGCCCGTTCGTCATCGCAAGCCGCCCGGAGGAGAAACAGCTGGGGATTTCGACCCGCCGGCTGAACGTCAATGACTTCTCGCTGCTGAAGACACTGGGTACAGGTAAGCTTCGCTTTATCGCTTGCGCAACCTAGCCAGTGTCTGACGGTGGCGATCCTCGTGTCTAGGTACTTTTGCCCGAGTATGGTTGGTGAGGTTGAAGGATGAGAAGCAGCGACGGGACCGAGTTTATGCGCTCAAGATGCTACGGAAGGCCGATGGTGTGTATGCCACTATCCGACTAAGATTTCTGCTTCGTGCTCTGACTAACCGCTGGTCTTTTTGCAACCCGACAGTGATCAAACTGAAGCAAGTCGAGCATGTGCGTAACGAGCGACGGACCCTGTCGGATGTATCCGGCCACCCTTTCATCACGACATTAATCGCATCCTTTTCCGATGACCAAAATCTATATATGCTGGTATAGTTCCCAAGCCTGTCTGTATTTCTACGCCGATCGGACCCCCACTCGAGTATCCGACCTGCGTGATATATGTGGCATAAGACAGCTGACATCTTCATAGCTGGACTATTGCCCTGGTGGTGAAATATTCAGTTACCTACGGCGTGCGCGTCGCTTCAACGAGACCACGTCCAAATTCTACGCGGCGGAGATAGCCTTGACGATTGAATTCCTGCACGATGTGGAGGGGGTTGTTTACAGAGACCTCAAGCCCGAGAACATTCTCTTGGACGCGGAAGGACACATCAAGCTCGTCGATTTTGGCTTCGCCAAACAGGTTGGCGACCGCGAGACGTATACGCTGTGCGGTACTCCGGAGTACCTTGCACCGGAAGTCATCCATAACAGCGGCCACGGCCTTGCCGTGGATTGGTGGGCTCTGGGTATCCTTATATACGAATTCCTCGTGGGACAGCCACCGTTCTGGGACCAGAACCCAATGCGTATCTATGAACAGATTGTCGAGGGTCACATTCGGTTTCCCCAGAACGTGTCGCCCGCGGCCCAGAACATTATATCCTTGCTTTGCAAGACCAATCCCACGGAGCGATTGGGATATATATCGGGAGGCTCGGCTCGGGTGAAGACTCATCCGTTTTTCGAAGACATAAACTGGGACGATCTGTTCTACCGCCGAATGAAGGGGCCCATTATCCCGAGAGTCGACCACCCCGCCGACACCGGGAACTTTGAAGAGTATCCCGATCCGGATCTTAGGAACCGGACTGTCTATACCGAGGACATGAGGGAGAAGTACGAGGCGCTCTTTACCGATTTCTGAACCATACTCGAGCTTGGTTTGCTCCTATCTGCGCATGCACTTCTCTGGTGAAGAACCGGTAGATGCGTTGTCATATGCGCATTATACACCCCGCTCGTGACCCAACTTGGATCTCATCCTGGAAGATGCTGCTCTACATCTTCTGAAGCCATGATAGTATGGTGACCATGTCCAAAACGGCGATTCGATGAAGTCCCAGCCAGCTGTTCCGACAACGATGTCCCTGGTTTAACTGGATGGCTTTGCGACCCACATTCATCTACAGACCGATCCAGCGTGCTCTCGGACCAGACTGACTGGTACTCCCTACCAGGCACATTCTTTGAATGAGGACTGGATCCAGACTGATCGAGTGCAGTATTCCACATAATAGTCGTCTGTGACTTTACTCATAGCTCGCGCTTATCCCTCGGCCTGTTATCTGCTTTTTTCTTCTCTGTCGGTGTGCTTCTACGAGTTTCCCATGCTTCTTCTGTTTGAGCGCCTCTTGATGCGAACCAGCCTTTACGACCCACCGGCCGTGGATACCTCGACCCCTCAACTTATTGTATCCGCACCTCGCCATCGGTCACAACTCACAATGGTCCGTGGAACAGCCGCTGCGCTGCACCTATCTCATCCCGCCAACTCCTTTATCCCTCCCTGGATCTGGATCTTCGATCTTTCTCGCGATGATAACGACGTGACGCAATACGAGGTTATGAGTGTTCGATTTCTTCTTGCACATGCTTTCCTCCCTCGACCCTGGGGGCAACCCTGCCCTGGCCTGATCCTTGTTGATTTGATTATAAATGTTGATGTTAATGATGTCGAACGTGTTTATGACTTAGAGTACATAATGTCAATGTCAATGGTTACATGCTCAGCCTAACACTAACAAACATATACTCGTCTGTCCACTGTCCATCTCCACTTCCCCCTCTCTATCTCCCTCTCTATCTTCCTCTCCCCCCCCACCTCTAAATCCCTGGAACATACATACATACATACATACCCACCTACCTCCTCGTCCCATTAAGCCCCCCGACCGCAACATCCTCTCCATCTCCATCCCCAACCCTCCCCATCAACGCCGCCACCGTAACCGCCCCTCCCCCCCCCCCCCCCCCAAGGAGTGTGGTGTGGACATTTTGGTTTTGATGGGTGGGTTGGGGTTGGTGAGTGGATGGATGGATGGATGGATGGATGGATGGATGGATGTGTAGATGCTGCTGCTGTTGGTGAGGACGAGGATGTATATATAGCAGCACGTTGGTGTTGGTTGGAGGAATATGGAAGGTGAGAAAAAGGAGACATGGATGGATGGATGGATGGATGAATGGATAGCCTCCGAATCGGAGAGATGGAAAGCCCCCCTCATCACCCCCTCATTCTCCATCTCCGATCTCGAAGTCTATTCTGGCCATGCATTGTATGAAAAAAAGGTGGGGGGGGGGGGGGTCGAGGCTGCAGGCTGGCGGCTATTCTAACTGCGCTTCATCGTATGCCCTAGTTAGTACGCCTAGCTGCTGATCCAGATAACAACCATCAGACCGGGGTTGACGACAACAGACAACGTCTGTCGGCTACACATTCCATGGGGGGTGAACAGATCATCGTTGCATATGAGAGAGATAGATATGAGAAATGAAAGTGAGACTGAATGAGCTGTGGACTTGCTGTGGCCTTTTTATACCATATAACCAGAGACTACGGGGTACATTGAGCAAAGATAGGGCTGGGAGCTGATAAGAACAACTTACTTACACACTTTCCACTGAATGATTACTCCTATCAGCCGGTTTGATCACACGTATCCTATATAGAAAGGCGCATTCCCTGTATCCCTGTGGGGTACATTGATGTGCATGGTGGGTGCGATTCTCACTGGGTTGGACGCTCTCTGCCTGGTGAGGGTTAGGCCGGACGGATTCCGCTCATGATCGGTATACATCCTTCATCTGCTGGTTGAGATGGAATTGGAAAAGCTAGCCGAGTTATGGATGGAACCTGCGGCGAGGAATCGAGGCTGTAGGATAGTTGTATCTATTGATGATATTTGATGTCTGGCCAACTGACTGCCCTGCGAGGAGGAAGAGGGAGAATTACGAAGGAAGAGGAAGAGGTGGACCAGCAATAGGCTGTCACTGCAGGAACCAGCCACGAACCCCATCCCTCCACCTCCACCACCCTATCCAGAAAATCTGCTCCATACCGATTCTCGTCAAAAAGCGCATACGTCCCCAGCATGCGATAAGTTATACTAAGTCTGACTATCTAGCCTGTCCTCCACACCACAATCCGTATCCTTTCTCCGAAGCAGTTTCGCCGTACTTGGCCTTGCGTCCAGCGAAATGTTTATTTCTGCACTTCACCATATCGATGTTTTCAGCATGACAAAGGGCTCGTTGGAGATAACAGTCAGGATAGCCTCGATGTATGTCCTGGATGGCGTCTCCAAAGGTTGTACTTTGTAGGTAATCGTGGAAGTTGTTCCTTACTATACAATCAGTAGCCAGGATGTGCACCTGTCGGACATATTGGAGTCGTCTGACTAATGATTAAGTGTGTCAAATAAAGGATACGAGGTTAGGCAGGGAGGTTGTCCAGGCTTGGTGTCGCATCCAGATCTCTTGGTGTAGTCGGGCTCTGCAGCGATGGGCGGATTAATAATCTGGATCCGTCCAGGGATCTCTGGATCTGGGATCTGGTCATGCTGTCATCTACACTGTACTTCGGTCATATATCAAGACAAGAGGTCCCAGGCTTCTCTATCCTGCTTGCTTGCTCTCCGAAGAGTGAACAACACATCATGACCACACACAAAGCTCTTGTTCTTCATTCTCATGATAAGCCTCTCGTCCTCGAGACAAAGCCCCGGCCTGTGGCCAACACAGGCGAGGTCGTGGTGCGCATCTTAGCAACTGAAATCGTACCCTACATGTCTGAGATCTTGGATGGAACCCGAGAGTATCCTCTTTTATTCCCCATGACTCCTGGTAGTACAGCAATCGGGAGAGTCTTTGAAGTTGGCCCGGACGCAGTGGAGTTGAAACGGGGTCAGCTCGTCTTCTGCGATGTCTTGATTCGTGCTCGAGACAATCCAGCGGTATCTATCATGCTTGGAATCCATGGTGGGGGATATCCAGCTGCAGAAAAGCTCATGCATGGCCCGTGGCGAAACGGCACTTACGCGGAATTCACACGATTGCCCTTGGAGAACGTCTTCCCGCTCAACGAGGACTTGTTGACGCGGAAAATGGGATACACTTTGTCCAGCCTGAGCTTCATGCCAACTTGTCTTGTCGGACTAGGTGGACTGACAGAGGTCGATGTAAAGCCGGGGGAGATGGTCGTTATTGCACCCGCAACGGGTCGATTTGGCGGGGCGGCGGTGGCAGTAGCCCTCGCTCTGGGGGCTACGGTGGTGGCAGCGGGTCGAAACCAGGGTGTGCTGTCTAGATTAGAGGCGACGTACGCATCCACCGGGCGGATAAGGACCGTTGTCCTGTCGGAAGATACCTCGCGAAACACGGAGGCTTTCAAAGCAGCAGTTGGTAACCCGCGTGGAGCTGATGTTTTCGTTGATTTCTCACCACCTGCCGCCGAAGGCAACACGCTATTGACCTCTGCCATTGAGATACTGCGTCCCTTCGGACGGTGTGTCATCATGGGCGGAAGGCCGGGAAATATCACCGTGCCGTACTTGCCTGTCATGCTCAAAAGCATTCGGATACAAGGTCGCTTTATGTATGAGCGCCGCGAGATCTTGCAGTTGATACGAATGGCAGAGTCCGGTGTGCTTCGACTGGGTAAGGCTATTGGGATGAGCGAAACCGAAGAGTTTGGGCTCGAGTCTGCCCAGGATGCACTTGAAGCTGCAGGGGAATTGACTGATTGGGGCAACAGTGTTGTCCTGAAGCCCTGAATACCCTTGCTATGCGGGAGAAAAGGTAAAACAAGGCGTAATTTCTGCGTGTCAAAAAGTTATCACAGCTGTGCATATGAGTATTAACATAATCAATGTTCATGTAATTTCACCGAATTTTACTTTCGGATGGCGGTTGTTTCTCTACGTAGTCGAGATATCCCCTATACGCAGGTCAGTCTATTGTCCTGCATAATGGACAAGACTATCGTACCTGAAATGATCCATCTTCATGACTATGGAAACAATAGAGGGTCACGGGTCATTCTGGATCGAAGCGTACACATTGCTTAGCCATGAGGATCAGGTTTGGTAATGCAAAATTGCCAAGAGTATCAACTTGGATGCATTATAAGAAGATGCATCAGCAGGGCGCTCGTACTTGTCTGTTGATCGTAGCCTAAAAGCAGCTCAGTTGAAAAATCAACCTGCAAGGGTCTAGATTCGACCATATGAAGGGCTGGAGGTACATATTGCGCCTTGCACCTTGAGAACAAGTGGGCAAGGATTTACCACATCTTCGCCTACCTGCCTTGCAGGACATGCAGACTCTCGGAGAATTACCAATGGATAACATCTGCAGGGACTATATGGGCCAGATGCAGTCTTCCGGGGATCTTTTAGCAAAGATGGAATAGAATGGAACCGCTGTCGCAGTCGCTGCCGCCATCATCAGCTCGGATCCACAATCCGCATCCGCACCCGCCCCTGCACTGCAGATTAGGTCTGTTATGGAGTAGGAAAAAGTGATTTTGGACTTACACTTTAGCAAACATGACGCAGGATCTGACAACTGAGTAGCACAAGAAAGAGGTGGTGATTGGGGTTGTGGTGCAGAGGACCCGCATATCGACATGGTTAAAATCACGCTGTGAGCTGGATATATTCATTCATACATATCAGATAGACGGTACTGGTTGAGGGCCAAAATATGACGATACCCACACCTTCCAGTCACATTACTGACTCGAGGAAAGGCACCAGGACACTCTCAGTCCAGAAGAGCACGCCCAATACCTGGCAAATTGGATTTCCAATATATTTCATTGCTCTTGACATCGGAGCTCGAACAGGGCGGCAGGCGGATGCTAACAAGGGTTGCGAGTATCTTCGATAAGAACGTCTTTTGGACCATTCGGACTACACACCGAACGCTCAGATCTGGGTACCGAGAAACATAATCTCGATCAATCCGAGATGATTGTTCGATTGGCGGAGCATATTCAAACCTGGTGGTCGTGAGTGGAAGGGACGCGGAAGTGGTCCGTCCGCAATGCGTACGATCGCCCGACCTTTCCCCTTCAGGGCAGGGGTTCTTATCGCTTCCCCGCATTGAATATTCAGCATCTTCCGTGCTTGTCTCTCTGCCTCCCACTCTCCGGGTTCGACATGTGAGCATACCCCGCCAGACTATTGAAATAGCCGTTGCTACCCCGGAAAAGGCCCGTCGAGCTGCCACACCACGTCGACGATGTCCTGTCGGGATATGATCTTTGTGGGCGTTTTCTGGAACATGGGGTGGTCGCGGATGGAGGCGTAGAAGTGGCCTAGCGTCTGGGTGGCTTTCTTGAAGACGGAGATGGAGATGTTGGTATTGTCTGATATCTGTGCTAAGTAGATGTATTTGTATTTCTATTTGTATGCCGTCCGAGCTGATCTGATCAGAACCGATCATACCATAGGTATCTGCGATGATGTGCGACTGCCTCTGGGAGGTGGGAAAGTTAGCCCCAGCCTATCCAGCCCGATGAGGAGAGGATCTAGACGTGATGTGTACTTCAGATGTCGAGTGAGTGAGTGAGTGAGTGCATGGGAAGCGATATCACGAATTGGCCCCATGCCATACATAAGTACATAAGTATGTGTATCCTGATTTGTGAGTTAATTTGTGAGTTAGCGCATGAGATACATACCGGGTACGTTAACATATGAGACCCTTGCTGATATCATGGACAGATAGGTAGTTAATGCAGATACGGATATTGTTGGTCTTGTTGTCAATGCGTTATCTTGTTGGTGCGGAGAAGAGTTGGGGAGGGACAGAGTACCAGTACTACTAAAAGTATAACTAGTATAAATTGGGATAGATGCAGATGCAGGGTAGGATAGGGTAGGATTATCGCGGTGGCTGCCCGCAGTGGGGTAGCGTAGCGTCGGCGAGGATCTTCGTTTAGTTTATGCGACGGGGCGAGGGGGAGAGATAACGGGAGGATGTACAGTAAGTAGATGGAGGGGACAGGACGGGTGAGCTGGTTGCTTGGCGATAAGAGATGAACTGTGATAGTACCTGGAAAATGTATGCAGTGTCTATTGGGGCTGAAATATTGCAGGGAGATGGGGATTGTATGGACTGAGATAGGGACCTTCCCTAGCTACCTATATTTTCAATCTAGGGGTCAAGGTGCTGTTTTGCTGACAGATTGAACTCCTGAATGGATGGAAGGGGGTTGTAGATTCTAAATGTGAAAGTGTCTATGGTTTGTAGTGCTGGCACAGTATAACAGGCTTGGCTTCTATAAACGCTAGATGTAGTATTTGAAGGAACTGTTTGAAGAATATGGTATGGTATAGGAAGGTCAACGGGCATAACGCAATTCATTTTGATAACTATTCTCGCATCTATATCTACAGTTTCATAATGTATTCATAAACATATTCCAAGCCGTGACCATCACTCGTTGCTAGGGTACCGGAATCCCTCCAGAGGGAAGAACTCCTCCTTGATGGTTCGGGGGCTAGCGAATCGCAACAGGGCAGTCACGCTGCCCGCCTTGTTGTTGGTCCCGCTAGCACGACTGCCACCAAGCGATTGCTGTCCGATCAACGCGGCGGTGGTTTTACAGTCTGGGGTATATTGGTTAGCAATTGACCGAATGTCAGATGCGATGTCACTCGCTAATTTAGAAGTTTCCAGCCGAGTACCGCAGTGCATCCTCCGCTTTGCGGATGGCACGCCGATCAGCAGCAAACACAGACCCAGTCAAGGCAAAGCCACCGCCACCCTGGTCAACCTTCTTCAGAGTAGAAGACCACTCCGCGTCAGGGTACACGTAGACTGCCAGGACTGGTCCGAAAATCTCCTGCTCGAACAAGTTGTGGTCGATATTCTTGGCCTTGTATACGGTGGGGTGGACGAAGTATCCGGTTGAATCGTCGTATGTACCACCAGCAATGAGCTCCAATGATGAATCCTTGTTGCTGGCGTCGATGACCGACTTGACCTTCTCGAACGATGCCTGGTGGATGACGGGGCCCATGAAAGCCACCAGATCTTCGGGGAACCCAATGGGGATTTCGTTGATTTGGGTCTTGAGTTTGGTTAAGAATTCTTCAGCCCGAGACTCCGGTAGATACAGCCGAGAGGTGGCCGAACACTTCTGTCCCTGATATTCGAACGCGCCGCGGAGGGTATGGTAGACAGCACTGTCGATATCGGCAGTGGGGTGGACCAGGTGGAAGTTCTTGCCACTTGTCTCACCAGCCAAACGGGGGTAGTCCCGGTAAACCTTCTTGCCGATGTTCTCGCCGACCTGGGCGTACAAAGAACGGAAAACATCCGATAAGCCAATGAAGTTGAGACCGGAGAATTCTCGATGGCTAAGCACCGTCTGAGTGATCTCTTGGGCTTCACCAGTCACAAACTGAACCACATTGGGAGGCAATCCAGGCTCGAGAAGAATCTTGTAGACCAACGCGCTGGCATAAACATTGGAAGGGGAGGGCTTCCACAGGACATCATTGCCCATAAGGACTGGACCACTGATGAGGTTTCCACCAATGGCAGTGAAGTTGAAGGGCGAAACGGCATAGACGAATCCCCCAAAGGCCGATAGTCGACACGTCTAACCAAGCGTCAGTATAAGAACGTTGCTGTCCACGGGTTGGTTGTACATACGTCCACATTCCGTCGGTGCCTCAATCAGGTTGCTTCTCCGTCAGTTCCGCGGCAAAGTTGCAGTTCAGACGGGAGAAGTCCGCCAGCTCAGCGGCAGCATCAATTTCACCCTGCCACACGTTCTTCCCTTGTCTCAGCATTGTAGCCGCGATAAGCTCATAGCGGTATTTGCCCATCACCAGCTCTGCCGTTTGAAGGAAAATGGCTGCCCTATCCACGAAAGGGGTATTCTGCCATTCCTCCTTTGCCTCCAAGGCAGAACCGATTGCTGCGTTTATTTCCGTGGGTGTCAGGAGTGGGTAGTTGGTAAAGGTGGTGGCGTGTCCCGCTGGAAGAGGCTGTTGTAAGGCCTTCGAAACAGACTGAGCCTTGCCATTGATGAATGCCGAGCTTTCGAGTGGAAGGTTTGACCTGAGCTTCTTCAGAGCCTTCTCGATCTGTGCTCTTTCCGGGGAACCTTTGGTGTAATCCAACTGGATCCAGATTTCTCAGTATTGGTTGCATTATGTTGAGCTATGAACGGTAGGACTCACGTTCGGCTCATTTTTGGCCGCAGGGAGTCGGAATGGCACAGTTGCAAGACCCCGAGCGCGAATGACGGGAGTTCTCGAGGCACGGGATACTAGGGAGCGCATGCTTGGGGATGGTTGGGAGGTGGACAATTTGAAGGCCATAGTGGTTGTGTAGGAGGAGGAGGAGGATGCGGAAAAAAGAGCTGCACGCAGGATTGAGAGGCACAAGCATGATGCGTGCCATCACTTTTATGGATCGAGCTGTTATAGTAGTGCCGGGACATGACTCCGATCTGGAGTAGTTGGGAGAAGATGAGGGGAAAGCGATCGACCAAAGCGGGGCGGGAGAACTCCACTTGACGTGGACTTGCCTGTCTGGGCCTAGCGGCGGATAGACTAGCCTGGCCCCGGGCATCCCACTAGACGGACTGCATCGTGTCTTTCTATCTCTCTACTCCGTATCTTGCGACTATCGTCTGGGGTTGCACCGCATATCACGATACACTAGACCATGTCATATCAGAATCTATCTGATAAGCGCATATCGCTTGGCGCAGTAGGGATCCAGACGCAGGCGGGGCTGGCCTTCACCTGCGACGGTGATTCGCATCGGAGTATGGCCGCGTCCCAAAGGCTGTTCTGGCACCTTGGACCTCTCCCATGACATCATTCGGCGCTATACCCTCTATTGTACTGGAATGGCCCATACAGTTTTTGGGCGCCTTCAGCGATTTGGCAGCTCTCTCGAGTACCAGCGCAGGGATCGGGCTATGACTCAGGGAAGCTGACTCTTAGGTCGACAATTTGAGAGAGGCGAGAGCCTGTTTACGCAAGGGAAACTACTGTCCAAGTCAAGCCCTTGAAGGCCAAATAGAATTCGATCGTGTTACCATGGAGCCCGTGTTATGTTGGAGATTGGAGGGACACATGGTCGAGACAGCTGGCGGGAGACCTCATGGCCGGTGTGGTCTCTGCAACTCTCATCTCACCCATCATCACGATCATTGACCGGTCAGTCTGAGATGGAGGTATATCTGTGTCACAAGCTGATGATCCAAGTCTAGGAGCGTTGTCGAGCGAATTTCCTCTAATGGGTCGCTGCTCCGTACACTCCGTACTCACGCCTTTTGTTCCGTCCTCAAACCGAAACGGTTCTACTCCTCTAAGCCATTTCTGATCGTCTGGTCTCTCTACGCGGCAACATACATCACGGCCAATGTCACAGATACTTGTATCAGCAATATTCCCACAACAGACGAAGTTTCCACAAGCACAACCATTGCAAGTATTACCATCTCCAGCTCGTTCACTCTGGAACCACAGGCGGCCTCGCTTGTTCCGGATTGGATGACTGCAGACCCCCATGTTAAAAAGAAGATTTCTCAGCTAGTCTTGCCCGCTTTGGTGCAGATTATGAATACTCCATTTCATCTTTTTGCCCTCGACCTCATTGCTCGTCCAGGTTCCGCTACAAAAGCGGACAGGTTGGCTTTGATGAGAGCAAACTGGGCTCACACATCATCCGCCAGGGCAATGAGGGTTTTACCGGCATTCAGGGTCGGTGTTGTAATCAACACAGAGCTGAGGCGAGCCTTTCATCAACTTCTCATGATTAGAACCTGAAGGGAGACTACCTAGCGCTACTATCAGTGGCCATCAATACACATGCACATCTTAATATCATGACCATCAAAAGGGTTTATCCGATATCTTATCAGGCCTATCGTCCCGTTTCAAGCTAAGGCCAAGAGATTGATAGTGGACGCGGCTGTTCTAATCCTCGGCTCTGCAAGCCGTAGTCCGTACCAATGAGTCTTTATCCTGCACTTGTATGGTACTGGCTTTTACCATACATAGTGGCTGAAACAAAGATCTTCATTCTAGCGGTAGTCTCTGCCACGTTTGACCCTCACGCGATATCTCTTGCGGCTAAACTAACCAAACTTCTATGTTTCTGCGAACGCTGATAGCCGTTTATTTATACTTTATACAACCTGAGTTGGCCCCTGGCCTATAGCCCGATCCCCATGATCATTGGCTGTGACAGAGATAGGGAAACCGATCTGAGTCGCACGGATTGCATTGAACCGCTCCACTGAGCCATCATATCTCCCTTCCCCAGACAAGCGAAACTTATCCCCGCACCCTAGATCCTCCCGTTGTCTATATTGAGCCAATGAAGGGGTTCCTCGCCCCTATCTATCCATGATAATCCGAGCCGAGTAGAGGCGTCAGAAACTCATGCCAGCCTTCCGTCTTCACCGTCGGGAGGCCAGATGCAAAGATAGCAATACAGGAGCGGCTCACAGATAGCAGAGGTTGTTCTGTTATGTCTGTCCGCGCACTTGCATTATCATCGTACCTTGGGGCGTTGGGATGTCGGTTGTATACTGGCCTAGCTGCTAACCTGGCCTATCCAACTGAGTTCAAATAGAGAGGGCTTCCTGGAATGATAGACAGCAATCAGCATCCACTTGACAAATTCGGACCAGCTGGTATTCTCAGACTTGATTATTGATACTGCCCTCCACTATAGGGCTTTATTTTATTCCATCCTTTAGCCCAACATGAATGTTAGTACGGCTTCTGAAGACCATGACATACATGGACTCGGTGACTACAACTACAACGCAGAGCTGGAAAAGAAGCAAAACCCAGACGATTGATCCCCCGGGGCAGACGATCCATTCGGCAATGAAGAGGTCGGGGAGGTAAAATATCGGGTAATGGGCTGATGGTAGGTTCTGTCCCGGTCGTCTCAATTTCTGTGGCTGTGTGCTGACCTTTCTGATTATGTCACAGGCAAACTGGAATACGTGAGATTTGGCCTTCCTTGCACCGACTATAATATCAACTCATCAAATATAATCATTAGGTATGGTCGCAGAGAACGTCTCGATAGGAATCCTGTCCCTGCCGTCGGCTGTTGCCACCTTGGGGCTGGTCCCGTAAGTGGCTCACCAAGCTGACAGAACAAAGACTGAATCTCTATAGGTCTATAATCTTGCTCCTTGGGATATCTGGTATCTCCTGGTACACCGCCTATGTCATCTGCCAGTTCAAGCTGCGCTATCCCCATATACACAGCATGGGCGATGCCGGGGAGGTTCGGACGCGAGCTGCCAAGGACCGGCCAGCTGTTGTTCTTGGTGTTCGTTATGGCCAGCCATATCTTGCTTGACCTCTACGGTTCTGATGAATGTGCTCACCGACCATGGTACTTGTACAATTGTCTTTGGTGTCATTTCACTAGTTGTCAGCTGTGTTGGAGCACTGCCTCGCACCATGGGCAAGGTTTACTATCTGTCAATTGCATGTCAGTAGAATGACTCCCATATTGAGATTCTTGAAGCTGACAAATTTCCCTCCAGAATTCTTAGCATTGTGGCAGCGACAGTGGCGACCATGATTGCCGTTGGTGTTGAGTTAAAGGGCTCAATCCCTATTGCCGCTACCACTCATCTCAGTTTCAACGAGGAGTTCCTTTCCGTGAGCAACATTTTCTTCGCCTATGATAAGTCACCATCCTCAGCCTACCCTTGCTCTTACTTACCACATTCTATCCCACAGTCGGCCACGCCTCATTCTTCGGATTCATCTCCGAGATGGACAAGCCTCGAGAATTCCCCAACGCTTTATCGGTCCTCCAAATCATCGATACGTCCCTGTACCTAGCCAACGCGGTGGTTATCTACCGTTACGTCGGCGAAGACGTTCAGTCTCCGGCCTTAGGCTCTGCAGGGCCCCTAATGAAGAAAGTGGCATACGGGCTCGCTATCCTAACTGTACGCTTGCATCCGCTTTTCCGACAAGGAGCTCGCTGACCCGAACCTACAGGTCCTCATCGCCGGCATAGTCAACGGCCACATCGCATCTAAATACGTCTACGTGCGTATCTTCCGTGGATCGCACCACATGCAGGAAAGCAGCTTGCTCTCCGTCGGCTCGTGGGTCGCCATCGGGATCATCCTGTGGATCCTCGCATGGGTCATTGCCGAGTCAATCCCGGTCTTCAATGACCTCTTGAGTCTAATCGTATACCACCCTACATTCCCGTCAGAATTCCACTACTAATAATACTCCACAGACCGCACTCTTCGGTTGCTGGGTTACCTGTACGTGCAAGGACCAATCTTCAACAACTGACCATGGTACATAGCTAACCCAGAACAGATGGCTTCCCCGCACTATTTTGGTTTCTCCTAAACAAGGGCTCTTGTTTCTCATCAGCCAAGAAAATCTTCCTCACTGTCTCTAATCTGTTTATTTTGATCATGGCTATTACTATTGTATGTATCTGTCTCATTGTTGATTGCTATTACTGATTACTGACTGGCACTGCAGTGTGGCCTGGGGCTGTATGTCTCTGGTGATGCTGTTAGCAAAACTTCTAGTGATGCGGATTGGACGTGTGCGAATAACGCTTCGTGAGCCTTGCAGATGAGGTTACTTGATGGAAGCTATTTCTGTCCACTTGAGTGTAAATTTGTGCTTGTGTGTGTTTTATGTGGGGTATCTAGCTAGAAATTCCTATTCACAGGATTGGAAAATCCTTTCATCAGATATGTTTTCCAATGAATTCTGACTGTAGCGAGCTCCAAATGAACAGATTGCCTAACAGAGATTCTAAGTCATGAATATGTTACAGTTAATTGAAAGTATTTGTATAATTTCCCCATCACCTAAAATGAAGAAAGAAATAGCAAAAAAAAAAAAAAAGACTCTAAACCCGCCAAAGCATCAACTCCTTCCCCCCCCGTCACAACCAAACAAAAACAGCTCACTATCCGATGTTTCCAACCCAAACCAGGACCCATACCCTCCCAGATAACTCTAATCTGACACATCCTTGGCCGACACCTTATTTCCAAGTTTATTTCCAAACCGCCTTGACAGTTGACAGGTGACACTTGACAGAGTGAAAGCGGATTGATTCCTGATCACCAAGCCAACCGGCATTTCTTCACTGGGTGGGGTGGGTTGCGCGATTTTACCACCTTCCTTGTTGATCTGAGATTAATCCCGCATTCCTTGGAAGGGTGTTGTTCGCGCATCTAGTATGTGCGGATTGCGGAGAGGAGGGATACTTGAGGGTTGGACCGCTGGTTGCTCATTCTTGGGGAGTGAGAGTCATTCCGCGGGTAGGTTAAATATGGGAATGCGAATGCGATCCGCGGAGGAGGGAGACATAGCATAATATAATATAACATAACATACTTGACTCTATGCATATCTACCTACCTACAAACCTGCTTGCTTGCTTGCTTGCTTGCTACGTCGAAGCTTATATACTAACCTCATTTCCCTGACCAAGTGGCAGGCCTCCCTATGATGAAAGGTCTTTATCACTACATAGTATAATATTACTCAACACCACCGATTTCCCCTGATCTACCCTGCCAATCAATATACCAACCAACCAACCAACCAACCAACCAATCGACCCCAAGAAATCGCACGAAGGACAGCATGCCCCCTCCCTTCCCCACAATAACCCTAACAGACTGCCACTGCGCCGGCGAAGTCGGTAACGTGGTAACCTCAGGCATCGCCAACCCACCCAACACACCAACAATGTACTCGAAACTGATCCACTTCCGCACCCACAGCGACGACATCCGACTGCTCCTGCTGAACGAGCCACGGGGCCGCTCGCCCATCAACACCAACATCCTGTTCCCGCCGTGCACGCCGACAGCCAGCTACGGGTTCCTGATCCTCGAAAGCGACGAGTACCCGCCCATGTCGGGCAACAACACGATCTGCGTGGCGACGGTGCTGCTGGAGAACCAGCTGGTGGCGATGCAGGAGCCCGTGACGCGGTTCGATCTGGACACGCCGGCGGGACTGGTGCAGATCACGGCGGACTGCCAGGACGGGAAGTGCAAGGCGGTGGCGTTTGATAATGTGCCGTCGTTTGTCTTCGCGCTGGATTACGTGGTGCAGGTGCCGGGGGTCGGGGAGGTGAGGGTGGATTTGGCGTATGGGGGGATGATATATGCGATTGTGGATGTCAGGGGGTTGGTGGGGGCTGAGGGGAGGAAGATTGGGGTGGGGAGGGAGGATGCGGGCCGGTTGGTCGTGCTGGGGGAGAAGATTAAGAGGGCGCTGTGGGAGGTGTATAATCCTGTTCATCCGGAGAATGAGGATATTCGCGGGGTAAGTAATGTGGAGTTTGTGGATGGGGTGGGCTTGGTGCGTGAGGAAGAGGGCGGGAGGAGGGTCGGGGTTAATACGGTGGTGGTTTCGCCGGGGAGGCTGGATCGGTCGCCCTGTGGTACGGGGAGTTCGGCGCGTATGGCCGTGTTGCATAAGAGGGGGTTGTTGGGCGTCGGGGAGGTGTTTGACCATCGGGGGGTGCTGGGGACGGAGTTCGAGTGCTGGATTCGCGGGACCACGACCGTGGGGGAGTATGAGGCCGTTTTGCCAACTGTTAAGGGGAGTGCCTGGATTATGGGGTATAGACAGGTGGTCTTGGACCCGGAGGATCCGTTTCCCTCGGGGTTTAGGGTTGGCGATCAGTGGGGGGTGGAGGGGTATTTGTGATTGTCGGGGAGAAGAACTCGTTCGCTAAGGTAGTGTTAGTGGTGTGCTTGTGAGCGGGGATTGGACTTACTCGATATCGGGCTGTGTGAAATAGAATGCTAGACTACTACAGGGTTGATGTATGAAAAGTTGAAGAAAAACAAAACCTGGACAGTGGTCTCGCAGGCCAGACTGGTTTTCATTCCCAACCGGCGGGTATTAAATTCTAGTCACTTTTCCTCCAATAGTAAAGTAAAATAAGATACCTATATGAACACAGAGAAGAAACGGAACATCCCGTAGGATAAGGTAGTTGTCGTACAAGGTAGGGCTGGAGTTGAATAAATCTTCGGCATAGCAACTGGCCAGAATTGATAGCTAGAGCAATCGATTGTATCCAGCCAGGAAAAGACCAGGTGGAGGTGTATGGTCAGCTGGCTGGGATCGGACAGAAACCCGCTGTGCATGTGGCGGTGCGGTGCATAGGTGTGGCCTTGGCTGTGGCGCAGTAATTCAAGCCACAGGACGATACAGATGCCAGGGCTCGTTTCAACTAGGAACACTTGAGATGGCAGCGTCATTCTGCCCGCCACTACTCCATTCGTGGATTTGGGTATTGAATTAAGAAAGTCATGAGTGGTTTATTGTCGGAATTTAAAGACTTGGGTCATTCTTCCAGGTGCCTGATCCAAGGTCAGCAATATTCAATAGTTCATGTTCAGAAAGTATCTTACCTCCAAAGTGGTGCTTGACAAACGCCATAGGGTCACCCACATCCTTGGAGCCCATCTGGTGCACCCCGGGACTGAAGCTGGTGATAGGGAGAACCACCACATCGCCAACCTTCTTGTACCCCTCTTGCCGGGTAAAGTCTTCGTAAGTGACGTTCAGCTCGGAGTCTGGCTCGATGTTGAAGTATTCCGGATCGTTGAAGTACCGAAAGACAGCATCGGTCCAGGCACCCGGGCCAGTGTACTCCATCACCGTCTTATCCATCTTGTGAGTCTCGAGGATCCCCAACTTCTTCATCCGCAGAGTCTCCTGCGTGATGTATGCAACGATGTCGCGCATAATAGGATGTCCCGGTTTGGCTTGGATGGTCCACTGGCAGAACTGAATTCTGCGCGCATACCAGTCGTGCCAGTCCGGACGGTCAGGGTCGGCTTCGATCCCGATGACCGCTCCCACGGTCGCAAGATCAAGCTCCGATGGCAGCCAGTCGGACGCGGGCTTCAACGCCGTCGTGTCGATGTCGCTGTAGATACCGCCCCGCGCAAGAAGGATCAGGTATCGGAAGAAGTCCGCCTTCAGAACTGGCAAAGGCATGGAGGCGTACGCCTCGTACACGTCGGGAACCGCCCCATACAGGTACTTGATCAGGTGGCCTTGTGTATCATCTGGAATGACCTCGTGGACGAAACCAGGATGCAGCTCGCTCCAGCTGGATTCCGAATCCCGGAGATGTTCACTGAAGAATATCGAAGCCGGTGTGTATTTCCATGTCTGCCAAATGTATGCGGGGAACTTGGCGTCGAGATCGTAGGGGAAGTGGTAGCGCAGGCGATCGCGTAAGGGAGCGCTCGCCGGAGGTGTCAGGGGTAGTTGCTGAACCGTGTCCTTCTTTTCATTATATTGCTCGTAGCTTTCCTGAGCCCCGTCGTGAGCCTGTCCTGCGGGGGTGGAACTGGGCGACGCAATGGAGGATGTGGGATGTGAGGATCTGAGGTAGAGGACGAATGTGATCAACAGCGCAGCCGCCAAGAGCGATTTGCGGAAGGTAAGCATGGCGGAGAAAATCGAGTGATTCTGGGGGTGCTGAGTCGGGGCAGTAACACAGAGCCTTAAGCTATTTGATCGCTGCGGTCTCTCCGTAAGCTCCGCCGACGATCAGGAAATGCAGTCCAGCTCCAGAAGGTTGTGCCCAAGATTGAGATATAACTTTTGTCCAAGGCTGTTTCACCGAAAGAGCTGTCGGAAGGCGCACATATCTGGTTCTTTGTTTTTCGGGCGGGGAGGTGGCTGTGTGGGGGGTTCGCAAGAAGCTCAAGCGTCAAGGCCTCGGGGATTGCGCGGTCGCTGCGGTCGGGGGGGGGGCGCTGGGGTCGACAACCGGTTGACAATTGACAAGCACGAGTACTTGCGATGCAGTCTCGGAGTGGGTGAGGAGTCTCAAAAGGAAGTGCAGGCCGAAAGGCAGCAGAGGGAGAAGGGGGGGAGAGAAAAGGCCAGATGGAGATGATGGGAGAGGAGAAGATTGCGGTGGTGGAGCCGTGACGACGGCGAGTTGTTGGTGGCGTGCAAAAGGCGGGCTCCGGTTGATAAGCTCCGCCGTCCCAGCCTTACTCGCCTTGGCTGTCGTTTCTTTCTTCCGGGAGAGATTTCCCTCCGTACGCGATCATGCAAATATGACAGTGACACAACACAGTCAGTCAGTCAGTCCGTCTGTCAACTTCTCCAGGGGCTCAGCCTGTATTATAAGTTCCGAATCCCCCGTCTACGCGTTGCTAAAAATTGCAGCGTCTCCAATGCTGCCCATGGTTCTGGTGGAGTCGAAAAAGGTTCCTGCGACGTTGACACCCTCCCTCGTTGCTCGCTTCCTCCCGCAATGGGCCATGATCGTCTGGCCCGAGATGGATTACCGAGTCGTGCGATGCAGTTCTTCCTGGCCGGAGGGCTTGTCTCAGGCCCCAGGAGCGCTGGAGACAGTTGTCACGGTTGATCGGGAGTGTCTCAGCTTCCGACCCATAGATTGAGGTGGTATCACATCCCCACAGTCCGCCGCCCTGTCGCCGTTTTCAACCAGCTCGCCGTCATCCCAACGACTTCCCCAGCCAGGGACGTTGCACGATGCACTGTCTGGTCTAGACTCAAAGTCTCCAGACTGATAATAAGGTTACTTCTGCCTGACGGCCCTTTTTTTACCCCGTCGCACTTCTTACCCTGCCCCACAATGCCCGGGCCCTCCATGCTGGCCCCGAATTCATCATGGGAACCCGCTGGAGGGTATGGTGTACGTAGCCTCGGGAGTGGAAACTGCGTCAGCCCGGTGAAGCCGCGTCATACGCTGAGCCGGCCGACTTGGCTTCGATGCTTGGTGGAATCTTTGAAGATGCGACCAGAGGAAGAATCAAACCAGGCATCGTCCGCCCAATAATCCGGCTAGATAGCTGCTGGGAGCCTGTGACAGCAGCAGCAGCAGCGTGATAGTGACACATCCAGCCCTCCCTACTCTAGTCTAGTCCCGACGATGTTCGACCTGCACGACTGGTTCGCGTGCATGACTCGCGCCCGGGCTAAGCAGCGACCGCCCAGCCGGTTCATGTCGCAATCCGAGCACCCTCAGCCATGAACTTTTGGAGGGCTACGGAACGTTGAATTTATAAATAGCTGAGATGTTAGCGATTTCAGCCTCGACGTATTGTGATTTTGAACCATCTGCTCCTTGGATACAGGGATGTTTTATTTATCTGGGACCACCGCAACGCATCCCCAGGGACGTCCTCGATAGCTATCTGGTACCTGAATAGGATCAGCTCACGGATGAAGAATTTCGCTCGTTCGATACAATACGCCTGTGACGTGTCACACGTGGAGATATCACAATCTCTGTGTGGTCTGGTGTCATTTGCAGACCCGCAAATAGCCATCTATAGCTAGACTGTTACATGTGCCAAACGGCTGTTACAGGAACTCCCCCAGTTGCCCTGAGGCGGGAATCGGGGTTTCTCGTCGGAAATATTATTAACCCAACCCTGGATCGGTTCCTGGATTTCCCCAGTCCAAATGCTACTGTGTCTGTACCTGAACTTTGTCTTCAGTAGGACGAAATGGAACCCCAATCCTGTTTTATGTTTCAGCGCCGGGAATCAAGTTGCAAGGGGGTCCTAGTGTGTTGACTGGAGGCTCACTGGCGATACGACAGGCGTGATACGACAGGCATCGCGAGAAGTTGCTGCCCAGCACTGCAAATTGAAGGCCCCTGATTTGTCCTCAGCTCTCGACCGGTGGCGGCTGATCTAAGCGATGTCGGACTGGCAATGGGCCGCGATAACGTGCGATAACTGGCCGCCAGGGCAGCAGACACGGTGCGCGGTGGCCGATCGCCCCGACCATTGGCCTCTTAGGAATGGTCTGGTCTTCTTCCGCCCGTTTTACCATGGCTTGCGTGCTTCCATCCAAAGTTTCATCACCGGGGGCGTGCCCGTCACTTTGCAATGTGCTCCTCCGATCGACCGTCCAGGGTCGCGATTCCAATTGTCTCAATGATTTCGATTGCTTCCCTTGGCGAGGATCATTCATGCTCGACACGCCAATCGTCAGTCGCATAGATGATACCCTGCTAAGAGACATTCTTTGGCTCGCCGTGGCGGATGTCACATCGCCGACCATAGGTGCAGGTGGATACCATGAAAGACATACGCTCAATCCTGAGCCTCAACCAGTCTGCACCATGGGCCCGTTCAACGCAACCTGCGCCGGGTGCAGACGAGGTTATATCACCTTCGAAGTTGCCCGAATCAGAAGAAACAGGAGGCGCAAAAGCTCCCATGATATGGACCTGGAAGAAGATTGCATGGCTGGCTATCTTGATATTTCTAGGAGTAGCTATTATTATCATCGTGATTACGGTTCCGGTGGTCCTGCTGGACGACCACCGTACACCTGATGACCCGAGCTACCATATTAGTGCGAACAGTCCCATTCGCGCCCTGGACAATTTCCCCGATCCTGGCCTGATACATGTGAACGGCACCTGGTACTCGTATGCGACAAACGCCGCCATAGACGACCCAGGCATCCCTCATGTCCCCGTTGCTATTTCGAAGAACTTCACCGCCTGGACCTTACAGGAAGGATACGACGTATTGCCTGACTTGGGTAGTTGGGAGATGAATGTAAATCACTATGCCCCAGACGTGATCCAACGCGTGAGTTCCACCCAGCATACACCGAAGTACCCTTCTAACAACCCATATACAGGAAGACGGCAGATTCGTCCTTTACTACGCAGGGGAGCTCAAAAGCTGGATTCGCCATCACTGCATAGGCGCAGCTGTCTCGAATGGAACCAGTCCACTGGGACCTTACATCCCTCGCAACGAAAGTCTCGCCTGTCCTCGTGATCAAGGCGGCGCCATCGACCCGTCCCCGTTCCGAGATATTGACGGGAAGTTCTACGTCGTCTACAAGGTTGACGGCAACAGCATCGGCCACGGCGGCAACTGCAACAACGGCAAGAAGCCCATCGTCCCAACACCAATCATGCTGCAGGAACTCGAAAACGACGGGGTCACACCCACGGGCGATCCGGTTCAAATCCTGACCAACGAAAAGGTCGATGGGCCGTTGGTCGAAGCCCCAAATATTATTCGCTCTGACGAGGGCGTGTATTATCTCTTCTTTTCGTCACATTGCTTCACATCATCAAAGTATAACGTGAAGTATGCTTATTCGACCTCGCTGCGTGGCCCGTATACTCGAGCCGAGCGGGCGTTGTTCCAATCCGGTGACTTCGGGCTCAAGTCTCCTGGGGGTGCGACTGTTTCTCCAAATGGTACGCAGATGGTCTTTCATGCTAACTGCGGCAAGTATCGATGCATGTATGCGGCGGCCATTAACATAAGCGTCAATTCTACTATTACGCCGGCTGCTCTATGAAGTTGAGTTTGGAGAGAAGTCTCGATTGTTTGGGATGGTATGAACTTCGGCTCCAGACCCAAGGATTGTTTCTTCGAAGTAGCATACAGTGTGAATTCCACAGTGAACGGATTGGACAAAATCGGCCAAACCCAGCGGGGAAAGCATTTGGAAAGAGTGTCAGGATCCTTGGCGGCAGTGCCTCGGCAGATACCAGAAGCAATGAAGTGGGGCAGTAAAGCGTGCGAATAGCCCCCCATCCGGAAGCATTCAACAACGCACAGATACAAAAACCATATGTCTAGGAAGTCAAGCGGCGAATAAATGCGGATTCTTGTATTGCATATTATTTAAGCTTCCACCCATGATGCCTACCATTGCAACTACTTATGCCTGCTACAGGACAGAACCAAGAGCCAACACACCCAACCCAATTACCATTCTGCAATGTCAAAGCCATTATACATCGTTTCCAATAGCCCCATTACAATCTTATCAAACATCCTACCTACGTACCCCCCAATACAACCTACAACCTCCACCACCCCCAGCCAAGGAAATTTATTCCATGCAGACCATCCTGGCAGTCCAGCTTACCCCTCCGCTCTACACCCCACCCCCAAAACTCCTCCTTCATCCCGTCAACCTACATAGTTGATTCGATTCAAGCCAATTGAAAACCACCATCCCATGGCCGCAGCCACTCGGGGCACTGTTCAAATCACCAGTAACATCACGATGAATCCTGCCCTCACTTTTCTGTCTACCCTACCCCTCTTTACCTCCCTTCATGTATACTCTCGTACAGACGGGCACGGGGCGGGAGCCAATTGCCGACAGGAATACGATGTTGTGCACAGCGGGACATGACACCCGGGATATTCGTTGCAGGAGTATCTCATGTAGCGGGGTAGCTTGTGCCATTCGGAAGTAAAATCCATATGGTGCGGGACGGGGTTGTTGTCTACCTGGGTTTGAGACCCTTGTAGCTGGATGGTATGGGGTCTCTGCTTGTGTAGTGCAGCGTATGTTGGACTGTTAGCTGCGAAGCTGTTCCGTCCGCGAGATGGATTAGCGAAAACCGAAAATCTCGACTCGACTTGATAGAGCCTGCGCTGAACCTGGTACAGGGTTCGAGACAGGGAAGAGGGATGGATCAACCCTGCCCATCATTCTAGAAACGAGAGTTCCACCAGTAAGTCAAACCTGCATATTCTGGTGAGATCGCAGTCGTCTAAGAGCCAATAAGCTAACTGAATCTATGCTTGGAAGAAGGAAACCCGACAAACCAGACTGACCATATGGGACTGTTATACCTTGAGCTGGGATTTGCTATACGGAACGCCCGAGGAACGGACTAACTTGCACTTTTGCAGTAACTGTCAAGGAATCCTAGATATGCAAAACAACAGATGGGTTGGATCTATTCCCCATCGCTCATTAGTCAGTGGCCACATTATTTCTGGAACAAGGATGGTTCGATTCCAACCCCTCCAGGCGGATCAGTGGGGAGTGTCGATTATGCATTCCTTGCTAGAAATGTCCACTAAGGATGGCATGAGGTGTACTGCACGTCCATAGAACATCGTGATGACTGCCACCACTGTGATGACCTGCAGCACTTAGGTAGAGTTCCACCTGCAGTGGGGAATAGGGAAATCAGATCAAGATTCATCAATTCAAATCGATTTCTCCATCAATATCTCGACACCGCGATAGCTTCACCTTCCGGCCGATTGCCGCTCATAATGACACGCCACCTATCGCACGCAATATGCAACCAGCAACAGGCCATTTAAGGCGAATCATGACGCCATCGAATGGAATACTTTGTAGTTTAAGCGCCGTTGCCTTGCGTTGCACCTTCCATCTGGCAGCGAAGGGAATCCATCCCCTTAAATGTGGCGGAAATGGAAGGAGCGATTAGGGCTTTGGGGGGGGAAGCGGTTGATGACTAGTCAAAGGATGGTCATTTAATGCTCGGGATCCCCGTTTTCTAAGCATTATTCACTGTACCCAAGCTTTTCCTCCCATTACAAATATACCCATGCAACCTTGAACCATTCACTCGGGAACCATGACTACCACTCAGGTGCTGACGGAAAACGCACTCCTTGCTCGGGCTCGCGCCTGCCTTAGCAAAGAGGACTGCAGGATCCTCTACGCGGAATGGGCCGCCACATACAACTCTGACCTCGCAGACGCATCTCAAGAATACGTCGCCCCGATGCTGCTCGCCCAAACAGCTTTGAAGTATGTTCGCACCCCAGAGGTGTCGATCCTGGATGCCGGGTGCGGAACCGGGCTGGTTGGAGTGGCTCTCGCACAGGGCGGCGTCAAAACTATCGACGGCTTGGACCTATCGCCCGACATGCTCAAGATGGCAGAAGGCGCAGGAGTGTATCGCAACCTTGATTCAGGGGATCTAACACAGCAGATCGAGAAAGCGGACGACACGTATGACATCGTGACCTGCGCCGGCACTTTCACGCATGGTCATGTTGGTCCTGATCCTGCATTGAGAGAGTTCGTGAGAATTACCAAGAAGAACGGCTTTGTTGCCGCCACTGTCATCGAGGATCTGTGGCTATCAGGTGGGTTTGAACGGGAGGTTAAACGTCTGGAGGCAGTCGGTCTGGTCAAGGTGGTCAGCGTGGAGCTGAAGGACTATAGAAGGGGCGTGGGCGACAAGGCTACAGTGATCGTCCTCGAGAAGCTGTGAGCCCCAGAATTTCTAACGCAACGGGGTTGGATGGACAGAGGACTGTGACTCCTTGCGACGGCTGTTGATCATGCCAATGCGCCTTTCGAAGAGCCAATGCGTCTGCTGAATATCCCAATGCGCCAAAGACTACACACTGGAAACTTAACCCTAGAAGCCTGGGAGTTTTTTTTTGTCAACAGTTTTCCCTGGGGTGAAACTGTTAGATGAGTGTCCCGAGCGTCGATTTTTTCATTGCTCCCGGATCCGGATTCTGCTGCCCGTATCAATAATTTGTACTGAGCTTTTGATACCTTTCCATTACTATACTGTCGGACTATTCTCCAAGTCCTTGATTTGGATACAACTAGACATTGGTACCCGACCATAGAAGGGAAATGGATGGGTTTTAAAATGTAGAACTCAACAAAGATGATCATGAAAAGTCCCACGGAACCCTCGGTTGGGTACATCCGAAGCCTGGCCAGCCCTAAATCACCCACCAAGCCAACGAATTAACCAACCAACCCATCCATCCATCACTTGCGAGTCATCAAATTCAAAGCACTCCCCGCCCGAAAATACTGAATCTGCTCCCAAGTAAACGAGTGATCCAACTCTGCCTCCCACTTCGCCTCCCCTCCCTCCCCAGCAACCACCATCCTCACCGGCCTCCCCGGCGTCAACCCCCCCCCAAACTCAAGAAATACTCACGCGATCCGACGCCCCAACACGATCATAATCAGCCTCAACCTGAAACGCCAACACCAACATACCCTGCTTCTTCACATTGGCCTCATGAATCCTCGCAAACGACTTCGCAATAACCCTCACACCCCCCAGATACCTCGGCTGCAGGGCAGCATGTTCCCGCGACGACCCCTCCCCGTAATTATGATCCGCAACGATCACCCACGGCCGGCTCTGCGCCTTATAGCACCGCGCGGTATCCGGCACGCTGCCGTCAGTGCCCGTGAACTGGTTCCGCACCGTGTTCACGCTGCCCGTTTCGGCGTTGACGGCCCCGATCAGCGTGTTGGTGGAGATGTTTTCCAGGTGGCCCCGGTAGCGGAACCAGGGGCCGGCCGGGGTAATGTGGTCCGTGGTGCATTTGCCTTTGGTTTTGATGAGGATGGGGCAGGTGTGGAAGTCGAGTCCGGACCAAGGGGGGGAGAGGACAAGACGTTGGAGCCGGGAGGATTGGGGGCTGGTTTTGACGGTGAGGGATGTGCGGGTTGAGGGGGGTGGAAGATAGGATGTGGTGGGGTTGGTGTAGCCGGTCTCTGGGAGGGGGAGGGAGGGGCCGGTGGGTGGGGTGAAGGTGAAGATGAAGGGATGACCGGTGGGTGTGGGTAGCGTGTCCGCGAGGGGGTTGAAGGAGAGATCTGTGAAGAAGACTTTCGCCATCACGACTTCGAGCGAGGCGAGGAAGACGTGCGTGTCTGGGTTGGAGATGATTCGGCCGGAGAAGTTGCAGTTGTAGGAGGTTATGATGGCGTTGGGGATTCCCTGGGTGGGTGTGAATGGGTTGATTTGAGATGGGGATGGGGATGCGTACCTTGGGCATGTCTGCCCGGTCCCAGGAGCCGCAGCAAGGTCCGCAGGCATTGGGGAGCATGATTGCTCCCAGTTCCTTGAAAATGGGTAGGATGCCGGCTTGTTCTAGGGCTTCTCGGGTCTGTAGACTAACCGGGGAGATCAAAAGAGGCATCTTCGGCCGTAAGCCCGCGTCCAGCCCCTGCTTAGCTAGATGGGCGGCTCCGCCCATGTCCTCGAAGGAAGAGTTGATACACGAGCCGATCAAACCGGCCGTCAACTCCGGCCATTCATTCTCCTTCCCTGCATCCCGGAACTTGGACACTGGAGTGGAGAGATCCGGCGTGAACGGTCCGTTGATGCGCGGCTCCAGCCGGGATAGATCGATCTAAATGACCGATCATATTCCGCGCCAGTATCAGCCCGCAGCTCCGAGGCAATCTTCTCCACAGCGCGGGCCATTTCCTTGCGATGAGTGGCCAGTAGATACTCGGTCATTTGGGGCGTATAAGGGAAGATGGAGGTCGTGGCGCCCGTCTCCGCCCCCATATTGCAAGCGGTTGCCATCCCCGTGGCAGACAGCGTCTGCACCCCGGGGCCCAAGTACTCGATTATTGGGTCCCTACCGTCCTTCGCGGAGATCAAACCGGCCACGGTACTAATGATATTCTTTGGCGCAGCCCAGCCGGATAGTTTGCCCGTGAGACGCACACCCAGGACTTTAGACGCCTTCAACTCCACAGGCAACCCAGCCATGACATCCACCGCATCGGCCCCCCCAACCCCCAACCCCAATAGCCACCATCCCCAGCCCCCCGCATTCGGGGTATGTGAATCCGTCCCAATCATCATCCCGCCCGGAATGGCATAGTTCTTCGGCACGATCTGGTGGATAATCTCCCGCCCCGGGCTTCCAAAACCCCATGTTATATTTCTGACACGTACTCACCATGAACTCGTACACCTCGCGATGGGCATCAAGCGCCCGGGGAAGATCCTCGATTTCTCCGTCCCGGCTGACGATCAGATAGATGATCGCAGTGTACCGTCGTGGGCACCGCGGATGCATCCATCCCGGCTGATATGTACTGGATCAGTGCCATCTGGGCCGTCGCATCATGGCATGCGATGTGCAGCGGCCGCAACTTTAGTTGTGTATGACCGCGTACGATGGGCTTGTCGAAGCTGTCGTCTAGATGGCTGTAGAGTATCTTCTCGGAGTATGTGAGGGGGCGCTGTAGACTGTGGTTGTTGGTTAGCTGTTTGTTGACTGGACTTGGTCTTCGCGATTATGATCATGATTATGAGAGATCGGATTAGGGCTGGCTGGTTGGTTGCTTACCGGTCCCGCAGTGCGGCAATCTTGCAGGCGAAGTTGCCTAGATCGATCGTTTGGGTCTCCTGGCGACTGATGGGCGCAGTTGCGTGCGAGGCAATGCCTTTGACTAGCTTGGCTGTTGTATTCATTCTTGTTATCTTGGGTATATTTGTTGTTGGACGAAGCGATGTTGTGGGACAGGCTGGCTTTTAGATGCTTGTCGCCGCTGTCGGACCCTTCCGTCGGTTGGATCCGATGGTCGACATTCCATCGATACGGGCCACAAAGGGCTTCGGATTGAAATTTGGGGCGCCATAGAGGCCTTGATTGGGGTTCTATAGGTTGTACTACTGTCTGGAGATGCCACAGCTAACAACTTGGTGACAAGTGTAGTACTCTTTCCAGTGATGGAAACAGGATGGGCCTTCGATATACCGGCATCAACGTCAAGGGCTGAGACTTTGATTCACTAACCACTGAGAGTACAAATACTTACTCCAATTGGTACGTCACTGGTCTGACTCCCAACAGATAACCACACAGTTACTTTTCTCCTCTGTCTGCCACAAACCCCAATTCTGTACGGAGCAAAGAACACGAATACCAGTGGCCTCCCGCAACGCTCCTCCCCTTCGAGACCGCTTCACCAGCCTATTCCGATCACGTCTCCACATCCACTGAATACATAAGCGATGCTACAGTCCCAGTACCACACTCATAAACTTTCTCAAGACACAAAAGACAGGCCTAATCACGCATACTCCCTCATCTCCACAGCCCCTACCGCATCCTGCTTTCCCTTCCCCACGGACTCAACAACCACAATCGTCTCCTCCTCCTCCTCCGGCAAACGTCTTCCCATCGGCACAATCATCCAAACCGACAGCGCAGAAGAAAACACCCGATCCAGATATAATAAAATAATAGGTTTCCAGATTTATAACTTACTAGTCTATTAAATCTAAAGCAACAGAAAGAATAGATTAACGTACAAAGAAGAGATCAGGGACCGCGGCGGCTATATAGGGAGGGGCAGTCACATGGCCCTGGAGCGGCCGCCGCCAACAATTAGACGTCACCATAACAAGCGGGTCTTCTTTGGCATCATGCATGATGGAGGAGCACACGATAGATAGGCGGTTCTTATCCCGTTTGGGAAAGAGCGTTTTAAGAAATTGCATAATTCTTGAGGTCATTTTATCATGATATAGAAGTGCATTTGTTCTGGAAAGACAGACTGTCCCATCATCAAAGCCAGAAGGTTTGTGTTATTTGCAGAGAGAAGCCAGGAAAAGGAGCATCACCCAATAAGGTTTGGAAGAGGCGTCCAATGGAAGGCTGGGCCTTGAGCTAATGAGACGGTGATGAGATTGCTCCTGCTTTTACTTTTCTTATATGGGCTTATACCGATCAAGATTGCTGTCCGACTGTAACATATTCATACGACTGTCATACACCAAAATGATAGTTTTTATTCGATTTGTTCTCTTGCACTTATCACTTGTCTTGTGCTACTGCGCACCGTTCCTCGAAATCCTCCTCTTTTCTACCCCCTGCTAATATGAGTACCAATACAGACGCTCTGCAACTAATATTTTCCCTAACTGATATTCTCTGTGAGAGTTTGACAATATATTCTCTGTGTTGGAACCAAAACCCGAGTGATACCAGTAGCCATTAGAGAGATATCTCTTTCGGTCTACTTGATAAATGCCTCGACATTCTCTAACATAGGGGCGGTCCTACTTTTACATACCATGGCGATATAGACCAATATGATGTAACGGCAAGCGCAGGGTCAAGAAGCAGAACTCATGTTGGAGTAAAATGCGAGGAGTACCGTTCAACGTGACAGCCGTACCGGCTCTAGAGGCCGAATAGCCCGGGATGGAAGCCATAACATGGAGACAATGGAGATCCAGTAAAAGAGTAGATGGAAAACGTGCGTATCAAAGTTCTAAGTTTCTGTGGGTGAGTCTGATCCATTCTTAAACTCTATCACGCTGCCATATCTCTGTAGAACCTTGTACACTGATCCCGAAGTCCCGTAAATAGGCAAGACCAAACACTCCCTCTCTGGGACTGAACTGTCCGGTATGACTTAGATGTTACTGAGCGCCAGGCTTTCTGTGAGAGTGTCTCCTTTGCCCGTTCAGGCCGGGCCTTTGCTTTTCTTTGTACTCGTGATGGATTTTTCCCAAAGAAACCGTAACAGGCCGCCCTCGTAAGCTTCTTCTTTCGGGAAATTCTTCCTATTCTCAATCGTATATGTGCACAAGTCTTTCAACATAGGGAAAGTCTCTAAGTGACCGCCTGTCCGTTTGAACTGCAATAAACAGACCAAATTGACGCGAGTTTGGACCACAACATTTTAATATGTTGGCCCCGCTTTAACATCATCCAAATGTATATGTCTACGGGGAAAACCTGTTGCGCGTTACGGAGTCCATTAGGTATCGGGATTATATTCATACAACGGCAAATTCGCTGCCATGATGCTAGATCTTTCGCATCGGTCCCAACCGTCGAATTGAAAGCTTAGATCACCGCAATTCGAAACGACTGCCTGTCTCTTTCTCGCGCAGGCTCCTCTCGATGCCACCCAAAGTAGTCACACATAGAGTAAAACTCTGTATGAATTGGCCCATCCCGGTTGTAGGCAAACCTTGGATACTTTGCAAAGGACGCATCGATTTCATCTATAAGTAGTATGGCCTGATTGCTGTCAACTATCAACCTGAAACTTGATATAACCGACAAGGTCGGTAGGTAAGTTACGTCTATGGCTCGTCAAAGGTATAAAAGCTACGAACACGGCAACGATCATGCCTTTCTGGCAAGATTCTGGGCAGTATCCGTTGTGCATTTGGCCAACTTTCAACTCCTTGCCAACTGGGCGAGTACTAACCAACCAAGGAAATCGAAGTATGTCGGCATTCATGCCGTTTTGAGAGGTTCGATAAGGGGTCGTAGTTACGCATGCATCTTTTTGCTTAGTAACATAGCTTGAGGTAACTAAGTGAGACCCAAATAAAGAAAATAAATCTCTTACTTCAAATTGGTCGCAAATTTAAAAAAAAAATAAAATAAAATAAATTTTTAAGAGGGAGGGGAGGGGTTATCTGCTGAAACTATTTTCCTGCGGTCATTGGTTGTCATCTAACTGTGGGCTTGGGATGTCAAGGGCCCTTGCTTGTCTACATGATTTTCAGAGGTCAAAGCAAGTTGTGCTTAACGCAAGGGATCCAACACACGAAGCCGCAATTGCCGCTCCATCGCCTGCCCCATGTCGTCGTATGCGAAGTCCGTCCCAGGCAGGGGGATCGTCAAATGTATTCCTGACTTGGCGGTGAAAGATCCTTGTAGTACCTCTTGATGCGAACAACAATCTAGCTCCAGAGAATCGGCCGTACATGGAGAAGTACGGATACGGCAGTTACTCTATGTAAGAGAATGTATTCCACAGATAGCCACGTTCAATTGACAAATGCCTATCAATGTTATTCTTCCTGGCTGCTGAGGCGAACTGCCAGGGAGGTACTTGCCATAATATTAATCTGACGGAAAGCCCTTTACCCAATATTACCTGTAGTTACAAGGACACACTCAATTGTGGTCGCATTCCTCACCTGCTCTCCTGAGTATACGTATAGCATATATAACTTTACGCACCTCATTCCATGCGCCTTTCTATTTGAGCGATTACTAGTCATCATCCTTCGCTCGCTGAGTAAAAACCTCTAGACAATTGTCGTGTTGTGCCCTCTCTTATTACAGTATTTTGAGGTACACGATGATTTGGTTTATTATGTCTTAATTCTGTATCTCTCCGTAAAGCAACTGTGTATATTATACATATTACTATCTGTGAATTGTTGAAGGAGTCCTGTATAGGACCAGGGTAAGTGCTTTAAGATCTTTCGCGAGCCTGCTCAGCTTGTCTTAGAGGCCCCGGTATTGTTCCCCTCAGCAGCGTGCGGTTTCTTGTTAAGATACTTGTTCCCTGTTGTTTTTTACTGTATCCTTTGTGGTACGTCTACTCATTGTTCTTGGATCAGTCACGCCTGTAATGTTATAATATGTTCATTCACTCCTACATGAGGAATGCAGCAGCTACGTGGGTACCTTCACAAATAGTTTTGACGAGTGAGTCGCTGCAAGGCTCCCCAACATAAGTGGCTAACAGACCGCTAGTCCAGCCCATGGGAAATTCTCTTGCACAAACTTTTCAGATTGGCCAGGCCGATAACGAATTTCAGCCTAATACATAGGGAGTCATCTCCTTCACGGGGATTCGAGCTTCTCATCTCTTTGTATGTGGTGGAAGCTTCTCTCCGGGATTATTTTGTGTTTGTCCTCACAATGACAACTGTATCTACCGGCCAGGCTGAGGATGAACCCCACCCAGCCTGGCCACAGAATGAAGTTACGAGTTCTTTAGTCGGAGGGGTGGGGTTCTCGCCAATCTATTTTGGGGCCGATTTATCTTCTTTTTCACTCGAGGGCTATTGCGATCCAATCGTGATAGGGGGTAAACAAGGAGAACTCCTGGCTCCTCCTCCTACGATAATGACCGATACTGTGATCGGCGACAGCAGAGAACCTTCTTGGCCGGAACAATACCTGAACCTCGTCGCACCGAACAACCTACTCCTGCTGGAAGACTTCGCTCAAAACCAGTCACATTCTGCTAATCTCGTGGAAACCTCGACTCTGACCACAGTGGGGTTGGACTCACAGGAACACACTCTCCCAAACCAATCTCTATAGAGATTTGGCTTGGATGGATGCCTGAGTGATGAAGGTTACAAGAGTACCAACGCAGCTGTGGTTGTTAGAGGAGGGGTTGATTCAGGAAAATGCGCTTCGAGGTTTCAGGAAGTGCCAATGCCTTCTTATGATCATGAAATTTCACTGGAGGATGGGTTATATCACTGCCAAGATCGTGCATGCGTGGCCCAGACTGGCTTTTCAAGAAAATGTGATCTGCGGTAAGTTACGCCATCACTACCTCGGTTCATCCCGCTGACTCTTCACAGAAAGCATATGCGCATTCATGTTAAGCCAGTTAAATGCCCCATATGTACAGTATCCATGGCTCAGCAGATCCATATGCGTCGACATGTTGAAGTGCATCACGGTGAATGGG